TGAAAGGGTGTGGTTCAGTGAGGTGCAAAGGCAGACAGACTCGGAGCAGAATCGATGATCTCATCACAGCAAAAGCCTCCCACGAAACTCGGGAAGGGGACAAGGGGCACTGTCGCTCTTCCCACAATCTTTGGCGGCAGGCAGGTAGCTCCAGAGGCCGGCGCCACTTACGATTCAGCGCCTCCAGGTCGATCGATTCGGGGATCTTGCCCTTCTCCTTGTGCGATTCGGAGCTGCTGCCGCCGCGCGAGCCAGGCTTGGGGCGAGAGCCAACGGGAGTGGCTGCATTGGCAGTCGTGGCGGTGGTGGTGGTGTCAACGCTTTCATCATCGTAGCTGTCGCTGTAATCCGAGGTTGCATATCCGTGAGACTTGGTGCCGGCCATCTCCACATGACCCCAGCCCTTGGCGGGATGCAGGGGATTGAAGGTTGAGATTTGCTCAGGCCTCATGCGTTGGTGGGACTGGGGGTGCTGGAGTTGCGCCGCCGCGAGATCGTGGTTGAAGGGGGAAGTGGGTCTGGAGTAGGCGGTCGGCTGAGGCGATCCAAAGTGGAGGGCACTCATCATAGCCTCGGTGCCTGCCATGCCGTCGGACTCCATGGGCAGCCGAGGGGCGCTGACAAGGGGAGAGAAGTGGGGTCGATTGGCAGGGTGTCCCGGCGGCATGCTCGGGCTGACGGACCAATTGACCGAGGCAATGACATCGTCGGCAGGGGTCTTGGGTCGGAGCAGAGGGGAGGAGCTCATGTTGCTATGAGGAGCGCTGTAGTTGTACTCCTCGGGAACAGACCGCATATCCAGAAGCTGTGAGTACTGCTCTTCGGCTCCAGGAGCGCTGTGGCGGTCATAGAGGCGGCCGACTGAGCGAGGCTGGGGAGCACGCTGGAGCCGCATCATTTCCTCGTTTTCGCTGATGACGCGGTCTGAGCACAAATACAGGGTGAGGAGGCGATCGTTAGAGGCAAGCGCAAGGTTGGCAGTGCTCGCTCAGGAAAATGCACATGGTCAACAAGATGAACAGCGGCGCCGGGATCAACATGTGCAGCACGATGGGAGCGGTTGGAGAGTCGAGCCAGAGTGCGGATGGGTGCAGCCGGGCGTGCAGGGACAGAAAGGAGATCGGAGATGACTGCAAAGGGCGGTTTCCAAACAGCGGGTGGCGGATGATCCATGGCAGGTGGCGGACGCCGGGGGCACACCAGCAGGTCAAGCGGGGTGTAGGAGAGCAGTGCTGCTGGACAGACAAAAGCAGTGCCCCAGCGCATGTCCCTCTCCCTTGACTGATCCGAGCAACGCAAATAAAGTCGGCCAAAGGAGAGCTGAATCGACCCGGATCTGCATCAGCCATGCCAAGCCATCGATTGCTCACCTGAAAGGGCGATGGCCGGGGCGGCATTGTGTACCGTTGGCGAGGAACTTGCCCCCAGGGGCTGGGTGCCTGGAGGTCCAGCAACCATCGGATCCTTTTGAGCCAGTTGCTGCAGGACGGTCATGAAAAACCGGATCTGGACAGGGGTGGTGTGCTGCAGGAGACTGTAAAGAGCAGTAGTCCGCTCGGGGTCCGTGAGGACACTGAACCACTGCTCGATGGCCTTGAGTTCTTCACGGAAGTGGTCGTCCAGACGAGCCTTGGCCATTTGCTCGAGGGTCCGTTCGTAGTAGCTGAGATCCTCAAACCAACGATCGATTTCTGCAGACCAAACACAGAGCCGGCACATTAGTGCAAGCCACTTGTTAGCGCAGGTTCTGGAAGCTGTGCGTTGGCAGGGGGAGGGTTTGCTGTGGGCCCGGCAGGCATCCTTCCGAGTCAATCGCAGACCCAGCTTGGGATCAAATAGAGCCCCGAGCACGCCGAGTCATCCAACGGGGGCGAAACAAGCAATTGAATGCAGATCGCAAACCGAGACGCCGCTCCACCCCTGAGAGCCGGTCTGACAGGGAGGGGGCGGGGTGGTGGGGTAGGTGGATCGGTGGCCACCGGCCGGTACCTTCAGCCTCGGGCGACTTGTATGCGCCGTTGAGGACCTCGGAGCTTGGGCGGACATTGGGCTTGACAAACTCTCGATTGCTTGCCGAGACGGGGCGGTGAAGCAGGGTCGGAGGAAGATCCGACATGGGCCGTTGCATTGCCATGGTGTCTGCTCGGTGGTGGTGCGTGGAGCCTGCACGGGAGTGCTGTCCGAGTTAGATCTGGGTTGCTCCCAACTCGAGAGCACATCTGGGGCACGACGCAGGGAGAGCCTGGGCTGCAATCTACGGAGGCCCCGGTCGAGGCATCGGATTCAAGGGCAGTCTCCAGGTGACGCAGCGACACCGCCATAGGTCGCCGAGAGAGTGGGAAGCAGCGAACAGATGGAAGAACGACTTACCTGTAGAGTCAGCAGACGAGTCAGAGGGAATCTGCTGGAGAGAAGCAGGCGGGAGGTATATTCAGGACAAACAAGAGACGAAGAGCCGGACGACAGCAGAAACAAAGCCGAGACGGCCTGACAGCGGACTCGATGGGAAGTGGACGGAAGACGGCGACAGGCCGACGAAGACGCCGAGGGGGAGGCCGAGAGATGTCTCCAGAGCGGTTGTGCCGGGCGAAGGCCAAAGAATGGACATTTGGTGATTGACGCCGAGGCGAGAGGCCGTCCGCGGCTCTCGGCGCAACCGCTCCTCGGTCTGCCTTTGGCCAGCCTCGGTTCGCCTTAGCCTACCTTGATCTGCCTTGATCTGCCTTGATCTGCCTTGGTCTTCTCCTGGTCTGCTGCGTCGAAATACGCTGCCGTCCATCGATTTGTCCATCGATTTGTCCATCGGCTCGCCCATCCTCTGCCGGCACATTCGCCTCCATCCTTCTCTCGGCTGGCGGCCTTGGTCCTCTCCCTGGCTCTCGCTTCTCGCTCCGTCGGTCGTGTGTGTGTGCGCGATTGGCTGTCTGTTTTTGGGAGGACGGCGCCGACCAACCGAACCCGGACGAGCCACAAGGGGTGTCCGACCCACAGACGCTGCTGTTTCAGCCAGAGGTGCTGAGTGAAGGTGTCGATGGTGAATGGTGCTGCTGATGCCGACGATGATGATGATAATGCTGGTGTGCTCGTGCCGTATATATCCCAGTGTCGATGCCAGCGTCGATGATCTCCTCGGCTCTCAGGGCCGCCGGCAATGCCCTGCTCTCCTCCCCCCGCAGGCTGTCCATCCGTCCATCCGGCCCATTCCTCCGCGGTTGCAAGAACCCAGTGCGGACCGTCTGTGGTCAGGCTTGGATCGGTGGCTCGCACAGGAGCGATGCGCTCTGGGACCTGGCATCAGGGGGACGCTTGCCGCGTCGCCCAAGGAATCGGGGCCGATGCACGGCCTGTCGAGCGGCAAGACTCCGCTTCACCTATCCTACTCGGCGAATGTAATATACGGGAGGATTCGACGGCCGGTCCAATCGTGAATTGCCGAGGGTCTTGTCGAGGGTCTTGCCGACCCCAGTGCCACTGCTTCCTCGCTGGGCCGTCTCGGCCATCGACAGCCCACGCGCGTTGTCTACCCTTGGTGCAATCGTACACGCCGATCGATCGCCACATCAGCAGCCAGCAAGGGCATCCGGTCTATGTGCGTGCAAATAACCCCCCCCTTCGTCTTGCGGATCCAACGATTAACATCCACGCATCGGGTGCTCTATTTTTTGAAAAGATGGACGGGTGCATCGGCTGCGACATGCGCCTCCTTGCCGCCAACAGTTCCGTGGACGCCCGTGGTGCCAAAGGTGGTCCAGCTGACGAGGTTGTCTGTGGGCTCGATCGAGGGCCACGAGATGCCGTTGGCCTTTTTCAGAGTGATCTCGACCTTGGTCGAAAGCACCTCGAACTTGGATTGCTCCGACAGGATGGGCTAGTAGAACAACTGGCCGTGAGTGCATTGATGGCGGTCACCCGGTATGATACCGGCACTGTCGAGGGACTCGGCAAGCTCCTCCAACGACGGAAGTTGAGCTGAACGCGCTGTTGTGCATAAAGTCGGTCATGACGCTCACCTGCGAGAGCGGGGTGTTCCATCGGAAAACCTTGCCATCCAGGAACTTGACATAGACGCTCAGCTTTGCGCCGCATAGGAGAGATACAAGTTAATGAGGGTGCTGCCAAGACACTCTGCCTCATAAGATCGGTGAGACGGACAGGACCGGCACCGAACGGGAGGGAGGCGAGCAGAGATGTGACTAAATACCTCTTCGGCACCAAAGGTAACCTTGGTGCTGGCCTTGTCGGCCTTTTTCGCAAAGACCGAGATGATGACACTGGTCTGAGTCTGATACCAGTCATGCCGGCAAGCGACGATCTCCTCGGCGGCACCGTCGGTCTGTGGCAGGAAGCGGTTGTGTAAGTAAACGACGGCCGGCAGTGTGTGGGGCATGGCAGCTTGATGACCGGGCATGAGACTGGGCAAGCAGTATGTCCCGGTAGAAAGCCACTCGTTATAGCCAATACTGCTCGGAGGCTCACCTTGGCATCAGTGAAGCGGTGGCGACCACGCTTGCATCCTTCGATCTTCAGGAACTCGTCGAACTCCAGGACCTTGCGGGGACAACATGTCCAGCCCTGCCCGTCCAGATCGTACACCAATGAGCCTCTCTCGATCGGCTCTGAGTCCAACCCACCAGAACATGCCACAGGCGTGGGCCGATCCAGTTGGCCGATCAGCCGGAGAGGACATGATCACGATTGGTCGCGAACTCACCTTGCTGCCCTCGTGGAAGACCGGGGTGCCGCTGTGGAAGACGCATTCGCTGTCGGTGTGCCCGCCCGCTTCGTTGACAAACTTGCATCCGTTGCGCTTGCACTTGGCACCTTTCTCGATCACGGCGTCAGGGGCATCGTTGAGCTCCTCCTCGTTGATCTCGACCTTGGCGACAACGGGCTGGGTCGAAACGACAGCCGGGGCGGAGGACGGGGCTGCGGCGGCTGCGGCGGCCGATCCATAGATCTCGACGCCGTCTTTGACAAGAGTCGCTGCTGGAGCAACAGGGGTGACGGGAGTGCGAGGAGCAGCCTCAACGACGGTCGAGTGGCGGCCCACAGTGCAGCCTGGAATCTGCTCGGATTCGGTGAGATGGCAAACGCACCACATATTGCCAAGGTAAGACTTGGATCTGCACAGACGACACCCAGCCACCCGTCCGCGGTGGCAAGTCGCCGATCCATCGAGATCGGTCCGAGCCAGCGACGAACGAGACCACGCGGACAGGCTGGTCGGCTTTCAGTAGTCCCGCACAGCCGGCTAATTACTTGACGGAGCCACGCGGATCAAGCCGTACCTTCATGAACTCGTCAAAATCGGTGACTTTCTTGGAGCAGCAGGACCATCCCTGAATGAATATACAATCGGGGGTGGAGGGAGTATGGTCAGAGTCGGTCATACTTGTATCAGCTGCTGCGATGATGGTCACACTGCGGGCATTCCGGAATCGGAGCAGCAGTCGTTGGGCCGCTTGCACTTTGTGTGCAAGACTGACAGCAGCAACATATGCAGCAGTCGCTTGTGCCAGGGCAGAGCGTTACCTTGAGACCCTCGTGGAAGACGGGGGCTCCTGGGTGATGTTCGCATGCAGTGTCATGGTTGTCGCTTTCGCTGAAGGACTTTCCACAGCCTAGGGAGACAGGAGCACCGATGAATCCAGTCAGCAGCCAAAGAAAAAGCAGGGTGAGTGGGGGCCCACACCATTGGTGGTCGCCCGAGGGCCGACAGATATTGTATTCGATATATGCTTGACGATTGTGTGCCGCTGAGAACAGAGATGCCGGGCAGACCTGACCGATCGTCGATCTGGCGGGTCTCAACAGCGACCAGGACACAGCATGCAAATCCCGAGCGCCGGGGGGGGGAAAGCAGGTACGCTGCAGGCACAGCGAGCGATTCGCCGATGTGGCTCACCTTTCCGGGTGCAGATCGAGACGGTCATGTCGTTGAGTGTAGCGGCGGGCGTGTTTGACGGTGGGATGGACCAGATCGAGGGCACGATTCGAGCGGGTTCGTGGACGAAGACAGCAGAGCGGCTGGCCGTCGAGGCGCGGCGGCGAAGGAAGAGATGGAGCTGCGAGGACGATCGGCTCCCGACAGCCGTTTTGGTGCGGGTGAAAAGGCGGCCGATATGTGGAGAACGAGCATCGGGCCGCCACACAGCCAGTGGCTGTGCGACACGCCGTGGAAGATTGTGGAAACACCTGGAGCGATCGTGCTGCCAGCTCCAAGGACGATGCAGATGGCCAGGACAACGATGCAGGCTCTCACTACAGATCGCCTGGCCCCAAGCCGAGATGGCTGGTGCAGCGGGACGCGGAGAAGGACAAGCCCTGGACGGATTCTCGACCACCAGCAGCGCCAGCTTCCTGCCCAAGTCCGAGCACACCGGATTTCGTTTGGACCAATCTTTGTTTCGGTCGTCAGAGGAAAGAACAGGACATGGAGCCGAGCTGCAGAAGTGAAGGCAGACCAGGCACAAAGCGGTCATCCTCTCCAGGCCAGGAAGCACGACGACAGACAGAACAGTTGTGGTCATTCTCTGCCCGACCGACACCGCCAGACAACCTCCGAGCGGAAAAGGCTGCCCAAAACAAGGGGAAAGGAAGGACAGACACAAAAACGAAAGAAAAAAAAATGTGATAAAGGCGATTATGGAGGCGGGAGGTGAGGTGAGGCGAGGCAAGTCGAGGGGGGGGGAACAGCGTAGCATACGAGAGAGAGAAATAAAGAAAAGAAAGAAAGAAAAAACAAATGCGAATATCCACATTGAAACAAAATTTCCCTCGAGTTCTCAAAGCAGGTATTCATGTTTCAAAGCCCGGATGAGCAGCGCCGTTCTTGGATTTGGAAAAATCAAGCTGAATGGCGCAGAGGGAGGATATTGGAAAAGTGGCGTTCGGCAGTCGGATCGGAGGGGAGAGTCGGCGGCGGCGGCGGCGGGGAGGACGGTCGGAAGGAGCTGTAGCGGATACATTCAGAGAGGACTGTATATGAAGGAAAAGGCGGAGTGGGACATAGGTTGGAGTCGGAACTGGTAGAGGCTATTACATCAGATCCTTTTTCTTCTTTTGGGGTTTGCGAGGTGGAGTAACAGGTCGTCCGCCGCCAGCCATGGCACCGGCGCCACCGTAGTTGTACTTGATCTTCTTTTCAGCAGGCTTCAAAATCTGAGATGAGCCAGAAGCACGTGGCATCAGGGATGGTGAACATATGGTGAACATATGGTGAACATATGGTGAACATATGGTGAATATATGGCCAAAATGGTCAGCAATGGCACCAAAGGGTAGAGGCGCCGCCGCACTGGAGGGGCCTGTCCGGCACTTGGCTGTGTCCAAGGACACATTGCCTAGTTGCTGCTGGGTACACTGCCAGAGGGCACATGCCACGGCAATGGCTTTTGCAGTGGAACCAGCAGTAGCGGTGGTGGTGGTGGTGCGAGTGGCCACAGGCAGACACAAACCTGGAATGAGCACATCAACGTCTCGTCTACACTCATCATGGCACCGGCGTTGTCGAATTCGCCACAGTAATTGGGGGCCGAGAACAGCGTGACAAGCTGTCGCTTGGCAAAGAACTCGTATCCGTCCTCGACGACCTGGTGCGCTCGGCAGATCAGATCCAGATCGTGCTTCTGCAGGAATCGAGTTACAACATCGGTTCCGAATGTGAAGGAGACACCTCGGTCGTTTTCACTCCATCCGGTGATTTCTTTGTCGGGGTCCGACCAAAGGAGATCACATAGCAGACCTGTGAGCCAGACCACAGCCGCAGAGTCAGTACACAGGCTCGTCCGACGATAGGACCCAAATCAGCGAACGGTGTTGGGGACCCAGTCGGATTGGCCCACACAACACCGCGACCAGCTCCATGGCACGCCTGCCGATGGCGACAAATGAAAATAACAAAACACGGCCGTTTGGACACGGCGCATGGCGCGCGGCACACGGCATACCAGTATCAGGGACATCCGTAGGCCTCATCACACGTCGAATTTGCTCCATGCTTTGGAGATCGGGTGAGAGACCGCCGTGCATGGTCAAAATCTTCTCATCGATGATGGCGGCAATCGGGAGGCAGTTGAAACAGTCCGTGAAGGTCTTCCACAGCTTGATGTTGTATCTTCGCTTGCCTGCGAGGCGCAAGAGAATACGGGCGAGTCAGTCGCCCGTGGACGAGAGATATACGCCGGCTGTTCCCGGAAATATGGCGATCGTTACGAACAGAGTGGTCCGCTTACACTCATCGTAGAAGCCATAGATACGATTGATGCTAGCGCATTCGTGATTTCCTCGGAGGATGAAAAAGTTTTCGGGATATTTGATTTTGTATGCAAGCAGAAGGCAGATGGTCTCGAGCGATTGCTTTCCACGATCGACGTAGTCGCCCAAGAAGAGATAGTTTGCTTCCGGAGGGAATCCGCCGTATTCAAAGAGTCTCAAAAGATCGTAGTATTGTCCGTGAATGTCGCCTGCGACAGAGGAGACCGCGTTATTCGCCTGTGGCAGGTTCGGAAAGCCCATCGGCGCTAGGGTCCTCGCGATCCCAACAGCTCCGCGACGGAGACATACCACAGATTTTGATGGGAGCTTCCAGCTCTAGTAGAATCGGCTGGGACAGAAAGATATCCCTCGATTTTGTGCAAAGAAATCTGATTTCGTGCTCGGCGAGCTGTACTTGCTTGCCAGGACGGCTTCCTCGAACTATCGCGGGAGGAGGACGTGGCCCGCAGTCAGTGAGCGTCCTGTTCCAAGGCCGCCATTTTCTCTTGGAGAGGCTGTGTTCACGGCATAGTCCGAGGCAGCCATAGGGACGGGAGAGTCGCGACCCGCTGCTGATAGGGCGCAGCCCCGGACACACCAGCCTCAACCACATGCAGATGGGCCTCCAGCCATCTCTGCACAGAGAACAGCATGGGGTCTGTGAGGAAAAAATAGACTGTTGCGCGAAATAAAGCAAAGGGCTCTACCTTCGAGCAGACGCTCAATGATCGAGTCGAGGTCGATGTCGGTTGGTATGTCGGCCATTGTTGAGGGGGGGGGCTGTGGCGAGACTGCCGAGTTACGAATGATGCAGGCGTTAGCGGCAGCAAGCAGCACGCCAAGCGGCAACCGGTGCAAAGACGAATCTGCATGCGCCGAGGAAGCAGTGGGGCAGAGTCTTTTGTAGCTGCACTCCAAATGTGTGGGTGTTGGCAAGGGCAAAGGCCCTCGAGCCACCAGGGAGGCGCATCCCAAGTCCGGACGAGGGTGAGCCAGAGCCCGTCCTGCTCTCATTAGCTGCCACCTCCGTGATGGAGACGGCCTCGAGGCTCGGTCTGTCGTCCGCCGGGAACAGCACGGTCTGGCCAAACCACCTACATTCAGAGATTTATGCAGAATAGGCGACGGAACCGAGACGTGTATCCCAATGCTCTATCACTTTGCGGTTCAAGGCCGTGGCGAGATGGAAATAGGGGGGAGGTCTCGCTTCTCTATCCAAGACAACGAGCAGCCAAGTGTCCGTTCAACAGTCCACGGTCCAGAATCGTCGGCAGTCGAGCCAGGGCGATTTCAAGGGGATGGAGGCAGATGGCGGCAAAAGGGAAAGCGCAAGTCCAAAGCAAAATCCACAGACAGCTCAGTCAGACGGGGAGCTGCAGCGATGATGAATAGACGGACGGACGGACGGACGGACGGACGGACGGATGGATGGGCGGATGGATGGATGGATGGGCGGATGGATGGATGGATGGATGGATGGACGGGCGGATGGACGCGGCGGCAGGCACGGCTCTGATAGATTCAGCGGATGCCGTTGGACGGGGGGTAATCCGCGAAGCCCCTTGGGTTTGCGATTCTCTCCGGGGGGCCTGGCCTGGCCTGGCCTGGTCTGGTGGGGGGGCCTTGCTTGCTCGCCAGCACACACACACACACAGCACCACACAATCAGGGCGCCAGCGGGCATGTGCGCGTGCGGCCGTGTTTGGCTGGCCACGCGTCCGGACTGCCACACAGCGGCTGGTCTGGCCCAGCCACAGCCCGGCCAGCCAGCGCACCAGCAGCACCAGGAAACACCCATCGAGCACAATGCGGGTGTCGGCGATGCGGGAACGGGAGGGATGTGGGTCTCTATTCGGCCAGAGCTCGGATCTATGCGTCACTAATGCATCCCCTCGATGCGGCCCTCTGTCCAGCATCCAGTCGGTGGCATTGACCCACCAGAAGGCGACGCATCCTGCCAACCTGGATCAGCGGTGCATTTGCTTGCCATAGAGCTGGGTGACCAGCTGCCAATCTTGTTGATCGGCTCCGGGGATCGTCTGGAGCTCCAGGCGGCTCACAAACGCCCACACCGGGACCAATTCATCGCATATGCAGGCTCTGTCCGGCAGCATTCAGCTCGCATCCACCAGCTCCTGGCTCTTCGGGCCCAGCCCAGCATCCTCCAGATCGGCGGCCCAGACGGCAGCGGCAATGGTGTTGGTGAATACGAAGAACCACGACAGCACCGGGATGCTGCCGGTGACGATGCTCCACACGCCAAAAGCGACGTACCGGGCCTTGTGGCTCTGAACATATTCGACGCCCTCTTGGAAGGTACAGCCCTTCAGATCAAAGTAGTGGAGGTGCAGAGACCAGGCCGCGAGATATCCATTGACACCATAGAAAACTACTTGACCGGCGATCGGGATCAGGTTCACGGGCAGCGTCAGAGCCACCACAAAGCCGTTGACGGCCTGTTGAATGCGCTTCGATGCTTCTCGATGGCGGAACCGCAGATAAACTTGACGATGCGAAGTGACTCTTGAATCAACGAGATCACCATGTCCTCGCAAGCGCAGGACGTCGTCAAAGAGCCGATCGAGCGTCAGCGGCAGGACGATATAAGACCAGACAAGAACAAACGCCGCCGACTCGAATATCGTCAGCAGCACGGCAATGAGCCAGCACGCCCTGAGTGAGTGCGACATCCGATTGTGGGGCGCATGGAGCGAGAGAGAGGGCCGGTTAGTGGCAAGTAACGCAGCTGGTCAGCAGCGACACCGGGCAGAGGGCATGATGTCGATGCACCCCCAGCCGCCAGGTGTCGGCTCCATGTGTTTCAAGGTCGTTGGCCAACGAGCGAGCCAGCCAGCAAGTCCCGCAAGGCCAAGCGCTGCACTCTTGTGATCTGGGCGGACGCACCATGTTTGAGAGATGGCACGTTCGAGAGCAGCAGCCTGCGCTGGCATGGCCAGTGTGAACAGCAGGATGGTGGCCAGCAGCGAGACAAAGCATGTCGTTGACACCCGAACGAGAAAGTTCCTCCACAGTTTGGGGTGTTCGATCAGGAAGCGGACGCCCTCGAGTGGATACACCCGCAACGTCCGGGGCTGTGTGGGTTCGTCAAGCGACGGCATGACGGGAGAAGGATAGAGACGATGCAGGCAGATGGAAGGCAGGGCTGAACGGGAGGAAACAGGCAGACAAACGTGTTTGCTGTGGCTGTCTCGGATCGGGTCACCAGCGGGAGAAGTCGGCGATTCACTTCTTGGAATGATTTACAGGCGATCCGAGAAAAAGCGGGACACCCTGGTTATTGACTATTGATCAAATATCTGTTACCCAATACCATCGCGTGCTGGCCATGACCATTCGCCAGTGTGTCCAAGAGCACCATTCGCCGCTGGCACTCCGAGAACAGTGTGCAGGTCGATTGTGGAGACCGGAGAGCGACCGGTGGTGTTCACTCGGAGGCTGCCCAAAGTGATTTGATTTATTTCTTATGGCATAGTTGGACGCATGCCATCACAGACTACGCTGACATATGGGAGCATGCCCGTTGTTTCTTGGAACGAGTATATGTGAAATGCAGAGTTGACGCCGCCATAGAGATGGCGACACGGATTATCATATGAATGCAGGGGTGTGAAGCCGCTGGCCTCAGAACAGAACTCCATAGTCCTGGTAGTCGTCGTTGCTCCAGCTGTTGCCGCACTCTCGGCTCATTAGCTGCCGGGAAAAATGAAAATGGGTAGCCAGGTACCAACGTCAGCATTGGGCAACGGCAGTGCAGATGACCAATAGTCGATGTCAATGTCGAGGCCGTTGCCAGCAATGACCCCATCCGCCGCACAAGGCAACCAGCCTGGCGCTCGCCGACCAGTGCGGATCGAGAAACAACTCACCAGATTCCTCTCGAAATCCGCATAGGCCGAGTAGTCCTTCGTTGTCAAGTCGGCACCGAGACACAGAGTCAGCTCCTCCATCAGGTCGTCGTCCTCGCCGATGTAGTCGCCTTCGTCCATATCGTCGTCAGAGACCTCCCACCAGTTGTGCGAGTCGGGTATGGCGGCATGGGTACCGGGCAGTTGGTCAAGCGGCATGCTTTCCATCCACTGCATCTGGGCGACAAACCGAGCGCCTTCTTCGTCGACAGCCCGCTGAAGATCCCGGAAAGCCTCCTCGCGCAGACGGGCAAGGCTTTCTGTGTCGTGAGAAGCCAGCTGAACCGTGCCAGAGTGCTGCAGCCATCGGGTCGCCGATGGTGGGTGAGCCGGATAATAGGGCCCAAGGGCTTGGGCCGAGCAGGCCTGGTCGAGAAGAGGCGATCGAGCCTGTGCGGCGGACTGGGAGGCAGCCCACGGGGATATCGACTGCCGCAATCGGGACAGGAATGGAGAGGGCGGAGCGACACAAGAACGGAGGGATAGATGTGAGCATCTCGGTTAGTGAGTTGCTTGCAAATTACCCCACGAATGTGTGCGGCAAAGTCCACCAGCCGATGGATGTGTCTGCCAGCAAGTCTCTGCAGCCACAGCAAGCGCCCCCCGGCAACGCAGCGTTCTCAAGCGCCGACCAAGAACCAACAAGACGCAGCCCGGAGCCAGTTGCCATGCCACACCTCCCACTTACAATCACAACGTCGTCATAGTCCTGCTGGGGCCAGACTGAGCTGGCCTCCAACGGAGAGCTGACGAGCATATCGGATGTGTTGTAGGCCATGGCGAAAATGGGGGAGAATGTACAGCAAGATGTGCGTGTGTTTGCGTGCGATGGATGCAAGTGGGCCGCAACTTGGGAGCAGCTTGGTGCAGAGGCGTGATCGCCGGACAGAGCGAAAGGAGATGGGAGAAGCCCGGCCAAAAGCGGACGGATAGATATGCCTGGCGGCAGAGTCTAGGGTTTTCAGATGTAATTTACAGAGCGAAAGACGGAATCCACAGAGCCGGGAAACCAGAGGGAGAAGGAGCGACTGGGCTCAGCAGCTTGACCGCAGAGCGCAGGATATAGACAGCGAGCCAGCGTTTGGCAGCAGGAGCGGGAGTGGCTATGTACAGCGAGGGGTGGAGACGATCGTATCGGATGGCTCAAGGCTGCCGCGGCAGCATGATGGGAGCTGGGTGGATGGGATGGAGCAGAGCAGAGCGAAGCGGTCTCAACCGGGAAACAACCACCACCGGCCGGTGTTTGAGCCTCGCTGCCCTGCAAAAAAAGACGCAGCAGTCCCAGGCAAGGCGCTGAGTGGTCCGCCTGGCGACACAGAGAGCCGAGCCTGCGGCGAGAGCGCAGCGGGAGCACAGACACAGCGGCGACGCAGACTCGGGTGGCGCCACGCCCTCTTCTCGGCGCGCCGAGCGAGAAGATCACAGCCGTCCTGGTTTCCATGTTGCTTCCAGGGCCGCAGCAGCTGCCAGCTGGGCCGCCCGGATGCTCCTGATGCATCGACCGAGTCGCCGGGAAGCCTCACATGCACCCGCTCGCATTGCACCCAATACGACATGGGTGTTTCTCATCTTGCAGCACCCGCTCGTTCCCGATGCCAGACACCAGATGCCAGATACAGATACCAGACGCCAGCTGCCTCGACCACATCCACACCCCATCCGCACCCATCCCCATCGGTGCCCGCAGCGCATCGAATCTGCATCTCCAGGGCCTCCTCTGCCCTCTCCACCCCCCCAGCCGCCGGCGCCAGGCTGTGCCGATAGCCTTGATACCAGCCGCACACGTGACGTGACTCGACAAACATCAGCCAATCCCTGGAAGCAAGCCAGGCCCGGCAGTTGAAAAGCCTTGCGGCTTGCCAACACCCGATCTCCTCCATCCGCCTCGACTCCTGCATTTGCCTTTCGTCCCTGCCATCCTGGGTCAAACCGCGACGACACTCGCTGCTCCTCCGTCCCCGCCTCCATCTCCTCCTCCCGAGCCCCCGCAGCCCGATCGAGAACCCTCCGCCATCATGGTTCAACGCACTCACCCCGACTACATCGTGGGTACGTTTCCGCTGGGCCGCCTCTGCTGTCGAGGTTGAAGCCGGTGTCCGTCCATGCCTCGCCGCCAGCCACCCATGTCCACGCAATAACGACGGCGTATATCCGCTCGCTCGACTCGGGCCCATCCAACAGAGTCGAAGGATCACCCCCTTCGAACCAAGGTCGTTTGCACCATCGGCCCTGGTAAGTTTCGCGTCGATCGCCTGTTGCCCGTCCGCAGGCCCACCCACAGACCCATCCGAATCTGCCGTAGCGACTCAATGCCGGTATCGTCAGGGTCGTTCGATGGCGCTGTTTACGTACGGGTGCGCCATATTCGCTCGGATCATGTTTCTCGCTGATGTTCCTTCCAATATCCGCCGCGATGGCCACGATCCAGCCTCCTCGGACAAGGAATCCCTGAAGACCCTGATCAACGCCGGCATGAATGTGGCCCGTCTGAACCTGAGCCACTCGACTCACGAGTTTGTCAGCGAGGTGATCACCAGCATCCGCGAGTGTCTCCAGGAGTCCAACAGCACTGCTCAAGTCGCCATCTGGGTCGACACCAACGGCCCCAAAGTTCGGTCAGTAGACGAATGCCCCATGTGTACCAGCATCTGCCCGCACCCTGGCGTATGTCCGAGCGACCAAGCCATGGGCTTCTATCCCCAGCATCCGGCTGGCTATATGTTGTTGCCGACTTCCTTCCGTAGCCGGAATCCTTATCAACTCTGTCTTTATATCTGCAGAAGTGGCCGCCTCGTCAACTCCCAGCCTGTCTACCTGGAGGTCGGACAAGAGTTCTGGATCCGCAACGATGTTGACCTGATCGGTGACAGCACCCAGGTATCCGCCCGTCCGAGTTTATGCAGCTTCCTTGTGTCTCTTGATCTCGATCTTGGCCGGGGTGCCAGCGAACTATCGGCTGATCCGCCAACTTGATATCGCGCGGGTGGCTGTAGGTTGGCTGCTCCTATACCAAGAAGCACGTCGAGGTTGGCGAGACCCTCTACATCGACGATGGAATCCTGAGCTTCAAGGTTGTCGGACGTACCGACGACTCGCTCAAGACCGTCGTCCTGAACTCTGGTACGTCTAGCCTTGATGAGCGTGATGTTGCAATGCAAGGAGGATTCGTGGGGAGGTTCAGTGGCTGATATTACTTTCTGGTGTGCCCCGCCAGGCTATCTTGGTGAGAACAAGGTAAGGCGGGACGTGGTCAATTCTACGAGAGCAACAGCAATCGCTACGTGTGCGCCGGGTACCGCTCGATACCCTTGATAACAGCGAGGACGTGCGTCCATTGCAGGGCATCAACATTCCCAAGCGCGTTGTCGAGGATCTCCCTGCCCTCAGCGAGAAGGACCGCACCGACATCAACTTTGCTCTCCAGAACAATGTTGATTTCATCTCCGTCTCATGCATCCGCTCCGTCGAGGATGTTGAAGAGGCTCGGTAAGCGTCTCGTCGGTTAGACCTGCGATTGGTGTGCTTCGCTGCGCATGTTTACACCACTGGGCGACTCTACCAGAGCAAGCGTTGATCAGTATGGCTGTAACTGGGTCGCACCCGTGCGTTTCTCTCTCTCCTTCCCGCTCGCAGTATTCTTCTGGGCAACAGCAAAGTCAAGCTGCTGGCCAAGATCGAAAACGAGCGCGGTATGCAGAGCTACAAACAGATCCTGAACTTTGCCGACGGTATCGTCATCGATCGTGGCTATCTCGGATGCGAGGTCGGCATCGAGATCGTCACCACGAGCCAGAAGGAAATGATTGACTATGTAAGTTTATTTGCCCGGTTGCGGTGTGTTCCTCGGGCTGCTGCGGACCTGCTCTTGGAAAGGCGCCACGGAATGCAAGGATGTCTCCGAACTTTACTGACGGCTGATCAAACAGGCCAACACCGCCGGCAAGGTCGTGCTCGTGGCCAACCAGATGCTCGAGTCCATGCGCACCAGCCCCCGTCCTACCCGGTAAGTACAGCTTCGCGTCTATGCACTGTATTGCATCTCCATGCCATGGCGATGGTCTAACCAGCGATTCATCGGACATGCAGATCCGAAGCTGCCGATGTGGTATGTTGTTTGGGTGCGAATAGTGTCTGGAACGCGATGTCATGCTGGGAACGCGAAGCCATACCATGCCGGCAAAGTGATTGCACCGGAGATGGGCGGGCAGATGAGTCAGCAGCATCCTCATGTAAACAATGGCGACGGCACTTTTCTCTACAACACCAGGCCAATGCCGTCATCGATGGCGCCGATGGATTGGTTCTGTCCGGCGAAACTGCCGTTGGTGAGTGTCGCAACTCTGTGGCCTGGCCGGAAGCGATCCACACTTCCCCGATGCGCTAATCAAGATATAACATACAGGCGACTACCCCGAGGCGTGCGTCAAGATCATGCGCCGCATTGCCGCTGAGGCCGAGAAGGTCCCCAACTACGCCGAGTATCAGGTCAAGATGATGCGACGCATCCCCAAGCCCATCGGCGTTTCCGAAAGTATTGCCTCGTCTGCGGTTCTGTGCTCGCGTCAGGTCAATGCGTCTTTGATCATCTGCACCACCGAATACGGTGGCACCGCAAAGCTGGTTGCCAAGTATCGCCCCGACATCCCCATTGTCGCTGCCACGCACATCGCGGTGACGGCTCGCCAGCTGGGCCTCAGCTTTGGCGTCGTGCCCTTCTACCATTCTGGATCACCCGTATGTTGAGCGCACGCGATCGGAGAGGATATATGCTCGTCGCAGTGGGCTCGATGCGTTCTAGTCGCTGTCTCGACCCGTCAGGCGCTGGCGACTGCCATCTTGGTTGTAACCGTGGTTGTTACCGTGATCGCCATCGTGGTTGGTATCGTGGTTGGTATCGTAGTCCTGACGCTTTGTATCTCGCTCCGCTATTCCCAGGACTCGCTCATTCCGGAGACTCTGCGTATGTGATCCTCTTACTTGCTCGTCTTGGTGGCGCGGGGTGGTGTCTCGGGACGGGCGACGACAAAGCGTGGCGACATGTGGGATACGCATCGCAGCGGCCGTCTCACCAGAGCTGTGTATTTTTCAGGCTACGCCGTCGAGATTGGTCTGTGCCAGCCCGGGCAGATTGCCGTCATCACTTCCGGACAGGTAAGACGAAGGGCCACGGCACCTGTCGTGGGAGCTGTCCGGCGAGATGGCTCTGTGGGAAACTACGCATGATCCGATGGTGCAGGACTTGTGTGTGTGGCGAGAGAGCGGGCGCGGAACATGAATACGCATGACGACAACGGTGTGCAACACGGGCACTTCCGGCGAGTGGCAAAATGCCGAGGCAACCAGCTTCCACGTTACGCCATACTCGCCATCTCTTGCGTCGCAATTCGTCACCGAACGACCGGGCCCATTGCTCATCACTTTCACTTGCCATCTCTTCCCCACGCCACTGAATCGGCTTCCGTGACTTCCAGAGCGTCGGTTTCCTCGAGGGCACCACCACTAAAATGCAGGTTGTCGAGGTTCCCAGCCTCTGAGCAGGAGGCCACCTTCTGAGCAGAAGCCACTTGAGCAGAGGCCACCGCCCTTGCTGACGGCTGCGTGCGATACTGTCCTGTATTCCCACCGCACGAACTCAATACACAGCAGGGCCGTCCCAGGCACCGCTGCTTGGTGGGTCTGCGTCTCTCACCGAGGACCGTCCCTCTCTCATCTGCATCGCCAAGCGACCTCGCTGGACTGCTTGTTCCTCGAACAGCACGGTCACCCGCATCGCCTCATCGCCCCGTGATGGGCGTATCGCTCGGTGCTCGGGCCGGCTTTCCTCTTGGCCGGACACGCCGCCAAGGAGTTGCGCCATGAGACCCGGCCGTTGGCTCATGTGTCTCGCATGGACAGCGCCGTCCTCGACGAATATCTTGTCCGAACTGTCGTCAGCTGAGCGCCCGATGTGTTTGGCAAAGCCGCTGATCCAACAGAAGACAAACATGTCCCTATTTTTGGAACAAGGTGTGCTGTTGCCTGATCCCGGCCTGCTTGCGCAGGACAGAGGGCAGGGCAGATTGCGAGGCCATCTCGCCCCCAAACCTTGCATCAGCACCGCAAATATATGCCGCATCCTTCGGTAGCAGCCCCCTCCCGAAGGACGCTTCCTTTCTCGCACTGCCTCTGGCCTTGCACATCCACCCCCCGACTCGCACGGAGCACTTGGCCTTCCTGACCGCCTTCCATCGCCTTCTCTTTCTTCGGTGCGTGTCTCCATATTTGGACTGCTCCTGCCCGATTTCAATCTCCGTCGCTGGTTTGTCGTCGTCTGCGTCGTCGGCCGCGCTTACAAATTGTCTACGATCCCACAGACGAACCACTCTCGCCAGGCGGATCGAACAGCTCGATCCCTCCCCCGAATCCCACGCCCAGCGACCCGCTTCATCGCCGGCCCCGTCCGCGACCTCTTTCTTCCTGCATCTCTCTCGCCCCGCATTCTGCCATCCAAGCATCCCGTGGTCCCAGTCCGTCCTCCAAGGGTCCATCCTCTCTCTCACAAGTTCGCACACTATCCCGTCTTCCAGACCCCAGCTCGCCAGCATCACCTCTCGCTCGCTCGCTCGCCATGAACCAGAACTCGGCTGCGTTTTGGTCTCTCGACGCCTCTGGGCTGGTGCAAAAATCCAAAAAGCCCCACTTTGTTGCAGAGCGGTTTGAATCCCACGGCCTGAAGAGCCAAGCGGTCTTCAAGACGTCCACCCCCGCCTCTCGGCGCAATGCATTCTTGGAGGCCCGTCGCTTGAAGCTGGCCCGGCGATACTCGTACATCCGCGACACCCTCGCCCAGCACCACCACCGCCTCCGCACCAAGAGCATGATGCGAGGCATCCATTTGAATGAGTCCATCGCCCACGCCGAGCAGAACCGCCAGACTCTGATTGAGGAGCAGGTCCGCAAGAGCCGGGAGGCTGTCACGCATGCTCGCAAGGTCGCCGAGCTCCAGGCTCTCCGGCGCGCCATCCAGGCCGAGCTGCTCTGCAAGTCTCTGGAGGACCGTCTGTACATTACCCCCGGCCTCTCGCAGCGTCTCAAGTGCATTCCGCGCTCTCGATTCGTTGAGAGTGGCGGCCAACGCCCCGAATACGAGTCCGTGCGTCTCGTTGCTGCAACCGCCATCCAGCGCAAATGGAGGGCAGCCAAGCTCGCTGCCCCGATCGCTCGTCTGCTCGAGTCGGACCTGGAGCTCTACCAGGTCATGCGCCTCGCCTTTGACGACGTCGTCAAGCTCATCCAGGCTGATCCGCTCATCAAGACCGTTGAGGAGCTGTTTGCTCGTCTCCGGGCCATGACCCGAGACCGCTCCCACCACGATCGCCCCGAGTGGAAATCACCGGCACGCATCTTCCTGAGCTCCTACATGATTGCTGCCCATCCGAAGGCCACCATGCCGAATGTCGGTCACGAGGAAAAGGTAGGAGTTGCTTTCGTGTGCTGATTTGTGCCTCCAAGCAGCCGGCCGCTGGCTCTGGGCAACTGGTTGCTGTCCGGATGGCCATGTTGTCGATCATGGCCGGCCTGGGTGATGGCGGCGACAAATCGCGTGCCGGACCTGTTTCGTCTCCCGGGATCGACCAGTTCACAATCTCACGCACCCCTAAATCCCCTCCTCCCAAACACTCTCCATCTATTGCCCTGTGCCCTTCCTCGATCTGGCCGCTCATCATCATCCTGCACGGCTCGGATATTGCTGTGTCCATGTCGATGTCTGTCTCTCGGATGGCCATCTCGGCGCCGTCGGCTCGCAGGCCCTCAGCAAAGCAGCCGAGACCATGATCCAGTCCTTCGAAAACTGGACTCGTGGGTACTCGACGCCCAAGGGATATGAACTCGCCCTGCAGTTCAGCGACGCATGGACGTCCTACTTTGCCTCGTTCCAGAAGTGGAAAGCCGAAGACACCCGCAAGATGATCGACGGCATGGTCGCTCACTGGATTGAGTTGGAGCGCCTCTGGCTCTCTGTGCGAGACCAGCCCCACGCTGACGTTGAGTGGAAGCCCAAGCTCGAGAGGCAGCAGAGGCAAATCCAGTCCCGCCTCGCCAAATTCGGCAAGCGAGCGCTGCAGAAGCTGCATGCCCAGCAAGAGAGGATCCAGAACGAAGTCCTCGGCACATCCGATGCGGTCGACGACCCTTCGTCGCACTCGGCATCCAGCCCCATTCCTGTTCCTGGGGCGGCTCAGACCAACCAGGGCCCAACGGCAAGCGACCCCAGCCCTGACGGCCGTCGCGGCCGTGCCCTCCCGAAGCTGTCGACCTCGCCCCAGCGATTCCCGTCGTTGACTTCGACGGATCGCTCTGACTCGGTTCAAACTTCCCGTAGCTCCTCGAGCCAATCTCCAAGCCGGTCGCCCACCAGATCGCGGAGCCCAGCAAAATCGGTCGAGTCCGCCCCAACGGGATCGTTGACAGGCCTACCTGCCGCCAACCCGCCGCGCTACCTGCCCACTCCCACGGGCGACATCCCCAAGCTCCAGAATGTCGTACCAGGGTTTTCCAACGAGCTTACGAACGAGCAGCTGGCGCACGAGTTGATTCTCGATCCAAACTTCAGCCTGAAGCCGCCGCCGCGCTCTGCCCTCGAGGAGCAGGTCCGTACCATTGCCAAGAAGGCCTTCTTCGACGGGGCACGCCGTGAATTCCAAAGAGGCCAGTTCTCGGAGTATTTGCCTGCATTTATTGCAGACATCAAGCAGGTGAGCAGCCCATCCCCTTGCTGTGGGTGCTACGTGGACAAGGCGGCAAGCGGGCTTGAGAGTCGACGCAGCAGAGCGAGCGTCGATGTCGACTGCAGAACTGGCACTAGTAAGCCAAATGCCGCGGACGTCCGGAGACGCCAGAGCTCTCAGCCCGCCTTTCTAACGCACCACCTCGCCGCCATGTCCTTGCCCTTTGCCTAAACAGCAACTGCTGGCGATGGTCAGCTCAGGCGGCCGCATAGCGCAGGAGATCAACGAAGCCCTCGATGGCGATCTGATCCAGCAACAGATCAACAACAACGTCTTCGACATTCCGCGATGCATCCACTACATTACCGCAAAGATGATCTCGCTGTGTGCGCCTATCCGCGATGCACCCATTCGCCAGATCGAGGGCATGACTGACCTGGCCGCAGTCTTTGAAAAGATCATGGACATCTTGGAAGACATGAAAGTGGATCTGGCCAACTACCGTCTGCAGGCCCTGCGTCCTCACCTCAAGGCCCAGGCCGTGTCCTACGAGCAGCTCAAGTTTGAGCAGGCCCTGCATGCCGGGTCGTTTACCCTCGAAAAGACCACGGCATGGCTCGAGACAGCATATAGGAATCTCGCCCAAATCTCGGCGGCTCGCAACCCCGAGAACATCGACGCTCCCGAAAACAAGATACGCTTCGAGGATGTCTTCCACGATGCCATGCTCAGCATCGTCTTCAATGCCACCGCTGCCGTTTCTATGAAGTCTGTTCCAGAAACCCTCCAACTCGACGCTGCTCGGCTCTATGCTTACCAGAACGAAGCCCAGGCCCTGACGATCGTGGCGGCTCTGGTCATGCTGGCAAAGAACATTGTCACCGAGCTCAGGCGAGATGTCGCCGCTGTCTCCAAGCTGAAGGAGGTGCTCTTTGTCCTGCTGCGAGATCCAGAAACAACGATCGAGCACCTGTGGGTGCAGATCGTCGCAACTCTCGATTCGGTCTTTGCCAAGCAGTCCGCCGCCCAGAGCCCCAAGACAGGACGCCCTCCAACACTCTCGAGCTCGACCGGGTCCCCCGTCGCGGCCCTGTCACCCAAGACACTGACACCGGAGCAGAAGCAGCTCATCCAGCAAATGGTCGAGAAGACGCTGTCTTACAAGGACCCGGTGTACACCCTGCTCAGCCGCCGGGTGCAGTCGATTGCTCGCGCTCAATTGACGGGTGGTGTTTTCAAGCGAGACTCCCTGGCAAGCCACGGTTTGGATATCGTCCAGACCGAGCTCGAGGAGCTGGTCACCAAGTTTGTGCTGCTCACGAAGCACACCAAGGAAGTCCATGCAAAGTACTACGACGACATCTTGAGAAAGATCTCGGCCGAGCAGAGCCCCAGCGGATCCGCCTGAGAGTGCCCGAGGATGAGTCCGGCTCTGGCGCCAAGGCCCTTGCTTCCAAGTGATGCAGGTGTGGATTCGGCAGCCCATATCGGCGATACTCGGGGGCTGTCAGTGTCGGCGTCATGTCGGTTCCGGAGACAGGACAGCTTGCGATTTGCCTTCCAGCACGCTATCTATTAGGCACACTCTACTATTTATCATGCACCCTGTAGTTGAATCAAGTTTTGCTGGTGGTTGAGTCGATTTGAAGAACCCAGGAAATGTGCGGTGATTTTGAGATGAGTTTTGATTCCGTTCACATTCACATTCACATTCACATTCACATTCACATTCACATTCACATTCACATTCGATTTTCAATTTCCAAACAATATATTCCAACAAAATCAAAACCAATATCAATTGCGATGCCCTCGCGTGAGAATCTGGGCTAATCATCAGCGAAGGGAGTGGAGTGGCTATGTTCAAGGCTTGAGGGTGGCCCTGACTCGGAGGCGGACGTAGTCGACAACCCACTTGCCGTTCTTGTCGCAGAGAACCGGTCTGAGCTGCTCGACGACCTCGTGTCGGATCTGCGCCGCCTCGGCCTCGGAAAAGGGCTTGAGGAAAGGCGCGCCAAAGGTATCGACCCAGCCACCGACATCAGTGGGGAGATCTGTCTGGCGCGGGAACAGGCCGATAGATTCGACCTCAAAGCCGTTGCGCTCGAGAATGGTCTTGTACTCGTCGGCGCTGTGACATCGTGAATGGATGGATGTGAATGTGAGCACGAAGGCCAGAGCCGAGAGTGGATGGATGGTATGGATGGGATGGGATGTACGTCGACGACACTCACGTTGGGAAGAACCAGGGCGAGAGTTCGACGCCGTCCTTGCCTCGGCGACCGACCGCCGCAATCAAGGCCGAGTGGATGGTGGCGACATTCAGATGTCCACCAAACTCGGCGACGAAGCGGCCGCCAGGTCTGAGAAGCTGACGGACGCCGCGAACGACGGCTTCAGGATCTTGCTTCATCCAGTGGATGGCTGTGGAAAGGGCGTGTGGCAGATGAGGCGGCAGAATGGCGGTGAGCGAGATGAGTCTGAGAGGGACAAGGGACTCGAATCGCACATGCCTGATGCCGTGGGAACCACCACGATGCACACCAGACACTGCATGGCAAGGATGTGGTGTGGCGGATATATCCCTCGGCAAGACCATCGCACACCAAGGATACCACCGAGTGCATGAGTGCATGAGTGCATGAGTGCATGAGTGCATGAGTGCAGGGGTGCAGGGGTGCAGGGGTGCAGGGGTGCATGCCCATACCTGCGTTGCTGAAGACAGCATCATAAGGGCCCTTGTAGCTGTCGCCGATGTCCTCCTCGAGCCTCTGGCCGTCAACAACATCGTATCGGAGGCGGCTCTCGTCGATGCCGGCGGCTGCAGCCTTGGCCCTGGCAGCCTCGATCATGGCCGGACTCGAGTCGGTGCCGACGACCCGAGCGCCAAAGCGGGTGACGAGCTCCTGGGTCAGGACGCCGTCGCCGCAGCCAAGGTCAAAGATGCGCTCGTCCTGCTTGGGGTCCAGGAGAGTGACGATGTTGCTGGTCAAGACGGGGACAAAGGCGGCGTGGGTCGAGTAGTGGCTGGGAGACCAAAAGTCGGACTGTTGGGCAGACATGGGTGGCGAGATGGGTGGCGAGATGGGTCTGGAATGAGAAGGATTGACAAGAGACCGTGGGCTGACTGAAGGAGGAATGGCCAGAGTGGTGAGATGGGCTGTGGGCTGTGAGCTGTGAGCTGCAGCATGGCGGCCGTGCATGTGAACGACATGGACATGCACGCAGACGACATGGACATGGCTGCGGGTGTGAACTGGGTGGCTGTTGTGTGTGGAGAATCAGAGCCAAGTCGAGAGCCACAACGCGAGCGGCGCTACAACTTACAAGGATTGGTTTTCGGACAGAAGGGCGGCTGTGGTGGCAAGGAGGTGGTCGGGTCGGTTGGCGAGTCAATCGGTCGAGGCTGGTCCGCAGTCGCAGCGGATGTGGTGGGTGGTGGGGACTGGACTGGATATCCCAGGTATTTATGTCTGGCTTGTTCGGGGGAAAGCGGAGGCGGACGAGCCGGACGCGCCCGATCTCCGGGAACGCCCGATAGGAGAGAAGCCGGGAGTGTCCGGGGTTCCGAGTGCTCCCGTTGCGGGATCGGCGATTTCCGGAGGGCGGCGTGGGCAGCGACGACGCAAAAGCGGGCGAGGGGGCGATGGAGAAGAGGGATCGGCATGGGAGAGAGGGCAGGGCAGCGTGGGTCATCGGCAGATGCCGGGAGCAGCGCCGACCGAGCCGCAGGAGACAACGGCAATCGTATTCGTCATGGGAATGTCGTCTGCATCTCGGCATCGGCATCGGCAGCATGGGCATCGACACAGCATGGGACATTGGCGATGGCGGCGATGGCGTTTGTGCTCGGCGTGGGTATCGTCACCTCCTCGCTGACCCTGGTCGGTGCTGATCTCAGCCGGTCGGTCCGCCACCCGGGTTTCGCTGGGTCTCATTTCCGTCATGTCCCAAAGAGCCAAAGCCGCTGGCCCAAGGATCCGGAACCTACTCTTGCTCGACGTCATCGGCGTCGGTGGTTTCGCCAGGTAAGACAGCGGTGCATTTCGCTGAGTGTGGTCCCCTGATCCATGCGCAATAGGGCTTGCGCATCGATTCCGTGTTGACGCTCGAAGCGCCGCAGAGTACAGCTTGCCCAAGATGACAACGGCTCCTACATTGCCGTAAAAACGGTCCGCAAGAACGACTCGGCGGCCGCCCAGCTGCAGTGTCTGCGCAAGGAGATCCTGATCCACTCGGGCATCGAACACGAGAGTATCATTCGGCTTCTGGGCACCGAGGAAGACGACGGTCACATCTATCTGTTCATGGAATATGCAGCCGTCGGAGAACTGTTCAATCACATAGGTGATGCCTCTGCCAGTGCCGCGAGCGATGGTTCGACGAAGAAAGCGCTGGGATGGCTCTGCCCGAGCGCTCGGCTGAATCCCTTGCCCCTCCAGTTCCAGATGTCGGGATCGAAGAGAATCTGGCCCATCTCTATTTCGTTCAGCTTGTTTCCGGGATGGTAATGCTGGCCGTCTTTGCAATCATTGTCGAGCATGCTGTCGATTGCCGGTCTGCTTCCTCACAGACTCCGCATTTGGATCTGCCTGTGCCTTTGCTCCAGGAATACCTTCACGGCAAGGGTGTAGCGCACCGGGATCTGAAGCCCGAGGTCAGTGAAGTGCTCCAAGCAATGCTGCTGCTGCTGCCACTCGGCAAAGCTGGGAACAGTAGAGCATTTCCTGCCTGCATTCACATCGGTCCTTTCGCTTATGCTGTTTGTGCAGAATCTCTTGTTGGATGACTATGGTGGGGTTTTGCTGAACATATCGCATCAGTGGCGTCGTCGTCGTCAGGGCTCTTTCGTGGCCCTATGCGAGCCCCGTGCTGATGCGCCGATGTGCCGGCCGGATCTGAATTCCAGGAAACTTGAAGATCTCGGATTTCGGGCTGTCGACAGTGTTCATGCACAAAGGCAAGCGCCGCGTGCTGCAGACCCTGTGTGGAAGCCCTCCGTACATTGCACCCGAGGTCCTGAAGCTCAGATACGACGGCGATCGGGCGGACATCTGGTCGGCAGGAGTCATCCTGTTTGTCCTCCTCATCGGCAGTAAGTGCCCAAGCTGCATATGAGCCGGACCTTGGATTCCTCTGTTGGCTGACTTGATATCCATGGATGGCATAGATACCCCCTGGGCCGAGCCCACCACCGCCGACGACGAGTATCGTCTGTACTTCGACCACTGCTCTGGCAACCTGAACGAACATGCTCCATGGAACAGGCTCGGAGCAGCATCTTTTGGTGGGTTCGCGGCCGCAAGACCAACTTGCTCCTCAGCGCCAACGTCCGGAGGCGAGCAAGACCAGCTCCCGGATCGGTCTGCGATATATATCGAGCTTACAATCGATCCCCCTTCTCTAGATCTCATCCGAGGCATTCTCACGATCAATCCCGAGGAGCGACTTTTGTTGGATGACATCATTGACCACAAATGGTTTCAAGCCCCCAATCCTCTCCTTGAGAGTGGTGAGTGCATCTCAAGTCAGGAATGAATGCATCGAACTAGCTCCTCACTGGCGTACGAATCCCCTGGTGTTCCGGAACCATGCATACGACACACTAATCACATCGCCTGGGCGCTACTTCACAGGGAAATGTGGTGATGTCACCAAGATGGCTGATCTGATTAACGAGCGCATCGCCCCGGCTGAAGATCTGGAGGATTCTACGCAACCTGTGTAGGTGTTGCCCATGCTGGCGACGGACGACAGTATCGACTTGCGGACGCAGGCACTTCCATGCCCGTTGTTTCTATAACATAACCAACAACCCCACATCAGCGCGTTTTCACAACCAGAGACCCTCGCGAAGGATATTGCTGTTGCCGGATCGGTTGTCAGCCCCAGTAAGCGAGTGCACAAAGGAATCGTGTCATTCTCCCAACCGGTAGATCGCTGCCTTTCGAGCGGGGCAGAGCTTGACGTCTCCTCGGTAAGCCAACCAGCACTGCCCATCGCCCAAGTATCTGTTTCGGGTCGGCCGAAATTCCATGCTATTTGGTCGGGCTGTTCAGCCGCGCTCTACTGCTGTTGCCCTCATTTCGGTCGAGGCGTAGATTCTCTATGTGGTTGATTTGTGCTGTGCTGAACACTGACCCCGCGCCCATATCCACACCAACACCGCAACCAACAAACTCTGTTGAAACAGACTCAGCGACGCCGGGCTTTGCGGGAACTTCTCTTGTCGGAACGAACAACGAGGTTCTATCTAAACTGCCGCACCATCGACAAAGCGCTGTCTGTGCTCTCTCGTGTCCTCGAAGAGTTTGTCGTCCCTCACAAAGTGAACAAGCGGCTTTCAAAGGCAAGCTGCCACCTGCACCGGGCTATCCGCTGAATGGTTTTTCATCCCGCCCACTAACACCCAGCGTGGCTCAGATTGTGTTCTCCACGGTGGACAAGCGACGGTGTCCTTTAACGGGCGAAACACAGCTGCGGACTGTACTGAAACGGGTCATGGTGAATCTCCAAAAACGAAAGGTGCGCACATGAGGCCCCTGTCGGGCATTCATGAGTGGCGTTGAGTAATTGTTGTCTGCCATTGCGCTGACTCACTCGATGGGTCGCTTTCTACTCAGGGAGACCCACTTGAATTCAAGCGATTCTGCCAGTCGCTTCACAGCCAGGCAGTTGATTTGGCCAACTTGGATCAGGATCCGTCGGGATCTCAAGACTCTCCATGATGATAGCTCAACCCATAGTGTCTATGGTACTATCGACAGATCGCCGCATCTATGTTCCGGATACATCTATACCCTGTATTCATATACTGGCTGTTGCGCTAATTCTCGCTATCTCGCGACTCCGAGACACACGCGACGGGTTGGCGCTTGACTTTCGGCTACTTGCGATCAAATACAAGATCCTTGGGCAGTGTCCAAAAGCCCGGCTGCGATATTACAGGCGAAGGGGACGATGTCGTGTCTCTCCTGGCCATTGATTCTTTGACATCTGGCATTGGCTCCAAGTGTACCGATGGCTTGCGGGGAAGCTTGAGGGATATCGGAGTGGCCGATTTGGGTGTTTCTGGACATTCGGACTTGGGAGTGCTCTGGGCCTGGGATGGATACCAGACGGGACAACAGTTGGTGCCATATCAGCTGGGTGAGCAGAGATTGCTCTTGTCTTTGATGGAGATACCCACATTCACCAGAGATGCCGCTGGCAACACCTCGCTCCTGGCCTTGAGGATGGCTATCGTCGACTTGAGTTCGGCAGTTTCCTTGGAAAACCCCTTGGCGCTATCAATGATCTGTTTTCATCATATGGTCAGAGCCGCCTGGCAAGTGCATCGCCTGAGAACGGCGGTGCGACGGACTGGATTGTTCGCATACGCAGACCTGCTGCTCGAGCGCCGCCACTCTGGTTTCTGCTCGCTCAGCCCTCATGAGAAGTCGGAAGTTGTCAGAGGCCGAGCGCAAGTCCGCAATCTCTCTGGAAGCAAGATGTCAGCAGGTCAGCTCATTGACTGGAAACGCATGAACCCAAGAGTCCCCTGTGCATGCAGATCCAAAAGGGTCACCGACTTGTCCTTGCTATCAGGTTTGCCCGGTTTGTCATCTGTTTTTGTTTCCTCGCGCTTTTCAATCGTTGGGATGTTGTATTGTGATTGCATTAGCTCTGGCTCATATATAAGGCATTCAGTCGAGCGACGGGACATTGTGGCCGAAACAACCTGCTCAAACTGGCGCAGCTTGCGCTTTAGCTCCTGGTTCTCGTCCGCAAGTAGCCTGTAGAGGCCCAAATCGAACTCGGACGAATCAATCTGTACAGATTTCAAAAAATCGTCCAGCTTTTCTGTGATAGCGATGGGTCACGAACGCAAATAGATGTTTGGTTGGACGAATGCGGCGATGCGGTGGTGCGGCGATGTGCGGCCACATATCATCCGGGGGAGCGCTGCAGCACCAGCGGAATTTACCTTTCTTTTGGATACTGAGCGACTCCTTCAGCAGCATCCCCATTCTCTGTATGACTTCTTCCTGCGACTTGACGAGCTTTTTGTACTGCGTTTGTCGTGCAACACTGTCCTGGGCGGCAATAACAGCCAAAGGATCAGAGGCCCCAAGCCGATCCAACAGCAAGCGTCTCAGATTGATTGACTCATGATGAAGATGTGAACCTGCAGCTTCTGTACATAGACTTGCTGTGTTGTATGGGCATGCCGGAGTTCCAAGAGTTTTTTCTGTATCTCATTTTTCTGTGCGTCCATAGAATAAGCATTTGGCGACGCTCCCCCGAGCGTTGTCAGCCACGAAATGATCACAGTCTCCTGTCCATGTACCTCGATCGCTGCCGCTTGTGCCTCTTCAAGTCTCTCGGTCAGTCCGCGGTTTATAAGCTTTTCTTGCCGCAGCTTGCCAGCGAGGACGGGTACCGTCGAACAATAAAGGATATCGTGAGAGTCAAGGATATGGCCCGCGTCACAAGAGGTTAGCTAGACATGGAACAGGTGGATCTTTGGCGGTATTCTTCCAGGCTGATCAAATCAAAAGGATATCATATCGTCTCCGGATCTCATCCAGAGAGAGCGTTTCAATGTCGACCGCTTCGATGAGGTACCCGGCTTTAGACTCGTGGCTCGCAACAACCATTCGAAGGTTTCGGTTGGCTTCCTGATCCACAGATCCGTGTCGTTTCAACATACCACCGATAAGCAGCCATCTCACCGAGTTGAAATGCGCATCAATTTGCTTGATGTAATCGTCGGCTTTGATGGGTGCAGGACCCTGCAGATTTCAGCAAGCCTTTGCCGATCCTACCTCCAGATGCGCATTGAGCTGGCGAACTCGAATCAGATCTTCTCCAACCCTTCGGATGGCTTCGGAGCGACACTCGATTTCCAGCAACAACCTGTCGATGACTCTTTGGTTTTGTGTGTCGTCATGGTTGTGACCAGCCTTGCTCTTGTTCCTATGCCGAGTGAAGGAACGAGGGTCAGACTCTTTGTCATCACGCTCGAGAAGCCTTGAGCCGCTCGTTACAGACCTTTGCGGTGCAGATGGCCCTGCTGAGGCTTTGTTTTCTTGGCTGAGACTTGATTTTCGATCCGTCCTGGGCTCCTGGACCTGAGTGTTCTATTAATGTCAGTGTATTTCCGCTTGCGCAGTAGATTCGGCGTAGCTTGTGCATCAGGACAGCTCCTGGCTGCTTTGCTTCAACATCTGGTGAACGCGTTACCTGGGTGACGGTGGGAGAGGTCTTGGATGGGTCAGGACCCGACGAAGTGTCCTGCAGGTGACCAGATTCGATTAGAATGATTCGAGCAAGCGAGAAGGTCGTCCTGTGGACTGCATATAATCTTTACAATCAATTGCAGCTCGTCGTTACCAGGCGAATATCCGGAAGGATAAGCGAGAGCCGAAGGGTCGGGACGCTGTTTCGCTCGCCCAACGAGGCAAATCGACCGACGAAATTGACTTTGACATGGTCCAGATCGACTCCGCCGCCTGCCTGTGGGACTTTGAGAGCGCCGCTGCTCTGCAGCCCGATGGTGGCGTAGCAAACCATGTCTTGGATAAGCGGCCGATCAAGTTCGCGATTTGGATGGGGCTGGGGGCCGCCATCAAACTGGGCCACGCCGCAGCGATAGAGCTCGATAGCGAAGCCTGTGTCTGGTCCAACTTCAGGCTGGATCATGTCAGAGTTGCAGAGTAAGCAAGAGCAACAGTATGAGCGAATAGAAGTGACGTACATATCGCCTTGGCTGGTAATGAGACAGTGGAGCCATCCACAACCAATGTGGTATGGGAATGCAAGCAGCAACATCCAAGATCACCGAACACGAGATCACCGAACACGAGATCACCGAACACGAGATCACCGAACACGGGTCGAGACGCTGTCGCCTGCGACTTTGCTGGGCACATACCGCCGGTAACGCAAACATAAAGCAGGCATCGCTCCATGTCGGAGATGCCGTGGCCTCAGAGGCGCATGTCATCTGATAGCATCTGCCGCTCCGGGCTGCCCTTGGATACACTTTGTCGGCATCCCGGGGTGAGTACGCCAGCTGCGGAATGTATACTTTGGTGTAGAGCTCCTCAAGGTTGGTGAGGCATCCCTGTTCATCAAAAGTCAACGTGACCTCGGGCTCAACCGGCGAGCAACTGAACTCATGGCCATCCTGGTGAAATCGGTAGAGGTGGATATTGCTGATGAGTTAGCGATTCCAGAATCAAGAAAGTTGCTTGGCCGGCACTCAAGCACAGAGCTACATGAGAATTGACCAACCATATAGGACCGCTGCAGTTGATCCATGGCCACCAAATAGGCTCTAGTGTCTGGAACGAGTCGCACGACACAATAGCATCTCATAGAGAATGGGAACGTGTTGTTGATCCCGCGCGGCTGGATTTGGAAGAAGGTCATGGGACCGGAATACTCCTGCTGCAGTAGCCGGACAGAATCAACCATCGTGTTGATGGAGACAATGCCGAGCCGCAAAAACAGGGGCGAGCTCAGTCCATTGGCAGCGCCTTTGAGGATCACGTTGAGCTGTCGATGGGAGGGACAGTATATGGTCGAGACGGGAAAGAGAAAAGCCACAATAGCATCGCCCGTGGTGCTGTTGATGACGGAGATGTTGAGGTTTGGTGCGCTCGATGGAGAATAAGGCTCGTCGAGGTCCAAAGTCAGACACTCGGCAATGAGTGCTTCGCTGCAAACGAGCAGGTTAGAGAGGTATCGCGGGATCACAGGAACCTAGTCAATTGCCTGGGGGCTGGAGCTTACCCGCCCGTGGAAGCATAACTGGCGCTTGTAGCATAGCTTCCTCTCTTAGGCAATGTTGATGCAGGGTCATGGACTCGAGCCGAGACAAACACTGATACCGGTGATGCCGATACAGTACCGCTCTCGTTGGTTGGGCTTGCGACCGGCAGTCCCCAGACCTCGTGGACGAACAGTCGTATCCGGTGTCCGGGATGCGGCGCTTGTTCCTGGAAACAGAATGGGACGTCTGACGTCACATCGAAACGGTCAGGCGGCCGAGAGATCAACCGTGCTGGAGATGAAGGCTCCTGGAATCCTGTTTCCCACGACTCACCCTGGCGCCAGGTCGGATCTGGAGACTGTGGTGCTGGTAGCTGCGGTGACTCGCTGGGCTCGGTGGGTTCGCTCGGATGGTCTGTGGTTGTGGCTTCCTTGGGTGTTGGCACAGCGTCTCGGGCACGTTCATGCTCAAATTGTCTCTGAGGGGGGGCCTCAACATGGACCTCCTTCCAGGCCGGCAGCGCTGGGTCGATGCGGAGAAGCGAAAGGCTCAGTACAGCCCACCCTTGGGGCAACATTCTGAGCGATCCGCAGTCGTAAGCGTGCCGTTCTTGAAGACTCACCACGATCTGCCTTGGGAGAATGATCTAGCATCCAGCCATCGTTATGGCCGCGAAGAACAAAGTATCGGGTTATAGTCATAGCCATTTTTAACCGAGAGCAGTCGCTATCGCGTCGGCCCAACACCGCAACTTTGAACCAGAGAGACGCCCGAGTTGCTTACCGGCCTCGATCGTTGATTTGCTGACCTGCTCGGGTTTGGGAAGGGCACTGCCTGTCGTCAAAGGGATGGGCGATGAGACTCTGTCGGATACGGGCCCGAACGAGGCTTCATTAGGTGGGGCGACCCTAACCGATCGCGGTGCCTACCTTCGCACACAAACGTGAGAGTCAGTCTGCCCACGGTGGCCACTCCGTTGCGGAGGTTCTTTTTGTTGCCGCCGAGGGTTTGGGCATATTCTGAGGTAGCATAGAGATGGGTGATCTTGGACTGTCGCTGTCCCGAGCGATCCGATGCTATGTCGCTCAGCGAAACCACATTGCCGCCGATGATCTTGACCGCCTTGCTGCCATCGGCTGCGGTGATGATCTCGTTGACGGTCAGCTCGAGCTCGGGCGACTTGGTGGCAATAGCTCGATCGAATTTAAAGGTGCTTGTGCGAAACACAGGCGCCGTCACTCGGCTGCAGACCTCGGTCCGGTTCTTGGGGCCCGTAAGCTCGCCGTCGTGTTTGAGCTGGAGGAGGACGAAATAGTAGCCCTCGCGGCTGAAGGTCACATCCGTCAGCGTGACGGTGAGGGTCAGCTCGTCGGCGCTCATGGCCGGCAGGGATGCGAATCTGCCAGCCGACGACGCGAGCAGTGTCGATGCAAGCGACGGCAGTCTTGCTGCTTCGGATGCTTCGGATGCTTCGGATGCTTCGGATGCTTCGGAGACGCTGATGACGGCAGATGGCCACCGTGCGGTTGGGGTCGAAAGCGTCTGTGAATGACGGGTATGCTGGAATCGAAGCTGTCGACCCCAATTGATCAACCCCAATCACACCAGGCACACAGGATCGCCTGGAAGGCACTGTGGGATGCGTGGGAATGCGGACATGGCGATGGGCAGCATTGCTTCTCGGCTCGTTTGCCACAGCACGCTGAGCAAACAATCGAACATGTCGTCGCCTTCCCAGCAAATGGATTTCGTTGCCGTTCCGTTTCAATGTGGGCGGCACTGCATTCAGCCCGATGATGATGATAATCAATCAATACCACCCCACATGCCATCCACATCGTGTCTCGTTTCGATTTAGGCTACATATATTGAAATATATGGCGCACACAATCCAAGCCGTACGTCGTCATCGCATGCAAAGAGGGCGACCGGCACAGGCTCAGCTGCCATGCGCCTCGATGGGAATCCGACTACCACACACGGCTCGCAGCCACCACAAGCAATTTACTCGTCCTTGTTGGCTGGTGGCAGAAACACAAACGAGAAGGCATCAGTGCACTGGACTTGGCCGTTGCCATATGCGCGGATCAGTGGGCTGGATCGACGCAGCCGGTCCAGGGGTCACAGACACTCACCGTTGCGGATGCCATTCTTGGCAAAACGCTGGTTGCGCAGGAACTTGGGGTCAACACCCTTGAGAGAAGGGTACTTGTGGTTCTTGGGCTTCTTGATACCGTTACGGTGAGCCTTCTTGTTCTGGTTGTGGTTGGTGTGGTTCTTCGACTTGGCCTGAATGACACGCAAATGGGGCATCGGTCAGGACCAAGCCCGCAGATGCACGCCCAGACGGTCGAGCTTCAATGCGGCGCACGCTCTGCGGCAACTGATCGCACCCGATACAAACCATTTCTCCCGATGAATTAGGCTATACCTACGGGACGGCAGCCACGAGGAAACAACGGTTAGCGACTGTGCTGCTCGAATGTGAGGCAGCCACGCCTCACAGCGCACCCGAGCCATAAGGCCGAGTCCAAGCCAGTCGCGCCTATCCGCTCGTCCATCCATCTATCCATCAGTCGATCCTTGCGGGTGGGGGGGGGTAAGGTTGGTCGCCAGAGTCGCACTCCGAGCTGCAGGTCGGATATCCAGATAGAATCGTAGACACGATGCCGTTGAGAGTGTGAGCACGATGCCTCATTTTGATCGGCGCAGATTCGTGCGCATGGCTCTATTTTCTGTTCGGCCGGCTCGACATGGTGGGTGAGGGGTTTGCAGGCCAAGGCAGCCCCTTCTCAAACGACAACGCCAGCGTCGACCATTCAGGTCTTGCTCGAGAGCGACTAGCCAAGAAACCGTGGCGCTCGCCGATGCCGCAGCTTGGCCACGAGGGCTCGTTTGTTCGGAGGTTGTCGGTGCGTGATTGTCTTGAACCAGCAATTGGCTTGGCCCAATCCGTGATAATGGGGTCGTCCGGGTGAGGCATCCACCCACCGACGAGCGGTGAAGATAGATGGATGGATGGATGGATGGATGGACGGATGGATGGATGGATGGGCCTCGGCATATGGCGCTCAGTATGCGTCGCCCACGATAGCTACCTATGGATACAAATGGGCTTGTGATAGAGGGAATTCAAAAGAGAGCCGCCCAGCCATCGCCATATCAACCGCGAGACAAAGCCACAGCATGTCACGTGCTTGAAGCCGTCCCGGCTTTGGCCTGAAATCGCTCCTGGTTGCACCAGCATCGGCGACCAGCTTCCGATTGCTGCTCATTCCCAATCTGGATGCACATACATCCATCATCCGCAACGGCTATCCATATCGTGGAGGCAGAGCAGGGATGTGTGTCGGATTCCACCAGCGGGGACTATGGACTTGCGATGTCGGCCGACACCCGACCCAAAATGACCGGCAACAGCGACGGCAGTAAGATGGCTCAATACGTTCCTCGTTGATCATCACCGCTCGCTCATCACAGCTCCCTGCCACGACACTTGGCGTCCCGTTAATGTTTGGAAGTACTACATAGAACATTATTGAGTTCCCAATGGCCGCGCAACACAAGCCATGATAAAACACAGGATGGAAGAGCATCGTGTGGCCTGTGTGGCCTGATGTGGCCTGTGTGGCCTGATGTGTCGCCTGATCATAATACATCTGAGTCTATAGCAGGGCAAAGAGGGATACAACTCCAACCAAAGCAAGGCTGAACAGCGACGAAACCAGCTGCGGTGCCATCGATACTTTGGGGCAGGTGCCGGCCGGAACGTTTTGGGTATTGAACGACGGCTTGCCTGCGGGGAAACAGTCGTCCGTGGTTAATGGTGCCAGCAGAGATCGAGCAGATGCCGACAGCGGCTGAAGAGAGGATCGGCATCGACCATTCGCTGGGCAGATAGGTCCCGGACGAGCGGAGGCCTTGGTACCTGGCCAGTCAACCCGCGAGCCAGCCGACCCGTCGATCAATCTGCTCTGCACCAACGGCACGCAAGACACGGGATACTTACTCGAGTCGACTGAATACACCTTGAAGTAGTTGATCTCCCAGTAAGCTTCATTGAAGGCCGAGTAGTTGTTCTTGACAAAATCCTCGCATGCATCGAAAGACTGGTCCCGGGTAAAGTTGCCTCCGGATCCACATGTTTTGAGGAACGTGGGGCCAGCAAAGTTGCCACAAAAGTCAGTGTTGAGGACGATGGTGTTGTAGGCAAAGTTTGATGCAGAGCAGCAATAGAACGGGAAGGAGACGATGGGCGTGGGCCAGGTGGATGGATCGGGTGCGCCTTTGGTGACGTCGCTCGGGATACTGGAACGGGGGAACATCCAGATTTGAATGCCGCCGGCATCCCAGAGCAGAGCATATACGCCGCCGTTCATTTGGTTGAAGCCGTCGCCGCCGTACATAGCGCCACGGACAGAGTTGGAGCAGCCAGTGTTGGGGACCGGGGCGCTGGCGTTGTTGGCACAGGTCAGCGAGCTGTAGTTGGCAATCTGGGTGCGCTTGATTGCAGAGTAGCAACCTGGGCCCGAATGAAGCGAGAGAGAGTTGCCGGGCCGGTTGTTGACTGTTTCGACAATGTCGATTTCGCCGCTGTTTGGGTTGTTTGGGCCGGCTGGGGACGGGTCGATCCAGGGAATGTTAGCGGACGGAGAGGGGTCGGGCTGCAGCGTGGAGAGGCAGGCGGAAGAAGCGGCCGAATGCGATCCGGGAGAAGCAAAGAATTCAAGGCCACTGCGGGCACCTACTTGTCCAGAGAGCAGGCCAGAGTCCACACCCCGTCGGCATGTGCACGATATCAAAGAGAAACAGGCCCGAAGAAAAGCTGACGGTCGATGTCAGCCGGACCGAGTCGCGGCCTCGGCTGGAAGTGGCCACGGAGGTGTTGTCGACGCCGACGATAAAGGTTCCGCGGTCGGGGCGATAGTAGACCAGATTCGAGGAGACGGCAGTGTTCTGGTCCACATAGTTGACAAAACCGTTGGTCGGGTCATCGCCGACAAAGAAGCTGAAGCCGCTGAGGAAGTTGGAGCCGCTGTAGGAGGCGATGACGTTGGTCAACGGCGAGGCGCCGACCCACACGCAGGAGACGAAGTAGAGGGCAAGTGCAAGGCGAGCGAGGGCCTGCGCGGGGCCAGGGCCGAGCTGGCGAGACATGGCAGGACAGCGCAAGAGGAGCCGCTCTCGATGGGGGACGCAGGAGCAGAGGCAGGAGCAGGAGCAGTAGGAGAGGAGCAGAGGAGCAGCGGACGAAGATCCAGGCGGGGCTCAGAGAAAAGCCCGAGGCACCAAGCCAGGAACAAGGCAGCCTGGGAGACCAGGTGGCTGTGCTGTGTGCGTTTCACCGTGCGCCACGGACGCCGCTCTATTGAAGCAGATCAGACAATGAAGGCCTTCTTGGCCTGCTTGAACAGGAATGTCTGGCCGGTGCGGGGGCAAGTAACCTCGCCGTTGTTTCGGCTGGCCATCTCTTTGAGGGCCTGGCAGGAGGGAGCAGATGGGCCGTGCCCGGACGAGTCGTTAGCGGCGGCGGCGGCGATCAATGATCAAACCATCAGCCCATCGGTCCACCCAGACGCCCACGCGGCAGACGAAAGGGGTGGGCGAATTGGCGGATCGGGTGGGGCGTGGTGCAACGGGGATGTCGGCACAGCAAGCAGCCCAGAGAGCTGAATGAGGGAAAGAGAATGAGGGAAAGAGAGTGCAGCAGCTCATCAACAGCAGCACCAGCACCAGCACCAGCACTGGACACGCACCACGGAGGAGTATGCGTATCCGTTCGGCAGCACGAGCGGCTCGTTGTCCTCGTTCATGATGCTGCCGGAGATCGGGCACACGATGCACGAGATGACATGGTGCGAGTTTGGCAAGCTCTGGGCCAGTGCCCCAAAGCTCTCAACGGAGCACACAGGGCAGTTGAGGTTCTGGCTCTTGGCCTCGAAGCAAGCCAGCGACTTGAGAGCGCAAAGCCCGGCTTGCAGCGACGTCTTGAGCGAGGGCTGGCTCGTCAGGTTGTTGAGTGCATAGTTGTCGACGCGGAACTGCTCCAGCAGCATGGCCCATCGGGCGTCGGAGTAGACTTCCTGCAGGCCAGGGCCGGGGTCCCGGGATGTCGTTCGGTGGGTTTCAGCGAGTAGCATGGTCAGTCGCCCAGTACTCAATCATCGCAACGCCATATCATCTGAGCATTCAAGCATCGCAATGCCACAACTTCTCACAATCCCTGTGTCCATTCGGGCAACAATGTGGCTCGGGGGATTCGGGGCGAACCAAATGGTCTGCCCCAGAGCCGCCCGGCTCCCCGAGTGCCCGGGGCCTTGACCACTGCCGTCATGGATAGCAACAAGCGTTTGCCAAGACCTCCACAGCCTCGCCAGCTCTTGGCAAACAGGCAAGCCCAGCCAACTCTAGACCCGCTCTGGCGCTGCGTTCGGCTCACCCTGTAGGTTTCACTGGATGTGTCGGGGCGGAAAGCCAGCAGTCCCATGGCCCTCTGAATCTCCTTGAGGTGGGTCGCCGACCACGGCGTCAAGTGCTTTCGGGCATATTGGATGGCTTCCTTGAGCTTTCCCACACGCACAAGCTCAATATACTCCTGTACCCGGAGATTGAACTCAAGGGTGCTCTGACGTGCAAAGAGCCGAGAGGTTGTCAGTTCCGGCTGGTCCCCTGGCAGATGAGCAAACCACGGCTCGCCGGGGTCATCGGTCTCCATATCGCAGAGCAACTTGCCTTGATCTTCTTCAGGTTGGACGAGTTCTCTTTGCACCAAGCTAGACACTCGGTGCAGCTATGGCTGAGGAGAGAGTCCTCGATCTTCTTTGCCTGGACAAATAGCTCAATGTCGAGGAAATGCTATTGCCGGCAGGATATGCTGTCAGTCCGCAACCGATTGCAGACCCATACCGACGCTCATCAATCCAATGCAACCGCCCACTTCATTTCTCTGAGACACTCGCAGCGTTGGGCACTACCTCCATGTCTCGGTCTTTGGCCAGATCCTTGACGGTCTTGATGTATCCCTGCCGCAAGAGAAAGTCAGCAAGCACGCGGTCGAGGCGAATCTTGCTCCATCTGGTATATTCGTCGCATTCGGCACTGGGAATATCGGCAAACTCGGCAAGATGCTCGAGGCGTGCGCGGGTTCTTTCGGAGAATGTCTCCTCTTCGGACTTGATGGCGTCGATCTGTCGGTGCAAAACGTGGGGCGAACGAGTCATGGCACAACAACAGAAGCCCTGTCAGCTCGCTGTTTCGGACATTGCTGCACGATGACTCTCGATATGGGAAGTCGGTGTTCTCGGATGCTGCAATCACGCCGTCCAGCGCCCACAGCGACGATATTCGGCATGGGGCTTCAACGCTGCGGAGCGAAGCACATGAAATCCACACAGACAATGCATTTGCTGTCCTGCGGGCCGCGAGAAAATGTGGTTTCAGTCTGACCTTTCTCTTGAGATGCTGGAGTTTGGCAACCATGCCGTCGATAGCCTGACAGGCGTCCTCGGACTTCAAACCCGAAGCCTTGCTCTGCAAGTCGCTGGCTGCTTGGGTGACATTCGTCATTTCCTTCTCAATGAGTTTTTGGTAGGTGCGAAACGCCCGCTTGAATTGTTCATAGGGAACCTACGAGGCGAGAGTACGAGGCGAGAGTACGAGGATGCAGCGACGGTATGAGCGCGACCATTATACGGATCGCACAGCCGAGGATGCTCTGCAGCAGCGAGCTCTCTCAGCGGAGACGGTCGAAGCAGACACTTGTCTTGCTGTGCGAATAATCAATGAGAGTGATGGATGTCTTCCAGCGAAGCGGCGGGAGTAGCTGAAATAGGCCTCGGATGGACCAAGGCGTCCGGGGAGGGCCGACGTGCCTGGATGAAGGGCTTCTCCAGAAGAATGATGCCGTCGTTGTTGAGCTTGAAGCGGTCCATAGCTGCGCGAGACACGGGGATGGACGAATGGATGGGTGGATGAGCCAGAGAATCGACGAGCGAGCAAGCGGCTTGGCCCCTATGGAGATGCGGGTGAAGAGGAGGCAAGGGCGACGCCGGGAGGGCGGCCCGATCAAAGCAGCGGCCGAACTGCTCCGCTCCAACCCCGCCGCGCCAGGCCGATGCAGGCCCCTGGGAACAGCGCTGCCGGTACTTCCCACGGACCCACATTGGCATCGGACTGACGGCGGCCGGCGCCCCTGGGCCTCGGCGGGCATGAAGAGAGTGCAGGGGCTGTCTATCTCCTGATATGCAGGTCCACAAAAGGCTTGTTGATGCTGGAGCCATTGGCCTTGGTGGGCCGCGAGCAGCACAGCTACCACCGCCTCGACCGCTGCAAATCAGGCCCATGAAGCGCTCCGAGCCTCTTGGCTCATGGCACGATCCTTGCCGAACGCAGCAACCAACAATGGCGACTGTTTGTTGCTGGTTGGTCCGCGAGCCGTATATTCCATTGTCCGTGGCTCAGGACGGATGCTGGCGACAAGATTGGAGCAACCTCGGTGTCATTATGCCAGCGTGGTACAACCCATTCTTCGCGGCTCTTGATTATCCTGAGCAGACCGGTGACTCTGGAAGAAAAGCCAGCATATCCCGGAGTTGAGAGGCAGCAACTCAATTTCTGGTCAGCTCTGCGCCGTTTTCCTCGCTTTCAGAGCAACCAAGGAGCCACAGTCCTCCGTCGCCCTGCTGATACACCTGCAAGTACCCCGCCAAGTGAGTTCCCCAACACCTCGTACTCCAGGTAGTTGTCAAGGCGGTCACGGCTTCAACCGCACAAGCAAAGTGAGCGATATAACCTGCTGTCAGATCAAGACTCAATTCTCAACGGTACCCCTGTCAGCAGAGACCTCGGGAGCACCTGGAGCAAGTGGGCGTATCCAGAACACAGCAATCTCTTCCTCCGTCCGTGCCGTCACCCCAAGTTGCAAAGTCACCCATGGCTCAAGTCCAGAGCGAAGCCTTTGAAACCGAGGCCGTCTTGGATCCGAAGCCAGACGCCGGCGAGGCCAGTATACTGCCAGACACTGAACCCAGCCAGCCCCCCATCGACGAGTCGTATGGAGACGAATTCGACAACTATGACGAAGAGCATGGCCGCGAGATCGACGGCCTTACGAACCCGCCGGCCGTGAAGGCAAAGAAGCGACCAGATCGACACCCGTATCGCCACTTCCAGCCGCTGCACCCGACATGCAGTCGGATCCTGGAGCTCAAGTGGGACCGGGATCTACGGAAGCTGCACAAAGACAAGCTCAAAAAAGTACAACACACCGTTGACAATGCCGAGCCAAAGCTCTATCTCCACCTCCATCTGAAGCTCAAGAAGCTGCAAAAGGAGCAAGGTAGAGATGAGTCGCACACATACGGGCGCTTGCTAAACTTGTATAAGCTCGACGGTGGCGGTCTATATGATGGAGAGCACCGATTTCCGCACATCTCCTGGTGCGGCGACTGTATCCAGAGCCTGACCAAGAGGCTGACAAGAGCATCGAGACAAAGCTTGTGCACTCGGCGGGTACCTGGTCAAGCCAATAACGCAACCACATATCCCCTGTTCTCAGACCGCATGGCCGAGATTGAGAGAAACAATCTCATCCTGGTGGACCGCATGTCGCACGTCTGGAGCGACCAGTCGCGAAAGAAGCTTCTGGAGAGACCCAACTACTCGCACTCTCTGAACTCTTACAGTCGCAAACAGCGGGAAAAGAAGATCAAAGCTCAGAACTCGGTATGTCGGACTATCGCTCGCTCCTGCTTGCCCTCCGGAGTGGGCCTGGGCATGATTGGCAATCGTGGCTCATTGTGGCGACACACACGGATGGGGCGCCTACTCTGCGCCGCTCTGCTTCCAGGTCATGGCGAAGCGGCTTGAGAAGAAGGAGCCGCATCTGGACCATTTGCGGTGGGACGCCGATCGGCGACGGCACCTGGGCTACCTCGACAGCATCAGCTCCTATCCAAACTCCTATGAGTTTGAGAAGCGCCGCATCGACAAGGCCTTTGGCGGTGCGCCCGAGTTTCCGTACCACTACCGCAAGCGAAAGCACGAACAAAAGTGCTATCGGGAGCAGCAGCGGGTCTGGCGAGAGACGCTGGCACGTCAGCGCGAAGAAGCCAAGGCCCGGGAGCAAGACCGGATCCTGAAAGAGCTTGAAGATCTCGAGTATCACCGCAAGATCGAGCAGATCCGGCAGACGGTGAGGAAGCCGCGCAAGACCATTCCAAGAGTCCCCCGCGATCCAAAGGAATGCGCTCCGGCCCCGCCGCGCGAGAGCAACCCGCGGGCTCCGGGAGAGATCCGCAAGCCCAGGGGCTCAACGAAGACAGCAGCTGGAGAGTCAGCGGCAACCGGCGAGGCAGCGACACCAAAGCCGGACTCGTCCAAGGCTGCGTTTTCCAAGGACCTGCCGCCCCTGCCTGCGATCCCCAGTCGGCCGTCGACTCAAGGCGGGGTAAAGCGCGAGTCTTCGCCTCTGGCAGCGGCCGGGCTGGATGATCCACCGGCCGATCCACCGGCCGATCCACCAGGCGAAGCTGTCGCTGAGGAGCCGGTAGCACCGGCGTAAAGACATCGGAGGACCTGCCGCTGGCCCTCTGCAGCAGACGGCCTTTTGAGATGAAGGAGGAAGCCTGCGATTCGGCAGCAAGCACGGATTGGCACTGGCCCAATTGCAGCCACTGGTCGAGATCCAGATCCAGCAGGGCTCTCGGCCCAGACAAGAGACCGAGAACAGCAACACCGCAAAATGCACAGCACGTAATACAATCTGCATCAACCCGCATCCTGTCAGTCGAGGCGGGGATAGGAGTGTTGGTTGAGACGGGCTGCTGCCGACCACATCCGATCCGCATCCAGATACTCCTCCCACTCATTGAGTCGCATGACGGGTTGCTCGGTACTAACGCCGACTGGGTGGATTCAAGCACTAAAAGCCTCGTTCGTTTATTGGAGTGAGAGCATTTAAGCAATGAGCTCGACCTTGCCACCCTTGGCGACAATCTTCTCCTCAGCTCGTCGAGAGACAAAGCGGGCCTTGACGATGAGGGGCTGCTCGGGGAGACGACCGTTGCCAAGAACCTTGCCATAACCCTGCGGAACCAGCACACATCAGTATGGCGCAATACTTGCTGTGCAAGCAGACCGGGCGTTCGTTTGCGCCGCGCAGACACAGACACAAACGTAGACATGCACCAGCAGCAGGTGGTACTTACAGCACGAAGAGTATCGATGACGGGGACCTGACCGCTGGCCTTGACCTCCTCAGGAACAAGAGTCCAGAGCTTGTCCAGGTTGATGGCGGGGCGGTGGAACTTGTTCAGGGTCTTGTGGAAGTATCGCATACCGACCTTACCGAAGTAGCCGGGATGGTACTTGTCCATGTTGATGCGGTGGTGGTGCTGACCACCGGCAAGACCACGACCACCGGGGTGCTTACGGTGCTTTCCTGTTTATCCAACGGAGGGCCACGGCATCGTATTATGATCGTGATCGTCTCACCCACGTTTTGTGGTCCGAAATGCCAGACCAACTGTTCAACTGTTGCGTTGTGCTTCCGGATGTTCACTGCTTGGACAAAGTACTAACCAATACGACCGTGACCAGCGGAAACGTCTGGCAAACAAAGGCGACAAATTAGTTGGCGTCAACAGTGTAGCGTCACATCTCGGCTGGGTGTCGCGAGCCATTTGAACGATCTGCGCAGGACGGATGAAATACATACGTCCACGCTTCTTTCGGTTCTTGTGTTCTCTGGTAGGCTGTTGAAGAGGCCAGGCACGAGATTAGTACACTCCTGCCAGGTAGACCGGTGATGTGCACTGCCTGCTGTGGTATCGGATCCGGCTCCGATCTGCATCCAGATCGCCAGACGACCTTGCTTCCAGATGGGGATGGATGTCGTGATGTAGCCGGCGGCGGATCCAGTCGGAGCTGCTGCACCTCGTCTCAGGCGGGAGATGGCCGTGCACTGCGTCACGGCCCGATGCGTCCGTTCTCGCCGATGGTTGTCCTATGGCCGTGTTGCTCTGGAATCGTTCGAGTCTGCCCCTTGTTCGTCGTCGTCGTTGTCGCATAGAGCCATCCATCGGTCCATCCGGCATCGATCCATCCGTGCATCCATCCATCCATCCATCCATCCATCCATCCATCCATCCATCCATCCATCTATCCATCCATCCATCCATCGGGCATCCTCTTCAGCTGCTCTGCAAACGTGTGCACCGCGGGCGCCATTACCATGTTGAATCGAGGGGTGTGCCAAACTCAAATGAACAGAGTTAAAAGGCTGCGACGAGAGGGAAGAAAGTCGGAATGCTGGCGGCTGCATGCCTGTTTTGGTGCGGCGCCGCCTGCTGTCTGTGTCGCGCAGGAGCACACGTGATCTGCGTGACCCGCTGGACACCCGCCGTCGCCTGGTGGCGTCCGCGCAATTAACTTTTAATACAAATTTTTGTTGGTTGCTGGGACACGCTGCCGCCGATCCAGCACCGACCCGCAGCGAGACACCAAGTCGCATCGGGCCGTCGAGACACATCCAAACGCATCGCCTCTGCTGTTGCATCACCGTCCGGCCTTTGCAGCAAAAGTCCACTCGGCAAAGCATATTCCGGAGCCATCCCACCTGAGCCATGCGTCCACTAACAGAAGAAGAAACCAAGATTTTCTTTGAGAAGCTGGCCAAATAGTACGTCCTTGATGCCGCTTGGGCTCCGTCGAGCATTCGCTGTGCGGTTTCGATCTATCGGCCGCCGTGAGGCCAGGTGTGCTTCGATCACCGTCCCGACCAATGCGGCCACATCATGTGCGCTTTGATGCTCACCATTCTTCTGCATCGGAACAGTATCGGCCGCAACATTGTTCATCTCATCGATCGGCCGGATGAGCCGTACTGCTTCCGATTACATAAGGACCGAGTTTACTATGTCGGGTGAGCAACTGGTAGTCGACGCCGATATCCATTCCATTCAAGCTCATGCCCCCAGGCTTGTGCCCCTCTGGTTCAATCTGCATCGGGCTGCCCAGCATCGCGATCCAAAGTGCCGCAACCACACCAGTTCATCGATAGCACGGGGTCAAAACCACTCCACTCGAAACATCCATCGGATGCCCGATCTGCCTCTGATGCGTCCAATCCGTTCCTGCTTCAGTGAGGATGTTATGAAAAAGGCCACCAGCGTTAGTCGGGATCAGCTCGTCTCGCTTGGTATCTGCTTCGGCAAGTTCTCCAAGACCCTCAAGTTCCGTCTCCACATCACAGCCCTCGAGTATATGGCACAGTACGCCAAGGTACGCAGTGGTGCATGCCGTCCCGGAGGAGTGAGGCGAGAAGCTCGTGCCTGACGCCCACCAGAGTCCATCCTGGATCGGAGTCATGTGTGGTCAGGCACCGTATATGGCTTTGGCCTTTGCTCTTGGCAAGTCATGCATTTGGTGGTGGGGAACTTCAAACTTCCGCCTATCGCCACACACAATCCCGAACATCGCTTGCTGGTATCGTCGTCAAATGTGCTTATTTGAATGCCGCCGTGTTGGCATAGTACAAGGTTTGGATCAAGCCCTCTGGCGAGATGTCGTATCTGTACGGCAACCACATTCTGAAGGCCCATCTTGGCCGCATCACCGAAGACACGCCGGAGCATCAGGGTGTCATTGTCTACTCAATGTCCGATATCCCTCTGGTGAGCATCATCAACCGCTGCTTCTGGAGTAGCCATCGAGCACATCTCCAAAGCCCCCGAGCTTCGGCCACAGCTGACCGCCGCCCATTCTGCAACAGGGCTTTGGTGTCACGGCCCGCTCGACACAGGATGCGAGGAAGCTGGACCCTTCGGCGATCTGTGTCTTCCACCAAACCGATGTTGGCGAGTTCATTCGAGACGAAGAGAACCTGATCTAGAGGCTGATGCAATGTGTCTCAGGATCGGCTGTCCTCGCAGGCCGCCATAGTAGCCTCCCCCAAATAGATTTGCAAGCGGCTGTGGGACTTTGTGCTTGGTACCAAGGTCAAGGGGAGAAGACATGGAGGCCAATTGCGGCTCTGGCAGCATTTTCTGGCGACTCCAATACATTCATACATCTTTCAAGAGCATGAGGGGCGCTTTGTCTGTTTGAGAACCCATGGCACATGGTAATCGATGGCACGGCGACTAGTCATTGGGACGAGCGGTGATCTCATTGCAATTCGAAAGTATCACATCATCAGTCCCGACTGGCGCCTCAGCTTCAAGGGCGACGACCAGTTGTCTTTGCATACCAACCATGCTCTCGTCAATCGCTATGACAATGAGCGCCAATCTCATGGAGATTGCAGTCCCAGCGTCCGGCATCTCAGTTTCCCTGGGATTTTGAGTAGCTCCACTGCCGCCAGCGTCACTCTGTCCCAACAATAAGCCCCCCTCATGCAACTCGGGCGTGAGTTTTTCTATACGAGGCGCTGTATACACAGTATATTCAGAAAGTCCCACTTTTGCAAAGTGGCCGGGGCGGATGTCGTTGGGAGCGCGATGATGGACAAGTCTGCGCTCATAATCAGCTGCATACGGATTGTGGTGCTCAGCTTGCGAGCTATAAGCCATGTCACGGATCTTCATCCTTTGGCGGATTCAGTATCAGCGCTACAACATTTCGCATTCCATGGCGGCCTCACTGGGCGCCCGCAACAGCCTCCTGGAATTCGTTGTTTTCAACCTGGATACGTCGAGGTAATGCATCAGTCAGAGGAGCCTGGACTCGGATGCGATCAAGCTGGTGTGCAGCCGATACTTACCAGCTCCTTCACAATATCCAGGCCGCCAATCAGCTCCCCCTTGACATAGAGCTGCGGGAAGGTGGGCCAGTTGGAGAAGGTCTGACGAGTACATGCAATCGTTAGTTTCATATGCCATCGTGGTCAGCCTACGCCCGTTCATTCCCCCATCGACGATGTTCCCTGCCGAGCGCATCCATGAAGCCGAATCAAGCATACCTTCAGGCCGCTGCGGACTTCGTCATCGGACAGGATATCGAACCTGTGTCGATGGTGGGGACGGGATTGTGAGTCGATGGAGCGACAGCGTGGGTTGATCAGCACAACGGTGGCTTAAGGCGCAGGGTTGTGGCATACTCACGATGCAAACTTGACATTTTGCTCGTTCAGAATTTGAATAATCTGAGGAAAAGAAAAAATGGCACACCGAACCGACAGGTCAGCGCTAGCATGGTGTCATGCCAGGCGATCTGCAAGCGCCGTACCTGTCGGGAGAATCCGCATCTCGGGGCCTCAGGAGTGCCTTTGATGAAAACCTGGACGAGTCCGAGGTCATGGCGAGGAAGCGTCAGTCTTTGTGGTGAGAATCCACAGTCGGATTGCAGGTTGCATGTCGTGTCCGTGCAAGTGCGGGTCATACCGTGACAGGGGCCAAGTTGATCAGCCTCTTGAGCTTGCTCTCGAGATCCTCCTCTTGAGGCACCATGGCCTGGAAATCACCCGAGGCAATCATCTCCTTCAGAATGTCGAGGCCGCCGATCAGCTCGCCATCGACGTAGACTGCCGGTTGCAACACAGCTTGGGTTAGCGAGGCTCACAAGTGCGGCGCCGTCGCCATATCAGTACAGTAGCTTGCAGAACATACTCTGGGGGAACGTGGGCCAGTTGCTGTACGCCTTCAAGCCTGGTGTTGGACAAGGAATCGATAAGTGGTCATCAGAAACGAGGACCGTGGGAGCCATCCAGTTCCGTCTCCGAGAGCAAGCCCATTCGGCTTCACTGCCAAAGCAAGCCCCACAGCATTCTCAAGTCGCTTACCTTGGCGGACCTCTTCGTCGGCCAGAATGTTGAAGCTTCCATAGGGACAGCCGACCTGAGTCAGGAGCTCGATCGTTGTTCGCGAGAAGCCACAGCGGGGCTGCTGGGGAGTGCCCTTCATGAACAGCATGACCTTGTTCGAGTTGATCAGCTCTTTGAGGCGAGTGTTGAGATCCTTCTTGGCGACGCCCGAGCTGCTCTCTGAGGCCAAGCTGGCGGCCTTGGAAGAGTGCTTCTCAACCAAACTGGTGAGCTTGGGAGCGTTGGCACCTTCCACCCGATCGAGTTCCTTTCCGGACTGACATCCGTTCGCGGCCAAGAGCGATGCGATGACATCAGTAAATCCGCGAGAGATAAACCGCAGATCAGGCTGCCGGAGAGTAAACGACCAGAGCTCTCACTCTGGCCAGAGCGCTAGACTACTGAGTAGAATGGAAATGCCGATCGGCCGGCGGAACCCAAGCGACGGCCCGTTTCGGCGACGGTGTCATCGCTCCGAGGACAAAGTCGCAGGGAAATGTTGGCGAATCGATCGGGAGACGACGCCTGCGACAGGTCGGAATATGTACTCACGCTAATGAAGATGAACGTCGGGACGGACGAGATCTCAAGCTTCTCGGAGATTTCGGGGAACTCCTCAGCTTCGATCTGATTGCCATTTGGGTCAAGACGGGGGGCGACAGATTGTCAGCATGATCTCGATCGAGAGCACTCTGCCCTACTGCAGAGGCGCTCTGCAACACGAAGGATGAAAGAATCAGAGTCGCATTGAAACAATTCACCTTGAGATACTGGAGGTTAGGGAACTTTCGAGACAGCTCATCAAAGACCTGGTGAGCCAGGGCAGGCCAGTCGAGGGCAAGGAAACGAGCCGAATGAGCCAAAGTGCATAGTGAAAGCAGCCATGCAGCCGGCAGGACAGATACGATTCCAATAGCTCAGACAGGCTCTGCTATAGACAACTCAAGCTCAGTGGATGACTGGGCTTGCCTCGTTCATGTCCTTGCACATGTCGGCCCAGGTGGCATGGAAGTTGGCCACGGTGACGATGGCGTCGGAGCTGAGGGTGTTGAACTGATCATCGGCAATGATTTCGATAACGTTGTGCTTGGCGGCCGTCATGATTCGAGTATGCTCAGCAAGATCTGTGATGGAGGAAAGCTTTGCAGACGGGCTGGCCACAGCAGATGAGCAGATGAGCAGATGCGATGTGCGATGTGCGATGTGCGATGTGCGATGTGCGATGTGCGATGTGCGGCAGAGCTGGGGCTTCTGGCTGGCGGACCGGCTGGCTGGAGCAGCGAGTTTCGATAACGAAACCGGGAGCACTCGCGCTGACAAATTGGTCTGTGGCTGCAGCGCGGCACAGAACACACCGCCACAGCGCCCCTGGTTTCTTCCCGCCCTCGCCCGCTCCGTCGCGCAATCGCACACCTCCCGGTCGATCCATCTGCACCCGCCGCATCGCTGCGCTGCATTACGTGCGTCCTGCTTCGCCTCTGCACATCCACAGCATCCTGGACACCCTCTGTATCGAGAGAACGCTCGGTGCCATGACTGTTCCGGACGACTCTCCCGCGCTCATCCACGATCGCCTCGACGAAGCCCTCTTGTCGCTCCTCGACAAATGCGACCGGCTGCAGGAGCTCCAGGCCCGCGCCCACAAGCATCTTGCATCGGCTTTCTGGGACTTTGCCAAAGCCAAGTACGTAATGGGTCCGGAGCGCTTGTGCTCCTTCCAGTACAACAGGCAGGCGCTCAAAGCCCCGGATCCCCGAGCTTGTGTTGCGGCTCGATCGGCGACTGGATCGGACGAGGGCGATGCACACCCAGCCAGCGGCGAACCCGGGGCTGTCGACTCGCCGGATGAGCTGGTACTCTCTCGTAAGAGTGCATGCAAAGCCATGCACCAGGATGGAGCCGTCGGTTGCGACAACGGCGAAGACAAGCCCCCTGTAGCCCGCGATTCCTCGGATCCTCTCAACTGGTTTGGTGTCCTGTCTCCGCAGTCTCTGAAGGATGCCCAGCGCGGGTTCTCAGACGGTTGGTTTCGTTCGTGCATCGTCATTGGCTGCATGTATCGGCTGCATGCATCGGCGATGGCGGAATCGGTGCGGCCTTTAGGCGACCCAGCGAAGCCGCTGGGCGCCATGTGTCTCGTTCGGCCAGCCCCTCGTTTCATCTGGCGGCAATCGTTTTATAACCCTTGCACTCTCATTCCCACCGCACATGGCATGTCTGCAGCGCTGGAGGTGCTGGTCGAGATCGCCAACCTGAATCACCAGATCCGCGGCCAAGGCCTCCAAATCCAGCACCTCGAATCCAAGATCGACTCATGTCCATGTGATCCACGCTCGAGCTCGTGAGGCTGCATCAAGACTCGACCATCGGCCAAGATGCGCCCTGTGTTTGCTGGCTCCGACGGCGTATCCCAGTCGCTCACGATATCAGCCATTGCGTGCCGGTCCCATGAGGATCAACGACCATCGCTCGCCGCCGCTTCTGCCGCAGATTTTTACAGGTTTTCTTTTTTTTTTTTCTTTATTTGAATTTGATGGTTTTGGCCGCGTTGGGGTTGCCTCCGCCGCTGGCGCTCTTGATTCGGACGGAAACCACCAGGGGAATGTGGTCGGATGGATGGTAGCTGTTCGGGAATCCGACCGCCTGCTTGGTTACATATTCGCGGTCGACACCTCCCAGCAGTCCCGTGACGGTGAGGGTGTTGGAAGAATACCAGATGTAGTCGATCACACCCTTGAATCCGGGTGTGTAGTTTGTGAATTCCAGTTCGTTCTCGATGGGAGCATATGCGGATTTTAGCAGCAGCTTGTGGTTCAGGCCATCAGCCGTGTAGGGCAAGTAGGTGTATGTTCCAAAGTCTTCGTGGTCGTGGCTGAGCTGGCCGCTCGAGAGATACTCGTAGACTCCACTGTCGGGCATCGAATTGAAATCGCCACAGAGGATCAAGGGCAGTGGGGACTGTTGGCCGGCCTTGCCGCCGGCGCCGTTCGCCTGTTTGCCGGACTGAGAGTATGTGCCGATGATGCGCTGTAGCTCCTCCATCAGGATCGCCGTCTGCACCAGCTTCACGTCACGGTGCTGAGGATCCCAGTGCAGATGCGTGTTGGCAACGACGAGGCGCTGGTGTGTTTCTTTTGTCTCCAGCAGAATCGCCACGGCGACGTTGTCCTTGATCATGACTCTGTTGATGACGTCCTCGCTGCCGCGGAGGCCCGGGCGCTTCATGGCGTAGTGCTGGTACTCGATCAGGCTCTTGTCGATCAGAGTGAATCTGTGATGTTGGCGAGCAGAGCGACCGTCAGCTCGGCGCAGTGCCCATGGCATGGAAGTGACCAGTGGTCGCTGCCACATACAGAAACGATACCGATGCAACAGCCGATTGAATCATGCAACTCACTTGGAGTTCTTGTAAAAAGTTGCACAGCCGTCAACGCCGCGCTGATCACTGACAGCCATGGTACGGGCCCTTGACTTGACATGGAAGACGCCATCGTATTCCCCGTGCTGGCTGAGCTGCTCGCGGAAAAAGTCCTCATACTGTCCGAGCTCTACTTCCTGCAGGTTGGCCACCCCAAAAACCATGTAAGTATTTTGAGGGACGGTAGCGACTGCTCGGACGTGATTGCGATGCCGACCCGATGCCTTGGATGCGATAGCTCTTCAGATGTACAATGCCAGAGACAGGGGGATAGAGGGCAAGCGAGAGAGCACGCGGCGGTCAACTTCACTCACCTGCAGACACACAATGTCGGGGTTGTAGTTCAAGATTTCCTGGATGAGCAGCTCTCGCCGGTACGACCACTCCAGCGCCCATGATGGCGTGTAGGCATATGATTGCTGCGGAGAATACTTCTCGCAGAGGATGTTGTAGGACAGAACCGTAAAGGTATCTGGGGGGAGAAGCCGAGCCAAAGGAACCGAGTTAGCGGCATCGTAGAACAGTGTCTGGCAGCGATGTGGCAGTGCACGACAAACTGCTGTGGCTGAGGCACAAACGAAGCTGATATCCGCGGCTGGCTTACCGCTCGAGCTTGAGGACGCAGTAGCTTCGTCTTCCAGCGGAATCCATTCTCGTTCCGGCGGCTGGGGACCCACTGAAACAAACAGGAGGCCAAAGCGGCGCATTTAGAACGAGGGCATGCTCGATGCAAGATCAACAGCCGAGTATGTACGGGAGCATGGACGTAGCAAGAGGACCGCGGCAGTTTGCGTGTATACACAGAGTACACCGATGGAAACTTACTTGGGCAGTTGTCTCGCATGTAGGCAAGGATGGTGGCAGTGTTTTCCTTCTGGACCATGCCCAGCAGCGGCTCCTGCAGCGGATTGCCCTCCAGACCGAGAATCTCCAGCTGGAACAGGAATCCCAGCTCAAACGGGACCGTGGACAGAACATTATCGAAGAGCCTCAGGTCTCGCAACTGAACCAGCAGGCCCAGTTCCGGCGGAATCGCCGTGAGCTGGTTGCCAGAAAGATCCAGGATCCTCAGGTTGACAAGCTTGCAAACGTCCGATGACAGATTCGTGAGGTTGTTGTGGTTGAGATAGAGCGTCGTTAGGAAGTGATAGTGGAACAGGTTCCTACTCAGGTTCTTGATCTGCATGCCGCCCATATCGATAATGTTCCACTGGGAAGCACGGTCGATCGAGTTGACGACCATGACGCCGTTCGAGGTACCGTCGTTGGCGCCGTTGTTTGCGGCCCTGGCATTGGCTGCAGCAACTCGTGCATGATGGTGGGCGACATTCATGGACCGAGACTCATTCAGAAGCTCAAGCTGGCGGCGCTGGTGTCCGGTTGCAGCGGTCGATAGCAGCGAGCTGGTCGAGCCGTTGATCGAGGCGTTGATGGAGCCGTTGGAGCCCCCGAGAAGGGCTTGTTGTTGATACGGACTTGCTCCCAGGATGCCCATGCCAGCGAGATGGGTGGGCTGGGGCGACTGGATACCTTGGGCAGCAAGCTTCTGGGAGTAATGGGCAAGTTTGGGGGCAGAGTTGGCGTACATGGGATGTCCTTGAGTGACATACCCAGCCAGAGGCGACGAAGGAACTGGGGATCCGTTCGCCGATCCAGCTGGGCCGGGCGATCCTGTCGGGTTATAGGGCATGCCTAGTGTGTAGCCGCTGTAGGCAAGGGTGTCCTGATCCTTCTCAGACATGAGCCAAGTCTTGGATCAGCTACGACTGGAGCAGCGTGACGGGTAGAAACGTGGGGATAGCCTCTCGACTGAGCGATATGATGGCTGGAATTGAGAGCACACACAAAAGACCAGAGAAATCCAAATGCGTCTCTGATGTTGCCAAGATCGCCGGCTTGCAGTTGGCAGAGCTTCGTCGAGTTAGTAACTTGAAAGATCGATCTGAGCGGCACAACAGATCACGCACGAGTGAGCAAAGGGTTCAGCGACAATAGCGCGCAAGGATACTCGCAGCATCAAATCGGTCGGACACTGGTCCAGTGCAGAAGGAGCTTGTAAGCGCCCTTGTGAGCCGCACCGGGAAACATAACCATCACCAACACGGGCAGCAAGCACCAAAGTGCACTTACGGGCGATCCTATCTAGAGAACCAAACGCTGGAGGGAGCAAGGATAATGACGAAGCGAGCTCGCGGAAGAAGGGAATCGAGAAATAACGGCACGAAAGTAAAAGAAACAAAGGGAAGGAAAGGAACAAAATGAATGGCTGCAAGAACGGAAGGATGGAAGAGCAACGACCAAGGATAACGGGGCGGACAAAAGCGAGGGAAGGAAAGAAGAAGAAGTCTGCGACACCGATCATGGCAAGTAGCAGATACCCGGTCGGTCCAGGTCAAGAGACGTGTTCGCCATTTCCATTCGCGGGGACGTTGATAGAAGCGGGACAGGTTTCATGCCCACAGGGTTTGCAGGGAACGAGGCCGAGACGGGAGGGGGTAGGAGGTAGCAAACACAACACGAGAAAATAAGAGCGTTAAAGAATGTCGCATATCTGCAGCTCGTTCGGTCGAGGAGGCTGCGATGGGTATCTCGGAATCCGTCGATGGCCAGATATCGGGTGCGGTCGAGTGGTGCGGTCGAGTGGTGATTTTCGACAGCCCAGCGGTGCGTGGCAGCGAGATGGCAGCGAGATGGCAGCTCGATCAGATGCCAAGGGCATGATCGCCACCGGCTGCAAGGCCGGCAGCCGCAGCTTGCGGTAGCTATATTGATGGCTCTTGAGACGATCGCCCCAATACGCAGGCGACTCGATCAACTATCGCGATCGGCACTGGCGAGATGGCGGGGAGCGAGGGCTCTCGATGCGATACTGCACTTGGAGCAAGACGCATCTCTGGGCCGGAGACATATGGATGCAGAGCCCTCACGGACACGGCTATGGAGCAGACGGATCTCACCCTGGTGGACCGAGGGCAGGCGACAGCCAAGACAGATAGCCGGGGGCAGGGCAGAGACGTCGGAATCGAGCGCTGGACAGGGTGATCCAAAGGCCAAAGGACATCCAAGGGGCGAAGGGCGAGACGGGGGGCGGCCACTGTGCGAATGGATGTGGACGAAGGTGCGGCTGGACAGCGCCCGGTCAGGTGAGCGTCACATTACCTGCGCCACAGCCGATCCAGCCTGCCTGGTCATTGCGGCCAGGCGCCGTCGGACCACCCACCCAGCCCGAGGCTCCCAGATACTCTCGCACTGCGACGCAGGGCTCTGTTGGCGAGCGACAGAGCCAGAGGCATCTCGTCCGCAGACACAATGTATATTCCCAGTACCCGCCTCTGGTCTCGATCGAGGGTTATCGTCGCCCCTTGGGAGATGTGGGCTTTCCCTTCTTCGATGGTGCCGCCTTCTTTCCCGGAGGCTCCTGCTCAAAGTTCGGGGGGGGGTGATTCACGGACACATGTCAGCGGCGAGTCGAGCGCCTTCGGAAAGAGCGGCTCAGACACAGCATCGATCAAGAGGAGCCATACGAACCTTGCGCTTCTTGGCTTCAGGCGAGGTGGGTGACTTTGGGATCGGTTTGAAGAACGAGTCCAGACGCCCCTGAGTCGCCGTCTGGAAGTTCTTCTGGAGCTTCTTTGCGCCTCCACGGATTCGATCCTCGCTGTAGTTCCAGAGGGAGAGTATGAAGCACATCCAGGAGCGTGTTGGCACAAAGTCCATGGCGTGGGAGTGCCCGAGGGCGTACCCGGTTTTCCAGTCGGGTTCCCACGAAGCATCGACGAGCACCTCCCACTTACTTGAAGCTCTTCTCCTTGACCATAAACTCAACCAAGCCTTCTTCATCAGGCTGCTCCCACTTGAGCTATTTCGAGGATCAGATTGATGCAACGAGGCTGTGAGCGTCTGGGGAGCGGTGGAGAGCACGCGAACGCCGTCCTGCGACCTGGCTCGTTGGCCGGCACATTTGCCAGACATTGTCGGAGAGAACTCACATCGATTGTCGAAGGATCCAGCACCTCAGGGTTCCTGAAGAGCTCGCGCGCCTGCTGGTAGGGCCAGTTTTCGGACACGGGGTACTTTTTGGTGTCCAGATTCTCCAAGATCTTCTCGATCGATCCGTGTTCTCTGATCAAGGCAACGGCACGGTGCGGGCCGATGCCCTTGATGGAGTCACAGTAGTCACATCCCAGAAGGATGCAGAGATCGATGAACTACCGCGCGAAGACACGGTGGATGGTAGTGAGGCAGTGTCAGGCATGGGGCATGTCATCTCGTTAGATTCAGCGAAGCATACGAGCTGGGAATTCCAGAGGAAGCCATACTTGGTCCATGGTGAAGCCGAGTCCCTCCAAGACTCTGTCCAAGTGGACTTCCGAGATCGGGAGTTTGCGAGCTTCGCTGAACGTCAGACGTCTCAGCAGCACCGGCGATCCAAAGGTCAGGGTGTCCATATCTTCGGATCCAGCCGCATAGACCTACAGAGTGTCGATAAAAAAAGGGTGGGTCCATGTAAGTGACAACAGCACCAGATCAGCGCATACCTTTCTGGTATAAAGTAGAGGTGCTGGAATCGCAGCTTTGATTCACCTTGCCAGCCTTGGCCAGGGCCGCGCACTGAGCCTCGGCTTCACTTGGAGCCTGCATGCGCGGTAAAGAATGAAGTTGTGAGAACGCAGCCCAGCGACTCAGGGGGGGGGATCAAAGCTACGAGGGCTTGTGGTTGGAATGCTGGTCGGGATTTGCAAGGATGCGTCGAAGATGCTGGCTATGAATACTGGCAATGCGATCCACAGAGAACTATGACCTCCGAGCAACGCCAGTACTGTACTCCATCCTCGGGATCAAGTCTGCAGACGCGGGGGGGGAGGGAAATCGAACCTCGATGTATGGTATTCCCATGAGCTTCAGAAGCTTTTGACACTCGGCATTGTGCTCCTTGGTCACCTTGACAGTCCGCCGCTCATACTTTTCTGCTGCTTCGGCGTCGCCCTCTTCTTTGGCCACCTCTGCAGCCTTCTGGGCTTCGGCACGGCGTTCGCCACGTTTTTGGAGCTGCATGATTCGAAGCCGTGATTTCCAGGAGGGTCTGGTGAGCTTTCCACCGAGATTCCAGCGGCATATCGCTCGTCACGGACAGCGCCTATCCGCGGCTCCCCGCCCGCCTTCAGGGCATGGCTGCAGATCGCAGATTGGGATGTGACTGCACCTCGGAAGACTTCATGTCCGGCGGCTTGCCGTCAAACACATAGCACGGCTTGATACCGTTTTCGACCATTCGGATCGTGCGATAAAACATGCCCATCAAGTGACTGCGATTGCAGAATCAACCCCCCCCCCAAAAAAAAAGGTTCGAGCATATATCACTATCGCCGTCATCGCCACCATCATCATCATCACCATCATCGTCATCATTGCCATCGGCATCGTTGCCGCCTGTTCGCCTGCCAGTGCAATCGGTGCCCACCTGGTTGTTTCGCCAAACTCGTTTGAAAGCTGCATGCCGTCCTGCTGTCGGACAGCAATCAAGAACTGATAGATCGACATCGAGGCGTCGATGGCCACCTTGCGACCAAAATAGTTTTTGATTTCGTTCTCCTTCATGGACGACTCGGCATTGTCGCCGAGGACCTTGGATAGCCCTGCGGAGACAATGAAAGGGGGGCAGATATCAGTGGATCGCCAGCGGACCGTCATTGCGAGTCAGAAAGCTCGGCGGTCGCCGGACTCGAGCGAGAGCGGGTGGGTTGTCGGTCTGGACATACCGTGAATACCCATCGCTGTTGCTGTGTACGAGAAATGGCGGATGGACGGCGGTAGTCGAGGGAGGCTGGCCGGGGTGTGCGATCGGTGCACAGACGAGACCAAAGCCGAGCGAGAGCGTAGCCGAAATGGGCAGCCAACGATCATCAGCAGAGCGTCGCTGCTTTCCTCGCCAAAGCAGCCAAGAGCAGGCAATGCGGTGCGGGGTGTGCTTGGTGACAATATCGCTGAAAATGGTCACATTGCGTGTCCGAGCTTTGAGCCGCCCAATCGCCCTTGCATGATACCAGGGCGGACCGAATATCATGGCGATGATATGTTATTCCTCCAGGCGTGGCACCACCATGGATATGAAGAGGACGGCATCTCGCCGACCAACCCCAGCCAACACAAACCAGTCTCCCATCGCCCAGAGCCCGACTTCCGAGATCGGGGACAGGCAGACAGCGCCTCCAATCCCCCGCCCATGCTTCCAGAGCTGAGCTTGAGCGCTGCCATCAAGCCGTCAAGATTTCATGACCGTCTTGGGTAATCAGGATGGTGTGCTCTGCATGAAGCCAGAATCAAGGCACACATCAGCAAGCCGTGCGTCTCAAATTGCAGCTATCCCACGCCGTTGGCCGTACACATAGGACATAATTGCTGCTCCGGCGAAACAATGGTGCTGATCTTTCCATCGTTCACGGGGCAATGCCATTCAATAACTCACCAAACTGGGCCGAGCGGCCGCCTGGAGGCGCGAGATAGCAACAGGCAACCAAGTAGCCGCAACAAATGTTAGCAAGCGATCCGGGCAAGTGCGTCGGAGGTTGGCGATCCGGCAGCCACAGCCTCACCGTCCTTGGTCACTGCGGTCCAGTTGTCGTCCCATTTCAGGGTGTCCGATGTGCCCTGATTGAATATGGGCTCTGGAAGACGAATGGTTGGCAACGCCAGTTCATCCGTCAGTCGCTCTATAAGTAGCTCCATCGCCGCCCCGAACCCATCGAGCTGGCCGCATCTCGTTCTTTTGGAACGTACCGATGGTGAACGTCATTCCTTCTTCCATCACTCCGTCTTCGTCGTTCTCAAAGTGATATATCAACGGCGGTTCGTGAAAGTGGCGACCTGGAAAGACAGGAGATACAGAGCATCCATGGTAAATCAGTCAGCCATTCGCTCCATCGGCTTCAGGTGCTCAAAGCCATCACCGCGTCACATCCGAACAATACCGAAACGCTGCGATTGCACATGCTCCCTCGTTACCGATTCCATGCCCACAAAACTCAGAGTTGACAGAGTATCCGTTCTGATCAGCGATGGTGCTGAGAGGCAGTGAGACAGGGGCGGTACGTTAGTCGAAGCCGATTTGGGAGGCTCCAGGTGGGCTCCAGGTCGGTGGTTGAGCATCGAATGATAACCACACGGCTATCTGAATACAAAACTCACTTGATCACATATCCAATGTCGCTAAAGTATGCCCCGGGCTTGCACAGGGCGATAGCTTGATGCATGGCCTCCTTGGTTTTCTCGGCAAGTTGCCGACCTGCTTCGTCCACGTCGCCGACAAGCACCGTCGCGCTGGTATCGCCATGGTACCTGTTGACATCCACCACGGCCGAGATGATCCTCGTCAGCGAAGCAGCTGCACTTGCTCCTATCTCCTATTATCGATTACACGTACCCGTCCAGATAAACCTGTGCAGTCCGTGGTTGGAGTCGAGCCATCGAGAATCAGCTCCGCTGCAGCCACGCCGTGTGCATCGTCGAGTGGATTGCAGCATTGCAGTGGCTCTCTGTGAGCCAAACCTACCGTTACGTCAATGTTGATCATATCCCCGTTCTTCAAGGGTCGACTGAGAGTGGGGCAGATCGTCGATTAGCCACGCCAACGACACATGGCTCACACAAAGTACGAGCCGAAGAGCAGTGGGTCCAGGAGCGAGTGTGGTCCTCGATGGCCGGTAGGGCCCATCACCGGCCACTGTGGAATAGCAACTTACTCGTCCGGAATTCTGGGGAACAGCCGTGCGGATAAGCGTCGGGATCAGGCGTTCAGATCCGTGGAGAAATGTTGGTCAGAGCCGTTGGACGACGATGGTTGAAGCACCAATGACGGCGGCTGTGAGGCAAGCATTGGAAGTCTGCTCAATAGAAACACACCCATGAACGACAACGTTGTTGATCGAGGTGCCTGCATTGGACGTGGGAGGGGTGAGAAAGGCGCTGGTTCAGGATGCCTGTTCCTGGTATTGCCCAGCCGAGTCGCCTGATGCTCATGGGATGGCCTTGGCATCAAGCGGCACTCACACAGCAGATCGGCCGCCGGCGATACGTACAGATGGATTTTGGAAACCCCATGTAGCCCAGCGGGCTGGGATATGCGTTGTGCGTGATAATCTGGTCGTGGGCTTGGAACGGAGAGATTCAACATCGACTCCACAGCGCCTGCGACGAGAAGCCGTGCGCGATATCCGAAGGCCGGGATCCTCAACGCTCCCCCATCGATGCCTGCTCGGGTTTCGGTTGGGCAAGTATATGCGACAGCAGCGCGATGAATAGTAGGCTCACCGATCCGATCGATCTCGTTGGTGGTGACTCCCTCTCGAGCGGCCTCGGATGCGATTTGAAGAATCTTCTTGGCCAGCTGGCACGAGGCCTTCATCTTGGCGATGGCTTCGCTCGACTTGATCTCGGGCTCGGGCAGAAATACGAGCGGTCGGCCGGTATGCGCATCGTAGAGAGGGCGGCGGATGTGGGCCGGCACCGAGCGCTGGAGCAAGCTTGCCGATGGGAGCTGCGGCTGGCCCTGAGGATTGGGTAGAAGCAGGTCATACCGCCCGAACTCGGCCAGGCGATCTGGCTTGGAGGCGAACGTGAAGAGCCCCTGGCGATGCAGGGATGTGCTCAGACGCAGCTGTGTTCGCAGATGCAGCAGCAGCGAGGGTCGGATCATTGCGGCCGGCTGGTTTGATCGTGGCTGAGATGCCGCGACGAATCCAATGACGGCTGCCCCATCATGTCCCAGCCATATCCTGTCCGCTTTCCCCGGCTTTCGGGGTCTCAGTCCCCTGATTCCAGAGTCCGCAGCCCACTGACTCCAAGGGGTATTGGCAAGACACCATAACCCGTTAGTCACTTGTCACAGAGAAACTACTCACAAAGAAACTACTCACAGAGAACCCATGTACACTCCGACACGGCACTCGCAACGCTGATCGCAAGCAATGACAAAGGGGCGGCCGGACAAGCTGTGGTCATGCCGTATCCAATTCAGTAGGCTGCCTCGAAGAGCATGGGTGTTTTGTGTAAGGGGCAATGTCCCGGTTTATTACATTAGCATTGGACCGTCCAAGTCGTGACGGTAAAAGTGGGGGGGGGATGAGGTCATCGCCAAAGTTTGATCTATAGTATTAAGCATGGTTCCAAAATTAACAGATGCCGGGCAAGGAGGAAGCCATAGTTGCCGGCAAATGCTGGGAATACTCCGAGGACATGGCCGAACAGGACGTGAGTGCGCGTGTGAGTTCGAGAGGCGGGGTTGGCATATGTGATATGGGCGGCTTGCGCTCAGAGCATGCTTTCGACAACGGAGGGAGCCAGCTGCGGGGTGGGCTCGAAACTGATGTGCGAGATGTTGGCCAGCTTGAGGTTTCTGCGGAGGCTTTCGTCAGCACGCATGTATGTGGGCGTGTGCCTTGGAGAGAAGCGAGGCCGGGAGCGGTCCGGGCAGTCGGGCTCTGGAGCAAGGCCAGGCGACTCGGGCTCGAGCAGCGGATGCGGGCTCTGCTTCGGGTCCACCGGCGAGGCATTCTGCGACCGGGAGAGGGTGGACCACCCGTGGTGAGAATCGTGGGCAGGCGATGGCGGATCTCTGGGGCTGATGCCAGGCGACGAGCGAGAGCGAGCCATCTTGTGGCAGGCACGGCCCTTGGATGGCCGGCGGGCAGGGATATTGGCATGCAGGATGGCCCGGGCAGTGCCCTCCATCTGGCGCAAAAGCTCCTCGGCGTGTGGGTCTCGGGGACTGGGCAGCTGCGGCGGGTGGGCTGGTGCAGTAACGATCGTGGGAGGCTTCCGCGAGGTGGAGAGGGAGCGCGCGGCGGGAGGGGACAGCGGCGGGGGGTTTGCCATCTCCGAGCGCCTGATCATGATCGAGGGCCGGTTGGGCTGGGCGACGGTGGTGATGCTGAGAAGCGAGCGCTGCGAGGCGACGCTGTTCTGGCGCTTGAGATCAGTGGAGGCCATATGTGCGAGATGGTGGCAGTGGTAAAGGATAACGAGCGGAGGGTGCAGTTGGCAGTTGGCGAGTGACGAAGAGTACTTGGCTTGACAAGTAGTTTGATTGGCGACTGGGTGCTGGCGACTGGATGTTGACGGCTGGGTATTGGCGAACGATCCCAAGTAGTCGACTGACGGCGGGTTGAGGGGTTGGAGGTGCGGGTTTTATAAGTGCCGCTGGACGCAAGTTGGCCGGCAGAAGAAGCACAGAGACGCGCGGTGGGCCGTTTCCCTTTCTTTTTCACACGAACGCCGCGGCTGGGACGACAAGGGCACAGCGATCCGAGCCAAGCAAGAAAGAAAGCCGGCGTCGCACATCCAGCCGGATCGGGGAGGGCAGGGGCGGGATCCGCGCGGGAGGGGGCATTGCAAACGAAGGAGCATGGTGCAAGTGCGGATTGCATGGCGGACTGCATGGCGAATTGCATGGCGGATTGCATGGCGCAGGTGCGAGAGGTGCAAAGAGCAAGTGCGGTAAATGTTACAGCGAACGGGGTCAATCAATGACATCAATCCGCGAATGAATGAATGAATGAATGAACGACATCAGCATATGAATGAACGACATCAGCATATGAATGAACGACATCAACACAATTATGAACAATATCAACACAATTATGAATCAATGCATCCGCCCCGCTGGCGCCGTGCCCCACCCGTGCCCGCACGCGCAGATCCTTGCTCCCATGCGTCAGCGTGCATCGCTTGCGTCGTCTGTGCTACTGGCTGGTCAGATATATCCAGCGCCGAGCGATCAACTCCAGCGCCGAAAGATCAGCTCCAACGGCGACTCCTGCAGATCGGCCACGCCACGGGCGTGTCCCCTGCGCCTGTGTGCTCGTCCTGGCCGCGGCGGCCTCTCTGTCTTCCCTGGGGACGCCTGTCCGTCTGGCTGGCCCTGCATCTGCCCAAGAATGACCAGGAAACGCAGCCGCCCATCCAAGCAACATGACCGAAGCGCCCAGAGCGCCGGGGACCGCGAGCGGGCTGACCAAAAGCTAGCCGAGCAGGCAAGTCTGTCCAGACTGCAGCCCAGCAGCACCGTCTCGACGCTGCCGAACTGGACAACTCTCAGACACTGGCGACGCATCTGCATCTGCATTTGCATTTGCATCTGCATTTGCATTTGCATTTGCATTTGCATTTACTTCCGTGAGGCACTGTGGCCTCGGCTAACATCGTTGGGCTGCTCCCGTCTGGCCTCATCCCGCCTCACCAAAGCTCGCCGACCCGTTGGGCGACTACAGACGATTTCTGGCCAAGGTCCGGAGCTTTGGCCTCAAACACCACGAGGACTGCTACACCATCCCTGCCAACCTCATCGACCTGACAACCACCATCCTCGTCTCGCTGCTGCTCAATCGGCGGGCTCATTTCTTAACCTCGGCCGAATCAGCGCCATCAGCGCCATCAGCGCCATCGGAATACCGCTCCGCAAGGCAAGAGGCGTTCGACTGCATCCGCAAACTCATCAACCGGACCAAGCTGAACTGCAGCACTTTTGTCCTGGCTCTGCTCTACATCGACCGGTCGAAGAGCCGGGAGGCTCGCGATTGGAGAAGGAGACTCTGGAGGCAAAAACCAGCAGCACCAGTACGGGTGCCGGCATCAAGACCAAGCCAGGACCGTGCTTCCGAAAGCCGGCCGAAGAATCAAAATAGCACCGCTGCGTCGAGCCACTCCAACGACCGCCTGCTGGAGCCGCACGGATGCATTTCAACGTTTTTGGGGGCAGTCATCTGTGCGGACAAGTATCTGTAAGTAGCCACTCGCTCACGTCCACATCCCCATCCACATCCACATCCACATCCACATCCACATCCACATCCACATCCACATCCACATCCACATCCACATCCACATCCACATCCACATCCACATCCACATCCACATCCACATCCACATCCACATCCACATCCACATCCACATCCACATCCACATCCACATCCACATCCACATCCACATCCACATCCACATCCACATCCACATCCACATCCACATCCACATCCACATCCACATCCACATCCACATCCACACTCGCTCACATATGCACTTGTCCCTCCAGTTACGACGCCACGTACTCGAACCTGGACTGGGTCGAGTTCGCCGACCACCGCTTTTCTCTTGCCGACATCAACCATATGGAAGTCCGGTTTCTCCAGCGACTGGACTACCAACTGCATGTCAGCGACTTGGACTTTGACAACTTCCTGACCTATCTCGATGGGATGCTTTGTCTGCGCCAGCTCCATCGCTGGCCATCTCTGACCTACGGCGACTTGCTGCGGCTCTCCCAGTTTGTGCCCTATCTTGCCCAACTCAACCGCCACATCACCCGGCCCCTTGATGCCTCCATCATGATCGCCCGCATCCTCATGCGCTCGATGCTGAGCTATGTGGTGGCCGTGGCCGTGGTCGTCGTGGCTGTATCGCTGAGCTTTGCCAATGTGCACTTTGGAAGGATTCGCCTCGAGTTTCTCGAGCGGCTGTACGAGCGAGAGAAGGAGGCTTCGGCACTGATTCTTGCCCGGTAGCTGGCTATCCGCTGTTTGGTCGTGCAAACGCTGGTTCGTCGTTCTCGCACTGGCCGTTGTTCCTGCGAGCTCCTTTTGAATCGGAACACCTCCACACACGGATGGCTTGTGCATTGGTTGATGTTGATCGATCTGGCTGAACGGCTTCGATCGGCACCCAAACCAGCGATATTGCTCTTTGCCCTGCGTCTTCCTCACTCATTCCAGGTATGTCTTCGTGCTCTGACCTGCAGCGACTGCATCTGCAGTGGCTCGCTGGTCCTGTCGTGCCCACTCCATGCATCTCCCTCACACAGGGAAATGACTTGACCCACTTGTGATATGATCCGACTACGCCGCTTGTCCGAATGAGATGGTGTATCCCATTATTTCTTCAACACGCTGTCCGATTTTTGCTTGCAACGCTCCTGGCAAGAGACTCTTCACCTCCTACAGAATGGATCATGAACATGGCATCTGTGGAGCACAACCAAAGCACAGCTGCATCCTGGTCGCTTGTGTCTTTGCTCATAACCGCGCTGACGGATGAATATGCTATGCCCGCGACTTGGCGCAATGCACTTCGGGCGTGTTGGACATGCTGGCTCCGCTCGGACTGTCGCCGAGCCATGAAACGGCGCAATGGATACATGAAGAATCGGAAAGGCCCCTCTTTCCTCGGCAGCCTGGACTCGAAGGTAGTAAAACAAACAAACAGAGAAGCAAGAACGACAACGACATATGGATTCAAAGAAGGGCACGAAGACCAACAAACAACAGCAACAACGTTGATGTCAGGGATAGCCCCTGTATACACGCAGAGAAAAGCAAGAACAAATGCGTGGCACAATAATCAGCACCACAGGAATGCCAAAGCGGCCAGAGAGAAAAAGAACAGGAATGCGCCGCATAAAGAGGCGGCAACGGCTGAACCCAACGCCAAGGTATGCCAGGTCCAGCGGTGTGGGGGAGGGAACCGAACGAGACACAGCGGTATCAAATGCAGATAGAGGGAGAGGGATGCAGAACAATTGCTGGTGTGTCACAGCTACCCAGAAGATGTAAGGATGCGGAGAGGGAAATGAGAGTGGATATGGAGTACATTACATACGGTGAGACACTGCGTGAGGCTGCCCAGTTGCCTATGTCATTGTTGCCTGTAGCTCTGTCCTCAGAGTGCCTGGGACAATGCTTCAAGTTGAACAACGGACCGACCAATTCAGTGACCGGCCAGTCGATGCTGTTGATCGCGGCTGCAACTTGACGGTAAGAGACACACATGCGCTGAGGGCATGGCACCAACACTTCACTCAAATCCGTCCGACAGATTGATCGAGCGGCTGTTGGATGGGAAGTGTCCATTATGAGTATCCGAGGACCGGAAGCTGGGGAGGCGACACTCAGGCGGAGACGTTGCGTCTGAAAGGGTGTGCGAAAGAGTCGACAGCTTGGAGAGGGTCGGTGCTGTTGAAAACACAACTGAAGGCGCAATCGAGCTGTTGGTCGTCGGCCGCGGGATCGAGTCGCCAAAGTCATAGCCGATGCAGTCGATGGGGACCCATCCGCGCCGGCCCTGATGTCGAGAGTCGGCAAGTACGTAGCGCTCCTTCATCTCGATGAGCTCGATATGCTCGCCAACCGCCACCGTCAGCTCGTCCGGGTTGGTTGCAACATGCTCCTTGATGATACTGGCCAGGTTCAGGTTGAATCTGGCGTCCTTGGGCAATGTCGGAACCACGTGCGTGGACGACTCCTCCATCGAGTACGAGAAGATGGATTCGTTGTCGGTCTCATCCCTGGCACCGCCTTCGGCTTCGGCCCTCGCCTTGCCTTGCCCGGCAGATGATCCAGCCACAGGGTTGTCAGTCTTGGGCAGTTCCGCAGCGACAGTCGTTGGCAGAGCCGTGTTGGAGCTTGTGGTAGAGGTTGACACCTCGGGGCCGAGTTCGCCAAACACAAGAGCGGTCGTCGGAGCAGCATCGCTGGCATGCACGCGCGGTTGGTCTTCAGCAGGGACTGCGGTCACCCCGGGAGCAAGGGAGTCTCCAGCGGTCTGTGCAGGCGCGGCAATAGCAACGAGCGACGCTGTTTGGCCGACGATGCTTGAGTGTACAACAGGGTTATTTACCGTGGTCCCGGAAGCTAGACAGGCGAGAGGAACTTTGCCCTGGCCGTGCGGCGACTCGACTGATGCCCAGCCATCCTCGAATTCAGATTCCACAACGACATCTTCGCCCACATAGACTGTCAGCTCGTACGCGGAGGTGGCTTGGTATCCCATCGCCACTCGGCGCACATCAGGCTGAATAATGTTGCTGAGGCGGGCTGGGGGCTGCGAAGGCTCTTCCTGCGGCACTACCCGCTGAGGCTTGCTCGAAAGTGGGGGAATAGGTGGCGAGTCGCGACCATTCGGACCAAACAGGCTGCTCCGTGCAGATGGTGCCCGCAGGACACTCAGCACAAGCCCGGGTGCCTCCGGTGAATCTGCATCCCCAGAGAGCGACGTCACTCCTGATCGAAAGTGGAGGTTGTGAGCCGGAACGCTCGGTGACGCTCCTGGACTTGACGCAAAGGGCAGCACTTGATCGCTGGGGTTGACGAGCGTTGATACAGACCCAGATGGCCGCATCGGGGCGCCAGAGAAGCTAAGGATATCTGCGGTAGGTCCCCGTCTATCCAGGTCGACATCGATTGCCGCCAGGCTCGTCGGCTGTGACGCGGACACAGTGGCATCAATCCATCGATCGCCTGAGCGCTGGAGGATCTTGAGCTTATCGCTGCCCGGCGACTGATGATCAAGCACGCCTTGGACAGTGCTTGATGTGTGGAGAGGCAGAGAAGCAACTGGGTTGATGGCGGACACATTGGCGGGAGCAGGTCCCGTCGTTTGGCGTCTGTTGGGAGATACAGGCCCGGGCTGCCAGTCCGCTGAACCGTCCATCTGGCGCCAAAAGGATGCGACCGGAGCCAGGATCGACGACGCATTGGAAAACGTTGAGTCGCACCTGGACACGGGTTCATGAACCTCAGATGGCCCGGCGCCAGCCAAGTCTTCATCGTCGGGCTCGGACGTCCGGGAGAGATAGCCGATGGGCACTTTACCGCGGCGGCGGCCGTCCAAGGATGAAACCACTACCCAACCGTCGTCGCCTTGGACAGGGAAGACGATATTCACCTTTTCATTCTCGTGGATGGACATTTCGTCCGCATCGAACTGGGCTGGGCGGTCCATGAGGACCCGGCGGATATCGCGCTGTGTATCGGCGGACCGAGTAAGCCACATCATATCCATCTGGTAGTCCGAGAGGCTCATCGTGTCCAGACTTGCTCGGCTTAGTCTCGACTCTGCGCGCTGAGAGGCTTGCGAGCCTGGGTGGGCAGGCGCCGCGGCCGCATTAGAATCGGACGAGACGTTATGGAGCTTCTTTGTCAATTGGCGGTTGTGGTGGAGATTTGTCAAGAAGCTTCCGCGCTTGGAGTCGCTGACCGCCGAAAGGTCGCGGGCAACGCTGGTGCTTGCCGCATCGACGGTGGAGCCCCTGTCCACGACCGAAGACGGTCCCGTCACGGGGATGGGCGGGGCCTCGATCTCGCGGGAGGAGGACACCGGGTTGGTGCTTGGGGCCTTCATGGAAAAGACTTCTCTGGGATCGATGAACTGGTCAAGCCGATGGAAAGTGGTGCTCCTGTCGACCGAGGCATTGCCCTCGGTTGATGTCGATCCAGTCTTGATGAGCGGTGTCCAGTTGTCATCCGGCGGACTAGACTTGCCGCTGCGCTTGAGTGGATTGTACCGAATCACGTCCCGGCTGAGGCAACAGAATATGCCGGCCCCGAGGGCAAGGATGGCAAGGGATCCAGCACTGACCAATAGTGGCACCATGGCTGGATTGTCCATCACATTGTTTTGATCGTTGAGTTGGTTTGGCGATGGGGCCACGGATACAGTCGCTGAAGTGGCAGCGGCCGACGAGCTCGTCAATGTGGACGAAGCGGAGCTTGAGGTCTTGGTGGCGGCAGTGGTGGTTGGCAGCGGCGGCAGTAACTGGACCGTCTTGGAGATTGGGCAGTAGCTGCCACGGACATCGCAGATCCTGAGGATATATTCGACATCCAGAGCGGTGAAGTTGTCCGGAACGTTCACGGGAAAGAGCAACGTCGTTGGGGCTGAAGGTATGGGCCCGCAGCCGAGAGCGCCCTGTTTGCCAGCACCCTGGTTGAATCGGTAGTGTGACCCAGGAGGATTGGTTGGAAGTAAGCCACCGCACAAGAGAATCGACAATGGCGAATCGAGCAGCATGGCCACAGTACGGAACACCGAAACAAAAGTCGGCGGTTCGGCGGGTGTGGTGGAAGATTGGGACGGGGGAATCGGCAGTCGGCGAAACCGTTGATTGGGTCGGTGAGGGCAGTGCCGGTTGTATTTTGGGTGAGGCAGAAGGGATATACAATCAATCAATCAGCAAGCAAGCGAGTGGGTGGGCGAACAAAAGGCCGAATCCATAGGCTGGCCTGCTTCCAGGCAAGCAGGCAAGATGGATGCAATGTAGCGCCGACGACATGCATCGCCACACAGCGTCGAAGAGGGCAGTCGGGAATTTACCTCGATGATGCAGCAGAATCCTTCGTTGGTATCGTTGCCCGGGGTATTCCACAAGTCGATGCCAAGCACCGACGGGACCCAGTCGATGGGCAAAAGTGTGGTAGAGTTGCTGTGGAGGACAATCTGTGATCAACCAAGCAGGAGATGGGATACGTTTATGTGTGCCAACAATGTCAGTCGATATTATAAAACGCCAGATCCATGCTGCACCCAGAAACCGCTACGGCTGCACCAGCGAGGTATCGTTCGTTGATGTGCCTTGAGATGGCTTCTGGTTCGTCGGCTCCACCGCAGTCGGGGGGGGGGAGACTCGGCGAGCCAAAGGGGCAGAGTGACACCTCTTGGTAGCAGCGATTGAAGCCAGGCCGTCGGTTTCGATAAGACAAGCACCTGGCCCGACGCTGCCGGGAGGGGTGGACGAACGGACGAGACGGTGGGAGGCGAAGCAGAGGGGGGAAAGGGAGAACTTCTCACCGTTGCATTGTCGATTTGCGGGACGAGGAAGGCGGCGCGGACGAACAGAGGCGCACAGGCGAGCCCGAGGATCAACCAGACCACAGGCAGGAGCCCACGCCGGGGCGATGGACCGACAAAGGGCCCAGAGTCAAGCATAGCCAGAGATCAAGACGCCCTCGTAGGACGGGAGATATGGTCGAAAAGCCGCAGGACGAGGCTGGTTGTCGCAGCAGCGGCGGCGGCAACGGATGGAGAAGCGTGCGCTGGTGTCGATGCACTGCGACGCAGCGGGGAGCGATGGATGAGTGGCGTTGGTCAGAGCAGGACAGGCAGTGCAGGAAACGCAGTCGGGACGACCCTGCAAGCGCCAGCGACGGTGCTGGGCAGACTGGACGAAAGATGGATGGATGAAGGGCCAGGACGGAACTGGGCGGTGCTTTGTCAACAGACGACGGTGGCAGTGTCGGGGGCGAGGCGCTGCGCACGATCGAGTCCATACACCGCCCAGAAGCACGGCGGGTGGGGCGTTGCAGAAGCCAGGGATGTGTTCGAGAAGGTCGCTGCGAGGGAGGATCCGCTGGCACAAACGCCTGTCATGGTGCATTCACCCAACAGCCGGACAGATCCGTGCAAAACGTGGTATTATCGACACCAATTATACGGGCGAACGCATACTCATGTCCTGCCGCCACTGGGCGGGTGTTCGTTGGGACGATGGATGTGTGTATTCCCACCCGGAAGAGAAACAATTGAAAACGAAAACGAGATGTCCCATATCACTTGTGGGCGCTGTATGATACAGGAAAAAGCGTACAAGATCCTCAAAAACACAAAATAAACAGGATGCCCAGGTACATTTTGCAGGTGCTGCGGACAGTGCTGGGAAGCCGGCCACTAGGCAGACTCGCGCATGGACTCGTACATCTCGTGGATCTGCGAGGGTTGGGCGGAAAGCATGCCGTCAGCGTCAGTCGACCCAGGCGCTAGAAACGATGGGACCTCGCATCGAAATACATACCTGCTTCTCGTAATAGATCTTGGCTTGGTGTCGCTGTGGGAGTGAGATGTACAGTGGTGAGTCGCACATGACACCAGCGAGCTTATTGGACTCTTACTTGTCGCCGCACCACGCCAACGAGACCAATAATGCACCGGTCTAGAGCTTGATTCGGCGGCAGCAGATAGAACTTACCTTGAGCTTGAAAGTCGGAGTGAGCAGGTCCTTTTCGGCCGAGAAGGGGCTGGTCTCGAGGTACACGTTGCGGATGCATTCGAAGCCCTTCAGGCCGTTGGCACGACCAAAGTCCGAGAGGGTCTTGACAACAGCCTTGCGCACAGCATCGTCGGCACAGAGCTCGGCAAAAGCCTTGTCTTCGAATCCGTGCTCAGCAGCCCACTTCATGAACTGCTCTTCGTCCGGAACTGTGGATGGCAAACGCATCAGACAAGCGCAGCAGGCGAGTCAAGCGACAAGTCGTCCACTTGCTCTTTAGTCGCCCTGTCGGCCGAAAGTCGAGAGACATATCGACTGCGCGACCCAAGCCGTCTGTTTATAACAACGTGCTCGATCGGGGAGGACACGACCATACCAATAATGCCGACGAGGCTGGAGCGGAGCGAATCGCCGTGGACAAAGGCTTGGGCAATGATAGCGTGCTTGGAGTACTGAATCACCAGGGGAGGAGAACAAGGCCGATCGAATCGAAAAATGAGCAATCGACAGTAACACCACAAGCAATACCAATGACCCACAGAGATCATACGAGACGGGACAGTGGGTGAAGCACAACACAGCCAGAGTTGCCACAACAGCAATCGTTACGTAGCCAACCGCACTGCACGCCACCAAGCCCGTGAGCCAGCCCCTCGACTCACCTCGATTTCAATCCTGAGCGCACGCAAAGCAGGGACCGGGAATAAGTGGAAATAAGCGGGAGACGCATCAGGCACATGAGACAGAACGGTATCTTGATCGATAGCGGTCGCAGAGCTAACTTACTTTTCGGGGGCAATGTATTCGCCCTGAGCGAGCTTGAAGATGCTGGTCACGAAGATAAACCAATCCAATGGGAGTTTGATGGTCAGCGCATCGCCAGAGCCGGGATGGTGATGTGATAGAGCACATACAACAGCGTTCAGTTTGCTGACAGAAAAAATGGTACTCACTTCTTGAGACGGTCGATGATCAGCAGACGGCCCTGCTCGTCCCAGGCACCAACATCGCCGGTGTGGAACCAGCCGTCTTTGTCAATGGCCTCGGCTAAATATGGGATCGATCGAAGCCATGTGGGTCAATAATCAGGCGATGGTTTCTCCAAGCATGGTATTATCGCGCTGAGGCGCACCTTGACCAGAGGCACAGAGGCACAGAGGCACAGAGGCACAGACATTCCGCGTGAGCCCACACCGACAATGACGCACTGCATGTCTGCATACCAGTCTTTTCGGGCTCCTCGTAGTAGTGAGTCATGACCGAGGCGCCTCGGACACAGATTTCGCCACGAGGGTTCGGGCTGTCGGTCGAGAAGTAGTCCATCTCGGGGATATCGACAAGCTTGATCTCGACACAGACATGAGGCGAGCCCAGGTGTCCGCTGGTGAGATCGAGAGGATCGGTCTAGAGAGAGCCATAGGTGCAGAACTCATGAGAAAGCGGTAATTTGGACCGAGACAGACAAGCCGACGCCATGCTGATGTCATGCCGATGCCACGCTGACAAGACTCGGTGGCGCAAGACGAGGGATCGCGTCGGGACAGAGACAGGCTCTGTCCTGGTCAACTTACACAGGAAATGGCGGCAGCGGTTTCGGTTGATCCGTAGCCCTGGTACAGATCGCACGAGAAGCAGATGCGCAGGAAATCGACAACATCAGCTCCAATAGGAGCGGCGCCGGTGAGCATGACCTTGACACGACCGCCAAGTCGAGCACGGACGCTGCCAAAGACCAGGCGATCCCACAGGAAATGCGTGCTGTAGCCGCTGGCCAGGTGGTGCTTCTTGGCAGCATAGGCAAAGTTGAAGAGAGTCTCGGCAATGCCACCCCTTTCCTTGACGCTTTCCATAACCTTGGCGTAGATGCGGTTGTACAGGCGAGGAACACTGGCAAAGATCGTCGGCTTCAGCTCGGCCACGTCGTCAAGGAGCTTGAGAGTATCGCCTTGGAAGAAGCCGATGCGGGCGCCGAGGCCAATGAGATTAGACTGCACGACGCGCTCGTAGACGTGGGCCAGGGGCAGGTATGAGATGTAAACGTCGTCGGAAGTGAAGTTGTACATGTGGCCGGTCTTGAGCAGGACGTCTCGGGAGGCCGTGAAGGCAAGCATTCCTCGGTGAGTAACCACGGCGCCCTTGGGGGTACCGGTTGTTCCACTGGTATAAGAGATAACGGCAATGTCATCGAGACCAGGGAGCTCAGGCTCGACCTTGTTCTCGGATCCGAGGCGCTCGAGCTCGACAATGGTGATTGTCTTGACTCCGTGTTCGTGCGCGAGTTTCTCGACCGCTTCGTCGGACTCGTCCAGAAGAATGATCCACTTGAGATGATGCAGGTGGGCCTTGATCTTGAGCAGACTCAGAGCCTTATCCTTGGTGGCGGCAACGATGGAGAGCTTGGACTGGTTGCAGATGAACTTGATGGCATCGGTTCCGAGAGTATCGTAGAGAGGAACGGTCACAAAGTTGCGAACAAAACAGGCGTACTCTGTGATGATCTAAACACAGGCCATAAGACACAGTGGAGCGTTAGAATCGGCGCATGCGTGCGAGATAGCCGGTGGCATCGAGCTTCATCAGGGAATGGTCTCCGTTAGACCACTCTGGGCGCGAGAAAGTGCAGCCCGCCACACTCAGTATACGGCCGCGAGCCAGGTCAGAAGGCTGTCGCTCAAGATGGCAAACAGTAGGAAGAGAGACGACAGAAGAGAGCGTACCCATTCAGGTCGGTTGATCGAGAAGATACCAATGTTGGCCTTCTTCTCGTCAGTGATCTGTCTGAAACCAGCTCTGGCGGAATGCATGGCAAAATCGAACGATTGGTCAGCACAGGATGCTCCAGAGTCGACGAGAATACTCGTACAAAGCGACTTGGCCGTGCATTCACCCGAGCGAACCCGTGTATCAGCGCTATCCAAGCCGGGGCAGCTGTTTCCCATGAGAGTACCGCCCCGGTACAGAGTGTGAGACCGCCCACGGACTTACCCCATGTTGTTGATGCGTTCATAGACCTCGTCATAAGTCTCCCAGACATAGGGACCAGCGACGCCGTCAACGACGATACGCCGGCCGAGGAAAGGCTTGTCGCCTGGGCAGATGTGGCAGATGAGATGGATGAAGCGGCAGGTTAGCGTTGTTGATAGAACGGTCTCCTTTCGCGCCCAGCTCGAAAGCAAGGCTCGGCAGCCAACAGGACGAGAGACAGCCGCATAGATCTAGTCGACCATGGAGCTGCAGCTTCCGGCCTAGAGACTTCAACCCAGCCCAACAGCATGAGGGACAGTCAAATCGGTTCAGCGACAGTGTCGAGGGCATACCGCCGATCTTGCGGCCGTTCAGGAAGTTCTCGTAGATTGACTTTGTGTTGGGAAGCTCGGAGATGAGGACACCCTCACCAAAGGGACTGAGACGGGGCTGGCAGCCGCGGCGAGGCGACGGAAGGGAGGACCGACCGCACGCAGCGTCGGTACAAGAGAATGATTCAATTAGAGACAAGACAAGGCCGTCGAGCATCGAGCATGAGCCGGCAGGAGGCAGGAAGACATGTGAAGCGTCCCAGCGGGAAAGGGCTGGCCCCCCACCCGCTCCAGCGCAGCGGCCGATGCAGGCGAGGCGACAGAAGGCAGCGGCATACCTTGCCCTCGCCGGGAATCTCCGGGGCGTCGGGGACCTCGATAGAGTATGGCCACTGCATGGTGCTGGATGGTCGAGATGAAGGGACGAGATGGGATGGGAGATGCAAGATGGCGAGCCGGCAGTGGAGAAAGCCCAAGGAAGCCAGAGGCCGCGAATGTCCAGGGGCAAAACGGGAGATCTGGCGAGACCGCCGGGGCGAGAGGACAACAGCGACAGAGAGCACAGGCAGTGCGGGGCCGAGAGCGCAGCGGGACGCGAGCGAGACGCAGTGCGACGAGCCTGTGCAACCAACGTGCGAAGCCACACGGCCCAGCACCAGTCGCACCGGTACGACCTGTGCCACCCCAGAGCGCCGCCTCCATTCACCGCATCCAGCCGGACCGGGCGACCGCTGACCACCCGCGGGCTCCCACGGGTTCTGTCGACAGACCAATCGCCGCGCCCTGTCGTCAAAGCAGCAGCCAGCCCGGGGCCAGGCGGCCGCCCGTCGCGAGCCGCTGGTGGTGCGAGCATCCCGGCAAAGAGCACGCTTGCACCCACCCGCACCCTCGTTGCTGCACTCTCCTGGCTCGCTGGAACGGGGATGGCTGCCGCAAGCCGCAAGGTTGGCTGGCTGGCTGGCTGGGTGCGGTCATGTCGGCAGCCGCGAAGGTTATGTCGCATGCCCGTGCTGGCGGCTGCCCTCGTGGCAGATCGAAACCAAGTTGCTTGGACAAGAAACTGGAAGCAGCAAGCAGGGAAACGCAGCACGCCGTGATACAGGCTTATGGCTGGTCTGAGGAAGGGGGAGCTGTCAAACAGCACCCAATCCCGAAAAATTGTGCAGAACCGCTCCGTCGGGCCGCCCTCCCGAGATGTCATTCGAGTCGCCTGGATCCTGTGTGGCGCAATCACCCTGGCACCAAGCAAGCGGTCGATAGCAGAGCCCCGAGGCGATGAGAGCGATCTGCAATGAGGCGGAGTGTCCGCCGAATGATGGAGCAAGCGAGGGTGTGTATGTGTCTCGCGCAGGCAGGGCGTGATGGTGATGGTGATGGTGATGGTGATGGTGATGGTGATGGTGATGGTGATGGTGATGGTGATGGTGATGGTGATGGTGATGGTGATGGTGATGGTGATGGTGATGGTGATGGTGATGTGATGGTGATGGTGATGGTGATGGGGATGGTGATGGTGATGGTGATGGTGATGGTGATGGGGATGGTGATGTCGTCGACCCGGAAGCTGGGACAGAGTCATGTGGATATAGGCACGCTACTCAACAGATTGGAAAGACCCTTTGGCTCGATCTGTTGCCATCTGTGCTCAAGGTCGAGTCAGTTGATAGAGTCAATGGTGGCGATCAACACCGGAGCGAATCCATCGCAGAAGGACTTCATCCCAGAGCAACTCCATGCCAGAACGACCCCATCCCAGAGCGATGCCGTCCTGGGCTGATGAGCGACAGGCTCACCATATAACGTCAAGGTTCCTTCGCTGGCTTTGCCAAATCAGTGAGATCAAAGCCGATCGGCCGTGAGGGGCGACTGGAGTCTCGTAGGTAAGCAACAATTTATTGCCTGTACCCTTCAACCGACTCCAGCGAGATGATCGCCTGTCTGCAACTTGCTCTCGATCTCTAAAGAGTGGTGGTAATGGGGATCATTTACTCCCAATGTGCAGAGCAGTGTCAGAGAGGGAAAGGAGAAGAGTGAGGGGGAGGAGGAAGAGGGGGATCAAAGGCGAGATATAGGCGGGGCCAGAACTTCAGTCAACCGTTGGGAGACGATACTCCCGATTGTTGCCAGGTTGACGAGAGCGTGCCAAAGGCGGCGAGGAGAATGCTGTATACTGGGGGTTGGAGGTCGGATCCTGAGTGCCGGGAATCGCTGGGCATCGTGGTGTTGTGGCCTGCAGTGTGCTTGTCGCGATGCTGTGGCCAGCACGATGGTGGTGGTTAAAGTGAAATGGATGGCATGGGTGGGATGAGTGGATGAGTGGGATGGGTGGTGTGAGTGGGATAGAATCGGAAACGAAGAACAGCCGAGGGTAGAGTTGCTAGGGATTGGGCTCGTCTGTGGGCTTGCTGTCCAGGATCGGAAGCTTTCGACCGCGAGGAGGCGGACGAGGAACTTGTCGAGCCAGCAACCCCGTGCCTTGCTTGGCCAGACGGACGGTTAGCGGCGTTGCGACTAGATCAAAGGTTGCCGGATGGGAGCCATTGCAGAGCGAGTGCATCCGTTTCAGCACAGTGTCGGCAGAAAGCAGAAAAGCACAGGCGGTGGCGACAAGTGTCGAGGCCCAGAGTAGCCAGTTCGTATCGCCGGCCAAAGGTTCCGACCGATCAGGACCGAGCATCCAGCCGAGCGATATCGATTTCAGGGTCATCCGAGGTTTGTTTAGAAGCAAGTTCGAACAGAGGCAGCACGGGCCCAGTATCCGCCGGCATCGGCATGGCGTGGGTGTCGGTGTAGGTGCGTGAGGGCGGGTGGAGGTGTGGGTGCGAGTGAGAGTGCGAGTGCCAGCCGGGCGGACATTGATGCACGGAGAAGGCAGGTTATTCCGTCGATTTGGTACGGGAGCGCCACCGAGACGGATATTGCGCCGAGGTGCACGGGGCGACGATTCGTCAGCAGGCGAGCGTGGGAGCCGCATTTTTCCGATGGCCAAGGGCAGCGAGTTCGTTGGTGAAGACGGCATCGGCGGTTGCGGCCAGTGGGAGAATGCGGCGCAGCACAGGAGCCAGTCGTGGAGAGCGCAAACCATGGTGAGGGTGCACGAGCGGAAGAACGGTTTTGCATTAGGTCGCATGTCCGCTGGGAGCCGGGAGGTCCGCATACTGCGGTCGCGGTTGAGCCACGCGCCCGAGTAGCCAGAGCCTCGGTTCTGGTGCCTTAAGGCCGGACAAAGCCGCCACGGCCACCGATTCGGATTTGCTGTCACAACCACCAGCATCGACCGCAGAATGCTCTTGGGGGGGGGATGCCTGCAGAAGCACTTCATGCCTCGCCAAGTGGCCACCCAGCAGCGCACCGCCCTCACCCGATCCGGCGAACTTGTAGCCCAGAATGACGCAGGAACCGTTGGTGCACCACCGACGACGCCCGTCAAGCAGGAGCCATCCGATACACAGTTCCACCTGCCCCCGATCAGGACAGCGTGAGGCATCCCCGCTGACACTAAAGATTGCTGAAGAGGTCGTTGTGGTACTCACGCTGCATTCCTGGGAATCGCTTCCAGCTGTAGGAGGTGAACGGGTCGCTGAGAACCGAGGCAAGTGCGGGTGCCCCGCACCGGATTTCTTGGCTGGCGGATCCCGAAGAGCGTCGCAGATACAGATTGCATTGTACCGGTACCCGTGGGGCAGTTCCGGGGCATTAGAACGGAAGCAGAGAGGTCAGTTAGCCTGCATGTGCACGTGTGGTTCTCTGTCGGGGATGGGCCATTGCTGTCCAGCTCGCCGTTGACAACCAGGTCGCGGCGATTTCGGCTCTCGGTCCTGCTCGCTCCAAGCCCAACAATCACAGCGCTGCGTTGGGTCGTCCACAGTCTCCAGCCCCACAAATACACCAAAGAACAGCCACTCGCAACCGCTATATATGCAGGTCGAAGGTACAAAACTACCAGCCAAGGGCCTGTCCGAGGCCCTCCCGTCCGGCCATTCTCTGCAGCTCGCTGCCATCGACGTTGACTCTGGCCCATCTCCTTCGGGTCAAGACGCTGCTCGCTCTTCCCCCCTTGGTCAGGCGCAATCCGCTTCGTAGGCTCCCTTTGCCCCTCCAGACTCTGTGATGCCACAGGCTGCAAACTTTCGCATGCGGTATGGCCTGCTATCCCTCCCCCAAGCTGCTGCAGCCGGCGACTGAAGGCTCCCCTTTGGATCCTCCCAGACGGAGCCGATGTCCGACGTGCAAATAACGCTCAGGCCCTCACCTGTGGAAGACATCGTTGAGAAAGAACTTGAGCCGGTACCGGCCCTCGACGCGGAGGCAGATTTGATCGAAAATGAAAAACACCCCTCGTTCCTCGTTCATTCCGGTCAAAAAGTACGACTGCGATACCAGGTTTCCGAACAGCGCCATATGGAGCGGAGGTGGGCCTGCCATAGGCGGTATTGTCGTGGTAGGCGATATCGATGCCACCCCGAGAGGTGACGACACAGCGGCTGGGGCTGCGGCTGCTACTGCCCTAGTCATGGATGCCACCGGCGGGGTCGATGTTGACGCTGATGCTAATCCTGCTGCCGTTGCTGCTGCGGATACCGATGCTGCCGAGGCTATCGCTGGAGTCGTCACGGATGTCGACGATGCTCCTGTTGAGCCGCTGCGCTGCGACGGCGCTATCACGTCCTCCGTCATGCCGTGCTCCCCGAGCTCATCGGGCCCCTCAGGATCGTCGTGGTCTTCGAGCTCCTCGGATTTTTCCGCGATCCGGGGCTTCGGCATCGCATCATACACAACAGGTGGCGCCTGCAGCAGCATCAGCGACTGGAGCTTGGCTTTGTTGGGTTTTCGTCCTCGTCGGGATATCGGCTTGGGTGTGAAGCTCTGGTCGCGATCGCCTTCGTTAGACCACAACTTGACGTGCACGACAAAATTGATGGCTTCATAGATGTCTCTCGGGCTGCATTACCGTTGTTGAGTATCCGGGCAGATATGTGATCAGTGAAATGCAGGCGGGCCTGTCGATGAATGCGGGCTTTGCCGCACGGGGCCCCGGGAACCAAGGAGCCCTCCTCCTGGATGCCTGGAATGAGCGTGCTGGGCTTGCAGTGTGGCCGAAGTTGGGCGATCAAACGCTCGCTCGTGCTTATTTGCTGTCCTTTCTTCCTTCCTTCCCTCTCTCTCTCCCTTCCTCGCAATAGCTGCCTGCTTTTGGGCTGGTCTGCCCCCGCACTGGTGTCCGGGGCCGTGCCAATCGCCGCTTACACGTCGCTGGCCAGCTCAAACCAACGTCGATGAAGCGTACGGATGCAGCCACGAAGGATGAGCGCTTCCCATAGTACCTCTTCAGGATCCGGCCGTCGGGCGTCCTGGCGAAAAGCTGCAGGATGCTTGGCGGATCTATTGGCCTAAAGTCCGAGCTATCGCCCCATCCACAGCTGCGAGCACGGCTGGGGTGCTGCAAGACCTCGAGAAAGTAGTCCCTGTACGTCGGCATGGAGTGGCAGGGGAGTGGCCCGAGGGTAAGTTGGGCTCGATTGTCAGTGGACACAATTTATCCACAGCCTCGCCCTCCGGCAGCTGTGTAGGCAAGAGAGAGAGCCGATCCTGCGGGCGCACTGCTCACGAGCGAGCCCGTCGCCACTCCTTTGGGGGGATGGCGACGGGCTCGCCCTGGTGGCTCCAGTCGATCCGGTTTCTGTCCCGTTCGATGCCTTTGGGTGCTTTTCCGCCTGTGCTTTTTTTTCCGCTCGCCTGGGACCAGCAAAGCGGGAAGGCAAGAGGGGGATACTTTGGGTTGCGGGCAACTGGGAAACGGCGAGGACGGCGGGGCGTCTCTGGCTATCCCGGTGCATACCTGCCACCGGCGCTGCTTGCCATCGGATGTGATTTGTGAAGAGGGAGCGGACGGTTGGATTCAGCCAGAGTGCGAGAACGCAAGAGTGGCGAAAGGCGGACGGGATGCCAGGCGGCCTGGAGCGCACCTTTTGCGCCGAGCAGAAGGGCAGCGCACCAACGGGCCCGTGGGGGGCGACCTTGGTCCTCGCCCGACGAATCGGGGAGGGAGGAGGCCAACGATAACACGGAATGTTGTCTTGGGTGGTCCACTGCCGAGGAGCCAAGTATCCAGCACCGGTGTACCCAGTGATGCCCATTTCTCCACCGCTTCCCAGCCCAACGAGTAGGCACGCCCTCGGGATCGCCCAGCTCCCCGAGCCAGCATCCGGTTGCCTTCACGGCCGAGCACGATCGCTGTGGGCTATTCGTGGTCTCTGTTTGTCGAGGGGCACTGACACCGAGGGCCGTCTCGATTGAGGGCGGGACGGAGCCAGAATTTTCCGCACGAATATCGCGAGCCGCGGCCCGGTAATTTTCCGCGGATGGGGGGGGGAACGAACCGGGGTTTCGCCGCAGGCGCCTGGAGGGCGGGGCACCGGCACCAGTCGCACACAGGAACACGGCGATGCAGCCAGACCCATCACAGCAACAGACTCCCGTCCATTGCAGCGCTGCAGCAGGCAGCGCATCGTCCTGGGAAGCGGCCAGGGAACCGTTCCCGTCTGTCCTCGGCTGCCCGGATTCCTCGCTGCGAGATTCTCCTCCCACCCGAGGACTTGGATGGGTGGTCGGGCCCCGCCTTCGGCAATATCTGGGCCATGAGGACGCAGGGCGGCCGTGCGCGTGTGCAACCCGCACCAGCGAGATTGTCCCAGCGAGAGCTGCCTCTTGATGAATCGCGCTGCTGCTGTCATGACGGTGGATTGCCCGTGAGCTTCCAAGATGCGCTGCGGTCGCCTTCACCATCGCCGTCGCCGTTGGCTGATACCCTCATCCGGTGCGGCTGCCGCTCGCGGATCTGCTGGCTGGCTGGCTGGCTGACTGGCTGCAATCGGCTGGACTGGCTGCGTCTTGGTTTGCGCCGCCAGTGTCGGCGTCGGATTTCCCCGCACGCCGAAAATGCCGCTGATTCTGTGCTGCTGCCCGCCGAAACACCGGTTCTGTGCTGCTGCGCGCCACCGGGGTCCGCCTGTGCAACGACAGGGAATTCTGTCCAATCGCCGTGCAGGGCCGAGCCGCCCGCGCTGCTCGCCTGCCATGGGCGGGCAGAGCGCGGTCCACAAGCGTTGGTTCTTTCCTGCATCGTCTCTGGGGCATCCCAGGCGTCTCCGAGACACTCCTGAGGCATCCCGGGCACCTCGAGGCTCTGCCGAGACGCTCCGAGGCGTCTGCAAGCGACCTTGGCTGGCTCGCATCGGGTCAACCACCGTCGCTGCGAAAATGCGTGGCTGCCGGCCCGTCGTGGGCCGCTGTCCCCTGTCCCGCCGGGGACCCCATCTCTGTCCATTTCTGGCAGTTGTACATCTCCCGGCCGCGCGCACACCGCGAGCCTCCGCCGCATCGGGGCTGGTCGCTGTCTTTTGCACTCCGCCTCTTGGCTGTCCCCAGGCCAAGCGGCCGCTGATGCGTCATCATCCGAGTTCCGGCGAGCGACGATCGACCGGCATGCACAACCGCGCTTCTCATGGCTGCAGCAATCTCGCACTTTTGGCACCATGCCGCCAGCTGGCGCATCGGTGTATTGTTGCAAACGCATCCTGCCCGCCTTCGCGGTATCAGTGCCGGCCTTGGCGGTCGCTTGGGATCCAGGGTCGTTGGCTTGCTGGGGGTCGGCAGCATTGTCATGGACTCCAGACGATCGCGATTCCCGCCCAGCCATTGCTGCCAGATGACAGCAGCAGCGTCACGACGGCTCGAGCGACGGCGAGGCTTTGCGAGGTCGCCGTCCCCGCGCCGACAGCAGCGACCCGATCGAGACCTGCAACTCCTTCATCTTCAGAGCCTGGCCCTCCTCGATCTCATCCAGCTCGTCTTCGCGCTTGCGGATCTCGTCCTTCAGCCTGGCAATCAGGAGATCCTTCTGGTTCATCAGCGCAGTCAGCTTTTCGATCTGCATCTGCAGATTCAGCTCGACCTTTCCGTGATCCTCGCGCAGCTTCAGCATCTGTGTGTTCAGCGCCGCAATGTTCTCTTGCTGAGAATGCTCGGACCTGCGTGCATCTTCGCATCGCTGTCGCATGTGTCCCAGCTCGCTCTGGACTGTCGTGAGCTGTGCTTTCATGTCCGCCAGCTGCTCTTGCAGTTGGATGCGCAGATCCTGGTGCCGCTTGTTCTCCGTCTCGCGATCAAGGAGCGACTGGTTATATGTGTTGATCTGTGTCGTTAGTGTCTGTTGCAGCTGAGCGTTCTGGTGCTTCAGGTACTCGATCTGCTCTTCCAGCTCTTTCCGCTTGAGTTCCTGTGGGGCCAAGCCGGCGGAAGACTCTACTCCGTTAATGACAAGCCCAACCGACACGCGGCCACCCAGGGGAGCGACAGAGTAATCCAGTGATGTCATGAGCTTGTGGGAAATGCTGTGTATTTCGTCATCCATACCTCGTCTCGTTGATGTCGCGACTCGGCTTCTGACATTTGATCGAGCAGATGCCGCTTCTCAGAGACCAGCTTGGCTTTCATACTGTCAAAGTTCTGAATGTTCAGATTTGGCAGTCATTCAGAGAGATGGTAAATGCTCCAGCCCAGGTCCACTCGCAAATCTCATTGAACAAGAGGGCTAGAGCGAACTGCCCCTTCAAGCAAATGGTGCCCATTGTCGTCAGTATTAGTATCGATTTTCAACGTACCTGGTCTGCCTGCGTCTTGTCGTGCTCGAGCTGCCTGATCCGCTCCTCCAGCTTGCGGACACGCTCGTTCATCTCCACGTCCTTGGACTCGTCCAGAGCTTGCATTTTCTTTTGGTGGGTCGCCTCTTGCCTCTGCAGTTTTTCTGAATCCCAAACGAATCAGCGAGCTCATACAGCAAAGGGAGAGATGAGCAGCCCCGACGCCCTGCATCGTCGATCCTCCCCTGAATTCCACGCCATGACCTCCAGCCCTCAGAAACACAAGACGATGACTTTGCAGTCCGTTCTTGGGATCATACGCACCTTCCCACATCTGAAAAATCGACTTTTCTCGCTCCTTGGCCTTGCTTGCATCTTCCAGCAGGATAGCCTTGTCCTTCTTCAAGACCTCAAACTTTACTTCCGTCTCCTGAAGCTTGGCTTCGAGCTCGAGGGACTTGCGAGAGAGCTCAGAATTACTTTTCTGAAAGAGCTCATCGGACTTTGTCCGTTTCTTTCGGCCGACCGTGCCCAGCCAGCGTTGAGTGAGTGAGTGAGTGAGTGAGTGAGTGAGTGAGTGAGTGAGTGAGTGAGTGAGTGAGTGAGTGGTAGTGATAATGAGAATGAGAATGAGATCACGCCACTGAGCGGAATCCCAAGATCACCAATCGGCTGAAAGCGAATCGAGTGTTTCGAAGAGCCATGCCCCAGACCAGCTCTTGTACTCATGCCCACAAGCAGGCCGAAGCGCACCCTCGTCTGCCCAAACTTATCGTACTTCACGTTCCATTGCCACTTCCTTCTGTAGTTGCTCGAGCTTCTCGCGGGTCGCCTTTCTTTCATGAATCAGCTGCATTTCCGTCTCTTCCTTCTCCTTCGTAACACGAGCCAACTTGACTTCCAGCATCTTGCACTGCTCCTGCCCAGCCTGTATCTCTTGGCTGGCAAGATCCAGCTTAGTAGTCAGCGATCGAGCTGCTGCATCCGAGCTCTGAAGCTTGGTCGTCATTTGGGATATGGATTCCTGATGAGACATGTTGAGAGCTTGCAGGGTAGCTGACAGATGATTCGAGTGCAGGCGAGTCTGAAGTTCGTGGCTTTGGCGATTGCGGTTCCGCTCGAGGGTTGCAACTAGCGATCGCGTTGTCAAGACATGAGCTCCACAGTGGTTGCGTGCTTACTCTGGAGCACCGTCCAAACGCTCAGCCTAACCCGCTCCAGAGACAGAGAACACTCAACCCCGTGGTTCATCTCATCACATCCTGGTGTCGTTTCCTGCAATCTTATCCAGCCTGCGAAGCGCTCCTAGGCTGGGCAAGTACAATCCATTTCCTCCCTTCCTCCCTCCCTGCTCAACGCAGCAGCTGCACTTTGGCCTTGGGCATCGGAGCATCGATTCTTTGGTAGATCTAACCGTAATCCAGCTCCAACACGGATGTAGCACAGTGAACTTACTCAGCGATTTCGCAACATCTTCAGGAATCTCATTCCCAGTGAGGTCCAGCTCCACCAAGACCATGTTCCATTTCATTAGATCAACGAAGGCTCGTCCACCAATGACGCCAGCGTTGTTCCACCGCAAATCTTCCGAAATTGGATTTAGTAGACTCAGAGGCCGCTTGTCCAAGCGCACGACGCGAGCGAGGCGATCTGATCAGTAGTGGAAGGCGGTACGGCGTATATGTACACTCACCAAGTCTTTTGAGCGATGTGTTGTGCTTGAGACAGAACGCGAGCGATTGACATCCCTGTGGGCCGATCTTGTTGTTTCGCAGGTCCAGTTCCTCCAGCGACTGATTGATGGAAAGAGCGTCGGCCAGGGCCTTGACCCCGGTTTCCCATATGCCGATGCAATTCCATTCCAGCATCAGACTTGAGACCACCTCCCAAACGATAGGGCCCGAGAAGCAAAGTCCGTGGAGAAAAGTCAGTTCGTTGCGGCGCCTCCAAGTAACTATTCAGCACCACCGACCTGCATGTATCGCCAATTTGGATGCAAGCCAGAGTTACAGGAACAGGTACTCCAATACCCGCAGGGGAGTATATGCCACACACACTCCTGCCCAAATATAGCTCTCGACCATCGCGGAAAGTTTGCTGGAGCTGACGCCTGGGAGTGATGGAAGCGTTTCTCACCTCTTCAGAGTGGTGTTGACCTTGAGCATCTGGGCAAGCGCTGTGGCGCCATCGGAGCGAATGTTGTTGCCGCGCATATCCAGATGCGTGACGGATGTGTTGGTTTTCAGTGCACTAGCGATGATTATGCATCCTATGGGCGGCGCCGTTGTAAAGACCGTAGGGCACGACGGATGGAGGGAGAGATATGGTCAGATCATGGCCAAGCCATCCTCTTGCGATTGGATCCAGTGCGTTCAAGAATGAGATCCCGCTGGCGCTTCGTACCGTCATCGCCCAGAAAGGCATCGGCCACGATCAGCCGGGTAAAGAGTGCCGACTCCGAGAGTGCCGCAGCAAGGGCTGTGGCTCCCTTGATGGAGAGCGGATGCGCCGATAGATTGAGGACATCGCGTAGCTTGTCGTCGGCGGACTCCTTGGGGCCGGTTGGGAGCGACAGATGATTTAGGATCGTCGGAGAGGGATCGACGCCGAGACTCAGGCATTTTTGAACGTATTCTTGCTTGAATGTTTCCATCGCTGGCTGCGTCGCGTGGTAATCTCGGATCGGAAATGAAAGCAGTTTGGTGCAGCACGCGATGGGTCACTGCGGCGCTCGACAAGCGATGCGGGCGACTGTTGCTGGGCTGTTGTCCCGGTCGACTGATTCAGCTCTGGGGGAGACTAATGGCCAAAACAGACTTGCGTCGGATAGGATGGACCGATGCTGGACGTGGTGCGATGATGATGATGATGATGATGATGATGATGATGATGATGATGATGATGATGATGATGATGATGATGATGATGATGATGATGATGATGATGATGATGATGATGATGATGATGATGATGATGATGATGATGATGATGATGATGATGATGGCAGCGGGAGGATGGCAAACAGGGCAGTTCACCTTTTGCACCTGCGGCAGAAGCGATCATACAAACGATCGAGCCTGATAGCTCCACCCGGCCTGGTTCTGTGGCCTCGCCCGGTTTGCGCGCTGGTTGCCAGAGGTCCGCTTCGAGATCCGGCTTTGGCGGGATACTCATGCCATCCAAGATCGTGGTGGTCAAGCGGTCCCCTGGCAGAGATCGATGGCAACCAACCACAGCCACGATGAATCCGCGAGAAATCATGGACTACTCCAATGCAGCCGGTCTATCCCGAGACCCACAGGCGCCTCCGTTGCGCCGCTGTCCCGTTGTCTCCTGGGAGAGCCGCACATCGCACACTCTCCAGGAACGCACTTCCCGCTCCCCGATCGTTGGACGTCGCTCAACTTCCGCCATGCCCGGGGCGGCCTGCGTCCTGGCAAGCTTTGTCCGCTGCGGGCTCGCCATCGTCCTGCACGCGTGCATTGGTTGCTCCCATCTGCGATTGGCTGCTGCCGATCGTCAGATCCTGTGGCCTTTGTCTCCTGAATCGCAAAAAAAATGATTTCGCCGATCCCGTTGCAGCCCGGCCCTGGATTGGCCGCCTGCATTGGCTGATGGCAGACCAAAGACTGCGCTTTCTGTGCGATAGCGCCATTGATACGAGCCACAAGGAAACCACTCCAAAGAAGCAGGCGAAGAAAAAAAACTCGGTTCTGTTGCTCAAGGAAGGCCCACGCAGACTCGCCCGCAGCCCGCCCGCGCGGAGCACTCCGGCCAGATTGCCAGCAAGCCAAGGCCACTGGCCTCGCGTCTCTCGACCCACCATCCCCTGCCTCTGGCTCGTCTCCCTGCTCTTGGCTCGCTCGCAGATCAGTCCTCCGCCCTGTCTGCTCTTCCTCCTCGCCCTTCATCCACACCGTCCTCCGTCTTCCGTCCCGTCCCGTCTCATCCCTCGCCATGGCGTCACTGCGATTCCTGAAAGGTTCGTTGTCTGTGGAACAAGCCCAGCCAGGGCGGTCCAGCCTTCGACTCGGTGTTAGTCATAGTTCCGTCGCGGTCGTTGGTGTGTCGCCTTGGAGGTGTTGGATCCTGGCCTCTGTTTCTCTGAGCAGCGGCCAGATCCCTTGCCAGCTGAGTCGCTCGCATATACCACTTCCGGCTCTGGCCTTGAGCGCCTGGAACTTGGTCTTGGCTCTGCTGGATGACAGGTCGCTCGGCTGCTTGCTTGGCTCCGTTCTCTCTGACCAAGCCAGCATTTCCTCTGACGGCTCATCGGTATATCCACTTCGGCTCGAACTGTCGCTTGGACACCCAACGATTCTGTCTGGGTCCGCGATACCTCACATCCAGGATTGAAGCCTGCTGCTGCTGCTGCTGTCCACTGTGGCTCGGCCCATGCATTCTCAACGGCCGCGTCGACCCCCAAAGTGTACAAGCCATCGTTCCTGCGCCGAAATCGAGGCAAGATCCTGGCCTCGCTTGCTGTCATCGGTGCGGCCGGCTTGGGTTATGAAGTCTATGCCGCCCGCCATCCCCAGGCGCAGCTGCCCTGGGACCACACCAAGAAGACCATCGCCATCCTCGGCTCGGGCTGGGCTGCCACCTCTATCCTCAAGGACCTCGACACCAGCGAGTACAACGTTGTCGTTGTCAGTCCCCGCAACTACTTTCTATTCACTCCCCTGCTCCCCAGGTGCGTATCTCGGGCCAGTTGGCAGTACCGGCTTTATCTCCCTTGGTTGTGGTGCATTGCCGTTTTTCCGGAGCGTGCATGTCGGGGTTGCATGTGCGTTCGTTAGCCGGCGAGTGAGTGGCGGGCCGTATCGTTCACCGTCATGTGAAGCAAGCGGATGCAGTCCCCCGGCCTTTCTCGCTGCATGTCCATTATATGGCGGCCTTTGCCGAATCCCACGCTACCACCGATACCGTGCCCCAAAATCACCTGGAGCTCGGCCGCTGCACAATCTTGAGTGCAAGAAATCAGCGCCGTGTATGTAGAGCTTGCAGATGTGCCGGCACAATGCTGATCCTCTCCATGGCCTCAACAGCTGCACCGTCGGCACAATTGAACTCCGGAGCATCATGCAGCCCATGCGATACATCACCCGCCACAAGAAACGACAGATCACATTTGTCGAAAGCAATTGCACCCACATCGACCCTGATAGCAAGCTGATCACAGTCGAAGGTACAGAGGGTTTAGAGTGATCTGAGATCGTCACGACGAGGGGGCTCAGTCTATGGACTGTGACAATCGGTTCGTGGAGCGGGCTGGTCGTGGTACTTTTGCAGTGACAGCCAGCCTTGGCGTCAACAGCAAACCCTTGATATCCGAGTGGAGATCGCTCTGATAACCCCGCGGTGGTGTACGACCCAACAGATAACTCGGAGATTGTGGGACTCGTCTCGAAGCAGCTTATTCCGTACAACTACCTCATCGTGGCCTGTGGAGCCGAAAATGCCACCTTTGGCATCAAGGGTGTCCGGGAGAATGCTTGCTTCCTCAAGGAAGTTTGGTGAGCTTCACATCCGCACCTGGATGCACATTTTGTACCGCCGGATGGAGCACCGCTTCTGACCCATTCATTGAGGCGCCACATCTGTATCTGCTGCTCACTCTTGGGGCACCCAATCGCAACCGACTTTCCAGGGACGCCCGCAAGATCCGCACGAGGTTGATGGACTGCATCGAAACGGCGGCTTTCCCGGGCCAATCTCCCGAGGAGATCGAGCGACTCCTGCACATGGTTGTTGTTGGCGGTGGTCCGACCGGCGTCGAGTATGCTGCCGAGCTCTATGACTTTTTGCACGAAGACTTGGTACGTAGCCCCGGCCTTGGGCGGCGGATCTGGTGCTTCGTTGCATTAGCTTTTGTGCCGGGCGCACCCGCTGAAGGTTTGAATCGGGCTGGAGATGCTGTCAGATCAACTCTAATGCCTTGTCGACGCAACACTTGCTCCTGTTGGGGCATCTCGCTTTCGACTGTACCATGTATCATCGGATCCACGGCGCCACCGATCCGGTTTTCTGTATTGGCCACATCCCATCCATGCCGGGAACGCTCTCTCCGGACCAACAGAAGGACTGGTATCCTGAGCTCGCCGGCAAGATCAAGATCACACTGATCGAGGCACTCCCTCATGTCCTGCCCATGTTTAGCAAGAACTTGATCGACTATACCGAGAAACAGTTTGCGGACCAAAAAGTCGAGATCCTGACCAATACTCTCGTCAAGGAGGTTCAGCAGAAAGAGATTACGGTGCAGAACGCAAAGAAGGAGATTGAGTCCATTCCCTACGGTAGGCTCCCGCCCACACCAGGGTGTCGGTCAACTGGCTTGGGGCGCTTGCTGGACCGCTCATTTCATGTGGCTGTCCACAACTCCGTGTATTTCCTGTTCCTCACCCGCATCGTCACGTAGGTCTCCTCGTTTGGGCCACTGGCAACACTGCTCGCCCGGCTGTCGCCGACTTGATCAAGCGACTTCCTGAATCGCAAAAGCAAAGGCAAGTGCATATCATAGACCACCAAAGACGGTCGGTCACCAGGGGCGCCGACGTTGCCACAGATCTAGAACGGACTATGGGCCGTCTGCTCTACGGACCATGAGCCACCGCACTGGGAGCTATGCATCGATTCAAAGCTTTAGTCTCCGGAGCGAGCATACACCGAGCACGATAGCGATGCGCCACCGCGCATTGGCAGCTTGGTGACTTGACGAATGCTTACCGATTGCACGGTGGATATATGTATATCTCTTAAACGCATCCTGTAGACGTGGCTTGGAAGTCGATGACTTCCTGCGTGTCAAGGGCGCGACCGACATTTACTGTCTCGGAGACGCTTCTGCTTCCAAGTAAGTATCTCTGGTCGCTGGCATGTATCCCGAGGACACAGGTGCAAATGCAAATGCAAATGCCACCATGCTCTGGACTCCTTCCAGCTCCCCGCTTGATACGAAAAATAGCTTTGCATCAGCCCGAGGCCAGCCATGTCTCCTTGGATCGGATGAATGTCCATTCTTCACGCTTACCATTGACTACTTTTCAACGCGATCGTTTTAAATTTGCAAATAGATGGGCCCCCACTGCCCAGGTTGCGAGTAGCCAAGGTCGCTATCTGGCAAAGTATTTCAATAACCTCGCTGAAAAGGAAAAGGCCCGAAAGCTGCTTGCAGCCACTGGCGGAGATCCCAGCACCATTCCCGATGAAGACCCCTTCGAATACGATCATCGCGGCACCCTTGCGTAAGCACACGGGCGGACTGCCCAGCACCAAGGAGTTAGATGGTCCCTTGCCATCATCGGGAAGTGGCACTGCAATGTGGTTTACTCATCCATGTGCTTTATTCGCTGTCGACTGGACAGGTACATCGGCTCTGATAAGGCCATCGCTGATCTGCCCGGTAACATCCACGTCGGAGGTGCGCTGACCTTCTATTTCTGGAGAAGTGCCTATCTAAGCAAGTAAGTACCTCGCTTATCCGGTCGGGGCACCTCCGGAGCTTGCTGCAAAACCGTTCGTAACGGCTCGAGCAGCAGACGACCGAGACCATTTTGCTCAGATTCTTGCTGTAGGCCCGTATTACCGTCCACACACTTGGCTCGTACTAATTCGTCACGAATGTGCATTCCAGATTGTTTTCTATTCGTAACCGAGTGCTGGTTGCATTCGACTGGACCAAGAAGATTGTCTTTGGCCGGGACATTGGACGAGAATAGGTTCTTTGCCAATCTCTACCCCGACCTCTTTCTCGACCCCTTCTCGATCTGTATCCCTCTCCAATCCTATGGCGCGCCTGCTGCTGGGTTGGATCTGTTGGCATCGACGGCTTGACAGCGACCCAAGCCCGGCCTCCCAACAGTTCCCAACGACTTCCTCCTTACACGGGCCTAGCGCTTGCCCCTCATTCTATTTGCATCCGTGTCCTTCAGCCAGTTCGCTCACTCGATAGGTCCGCCGGGCAACGTCGTTAACTTTTGCATCATGATTTTAGCGGATGGATATGAACCGCCGCCGACTTCTCAGGCGGCGGGGAGCATCCTGCTTTCGATATATGCTTCCTTTACTTCATCTCATAGAATGCCCAGGTTGACTGGGATGTCGCATTTGGCATTCATTTTCCCATTTGCATTGCATGTACCGCTCCAAGTGACTTGAAGCTAGTTCGTTCGCATTGCTCTTCCAAGAAATACACAAACACGCTTGGATTCCCAGAGTCATCGCACGGTTGCGAGCGCTCCACGTTGCTGGCAAGTTCTCATCGGCGTGTTGCGGAGCATGCCAGGCGAGTGTGTATTCAAGATCCAGAGAACAGCAAATGCCATCAGGCAGGGTGCCAGTTTCGTGTTGCAGGCACCCTCCAGTCCTCCTGAGCGAGGCAGCAGTATGTTCCCTGCAAGTTTAAGGGCGCTCTGTTGCGGTTATAGATGCAGGACTTGAATCGCTGCTTGCGCTGCGGCCAACCCCTTCCAGTTGACTGCCTTGCCCTGCCATTTGTCGTTCCGACCCCCACCTTTGACAGAGTCCCCACAAGCATTGGCAAAGCACTTGACAATCTGATCAACCCCAACTGCATTTGGGCCTTGGATCACGACCATGCCCCCTTCCTTTGGAGATCCGACAGTCACGACGCAATAGATCTGCGGGCATCGTTCGACGACTACTTTGACCATTGCCGATGCAAAGTCTGCATCGCCGTCCTCGCGATGGTGGACTAGAACTTGGGCAGGCTCAGCGGAGGAGTTCAGTTCGAGGGTGAGCTTGAAGGCCAGCAGCTCGGCAATCTCCTTGGTTTGATCTTTGGTCCGCTTGAGCACGATGCGCAACTGCTGGCTTTGGCGGGTGACGGTCTCGACAAAGCTCTCGGGGCCTGTTGGTGGACCAGGTCAGCATCCGCCAGTCGAAGGCTCATGTGCGGAGAACGATGGATGAGCCTCCCCCCCCCCAACAGGCTCTCCCTGGACTCGTACCAGTGTTCAAAAGAGGGCCCAGCGCCCGATCTCTCTCGAGCGAGGCCTGGAGCGCCGCCACCACGCGATCGCCAAAGACAAAGTTGACTCTCTGGTGCTTGCCGCCACGGATTCGTTCGAGGGAGAGGATCTTCAGGACCTGCAGCTCAGCAGTGCTTTTGACATGCGTGCCGCAGCACGGATTCCGATCCAGCTTGCCAATCTCGACCCAGCGGACCACGCCCCGGTCGATGTCGTTGGGCATAGACTCGGGCTTGGCTTTGGTCTCGTCGTGGTCATCCTCGTGGACGATCACTGATAGGTTCTGGCGAATGACCTGGTTGACCCGCTCTTCGATCTGCAGGAGGATTCCCATATCAAGCTGGGCTGAGGGTGCAGGATGGTTTGCGGTTGGGCTCAGATCGACGTAGTTGCGCTCTTTCCCAAGCATCCTGGTTCGCAGTCAAGCACACAAGAGCCAAGTCAGTGGGTAGGCTCCCTGCCATATGGGACATCGCATACAAGAATAGCAACCACTGCGAGGCCAGATCGGACTTACCAACCAACTGTGTCCCAGTTGAACTCGGTCTCGGCGATGGCCGAGAGGAGATGTTGTCCCGAGTGTTGCTGCATATGGTCCCATCGGCGCTTCCAGTCCAGCACGACGACGACCGTCTGGCCCACCTCCAGCGAGCGAGGAACCACATGGACACACTTGAGACCTATTCGCTGGACATCCAGCACCTGGACGGCGATGGTTTGCTGCGGATTCGAGACGTCCTTGAGGACAAGCGTGCCGAGATCGTTCGGCTGGCCACCGCCTGTGGGGAAGAGGACGGTGTCCGAGAGGACAACATGGAAGTTGCCCGAGTCTTTGGCTGCGCTGACCTCGACCACGGTCGAGTCAATCGATTGTCTGTAAGAGTCTCTCTGGCAAGCCAGAGCACCAACTTCGGCCGACGTCATTGCTGGCGGGGGAGGCGCCGTGAAGCGAACGAGCAGACGCTGGAGCCGGAGCAGGCGTCCGGGCTCTCAATGTCCCCAGCCCAGCGAAGGCGAGGGCCCGCCGAGGGCCCGCCGAGGGCGCACCTCCTGGTTTCGCCCCCCTGGTATCCATCTGGCATCCATCTGGCATCCATCTGGCAGGTCCGAGCGAACAAATGGCCTACATAGGCCCGGGTAAGTCAGGCTACCCGCACCTTGGGCCCTGAGGAGGAATAGAGTTCCACCCAACTCGCTCCAGTATTGAACCCATGTGGCTTACCCCATAATAACTCTCGACGTTCAGACGGCACCATCCGTCAGCGGAAGCCGGCCTTGGCGTGAGTACTCGCCGCAGAGACCTCGTTGGCATCGTATAGATTCTGAGCCATGGCTTTGATTGCATAAACGAGATCTGTCTCTCTTTCTGCAGAGATTCCAGGCTATGAATCCCACAAATATGGGGCTCCTCCTGGTTGACCACACGTACTGATATACATGACACTCTTGACCGGACGCTTCGAACATCGACGCAGTACCCTGTGGCGCTCGCTCTACGGCATCATCAATGCCGTCTATCTGTTTGCAGTATCCCTTGTGTCGGTAAGGAAACGGTGGCCGATACAAGAGCTGCCAAACAGGGGGTGTGCTCTACATTTGTCAGGTAAGCCATGATCGAGCGGTGCAAAGACACCGCAGCTAACCCTCCCTCCCTCATTGATGTCCCTATAAGCTGGGGGATCCCCCTCGCCCAGCACGAAGGCCGGAGGAGTCGACTCGCAATCGCTGGAGTGGAAACCACACCAATCCCCGTATCCGCGGATTGAGAGACGGCCCTGGGGCCGGCGACTCCTGGTGGGTGTTTGTTTTGCTCTCGCAAAAATTTGCAGCAACTCTTTGGCAGCCTCAGACTCATCCAAATTCCTCTGAACCAGCAACGCGCCAGCAATGGGCGGGTAAGTTCGGCGACTTTGCTGGTCTGGTTCGGGCAACACAGTAGCGAGCTGGGTTGCCCATCAATGTCCCGGAGCAAGCCGAGGCCGATATAACAACTGATTTTACAATTGATTGGCAATTGATTGGACAGATGAGCTCGGTAAATGGTCAGCAGCGCTTGGACGTTTCGTCCACGGTCGCTGGCGCTTCCGGTCTTGAGCACCCTGCGAGATTAACGGGCAGGGGGCTTCAATCGCTCGCATACCGCGAGCAGCCGGTGCCGGAGACTGAACTCGCTGCTGGCCGTTGGCTCTTGTAGCGAATGCACTCAACGGAAAGAGGCGCTGTGGGCTCCTCCACAGTGTTGAAGATGAATCGTTGTGCCGAAAATCACATTGTGAAAAGCTATACGAGGACATAAGCATTTAATACAGATCCATCCAGAATGAACAAGGAGTCTGGTACCTGATGGCTGTGTCATCCATCTCGCAGATTCCGGTTTGCGGATGTCCTGATCCACTCGGTGATCTGGGCCGCCTATCGGCGTTGGTATTATGCGCAGATCACCGGATAGCACTTAGCCGATGAACGTATGTCAACACTTGGCTCTCTCTCTCCCATTGATAATGGCTGCACAATTCAGCGAGGGATTCTAATTGTTGAGGGGAATACATACGTCCACAACGACCGTGGCGACAAAGGACATGCATCCGAGCGAATCGTTCGCCCAAGTATATTGATGTCGATAAAACCACGTTATGCACTGCTGGGACTATGCAGCCTTCATATCGTCGGGCTGCAAGCCTGTGCTTACTTTAGCAGGTTCCAGATATAGGAAGGGACAATCTGGATTTCCTTTGCGCTTGCAGCATTATTCGTTGCGATACTTGCTATGAGCAGCGGGTTCTACAGTTTTGCTCTCAGAGCACAACAGCCGGGACAGCTCGCAACGACGAGGCATGAGACGCAGGCAAAGGGCTTGGTTCTGGCTCTGGCTCTGGCTCTGGCTCTGGCTCTGGCTCTTTATCGGCTGCAACTTCAGCAAGATAGACTGCCTCCTGTCTCTCATGATCAATATACTTGATGGCCTTGATACCCTTCTTCCATCGGTAGATGAGGAGAAATGCAACAGCAAGGACCACAACGCCAAAGATTCCACCAAGAGTTGCCAGGAACTCGTTCAGATTAAAGCTGTTTGCGACGGGATTCTGAGCGGACTTTTTTGGCACAGCTTTCGGGTCTCTGGGTATAGCATAGCTCTTTGGTAAAGGCGGTCGGTGAAATGACTGCCAGGGATTTGAGGTTGGGAGGCTGTCGAGATAGCCGGGCGGAACGGGAGGATAGTGAACATTGATCGTGGCCGTCGGTACTACAGCTGCGGTAGTTGTGGCATTCAACGCTGAAGCTGCGGTAGTTGTGGCAACCAGCGCTGCAGCTGCGGTGGTTGTGGCGAACACATTCGGGATGGCGCTGGTCGCTTCCAGGGAGCTGAGAACCTGGACGGTTGCTGCTTGAGCGGACATGATCCTCGAGGCGAGTTGGGGTGGAATGGCTGGAACGACAGGTAGAGCGGCAAGTAGAAGTGGCAAGTATACCGGCGAGCAAAATAACTAGCCAGGGAGGGCGAGGGTGATGCCCCGCGCTGGAGAGGCCGGGCGGGGTTGTTTGGCCCTGGCCTTCGCCCATGGACATCCCATGACCGCGCGAGCTTTCGGGCGCGCACAGGTTTGGAGCCCGGAAAGCGGTGTGCTGCGCATCGATAGTAATGAATTCATTCGGGGGCCGGTGCTGCGCTCGGTTTTTTTGGCCGGTCGTTCAAAGCCGGTGACTCGTGTGGATGCCCTGGGTCTCGGCCAACGACCAGACGACGCCATGGTGAAACGAGGCAAATCAAAGACCTTCGCCGTCCAAGAGAAGCAACCAAAGGCAGGAAAGTCCCGTCGCTCGGACGAGCAGGACGCGGATTTGCCAGAGCTCTTTATGACAAGCCAACAGCCAGACCGTCTTGGGAAGGCTGGGCGTTCTGGTGTTGCGGGCAAGTCTCGAGAAAGGACATTTGTGAGCGACGGAGAACACACGGCCGACAAAACAGGGCGACCGTCTAGTCACGACGAGGGTTATAGCGAGGAAGATGACGAGGAAGAGCGGTCGCCAGCAGAACATGTTGGAAGCTCTGACAACAGCGACTCCGAACGCCGTCTGGAGGACATCCCCACCAGCGACGGCGCAAGTGTCGAACCAGAAGGCAATCAGGATGATGACGATGATGGCAACGCAGCTGCGGACGAGGACCAGGACAACTCTGGCGGGTACGATAACGCACCTGCAAAAACGAGCCACACGTTTTCCGAGCTGGGACTCAACCCGTGGCTAGTTGACGCTCTCAAGTCGCTCTCGATTCGGACAGCCTCTGAAATCCAAGCGAGCTGCATACCCATGATCCTCGCAGGTGAGGCTCCGTGCTGTGGCCATCTATTTCGGATGTATTGGGCGGTATCTACTCTCGGCCCAGCAAGTCGCCGCCGTCGTGTTTCTCGGATCTCTTGCTCATGCACAGAAAACATAGGACGCAACGTAATTGGCAGTGCCAAAACCGGAAGCGGCAAAACCGCAGCCTTTGCGTTGCCAATACTTCAAAAGCTTGCCGAAGATCCTTACGGCGTATTTGCACTGGTGTTGACTCCGACCCGGTAGGTGGATGGCCTTCGGAAGGGGCGCGCGACACTCGAGACAAAAATACTCGGACGATATTTTCCTGACTCCATTTGGTTGCTCTCGCTCACCAGGGAGCTTGCTTTTCAGATTGCGGAGCAGTTTCGTGTCCTTGGCGCTGGAATCAACCTCAAGCAGAGCGTAGTAGTTGGTGGCATGGGTATGATCGACATTGCATATACGCCCAGACCGACTCTGTAACGATGCGCAACTGTGACTCAGCGACTCACAATGCTATTTTCCCTGACGCTTTCTTATAAAGACATGATGGCGCAGGCTATTGAGCTGTCGAAACGGCCTCATGTCGTTATAGCCACTCCAGGGCGACTGGTCGATCACATCCACAGCAGCAGCAACAGCATTCACTTCAAGAGGCTCAAATTCCTGGTAATGTGTCCGATTGGCAGCATCTAAGCGATACCGCGAGAAGCGATTGCACGGCGGCTCTTGAGCATTAACGTGCAGCCACGGCACTATAGGTTCTTGACGAAGCCGACCGAATGCTTGAGGATACTTTTGCCGACGATCTCCAAGTCATTCTCCAGCAAGTTCCTCAGAAGCGACAGACTCTACTCTTTACCGCGACCATCACCAAGGATATCGAGGGCCTTCAGCTTGATCCAAACACCCAGCCATTTGTATATAAATGTGCCGAGAAGTAAGTTCATATGGATCTCTATGGGTCAGCTTGTTCCTTTCCATGGCCTAACCGGCTACCATACAACACTTCCAACTTTTCCGGACGCCGTAAACAGATACGACACGGTCGAGAAGCTGGACCAGCGATATCTCTTTATTCCATCCACGGTGCGCGATGCATATCTCGCACATATTTTGCGGAACGACTTTGACGGCAAAACCGCCATAATTTTTACGAGCAAGTGCCGAACTTGCGAGCGGATTCGCGTTATGCTTCGCGAGCTCGGACTCAAATCGACAGCTCTACATGCCGAGATGAGCCAAGCAGATCGCATCGGCTCGCTCGCTAAATTCAAGAGCAACATTGTTCCGATTCTTATCGCCACGGATGTTGGCAGCCGGTGAGAAACGAGCACACGGGCCAGGTGGCTGGTGGGAGCGGCGGTGTCCTCACAGTCAAGGCAAAGCGTATCCCATGTGTGTGCGCTCAAAGCTGATCGTGCCGGCGAAATGCTTTTAGTGGCCTGGACATTCCTACTGTTCAAGTTGTCATCAACTATGAGCTGCCTGCCGATGCCACAGACTACATCCATCGAGTGGGTCGCACCGCTCGTGCCGGCCGTGGGGGTCTCGCGGTGTCAATGGTGACGGAGCGCGACATTAACGTCTTGCTGAACATTGAGGGCAAAACAAGTAAGTGACTTTGGCGTCTGATACGCATGCCAGGCAGAGCTCAGGCGTATCATTCAAGACACGTGCGCACCTGCTGTGTGAACAGGAGCTTAACGGGTACTACCCTCCGACCGCCGAAAAATGCAGAGAAGAAGCTGACCGAATACAAGGTCGAGGAGCAGGATGTGCTTGAAGCTCTGAATGAGGTCTCTCTGGCACGGAGAGTTGCAAATATGGTATGTGCTGTGAGGGCGCAGCTAGATTGCAACGTATGGATGCGCCGCCGAAGATGAGCTTGTTGCGCCATAAAGCCGGCCCGCATCACAATGGCCTGAGCTCTGTTCGTTTTACCTCCATGGATCCACAGCATCTGGCCGATACCAACTTTGGAGCTCGGAGACGGATCAACAAGGAGAAGCAGCAAAAGCTGGAACAGGGATCCCGAGGCGAGCCCCGCAGCAAGGTATGTGCTGACCCAGCGCGCCAGACATGGAAATGCGCGATGAGAACTATGAACCGCAGTGAGAATGCAACTGGCTGGACGCAGCTGGCTAAACGCAACTTGCTGGATGCATGCACCGCGACTGATTGGCACCCATTTGCTTGGATTTTCGGTGCCGCAGGACGACAGACGTCCTGCAAAGAAGGTTAGAACAAAGTAATGTGTGTGCAGCTGCAAGAGCCACAGTTGCTGGGCAGGCGACGCTGTCCATATAACGGGCCGTCGTTGGACATTGTGAGAGTTGGCGGCCAACAAAGTCTTCCAAGGCAACTTTACAACCAATCCAATAAAACGGGACACCTTGGTGTTCGACCATCGACTTGATATGCCTCCCAATACCATCGCGCGCTGGCCATGGCCATTCTGTGATGCGGTGCTACGCCCTCGCTCATAGCCCGAGAAAAGTTGCCTCCATATCCAGTGTGTCCAAGAGCACCATTCGCCGCTGGCACGCCGAGACCAGTGTGCAGGTCGATTGTGGAGACCAGAGAGCGACCGGTGGTCTTCACTCGGAGGCGGGAGGTAAATCCCTTGCCTGCTTGCACGAGATGGATGGTGATTATGGATGATTGATATGCTCACTCCATTCGGAAGGAGAGCGATTGGGTGTTCGGTTCGCTCATTATGTAAATCTTTAGGAAATGAAGTATGTGTATTCAGGATCCAGAAAGGATGGCCATCGGCCTCAGAAGCAAGGGTGTCCCCGGTTCAATTTCGAACGTCGTAAATGAGGAGAATAAAGGATAGAGTGGCAACATCAGCGAGTTATGAGGGCGGTTAGATCTTCTCGCTGACCTCGCCCTCTTGAGAAACAACAACGGCGTAGGGATAGGTCTTGGAAGTGATGTCTCGGGAAACCTCCTCCTCGCGACCGTCGGGGTAGATGCGGACGACGCGGGAGGTGGTTTCGACGGTAGAGGTAACGGTGCCGTCGGCATTGTGTTGGATAGTGGTGTTGTAAGTAACATATTCACACTCCTCGATCTCGTAAGTTTGGGGCTTGGTGACAGTGATGTACTCTTCACCGCGCGCGGGCTGTGCCACAGCTTCAGTCTGAACCTCCTCAGCAACAGTGACCTGAGATTCCTCGACAACAGTGGAGTCGACGACTTCGGAAGAGGTTTGGCTTTCGACAACGGCAGCAGTCAGAGAGGGCTCGACTGACACGGCGGTTTCGGTGGTCTCGACGACCTGGGTGCTGCTTTCCTGGACAACCGAGGAAGGGATCTCGCGAGTCTGGACATCGGTCTGGACAGCAGTTTGGACATCGGTCTCGACAACAGTTCCGTCCGTAACGCCGGCAGTTGTAGTGGTGGTGGTGGTAGTGGTAGTGGTGGTAGTAGTCGTGGTGGTGGCAGCATTGTCAACAATAGGCTGAGCAACGTTGATTTCGGTTCTAACAACTGCACCAGATGGCTTGCCATCAACAAATCCGAACCTAGTAACGATTTGAAATGTCGCGCCACGTGTTAGGAAACGGTCGTCTCAGGCAAGGTATTCGACAGCGGGCGGGGGGGGGCTCATAAACTCACTTTCGCTTGGTGCTCTTGACTGCAGGCGCAACATCGCCAAACAGCTCTTCCTTGTCGTCATCGACAATGTCAAAGGTAGCTCCACTGATGGCATCGACGGCTTGGGTAACATTCGACACCAGTTCTTGGTGTCCGTCGGGGTAGTGGCGGAAGATCTGAACAACAACCTTGGTGATGAGGATTCGCTGGCCGTTCTTGCGGGTAACACGGACAGTGCTTGTCGTAACACGCTCCTCCTGCTCGAATTCATACTCCTGAGAGTCATCGCCGACCTCAACATAGGCGCGCTCAGAGTCAGCCAGTTCGGTGGGGTGTCCGGAACGACGGAAGAGGCTGAGAACGGCGTTGACGCCGGCCTTGCCACCTTCAACAACAGTCTCACCGACAGCAACAGCGCCGGCAGCAACACCGGCCGCCCCGGCAGCAGCAGCCTCGCCGACAACGGCGGCACCGTGGTAGAGAGTATCGAGGAAGCCGTAGCGGCGGCGGGTGGTCTGGATCTCGGGGACGACAGTCTCATCGATCTCCTCGACAGAGTCAGTGCTGATCACATACACTTCGTTGGTGGCAGCGTCCTTGGCATCGGCGTTCTCAGAGACAATCTCGACACGGCCGTCCTTGAAGAAACGAGTAACCTTGACAACACGCTTGACGATCTTGCGGCGGGTACCATCAGTCTCGACAATGGTGGTCTGGATGGTGGTGACCTGCTCCTCCTCTTCGAACTCGTAGTCATCACCTTCAACTTCGACAACGGGAGCGTCCTCGACGACTTCCTCGCCAGTGGTGAGGACCTTCTTGCGCTGGAACAGACCATAAATGGCCTTGCCGCCGGCAACAACAGCACCACCAGCAAGAGCGGTGCCTTGAGCAACACCCGAGGCGACGGAGGTGGCGCCAGTGGCAACAGCTTCACCAACAACGTTCACGCCGTCGGCAGTGGTGACGGCGGCGTTGGAGGCGGTGTCCTTGGCGCTCTTGAAGAAGCCAAAGAACTTCGACGATGAACGTCGAGGGTTGCTGGCATCAACACCGGAGGCGGTGGGGACAGCCGAGACAGGAACAGGCTCGGCACCAGCAGTGCCGGCAGGGACTTCTTCCCAGACTTCCTCGCCGGTGGGGAGGACCTTCTTGCGACGGAAGAGGCCGAGGAAGGCGTTGACGCCGGCCTTGCCACCTTCAACAACAGTCTCACCGACAGCAACAGCGCCGGCAGCAACACCGGCCGCCCCGGCAGCAGCAGCCTCGCCGACAACGGCGGCACCGTGGTAGAGAGTATCGAGGAAGCCGTAGCGGCGGCGGGTGGTCTGGATCTCGGGGACGACAGTCTCATCGATCTCCTCGACAGAGTCAGTGCTGATCACATACACTTCGTTGGTGACAGCATCCTTGGCATCGGCGTTCTCAGAGACAATCTCGACACGGCCGTCCTTGAAGAAACGAGTAACCTTGACAACACGCTTGACGATCTTGCGGCGGGTACCATCAGTCTCGACAATGGTGGTCTGGATGGTGGTGACCTGCTCCTCCTCTTCGAACTCGTAGTCATCACCTTCAACTTCGACAACGGGAGCATCCTCGACGACTTCCTCGCCAGTGGTGAGGACCTTCTTGCGCTGGAACAGACCATAAATGGCCTTGCCGCCGGCAACAACAGCACCACCAGCAAGAGCGGTGCCTTGAGCAACACCCGAGGCGACGGAGGTGGCTCCAGTGGCAACAGCCTCACCAACAACGTTCACGCCGTCGGCAGTGGTGACGGCGGCGTTGGAAGCCGAGCCTTTGACATTTCGCAAGAAGCCAAAGAACAGAGAGCCGCGCTTGGAGGGAGTCTCAGTGGAGCGAGTGGCATCAACACCGGAGGCGGTGGGAACAGCCGAGACAGGAACAGGCTCGGCACCAGCAGTGCCGGCAGGGACTTCTTCCCAGACTTCCTCGCCGGTGGGGAGGACCTTCTTGCGACGGAAGAGGCCGAGGAAGGCGTTGACGCCGGCCTTGCCACCTTCAACAACAGTCTCACCGACAGCAACAGCGCCGGCAGCAACACCGGCCGCCCCGGCAGCAGCAGCCTCGCCGACAACGGCGGCACCGTGGTAGAGAGTATCGAGGAAGCCGTAGCGGCGGCGGGTGGTCTGGATCTCGGGGACGACAGTCTCATCGATCTCCTCGACAGAGTCAGTGCTGATCACATACACTTCGTTGGTGACAGCATCCTTGGCATCGGCGTTCTCAGAGACAATCTCGACACGGCCGTCCTTGAAGAAACGAGTAACCTTGACAACACGCTTGACGATCTTGCGGCGGGTACCATCAGTCTCGACAATGGTGGTCTGGATGGTGGTGACCTGCTCCTCCTCTTCGAACTCGTAGTCGTCACCTTCAACTTCGACAACGGGAGCGTCCTCGACGACCTCCTCGCCACTGGTGAGGACCTTCTTGCGCTGGAACAGACCATAAATGGCCTTGCCACCAGCAACAACAGCACCACCAGCAAGAGCGGTGCCTTGAGCAACACCCGAGGCGACGGAGGTGGCTCCGGTGGCAACAGCCTCACCAACAACGTTCACGCCGTCGGCAGTGGTGACGGCGGCGTTGGAGGCGGTGTCCTTGGCGCTCTTGAAGAAGCCAAAGAACTTCGACGATGAACGTCGAGGGTTGCTGGCATCAACACCGGAGGCGGTGGGGACAGCCGAGACAGGAACAGGCTCGGCACCAGCAGTGCCGGCAGGGACTTCTTCCCAGACTTCCTCGCCGGTGGGGAGGACCTTCTTGCGACGGAAGAGGCCGAGGAAGGCGTTGACGCCGGCCTTGCCACCCTCAACAACAGTCTCACCGACAGCAACAGCGCCGGCAGCAACACCAGCAGCGCCAGCAGCAGCAGCCTCGCCGACCACAGCAGCACCGTGGTAGAGAGTATCGAGGAAGCCGTAGCGGCGACGGGTGGTCTGGACCTCGGGGACGACAGTCTCATCGATCTCCTCGACAGAGTCAGTGCTGATCACATACACTTCGTTGGTGACAGCATCCTTGGCATCGGCGTTCTCAGAGACAATCTCGACACGGCCGTCCTTGAAGAAACGAGTGACCTTGACAACACGCTTGACGATCTTGCGGCGGGTACCATCAGTCTCGACAATGGTGGTCTGGATGGTGGTGACCTGCTCCTCCTCTTCGAACTCGTAGTCGTCACCTTCAACTTCGACAACGGGAGCGTCCTCGACGACCTCCTCGCCACTGGTGAGGACCTTCTTGCGCTGGAACAGACCATAAATGGCCTTGCCACCAGCAACAACAGCACCACCAGCAAGAGCGGTACCTTGAGCAACACCCGAGGCGACGGAGGTGGCTCCAGTGGCAACAGCCTCACCAACAACGTTCACGCCGTCGGCAGTGGTGACGGCGGCGTTGGAGGCGGTGTCCTTGGCGCTCTTGAAGAAGCCAAAGAACTTCGACGATGAACGTCGAGGGTTGCTGGCATCAACACCGGAGGCGGTGGGGACAGCCGAGACAGGAACAGGCTCGGCACCAGCAGTGCCGGCAGGGACTTCTTCCCAGACTTCCTCGCCGGTGGGGAGGACCTTCTTGCGACGGAAGAGGCCGAGGAAGGCGTTGACGCCGGCCTTGCCACCTTCAACAACAGTCTCACCGACAGCAACAGCGCCGGCAGCAACACCGGCCGCCCCGGCAGCAGCAGCCTCGCCGACAACGGCGGCACCGTGGTAGAGAGTATCGAGGAAGCCGTAGCGGCGGCGGGTGGTCTGGATCTCGGGGACGACAGTCTCATCGATCTCCTCGACAGAGTCAGTGCTGATCACATACACTTCGTTGGTGACAGCATCCTTGGCATCGGCGTTCTCAGAGACAATCTCGACACGGCCGTCCTTGAAGAAACGAGTAACCTTGACAACACGCTTGACGATCTTGCGGCGGGTACCATCAGTCTCGACAATGGTGGTCTGGATGGTGGTGACCTGCTCCTCCTCTTCGAACTCGTAGTCATCACCTTCAACTTCGACAACGGGAGCATCCTCGACGACTTCCTCGCCAGTGGTGAGGACCTTCTTGCGCTGGAACAGACCATAAATGGCCTTGCCACCAGCAACAACAGCACCACCAGCAAGAGCGGTGCCTTGAGCAACACCCGAGGCGACGGAGGTGGCTCCGGTGGCAACAGCCTCACCAACAACGTTCACACCATCGGCAGTGGTGACGGCGGCGTTGGAGGCGGTGTCCTTGGCGCTCTTGAAGAAACCGAAGAACAGAGAGCCGCGCTTGGAGGGAGTCTCGGCGGAGCGAGTGGCGTCAACACCGGAGGCGGTGGGAACAGCCGAGACAGGAACAGGCTCAGCACCAGCAGTGCCGGCAGGGACTTCTTCCCAGACTTCCTCGCCGGTGGGGAGGACCTTCTTGCGGCGGAAGAGGCCGAGGAAGGCGTTGACGCCGGCCTTGCCACCCTCAACAACAGTCTCACCGACAGCAACAGCGCCGGCAGCAACACCAGCAGCGCCAGCAGCAGCAGCCTCGCCGACCACAGCAGCACCGTGGTAGAGAGTATCGAGGAAGCCGTAGCGGCGACGGGTGGTCTGGACCTCGGGGACGACAGTCTCATCGATCTCCTCGACAGAGTCAGTGCTGATCACATAGACTTCGTTGGTGACAGCATCCTTGGCATCGGCGTTCTCAGAGACAATCTCGACACGGCCGTCCTTGAAGAAACGAGTGACCTTGACAACACGCTTGACGATCTTGCGGCGGGTGCCATCAGTCTCGACAATGGTGGTCTGGATGGTGGTGACCTGCTCCTCCTCTTCGAACTCGTAGTCGTCACCTTCAACTTCGACAACGGGAGCGTCCTCGACGACCTCCTCGCCACTGGTGAGGACCTTCTTGCGCTGGAACAGACCATAAATGGCCTTGCCACCAGCAACAACAGCACCACCAGCAAGAGCGGTACCTTGAGCAACACCCGAGGCGACGGAGGTGGCTCCAGTGGCAACAGCCTCACCAACAACGTTCACGCCGTCGGCAGTGGTGACGGCGGCGTTGGAGGCGGTGTCCTTGGCACTGTTGAAGAAACCGAAGAGCTTTGATGATCTCTTCGTAGCCTCGGTGTCAGCGATGCTCTTGTCTCCCACAACTTCGAGATCTTCCTTGGCAGCACCCTTGAAAATACCGAAGATGCTGCGAACTCCGGACTTGCCACCATCGATAATAGCGTTTCCAATCTGAGCAGATCCTTGAGCAACAGTTGAGGCTCCGTTCGCAATCGAGCCGCCAAGGACAGCAACGCCATCAGCAGTGGTCGTCAGAGCATTCGAGGCACCTGAGGCGATGTTCTTATAGATATTGGTCCAGACGTTTTCGCTGAGGGAGTGAGGCATCAATGCGTCAGAATGAGACAGAGGCAATCGAACACTTCTGTGCATTGCGATCGGTCGGCTCCATTTCGCTTCTGCATTTTCCCAGTGCAAGCAGCTTCGTTCAGTCGCTCGATCTGGTTACCCACCTGACGGTGTCTTCGTTCTCGATAACTTCAACATCACCTTCCTGGGCGATGTAAACCTCACCGGTGATAGAGTCCTTGGTCTCCTCAGTCTCGGAGACAATCTCTTCGCTCTCATCCGAGTAGATTCGCACAATACGAACAACGATGGTGATGAGCTTCTGGACGCGCTTATCGGCGTGGGTGATGGTTTTGGTGATGGTCTTGGTGCGCTTCTCGGTGCGAAGGTGGAGCCTGGTCTCAGGCGCAGCCACGGTCTGCTGGATATCAGTGACGTCTTCGCGGTCGCCAATGCTGGCAATGTAGATCTCGCCGGTTGTAGCATCCTTGGACTCCTCGGTCTCAGTCAAGACGGTCTCGTGGCCATCGATCGAGATGCGAACCGTGCGGGTGATGATGGTGACGATAGTCTGGGTGCTGTTGTCACCGTGGGTGATGGTCTTGGTGATCTGGATGCGGCGGTGCTCCTCACGCTCAGAGGGTGTGACCACCACGGCGGGGGTCTTGGCCTCGGCTTTCTTGAAGAAGCCAAATGAGAATCTATAGCGCAGAACGTAAGGTCAGTCAGTCTGCCAGTCTGCGCAGTCACGAACGAGACAGTTGTGGATTCGGGGAGGCCTGCGGATTACAGTAGAGTAAGCACTTACCGCTTGTTCTCGATGTTGACAGTGTCCTCGTCGCCCTGAGCACAAATGCGGGAAAATGAGCTCGGACTGTTAGCTTGCTGTCAGGAAGATCGATGGTGGCAAAGAAGAGCCTGTGACAGGAGATCGCCATGCCTGTCTGCATTGAGCATAGCCCATCCGCACCCGGACGATATCGTGCTTGGCTGCAAACCACCTTACCCTGGCAGACTGGGACGAGCCAAAGATGCCGCCGAAAAGAGAGCTCTTGGGAGCATGCTTGGGGGCCTCGGTCGTCTCCTCCTGGTCAACGAGGGTGGTAGCGTCCTCGCCGGTGGTCTTGGAGAAGAGGACCGTCTGCTTGACAAGGCGCGAGAAGGCTTCCTTGTAGGTCTGAGACTCCTTGATATCGGAGCGAGAAGCCAGACGAGCGCGGGTGGCATTCAGGGCCTCAATCCAGGGAGTGGATGTCACGGTGGGCTCGGCAATGAAGGTGTAGGTGTCGCGGGCGGTCTTGATGACAAAGGCGTTGTTGTTGGTGGTGGTATTGATGGGGCTGACGTCGACAATGTCGCGCAGATTGATGAGAACGACGGGGTAGTAGCTATCCTTGTCCGAGTCGGACTTGAAGCCGATGAGGAAGCCCTCGAGCGAAGAGCTGGCAGCGGCAAGATCGTCGAAGAGGTCCTCGTTTCGCTTGGCAAAGAAGGCCTCGGTATCGCTGACGTCGTATCGGACGTTCTTTTCGTAGATCTGGGAGAGGCGCTCGATCTCGATGCCCTCCTCGCGGCCAAGGCGGTAGTAGTAACGGGAGTTGGTCAGGCCCAGGAAACCGACGCGGGCGAGCCAGCCCTCGTGGGGGGTGTTGACGATGACGGCGGCCTCGCTCAGAACGACATCGGCGGTAGTCCGGGTGGTGGTGGTGGTGGTGGTGGTGGTGACGGAGCGGCCGGTGGCGTCAACAACAGTGTTGGAGGTGGTGGATTCTTGGACAGTGGACATGATTCAAGTACCGGGATGGTTACAAGCAGGTAAAAATGGTCAAAGGCAGTATCTGGAGATTGCCAGTGGATGAGTAGCCATTTTGGCCAGGTTAGAGCGGAGCCGAGTTGGCTCGACGAGCCTGGCGGTGGCGCCGGCGGCAGCGGTAGCAGAAGCGGCCGAGGCAGCGGAAGCAGCAGAGACAGCGATCGGGCGGACCTACCAAACAACAAAGGTATGCGGGGCAAATGCAGGATAGAACAGGTGCAAAACAGTGCAAGAACAAATGAAAGATTGCGGTGACGGTGGGAGGGCAAAAAGACGGCGGGGCTAACTTGGCAAGAGCAGCTGCGAAGAGAGCAAATCCTGCTTGAGGTCCGGCGCGGCGGGCTGCGGGACCGGGGGGGCTATATATCTGAGGCCAGCGGGCTTGGCCAGCAGGGTGGATGAGGATGGCAGGTGGATTGGCAAGCAGCCGCCACAGCGCTCGCGCAAGGCGAACGGCACACGCGTCCAGGCCAACCCACGCGACGCCGCACCACAGAGACCGCCGGCCGCGGCTTGTGTGCGGCTCTGGCCAATTGCAGGGTGGCGCTGCCTGGCTCGTTGGCCTGGCTGCTGGCGACAGCCGAGCCCGAGATTCGCAAGCGCCGGTGGGGGGGGGAGAGGGGGAGTGGCGGGTGAGTGGGTGGATGGGCAAGTGAGGAGGAGAGATGAGGGAGCACGGGGGGGGGTCGATGGCCGACATGCCGCGATGGCCGGTCGCATGATGGGCGAGGCGACGACGAGCGGGGTCAGACACATAGGCGACATGGGCAGCATGAGCAGCATGAGCAGCATGGGCAGCATGGGCAGCATGGGCAGCATGAGCAGCATGGGCAGCATTGGCGGCTGAAGAGGCACGACGATGGCGGACTGGTGGCGTGGACAAGCTTCTGCGTTGCGGCACATCGCACGGTCGTGGGACATGGTGCAATCCAACTGATGAGCCGGACGGGTCCGACAGGTCCGGATGGCGACGGGCACGGCCGGTATTCGCGGGTGGTAACGACGGGCGGGTTGCCGCCGACAACAGTTGATGATTGGTGATTGCTGATTGGTGATTGCTGATTGTCGGCTATCGAAAGAAGTGCGGTTGGTGATTGGTGATTGCCGGCGCAAGTGTCTGATACGGCACGAATACAACACAGGCCAGCCATACACGAGCCGGGCGAAATCATGACGTCTCATAGAGTGCGCCGTTTCAGTTCGGACAGTCTTCTCCCAAACCACCGTTAGCCGAGAGCATCCCGAACCAGATCGCCTGCTCCCACAGACCTATCCATCTCCCTCCGGCGGGCTTGTGCACGCGCAGGTCGATCGGGCGATCTGGCAATCCTCATGCAGCCGTTCGCCCCGTGCCCGTGGATGCCCCAGCTGCTCTATTCCCCTGGGGCCGCTATCCGCCGGTTTGATCCTGTCTTGCAAGGCTCGACTGCTGTCGGCTGCAGTGGCGACCTTTGACTGCCCGGCCTCGTCCATGTGCCTGTTTCTGCCTGTTTCTGCCTGTCCCGATCAGGCCCTGATCCTGCCCTGGCCCTGGCCTTGTCCGGGTCTGCCCATGTCCTTTCCAAGGCACGTTCGCGGCTGGCTCGAACCGCAGCTGCATTTTCTTCTTCCGCTGTCACCGCGCACCCTCAAGAGCCGCCAAGCCCCGCTCTCGAGATCTCTCTTTTGTGCTGTTCCCGTCGCCTCCCCAGTCCTGCAGATCGCCATGCTTGCCCGAACCTTCCGTATTGCCTCGCGCCTGGCCGTCCGTGCCCCTGTGGCTCGTCTCAGCGTCGTCCGCGCTGCTATCCCTGCCCGCCTCTTTTCCGTCTCGGCCCTCCGATCCGGCAGCGGCATCGGTATGTGTGATGACCTCGCTCGCGGTCATAGTCACAGTCGCTCCGCAGTTGTCTCGGCCAGGTGCGTCGGCCATGACTGTCTATTCCGATCGCCTCGGTGGTCTTTTGTGGATCGGCTGGCATCGTGCTCTTTCTGGTCCCTCACCGAGCTGTTTGCTCCATCATGGTTTCTCCGATCGATCTCCGCCTCCAACGTCCACTCCAGTCGATCGTGATCTGTCCCAGAAGCTCAAGGAAGAGCTCAAGTTCGAGACTGAGAACACCGAGACTCTGCCTGACTGGCTGAAAGAGTTCCAGAACCGCGGCACCTTCAAGGTGTGTATTGGGTCCCGGCTCCACTTCTGGCAATGGCCCCAACTGTTGGTAGGGGCGATTTTGCGAGTTTGGCCGCCCCCTCTTCGCCTAAACATGTGTTGTGCGGCCATCCTGTTCAGATCGAAGACAAGCCCGGAGATCGCGAGGTCACCCTCGTCCGCCACTTTGGCAACGAGAAGTATGTATCGTGCTGTGTCTCATGGACTTTTCCCAACGAACCGGCCTGATATGCCCAGTGTTACAGTGGCTGACGATTCTGTGAATGTCCCCCTCCCCAACAGGATCTCGATTGTTTTCTCGACCGATGCCTTGACCGCCGACAACTTCATCGACCAGGAACTTGAGGAGGAATCTTCGGAGGTGGATATCTGTGTGCCCATGATCACCCTGTAGTTACCGGCTGCTGCCAAACGCTCTTTGTGAGCTTGGTTGCTGCAAGTGTTCTATCGAGTCTGCACTTTCGTCCTTCTTCACGGCCAGATGGGCGACATCCCTCCATCGCTCTGCTGTCCTGACTAACCCTCGTTGCAATCACAGGAGCCCGGATATCCCGTTCAGCTCACCGTCTTGATCGAGAAGAAGGTGAGCCAGCACTCACGATCGTCATTGGCCTCGGCGTGCTTGTCCGATTGTGCCCACGTGGCTTGATCCGACTGGAGCGTTTTTGGCATGCTTGCGCAATATCGTTGCAGCTCGCTCGCTGACCCATGTCTGGTTTTGCCTTGCTCTCTTCCCCCCCCCTCTTAGTCCGGAAACGATGACCACGGCGCTCTCCAGCTTGCCGCCACCGTTCAGGACGGCGCCTTCTTCATCGACAACATCAGCTTCTTCGAGTCGTCGTCTCTTGCCGCTGATACCTCGGCCGAGGCCGATTGGCAGCGCCGTGGCAAGTACAGCGGTCCCGTCTTTGCTGATCTTGACGAGACCCTCCAGGACACCTTCCTCAAGTTCCTTGAGGAGCGCGGATTCGATCCCGTCCTGGCCGAGTTCATCCCCTCGTTTGTCGAGTACAAGGAGCAGAAGGAGTACATCAACTGGCTCCACCAGATCAGTGGCTTCGTTTCGGCCTAAGTTTCCTTTGTCCCCGCCATATTTTGATTGATGGACGGGCTGCTAGCCTGTGGCGCCCTCTACCTTCTTCTCTTCCCATTGCATTCACGCTGCCCATTTGACCCGAATGAGCCAACCTAATACATTTTCGAGATTACCACCGGACATGCAAACTGAGCAAGTTGCATCGAAATTGATGCGGGGGGGGGGGCTCGTGCGTTGAGCGAATGGGGATATAGGCCCTTGAGGTTCTATCAAAGAAGGCGACAGCGTTGTTGTGAAGCTCGTTTCCACGGAAAACACGAATCAATCCTCACTTTCCCCTTTGAACACCGGGCAGTATTCCGAATTTGCTCACAGACATATCCGCTGACGAGCTTGCCATCGACGGGCGATAATTCCAAACCGGCGGCGATGAACCAGCGAGAGGACCATCAATGTGCACCACTCGGGTCTAGGATCTCCAGAATCCAGGTGCCCCCCCCCAATTTATTGTTCATTTCAGGTGCATGGAGGGCGTCGTGGGAAATAACTTCCCTGGCGTTACGCATGACGATACGCTCATCCGTCTCGAGTCGGGCATGCTATCGATTATTCGCGCTTTGTCGCCCGTCGCGGTTGTGCTCGCGGAGTTTCAGCGGCAGGTGTTCCTGCCGGCTGGGTCGTCCGAGTTGCTCGAACACTGCGGAGTGGGGTGCGAGTCGCAGGTGTTCGCTCCGCAGGGGCAGTCACAGCAGCAGCAGCAGCAATAGCCGTTGTAGCCGTTGTAGCCGTTGTAGCAGTACCAGTGGTAGCAGTAGCACCTCGGGTCTTTCTCAGCCTTGGTGTCGAGGGTGTTTCAGGGCGCTCGATCGGGACAGGCTTGGCTCGTGTGGTGGTCGATCGGAGCGAGCGGCCCGATGGTGTACCTTCTGCAGACCCACGGCCACGCAGCTGGCGCTGACCGGCAGCCGAACTGGTCTCGGCTTCTGCATTGATTTTAGACGGCTCGGGCTTGCGGGCTCGGGCCCGGCGAAGCGGAGTGGCCGTGGCCATTTCGGGCTCAGGCTCGGCCTCTGCTTGAGCAGTATCAATCGCTTCGTCGTTGTCGTCGTCATCGAGGAGACCGAACGGCCCTGTTGTTCTCCGAGCGTGCTGTCTGAGACGACCATGCCCTGTCTGGGAAGCTAGCTCGTCACCAAAGCCCGCAGTTTGTGTTGGAGGCGCCCTTGCCTGATGCTCCTCCATGTCAATATCCATGTCGGTCGTCCTGCAAAATATGCCACCAGAGGTGCGTGTCAGCATCGGCCTGATGTTGTTGAAATATGCCGGCATTTCGAGAGAGGGATTGGGCCCGATGGCCTTTGATACTCACTGCGCAGCGACCTTGGGGTTCTGCATTGTGCGCTGGCGCAGGCGGGGACTGTGACGGACAGTCTCGACGGCCTCGGCCTGGACCTTGGACAAGGCGCTGCGAGCGCCGGTCTTGCGGCGGGGCACTGATCGATACAGAGCGAGTGAGCGTGAAGACATGTACAGCCAAAAGGGCAGAGAAAGTGTGAGTCGGTCGTCTTGGGAGTGAAGAGGATCATCCGCCAAGTGAACTGCTGAATCCCCAGCGAGGACACCATACCTGTGCGAATTTCCATCGCAGGTGGGGCAGAACCTGCTTCCTTTCGGGGAGAGAACGGCGATCTTGACACAAGCGTGGGGAGTTCACGCTTGTCCTGGCTCACAACTACAGGAGACTTGAGCACTGGCGAGACAATCGTGCTTTCCTTGGCCACTCCAGCTCTCTGCTGCGAGCGCTCGGGCGTACCAAACTGGACCTGTGAGACATCTGCAGGCCGTGCCTTTGGAGTAAGCGAGCCGCGGCGATCGTAGTCCGGCTGTGTTGGCGTGCGTGGGCCAGGATGGTCGCCGGGAACTTCGCGAGCATACTCGCCGCCAAAGCCCTCAGAGTGACCCAACGGCGACCCAGCTTGGAGCGGAATAAACTTGGGCAGAGCTCCGAACGACGACGATTCTATGATGCGCTCCCGCCAGTCTTTCTTTGGAGTACGCAAAGGTGTCGTGAACGGGCTAGCAGGCTTGGCGGCAGCGGGCGAGAGCGAAGGGGCCGGGGACGAGCGAGAAGCAGCCGTCTCCAGAGCCGCAGTGGGCTTGGGGGTCGCAAATGTGGGCGTTGCTGGCTTGGGGGTTGGCTGCTTCGGAGTTGCAGGCTTGGGTGTGCTCGGCGCCTCCGAAATCAGGCGGGTGATGGGGGTACCGGGCTCGGCATCGTCCACCAACATCTCATCGGCACTGGCATCGGTCTGGAAAGCAGTGGGCGAGGATGACGCTGGCGCGGCAGTATCGCTCGAAGCGCCGAACAGAAGGCTGTCGCGTAGAACATCTGTGGGAGGCGCTGCCATAAGGGCCATCAGCAAAATATCCTCAGCTTTGTTCGATGGTGGTTCAGCGGCCATGTCTGCTGCGGCGGGAGAAGCTGCCTTGACGCTGACGCTGGCATCGGCGGTGCGGATCGGGCTGCTTGGCATGAGTATGGTAGAGAGAGGCACCCGGCAGTTGAAATCTGGGATGGCGTGGGGGTATACGGCACGCGCGAGGGCGGGTCATAGATTAGCGACAATCGGTGGTGGGGGGACTCGTTAGCTTGAATGGGACGTAGATGACAATCTCATGAAACAGCAGACACGGGCCAAGTGCAAACTAGCTTGGTGCAGCGGAGCGCGCGGCACCAAAGGCCACGGCCAGAGGGCTAAGTAGTGGAAATCGCATTCAAGGCGGCAGTCCCGGCACGAGCAGACAATGCATACGGTCGGTGACTCACTGGGGGCAACCACAGGCGAGACTTCCAACTTCAATCCGCGTTTGTGAACAGGCACCAGCAGCCTCTCAAGCTGCGAGATCAAGTTATCTCGGCGTTTGATGGACTGCTGGATCGCTGGATCGCTCGAGTAGGCCCCGACGGTGGCCACAGAGACACCGAGGCTTGCATTGAAGGCTATGGCCTCCGGATATCGACCGCGGTCCACAAAGTACATGATGATAAAGTCCTTTGTGAGTGGGACATCAGAGGCGTGGCAAAAGTCCACCAGAAGCGCCTCTTCCGACTCGGAGAGCGGCAGCTTCAAAAGTTCCCGGAGAGCTTGAGCCTTTGTAGGAACTAGTAAAGGTACGAAAAGACATCAGTCAGCCACATCGCAGCGAGCGCTCTTCTGATAACGAATGGAGTTGTCTCTTGGAGCGACAAATGTTGCAGAAGCAGCGCACTCGTCCGGACCATTTGCAAGTCTGACATTGCAGGTCTGATACCGACGTTTCGGGTCAAAGACAAACTCCAGCAGACGCTTGAACAAACGCAGCTCGGATGTCATGGCTTGGTACTGTCGCTGGAACTCGAAGGCTTGCGAAAGACTATGGTCGAGATAGATTGGCATTTGAATGTCGAGATCCCGTTCGTCGACAATCGGCGGCCGCACGCCTTGTAGAAACTGGAAAGCGAGCTCCGGGGCGTTTCGGTAGAGGATCTCGAGGATCTCGTTGGACCATTCCACGTTCAATGACGGATGCACTAGCTGGTTCACTGCAAGCTTTGGAGGGCATCGTGATCAGCCGCGAGACGGGGCAAATGAGCACTCGTACTACAGCCATGTTGCGATTGATGCAGCGTGCTATCACAGTTACCTCGTATTCACAGCGGTCAAGGTACCAGAACCCGTCGATGCAGCGTTGAAAGTGCTGGGGCAGGAGGAATACCTCCGCAAACTCCTTGTCCTTGCTGAGCCCCCTTCCCTGGCAGTGGTCCTTCAAGAGATAGTAGATCTACGCACGTGGACAGCGCCGCGACAATCAGCAGATGCTGTAGACCCAAGTCCGCAGAGTTACGGCAGCATCCTCGATCGGACCGATACCTACCAAACAATCTCGCTGGACAGTGTCATCGTAGGAATCGGCAGTGTCGTTGGCAGCAGCAGCGCTGGCATGAGCACCGAGAACCTGGTCGAATCCCGTGCCCACGATTGCCGTGAAAAGGTCGTGCAGCTGCTGACGATCTTTAGCCGGGTAGTTGATTTGGTCGAGGTCTGGACATCAGGGTGGGCCCAAAGAAGGTGTCAGCGCAATCGCCAAAGCCTCGAAGCAACGGAGATTGGCGACCATGCTGCATATTTCGTCGGGCGTAAAGGACGCAGTATACAGCAAGCCAAGCATCCGTTTAAAGCCGAGCTCTTGGCCAACTAGGTGGACCCTACCAATGTTGTGAATGGCAAGCAGCTTCTCGATGAAAAGGACGCCATTTCTGGCGCGGTGCTCGTCGACTTCACTCTCGAGAGGCTCGATCGACAGGGACGAACTGAACCAGGTCTCAAACTTGGGAATCAGCTGGACGAGACGGCAGCCAAGAGTTGTGGATAAGTGTTAGTGATTTGAAACGGGGCCTTTGTGTGAGCTATGTCGTTGGTCGCACATGGCTACATACGTGCGTGGATGGGATGGTGTTCTTGCTATCAAACGTCGAAAACTTGATGATGCCGTTGCAGGTCAGGACGGTGCACTCGCTCGAGTTGTTGATGGGTGAGAGATCCTGTCATGTTTGCAAGTCAGGGGCCCACGGTAACGTCGCGCCAAGTGAAATCAGTCGCGAAGCATGTAGCGCCGTCCAGGAGTGCTAAGCGACATGGGACGCTGATCCTGGACCAACGAAAGGCAAGGGCGTCGACAAACAAGCAGCACGTAGCCTCCGAAACCGTTTGGGAGCACAATAGTTCAGACTTACCAACACTTTGTCCCGTTTGGGCAAGGTCTTGGTGGTGTGTGAGTCTCGATTCTGGGGGTCAAAGCTGCCGACAAACTGGAGCCCCTCACCCGATCGATCGTCCCACGACGCCACCCCGGGAGCACCTTTGGATGCTGCATAGTACACCCGCAGCCGCTCGGATTGGTCTGCACGGGATAAGCAGGACTTAGCACAGCGCATGTGGAGGAGCACCAGGGGCCATTCGACAGAGCCATACCCGAAGACAGAGTTAGGGCATCAATCCAGCCATTGATTTTCGAGTCGCCGTAGGATGAAAAGACTCGGTTGCTTGTTGAGTACTTGTATACGGATATATGCGCCCGGCCGTCCAGAGTGTCGTTCGACATCACGGCCAACAAGCAGTATCTGCGTCGGGAGCAGTAGTGGGAGACCAACTGGTTCACTTGATGCCGTCCTGCAAACCAAGCAAGGTGGTTGATGCGCATGAGCGGCGAGCCAAGCTGTTTTGTGCAGCATCGTCGGCACGCAGGCGTACCTCTGGGTCCATCGGTCGATGAAAAGTCGCTGTTCTCCAGCGAGGCGAGGCTGTTGTTGATGAGTGTGGTGATGAGCCCATCAACGTGGCCAGCAAACAGGTACAGTTGGTTTTCGATGACCTGCCCCGCCATAGACGTGATGTCCTGCATTTCATACTGAAGATAATTCCACGGTGGAGTGGGATGATGAGAACTCGCGGCTCGGGGGTCGCGTATGTGACGCCGATCCCTGACAACTGGAAAGCACAGCACGACAAGCTCACGGCAATGCCAAGATCAAAAAGTCGAGATCGAGATCGAAGTTGAGGTTGAGAGCACATACGTTGAATGCCGAAAATGGCATGGATCCTGGGGCTGCATCGGTTGGGAGGATGAATGTGGTAATATCGCCGTGCTTTGACCACACGATCAGGCAGCCATTTGGCGCTGCAGGACTCTGGAGGCACAGACGATTTAATATCATCAGCGAGCGAAACTCGGCGACTTGTGCCAGATAGATGAGCCAAAGGCCCTTGGAACAGGAGCAGCAAGCATTTCATAGAGCTTTCATCAACTCACCGAGCGATCGGCAGATACGATGTTAAAATCACAGTCGGCCACCGAGATGGGGTAGCTACCGAGCGAGGTGCAGCCCAGAGTCCGGGGATCGAGCAGAACGATGTGGCAGTCCAAGTGGGACGTCTTTGGAGCAAGCACGGCCAGAATGTAGGATGTCTCGGCCACCTCCACATGGATAGCAAAGTAGATCTTGAGCTGGACCGAGAGATGCAGGCAGGAAATGTAGGTGTCAGCGATGTCGATGAAAATAAGAGGCTGGGGGCATCCTCGCTATCCAAGGTGCCGATAGTGTAGCAACCGGACCCACTTGATCTTGCTCGCTCTGCGGGAGCTGGACGACTTGACCGATGTGCTTCAGGTTGAACAGCGCGAGAGCCCTCTTCTCGCAATGGCGGATTGCCCGGACTTCCAGCAGATCATCGGTGTACCGATAAAGCCAGATAGGGGAGTGATACATGGAAGAGAAGCGCTCGTCTCGATCGTGGTCGCCTGAGGCAGGACGCTCATGGCGGATGGGCGATCGGGCGAACCTGGCGATGATGTTGTCTCTGTAATTGATGGGCGAAGCGGCGTCGAAGGCCCGGAGGAAGACGTCGCCCGAGTCAACGGCGAGCTTGGACATGCTGGTTATGGAGAATCGACCGGTCGGGCGCGCGGATGCTGGTGCAGCGGCGCTGGTCCGTATATCTAGCCAGATCGGGGACAGAGATGGATGCAGGATCGGGTTGGCGGGGAAGCCGAAATGGATGGGAGAGGCGAGAGGCCAGATCGTTCTCGGCGAGAACGACAGCGCGTCTCTGTCATGCCCAGAGGTTGTGATTGCCTCAACATCGACGATTGCCTCGACATCGACGACCCGATATCGACGGCTGACTCGACATCCACAGAGATGGCAACACCGATGGAGTGCGGCGGGCCCACAAGCGCCAGATTTCCACTGGTAGACAGCTTGTTTGTCCGGATGATGTATTGCTCATTTGGGCGTGCGATTCGTTCAGGTACAGGCGCTACGGCTGCAGCCTCTTACGAAAGAGGGCAAAGAAAAAGCCAATGCTCTCGAGCTCCTCGCCAGCGATACCGACGCCGCATGGCGACCCAGGATTGAACCGCCAGCACTTGGCCAGATGTTCTTCGCGCAGCCCAGGTACCGGCAGCCCTCGCTGTCCCAGCCGAAATTGGATCGGAATGTCCACCAGCTCCATATCGGGAAAAGTTTCGAGGATGAAGGCGACATTGCACTCGTTTTCCTCGGCATAGAATGTGCACTGGATGACACGTATTGGCCGAGAGTTGGGTTAGGCCAGGTTTGGTCAGGTCCATCAAACGGTATGCGCAAGGAGCAGAACAGATGCCCACTACTCACGGTGCTGTAGACGAGCATGCCGCCTTCCTTCAAGAGGGCGTGGGCCGCATGGAGAATCTGACGCTGGTACTGTGGATGATGAGACAGCACTGGGACCGTGATGGTGGCATTGAATGCAGGTCGCTGACCTGCAGAACCGCGGCCAGGATTGACGAGTAGGGCATCGGAACGTTGAATAGAGGTGAGTATGCAGTCATCGACACCCGCCACTGTCTTTTTGCAGGGCAGAATCAAGAAAGCGGCCGAGTCGTTGCTAAAGTCCATAACATACCTAAGGCGCTGCAGGGGGCATCGCAGATGATCCGATCAAACCGTTGTCGAGGTAGACGCCGGAGCTTGATGGACGAGGGCCATTCTGGGCTGGATTCCCATGCAGCCGTTTCTTCCTGGCTCATGACACACGATGTTGCATCGCATGAGAATGCCTTGATGGAGGTATAGCCCTGGCTGTCAAGGTGCTCCCTGAGGCGCTCGATTTTGGGCCGAGAGCGGTCAAGGGCTATGATGGTGCTCTGACGGAATCACAGACGCTTGTTAACGACATAAACTCAGTGCCATCCTTGAGGCTGTGGAGTGTGCGGCGGGTGACTCCTCGGTGAAGAGAGGAAATTGCACATCCACTCATGCGACAGCGGTTTTGAGGATGGCGACATTGCAAGCAGCAGCGATCCTGACAACACCGCCAGCCATGTTCATGACAGGATGCCAACATCCTCGCTCATCACAGAATAACCTGTGTCCATGGTGAACAGTGGATATTACCTGATTGTTTGTCAGATTGGCGATATGCGTTGTCTTGCCTCCAGGAGCCGCACACATGTCCAAAATCAACTCTCCAGGCTTGGGATCGAGAACATGGCCGACGAGGATGCTCTGGGGGTGTATATGAGTACGTCGGAATCAGCAAGACGACAGAAAACACTGGCAATTTGCGGAATAGCTGGGCGAGCGACCAGAGTGACCAACTTGCGCTCGGCTGCTCGAAGATCAAGATACATCCACAGCCAAAGGACATCGTGACTTACGGGCAGATTCTGCAGGAATACTCCTTCGTGGATCATGGATGAAAACGAGGGCGATCGATAGAGCGGCTCGGTCATCTGGATACCAACACCTCGGCCTGCAAGTTCCTTTGGCGTGTAGATATAGATATCTTCGCGGCCCTGGAGTCGCTGTGGGTGAGAATCTTGACCCCAGGATCGTCGACAAAGCAGGCGAGCACACCGTCGATTGGGAGCCACATACCTGCAGAGCTATGCCGTTACCGATGAACACCTTCCGGCCGTGGTATCTCTCCTTCTGTCCCCGCAAGCAAGCCCCGTCGAGATCGACGTAGACGGCAACCCTGTCGCCCCGCTTCACTGGGATTGCACCGGCGTGAGTTGGCTCCGCTTTCCATGACTATTGCGCATCGGGAACAACAGTCCAGATACTCACTCGGCGACTCGGCAGCCAGAACGCCGACCTTGATACCAAACTAGTCGGTTAGCAAATTTGGCTGTTGTCGCCTGCCATCTGCGCTCGATAGATCGTTGGCCGGACAAGTCGAGATCTGCGGGTGGGGATGTTGCCTTGACCTTACCGCAAAGACATCGGCTCCGCGCAGAACAGCATTGCCGCAAAGGACATCGACGATCACCTCTGTTGGACCGTCGCTGTCGATCGTAAGTTTTTGAAAGCAGCATATCCGACAGAATAGCTGCTTGAAAGTCTGTTCACAGTCGCCACAGCGGCAGAGGCAGCTACAAAAACGATGGTCTGCCCTGAGGTTCAATCGCTGTTGCTCACCTTTCTCCACGGGCTGAGCAGTCAGAGGCCCGACACCGTTGACGTAAAGGACGTCAGGGGCCTGCGGGTGGCATTGGACGGTGAACGATGGCCATCCTTTTGCGGCGCATTGCTGACGGGAGTGAGCCAGGCGCAAAGGGTCATGGCATCCGACTCCGTTAGCCTCATAGTACGTTTCCAGTGCAAGCAATGTCCTCTGGAGACGCTCTGCTCGACGATCTGGGATACCTCGTCGACATACGCCTGGGTCGCCTGCAGCGCCTCGGATCGACTCCAGATCAGTGTGTTGACCCGCAGGAAGGTGGTTCTGGGAGGAACAGCCAGCGCCTCGCAGATTCTGGACCACTCGCCGGGGCTCATGTGCGATCTGAGCAGGGCTTCGGCATCTCTGGGGAACTCAACCGGCGACAAATCCATGGCGGCAGCCGACTCGATTAAAGCTAGTGTTTGGTTGGCTTGCTGGGTGCAGATCGACAGATCACAACCAGAGCGGGGACTGGCTGGACAGTCGCTGCGGGCTTTCAGCGCCCCCCAAAACGAAACAGGACATCGGATTTGAGCCAGACATGTCCCATTTTCCTGGATCCTGCATAAGCTTTGATCAAACGGCCAGCTGATTCGTTCGACCAGACGAGACTGTCGTGGCATCGAGAGACCATGGAACTATCCAGAGCGGGGGATCTGAGCGCCCGTCCCCTCTGTTTGGAGAGTTTGCCACGGGCAATCACTATGGGCGTTACCGACACTGCAACGAGGCAGTCTTGCATCGTTATGAGTGCACTGTATTGCCTGGGGCTCGAAATGCTCTGGAACGAGCTCATGCCGAATACTGTGATATGCAGATCGCTCCAATGACAGATCGCTGGGCTGTAGTGAACGAGTGTCCGGACTATCTGCGCGAGCCAAAACGGCCCTTGAAGAAGTTGCTTTGAACAAGAAGCCATGATATCAGAGTATGGTTGCGGAAGTTTGTGGTGGAGGCATCGAGGCGGGAGTGTTGGGGCGGGACGTCGAAGCAGGGGAGGCAGGACGACATCAGTTAATTCCATGGACCACTCTGTCTACTTCCCCACTAGGGTGCTGAGGGCCGGAAGGACACCGTCCATCGCAGCTCCGAGAATCAGGCAAACGTACCCCACATTACGACGGTGTGATCGTCGACCGGACTCGTCGAACTCAACACCGACGCGGCGCTCGTCGACTTCCATAGCCTGATCGTAGCGGGATCCGATGCTACCACTGCCTCCGCTCTTGTCCTGGGTGAGTCTTCGGAAGTGCTCCTCAAAGGCCAGCTCCTGGTCTTTGCTATCGGTCATCTGTCGGTTAACCGAGTCGATTTTGCTGTCGATGAACTTCAAGATGCTACCCGAGATCTCGGACCTGTCCATTCCATCATTGATGCCAGAGTTACCGAGATAGAAGGAAGCGTCAGATGCCGCACGGCTGCATCTCAGGGTATCAGCACTCGGAACCTGTGGCAGAGTCACGATAACTACCAAGAGTTGAAGGTGTTCAGGATCAGATCCATGTCCTCCTTTCGGATATCGCGGCCAATGGTATGCTCCACCTCTAGACAGTGCTTCTTCTGGTCGAGCCGTCCCTTGACGAGCCCCAGATAAATGGCATCGATGATGAGATCCTCGAGCTCGCGCACGTTGGAGATCTCAAGCTCCTTGAGCAGGCTCTGATAGAAGAGAGTCTGCGGTTGTGATGAGCCAGACGATTGCAAACGAGCGTTAGCTAGACAGCCAGAGCAGCGGATAGAGTATGACTAGGAATGCGCAGAGCAATTGGGCCGCCGGAGCGGGTCCAGGCCGAGGACGGAGCAGGTTGCCAGTATCCCGATCGGCTTGGATGCACCCACCCCGCTCTGGCCGGACAGGGTGACGAGAGTCAAATGCTTGAGTTTTTTGATCTGGACATCGGTAAGCGGGGGCAGGCTCTGCTCTTGGGCTAGAAGGCATTGATCGAATTGATCGGAGGTTACATCGTCTGCAGAAGCGACATCCACATGCCAGTGTGGCCGGGACCATGGACTTCCGGATCCAAGCGTTGCAGCCATGCTCGTTGGATACCGGATCCAAAGGCGATGCTGCCATATTACCTTTGTAGTCGGCATAAGTTCCAAAGGCGAAGAGTTCCAGCAGCTTGTAGTACGGGCGATGTTGAGCGCTGGACTCGAGCTGCAGGAGCAGCAAGGAGATAGGGGACGTTCGGTGGAGATGACGATAGGACAGCCAAGCCGATGAGAGAGACAGAGGGTTCGTTAGCTTGCACCATCTTTGGCTGCGAGGCTTATTGCGCTAGCCGAGCGGCCAAGGCAGCGGCCTCATTGCTCCAGGCGCCGCGGGCGATGCAGATCCCGTTGTCCGGCGATTGCCCGAGGCAGCTTTGCTTTGGGAGCCGCACAAACGAGACGCACATCTCTGATGGAAGGTGCATCGAGAAGCTCGCCATAGACGAAGACGTTGGGGGCGGCCAGCACGTCCTGGATGAGCTTTGCACATGCAGCGCCCTTTGCGTTTTTGGCCAGGAGCAGGTAGGCCTCGATACCGCTGTTGACGTCCGCCATAGCGAAGCGATGGATGGTGGTGCTGGGGAAGAGTCCAGACACAAGACCGGGCCTGGCGCGACCCAGCCAAATGCCCGCCCCTGGTCGCCTGGTCTGGTCCAGCGCCGACCAAGTGTCAGTGCCCGGGTCATGCAAGCGATGAACTGGTCAGGCAAGCGCAACAGGGCCACTCCCTGGGTCGCACCGGCAAGGACGACGCAGGTATACATGGCTTGGTGCTCTCTCGGAAGGAATGCATCATCGTCTGAGCGCCGGGTATTGGCGATATGCTTAGAACCCGCTGATGGGATCCTGCAGTCAAAGTGGACCTATGCTGACTGAATGACACACCGGGCCCAGCTGTATAGCACCGACCCGCCAGCGGCCTCCAATCCTCAGCCATTTGTGCCCTCGTGGCGATCGAGTGGAAATAGCTTCTATGATTGCGATGCGATTCACATACCCAGGTCGCTCGAGCGGGCGACCAAAGCTTGTCCTGGCGAAAGTGCACCCCGTGGCAATCAGCCTATCGAGCCGCCGCCGTCGCTCGACATTGAGCTGCTGAGGTCCACTACAACAACGGATATCCGGTCCAGACTGTGCCTCGGACGTTGCGTGTCCAAAGAGAGAGGCAGCCCATCATGGCCATCCAGTCAACCGAAACAGCGATCGGCCGAGCTACCTGTGACTCAGTGCGCTGAAGCTGCCGAAAGCCCAGAGAGGTGAGCTGCGTACATCTCTGAATGGATATTGTATTCTCTCAGCGAACTCAAGTTCGCTGGGGGGGGGTGCCATGCAGTGCTTCCCCTAACCAAGCACGACTTAGACAATCTGCCCGAGATGCCCCCGATCAACAAGCTCGCAAGGATACAGCCCTGCACTGCAGTGGAGTCTCTGACCCTCTGCTCCAAGTTCAGGAATCTCTCTGCGATGGAAATGTGCATGTCCGACCTTGCTGCTGTACCACGGACAGCCAATCAACAGGAATCTTGGTTGAAGTCGGCGGCAACTGCTGCTCCAGTCGATCCACTGGAGCATCCCCAGCCAGCAGGTCGCCTCAGCTCTCTGATGATGAAGCATTGCACTGGTTTCTCTGTGGATCTAGCGTCGCATATCCCCTTGACTCCTGTCCAGCGACTGCACTCTCGAATGGAAGCAGGTAGGCGAGCAACATGACCAGTACTCGCGAATCTGTGAGAACTGCGATTTTGGGCTCGGCGGGCTATCGATGTGGGTAGTCTGCAAAAATCCATTCACCATCGGGATATTCGACAACCAAACTCGTTGAAGATGAAGGGACTCGTCTCGCTCACCGGTGATGATGTCCAAGGTGAGGGCCGCTATCAACACCGCAGCATGTCGCATCTGCGAGCCTCGGCAGCACCCACACGACAACCGGGAGTGCTGGTGATCCCGTGCGCGCCTGATTGGCTCGTGCCGTTCTCGCCTCCTCCTCGTCCCGCTGTCTCGCTTGCTCGCTCGCTCGCCTCGGCCCCTTTCCTTCATCAATCCGCCCATCCAGACAACCCTCCGTCACTGAAGGGTTCTATGACCCGCAGACGCTGACTTCATATGTATTTCTATTCCCGATCACTGAACACACCGACCTCGCCCAAGGTGAGCTGCTTGTCTCGCCACCAGATGGGGACTGCAGAGCGGCGAGCCTCCGCCCGCATCGCCCAAGCACCACCGCAACCCCCTGTTGGATGATATGCCGCGGCCTGGCGTGGGGGTGTCCTGGCTCTGCTGCCCGTCTGCTCTGTATCCTTGCTCTGACCGATTTATGCTTCTCTGTCGCTAGGATATTTAAATCTTGAACAAATCAAGGTCTCTTTTGAACTCGTCCCTCTCTATCACACAACCTCTTCACAAATGTTTAACTGGCTCTGGAAAGCGGTGGGTTTAGCAGCGAGATACGGGATGCAGCGTCTATATCCGGAGCACAGCGGCGATTATCCGGATGTGTTGCCGGTATTTGACGGAGCCCCGCCAAGGCTATCGGCTGCTGCGATCCCGCTGATTGCGATGCAGACGAAGCGCGGCTCCCCCATATCAACTCCGGACCTAACCCTGCCTTCGATTGCTCGTCGATCCTTTGGGTCCAGCGGCTCAACCATATCATCGAGGCGATTGAAGAAATCGACGACAAAATATCCCAGACCGAGACGCACGATATCACCATTCGGGAGCAGGAGTCAGAGATTCCCTTTATCTGGCTCAAGTACAGCAGCATCGTCTACTTGCTCTATCTGCTTGCGTACTTCACATTCCTCGCTCCCACCATCGACGATGATTTCCAAGTCTGGGCCGCCAAATTTGCGCCACTGATCACGACGCCGCTGGTGTATGTATCGCTCGCTTGGTGTTGATGCCATCTTGATCCGCCCCATTCCACGCTGATGTGCCCTCGCTGGCATCTCTCCCTTCGCAGCATCTACCTCGGCTATCAGTGGATTCACAAGTGGTACCTCCGCAAACGGAAATATGCAGGCAAGTGAACCACGCGGCCTTCGGATGTCGATCGCACTGCTTTTTTGGTGATGGACTGACGATACCGTCGCATGGCTGCCCTTGTTTGGATAGCAATGAGCCTCGAGAAACTCAAGACCAGCCGCATCGCGCAGGTAAAATCAGTCGTTCCCTTAAAAGTGCACTGCTATAGCGCTGGTTGCGCCGTCTGTTGTCTGAGACCCCTCTTCGGGTTGCTGGCTGCTACTGCGACTGCGTCCTTCATTGACATAACGGGGGCCGGTCCTCGTCGCAACCCTCACACCAAATGGTTGGCGGCAGATCAAGAAGCTCAAGGTAGCCGTCCAATATGACAAGATCAAGAGGCTGATTGAAAAGGACAGCGAGTCGCATGCCGGATCAAGCAAGCCCAAGCCTAGACCCAGCCAGGTGCGCTTTGATTCACTTTGATTCGAAAATAGTTTCGGGTTGGAATTGCCATTTGATCGCCATTCCCCGGCATCTGTTCGCGGTGCTGAACCACATCTACGTCCAACCTACAGCCTCCTGTGAGAGTTCCTGCGCAACAGCCTGCACGAATTCCTGAAAGCGGCGTCACCATGCGTCTGACCCAGAGCTCGGCTGCCCCAGGCCAGAGGAGTATGTTTCGCCGCTGCACGTTGTTTGATTTGCCCAGCCGCAGTCGTTTGGAGCTACCGTCGTCAGTAGCTAGCTGATTGCACTGGACTGCTGTGACCAGTATGCTTGACTTGAGCCGGCGAGTGAGTATTTGTCAAAAAGCAGCGGCTGCTGCTCACAGAGTCACTTACTTTGATCGGTGTTCGTCAATCAGTCGAAGCCGGGAGACCTGCCTTTCCTCCTCAGCCTACTGGTGGACCAAATGTTCCAGGACAGGGTCCGCTCCATCCTTCTGGTGAGCCATTCCTCCCTCGCACCACCCACGTCGGCGTCCAAAACGATCGATGCGAGTGGGCGCCTCAACCCGCATCAACACAACGGCTGATCGGCTGCGTACCATTGCCGTTTCCACAGTGCCTCTGCAGCCTACAGGATCGCAGGCCTGGCTAAACCCTCTTTTTGAGCTCATCGTGGGCCCAAACGAGAATCCCTCAAGCACCACCTTTACTCTTGTCTGTGTCCGATGCCGCGGCCCCAATGGATTTGTTTCGGAACTCCCAGATTGTAAGTTGCCGACCGCTGCGGCTTTTTGTCGGCTGTAGGTGCCTCCGCCACTAGCATCGCATCAAGCAGAGGTTGATTTGAGGCCGATATACTTTGTGGCGCTGACTGACGTGATGTCCTGGTCAAGCCTTCACCTGCAAACACTGCGGGCTCGTCAATCGCCGGATAGGAACGCCTCCGTCCAACCAGGCCGATCTGCTGGCCTCCGACCTTGCGATGACTCGGTCGCAGAGCCTCCCACCAATGCACGAGAAGGATGCTTCGAACTTTGAGGCGCCATCGACGCAGCGATCGGCCAGCGTGGTTTCACCCAAGCGCCGCGGACGATCCCTGGAGAGACGCACAAGCCCGTCAAAGTCATCAAAGTCTGTTCCGAGCATGATCGGCCCCGAGGAGCCGGCTGTGGACGAATCTGTGGATGCTGTCTCTGTTGAAGCAGAATCGTCGACTGCACCCGTGGCCCTGGAGACTCTGACGGGCGATGCTGTTGAGACTGGCGCAGAGTCAGTGGCTGCCGAAGCGACTGAGCTGCTCCCCGAGACGGCTGAGCGCATTGGTGAGGCCCAAGTTTCACATCAGCAGATAGCAACGGAGGACGGAGGTGTCCTGGAGCTGGTTGATCCCTCCCAGGCAAACCTGGGCTCGCGCCAACGGGGACCACGCACGTCGGAGCAACCCGATGAGCACTGAGGCGCACGGCGGTAGATACCCCTATGGGCTATTTGCAAGATGGCCGCCGTAGCTGTGCTGGGCGCTGGTGATGATGGCCGTGTCCAGCTACTAGCAATTTTGTTTGGCCTGCCGATGGAGAAGTACTGTGTCCAGCATGATCCCTTGTATCGACACTGGGCAAGGAGAGGCCCCATACCTCTATACATCTTGCGCTCACCCACACCCACACTCACGCTCACGGTGACATTCACACCCACACCAGCAGCCGCGGCCCGCATGCCGCTCTGTTCTTTTCATTTCTTCGCTCTTCTTTTCTTTTCATTTCATTTCGTTGTTTTTCTTTTCACTTTCAAAATATGTTTGCTTTCTGGCATTTGTTGCAGCAATAGACATGGCCTTGACGCACACCAAGTCCCACCGTGGCTCATGACTGCTTGCCAAGCAACTGCTTCCGCTCGATGATCTCGACGATCTCGGCAGCACACTCCCACATCGTGATCTCGGTCAATCGATGCCACAGGAGATTGGTTTGATGTATTCAAGTGCGTGGCTCCCCAAACCCGCAAGAAAAGCTCTGATAATCAATGAAAATGGGGAGCAATCGCACGGCTGCTCCGCTGCGGCCCACGGATTGAGCTTCAGGACTGTGAATGTTGCGGTGAGAACGGGAGCTGTCTCGGGGGTTCCTGCACGTGTTGCGATCTTGATTGGAGCTGCATCACTGAGTCTCTTTCGCCGTGTTGGCCTGGACGATTCCCGGAAGCAAAGCCAGAGTTAAACGGGCATTCGTTTCTCGGACAGGAACTTGCCAGGGCTATGACAGCACAGACTCACCCCAATAAATACTCGCAGCTGGGTCTCACTGAACACCTCAGCGTCGACAAGATCGGAAAGCTGTGATCGAGCAAACAAGGCACGGATGAGCAAATGAATGGGCGTTTGGAGAAGACATCCAGTACCGATGAGCTGGCGACCAGAGATTATGCATTTCCCAAACCAGAACGATTGCTACCTTTTCGAATGCACCCCGCTTCTCTCGCGCCTCGATAATCTTTTGGGCCTCTGTTCAGAGATATAACGGAGAGTTTGACAGGCGGGTCAGGAGCAACTCGGGTGCAGACAGCCACATCCACATCCACATCCACATCCACATCCACATCCACATCCACATCCACATCCACATCCACATCCACATCCACATCCACATCCACATCCACATCCACATCCACATCCACATCGGTGACCGAACCATAGCCGCAGCAACAACAGTGGCGGTGCCTCAAAGTGGATGTGAAACCTACTCGCTTTGCCAACAAGCTCCAGCTTGGCGTCGCCTCGTCTGGTCATCTGTCCAAGCGAAGCTTGGTTGCAAATAAGCAGAATGCGGGTTTCGGCATCGGCATTCTTCAGAAGCTCAAAGTCCAGCTCGGAGACTGAGGAGGTTTTGCTTGGGCCCCGCTTGGGCGGTCGCGGGACAGCCCCACTGTCTTCGTGGGCACTGTCCTGCTCCACAGCTTCAGTTGTCGCTGCAGGTGCGTCGGTCGCGCTTGATAACTGCACCAGGTCCTTTCTTTTCTTCTTGGGCTTGGATTTGCGCTTCGGCGGTGGGGGGTCGTCTTCCGCTAGTCCTGTTTGGCTCTCCAGTTCCCGGATCGTTTTGGATATCCGTTGGCAAAGGTCGACGGGCGGTGATGATTTCAAGGACAGTCCGTGCTCAAGCGCTGCGATTGGATGTGAAGGGAGAGAGACGCGGCGTGAGTCGGCGATATGACAATCGTCCGCTATCAACACATACGCCGCACAGGATGTGTCCGATTCAGTTGGTTGATTATTGCCTACCCTTCTGAAAAGCCTTCAAGGCTTCGTCTAGCTTGCCGCTCTGCATCAAATCGACGCCCATCTGCTTGAGTTTGATGACCCCAGCCAGGCTTTCGGACTTTGGCCCCGATCCTGGGCCGAGGTCGTCCAATTCGGCGGTGAGCAGCCGGAGCCGCAATGCAGCTTCGCTTTCGCTGGAGGCACTTAGATCCAGCGGTGCATGAGCAGGACGCTTCGAGGCCGCTGGCGGAGGCGTCACCAAGTCCACAAGCAACAACGTCTTTGCCTCCTTCTTGAGGCGGCCGACCTTGGTGCTCGGTTTTTTCTTTGGCCGGTGCGGCGTCGGAGCGGCATCGTCCGAGTCGGATGGAGGAATGTAGTCGTCGCCTGAATCCTGCATGAGATCGTTCTCGATATCGTCGATGGGGCGAACCGCAGCTTTGGCCACGGATTTGGCCTTGGCGAGCTTCCGTGCCGGCTGCATCAACAACAGCGAGGGCTTGTCCTCGGAGCATCCATCTCCGTGTTTGGATGAGCCCTGGGTGGCTTTTAGAACACCCTCGTCGGTCAGCTTTCCCTTGAAGGGCTTGACTTTGAGTGACGCACCGGCGTCCGCACCTTTGAACAGGAGGCGCGAGCCTTCGGCCGTTGACGATGTCTCTCGCTTTTGTTGGATGTGGTTTTCGACTTCTTTCAGGAGCGTTTGCTGAATACAGGCGCAGCAGACGATGTAGCCGGCAACGACACATGCACAGCAGCAAGACAAATGACAAACGTTAGCCAGAGTATCATCCAACAAGCGTCAACGTCGGCCACACCACAGGCGCCACAGGACCGACATAACCGCCGTGCGTCCTTCAACAGCCCTGTACCTTGAATTCCTCGTGCTCCAGCATCTGGCTGACGATAAACTCGGCCTTGGAGGTCCCACCGGCAATGTATTTCGGAATCGCGTGCGTGACTGCGCCCTCGACCCCCGTGATGATGTCCTTGAACTTGCCCGGAGACATCTCGAAGCTGCTGTTTTCGGAGAGGGACGAGTTGCCAGAGTTGTTGCTGTAGCGGGCCCGCTTCGCAGGCTCGTTGAGCCTTCCCTTCCCTTCGATACCGCGCTTTTTCTTGCTGCGATACTCGGCGAGCTGTGCTTCCCTTGATGCAACGGAGACCGTTTGAACTTGATGCAATGAAGGGGGGGGGAGTTAGCGTCTGATAGATAGCCTGCTTGGCCATGCTGCCCTGGAATGCAATGTGTCGCTGGCGACCACTTCAGCAGAGAGGGGATGGATATACTGCTTACCAACGGTTTCGTTGATAACAATGTTGTTTTTGATGAATGACGACTTTGTTGCAAAATTGAGGGTGCTGCGATGCAACCAAAGGTACTGTGGTTGGACTTGCGTCGAAGAATGCGCACAAGCGGAGCACAGCAGCAATGACTGCACTGTAGATGCAGGACTCGGCGTGGGCTGCTGACGGCATTGACACCTGTTCCGTCAAATCCAACTTACTTGTACGAGTCCACAAAATCAAACTACACCGACAAGACTGCGTCAGTGCGGGATAGGGCCAAACAGCTGCCGTCGCCTGAATGAAGGCGATCTTGAGAGGCGTTTCAGCCAAAGCAGATGCCAAACAGACTTACCGGTTCAGGGGAGATGCATGCAATCATCTGCAAGCGATGTAGACTCTCGCGTTAGTTTTGACCAGATCGGACTGAGCGCAGACCTTGGGGGACACCGCCAACACAACCTACCAGCCCTAATGCGGTCCCACCCAGCGAGTCTTGAAGAAACCGCGTGATCTTGGAGTCTCTATATTCCCATATCAGCAAGACAGACATCGATTGTCAGCACAGATGCGGCACATCAAGCGCGTCATCAATATTGCACACAGACAACTACCTGTATGGAACCCGAGATGCGCTTTTGTTGAGTGCCTCGACGACCTGGCCGAGCACGAACAGGCTCCGGTTGATGGCACCGCTTTCGACGAGCCGGGCGCCCGAGTTTCCGGTCCGACGGTTGTCTTCAGAGCCGGCCAGATCAATAAGATGGAGCTTCGACGATAGCAGCACCTCTGGGCTTTGCTGTGTCGAAATCTGGCGGCGTTGAGTGGGATCGTACACGCGCGTTGGAAGGACGGATCGGTGGTGTTTCCACAGTCGTTGTGGCCAAGCGATGTGGAGGCGTCAGTCGGGAACGGCACAGCAGCGCAACAGTACCGGACACCCATACAAGAAACATGTCTTACGTGAAGCTGCAGCACGAAATGTGATCGGGACGAGTGCTCATTCAGCTTTGTCGCTCCTGTTGAGCGATTTTTGAGGGCAAGGCTGCCGTTCGAATCGAGGATCGTGATCAGGCCGCGGCATTGACAAAAACAGCCCATCCATGTACAGCCGAGCAGCAGTCGGCGAAGAGAAACCGTGAATTGTCGAGACAGGGAGTGGAGACGACGATGACATCAGCGCTCGGGCGGAAGCGCCCCCTCCTCCGGCTGGGAATGCTGCCTTACCCGTGGCTGCTCTGGAAATCGGGCATCGACTTGATGTCCATCCTGGTCAAGCCTGCAACGACAATGCTGCGGCCGGGGGCTTCCCTTAGATCCAGTCCACCAGGCTGCGGGCCGATGGAGATTCCGGATGAAGAGATAGATGTGTTTTGGGGAGGGGGTTTAGTGATTGGCATAGTCGACGTGCACCAAAGTGGGCATGACGGAGTGACGGAAGGTCGCATCGAGTCGGGGTTCGGATGGCTTGCTGCAGCACACAGCTGTCGCTACCCTTGAGCGGTGCATTGGATAGCTCAGCCTCGCAAGACTACTTACCACTCGCTCAGATGACAGCAGATCAAAAATCTATAGACATGATCCAGGTGCGGCGTCGATAGCAGCGTTCGGTCGAGCGGGTTAGTTGGCCGGGACGACGGCACTAGAAAGCAAGGCATACGATATTCGGCTGTCACCTTTTCGTTGTAAATTTCCAGCCACGAGCCCTGTATGGTTGCTTGCAGCTTCTCCGCTTGAATGTGATTCAGCAGCAGCTCGATGGCACGCGGAATGATTCCAGGATCTGAGGACGAAGATCCGTTCATGGTGTGTGTCTTTCCTGTGCGATTACCAATCGCCGCAGTCCAGTATCAGTGGAAATGTCAAACTCCCGGCTGTCTCCACGACACAGTGTAGCGGAGACCAGTCCATCATGCCAAGGCGATGACGATTGTGTTGGTGTCGGCAGTTGTCGGATAAATGTGGTTGCTTGTACCTGATCCCGTTTGACCGTATGCAAAGACTGGCTCCAGAACAAGATTGGTTTCAATATTGAACGCACGGCGATTCAAGGATTTTTTGAACGTTAGCTTCCGCGGACGACCGATCGTTGTTGCACTTTCAAGATGCTGGGAGGGCGACTCCGAGAGCAGATATCGCCAGCGATAGCCACATCTGATGCGGCTGGCAGATGTATGGAACCGCTCGGATAGATACGCACCTGTTGCATTTTTGCCTGGCAGGAGTGGTCGAGAGTGCGATCCGAGGCAGTGAGTATCCCGAGCTTGGGCGCACATTGGCACGAGACTGCCGCTCATGAGTCGCCAGGAAGCCTGGGGCATACCTGTAAAGAGCGCCTTCAGTATCGGCTCAACGCTTGCAAAGACATCCTGTTGAGTGTGCGAGTCGCCAAAGACTCGGTCGAAGCTAGGAGTTGCCGTCGACGAGAGAAGCGGCGTCAGGAATCAACAAAGTCAGTTCCCGTCCCGAAAGGAAATGTGTCAGTTGGGAGCCGGTTTACGACGGTCCAAACGTGCTGCCAATGGTCACAGACTCGGCACTGCGGCATTGGAGCATGAAGCTCGCTTCCGGGCTTGTCGATGCCTTCGCGCGGCATTTCAAGACACACAGCACAATGTGTATCTTGGCCGGATCCCGGCTGTCGACGAATCCAGATCAACACTGCGCCCGTTGTGCTGTCAGCGAACTAACTGTGGTTGGATAAACAACCTGTAGGTAAGCCGCTCGGACGAATTCCGTGGATTGACGATGGCAGGCGGCCCTCGAGTCTACATCGAGGGTGATGGGCGATATCTCGGGATGCTGCATGGGTTTCAGGGGCCTCATGCGGAGGAAGACCTTGACGGACTGGTCGGCCTCGGACGGCTTGGATGTCGGCTGGGGCTCGGTGAGCGACGCCTTCTTGGCCGGACGGTTCATCAGCATGGAGGCGTCGCTGGAGGGGGAGCTGGGGGGAACCGCTGGTGAGGATGCTGGTGTGGATACGGAGGGCAGCGCCGCTGCTGGAGCAAGCGAGTGCGAGTGCGGATGCGGATGCGGATGTGGGTGTGGATGCGATCGGCATCAGTCAACCGGCCTCTGCCCAGTCCCTTGATCGGGCCACCTGCCCGAATGAGAATAAATTGAAGCGCCTCCACGTGACCGGAACATGAGCAGGACCAAGCCAGATCCAGGACCAGCGGCGCCGGATCGACCATGGACTCTGGCCAAGAGAATCCATTGCGGTACGACGTTCATCGCCAGGGCGAGAAGAGATGCAGTAAATGGTCCGGGCAGGCGTAATCCAGCTTTATTTCGAGATAGGGCGAGCACCAGGAACTCATCGGACGTTCGCTGGCGAACAAAACCTGTGGGGCCAGGAGACCGACGGCAAGACATACCAGCCCGCCAATGACTGCCAAAGCTCAAGCTGTCGGCTGGCCGGCTGGGGCGGAAGGATGGTTGGCATAGTAACCCGACGCATACGACACAGAGCTTTCTCGCTCCGACCGGACCCGGCTGGACTGGGCATAATGGATAAATTCGACCACTTGCTGCCGGCTCGGGAGCCCATCGCCCTGATCCTCGGCCTGGAGGATCTTATCCTTCTTCTCAAGGTGCTCGCGGCTTTTTTGGTCTGCACCGGCGTGCTGGATGGCATTCAGGAGCACGCCAATGGGGTGGCGACCGCAAATGGTGTTGTCGGTCTCGCGCAGATAGTCGGCAAACTGCTTCGGATCGAGTGTCTCGATGGCGTCCATGCCCCTTCGATCGAGCCGCTCGATCGATTTGTAGATGGGATCACCTCGCTCGGCGTCAGCATCCTTGAAGGTGTACCGGAAGCGCTGGCCCCAGTGGCAAAAGTCAGAGGAGATGATGAAGAGGGTATTGGGCTCGTTGAGGTACGGGGCCAGAAGCTTGCCATAGACGGCCTCCTTCTTGCTATCGATGGCACCGATGAGCACCGGGACGACGGCAAAGGGGCGGGTGTTTCTGGGGATGTGCGGATGAGATGAGTCGAGTCAGCAAGTGTGGTTTCGGTCGCGACCGCAGCTGCCTGGGAACTGGCCCTACCTCTCCATGATCTTGAAGAGGAAGGGCAGCTGCATTTCGATACTATGCTCGTCCTCATCGACCTCGAGCGTCATGTACGTGAACAGCTTGGACTGCATGAGCGAGGCAATCGCTGTGGTGTGTTGTTGGCAGGCATGCGTTTCGACATGATGGGCATGAGCTACTCTGGTGCATTGCCGGTAGAGCAGCAACACATCGACAACAAAGCTGCGCCGAAGCGGAAAGTTTCAGAGTCGAAACGGCCCGGACAGCATACCATCCTTGTCGATCTTGAGATTCCCGAGAGGCGTCTCGTACTCGTCGCATCGGGAGAGGGCGCACCCGTTGAGATAGACATGGTGGCTGGGGCCGAGAATGAAGACTCGCTCGCTATCGTCAGGACAATGGGTGGTTAGCGACGATATCAAAGACGATGGATGGGCCTGATAAATTGCTGGCAAAGGTATTCAATGGCATCCGTGGAGACCAGGGAGCGGCTCCAGTGACTTGCAATCCCAGCCAGAGGCGACAGCGAAGCACCGATTACATGTTGGTTGTGTCGACGCATTTGTATGCGTAGGCGGCAGCAGGGCCTGAATAGCTGAATCCAGCATGTCTGCGGCAAGGAAACAGCAAGAGACAGTGAGCCCAACAGCAAGCGGGGAAGGATGAGCTCAACATCAGTCTCTCGAGCTTGTGCATCGCCGTGAGGTAACCCCGTCGGTGTGGATACTGCTCAGGATTGATTTTGCGTGGTGCATTATCATCGCAAAGACACATCTGCACCAATACGCACGGCGAGATGATGGCCCGCGCATGCGGGATAGGCAGCTGGAGGGAAACGGGCGAGTGCCGGCTATCGATCTCGGCCGGAACGTTTCCGAGGAACTTGTCCAGCTGCTGGGAAAGCTCGGTTTCTGAAAGCCCCCGACAGAAACGTTGTGAGTATAGTGGCTCGTCAGCTGGATAGCCACGGCGGGATGGTGCTGGATAGCCACGGCGAGATGGTGCTGGATAGCCATGGTCGCAAGCAGGGAAAGGGATCATGTCTGGGCTGGCAGGGAGACTCACTCGACGAGCTGTACCAGGAGCCGGCATGGGATGCCTTGCGGATGACGGGAGTGTCCTTGAGCTTGAACATGGCGATGCCCTATGGGTGTTCTTGGAGGCAGCCAATATGCGACGGATGCAGAGCGATGCATCCAAGCAGCGGGTCGGGAGAGAGAAGCTCTCGGACAAGCCAGGCGGGGCGGCGAATGTGGCGGGCAAGCAGAGGGAAAGGACATGTGCGTGGCTGCTTGGATCAACATGCAGCCAGCAGCCGACGACATCGGACGCAATCCACCATGTCCTGAATGGCCCTGGCCAAGCAAGACTGCCCTCGGTCCTATCCTCGTCTGCCCAGCACCAGCATGGGCGGCCAGAGGAGCCAGAGACACTCGGCCGACTCGATATCTTTGGGCACACGCGACGCACCAGATTTGCTCTGCAATGCACTGGACTTGCTCTGCAGTGCACTGGACCTGCTCGGCAGCCAGGCACCAGTTGTTCCCCAAAACCCCGGCCCAGGATCCGGCGACAAAAGCACATGCCAAAAGTCACATTCAGGAGGCGGATGTGTTCAGCGGGCGAGCGGTCGCCAGGGACGATGCAACGCTTTGGGGCAAGCAGCGATCCGATCAGCGGGGACTGCGCCCATCAGGAGGAAGGCAGAGGCGTTTTCATGTGCCCGCTGTGGCGACAGCGATCCCCAAAACGCCGGCCGGTTTGGAGTTGCCTCCGACCTGGCTCGTTGGGGACGCTGATCGGAGGGCGGGCCGTTCAAGACGAATGCGGATGGGCAAATTGGATGCGGCGGATGGTTTCGGCAAGTTGGGGCATCGACGCCGTTGATGCGGTTGATGCAATTGATGAGATGTTGCAGGATATATGTCGTGTACCAGCTATGATGCCACCATATCTATCACACCCATCACACCCATCACACTCATCGCACCCATCATATCATATCATGTCATATCATGTCATATCATATTCACCGCACCAGTCTATCTCATCCGCCACATCCACCACACCCACCGCCCCAACACGCCGGTCGCAACCTGGTTCGAGTGCGCGCGCCTTATGTCAGCGGCCCCCCAAAACACCCGCCGCCCGGTTCGAGCCGCGCCAGCCCGGCCTTGTGCGCCCGCGCCGCCGATTGGCCCGCCGATTGGCCCGCCGCGTGATGCCGCGCCTGGTGCGCAGAGGCGTCTGGTGCGCAATCTTTTTTTTTCGTCTTCCGCACCCTCCGATAAAAGCGCCCCTCTGGTCAGGCTATTCCCTCGCCATCCCCTCGTCTGCCCAGCACCGTCGGTCCCACTTGCCCTCCAATCGCATCATGTCGCACACTGTCGATTCCTGGGTGAGTTGCGGTCCTGCATGTCTGCACGGAGCGTGCATCGACCCTGATGCCGTCTCGCCGCACTCCCTCCGTTCCACTCTGCGTTCATCATCGGCCATGCAGCGGCTGCTCTGCCGTCCCGCCCGTGCACTGGCTCACTCGCTTTCGCACTTGCACTCTCGCTTCTCTTTTACACAGAACACCTGCCTCAACGTCCCTCTCGAGGTCGAGGACAAGGAAATCTATGAGCTGATCCAGCAGGAGAAGTGGAGACAGTACTCCTGCCTCGAGCTCATCGCCTCGGAGGTAATGGCCCAATCCACTCGCCAGCACGCGGACCATCGGCGCAGGTCATTGGCACTCGCACCGATCCTCTGCGCGTTGCTGTGTGCTGACCCTGGGTCGCCTCTCCGTCCGACTGCAGAACTTCACTTCCCAGGCTGTCATGGAGGCCAACGGCTCGGCCCTGACCAACAAGTATTCCGAGGGTTGGTACCGCTGGCAGCCCAATCTCGCGTTGTGTAGCAGATCCCAGTCTCGGCTCTGCTCTTCGCCACACATCGGGCTCGCGCTGCGATATCTGGCGTCCGGCTGATCCGCTCGCCATCCGCCCTTCCTTCCAGGTCTTCCCGGCGCTCGCTACTACGGCGGCAACGAGCACATTGATGTCATCGAGAACGTCTGCCGTACCCGTGCCCTCGCTGCCTTCAACCTCGATGCCCAGAAGTGGGGAGTCAACGTCCAGCCCTACTCCGGTAAGTCCCGTGCTGCACTTTCCGCAGATATCCTCCCACGCCGATCCATCTGCATTTGCCCCCCCCCACTGACTTGCTCGGCTGGTTTGTCCCTGCAGGCTCCACTGCCAACTTCTCGGCCCTCACTGGTCTCCTCGCTCCCCACGACCGCATCATGGGCCTCGATCTCCCCTCCGGCGGCCAGTAAGTCTCTTGCCCTTCCCATCCGCACAACCTTTCCGATCCGCAACTTCATAGGCAATCGAGATCGGCTGAATACGCATTCTGACCCTACCGGCCACATCATCCGTGTCCAGTCTGACCCACGGCTATGCCACCGCCAAGAAGAAGGTCTCGTCCTCGGCCATCTACTTCGAGTCTCTCCCCTACCAGGTCGACATGACCACCGGCTACGTCGACTACGACAAGCTCGAGCAGAACGCCAGCCTCTTCCGCCCCAAGCTCATCATCTGTGGCGCCAGTGCTTATGCCCGTGAATGGGACTATGCCCGCCTCCGCAAGGTCGCCGACCAGCACGGTGCCTACCTGATGGCCGACATTGCCCACATCAGTGGTCTCGTTGCCTCCTCCGAGGCCGCCAACCCCTTCGAGTACTGCGACGTCGTCACCACCACCACCCACAAGACCCTCCGTGGTCCTCGTGCTGGTCTCATCTTCTTCCGCCGTGCTCCCAAGGGCGAGAAGAACTGGGACCTCGAGGAGCGCATCAACTTTGCCGTCTTCCCCTCCAACCAGGGCGGCCCCCACAACAACACCATTGCCGCCATTGCCGTCGCCCTGAAGCAGGCCGCCAGCCCCGCCTTCAAGGCCTACGCCAAGCAGGTCCGTGCCAACGCCGTCGCTCTCTCCGACGCTCTCAAGGCCAAGGGCTACAAGATCGTCACCGACGGTACCGACAACCACATCGTCCTCTGGGACCTTCGTCCCATTGGCATCACCGGCTCCAAGATGGAGAAGCTGTGCGACTACCTCGCCATCACCCTCAACAAGAACGCCGTCCACGGCGACTCCTCGGCCCTCACCCCCGGTGGTGTCCGTCTCGGCACCTCGGCCCTGACCTCCAGAAGCTTCAAGGAGGCCGACTTTGTCAAGGTTGCCGAGTTCCTGCACCGCGGTGTCGAGATTGCCATCAAGCTCCAGTCCACCGCCGGCAAGCTGCTCAAGGACTTTATCGTTGCTGCCGAGTCCAGCGAGGAGGTCAAGGCCCTCAAGGCCGAGGTCGAGGCCTTTGCCCACTCGTTCCCCATGCCCGGCTTCGACCCCAGCTCTGTTCCTGCTGCTCTCCGCCACTAAATGCGCCGTGATACACCCTCCTCCCCTTTGAGAATCCGCTGCGCCGTGCCGCGCCGCCCCTCTCTTTATATCGTTTTCATGCTGTATCTATGGCCATCGGCCACTCTTCCCCAGGCACTAAATACAATCCAATAAAAACGGGACACCCCGGATTTTGAGCATTGATCAAATATTTTGCTACCTCAAAACATCACACACTGGCCATGAACATTCAGTGATGCAATTCTGGACCTGAACCAAGGACGCTCTCTCACTCAGATGGCTCCCCGCAAGCGAAAGGCACCACCCAGGCGGCGGCGATTCAAGCGACTCGATCACCAGGTGTGCTCAGTGCCGGGAAGCCAAGCGACTCGAGAATCCCGAGTATCTTGATATCGAGTTAGTATGGAATTGTTCAGAGGGTCGAGTGAATGCATCCACCACATTCCCACCTGATCTGCATTCCTGATCTGCACCCCTGATCTGCATTCCTGATCTGCACTCCTGATCTGCATTCCTGATCTACACTCCTGATCCACCATGCCGCCTGGCAATTTTGGCGCCAAAACGTCAGCAGCCCGACCCTGCCCGCTGGTTCACTCACTCGTCCTGCCCCTCCGCCGATATGCTGCAGCATCCGCCCTGCCGCATCCTGCCACCCTCCAACTTTGCCGACATTCTTGGTCATCGCTCCTTCGGTTTGCAGACGTTTCTCGCTCCCATCCTCGCCGATCTACAACCCTTGCTTCTCACCCAAGGCCTTGAGCATCGCTTGCTCCAGCGCACCGTCAAGCGACCACCGACACCCCGAGGTGTTGCCCTGACTGCATCCAGATCCGGCTTGATCATAATCGCTCCCTTCATCCACAAGTCGGCGCATTCTCCATCTGGCCGATCCAGGGGTAGCAAGCCGCCAGTAGGGCTCGTCAAGGGGTTGTCTTTGTCAAGGGGTGTACCGTATCACAAGGGACACTCGCCTCCTGCCCTTCCGAGACTGCGATCCTGTTCCACCAACAGCCAACCCGATCGCTGCCTCGACTGTGGGCTGTGTGAAATTTCCACCAACCATATCGCATCGCATCCACGTCGCATCCACATCGCATCCACTTTCCGATCTGAAGAGCATTCATACCCGTTGCATAGCCTCTGTGAGATGAGCTCCCCAAGCAACCGCACTGCGACATGCTTGCCGCTGCTTCAGCGCACTGGGTCGGATCCTACTGTCGCACCGCCTATCGCTCCAGCCGCTGGGATATCCCCTCCGGACTCGATGTCGGTAACAACAGGCGCAATGCATCGTCCGGTCGGACCGCCTTTGGTCAAACCTTTGGCCATGGCTTTCGTCAAGCCATCCGGCAACCGGCCTGTCAGCCCGCCACTGTCGCACTCGCCCGTTGACTATGCTCTGCTGGCACTCTCCCCGCTATCAATGCGGCGGCGATCCAGCGGCTGCAGCGAATATTCAGATAGGTATGCGGTCTTGGTTCCTCGCGGATCCAAGATATTCCCCTCCCGTCGTTCCCATTCTGATGCAAGATCAGGATTCGACCCTGGGTGACTCATGCTTGCCCCTCCAGGTTGATGCCGATCCGCAACGAAGAGCCCGTGGCAAAGTTCAACTTGCACCGCGAGGGCGAGGTCGGCTGCAAGCGGAAGCACTCTCAACAAGCCGAGCTCGATCTCCATCGCGGTAAGCCGGCCATCCAAAGTTTGCAAGGGTGATTGGTGCAATCGATCGACCAAGGACCAGCAACCATGCTTGCTCTCTCCGCTGATTCACACCACCCTCGTGCCTCGTCTCTGACCAGAGGAGGCCGGTAAAGCATATGCTGCCGTGCTCCAAACTGAACTGGCCAACGAGCCGCCACCGAGCCTCGCCTATTACAGCAAGGCCATGTGTCCCTCGACTCCGACAAAGACCAAGACCCTGTTGACCTACAGGTCGCCGTCGAACCCCAATCGCCTCAAGATCCTGGACCATCCGCGCGCGCCAAAGTACTCGACGACCCCGATCAAGCCCGAGTCTCAGATGATCCTTTCCTCTCCGAAAAAACCGATTCGAAAGATACCAAAAGTGCCATACAAGGTCCTGGATGCGCCGGATCTTCAGGTATAATAGCGAGGCTGCATGAAACGGGCGGGTGGTTTGTTCTCGGGTACTGCTCACGCTGCTCGCACTGCATCAAACGAGGGGGGCGACATCTGGCTGCGCGGCCGCTATGAATCGGCCTTGCTCCTTCTTTGAGTCCCAACCATGTGCCTTGTCCAATGATACCGGGCAAATATGGAAACAGGACGACTTTTATCTGAATCTTTTGGACTGGTCCACAAGCAATTACCTCGGGGTCGGTCTCGGCAGCTGCGTATATCTTTGGAACGCCGGAAACAGCAAGGTCGGTGGCTCGCGGATTGGGGCAGCAATCGCCGTCGTATTGCCATCCCTGGTCGTGGGGTGCAACGGATGCTCGCCCATTCGCCGTAACCCCGTTGTTGGTAAACCATCGAGCGTTGTGGGACCAGCATGGCAGCCCTTCCCTCTCTCTTTGTCCTAACTTGACCGCTGTTGCTGCAGGTCATCAAGCTTTGCGACTTGGGCTCCCACGAGGATCTGGTTACATCGGTTTCGTGGTCGCCGCGCGGCTCGCACATCGCCATCGGAACCAACACCGGCATCGTCCAGATCTGGGATGCCGCCAAGGGGAAGAAGGTCCGAAGCATGAAGGGTCATTCGGCTAGGGTCGGCTCGCTTGCCTGGAACGGGGACACACTTACCTCGGGCAGCCGCGACCGCAACATCTTCCAGAGAGACGTGCGGATGCCGAGCGACTACACCAAGAGCCTGAAGGCACACGTCCAGGAGGTTCGTCGAGTTCAGAAGCGTCCAGCATATGCCATAGAGAGTTTCGGGGGACAGATGGTGCGAATATCCCATTGTGCCGACGACCGATTCTGGCAAGCCCGGGAATGTTTCATATGCGGCGCATCGCTGGGATCCACTACCACCCTCGATATCGCAACCGCTGAGTGAAGATCGGCTGGCCTAAAGCGCATACACATCTTTGTTTGGGTCTCAGGTGTGCGGCCTCAAATGGAGTCCGGATGGCTCGTATCTTGCCTCTGGTGGAAACGACAACAATCTGTTTGTCTGGGATCGATGCTGCGAGACCCCGCTGTGCTCCTTCAGCGACCACACTGCGGCCGTAAAGGCGATTGCATGGTCGCCGCACCAGGTCGGTCTCGGCCAACTGAGGCTGGCTGCTCGGCGAGATTGCTGCGGTGCTTGTTGAGATGAAACATGTAGCGCCAGGACTCTCGGACGCCCGCACAGCTCCAGCACCAGCCGCACTCGACTTCCCAGGACTAACCCACAAGCACCCCATCCCTCCCTCGCTTCCTTCTTGCCAACAGCATGGGCTGCTCGCTTCTGGCGGTGGAACGGCCGACCGCCGGATCCGATTCTGGAACACCCTGACAGGCACCCACATCCGCAGCATCGACACGGGCTCGCAGGTGTGCAACCTGGCCTGGGCTAAGCACGTCAACGAGCTCGTCAGCACCCACGGCTACTCCCAAAACCAAATCGTCATATGGAAAGCGCCGCAAATGGAGCAGATAGCGATCTTGACGGGCCACACCTATCGTGTCCTCTATCTGGCCATGTCGCCCGACGGCCAAAATATCGTCACCGGGGCTGGCGACGAGACCCTGCGGTTCTGGAACGTCTTCAACAAGATGAAGCCCAAGGCAGGATACGGCAGCGGATTCTCGGCACTTGCCCCAATGAGATAGCCTCGCAGCTGTGCGTGGTGGGCGGGAGCACCGGGGGCTCTCGGCCAAGTCGCTGCAGTCATTTCTTCTGTCACCTCGATGTGCGGTCCATTCATAGTCGGCTCACTTTCTGTCTCGCTGCCACATGCCAATCTTCAGACATTTCGACGCACTCATTTACGGATCCCTCGCCTCTGCTCTTAGCCGCATAGAGTGCCACCGACCCTTCTTTGTCCATTTGATGTCTTTGATCGTATCGTTGTGCATAGATAGACGATATTTCCATGTATCGGACAAGACAGCTTATATTAGAGATACAATTCCGATCCGCAGTGCGCCGTCGGTTTCACCGGATCTCCGTACGATGTTCATTTCTAGGAGAAGCATGGAAACGACGGACAGCCATCGATCGACCATGGCTACCATCGGCATTATTGGACACCGATCGCATGCTCATCGTGTTGCAACTGACTTGGTCATCTTGTGCATGCCTTGGCTCCATTGGTGTCGCTGCTCTGGATTGTGTCGCTGCTCTGGATTGTGTCAACTGCTCTAAGCGCGCATTGGCATCGATGTGTAGCGGCACTCGTCGATAGATTGGATGAACAGAGATGTTCGGGAATAAGGATGCGTTGTCCATTCCAAACACACCTGTTGATGCATCGTGTGTTTTGGAACTTGACAGAGTCGCTTGTCTTGAGCGAGCCATGGAGCCACAGAATCCTCGGAGCAGCAACCGGGGCTCTTCGTCCCAAAGCTGGATCGGTTTGGTCGAGCTCAGAGGCACAGGTTTGAAGGCATAAGCCGGTAAACCAGACAGCGATCCAGTCCATTTGCGTCAGTCCGGCACTCCGTGAGCAACCATATTGGTGTGCGGCTGAAGAGTGCCCCGACATCATGCGCCATGCCATGTCCAATCTCCAGAACCAGGATGGCATCCGAGCTCAGACCAGAGTTGCGATGGAGTGCGTCCAGCCCGGCGATGATGGCTTCGTAGGCCTCCATTCCGGTCGCGCCGCTGACAAGTGCTTCGGCGGGCTCGGCGTTCAGTGTGCGGCCCTCCAGCAGCCGTGCCTTGCGATGGGACAGGTACGGGGGGTTGCAGACAACGAGATCAAAGGGCATCGGATTCTGCGCGCCATCAGGCTCGAGCGACTCGTAGATCCTTTCAAATGTACCGACAGCGAACCGGGCACGCGATGCAACGCCGTTGTCCTGGGCGTTTCTCTGGGCAATGTCGAGGGCCTCTGGGGATATATCAAGCCCGACACCTACCGAGCCAGCCAAGCTTGCCAGGATCGAGATGAGAAGACACCCTGATCCGGTGCCCAGATCGAGGACGCGCACGGACTGACCAGCGTCGGATCTTGGCTGGAGCAGCTCGATCGATGCTTGGACCAGAGTCTCGGTGCCTTGACGCGGGATCAGCACAGAGGAGTTGACATGGAAGTTGTGCCGAAAGAAACGCTGCGAGTTCCGGTGATCGTAGTTAGCTTCGGCCTGTAGGTGCGCTCAACAAATGGGGTCCAGGATGTGCTCGGACCATGGTTGGCCGAGCTCGCGGTGGATTGGAAACGGAGTGTCATGGCAGATCGCACTCTCGACACCCTTCAGCAGCTTCATCTGCCCTCTCTCCCTACTCCTCGTCACAAGTGCTGCCATCCTAGACAATAATTGGCTTCCTACCTTGGTCCCGGTGATGTAAGCAAGAGGAACTTCCGAGATGCCGTTTGAGTGGAGCGTCGGGTGCTCTGAGGAGATGCTCAGTCCCTGGGCCTCAAGTTGTTCCCGATGCTGCTTCAGCTCCTCAAGCTCCAGCTCGCGCTTCTTGCGGACGGTCTGTTCCTCTCTCGAGCAAAGCGCCTCGAACTTGGCCGGCGGACCGTGCTCGACATCAAGGCGCTGCTGCGTGAAGGGATGCTGCAGCGAGACACCGACGAGAGCGAGGAAGATCCCCTTGCCTCGGGCTGTGCGAAAGTCCGCCGTGTGTTTGCCGTTTCCAATGACGGAATGGCCGAGGCACTCGAGGTGCAGGCGGACCTGATACTTGGTTTGCGGCAGCATGCCGTTTTGGGGCGTGAGCTCTACCAGGGTCAAGTAGCCGGAAGGGTGGTTGCGAGTCGGGACGGTTGCGATGATGGCACACTTGGTTGCGGCAGCTACCCCTGCATCGGCGGTGAATTGCAGACAAGAATGGCGACATCGGGAGGTTTCAGTGTTGGTTGAGGCTCGAATAAGCCTGACTCAAAATGCGCCCGACAAGCGTGTGGGATCTGGAAAGCCGCCACTCACCATCGAGTGGCTCGCTGACTATAAAGCTTGTCGGATGGTCCCCAGTCTGTACAAGCGGATGTGCAGACAGATCGCCGAGACAGAGAGCCGTCCAGCGGAACTCGACCAGCCCATCGGCAACCATTTGGCGCACCGCCGTCTCTGCTTCTTGCGTCTTGAGGCAGAGGACAAGTCCGGGAGTGGCTTTGTCGAGAGACACAATGCAGGAAGGCATCGCTAGAGCGGCTCGGGGGTATTGGCTCGGGACTGGCTGGAGGATATGTCGCAGGGCCGTCTCGAGTGTCTTGGCGTCGAAACGGGAGACGGTGACCCCACTGGGCTTCCAGACAACTGCGATATCGTCGTCTTCGTAGAGCACCTAGTCAGGCGACGAGAGGGAGATCCAATTCAGCTGTCGGCCGTGGCAGGTCGCCGAGTTGGTGTTCAAGACTGGACCGAGAGTTGCTGTGCTTGAGGGTCGTGACGACCGCAGCCACTGGTGCACTTGCAGCACCAAGGTGCCATAAATATGCCTGAAAGCGGGATCGGTTTTACAACGCCTGCATGTGCTTCCTATGCCCGCGACATACCTGCAGATCCATAAACTCCTGGTCTCGTCGAACGTCGTCACAGGTGCGGTCGAGGATCGTGACAGCGTCGCCAGTCTTGAGAAGGCGTGCCTCCGAGGTCGGCGCCTTGCCGTTGACGAGAACGATGCCCTGGGTGAAGGCGGCGTGCGCTTGCGATTTGGACGTGATGATGTCGGCAAATGCATGCCGCATAAATCGGGGAAGACGGGTGTTGTTGTACTGCTCCGAAACGACGGCGGTGTGTGTGGTCCGGGACCGATGCGCTTGAGCGATATCACCGCCGGCTACCAGAGCAGCCGGACAGGGCCGGATCGCCTGCGGGATGGCTGTATCGCCGCCGTCGCCATCGTCGCTCATGAATGCACTCGGGGGACAGGATGCGAGCAGCTGACGATGGGGGAGTTGGGCAAGACGTGTGGTGCTGGGATATGGCTGTGGCCTGGCTTGGGCCCAAGCTCCGACCGTGCGACGCGCAGCCTCCCCGAATAGGGCATATGAAGTTCATTTGCGGCCCGTGTGCAACTTTTTTTGTTTTTCTTCTGGGCTGCGATGCGATCCACCACCCCGTCTCCGCGAGCCGGTCAACCCGCACGAAGGAGAGCCCATCCGCCCATCCGCCCATCCGCCCATCCGCCCATCCGCCCACTCCCCCCAGCAAGCAGAGCATCTCTCGCGGCCCGAGTACTCGCCATGGTGAAGCGGTCAAACTCGCAGCAGCTGGCTCAGCCAGCCAAGAAGAAGCAAGGTAGGCATCGAGCCTGGCGGCCCGGTCAAGGAGACGAATAGCGAACACCTTCGCTGGCAGTGGATCTGACAATCGAATGATGTGCCTGCAGCCGTCATCTCAGCAGAAGGACAGGTCCGTGTGAACCCCAAGAAAACTGTCGTTATTGAGGAGGTTGAAGACATTCCTGACGACGATGAGGATGAGGACGATGAGGATGACGATGACGATGAGGATGAGGATGACAATGACGATGAAGATGACGACGATGAAGCCGCCGACTATGACGACAAAGACGATGGTGCCGATGAAGAGACGGATGCTCAAGGCGCAGTTGATTCGCGGCTCAGTGGTGATGACGCCGTCAGCGCCCTCGAAGGTAGGCATGCGGGTGCTCCATGGCAGAGCCAAGGCGCATTGGGAGTGACAACGCAACCATGCGCTGTCCACCTTTGCAGATGACTGACTTTTGTGCCGCCCACCAAAGGCACTGATCTGTCCAAGGCCGTGAGCAAGGAATTCCAGTCACTGAACCTGTCCGAGAACACGGCCAAGGCCATCGCCGACATGGGCTTTGCGCAGATGACGGAAGTCCAGGCCCGCTCGATCCCATCAGCAATGACGGGCCGCGACATCCTCGGCGCCGCCAAGACCGGATCCGGCAAGACGCTGGCCTTCCTGATCCCGGCGATCGAGTTGCTGCACAAGCTCAAGTTCAAGCCCCGAAACGGAACCGGAGTCGTGGTCATCTCGCCCACACGCGAGCTTGCCCTCCAGATCTTTGGCGTCGCCAAGGAGCTTCTCAAGTACCACAGCCAGACGTTCGGCATCGTCATGGGTGGCGCAAATCGCAAGGCTGAGGCCGACAAGCTCACCAAGGGCGTCAACCTGCTCATTGCCACCCCGGGCAGACTCTTGGATCATCTCCAGGTGCGTTTGGAAGACCCGCCACGTTTGCTTGAGCACTCTACTGGTCCTTGTGACTTACTTCCGTGTAGGAGTGGCGGATGACTACCAACGGTCATGGACGAAAGAATGGCAACCATCTGAACTCGGACCGTTGGCGTCGACACTGACCTGCCGACTTTTGCATTTTGCATGACAGAACACCCAAGGCTTTATCGTGAAAAACCTCAAGTGTCTGATCATTGACGAAGCCGATCGGATATTGGAAGTCGGTTTCGAGGAGGAAATGCATCAGATTATCAAGCTCCTGCCCAAAGGTCAGCACTCTGTTGGATTCGACCGGTCGAGCGACGATCTCTCTCTGCATTGCCAGCTCGGGACGCCGGATTGACCCATCTCGTTGTTGTTTGTGTTGTGTCCTCCCACATCGCCCTCTCCAGAGCGCCAGACTATGCTCTTCTCTGCCACTCAGACCACCAAGGTCGACGATCTGGCGCGCGTCTCGCTCAAAAAGTCGCCGCTGTACATCAACGTGGACGAACACAAGGTTAATGCCACGGCCGAGGGTCTGGAGCAGGGCTATGTCGTGTGCCCGAGCGAGAACCGGTTCCTGCTGCTGTTCACCTTCCTGAAGAAAAACCTGAAGAAGAAGATGATTGTATTCATGTCCAGCTGCAACTCGGTCAAGTACTATGCCGAGTTGCTGAATTACATTGACATTCCCGTGTTGGATTTGCACGTAAGTCTGCTGGCGACAGCGTCGTGCTGGTGGGAGGGGGCAAGAGGGTCCGATATGCAGCGTATGGCGAAGGGTGACGGTAGCAATGAGGCTCTGCTATGTAGACAGCTGCTGTGATGGCATTGGACAGGCTTGCTCAAAGCGCTTTCTTGCTCCTTCAAACAGGGCCGCCAAAAGCAGCAGAAGCGCACAAACACCTTCTTTGAGTTTGTGAATGCGGAGACCGGCATCCTGCTGTGTACAGATGTCGCGGCTCGTGGCCTGGATATCCCTGCTGTCGACTGGATCATCCAGTACGATCCTCCGGATGATCCCAGAGTAAGCATCGCGGACGAGTGCCGCCACCCCTTGCAGCTGGCGAATGGGCGGAAGTCGGATGGGATGAGATGGGATAGATGCAGTGATGGCGCTGTCCCGGAATGGTTCGTGTTGCCTGATGAATCGCTGACCCACCATTGCTACCCGTATCAGGAATACATTCACCGAGTCGGACGCACCGCTCGTGCTGGCGGTCGTGGCAAGGCTCTGCTTTTCCTGCTTCCCCAGGAGCTCGGATTCCTGCGGTTCCTGAAGCAAGCGCGTGTACCGCTGAACGAGTACCAGTTCCCGTCCTCCAAGATAGCGAACGTGCAGTCTCAACTCGAGAAACTGGTGGAGAAGAACTACTATCTCAACAAGAGCGCCAAGGATGGCTATCGCTCGTACCTGCAGGCGTACGCGTCACATTCGCTGAAGCAAATCTTCAACATCAACAACTTGGATCTGCAAAAGGTTGCCCGAGCCTTTGGATTCACTGTGCCCCCAAGAGTCAACATCACGATCGGGGCAAGCGGCAAGACGGACCGGAAGGAGCGCAAGGGCGGATATCAGGCCAAGAAGAAGCCCAACGAAGAGCACTTCAAGCGCAAGGCGGGGGGTGCTGATGGTCGACAATGGAACCGATAATAGCCAGTGCTGTCTGAGGCGACCGTGGCCATCCGTGTGTGAAGGTGTCTCGCTTCAAGATAAGTTCGCTGTAGCCCCGGTTGAATGGGTCGCTGCTTTCCGCATGGAAGCCATCGGCGCGGCATGTGCTCCGACATGTGCTCTGACATGCTCTCGGACATGTGCTGGCTGATCAAAGTCTGCGGATGCGGACGGGCGAGCTTCATGTGACGAGCATGCCGTTCGGTCTGTGGCGCTTGCATACCGAAACGGAGTTCGCCATGCCTCCATTGCTTTTGAACCACCCCTTGGACATTGAATACACGTATCCACATATATTGACCAAGCACAGCGCTCGCGACAATGGCGTCGCAGTGGGTCTGCGTGACAGCTGGCGACTGTCTCCGCATCCTCGAATCCTGCATTCTCTGATGTCGGCTGCACGGGCTGTATCACATAGCAGTATATTTGCTTGTATCTATCAAGACGCTCGCAGACGACGGCGACGAGATGAGGGATGGGAAATTTTGTACAGACGCAGAGTGGAAGGAAGAGATACGCTGCGAACCAGAACGGGGGAAGGAAAGAATGGTTGATTGAGTGTCGATTCGATGGAGTGGGGGACACACGTATGCAGTGTTTGCGATGATGTGATGGCCATGGCGAGTGAGTGTGCAGTTGGCTCCGAGATGCTTGACACATCATGCTTGGGTGGAACGATGGCTGAGGGTTGTTGTTGGGAGGGGGGGCGTCGACGTGCTGGAAGATACCACGGTCCTCTCGCACGGCGTGGCAGGGAGAGTAGAGTTGCAGGAGGGGACCGGGACCAGCAATTCTGGTATATAGATGGATAAAGTGGTGGCAAAGAGGACGGAGGGGAAGGGTGGTGGCAACGGCGATGACAATGACAATGACAATGACAACGGCGATGACAATGACAATGACAATGACAATGACAATGACAATGACAATGACAATGATAATGGCGGCGACTACTCGCTGGACGAGGCATCGTGTGAGTAGACCGGCAGAACCATGGCATTGCTTGGCGACAGCGGACGATTCTTGAGCGACGCCTTGGATGAAGCGTGGTTGAGACGGAACGCCGATTGGCCCTTGGCAATCTCCTGGGCGCTGAGCAGCCGGTACTGCTGGTCTTCCTGGCGCGGGAGCGAGCCACTCATGGTCAGCGATGGCGAAGGGCTCCGGATACTGAAGGGCGAATAGTTGTAGTTCAGGACCTGGCCCTCGTCTCGGGACTTGAGCGAGCCCTGCGAGGGCATTGACGAGAGGTTCGAGGGTTGAGCAGCGGCATGTGGAGGCTTGGGAGAGAGGTGAGAGGAGAGATGAGGCGAAGGGACGGTGGGGTGCTTCGGTGACGAGTGCGCCGAGCCCGGTGCCGAGCCCGGTGCCGAGCCTGGTGGCGAGCCAAATGCCTTGAGGCGGTCGATGGAGGCGTGTGTCGAGTGGTGCGCCGAGTGGCGAGAGGAATACAGGGTGGCGGTGTCCTCGAGTGACTGGGGTTTTGGCAGAGATTTTGCCTGGAGATGGCGCCGGTACTCTGTTTCGAGGGACTGAGATGGTCTGAAGACGACGGTGGCTGCATCGCTGTGGAGAGATGGGTCGGGCGCGGAGGATGTCGACGACGTCGAGCTGGTTCTGCGGTGGTCGGACAGGCCGTTGCTGGCAGTCGAGTAGCTCAGGAGGTCGTGGAGCGACGCCGGGCTGCGGGGCTCAGAGGCAGGGGTTGTTTGCAGGGCGGCGGTCGACAAGGACCGCATCTCGCGCTTGAGGGAGGAGCGGGCGAGACATGGCGGGAGGATAATGACCAGCAGAATCACGACAACCACGGCGGTGCCAACAAGGGCGACGGGGAGGGTCAGATTGAAGTTGGAGTCTGCGCTGGGCGACGGGGATGCCGAAGGGGATGCCGAAGGGGATGCCGAGGGGGACGCTGAGGTGCCATTGGAGGCGGCGTCGAGACCGAGGAGGGCAAAGTCCAGGAACATTTCTCAAGGCAGCATTCGACTCGAGCGCGGGAGCAGATTGTGTAGCAGAAGCAGAGACAGGCGTGGAGGCAAATGCGAGCGTGGAGTCGACTGCGGGGACGACTGTGGGATCGATTGCGGGATCGACCGCAGGAGGAAAAGGGGGTCTTGGACAGAGAAAAGAGTACCGAGGGGGGACGAAAGTGGTGCCGCGGGATTGGGCAATGCGACCGGGGACTGGCGAAGCGGGGTTGGGACGCAAGTCTGGGAGGCAATGTCAAACGGATAATGCGGGCGCCGTCTGGAAGAGGGTTGACAGCAACAGCGACTTGACAGGGTGTCGGCCGAGACCCAAGCGCGGATGAGCGAACGGCCAAAGCGCAGAGGAGCGAGCAGGCAGAGGCAAACGCTGCCGAAGAGAAAAGCCTGCCTGCCCCCCTCGCGGGCAGGTGGGCCCAAGAAAAAGCGCACCGCAGGCCGCCCCCTGTCCCGAGGCGCCGGTTGTCCAATGCATATGACGGCATCTTGGGGCCGCGGCGCAAGGCCAGCGGCACGTTTCGGCGACGGCCGACGGCGGTCTATGGATCAGACGCACGCCGACAACGCGGCCGGCGCTGGGCACAGGACTGGGGCACACGGCCGTGCGGCCGGCGGCAGAGCGCACACGCTGTGGGCAATAGGGTGTGCACGGGCTGTGGGCTCGAGCCTGTGCGAGCATGGCGAGCTTGTGCGGGCAGCCGAAGGGCAATGTTCTGCACCGGCGATATGCTTGGGCCGGCGACTGCGCGGACTGCCGCTGCGGTCCATGCGCTTGCGGGGAAGCAGTGCTTGTGTTAGTGGTGCTGCTTTGCTGTGGTGCTGCTTTGCTGTGGTTGGTTTTGTCGCCGGTGGTGCTGATGCGGTTGTTGTTGCGATGTTGATGGTGTTGTGATCGGCATCGACATCGGCGGTGCTTGTCGAGGCGGGCCGGCGCTGCGATCCCCAGTGGCGAGCGGAGCGCATCTCGGCCCGTGGGCCCTGGTTGGAAGCGTGGTGGTGATCGTGATGGTGGTTATCGTGGTGGTGCTGGTGGTGGTACTGGTGCTGGTGCGCAAGCGACAGCCGCACCTCGGTCCGTCTGGCAGATGCAAGGCATCGCACAGACACCCTGGGCCGTTGCCAGCACCCCCGATCCTGCACCCATGGATGCTGCCGACAACCGTCAGGCCAACGTGCAGGGCGGGCTGGCCAGCAACGCCGCCGATTGTATCCCTCGCTCGTGCACAGACGCCGTCGACACCGACACCGACATCGGCATCGACAGCACCGTCAAAACGATCGACATCGACACCAACACCGACATCGACATCGCTATTTCGGGCTGCAGCCACAGAAACAGCGCTGTCGCGGTTGCTTCCGGCACACATGTGCGACCAGTCGAGGCTCTGTGTCACATCTCCCTCACACCGCCAAATCGAGCCAACAGTCCCGTCGGTCGCACCAGCACCGCAAAAGGCAGGTCGCTCGGCGCGGCGCATCGCAGCACACCGGGCCACACACAACAGTGCCGCACTCGTGGTTGGCTCTTTGGTCGTTTCGCCTCCATCAAGCCGATCGCCCAACGCCTCAACCGACCTCCTTGGCCTGCCCTTCGCCTTGGCCGGCTGCTTCCCCACCGCCGACCATGTCCATGCTATCGTCGTTCCAGTCCCAGCTCAACAAGGCCGTCGGTGCGTCCCGCGATGCCGTCGCCTCCATCCAGCATTCGCTCAAGTATGATGCCACGTCCGGCTCCCAATCGCCCTCCCAGTCCAGCGCATCGCTGCCCACCATGGCCGACTCATCTATCCGGCCCTCGGTCGACGACCCGCTCACGGATACCCCGCGAGCCTCCATGGACTCGATCATCAGCCAGATGGATCTGGCCCCAGGCGAGATCCAGGAAAAGCTCTCGCGGCTCAAGAAGTACGAGTCCAAGTTTACGGGTACGCTTTCGATGCAGGATCGGCTCTGTCTCCTTCCCCGCATCGTCCACACGCACTCGCCATCCCTCCAATAGGGTGCCCTTATTTTCCCTCTCGCAATCCCCGGTCCTTCGCTTCCCCCTCTCCCTGCAAGCTTGCTGGCGCAGCGAGTTTGTCGATTTCCTTTATCGGCTCCCATTGGCCATCGTGAAACTCGTCCTTATTTCAATCGGCATTGCCGCCCTGATCATACCCCTCCTCCTCCTTCGGGTCCGCAGACTAATATTTCCACCATCCCTACTGTCCTCCGCGTGCTCGCTGCTCCGCCAACGCTTCGCTGCCTTTCCCTGGTTCTATATTGCAACTGCCTGCAACTGCCTGCAACTGCCTGCGACTCCCCCCCCCTGCACGATTCGCTCCCTCGACCATGTACTTGCCGTCGTTTCTGTACTGGCACTCCATGTGGCCGCTAGACCTGGTCAAGGCATACAAGCTCATGCAAAAGAAGAACACACAGATCGAGTCCATCATCCGGAGCAACACCCCCATCGCCGCCATCAACAACACGCATGATGTCGAGGCCTTTGATACCTATCTCAAGAGCATCCGCCAGAGAAACGATGTAGGCCCGCCTTGCTCGCCCACTCGTCCTCACATGATTCATTCACCGACAGAATACGACATCGCCCTCAACGCAGCTTGCTTTAGCATCATCGCCATTTGAGGCTCCTTCTTCTGAGCTTGTGCCAGCGGATCGACAGAGCCACTGACTCGATCGTCTTCTGCTCAATCCATTTAGATTTCGGCCGAGGAACTCACCAAACTGACCCGCGAGCTCAAAGAGTCCAGAGAAGCCCACCGAATAGACATCACCTCAAAGACGGAACTGCTCAGCAGCCTCCAGGCCATGCTGGATGAGCGAGAGAAGGTTTGTGCATGGCAATCATAATGCCCACCGTAGTGCCCGTCACAGTGTCCACCATGGCGCCCATCGTAGCGTCCATCATGGTGCTATTACAGCGCCCATCACGTTCTCCATATTGTGTGGTCCCTCTTCCGTCGGCGCCGCTGACCTGGGATCTAATCCCAACCTCAGGAAATCGAGGTTCTTAAGCAGCAGCAAACCGCCCCTGCGACCCCTGCGGCCCCTGTCGAAGAGATCGTCTCCCCCCGAAGCTCGTTCAGCGACCCCCTTGCCGCCACAGGCCACGAGAGCACGCTGCAACTCAAGCTCAAGATCCGCGAACTCACCAACTCGGTCAAGAAGATGGCCGAGCAGCGCGACGAAGCCAGTGCCAGGTGTGAAGAGCTGCGTGTCGAGAACGAGGCAATGGTCGCCAAGCTCATGAACTCGGATGTCAACACCGTCATCAAAGAGACGCCGCTCTCGCCCACCATTTCGGCCACCTCACCCGTCAAGACCGATACCACTACGATTCTGATGGAGCTCGAGACCAGCCGCGGTAAGGATGCCAAGCTGGCCCAGCTGCAGCTGGATCTTGCTCAAGTCTCACAGGAAAAGTCCCAGTTCGAGGTGCAGTGCCGCGGTCTTGACGAAGAGCTCGTCCAGCGCAAGCAGCAAGTCGAAGTTCAGGACGCCGAACTCACTGCCTTGAAAAATGAGACCTCGTTGCTCAAGCTCCAGCTCAGCGAGATTTCGGGCGAGAAATCCGTCCTGGAGACTGAGAAGCTGCACCTCGTCGATCAGATCCGCGTTAGCGAGCTAGCATTGGCCGAAGAATCGCGGGTGCACCAGGAGGAGCTCTCCCGCCTGGGACAGTCCATCGCTCAACTGAATGACAGGCTGGACCAGCTTTCCTCCGCCAAGGCTTCCTCCGAGTCCCAGCTCCAATCGGCCTTGAACAGCGTTGCCGACCTTGGCAAGAGGAGCGACGATCTGGCGTCCGAGCTTGCTGCTGCTCTGGACAACGCCAAGGACGCCGACAGTCTTCGCCAAGAGCGCGCTCAACTAGCTGCCGAGGCGACCAAGCTCACGGATCGGATCGCCGAGCTCGAGTCACTGCAGAAGCTCGCTGCCGAGGAGAGAGAGAAGTCCTCGGCTCAACTCCAGAGTCTCGCTGACGAGGCCGAGCGCCACCGCTCCGAGCTCGAGCATGCACGCCAACTCCACCAAGATGCTGAGAAAACGGCATCCGAGCAACTTGCAGCTGCTCAGCAGAACATCGATGCCCTGCAGAAGCAACACGACACTGTCTCTGCTGCTCTCCAAGAGTCGCAGCAGGAGAGCTCTCGTCTGAAGGCGTCGCTTGATCAGCATCAGCGGGAGCTGACCGAAATCACCAACAAGCTTGCTGCCACTCAGTCGGAGCTTGCCACGATCACCAAAAAACTCGAGTCGGATCTGTCTGAGAGTGCTTCGCGCGAAGGATCCCTCAAGTCTGCCGTCGAAAGGCTCGAGATCGAGCTGGGCAACAGCAGCTCCCGGGCCACAGCGCTGGAAGCCGAGGTCAAGGATCTGCAGGCACAACTCGGAACTGCGAACACCTCGTCTGCCCAGCTGCAGATCCAGCTGGATAGCCTCCAGTCTGAAACCCACATCAAGATCCGGCGTCTCGAGAGCTCCCTGAGCGAGCGCGACACCAGCATCCATCTCCTCAACGGACAAGTAGCCGATCTCAAGCAGCAGCTTGACGGTTCGGACCACTCTGACGCCTCGATCCGCTTGGTCGAAACCGAGGCCAAGCTGCGCAAGCTGCACCTGGATCTGGAAGAGATCCATGCCAAGAGCCTCCAGGCGCACGAGGAGGAGAAGCAGCGCCAGATCAAGTATCAGGCCCTGGCAGAAGAAAAGAAGCAGGCCGATCTGCAGCTCGTCTCTCTTCAGGAGCAATCCGCCTCCCGCCAAGCTGCCCTGGATGAGCGCAGCACCGCCTACGAGGCTCTGAAGCAGCAGGCGGATCGTCTCCAGCACGAGCTCGAAGCGGCTCGCGCCGACTGTGTGGCAGCCCAACAGCAGATCGAAGACGCCCGCAACCGGCAACACGAGCTGGAGCATGCAGCCGAGTCACTCAAGACCAGCCTCGGTTCGCAGATCCAGCAACTTGCTCAAACGATCGAGCAACAAAACGAGCACATCAAGGTTCTGGAGCCTTTCAGGGACCTGCACACGCAGCAAGAAGAGCGGGCTCGTGTCCTGGGCGAGCAGCTCGAAGATCTTCGGTCCAAAACCAGCGCACTTGAGGATCAGGAAGCCGCTGCCAAGCAGAAAGCAGCCGCCCTCGCTCAGCAGCTGAATGAGTCCGATGCTGCCGTCCGTGCTCTCAAGCAGGCGGATGCAGACCATACCAAGCGCCTCTCGGTGCTGCAAGGCGAGCTCGTCCAGGTCCGTGGCGACCTCGAGTCGGCCCGCGTGGCGCTTTCCGAAAAGGAAGACAAGCTTGGCGAGCTTGAAGATGTTGCGCAAAAGGCGCGTGAGGCCAAGGAGCACCTCAAGGCGGCCAAAGCCCGCGTCGTCGAGCTGGAGCTTGCGCTTGAAGAGTCCACTAAGAAGTCGGAGGAGCTTGCTGAAAAGGCCGAGCGCGAGTGGAAACAGCTGACCGAGCTCCAGGCGGCTGTCCAGACTGCCACCAACCAGAGCGCCGAGATCGAGAAGCGTCTGCAGACCTCTCAAGAGCAACACCAGCAGCTCCAAGAGGCCTCGAAGCGCGGCGCCGAACTGCTGGAGGGAGAGAAGCGAGCCCTGCAGCAGCGCATCGAGGAACTCACCGCGCAGTTGGATCAGGGCACCGTCGATGGTGCCAAGTTCGCCGAGCTCCAGACCCAGCTTGACAAGCTCGCTGCCGAAAAGGAAACCCTCCAGGTCCAGGTCGTGCAGGCCGAGATGCTTCGGGCGCAGGTCGATTCGCTGACACGGCGGTATACCGAGTCGCAGGACCAGGTCACGGTCCTGCAGGAGAGCCTGGAGCAGCGAGCCAGCGAGAAGCAGGAGTTTGTGCACCGGGTCAACAGCGCGGAGGAGTCGCTGGCCCTTGCCAAACAGACCATCCACCAACGCGACGAGACGATCGGACAGCTGACCGCCGAGCTGGGCGAGCTACGGACCCAGTACGAGCAGACCGAGGAGAAAAAGATCAAGGTGGTGCAGCTCCTGCGCAGCAGCAAGAATCGAATCATCAAGCTCGAGGCCGACGTCAAGCTCAAGGAAGACGAAGCCGCGAAGCTACAGGAGCGCATCGCTGAAATGCAGGCACTCCACGAACGGGACCTCCGCGAGCGCGAGGGCCAGATGGCGACCGTCACACGGCAGCTCGAAGACATGCACATGAGGCTGCGAGGCCACGAAGCCACCGACGCCGAAAACGAGAGCAAGAAAGCCGAGCTCGCGAGCGTGGCCGACCAGCTGCGTGGACGCATCACCGAACTCGAGGCCAGTCTCAGGGACCAGGTGTCCGTAGCGCAGTCTCTCCGGGCCCAGCAAGCCAACCTCACCACCAGCCAGGCGATCGTCGAGGCCCAGGCCGATCAACTGCGCCAATGGAGTGCGCGCATGAGGGAGATGGAGGAGCGGCTCGCCACCCTGGACGACGAACTCGACACGAGCAAAAAGCTCTTCCAGAAGAAGAGCATCGAGAACGACGGCCTCAAGGTCAAACTTTCGGAGCTCGAGACCGAGGTTTACAACGCCAACCAAGCGACCAAGGTGTCCAAGGACGAACGCGAGACACTCAAGCGCGAGCAGCGCGACCTCAAATCCGAGCTCAACTCTCGCGAGAACGAGCTCAAGAAGCTTGACGACGACCTCAAGACCGAAACCCTCAAATCCACCGAGCGAATCGTCGAGCTCGAAGAGAAGATGGCCGAGCTTGAGGAATCTAATCGCCATCTGTCCGACACGATTGCGTCGCTGCAGGAGGCTAAGCTCAATGACGGCGTGTGGCAAGCCCAAATCGAGCAAGAAAGGGTATGTGTCCAAGCATCCTGATCCTGCCGCCGACATTGCCTGCTGGCTTAGCCCACCAGTTTGCTACACTCTATCCCCTCCCACTGCACTCTGACCCATCCACGGTTGTGTCCCCACGCATTCCGTCGCACAGCAAAAGTCCGGCCTCCTCGAAGAAAAGATCCTGGCGCTGGAGGAGGAGCTCCGCAGCATCGCAGCTTCCCACGAAGACACCGTGTCGGAGCTTCGCATGCGAGAAGGGCAGCTCAAGAACCTCAACAAGGTGGGTTGCATATCGGTTTTGTGGCGGGTTTCGATCAATAGGGACTCTTGCTTCCTCTCGTGGTGGCTGCCTGGCAACACGAAGTGTCTCTTGGGGCATCTGAGTGGCCGTCCACGGCTCGCACAGCTCCTTGCTCTTCGTTTCCAAAGCAGCCTTATGCTTATTATCCCTGTTGGGGCTGGACTCTCTGCACATCTTGGACAGGCCCTCAAGGAAGAGGTGCGAAAACTCTCCCGCAACTTGAGCCACAGCAACTCCCAGACCAACCTGAACCAAGGCGCAAACGGCTCAAGCGCCAGCTCCCCGATCGAGCGGCGTGGATCAACGACGTCGAACCACAGCATGGGATCGGGCCGGAATCCAAGCCAGCCTGGATCAGCAGCGAGCTCGTTGGAGTCGCTCCCGGACCCCAACACCGAATACATCAAAAACATCATTATCAAGTTCCTCGAGTTCAAGGACAAGCGGGTACGTATCTCGTGCTGCAGTCCAGCGGAGGGTTGCCCAACGAGAATGAGCAGAGAGAAGGCAAACAGCAGGCATGAAGCGCTGGATCAGCGCGACTGGGCGGGCGCCTCGCGCTGGTGCTGGGGAACCCCCCCCCGCAAGTGTGTCTCAGATCGCTTACTCTTGTCGATTGCTCGCTCGTGGGCTGGATGGTCTGGACGTACGGCAGGCTCAGCTGCTCCAGGTCCTGGGAATGATCTTGAAGTTCACTCCGGATGAACTGAAGAAAGTGCAGAAATACCTATGATAAATTTGGCTCCCCCTCCCCTCTCTCACACAATATCGATTTGTCCCCCCCGCCCGCCTGCACTAGTATAGCCGGCACGCGGGTGCTTGGTGCCGAGTGAGCATCATTTCCATTTCCGCCCAACGGCTCTGTCCATACCTGCCCACTGTGATCGCTGGTCCGCGCTATGAATCGTTCGATAGCTGTAATTGCACTCTGTTTTTGCCTGCGTTCGGGACTGCTTCCAAAATACAGACACTTGATCCCCGCTCTCCTCTTCTATTTCTCTTTGGGTCATTGCGTCGCTGCTCTCTCCAACATATCTCCTTCAATTGATTGATGCTACCAGAATACAAATCGAGTATATTGGGTTCATAGACAGCGAGAAGGACCATGGCGTCCGTGTCGATATCAGAGAGCGGCTGCAACTGACATCGCATGGCATCCGACCACAGCACTGCATCTCGCCCTCCCGGATCATAGAGAAGAAGAACAGTTGACACGATCCGGATGCAGCTATGCGCGCAGATTCGTGCGGCCCAGTGGTTGTACCTCTTGGGCGTTAGTGGAGCACACGTCCACTTTAACAGTCAGGGTTGGCACCACGGCAGACAGTGCCGGCCGGAGCGTTGCCATCGTCAATGAAGCGCTTGGTGATGCCCTGGTACTGGGCCACGGCAGCAGTGATGAGCTCGCCGTTGATGCCGGAGGAAGGATCGTAGTAATCCTCGCTCATCTCCCAGGCAAAAACGCCACCCAGGTTCCACTGCTTGGCAAATTTGACCTTGGCGGCGATCGACTGGACATCGTCGTACGTGATAAAGACGCCGGTGTTGTTGTTGAGCAGAGTCGGGGCCTAGACACGATCAGGGAAGCCAAGTTGGGTCTGGGTCAAACAACAGCATCTGTCCAGCACCATCGCCGTCACAGGCCAGCCTACATCAGTGCTGCACTGCTGCAGCACATGAGGAGCCCAATCGCCAACCTACCATAACATCAGAGTGCCAGGTGCGGACCCAGCCAGAGCCAGCAACGGGAGTCGTGGCCGACGACAGAATACCGCCGCGCGCACGGGTACGCAGACCTCTCCAGCTCCAGTCGCCGGTGTTGGTGGCGGGCCAGTTGCAGCCGTCATACTCGAGATCGTCCAAAAAGTCGCCCTGAATGACGGTGCAGGCGCCCGAGGTGATATCACTGGCATTGGTCAGGGGGCAGTTTTGGTAGAGACCGTCGGGGTGGTTGGCGTCGCTGTGAATGGGATAGAATGAGTGGCCGTTGAATTCGAGGCCCAGGCGGAGCTTGCTGCGGTCGACCTTGAGGGTCTTGACGTAGTCACGAAGGGTGTCCTGGATGGAAATGATGTGGAGAGGGTCGGAGGGGTTCTGGTAGATCGGGGTGCCGATGCCGGTGAAGGGGTTCCAGTTGCCAGAGTAGTCATAGGTCATGACTGGTTTGGCGAGCGGTGGAGCAAGCCATTGCAGCCGTGCGGCAGCGAGGGAGGCAGATATCAGCACGGTGTCTCGACAGCGAACAGAACGAGGGATGCGAGACTCGATGGTGCACCGCCGGCTTACTGTTGATGTGGGTCAGCTGCTGAGCCCAGACAGGAATCCAGTTGGTGCCGTTGACATCGCGGTAAACGCTGACGGTAGCGCCGAGGGCAACGGTGATGGGGCGACCCCAGCCGAGCTTCTGGCGAAGGAGCTGGAGGACGAGGTTGTAGTTCTGGAAATCGTAGTTACTCATGGTGTTGCAGCCATAGCCGGATGCGCCGGGGTATCTGAAGCGAGCAAGGTTGTTAGTACGTTGCAGTGGTCTTGCCAAGGAGTGTCGAGGGGCTCGGCGCAGGTACATCGAGCGAACTGGGCGACTCGAGAGGCAGGATGCACGCGGGACGACAAGATACACACTCCCAGTCAATGTCGACGCCGTCGAAGGCGTAGTTGCTGGTGATGAGATTGGTCCAGACCGAGTTGACAAAGTTCTGGCGGCCTTGGGCGGTCGAGAAGGCCTGGCTGAAGTAAGTCGAGTTGGTCCAGCCTGCGGGAGCGAGTTTGATTGCCAGAAGCCGACCGAATTAGTATGGACACATCATGTTCGCCGGTGCATTCCGTCATCATGCACCTGGAGGCTGCAGCGATGACGGTGTACATACCTCCAATAGAAGCACTAATTGAGAGCCATGGTCCCATGCGTAACAGAACAGGACAGAACAGGTTGGACCGAGGCGTCAGCCCATGCCAGCCGACAACGGCAACGCAAACGGAGGAACAACACTTTGCGCTGACATAAGCGCACGCAGCTGGCTGCGACAAGACCGTCGATGCACTTACACCAAGGTAAAGCCGTATCGACCCTTGAGGGCGTTGATCTTGGGGATGTTGATGTCGTCCCACGCCTTGTTGGTGGGGACAACGTTTCCGTTGCCGTCGACGGTGAAGAAGGCTGAGAGGAAATGACGGGATCAGCGCAAGAGAAGGCAGCACACCGAGCATCGCAGAGCAGTTTGCACAGGCCTGGGGCTTGGCCTGAGAAGCCTCGCCAGTGATTCGGCGCGGTTGGGGTAGTGGATGGATCATCCACAGACACATCGCCATTGGCAGAAGAAGCATACGCAACCTACCGTAGAGGATCTCGTTGACGTTCTGGTAGTTCAGGGTGCCGACATCAACGCCGGTACGGACAGCCCAGTTGGGCACATAGGCAGCAAAATCGGCCAGGACCAAGGGCACGGCGGCCAAGGCGAGCAAGGGAGACCAGTTGATCTTCATGGCGGGCTGATGCAGGCGCTGCGTGCTTGGTAGTTGAGGCAAGCTTTGACTGTGGGACCCGAGAGGAGGTGGTGGTGAACAGAGACGGAGGCTGCCGAGTACCCCGTATTTATACCCGGTCGCCTCGTGCAGCAAGGCAATCGATTGTGCGGGCTGGACAATCCCAGATCCTGCCCGACCGCCTCCACTCGGCAATGGCCACGACCACTTCAGAGCTTGGGAAACAGCAACCTCTGCCAGATCGGCTGTGCCGGCCACAAAGCGTTGCGCTCTTGGTCAGAATGGTCTCATCGCTGATCAAAGCAGGTCAGAATGGACCCATTGCTGATCAAGGCAACCTTCTGGCGCAGGCATTCCACCCCCACCCCCAAAAAACCTGATTGTAAGGCTGCTCCATTGTCCCTCCCGTCCGACGGGCTGCTGTTGGCATGGGAGATCGGCGATCGCACGAGCCTTGATTGTGTTGCGCGCCTTCCTCAACAGCAATCCCAGCACAAACTTTGCCACATTTTCCTGCCGATTGTTAGCTGGCATCAAAGGTAGGAGGCGGCTTGTAGTCAGCTGCGACAATGGGCCGACGACTCCACCGAGTGGGTGCGGATCCCAAGGAGCCTCGAAGAGCCTCGAAGAGCCTCGAAGAGCGCCGATCACAAGCGGGATTTCCAGCACGGCTGCAGGATTGCGTTCGTCTTCGAAGCTGCCTGGCCGACAATGCCTTGGTGTGGTCGGCAGAGTTGCTTGCATCGGGCATTGTCTGGGCTGTGGCCTGGCTGCATTGTTCTCGCAGCCCATCCGGCAGTCGCTGTTCTCGTAGCGAAGCCTCCACCGTGAGGCGTTGTCTGAAGAAACACCCACAACAATCCACCCAGATGAAACAACCTCCAAAGCGACGGCTGAGGAGTCCACAGGCACACGCATCCATCGCAGGTCAAGGCTGCGACGACGCAAGCCGCGGGGGATTTCGGTTGCAGAGCCAGCCGCCATGGCTTTCTGCTCGTCTCAGGCGCCGTGCCTGCGTGGGAACCATGCCACCACAACCAAGCGCAGACCTGTTGCGGCTCTCTGGCCCCCATCCTTCCATTCTCGGCCAGATGAGACGCCGTCCTGGTTTCGTGCGGCCCAAGCAAGCAGCCCGCCCAAACTCGATCTCTCTGTCCTGCCGCAATGAAGATCGAGGACACAAGCGCCCCGATGAACCCGTTTGGGATCATCAGCTCCTTTGACCATGGCGTGAGCGATCTGAACAGCAAGGATGGTCTGATAGAAGCAGGTTAGCATCTCGGGCTGTCTCCGCGGTTGCTGTTCCGACTGCATGGCACAGGATCGTTGGCCAGTTGCCCCGAGCGAGTCGTCTGCTTCCCTCGGTTACCCTGGCGCCTATCGAGCAGCCCTCGCCTCGGGTTGATACGTTTGGCATTCGTTGGCCCCTAATATGTGCACCGCATGCTCAAAGTTGCTCAGGTCTTCAAACACTGCCTCCTCGCATCGCAAGCGCAGGATCGGCTCTCGATCGAGCAGCTCATATCGATCTATCCCGGGCCAGTCCTTAACCGGCCTCTCGGAGACATCCTCAAGGACGCCCGTGTCGATTCCGGAAAGCTCTGGATTCGTTACGATGACGATAGTGCCCATGTTCCTTCCGAAGCCGCCACACGCTCGACCCCAAAATCCGCTCGCAGTCAAGATCTCCGCAAATCCGGTCCAAAGCCTGGCGCTCCACTTTCTCGATCCAAAAACAGCCAGCCAGCGACAGGCTCATCTGCGACAGCAGAAGAAAGCAGCGCCTCCCGGTAGGTCGATACTATGACCTGGAATCCCTCTTGTGGCTGATGCAAAACCTCCTGGACAGCATCTGGTCCGGGACGCTGCCTGGGACTTGCGACACTTGCTGATTCATTGGCTGATCGAACAGGAAGCGAAAATCCGAAATGCCCGATGCTCCGGCCGGTCCGGGGATTGTGGCAAAGAAGAGAGGTATGCTCCATGGGCCTCCTAGTCCAACCTCCAGAGAACATTCTGCTGCTGGGACCATGCTTTGAGGGCAGACAATCAGCTCCGCTGTTACAGCCAGCAGCATCAATAATGGGCCATCTTATCTCTTGTCTCTGTCACAGCCATGGAGAGTCATGACCAATTCACAGCAGAAACGGTCTCGCGGATGAAGGTTTGTCAGAGCCATTGCCGAATGACTCGCAGCGCATTTTATCGCGCTGCTTCGCCGGCGACGATGATGGCCACTTCGCCTCTGTCTCATCATCATTGTCGCTCCTTGCTTGCATGGCCCAGCCTACCGCTTTGCCAGTACCGACAAGCCCCGTGCAGCAGCAGCAGCAGCAGCGCAAGCAGCCTGTCGTTCCAGAGACTCCCAAAATCAACTACGAACGCCTGATGTTGCCGCAGACTCCTCTGGCACGAGCTCCAGCCGATGCCGGCGGGCGGCGGTTCACCATGCGCGACGACGAAACCGGCGAGGATGTGATGCTGGAGATCCCCGAGGCAAAGAGGAAGCTGGTCGAAGACAAACTGGCCGAGCTGCAGGCACTTCTGAATCAATTCCGAGTCTAGTTGGTCGCAGCGGACTTGGTTTGTCCTTGATTTGTCCTTGTCCGTACGTACCCTCATGACTCTTGAGAATGGCAATAAAGCTACAACACCCTTGCGACTCTGGCTCGGCTGATCGCCGACTGGATCTGGTCAGCTCGGGCGGCGGATTGCCAGATTGAACCACTGAGTGGACCAAATGATATTGAAGTATTTACTAGGAACAACAGCCGGAGGCTGGTCCTTCGGCACTTGGATTCTCGGCTGCTTAGGGCAACGGCGCCAATCGAACCATCTTTCGACGACACCACTCCGTCTCAGAGGGTGCCCACTCCTGGTTGCGCTGGTTGCCACAGGGTAGCTAGTGCACCTTGCGCTTCTTGTCGCTTCGATCTCCAAGCCAAGCGCGGAGGTTCGAAATCTGCTCGAGCACGGTTTTGCGGCTTGTGCCGCCCTGAGCACATCGCTGCTCAATGCTCTTTTCGTAGTCCCAGACCTGGCTGACATCGGCCTCGAACTTGGGGTGCAGCTTCTGGAAGTCCTCGAGCTTGAGCTGGCTCATAGGAACGCCGTGCTCCTCACCGAGACGGACAGCATGCCCGGCGATGTGGTGCGTCTCACGGAAGGGAACCTGAAACACGGCGGCTGCGTCAGTATATGTTGCCTCCAAGAGCAGATCTGGTCCGAATCAGCCATGGCAATAGCATTCCTACCCCCTTGCGAACGAGGTATTCGGCCAGATCGGTAGCGAGCATATCGTTGCTGAGGCTCTGCTTCATCTTGGCGGCATGGACCTGGTCATCGAACAAACAAACATGGGCAGTGTCACTATCTGCAGGTATCTGGAAACATGCCCGTGGCGTCTGTCCCGCCGGTCCGCAAATGGTCACTCACCTTCAAAGTAGTCAGGACACCAGTCGAGATCTGCAGACATCCACTGAGGTTGTCAGCGGCATCAAACATGGGCTCCTTGTCTTCTTGAAGATCTTTGTTGTAGGTGCTCGGCAGGCCCTTGAGGGTCATCAAAAAACCAGACATCTGATACATGTCCATCGTTAGTTTCCAGCACGGGCATTTTGGTGTGCTGAAAGCGGACTGGCTTGGCTGGGCCTCTCAACAACCACACTCACACAAACGCACAAGCACGCGCCGATAACGGCTTGGGCTGCATGCATCGCTGGAGACTAGAGCTCGTCGCGTCGGAGGTGATGACTGCTCACAACGTAGCCATCCAGCTGCTCGGCAGCCCTGCATCCAGAAATACCTACATCGCCAAAGATGCGGCCGGACTTGCCGCGGATCAGCTCGAGGGAGTCTGGGTTCTTCTTCTGAGGCATCAGACTGCTTCCGGTGCTGCGAATTGTGAGATATATGTGAGCATCAGCCTGTGCGAGCTGGTTTCCAAGGCACACGACACACATTTGCGTATTTGATAATAGGCCAGTATGCGGCCCCATACCTGTAGGCATCGGCCAGCGTGACGAACCCGAATTCGCCACTGCTGTAGATGATGAGATCTTCAGACCAGCGGCTGAGATGGATCATGGTCATGGACGACCAGAACAGAAACTCGGCCACAAAGTCGCGATCGCTGACTCCGTAGAGCGAGTTCTGGATCACTCCCTCAAAGCCCAGTTCCTGGGCGAGGAATTGCCGGTCGACGTTGAAAGGGTTGCCGGCAAGGGCACCGCTTCCGAGCGGCAGCTGGTTGACGCGCGAGATCAGCTGCTCGAGACGGATGGCATCAGCCTGCCAGCCCCAGGCATAGCTGAGCAGCCAATGGCTCCATCGAATGGGTTGGGCTCTCTATCAAAGGGGAGAATTGGTTTATCAGTTACAAGCGAGCTAGCTGTACAGGAGATTGCCTCTCCTCGCACGGCACCAGACCATGAGCGGTCGCAGCGAGCGGATGGTACCTGCAGATGCGTGTAGCCAGGCATGATAATGTCGATTTCGGACTCGGCGCGATCAACGGCAACACGGATCAGATCATAGAGATGGCCAAGCAAGACCCGGGCCTCGTCGCGAAGCCACAGGCGCATATCGGTTGCGACTTGGTCGTTGCGGCTCCGGCCAGTGTGCAGCTTGCCGGCAACCGATCCAACAAGCTCGCCCAGTCTTCTTTCGTTGGCGGTGTGGATGTCTTCATCCGAGGGCTTGACTTGGAAGGACTTGGTCTCCCACTCCTTGGCAACCTTGCCCAGGCCCTGGACGAGGGCATCGCGCTCCTCGGAGGTGATGATGCCCTGTTTGGCGAGGGCCTTGGCATACGCCTGCGAGCCGACAATGTCGGCCTTCCACATTCGCTGATCAAAGGACAGCGAGGCGTTGAAGGCCTCCATGAGAGGATCAACCTTCCCGGTGAATCGTCCGCCCCAAAGTTGTGCCATGGTGACAGACTGGTGCTTTTGTGCAGGAGAGCGAGGGTCAACAGCGGCGGCTAAGGCAGATGGGAGCAGGAGATTAGAGACCGGCTTCAAGGGGGCGGGTGCGGCTCTGCACCGAAGGCAACAGCGGACGGACAGCAGGGGTGGCTCCGAAAGATGCAAACCTGGGTAGGCAACTGGCGACGGGCGTCGAAGCGATGACCTGGGCGACGTTGGGCGGCGATCGAGATGATCTGTTGCGGCCTGATCTGGTGGCCAGAACGGGCTCTTATCTTGTGAACTGCGCAGCATCCCGTGACGCGGACACGTCGGTCCCAGCCGAGGTCCGCCGGAGCGAGTGGGGAATGGACGAGCGGGGACATGGTGCGGGCGCTGGGATGGACGTGCGGACATGCGGGACAGAAGGCGAAAGGGACAAGTCCCGCAGACGGGCCGCGCTGATGTGGCGAGCGGCCGGGTTGCGGCAACGCCGAGATCCAGCGATCCCGCATGCCGCGATGTCGCAGCGCCTATGGTACCGAGGATCCACCTGTCATGGAGGGTGATGGATGACTGTGTATTCCCATCCAGTTGCCGACGATCGTGCATTCCCATCCGGTTGCCGACGATCGTCACTGGGCATCCTGTTTCACGTGGGGTGCTGTGCTCGCAGCCCAGTACAGCAGCGGACATCAAGTCCAGGAGCACCGCGGCTGTGCGCAGAATCCGTTCATCACAGCGGCGACCACGACTGTTGCAGGCTCCGAGGTTCTACGAGGAGCTGTACTCTTCCTCGGCAGTCTGGAGCCATTCCGCAAAGGCTTTACACTTGGCCCTCACGTCGTTGTCGCCCTGGGCGCCGTACCATTCCAGGAACACCTCTTCGTCAATCAGATCCAGATCGTACAGCTGCTTGAACAACGCCGGCGCCTTTCTGGCGTGCTGCTGGCCAGTGGGCCGGGCGAGGAACTTTTCCCACGAGCGAAGCAGGCACATCTGATCTGCAGCGCTGTTGATGAACTGGATGCGTAGGGTCGATGGGTGAGACGAATGGGACGGAAAAGATATGTGTCAGCCCGACTGATGCAGCCCCTTCGTCGGAGGAGCGTGAAGCCCACCGCTGCGGACAGCAACCTACCTTCTGGAACAGGGGCTGAGTGGCAGCAACGACTTTGACGATGCCGTCGCAGTCCTCAAAGATCCCGCGGACGAGCACGTTGAGCAGCTTCTGCTTGGGGAGATCGTGGCGGAACTCGAAGCGAGTGATGTGCTTGACTTGGGCTGCAATATCGGCAGCACTGTCTCCACTCCTTGAGAGTATGGGTTTGACCTGATCGCAAAACTCCTTCACAAGACTGGCCTCTGCCGCCTCGTTCTTGTCCACAGTCGGCTTATCACTGGCCTTTTTCCTGCAAGATCACAGCGACCGGTGTTGTCAGGCGCATGGGCCCACACATCGAGGCGCCTTTCTGCACTATAGCGATAAGAGCAGCAGTATGTGCGCACTTACACTGCCTGGAGCATCTGCACATCGCTTTCGCTGATGTCAACAACCTTCATCCACGCCTTATCGTTTGTGTCCTGGTGTTTGAGGCGTTTGCGGATGAGTGTGTGTCCACACATGGCTATCAGTTTCCACACCCGAGAGGCCACGCCGCAACGTGAGCGCAAGTCTAGTTACCTCCTTGAGATTGAGCCACTGCTTATGCTCTTCGCGCGGCTCGGGTGTTGTCGCGCGGGAATGATGAGCGTGGGGCAATCCCAGACTCGACGAGAGGCCGATCTCCTGGATCTTGATAGCTTGCGGCTTGGGATGCGGCGGATGGGCCGTCCCATGACCATGACCGGCACCAAAGCCAGCGCCACCACTGACCGACGTTGGTGAGCCTTTACCTGAGCCTGATCGCTCAGCAAGCCTGTGCAGAGCCGGGACGCAAGAATTAACGTTGGCACTGGACGGATTACACTCCAACAATGCGACACCATCTGATACAAGTCTGCAGCTGCTGGCGCTTACGGGGAGGTATGGGTCGCCAGGGTTTCCTTTGGTCGCTCAGAGTCCGCTGGGTCAGAGGACGACTTCCGCTCAGGATCATGGATTCTCTCGACGGCATCCTTGGAGTCGCCGTGCGACGGCTTGCGGTCGTGGGTGGGTTTGCGATCATGTGTGGCGTGGCGCTCTCGCCGAAGCGGTCCTTCTGTGGGCAGAGCGAGAGACGGGTCTCCATTGATGCCAGAGGCGGTCGGGGTCGCAGACTGTCGTACGCGGAGCTCCCTGGTAGAGTACAATGGTGGCAAGGATCAGCGAAACGCAAGGACGGCGAAGACGGACGTACTTGGCGCTGCGTCATCTATCCAACAGACCACTTACTCGGGCCTGGTATCAGCGCAGCCGTTCAGCGATATCATACGATGACAGGGACGGAAGATAGAGTATGTGTAAGCTGCTGTGCGTTACAGCCATGGAGCAACCGAATCCACGCAGCAACAGAATCCACACAGCTTCTACGTACGAATGGGCAAAGTTACATCGAGGGCCATACTGTGGCAAAGGCAGGTAGAGGTTTGCAATGCCGTTAGTCAAATGATCCGCCAGCAAATCAACTTTGCCCATGGCCAGACCAGGAACAGAGCAGTTGGTGCGATCACCCGGGATCAGGCAACACAATCTCGGGCATACACACTGCCCTCGGACAACTGAAACATGAACAAAGCCTCGAGCCGTGCTGCGGTACCTGGCAAAAGTTCTGAGAAAGGAGCAGGATGAAAAGCATCTGGTCAGCAGGCTGGCAACTAAAGAACACGAGCACATTTAAGAACGTCGATGTAGAGATACCCACGTCGTTCAGATATCGCTCACACATTTTGGTTTTGTAGAGTGGGTTCTCGGGACCCTCCTTCTTGTCCGTCTCGCCACCAAAAGTCTTGCGGTCGCGCAGTTCGATCTGAGACCAGGAGGGGAGAAGAGGCATGAATACGCACGTCGACTATGCAAACGCACAGGCGAGCTCCAGCAAGGGTCCAATAAACAGCAGACATTTGTCCATGGACGGTTACAAGCCTGTCCATTCTCCATTGTTGACGCTGCAAGAAGCGACTTACCGTGCCATGGGCAAAGGTGCAGTGGCTGCCGTATGGGCAGTTGCCTTCGATTTCAAACCGCTCGCAGAGACGGGTCTTGTACAGCGGGGCATCGGCCTCGTGGACTGGTTCCTTTCCCGAGCGCTGTTTGGCGTGGCCGCTGCCACCACGAGTCTCGGACTGAGGCAAAGTCGGGCGTTCATCCTGCGAAGTTCTCTTGGGATGCACGCCATTCGGGGCAAATACGTGCTCACGGCTATTGACGGAGCGCTCCGACCTTCGTGGGCTGTGGCTATCACCACCTCGATCTTGACGGGACGATCGCTCGAGTTGCAGTCGTTGGAGGTTGAGGGGAAGCGACGATGTCGGTGAGTTCATGGCGCCACCAGACGCAGGGCCGGTGCCAGCGCCAGCGGAGGCCAAAGGAGCACGAGCAGGGGGAGACGAGGTCGATTTGGGCCGCTTCTCCTCGATAAAGGTGTGCGCATGACGGAGAACATCCTGCATCGACTTGTAGACGCACTTTTCGCAAGCCTGGAATAGCCCTCCGCCCAGGATCGACGGACGGTGAGTCATTGGATTTGTCAAATAATCGCCTTCGCAGCGACGGCGTAGCGACGGCGCAGCTCCGCAGGTTGGCCAGACCGCTGGACGATGCCGAATGCAGCAAAGCGGACAGAGTTGGCCACACGACCGCCTACCTGCTGGAGCGGGAGCCAAGCAAAGTGCAGCCCGGCCAGGCCGCCTGGATGAATGTGGGCATTTGGGGAGATTTGTGCGAGAAAGTGGACGACGGACTTGGGGCGGTTGGCACCGGAGAGATACTGCGACAAGATCAAAAACCGCGAGATAAGCTGGTCCGATCGGATGCCGCGGAGCGAGGACCCAACGGCCCTGAGTTTGGCAGTCAGAGAGCCGGCCTCAGCAGGACCTACCTTGATCTCGAGACGGAGGGCGGAAGGCGAGGGTGAGGAGGGGCTTTCTTTGAACAGGTGGGCCGGAGTCAGGCTCTGGGTGTCGGCCAGAATTAGGTCTTTGTGGGAAAGCCCGGTCAAGTTAATGGCTTCGCGGAGGGCACAGGGAAGCGGGTCTTCTTGGCCAATGATCTTGCCTCGTGGCGGCGACCAGTGACGCTTGTTCGAGAAGGAGTCGTTAACTAACAAAAACTCGATGGTGTTCCGGTTGAATCTGTAGATGAGCAAAGAAGCATACTGGGAGATCTCCATCAAACTGGCTTCGTGCAATGGGGAGCAAGGGGAGCGGCGGGTTATTTAAACAAGAGGAAAGGGAGTCGAGGCTGCTGTGCGGGCAGGGGAGCTGGGGCCGGGAAGGGCAGGCGGGCAGGCGGGTGATGTTTTGCGAGATCGAGGATGCGAACGGATGCTTGGTTGCCACAAGACGACTGGATCGAAATCGGTGTGGGAAGCCGGCGGCTTCTCGTGCAGCTCTCGCGTGGCTCTCGCCTGATTCTCGCTGGCACCGAGAGGGCGTCCGGCTCGAGCCAATATCGCTCCCGGCTTTACACTGGCCGGCCACAACATGCCACATCCTGGTCGGGCCGTGTCGCAGATGCAGCCACAAAGCGGGCAAAGGCAATCGCAGTTCCTGATCAACCCCTCGCTCTGTCGCATCACACCACATCGCACCACATCGCACCACATCGCACCGCAGTGCATCCCATCGCACCGACAGCAGCAGCGCCGCTCCTGAATCTGGCCCGCACCATGAGCGAGCCCACGCCAGAGTCGTCCGCAGCCAAGACCCCAGATGACGAAGCCTTGCCCGAGGCTAGTGTATCGTATGTACTGGCCGTTCTCGGAGACTTGGCATCCAGCAGCTCCTCGCCAACCACCTCCATCGTCCCTCCTTCCATATAGCCACCCACTGCCAGGGATCGACGTTTCCGAGGAGGAACCAGGGCCGTTGCCTGACATTCAGAACGCACAGGATGCTGTACCCGGAGTGGAAGCTGAGGCAATCCCGGATATCGAATCCACCAGGGCCGCCGAGTCCTCAGCGAAAGTTCAACCAGCGCAGCGTGCTGAAACACCACGGCCCAGCGAGCCTGTCCAAGATGCCGGGCCGGCGCACGGCAATGAGCCAGTCCAGGCCCCAGAGTTAGCTTTGGCATCAGCTTCGGTCGGCATGCTAGCCGCAAAAGCCATGGAAATCCAATTTTCGGTTGAGGAGCAGGTACGCTAGTGGGGCCTATCGGCTGCCGCTCCAAGCAACGCTGTCTTTCTCTCTCACTCTGTTCCCGCCTTCCAGGCTGGAAGCTGTTCAGACTCGCTAGCATCAATCGTCACTGATGGCTTCTCCTTGTCCGTCAGATTCTCGATGTCAAACTGCAGCTCGCCGCAAGATCGAGTGAGCTGGCCCAGGCCACCGAGCAGCTGGCTTTGCAGAAAGGTAAGTGTCATGAATGTCCGCACACACCTCTGGACCGGATGAGTGCAAGGGCTGGGATTCCCAAACGGCGCCCTGATCTACACACCTGCTATCTTCGTGGGCCAAGCCGACAACGCCAGGATCCGCAAGGAGTACGAGGAAAAGCTGAAGCGAATGAAGGGCATGATGGCATCGGCGACAAAAGCGCTTGCAGAGCACAAACAGACGATCGCTACAGGCGAGGCGCTTGCACAGGAGAAGGATACGCAGACTCAATGTCTACAGAGGGAGTTGGAGTCGCTCCGGGAAGAAAATGCAGAGCTCAAAGGTACAACTGCTTTGGCCGTTGTGAATCAGCGTACACCTCATGCACACATATGTTTCTGATCCCTGCCGTCAACCACCCATCAGCAACGGTCGATAGGCTTGAGCAGGCTGTTACTCTGGAGAAAGAAACAGCGAAAGCATCCCAGATCCAGCTGGTACGAGTAGTTACAAAGTGGACATGCCTGACAGGCGTATGCCCCTGCCAAGCGTCCGGCCGTCGCTTTGATGCCCGCTATCAAACACAAAACATCGTGGCTGGAATGAGTCATAGCTCTCTGTGGATGGAGCCGGTGCTCGGCATGAGCGTATCGGCAGCAGTTCCCTTTGCGTGTGTCGATCATGCAGACGCTTTGCTGCAGGATCCCGCTTTGGTGCTGCCCACGACATGGCGATTTTACTCACCACACTGAAACCATGGCTTGTGCGGAACTAGGAAAAGGACTACTTGGTCACTAAGCAGGAGCTCGCCGACCTCAAAACCGAATTCTCCAGCTATAAGAACAGGGCACACGTTGCGCTGCAAAAGGCAATCAGCGGGTCGTCGTCGGAAGCGCGTATTGCAGAACTGGAACAGGACAAACTGGATCTCGAGGTCACCAAAACGTATGAGCAGCAGTGGCCGCCTCCGGCTCGAGCCCCGGCGTGATATCCGTCCGTCGTAGTTGGACTCTGATCGGCCATGCCGTACTGATACGGATTCTGCTATAATCGTGCGACAAACGACAGCGCCGCTCTGAGCAGACTCTCTCACGCCAACGTCCAAATCCAAGCGCTTGAGGAGGATGCCAATGCAGCATCAACAAGAGCGCAGTTTCTCGAGGCCAAGGCGAGCAAACTGACAGACGAGCTCCATTCGGCAAGTCTACACATAGCGCGCCTAAACGAGAAGATCAATGATTTATCACAGCAGAACGAAAGGTTCGCGGGAGGTATGTGTCTGCCTTGCTGCTTCCGAGATACTTTGGGACTGGCTTCACGAATCACAGACTCAGACTCCTCCCGTGGTGGCCAGAACATGACGCAGCCCAAGCAACAATGGAAGCCGATATCGCTGCCACGAAACAAGGGTTTGTGCAGCTCCAGGAGCAACTGGAGGAGCAGCTTGCGCAAAAAACGGCCGAATACGAATCGTTGGAGCGAATATCTGAGGTATTTGGCCATGGCCCGGCGCTGTTCCCACGCTGGATCCATCTCGCATCGTTACCGGGCGTATATCTGCTTCCTGCTGCAACTGGCTGCCCAAGCCCACGTTGCTTCTATCTAGATACGACTTGCTGTATTGGCGCACTGTCTGAGCATCTTCTCACCCTTCGATTCACCGGCGATTCACCGGCGATTCACTCAGACCCTCAGCAGCGAACTCTCGGCTCTCCGCAAACAGCACGAGCGCCAGGCAAAGCAGCTCCTGGACCTTCAATCTGCACCCAACGCCGCTGCCGTATCTGTCCCAGAGCCACAGGGAGGTGACTTGTCTCGCGGCTCGTCCATCGTGACTTCTCCAGTCGACTATAGAGACCCGAACGGCCACCTGGATGATACCACAAGCGAAAGAATGAACACAGGTATCGGATTTATTGAGCACGTGCTTGTGCGTGTCGAGTCTCCACGCAGCCATACTGGCGAATGTGGCGCTCTGCATGGATCATAAGCCGACCGCAGTCGCGCTATCAAGCATAATGTATGATGCTAAAAATCCGACCCTTTCGTCGCCTTGCTTGTCAGCCTCGTCATCGTTGTTGGATCTCCTCAGCGTCTCCATCAACACCCCCAACAGCTCCTTCAAGAACACATCAAAGTCATTCAAAGAAAAGGAGCTTGAGCTCCAGTTGGAACAAATGGCCGAACTACTCAATGAGAGTGAAACGACCGTCAAGCAACTGACGAATCAAGAAGCGGTATGTCGCTGCCCTGGTCTCCTCCCCCCCCCCACAACCAAGGAAGCATGGGTGCTCCTGTCCAAGTTCCGCCGAGTATATGTGGTGACTGAACTTGCTGTGCTCGCTATTCAATAGGTCCTAAAGGAAGAGTTGCGAAGGTTGGATCGGTTCGAGAAGAGGCAGAATCTCAGTGGCGAATACCTGAAGAATATCGTCATGTCATTTCTGGAGTCCGAAGCCCGAGAGGTTTGTATTTCTGGCCCGCGTGTACTAATCACAGAGACTGGGTACTGTTCGTGTTGGGAGAGTGATTGCGCGAGGCGCATGGTGTTCGTTCGAGGGCGTTGCTATATCTGCGCCCGGTGGCGCCGCTTGGTTGTCTGTCAGCAACTTGAGTTACTGATGCTTCCCTCAGCCCTTGATCCCAGTCATATCGAATCTGCTCCATCTTTCGTCTGAGGAGGTGGCAAGGTAGGCCCACGGAGGAGTCGATGATTAGTATCCAGGGCACATGTCAAATATGCAGACAGACAGTGCAGCCACGTACGGATCGCTCACGCAAATATATTCATCGGCTCGATTCTAGGCTCAAGAAAGCAGTGGCATCAAGTCAAGAACAGCCCCTGACCAGCTATAATTTTGGATTCTTTTGATCCGTGACATGGAACGAGTACCCATCATCCTTGTATCGAAGCTCTACATAACTGTTCTATTGCTGCCTCCACAGCAGCCCTAGTTGTATGAATGGATTTACACGTCGCGTTCTTATGGCACCAGAGGCGGCAGGAATGCACTGTCCCTTGGGGACTTTGGCGGCTCTGTCGTCGAGCGTCTTCGTCGTGGCCATGTTCCACAGTCATTCGGAGAGCCCTGTTGCGGTGGGTGAGGCGACAGAGTCGAAGTCTCGACGGCTGCCCCAGTCGTGGAGCGCCGACTTCTCCTGCTGAGGCTGTTTCGATCTACACCTTCGTTTAAACTAGGCAGGCGCGGAAGACTGGATCGATCGCTAGAGTCGTCGGGGCTTGGGAGAACGTCTCGGATAACCTGCTTTTTGTACAGCTCCCAGTTTTGCTTGGAACAGAGACTTTGCTCGATATCGATGATGTCGGAAGAAAAGGTCTTGAAGAGATCAGCGAGCCTGACCCGGATTTCAGGAGGCCCTTCCCTGATTCGCGCCTGGAACAGAAGCGGACGATAACTGAGTGCGGGCGACGCTTGACTCATGCTCGACTCTGCCGGCTGGGTCCGATGACCTGTCAAGACAGCGTAGGAGAATATCAAGGTTGCTGGTGCATACCAGGTCGATTCGGAGGCATTCGGAACTGGAGCTGCCGGAGACTACATAGGATGCTCCTGCTGGCAGCGGCGCACTCGGATCCGCATGCGGAAAGGTGTCGCCCGAGTTCAGGGCAACAATGTCGACGATGGTTTCCTTGTAACTGCCGTGTTTTTGGATGCGCGGCTTTTCGTTCGCGATCGTGATGGTGTCGCCCTTCTGTTGGGTTGTGATGACCTTGAATACTTTGATGGACCCCGTCAGGAGCACGAATATCGAGTCGATGACGCCGCCTGTGCCGGAGTCAGCAGTGGGTTCGGACGAAGAAACGGACCTCGCTCGATCCAAGCAGCCACCAAGAAGCCATGGGCCTCAATCGCATTTCACGGCCATACCTTCAGCTACAATCACTCGGTTGCGATCAAAGACCACACTTTCGCTGGTAAATGCAAAAAACTCGATATTGGCCCGCGAACAGCCCTCGAATAGCGGCAGACGCTCAAACAGCTCGACAATCAACATGTCCTTGGTTTGCTTGGCTTCGGCTATGACTTCAAAGTAGTCGGCGCTGGAAACGCTGGCGAACTCGCAGTTCATGAGGCATGTTACCGTCTCCTTCCTAGCGAGCGTCTGTTAAATCGGTTGCAGTCCTTAGTTTAGATTCTTGATCGCTGCCCTGCAAGCCTGCCCAAATATATGACTGTGCCTGCGATTGTACCTTGCACTCAGCGGCCAGAAATTCGTCCTTGCCTATGACGTCGCCCGGAGCGTATTGCCGTACAATCAAGCTGTCGGGTGCTTTGGATTCACACTGAGTTCAGACAAGCGACATCAAGCCATGCCATGATGAGAAACAGAAAACTGCGGCGTCAGAGGAGCCAGTCGCTCGGCCCAATCGATGTGTCCACTTTGGAGGTGCCAAACGAGAAGCAGCCGCTCGCAGGTTTGTAAGCCGAGCAAGACATGATCTGACATATCGACACAAGAGACCCCACAGTCGAATGAAATGGCTGGATTGATACACCAACTGACCTTTCCGTTGATGAGAACATAAAAGTTCAGAGCAGATTGTCCGGCTCGAATCAGTGTTGCCCCCTTTCGATGACTCTCGAGCGATACGCAGTTGATCAACAGGTCCCGTACGTCCGCTGGAAACTGAATGGTCCAGCCAGGAAGTCCTTCCAAAATAGTCCGGAGACGCATCCAGTCCCTGTCAGCCCACATGAACCTCGGCTTGGTCATCAAGCTCTTGACGGACGCCGTATTGATCATGCCCTCCCATTTCATGGCAAGCGTTTCAGGGGCATCGGTGTCGTCGGCGTACTGGATGACTTCCTGGAAGAGCCGCGTTGACCACTGCAGCATCATCAACCTGCGAATACATGCAATGAACCTCCGGCAATGTGGACTCATTGTGTCGTCGTTCTTGAGTCGCTTGCTTAGGTAGACTTGGATCGGCTCCTTGAGGTTGGAAATGCATGCGAGCTTGGGCCAATCCTTTGAATCCACAGGCCGGGTATCAACCACGCTGCTTGACCTGGAGCGTGCCGAAGTAGTTCCAAATGCCTCGAAGCTGAAGGCCGAGGTATCGGCTTTGGAGTTATCCGACTTCCCGGAAACGAGGCTGCTCCAGCTGTCTGGGCCGATCTTGGACCGGGAGCTGGAAGACGACTCGTTGCTGAGGCTCCCACTCGACAAACCACCCACAACGGTCGGTAGCGGAGCCGATAGTAGACCCAGGGCCGGCAGCATATTATCGGGGGCACTGGCTCGACGACGGGTCGAAATGTGTGGGAAGGCGCTCGGACAGACCAGATTGCCATCGGGAGTGCATTTGGTGATCGTTGGGACTCTGGGCAGTCGATCGCCGCTCGAATGCCGATCGCCACTAGAATGACGCTCCGAGCTTGAATGATGCTCTTTGCTCGAATATCGCTCGAAGCTGTGGCGCCGATCGCCATGCGAGTAGCGCCTTTGGCGGGCGAATGATGAGCTGGCGGCCGAGCTCGAGCTTCCCCAAGTCTGGAGGGCAACGTTTGGTACCGAGACCGGGACCGGGCCCTCTCCGGACTCTTTTTGCTTCCATTTTTCAAAGAGACGCTGGAGTTGAACGCTGGAAGCTCGCGGCCGTGTGAGCGCACCCTCGGAGCTCTGAATCTTGCCGTCGCTACCGGTGGGCCGATGCGGCGAGGGCAACCCTCCGATCGACACTTGTTGTCGAAGGGCAGCTGGACTATTCATTCAGCTAAAGCTGTTGGAGCTGGCGGTCGGCTTGAGTAGTGAGAAGGGCGAAGAACGCGAAAGCTTGCCTTTGCGACTTCCTCGCCTGTTCTCCGCCTGTCATCGCACCTTCAATCGCACTATCCCATCCAAGAACCATTGTGTGAGAATAAGTTCAGTGTTCGACAGGCCGCTCGTCACTAGGACTCCCGCATGTCACAGCCAAAGCCTGTTGATTGGGTCCAATCCACCGGAGCTTCTCGGGGGCGGATGTATCAGGACCAGCTCCGGGCATAGAAAGTGCTAGAGATTGTTTAAGGGAGAGACACCCAAGCATCAGACTGATTGGTGCGGATGGTGCATTGTCACCAACGCCTGTTGATTGATGCTCACAGTACAACAACGACGGCCTCGAGGGACTCTGGCAAATTGCTGTTCGCACTACTCCTGAACCTATTCGCGATGAGGATGGTTGCGGCATTGTGTGCGAGTGGCTGCTGATGGGATATTGCATATGGCCCTTGGACCAGATGGGTGTTGTATCGGATGAACATGTATTGGTGAGTTCGGAATGCATTCATCCAACAGAGAGCCCATCTCCGCACAAGGGTACTCCATATCAAATGCTCAAAAGCCGGCCCGACGGCGACTGAGGTCTCCATGGGGAAGGGCCGTGGCGAGGTCAGGGAGGCGCTCCGTCTTGGACTCGCTCTCAGCCAGAGTCGAGAGGTCGGGCAGCAGATCTTTCCTGAGATTTCGCTTGGCAATCTCCTTGTTCTTCTGCAGACAGTATGTCTCCTCGATCAGGGCTATCTGTGCCTCTGACTCGGCGTGCTGGTCGGCCAAACGAGCACGGAGCTCAGCACCCTCGTCCTCGTCATATATGTCGGACTGGCTCCACAGGTCGGTTGAAGATATGTGAAGCAGTACCATCCAAGGCTGGGTGAGAACGTGCACCGTACTGAGACACCCTCGTTCGCTAGCCCGGCTTCCTGCTGCCGATGCAAGATTCTTTGCCAGCATGCTCACCAGTTTGATCTTGAGGTACTCGCCCTTCATTGCAGCGACAAACGAAACGTCTGTGGGCGCATGGATGTCCGGCGAGATATACGGAAAGGAGTCGCCCGATTTGAGAGATCGGATGCTGAGCAGCTTCTCCTTGACATGGCCTGAGTCCCTGTAAAGCGACTGATATTCATCGCTGCGAAGCCTGACCAGCTGGTAGTTGTCGTCGTGGCGGGTGAGATATATGACCTTGATAACGTCGACGGTTCCTGTGAGAATGATGTACAGATACCGGATGGGGTCGCCTGTGGGGTCGCAAGATCGACGCCGATGGTCAGGGCCGTGCATCGAGTCAACGTCATGCACTGCCCTCTGTGCATCGCAAAGGTCTAGGAAGCGGAGAACCATTGCCAGAACAATCAGCACCTTGGGTCAAAACAACTTGCTTGGCATCGACAAAGACGGTCTCGCATGCTTGGGCGAAAAACGACATGGTCCTCCGCGAGCATCCGCTGAACAACGGCAGTGTCTGGAAGAGCTCGATGATGAGATCGGCCTTTTTGACCGCATGGCCCTCGATGTCCATGATCTCCAGAAAGTCGTCGCCCCCAATGTGCATCATGGCACAGTCGGATTGGCAAGCGATGGTGTTTGGGCGTCTGAGAACCTACAGGAGAATCGTGTGATATGTGACGTGTACTTGACACAACTGATATGTGGACAAGCTTCGAGTAGTAGCAGTGCATGGTGATCCATGGCAGTATATTGTGGTGTATGGCAGTATATAGTGGTGCATGGTGGTGCATGAACTTGTCATGCGGTGACTTACCGTCTTGTCCTCGACCGAGAACTCGGTCTCGCCGATCATGTCGCCAGGTCGGAAGAAGTCTTTGTCGTCGGCTCCGGCAGCCTTGCACTGTGGTCCAAGCATCAGTATCAACCACAACAGCAGCATGACTCCCTTCGCACCGCATCCATTTCCCACCTGAGCCACGCCAGCCATCCGCATACCTGTCCCTTGATCAACAGATAACAGCCATCAGCGCGATGGCCCTTGCGAAACAGCACCGTCCCAGACGTGTGCATTTCGAGCGTCATCCGGGCAATCAGCATCTCCCTGATCTCGTCCGTGAACCGGAGAGCCCATCCTGGAATGGCATTGAGAGTGTCTTTGAGCTTCTTCCAGTCCTCGTTTGTCCATGTAAACTGGGGCCGTGCAAACAGCGCTCGAACCTCCGTCGAGAGCACCGTGCTTTCCCACATTCCCGATAACCCATGGCAGACTTCGGCGCCGTCATGTTGGAGCGAGCACTTGAATGCCCGGGCAGTGAGCCATATTATGATGGCTCGCCGCACAGCCGCCTTGAACTTTTTGATTGTCGCCGAGGATCGCTGGTTCGCCATGATGGACTCTTGTAAGTACTGACGAATGGACATGCCGAGGTTCTGGAGGCGGGATGATATTGTCGGCTTGGGCGGCAGCGCAAAATCCAGTATGTCAGCCGTGATGGACCTTCGCCGTGTAAAGGTTGGCCTGTCACTTGAAGGAGGTTGCTCCACGGCATCCGAAGCCGAGCGCGGGACGCTGTCATCAGACTCGAGTGCATCGGCATACTTTTTGAGTTTGCCGAAGAGCCTGCTGTCGAGCCCAACGCCATCTTCGCCCGAAACCGTCCTGGACCTCATCTTTGGCAGTCTTGGATTACCGGGGTCTTCGCCCGCGTCTGGGACAAGCCGCGGGCCCTTTGATGCCAATATGGACGCACGCTGTGCTATATCTGGATCGAGAGACAACATTGGCTTCTCATTCTTGGAGAAAACGGAGGCGCTGGCCCGCCGCCCGCGAAACCGCTGCGGACTTGGTACTTCAGGCTCATGGGTGGGAGCAGCGACGACGCTGCGGGCGCGAGCCCTCTGTTGGATAGGTGGGTCGGTCTCTCCACCACCAAAGCCGAGTGATATGCGCCGACTGGCGGATCCTGGCAACGCTGGCAGCGGCGCTGCAGTATGGGTGAGCACGGAAAGGCGTCTCCGCTGTCCGAGCTCTGGAAGCCTGTCCATGTTGCTGCCATCCTGATACAGATTCTCGTCCGGAAGATCCGGGTGGTTCTTTTCGTAGATCTTCTTGAGGGGATTCTGCTTGGTGGACGCCGCACGCGACGGAGATGAGTTGGTGCTGGATTCCTGCATTCCAGGCATGTTCTTGAGGTTGAACGGGCGACCAGAGCCTGGGTCTTGTCGGGAGGCACCGTCGTCTCTACTCAATTCCATTTCACTGCCTGGATTAGTTGTTAAGCTGAAGGAGCGGTGTAAAGATGCAGGGTGGTCGATGAGTTGGGCCGCAAGCGGCTTGGTTCACCAAATGACAAGAGGGACCAGGACAGGAAAGTAGATTTAGAGTGTCGGTGCGCCAGATAGAGCACTGGAACGACGGAACAGAGGATACTTGGGCTGTCGGAGAGCAGATGCTGATCCGAGACAGCAGTACTTCTTGGCCAACTCTTCCACAAGGGCAAGACCCTTGGTCTCCGGCGAAATTGCCGGGCGCCACCATCAATCATTCCACCATAACAATGAGCCAGCGGCAGGCAAATGCTGATTATTTTTACAGTGTATCCAATAAAAACCGGGACACCCGTGTTTTTGACCATTCATCGAATATATTGTTACCCAATGTTATCGCGCGCTGGCCATGACCATTCGCCAGACGGTGTGGAATCGCGACGTCAATGCGGCGCGCAACATGATCACAGTGCGCAGGTCGATTTGGTTTATTTTTATGGCTTTGCTTGACGCATGCCATCACATACTACATGTTCATGGAAACGGCTGTGTTGTCCCGTTTTTTTCCTGAATAAAGTGTACAACAGGTCCATCGTTGACTGTCGATTCCAGGGAGCGATGCGTCTTTGACTTGGATGCTGGTGGGGGGCCCTGGCTCGACAACGACGGCCCGGCAAGTGGATTGCTGGCATTCTTGCACCTGGCCGCGGGGCTTGCACTTGGGTTCGGGCGCCAAGCCCCGCTGCCTCGTCTGCACCTGAGCATCCCATCTCTCTCGACAGGCACCGATGGTCTGCCACCGGACCCGCAAGTATCGCCGTCCCTCCTGCCGCCCAGCCGGCGCTCTTGTGCTGGCAACGCTGGCAGTGTTGATTGCCTTGGCTCCATCCCCATGCCGGGCCGCAGGAAGCGTTGTGCACATCTTCATGGTCGACGAAGCCGTGCGCTGCACCGAAGCCCCAGACCAGCAGGCCTTCCTGATCCGCAACCAAAATGCCCTGCGCAACGGCGCCATCTTCCCGGACTCTGGATACATATGGAAAGATACCTACGGAGAGACCGTGCACTGGACCGACTTTGACAATGCCTTTGTGCGTTTCCTGGCCGAAAGTTGCGCCTTCCCCCTATCGACCGAGTGCGAAGAGCTGCTCTCGTTCTTCCTGGGCTCGCTGGCTCACGGCGTCAGCGACTGCACATTCCATCGAGAGTTTGTCAGTCAGGTTGCTGACCACGACTTTGATGGCGACTATGGAGCAGCGCATTCTTTTGCTGATCAAGGAGTCGATCTTGTCGCAATGGTGGATTGGAAACGAGAAACGGCCATTCCTTCCCGATCGGCGCCGACGCTGGAACTCCAAAAGATCTTATTCGACTGCAACGTCACAGTCTCTCGCACCGAACTCGACATCCGCACCAAGCTGATGCACCAAACCCTTCGGGACGAGCGAGCGCTGGCACGGACGCTGTATGGGCCAGCCAAGCGCAAGGGACCCTGGGCCACCGCTAACTACTACAACGCAACCGGAGGCGTGCTGCACTCGGCCCGGGATATCGCCTCGATGTGGGCAAAGATCTGGGAAAGGCTGGGCTCGAGCGGGTTTGAGCAGCTGGACCGCTTTCGGGTCGTCGGGTCGTCGTTTCCCAACGTCGAGATTGTTCTGGAGTAGACCCGGCCTCCCACCGGGCCAATAAACTTGGAATGGTGGCGATTTCCATCTGCCGTCGGCAATGTCTCGGGCAGAGTCCTTGGACAGGGATCAAGTCGCTCTCTGGATGAATGAAGCTGGTTGTTGGTCCTGGTGGCGAACGACATGGGGTGTTTCTCGCTCTCGATCTCGATAGACCGAGAGCAGCCGAGAGCAGCCGAGAACCCGTAACCGACAATCAGCTCCACGGCAGGGACTCTGCACCGACCCACTCCCGCTCTGGCCCAGATCAAGCGGACGCCGGCCAAAGCTCTTCGCTGATACTGCCACTACAATCGGTGCTGCTGTTGCCTATATCCGACCCACGACGCACCGCGCTGCAAGTGACGACATGGCCGACGATGACTTTGACGGAGCCTCGGGTGGAATGGGCGACGAGGATCTCACCCTGCCCAAAGGTGCGATATCTTGGGGCAGCTTCACGGCCTGCCGCCAAGCCTGCAGGCGATGGTTCAAGAGCGGATAACTCCTGAATGGATCACGACTTGATGAGAGGAGCCGAAGGCATTGTGTTGTTGCCGATCCGGCGACCCAAGCCGCAGCATGTCGCCAGCCCGAGCGATCGCGTTGGTCAATCCTTCGTTCGTCGCAAGGCGATCTCTGCACAGCGACAGCGATTTCAGACGAGCTCCTGGGAGTTCCCTGGAGCTCCTTGACGATCCCGCAGCAAGACCAGAGAATTCAGCCAACTAATGGATTATCTGACTGCGCTGTTAGCCACAGTCGCCAAGCTAATCCAAGAGATGATGCCCGCCGATGTGGTCTGCGCCAAAGAGACCCGCGATCTGCTGGTGGAATGCTGTGTGGGTAACTATTGTTTCCGTCGTCAAGGCCATTGCTGATCACCTTGTTGGTAGCCACAGTCGCTCCCAGCGGTGATCCTGCCCGGGGAACAAAGCGACAGTTGGCGACAGTAGCGCGAGCTGCATCATTCATTCAATTTCTCACTCATGCAGAGTTCATCCATCTGGTTTCGTCCGAGGGTAACGTACTGTTGCGTGATCTGCCTTTCTCGTAACAGGGCTCTGGGACCAGGGCCTTTGGAACCGCACAGCAGCCGGTCTGGATTATTCGCCGATCGAACCAGATCACTAACCGTTGGTTGAACGGGCGACACAGCGAATGACATTTGCGAGAAGGAGGAGAAGAAAACCATCCTTGGCGACCACATCCTGGCGGCCCTGAAGGTACCCGCTTTCCAAGCCAGTATTTGTGGGAGCGAGCCAATCGGGCTACACCTCGTTCCCACCGCTCAATGCTTACTAACTATTCGGCTCCAACGCTTTGGACACAACCCATGGACCCATACAATGGCGAACCTCTCCTTGATCGAACTACTGCTGTGATGACAATCGGTGTGTCGCTCTTGGAACATGAACTTGTATCATATCGGACTCAACCACCCGACATGTTGGACGTCCTGCGCCACTACCGTCCGATCGATGGATGTCAGACGCTGGGATTCGAGGAATATGTGACCGAGGTCCGGGGTGTCTACAAGGAGCACCAGGATCAAATGAAGGTACAGGCGCAAACTCTGGCCCCTCACTGCCGCCCAGTGGTCTGTCGAGGGCGACCAGAGGATGCCCGATCACATCGCCTGCGATTGCGGTGGCGGATGTTGGTTGGATATCTTCGGCTTAGTGGTGTATATGTCTGTTCTGCCAGGTCGACCAAGAGGATCGGGAGAAGCGATCGAAACGACTCCTGAATTCTGGAAGAACCCCCGAGGAGTTGCTGGCCGACCAGGAGCGGCTCTTTGCGGAAGCTCGCCGGTTTCACAACAGCTCTGCCGCAACAACCCCCACGACACCGACACCCGGAGTGCCGCTGCCTTACTCGGTGCCCACTGCCGCTCCAGCTCCCGAGGGTGGCGACGATGCTGCAGCCTCTTGATTGCCGCCTCATTGGCTTCAGCATCATCCTGCTGCCCGTGCCTACCCTTGGCCTTCGTTTTCTGGCATCTCAGCCCGTTCGGGTTGAATTGGTTGTGCTGCTCATGGTACCGGCGACACCCTCTCAATACACATGGAATACGGAGATGACGCTCCCATGCACCTGCCAAGGTCGGGGTACCGTTTAAGCCCACACCAATGCTAAATAACGACGACCGCTTGACTGACACGGTAGTTGAACGTCATAATCGACCTGAACTGGTCGAAGGTTAGGATCCGCTGTCGAGACCCTCAAAGACCCTGCTGGCCATGGTGTCCTTCCGAATCTCGTATGCGAAAGTGGTCCCGTCAAGATACATCAAGACTGTTTGGTCAGATGGCGTCGTGTCAGCTTTGTCTCAGCTTGTAATAGAATATGTACAGCCAACACCGTCACTCCTGAGCAAGTCAGCTTACCCAGCGTTGCCGAAAAAAAGTCCAGGAGCCCTTGCTCACGGTGCTTGTGTACAGACATCCCCAACAGCGGCATTGTCGGCGGCGTGGTCTCTGGCAGAAATGCCTCCGTTTGCTGTACAAAGCGTAGTTCAGTGAGAGACCATGCTTGCAACAGCAAGACGGCTTGTCCTTCTGGCCGTCGCACTTTCAAGTTGCACACTCGATCTCATCTAGCGTACGCTCCTGTGCAAAGATTAGCACGAACCAGTCTGTACTCGTATTTGTTACTTGACGGATTCCACCATCTGTAGAGCCGGTTTGAGAGGCAGGCAGAATCAGCATCGGGCCACCCACCCAATGATGAAGAAATCTCACCAGCATCGGCTCGGCCATTCCAACGAACCAGTACCGGCGGCTTCACAGCTTTGCTCCATCAACCGATGGCGGCATATTCCCCAGACACTTACGTCAAAATACGAACAACAGCAACGTATCCCTTTTGGCTCGCCACAAAGGCGACCCCGAGTTCCTCGACCCACTCGACGATGGAGAGCCCTGGCAAAGCATCGAGCAAGCCAATCCAGTGGGTCAGTTTGGTGATTGCAGGATTAGGGTACATCGACCAAGAATCCGCTCACGAAACGAGTGCTCATTGCTTACTTTCGAAAGGGAGGATATGCGGATGAAGTCGCATATCAGCTCTTGAAACGAGTTCCTTGATCACAAACAGCGGCGAAAGGCTCTCACTATCCAGCAGATAAAGGTCTCGAAGCGTGGCAACCAGGACGAGTGGCTCGGGCGAGCTTTGGGTGTCTGTCAGGATGCAGCCTTCCTCGCTTGTGTCGCGTCGGGGCTTCTTATGCCCCGAGAAAAGTGAGGATCGAGACAGTTCCTTGCGCTTGAAGAGCAGCCCAGCAACGGGATACCGCTCCTCCTCTTCGGCGACACGCATGCTCTCCATTTCGGCAGAGACATCTGGGATCTCGTTAGGTGGCTCTGATTCCAACTGGCTGGCGCCGGGATCAGGCGAATTATCGGCCGAGGAGACCAGCGAATGAAACGACTGGCTGATATGGTCACTGGGGTTGCTGTTGCTAGCGCTGTCACCGTCACCATGAACAAGACTATCATGGTGGTCTGTGTGGCCGCTTTGGACGACGATGGAGCCTTCGCGACTTCTCTGATCATCTGCATCCTCATCATATGGACCAGAGACATCGCTTGTGATGAATGATCTCGGAGTAAAGAACCCTGGGTCACCCGAGGATTCGGTCGAGGTCGTTTCCTCTGGACCACTCTGTTCGACCTGTACGGCACTGTTTGATGAACTTGAGCCGGGTTCGTGAGTCAGAGCTGTTGGAGCGTTGCTGGGGAAGAGGCCATCGACGCGGTTCTCGTCATTGGATGAGGTGCTGTGATCAACCGGCATCCACTCGCCACCGGTGGCACCTTCCCACGGGCTGTCGACGTCTTCCAAAGAAGCTCCATGGTCGGACGTCTGTAAGATGATGTCTTCATGCTCAGACCCTTGGCTCGCCGATATGTCGGCATCTGTGTCGTCGGCATCGCCGTTGAGACTTTCTTGCTCCGTTCCGCTGTGGTTGCTGCCCTGGACCTCCTCGTCTTCGCTGTGGCTGTGGGTTTCGCTGTCCACTTCCCCGTCTTCATAGTCGTCGTAGTCATCGATGCTGAAGGCGCTGAGCAGCGAAAAAATGCGCTGATACGGCTGGTGCGGCAGAAACGATGGGAAGATATCGATGGCCTTATGTCGAGACAGGCAGGAGTCGGGAGGTGCTATGGGAGGAGGAAGAGCCAAGGTCGGACTACTGTTTGGGCCTGTCCAAGTGTGATCGCGATTGTTTTTGTGCCGTTTCGAAGTCTTTGAGTCTGCTTCCCAGCACCGATGCGGGCTCTGCTCCTGGTCCAGGTCAGTGTCAGATGCCGACTCTGGGCCTGAATCTTCATCGGAATCACACAGTGGACTCGATTGAGATTCAAGCGATGGCTCGTCTGTATAGACATCGTGCCCAACCGCTCTGGCTCGGTACTGATTCCGCCAGAGTCTGGCTTCCGGGAGCCCATGCCCACAAACAACTGGATAGCTCTTGGGCTCGGCCGTCTCGGTATTGACAAAGGGATTACACCGCAGCGGCGAAGCAGAATGAACGTGCTTCAGCCCATTGGCGGGAATAGCGACGATACTCCAGTTCCTGGAGAGCCAGGGAGGGGTGGTGAGCTAGGGAACACATATCTGTGGATCAAATACAGAAAGCTTGATAGCCCGAGCTGGTCGGACTGATATCACCCAGCAAGCCTGCCACTCACCACTGTTGGGAAAGCCGATGGCTCGCTAGGCAGGCGCCGGTCTTGAGATCCCAGAGCTTGCAAGTCCGGTCTACGATGGGTGCGATGGTGTGTCAGCATATGGGTCTGACGAAGTGAGCGGGCCTTGTCCATCGGATTGAGAGCCGCTGGCCAGAAGCTCCGCAATGCCGTTCAGCGACCAGACCGCCAGATCCACTATGACTGCGAGCCCGGCACCGCTTGTGGTGGATGAGTGCCGAGCAATACGAGCTGTATCGACGAAATGGCAGTATCGCCACTCCTGTTTGCGCTCGGCCACCCACCAATAGAGCAGGACAAGAGCCGGCGACCACAGCTGGTGAAGGCAATGGAGGGAATGTTGTGGTCGTGGCCGTGAAGTCTCCGCAAGCTGGTTCCTCCAAGAGGATCCTCCGTCGACCGGCGATAGTGTGTCTCGCCAATGTGTTCGCTGAAGATGTCCCAGACTGTGATAACATGGGCGTTGGAGGACACTCCAAGCAGGTAGTTGGGACCGTGGGTGGCAATGCCCCATGTCGAAATGTCGTTGCTGTGCAGTTGGGGGAGCGAGTGGATGACGAAGTGGGTGCATAGATGACACGAGGGTCAAGGGCCAATCACTCATGCCTCCGCACCATGATTGCGAATGAGGCAGATGCATGAAATGCAGCCAGTCTGTCGGCGGCAGATCGTTCCGAATCCAAAACAGCGCCAGTACAAAGGCCAAGGGCATACGTGAATTTGAGCGGAGGGCGATCCAGATCCGATGTGAACCACACAATGACATTGCCGTCGTCGTCGGCTGCGACCAGAATCTCGAGGTTCCCGGCGTGGCCAAGGTGGATTGCATTGATGATCTGTTCATGGCAGTGGGAGCGGGTGATGAGTTGGCGGTGGTCGGGGGCATTTGCCAGACACACGTTGGAAGCATCGCCAGAGAGCAAAAGCGACAGACCAGCACGAGGAGAAAGCGCACCACTTGACTTACTCCTGTTCCATCAAGCACTCTTTCCAGCGATATATGCGGACGGTGCTCGTCGGTCACCGCCACGACCGGAATCTCAATCGAATGCACATGCACTCGGCTGTCGACAGCGACAAACAGAGTCATTCGGTTGCTGTTGCTGCCGCTGTGGTCGTCGAGGTGGGTGCCGTCGACTCCGGACGCCGGAGACCGTGTATTGGACAAAGCCACCAGATTCATCTTCCACAGCTGATAGCTGTTGGGGTACGGGAACTCGACGGCCTCGAAGAGCGCATGGATATCGACCGGGGTATAGTCTCGGTGGTAGGTCGAGGCGGTCATGAGTCGCGAGCTGGCCAGAGAACTCGATGCTTGGACGGAGACTTCGTATCTGTCGAGCCTTGCTGCAGGCTCGGTACGGACGGACGGCTGGCCGGTGATGGCCCGGGGTTGGCGGTTGGTTTGGGCGAGTCGGATCGGCAAGCCGGGCGGCGAGTCAGATCGACGGAAAGCGCATCGGCCCTGGCTCACGCTTGCGACTGGGCTGACGCTTGCGGCCGGCCATCGAGCTCAAAAACCGGCCTGCCCGCAGCCTCCTGCAGGCATCTGATCCCGCCCAGCGCACTGCGAGCCATGCTGCCACCGGCTCGTCTCTTGCCTCGTCTGAGGCTCTGTTCCAGCCAAGCCCGGCCTCGGGCGTCCTTCTCAACAGCATCCGGTGCCCTCTTAGGGCCGTCGTCGCCCGGCCGCCTCGCTTTCCTGGAGTTGAATGCATCGCATCCCGAGCCCCCTGGAGAGCTCGAGCTGTTTGTGGAGCCGTCGTTTCTATCGCCCGAAGAGCAGGAGCGACTTGCCAAACTCTGCAACCGCAAGCTGAAGCGGCTCTGCCGCGACGGCTATCAGGACGGACATTACGACGGAGTCATCAAAGGCTACAAGGAGTGCACCATTTCGGGATGGAATCCAGATCTGTCATCGTCGACATCAGATAACCAAGACGATATCTGGTGCAGAGAGATCATCGGCCGAGCAGAACGAAGAATCGAGCAAGTTGTGGGCGAACAGCGAAAGCGATGGATGGATCCGCACCTTCTTGAGCTTCGAGACGGCAACAGCGGCATTGGTGCCCATGTCGATCATCTAACGGTAGTGTATCGCTTGTTCGCTGCCTAGCACGATCCGACACTGAATTCGAAATCAACGGAGGGTGATGACGAGCGGCTGCGGACTGGGGTTGGTGTAAGGATGAGCTGAGCATATCCTAACGACACCATTCGGTGTTTTCGCCGGTCGACCTGCTCATCGACATGCCCATTGGTATGCTCATCGACACTCATTGGTATGTTCATCGACATTCATCGGTATACCCATCGATACTCATCGGTTCTTCCAGGCTTCGGGTCGGATCGTAGCAGGGATCTGTCTTCTGACACCGGCTGTCATGATCTTCCGGAGAAGGGACACTCCATCAAAGCACTTCAAGACCCTGCTGATGCCCGGATGTCTGTACTTTCAAAGGTGCGATTGCCTGCAGATGGGAGCCGCTCGCCAAAGGCATACCCGTTCCAGCATTATGCAGCTGCATCTCGGTTATGTCTGCTGCACTTGGTGTCCGCTCCGCCGAGCCTTGCAGGCACTTCAGACCCAGCTGACAGACGATGCTTCCCATCGCCAGGGATTCGGTTCGTTACAACTACACTCACGAAATACCCATCGATGGTGCCGAGCACACCTTCCACGGCAAGGAGATCGAGCGACACCGACGGATTGTTGTTCTCATGCGCGACGCTCTTTCGACCAGACAACCCGGCCAACGATGAGCAGGCGGTGCGCTTGATCCGAGACGGACATTGGAGTGTATTTAGGCAACGGCCTTAAAGCGATCGATGGCGATTACGCTGTTTTGCTTTCTATACAGTTGCATTCAATGACGCCTGTGATATCGCAAGTGCGCCGATGGCTGGGTCCACATGTCGAGATGGGGCGGACTTCAGGGCTGGACGCCCTGCCAGAAGAAGCCAACTTTGTGAATTGGACGGAATCCCAGACTGGCAAAGAGGCGCTCCGAGGCCTCGTTGCCGATCTTGATGAAGCAGAACGACGTCCATGGATCGCTGATGCCCCAGCTTCCAAGGATGCTCTGGAGGATCTTGCGCTGGTGTGCCCAGCATGCAACGGCCACACGATTGCCGAGGCCCCGGCGACGCATCGAAGCCAGTGTCGAGAGCAGACCCATCGACTGATCAATGTGCGACAGGCACCAGGCCGCTGGGGCTTGTGAACTGAATCGCTCGAGGTGGTCTGCGAGAGACAGCTGTGTTTCCGAGGCCGGGGTGTCGTCAGGAATCTTGCGCAGGACCCGATGAATCTTGGACATTGGGTTTCGGGTAATCAGCATGCGGATGTACTCTGTTGAGCTGGCGACGCAGAGAATTCGATCGTTGTTAGCGGCGATCAGCGTGCTTTCGGTGGGAAATCGGAGGACAATGGGGGCCCTGTTCGATTCCGCCCGCATGGCCAAGATGACAAAGCCACGACACATACTACTCCACCGTGCTGTTGTCGAGGATCTAGGCGAGATATTCGACGCAACCGAGACCGAGAGTGAGCGATTCTGTCCAGGACCGGTGTCTATTGAGCCGCGATGCCAGGCCGCATATGGATCGCCCGGAGAACTCACCGGCTGGATGTCGGCCAGTCTCAAGTAGTCGTACATGAACCGCTCCTGGGTAGACTCGAGCACAAAGATCGAGCCAGGCTCGGAGCCGCGCTGATATTCGTCCATCTGCGCCTCCGAGATGGTGGGTGCGAGCCACATGTTGTATTCGGGGGAGCTCCAGAATGTCGTCTGGACGCTTTCGTTGAGCATGGCGTGGAGATAGCAGTTGGTGGCATACACATTCAGACCGCCGTCACCTGCACATGGTCGTTAGTCGCAGTCATGGTCGGTGAGAGGGCCGGTGAGTGGAGCATCTGTGCTGAGACGCCCGCAGCGCATCCATATCGCATCCATATCACATCCGCATCGCATCCACGTCGCAGACCTACCGCAACGCCGATTGAAGTAGTGTTCGTGGATGTGCTTCAGGAGGGGAAGGACGACAGATGCATCCTGAGGACCAGCCGGCTGTGTGCTCCACAGATGGAGATGGTGGTCAGGCAGCCTGCCGGTTTCCTTGGCCTGCTCGGATCCAGACGGCATGTGGCAGGTGAAGACGGCGACGACCCGGATCCGTTCGGGGGAGTTGGCGAGGACGTTGTCGATGGGCTGCTCGGCCGTGTGCTCAACAAAGATCCGACGTATTTCTCTTGCCGACAGTGGCCCCTGAAAGAGATACCCGAGCATAATCGAGCTCGGCAGCGGCTGTACAACTGGGGTTGGCAAGCTGCTGTCGAGCACAGCGGGGTCGATGTTAAGGTACCTGGCCAGGAAATGGGCCAGTTCGGCCTGGATCTGCGATTCAGGGACCTCGGTCCAGAAACCTCCGAGGCTGGGGAGACAGAGTGAGGTGCTCATGGCAGCTGCTCGGTGAGATGGGGATATCAAGTCCGGGTCGGAGCAGCTCGCTGACGATGCAAAGCGAAGACCCCGGTGCAAGCAGAGCACGGCTGAGGGGTGCGATGCAAGACGCTCGGGCAAGAAGCCGCTGATTCGCGCGGGGGGGGGGAATGCGGCTCGCAGGGGGCTGGCAGCCACGGGGAAATCGGCGGTGTCCATGGGTTTTGATGGGGAGCAAAGTTCCCGCAGCAACAGATCATGGGGGCCTGGGCAGCCCGGGTGCGAGACAAGCGACGGGCGACGGGACAGCCGCATGCAACGGGCACGATGGGTCGGCTCGGTCAACACCCGGTCGTGCATTCCAAATCAAATATATTCAGCAAAGATGCCACAGCACCGGGAGAGAGTTTGCGGACGTGCCGGCGGCTCTCTGCATGGGCTGCTGAGACCCAGGGCAGAGATGCTACCCGGCCGTGGATGCAGCCTTGTGCACATCATCGCAGCAGCTTCAGCGGTTCTCGGTCGTCGAGCGGAGGCCGCTGGCGGAGGCGCCGATCTGGGAGATCTCGCACACTTCGCAGAGCTGGCCCTGGAACTCGGGCTTGTACGAGGCCTTGCAGTAAGGGCACTGCACACTCGGGCTGCCGCGGTAGATGGGCGAGAACGACGAGCCGCAGACAACAAACGGATTGTACTGATCGTAGTCCAGCTGGATCTCGTCGGTGGGGGTGCGCTCGCATAGAGCCAAAAGTTTTTGTGCTTGCTGTCCCACGGTCGGAACGGGGCCGAGCTCAAGCAGCCGGCGAGCAAAGATGGCGGCGGTGGCATAGTTCTTGATCTTGAAGGCGAGCAACATGGCCGATCGCAAGCTCAGCTGCAAGTGAGCGGGTTGCAGTTGGCAGTGTGAAAAGTATGCAGCCAGCTCCACGGCGCGCTTGGGGTTGGCTTCGATGCTGACATCCTTGCGGGCGACTTCCATGCGCAGACCCAGGATGTATTCGCGGGCGATCGAGACCAGCTGCTGGACCTCTTCGGCCTCACGGCGCTCGACAATCACGAAGAGGACCTGTTGCAAAATGACCTTGAAGAGATTGAGCGCCTCGTTGAACCTATTGTCAAGAAGCCGTGAGCGCAGGTGGGCGAGCGTCAGCGAAACTCTCACGAACGTTAAACTGGGCTCGGCGAGGGGCATTGATGGGGACAGACAAGAGGGGGACTTACTTTCCGGCCTTGGTGACGGCATACGCCTCCTGAAGGGTGTTCATAGCGAGCTGAGCCGACACAGCCGAGTAGGGCAGCGACTTGGTCAGGTCCTGATCCACCACACGACGGTTGGCCAGAGCAAGCGGGGGCACGGAGGCGTTGGCCGAGAGGTAGCTGTGGCTCGCTTGGTAGATGGACATGAACCACGGCTTGAGCGGGGCAAAGTTGACGGCGCCGACTTGGCGGTTGAGGAGCTGTTGATGGGTCACAAAAGGTTATGCGATATGATCCGCCGTGGTCAGAATGTATCGAGCTGAACGCACTGCTTGGGCTGTCGAGGCACAGACTCAGACTAACGAGGAGTGTGGCGTACCTGCATGGCGGTTTCGAAGGAGCCGGCGGCGATGTGATCGGCAGCATGGCCAGAGTTGCGGAGCCAGTGTTCCCCAATGGGTGTTCCAGCAGTGGGCGGCACATACTGCGATGCGGCAGCGCCGGCAAGGGACGCATCCATGAGCTCGCCGGGGATATCAAGGTCGGCGTCCAAGTCCCAGCCTTCGCCCTCGCCGAGGTCGATCGGGACATCGACTGCGGCCTTAGCAGCGCTGGGCTTGGCGGAGCTGGTGCCAAGCTCTGGGATATCCAGGTCGGCATCGTCACCCCAGTCGCCGACGTCTTCGTTGAGCGGATCGATATCCATAGGCACCGGCGCAGCAGTCGGGTTGTCGCTTTGGAACAGACCAGCATCAAAGATGCCGCGCGAGATAGTCAGCGATGGCCAGTTGACTTCGTGTTGCTTGAAGATCGGCGTTGGGGTCTTGAGCAGCTCTCCGCCGTCGGGAAGCTCGGGGCGACTCTCGAGGCCAGCAGCAGCGAGGATCGAGTCGGCTTCCTCAGTCAGACCATGGGTCTGAGCAGCGAGATAGGCCAGCGGACCTATCATACGGAGAGCGCCGGATCCAAGCCAGCAACGCAGTTCCCGTCAACGAAACGAGACGGGGGTCAGTACCCGAAGGATTTACAAAGCGACCGGCACTCAGACAAATACGCCAGCGCATTGCCAACGCCATGGACGCGTTTCAAGAAGAGTCCAGCCCCATCCCACTGAGCCATGGCCAAGAATGCGCTACTGGTGCCACAGCGGTACCTTGTCCTGCGTCCTTCAGGATACGAATCTGCTCCTGGATGTCGCCGAGATAGAGAGAGTTGTGATAGCGCGACATGACATCGTTGCGCAGTTCAGCAATCTTCTGCATCTTCTTGAGCTTCTCGACGTTGCCCGTGATGAGGTACAGGAACGACAGGCGGTCAAAGTTCTTGATGCGTTGGTAGGTCATTTCAAGAACCTGCGGCAACAGAGATCCAGGGGCATGGCGAGTCAGCGCCGGCCGGGCAACCACAGTCGTCATCGGGCTGGTCTTGCACACAGCTACCATGCCAAGGACTTGCCTGGTGATTGCCTTGCTTCAAGGCCTCCGCGCCCAGCTGCGTCCAGCAGTCTTCGCGATCCATGACCTTGGCGGTCTCAAGGGCGACCTCGAGGTTGCCGCACTCCAGGGCCAGCTCGAATCGGGTGACGGGGTCCTTGACAAAGTGCAGCGCAATCTCCGGGTAGCCTTTCTTCTTGAGGTAAGCAATGATGGATTGGCCAACGAGATTGGAGTTGCGGATGATACGCAGAACCTCGCTGTAGTTGCGGCGAACGAGTGCAAGCTTGAAGAGGTACTCGGTTGGATCGACGCTGAGGACGCGGACCTTGGCATCGCGATCCAAGCAGTAGACGCTCTTTCCCTTGACGCGGGTAATGTACACGGGCTGCTCGAGAGTGCGGATGATGCCGTGGTCGCTGGATACGATTGCAAAAATCAGAAGTGAGCACGATTGCATACCAACGAGACTGAAGGGCAGTTGCGGGGCTGCTATTCAAGTAACAGCGACCCGAACGCGGTGCGATGGCTGCCCATAATCGACTACTGCACTGCCGCGCTATGGTGTCAGGCCGATGGCAGCAAGAGGACAGGCGGAGGAGCTTACCCCTGAGGCAGCGCGTATTTGACGTGGTTGAGAGTCGAGTAGACCAGGATACCGTTTTCGTCCCAGGCGCCGCTCTTGATCTTGATTGTTTCGCTGATCACAGAAAGCTGCTCAAGCGACTTTGTGGCGATGATGATGGCTGAAGCAGTGGCGTGCGTAAATCGGTATGCTGATACGAGTCGCCTCGGGCGTTTTCCTTGCCATAGCCATCGATCATGGATGGTGGCTCGCACTCCAATAGCAATGCCAACGCACAGGACAGAGTGATGTGCATTGCCGGGAGGACGAGCAACCCAGGACGTGGGATGGATCAATGCGGATGTACAGGCGGCTGGATGCTACTCACAATGCTTGCTCAGGAGGGCGACCATGCTCATATCCGACGACCATACGGCGTAGCGAACGCCGGAGGCAGGGAGCTCAGCAATGTTGGAGGAGGACTCTGTGTCGAACAGGATAACCGAGCTGCTGGTGGTCAGCAGGATGTTCTTGGTGCCAGCGAAGAAGATGTCGTTGACAGCAACAGGGGGCTTGAACGTCTTCTTGGTTTCGTTTGCCAGATCCTTGATGATAATTTGCTGGAAAGTGAGCAAGCAAGGCGGGATTTGCGTCAGTCGACGGCGAGCAAACTCGGAGCGGTGATACAACGCCAAGCCACGCTGCCGACACTGGCCCGTTCTCGGTGCATGGCTTGTCGTATAGCTTTATCAGGCTCGGGTCAGCGGAGGGGTGGACGGATGGTCTTGCCCAGGTGCTTGGCTTGTTCACTTCCATAGTCATCGAGCATACCTGACTCGATTTGACAAACACCGCAAAGCGATTACGGGCAATGTAGACGGCCGCATTGCCCTGGCCCTTCTTGGGTTCGACGACGGCATCTCGAGGCTCGCCACGAGCGTCGCGTGGCAGGTTGTGGAGCTCATAGGTGCCTCCATCAACAGCCTGGGTACGTGGGGAGAGGATAAACGTGGGCCGAGGGGGATGAGTCCGTGCATATGCCTCATTCTCATAGCTTATTCGAGATGGTTCGGCAGTGCACGATTCAAGACAAACATGCTCGACGCACCGTGGTGAGGAGAACACTGTGCTCCGCAGGGTTATACGACAGCGAGCGAGGGGCTGTGGAAAGCCCGGCAGGGCGACGGATTGACACGAGGGGCGTATCGTTCGAGTTGGAGAAGTCATAGGCACGCAGGAACTTGTCCTTGACGTAGAACAGGGTGTTCTGGTGGACGGAGTGAGCCGGCCGCTCACGCTCCAGCTTGAAGACAATCAGACCATTGTCGTGGCCTGTGTGTTGCCGAGGGGATGTGAGCTGTCAGCATCGCGCCGGCATTGGGGATGAGCACAGTCGGAGGCTTACCGGCCGCAAAGAGATTCAGCTCGGGATGGGCAGCCAGGACCCAATATCGGTCGTGCTCGCGACGGAAAGTCTGGAGGACGGTCCGCTTGGTCATGTCCCAGACACGGATGGTTTTATCTTCCGAGTTGCTGATGATGAGCTCTTGCCGGGGGTGGAAGATGGCGCAGGAGACGTTGCTGTAGTGGCCACGGCAGGTGTCGACCTCCCAGGCCTTGCTCTCTGCATGGAGTGTTCGTACAAGCACGCAAGGTCAACACTCGACGCAGAAGAAAACCTCAATGTGAAGGAAAAGACATGGCGAAATGCGTATTTGGGCGGCTCGAAGCTGCCATATCTTACCGTTCATTCTCCAGAGCTTGACGTTTCGGTCATCGCCACCGGAAATGATGAGGGGCAGGTTGGGATGGAAGGTGGCCCAGTTGACGGCGCGATCATGGCCCTCGAGGACATACTTGACAATTGCATCTGTCGAGCCAAAGATATCCGGCTGCTGGCCGGGACCCATGCGGTCCTCGGGCATTGCGCTCTGGGGCGACGACTGCTTCTTGCGAAGTCCCGAGATATCCCAGACACGGACCGTCTGGTCAAGCGAGGCCGAGACGACCAGGTCCTCCTTGGGGTGGAACTGGGCACACATCACATAATGATTGTGGCCGGTGAGGATGGCAATGCAGGTGCGAGACTGCCAGTTCCAGATGCGGATGGTCTGGTCGTCGGCACAGCTGATGATCCAGGGCTGCTCGTGATGGAAAAACACCGTGCGGATGTAGTCGATGTGGCCGTTGAGGGTGAACAGGCACTTTCTCTGCTTCCAGTTCCAGACCTTGATCTTGTAATCATCGCCGCCGGAAACGAAGAGGGGCTGAGTAGGATGGAAGGCGATGCCGCGGACAGGGCCTGGGATGCGTGTGCGTATTTGGATGCATTGGGATATGAGAGAGGCAATCGAGGAATAGACAGTTAGGATGAGTCGATATTGAAGGGACACCCTTGGTTCACGCATCTTTCAAGGCTGCTCGCCGAACGGACTGCTGGCAAGGTTGCTATCCGTAACAACGGCGGATCGTCTACCTTCATGCTCATCAAAGCGATCGATCAGAGTCCCCATCTTGTAGTCCCACAGCTGAAGCGAGCCATTGTGCAGCGAGGCCAGGATCCACGGCCGTTTCGGGTGGAACGAAAGACCCTTGACTCGATTCGACTGGAAGCGATCAGCCGAGGATGACCGGCAAAGGAATGGAGGAGATCAGCGATCAGGAATCCTCTCTCTCTTCCTTCCTTCCTCCGGGAAGAAGAAAGTATATGTGTTGCGATCCTCTGTGGAAACAACGGCATCCAAATAGATATATGGATTTTTTTTCGTATTCCATGGCCAGCCCTGGAGCAAGAAGCGAAACGAACGCAGCGGATTTCTACCTTGGTCTCAAATTTGGAAAGCATCTTTGGAAGCTGGGCCATAGAGCTAGAGTGAGCGGGCGACAGGGCTGGTGCCGGGTGCTTCCGAAGATAGCGGTGATGCGCATACGAGCAGCGGCGGTGCTGTATCGTTGGCGCAGCAGCCGATACTTACCCTTAATCCTGTTGAAGGAGAAGGTGCAGCGGGCTGGCGGCTGGCAGGGACGAAGGCGAAAAGAGATGGCGACGCCTGGGTCGGAATCTCGAGCATCTCGCCAGGAAGGCGGCTTACGTAAGCCTACCACCACACACACACACACAGTCACACACTCACACACTCACTCACTCACACACTCACTCACTCACACACACACACAGTCACACACTCACACACTCACACACTCACACACTCACTCACTCACTCACTCAATCACTCATGCATGTGTTATATTGGGAGTTGGATGGACTGAGAGTGTGTGATAATCATGGCCTCGGGAAAGACAGTCTGGGCAATGGACTCCCATTCGCCGTGCGCAATCTGGTCGAGGACCTCTCGGGCCAACTCCACTATCGCCCATCAAGACACAACCGACAAGACACAACCGACAAGGCACAACCGATGAGGTAGAACCCATGAGTAGGAGCGATGAAACCAAGATTGAATTGCAATTGCAGGTTAATGGCGAGATCGCTATAATGCCGTCAATGCACGGATCAGTGGCCAACAGCGAGGATCGCCACAATGCCATGCCATGCCACGGAACAGATGCCGCGACACACTTGGTCTGGTTGGACTTGCCTGTTGCCGACGGCAGATGCCGGTGCTCCTCTGTTTCTCCGACGATCCGACCCATGATTGATATCAAGGCATACACATGCGACGAGCGACCAATGACAAACGCATCGAGTCGCCGCGCAGCAGCGAGTGTATGGAAGAGCTGAACCATCTCCAGGACCACGGAGCCGCTGTGCAAAAGGAAAGTGACTCTGGGTCAGCCATGTTCCATGGCCGGTGACCAAGTCCGAGCACCCGGTCCGCACAGCACCTACCCGGTGGACCCCGACTGCACAAGATCGGTATGTTCGCGTTGCAGCAACGAAACGAGATGCACGAGGACCTGAGACGGAATGATATCGTCAGCATGGCAGCAGTGGTTACAACGACAGTGGCTGTGAGAGGCTGTCTTGGACATACCTCGCCTTGCAGCTGGGTGGGATCGTCGATGTGTGAGTGCGATTCGAGCGCAGAGTGAGCGAGACTCAGCACAGCCTTCTTGAATCTGATGCGTTGCGGCTAAAGGGAGCAGGGAGCAGGGAGCAGGGAGCAGGGAGCAGGGAGCAGGAACCAAAGGTGTTGAGGCTGGATGTCCACGCGATTGATACAAAGGCTCTCCCGTCGATCATGACGGTACTTACATCGGCTGTGTCGTTTTCAACTTGTGCACGACCCAGCAGCTTGAGGAGAAGCTGGCTGTCGGTGCCCATCAAATCTTGCAGCACCACGGGATCTGCACTCAACGAGCCACGTTCGCACACATCAGGCATGCCATCGCATTTGCAGAGAGTTCTGGTGCAACTCTTTGTACCCGTATCAGTCCCTGATGTGCGACGAAAGCTGCCGGGAGGGCAAACATATCTGTCTGAGACACTCACATTTAGCTAGGAGCGATATCCATTCCAACGACGGTGCGAGAACGAACAAGGGTTGCTTGGGGTGTGTCAGGTCACGGATGCTTTGCACAGGGATGAGCAAGCGATGTCTTGGATTGAGGAATGGCAAAGTCCGTGCGTTAATTGTTGTCGAGGAATGCGCCGACTGAGACGGGAAGCGTTGTGGCGAGCGTGGCTGGGAAGGGTCGGTGCTGCTGGTGCGGGACAGCGCTCCATGCTTGGTAGAAGCACGCTCGGGGGGGGGTAGTGCATGGCTACGGGACCGTCAGTCTCGGGACGAACACAAAGTCATTCGGGCCAAGGCCAACGTACCTCTCGTCCACGGAAAAAAATGCGCTCTCTGCGGCCAGGATCTTCAGGATCGCCATCAGATCCTCAACAATCCCGTGGAGACCGTCTTTGTCCCGCTGTTGTTTCGATTCGCGACACCAAAGTTGGTCAACCATATTTCGGATTGTGGAGGCGATGCTGCAAGGGGTATCTTGGGTTGCCTGATCGAGTGCTGTTGTCGCAGTCAGCACCAGTCGGCCCCGAGTGTCACGCCAAACATAGCATTGCCAACGCTTGCCGGCTGAAAGGAAACCTACCGATTCGCTCAACCACCCACATTCGGACACTCGAACATGCTTGGAGCAGCTGCTTCAGGGTCTGGATGAAAAACAAAAGTGGCTCGTGCTGCGATCGCCGGCATGTGCCCGCATTCCATAGTGTGTGAGCTCACACGGTGCGTTAACTGTCAAAGTAGCCGTCACCCATTCGCGCATGCCAGAGACAGCTCAAGCAATAACCCACCAAATGGCTTTGGTATGCAAAAGTTATGAGAGGGATGAGGGCTGGGAGTAGCGTCGTCAGCTTGGCGCCCGAATATCGCGAAATTGTCGACAGAGTCTTGACGAATCGGATGGCGTGAAGTTTGTAATCGGCTGGTACGGATTCTGGAAAGCAAGGTGTACCAACGGCCAGCGAGTCAGGATGGATTTTGGATAAGCCCGGGGGGGTCGAGAATACAGCTGGGCACACCGAGAGATGCTCAATGGCGGATCAGAGTGGAGGCAGCCGCACTGGAGACATATCCGCACCCAGTCTTGTGAGTGCCCGTACCTGAACTACCCGCGTGAGTCGATTGGCCGACCAAATAGCTGAGTAGAGCAGACTCACGATCCGGTTCGTATCCCGTGGTCATGGACCCGATCGGACTGATGACACTGAGAGCAAACTTTGCCGATCCATAGTGCCCATGTCGTTCCAGGCCGGCATTAGTATGGGCGCGATCGCTGTCCAAGACAGAGCCCACTGGGCAAGCTGAGGGCTGGAATACCGGCATAATCATAGAATCGAGCAGTGGCTGAAGCCATGCGAGTTGCTCTGGATCGGTGGAGCACTTACGCGAATGTGGCGGGGCATGAGCTCGCTTGTCGGGGTTATGTGTCCCCGTTTGGGGACCGCATTTGCCTCGGCAGAAACGTTGGTCTTGGAGATTTTGGGCGAATGCTGTGGACCAATATCGGTTGATGGCACCACAGTCGCACAGCTGGGATTGATGAGCTCCTGGTCCAGCACCTTGTTCTTCAATTTCGCTCGTTGGACCGACATGTCTGCACCGTGGGATGAAGTGGGTGGAAACGGCAGCTTTCCATCCAGCTTCCGCTTCTTGGGCTGATTGATGACCCGGTAGCCCGCTTCATCGGGCAGAATGTCGACACCGAAGGTCCTTTCGCTTGGAAATCCGATTAGATCCGTATGGTGTGCGGCTGCAGACGACAGCGAAACAGCGGCGGGTTACTACTGTTCCGAAATACGGCCAATGTCAGGACATGCCCAAGCCCGCGCTCGAGCAGCTGGAATCAGTACCATCGACTTTGCGATTCTTGGCGTCTTTGTTATATGACTGTGTCCGTATCATCAACTGACGCTGCGAGTTTGACTCGGCATCCTGTTCAAACGATCAAATGCAGAGGATTGCACGAAAGAAGCAGGTCAGGGATTGTCTGTGAGTATGGGCGAGCGATATTCGGCAATGACACAACAGCCGGCCTTTCTGTGAAACGAATCGGATGCCGTCTCAAGGAATGGAGTAGGTTGGCCTGTTGATCAGTCACCGAAGGATTACGGCGGCATTCGTGCCATGCGCATGGGGCCGGCTTACGCTGAAGAGAGTTGCAGTGCTCGGCTTTGTTTTTGAATCGAGTTCTCGTTTGGGATTCTTTTTCAATCGCTTTCCGGGATCGGGGTTATTGAACAAAGGGGCTTTTACCAGAGTTCCGGCCATGTCCTTGGTCTGCTACAGTTGGGTGGATTCCGAGAAAGTGGTTAACACAATTGATGGTCAGGGAGCAGAGGGAGGACATTTGATCAAAGCTGGGATGATGTACCTGCTTGATCTCTCGCTTGGGCTCGGGCTTGGGCTGGACGGTCATGCCGGTCTTGGAGTTGGTGGGCTGTGGAAGCCCTCTGGGAGAATGATTCGACATGGCATATCAGCGACGGCAATGACGGGGTGGTGGGCGACAACGGCAAATTGACGGGCAGGACTGCGACGGGTGGGCCGAGCTCAACCAAGAGCAGACAGGCAGATAACATACTGCTCTGCACGATGATTCAAACAGCCAGGAAGCAATATCGTCCGTGCGTAATCGAGTTCAAAGAGAGGTGTAAGACACTGGCGGGGCAGGCGTTGGGGATCAGGGCCGCCCGCTGCAGATGCAGAGTCGATGGTGGTCTCTGCGGCGCATCTCCGATCCGTCGTCGGATGAGCAGCCAAAGCCAGCGCATAGTACAGGCACGGCTCCAGCAAACGAAACCGAGGGAGCCGGGCCAACATCGGACAGCAGTCCTCTGGAATTCACTTGCGGCGCACTCGGACGGACGTTAAAATAGCGTCGGCTGCATGACGCAAGATAAACTGCAGAGTCGTCAGATCGGGGGGTAGGGAAGTGGCTCGTGCAATATTACCAGTGACGAAGCTTCCGTGCCGATTGTTAATGGGAAGTGGCTGCTCAAAGACAAGAGCTCGCTCGGTGTCGACGATCCAAGATGCCCCGGCATGAGGAATGGCGCCATCCCTCTCCAGCTGACTCATGCTCTCGATGATCAGATCGTCATCTATGTCGTTATCAGCAAAGACGGAGTCGTGGGGGTCATAGAGAAGCACAGCGCCCTCTCGGTCTGCCGGATCGGCGCCTGGTTGTCGGGTCATCGCCATGGCTCCGTCGTCGGGCGCAACCGGCAGGTTGCTGTCCAAGTTGTTGTTCAGGTTGCTCGATGCTCGACGCAGCCCAGGATGCATTGGGCCTGCCGCCTCCGGAATGGCTTCGATGGAGAGGGAATTGAACGATTTCGAGGCCTTGAGGGTGGCTGGCGGGGGCCCGGTGTCAAAGGACGAATTGAACGAGCCGGGACAGGAGTTGGCCCGATTGCTGTGGTGAAGATAGGAGGGCGACACCGAGCCCGCCAGAGCCCTGTGCGACGAATCCTGGGCATTGGACAGACGCCGGGGCGATGGCTGGGCGGCGACACCAGCCGTGACGGCTCCGGGGGGTGCTGGAGACGACATATCCGCAGATCGGGGGCTGGCGTGGCCCGCATTGCCCGAGAGGAAGGCTGGGGGGTTGTGGGCAGCGCGGCCCATCGGGATGCAAAGCATGAAGAGCAGAGTCACAGGACCAGCGATGCAGGCGGCGCCAGCACCAGAAAAGCGGGACCTGGCACGGCGGCTCGATCCAGCGACCTGCACTCGACCCGCACTCGACCCGCACTCGAGCCGGCTTGGCGAGTGTGTGCGCAGCCGCCAAGCCAGCCGCTCTTGGCAGCGTGGCTGTGCATTGCTCTTGTGCATCGATCCCAGACGGGCTCGGGTCCTTGGTGGGGCCGGCACGGACGTCGCTTGGATATGGGTTGGAGCCGCAGCGAGCATCTCATACTGGATGGACATATCGATATTGGGTGGACATATGGATACTGGGTGGAGATATGGATACTGGGTGAACATCTCGTAGATGTCGCTTGGATGTCGCTTGGATATTGTTTGCGAGTGCGCTGCTCACTTAGATGCCCTGCCCTGCCCCACGTCACCCGCCCCACAGCCAAAGCTCATTCGTCGGCACGGCCACAGCCGCCGCGCAACCCAAGGCAGCGATGCAGTGTCATGGCAGCGCCCCATGGGCCGCACAAGCTGCTGCCGCACAGTCTGTGTGCAGGGCGGCCGTGTCAGCCAGCGTGTGTGTCTCGCCCAGCCCTCGCCCGGCCCTCGCCTGCTCCTCGCTGCCCGCCCCGCCCCTCGTCCTGCACAGACTCAGTGGCCCTCTCTCGCCGCAGCCCCTCTCGCTCTCGCCGCTCGCCAGCGAGGGGGGCGGTGATCGCCCTCGGATACATTCGTTGGTCCCTCAAAAGCTCGCTGCCCTCCGCCGCTGCCCTCAGCCTCTCGCTTGCATCTTCTTCTCCCATACCTCCCGCCGGCCGTCGCCTATTCCGTTCATCGGTTCTCCAGGCCTGCTCACCCCCCTCTCCTCTCCCATGAGATCGTTTGCTCTGTGTTCGGCAGCCGCGGTCCTGTCCGCTCTGGCTGTCTCCACCTCGGCTGCCCCCGTCAGCAGCTCCGGCTCCTGTCCGGCCGATGCCTGTAAGTCATCATCAGCCTTGTCCATCCCTGCGGCTTGCCAGATCGCCACCACCCCCAACCCCAGCTGCTGCTGCTGTAGGCCCTCTGTGGACGCACACGCAGCAACACTGAGGGTCGTCCGCTATCGTGCCCACCAACTCCCGTCCTGAACCTTGATCTCTCGTTTCAGCCGCCAGCACCTACCAAGAGTGTGGCCAGTTCCGGGTTGACACCAAGCAGCAGGTATGTGGTGGACAATATGGGCCCTTCCTTCTGTGTCTTGCATGGTTGGATCGCCTGCAGCTCTCGGAGATCCACTGTCCAGTCCTCCTCCACCGCATCTGCTTTCGTCTCCCGCGCTCCGGTTCTCGCTCATCCCCGCCCTCTGTATCTGCTCCTGCAGCTCTGCAACCAATATCGCGACGACTGGCAGAAGCGCGTCCACTGCTTCAGCATCGTCGACTCGATCGCCGACTCGTGCATCCAGGCCGTCGACAAGAAGAACGTCCCCTTCTGCTTCACCAAGGCCCTCGATGATCTCTACCCCAACGCACCCTCCTCATCCTCGTCCGTGGCCAGCTCCGAGAGTAGCCAGTGCCCCTCTGATGCCTGTAGGTTCCTCCACCTTGTAGCGACGCGATCTCGTACCGCCGCCTGTCGACTCTGCCCCCTCTCTCGTATCCGACTCATCCGAACATACTTTTCCTTCTCCAGTGGCCAAAACCGTCGCCGACTGTGACGCCGCTCAGCAGTACATCGACGCCAACATCTGCAGCAGCCGCGCCGATAAGGACAGCTGCCTTGCCGCTGCCAGCACCCTGACCGGCGCCTGCAAGAGCGCCGTCAACTCTGGCAGCACCTTCTGCTTCGAGACCGAGTCGGCCACCTTCATCACCACCTACGGCCAGCCCACCACCCAGAGCTCGCTCGAGGCCAGCTCCTCCAGCAGCAGCAGCTCCTCGTGCAAAGACGACTTTTGTGAGTTGATTCACAATCCACTGCTGCTCCTGCATGTATGTATGTATGTATATATGCTTGCTTTACTGACGCTTCCCTCGTCCTCGCCGTCTCCAGTGGCCACCAGCTACAGCCAGTGCTCCCAGGCTCGTGCTGCCTTCAAGTCCAAGTTCTGTACCCAGCAAAACTCTGACATCCGTGTCCAGTGCTTTGCCGAGGTCGATAAGGCCAGCGACCAGTGTGTCCTCTCGATCGACAAGCAGCAGCCTTTCTGCTTCGAGCCTCTCTTTAACGAGCTCAACGGCCAGAGCAAGCCTACCCACAGCACTCACGCCACCCACAGCACTCACGCCACCCATAGCACCCACGCCACCCACAGCACCCACGCTTCGCACACCGCTTCTCCCACTAGCACCCCCAGCGGATCCTGCGATAAGGACTACCTTGCCGAGTCGTACGACGACTGCTCCAAGGCCCGCAGCATCCTCAAGCAGCAGTTTTGCACCCAGTCCGACTCGAACAAGCGCGTGGCCTGCTTCGATGCGGTCGACCACTCTGCCAACGAGTGTGTCACCGCCATCGATCACAAGTCGACGTATTGCTTTGAGGCCATTTACAAGAAGCTGAGCGGCAGCTCGCCCAGCCCCAGCCCCAAGTCTTCTTCGGCCGCCACTTGCGGTTCGGAATACCGTAAGTACATGCCGCAGTGAAAGGAGCGTCTCGCCCCCTGCTCAATCGCATATCTCCCGTGTCCCACGCGACTGACCGCCGACGCTGCCGTTTCAGTCGCCACCTCGCAGTCCCAGTGCGACACCGCCAACACCGAAATCACCGCTTACTGCACCCAGAAGGCTGCTGCCGACAACAAGGACATCTGTCTGCTCACTGGTCGTGTCTCTATTAACGAGTGCAGCAGCGCTGTCAGCAGCGGCAGCCAGTACTGCTTCGCGGATACGATTGCCGCCCTGGGCACGTACGCCACCGACTCTCAGACCTGCACTCCTAGCTACCGTAAGTAGTACTCCTTTCGGCCGATGCCACGGTGGCCCTGATAGATCGGGCGTGATATAGTCTGTATTGGCTGCTCTTCTCACTGTGCTCACGCCATTCTCGCTCCCGCTCCCGCTCTTCAGTTGCTTCCACCTCTGCCGACTGTGACGCTGCCCAGGCCGATCTGTCGCAGATTTGCGCTTCCTTCACCAGCTATGTCTCCCAGAGCTCGTGCGTCAACTTTGGATCCTCCTTCATCAGCGACTGCAAGAACGCCATCGCCCAGCAAAAGTCGTACTGCTTCGATGGTGCCATCCGTCAGCTTGCCACCTTTATCCTCTCGAACGGCACCGCCTCGGCCTCGGCCTCCGCCACTCCCGCGCCCTCGGCTACTTCGGCTGTTGTTCAATCGCCCGCCCCCTCCTCTTCTGCGTCCCTCGCTGCCGGTCCCTCCGCTTCCGCGTCCCTCGCCCCCTTGAGCTTGGCAGCCATCACCTCCTCTGCCGCCTCACCCTCGGTCACTGCCATCTCTAGCGTTGGTCCTGCTGTTGTCGTCACTGGCTCGGCCACTGCTGCTGCTGCCAGCCCCTCTGCCACTGCCTCGACGTGCAACCCCGAGCTGCTCGCTGCTTCCTCGCAGGACTGTGACAAGGCCAGCGCCGAGGGCCAGCAGCTCTGCAGCCAGGCTGGTGCCAAGAAGGATGCCTGCACCGCCATCGTCACCAGCGCCGTTTCGGATTGCAAGTCCGCCGTGAGCGCCGGTAACACCTACTGCTTTGCCAACGCTGTCCAGCAGCTCAATGCTCTCGCTTCCCCGGCCAACAGCACCTGCCCCGATGGCGCTCTCGCCAACAGCACCACCCAGTGCGAGGCTGCCCGCGCCGCCCTCAAGTCCACAATCTGCTCCAAGGTGGCCGACGCCACCAAGCAGACCCAGTGCAATGCCGATGTGGACAGCCTGATCAACACTTGTGACTCGGCTGTCGGCACCAACTCGAGCTACTGCCTGGTTGACCCCCAGTCGGCCTTCTACCAGCACTACGCCAACTACGCCAGCGGCAACAGCAGCAGCAGCATCAGCAGCCTGAGCGCCGCCAAGCTCGTGTCAGCCTCCTCTCCCTCTCCCTCGACCTGCAACAGCGAATTCCTTGCCGTCACCTACGGCAACTGCGCCACCGCTCGCGCCGAGCTCAAGAAGGCCGGCTGCGATGGCATCGCCAACTCTGACGACCGCGTCACCTGCCTGAACGCTGCCGACGCCCTCGCCGACAAGTGCGTCAAGTCTCTCGACCAGCAGACCCCCTTCTGCTTCCTGACCGAGGGCGCCGACTTTTTCAGCAAGTACATCAACAGCACCCCCACTCCCAGCACTACTACCGCTGCTCCCTCGGCCTCGCCCTCGTCGAGCACCACCTGCCCCTCGAACAAGCTGGCCGTGACCTATGGCAACTGCTCCGACGGCCGCGCCTGGCTCAAGGCGACCTACTGTGCTCCCTTGACCAACAACGACGACAAGGTTGCTTGCTTCGCCGAGGCCGACAGCTTGGCCGATCAGTGCGTCAAGTCCCTTGACCAGCAGACTCCGTTCTGCTTCGACACCAGCAGCAGCAAGTACCTGCACTAAGTGCGCGGGTCGTTTAGAGCATTGCCCCCCTCATCCATATTGTGCTTGGCTGCTCAGTACATTTTGGCTTCTCGTGACTTGCCGGGGCTGCTGGAGGCGCTCGGGTCACCCTACCCACCACCATACGGCGCTCTGGGTGCGTCGTCGTCGATCAGGTCCGCTGCCTGCTCCGATTTTCCCTCCGCATTTTGTACCTGCTTTAACTCCACCGATTTTCCATCCCTGCCACTGGCGTTTGCTGTGCTCTGACGAGGCTGCCAGTCTGATGTATATCCCATCCCGATGGAAATACATGTATTTTTTACATAGCCGATAGCCAATTGCCACCGTGTGACATTCGATGCTGAGCCTGGCTCGGTGAAGGGCGCTTTCAGCCAGCATAACAGCTGTCTCTCATCCTGTGCGGAGTGCACCGTCTCCACCGCGAGACCCGATGCAAAAACAACGGAACACATCATCTCGCTCGGACATATCATACCATACTTGGCCATAGACCACCCAAATGCTATGATGCCTCTTTTCGATTCAGGCACGCTTGTTTTATTAGCCTGGCTGCGAGACAGGAATAGCCTGCCCAGGAATAGCACTCAGAAGCGCATGAACCAGCCGGCCACGGCAATAAAGCAAGTGGCCCTCTCCTTGGCGCAAGGTCGGTCTCGTCGCTTGAGCTCACGGTTGTATTTGCATGTGTCTCCTGGGTGCTTTAGAATGCATTCTGCAGCCTCCAGATGTCGCGGGCTGCCGTTCGGCGGGTCGAGAAGGAACAATTAGAGTCAGATTGGCGGGCAGTTCCGCTATCTCCTGAGCCGGCGACCGCCACTCCGTTTTCATCGCGATCTCGGTGACAGGGGTTGCTGCTGCGAGTGCGGTTGCGGCTGCTGTTCTCACCTGCACTATTTAGAAGCGTGCCGGTGCCGTCCGTTCCGAGGAATCCCACAAAGAGCTGGATCATCGTAAAGGTGTTGGATCCAAGAGTCAGCACAAGAGCGGAACTTGAGCCCGAAGCTGGCCTCCCCGAACGCCCGATGGCGGTGCTCAATCATCACCACCCTCGACTCCATCTCCATCTCCATCTCCATCTCCATCTCCATCTCCATCTCCTCTCCATCTCCATCTCCATCTCCATCTCCATCTCCATCTCCATCTCCATCACACCCACCGTAACGTTCTGGTTCAGCTGTGTGGCGACGGCTTGTGAGTTTGCGCATATGTTGTCAATGCACGCGCAGTTGGATCCGTTGCAGTTGGTGTCGGTCCAAGTGATGCCGCTGCCGACCAAGACGCCTGGACGATCAGAGGGTTATGTCAAAACATGGCGCTGTGGCTCAAGCGGCTGCTCCATCCCATGCATTGCAGTCATGTCCCGCGCATCTTTGGCCTATCTCGCTGCCTCGTGGAGCCTACCCTGGTTGACGGTGATCACAGCAGTTCGGTAGGGTACATAGCCCGCGTTTCCATCCTGGCCACGACCAACTATGCGCATGGGAGTCGTGCGATACGTGCTTGCTCCCCACGTCAGCTCGGCCAGCATGTATATATCCGTTGCTCCCAGGTTATTGTATAGGTTCAAGAGGAAGGGCAGCGCTGCAGCATGACATCGACCGGGGGGTTGGGATGCGGAGCCAATCGAAGCCAGAGTCGCATCGATCGGATTAGTGTGTTGCCTCATCAAATCTGGCAGTCCATGCTTATGCAAGTCCACACGAGCAGCACCCCGACGGGCTTTGGCGCATCTCTGCTCAGGCAAGCCCCTCCTCGTGGCGGCCCGTTGCAACTCGTGAGCAAGACTGTCACTTACTCCCCGGAATCGTCAGCATATTGTAGTTGTCCAAGGTCACATAAAACTGCGAGACCTGGAAGTACGTGCTGGTGGTGGTGCCGTTGAGATACGCGTACTGCAAAAAAACGGCAATCATCATGACACTGCCCTTGTATATCAGCGGCACCGGGCTCGTGTTGGCGATGATGTTGCGGATTGTTGCGCATCCGTCGCGTTGGACACAGTAGGTCGAGTCGGCGGTGCCCCAGTCGGCGGTGCCGCTGAGCTGAAGCGGTCCACTGATTTGACCATGAACCAGCAGACCGCAGACGGCCACAGCCAGCATCAGCGCGAGAATAGTGGGTTGCCTCATCGTGGCGGGATCGCAGCACCTTGGGACTCTTGGTTTCTGGCGAACGCTCGGGGGGCTTTCTTGCACGGGGCCGTCAACTGGGCGAGCGTGTCTGCAGCTCAGGATGCAAGGAAAAGATCGAGAGCATGGCGCGGATTCTCCCAGCCGCCCAAGCCGACGGCGACGGGGCCGCAGCAGACCTGCATCCCAAGCGGCTCTGTTTCTGTTGCAGCCCGACCAGGGCATGCCTCTGTTCCCACGATATCCGCGGCTCGATCCGCGGCTCGAGTGCATGGCGCTGGTTGCATCCGATCCACACACACACACACTCACTTACATGGCGCGCCAACCCGGCGTTTCTCGCTCTCGGCTTCGTTTCGCCCTTCCCATCCCGCCCCAGCCACCATGACCCTGCTGGAAAAGCCCCAGATCATCACATACATCACAAAATCGCTGACGTACACCGTCTACGACGTCAAGTGGGTGCCGTGCTCGGCCCGCTTTGTCGCCATCGGCCAGCATTCGCGCGGGACCGGCGCCTTGCAGGTATACGAGCTCGATGGCGGCGACGCCAAGCTGGTGCATGAAACCGAAAAGCAGCACGCATTCAAGTGCTCGACTTTTGCAGCATCGTCGCTGCATGATCGCCACCTGGCCACGGGTGACTTTAACGGTCGCTTGGCCTTGTGGGATCTGGAACGAACCGAACTGCCGGTCTACACCGTCAAGGCTCACGGCGAGATCATCAACTGCATGGACGGATGCGGCGGCGTTGGCGTTCAGACCGGCCCGCCCGAGATCGCAACAGGCAGTCGCGATGGTAAGCAGCCACGATAGAGCGATCTACCCGTGAGCAACGACAGCCGCCTCCACTTTGTCGATGGCTGGCTATGGTTTTGCTGAAGGCAAGATCGCCAGTAATCCCGCGGCGATCGGCACCCTTGTTGGATCCGCCGCCGCTCCCACACAGCCTCGCTCATGCGCTCATCGTGCTATCCCCATTTAATCGGCCGTTCAACCGGCTGTGCGCGCTAGGCACCGTCAAGATCTGGGATATCCGCCAAAAGGAAAAGCCTGTCGCCACCATCTCGCCTGCGGCCGGAGAAGCCTCGCGGGACACCTGGGCCGTCGCCTTTGGAAACTCATACAATGATCAGGAGCGTGTCGTCTGCGCCGGATACGAAAACGGCGATGTCAAGATGTTTGACCTGCGGACCATGACGCTACGTTGGGAGACCAACGTCAAGAACGGTGTGTGTGCCATCGAGTTTGATCGCAAGGACATCAAGATGAACAAGCTCGTCGTGGCCGGCCTGGAGTCGAGCTATCAGCTTTTTGATCTGAGAACACAGCACCCGAAGCAGGGGTTTGCCTCGCTCACACAGAAGGTAGGCGCATGTTTGGTGTCTTCCCTGGCCTCAAGCAGTTGCAAGGCTCAGCAGAGGAGCCAGACACAGCTTGCTGCTGCCGACTGATCGCGCGCTCTGACCACACCACCAACATTCGGCTTTCTTGAACGGAACTGGACATGTTCTGATGCAGGCTCACGGAAACACGACCATCTGGACCGTGCGCCATCTCCCCCAAAACCGAGAAATCTTCATGACCTCTGGCGGAAACGGTGGACTGAACCTAAACCGATAGTAAGCGCCAGGGCTGATGCGGCAGCGTGCTGCCGATGCATTTTCAAACTGTGCTGAGATTCTGTGGCCGTATTCTGGATTCTGGACAGTCGTGCCGGATATGACCCTGGTTCTGGTTGTCACAGCCGAGGCTGCCGAGCATCCGCGCTCACGTCTACATGCGTCGCTTCCGATTCTGACCCGAACACTGTGCTTGTTTCCGCCCAAATGTCATCATCGCCTTGGCTCGGCTGCCGCTCTATCGGCTTGAATCTCACGCCGACATGGCCTGGGCCGCATCTGTGTCATTCCTGGCGCCTGCTTCTGTCAACTACCGCACCTGTGCACAATCGTGCTAGCCGATACCCAGAGAAGCGGTGCAAGAAGGACGATGCCGGCGAACATGAAGTTGGCGTGATGGGATCTGTGGAGCTTCTGAACAACGCCACCGTCGCCGAGCAGCCCGTCTCGTCCTTTGACTGGAATACCGACAAACCTGGTCTCTGTGTCTTCTCGGCCTTTGACCAGCAGCTCCGGGTTGGAATCGTGACCAAGCTCAATTCATAGTCATCCAACGCTCCGTCACCCCTCCAAATGCTACACGAAGCCGCTTTGACTCACTCCCGGATGGCTGGTATAGAGCGTGATTTCTGCGATGCATTTGCCAAGGAAGACCAATCCAGGTCTCGGGAGCCAGCTGGCAAACCGTTCAGCAGGATTCACAACCAATAAACGCATAACTGACGCCCACAATGCAGGCCCGCTATTGCAGCTCAAGACTGTACGGCTTGGGTCAAGATGGCTAGGAATGGACTTTGCGGGCCTGTTGATCAAATGCACCAGAGCCGGCTGCATTGGCGTTGCCGCTGCTTTGTCCATGCTTTCGGTTCCCAAGGCTAGTGAGGACCGACGGCTCTATCGACTTGAGATCGTTGGCTTGGTCTCGCCTGTTTTCCGACAAACTGAGCAAAACATGCCTGGAGCTGCTGAAGAAACTCTTGCGTTCGCCTCCTGGCTATAGCTGTCGTTCGGCCACAGACACATGCTTCAGATCAGCATACCCATCTGACGGGTCTGAGTGCCCAACAAGCTCTGTGCAGCTCACCTTGCTCCTCTTGCATCTGAACGATTGCATCGATCTCGGCTTCGGCGACCGACCACAGCTGTTGGCTGCGCTCAAAGAGCACTTGCATAACACCAGACTCCAGCTCATCGATGCCCGAGCGAAGCTCTCGGAAGTGCTCTATGGCCAACGGGGAGAGATCGGCGTGAGAATGGCTGCTGCGATGGGATGCGTCTTATATGGTCGATACAAGCACAGTGGCTGCTCGGCCTTTCTTCCTGCCACGATGGTGCCAAACCAGACCTTCAACGGCTGCACCGAAACTTTGGTGAAACTCATGGATTCGGTGTGCGAGCGCATCGCCGTCGAGATTACCACTCGGAGACTCCGCTTGGCTGTTCATTTGGTACGACCAAGCAATACAATGTGAGGGACCCCGGTATCCGGAGCAAGGCAATGGTCAAGACGATGACGAAGCTGGGGCCGATGTGAACTCCAGGGCCGCGACACACTCCTTGAGCTTGGTAGCATCTCAGGCATGAGTCATCAGCGAGCTCGCTGGTTGGATCCATAGACATGCCGCTCTGGTGTGGGATGCTGATCGGCCGCCTGGGATCCACGAAAACCCACTCGGTCGTTCTTGGACAAGTATGGTATGAAATGTCCGAGCGAGATGATGTGTTCCGTTGTTTCGCACCGCGCTGTAAGAATTGCCATGGCAACAATCAAGTCTCCATCGGACTGTGCACAGAACGGACGGCCATATGCCGCACCTGGCGAGACCGGCCAGGAGGGTATCGCCCGCCCGGTTTGAAAGTGCAGCAGATATTCGCGGCGGTGGATGTATATCATGATCGACACCGAATCTGAGGGGCGGGCAAATCCCGGGCAGTGAAAGCTACTCATTTCTTCATTGCAGTGCAAACCAGCGATGCGGCTGTGGTGTTGGAAAATGTGGCCATACAAGCGGCCAGGCGACGAATAGCACGAAATCTCATGGGTTGAGTAGCCAATGGCGAACCAAGCACACTCTAAAGAATGAAGGATACACAAAACCCGAGTTGGCTTGGGTCTGGGTGCCCTTGTACAAAACGGCTTGCAGAGTTTCTGATCAAAGCGCACACATTCTCCGTTGGTCTAGACTTGCTGGAGCTCCCGACGAGCCCTGACGGCTTTGGCAAGCGACTGTGCCGAGCAGTAATGATGAAACAGTTTGAGCAAAATGGTACCGGTTGCTTCTTTGAATACCCATTGCTATATCGTACATCCCCGCTGCACATCCCTTACCTCGAGAGCAGTAACGGTCTCGCTCCAGTCGATACAGGCATCCGTAATCGAGACTCCATAGGCCAGGGACTGTGGGCCCTGGGGCGGCCAGGTGATCTTTTGGCTGCCAGCGTTGATATTGGACTCGATCATGACCCCAAAAATAGATGTTTCACCGGCAGCAATTTGAGCGGCCTAGTTCATCGACACAGCAGTCGGAACATCCAAGGGTTCCATCGACGGACCGTCATACAATCTCATTAGAAAACGCCTAGCGATACCATCAAAGGAGCAGACGAAAGCAATACCCTGCATGGCTTGGTCGTTTCGAGTTGCTCCCGAGAGTACCCACCAGACTGCTAACCACCTTGGACTGGTTGCGGTGATCTTTGCAGCTGTTCCCGTGCGAGCAATCGACCATGACTTTGGCTCGACAAGCCTGCTGCTCGAGCTTCGTCCTGGTCTCGCTGATATCCTGCTCCGAGTAGTTGGGCCCATGCTTCGAGCCTCGCAGGATCACATGGCATTGGCTGTTTCCCTATTTATATGAACGATTGCCCACATCAGACTTGATCTATGCACACACCGGCCCCATCTTGGCTCTGTATGCATGCATTTTCGCCAGAGTATCGCACAAGTTGTTGGATGGTATGTGCGATTTCCTGAGCGTGCGAGCCAGACTGCGTGGAGCGTGATCAAGACTTGCACATATCGGCGTACCTTTGTCGATGTGATGGCTGCGAGGCCCTGCTTTGTCACTCCCAGGAATCGGTGCGGATTGGCCGAGCATTTGATTGCATCAACTGCAATGTCAATGTTTCCATCGGTGCTATTCTTGAACCCAACCGGAAACGAGACACCCGAGGCCAGTTCCCGATGCAGTTGGCATTCGGTTGTGCGAGCACCGATAGCTCCCCAAGAGAGCAAGTCGCCGATAAACTGAGGCGATATCGTATCTGAGAGAACGAGCGCGATTGGGAAGGCCGCATGTCAGCACCGGCCTATATGAGTGGAGTGAGGGACAGCAGTATCGTTTTGCGCCGACTTACCCAGGAGCTCACTGGCAGTAGGGACTCCGATATCGTTCTGGCGTCGGAGATGAGCAGTGAGTCACAGAGATGATCGAGACACCACGGCAATAGGCCTTCTCCGCCGAATGCATATCCCTGATTGCCCACACATGACAAGCCTGCCGATCCGTACCAGACTGATAAGCAGACTTCGGGCGATCGACAGCCCCTTGTTGATCTGGAAGCTTCCGTCGATGTAGGGGTCATTGATCAGACCCTTCCAGCCCACTGTCGTTCGGGGCTTCTCAAAGTATGCCCTCATAACGATGACCAAGTCATCACGGAGGTGATCGGACATGTACTTGAGCATGTGTCCTTGAAGGGTTGTAGGAGCAGCGAAATCGGTAAAGGGACTGCGAGAGCAAGACAGAGCCGACAGAGCCTCGAGGATCGGCCGTCCCGAATTGCAGCGAGCGATGTGCCGGGGACAGAGCCGCCTACCATATTCAAGGGCCTCGCTGGGGTTGTGGATCGAGCAGGGACCGACAATGACGAGGAGTCGATCGTCCTGGTCACCGAGGATGCCTGCGATCGCTCTGCGGGTAGCTTGGATAGTTTTCTGGGCCTGGCCAGTCAACGGGTGCTCCATTTGTAGGATCTGGGGCGGAACTAGCGGGAAGTAGTCCGTCACTCGGGTATCGTCGATGGAAGCGTCTTGGGCAAGGACCGACATGGTGTTTGCTGTTGACGGTCGTTCGATGGGCGCAACTTTGAAGTGGGATGGACCGGGAGGAAGAGAAGGCACAGCGTGGGTCGCAGCCAAAGAGATCCTGGCAGAAAGAAAGCGTTGGAGGGACAATGAATCGCTCGGGGCGGGGGTGGGCTTTTGAACCCGCCCGCCAGCACCGCGCGGGAAAGCCAACAAACGCCGCATCCAATGAGTCAGGCGCGGATGCAAGCGCAGCCCTCTGTCTCAGCGACACAAACAGAGTCCTTCAGGCGGCCTACACTTTATTCAGAAAAAAACGGGACACCACAGCCGTTTCCATGAACATGTAGTATGTGCTGTGCTTGCGTCAAGCAAAGCCACAAGAAATAAAACAGATCACTTTGGCAGCCTCCGAGTGAAGACCGCCGGTCGCTCTCCGATCTCCACAATCGACCTGCATACTGCGATCATGTTGCGCGCCGCATTGACGTCGCGATTCCACACTGTCAGGCAGCTGGGATTCTTGCAGCTCTTGACAAAGTGGGAATTCGCAACACTGGGCGCATCGAGTCCTTCCAACCGAACTGGCTCCAGGCACTTGGAGCACACTTGCGAGGTGTTGAACTCGTTCGTCGAGACTACCTTGACGCTTCCATGATGGTGATTGGGACGGCGGCGGTGGTGCTCGAACTGCTCAAAGTACCGAGCAAACCGCTGCCTCCGAGGGCTGGATGCATAGCCCTTGCCTTGCCGCCATGACGCATTGCCAAAGGCGATCACCACATCGGTCCGTATCGGGGCGTGCCTCAGGACGGCCTTGCACATCCTGTCGACGGCCACTTGGCGCCTCTTGTGGCCCGTGAAGCGATGGTGACGGGCCTTCTTGCCAAAGTGGAAGTCGAGCTGCACTCGCAGCTCCGGTCGCAGGACATGGGTGAGATGGACCTTGAAAGCCTCCGAGGACGACACCTTGGGCGAGGGGGTGGTCGACATCCAGGTCTCGATGCTGAGTCGATACTTCATGGTGTTGTGCCACTTGGTGTTGGACGTATGGCCACACATGTGCTGATAGTGACCATTCGAGAATGAGACCACCTCGTCTTGGTGGCCCGGTGCTTGGATGACCGCCGTGAAGATGGAGCCGACTCCAGGATCGATGCCAATCCAAGTGGTCTTGTCGGGGTCTGGGTCGCCGATGTGGGCCTGGATGCGCTGCTCGGCAGTCGGAGGAGGCTCGATGGTCTCGGTGTGATCGGTTCGAGGCAGAAACTTGACGAGACCGATGGTGCATCCAATGCCATCGGTGCTGATCTCGTAGTTGAACAGCTTCTTGTTCACGTCCCGTTCTTGGAAGAGGGAATTACGCAGCTTGAAGCAACTGCGCCAGAGACGATCCTGGTTGTTGACACCGTCATCACCTTCATCCTTGAGCATGTCCCTGGTGAGTCCAAGACGATGTTCGGTGTCAAGGAGATTCCAAAGAGTGACCGTGTCGATCTTGACATACTTGGCCCTTGCAGGGCATAGAGGAACCATCGTGCACACGGCCGGAGGAGTGTCCAGAGCGAGCTGCTTGAGGGCCCACTTGAGTCTGGATGCCAGCTTGTTGATCTTGGACTTGGTGGTGCCGAGCTCCGACTTGGCGTTGGTGAACCTCTTGTCGTCGGAGGGAATGCCTCGGGCAGTGAGCTTGTCCAGCTTGGCCTGGCGCTGCAGCTCGGTGACTCGGAGGGCGGGCATGTCACAGTCGATCCACTTGTGGACATTGTCGACCATCTTGTCTCGGGCGAGGATTCCCACATGGTGTGAGAGGCGATGGAGGGCCCGGAAGCGGTCCTGGTCGTTGCTGTACCGAAACTCGTCCAGGACGTGGCCAAAGTCTGGATAGAGGAACTCGAGATCGGCCTTGGGTGGAGTCTGCCCTGGTTTCTCGAAGAGCTCGAGACAGGCCTCGATGGCTTCGTGCTTGTGCTTGTTGGCTGGGAAGACAGCAGCACAGAAGCGGCGAAGGAGTCGCCAGTAGGCCAGGTCGAGGTGGGTGGTGCAGTTGGTGGCATAGGCATTGACAGCCAGTGTGAGAAGCTGACTGTGAGCACCACCAGGCAGACGAGGGGCCGGAGGCAGGTCTGCGTGCCGAGTGGTCTGATAGTCGCGAAAGGAAGCGACCAGATGCTCGTTGTATTTCTTGGTGTCCCTGGCCATCGAGAGGGCATCGGCCTCGACGATCGTGAAGCATTGGCGGATGAAAGCAGGGGTGGACTTGGAGATGACGGGGACGGGAAGATCCTGCTCGATGCACCGGAGGATGTGCAGGTTGAGCAGCCTGGATGCCTCGAACTGGATCTGGGTCATGGCCTCGACGGTGGCCTGGATCTTGTCGCGGAGAGCGGGATTGAGACAACAGCCATCCATCGTCTGCTTGAAGCAGCTGAACTGAGGGGCCGATGACCTTCCATCCACGAGTGGGACGACGGAGCTCTTGAGGGGCCGGTATTTGGGACAAGCCTTGCTCGAAGCCCGAGAGTGACCTGGGAGCTGGCATGAAGCACAGACAGGACCAGTGGCCGTCGTAGCAGCAGCAGCAGTGCTGCTCGAGGGACCGGGGTCGGTGGTGTCGACATCCATCGACTCGACAGGAAGCTCGGTGGGTGTGGGTGCGGGCACAGGAGGAGGAGTGGGTGGAGTGGACTTGGTTGTGGTGCGTTTGGGCTTGGGTGGCCGAGAGGGGCCGCCCTTGCGCTTCGGAGGCATGAGGGCGGAGGGTGCTGGATGCCTGCCAGTGGTACTGGTCAGAGCAGAGACTTCTCTTTATCGTACAATGGCGCGATGATCAGATCAAGGCGAGATGAGGGAAGAAAGCAGCAGGACGAAGGTGTGGCATTTATACCCGAGAGCAGGAGCCCGTCTGCGCGGGCTGGTTGGGGAAGCGACCTGTTCAAAAATCGCCGAGAGGTTCAAGCCAGGGATTTGAGCGTGAAAATGGCGGCGTGATTGGGGAGCTCAACCCCAAATTGGAGGAACTCAACCCCAAAGAAGTTCTCGATGGGATTGAAGTCGGGCGAGGCAGGTGGGGTGAAGATCACTGACCATCCTCGGCGCTCGATGCAGTCCAGGACAGCCATTGTCTTGTGCATGCTGACATTGTCCATCACAATCACAGAGTCGTCTGGGAAGCTCGCTCGCTCAAAGAACTCGACCATCGAGTGTGTCTTGAATGATGTGGGGATGTACATGCGATGCAGCACACCAGAGTGGTTGATGGCAAATGCAGCCGAGACAGACTTGTGCTTCATGTGATTGCGCTGACGGAGTGGGACGCCCTTCGGCGAGTATCCGTAAAGAGGGAAAATGGATCTCCTGAACCCTGTCTCATCGACAAAAACGAATCGCCGCGGGTCGATGGAGCGGGCCTGGTCCCTGAACTGTGCCACTCGCTCATCCAGTCGCTTGGACTTGTAGAGGTGTGTTGCCCTCTTGTGTGAGAGACCTGCTCGGTGGATGGCAGTGTGGCAGAGTGAGAGTGAAACTTTCCTCTGGAGGATGGACTCGAGCTTGCATCGCAACACAGGACCAGTCTGGAACGGGTCCTGTTCAATCAGGGTGCGAATGACTGGACATGCCTGCTCGAAGAAAGTGGATCTGCGAGCTGGGACCCGGGATGGGTCATCCAGCTTGCATCCTCGGTGCCATCGATGGATGGTGCTCTTGGACACACTGGCGAATGGTCATGGCCAGCGCGCGATAACATTGGGTAACAAAATATTCGATGAATGGTCAAAAACACGGGTGTCCCGTTTTTTATTGGATCGCCTGTAATCTCGGGCGATTCAGTCCCGGACGACAAGCAGGATGCACAAGAGTGATAGCGGCACTGCCAAGGTCCTGCGTGCAGAGCGGATGGGCTGGCGCAGTCTGGACTGGAACAGAAGCGGGTTCCTGAGAATCAGCCATTGACTTGCTCTGTAATCGACGGCAAAAGCGGGCGGATGCATTCGGCCCTGGTGCAGAATCTGTCAGGGGGGTGCGAGATTGGCAAGTGACATCACCCGTGGTCCAATCCCGCTTGCGATGGCGCCGTTCCCTAACTTTGATTGATGCCCCACCAGCGAGTGTCTGCGCTCGGTCGATCACCGGGCAAACTGTGACAGAGGAGCGTGTATGATTTTCGCCTCAAATATATCGATGCTCTGTTGGGCGGAGGCATCACCCGATCCTGCACTTGCCGCACCAAGCATCGCCTCGATACCGGCGCCCGTTCTCGAGGACAGTTGCGCTGATATTCAGTGCCCTTCTCCTTCAGCCCCGAGACCCGCTCACACCGGTTTGACGCCCGACTCAGGCACATCGGAGGCTCCAGCCGTATTCGCATGCAGTGCCAGCTATGTCTCAGCCCAATTTACGGAAGCTTGAGCAAGAAATTATTCCGAGTCCAGCCGAGCGAGACAGGCTGAGTCGGCGACACCCGACATTTCATTCTCCGGGGCCCAAAAAGGCCTCGCCGCTTTCTCCAAACGGACTCAATACCCCCATGGTGGGCACAAGCCCCACAGTTGGCTATGGTGGTGTCGGGCCTGGTCTGGCCCCGAAGCAGTCCCACCAACCCGACAGAAGCCTGCATGGGCAAGAGGAGCTGGTGAACCCAGAATGCAGCAGAATCAAGGCCGACGAGGTGCCGTCCATCTTGCTCAACTCGCTGAACGACCTCCGAACCGAGTTTATGCAGATCAACCAGGCCATCTCGGATACAAACCGCAAGTTCCGTGAATTCGAGGAGATGCTTCGCGGCATCCGCTCAAGTCCGCTCGGACAGCGAACCTTTCTCTCGCCCTCGTCCTCGGTGGGCTCAAACTTGACGGAAGCTAGCCCGGCACCGGCTATACCCAAGGGTACGTTGGTTCAGCGAATCGCATCGCTTGTGTGCCCTCGACACCCCGGTGATTGACCCTGAAGTGAGACGTATGGATGTTTATCGCTCTCATACATCCTGCTCCGATGCAGATTCATCAGGCGGAATCATGAGCGCAAACTCGGTAGTATTTGGATCAAAGGGTAAGCAGGACATGGTAGTGGAACATTATCCGTGGGATGCTCGTGCCGACTGAAGCCAGGGACATCGACTGCAGTCCGGGCGCTTCGTTGACTGACCTCCCGTGCCGATACGCACCGCCTGCATTCCCATCACCCGTCTCGCTAGAGCATATGCATAACTCGCCCAACGACCTGTCAGCATCGCCTTGGCAAGTAAAGTCTCGGTTCAGAGCCTCTGTGGCCTCGAACTTGAGCGCAGTCGGCATCCCGTCTCATGTTTCGATTGGGCCTGTCACGACCTCGGTCGATGGGCACAATATGCTCCCGAACCCGCGCAACTCCATTATTCCGCAACAGCGACGATCGTCTATATCCTCCGTCAAGCTTCCAAGGACGACAAATTATTCGTTTTTTGCCGTTCCAGCATATGAAGACCCTATCAAGAATCTGCACAAGAGCGTCTCCATCAGCCACGCAGACATCACCAACATTGACACATTCGATGTGCCGAATGTCCGCCTGAGCACCCGGTGTCAAATCATACACCCAAACTCTGTCCTGATCCTTTTATGGAAACCCATTATTGCCTGTAAGATTGTCGTACGCTGATGTCTTCATGTATAACAGCCGGCCAGCCAGCCCCACGCACGAGCTCGAGCTCGAGCTCAATACGCCTGCCTTTTTGGTCATACAATCTAACTGCACGATTCAAAGCCGGCGCCAAGCCATGATTCGATTGTGACGAGATGTGCTGACTCAAATTTCATACTTGTGTTGCGATGCGTCATCAGCCTTCCAATTTCTGATTCTGGCTATTGTTTTGCCAATGGTCATATCGTTTCCGGAGCTCAGTCCGTGGACAATTCTGACCGAAGGCGTCACCATCTTGATCCTCTCGATCGATATTGTCATCACCGCCCTCACCATGAAGATATACGACGACGATGAGCGAATCGGCTACATGATCCGGGACGCTTTATATCTGGTTGCGGGTCTCATTGCGGTTCTTCCTTACATGGCCATCCAGTCGCAATACCCTCAGCTGCTGATTCTTCACATGCTTGGTCTACGTACACTTCCGCACAACATCAATACCTCGTATGCCATCCAGGTCGCGCGCAACCGACTCAGCGAACGGCTGGGTTTGAGCGATGGGTTTTGGAACCTCCTTGCACTCTCCTTTGGGCTGATATGTATCCTTCACTGGGAAGCATGTGCTGTCTGGGTTCTTGGAGAGTTCACAAGCTACATTTCGTGGACAAACAACGGGACGCAGATCTTGAACAAGGATCTGTTCGGCAAGTACATTTTTGGATTCTACACTGCCGTTTCCAACACCTTTCCGCTCAGCTACCGGTAAGCATATGCGAAGCAAACAGTGCGGGTGAGAGTGGCTTTGGATAGTCGGTTCCCAGCTCGTGGCCGACTTGCTCACTGCCATGTCTCCAATAGCACTCAGAACACTGCCGAAGAAACCACGTTCATCATGTTTGTGATGGGCTCGACGGTTTTGGTGAGTTCGAGCGAGTCGGGAGGACGGCACCGGGGCATTGGCTCGCGCTGGTATTTTGGACATTGTTTGGACTGCACGCTGTCGGAGAGACCAGAGGAGCCTCTGTATTGCTTTGCTGAGATGAACACTCACACAAAGCATACGCCACCATCAGTATGCCTCGTTTATTGCCACAATCACATCGTTTGTCGGATTCGACGGATCGGGGCGTCTGTTCAAGCAGAAAATGGACGCCGTCAACGAGTATCTGCGGTACAAGCAAGTCCCAGAGAGCATTCGCCAGCGAGTCCGAGACTTTTACATGATCAAGTACCGCGGCCGATATTTCGATGAGGTATCTAGCCCGTATGATTTCGGCTCTCGTTTCGGGAATCTATGTTCCTGGCAAAGACATATTATGGACATGTGAACTGCTGCACTTGCTGGAATTTGATCCGAGCTGCCGATGGGTCAGGATCCCCAGTTTAGCATGCCACACGAAGCTGGACACACGCAGAGAGAACGAACGCACAAACGACTGACGGCGTGCCCTCCAAAACTCAGGATATGCTCTTCCGCGAGCTGAATCCGACAATCACTCGGGATCTCGTCACATGGAACTGCAGCGACCTCATCAACAAAGTTGATTTTCTCCGGAGAAGCGCTGGCGACGGTCGAGACGAGATCTTTCGATGGAAAATTGCACTGGCACTGGTGCCGTGCTACTACGTCAAGGGCGAGGAGGTGTTCCGGGCCGGCGATGTAAGCACATGCGACGGCAGCGGTGGTAGGGATGGCGGATTTGGGCTTGAGCGAAGCATGTTTGTGTGATGCACATTCCGCATGGCGCCCACCGACCGGAGCTAACTTGACGGGGGCTTGTCGCTGTTTAGGAGGGCGATTCGATGTATCTGATTGAGCAAGGACATGTCGTGGTGATCGTAAAGGGCAAGGTCGTCCATGAGGTATACGACGGAGAGTACTTTGGAGGTAGGCTTCTTTGGACGGCAGGTCGTGTGGGCACCGCAGCCTGGACTGGCCGTTTGTCGCGGCGGAAGGATCGCCGCAGCAGGTTCTGACGCTTTTGCTGGGCCTCGCAACGGATCACCACGCAGAGGTTGCCTTGGTGTCGGGTGGGAAGCGGACAGCGACAATCAAGGCGGCCAAGCATTGCATCATGTATCGGTTGTGGAAACACGACTTTATCAAGATCGTGGAGGAGTTTGACGACGTCAAGAAGCGCATCGAGCTGACATACAACGCGCGGCTACAGAGAGTCAAACTGGAGTGTCTCGACGAGGAAGCCGAGAAGACCGAGAGGGCTGAGCGGGGGACTACAGCCTGAGGGCAGCTCGAGAGACACTGGTGCAGCAGCATGCCTGCCCCTGCACAGCTCCTTGCGAGCCAAATACAGGACCGCGGTGTGCAGACCACCCGTGGAGATCGATTCATGGATACGAAATTGCCATGTCGGGTCCCAGCACTCGCCCACTCCCATGCACCCACTCCCATGCACCCAGCACCATGCACCCAGCACCATGCACCCAGCACCATGCACCCAGCACCACTCCCATGCACCCAGCACCATTCCCGCCCCCAGCGCTCGGCTGCATCAGCCCTGGCGCCCGCGGCGCTTCGTTCTGCGCCAACGGCTCGCACCCATGCCCGAAAAGGCAACCGGGCGCACAGCCACATGCCTGCATTTCATCCTCCGCCACAAGGCCCTCGTCTCAGCGCCGCGACAAGCCCCGGCCTTCCCAGCCCACTGTCGTCGTCGGCCAGGATCCGCTGATCGTCTTCCTCCTTCGGTTCCCCGGCCTGCAGCCCAAGCCTCCACTGTGTGCATTTTTTTTGTCCCTTCATCTTCGAGACGATACCATAGAAAAGGCCACCGCCTCTGCTTCGACCACCATGTTTTCTGCTTGGTTCTCATCTTCCCAAGATACGCCCAGAGCCACCATGACCGATGACCACCCCCACCGATCCCGGCTCCAGCTGCGGCGTCCGCCCTCCATGGCCGAGTTTCCGCGACCGCCACCGTCGGCCTTCCTCCGGAGAGAAACCGGTGCCTATTTGGATGGCGCTCTCACCTCTGACGGCGACCGTTTGCCATTTGTCCTGGGATCCATCGCCCTCAGCAGCGTCCCGCAGAGTCACGGTCTCGATCTATGGGGCCCAGAGCCCCGCTCCAACCGCCGTTCCTGCGAGCGCTTCCTGGGCGATGCCGAGGATTGTTACGCGACATCTATGGGCGATGTCGAGGACGTTCCGATCATGGCCAAGTCCAAGATGCTGACCAAGCTCATGGGCGTCGATCTCGCTGAGGTCCTGGACGAAGAGAAGACCACCTTTCGCATCTTCGTTTCGTGTGCTGGATCAGGTTCGTCCGTCGCAGTCCGACGCTGATACTGCTTCGCATCAAGCTGAGTGTAGCATCCCCCGGCCCTGCAATCGCAGCTGCATTCCGAGTGCCACCACGGACACTCCAGCTCCACAAAGGCCCGTGGCTAACCGAGTCGATGTGGCTATCCCTCCGCCAGATACCGAGTGGGAGCGCTCTGTCCTCATGACCGACGTCTATCCATTCGTGCGCCAATTATGCCACCAGATCGGAATGGAGCTCCACGTCATCGATCTGTATGTCTGTGCCAACGCATCCAGAATCAGCGTCGGGCTGGGCGAGCGGGATCCGAACGCGGCTGGATTCTTTGGAAAGACCACTCGATATTCAATCATGGAAGACCATACGACGGACTAATCCACAATCCACGCGTTCGATTCTCTCTCAGACGCTGGGGTGCCGATGACGGTCTCTTCGATGACCATATGCAGGAGGAGTTTTGTCTGAACGAGATCAGCCGATGCTTCCAGCTTTCTGCGGGGCCAGCCTACGTCGCCTTGCTGGGTATGTTGAGAGTGAAGGATGGCCATGAGCAGGGTCAAGCAGGCTAGGCTCGAGACGATCGCATCTCTCTGCTGCCTGCCGTGAGTCGCGAGCGCATCACTGGCGATTCCGGCCGCGGTCGTTCATTTTGGCGCAGCTCGGACGGTGAGCATATCTGACTGTGGCCATCATATGAATGAAGCTGACTCGCGCGAGTTGTGTGAACGGTTTGTCATAGGTGACAAGTGTGGATCTCGCCCTCCACCCCGAACGATCGACGCCGAGGAATTTGAAAACATGCTGATGTATTTGCGCGATGTCGGAGTATCTCCAGACGGAGACCGCCGCGGCGACTACCATCTGCTGATGCAATGGTACATCAAGGATAAAAACTGCCGTCCAGGACGCTATGTCCTGCAGCGAGTCGGGGCGGCACTCAACGTCAACCGGCCTCAGGACTCGCCTGCATCCCCACTGTCGCCTCCGCCGGCCGGTGAGAGGGCGTGGAAAATGGCCCTGGATGAATGGAAGACAGTCTCTCCGCGACTGGTAACGGTTCTGCGCGAGGGTGCGCTGTGTCTTACGGTGCGCGACGAGCGCAAGTACTTTGTTTCATCGCTCGAGAAGGAGATCTTCAAGGCGGCGTTTCATTCCCTCGATGGACTGGAGAACATGGAGGAAGAAGATGTCGAGAAGGAAATCTCCAAGCGCTTCTTTTGCTTCCAGTAAGTCATAAGCTGTATTGACAAAGTATCCCTTGATGCCAATGGGTCGGCCGCAAACGAAACGGTGCTCCTTGTTGGGATGTGGGATGTGATCCTGGGCCCGCGATTCGGGCATTTGCATGCTCTCCGAGCACTGGTTCGTGCTTGACCAGAGATTCGAGCATCCCTGCTTAGGCACCTATTCATTCCGCTCCATGTATGTCCAGGCGCTCCCTCTCTGGCTTCGACAGCCCTCTCTTCAGCCATCCCGTCGTCATGAATACGTACTTTGACACCAAGTTGCGAGGCAACAGCCGCGACATGATCATCGACGAGGAAGCTCGCCAGCGCATCTACGATCTTCGAGAGCGCGTTCCCTTCACATCAACGTACACCACTCACCTGCGTCTCGACGACGTCGGATTCGATCCACGCACCGACCCGGAGCAAGCCATCTACCTGCGAACCTTCTGCGACGAGCTATCCGAGCTTTTGTGCACCACCATCATCCAGCGGCACCAACTGATGGGACAGCGCCAGCTCTTATTGAACGACCCGCTCATTGCCGAGGTGGCCGTCCACCGGTCATATGCAACCGAGCTCTGTGCATCGTACATTGGCGTTGGAGCTTCGAATGTTGATACCGTGGGGCAGCATATATCCGAGAGCACAACAAACACGCCCCTGTGGGTTTATGGTGAGCGCTTTCACCTTCACTCTCACTTTCGCTCCTCATCCTGGCTCAGTGCAGAGAGTCACTGGCCCTCAAGTCGGTCATCGGAATCTGCGAAGCGTACCCAGCTCCGACAAAATTGCTCACTCGACCTTGGTTCCTTCTAAAACAGGTCCCGATGGATTCGAAACGGCTTGCTTTGTTGCAAAATGCATCCACGACATCTCTCTGACCTCCAATCCAGCCCCGCTCATCGTTTATCGATTCGGCGGACTCACCATGTCGAGCCGAACGCTCCCTCTACTTCTCCGCTCCATATGCTCACAAATACGCATGTGCAACAGCGATGACAGCACCGGCCTTCCAGACAGCCTAGAAGATCTCAGCGAAGCTTTTGTCGAGTGTCTAAAGACAGCTACAGAGGAGCGGCCAATCGTCATTGTCGTCGGCTGCCTTGACAACGTGTATGCTACGAACCAAGACCAAGCGCGCGTTTGGATCCCCAAGACTCTACCACCACATGCAACGCTCATTCTAAGTCAGGCCAGCTCGGATCGAAAAGGAAAAGCTGCGACGCAGACGGCGGAGGGCAAGAGTCTCCTCGTCGATTTCGACACCGATGCCATCATTGGGTATCTTAAGGACCAGTCCGGGCGAGACTTGACCGACGAGCAAGTCGAGCTGTTGCGAAAGCACTGCCAAACGAACACGACGGGACAATACATCCGAGGAATCTGGGAGATCGCTAGCCAGTGGCAGTCGAACCAACGGTCTGCCGATCTTGAGCCGACACTGCCCGCCTCCGCATCGAATCTCATGGGCGATATCTTGCGGCGCATGGAAGACAAGTATGGATCGACATTTGTGATGCGCACGCTGTCCTATCTTGCGGTCGCGAAACGAGGTCTCTCTGTCATCGAGCTCGAGGACCTACTGTCGTGTGACGATCGGGTGCTGAACGACGTCTACAAGGTAGGTAGAGCGGATTCCCTCGTGCACATACATGCTAGAAGAGGCCATTCACTGCGATGCCTGCAGCGATTGGCGCCACTGCGCTTTCAGCGGGGGACAGATCGTGGCAGCGTTTTTTGTGCTGACACTCGCAAATGCTACCGCAGAACTCATTCCCGCGGGTCTGCCGTATCCCGCAAGTGATACTCTTCCGGTTTATTAGCGACATGGAGCCGTGAGTATCAGTCGGATGCCGCTGTGCAGTTGATAGCGTGTGCTGCAGTTTGGGACTCGATGGATGTGCTTATCGCCAACAAGTGCGCTGTGTGGAAAGCGGATCTCCTCGCCCTGCTTTGCATTCGTTGCGGCAGTTTCCGCCAACGGTGCCAACCGAAACACATAGTATCCTTCACACTCACGGCCTTGCTCTGATACGGCACTGATTCCGAATTGTGTCGACCACAGATACTTCATCCAGCGAATGTTTGACCGCACCCGAGTCCTGTGCATCCGCGACCCAGAGTTCCACTCGTTTGTGGCACATCGCTATCTCACGGAAGGGCGCCAGATCATGGTCTGCCGGAGACTCGTGGCATACTTTGAAGGGACATGGTGCACACAGGCCAAGCCCTACGAAGACGCCTTTGGTCGAGTGCGTGATGTCCGATGGAGACATCTTGCCGATCAGCCGTTCATCTACTCGGTTCGCAACAGCCTTATCAACCACCGCAAGATGAGTAACTTGGTTGGCCTCCAGCTTGCCTCGGGGCGGTACAGAGATGCCGTCGTCACCCTCGATCACGCGGATTTCAAGATGGCGGTCAAGTATGTTGACCAAGACGTGCGGCTGCTGCTTGCCGAGCACACATGCAAGATCGGGCTTGCGTTCAAGTCTGGAAGCAACGGCCTCGATCAGGACGTGGGCCGATCCAAAGCGATGATCCAGAAGAGCGCCGCCGATGGATGTGCGCGTGCCCAGATCGAGCTCGGCCTGGATCTGGCTCGCGACGGATCTGAGGCGGCCAAGGAGCAGGCGCGGAAGTGGCTGGCCGAATCCGAGCGACACCCCCGCTCACCGCTGGAGTACTACCTGACAGCCAAACTTCTCAAGATGCTTGCGGCCGAAGGCGACCAAGACCAAAGCGTAATCCAGCGCTACCTCGAACTTGCAGCAAAAGGTGGAAGCGTCGAAGCCCAGCTTCAGCTGGCCTCAAACTACACCCACGGACTCGATGGCTGCTCGATTGACTCCAAGTTGGCGCTGCAGTACTACCTTATGGCTGGCAAGCAAGGCGATAGCAACGCACAGTACCAAGTTGGATGCATGTATCGATGGGGCATGGGTGTCGACAAAGACGAAGCCGAGGGTGTCCACTGGTTCGAAATGGCGGCGAAGGGCGGGTCCGCTGTGGCCTGTGAGGCGCTCGGAACCTGCTACGCCAGCGGCAAGGGCACCGACGCCGATCCCAGCAAGGCAATGGAGTACTACCAAACGGCAATCCGAAACGGACACTCGCTCTCTAAGCAGGCCATCCAGAAGATGGCCGAGTGCTGCGAAGCCCTGTCGTCCCAGCTCCGAGCCCGTCTGGTCCAGCTGGAGAGCGAAGAGCATGCTGAGGCTGTCGCGGCGTCGGCCGAGTCGATCAATAATGGCCACAAGTCCACCAAGGGCGACAAGGCCGCCAAACCTGCCGCCGGCCTGCAAATCGTCACCGCCGGACAGACTGGTGGGGAGCATGCCGCCGAAGCTACCGCAACTGTGCTTGCTGAGGTCACATCCGGCCAGAAATCCGAGGCCGATCCGGCGATGGTGAACGGCAAGCCCACGGAAGCTCCAACCGGCATCCCGGCAGATGAAGTTCGTGATGCTCCCGCCGACGAGGCCGAAAAGGCGGACGGAGAAGCGACCGATGCTCCGAACAGCCAAACCAACGGACACTTGCCGGTCCAAGATGCGCTCATCACCGAGTCCGAGCCATCCTCCGCCAGCGCATAAGGAGCGTCCCGGGCACTGCCTCGAGCCGGCATATACTCCACGCCTGCATGTCCAACCCAAAACTCAGGAGGCCATAGTCGCCATTCTAACAGACATCACTGTATATCAGCTCAATAGAGCCCAACGAAACAGACTCGCCCATTTCATCCAAGCCGTTAGTGGCAGCGTGACGATCGCAGGGCGAGTCGGGCCGAGCGAGTGTACAGAGAGGGACAGATGGATGCGATGGATGTGATGGATGCGATGGATGCAATGAAGATGCAGCTAGGAACATGATCTCGGTATGTCAGTCGATCCTTGCCACAGGAGATCGATCAGATGCATTCAAGACGATGCTCCCAGACCTGAATCAAAAAACGACTGCCAACCGGGACTGGAAGCAATCGCGCGACCGCAAGCCCTGATGCCAGAGAAAAAGGGAGCAACTGTATTTGATCCATGGCTTCAAGAACAGGAGGGTTGTGCTCAATGCATAGACTCGAGGACATGCCGGCCTCTGCGTTGTGGAGGCAAGATCGATGGGGTGTGTCAAGGACAGGGAAGAGGACAAAAGGTCGAGGGGGTGATATCGAAGCACTGGTGTGGCGAGCAGAGATTACGGCTCGCGCTTTTAGGCAGAGCCCTGCTTGGCCATCAGCTCCAGAATGTGCTTGTTGAAGACATGGTCCTCGACCTTGAACAACGGGTTGCCGTGCAGTGTCTCGGCTCCGCTGATGGTTTTGATGCACTGGTGGCACGAGCCCGAGGGGTTGGTGAGCAAAAGTCAGGCTCGATGGAAGACACGACCGGCGGAGGCAAGATCGACACGAGGCCGAGCTGGAGCCACATGCGAGCAGTGCAAGCATCCGAAGGAGAATGAAGGAGATGGACGCGGTTACCTTTGAGGAGCCACACCAGCATGGGAAAGCCTGGGACATGCTCCATTCCGAGCTGGATGGCATTGAGGAGTCGGTGGACGGGCCAGTTGGACAGCCGGGTGAACGGGAGACATGAGTCAGCGCCGCGAATAGCCACGAGGATCGGGACCCAACGATGCGACCAGCAGCAACAGGACAGGGAGCCGCAGGGTACGATCCAAAACGCACCTGGGGTAAAAGAAGGTCACATCGTCGCCGGCGCGGATGTCCTTCAGGGCAACGACTTGCATGGCCGAGGTGTTGACGTGGACGGAGGGGTCGCAGGAGTGGTTCTGCATCAGCAGGAGAGAAAGTGAGAGCGAGAGAAAGGGAGGGCGAGAGAAAGGGAGAGCGAGAGAAAGGGAGAGCGAGAGAAAGGGAGAAAGTAAGAATAGGAGGCGGCGGCTATTTGAGAATGGCTGGACGATCGAGAGCAGCGAAAGAACGTAGCATGCGGGCACCCACAGCAATCGATCATGCCGCCGACGTACCATGTAGAGGAGCTCCGAGTTCAGCTCGATGTGCTCGTTTTCGGAGATCTGCATTCCAGGCCAAGCCAGCAGGGTCAGTGTCACAGCCAAACAGTCACGGATGTGGGCATAGAGAGCGGTATCCGCATAGACAGACGGCCTGCGCTCAAGCAACAACGCTCAAGGGGATTTCGTGCAGTGGCCGGGCCAAGCGAGGCTGGTAACTTGCCTGCACAGAGGACCAGCGCTTCTCGACGCCATAGGTGATGCCCTCGATAGGAGCGACGACATCGCCCTTTTGGAAATCTCTCACGGCAACGAGCTTGGAGTTGAAGTCCCCGGCAACATCGAGGATCTTGACACGGTCCTGGTACTTGATGCTGCGATCCAAGTCCAAGCCGGATAGGTGCGATTGCGACGAACAGGACAGGCAAAGTCAACCCAGAACGGGTCACGTCAGCAACAGCGTCGAACCGGGCAACCGCAGATGCCGCTGGTAGATGCCCTCTGCAGATCACGCCGGGACAAATGCCGATGGACAGAAGGCCGCAAGAGCGATCCGGGCAGGGGCAAAGGATACGAACGTGATGGCGGGTCGTTCCGACGAGCTGGACGAGACAGTGGTCGAGGACATGGCGGCGGCAACAGAGACGTGGGATCGGAGGACGAGAGAGCGAGCAAGGTGGACCGCAGATCGCAAGTGGAAGATGAAAAATAGCAGACGGCGGATTGCAGACGGCAGATTGCAGACGGCAGATTGCAGATGGCAGATTGCAGATGGCAGAGGTCCCATCGCCTCTTTGCCTGGCGTGGGCCTTGTTCGGCGATACCAGAGAACCACAAGGCCGCCCGCACAAGGCCGTGCATTCTGCTGTGTCTGTGTCTGTGTCGGTCTGTGTTTGTTGGTATGTTTCGCCTCCATCCAGCCCAGGACAAACACAGACAGGTCTGCCTCGAGTCTTGAGATTGGCATCTGCATCTGCATTGGCACTGCATCTGCATCTGCATATGCATCTGCACTGGCATTGGCCTCCCGGGTAAATGCCAGCACCAAGTTGCTGCGTTGCTCCTGCTTGCATGTGATTGTCGCCCCGTGCCTCGTGCCATGGTCGTTGCTGGCGCTGTCGTCATGGACCTGTCTGCCGTCCATGGTCCCGGCCGACAAGCATGACGACAACCAGCAAGCCCCGAGCATCACGAAAGCTGTTGGTGTATTCGTAGCCTCGCGAGCGACTTGCATCGCAGTCGCATCAAGCACCCTCCTCGTTACCCTCCATCGGCGGCTTGCCCACCAGTCGCATCATCTCGGCATAGGCTGCCGTGTGCTTGCCCTGCTCGTCCCGTACAATAATAGCCTCGACAATTCCTTCATCCGGCATCGGCTCGGCATCGGCCTCCATCCTCCATCGAGTGCAGAACACGCAGAACAGCGGAGCCATCTTGCCTATCCGTCCGTAAAAGTCCCATCGCTCCAGAACCACCAGGCCAGCCGCCTGCAAAGCCTTGATCGTTCGCTCCGTTTCCAGCGCCGTCTGGCAGACCACGAAGCGGGAGAGTCGGCCGGGAGCAAGCACCCTCACCGCAGCTTGGGCATAGGTCTCGATTCCGCCCCGTAGCTCAAATGCGCACATGCCCCGGCCTTGGTTGCTCGGCAGCGCTCCGTTCGATGCCGGAAAGTACGGCGGCGTTCCCGTCACCAGCTGGAAGACGGGCCCCTCGGGAACCAGTGCTATGGGGCCGGAGCGAGGAGCCAAAGCAATGTCACCCAGGTCCCCATGCCGAACACTAACCCGGTGCTCGACGCCGTTGAGCCATAGCGAGCGGGAAGCCAGCCGAACATGGATCGATTGGGCTTCGATGCCGAGGCTCTGAACCAGGGTGTCGTGGAACTTCCATGCAATCCACATCAGCACGCTCCCGAGCCCGCATCCCAGATCGATGTGATGGGTCAAGGCAAACGGATGCTTCTTGCTCAGGCTGTTCATGTGCATCATTGCAACGGCAGCGGTGGCGAGATCGTCGGTGGTGTATCGGTGTCCGTTGGTGATCTGGTAGATACCCCAGTGGCCTGCAAACGAGCACAGCATCTAGAACACCGTTCCATCGAATGGCGGCACACAAGAGACAACAACCATCTCCGCATCAGCATGGCCTCGCAGACTCCATGATGCCGGCTGGCGAGAGAATTGCCGATCCGTCGCCAATGTAGATACGGTACCTCGCCTTCTTGCGGTGCAGCTTCAGGATCCATCAAGCTCCGCGAGGCTGGGGGGCCTGGGCGTACGGACTCTGGCCAAGATCGCTTGAATGGTCGCACTTGGGCTGATTTGGAATCTGTCTGGTTCGGAGGAGCAGCATCGACAATCCCTTTGCCGCTGCAGACTCGACATACGGCCTCGATCGTACTTGATTCTGAGGCCGATGTTGGCGCCGATGTTGGTGCCGATGCTGCCTGGCTCGGAAGCTGTGTCGTCCCGATCCTTTGGACAGGCTCTCCAGCGGCCACGGCTGAATCTGGTGGCCTCGGTGTCTTGCTTCGTTTGGTGCCCAGGAGCTTCTGTTGGATCACGCCCTTGCCGCGGCATTTCCAGCACTGTGGCCGGGATCGCTGGGAGCCTTGGTCGACTTTGCTCGCTGGCGCTGCCTCGCTGTATACCAAGCACTCGGCTGAGAGGGCCGATGAGACGAGCGGCGGGTCCGTGGCCGCCGGTGCTGACGATGGAGCGGGGCCGGTGCAGGAGTGGTCTGCCATTGCGGTGGGTCGCTCGATAGCCAGCTGCGGGTTGGCGATGCGATCGTTCGCCCGAGAGCGAGACAGCAACCAGGCCAAGATCACGGGCTTGTTGGCGGCGTCGCACAGACACAGCCACAGCCGGTTCGAGCCAGTCCTGCCCTCCTGCTTGACTTTGTTGCTCTTGCGCCAGCATCTCCTGGCCAAAGGCGACAGAAAGCTCGCAGCCCAAGAGCGCATCCAGCACCGCCGGGCCCGCTCGCCAGTCTCTGAAAGGCACGAACGGCTACAGCCTGCACACCCGCCGCCTGTCTCTCCCTTCAAGCTGCCGCCCGGCAAAGTCGACTCGTCGTGGCCCATCCACCAGCCTCGACACTCGCCCATTCACTGCCATAGCGTACCCTTGCTCGTCATCCCCGAGAGACTGGAGCGTGCGCCAACGATGAGCCCGACCCGGCCCGCACAGGATGCTGCCGATCGAGAGGCTCACGAGCTGTTCAAGAAGCACTCGGTTCTGGAGCTGCGGTCGATCGAAGCCCGGATGAAGTAAGCCAGATTGGTGGCCTGGATCTCTCAGCCGTGTCGAGCTGTACCGTCGACTCGATGCAGCAGAATACAGGCCTTGAAGCGATCGGACCAAGCGCACACATTCTCTGTTGGCCGCATAAGATGGGCTTCCGTCTTGCTGATCCCCTAACCTTGTCGCCATGCCGCCATGCCCAGGGTCGACATTGAGAAGAAGGGCCAAGAGCTGCGAGTCATGGTCGGGTAAGCGGCGTGCAGGATGGTCTTGGCGCAAAGTGGATGGCCCAAATCCATCCGATTTGCGGGTCTGCGAATTTGAGGATCAGCCGGATTGGCACTGGAATGCGGCATGCTGAACGGTCGCCATGTCGCGGTGCATCTTCCAACAGCGAGCGCTACCGCGACCTGATCGAGGCCGCAGACTCGATCCAGGATATGAGCCGATCGGCAGAGAAGCTCAAGAGCCTTTTTGAACGGATCGATGGGGCATGCGATGCACACGGGCTTCAGCAAGCGGTCGAGGCGAAGGCCCGCCCCGCAAAGACCCCCGAAGAAGGTGAGGCATTCACCCCGCCGGCCATTCCAGGTCTCTTGTGGGCCGGTTGGCTCCAAGCCGGGCCGAGCAGACAGACTTGCTGACCTGCCTCCGATGGCATATCCACAGTCGAGCAGAAACGTGTTATCTATACCGTCGCGGCTCAGGTCAAGCTGCTTGTCGACACTCCTGAGCAGGTAATGTGAGAACTTGTGACTGCAACGACTCCGAGTCGAGTGGCAGCGTTGGTGCGCTTGAATCGGAGGAGTGTACCACTACAATCACCCCAGCGGTATCGCTGCACATGAGTTTGCGAAACATGTCCACGCATCGATTGACTCTGCCGGCTGTGGTGCCCAACAGATATGGCACGCCCTCGAGAATCACCAGTACTTGCGCGCCGGCCGGCTCTTTACTATCGCCAAGGAAGTGCACAAGAAGCTCCAATCGAGTCCCGAAGCTGCCCAAGTCAAACTGACGGTATGGAGAAGAGTTATTACACGGGAGGCAGGCCGCTAGGCATGCATCCCATAGCTCGCTGCAGACAGCTGTGCCCGACTTTTGATCCTCGCAGACTTGGGACACCGTCATGACGGATCTCTGACTTTCTACTCTCTCGCCACCAGGGCACATTCCCGGTCGTGCAGCGCCAGTGGGACGCCATTCTCAATCTCCGCCCCCAGATTGTGCAAAAGTGTACCCAGGCCCTCAAGGACATCACCGCCAGAACCCAGGTAAGCTACAGCAGGATTGCATTTATCTGCATGGCAACATCCGCAGGTCGATCGAATCTGATGCGCTACACGTATTGAGCTCGGCAATCGGCGGGACCCTCGAACACTTCGAAGCCCGGCCTCCATGACTCATATATCGGCCACGGCATTGTTTTTAGATCGTCGTCGACTGCCTGTGCACGATCATGCTTCTGAATCACACCAGCATCAAAGAAACCCTGCATCAGTTCTTGGCCCTGCGCGCTGAGGTGATCCTGGGCGCCGTTGGGAAATACGAAAGCTCGACCCAGTCGGTCTCGGACCATGTCATCGCTGCCGTCAGGGCCATCGAGGCAACACTTGGCCAAGTCGTGGATATTTTCATGGCATCGTCATCGCCACTTGTGCCTCCGTCGCCATTGACGCCAGCCATCTCCCCGTTGTTGCTCAAGTCCCCGGCGGCCCTCTCGCTCCTCGAAACCAACATCCTGATGCTCCAGCGAAAGCTGGCGCGGGATGACTCGTTAAGCCAAACGAGCATATCGGCGCTGTTCTCCGAAAAGACCAACATCCACATGGTCTTTCGGCATCTTCCGCAATCCATCCAGACACACACGCCCCTGCTGAACTACGGAACATCCTCGGGCGAACTTCGCGAAGACCAAATTCGTGAGATTGTGCAAAGATGGATCGCTGCGCTCACCCAGAGCCTTGCCGGGCCCCTCTGTCAGCTGTTGGGTTTTGTTGAATCCGCCACAAATCTGGCCATTGCGCGCGGCAACGTCTTGTCACTGATGCAAGAAATCGAAGCCCCTGCCGATGTTGGCTCTGGCTCTGGCTCTGGCTTCGAGACGCCGCTACCTGTGTTGAGTAGCAAGCCCAGAAAGGAAAAGAGTGCGCCAAAGGCACACCGCTGGAGAGAGGTAAGATGAGCTGGGAAGTAGGGTCCTCCCAACCCCAGCATACTGGCGACAGACGCCACTTGGAGCGATCGTGTTTGACGCTTGTCCTACACCAGCATCGCCGGCCCCACACCAGCATTGCCGGCCCCACACCAGCATTGCCGGCCCCACACCGGCCCACAGCGTCCTCGGATCGATACCAACGAACAAGTTTTCCTTATCCGTGCCACAGATCTGTACGAGACTCATGTCCGAGTCCTTCTCGGTCTGGAGCGACATCTTGCGCGCCCCCTTCCAAGCACGAGCCAAGAATCTCATATCGAACTCGTTCCAAATTCTTGGAGACCAGCCCGGACTTCTCCTCGTGCCACGGCTGGAGTTTCTGGCAGATAAATATGCTGCAGGTAAGTACACAACCCTGGGTGGGGAGACACTTCCCTCGAATCAGCCGTCTGTGGCCCAATGTTGGCTTCACTTGCTGCAGCAAAGGGGCATCCGACCATTGCAAACATCGAAAGCACGGCGCCAGCATTCTCACACTCGCCCGCGCTCGCACACTTCTCTCTCCACAAACTAGAGCGGGATGTCGGCAGGTTCATATGGCACTCCCAAGAGGAGACGGCTGCTGCATCGTTGGCTGGACTGTCCTCGGCGCCGGATAAGAGCACGACGACCTCGCTTGGAATCACAGTGTGCCAGCCTGAAACAGGCTCCCTTACGTTCATGGCGACTGAGTTTGTCGAGACCCTGAGCCGGATCCGCCTCGATGTGACTCCGCTCGTGACCCTGGCAGTCCAAGGTGATTCCGCGACCGCTTTGTCGTCAAAGCAGCCATCCCCATCGACACGCCGCCCGGCGGTGAGCCTCAAATCGGATCTTGCGCCCAAAACGATGCAGGAGCTTTCCAGGTTGGTAGCTTTGCTCGTGTGGATGTGAATGCGGATGCAAATGCAGATGCAGCAGCGATCTTGCGAGCAGGCAATATTATTCAGTCGTCACTGCCACACACACCCTCACGACTCGGCGATGCTGCGGCTGTTCTTACTGATGCTGCCCTGCTCTAGTGACACGAATGAATTAGCCGCCGCCTACCACAAGGCACTTTCCGGAGCCATCCATACCTACCACGACCAGCTGCTCGCCCTGGTTCAGCGCGAGCCAGAGACAAGGATTGGAGATGAGTCCAAGGCCGCTCTCCGCATCGATCAGGACCTGTTTGTTGCTCGCACAGCAAGGACCATCGCTCTAAAGTCCGAGCAGATTGCAAGCATTCTTGTGATCGAGACGCCGGCTGAGTCAGCCGAAGAGATCCATCTTCAGCCACGAAGGCAACTGAGCCTCACGGATGCTGGAAAGCCCAAGTTGGAGTACAGTAAGTCACTGTTTCGGTGGATGGATACAAGTCTTGGCCATCCAGACTGCTTGACGAGGAGAGTGTCTCTGCCGCACCTTTGGTGCTGCCGTAGCGCCGCTGTAGCACTAACTCGTGCCCGTTTTCTCTGTGGTGCATGTTACTGCGGCTATAGATTTCCAGTTGGCTTTGATCCACGAGCTCATGATGGATGTATACACCCAGAGCCACCGCGAGTGGTTGGCGGCCACCAGCGCCAAGTGGAAGCGAACGCTCCAGGACGGCATCGCAAAGAATGACTGGCTCAATGGGATCCGTTTTGCTGAGCTGTGGGAAAGTAGGTGTCGCCGCGGCGCATTTGTCTCGTGGGCTACATTTGCCTTGCTCCTGTATCGCGTCCAGTCGATAGGTGCGTGCTGATACAACTCTGCGTCGTTGCTGCTTCCAGGCGTCTCGGTCGAAACCACAACCGATCAAGGCGAGTCAGTGCAGGAGTCAATCGTTGCTCCCTGCCATCCGTCGGCGTTTTTGGTCCAGGGTCTTTTCGAACTGGCTCGCGAAATCAACCGCGTGGCTGCTTATACGCTGGAGAAGGCAAGTTGGACCAAGGACAGAAGCAGCTTGCCATTTGGATGCAGTCCGCCGCTCTGTCTGCTCTGTGCAAGGTGTCCGGCCATGAGTGAATGCTGACACAGGCTGGCCACTCTCTGACAACAGAGCATCATCCAGCAACTTCTGACTGCCCTCGCGACCAGCACCGTCGAGGTCTACAAGTATGCGGCCGAGAACTACAGCTGGCTGACCTCAACTCACCAACGATCCGATAGCTCGTTGCCGCCCGCTTCCCAGGCGAGCGCTGTCATCTCGCATGCTGGTGCCCTCCAGATTCTGTTTGACTTCCAGCTCATCTTCAAGATTCTGGCGAGCAGCGACTCCTCGCTTTCCCAAAGTAACAGCGTCGGCAGCGCAGTCCAAGCTTTGCTGAGAGAAAAGGTATGCGCCTGTCCATGCCACACCGCCAAGGCTTTGTGGCAACTCCCCAACGCGCTTTCGGCTTGCACCGAGCAGAGCGGCAGCTGACCCATTTCCGCTACTGCTGCATGCCGACTCCAGATCGACCCCATCGACCTGCTGCTCGTCGATCCGCACATTCGCTCCAACGTCGACCGGTTCTATGCGAGATCGGCCGTTCTACTTGGCTCGATCACATCGCTAGGCAAAGCAGTGGCAGATCAGTAAGTTGCTCCAACAGTCGATTCGGATCGCTGTGCTGCTGTGCTTGGATCAGGCAAAGACATTGCTATTTTGAGCACATGGTAGATTCCGGGTGAATGTGCTTTGGCTGTGCTTCGGCTGTGTCGCACTACTGGATTACCGTCGTGTCTGCATTATGGTAACGCCACAGCCATCGCTACCCTTCCACTTATCCAGCCGCAAGACACCCTCGGTCCAGGAACTGCACAGCGTCATTCCAGTCGCAAACCAAACCCCGCGCTTTACCCTGTTGCCCATCGGGATGTCAAATGCCGGAAGCCGAATAGATCTGGACAAAGTCGGTGCATCTAAGAATGACACCCAGCACAGCAAAGACGTCGGCGGTCCTGGAACGATACCTCTCCCGCGCACAAAACCGAAATGCACGATCCAGCTGCACAGAATGCCAGCCTCGCAAATTCCGGAGAGCCATGTCTCCTGGGGCGACCACAGCCGGCCGCTCACTGGGGCGGAAGCGAATCCCACATGGTCCCTGGGCATCTCGAATGCTCTTGGACAGGGCCAAGTTTCGCAGCAGGCCCAGAAAGCTACCGAGCTGCTCATGAATGTCGGTAACTTCCTGTGGACGGGTGTGAATCCCAACACACCCACCGGAGGCGCCGGAGCAGCCGCATCGCCGACAATGCGGAGAAAGAAGTAGCACTTTCGGCGCTTCCGCATCAGCACATCCGTGGCGGTCAACTGGAAACACCGCGACCAACCCAACCCGACTCTGTCCTGAGCCCCTCCTTACGGCTGCAGGATTTAACAGGGCTTCGGGGCGGAATCGAATTGACGTCCAGCGTAGCTGCTGCTTTCATCGCCGTTGGGGTAGATCTGCACAGAACGAAGCGGAGCACTCTGCTCTCATACCAATCGACCAGACCTTTACGGGCCATGAATACACCCATTTCCTTCAACGACCGCCCAATGCTCTGCATCGATTCACCGCATTGTACCAAGCTGTGTGTGAGCGGTTATTGCTGCAGAGAGAGCATGTATTCACAAATAGCCAGACTTCAGCAGAACAGGATTCGCAGGCTCAGTTTTCTCTTCCTCATCCGGTAGCGCCACATAGAGCGAAGGAAGGACGGGAGGGACGCTGTGGATGTTGCTCGAGACGCTCTCGGCTTGCCTGAGCGCATTCGAGAACTCAGGCACAGCCCGGAGGGGGCGATTCAGAGTCGCGCGGCTGGTGCTGCCAAGCGGGCCTGGAGCGATGGCATTGACCCTCGAGGTGCTCATGCTGAGCGATCGCTGCAACCCGGCTCCGTTGTTCAAAGACATTGCACTCAGCGTCTTGTAGATCGAGACGCTAAAGTTTGGCTTTTGCACCTCGAACGGCGATATCAGCACTAGCGCTTTAGCAGCTCGCTCGCGCTCCTTGATCAAGGCGGACGGGCTCAAGTCACCGGCACCTGGTTCAGTATCGGCGGCAGCCTCGACGTTGGTCCGGTTGCGTAGCTCTCGCGCCCGCATGGCTGCGATTCGCATCATCACCATCGCCGTCGATATCCCGATTGATCCATCCTCAACGGCAGTGAGCAGTCGCCCCGAGCCTGGCAGCATCAGGCTCAGATCCAACGGAGGCCAGTCGCCCAGCCGGAATCGATAGATGAAATACGAAAAGTAGACCAAAAACAGGCCCTGGATGATGCTCTCGCGAATGACGGTCGAGAACGAAGTGATGACGTCCATGATCTGATCCGTGATGGCGAGGATGATATGGAGAAAGATCAGCGTGCGGGTGTGCATCAGAAGCTGGAACTTGAAGTGATATGGGTTGGGCTGTGTGCGGCTGGGATACCCGCCGGTCTGGGATAGCGACGGGATAAGGAAGAGAGACGGCAGTTAGAGAGCGATGGTGGCTGAGGCCGCCGAAAGGATCATCGCCCCTTTGACGTCAGTACGATCTCTGTCAGAGCCTCGGCGATTCCCGAGCCAGCAGCTCATGCAGAGAGTCAGCCGAAGGACCTACATCCAGAAGAAGTGCATACGACGCCGCCTTGGAAAGATTAGCCTCGATAGTGTTGAAAAGCAGCCGCGCCATGACGCAGTATAGAAATATGAGGGTAGCCTGGCGAGCAAGCGGCGCACGCAGCCGTTGGGGCATATGAGCAGATCTTGTCAGTGTTGGTGGGTATCCGAGCCCGTCGATGCTGGTGCTGAGAGCATCGGCGAGACATTGCACGGCAGCGTATTTCTGTCAACGATGCGGTTCCCACGGCGATCTGAGCGCCAGAGGCCCGCGAGCTGCCAATGGCTTACGCTATAAAAGCGGCCGTAGCTGATGGTTGCAACTCCAATGGTCGTCAACCCGATGCCAATAACTGCCCGTCAACGAATGACCCATGCCCGGACCTGTTAGCCCATCCGAATCCAGTCCTCGCATGCGAGAGGAGCCGTATGTGGTAGCGAAGGGCTGCGAATACTCAACAGATCGCCATTTTCTTCTCGGCACTGGTGAGCCTTGCCCGGGTGATCCCATATCCCTTCGAAAGCAGAATCTCGATGACAATCATGAATGCTTGATGGGCATAGTCGCCCGCGCTGCATATGAGCATGGTGTATCCTTGGTGCGGAGCAAACCCAGGAGATTATCGAGGCGACAACCGAGACACAACCACAGATATGTAGATTCAGCCCGAAGCATCAGACGCCCGCGTGTGGTGATATACAGCCTCCTTTCCAGCCGCATTGCAGACGAGGCATCTCGATCCTTGCTCAGTCCCCAAATGCGCGCATATGTCTGCCTCGAACCAGCTTCTGTCTCTAGATGGAGCCACAGCGGCCTCAGCCCCGCTCCCTGTCAAAGCCATGTCCGTGCAATGTTACCGTTGTTGAGCTTCCCGACGGCTGCCCCAAAATATACCACCATGAGCAAAGTCTTGCCCATGATGAGATAGCCGACGAGGCTGTGGATGTGAATATGCACATAGCTGAAGCGGTACGCGTTGGAGAGGTACCATGCCGAGAGCAGGCCATAGGCGAGCGAAACCGAGCCATAGATATATGACAGGGACAGCAGATCGCTCTCGCTCGAGTTCAAAATGGCATCAAAGTCGGACATTCAGTGCTCGTCTTCCTTGGCGCTTTCGAGCCCAGATAGACCAGATGGGTGAGCTGGAACGAGGCAGATTCGAGAGGAAACCAACGCCGAGTCTAGAGTGATGTTGATGGTGTGCAAGAGCTCGCCAATATCTGTACCGACACGCAATCGACCCGGAGGGAAATGAAAGAGGGATGGGCTCGAGCCTGATTCAGATCCGGCACAAAACCGCCGGCTCCAATCGCCGGGCCGGTCGTTCCCCTCAAGGCTGACCGACATCACTGTCCATCAGGAGTTCGGTGCTCGCCCTTGTGGGCCAAAGAGCAGTATGTCTGCTTCGCCCAGACTCCCACACAATACACCGAGGCCCAATGTGGACTCGTGGGGGGGCATACGGATACCATCTTGCCGTGAACAGAGCAGACCAAATGTCTCGATTGTCTGAACGAGATACACCTTACCCATGAGCAAATGGGTCACTTGCCCACACCCCATATGTCAGCGTAGTATACGATGGCTTGCATCCAACTGAGCCACATGCAATCCAACAGATCACTTTGGCAGCCTCCGAGTGAAGACCGCCGGTCGCTCTCCGTCTCCACAATCGACCTGCGCACTGGTCTCGGAGTGCCAGCGGTGAATGGTGCTCTTGGACACGTTGAATATGGAGGCAATTCTTCTCAGGCTATGAATGATGGTATTGCACCGCATCGCAGAATGGTCATGGCCAGCGCGCGGTGGTATTTGGAAGCAAATTATTCGGTCATTGGTCAATAGCCAAGGTGTCTCGTTTTTTATTGGATTGACTGTAGCTGCGCTGATTCGGATGTCTGTGTCCTCAACAATCGACATGATGCCGGCGGCTATATCATCTCGCGGCCGTCACGGCGGATACAGAAAGCGGTACCGGAAATATGATACGATCACTCGGTGTTGGCGGATCCCTCCACCTTGAACGCTTCGTACATCGGGTCGCAGATGAGCCAGCCAGCAAACCGGCCAACATACAAGCGGCTCTTAGCCAGCTGGTACTCGGAGTTTGCTTGCTTGGCTTGGCGATAGGTCTGCGAGCTTGTACTGGCGCCGGCAGTTCGACATTCCGGGAATTAGCATCACAATCATGCTGGTCAGAACAACAGCCCAGATACTCGAGGCCTATAGCCGCAAATGTGCAATCGCAGCACAAACTCACGATGCACAGCCCACAGCGCAGTTAAAGGGAGTGCGTTAGGTGCATGCGGGCTTACCTGGACGCCGCACTCGGATTGACCCTCGAAAGAACTTCTTGATGGAGCTTGAAAAGCGACAGCTTTGATATCGATGGTCTGGACAGAGGGGATGGAGACGTCAGCACTCGCTTTATCGGTACTTCGTTGTATCAGTGGTCCAAGACTCAGGAGGGCGCTGGGTGCAGTGTTCAAGAGCCCACTCGTTGCTGACTCGGCGAGAAGCGAGGGATACCTGGCTCGCTCGTTATTCTTGGCCTTTTTCGCAGAGAAGCCCTGCTTGCGGCCGCAAACTGTCACCTCAGAATCATCTGATGGAGATGACCAACCAATCGAGGCATCGGCGCTAATCGGTCGGGTATTTTCGTTCTTGGTGACTGCTACACGGCTGAAAGGGAAGGGGACCTTCGAGTGAAAGATTTCTGGAACCTGAACCCGGTACAACGGCGGCAGATCTGTCGGGAAGCAGCAATAAGCAAAGCCGCGCGTCCTTCAAGGGACATGCCTCCATCGAGGGAGGTTACTGGTTCGTATCGCGCCGTTTCCTTGCCACAGGTCAGTCTTACCGACGATGCCTTCGAGTCGGTCGATGAAAGCCCGATATGCGTCGGCATGGTTGTAGAAGGCCCCGATCGTTATTGTCGACAGATAAATTGGATCCATAAGGGAGGCGACTAAAGCACCGCCGAGCCCGACGACCATCCATTTGGCAATCTTGTCGCTACGGTACAATTTAGATAGCCACCGTCATTTCGTTTGCAAGCAGATCGGCAGAAGATTGTCGCCACTGAGATCCGCACAAGAAGAATCCAAAGGAGCACTGCTTGACCAGCCCATGACTGACTCGAAAGCACTTGGCGTGACATGCCTCGTTGCCGTACCTGCAGCTCAAAGAATTGGTCGAGTCCGCATCAATGCGACCTGCACAGAACAGAAAGCGGATATATGGAGTCCGTCACCGCATCCACATCCACATCCACATCCACATCCACATCCACATCCACATCCACATCCACATCCACATCCACATCCACATCCACATCCACATCCACATCCACATCCACATCCACATCCACATCCACATCCACATCCACATCCACATCCACATCCACATCCACATCCACATCCACATCCACATCCACATCCACATCCACATCCACATCCACATCCACATCCACATCCACATCCACATCGACATGAATATCCACATCCACATCCACATTACGTCGACTGCCCGTGTTTCAAATGCACAGTACCCTCCTTTTCGATGCCTGCAGTCGTCGCTGTCGTCCGATCGAGTACATATGACGAACGCCATAGAATGTCTGCCAACAACACTCAGCCGAAACTCACCTGGCTTGGTACGCAGGACTCCCAACAGGTTATAGCTGTCCCGTCCACGAAGTACACCCGAGGCGACCATGTTGGCCGACGAAACTACCAGTGGCTCGGCGCACTCGGGGGACACATCGGCCACACTGTCAGATTGATCCATGCTCTGAGTCGCTGGTGCTGACGGGGACTGAGTCGGGGGACCTGCAAGCGACACAGAATCGTCTGCTCCGTGCATCTCGGTTTTGGGTCGCTTGTTTGCCGGAGATTCATCCGATATCTCCTCGTCGCGCCGACTGATAAACCGCCTTTTTTTCTCTTCGTTGGCTTTCCGAGTATCGTCGCTCTGAGACCTATCGAGACAGGTCATTGAGGCATCGCCGCAGGGAGCCTGTGAAACGTAGAGATGAAACTCGACTCCCGGCGCCAGCTTGAACCTTCCTGGAGTGCTTTGCCGCAGGACCGATGATGAAGAATCAAGACATAGATTCATTTCGTTGTACAAATAGCTGCATGCGATAGTCAAGCGTCAGTCTATTGCTTGTAAGCGAGGAGGAGGGGCAGTCTCTGCGAATCCGAGCTGAGCAGCTTCAGAAACATTGTGATATCGACGGATATCGAAAGCGATGCCCAAGTCGTTTCGTATCAAGCCGCGGCGTGTCATTGTTGCGCATGCTGAAGCGGAAAGATGTGTCCTTACGTGAGAAAATGACGACGACAGACGACTTCGGCGTGGCTGTCGAAGAGTACATCGCCATCGGGACTGAGCTCGGAATTGCCCAGGCATTTGAGTCCGGTCCTGGTGGTGCATATTCACAATATCAAGGGAAACGGTCAGCCGCCACCGCAAGGGCGACGACAGCAGCGTTGATATCATACCCAACCGGACTCACCCCACAGCCACGCATTCGTAGGCGCACATATCTTGATCTGCTCAAACAGAAGATGGAGACGTGAGCAGCCAGCGGGAAAAAACGACACATGCCCAAACACAAACCAAGCCGTATGCTGTCGGTCAAATGATATTGGGCCATGCATCTATCGGGCTGGAGACTGTCGCAAGGAAAGCTGCCACCGCAACGGGCCCACCTTGCGTTTGGTGTTCCTTGACGATCGCTGCCATGACGGTCCACTCGGGCTTGTTGGGCGACCGCCACACAGGCTTGCCTCGCTTTGGCAGCGAGTCGAACTTTTCGATTGCCGTGGTGGCGATGGCATCGGCAAATCCGGGCGGCCGCCGCGATGTCGATCTGTCCTTGACCATGGGTTCGCTGGTCGGGTCTATGTGTTGTGGCTGTTGCAAGCGGCGATGCGGATGGCTTTGTCGAGGCTGCCTCGCTGGGCAAAGATTCACCAAAGTCGCCGCTGGGTGCGCTGTCGCTCGTAATCCAGGGCCGCTGCAGTCGGACTGGCGAGCATGAGCCTGCTGGTGCCGGGAGCGAGATGGGGGGGCAGGCCCAGAGGGCGGCTGCGACTGCCACGGCTCGCTGGCAGATCGGCCATACCGGGGCGGATGGTTTTCCGCGTTTGTGCGACGTGTCGGAGATTGGCTGTACCGAGAGCGAGACCGCCGCCAGCGAGACGACACAGCTGCTGCGCCGACTGTCTGTGTGCGGCGAGAGAGCCTCTCGGCAAGTGGCGAGACGGCACACGCACACACAGGGCGCGTGTTGGCAATGTCGCTCCCGCTCGCCTCGTCCATCGCTCATCGCCCATCGTCCATCGCTCATCGCCCATCGTCCATCGCTCATCGCCCATCGTCCATCGTCCATCATCGGGCTCATCTGCGCTTTGTCTGGCCGCCGCTCCCTATCAAGCCCAAGCCCAAACCCATCCTCGCATCCCTCACACCCACCTAGGTATATCTTCACACGAGCATCCCTGACGACTTTCGCTGCTTCTCCAAGCCACCGCGAACACCCTCGTGCTCATACCCGTCGCCGCACCGTTCCAAATGCTGCTATTCGGTGCTTCTCTTCGTTGAGCAGACTCGCCCGAATGTCAAAGCCAGTGTCTATACCGACCCCTTTGTCAAGCTCGAGCATGGTCCAGCCGCTGCTCCCGACAGTACCATCGTCGAAGAAGAAAAAGCATCCGTCAGCCAAGCGCCTGGACGCTGCAGAGCCAGACTGGGCCCCCAAGGTGAGCGGCTCTGCGAGAACATGCACCCGCCCCTCCATGCGCTCAGTACAGCAGCTCTTCGATCATGTTGGTTTATCGATTTGAGCCCGATTGTCTTATCAGAATGGGCTGTCCGGCATCGCAGATGGACTTTTCGAAGGTTAGCGACAGGATCCTAAAGAAGTACAAGCGGACGTACAGCATCAAGATCAAGGCAAAGGAGACCCCGGAGGAACTGGTCGGCTCGGTCACAAAGCACTTCCACTCGCAGGTCGTCAGCGAGCGCGACGTTCTGCCATATTTTCTCTACTGCATACACAACCAAGGTAGGCCATCGATTCAGGTCAAGCATCGGTAGCGCATTCTCTCGATGATAGGCTGATCGGACGAGACTCGATCCGGTCGTGTGTGGCAACGAAATGCCCCCGCACAGTAGCGCTGATGACTGCATGTTGGATCCATTGTTTGTGACGACATCGAACTGCCGCTGCTCTGCCAACCCGTGTTGGCCGAATATCGCAGGCAAGCTGCTCAAGTTGCCATCGAAAACATTGCAGTCGGTCGCCCAGCCAGCAGAACAGTGATGCGCCCAGGAGACAGAACGATGCTGCCGAGACACGATGAGGGCCGGCCGATTGAGTTCACAGACCGTCACTGCGATCCAGCCTGGCCGAGCAAACACGCCTGAATATGCCCCGCACGCCCTCCGCCCATCTATCCATTGTTAGATTCGACAGCGACTCGTTGGAGGAGGCGGATGATTGCATGTTCTGTCCGAGTGTCGAGCATTCTCGTCTCGCCAGCGATTGCCTCTCATGAGATCGCCAATTGTCAGTACGTTGGCTTTATTCAGCTGGCTTGGCCGGTCGTAATCCTTGTTCATCGATATCCATCTGCGCGTTTGCTGCCGGATGAGAGCTGCGAGCCCGACTTGCGGTCTTATCTCCTCAGCACCTGCAGAAAGTCCTGCCCGTCGGCCATGGCCATGGGACTGGACTTGTCGCCCCAGGCCAGCGCCTGTGGGCCGGACTTGTGGCTCCAGGTTTTCGGCGTGCTTTTGTGAACATCGGGTTGAGCTTGATGTGGGAGGCTCGTCAGTGCATGAGCGTAACTTGTCGGTGGGATCGAGCCGACCACAGCGCATCGGTACACTCAGAGGGCTGGCTCAAACAGCCTGAAGCCTGCTGTGCTCAGTTGTCGGTACACACTTACCTTCAGCAGGCAGCTTGGCGTCCTGGGATCGCTGGAGCGCTGCGAGCCATCCTGAAGATGAGGATGACTCAAGGGCGTCAGCAAGAAGGAAGAGGAAGACAAGCACAGCACCATAACATGCGGTACTGCACGACAGACTCCCAGATACACATGGCGGCCCGCCGCAGTCATAGCACCTACGATCGTTCAGAAACTCTTTGATATCACTCGTGTTTGTGCTTGCCAAATCGACCGGCTTTCCTGCAATGAGACGGACTGGCTCAATTCCGATGGCCCCCCGAAAACGAAGGACACGGGGTTTGGAGCCAGTGCACCACCATATGCCCCCGGACGTCCAAGAAATGCATAATACAGACACATGAAAGCAATGCTTACTCGGTCGGGCGCCTCCCAGGGCCGCAGCATAGCTATGTCAGGGCGGATCAGCATCGGCATTACGCAGGTCAGCAGGGCCGTCGGCAGAGGCGCCGGTCGCTGGGCAGGCGGCTCACCTCTTCTCCTCTGACTTGGGCGGCATGCCTGCTTTTTGCTATCTGTGGCCTGCTGTCGGCTGCCGGTTGTCGCTTGTCGCTTGTTGCTTGTTGCTTGTTGCTTGTTGCTTGTCGCTTGTCGGCTGCTTGCGATGGCCGTGGTGGATTCGCTGGGGCAGATTCGACCTCGGCCGTCTTGCATTTTGCGACACAGAGCCGAGACCGCGTCGCTGTCGTCTCGGCCGCTCTCGCTGAGGCGGCACAGCCAACACAGAGCAAGCGAGAAGACAGCCGCTCCAAACCGCCCGATCCAGTTCCTCCGCATTCTGACCCCATCTCACCACCACATCAAACACCATGAGCCGCTACGGCCGGGACCCACGGGAACGAGATCTGGAGAAGCGGCGGACACACTACGCCGAGCTTGACGAGGAGGCTCACTCCCGCGGCCGCGATCGGGAATACCGCGATCTGGACGACCCTCGAAACGGCGATGACTATGGTGAGCCCTGGTGGCAATCGCCCAGCTGCGGCAGCAGTCGCAATGCCAACCTCACGATGGTCGACGCATCCACTGAAATGGAGCTATATATCCGGCTGGTATCTCTTTGTTGCTATGCTCGGCTATAGGAGGAAGTGGCCGACGAGACCGTTCTGGAGACCGAGATCGGGGACGATATGATCGCGATCGCTCCAGGGACCGCTACAGAGACCGATCAAGAGACCGAGGACGAGATCAGCCAAGAAACCGCTCTGCAGAAAGGGACCGGGACCGCTCCAGAGACCGGTATCGACAGTCATCGAGGGATCGCTATCGAAACAGGTCACGGGAACGGCGCCGTTCGCCATCGCTTAGTCCAGACCGGCGTCGAGGTAACTGCGGGGAGGCCAATATTCTCACCCTCTGCTCAGCGTGCAGATCCTCGAGCTTGACCGGATTATCCATCATGACTGATCAAAGCCTCATTATTGCACAATTCTACAAAACATGGGATTGGGTGTATCCCAACAGACGAGAGACGGCCGCGCGAGCGACGACGTGAAGACGAGGGTCCAACCCGTCGACGACAGCGATCCTTTTCCATCGAGCGAGATGGCAGTGACAACGAGAAGTCGGCCCAGGACGGTGAGTGACAGGGACTGGACCGAGATCCCTGTGTAGTGGAGCATTGGCCCCTGACACAATCGGGGTGCGCGACAGCGTTCTGGATCAAGAGATGTGCTCCAGTGCCTGTTTCTGGAGAGGATATGGATGTTACAGGCCGCCGTTGGCGCCATATCAACACCTGTAGCCTCTAACGACCGCTCTACTCTCAGCCAACATGGATGCCGAGCCAGAGAAAGAACTGACCGAGGAGGAGCAGATGATGAAACTCATGGGCTTTGGCGGATTCAATAGTACCAAGGTAATCTGGGTGGCCGCTTGAACATTTGCCGCTGTCGTGTGCTCAAAGGGATGCGCAGAGTTCGTACAACCAGACAGAAAGACAGATAGACAGACAGACAGATAGATAGATATCGCCCTGACTCAATCCGTCTACAAATATGTTTCTCCAGGGAGAGAAGGTATCTGATGCCAATGTCTCGGCCGTGAATGCTGTCAATCTGAAGAAGGCTCGATCATACCGCCAATATATGAACCGAAGAGGAGGATTCAACCGACGTCTGTCCCCGACTCGTTAAGACCAGCATCAACAGTCGGCGTCGCATCACAGGCCAATGCTAGCAACTCAACCGCGGACATCATCCGTGTGAACATCGATTCCCTGCATATCCACCATGGGCCGATTTCGTGACATCGATAGCTCGAGATGGAGTGGTCCACGGGTAGCTCTGCTGATCGTTCTTGACACTGAAGAATATAGCCTTGAATCCGGTTGATCCACCTCTGTCGACGACTGTCAACCGGCACACCACAAACATAACCCGCGTCGACTGCGATTGTGCGATTGCGCGATTGTGCGCACCTTGCAGCATCGGTCTGGTCGTGTGAGGGATATGTGTGTGTATTCATATCCGGCAAGTGAATATTCAGCGATGCAGACAGTGGGCTCCGTTTCGCTTGGGTGCGCTGCAATATGGTTTGCAACCGGAAGTGTAATTGACGTCGGAACTCCAGGCTTGCTTAAGCCAAGTCTTGGAGAGTGCGAAGTCATTAAAACATTTAAAATCAAGAACCAACAACAGGGAAACAATAAACCGATGACTGATCGACCGAGTCACAGTGTTGACCTCATAGCCAAGCTCTCTGAGCGGACTCATGCCACCAAAGATGGCTCCAGTCGATCATCACATGGGCAATTTCAGGGACAACAATCGAAACAGCCGCGAGCTGCTGAGCCGCGCGCAATAGAGCTATCGTCTGATATCCGCCAGGTATAGCAGTGACAGTGCGATAACAAAGACTCCAACTCCAAAACCAGAGAAGGCGCCTGGACCCGCCTGTGAGTTAGACTGGGTGGAGTTGGCGTTGAGCTGAACGACGGCCGAAGCCAAGTAGGTGTCATAGACAGAGGTGTTGGCCGAGACAACGGTTGAGTTGGAGGAGTCAGTCGAGTTTTTGCCAGCAGGGCGTCTCTGGCCCAGAGGAACAGTAGACGACAGGGTGCAGTTGGTACAAGTTGGGTCGCAGCGGGTATAGCGCATAATGCTGGTTTTGTTGGGAGCGATCGTTGTCAGGGAGTAAACGGTGGCATTGGTTTTGCGGTCAATTTTGGAAATACACTTCTTCAAGCTTTCTCCAGTCAAATATGCATTCTCTCCGATGACGCTAAGGGCATTCAGAGAAACGTTGCTGAGGGCCGACGAGGCAGTAAGTAGCTGATCAAAGAGGCGGTCGAGTCGAGTGCGGAAGGTGTTGAAGTTGTTGAAGCACTGGATGCCAACGGTTTCGGTGTTAGTTGCAGTGAGCGGAATGGGCATGCAGGTAAAGTTGTTGCTGGCACAGACGGTTTTGGCGGCCAGGTGATACTTGTTGGAAAAGTATTTGGTGGAGGAAAACTGGAAGTTGGTGGCGACTGTGTACGGAGCACATCCGTTGACCGGGTTGCTATACTCATAGAAGATCATCCATCTGTACGACTGAGCAGGTGGTTCGGTGGTGTGTGTGCGCTGAGAAGAGGCCGAGCGGGTCATGCTCGCATGGGAAAAGGATGCGTGGTTGGGATGGGAGTTTGGGTTTGGCAAGGTGGGAGGAGACGCTGCAGGATTTGTTGCAACTGCGACGGCAGCGAGCCATCCGGCAATCAGAAGCTTGGCCCAAGTGAATGTGGTCATGGTCAGGGTGAATGCTTGGAAGGTTTCGAGCAGATGCAAGGGCAAAACAAGGGTACCAAATGTTTTCGAGAACCACCGATAGATGCTGGGAAGCGGTGCCGCATCGTACCGTTCTTATACCCGACCCTCCCCAGAGACTGTCATTATGCGCGCAGGACAATGCTTGGTGCTGAACATGCATGAAGCAGTCGCCAAGGGAGTTTCTTTGTGCTGGCGAGCTTGTTCTAGCTCTTTGTTCTCGCCCACAGGACAGATTGTTCGACAGGAACAATAGAAGCTTCGGACAATGTGCTATTGGGCTCGGAACAAACGCACAACCCCGGCCAGGCAGGCGGGTTGGCGGCGGCTAGACAATCACACATCCAATCTACGACCGGCGCTCAAGAGCACAGACCAAAGGCGATCCGATCCTACAACAATGCGGGCGCTGCGATATTGTGCGTGCCCCGGATCGCGAGAACAACCGATAAAACTGTGTAGCGGCCAAGGTCGATCTCATGGAGACGGCTGGCTCGTGGCAGCGCCATCTCCAATGCGACAATGCCTTGAGCAGATGATGGGCGAGATGGTGAGAGTGTGGGACTGGAGGAATGGGCGCAGCGGTATTGCAAGTGCATGCGAATGCCGGAAATGTGATCCGCAGATGCGGCTTCAGCTCGGCTCCACTCAGCTGCGTCGGACATACCTAACAATCCACTCTCGCTCTTCATCCGATGGCTGCCGCGAAGGCTGTCCATCGTAGGTATGAATGCGGCCAGTCGCTTCGCTGTAATAGCCGTCTCCGATATCAAACGTTCCCTTTGGGATCGACGGTGCTCGGTTCGCATCGTTTGTCAACTGTGTATCTCCTAAATCAGCGCGGATGACGAGTCTTGGTTGAGCACAGGGATGCTCCAGCATATCGGCAGTAAGGGCAAGCGATGATATCAGCCAGCTGAATATCCTCGATAGAGCCACACCGACCTGGCGGAAACCCATTCACACGCTCCGAGAAGAACCGGCGATCCTTGTCGGTGCAGTAGTCCCAGTCCTCGGGCTCATATTCGAGACCATCTTTGAAAGTGTATGTGCCCTACAACCCAACAACTTCCTGTTAGAGCGACCGAGTCGCATCCTGTGGGGCCACACAATCAAATAAGCGACTTAACAGAGCCTACCTGGACGGCGACGCCATTCTCCCACTCTGCATCATAGAGACCACCGTGTTTGAAGTGAATGGTGCCGTGGCCGTGAAATCTATGGGGTATTATTCCGATCGCGGAGGATTTAGTCCCTGGGCGGTTGTTGTGCTGGCTTGGTCTGGCATTTCCTGCGGCCAGGGCCGGGTGCAAGCGGTGTTGAGCCTGAAATCGATGGCCTGCCCATACTCACTGTCCGTCCTTGAAGTCGCCGATATAGACGTTCCCATCCGGGAAGGTGTATCGTCCCGCGCCCTCGATCCTAAGACGCCGGTTGATCGAGGAGACTCAGATACCTCCAGAGCATATACTCGTGATGGCATCATCTCGTGCGCAGGGCCAGGGAAGCAGCATTTGAACAGGATAGTCACCTGGCCAAGGCAGTTCGCGGACCTGGGCTTTTGCGAATACTCCTTCCTCGTCCTCTCGCTTACCTGCCATTGACGACGGTTGCTTTGAATGGGGATTTGTAGAATGCCATTGCTGCGACTGGGTGTGAGACTGGGTCTGTCCGCAAGCGGAAGAGTCTGCTAAAACTATCGCCTTGAATACAGCGAAATGGGACACTTTCACACACGGATGACTTGTGTGGGTTGCGTGAGTTGTGTGAATCAGACGACTTTGATTGGCACTCGAACTCCATGAAATCCGCTCGCCGAATTCCTCTGGCTATTTTGTTCTTTGCTCTGCGTCTTCCCTCATCCCATCCCAGACATGTCTTCGTACCCTGACTTGCAGTGACTGCATCTGGGGCGACTCGCTGGACCCCATCGTGCCCACTCACTCCATGCATCGCTCACGCAGGGAAATGACGACCCACTTGGCCGGGTGTGTGATATGATCCGACTCCGCCGTGTTTGTCTGAATGAGACGATTTGTCCCATTTTTTCTTCAACACGGTCTACACCAAGTGGAGGCTCGCATTGCTGCAGCCGGACATTCAGTCCAATCACATTGTCGTGGACATAATCGAGCTGTTTCCAGCTTTCGCTCGCAACCGAATTCTGATCTTCCGACTCAATGAATATGGATTTGAAGCTGCTGTATTGCCGAGACGCACAGGTCACAGACTTTGGATTCTGGCTTGGCTTGAGCAAGCCTGGAGTTCCGATGTCAATTACACTTCTGGTTGCAAACCATATTGCAGTGCACCCAAGCGAAACGGAGCCCACTGTCTGCATCGCTGAATATTCACTTGCCGGATATGAATACACACATATCCCTCACACGACCAGACCGATGCTGCAAGGTGCGCACAATCGCGCAATCGCACAATCGCGCAATCGCACAATCGCAGTCGACGCGGGTTATGTTTGTGGTGTGCCGGTTGACAGTCGTCGACAGAGGTGGATCAACCGGATTCAAGGCTATATTCTTCAAAGGCCGACTGTGAGCGACAGATTGGTGCCAATCTGCCCGTTGCGACCATGCAAGCTGTCGTATGGATGATCAAGATGCCAGTTGACAGAGCAAAGAAACGACTTTCCTTCAATAGCCGATTGTACCAGCGGCATGTCGGGCCGAGCAGTGGCCGCCAGTAGCTCTCTGCTCAGCAGTGACAAGCAGCATCACTGCATCAATTGAGCCAGTTTCTTCAGGCCGTATCCGAGCGTCGACTCGACATCCTTCAAAAAGCCAACGACGTCATCCTGCTTGAATGCCAGTGACCGGAGCTTCAAATCGAGGGCCCTCAGGTATTCTCGGAGCTCTATAGAGTGAGGCGTTGTGCAGCAGGTCAGCACCGATCATCTGTCTGCGTGCGTTCGCTGCAATCGGTGCTCAGCGGACACGGCGTCTTGCTCACCTCGTAACTCCACCGACAGAGCCTGCTTCTTTTGATCTGCGCTGTCTGCGATCTGGGTCATGACACGATTCTAATGGAGCAGTGGACCAGAGACTCAGTCACTCATCGATGAAACAGGATGGCGTAGAGACAAGCCATTGATGATGCATCACTGCGCAGCAGCGTAATACCCACGTATTTATCGTAGTTGTGTTTATGGAATGCCAACTCGTTTTCGAGCACGGTCTTCTCGGAGTCGTGAAGGGCCTGCACAAAGGTTAGGGATGAATATTCGCGGCTGTGATATATAACGACAGCGCATAGCCAACGAACCGTATAGACTTGTATAGACTTGACAAGGCAGTGGACCGTCTCTTGCAGTTCGTTCGATTTACAGCGCGTGAGCTGCCGCAGCAATTCGTCTTCGGTTGGGATGGCCGGGTAGCCAGGCCGCATAACTGATATTGTGAGTTGATATCGGATAAGCTTCCAACGACGCAGCCAAGAACGTATGCAAGCGGAACGAAGGAATAGTCCTCGGCAGGGATGACGCCTTACCTTGCTCAAGTGTCGGGACTGGTGCGCTCGGTACCAGCACCGACAAACTGAGCAGCGAGTTCATTGCAGATCGGAGCGAAACCATCGTGTCGTTGTAACCCCCAAGTACATGATCCTGTCGTTGAAGAGTGGCCAAGCGTAATGGGCCATTGTTCGTGAGCATCAATAGCTTACCAGCAACTAAAGGCTGGATCACCGGCGGCCATCAAACGAAGCACAGAGGAGCAACCCGCTACCTCAAACAAAGCAACCGAGTTTGGGAGGAACGATGATTGCAGAGTCGACTGGAATGCAAACAGGTCTGCAAGAGTTCATAGAGGTTGTCAGCTCACCGGAATGCCTCTACACGAGCTGGGCGGCGCATTGGCGGGTTTTTGGAAGCGTCCACAAATGCTCACCTTTATACAACCTGTGGAGCTTTTCTTCCAGCCTGGAAACGTGTCGTAGATTCAGATGACCAATACTGCCTGTGGGGTCAAATTGGGAGGATCAGCGAACGCTCACGCAACAGCAGACAGTACCGACGCCATCACGCCGGTCATCGAATGAGCCGCTGGACCCTACCACTGCACAGATCGGCTATCGACGCCTTGCAGGTATCTCTGTGTCGTTTTTGAATCACAAAATCAGAGATAAACTCAAAAAAGGCATCTCCGCGATTCTTGGACGGGCCATCGATGTGGTCGGCAAGCTGTCGATTAAGCTGCTTCCTTGCACCGTCGAGTTTTCGAACACTCTCGTTGATCTTTTCGGACTCTGTCTTGCCCACCTTGACGATGGTTGCAAACAATCGAGAGGCCCGGGTGAATATGACACAGAGTTTGATGCATCCGTCTCAAACACACTCCGTCTACGAGCATCCGATCGAACGCTGGCTACCGGCATCGCACCTGGCCAACAACAGCCGAAAGGACTGCCACCGCACTTTGTATGTCGTTTGCTGCGCTGCCGAGAAGTGCCTCGCGGCCCTGGCTAGTATCCTTGAGTGTCGAAAGCTCGCGCTGAAGTTGAACTACAAGTGATTTGAGTAACAGCACTCTCCGCCGGTCATAATCGCCACCGACTGTCTCCTGGATCGTTTTTTGATGCAAGTCGTGTATTTGTGCCAGCTCGGCTTCCATCTGCTTGTTTTTGCGGGTTATCTCTGCAACCTAGTAGAATCAAAACCGATGGCAAACTGCGCTGTCAGGGGCATACTTGGCTGGGGGTGCTAGAATGCAAGTGCATGCGGAGCCGCAACATAACAAACCTGCGCCTCCAGAAATCGGTTCTTCTCGATCAGGGCGTTGACATTCAGTGCTGAGGCCAGCTCCAGCTCGATTCCTGAGTCACCCTGACATTTGAGAGCGTCCCGCATCTCTGGTCGGTGGGCCGGAGCAGAGTTGTCCGTGGACAATACCGAATGCGACTTTTTGAGTCTGCCTCTCGAGTCGGTTTTCTTTATGGTGGGCCCTTGGCTGAGCGAGCCACAGCCGGCAGGTCGAATTGGCAATCCGCACAAGAGTCAGGATAAGTGATGTAGTAAACAGCAGCACCAAGAAGCGGCCACTGCACTCCGTTAGCCGCAAGTAGTCGCTGTATTCCATTAGCGATTCGTTTCGGACATTGACGGAACACTCACGTCCTTGGACCGCCGCACCCTGGGGCTGGCAGAGGCTCCGGCATGCCGTCTCTTGCCCTGCCGCTCAAGCTCGGGGCACTGTTTCGAGTCGATAGTGAATTCGTCCGCCGCGGAGCGAGCGATGATATCGGTGCTGGTGCTTCCGGGGTTGACGCAGTAGCTGGCTGGCTAGGAGCAGCCGATCGGTGGATCTCAGCAAGGACAATCTCCAGCACACGAATGTACTCGGTGCCGATCGTCATGAAGCTCTGGCTCAGCCGGCCAGTCTTGGTCGAGCCGAACTTCTGAGTGGTCCAAGTGCGATCCATTGACATTGGACAAGGAATTCAGCGAGACGTTGGGCGAGCTATTAGATCGGTCGAACTGCCCTGCGACGGCATCGAATTGAACTTTTGCCGGTGTCTTCCGACGGTACCTCGATCTCACGGACCACAAACTTGGAAAAGACGCCGTTGAAGACCTCCTCGTGAACTCGCTTTTCGCTGTCGGCAACGTTGCTGGCCGTCTCGATTTTCTGCAGACAGACATCCCGAGCAGGAAATGCGCCGTTAGAGACGCAGCGACGCCGATGAACGGCAGTCGCCGTCATCGTCCGATCTGGACCCGAATGGAGAAGTCACTGGCCAGCGATCCAGCAACGGCTATCGATCATCGACAAGGCCTTACCCGTTCATTCTTGCGGGTTTCCATGAGCCGCTGGACCGAATCGATCTTGAGCTTTTCAAAGAGCCGTGCAAGAATGCGCTGTTTTGAGTGGATGGCCTTGGATCGATTCGAGTGAATCAGCGGAACGAGTTCCGGCTCCGGGATTGTGGCGAACTCTGGCAGCCGACGCAGCGACTGGATGACGGCGAGCTGATGCGAGTTGAGAGTTTGGTGGGCTGCCGACTGGGTCGCAGCGAGCGATGCAGACATGGCGAGCGAGCGGGTGCGGCTTGGCGAGGGGCAACGTCAGCGGCGGGGATGCTGATGAAGCAGAGCAGCGAGCCTGAGCCAAGGCCAGGCGCTGCAATGCTTGGTTGGATGATCCTGCAAAAGCCGGGAGGTCTGTTGCTGTTGGAAATCCGCGGATTTCCAGCCCCTCTCTCATCGCCGCTATCCATCTCCGGCCTCATCAGCTGCACGATTTCGATCCGCATATCCGCTCTGCTTTCGATTTGCGATCCGCCTCGTCGCCGCCGTTTCCGCCGCAAGCTGACTGCCGCTCGCAACGGAATCTACTCGACCACCCAACCACCCAACCACCCAACCACCCAACCACCCAACCACAAATCCGTCCGATCGACCGACCAGACCGGCCGATTAACGAGCCAGCCGACCACACCGACCACACCCGACCGATCACACTGACGACCATCGGATCGACCATGCCCAGCTCCCCCTCGGTCGAGAGCCAGGATGCTGCAGCACCAGAGCCACACCACCAAGGCGAGCTCTCGTCCGTGCATGCGACCCTGAACTGCGTCAACATGCTCATGGGCGTCGGCATTCTGTCCGTGGCCTTTGCCCTGAATATGACCGGGTGGGTTCCAGGCATCTCCATGATGGTCCTGTTTGCGTTGACGGTCAACTACAGCGCCAAGCTGCTGGTCAAGTGCATGGCCAAGCCTTTCCCCGTCGCCGTCGACTCTGAAAGCGAGCGCGAGCCTCTGTTGCGACCCTTGGAGTCCAGGTCGTCCCTGCATCAGCTGCGTTATCCAAAAAACTACAGTGACATTGGCGAGCTGGCCTTTGGCCACACCGGACGCAACGTCATCTCCGCCATCTTCTGCTTTGAGCTCTTTGCTGCGGCCATCGCCATGATCATCCTCATGGCGGACTCGCTCGAGGCTCTGTTCCCCGGCGCCGTCCCGCTTACGGGCCTCAAGCTGATTGCGACGCTGGTGGTGCTGCCGACGACGTGGTCAAAGTCCATGAAGCTCCTTTCCTACGCAAGCGTTGTCGGCATCCTGGCGACCTGCGGATTGGGCATCATCCTCGTCATCGATGGGCTCTCGGTCAGCACCAGCCCCGGATCGATCCTGGTGCCTGCCGAGACCCTGCTGTGGCCGCAGTCGCTGAGCCGTTTGCTGATGGCCATTGGCCTGCTTATTGTCGGCTTCGATGGCCATGCTGTCTTTCCGGCGATCCACCGAGAACTCAAGCATCCCGAGTCATTCAACAGCATCATGAATCTTACCTATGCGCTCATTGCGACTCTGTACATTGGCATGGGTTCGCTCGGATACTGCATGTTCGGCACAGGCACGCTCCCAGAGGTAAGCGGGAGGGAGCGATGGATGGATGGATCGATCGAGCGACCGACTGCCATTGTGTTGCCAAGTCGACCGGGCAAGAGCGCCCTGCGAGTGCAAAATGCGTCCGCCTAGCAATCGGTAGGCGTTGACAGCAAGTAACTCCTTTCTTGCTCTGAACCCACGCAAGATCACCCAAAACCTGGCCACCGTTCCCGAGTACAACCAGCTCCTGACCTACCTCATCCTGTGGCTCACGGCGATCAACCCGGCTGCCAAGTACGGGCTGGTGACGACCCCGATTCACACCCAAATCGGTGAGCTTCTTGATGGTGTCTGGCGCACCGACAGAACAGAGGGTCCGCCGTTCGACGTTTTCGGCTCACCTCTGGAATGCTTGCTCCCATGCAGAGCACCTCTTTGGCATCGAGTCGCTCGGGTGGCGCCTCGTTTCAAGAACCCTCGTTGCCTTTGCCATTCTCTTCACCTCGATCCTCGTCCCAGGTTTCCACCATGTGCTCTCGGTCCTGGGCTCAAGCTTCTCGTTTACGATTGCCATCATCTTCCCGATCCTCTGCTTCCTGGTCCTGTTTGGTGCTGAGATTCCGCTCACGGAGCGGCTGTTCCATCTTGCTGTCCTGATGCTCGCCTTGGTATTTGCTGTGTTGGGGACGCTGGGTGCCTTCATTGAACACTAGGCGCTCATCATCATCGAGGGAGGGGGGCAACGAGCGGACACTACTACGCCGTGATACTATGCAGGGAGTCTATCGATCGACGGGGGGTACAGATGTAAGCCATGCCGTTTGGCTCTGGGTCACTTTGTTTTCCATGGCCCCGGGTCACTTTGTTTCCCATGATTCTGGGTCACTTTGTTTCTCATGACTCTGGGGTAGATTATGCCGGTAGTTATAGAGCACTCCGGCTATCGGTAGATTCGATAATATTCGATGATCACGCAACGCAGATGCGTGTGTAGTCCGAGCCGGAACAAAGTAAGGACAAATCGATAGAGATGAAGGACAAGGCAAAGAGTGGGAGAGCGACAAAGGGAAGGGAGACAACGATAGAGACGACGACAGTCAAAGTTGATATACGGATTGCATGCATGCCACAGTTGCCGCACATGTTCGCGCCACCCTGGCAACGAGTGAATCATGGGGCAATCAGGGAATGGAGCGGAAAGAAGCCCTTCTTTTTGGTGTTGTCGTTGACTCCGTAGCCCCAGCCGTCGTCGAATGCTTTCCTGGTGAGCCAGAAGCGGTGAGGGGCGGGAACGCAGTTAGGGCATCGTACCATCAACACCCGATGCAGTCCAATTCGGATCCAATCCACTCCTGAATAAGATAGCCATGTCGAAATACCGCCGGCACGAGCAATCGCAGTCGAGGACATCCCCTTCGTCTCCTGTCCAATATCAAACAGAAACTAACCTGAGATGGACCACCTGGCCGACGCCAAGGGATATCTCGTCGCCGCGGGTGGGGCGGAACCGAGTGCCGACGACGTACCAGCTGTCGACGGGGTACTCGGGTGTCTTTGGGGAGCGGCTGCCCGAGCTGGAGGTGTTGAAACGACCGAGGGTGCTGGCGACATCGGGCAGCGACGACAGTCCGACTGTAAAGTTGGCCAGGGATGAGCGATTCGCTGGCAGGGGCGGCACTGCCTCGGGGTGGTGCTGCGATATCACACTCGGGAGATTGGCCGGCAGCCAGGACTGCTGCGAGGTACATCCGGAGAGCTCGGTCTTGGTGTCGCCGTTGTCGGGTTCATGTTCATGCTCATGGTCATGTCCTGGCTGGGTGGCTTGCTTGAAATCGGTCGGAGCGTTGGCAGCCGCGGCACCAAGGAAGGTCAAGCCGTCAGGCCGGGACGAGAGCGCTGCAGTGCGAGCCGAGTTTGGGTCGCTATCCAGAATGACGTAGTGGTCGGTGCTTGGCGAGACCTGGGCCGAGAGCGAGCTCGAGCGCTGTTTTGGAGAGATGCGTCTGCGACGGCGGCCCTTGCGATGCCGAGCCGTAACATTCCCAAGGATGCAAGCTGGATCCGAGAAAAAAAGGGGGGGGCAGAATAACCAAAGCCGACAAGGCCAGGGACAAGGTCAGGGACAAGGGCGTTGCGCCAACCACATTGTCTTTCAGGGGCACACCCCCTGGGATTTGCGTCGCGAAAGGCTTACCCAGGACAGCAGCAAACACGAGCGCCGCTCCAACGCCTGCATAGACCAGAATGGTCTTGGTTTGGCTCCAGCTGTTTGGATCGGCAGTCGTTGCGGCAGCACTTGGGCTCGGGCTCGGGCTCGGACTTGGACTTGAACTCGGGGAAGATGTAGCGAGTTGTGCATTGAGCTGGACCGGCAACCAGGTGGTCGAGCGGGAGACACTCGCCGGCTGGGAAGTGTCTGTCGAGAAGGCCTCCAAGGAGATCCAGGCAGCAAGCTCGGTGTCGGAGCGATACGAGCCGCTGGCATCCAGGACGCAGGTGGACGCCGAGGATCCAACATCATGCCATTCTGGAAACGGGGTGCAAAAGTCGGTGCAGCTTGCAGTCGAGCAGGCGTAGCTCTGCAGCCGAACGGCATCGTCGGCGAGAGGCTGCTGTCGGGTGACAACAAACAGCGAACTGCTGAGCTGGGTGCAAGTGGGATAGACAGGACGTCGCTCGGCCCGATGGGGCTGCTCGCAGTCCGGGTCGGCGCTGAAGAGGGTGAAGACAAAGGCCTTGGTCTTGAACGACGGGTCAAAGTTCCTGGCGGACAGCGGACACGGAGGGTTGCAATGAGCGCGGATGGTCTCCTGATGCAAATCATGGTGATGGCGTTGCTCGCAGCGTCCCCCCTCCCTTTGCTTGGGAAGATTGCAATTACGTACCTGAGGGTATCGAGTTTCGTGGAAGGCGCAGGCTGCGAGAGCCGGCAGCTTCGGGAGCGGCGGGCAGTGCTGCGGTGATGCGTATGTTGGATGCACTCGCTGGGATCGCAGCTCGGATCGGTTCCGCAATCAAAGTACTCGGGCGCTTGGGTGTGGTTGAGCGAGAAGAAGCCGTGGTGGCCGCCAAAGCCGATGCAAGTCTCGGTCCGGAAGAGAGTGTCGCCCAGGACGGGGGCACCCTGTTGAGGCGGCACCGACGGGCAGTTGGAGCGGCCCACGACCCAATGGGCCAGCGCAGACGATTCTGCTGCCATCGCTCGAAGGAGAAGAGCTGGAGCTGCTGCGGGTGCTGTTGCGGGCGCTGTCGGAGCAGGTGGTGTATGCGTTTTGCAGATCAAGTGCACCACCAGCGCTGCCCGGACCAGCGATCAAGAACCAGCTCGCCGCAACTTCAGGCGGTGCGGCCGGGGGTAAGTCTCTGGGTTGTAGCCTCACTCGCGCAGGGCTCGCCTCTCCTTGTTGTCGCCCCTCCCCTTCCTTTTCTTTCCTTTCCCTTTGCCGTTTTCTCCTTGGACTGGACGTCGTTGCAGCCAGGCTGGGACGGCATATGGCTCGGAGGATGCGCCATCGATGCTGTGTTGCGATACTATTCTGTGAGGATGCCCTGTGATGATGCCCTGTGATGATACCCTGTGATGATGCCCTGTGATGATGCCCTGTGATTCTCCACGGCGGCTCTGTGGGGCCAGCACCCTCGCCAACGGCCTTTCCCGTCTGCGGTTCCCGCACAGTCGCCGTCGTCTTCTCGTCTGGAGGGTCCCGCAGTGGCGCTCTGCATCGTCCTTTGCATGCGAGCCGATTGCAACGAAATCTTGCTGGAGATGGAGCTGCGCTTCAACCACAGGAACGGGCTCAATTTTGGCAGAATTTGGCGTGGCACTCAGCGGCACAGGGAGGCAGGGGGGGGTGCTGTTCCACCAACCTTGCACAGATGCACAGGGTTGACGCAGGATGGCGCTGGGCCGAGAGACTTGGCTCTGCTCATATCAGTCGCAATGGCCCTGGTCTCTGCGGCCGCACATATGCAAAAGACATAACCCGCTTTCATATTATCGACACAAAGTATATGCGTGAGTCGGCGCGTTGGCGGACATGACAGCCCCCACGAGACGCCGAGAGAGCGAGAAAAAAAGAAAGGAAAGGCGCCCCCCCCCGCTCACCAGCCGCGCTGTACATTACGCAAAGAAGCAGAAAGGACGGCACAGAGCACGGGGCTGGTGGTGGAAGGATGGGGTCGGCACCTGCGGGGCGAGACGGCGTGGTCGATGCGCCGGGTTGGCACCATGCCCTCCCGCCGACCCTGAAATGAATCAACTGGAACGGAAGCTTCGGGCAGACCACAATCCGTCGGTCGAAATCCGCGGCGATGGAACGACCGAGACCGACGACGAGGTCAGGGCCGGCGAGGGCTCCATCAGATGGTCGTATCGGGGAAGGTTGCTGTCCGAAAACAAGTCGTCGCCAAGGACACGGAGATTTTGCAGCTTGACAAGGCCAGAGCGACCGGTGGTGTGGTTGTGGGCCTGGGCCGGAGAACGAGCAAGGTTAGTTTCAATCGAGAAAGGCACGAGGCATGGCGAGCATGCAGCAGCTGCCTGGACAATGCTCCAGACGAGATCATAGCCATTGCCATTGCCATTGCCATCGCCATCGCCATTGCCATTGCCATTGCCACTGTCATTGCTGCTGTACCTGTGCCCATCCGTCATTCAAGATTGCAATGACGCCAACAATGTCGCCGATCCGCAGGTCGATTTCGTGGGTGTCGCCCTTCAGGGGCTCATAGCAGACTACGGAGCGGTAGATGGCCACGTCCAAAGTGCTCGCCGACTGTGAGATGTCGCTCATCGGGATCTCGGAAGCGTGTCGGATGATTTGAGGACCGAGTTGGGGCGGCGTCGGGGGCGCTGGATTGTAGCTTTGCACCAGCTTGTCAAAGTCCTTTTGATGCTGGGTCTTGCGGCGGCGGTGGTAGATGAGCAGCAGAACGGCTATTGATCCCAATGTGAGAGGATAGAGCGAGAGAGTGTGAGAGCGTGGGAGAGAACCCAAGAGCGATCACAATCGAATTCAAACGCAGGCGAGAGTCATGGTATGTACATGCATGTGTCGGCAAAGCATGCGGTGGCTGCAATGCATGCCAGACGAGCGGGAGAGGCCGACGCTGTACCTGCACAGATGAGGACAATACCGGCAGTTCCGAGCCCAGCCAAGAGGGGTATCTTCTGGTCCGTGGTGGAGCTGATAGCCGGCTGGGAGGTTGAAAGTGCGACCGGGGGAGATGTGGAAGCGGAACCCGATGCTCCGTTCATTGATGGACCCGTGGGCAAGGCCGTCAGAAAGCTCGATAGGGCCGTGCTGGAGATCAGACGGTAGTCGGAGCGGAACGAGCCGGTCGAGCTCGGCGAGCACAGGGGAGTCGGCGACAGGAAGAACGAGAGTCCATAGGGCGAGCAGTTCTGGGTGCAGGCCGAATCCGTGCAGCCATAGCTCGACAGCGCTGTCGTTTGGTTGTCGACGGGTTTGCGGAGGGTGATTGCATAGACACCTTCGTTGACCTTGGTGCAGGCCGGGAAGACAGGTCGCCGGTCGGATTTGTAGGGTGCCGAGCAGGGCTGGTCGGCGCTATAGGTCACATAGACGAAAGAACTGGTTCCGAAAGCGTTGGCAAAGCCGCTGCGATATCAAGCCACGCAGCGCGGGGCCGGGTTGGGAAAGAAAGGAAAAGAAAAGAAAAGTGAGCAAGGTGAGTGACGAGAGTATGAGTTTGCAGGGGAGGACCCGGATCACAGGCAGAGAAGGGCCGCAACGCTGGCTGGCAGATCGAGCATGGCCCAGATCATCACTGCAACGAAACTGTGCTCAGCTCCACCCTCCCCCCCCCACACGAGCGCCGCCTACCCAACGGTTTCGGTCGAATCATAGATCGCCAGCACGTCGCCGTTACAGGGCCGCGGCAGCGCCGGGTTCTTTGGAAAGTCGGGCGGGGTCGGACTGCAGGAACTCGGGGCGCAGGTCTGGTCGCTGCCGCAGTTGGACCAGCCAACGGTCTGCGTTGTGGAATTGAAGGTGTAGTAGCCATAGAAGCCGCTGGCCGAGTTGGGATGGACGTTGGCGCAGACATTGGTTGCATAGAGGCTGTCGCCGAGCGACGACAGAAAGGGGCCTGAGGAGGCTGTCTGGGCGCACTGCGGGAGGGACAGGCCCGCGGAGCCGTAGGTGAGCAGCCACTGGATGTTGCTGGAGTTCATCCTGGACGATGAGGTGAGTTTGCTGGCAAGCCGGCTGGCGAGGAGCAGGCAGTAGGAGTGTCCTTGGAAGGCAAGATGCTGGGAGCGTCCTCTACCTGCCCAGAGAAGGCACAGACGCAGGGGCGATTGGAGGCTGGGTGGGAGGGGGGATGCCGGAGGAGGAGGAGGACGGATGGAAGCATATGGACGGCGATCCATTCCTGTTGGCTGGACGATCTGCTGACAGCGACAGCGGTGCTGGCGGGGAGGTGGGTGTTTCAGCCTTGGTCAGCGCAAACGATCGACCCAGCAGCAGATCCGCTGTGCTGTACGTCCATGGCAGCAGGGTTTGAGTTGCAGGACCACAGAAGCAGAGGCCGGCGAGGAGCATGGAGGCCTTGTTGTTGAGACCAAGGCACATCGCATGGAGGACAATGGCGGGTCGGGCGGGGGTGGTGGGGCGCTGCCCGCCCAGGTTTCAGCCCTTGCAGGCGGGGACACTGCCCTCCACCCGGTGAAACCTGACTGGGGGAACGACTGCCTTGGAGCAGCAGCAGGGAGAAGACGGACGCCCCCCACCGGTCTTGGAATGTCGCTCGGGGCCGCGCTGCTTATTGGGCGGGGGCAAGCATCGGCGATCTCGGGTCCAAGGCTGCCTCAGTACGAGCTGCGTTTCCGGTGAGGCTTTTGCGACGATGACCGAGGCGTCGGTTGAGGCAAGGAGCGGCAGCAATGCACAACCACAGCCGAACAAAGTCGGATTCTGTTCACAAAAGCAATTGGTGTATTTTGAACAAATTGTGCGGGGCAAGCGAGAGCGAAATACAGTTGAGACATGGGGGATACGAACATACAGTGAGAAGAAACATGCTGGTCCGCAGGGGATTGGGCAGGCAAATCAGAGCATGAGGCTCATGAGAGAGGCGACAGCGAGCAGGCAGGCAGCGACAGCGCCGGTGGCCTTGTGGCCGCTGCTCTTGGCAGCAGTCGAGGGCGAGGGGCTGGGAACAACGCCGTTGGTGTACAGGGTGAGAGAGGGAGCCGGATCGTCGGCACCGTCGGGAAGGGTGCCGTTGGGGTAGGGAATGGCATCCCAGACAAGAGGAACCTTGATGCCAGTGGAGTTGGTGGTGATCTGGGTGGTGGGGAAGTACAGCTTGGTGCCCTCGGTGACGTTGGGGAGCATCATGGAGATACTAAAGTCCTCATAGAGACCGTTGAGGAGCTGGCCGCCGTACCAGATGACGGTATCGACAGTGGTGTTGACGATGCCCACGTCGTCGACAACGACAGGAGGGTTCAGGGGACGCATGGTGAAGTCGACCTTCCAGCCGGAGAGCTCACGGGGAATGACGGTGTTGACGCCGTCGGGGATCTTGACGGAGACATTGAGGGTGTAGGAACCCGGGAAGGAGTGGGCTGGAGACGAGGCAGGCGAGGGGGAGGGAGATAAAGCGCCAGCAACGTGAGCCATGCGAATGGGGTCTGACATTGGCCGTGGGAAACACCCAGAGAGAAACAGAGCCCAGCACATCCAGCAACAACCGAAGCCACCAAGGTAGCGGAAGCGACCGAAACGATTGCAGAGACTTACGGATGCGGATAGAGGTCACAAAGTACTGGCCGTTGGGGGCAATGTTGGGGTTGCAGGTGGCATGGGCCTGGACGCTGGAGACGGCCAGGGCCAGGGCGGCGATGAAAGTGGTAAGGCCAGAGAGCTGCATGGTGGGAAGGAGTGCTTCGGGAAGGAAGGATCGCAAGATGGCGAGTAAATTTTGCGACGGAGAGCGCTGACGGTATTTATGCGGGCGAGCGAGGGGGCGAGAAAAAAAGACTCACCCGCGACGGCGGCGGCGGCAGGCACGTTTGCTTGCGAGGCAAAGCGCAGGCCGAAGGACTGGCAAGGGGCGGCCACAGGGCAAGGCGTTGGTGCGAGGACGCCTGCCGCTTGAGGCAGGGCTGCGGAACGGGCTTTGGCCAGAGGAGGCACTGGAGTGTTTGCATCGCAGGCCCGAAGGACAAGCGACGCCGCGTTGTGCACTTTTTTGCGAACCAATGGGGGACATCAGGCGGGGCACTGAGCAGCACACAGACGGATGGAGCGCGCGACGGGTGGGGCAAGCAAGGGGGCAGCTGACCCAGTGGCGTGGTGGGTGAGGGCGTGCGAGACGACGGAAGGTGGGACGGTGCGATCGACGAAGGGTCTGTTAATCGAGGAGAGTGGCATGTGTGAGTCGAGGAGAGTGGCATGTGTGAATCGGGAAGGGCAGTTGATACAACGGGAGCGACATGTCTCGATTCGCACCAGCGACATGTCGCAACGGCAGACCGAGGGGAGGAGTGGGTGCGAGAGAACAAGAACAAGGGCAATATGGAAGACAGCGAGAACACACTGGCAGCGAGAACACACCGGCAGCGAGAACACACCGGCAGCGAGAACACACCGGCAAGGGGAACCGCACCGAGCAAAGACGAGAACGAACAAAGACAGCAACGGTGACACAGCCAGCAATGCGCAGCCCGCTGTGCGCAGCCAGTCCTTGCCGGCGACTTTCCAAGTCCGCAGCCGTGTTCGACAAAGCAGGATCGGCACCATATTCGAAGGCACAACATCGACACCATGTTCGAAAACACAACATCGACTGGCTTGTGCGATGGCTGAACACTCCAGCATGGTCGCCCCTTTCCCAAGTGCGCGCCCTCGATTCAGTCGAGCCATGCAGCTGCCCATGTTGCTGCCCGTCTCGGAGATCAACCCGCCCGCGCTCCTCCTGCATCGCCATCGACCTCCTCGCCATCAACTTCCTCGATCCGTCGCCCTTGATGCACGAATACCTGCAGCACGAATACTTGTACCACGCACCGATGGATGTCTTGGCCAGCCGCAGCCGGCATGTTTCTCGCCTGGACTTGTTCACCATTCGTACTGCAGCCGATATCTGCAGCGATCAAGCCGTCGCATCCCCGACCAAGCGATCAAGCCGTCGCATCCCGGCCGAGTGACCGAGCCGTTCACCTCTCCCAATCGCAACGTCATCTCCAACACCGATAGGATCCGCTGATAGGACCCGACGGCATCCCACAGCCGTGCTGCGTCCCCGCCAGCGATATGGATGATGATCGTCGCGGGTGGCTGCTCGGCCTGGATCCCGAGGCCGCTGATTGGCCCACCCGCTGGCGCTTGCGGCCAAGAGAGAAACTCTTGGCTGTCGCCTCTGCTGTGGTCATCTCTCGGCTGCTGGTTGCTGCCTGTCTTCGACGCAACCTCTTCGTATACAAATAGCCATGGATACCCCAGGCCCAGCCCCAGCCCCAGCGCCTGAGCCATCCACTCCCCAGGATGCTCCCTCGGCCGAGCTCGTAGCCCCGCCCCTGCCTGCTCGCAAGGCCCGTGTCTCCGGCCCGTCGGTGTCGTTCAAGCTCGAAAGCCATCCAGCCATCCAGGCCCTGCAGGACATTCCCTTCAACGATGTCAAGGTCATGTTGCTCTCGAAAAAGGTAGCTCTTCTGCCGCCAGCTGTTTGGCACAGTGCTGGTGGCGGACCTGACGAGGCCGATATGCCGATATGCCGATAGCAGCTTGCATATGCTGCATGACTCGCCGGTTGATCCTGGCTCGTTCATGGCTGATACGGCTCTCTACCTCCACCTTCCCGTTTCCGCCAGTCCTTTCTTCTCGTCTCGGCCCTTAGCCGCTCCGAGCCCGTCGACCGGCAGTACTACGACCATCACGGTGGGCATCCGGTCTGCGTATTCATCCAACCTTGGCTCATCTCCAAAGCCACTTTGAGTCATCCGAGTCTGACACCTCGCTGCATTTGCTGTTGCTGTTGCTATTGCTGTTGCGGTCGCTATCTCGCCAGTCGTCGTTCCAAACCCTGCAAATCCCAAGCAGTTCATCACCCTCGGAGGAGTGCGAGGTGCGTATACCAGCCGAGACCGAGTCGTCGAGCACAGCGCAGTCCCACCCACACCGTCAGCATCAACGACAGGTAGCGTTAACGACTGCCCTCTCCATCCCGCTGCCTTGTGGTGGCCATATCGGATAGGAATAATCAAAAAGTAAGCGACTCGGCCGCATCCCCTCCGCTACGACGGGGCAGCCCCCTGCCCTTCTCGCCGGGAATCTGACTCAACATGTCGCTGATCGCATCTATGTCTTTGACCTGGCCCAACTCGTCTTCAAGGGACCGGATCATCATCGTCGGCGGCGCACCATCAGAAAGCGATTTGCTGGCAGCATGGTCTGGCGAAGTCGATGCCGGCAAGGGCCGCCAGACCATCTGGTCCACGATCGACATGGACTCGTCCGAAACAGACTATCCCTCCATCGCTTGTGTGGGCGAGGAGCCCGTTGTCGTCCAGATCCCGGGAGGCAGCGACTCAATCCTTGCCCTTGAGGTCAAACGCAGCATCATGCCCGAGGATCTGGCGCACTCAAAAGGAGCAGCATCCGGAAACGCCGCCGGTGACTCGCCGGCTGCTCGTCCCTCCAGCACGGGCGAGCCGGCAGCCGCCAGACCATCAACAGCCACCGAGGAGTCGAATCTGCTCGCCAACATTGCCAGCGCCATCTTTCCCCAGATCGACAGCAACATCCCGCCTCGATTGGATGATCTGCCGGAGCTGCACTCCGATATCTCATATCTCTTCTTCATGTCCGTCGTCAAAGAGGAGCCGCGCTCAGCCTTTTTGATCAACCAAATCAACAGGCTCTCGGGCGATGCCGCTCTGATGGGCCGCTGGAACTCATCGCCAAAGTCGATTCAGACCCTCGTCACTGTATTCCTGGACCGGCTGCAGAAACCCTGCAAGGAGCTCTGTACCTATCTCAAAATGGACGAGGTGATGCAGCAGCATTTCAACCAAGGGCTGGAGAACTATGTTTTGGCCAAATCATACGAGGCGTATGTATCGTCCCAACCTGCGTCGCAACCCAACCGGACACGAGCCGGGCTGTGTCGGCAGTCGACCAAGCTGGTCCGAGAGTGGCCTGCTCAAGAACAAGCTCACACAGCCCGCTCAACACAGCCCGCTCAGCACATCCAGTTCAGCACATTCCGCTCAGCACATCCAGTTCAGCACAGCCTGGATGCCATATCATGCGTCCTCGTGCCTGCCGATTCCCATCGATGTCATCTGATCTCCCCCTCCCCGATGTCTTTGTTGCCTTGTATCCAAGACAGCACTAACCACGCTTCTGTCCACCTTTTGCATCCAGCTCGTTCGGCCCGATTCGTCAACGAGAGGCCGCTAACGATCTCATCATTCAGCGTCGCATCTCGCTGCTGAACCTGGCATCCTTTGCACCTCATCATCTGGAGCTGCCCAAGCTCATGGAGGACTCTCTGAACAGCATCAAGCATCGCCTGGGAATGGAGCTACTCAAGTGCGACTCGTTGGGGGTCACACCCAAGTCCAAACTCGACCACATTGTCAGGTGCCACCAGATTATCGTGGGTAGGCTAAGGCTGTCGCTGACTCAACTCAACCGATTCGGATGTGGCGCGCTGTAGCAACGTTCGCATGGTCACAGCCCCTCAGTCGCCTCGACCCGATCCGTGTGCCGAGCCTGTTGCTGATGAAGTATGTACGTGCTGATTCCATTGGTTGTTTTTGATGCGTCAACGCAGACGAGATATCTTCTGGCAAGCTGCTGGACAGGAACGAGAGCCCCAAAGCCGAGGATCCCAACAAATCCGGTGCTGATTTGCTCCTGCCTGTGTTGATCTACTGCATCATCAAGTAAGTGAGTCAGGCTCTGGGCCAGACAAGGCACTCAGCGAACTCGCTGAATCCGTGCGCTCCGGGTCGCAGCCAGTAGCTATATCGTGCTTGAAGTGCCAACCGTTTGCGTCTGTTGGTGCAGGGCCAACCCCCCTCGACTGCTCGCCAACATCCGGTACATCCAAGAGTTCAACGTCGGCACCAAGCTCGATGGCTATTCCGAGTACTGTCTGACCAATATGGTACTGTTGCTTGCGATGGGGCAAAGCCCTGGTTCTCTGTACCCAGCGTACCGAGTCCATCGCCTGAGTTACGACAGTGGTAGATGTTGTTTCGTCTGTCAACTACCACTGGTTGCTGGCGCGTCGCTGCATAGTGCTGAATCGAACGCTACCCGCTCAAACACCCTGATGTATCTCGCCAGGCCGCCGTGATTTCCTTCATTCAGTCTGTCGATTTGACGCACTTTGACGTCCCCAGCGAACTGGCGATGAGGTAACCCCCCGTTGAACACTGCTCGATTTCATGCCATAATACGGCATGCGGTTATGTGTGCACAGCGCCAGACATCCCCGAATTGATGGTGTCTTGTCGCACGCTGTCCTAGTGGCCACTTCCACCTTGACGGCGGTCCAAGTCGATCAGTCACTCCTCTCAACACCTCCATTGCTCCCGAGAACCTCAAACCCGCAGCCATCCAGACTCTCTCGGACATGTAAGTCTGCAGGAACCCAGCCATGGTGGAGGGAGAGGCGGCTTGAGCCCATGGCCGATTCGCACTTTGCGTCTCCCACACGATCCTTGGTCGTGAGATGGTATTTGTCCAAACTTGCCTGACCAAGATCACACGCTAACACTGTTTGCACCTTCTCGACGTGCGTGCATGCGTGCCGCTCCTGGCATGGCCAATCGGTCTTGCTTCTAGGCCCTCCAAGATCGGCCAGCAGATCGGCCAGCAGGTCTTTGGGATCCTCCAGAACGCCCCGCAGCAGCTCTCGCAGTTCCCGGGCCGACTGAGTGATGCCCTCAATTCGACAGCAGAGCGTCTGGGTGCTGCTGCCACTGCCGCAACCGCCTCCGCCTCCGCTACCGCCAACGCCGCTGGCTCCAATCCTGTCGGGTTTGTGCTGATGAAGCGATCGGGATCGCCTCCGAAGCCGCTGATGAAGGAGCCCAAGTCGGCCGCTGGAGAGTCTGCCGCCGGTCCGTCCACTGCATCGGTGGATGAATCGACAGGCGGCGGTAGCGGCGGCTCTGCCAAGCAAGCGCCTCGCTCCGAATTCGCCCAGAGCTTCAAGGAGAGTCTCCGAAACCACCGAGGATAACAGAGTGGTTCTCTCGACGCCCTCATCACCCGTCCTCCAGGCGCTGCGATCCAGACAGCTGCTGAGATGGCAGCATCGACTCTCCAGGAATACTGCAAGATCAAAATAGTCGGTGTCAAGGTTGGCTTCTCCCCCCCCCTCTTCCTCGAATAAATATTCACCGGTCGTCTATGTCACGGCTGATGCGCGGACTCATACGGGAGTCAAGTGATGAATGTCGTGTTGGGGTTACCCACACTGGCGATGTAACCGCGATTGCATTCGGAGACAGGGAGGCGCAAGGATGGTGGGATGAGGGCAGAGCGAGTTTCGCCGTGGAGAAAGCAAAGCGCCATTGAAGGTGAGGGGCGGACAGGAAAGAAGCAGGCGCCGACAGGGGCTCCGAGAATGCAATCCGCTCGTCTACTTTGCTTTGGACGATTTGTTCTTGGAGGCCGGCTTGAAATCCAGCGGATGGATGACGGCGCCAGCTTTGGTCTGGATCCTTGGCCGGATGAGATCCAGGTGCGAGCTCTGGGCGTTCCACTCTGGGCCAAGCGGCAGCCGCATTGCGTTTTCGTACTGGTCGCGGTTGCCGAAGCCGTGCGGGACCTCGGAGGCCATCAGCTTGAGGGACTGACATCGGTCATGGAGAAGGGTTAGTCTATCCACCCGACCACAACCCGACCACAACCCGATCAATCTGATCTATCGATCATGCTCGTGACAGACAGTCCAATCAAGGGGAAGGGGGGAGTTCACACAGGGCAACGACGGGCAGAACAGTCGCCCACCTTCTTGTTGCGCTTCTCGTTCAGGATGACATGCTTGAGCTTGGAGTCCTTGCGCGTGGACGGGTCGACGCCGGTGCCGGGCCGGGCTTTCTGCACCACAACATTGCGTTTCCGCTTCAAACCCTCGCCGCCCCAGGATCCCTGGAACAGAGCAATATCAATGGTCAGTCACGCAAATGGCCAGATATCCTGCACGAGCACCCTGGCAACCAGGATCGAGCGCGCGATGCCAATGTTGATGCCAATGTCGATGCCGGCTCGAGCCAGGCAACTTACCCAGCCAGGAAGGGTCAAATCGACGTCCTTGGGCGCATCGCGGTCAATGAAGCGGCGTTTCTCGTCCTCAAACTCCTGAATCAGCAATGGTGACTTTTTTAGTCAGTCTGACCGGTCCTCATGAGCCACGAACCAGCAGCAGGTGGTTCCCAACGCCACGAAACGGCGTCGACACGCTCCAACCCAATCGCCAAAGATTACCACCAACTCACCTCGGCCATCACGTCGTCGTTGGCAAACGCCATCTGCATGATCTGATGCTGGCTGAGCCTGGAGGCGTCGCTGGAGTGCACCATTTCCAACTGCTCGGCGTCAGCTTGGTGGTCCCCATCATCATCGTCGCTGTCGAGGGTACCGGATCTGTCGGTAGACTGCTCCGTGGCAGCCTTCTTTCCACCCTTCCGGTGTTTCCGCTTCCGCTTGGATGCGTCTGCAGCCGTCCGACCAGCCGATCCGGCATCAACAGGCTCATCTGTGTCAGCATCGCCGTCAGCGAGGTCGTCGGCGTCGGCTGCAGCGTGATCGCCAGTGTGTGCCGGGCCGGTCCCGAAGGAGGGACTGGCAGCAGATCCCTTCTTTGAGGTGCTTTCCAGGGCTTTCAGGCCGCTGATATCGATCTCGAGACTGGCTTCAAGTGCCTCGACAGCATCCCGCTGGCCCTTCTTCTTCTCCTTGGAGAACTTGTCCAGAGCCTTGACAGCACGATCTGTGTTCTTGTCGATCTTGGCGACTTTGGTGCTCTTCTGAATGGCCTTGGAGTCTGAGGCAAGCCAGGGATTCACGTCCGATACCGATTGGTCTTGCTCGCCAGATCGAGAAGGTGCGCTTGTGCGAGAAACAGCGTCGCTCTGAGCCGTCTCGGCGGGGCTGGCGGTCTTGGCCAGCTGGTCGTGCAGGCGCTTGGACTTTTTCTGCGATGCTGGTTTCGCGAGCACGACGGGCTCGGGTGGACTGCCCTTGCCCTTGGTGGGCAGGCTCGTGACGGGCGCCTCGAACTTGGCCTTATTCGCCTGGCCCACAAACGAGAAACCCTCGGTTTCAAAGGTATCGACTTCAAAGATTGGCTTCTGCGCAATTGCCTTGGCTTCAATGGAGACCGGGCCCGACAGCTTGATCTGTGAATGGCCTTCTCCAGCGACCAGGCCGCTCGAATCAAAGGTGAATTCGTTTTCATCGTCGTCGTTCATAATTTCCAGCCCCGAGCGCGACTATTGAAGGCATAGTTGGAACAAAGGTCCGAGATGCGATGCACAGCGGTTGTGTTTGCGTGCCCACAATGATTGTATCGTCAGTGAGCAACAGAAACCAGTTTGATCATGAAATGGACTGCTCGAACAAGGGCGAGAGCCACGCTGTCTCGTCCTCAGCGGCCAAGAGCGAGACCCACCTTGGTTTGCACACCATACGAAAGTCTGCCGGCATTTCCTGCGACAGTCTTTCGGCCAGCATCGTCGGCGGCGATCTTGCCAGCGGCATTATCCTTTCGCTTCTCGCTGCGCGCTCGCTCATCGTCGCTGTCGAGCTCGTAGTCACGATCGTCCGAGTCGAGATCGCCATCTTCGTCTTCATTCTCGAACCGACCGCTTTCAATGTCGGCACGCAGGCGATCGATCTTGCGCTGAACCTCTTGCTTCTGCTGCTCGACGTTGCGCTGCATAAACTTCATGGCAAAGACACCCTTCTTGGGGGCCTCGGCGTCCTCAACCTCGTTTTCCAGTTGGTCAAGTCGAGCGAGAGCACTGCCCTTGGCGCGGTCCTCAAAGGACCCTTCTGCGTCGTCGTCGTCCTCTGCGATATCCGAGGCGTCCGAATCATCCGAGTCAATGCCCGTGATGCGCTTACGGAGATCCTCGTGCTTGTTGAGCTGCTCGTTCAAGGCTTGGCGGGTCTATGCGCGGCGATGATACAGTTTGGCACAGCAGCAGACGAATCAAAGCTGGTCAGAGGTGGCGAGAGCGAAAGCCACTACAAGATCATCCACACTGCGGGACTCCCATCGATCGGCACGACCACAGCCGCGGCAACTCTGGCCACAACTTACTTCGCCATCGACATCGTTCCAGGAGAGCATGTACTTTGCCCATTTGCCCGTGTTCTTATGGCGCATGCTGACACGTTCCTATATGAACAAATCATTGGAATGTGGAGGTCAGACGCGCGTGCCTCCAAGGGCGTTGAAGAAACAAATCAGGCATGGCGGGTGGAAAGGTCACGATGCAGAGCAGACCACATGCCTTGGCACGGGCAGCTTCGAGCTTCTCAAGCTCGGCCGCTGCCAGCTGCGGATCCAGCTTGTGCAGCTCCTCAATCGACATCATCTGCTTCTTCAGCTTGTCCTTCTTGAGGATCTTGCGGTAGGTCTTGCTCTTGATCTTGGCAAGACGCTTGGCTTTTTGTTCCTCAAAGAACAAAAGGCTTCTCATCTTGGACAGCTCCGCGCGGCGGGCCATGAGCTGATGCCAATCCAATCGGAGACAGTGTGTCGAAAGAAGCAAGTCGAGGGAAGGGGGGGGGAAATGGCGATCAGCACTCAAATCTGGGCGAGTCCGCTGCCATTGAGCTCAGGGCTCGGTACATCACGAGAAATGGCACATACCTCCTCCTTGGAGACCTTGTTGAGCTCCATATCCTCAAAGGCCTTTTGTTTTTTCTCAACCAACTGCGACTCCTCCAGGATTTGATGGATTTCCTTCTCCATCTCGGTCTCGGGCTGGTGCGGAGAGACAAGGCGCCATAAGGAGAGAAGTGAGATGACCGATCGCGTTGCTGCACATGCGAGACCGGTGGCCATCGAGCTGTCTTGCGAGCGTGCTGTCGCAACTCACCGTAAACTTGCTGACAAGGCCACTGCTGGATACGCCAGGTGCAGGAGGCTCATTCATGGGGAACTGCAGATGGGTGGCCTCCCGATTCTTCTTGATGATCGGGGTCCACTTGGAAATGTCCTTCTTGGTCTCTGCAAACGCAGCCTCGCGAGTGAGGCGGTCCTGGACTCGCTTGGGCAGCGGTGCCGACACGACAGCAGCCTGCTGGGTGGCAGCCTTGTGCAGCGAGTCTCGGACAGCAACGGGCGTCTCCAGCTGTTCGATCTGCTTCTTCAAGCCACCAAAATCCGTGGTATCTTGCAGGACGCCGACCATATCGGCAAAGTTGAGCTTCTGGTTGGCTTTGGCAGAGCCAGAGTCCAGATCTGCGGCGCTGTCCCTGGTGCTGATGGCGTACTCGGACTCCTCAAAGGCCTCGGTGATCTCGGACATGTGCCGTTTCTTTGTGGGGAGCACGGTGTGCTTTCCGAGCTTGTTGACAAACTCGCCAAGCTCGTCGGCAATGCTCGAGTCCTTCTCAAGCTGCTTCTGCCGCTTGGATCTCCGCGAGCGCTCGGCCTCTTCCTCGTCGTCCACTTCATCATCATCGAAGTCATCGTCCTCATCGAGATCATCCTCATCGTGATCATCTTCATCCTCATCCTCGCCATCTTCGTCCTCGTCCAGCCCATCGATATCGTCCAGGCCCTCGTCCTCATCGTCCTCACCAGCGCGGTGCCGACTCGGGAGCAGCAGGTCGATTTGCTCCTTGAGCTTGGAGCTCGCGGTGGGTGGCCGGACGGGAGCGGTCGAGGGGCCCAGCATATCGGAAAGGTTCATCATGGTCTCTTCGTCGAATTCTTCGTCCTCGATGCTGTCGCCGTCGCTATCACCAGGCGCCTGTTCTCCGCCGCTCTCATCTCCCATGGGCTCATCCTCGTCGAGAGTAAGCTCCTGTTGCACACTCTTCTTCTTCTTGGCAGACTAGAGGGCAACAAACGAGCGCGGTCAATATCGACAGCCGGCGCCAGAATAGAATATTCGCTTGCGAAGGAGCAGATGCCAGAAAAGTTGTGTGTGCGATGCGGAGGGTATTGGACGACAAGCAGGCGCGGCATCCACACCCCCGGAGCCCGCCTGCCCAGAAAACCACGGCGATATCCGATGATGGAGTGGTCACCTTGGAGGGGGCAAAGTAGCTCCCGTACTTTTCTTCATCGCTGCTTCCAAAGGCCTCGTCCTCGCTGATTTCCTCGTCATCCTCCGAGTCGATTTGGTCAACGTCGAGGTTGATGTCCTCAACGTCATCGAGATTTCGCCGCTTCTCCAGCCTGCTTCTGGAGTTCTTGGTCCGCGGCTGGCCGTCGTCCTCTTCGCCGCTCGAGGCCTCGTAGACGTCCCATTTGCCGGACTTTGACTTTGCGCCAGGCTTAGATCTCGGTTTGGATTTGGGCTTGGAGTGTGCAGAATGGGATTTGGTGGGCTTGACGCCGCCACCAGGCCGTTTGGAAACGGCAGCGTGCTGTCCCTTGGACTGTCCCTTGGGCTTTGCCATAGCTCGGTCGATGCGGGGAGCTGTCGGGGAGCTGTCGGGTCGATGCAATGCAATGCAATTCAGCGGGTGCTGGCCAAAAAAAAGAAAGCGCAGCCGGTCACGTTGGCGGGCAAAGCCAGACAAGCCGGATCGAGTGCAGATCGCCGCCGGATCGAGGCCGGATCGAGCCGCACGGGTGACGGAGGCGCCGGCCAATCGCAAATGGCGGAGCACGGCGCGCGTGAGAGCGGCGCTGGAACCCGGATAATCCGAGACCATGACACTGACCGCGCGCGCTGCTGCCGGATATGGAAATGCCGCGGTCGCACACGGGGTGCAGACAGGGGGCCTGGCGCTGTGTGTCACCCGCGGATGCACTGTGGGCTGCTGTGTGGTGCTGGCGCCTTGTCGGGCAACAAGCCACAGGCAGGCTGTGGCCGGCCACACTGCAGCCAGCCGCACCACGGCCAGCCGCGGCGTCGCTCTGCGTCATTCTGAGGTCTCTCTCTCCGCGATCACCCTGCGTCCTCGGCCGGCCTTCCCACCGCCTTCGAGTACTTATAGCCGACGTCCTGCTTGCCGCAGGTTGTCTTGCGTCCAGGGCCCTCCGAAAGTGCTTTCTCGCAGCGTCTCGTCCGCCTCATCGTCTGCTCCACACGCACAGCCGCAACGTCGCTGGGTGCTGTCTGTGTCTCTCCTCTCCCGCTCGCTCTCGTCTCTCGCCTCGTGCCTGCTGTTCTCGCCGCGGCTGTGACTCGCCCAATCCAGAACTCAACGATCTCTTGATCTGTCGTCCCAAGCCAGCCATCGTTGCCTTCCAAGTCGCAGGAACATACTGGCTTTGATCCCGTCCCGGCTGCTCTCAAGACCCGGACCGCACCACTGTTTCGTCGCCAGCACCATCTGTGCCCGCACCCCCCTTTCGCACCCCGCCTCTCAGCCAAATCATGCTCCGTGGCGATGCCAAGTCGGCCGATGAGGTCGCATCAACCACTCCTCTGATCGCCCAAAAGGTCACCGACGACAATGTCCTGCAGGCCCTCGAGGAGAAGTGGACCGTCATTGCCGAGAACGATCGACCCGAAGACATCAAGCCCGCGAACCTCTACGAGCGCTTCGTCTTTGCCATGATCCGTGATCCCAGGGACCTCAAAGGTATGAGCGTTGCCGCCAGGTCAAGGCAGACCATTTCCCGCCGTCTCCCACTGGGAGCCTCTCCTGTCCACCAATTCCGACGCTCCAGCAATACTCCAGCGACATCCTCTCCCCAGACACTAACGCACCAACTAATCATTGTGCAATCCCAATTGTTATTATCCTCTGCCCTCCTCCCCCATATCCATTTCCTCGACGTCTACACACCGTTCTCTGCCATCATCGGTCGTGCTCTCGTCTGTTTCGTCCCTCGGTGGCTGCTCGCGCCGCTGCAATCAATCCAATGCCGATCGCCCTGGGCCTGCTCGACTGTATCCACGCTCGCCATGACGTCTCTGGGTGTTGACCGGCTTCAGTCTTCAACTTGGCCTTCCGTGGCCTCCTCACCGTCGTTCCGTCGGCCGCATTGCTGATCTTCTGGCGCTTCAGCTGGATCCAGGCTATTGTGCACATCTTCTTTGTTGCCTCCATTGCCGAGATCTACACCCTGGCTCTGCATGTGTCTTCGCATCGCCCCCTGTTCAAGCCGCAGTTCCAGCTCTGCAACCACATCATCCCCGTTGTCCTCGGCCCGTTCTTTGGACAGACCTGGTATACCTACTACTGGCACCACGTCAAGGTGAGCGGGTGCCCTCACGGCCGGGACTCGTCCCAATCTTGCAACACCCAAAGCTGCCGTCGCATCCCTCCTCCTAGATATATCGAGCAAGAGTTCCGGCTGCTCTGTGCTGATGCGTCCGTTCTCGTTAGATGCACCATCCCACCGACAACTCGCCTGAGGATCTCTCGACCACCCTGTTTTACCAGCGTGACTCGCTCATCGGCTTCCTCCAGTAAGCAGCGTCGCCCTGCACGACCATGGATGCGCTTCCATCGACCGTTACATGAAGCTAATGCGCTTTCTTGGTATCCACTGTGCAATTGCCGTGTCCTGGTCGGCTCCGTCGCCCTCTCTTCCACCACCTTGCCGCATTTCCAGCTACTTTTTGAGCTTCTACTTTGGAGGCATGTTCACTCTGTCCAACTTCTTCTACCAGCGACGCCGCACCGATGTTGCCATCGGCATCATCTTGGGCGAGCTCGGCGTCTTTGCCCTCTACACCGTTGGCACGCTGCTGGCGCCCAGCGTCTGGTCGGCTGCCTTTGTCTTCTACATCCCCTTCAACCTGGTTCGCTTTGGCATGATGCAGGGCAACTTTGTCCAGCATGCCTTCCTGGAGCGCTCCGACCCTCTTGGTGGTGGTCGCGAGAACTCCATCACCATCATTGCCTCGGACTACAACAAAAACTGCTACAACGACGGCTATCACGCCTCCCACCACCTGAACGCCATCCGCCACTGGACCGAGCATCCTCGCGAGTTCATCACCAAGCGCCTCGAGTACCACCAGGAGAAGGCCGTTGTCTTCCAGGGCACCAACTACGCCGAGGTCTGGTGGTTCCTGATGACCAAGGACTACCAAGGCTTGGCCAAGAAGTGGGTGCACTGCGGCGACGGAACCCGCCCCAGCGACGAGAAGATTGTGTCCCTGCTGAAGGAAAAGACCCTGCGTTTCACTCCACAGCAGCTCGAGACCATCTACGCCAACAAGAGCAAGAAGTAGATCGATCTGACGCCCCAGAACATCGATGCGTTAGAGCTGTGGCTGGCGTTTCCCCGACCCTCTCTTGGCCCTCCCCATCTCGGTTCTGCGCTGCCCTTTCCGTTTTCCCACTGCCTTCTTTTTCAGCCTCGCTGTCCGATACATGCGTGCCCTCATGCGTGTGGGCTTGCGATGGGCTCTTGAGTATTTAATCTTGCCTGCTTGCCTGCTTGCTTGCCAGAAAGCTGTTGGATAGAGCAGCTATGATCCCATGTAAATCCATCCTTACCACCAGCACACCCAATTGATGTCGAAGTTTTGACAAAATACACCCAGCCAACGGCAAGCCGAGCACGATCGTCCGCCATTGCCTCAGTCCATGTGTCCAGAGCTGGGTGCACTCCGCACAGGAAGGAGATGATCAATCGATCTGTTAGCAGCCTGCGCGGCATCTCGGTTGATTCTATCGTTTGAACTGCTTGCTCTTGCTGGATCATGCTTCGGTCATCCAGCTATGGCGTCTTTGAACCAAAAGCAATCCGTCTCTCGACACTTCGATGCCAGAGCCGTATATTCACTGCATGCGCCTGGTCGATGAAACCCGACAATGTCCTGCTCACTCGCTCTTGTCCTTGGAGAGCAGCTTGGATACCATCGAGTCCATGAGCCACACGGGGGTAGCAGGCAAGAAGCGGCCGACGACTTGGCCCTCTTGATTCACAACAAACTTTTCAAAGTTCCAGAGCACACTGGCGACAGCGAGGAGTGTGTCCAAGCGACCGATCACATGTGCAAGATCCCATCGACGGAGAGATTGGAAGGATGGACGCAATTGGAAGATGGGTCAGTGCCATGGCGCAGACGAACAGACAATGACTCACACTGAGGGCAAGCGATTCGGCCCAGCAGGCGATTCGGCCCAGCAGGCGATTCGGCCCAGCAGGAGGTTTGGTCCAGCCGCCCGATGCCCTTCCCGCCTGGCATCGACATGACTGGCAAAAATACTGCTCGGCACGGCTGCATGCCTCTCGAGTCCGCTTACTTCCTGTATCCGAACAGTCCCGGAAACGAGTTTGTCAGGAATACAAAGAGCGGGTTGATCTCGGGTCCGGCCACCTTCATGCGCTCCAGGATCTGGAACGACACGCCAAAGTTGCGCTGGCATTGCTGGATGGCGTCGGTTTCGCGGTGTTCTGGATGGTTGTTGTTGAGAGATCGAGTCAGGAGTCAGAATAGCCAGCCGAGCCAAGCACAGCAAGCGGGATGGGTCGGACATGGCAGATGCTGGCTGGCTCACGACACTGCAGCCGACATGGCCGTATGGACGGCATGCGCGAAGGATCCGGCACAGGCGACCATAGATCAAACGACCCACCTTGCCGGAACGAGTTGGAGGGACATCCCAGCACGACCAGGCCCTGGTCCTTGTACTTTTGATGCAGCTTCTCGAGATCGGGATACTGCCACGGGGTCAGAGTGCACCTTGAGGCCACGTTGACGACGACGACGACCTTGCCCTTGAGATCCTGCAGCGGGAAGGGCTTGCCGCCGAGGGTGTTGACACCGAGGCTGTAGAAATGATCCTTATCAAAGACCTTCTTGTTCTTGGCCCTCAGGGCATAGTCCACCAGAACGGCAACGATGGCGAAGGAGGCAAGCCCTCCAAAGTAAAATAGAATCGACATACGGGCAGCCTGTTTTCTGTAGAACAGCATCAAGGAACGGCCGCAGGGAGAGCTCCGTGGGGGAGAGTTGAATGTCGTGGCTGTCCCGAGGCGGACGCTTGGAGGGGGGGAAGGCTTTGGCAGTGAGAAGCAGGCCAGATGGAGACACACCACAGAAGCCAGCCGCAAATTTTGGACGGGCCTGTCCTGCGCTTGCACTGCAAAACCAGAAATGCAGCGGCCCTCGATGCAACTTGCCGCAGCATCTCTCCTCCGCCGGACTGTGGCTGCATCTGTCCTTCGCCGGGCTGCCTGCTGCATCCCCACTCTCCGATCCACATCTCTCATCCGTCCCCTGAGAACCGTCGCGAGCACCATGGCGATCCCATCGATCGGTATGGCTCGCCATCAGCCAAATGGCCTTGGCCTCACGCTTGCCCCGGTGTCATGCCCAAAACCCAGGCTGCTTGAATCCGCTGGACTGATGCTGTGACTGGCCCTCATCTCATGATGATGTGACTGGCCCTCATCTCATGATGCTGGGACTGCCCCTCACCCCCAAACTCCCAGATATCGGTGTTAATCTGACTGATCCGATGTTCCGCGGGATCTACCGAGACAAACAGGCACATCCAGGTTGGGACCGCATGCCTCCCGAGTGAATGCCGCTGCTGAGGCAGGTGTCCGCTGCCGATGTATCTCCATCTGCTCTAACCTCACCGACCTCCAACTGCCAAACGGGAATATGAATTGGCTTGTGATTGCCTTTCTCCTACACCCCTCGCCGGGTTCTCCGCAATTCCGGCGACGCTCTGGTCTGATCCCTGCAAACTCCCCTGGTCTGCCTTTGCCGTTTGCAAAATCGGCCTCGACACCGCTCTCCATCCAATCTGCAACGATATCGGATCTGTGGCACCTCGTTGGATTTCCATTCAATCTTCTCCCCCCCCCTTTCGCTCTCGCAAGACGATCTGCATCTGGTTTTGGAGCGTGCCAGGACAGCCGGCGTTGAAAAGATCATCGTTACCGGTACGATGAGCAGACTCGCGATCGCAGAAACAGACCGACACTTGCTCTGCCAGCGTTGCTGATCCATCACGCTCGATGAATCTGGATGAATCTGGATGTGCAGGAACTAATCTCCAGGACAGTGGCGAGGCCCTCGAGTTGGTTCGTGGATACGGTGAGGCTCGCTGTCCCGCGAAATGCCTGCCGATCTGTATCGCCGGCACCATCGGCTCTATGTTATTCTTTTCTGGATTGCACTCGGATCTGTCAGTGCCCGCGAAGGAGGACGGCTTCATCAGTGCGATATTGATGCGCCATCCATGCATATTCGACACACGGCCCATGCAACGCTGACGCATCTCGCCGCTCAGACTCGCTCTACTGCACAGTGGGCTGCCATCCGACTCGATGTCTCGAGTTTGAGCAAGATGCCACCACCAACAAGAGTCCCGACGCCTACCTGCAAGCCCTGCTGGACATCATCGAGCAAGATGCACAGCAGGCACCCACCCAGCGCAAGGTCGTGGCCATTGGGGAGTGTGGTCTGGATTACGATCGCGAGCACTTTTGCCCACGAGACGTCCAAGTCAAGTGAGTTATCGCCGGCCGGGGGCATGCATCGTCGCTCGCATCGCACTCTGCCTGGCTTCGTCTGCTCCGCTGCTCGTGTAGACCGGCGATGCCGAACCAGAGGTCCTGCGATTGCGCATACATGTCGCTGCCGGGCTCGCTGATTCGATCTCACATGCGGCTATCCACACAGGTACTTTGAGCGACAGTTTGAGCTTGCCGAGCGCACCCGGTTGCCCATGTTTTTGCACGATCGCAACACCGGCGGAGACTTTCTCGATATGATTGCCAAGAATCGACATCGATTCACCACGGGGGTGGTACACTCGTTCACGGGAACGATCGAAGAGGCCCTGGCCTACATCCAGCAGGGCCTCTATATCGGGCTTAACGGCTGCTCGCTCAAGACGGAGGAGAACCTGGCGGTGGTGCGCCAGATCCCGATTGAGGCCATCATGATCGAGACGGATTGCCCCTGGTGCGATGTTCGGCCGACGCACGCGGGCTGGAAGTATTTGCAGGAAGCCAAACTGACCGACGACAAGGCCAAGAAGAAGGAGAAGTTTGAGTTGGGAGTGCCCGTCAAAGGGCGAAATGAGCCTCAGAACATCAGGTTAGTGTCGACACGGGCTGTGGCACAGGCTATTCGGGATTGCCAACGGCAGCAGAGATCGGTGCATGTATCGCCATGGAGGCAAGTCGGCGACCACAGCCAGGGCACGACATGGCTGCTCAGAGGAGTAACGGCGGCGACTACGACTACGACTACGACGGCGGGAGCATCCGGGCGGCGCATGCGCATGCGCTGACGCTGATATCTGTTCAATCCCCAGACAGGTGGCATGCATTATCGCGCGCCTGCACGATCTCGCCGTCGAGGAGTTTTGTCGGCGGGTTTATGAAACCACAGCCAAGGTCTTCTTTGGCGAGCAGGGCAATTGACACAATGACTGCGAGTGTCCACCGCCGCGACAGTGCAGCCCAATACAGACCCGATTCGGCCGCGCCGTGCGTCGCCGGTGCATGTGCGCTTGGCCAGTCCCAGGCTTCTTCGCTGCTTGTGTTGATGTCACACACAGGGGGCATGAGACGCCTCCTGTTACGCCCCGCCACGCCCCCTGGATGCTGTGTTCTGGCGGCTGGTGTCGCCCCCGCAGCACGCACGTCCAAATATACACCTCAGCAGCATTGTTGTTTCCAGCAGCAGCGCTCGCTGCCAAGGCGTTCCAATTCCGAACCCGCACAGGCTCGTCAACAGTCGCACCAGCCGGGTCAACAGACCCATCCCAATATACCCTCAAGGGCGATGGTCTTGCTTCGGCCCACCAGCCCACCCTCGAGAGCGTCGCGTGCTCGGCTGCATGCGGCTCCGTCGCTGCCTGATACCACAGCGATGGGTGCTGAGAAGGTTATAAAGACCCAGCCCGTCCCGGCTCAGCTTCAGAGTATCCACTCACCGTCACAGCTCTCCGCAACATGGTTCAAGCTCGCACTGCTCTCTGGACTCTGGTCCCGCTGTTCTCCGTCGCGGCCTCGGCGAATGGCCAGTGGGTCTCTGGCCAGGCCACGCACTATGGCCCTTTCCCGCAGTTCCCTGCCTGGTCCGAGCCCGGTTTCCAGCCTGGCGCTGTTGGTGTCGGATGCGCCAGCTCCAGCAACGATCCCCGCTGGAACGCCATCCTGAGCGGCGGCTTGCTGCCCAACCCGGACCTGCCCGCCAATGCGGCTACCGTCTGGCCGGTCGAGTACGTCGTCGCCGTGTCTGAGGCCGTCTACGGCGGCGCCAAGAAGGACCAATACTGCTTCCAGAAGATCACCATCCGCAACAGCAACGACCACAGCAAGCAGATCACTGCCACGATCGTGGACTTTTGTCCTGCTGGCAGCTGCCTGTGGTCGGCCAATGCGCTGGCGCACAACGTCGATCTCTACGGCGGCGCCGCATGGCAGGCTCTCGGCGGTGCTACTCTTGACGGCTCCATCAACATCGACATTATCTGGCCCGGAGGTATGTCCCCATAGCCTGCTTCTTCTACGTTGCTGCATGAATTGGGAAGTGCACTGTGCTAGACTCTCTTTTCTGCAACCCCGGTTGTTGAATCTGCCATCCTGGCAAGTACTCCCGACTGACCATCCCATGCTTTCCCACAGGCGCCCAGCCAGCAGCCCTGACAGCCGCTTCCGCAGCCCCAGCACAGCAGGCCACTTCCCACACCGCTTCTCCGTCCCAGGGCCCCGTGGTCCAGAAGGCTGCTGTCCGGAAATCGTCTCGCACGACCGTAGCCCACAGCTCATCGCCCCATCAATCCAAGCACTCCCAGTCTCCACTCGCAGAGGCAACAGCCACCGAGCGCATCCAGCCCATCGACATTGTCACAAGTCGCTCAGAGCCGATCGCCTCGGCTCGCCCCGTCGCAACCGTTGGCTCGGCGCATGCCACCCAGCGTTCGCGCTCGGGCAGATCGCACAGCGCAAGCAAAGCCCACATCGAACACACAGTCTCCGAGGCGACAACGAGCTCCTACAACGCCGACTACTACTCGCCTGTGCAGTGCCCAGGAAAGAAAGACTACTGAGTTCTCTGTCGGCCGACCACCGCGCTCGGGCCACGCCGCATTCGGCAGCAAGACTTTCTGTTCCATTCTGTATCTCCCCCTGTCTGAATAGAGTGCTTCTGCTCCATGGCATGAACGGTGCAATTGCTCCCTGGTTGGCTGGTATGGGCCGGCTCTTGGGTCGTCCAGGATGCTTTCCTTGTCGCCGGCAACGACCGAGAGCGACCGAGACGGCGCAGAGAGCGGCCGAGAGCGCAGCGCCGGTCCCGTGGCCGCGGCTGCGCGCATTGTGGCTCCGTTGTCCTTTGTTGTCTCCCCAGCCCAATCGCTGCGATTGGGCGCGGATGGTGCCGCGTCTGTGCTGGAGCCGGAACAGGCCAGGCCGCGCGCCTCCTCCCCCTTTCTGCCCGCAGATCGCCCGTATAAGATGCTGCCCTCCTCGTCCATCACGCCCTTCTCTTCCTCTCTCCCCGTCCTCCAAGTCCAACCCGAGGCGAGCTAATCGCAGCCCTCCCTCCGCCAACAAGCTGCGTCTTGCCAGTGCCCGAACAGCCCACATCGCCTCCCTCGGCCGTGGCTATCTTCAAGGCACTTTGCCCAGTTTCATCAGCACACCGCCCCAAACCTCCCTCGGCCAATCCTCAACCAACCATGGCCAAAGACAAGACCTCCAAGGCACAGTCGAAAAAGACTGCCGCCGCTGAGAAGGCCCCAGCCGCCACCCCTGCTGCCACCCCTGCCACTCCTGCTGCCACTCCCCCCGTCAAGAAGAAGCTCTCGGAGGAGGAACGGAAGAGCGCCGCAGAGGAATACACCCTCATCCAGATTGCTCTGATCCTCTGCGCCACCTACCTCTACTACAACGCCTCGAACCGCTTCATTGCACCCATCTATGGCACCATCCCGACGCTGCTCTGCCACAGGCCCTTTGGCTTCTATGCCCTCGCTGCCGGCGGTGCTGCCGGCGCGGTCCTGCACAACCTCATCAAGGGAAACGACCGGACCAAGGTGGTCTATAGCCGGCGCATCAGCCTGGCCACGGCCTTCCTGGTGTGCTTCTCGCCCATGTACTACATCTACTTTTTCAAGTATAGCCAAGAGTTTGGCCCACGCTGGGGCCCGCTCTCGTGCCTGGCTGTCAACCTGGTGGTCTACTTTGCCTCGGGTCTGCTGGCGGTCCTGAACGCCATGCCCAACGTCGCTCGCATCGAGTTCATGGTCGCCTACTTTGCGTACATGATGATTCCCCAGAACTTTTACATCAACTACCCGTCCTGCAGTCTCATCTGGGCGGCTGCCTCGGTCTTTGCCATGTACGCCGGCTTTGGATATCGCGATGAGTGGGAGTATCTCCAGGACAATCGCAAGGAGCTCCGGAAGCAGGTACCTCGATCGTCGCTGTTCTTTGCCCGCGAGCGCTGGTGGCTCTGGATCAAGCTTGGCAGACCCTACGTCTTGCCGCTCTTTGTCTCCTTGGGACTGCCGTTTATCCTCCAGATGCTGCTGCCCCAAACGGCAACCCAGACTCAGGTGAGCCCTCTTGCGAGATAGACGCAGTCCTTGGTGAGCGACATGGATCTTTGCGAAAAATGGACTGTCCAAACGCATGCATCCGAAAAAAATGCGCACAGCGGATATCAGCCACTCTGCCCACACTGCCCACACTGCCCACACTGCCCACACTACCCACACTGCTCACTCTGCCCACTCTGCTCCATATCCTAACCCATCGCATCGTGGCTCCTGTCTCAGTCCTTTGAGCTCGGTCGGCCCACAGAAACGAAATACCACCTCCTGGCCCGTGCCGAGACGTCGAGCGGCTTTGTTTCGGTGATCGAAGATCCCACCAAGTTTGATGGCCTTCGTGTTCTCCGCGTTGACCACTCGCTCATCGGCAGCGCTTATACCTCGTACGACTTTGAGACTGCCTTCCATTCGTTCTACTATATGGACTTTGTCCGCTTTGTTGAGAGAGAGCACACTCGACATGAAAAGGCCTTGGCGATGTAAGTCATGCGGGCGTGGGCTGGGTAGAGCGGAATGCTGGTCTTGAGCAAGGGAGGAGACCATTCGGCCCCGTGGGCGGCGACCTGGCGATCAAGCCAGACGAGGCTCTGTGTGGCTGCTGCATCGGGCACGTTGGTGAAGCATCGATGACGGAAGAACCCGTTCTGACATTGAGACGGGTGCTTGGCATTCGCGACGCTTTGTGGGCTCTGATCGGATCTCCAGTGGACTCGGTATCGGTACTTCCGCCAAAGCCCTGATGAACCATGGCGTGTACGTCGACGTGGTCGAGCTCGACAAGCAGATCTTCCAGTATGCACAAGAATACTTTGACTTCCCCGAGCCCTCGTCTGTCTACTTTGAGGACGGGCGCAAATTTGTGGAGAAGACACAGGCCGATACATACGACTATGTCATCCACGACGTCTTCACAGGCGGCGCCGTGCCGGCGCACCTCTTCTCGGTCGAAGCCCTGCAGCATATCAAGCGCATTCTGAAGTCTGACGGTGTCCTTGTCCTGGTGAGCAGCTCTTTCATTTATTTCATCGACCATATCTATCCGTCAGTGCGGAGCGGGCTGTTACTGAGGAAGAGCAGGTGTCGGAGTTGTATCGCTGCTGATGACACTTTGTGCTGACGGACCCATACCGGTGGACAGAACTTTGTGGGCCGGTTCAACTCCCCCGCCACCAAATCGATCGCCAAGACCATCAAGGAGGTAAGAGGGCAGTTGCTGTGCTGGGTTCAGTCGACAGTATGTAACTGCATCGACATCTCGAAAGTCCGATATGCTCGCGAGTGTGAGTCGGGCCAAGTACTGCCGTCCACCTTGCGATGTTTTGGTCTCGGCTGGTTGGGCGTGTGGACGGCGAGTAACTCTGGCATGGCTATGATTGCAGGTCTTCCCGCACCAGGCTGTCTATGCCGAGCTCACGGGTGCTGAGCTTCAGAAGAACAGCCAGACGCTGATCAACATGGTGAGTCAAGGTCGTCCAGCAAAGACCCGGCCGATCTCTGTTTGAGCAGCGCCAACCCACAGATATGTGGGGAGTCTTGTTGCGACGACGGAGTGGGAGCAGACCGGGACCTCGTTCAGCCGATCCAATCGTGAAACTGCATCGTCGGTGCTCATACCCAAGACTGTCTCTTGTCTCTCAGGTATTCTATGCGTCAAACAAGCCGATTCGCTTTGAGGCACCCACGCCTGCCGACTTTGGCACCTCTGGAGTCTATGCACAAACTCTCGCGACTTTCCCCGAGCACGACGTGACCAGCCTTGTCGAAGTGGCTCCACAGCCTGTCACCGACAAGCACAACCCGCTCATGGCCGAGCAGATCGAGTCTGCCTACGTTCACTGGCACGCCATGCGAGACATATTCCCGCAGGAGTTTTGGATCGAGTTCTAAAGCAGCGGCCTCGGCGGCGATGACTCACGATAATGGTGGTCGTGATGATGATGACAATGACAATGACAATGACAATGACAATGACAGTGCTGACAGCGTGCGGGTGTGTGTTCGGGGAAGGAGGGACAAGTGTTGCTGATGCAGACAACATGCTTGGCCCCTCTTGATCGACTCGATTCCCGACAGAGAAAGGAAGAAAGAAAAAGGAAAGGAAAGGAAACGGCGAGCTTTGAAAGAGAATATATACGGTGGGCTACAGTCAATGCATGACCGGGATGTCGCGAGTATAGAAGTGTACACATCCCTTGAGGATGCTGAATCATCGACAGCGAGTCCGTCCTGGCTGCAATGTGTTCGTTTGTCTGGTCGTGGTGCAGCCAGCCGCTCGACGGAGGAGCCGTCCCTGAATACACCATGGATGTGTTCTGGACACATGGTCCCTGGCAGTGGTGCGGACCGATACCGGCAGGAGGCAGTGGCGGCCACGAGGTACGGCAGAGGGCTCTGCAGGGCGACCCCAACCCGACAGGCATCGCCGGCGATGCCTGTCAAGAGACCTGCCCGCCTGTCAACGCACACGCCACGGCCCAGCACCGCGGCTCCAGACCTGGGCGAGGGCTCTCGCTGCAGCCTCGCTGTAGCCTCGTTGGGGCCTCGCTGTAGCCTCGTTGGGGCCTCGCTGTAGCCTCGTTGGGGCCTCGTTGGGGCCTCGGTGGGACCTCGGTGGTCCAGAGGACAAGGTGTTTGCTTGGACCAGGAATAGCAGCCGATCGGACAAACAACAGGGATCGACTTCGGCCGACACGCAAACAGCAGGGCAAGGGAGAGCACACCATGGCTCTGTCGTCATGGACGGGAGCCGAGGCTGAATGGAGACGGGTGGAGACGGGTGTCCCGCTGGGCGAGGGAGACAGGAGGCGGGAGACGGGAGTCAGGAGGCGAAACCCGCCGCGACCCACTGCGCGATCGCACGTTTGCACGCTTGCGGTACATCGCTGCCATGGATAAGCCGAGGAGGAGCGTCGCCGCAGCCGCCACCGCGACGTGCGGCAAACAAGGGGCCAGCCAGCGGCACCAGCGGGGCCCATTGGTCCTGGCAGAACAAGGAACCAACAAACTGGAGGGGCCAGCAAGGCGCGGCGGGGCAGCGGGGACGGACGGCGACGCGACCGGTGCAGAGCAGCGGCAGCGCAGCAGCGACAACAAGCGCCACTTGGGCGCCCAAGGAGAGCGAGGAGGAGGAGGAGGTGGTGGTGGGGGGTGGGCGATGCGGTCTGTTGATGCCGGCGGACTATTTATAGCGACCGGCATCTCGGGGAGGAAGGAGGCCGAGGGAAGCCCAGGCGGTCACAGGGCAGCCAAGGCCACGCAGGGCAGCAGAAGACTCGCCGGGGAGGGGCAGCGAGCGCCATGGACGACAAGACCGAGCCAGGACGCCTCCCCCACCACAAGATTTCCGCGCGCGTCAACAAATGGGCGATTGGAGCGGCGCAAATTTGCCGCGGCGGTTGTGCGACGGCACAGTGATGCTGTGTGGTGCTGTGGGAGTGTGTTGTGCGCTGTGTTGTGTGTTGCGGGGATGTTGTGCTGCCGCATTGTACTGCTGCTGTATTGCCTGACGGCTGCAGCAGAATCGCACCCACAGCAACAGTGGCTGTAGCGCGCCTGTGTCACGCCCCTCGCTGCCGTCGATTGGTGGAGCGACGCGTCCGCCGGTGTCGTCTGCGTCCCGCTGTTGTGTGTCCGTGTCGACTCCTGAACATCAGGCGCCCAGGACAAGCAGCGCCCGCCCGTCTCGCCATGAGCCGCCTCGCTGCGCTCTCGCCGGCGCCTCGTCTGCTCCTCGCTGCCGCCTCGCTCGCACTCTTACTTCTCGCCTCGCCAATCGCCTCGCCAATCGCCTCGCCCTTGGCTCCTGTTGCAGAGTGCGCCGCTCTTCCTTCCTGCCCCATCCGCCGTCTCCTGCTGCTGCCGCCGACTTATCTATATTGCCCTCGGCCCCCCCCATCGCCTGCGCTGCCCGTTTTATCTTGGCCCTCTCTCTTATTCTTCCGCTTCATTATTTAACTGCTCCCGTCGGTCCTGTCGCCCGCCTCGCTCCCGTCTCGGCTCCCCCAAGCTTTCCCAGGTATCCCTCGCTGGTTCGCTCCCGTCCATCCAGCTGGATCACCCTTTCTGCTTTCACTGCCTCCGTCCCGCTTGCTGCTTCGCCTTCATCCAGCTCCCTGTGTCGTCGTCCTCCGCTGACTCACCGCCGGTATCGATATCGCCAGGACGCGGCTCAGCCCTGAACCATTCGACGACACTCCTGGGTCCTATCGGTCCTTATCCGACATTCTATCGCCAGCCCATCCGTCAGCTCGAGGCCAGCTTATTAGCAGAGGAAGAATCCCCCCCCTTTTTTTTTCCTCTGTCCACAAGCCCCACCTCCCCGTCGCTGACCGCCGCTCGCCCTTGCAGTCCATACCATTGACGGCCCAAGCTCGTCCATAACCACTGCTCTCCCCATAACCCAACCACCTCGTCAAACCCGACACTATGGATTGGTCTGCTTCACAATCCGATATCTACATCCAGCACCAGCAGCACCAGCAGCAGCTCGCTGTCGAGCAGCACTTGCAAGCTTCACCGTATTACCCCGGCACAATCCAGAATTTTGAGCTGAGCCAGCCATCAGAGTTTCACCAAAGTCCCCGCCAGCACATTCACCCCGCCATGGATACCCTGCCCTCCCAGGAGGCCCACCACCGGGGCGTGCCTATGGACATCCGTAACTCCTACGCCGAGCAAGTCCAATTGCAGCAACAGCAGCAGCAGCAGCAGCAGTATATCGACATGCATCAGTCCCACTACGCCCAACAAGCTGCCCAGCATGCCGTCCAACAGGCCGCTTTCCATCCCATGATCAAAACCTCCTCCTTCGACAACAGCCAGACCATCTACGATCTCACCAACAACCCACCCATCGAGAGCTGGTCGGCCGACTCTTATCCGTCCGGCATCAGCGATGGTCAGCCCACCTATTCGCAGGCCGGCTCCGACTATATGGCCTCCCAGGAGTCCCTCCAGCAACCCACCACACCCTCGTCCCTGACGGTTCCGGTTAACCCCATGGATGACCCTAACCTTTCCCAGCACCCCGCCATATCAATGTCGTCGACTAGCGGGCCCCGCTCCCGATCGTTTTCCCTTGGCACTGTAGGCGGCCTGAACAACTTCACCTCGAGCCAGTTCAGTGCCATGCAGCCTTTCCAGCAGCAGTCTTTCCAGCAGCAGGTGTTCCAGCAACAGCAACAGCAACAGCAGCTGGCCCAGCACGAACAAGGACGTATTGTCCATCCAGAGCAAATGTATGTCCACCAGCACCCTCACGAACGTTCTGCCGTTCTCCTGTCACAAACTTCGATGCATCCCTCGCTTTTCCCTGCTCAACACGGCCCCACCCCAATGTCGGCCATCAATAATCCTGCTCCTGTTTCCATGTCGGCCCTTGGCGCTCGTGCCGCCGCCACCCGGCCCAGAGCCATGACCATGCCCGGCTCTGTCCAGCCATCGACTTTACCCTCTGCCTCCCCAATCGAGTCCGCCCTCCGCGTGTCCGCCGATCGCAACACTCTCTCCGGCGACGGCCATACGCCCACTGCTGTCGACGGCGAGTCCTCGCTGTCTGGCCGCAAAAAGAGCCTCAAGATCACCAGCAACCTTGCTCCCCTGGGCACCAAGCCCGGGGACGATGTCTCTCTCGTCAGCCCCTTCCGTCCGCAGCTCGGCACCAACAACGCCCAAACCGCCATCCTACTGCCAATCGCCATCCCCCGAGTGCGAAGCAAAGAAAAGCTGAGCGACGAGGAAAAATGGAAGTTGCTCGACGAAGATATCCAAAAGGTCGATGTCGAGGACGTGACCGTCAACGAGCTGAAGGAGCTGCTTAAGGTTCGCAGTCTTCCCAACACTGGCAAGAAAGCCACTCTGATCGAGCGCCTTCAGGAGGAGATGGCTGCCGCAAAGTCCCGCAACGAGGCCCGCCACAACGGTCTGTCGGTGGTCTGTCCACCTCCCCGTGGCCCCGAGGCGGCGACTGCCGAAGCTGCCTCCACGCCCAATGCCGCCGCCCCTGCCCCTGCCAACACGCTCGACCCTAGCCAGTCGGTTGCTGCCCAGCAAGCCGCCCACATGGCCAATTCGCAGCCCATCATTTCCTTCCTCGATCAGCCCATGTCAGCCGGTCTTGCTGAGATGCCTGGGACCAAGCCCTTTGGCGAAGCGACCGATCCAAACGCCCTGGCTGGCATGGCCGTCGATGCGAGCGGCAACAACTTTGGCTCTCCCAAGGTGGCTCCCTATCCTTCGCCCATGGCGCTCTCCAACCGCCGCAAGAGCATCGTCAATGTGCCCAAGGCCATTGTTGGCCGGCCACGATCCTTCTCTGACTCGCGAGTCACACGGCCCTTGGCCCCCAGCCATGCCTCGGCCATGCACTCGGGCATGCATATGCACTCGTCCTCGCCGCTGCAAAACTCGTCCATCGTATCCCCGCTGCCCGGCAGCACTACTGGAGCTGCTGGAGCCAATGGCACCGACGTCGACCCGGCCATGTATGGCGCACAGAGTCATTATGGCGTCGGCGGCATTCCCGATAACGCCACTTTGTCCATGTTTCCGACGCAAGTCTCGGTCATGGCCGCTGCTCAGCAAGCCGGTCTCATGCCCAACGGCTTTAGCGAGGCACAGCAAGCCCATGACATGCTCCAACAGCAGCAACAACAACAGCAGCAGCAACAACAAGCGCACCACCTTAACATGATAACCCCATCTCCCTCATTTCCCACTGATACTGTTTTGCAACCATCTCTCCAACAACAACAACAACAACAACAACAACAACAGCAGCAGCAACAACAACCTAGCCCCATGTTCCATCAGCCACAGGGCCAGCCCCTGCTCGATCCCAACTTTGTCTATCCTCAAGAGATACTAGCCCAGCGACGCTTCTCAACATCGGACCAGCTCCCACTCCAGATGCAGCAAATGCAAATTGATCAGCAATCCTGGGCCATGGGTAGGTTCTGGTGCTGATCTGCGAACGAAACTGTCCGACCTCGTTACTGCGACCATGTGGGCTCGCCGTCGATGGAGGAAGGTGCGGCAGATCCCCTCCCCTCTGGATGTCGTGGTCTTTGTATCCGTCCCGCGCTCAGTAAGCCTCAGCAACTCATTTGGATTCCCTCCTCTCTATTGAATATTTCCTTTCCAGACCCCAGCTACACGCTCCCGTCGCACTTGCCCTTTCACCCGAGCTACTAGCCCTATCGCCCCCTCTCTCCCATCTCAGTGATGCGGCCTATTTATTCTGTCATGTGTCCCGCGATTGCAGTGGAGTTGTTTGATTTGCTTGAACATGGGTCCCTTGCCTACTTGTATTCCGGAGCATCTTCGGCGCCTGGTGGACCGAGGTTGCTCGTGAGCGTGGGATGGGTCTCTCGTGTCTGGCAGACGCAACCCCCTGGAGCGATCGAACCGTGTGTCTGGGCTCCTGCTCGTTTGCCGGGGTCCGCGCACAATTCTCTGCAAGCCGGATCACACAATGCAGATAGGGGTCTCGCCGTTTGCGTTTGCATTTGGCCCTGCGTCTGTCTACTTATCGGTTTGCCTGCCTCTGTTGCACATGTGCATGTCCGAGCGAGGGGTACCGTCCATGTTTGTTGAGCTTCTGCGACTTGACATCTGATATCTGAGCGCCCAGAACGAGACCGGACACCCTGGTTTGTGTGAAGGCTGTCGCTTTTTTCTTGTCCTGAATACACACCTGCACATTGCCCGTCATGGCCTGAAGTGGTCGAAGGAATGCACCACACTCCCGCATCGCGGCACCAGTACTGCTGGATCGCCAACGAAGACAAGAGAACATGCGGTCGTGCGCCTATCGGTTGCACCTCCACGGGCACTGCTCACCACGGGCACTCTCTCGAAGCACTCTCTCCAAGCACTCTCTCCACGCAGACATGCTTTCTTTCGCAGGCCTCCCAATCATATTGCGTCACGTTGTCCGCCCTGTTGCCAACGCACGCCACGTGACCCATTTCTAATGCACTCGAACCAGCCGTCCTGCGGCCGCGCCGCTTGTCCTGGGGCGATTTCTGGCCTCTGCTTTTGCTTTTTCCTCCAAGCAACAGGAATCTCGACGCCGTCTCCTGAGATCCCAGCTCTGCGCCGGCCAGCCCACCCTCGGACACCGACCCGCCCGCCCCAGTAGCCCACTGCTCCTGGACCGCAAATCCAGCATCGACAGTGTCCACGGCCTTCCTGCGCTCGCATCCCCAAGCCATAGCCGAACCAGCCACCTCACGCACATCCGTTCATCCTCCACTCACGCATCATGGCCGCTGTTCTGGAATCTCTGGCCCGCTGGGCCATCCCCATCGGCGCCCTCGTCAGCGGTGTCCAGTACTCCATGTACAACGTCGAAGGCGGTCATCGCGCGGTTCTCTTTGATCGTGCCCGCGGTGTCCTGCCTTCGGTCGTTGGCGAAGGCACCCACTTTCTGATCCCATGGTGGCAGCGCGCCATCTACTTTGATGTCCGTACCCGACCCCGCAACATCTCGACCACAACCGGATCCAAGGACATGCAGATGATCTCGCTCACTCTGCGTGTCCTCCATCGCCCGGACTATGAGCGCCTCCCCAAGATCTACCAGAGCCTCGGCACCGACTATGACGACCGTGTCTTGCCCTCGATCGGCAACGAAGTTCTCAAGGCCGTCGTTGCCCAGTTTGACGCCGGAGAGCTGATTACCCAGCGTGAACTGGTGAGCATTCCTGCCTCGGATAGGAGCGGTGATCTGGACCGATCGGCTGGTCGGCCCGGCTCGCCGGCTCCAACTCTGTAGCTGGGTTGATAGCTCGCTCCGGCTCTGTTGGTGGCAGCTGCAGCCATGCCGATCGATTCCGGTTGTGTCGATTGCTTGCGATCGTGCCGGCTTCCTCCCTCCGATCCCAGTCGACTGACATTGCATCGGGTTTGCATCGACAGGTCTCTCAGCGTATCCGCGAAGATCTTCTCAAGCGTGCCTCCGAGTTCGGACTGGTCCTGGAAGATGTCTCGATTGTGAGTTACTTGACGGTGCCCAGCGTGCCCCGATGATCCCGCCCCGAGGCGAGATCCAGCTGCTCGGTCTCGTCCAATCGGATTGCGGTCGAGCCATCATCCACATAGCCTAGTTTCCCTGGACTGACGCGCCACATGCTTCTTCGGTTGCCATAGACCCACTTGACTTTTGGCAAGGAGTTTACCCAGGCCGTCGAGCAGAAGCAGATTGGTATGCATTCCCGATCTATATAGCTTCTGAAATGATCCTGTCGCACCAGTGTGAGGCTTTGCGTAACCAAATACGCTGGCTTACGGCTAACCCGGCTCGATTGCTTGCGGGATTGTTTTTTTCCAGCCCAGCAGGAGGCTGAACGCGCTCGTTTCATTGTCGAGAAGGCTGAGCAGGAGAAGCTGGCAGCCATCATCCGCGCCGAGGGTGAATCGACGGCGGCCGATCTCATCTCGCAGTCGCTACAGAAGGCCGGACTTGGCTTGGTCGAGCTTCGCCGCATTGATGCTTCCAAGGACATTGCGGCCACTCTGGCATCCTCCGGCAACGTCACATGGCTGCCGAGCGGCGGTAGCAAGGCGGGTGGCAGCAGCGCCAACTACCTGCTGAACCTGAAGTAACAGCCGACGCCTTGGCCGTCGTCTTGCCTCCAACGCCCATCCCACTGGTTACCGGACGGCAGAACAGCGAATGCCGGCTGAGCGATGGTCGTGCGATCGACGAGCTCAAGCGACCTTGCTGCTCCTCGGCCTGGTCTCTGATCGAGTGCGTCTTGGCGCTTGTCGCTTGCCCTGTTGCCTCACCCCCTCGCTCGATCTGGTCCCCCGGCTCTAATACTTGTCCACCCATGCTGCCCTCGGTGCTGGACTCTGCCATTGAGAATATGCTTTATTCTTTCCTTTTTTTTTCTTCGCAGCGCTTGTCTGCTTGTATCAAATGAAAACCACCATGCCCCCCACTCCCCGATGCACGCCTCCGATCCTCCCTGCTGCTGTTGCTGCTGTTCTGCGGTGTGAGACGGACAACCGTGGATGTGTGTGTGTGTGTGGCATTCAATATCCGGGATGGCTTGTTCACGTGACTCGGTAAGCCACAGGCGGCTTATGTCAGCAGCCGCCTCGCTCGCCAGTGGGCGGCAGAGATATGAGCCACACCGAAGGGCGGCCCGTTATGAGCTCCCTCTCCACGCATTCGACTTGATACTCACTCTATTACACAATGGTCAGTATCTCTAGGATTGCCTGCATTTCGAGTCTCTGCCGAGGACGCCCCACTGCCCATCCATCCATCCATCCATCCATCCATCCGCCCATCCGCCCATTCGTCCATCCGTCCATCTGCCCATCCATCCGTCCGTCCATCTGCCCATATGCTGCCGATCCTTGGTTGGCTGGCGCAGCCGTATCAACTCGACTCGACTCGACCCGACTCTGGCCGTCTGGACAAACTCGACTCGACTCAACATCGCCAGCGGATGCAGCCACAACAGCGATATCAACAACGGCTTCTTAGGGCGCCTGTGTTATCGAGGCAATTCACTTGGACGTTCTCTGGCGAACTGGACTTTCGAACCTTTGGGCGTTCTCTGGCTCCGGTGGTTTGGCAGGCGCCGCGCGGACACTGGCCTCTGAGCGGGCCAGACTTGTCTGTGCTGTCGCGGCCTCTCTTCCGACGAGAACCGCCGCTCGCTGGCCCTGCCGACCTTGGAGCCTGCGAGTTCGATGGCGTGCTGAGCTGGGACTACAATTTTGGCTGTTCAAGATGCTCGAACGGCGCCGATTTGAAGCACTTTGTGGGCTGCTCGAGAGTCAACACCCATCCGGGCTGGGGCCTGTGTACGAAGCAAAAATCACACGGCACTCTTGGACACCAGCAACCAAGAATCCAGGGAGCGATCGATGAATCGGACGGACGGATGGACGCAGACGTATCTGGAGACATCCTCCTCCTTTCTTGGAACGTGAGTTGATTATTAACAAGCTCTTACTATTGATTCGGATGAACGCAGGGTAAAGTCCACGGTTCTCTCGCCCGTGCCGGTAAGGTCAAGGGCCAAACTCCCAAGGTTGCCAAGCAGGAAGGCAAGAAGAAGAAGGTCACTGGTGGGTATCTCGACCCAGCCCAGCCCTGGCGCGGCCAGCGGTCTGCGTGCATTTGTGCAAGAAGACGATGCTGATGCTGATGTTGATGTTGATGCTGATTGCTGCTCCGTGCGTGGTGTCCCTCCAATTCCAGGCCGTGCCAAGAAGCGTCTCTTGTACACTCGCCGCTTCGTCAACGCTGTTGCCGGTTTCGGAAAGCGAAAGATGAACCCCAACAACAGCGACAAGTAAACAAGTTGTCCTTTCCGGGAATGTCCACTCGATTCTCCGCCACTTGTAGCTTGCATGTTCAATAAACCAAAAAAGACTACAGCGCGCATAAAAGTCGATTGCGAAGGCTCTGCTTCTACCGCGCGTTCCCAAAACGAAACGGAATACCACCCTGTTTTGAGCCGGGGCTGTCGTTTCTTTCTGGATCCCGACGCACCCATCCAAATGGCTGAATCTGTGCCATGAGATTCGATCATCGCCCTGCATGCGTCGTATTCAGAACACCATCGGGATTGGCTGTGGTTGGTCGGGCAGTTCCCCCGGTTGCAACAATGTATATATATTTTTTCGCTTGGCTGTGACGCCTGTTTTTCGATAGATGCTATAACCCACGCACGGCTGCCGGGGTCCGAGATCCGCAAATCGACTGGGCTGCTGGAGGAGTCGTTGGTGCCGACGTCTGTGATCCCTGTTCCTGTCGAGCACATTTTGCCTGCCGATCTCGGTGTCGACCGCGCCAGACTCGCCTCGGCTCGTGGCCTGTGCGGGAAATGTCCTCTGCTGCCGAGATCAAACGGGCAATCGTGTGCCGGAGATGCGATTGACGATCTGAGGGTTGCATGGCAAGGAGCGAGTGCAAGTGCAAGTGCAAGTGCAAGGGCAAGACCAGCAGTGTCAGTGTTCCGGCACTGGTCCAGATTTTGGCTTCAAAGTCTCCCCTCGTATCAAACCCGGACGCACCTGAGCGATCCCCGGAAGATTCAGAATCGGGCCAATGACTGGCATTTTCCTCAGGAAGCCGATGACAACAGGGAAAAAGTCGCTGCAGAAAGAAAGAGAGTGATGGAGAGGGGCAAGGGGAACGAGAGATGTCGCAGATCATGGTCAGGACACCCAGTCCAGTCCAGTCCAGTCTGGACCGAGTTGCATCGGGCTGGCAGCCGAAGTGATATCCCAGGATCCCGTGCCCGAGACTGCAAGCGAAGGAATGGTCCGAGCCATCGAGTCGACCACCGAGTCGACCACCTGTGGCTCGAGTTCATCGCGACAGTGCTTACCCGAACAGGTTAATGAAGCCAAAGAGCTCGACCATCATGCCCACGACTGGCCATTTCAGAAAGACAATGAAGATGCCTCCGATGAAGCAGACCGTTCCCAGAATCTTTTGTTTCCTCATGAAAAAGGCAATGGTCTTGTTGAATCCAATGACCAGCGTCAAGCCCGAGAGGAAGAGGATCTGTGTGGGCGAATGCGCCGACGCAGGCCCGACATGAAAAGTTGGGTGCCAGTCCGACAGAGATCGAGACGACAAAGCAAAGGTTGAAGTTTATATCAGTGAAGATCCAGGGGAGAGCGATGCTGCAATGCGATGCTGCAATGCGATGCCTTGGATCCAGGAGAGCGATGCTGCGATGCGACACCAACAAGCAGATCTATGAACACCACCCATCCGTAGCTATCCTGCATCGGCAGCCCCACTGTCCAGCACAACATCAATCCATAGCGAGGGGGAGAGGCTCGGTCGAATAGATTCGCTTCTGGGGCGACTTACGTTGCCAATAGCCAGTAGACCCGAGTCAAAAAACAGCAGTACGCCCAAGAACATAAAGAACAGGCCGGTTGCCGTCAGGCCGACGCCAATTTCTGTTTGCCGTTGAGGGGGGGGATGAGATGGATACGATGTTAGAATCCGGTAGAGCACCGTAACAGCCGCCTCGGCCATTGAGCCTGGTCCAGTGGATAATATGCTCCACAGGCCAGAGGGAGAAGGCATGGGCCGATCGTTATCGGTGCTTGACTTGCATCCCTCTCTTCTCCTGTCCGGCTTGGCCTCGGTTTGATCCTGTGTGGGGTCGTCGGCGCTGGCTTCCGAGATTGGAAAATGGTCTCGAATAACACCTACTTTGCATGTCGGATAGCCACATAGTTGCAAGAGGTCAGGATGGATAGACAGGTGTGTTTGCCAGGAGGTGGTGTGTTGGATCGAGGATGGGAGGATGGTTGCTGATGCGATGCTGGTGCTGGTGCTGATGCGGATGACCAAGGGTCTGCTTGAGGCCGGGTGTCCAGACTGAACTTGGATTCTTGAAAAGGCGTCCGGGCAGACGGAGAGAGCGGCGCTGGGGAGGGTGCGATCGTCCGCGGCAGCCCTGGCTGGCTGGCTGGTTGGATGGATGCAGTGTCCAGATGGAAAGGCAGGCGGCGGGTGCGCTTCCTTTTTTTTTTTTCTGTCTTGGGCCACGAAGGAGGGGGCAGCGCCAACACGGGGAAAGCCGTCAGTGGCGGCCCGAAACCGACATCCACCGAAGCCGTGGTGGTATCAACCGGGGCCGTGGGGTTATCGACGGGGGCCGTGGGGATATCAATCGCACATCGTCTCGAGCGATGCAGTAGTGCGCACTGCCGTGGCCATGCTTGGCCGATGCTGTCCTTGGCCGATGCTGCAAATTTCCGAGCGGCGCCGAGACTCGCCCCCCAGAGCCGGCCCTGCCTTGGGACCGACACACAGTCCGACAGCGTACTTGAGATCCAAGGCCGGGGATGGGGCGGTGGATGGATTCGGGTGGTGTCGTCGGCAACTGACGGCGACGACGACGACGACGACGACGACGACGACAAGCGAGCGGCCGATCCATGCGGCGGTCCATCCGGGCTGCTGATTGTTCGTTCGTTCGCGGATGCGCTCGCCGGTGCGCTCGCCGGTGCGCTCCTGTCCTGATTGACTGCCGACGGCAATTCCTCCGAAAACCATCTTCTCCGTCCATCCCGGCGTTCATAAGCCTCGGCCGTCCTCGGCGCCGCAGACTTTCCTCCGACTCCAGTGCCCATCGTCGTGCCCAGAGTGCTCTCCGGCCCGTTGACTGTCCTTGGCAAGCCGATACTTGGACCTGCATCTCTTTATATCGCCGAGCTCGCATACTGGGCTCGCACCCTGTGGTCGCATCCTGTGGTCGCATCCTGCGCTTGCGTCTGTGCTTGCACACCCGCTTCGTCGGTTTCTGTCGATCTCGACAATCGGCCTGTGTGCTTGCCCACCCTGGTCGCAGCGGCCTTGTTCCAACCAGCGACTGCCACCCTGGTCGGACTTGCACCCAACATCCCCACCCCCAGGCCAGCCGCTCCCGTTTCCGATCCCCGGCATCACCGCTATCGCTCCCCTGGCCGATCCCTCGTCTGCCTTGTGCTTGCAGGCCTGACTCGAGCGTCCTCCATCGCTGTCAAGACCATCGCTGCCAAGTCCATTCCCTCTTGCCAACACCATCCACATCCCCAAGTTTACAACCTTGTCTGGCGTCTCGGATGGCCGAATCCCAGTCATTGGACGCTGTCGCCCCGCGGGACCACTGGACCGGAATCGAGAACGGCAAGGCCGAGTGGGACTCTATGCAGATGCTCTCGATACAGGAGGAGGAAATGGTCTCTCTCTCGGCACCGGCTTCACCTCAATCGCTCGGATTCTCAAAAAGCCCCTCAAATAGCCCCTCGACTGGAGCCGTGGCATATCCGAACTTGGCCGGTGCTGTTGTCGGGCCCGAGAGATCGCGGGCAGCCCTGGCCAGGATACCGCAGACAGCGAGACCACATCCGTCTGAAGCCGCAACGGCACAGGCATCGATCACAACATCATTCTCGGGACGATATGCTGCCCCACAACATCCAAGCGGACCATTAACAATCGCAGGCCACCCGTCAGTGCCGATCAAGCGCACCAGAGATACCGCTGCTGCTGGAGCCGGCACCTCTGTGGACAGCTCGGTCGATGCGTCGAGCGACCGCCGATCGAAGCGACGAATCCGTCCTTGGCTGCATCTACCTGCCGAGATCGTTATCGAGATCATGGCCCATCTCTCCCCGGGCGATCACAAGCGCTGCAGCCTCGTCTCGCTGCTCTGGCACAGCTGTGCGGCTCCATTCCTGTGGCGACATCCCCGGCTCGAGTCGCTCGTCCAGTTCACCCACTTTGCCGATGCCATCGAGGGCTTGATCTTGACCAAGGAAATCGGCTCTCCACCGCAGCGACGAGGGGCTCGGTCGGCCTCGGTCTTTGGCGATGACTCCTGGCGGCTACGGATTCGGTCGTCCTCGCCTGGGCCGCTCTCCCGAACCGCCTCCCGACTCGAGTCCATGGCCAGCTCAACCCACCAACTTGTCCCCCAAAGGACCCCAGTCGCCAAGAGCAAGCGGAGCAGTCGCCTCTCCCCAGTCGGCCGGCTGGTAACTTCGCTGACTGTTGGCCTGCCGGCTCCGTCGACCGTCGACGGGCTGCGTCGGCCCTTGCCCGAGCTCTCGGTCCAGGCCCCACACGAACCGCCGGCCCAATCGCTCTTCTGCGGCTCTCGACGGATAACAGACTCGCACCTCATTCCGCTCATCGGGGCATGCCCCAACCTCAAATCCATCGGCCTATACCACTGTGCTCGGGTCACCGACGAAACCGTCGCCACCCTGGTCTCGTTCTGTCCCCATATCACCGAGATCTGCCTCTCTGGCACCGCCATCACCAACCACGCCCTCAGTCTCATTGCCCGCATCGGCGCTCGCCTCACCCATCTGGCACTGCCCGGGCATGTCGATCTGTCGGAGCACGCCCTGCAAATCCTCATCCGGACCTGTCCCAATCTTCGGTATCTGGACCTGAGTGGCTGCTACCAAATCTCAGATGTTCTCATCCAGGACCTGGCCTTCCACTCTCTGCACCTGCATACTTTGCTTGTGGCAAAGTGCTACAAGCTCTCAGCGACAGTGCCCAAGATCCTCTCTCGCCATGCCAAACTCGAGGTCCTGGATCTGTCTCACTGTCCGTCCGTGGCCCTGGCCGAAAACATCGAACCGCCCCAGGACGACTCTGTGGATCCGGCTAGCGAGCTGTACATCTGGGTGATCCACGGCTCGGCCACCACTTACTGCAAGTATCGGGTCGTCATGCAGCCGCGTCTGGGTCCGGCTGCCTAGTCTCCTCGGGTATCGCGATGATCACTCTGCTGCTGCTGCTGCGACTCTTACTGCTATACCTGCCACTACAGCAATGGTAGCAGTAGCAGCAGCAGAAGCAGCAGCAGTAAGCAACGGGCAGTCGACAGAGCGAGGCGGTGCGACTCGCGGTGCGTGAATATATATCTATGCGCCTCCCGTTATCGTCCTACCCCTCATGACCTGTTGAACACTGGCCATCACAGACTACGCTGCCAAACAAGACGGGTGTGCTCCGTTTCAGAATGAGTTCGCTGTATAAGGAGAGTGTGTATTTATGGGAGCTATATTAGAGGGATTGCCTTCCTGTGCTGGTCCGATCCGATCAGCCGACCGGCTCAGGGACCGCAGTCCTTGGCGGATCTGCCGCCTGCGTGCACGCTCCTGTTCATGACAGTGCCCAGGAATCGCGGCGATCCCGCCTACACTTCACTCATTCATCGCCACTACAGGGGTTGGGTTGGAGTAAGAATGGGGGGGGGTTGGGTGGAGTGGAGGTTGATAGAGTCATCGATAGGTAGATTGCATTCTGTCCGCGGCCTGCCTCGACTACTTTTTCCGTGTCAGCACCGACTGGGTGATCTGGATGAGGGCCTCGCGCGCGGGTGACGAGGGCAACTTGGAGATCTCGCGGATGGCGCTGTCGCAGTACTCGGCCGCCAGGGTTCGTGCCCGCTGGATGCCGTTGCTCTTGAGAACCAGTTCGTGGGCCTGGTTGATGTTTCCCAGCATTATGTGTGTGTTAGCAGAGTGGTCACGGCAGGGGAGGAGTCGATGGCTTGACTTGGATTGGTAGCGACATTGCTGTGCCTTCGATCTCTGTCTCGGCGTCAGCAGCCCTGGCCATCGACCAAATGGAATCTATGCGACCCCTCCTTACCTTTTGCACATCACCGGGCTTCTCAAACTTTCGCTCGATCAGGGGCCACAGTTCGGGATACTGTTCGGCCGCGTAGAGGACAGGGGCAGTGGCCAGGCCCAGGCTCAAGTCGGCGCCGGCCGGCTTGCCGAGCTCGTCAGCTGAAACCACAAAATCCAGAATGTCATCGACCACCTGGGAAATGATGGCGATGGGTTGAACCGGGTAAGGTCGGAGCACCGGCATCGAGCAGGGGCCAACAGAGCGGATGTGCGGTCGTCGCAGCAACAGCATCGGCATTCACCAGTCAGGCGCGGCTGCAACAGCGAAACGCCGCCTCTGTCCATGGTCCACGGTCCGCGGTCGGCAATCGGCTCGGCACCAGTGGACAGCATCGCACTGGTGGCTGCGCAAACATCCACATGCCGTGACAAGGCTTACCTGGAACGCCAGTCCAATGTTCTTGCCGTAGAGATACGCAATCTCTGACGTCTCGACGGTGCATCCTCCAAGCACGGCCGAGCCCTGGCAACTCTTGGCGATCAGGCTGGCCGTCTTCATATAGGTTTTCTCCATGTAATACTCGAACGTGGACAGCAAGCGATCGGCGCCATCGACGGACTGGAGCTTGGTGTTGCGTAGCTGCATAAATTCGCCCTCCACCAGGTTTGAGATGACGGTCGCCAGCAACTCCACAACCTGAACGTTTCGCAGGCGCGCCAGGGCCACGGAGGCACGAGCCAGGAGAAAGTCGCCGGCCAGGATAGCCATCTTGTTACCGTGCTGGGCGTTGGCAGAGGGCTGCGAGCGGCGAGTCATGGCGTCGTCGATCACATCGTCATGCAGAAGCGACGCGGTGTGGATCATCTCGGTGATTTCGGCCAGGCGGCGCTGGGACGGCAAGATCGAAGGAAGATCCGGGGACGGGTTGGATGGGGTGATTTCTACCGAGGACTTGAGGTCGTTCGGCTGGGGAGCGATCATTGATCCGCCAATGAACTGCACCTCGCAAGACCGCGGTGTTTCAGAGATGGGGCTGTTGAGGGTCAGCTCGTCGTAGGCGTTCCAGTTGGGCAGCTTGGGGGCAAGCGATGTTGCCTGGGCAATCAGCAGCACCAGGATGGGACGCACGTGCTTGCCCTGCTTGTTGAAATAGTAGTTGCTGATGGTGTTGAGAACGGGGTGGCCCGAGCCGAGCAGCTTGCGGATGTTTTCGGTGATCAGGGCCAGATCCTGGCCGAGCAGCTCCTTGGGATTGATGACCGAACCGCCCTTGGCATGGACAAGCGACTCTGCTGCAGCCACGGCCTGGTTCCAGTTGAGGGGATCGGATGGCTTTTTTGTTGAAAAGAAGGACGATACGGATGCAAAAGACAGTGGGCTGGGTTTCGGCGACACATCCGAGCCAGACGGAGCGGTAAACGCGGCGGTCGAGGCCGAGGTGGATTGCCATCGGATGGATCGGAAGGCCCTCCGCGAGTGGTGAATCGATCGCTGGAGCGACGCCAGCCGGTTTAACGAGCCGGACATGGACATGTTGGGGGAGGTCGGTGGCGGACGAGAGAACACACTGCCGTCGAGAGCAGGGCCGGGCGATGCAGCACAGAGGAGACCGTGCAGATGGGGGAGTTTGCGGTGCCAAAGCCAGCCCGATTGCTTTTCTGCACAAGACGAAAAAAACGCTTGCCTTGGGCGGCCCTGCGTAGGGTTGCGCAGGGCTGCGTAGGGCTCGCTGCGCAGCCACTCGCAGCCGCTCGCAGCCAAATCCGCAGCGACAGCGGGCGGAAGAACGGATGCGCCATGCGAACGACACGGCGCGCGGATAATGCAGCAGAAGAAGCGGATGCGCCAGGCATAGAGGGGGGGGCACGGCATAGTGAAGGGGCAGGGAGGCTGGACGGCAGCGAGACGCTCGATTTGAATCGTGCACTCGGCCAAGAGCGACCAAGCCGGTCAAACTATCTCTCGCCGTCTGTCTGTCTCACGGAGTTGGTCCAGGACCGCACCATCTCGTCGTCCAAGTTCAGCACAGGAGCGCAGACACCGATCGATGGCATTCAGCCAGGCGGTCGATCAGCACCACTCGACCCACAGAGAGGCCATACAGGCCATCCGCACGCTGAAGTATCCCGTTGGCTCCAGGGCAGCGCAAAGCCGTGTGCGCTTGTCTGATCCGTCCTGCCAAGTGATCCGGGATTGACGTTCGCCCATCAGCGACCCGCTCCCAGGCAGCGATCCGTCTCGGACAATTTGTTCGGCGGCGGTGCTACGCTATTCGCACACTGAGCCTATCCCTCTGAACGCACTCCGTCTTGGTGAGCATGAGCGAGAAAGGTACGGATCCGCGACGGAATCTCCATTCGCTTCTGCGCGTGAGACCGTTGTCAGAGTGCGGTGATAACGGGGTATATGGGTATGACGGGGACTGTAGGCAAGCTCATGATGCAAGCGCATTTGGCCTCAACCAGCGAGTGCTGAAACGGGATACCCCTCGCCGGGTACCTGAGCTCTGTTCACAGCACAACGAGCCCGATAGCGCACTTCTCGACTAATGTGACCGACACCATCGATGCTCCCAGCAGAGGCACTGCATCCCGACCTCGGCGAGATTGCCGAGCAATCAAACGAGGTTGACAGGCCCGGCGACGCAAGCGCTCCGGCCGACAAGGCGCTCGATGACAGGAGCGATGCCGACGGTGCCCTGCTGGGACCCGATGATGATAAAAGCGCGAAGCAGCGGCTCTCCGAAGGCGTGCGGAAGGACGCAAAGAAGCCTGCCAAAGGCACTGCAGCCAGCAAAGCCACCCAAGGCAGTCGGAAGGCTGGCAGCGGGAAATCATCCAAGAAACCAAATACCAAGAGGGACGTCGACGACAAAGCCGACAAAGCCGGAAAAAAGAAGGGGCAATCCGGGCACGAGGCCGAGGCTGCCAGCGACTTCAATGCGGAAGAGTCTGAAGTCGACGGCTCGAATGCATACAGCACAAGAGACCAGGAGCCATCTACGAACACGGATTTGTTTGAGAACGAGATTAGTGACCTGATGGGAGAAAATGTGGTTGAGGAAGAATGGGAAACGGACCTTGAGGTCGACGGTAAGTGGCTTTGGTTGAAGCGGTGCCGATAGGCCTCTGGCCGAGCAACTTGGCCGCGCAGCATTGATACAATTGATGCCGCACAGCCAGATCACTGCAGCGTCGCAACCCTGTAGGATTTGCTGTGCGATATCATTACTTATCTGACCGTGTCCAACGCACTATGCTAGATATCCTCAAGAAGAAGGCACAACTCAATCCGTACGAGTCGGCCTGCAAGGTGCTGGGCATTGTCCCGGCAAGCTCCTTTGCATCAAAAGCCTCGGGCCAGTCCGAGGTGATCTTGAAGCACCGTGGACTGGGACCCAAAGGCGCTCAGGCCATAGCCGATGTCCTCGAGGTGAGGCCGATGCCACCTGCATCACTTCAAAGCGCATGTATCGCCCTACTGCCAGACCTTGCTGCCAAATTCAGCATCAGATTGGCTTGGTGGCTTCACGTCGAGCTGATCCAGGCTCTCTGTCTTGTGGCGGCCACACTTCCCGGCGATTGCCATCGCATCAAGTCCAATACGAGCATTCAGTACCTGGATCTGACCGACAACTGGATCGAATCGGGCGGAGCACACATCGGCCGAGCGCTCCAGCTCAATCGCTTCTTGGTCGAGCTGAACCTCACCGACAATCGCCTTGGGCCAGAGGCAGGCCGGGAAATGGCCGAGATGCTGACCTTCAACGGCACTCTCAAGATACTCAATCTGGCAGGTAGGGCCTCTGCGCCCGCAGGGCGGATGATTCGATTATGTTCTCCGCTGAGCAATCGTTTTATCCAGGCAACCGCCTCACCGACAACGAGGCCATTCATTTCTCCCACGGGTTGAAGCAAAACTCGACTCTTCAAGGTAAGCTGTTGGCCAGTTGCCCTGGGAACCACGCATCGGTTCCAGAGCCATCAAAGTCTTTGGTGCTATTCGCAAGACAAAGACCACGACGTTTGCAAACGAAAGCGCTAATGCTGTTTGGCCTCGGCAGTCTTAAATCTCAGCCACAACCAGATTGGTGACATTGGCGCGATTGCCCTGGGATCCGGCATCTCGTCAAACGATGTCCTGAAGGAACTCAATCTTGGTCGGTGGTCGCACCTGTTGCCTCCACCATCGAGTGTCAGGGGGCCCAGTAGTCTTTGCAGCCGTATATTGAGCAGTCTCAGGGAAACTGCAGCTGGACAATGTGCTGACGAACCACACAACAGGCTGGAACCATATTCGGATGAAGGGCATAGCCGGGTTCGTCGCCAACAGCAGGGTGCGTATATTTGCTGGCTGCGAAGCAGGATCCGCCATCCATTTCAACACCGGGCTTGCTCACCATCACTCTGCGCACCATATCACCGCTGTGGCCGCTAGGGAAACATCACCGTCAACACATACAACTTTGAGAAGAATGGACTTGGCGAGACCGGCTCCAACATCCACCAGCTGCTGAACCAGTCCGCCGCCATTCAGTATCTCAATATCAGGTACTTGGGGGACCATTCCCTGTAGACAACTGATGCACTAATCGCTCGCCCATAGCTCGCCATGACACATCGCCGCTTCTCGTCACATATCTCAGCGGCACTCGGCTCGGCGACGGCGGTATCACAGCAGTTGCAAAGGCAATCGAAAGCCACGGTAACGCGCGCGAATATGGTTCACTATCGAGCGGCAGTGGCATCTGGTATTTGTCTAATTACTCCTTCGGCTCCACGGCGACGGTGCGGTATGGTCGGCTCTAAAGGTGGCTTGAGGGAGTTCCATTGCTCGGACAATCCGTTTACCGATGCAGGCGCAACTGCGCTCTTCAAGGCTCTCCAGAGCTCAAGCGGACTCAAGCACGTTGGATTCAAGGTACCATCTGGACGACCCCGATGACTTTCTCTCGCTCAAGCAGTAATCGGCGCAATCGTTGTTTGCGGCAATTCAATGCTTCAGAACTTCTGTGGCGCTTCATTCCTCTCGCAGACGTGCCCGGTCAGCATCTGTGACTAGCTCGTCGCAACACTCCTAATCAAATGCATCTCGTGTTCATTCATGGCCATTCACACCCGTGTTCGCTGGAAGAACATCAAATTGACCAAGGACATTCGTGTGCGACTGCAAGAGCTCCGTCAAGAAAAGCCACAGATATTGATCGTCGAGGCCCGCCCGCCAATTGTCAAGCTCGATCTCATGCTGGCCGGTCATCTTGAGCACTTGGCCACACAGGCGGCTATTCTCGCCGCCGAGAAGAAGGCCGCTTTGGAGGCTGAGGCGGCAGGGCAGCAGCAGCGGCGGCAGCAGCGACCATGGCAGCCCAGAACGAGGATGATGCAGTTCTTGCCAACGAATAGCCCCGACACAGCGAACTGGCGCACACACAGTTTACTTCCTACCCGCTTGCCCCATGCCCTGGACGCGCCCGTTGAATTGAGGACCCGTGTTTGTCAAGTTCGGATTATTGTAACCAGACATGTCGGACATGGCGTGGGCGCATGTCTATCTGCATCGATGCACGCGAACAAGAGCTGTACGTGGTTATGGAGGCGCGCCACAAAACAACTCCAATGAACCACTGCCGACATATAGCCGGCCGCACAGCGCGGGCGAGGGCCTCTTGGTTAATCGACCTTGATGGCGCCAAAGATCTTACGGACAAACTGCAAGGAGGAAAAGGGGGAATCGGGGTGTAAGCCAGGGAATGCGGGACTGCCTGGCGTATCGGGTTGGATGCGTCGAGTGCGGTACACAACATATCGACTTACGGCAAAGCAGGCAACGTATCCAACGGTGCCGGTGAGAATGGCAAACAGGATGGACATGACCAAGGACCAGCCAAAGTACAGGGTGGCGGCTGGCACGTTGGTGAAATGGAACTAGATCAAAGCACATGATGGTTAGAGCCTAGTCATGGCTTTCAAGTAGTACACCGGCGCAACAAGCAGGAGCAGGCGGGAGCAAGCAAACAAAGACTTACCTGGCGAACATAGTACAGGATGCTGTACAAGAACATGTAGAGGCCGCTGGCGCCACTGGTCATGAAGGCCCTCCAGCTCCAGTTGTAGTCTTCGTTGCACAGATGGAAGTAGCACATCAAGACGGACACCTCGGTGCAGGTGATGATCAAGATAATAAAGACCAAGAAGAGGAAGCCAAAGACGTAGTAGATGCGGTGGAACCAGATCGATCCCATGATGAAGAACAGCTCGATGAAGATGGCGCCAAAGGGCAGGATGCCTCCGACAATAACCGAGACCCAGAAGCTCAGGTAGAGTGGCTGGGTGGGGATCTGGCGTGGGATTTGGTTGGTCTTGCAGGGGCTTTCAAAGACAGGGGCTTGGAAGCCGTAGTAGGCGCCGACCATGCACAGAGGCAGCGAGAGGAAGAACCACAGGGCAAAGAGGGCAGCCATGGTTCCGAAAGGCACGGCGGAGGACGAGTCGGCGCCGATCAGGAAAAAGTTCAAGATGATGAAGATCAAGAAGAGAGTGCTGTAGGAGCGATGTTATAGCAGGAGACGTGGTCAGAGTCGGAGCATGCGCTAGCACGCACTGGCGAGCAAGGAAATGTGCTGTCCATCTCGACGTACCCGGGAATCAGCGTGGCCGTCAGCATCACGTTGCGACGCCAGTGCTCGCCGAACAGCGAGTGGTACAGACGTGCCGAGACATAGCCAGCGACTCCGGCGAACAAAATGTAGAACATGATCGTGACGGTGGCAAGCGATCCACGACTCGAGGGCGAAAGGAAGCCGAGCACCGCGAAGACTATGGGGCGGATGGGGAGTTGGGGATATTCGGCTCCGGTCAGTCTTCAGTCCACAAGAGCAAATACGATGCAGACAGCCAGCCCACAGGCCGCACACCCATCGAAGATGCTTACCTAGAGTGACACCGCACATCAAGAACATCTGGGCGCCGTTTCCAATCAGGACAGAGAGGATCATGCGATACTGAGGCGGGCGGAACACGTCGGCATGGACCAGCTTCCAGCCAAAGTCTTCGTTTCCGCCATCTTCGTCCGCAAAACTGTTGTATCGCGAGATGTCCTTGTGGAGGGCACGCAGCAGGATCATGGCAACCATGCCGGAAAGCATAAAGACAATCACGATCGAATTGATGATGCTGCAGACAGAGTTCCGCTGATTAGCCTGTGGGCAGCAGCGCAGAGCGAACGCAGATGTCTCCATGATTGCTAGAGGCTGGAGACTGGAGCTCGATGCCGAGATCTTCATTTCGCGCATGTGCAGGGGTTGCGCGAATGCTTCTCCGCATTCTTCTGCTCACACCTCCACCCCACAGCACACAACCCACAGACCCACCTGAACCAGTGGACCTGGGCATCGGTCACATGGAGGTAGTTGTCCCAGCGAGTAGCCCACGAAACTGTCTTTTTCTGTATAGCACATGATGCAAAGCAGCGTGGACGGTGTTGGTAGAATGCTTGATCGTTTGCAGCGGGCAGCACAGGAGATGATGTTTGGTACTCACGATCCACCTGACGTTGTAGGTGTAGGTGACCGTTGTCGAAGAGTCGGTACTGAGGGACATGTCTGGGGTATGGCTGGCGCCGTACTGGCACTGGCTATCCTTGTTGACATTCTTGACACTGGATCCAGAGGGGGGCTGTTAGCTCATGGGATCAAGCGACATCGTAGGCGCTGGCAGAGCTAAGACTACAGGTACCTGTACGGATCAACCAGCACGCCAACAATGCGGTTCGAGCCTTCGTTCTCGGAGTGGTAGTGAAGGGTGATATCGTAGTGGTTATGCAGGAACGGGGTGTCCTGTTGTTGGAGTAAGCTCTGTTAGCTACGGCGCTAACGGGGTCTGAGTGATACCAGACTAGCACCGCGCCCCGAAAGTAGCAGGCTGGAGGAAAGACTGACCGCCTTGACGGTGCCGAGCTGAAAGCCAATCTTGAAGATGTTTTGGCCATCAGCATCATGGCGGATTTGGGCAGCAGGGAGGCCATCGACGAGCCAGCTGAGTATGTAGTTCTCGTGGATTCTGCACGTCGTCAGGGTTAGGTATTTGCAGATTGCCGAATTGGGTCTCCGTAATGACACGGCTGACATTGAGAACAGGCATAACGCAAAGCAGAGACGCTACCTCTCATTGATGAAGTGAGCATCATCGGCAGGAACGGTGGCTTCGCAGAGAACGCTGCAAGTCTTGTCGACGAGCATTTGCAGCTGATGTTGGCACATTGCGTGTCCGGGTTGAAATCAAATGTCAAAGTATGTTTGGTAAGGGCATGGTGACGGTGGAGGCTGCTCGGGAATGTATGTGCAGATCACGGCCCTGGTCGACTGGGTTGGGCCGGGAAACCGACGGTCGTTCCGCACGCCACACCAACACCGTCGACCTGAGGTCTGGGGGCGTGGGGTGCCAAGCTACCGGGCCGATCAGCTAGGGCTGGGTCGGCGGATCGGCCGTCCTCGGAGCTGGATCGACGGGCAGCGGAGGCGGCTCTATCTCTGGTCGCACTGACGCTCGTTATGCAAAGAGGCTCCTGGCTGGCCAGCTTACCTCGAACGGAGAGCTCTGCAGACGGTCACCAAAGAGAATGCTTCCCAGACTCTCAGAGTTGGAAACAGGACCATCCTTGGGCGCACAGAAGTGGAAGCGGGGGTTGTAGTAGTCGTAAGGCAGCACAAACGGGGCCGAGACGACGTTGACGGAGAGCTTGACGGCGTCGCCCTTCTCGTAGTCCCTGGGCGCCATGCCAGGGAGGTAGAAGCCATGGACCTGGGACAGGGCCAAGCAGAGAGAGAGAGCAAGCAGGGCAAGCTTCATCGCGGCCATTGCGGCGGATCAGAGGTTGGCCGGGACGGTGGAGCGGTATGCGGCAGCGGCAGCGGCGACAGCAGCGGGCAGTCCTGGGCCCTTGATGGGGAGAGAGATGGGAATGGCGATGGCAGGCGCCGGCGGGACCAGAAATGGCGGGCGACCAGGCATCCGCCGGATCGAGCCACGGCTCGAGCCACAAAGCCCTGGCCGGATCCGTCACCCTGACTTTCAGGGACTGGCCTTCTTGCCACCGTATCGACCACCGCATCGACCACCGCATCTACCATTGCATCGACCATTGCATCGACCTGTTATCCCGTCCCACTGCCATGTCAACCCAGCCGCGCCCTGACTCGCATCATCCTCCCGCGGGAGAAATCGCCTCGCTGAAGAATGTGGTCGAAAATGTGCTTCTGAAGCGCGGCGTCCTTGGAAATCTCAAGGCCCAGCTACGGGCTGCCGTCTTTCTGGTGCTGCAAGAAGAGACAGCAGGCTCGTCCAAGAAGCTTCCGCTCGAAGCTTCGACCAAGCTGGATCTCCTGCGCTCCTCACCCGACGGTATGGCTTCCACTTCTCGCAGCACACGCTCTGACCCTTCTCCCAAACCATTCAAGCAGACGAAGCCAACCCGTCGTCTGATATCACCGCGGTTCTCTCGTCCGTTTCAACATTGCCTTTCCCATCTAACGAGCGCTTCATCCTCAGCCCGACTCGCACTCGATCTCATAATGGATTTCCTCGAGTGCTTCAATCTCGAGTACACTCTCGCAGTCATGACCTCGGAAGCTGGCCTGGTAATGTCGCTTGCTTGGGCAGCTGCTCGGCTCTGCTCATCACAGCCTACCAACTTACCCGATCATTTCCTGCAGCCCGAACGAACACCCGGACACCATCGCCGCCCAAATGTCTCGCAAGAGCTCAAACTCGAGTCCTCGACCGATGATACTCCTCTACTCTTGCAACTGATTGAGCATCGCCACGGCGATCTGAAGGCCCTCCAACACCTGGTAAAATCGGCTTGGTGGTCTAATTTCTCGCTCCCTTTCTCTGCCAGTCCGATTGGCCTCGTCGCACTCATCAGGTCTATTTTCCGAACTGCAGCGCTCGCAGTCGACATCAATTCAGCCTCTCACCGACGACAAGTCCAACAAGTTTGGTGAGGAGCTCGGTGCTGATGCTTTTGGCCGTACTCTTAACAGCTGCCCGGTCTACGCTCACGCGAGCTGATACGAAACACATTCTCTCGGTTCCGACACTCAGTTATACTTTCGGAGCCCACGTCCCTCGTCTCCTCGCTGGGCGTGCCCGCAAAGACTGCACCTCTACACAGAGACGCACCCACTGGAATCAACGTATCGCCAGGAGAGCAGTCGGCCCTTGGTCATGCGCGTGCGTCTAGCGACAAAGGTGCGGATGTTCTTGCAGAGGAGTTGGCGACACGAGCCAGATCTAAATGCGCTAGATGTCGTCTCGGCCTTGGAGCTTGTGCCTTATGGGTCCTTCAAACTGGCCCGCCTGCATGACTGGATCGCTTACGTCCGCTGATCGGTACGGAAATCTACAGTCCAGCAAGATAGATCGGCTCAGTCCGGTACTGCTCCAATGCACCCGCCGCCTGTCCTGGCTCCGACAGCGCTCGCCCCCATATCATCAACGTATCCTCCAAATACATCCGACACGCCCGACAATCTCGCCGAGCAGCTCCGGCTAGCTGACCCGGCGGGTATCCAGATCGATATTGAGGACGAGTAAGTCGCGCATCCAACTCTATTCAGTTTCAATGTGGCGTGGGAGCCAAGGAATGCCTGCCTAAATTTGCTTGTTTCCGTCAGAGTCGAAGAAGATGTGGAAACGATCGAGAAAGACGACCAGGTACCGCTGGAATGATCTGGCACATGCCTCACCCATAGCCGAGGAGAGTAGGGCTGAATCAATAGTGGGGGGGACAATATTGACACTAACCTGCTGTATGATATTGCTTACAGACTGAAGATCACACAATCAGCCCAAGCTACAGTACCGATGCATTTCAGTATGACGAACCGGCTGAGCTGGACTCATCCTAGGAAGGACCAACGATTGCATAGCGCAGTAACTGCCGCAACCGCTGAATGGGAGTCATCGGGCAATCAGAATGCTCACCGGCCGATCTTGTCCGCCACATTCGAGCTCCGTGGATCAGTGCAGTGTCTCCCCGCGACTTTCCGATCCCCGACACGAATAGGCAATCGCTTTGCCCAGCATTAGCGCCTAATAAAACGTCATATCAGGATTCGTTGCTCTATCGTGACTCCCTGGGTGAGCCATAGGCCAGTGGATTCCATGCAGGCCGTCGTGGCGATATGATCGGCTTCGGTGCCAGGAAGGGAAGGTGAACGATACGAGTGAGCAAAGCTGAATAGCGGCAGCAATGGCGGTGGATAACTTGCGCTCTGCATTGACGAGCCCTGCACTGATGAACCTGCTTCGACAAGCTCACTCTCAAGGTGCGACCAATTCGTTTCGAAACAGGCAAGGACTGGCGTTGATCAATTTGCACGGAACGATGCTTGAGCAACCATCACAGGGCATCCGAGCAGCTGCCGTAGCCCGTGGCGGGGTGCTGTTGAGCTCATGATTGGGAGCGGGATCCTGCAGTGATTGGCTTTTGTTCGACACAGCCCGTTCAACAGCGCTTCTTTCGAATGAGTGTCCTGTTGGCCATTTTGCTACTGCTCGATTATAGTTCGGTTGATGCCGAGTGGGCTCCCCACCGAGTCTCACTTTGGCGGCGCCAAAATCCATCTCGAATCCCCCCCCCCGAGACGAGACAGCTCCGCTCGCAAGCCGTCGTATCGTCCGCCGTCGATTCTGCTGGAAATTCCCGCTGATCCCTCCGCATCGTTTGTTGTCGGCTCTCAAGGCCCCACCAAACGCTGCTGTAGACTCCTGGCTCAAATCCGGCAGCAGCAGCATCTGCAACAGCATCGGCTTCGGTGCAGCACGGCATTGCCCACGCCAACTCCCACCCTTTAGTTCCTGGCTCACCGCTCCAAGCAACCACACCCTCCATCCAGCCAGCTTCGTCCCATTTGGGCGTCCCCTGGCAACCAGGGTACACTATCGACTATCCCCGTAATCATCTGCACCCGCGCAGAGAATGGGAAACTCGGGATCGCTGCCAAACCCAAGTAGCGACAGCGAACTATCGGATGGCGAGAAGCTCAAGTCGCCAACCCATAATGTATTTCCCTGGGCGCTTCACGGCCGAGAGCGGCGATCGTCGCAAGAAGCAGGCGGGCGCGTCGCCTCTCAGTCTGCCTCGGCTCGATCGTCACAGCACGAAAGGCATCACGAGCACTCCATGTACCATCATCTTGATCATCATATCGAACACACCCATTCCCGTCGCCACAGCGAGCATGTTCCCTCGAGCCCCCGCGATGAACATCCGCCTGGCCATCACAGCGAGCACTCACCCTCAAATCGCCATCGCGAGCCCAAGGCTGGTCGCCGGCACAGCGAGCAGATCCATGGACTCTTTGCCAGCGAGCCGCACACCGGGCAGAAGCCCGAGCGCCGGAACAGCGAGCGATACCACTCAAATCACTCCCAGCATGTCAGCCAGGCGAGCGACCGATCGCAGCAAGAAGATCCTCAGGAAATCCTGGACTCATTTCCCACAAATCTGCATAGGCGGCCGTCGAGTAGTAGGGCATGTAGCGTGCATGTGACGCTTGAGCGAGGATATGGGCAGAAAACACCGGTGGAGGCCACCCATGAGAATCGTGAGCCACCGCCACTGTCAGCCATCGCCGACACAGGTACGCCCCTGGTGAGCATCGCGAGCGGTCTCACACGTCTTTAAGCGTCTCCATCTGATTCCCTGTTCATCCTCCGTCGGCGAACCAGGATATCACGCACACCACCTCAGCATCAGCAATGAGAGGCTCATAGATCCCGATGGCTCAGAGCGACGGCGACGCTCTATCAGTGGTTTCTCGGGCATCAATGCGCCAACCCTCATGAAGCGATCAAGCTCGATCAAAATCGGAGCAAACAATCCCAACGAGCTTCAAAGAGTCATTCTCTCCAAAGATAACTCGCCCAACAGCTCACCCAATCCCACATCCATTGCCGTCGTCTCCACGGCATCCAAACGGGCGACACTCATGAACGTATGCGTAACTCGTCTGATAGAGGAATCCGGATCGGTGCTTGTTCGGGACATCGACGGCCATAAGACGGCCATCAACAGCGACAACTCGATCGAGGCTCCGACCCTGTCTGTTTCTGCAGCTTCCAAGGATGGGAATGTTGCGGACGAACGAGTCCAACTCGCCGAGTTGGCCGATCACCCCACAACGAGTACTAAGCCCGGTCCGGTCACCCCGCCAAGGAATGACGATTTGCCAGCACCCGAGGCACCCACAGTCGCCAAACGGGACTCAACATGCGAGCCAATATCGGTAGCCCTGCCGAGTATCTCGCGCCAATCGACAAGATCCAAGAAAAAGCTGCCGCGATACAACTCCTGCTCGACACTCTTTGTAGACCAAACCATCGTGAACTCGGATATGAATGCGATGCTTAAATGGTAGAGTGTACTGTTGCTCTTCGCCAGATGAAGTGAAGGCCGGAGAAGCATTCGGCGTTGCTAATCGGTCAACGTCAACGATCTGCTGGCTTGTGATATCTGGGTTGTGACTTGATAGCGTTTTTCCGCTGGAAACAGCGCTGTGAGCATACCGCACCCTCAGTTCATCGACCACAGACAGTCACTAACGACAACGTCATTTTGATCTTGGCGCTTTAGTGTCTCGAAATCCCTCCACCACACTATAGTGCAGCAAAGCAAAATCGAACTGAAAAAGACCCACGACATCTTGTCCGAGAGGCTGCATCCCTTGTCGGTACGTCTGCCGGTTGCAGATGGCTCACGGCGATCGCAGACGAGGCAGCGACCCAGTGTCTCGGCGGTATGACACGGCGGCTAATGCTCGTGCTTGTTTTTTTCTACGCGCTGTAGAAACGGATACAGTTTTGCACCAAAATACCATCGACACGGGATATATTCAAGTTCCTTGAATGCGTGTTTCAAGCAGCCGAGCTGCCCGTGGAGTGTGCCCCCATTACTTTGGTAGGCTGGTCCGCTTGCAAGCCCATTATCAGTGGCTCGCTCTCCCGCGAGACTGCAACGATTGGCCTTGACAGGCAATGTCGGTTACTGCCGGCAGTTGATTTGATGCTCTTTACGGCCAAGCTTTGCAATTCTCTCTCAAGCCAATGCTGGTGACTGATCATGGTTGATTTGCGCCAGGTTTACATCGAGAGAATGCTCAGAAAGACTGGGGTCAACATCCAGATGGTCAACTGGGCACGGATAACACTTGGTGGCCTGCTCTTGGCGTCGAAGGTTTGGGACGACCATGCCGTCTGGAACATTGACTTTTGCCAGATCTTTCCAGATGTCCCCGTCGCAGACATGTAAGTTGTCTCTTGTGCACGCCACGGACATATTGATTTGGATGCGCTGTTGTGTCTTGGGCTGAAGCAAGCTGTCAGGCTCCGTCACGCCAACAGCCTCGAGCTTCTCGAGCAAGCCGATAATGTCCGTTTGTATGGCTGACGCCAAGGCTGGTATTGATGAACTCGAGCAGGAACGAGCTCGAGCGGTGGTACATGCACTCGATCGACTATGACGTCTCGGTCAAGTGCTCGGTCTACACGCAGTACTATTTCAAGCTCCGTGATTTGGCCGACAAGAAGAAGCTGTTTGACCTCAAACCACTGACACTGAAGGATGTCAAGATACTCGAGGTATGATTTGGCGCCTGCTTTCGTGCACGAAATATGCCCGCACTCTGCTTGCCCCGGGCGACTGCTGACCTGATTGTGGTTTATGTTCTTGCACTGGGTCGGCGGTCACAGGCTCGCATCCAGGAGATTCCGAAATCCGAGGAGCCCGCCAAGGCACCATCCGATGCGGCTGCTGCAGGCACAGAAACTAACGCCGCCAAGGAGGCCGCCCCGGCCGATGCCCATGAAGAGAATCTTGCTCCGCACGCAACTCCCAAAAAGCCGGCCAAGCCAATCCCGCGGTCCAAGAGCGACTATATATTCTCTCCCGCCCTGCCGCCGCACAGTATCCCGATCTGACTCTCCTAATGTTCCGCCGGGGCATCTTGAGACGCTGCCCATGTACATACAATGTATTCCGATAGTTCCTGGACGCACACACACCCCGCGCCGGGAGAGAGAGAGTCTATGAGCACTCTACCTGCATCCCACAAACGGCATGCTGTGCCCGCCCCATTCGCAGCGCGACGGTCACATGATCGGCTCGGAACCAGCCAGCGGTTGCAGCCAGCCACCCAGCCGGCTGCAGCCGCGCTCTCCTTTGAGCCAGCCGCCGCCTCTGTCCTCGCTGCTCCTCCACGGCACCCCGGCTCCCAACAGCCAGACATCCGTATCCGCTTGGTCTGCAGGCCCGTTCTCACCAGCGTCTCCTCCCGAGACAGAGATCCTCCATCTGCATCGCACGAGCTGCGGCAGTTATCCAGCACGTACCCAGTTGCGGCATTATGTCCTCCAAGAATACGCACATCGCCGTCAAAGCCAACAAGCAGCAGCAGCTCGGCCAAGTCAACAAGCTCGTATTCAAGAGCGAGGCTGATGTCGAGCTGCTTGAGAACCTGCGTGACTACATGAAGGTGAGATGTCAAAAGACTCACCAGGCACTTCCGTGTTTGCAATCATTTTATCGCAGGTTTACGTTAGCCCGCGTGGGGCCTGGAGCCGCTGTGGGGGTAGCTATGGCCGCCTGCGATGGCGGACGGATGGGGCTGGCGAGCTGGTGGAGCGCCAGTGTATTTTGATGGGTACTTGATACTCCGACAACGGCATCGTATGTGACGATCAATGGCGATGATCTAGCGCTGCTGAGTGACAGACGCTGGAGCTCTCGTCTTGTCCTGGCTGGGTTGCATGGAGTGCTGTGTCGTCGGTGGCGGTATGCGCTCACACCATCGGATACGAATGATCAATGGCCTCCCTGCGCTCGTTAGCGCCTGTATTGCTCCATATTGTGGATGATCTTGCATTCGCATGGCTGTTCTAACAATCGATCGACTCGCACATCACTCCATTACATTGGGTGAATCTCAGAAACGCGCAGAGATCGAGAACGATTATTTCAAGGTATCGTGTGGGATCACCCAGCCCCCCATCGCAATGCTGCTAACAATTTGGATAAACCCTGACGTCTCTGACACAATACCCCCATCCTCTTGGCATCGGCAAGAGCTTGGAGAAGCTCTCAAAGAGCTACATCCAGAAAAAGTACCGCAAGGTGTCGCAGAGCGGACGCTCCCATGGACTCACCGTCGAGGAAGATGACAGCAAGGGCGAGCCCAGCCGCGAGCAAAGGTTTTCCGTTGGATGCAATTGGCCGAACACTGTGCGATCTCGGGCCCTGGCCATTGGCCAGCAAACGGTCCACCCACGACTTGGCGGACAGATCGTGCCAGGTGCTGCTGTTTCAAGCACTCACCATCTGCCGCGTGTTCTGTGACAGAGCAATGTACACAGCATTCTCGACGCTTTTGCAAGAATCCGAGCGGCAGGCCAAGGCACGAGGCCAGATTAGCGAGACGCTCGTAACCTCGGTCACCGATGTGCTCAAGGACGTCACCAAGGATAAAATCTCAGCCAACAAAAAGGTGCGTCTGCAGACTCGAGCCTGTGAGGCTCTGTACCCGCGGGCACTTGAGCACTCGAGCACTTGAGCACTCGAGCACTTGAGCATTTGAGCATACGATGGCAAGCATATCCATTTAACACTATGGCCACTTCAACGCATTCAGAACTCTGAGTTTGCGGTATGTATGAGCAGCGCCGTCGTTCGACCACGGCCCTGTTGGAGTGGCCCAGCAACCAGATTAACGCGCTCGGTTCATATTGCAGACAAAATACCTCAAGGATCTCCATGCTGCCTACGACGAGCTGGAAAAGGTATCCCTTGGTCCAAGGCGCCTCTTCCATCATAGTTGGCCGCGCCAGCAAGCCTGGCTTGGTGTGTCGGGCGTGCGACCGCACGCTCACAGATTATGGGTATCTATCTGAACTCGGTGATATCTCCGATGCGTGGGGCTGTGCTCATCAGGTCAAAGCCGTCTACGATAAAGCAGCCAAGGATGCCGACCAGGCCAACAGGAAGTACGAGGAGGTCCTCAAGAAGCCCAACGGTGGCATATTTGCCTTCTCCAAAACTAACCCCGAGGAGAATATTGAGAAGGTGAGTCTTCCACACCTGTTAGTTTGTGTGTTTATGTGATTATACATGAGCGGAGTGTGTCGTTCCTACCAATCTCCGACGGAGACACCGATTGGCCTCATATGCGAATGATCGAGCCCCCCCCTAACGACCCTTGTCAACACCACCATCCAGGCCAATATTAAGAAAAAGAACGCCAACAGCCGCCTTCTCAACGTCCGCAACGAGTACATCCTTGCATCTGAGGCTGCAAATGCGATGCAGCAACTGTATTATACATGTACGTACGACACATCTCTTGGCTGCTCATGTCCTATTACGAGACTCTGGACTGACTCGTGTCGCCGGCGCAAATATCCACTGTCAGCGGATCTCCCCAGCTTGATGAAGGTAGCGTGTAGATCTGTGCCTGCGGGCATGTCTTATCTGAGCAGTTACGCCGTCTCCATCTCTATCGTCCGGCACATCGACCTTGACTCTAACAACTGCTGGGTTCACCTTTTGTGGGTATGTGGGCTTTGGGCGAAGCAGAAGTTGGACGGATCCTTCCACGTCACACTCAAGAATCTGATGTCTGTGTACGTCAACCTTGAAACCAGCTTTACCGAAATGCTTGTCGGCAGCACCAACAGCATGAGAACCACGATCGCCCGCATTGACCAGGATGCAGACACGGAGCTGTGTCTACGTGAAGGCGGCAGCATGTTTGTTTCGCCCTCAACGATCCCTCTGGACAACTCATACAACGACACAGTAGGTTACTTTTCGTGGTTCATTGCGCACGAGGATGTGTCGATCGGGTCAGAGCGACTTCTTACGCCACCTGTCAATCATATAACAAGGAAACCGGCCTTGTCCTCGATGAGACATCGAGGGATTCGCTCGGTCGTAAGCTGGGTGTGCTGCTTCGAGAAGAGGAGGAGCTCAACCGCGCCTTGGAGAAGAAGCAAAAAGAGCTTGCCGGCATCAACAGCCTCGTCCAGGTCTACAAGGACACTCCTCAGTTTGGCAATGCTGCGAGCCCGCTCGAGGTGAGCATATCTGACCTGCAGGATGGCATGGCGCATCTGTATTCCAAGGTCCGAGCTGCGCAGATGATCTTACCGTCTGGACTATCTGGTTTCAAAGCAAAAACTCGATCTCGACAACGCTGTAGATCTGCTGAAGCTATCCTTGGCACGCGTCTCAACGGCCACGGCTCTTCTAAAGAAGATCAACGGTACGACTATCAGTTGTGCGCTTAGCACCTACGCTGCAATCTTGGGTGCTGGTGGTATCATCACAGATCGCAGTTTGGGATATGTGATTCTCGAATAAGCATCCGTGGTTGCTACCGCTCTCACGGCCGGTATCGCTGCTGCGGCTTCTGCGACGGTTGTAATTGACGCTCATGTGCGGATTGACGCTGCAGTGCAACCGATATTCGAGGCCCTCGCTGTCTCGCCCAGCATGTCTGCTACACCATCAGGACGAGGCTCAGTCACCGCTTCATCCAGCCATGCAATTGCCCTCTATGCCTACGATGCAGCCGAGGCAGAGGAGCTCTCGATTCAAGAACAAGAGGATCTGACGGTCCTCGGTCCTGATGAAGAAGGCTGGACCAAGGTATGCACATCGTCATGCAAAGGCGAAAGCCGCACTATGGCAAGCTTGGCCTTTGACAATGCGGGCTACTTTGGCGCAGGTTCGAGGGCGACGTGGCGAAGGCTACGTTCCATCAAACTACATCAAGGCTACTACTTTGGCCGACCGGCGCGTATCATCCGTCAGCTCCATCAGTAGGAGCACGTCGGCCTCGCTGCCAATCACTGCCCTGGCCGATCCGCGACGCTCGTCGGTTGCCAAGTCTGTCACCACTCAGGGTAGGCACCGCTGGAGGCGACATGGATGACTCTGAAAGCAGCATATGCTGGCCGCGCTTTGTTGTTCTGGGCTGACATCGTGTCTCTCCGCCCGACCTTCGCAGTCAAAGCGATCTATGGTAAGTCGCTATACCGCACACGCAAATGCAACCAGGCCTCGGTGTAAACCATCTGCTCGCAACCGGTGGCACTTGTCGCTTACATTTATTTTGGTTGTGTCAGACTACACTGCCAGCGATGCCGAGGAAATTACCTTCAAAGGTTAGTCGAAGCTTGTGTCCATATCAGCTTGCTGCGTAGTGCCATCGGTCACTAATCTCCTCCGTCGGAACAGCTGGTGATGTCATCGAGGTGACCCGGGTAACCGAGAATCATGAAGATGCCTGGTGGGAGGGGCGCGTCGTCCGAACACAGCAGCGAGGCAACTTCCCCGTTGTCTTTACCGAAGGATGGGAGGCCGTGGCTGCTTCTGGCCCGACTACAGGCGGAAGCGCAAAGAGCCTTGGCATTGCAAAGACGGCGTCGCTAAGTAGCTCGGCGACGAGCCGTGCCACCGGTGGCAAGAAGGGCTCGAGAGGTAATCGATGATCATGTACAAGCGCACGAGTGAGCCGATGCGCGAGCACCGCTGACCTCTCTGTATGTCGACCTCCGTCTTTCAAGCCCGGGTGTTGTTTGCGTACGATGCCACTTGTGAGGGCGAGCTCAGCCTCAAAGGTAAGTGGCGAGCCGATCCCAGACGTGCAACCGGGAATGTAGAGCCTGCCTTGGCGTCCAGTGTCTGACAACGCCTTGGATTCAGTCAACGATATCGTTACCGTTACAAACAAATCGACGGGCAGCAACGAGTGGTGAGTCAATGTCCTGAGAGCTGAAGATTGAGGTGGCTGGCCGTCGTGACGATGCTAAGCGTGCCGTCGTATCCTCATCCAGGTGGGAAGGCGAAACCAGCCACGGCAAGGTTTGTATCGATGCCGAGCCACTTGTGTGGGCGCGGAGTCTGCCCATGTTCGCCAGCGCCGATAGGTCCTGTACGTTGCTCCTCTGAACCTGTTACCGCATTTAGGGCCAGTTCCCAGCCGCTTATGTTGAACTGATTGACGATGGAGATCGTGACACCGTGGTAAGAATGCCCGTGGCTTTCTGGCCAATGCATTGCAGTCGCTGTCCAAATCCTGGACTCTACACAAGCTCGGAGCTCCGCTGAGCAGCCACCCGCTCAGCTGGGTTGGCTGCGTTTTCTCCCGTGGCAACCAACTATCGGCTCGAATCTACTGTACGCTGATGCATTTGCATCTACATGATCGGCGTGGATGCAGTCAAGCAAGAGCAGCAAATCCACCGTCACTTCGTTCAAAGGTATGCACCACATATAACTGCACCCATTCCATCGCCATAGCGATCGCAGCGGGCACCCGATAACCAACCCGACCCAACCCCACGTCGCCACAGTCCGGGCCTTGTATGACTACGCCGCAGCAGCGACTGGTGAGCTGACCTTCAAGACCGGAGATGTTATCACTGTTACCGACACCTCGGTAAGCAGCCGCGCAGCCATGCTGTTATGCCGCTATGCAGCCAGGCGACCATGCAATCGAATGCAGAGCTATCGAGCTCGTCTGGCCAAGATACCTCCGCTGATATGCAATTTCTACCTGGTCGCAGGAAAAGGACTGGTGGTCCGGTGAGCTCCGAGGCAATAAGGGCTATTTGCCGCAGACATACGTTCAGCGCATCTAGCCGGCGACAAGCTATTAGCTCAGACATTGTTTCGCTGCGACAATGTTCACAAAATGAAGCAGAGTGCCACTGTTTATGGAGCCAATGAAATAAAACGAGTTTTGGTCGTTGAACAAATACCTCGTTGCCTCAAACATTGTACGCTGGCCATGCCAGTTCAGTGGTGGGTTTCTGGATCTGAATCAAGGACGCTTTCTCGCACAGATGGCTCCCCGCAAGCGAAGACACCAGCCAAGCGACCAAGTGGATCCAGAGCACCCACAAGGTCCTTGGTCTGCAGTAATAGATGAACACTGGACAAGCAGCCGTACTTCAGCCTGACCCGACGACGGCGATTCAAGCGACTCGATCTCCAGGTGTGCACACAGTGCCGGGAAGCCAAGCGACTCGGGAAGGCCGAGTATCCCGATATTGATGCACCATGGAGTGGTCCAGAGGATCGAGTGCATCCATCACACTCACACATCGAGTGGACGCACTACACTCCCACATCGCCACAGGAGATCAACCGAGTGTATTCAAGACCAAGCCAACGAAATCAGGAGACTGTCAACTAGACAGGAAACAATCGCACGGCTTGTTCACTGGAGCCTACAGGCCATTCAGGACGCTCAGGGACACGTTGTCCCGTTTCGTTCCGACCAAGCAGTGAACCTCTGGGAATCGGCTAATTCCGGGCATGGATCAAATAGACTGCAGCGAGTGCTGCGATATACAAGGCAACGAAATCGCGGCTGCTTTGTCGAGAGGATAGGCCGTGTGAGCTGGAGTTGGAGGCCAGCTCATTGGTCTGTAAACCCAGCGTCAGTGCGCCGGTGTGGTTTGCCTGGCCACTGCAGCTCGGCGGCAAATCAAAGTAGTCGACATAGCCTCCACTGCCAGCAGTAATATCGACTTGGGAGTATCCCAGGCCACGCTTCGCAAAGCCTCTCCAGATATGACAAAAGTACTTTCCGCCCGTGTTGACTTGATCTGCCTTGATGATCGCATTGCGAGCCGCCACAAAGGTAGGGTTGCAGGGCTGAAGCTTGAAGCCATCAATGACCATGAGATACTTTGATACGGATCCAGCCAGAACAGCCGAGGGAGAGCCAACGATATCCCGTTGTGACGTCACGGCAATGTGCAAGAACATCAATGCCATTTTTAGAGCCGTGCACTTGTGTCAGTCTGGCACTTCCAAAGCAGCAGATGACATATGAATGCATGCGTACAGAGCAACGGACGGGACGTCGGCCCAAGATGCGTGGCGGACTTACTGCAAGTGTGTTTCCGGCAGTCATGTTCAGGTACTTTGGGTCGGCGAAGCCGCTGCTGTCGACCATGTTCCAATAGACCTCCCAAAGCATCGAAGTCCATATTTCGCCCATGCTGTGGGGCTCGGTGTAGTTAATCCGACCTGTGTTTTGTAACAAGGAGTACACGCTCGGATTGACGCTCATGTTGGTTGTGTAAGGGTAGTTCCGAACCGATCTGTTGAACGGATAGGCGCCAATGTAAAAGAGGTCGTTTCGGGTCGTGTTTGGATTGTTCTGGAGGGCGATCGAGAGCCAGTCGCTCCAGCCTTCGCCCAACCCGAGGGACATGGGAGTTGTCAGACAGTTCGCTGTGGCTGAGCCTCCCGTCAATCTGTTGGAGACTCCATGTCCAAATTCGTGGATCATGATGCTATTATCAAGGGCACCATCCCGTCGGGGATTTGTCACTGTGAATATGTAAGCCCGAAGCAGAGGCGGCTGGCCGTCGGGCGGGGTAGCAAAGTTGGCTACAAGATGGGCGATACGATGGGCGATACGATGGGCGATACGATGGGCGATACGATGGGCGATACGATGGGCGATATGTTAGGCAAGGCAATGAGCGATACGATGGGTGATATCTTAGGCGAAGCAGTCAACTGAGGCAGGGCGCATCATGCGCAAATGACATACCGTTGTTAAATCCACTGCCATCTTGCACATTGACAACCACGGGATCCAGCGGCTGTCCTTGATTGCCAAAGTTGACAAACTGGAAGTTTCCGGCTGCCTCCGTGAATCCGAACCGGCAAAAGATATCATGAAGGAGGCTGACAAGATAGAAAGCCTGGGCAATCGAGGCGTTTACGTTTCCACCCTGCGTCGGGTCGACGGTCAGATCCAGAGTGAAGTTGAACGTCCTGTTGAGGCCACGCGGCCGGAAATTGTAGAAGGGATCGGCTAGTGCCGCCCAGTTCTCCTGGACAATAGCGTTGTTCCCGATCGTTGTGACATTCGCGGAATAGTCAGGGCTGCCATCGTCAAAGTTGCTGTGCCAGCCATATGGGGAATAGTTCAGATCCCATGGACTCATGATCATCACACGGCCTTCGGTAATCGAGTGATTCTCAATGGGGACGACATCGTAGTAGGCGTCTGGGACGGACGAGGTGGCCTTGTTGACCCAGTTTGTCAGGGCAACGACGGACCCGTCCGTAACGGACACGAAGGCGTTATACCAGTGCTCGGGGTCGACCATGGGTGTGTTGATATCCCAGACTTTGATGAGGGTTTGATCGAGGGCATAGTATTTGAGCTGGACACTCACCGAGGATGTCGAAAACGACACCCCGAAAACGCGCAGGATATTTGTATTGTTTGCAACCGGATACTGGATCGTAGCATTGGCCGTGCTGCCGGCAGGATAGCCCAGATGTCGACCGAGTGCTTCGATGGCTTCGATCGGCGTCAGGGTTGCGACATCGGCCCGCCTATGAGCCAGATTTTGGATGCTCGACGTTGGAACGAACGACGCTCCCGCCAGGAACACCGAGCCCCTGGGATTGATGTGGACGTCCGAGACGGCGTTTGCGATCGGAAGGCCATCGTAGGTCTGCACGGCGTAGTGGTGATATACACCGTTGTGGGTGTCTTGAAATCTGAGCGTAAATCAAAGGTTTAGCGCACCGAAGCGGTGAATGGACACACTTGGGCATGGAGGCTGGAGGCTGGAGGCGGAATGGCAATCCGAACCCGTCCGTTCCCACAGCCAAGCACTTCTTCCATGACAGCTTCGCTTTCGCTAGCGCACGGCATGCATATCGTCGGTTCCCCAGGGTGAGGATACTCGAAACCAACAGGATCTCTACATACGATGTGGTTGTCTCGAACTCGGGCTGGTCGGTATCACTGGCCAGGTTGGTTTTCAGAAAAGTCTCGGCAGTGAACTTGAGGAACCGTTGCTGCAGATCGGATCCTGACGAGCGTCGGTTCAGTTTGCCCGTTGGCGAACCAAGAAACGACTCACCATCACTGTCGCTATCGACAAGTGTGCGATGCGGCGGTTGATGATATGCTATATTCGGGCCACTCGAGGACGATCCGGGCGATGCAGATGCGTCCGAGGCGGAGCGGGCTAGAGAGACAAGCGTCGCCGCCGACAGTACGATAACCAGGAATGGTTTCATCGTCCAACTGCTCTGACAAGTACGGCAGCAGAACCCTCGAAGAATCGAACGCTCTCCTTCCTGGAGTTTATATCAGTCTCTGAGATACCGATCACATTGTTGGCGCCAGCCCCTCGTCCAGCAACGGGAGGTGAGGACAATCCAAGCCAATCTCGGGGATGGCATTCTCTTGGCCAAGCCTATTCTCTTCCTGACAATCGTCTCTTCCTGACAATCCGCTCTCCCATAGACAATCCGCTCCATAGAAAATCACCTCCATCGACAATCGTCTCTCCGTAGACAATTCCCTCGTCACATGGCTATCGGGTATCCCATTGTCGCCAAGATACTCAGGGCGATCCGACCAATAGGGCCACGCCTGCCTCTGGGGATGTAATCGTCCAGCAGAACATTGCCTGTGGCATACGGCCCTTTCGTCCACACGCAAGAAACCATCGGTGTGAGTATGGAGGTCGCTCCTAAACGATCATGACATAAGCCAGCGCAGACAAGCACCAGAGCAAACCAAGTGCGTGAGCGAGAATATGCGTTCCAAATGCTGCTCCCGCCTCTGGCCATGGAACTTACTCATCAGGAACTCGGCCGTGCCTTGGTAGCTGCTTGCATCAATGTGCGACAGCGTGGAGCCATCGAGGAACTGCGATGATGCAAAGAGCCTGGCGTATCGTCCTCGGCGGGTTTCGGTGTCATTGAACCAGACGACTAGCCGGCCAGGACGTGTCCCATAGTTGCTCATCATTTTCTCGGCAAGGACTCGTCCTGGGCTGGCCATGAAGGCGTCCATCCAAGTTTCGCTGGTTCTGTCTGGGCCGGCGCTGGTTTGGGCAGCAGCGTCTGATGCCCGGAGGATGGCCAGCTCGTAGCGACGCAGCCACTGGCCATCGACCGTTGCCATCCACTTGTTGAAGATGTACGGCTTCGTCAGCCCGATGTAGGCCGCATGGTTGCTCGACATGATTGGCTGCGACGGCAGCAGAACGGAAGCATTGCCGAGCCAGGGATACCAGCTGCTCAGGAAGCCTAGCCCATGGATCAGTTCGTGGAGGACGATCTGCTCCAGGTCGTAGGATACAGTGCTGTCGCTGCATGTCCCTGCTTGGTTGGTGCGATTCAGGAGCGCCAGGGACCGGTAAATCCGGCCATCGTGATCTTTCATCAGCCAGTTGCAGTCGGAATTGAAGACTGCGGCGATGTCGCCGTCGTTGGCTGGACCGCCAGGGTCCTGCGCGAGCAACTGCTTTGCCAATGCGCTAGGATAGACATAGTCGACATCGATTCCCGCAGCGACTGTGTCCGTCGTGTGGTGATCCCAACTATACCACTTGGTCGGCGATGCCAAACCGAGTGTCTTGGAGGATTGGAGACAGTGGGATGGGTCGGCCGAGGTGCTGTTCGCACAAAATGAGGTGATGTTGAAAGTCACCTGTATCGGGCGACGGAAGCGGATTGCGGCAGTGATTCTCGAGAGTGCCCTGTTGGCGGCCAGCTCGGCCAAGCTGCAGAAGGTGGTGAGTTGGGCCGTGCCGTTTGCACAATGGAAATCGAGCTGGTGAGAGGCGGGCGAAAGTCCCCGTTTGTGCGGGTGGTGCACCAAATCGAAGCGGGGCCGGCCCGTCATCAGCGAATGCGGTTGTAGATGGAGGACCTGGAAAGCCATGCAGAGCGGCCATAGCGCCGAGAAGGCAAGAATAGCCAGTATCCATGATCGAAGCGGGGCGGGGTTCATCGGGCCGTTGTCTTATCGGTGCCGATCGGTGCCATGGTGCTCGGATCATGCCAGCATCTTATAGGCGGGAGCTGTCGACACCGCCAAAGCCGCCTTGGCGGGAAACAACAGATCGGCCACAGCAGCGGCGGGGCGGGCAAAGTGCGCTATGGGTGATCGCTGTGTTCTTCGGGCTGGCCAAAGGATCAACCAGAGCGCCGCCTTTCGGAGCGGGAGTGGATGTTCCTTGGCCAGCGCCTGCGAGGCGAGCGATTGTGGTTGCGAATGCGATTGTGGTTTCGATTGTAGCTTGTATTCAGGAAATGTTAGGCATCGACTCAACACAGGGTATCCTGATTCACGGTACGATCTGCAAACGCTCTATTGGTTTGGGAAAGGAGTAATCTACATGGACGCCGTCGAGGCTCTTGGGGTCCTGGATGCTGCTGCCTTGAACTGGCTGGTGCGGACCTCAGAGATCGCTGGATCGTCCCCAGTCGGGATCTGTAGGATCTTCAGCGAGCCCATGATATCGGAAGCCAGTGTCGTCCTTCGGGCTCGCCCAAAGTTTTGAACAGGGCGTCCCGGCGGGCAGAATCCAGTTGGCTGATGCTCCTGATGATCGTTAGGTCGTAGTGGCCGTCTCGGACCAAGGCCTCGATCACGGCAGCATCGGTTTCGTCCCGATACAATTCCATCAGCTCCCGTGCATTGAGAGCAAGTCTCCGCCGGTGAGATTCGGGCCACAGTCGAATTGTCCGCAAAGCGCTGCGGTACAGCTGCAGTGGGGACGAAGGAGAAGGCATTGGCTGAGATGGAGAGCCTCGCAGCTTGACAGACGGCGGGAGGGAGATCCGAGCCTGTGGAGATCTAAGCAAAGGGGCATTGCCCGCGACTGCGGCGCTTGCAAGCTGAAATGGGATGCCTCGACAAAAGCCATTCATCTCTTTCGAGCAGCCCCACGGCCCCAGACGAATGTTCAATGATGAGCATCGGCCCCTTATCGTTTACTTTGGAGGAATTGCAGACCTGGGATGTGCTGAACTCGTCCACCAAGCACACCCGGCCGTCTCTGGTGGTGTATGAGCTGCTCAAAATACCGAGCGAACCTGAGTCTCCGTGGGCTGGATGCATATCCCTTCCCTTGCTTCCAGGATGCATTCCCAAAGGCAACCACTCCCTCAGTCTCCTTGGACACATTGTTTGGCCATGATGGCAATGAGTGGGTAGGTGTATACATGTCTTGGTTCCAACAGATGTTGTGCCCTTTCATTTTGGGTGTCACAAGATCTGCCGTATCTCCATCTCACAGGGCCCGATAAAAAACCCGGCGCCCTCCCGCTCCTTCCGTCCCGGCCATCTCCAAGCATCGACTTTCTTCTGCACGAGAGCCTTACGATGTCGTGTGCTTTCCTGACTTTGGCGTCCAGACGCCATGTGCCTGCCTTGGTGCGTATGCGTGAGCTTCATTCGCCGCCTCGTCCACTCCGTTGGCGTGAGAGCTGCCGCCTTCTGCCATGTCGCCTCCATCTCGGCACTGGATATCAGCAGCAGCACCGCCGCCGATCCATAGGAGGTCGCAAATACTGACCGCAGGACGGCTCTATCCTGCAGCACAAGGCCTCGCTTGCCCAGCGAGCTTTTGCTTCCCATGCCCGAAATGGGATTCCGCCCTATCAGCGCCTGGTCGACAACCTGGCTGTAGTGCGCCAGTCTGTCGGAGATCGGCCCCTGACCTTGGCCGAGAAGATCCTATACTCGCACCTTTCGGAAGCCAAGGGATGCAATCCCATCCGTGGCGAAACGTACCTTAAGCTGAATCCTGGTGCGTTCCCCGTGGCGATCTGGATACAGAATCGGGGCTTGCTTTGAGACGGATCAATGGTTTCTGCAGCTTTGCAGTCCAGTGCCTTGATCTGCCCATCGAGCGCGGTTTCAAGCACCAGCTGATCCATCTATGCTCTTTACTCTACGTCGATCATCCGGCTTCCCTTCCACTCTGGTGATGGAATCCAGACCGTGTCGCCATGCAAGGTTCGCATCAGAGTTCCCATCGGTGGTGCATGTCGCGCGCCTGGCACCGCCTGGCACCGCCTGCACAGATGCCAACATTAGCTGTACCTCCAACCTGATTGTTCTTTTCGAACAGATGCAAGCGCCCAAACTGCTGTCTTGCAGTTTATGCTCTCTGGTCGCAAGTCCACTGCCGGTATGAGGCGCGGGCATCCTGATGCTGGCGATTTTTGTCATAACAGCTTCCAAGCTGATATGTGCTCGATGTTTCGCTGCTTTGTGATTCTCTGTGATTCCCGATAATATTGTGCTTCATTTTGCTGATCACACTTTCTCGCGCATCGCTACAGTGCCCAGCTCGATTCACTGCGACCATCTGATTGAAGCATACGAAGGTGGCGACCGCGATGTGGCTCGCTCTCTGGAGTCAAGCGGCGAGATCTTCAACTTCCTGCAGTCCGCCGCTGAGAAGTTTGGAATCTCCTTTTGGAAGCCTGGAAGTGGTACGGGATCGAGTTTGGCTGTTGGCGAGGCGTTTGTTGTTGGGATATGACAGGTCGGTAACGCTCGTCGGGAACCGTTTCCACCCAACCCAGGCATCATTCACCAGATTGTCCTCGAGAACTATGCCGCCCCCGGCACGCTCATGCTCGGCACGGATTCCCATACCCCCAATGCCGGTGGTCTTGGCATGCTCGCCATCGGAGTCGGTGGCGCCGATGCCGTCGACGCCATGGCAGGCATCCCTTGGGAGCTCAAGGCGCCCAAGATCATCGGTGTTCATTTGACCGGCAAGCTCAGCGGCTGGACCTCACCCAAAGATGTGATCCTTCGTCTAGCTGGCCTTCTTACCGTTCAGGTCTGTTGTCGACTCGGTACTATCGCAGCCCTGGATGAACGACGTGTCTGTGACCTTGCGGCTAGATATGCCGCGCTTCTGCCTCGAGTAGCTCGTGCACGGTCAGCTAATTATCATCCCGATTGCCGATGGCGAAAATCGGCAATCTTATGCGATGCAGGGTGGAACCAACCACATCCTCGAGTATTTTGGTCCGGGCGCCGATTCCCTGAGTTGCACCGGCATGGCCACCATCTGCAACATGGGAGCCGAGGTTGGCGCCACCACATCGGTCTTCCCTTACTCTGTGAGCATGGGCCGCTACCTGCGAGCCACTCACCGCTCTGACATTGCCGAGGCAGTCGACAATGTAGCTTCGCTCGGCTTCTTGCGCGCCGACAAGAACGCCCACTACGACCAGGTGATCGAAATCAACCTCTCTGAGCTCGAGCCCCACATCAACGGGCCCTTTACTCCAGGTATCACTGCCGAGCGTGATTTTTGGTCGGGCATGCTTTTCTGGCCGAGCAAAGCAGTGGGTGGATCGGAACCGCTCGATCGGCCGACTTCAGTCAATATTCTAAGCATGCTCGATCACAACGCAACCAGACGCCGCCACCCCCATCTCGCAGTTTGCAAATCTCGTCAAGAAAAACGGCTGGAAGGATGAGGTCAAAGTCTGCCTGATTGGTAGCTGCACCAACAGCTCCTATGAAGACATGTAAGAACGTGCGCTGCTGTGCACTTTGTCCACAAGGCTCTCTTCTGTATCGCTCACTGCGCCTGTCCTCCGCGCAGGTCTCGTGCCGCGTCAATCGCCCATCAGGCTGCAGACAAGGGGCTCAAGACCAAGACCGGATTCTTTATCACCCCTGGCTCAGAGCAAATTCGCGCAACAGTCGAGCGCGACGGGCAAACCGATGCTCTTTCCAGCGTCGGTGGCAAAGTGCTTGCCAACGCCTGTGGCCCTTGTACGTCTCTGTCGCCGCCCGTCGCTCACAAGCAGAGGTATCTCGTGTGGCTCGAAGCTGCTGTCGCTTGACACCGGTTCTGATCCTTCTGCGATCGTCTGCTAGGCATTGGCCAGTGGAAGCGCACGGACATCGACCAGAACCAGGAGAACGCCATCCTGACCTCCTTCAACCGCAACTTCAAGTCGCGCAACGATGGCTTCTCCAAGACCATGAACTTCTTGGCTTCGCCGGACATTGTTACCGCCATGGCCTTCTCCGGCAAGCTTTCCTTCAACCCAGTGACGGACACGCTGCTGGATGCCCAGGGCAACGCTTTCAAGTTCGAGCCCCCCAAGGGCAGCGATCTTCCTTCCGAGGGATTCATCAAGGGTAGGCACACGACTTGCAATCGCTTTGTTCTGGGACAAGTCATTTACCCTTTTTCGTGTCCTCGCCGATTACTCCAGGCCGTGAGTCTCTGCAGGTGACTACTGTCCAGAAGGACACCACCATCACCATCGATCCACAATCGTCGCGCCTGCAGATCCTGGACCCTTTCGCTCAGTGGGATGGCCAAGAGTTTGCCGACCTGAAGGTCCTCGTCAAAGTTCAGGGCAAGTGCACAACCGATCACATTAGGTTCGTACCCTGTCTCGGGATTTCGACTGCCGGCCACATGCATTGAGCTTGTACGGTCATATGCTCGGATGATAAGGGGCGATTTAGGCTGACACTTTTGCGAATCCTGTTGCAGCGCTGCTGGAAAGTGGCTCAAGGTCAGTTATAGATCATGTATCCTCCCAGATTGATCCGTGGCTGACACGGCGGCTGCAGAGTCCTGATCGGTGCTTGTTTCTCTGACGTAGTATAAGGGCCACCTCGAGAACATCGCCAACAACACCCTCATTGGGGCCACCAACGCTTTCAACGGCAAAGTGAACGTTGTCACCAACGAGCTCGATGGATCGGCAAGTACCCCTGACACCAACGACAGCATGGAACCCTGCCTCGATCTGCATCCTCCCTCAGTCTCTAACATTGATTCTGTGGGCTTTGGATTGGGGGGGGGCCTTTAGGAGGGAGCTATCCCCGAAGTCGCTCGCGCCTACAAGAGCGCCGGCGTTCCCTGGGTCGTTGTGGCCGATTCCAACTATGGCGAAGGATCTGCGCGCGAGCACGCCGCTATGGTGCGCTACTCGATGCATCGCCTCGATCATGGTTGCGCCACCGTCGTTACTATAAGCAGCACTAACTCGGCGTGTCGTTGTCCAGCAACCCCGCTATCTCGGCTGCAAGATGATCATCTCGAGATCATTTGCTCGCATCCATGGTCAGTACTCCTGCCTATGCTAGGATTGTGTGCAAGTGGTCACCCCTTGCCTTTGTGATCCTGTGTCGCAGAGCTCTCTTCGGGCTCGTTCTGTTGCTCTCAGTCACATTGCTTTTTGTTGATGCCCATGCGTTCGTTTATCGACCCGACTGAAATCGGTCCTCGTTTGCGACAAATCTCTCGACAGAAACCAACCTCAAGAAGCAAGGCGTTCTGCCCGTGACCTTTGCCAACCCTGCCGACTACGACTTGATCACCGAGGGATGCACTGTCGAGACCGTCGGACTCCGAACCATCGCCCCTGGCTCTCCTCTGAAGATCCGCGTCACTCCCAAGAACGGCACAGCATTCCACCTTGACGTCAAGCACACCCTTAGCGAGGACCAAATCGAATGGTTCAAGGCTGGCAGTGCCTTGAACATGATCGCTTCGTCGCAGAACTAATTCATTCCGCCGTGCGCCTGCATGGTGACAATACAGTGGATTCCAAGTCAAGCCTATCGGCGGCCTGGTTTGCATAGCGTCTACAGGATGCACGGGCGGTGCCAAATCTCCGCATCTATCGCATTCTCTCGAAACGGATTGGCCAGGGAGCCGGTGACCTTCTCGAAAAAGGTGTGCCGGTCTGCTTCGAGTAGGATCGGCTGCAACTGTATTTCCATCTGACGTGGGGCCTATCCAGGAGCGACTGTACTGTGCCATCAGACGGACACGAGGGGGCAGACAAAGATATCGGCAATCGACTCGACGTCATGGCTGGTGCCCGAGTTGAGCTCATTGATCCTCAAGCCCGTGATCTTGTGCAGCCCCGTGAGAAGCGGGAAGAACTCGAGCTCAAAGTCGATCGTCTGGAGTGGGGCGAGAGGACCGAGAGTGAGCTCGGAGGGCCCGCGCAGCAGCACGCTGCTCATACGACTTTTGACACCCGACACCGAGATGTTCAAAGTTTCGGTGCTTGTGTTGCTGCTGATGCGGCAAGCCAGAACAAATGGCCTCTCGGCCACGACAGGTCCGGTTGTTATCGACGTCGCATAGATCTCGAACGGCTCGAGAACAGGTGCCTTGCGCGACAGCTGGGAGGTTTGGAGTCGCCCTGTCTGGCCAAAGAGCGTGCACCAGAAGATATCCAGCTTGCCAAGGCCAGGGGTGGCCCGGGCTTGGGCGTCGCGCTCTTTCTTCGGACCCAGCATAAACAGATACTGTCGGGAGTCCTGAGGCGCCAAATAGGTGCCGTCGCCAAAGATGTGCTGGCTGGGGATAGCCAATCTAGGATCCAGCGATCTAAGGATGGCGGACGACGACGATGGAGGTGAGCCTTTGTCGGTGGTTGCGCTGCCGCTCTCGGGAGCCGCGGGATGGCCGTCGGACGCGAGCCGGTAGATGCCGTTCAGATCCTGGAAGTTGAATTGGTCGGCCGGCTCGAATCGCATGCGCTCTAGATACATGGAGCTGGAGGAAATGTTTTGGACCTGTGCTTCCAAAAAGAGCCGGCCGTCTTGGAGTGTGTTGACCTTGGTCTTGACGCCCAGCGGATTCATGACCTGGAACTTGAAGAACTTGCGGAAGAATTTGCGCTCGATGCCAGCGGTGTAATGCACTGAGCACACCAGGATGTGGATGCCCAGCTCCTTGATCTCGTGGTGGATGATGTACTCGGTATTCTGTGACGGCAGCAGCGATACCCGGGTTGGCGGGGTGTCCTGTCCCGACCCGGTCAGCGATGCCAGCCCACTGGGCTGCAGCGTGTCGATCAGAGTGAAGCGCTGGGTGCCGGTCTGGAGCTCAGCCTTGATGCCAACGTCTTGGACAGCAGCCTTGGATTCATTGTTGATGCATAGATACGACGAGAAGGTCTCACCGAGGTAGATGGTGCCGAAGGACGCTGGCAGCACTAACAGATCCGAGAGCGCAAAGTCGCGCACGGAGGCAAGCTCGGACGGCTGGGCTGGGTCTTGGGCATAGGAGCCGAGGGTGGTCATGTCGCTCTTTGCGGCATCGATCCACACAGAGGAGAGCTGCTGAGCCGAGAGACCTGCCGGGATTTGAGCGGTGGCCAAGATGTGCGTCGGGTTTGGTGGAGGCGGGTGCGTGGAGTCTGGGCCAAAAGACGGGCAGCCGTGTGTCTGCACGAAAGCCGGCGCCGAGAGCCGCATGACCTTCAGGGACACACTGTGGGGCGCTGATCCGGCCGCGTTCGGTGTCGAGTAGGCAAGATTCGAGTTTGATGATGAGAGGTCGGACATGGCGAGCGCATCAAGGGGCCAGAGAGGGACGGTTGCGGATGTGTGTTCGCTCAGCGAGGACGCTGGCCTATATCGACGTGGTCGGGGGGGGGTGGCGGATGCTGCGAGACGGCCGGAGAATATCTGCTGACTCTGCGATGGCGGCAGCGGTGCCAACGACGACGGAGCCAAGATGGATGTCGAGATGGATGGCGATGGGATTGACGATAGCGGATGCAAACCAGCCGACCACAAGGGCCGCGAGGGCAGCGAGAGCAACGAGGGGCAGCGAGAGCCGTCTCGCGAGAGTGCGCTTTGGCTGTGGACGGCCTGATCTCGGCCCAGTCTTTGGACCGCAAGCTGATCTGATCTGGTCGTTCGCCAAACCCGCCGCCATGGCCCAACCACCGCAGCCGCAACCACGATCTCAGCAGACGTCGGCGCAAAAGCACCAGCAGTCACAGCGGCAGTCGACGGCGACGACAGAGCCGGCAGCTGCAGGCTCAATCGCACCCGCAGCCAGATCGCAGAAGCTCCCTGAAGTCCCCAGCGATCGCTCGACGCTGTTTGGCTTCCCAAGAGGCTGGATCCCACAGGGCGGCCTGGTTATCCCCCAGCCCCCTCCACAGGCGTATCCACTCGATGAGCCGCCGGCGACATCGGGGGATATGCAGTCCCGGATCTTGGCCAAATACCAGATCGGCAAGGTTCGGCCGACTGCTCGCCGTGGATATGGGCTCTCGGTCTTCAACAGCGCCAGCCTCATGGTTGGCTTTGTGATTGCTTCGGTTGTGTTGGCGAACGCATACAATGTCTACGAAAAGGTAGGATCAGTGGCCGGTCGCAGTTGGCGTGGCCCGAGGTGCCCTCGAGACAGATGGCAGCGCACCGAATCTCGGACACCCAGGCACATAGGACGGCTTGTGCATCATCCCATCACTACGAGGCTGCCTCGTTTGTTCGTCTCTGACACCGTCTCGTTGGCGCTCGCATTCAAAGGAGTCACGGATCTTGAACATGAAGCGGTATCTGCAAGAACTGAAGGAAGAAAACCTTGCGCTGCGAGACTTGCTTGTTCTGCGCCGGAGCGAAAGCAAGTGATGTCGCGAATACAACAGTGTAATATAGTACAATTGCATCCTCGCTGAACCTCCGAGAGGTATCAACAGAGGACCAGCGTCGGGTGATGCACAACAGCACAGCAACAGCACAGCAATCAAGGCTTGTGCATCCGCACGATAGGGCAGCACCATCGATCACCATCACCGGTGTGCATCTCGCTCCTGATTCTTGAGCAAGCATATCTGTGACGAACGAAACCGATTCGCAAAAACGGCACATGGGGATCCGGGAACTGTCGTTGATGGCCACCAGGGACTCCGCCAGCGTGAGTGAAACCAAAGTCCTTGGAGGACGTAGTTTATTTTGCTTGCCAGTCAAAAGTGTGGTAATGGAACGGAATATCTGCCGCGAATGGTGGATGCGGTCGGATATCAAGTATACAAGAATTAAAGCTTGATGACGAACTTGCCGGTGTTATCGCCGGTCATGAGACCAATGAAGGCCGAGGGAATGCTCTCGATGCCCTCGACCACATGCTCGGCGTAGTAAATCTTCTTTTCCAGAATCCACTGGGTAACGTCGGTAACAAAGCTCTTGACAAACTCGGGCTTGCTCGACTGAGACGAAATGATGAATCCTTCGATGCGCAGCTGTTTGCCGACGACCATCACGAGGTTCTTGATGCCATACGGGGTTTCGGCGTTGTACTGCGAGATCATGCCGCTGCGGAAATAACATGCACAGAGCGTCAGCTTCCCTGAATGCCAGCCAGCCCAGCCAGCCCAGTCGCGGCCACAAGAGGTTTGCTGTGAAAATTCACTGGCACCTGTGTGCGAAAGCAAACAAAGAATATGCCCCTACCATTCGATCAGCCGTCCAAAGGTGTTCATGTGGACCAGGACGGTGTCGAGGGTCTCGCCGCCAACGTTGTCAAAGTAGACATCAATGCCATTGGGAGCATACTCCTTCAGGATCGCACTCTGGGAGGCGACGGTTTTGTAGTTGAATGCGGCGTCGTATCCAAACTTGGATTTTAGCAGCTCGACCTTATCGTCGGTGCCGGCAGAGCCGATCACTCGGCATCCCTTGATCTTGGCAATCTGGCCGACGATCAGGCCGACGGCTCCAGCAGCGCCGCTGACAAAGACAGTTTCCCCGGGCTTGGGGTTGCCGATGTTGAGGAGGCCGTGGTATGCGGTCATGCCGGGCATGCCTGCAAATGCATCGACAGCGGATCAGCACATGCATGACATGCACGACATGCACGACATGCACGACATGCATGAAACAAGCCATTGCCTATTATCGAGCAACAATCGCATCGGTGATGTAGAGACGAGATGCCATCGCAACACTTACCAAGGACGCCGAGGTAGTAGCTCAACGGCACGCCGTTCTCGGCAGGCAGTTTCTTCAGTTCGGTTCCAGCAGGAACGATCGAGTACGACTCCCACGTAAGTCTGCCGATGACCTTGTCACCAGCCGCGAGGCCGTCTCTGCGGGACTCGATCACTTCGGCGACGACACCGCCGTCCATGGGCTTGCCGAGCGTGAATGGCTGAGAATACGAAGCGACCTTGGTGTTCATTCTGCCGCGCATATAGGGATCCAGCGAGATGAAGAGGGCCTTGATCAGCACCTCGTCCTGCTCAAGAGCACGCGAGGGATAGGCGACCTCGACGACCTCCATCGCAGCGGGAGTGACCATGCCGCGGCCGGGATCCTGCTTGAAGATGACCTGCTTGACGTTGGGGGACATTGTGTGATGGGCTGTGAGGCGGGGGGTGAAATAGACGGGGAGATTGGCCGTGCTCGGTAGCGACTAAGGGGTGATTGCTCGCTGGTTGATATGCGGCTGGGATGGGCTTGGATCTGCCCGCGTTATATACCCCGGCAATTTCAAATGCGCAAGGGTCGCCCGCATCCCGGCGCCTGAGGCTGACAAACAATCGTGGCGCCACGCTCAACCGCCGGGCTGGCTTGCCAGATCTCGTCATAGCGAGGGGCGGCCACTGGATGATCGGATTTCAGTCGGCTGGCGGATGTCAGGGCCAGCCAGAAAGGAAAAATGGATGTACCGTGGCGGCCAACAAGGCCGGGCTTTGTTTGGCACAAGCAAACGCCAACATCGGTCGCGTCAGGGGCGACGGATCTATGGCTTCTGCAGCAGCCGGCGGTCTTCCGTGGTCCACCGACTTCTGCGACCGCCCATCATCTTCCATGACCAATCGCCAAGCATGGCGGCCCGGGCTCTGGCCACCCCACGCAGTCAACAGCAAGCAACCGCCAAGAGTGTGTATTCCGGATCTCAAACGGGCTGTGTGTTGATCCGAGTACAGCGTCTCTGTATTCGGGTTGTGGGACACCGGTCGCTGTCGTTACGGCTCCATGCTCTCCAATTCGGTTTGGGTGGTCTGTGTCGTGGCTACCGTCGGAGTTGACTCCCTGTCTAAAGCGTCGTCGGCAAGGGCAGCAGGAGACTGAATCGAGGGGAGAGGACAGAGAGCGCCAATGAGTCTCCCGAAGCTGACGACCATGCGATGTCCAATGCCGACCAGCCCGAATGTTACTCGATCGTGCATCCCACGACAAAGCCTTCCAACTCACGTCGAGCAAGGGCCCGGTCTTGGCGACCGCAGGCGGGCTCCTGCAGAACCAGATGATCCGCTTGAGAAGCTCGGCTTGGAGGAGCTTTCTCTTGGGCTGCGGAAGGGGATTGGTCTGGGGTGGGGCTCCTTCGCGAGCCGAGGCGATGCCGGTCGGGCCGCCGCACATGTGGTAGAGGGTTGTGTAGCAGTTGATGGCAAGGTTATCCCACTCTCGTTGGCTACCGAGTTCATCATTCAATCGACGGAGATCGTACACCTGCCGCAAGTACTCGAGGCAGCGGATTTTGTGCGGGGCGTCTCCTTCCGTCATCTTGGACTCGATCGATGGACTCTGCTCGTCAAAGTCATCCTTTGAAAGGCTGCTTTCCCATAATCTTCTCTCTGGAGATACGACGACCTCGCTGCGGAAGGTCTGCCGACGGAGCATACATGCTGGCGCTGATCAGTCGAGGCCGATCCATCTGTGCATCGATGCGGCTGCTTCCTCAGCGATGGTCATTAAGCAGCGACAGGGCGCTGCTGCTCGCGGCCGAACGAAGATCCGCAATCAAAGTTTGAAGCAATAATCTCTACCTGAGCATATCCATGGAATGCCAACTTCCATATGGCCTTGATGTCCGGGAACTCGTCCGCCTTGCTCAACCGTTTGCAGAGCGTGTATAGAGCGCGTGTGTCTCCAATCTCCACCAGCAGCTTGACGAGGAAGCGGCTGTATTTGTCGAGATAAACATAGTGCTTTCCCGGCCGCTCCATGTCGGTCCTCCAGAACTTGACAAAGTCCCTTCCGTCAAGGCTCAGTAGCTTTTGCATCTGCACCGACGCGGCCTTTGCATCCCCAAGGGTGTCGTAGAGAAGCCGTGCATACTGACGTAGGCGGCGCCGGAAAGGAGCAGAGTTCCGTTCGCGACAAACAACGGTACGCCCAGGGTGAGTTGTGCAGACAGGCTTATATACATCTGCATCGAATGCACGAATGGAAACAAAGGCTGTCGAGAATGCATGTCCGCACAGGTCCGTTACTCGATTAGTTACCCGGTATTTGGGCTTGTGGTGATGCTTGTCTATGCGCGTGAGCTCCTGCAGCTCGTCGGCGATGAGCTTGTAGGCCTCGACTTCTTTGTCGGCTGCGGCGTCATTGGAGCTGTTTGCTACAAAATGAGCAACGGGTATTCCTGCTGTATCGTCCACGCAGACCCCGGGTTGGCTGGAGTCGGTACTGGCACACGAATCCACAAGCACTGCTCCTGTCGTGGTCTGGCTCATCGGTCCAGGAACAGAGTGCAAGGCAATCGCTTCTTTGACGTATTCGGCCTGCACAGATGAACAAAAGGTGTCAGAAGCGAGCGGATGGAGAGCGAGTCGACCCTGTTTTTTTGATCAGCCATTTTCGACGTACGCTGACGGCTTTTTTTACAAACATCTTCAAAAGATATGCGACGAGTTTGTACTTGGCGTCCACGGACTTTGAATCCTTGCCTCGATTGTCCAAAGCAAAGAGGTCGATAGATGCTCGGAAAAACTGGACGACAACCTGCAATCGACGAGAGCGACTTTGATTTGTTAAACGAGCGTTCTAGGCAGATGGAGCGCCTTGGCGGGTGGAACGTTCTTGGCAGATGGAGCGCCTTGGCAGTATCCCTGACATTCCGATCAGCAATCCGAGGATAGCTACGGCTGCCTGGGCCAGTTGGCACGAACCTTTGGCTCATGCGACTCAAGCTTGGAATGAAGATTCGCCAGCATATATGGATATCGCCAACAGGATGGGTCCCATTTGGCCGCTATCTGGAAGCACCGAATGGCAATGAGCCGGATATGGCTCCGTGTGAGCGACGCTTCGATCGGGTCAGGATGGGCAGGGCTTGTTCCTGTGCTGTCTGTGTGTGTATCTTCGAGCTCGGCATATCGCATGGCCCATGTCTTGTGGACTTGGTCGACGAGCTTGACCACTCGATTGCCCTTGAGAGGCGCGCTGAGCATGTCCTGACAGAGGTGCCCCCACTCGGCCCAGAACGACTGGGCCCACTCCTTGCGGTCGTACCCATACGACTCCAGGACATCCCGATCTCGAACGGACTGCACCAAAAGCTTGCACTGGACAAAGCACTTGTATGCATACTGTCACGGTCGCACATGATAATGCAAGTCATATGATCCAATGCGAGTTAGCACGGCAAGCATGTCAATCTCAAGGTCCTTCGAAGCGCACATGGATGCAGGGATGAACACTTGCCTGCTGATGCGTAACGATCTCGTTGTGGGCTTTGGTCTTGAGGGGCGCCGAGGCATCAAAGACAAGCAGCGCATTTGCAATGGCAACATACACGCGCCCCAGCCAGAGCCACGAGTCAAAGTCGAAGCAGTTGATGCAGACGTTCAGCTGTGCAGGCGACGGTGCGTCAGCTGTCTGTCCGCGTGGTCAAGGCAGCCGCTGACTGTACGGAGTCTTGACTCACCTTGAGGTACTCGGCAGCGGTGTTCATGGTATCGAGCATTTTTTGATTGACAAGCCGGCCGCTACGAATAACAGCCGTGACCTGTGCCATGGAGTGCTTGCCCAACAGGTAGTACACCTTGAAGTAGATTTCTGATCGAATTGCCACAGGGATGAGGACACCGATGACTCACGAATGATTCTCCAAGGAATCACGAGCTGATCTCGGGAGCTGACAGTGAGGGAGAAAGCAGAGCCTTTGGCTGCTTACCAGGGATACGGTGCGTGTTGCTGCCGCGCAGATCCAGGAAGGGCGGCGTCACCCGCCTGGTGACGACTTTGCGCCATCCGTATTCGAAATCGATAAGCGAGTCCAGATAGCCCTGGATAGTGGCTTTGTTGATCTGGATCCATTCTTGCGATCCAGGGGAGCGTTTTGTGAAAAACACAAACGCCAAGTTAGCCACGGCCGGAGGGGTTTGTGTTGGGATCAGCAAAGCGCTCAAGATCATCAGTGCCGAGGCAGAAGCATCGCCCGGTCAATCAGGGAGCGTTATAATACCTACCATCGTTCGGACACTCTTTAAATACCTCGGCAAGCCGCTCGACATATTCCTTGTCACAGTTATTGGAGCGACTGTTGTCTCGCAGTCGCGCAAGGAGATCGTCCACAAGCATCTCGAAGATCTGGTGATCATCTGCCCTGGGCTTGATAGAGACGACCTCGTGATCCACAGTTTCATAGTCCTACAGGCGGTGCATTATCCGGTGGGAACGCATCACAGAGGATCAGCAAAGTCAGCACAGCGGCTTTTGTCGGGAGTCTCGATCCGCGCCAAGAGCTCATCGAAAGTACCCTATCGAAGATAGCTGACATATCTGTGCGACTCGATCGGAAAGGGATCCGATGCTACCTCAAATTCGATGCCATGAAGGCAGCGATAGCATTGCTGCAGGTAATTTGTGTACTTTGAGCGATCCTTCAACCGAGCTGCGGCATGCCGCAAGAAGAGACCTGGAGTTGGGCGAGCCAGAATCCAGAACAAATTAGAGCCAGAATCCGAATCAAGATCGGTATCAGGAACAGATACTTGACACTGGCTGTCACCAGCCACCGTGGCGACTCTAAGTACCTTCTTTCATTGAGCACAAATGAAGCTGTCCAAGCTGGGAATGAATCATTCCAACACACTCGGCAATTCTATCGCCCTCCTTGCGACAGTCTTGCGGCCTTGGGGCTGTTGGGCCTGTTGCAAGAAGTATAAGTTGTCGCATGCGAGTCTGGGAGCCACCCAACATGCACATAGAGCTTGAACAAGACCAGATTCGGAGCCTACCCTGATGAGCGACATCTAGGGCATGGAGGAAGAGAACGGCGCTGGTGATGACGAAAGAAACCTGCGTCTTGGTGTGCTTTTGAAGCGATTCGAATTCCTTGTTCTTCGGCACCAGCTCGCGCGACTGGCCAAGAATACACCACGCAAACTTCAGACAGACAAAGGCACAATACGTCCATTCATCCAGGAGCGTATCGACATCAGACATCCGCGGCGAAGACGCATAGAGAGCTAATCTGTCAGTCAAACATTGTGAACGCAATCAAGACACTACGAGTCAAGGATATACTCGGCGGGAGCTGGGTGAAGCCATCCGCGCAATATCAAACATATGAAAGGATATGGCTCGAGTCTTCCAGGATCGCAAGGAGCCCATCGAGCAGCGGCTGGAGGCGCTCCAAGTAGAGCAGATATTCGAGGTCAAGCGGCCAGTTGAGACAGTCGATGAATTTTCGAACGAGCACAATGTGACCATTGGCATCCTGGCCCAGTTCAGCATAGCACTGAAAGCAAACGAGGCGAGCCAGTCAAAAACGGTAAATTTGGGAGGGAGGGGGGTTTCCCAGAATGCCTTGGCCACACCAAACGGCTCTCCGCCCACCCCTGGCTGAATTCTGGTGCTCATCCTTACCTTGCTCAGTTTATCGTTCAGCTGGATCCGCAGGTCGGACCGCTTGCCGTCGTGCAGGAACTTGAAAATGCCCGCGAGCTCTGGATCCAGAGTCGCTTGGTCTACAGCGCGCAGCAGAAACATCGGTTCGAGTTTATCGACAACAAGCTGATATTGGGCCTGGTCAAAGGCGGTGTTGACGGCAACGAGGTATTCTTCGGTCTGGATCTGTTGGCGAAGCTCAATCAGTAGCCGTTGGTCGAGATAGGGGTCGTAGTTGCTGTATCGACACAAACGGTCGGAGACACATTGGATCAGTACAAGTCAGGCGTTCGTGGATTCTATCGTAACAGCAAGACGAGCACACCCCGGTGATCGGGGCACTGTTTCACGGTGCGATCGACGTTGCATCTGCTCCGACTGAGCGTGGGACAGAGCATGCACATTTTGAGCCACAGGCCAAGATTCAACCCATCGACGCTCACCAATTTTTCAGTTCGCTTGAGCTGTGCTGTCCCTCCATGCACTCAAGAAGCAGTGTGTTGGCCTGATCAAGACGGCCTTCCAGAAAATGCGCCGCAATCTGGAGGCGATTGAATCTGGGGGTATAGTAAACGCACGCCAAAATAGTCGATCACAGGTGAGCACAAACAAAGACGACTTGGTGGCGGTTCAGTGCGAATCACGGTCCAGGGACTCGGTTGGACGGCACGGAGATCGATGGCAAGTGCTCTCTCCGGTCAGAAATGCTTACCGCGTGAGCTCCTCCGCCGCACAGAGTGATCTACCCAACAGGTCCACGCATTCAGATGCGGTGCTGAGCCAGCGAATGAACAACGGCTTCCAGAGTACTTGGTGGAGTGGGTTTTGGTTGTCGTCGCCGGCGATCGTCTGCTGCGCTCCAGTGACATCATCTTCGGCACGATGCGCATCGAAAAGCAGCTCGCATATGCTCAGGTTGATCTGTAAGATGACGCATGGGGATTAACGACATACGTGGCCGGTTGCCCCCCCCCGCAGACATGCTCATTGTGTCCTTCAGTTCCATACATGAAGCAGTCGCTGGGCTTCGGCTGTTGCCTCGCTTGATTCTTCGCCGCATACTTTTGCGATGCTTCCGAGCTGTGACTCTACGAACTGAAGCCCGCTTCCAGAGCGCTCGAGTTCTCGTATCAGCTGGGCCACGGTAGATGCCAGTAAGGGCGGCCACGTGCGATTCAAAAACACTCTGGCGGCCAAGTCGGCGAGCGATTCCCCCACCAGCAAAAAGGTGATGAGCCGCCAAGCCACGTCCAAGGCACCAGAGTTGCCCTGGTTAACACCGTCAACAAACGCAGCCAGTTGGGCAAAGGTAAGATCGGGAAAGTCCACAAAGTCGTCTTTCCCTAAGTGGGCGGGGGGCTCGGCTGATTTGACGGGCGAGTCTGACTTTCTGTGGACGCGACGGGAAACTCATGGTCAGCGCTACGACAGATGGATAACGCGGCCGTCCAGCATGTTGTTTGGCAATTGTGCGACTCGGGCCAACTGTTGCATCAAGCTAGGCTTACTTTGGCGCTCCTCGCCCACGCCGCCGTGCCAGACCCAAATCGGCTGTCGAAAGTCGGCGGGCAAATGCCTCCGTGATCTTGAGTGATTCAGCGGATGCAAGCAGTGAGTCGCTATCCGGATCGAAGCGATACCGAGAAGGCAGCCATGGATCCAGCATGGCCAGGTCAGCCATGGTAGCCTTATCCTGTTCGGGCTGCGAGGACTTGCCCTTGGTTCGCTTCGATGTGCGCGTTTCCCTATGGGCATTTGGCGTTAGGCCAACGGCTGTGCATGGACACACCGAGTAGGATTCACATACCCAAGACCGGAGATCGGCACAGGTCAAGGATATGTGCATGTGCATGTGCATGTGCAGCCGAGTTCGTACCCTTTCTGAGCAGATCCCGATGCGTCGGCAGCCTTGCGCTTTTGCGGCGATGAAGGGCGCTCCGTTTCCGACAGCCCAGATGCAACTGGGTCGCTGTCATAGTGGTGCTGCTGCGGCGGGGGCGTTTGTGGCATTGCCGCACTCATAGCCATGTCGACATCGATTCCAGGTAGTCCTAGCCTCAGCTCCGAGCCGATTCGAATGACAATGCACTGTGCGTCAGCCGCCGCTGACAGCTGTGGGCCGTCGCTGGACGGAGTGTAGCGATCGAGGTTTCATGGGGCTGTTAGAACGACCTTCGTGAGGTGTATGGGCTGCTCGATGCCAATATGTCGGAGGCATGATGATCGGTGCCTCAGATACCCTAGATGCTCCAGATGCTCCAGATGCTCCAGATGCTCCAGATGCTCCAGATGCTCCAGATGCTCCAGATGCTCCAGATGCTCCAGATGCTCCAGATGCTCCAGATGCTCCAGATGCTCCAGATGCTCCAGATGCTCCAGATGCTCCAGATGCTCCAGATGCTCCAGATGCTCCAGATGCTCCAGATGCTCCAGATGCCCCAGGTGTCCGCATTGGAATTTCTCGTCCCATGCCCCAGGGCCTACCTTCGGATATGGTTGAGGAGAAGACGGCCGAGACCGAGCCAGGACGCATCCTCAAGGTATAGTTCGCAGGGAGCAACATGTGTATCGTGGTTTCCTGCCAATCGATGTCAAGGCACTCGGTGAGAATCAAGATCGCTGCCGGGTGCATGCAGCCGGATCGCATCAACAGGACCAAGAAATACCTGAAACCGCAGGGCGGCGGGAGATGCGGGCTTCTGGGTGCGCATTCAAGAGAGCTTCCCATCTGCTCTTGTGCACGGCATAGAGCCGGAGATCCTCGGGATTGACATCGGCGTTGAGGTATCTGTGGGAATTGCGACACACCGGCGTAATTAATCCCGACAATGTCTTGAGACCGGAGATGGGAAAGAAAGGACAAAAGCAACTCCACAAGGAGGTTTTGCGACAGCGATTCAATGGACAAGATACGCAAGATGAATCGATTACCCCAAGGACGCCAAGGCTTGCAGATGTCCATCGATGATCGATTTGAATATCCATATGCCCGTGGCCCAGCCGTCGTCGTCAAGAAGAGCCAGCTTGGTGTACTTGAGAGCCGCCGCTGTATCGCCGACGTGGAAAAAGACCTCGCACATGGCTCGCAAGGCGTTCTGGCGGTGCTCCTCCATGAGTGCGTCGGCATAGACCTGCTTCAGAAGGGCCACTGCACCCTCATATTGTCGGCGCTGCATCATGATCCGCGCGATCTTGAGAGCAAGCGCTTCGTCGCGGTTAGTGAGCCGGTGTGCCTATCGTACAGAGAATGTATTCGAATAAGTCACCACTATGTTCCGCTGGATTGCTCGAGCGCAGTCAGCGCCGTGGAGGAAGGCTCGGTATACAAGCCAGCCATTGCATTCAGCAGCCATACTGATTATCAAGTAGACTGTCCAGTGACTCCTTCGCACCAAATATCAAACGGCCAAGTGTCTTGGCGGATGAGCACACCTTTTTGTAGTACGACAGCGCCTGATCCAGATTTCCATCTTCCTCCAAATATCGAGCATAGTTCTTGAACACGACATACTGCAGTTGGTGAGGCTGTGACGTTTGCACATCGTTGATCTGGTCCGGGAAGTCGCCATCACAAAAGGGATATGGTTGGCCGATGGGCGTTGTGCTTTGGGATGTCTCTGCGCATGCGATGCCCAGTCTCTGACCGGCAGCAGCAGCAGCAGCAGACCGATGGTGAGGCTGATTGCGTCGTTTCCAAACCGCACTCACTGGATCGAGCTGTTCTTTGAAAAAGGATTCCTTGACGAGGGTCTCGAGAAAGGACTTGGCTTCCGCAGAACGTCCGCGAAGCCGGTGCGCTATGGCGTCGTTATAGAGTCTCAGGAAGCTCTCGATCTAGACGGCAGCAAAGGAGTGTTACCAAGATCCTCGAGTAGAGTGGAAGCCGAGTCGGTTGGATAGGTCGAGCGCCTCGACACCGATGCTGTCTTTTCCCTTCGATCTGTCCGCCATTGCGATCGCTTCAACGATTCTCTTGCCACCACAGGGGAGATCTAGGCGAATACGAAGAGCCGACAGGATCGGGCACATAGATGGGCCTACCTGTGCCTTGCGCTGGAGATAGAGTTCGTGCCGTTCTGAGTCTTGATTGTCATCGTTCAGGACGTTCCAAGACGAGCTCTGTCAAGGTAAGCCGGGGCAGTGGGTTGGTGCTGGATGGCGGCGAGGAATCTGGCTGGCGATCATGGTGCTGGTCGACGAGGCAGATGGCTATGGAAGACGGAGTGTGGGCCAGAAAGATGCCTCGCCTTTGCGTTTCGGAGAGGTAGAGAGGCTGCTTACCATGGCGAGGGTGGCTCGCAGGCCAAGATGCCACTGAATTGGCTCGCGAGAGATGCAATCGCAAGTCGACGAGCCTGGACGACGGACAGAAATCGGCACCCTGAACACTTGGCCTCACGTGTCGAAGCGAGGGCTCATGACAGCAGATTGGAGGGTCAGCGAGAACCCACACGGCAGATTATGAAAAGGGAAGCATGTCCTGGCTTCCTCCCGAAAGAGTGGCATAGACACACGCAGAACAGACGAAGCAGCTCAAGGGTAAGCTCAGGTACAAGGGCAAGCCCAAGACAATGGAATGGCAGTCAAGTTTATTGATGCAGACCGAGTCCATCTGACATTTGCGATGGACCAGCAGTCGCTGTTCATCTACGAGAGTGAGTTAAAAAGTGAGTGAGACGTCCATCGGTCGACATTCAAGCCAGGTCAAGTGTATTGGGGTGTGTTGACGCTGTATGGCGGACTGGAGGCGGGTTCAGAGAATAGGCAAAGTGCTTAGAAAAGCTTCTTGAAGAGCAGGATGAGCAGGACGAACAGGGGAAGGAGCTGGGGCGTGGCCGAGAAGCCAGCACTGGTGGGCTTGCTAGAGCCGGTGGTAGTGGCCGAGGACTTCTTGGTGGTGGTGGTGGTGGGAGCCACAGTGGCACCGACGGTAAGGGAGGCCTGGGAGATGGTCGCTGTGGCGACGGCACCGGCAGGGCAAACCACGGAGGTGTTTGGAGAAAAGGCCTCGGGAGCCTTCTGGTAGACGTTGAGGGCATTGATGGACCAGTAGGCCTCGGTCAGGGCAGACGGGTTGGCGGCAACGTAGTTGTTGCAGGAGGCCTCATCAGTCCAGAGGCCGGCGCAGGTGCCATCCTGGCCAGCGTTAGAGTCGCCGCCGACCCAGCTGCCGCAAAGGTTGATGTTGAAGACAATGTTGAGGTTGAGGAAGGTGTCGGGCGAGCAGCAGTCGAAGCGGAAATCGACGTAGGGAGCGCCCCAGGTGGTGGTATCAATGGAGGAGGCGCCACTGGCGACATCGGCCGGGACGCTGGGGCGAGGGAAGTACCAGAAGTTCAGGGTATTGGGGGTGAACTCCATGGCGTAGACACCACCGCCCTGCTGGTTGAACGCAGGACCCGAAGCAGGGGCAGGGAATTGGTTGTAAGCGGTGCATCCGCCCTGGGAGCCGTTCTGGATATTGACGGCGCAGTTGATCGAGGGTCCAGAGTGGAACTGGGCAAAGGACGAGGTGGAGCTGTAGCAGTTGCCGTTGTCGTAGAGGCCGACGGCAAAGCTGGGGCGCTCGTTGATGGTCTCGAAGATGTCAATCTCGGAGGCATTGGGGTCCTGGGCGGTGGTCTTCTTGAACCAGATGGCGGGCCAGGTGCCGCAGCCGGAGGGGGCATGGGCAACATCGAAGATGTAGAGGGCGTAACTAATGACGTCGATGGAGTGCAGACGGATGGAGGGGCGGCCGAGGGGGTTGCTCTGGGCCTGGAAGACGGAGGTGCTGTCGGCCCTGAAGATGGCGGCGTTGGTGGCCGGGTCGGCCGAGATCAGGCCGAGGCTGGTGGCCGTGGTGCGGTTCTCGTAGGCAGCGAAGCCGCCATCGGCGGTGGACTTTTTCTGGTAAAAGGTGAAGTGGTCAAAGAAGGAGAGGCCCTTGGGGAAGGGGTCGGTCAGGGTGTAGGCAGGCATGGCTGACGGCGAGGAACCTTCGGGGCAGAAAGGGGCAGCGGTTTGGAAGCAAGTCCAGAAGCAAGTCCAGAAGCAGAAGGATGGGGTTTTTAAGGCGAGAGCAACCAAGGCAGGCCAAGACGAGAGAAGAGAGGGCGGGGGACAGGACAAGGGGGCGAGACAAAGGGGCAGAGCGATGCGCGCAGGGATCTGTGTGCGGGCTTGGGGACCAGACGCGATTCTGGAACCAACACGAGGGTCGAGCGAATTGGGCGACGGCGTGGGCGAACAGCATGTGTCTGTTGGAGAATTGGCTGGCTGCTTCGGTGTCTCTGTCGTATCGATTATCTTGATCGTTTCGGTCGTATCGTTCGTATCGATCGTTTCGGTCGTATCGTTCGTATCGTTCGTATCGATTATCTTGATCATCAAGCAGAGCCGAGGCAGCGAATGCACCATTCTACACAACGCGCCATTCTACACAACGCGCCATTCTACACAACGCGCCACTCTACACAACACGCCATTCCACAAAATGTGCCATTCCACACTATAACGGCAGGTCGACGCGACAAGGGCTGCTCCACACAACGCGCAGCAGCGCGTCAGCACAACGCGGTGCCGCTGCCGCCCACTGTTCATGTCGATTGGCAACACAGCAGGCAACAACGTGCGCTGCCAGCGGGGCTGTGCAGCTGGGGCGACCCCCAACACACCCCGCGTCGCACACGCCCCTTTTGTGTCGCACGGCGTCGACGCGTGCCGCTCCGCGCGCTGCCACGGTGCGCAGCGCTCCCGCCACCCGCCGCTGCTGCGCACAGGCGGCTTTCCCCACCAAAGTCGCTGGCGCCATCTCTCCAACATTTGCTCGCCATCCTGCTCGCCATGCTGCCCGGACGAATCGGCTCCAGAATCACAGCCGCCCCGCTGAAGGACCCAAGCACACCCCGGCCGGTGTTCTGCTATGGCACGCTCATGTCCCCGGAGATCTGGGGAAATACAGTCGGTATCCGGGGCTTGTCTACCGGCTGATTCTGGCCGCTTATCTCTGCAGCACTTGCCTGGCATTCGTGCTCCGGACCACGGCCCTGCATTTGCCCTGTATTTGCCCTGCATTTGCCCTGTATTTGCCCAGCGCTTGTCCAGCGTTTGTCCAGCAGGCACCGCAAAGCTTACATCCCCCGGTTGCCGGCACAGATGACCCAGTTCGGATCCGGCCTGGACGCAAGACTCCCAGACGGCGTTCCGGCACAGCTGATGGCAGGTGGTCGTTTCCGTGCGTGATGGTCGTTGAGTCGATGGGGGCAGAACGCCACCAAGCCGTCCTCTCGTCGAAGCCACTGCGCTGCGCTGTGCTCATGCTGTCTCGTCTACATCCCACCAGGACTTCCGACGACACCGAATCATCGGCGCACAGTACCCTGGTATCATTCCGGCCAAGGGCCATTCTGTTCGCGGGCGCCTCACCTACGTCGGCAACCACGAGCATGTCAAGGTCCTGGACTTTTTCGAAGGCGCGGTACGGCTTCCTTTCCCTCGATCGATGCCGCTTCTCCTGGCGGTGTGCCACCTGCGTTTACAGCTCCGTTTCCGTGGATATCTCTGGCTCTGGCTCTGGCTCTGGCTCGAATCGATGAGTCCTTCCCTCGTCCAGCTCACCCATTCTTCCGTCGCCTTGCCCACACACAGGACTACGAGCGAACCACCGTCGCCGTTGTGATCCTCGACGGCCCCAACACCGGCACCCAGGTTGAGGCAGATGTTTACGTTTGGATCGGCGGTCTGGAATGCATCGGTCCTGGGGACTGGGATGCCGACAAGTTCCTACGATCCCAGGCCTCAAAGTTCACGCAGTACTAGACGCACTCGCTTGCTCCGTTTCCGGGCTGGGTCCCAGCTGAATGGTGGCAAACAGAGGGGAGATGATGTGGACGAGGCGTGTGCGCTCGAGGCCACACGGTGCCGGCGATCGCATTTCAATATAGACGATATGTTTTATCTCTGGCCCGAGTGCTTGCCGGTGTGATGAGCAACCCAACCAAACACAGACTCGGACAGAGGATGCCGCTGGTTCAGCGGACCTGGAACTTTTGCTGGATGCGGAGCGGCTGGCCATCCTTCAGCACTGGCTGCCCGGTGCTCGACTTGACCACAAGGTCAATCGTCACGACAAGCTCACGGTGATTCTCGATCGATTTCTTGGTGACGAACTGTCCCTCCACCACGGTACCTGTGGAGCAAGAGTCACCAGCCCGCGGTGTTATCGTCTGCGTGCTGCCCAAGCACCTTCGCTTCAACAGCATCGGCACTGACCGGTTCGCCACGACCGTCTGGATGAGGCAGACACTTACCCGATTCGACATCGATCGGATTCTCGAGGATGAACATGGTCTGCTTCCAGTGAGTGCCCGTGGTCCGAGGGCCAGTCGAGAAAAAGACACTCTCGGCCTTCTCGCCCGTTTCTCCATCCTCGGCCTCGAACCAGGTGTCGAACCAGCCGCAGAGCATGTTGAGGCGGCCCGGCCGGGTCATGACCAACTGGATGTCGGCCGTAAAGTCCAGCGACGAGACCGTGGCGTCGCCAATGTCGATGCGCTTGACCGTGACGGGCTCACTGATCAAGGCATCGGCACTGGCAAAGTCGACCTGGGCATCGTCGGCATAGCCCTTCTTCATCAGCGTCATCTTGAATCCGTAAACGTCGTTCCAGAAGTGGAAGTTGTCGTTGATGTAGTCCGAGTCGTCCATGGCGGCAATCAAGATATCGGTCCGGCTCGGGGCAACTAAAGGGATGGCAGAGCAAGAAACGACAGAGTGGGTGCTGTGATGAGTATGGATACACGGCCGAGATTGAATCGTCACAGCCTCCCCCGGTGTCCGAGTCGAGCTTGGTCCAATAGGCATGGCAATTGATCCAAAGAAATGCAGCTAACAATGGCAAATCACCAGGTCTGGAGTCGCCTCGCAGTATGGCTGGGAAACAAGACATCACAGTGCCGGACTCGATGTGCGGAGATCAAGTTCACAACTTCATTGGGACCACCCTTTCCGTGCCGACCAACAATGCCGCTGTTGACAATGGCGCTGCTACTTACGGAAGCCATCGGGCGCCAGCCACTTGTCGCGGGCGGACAGGACAGAGTCGAGCATGCCTTCAAAGAGCAAAAAGTAGCCCATCCACTCGGAGATGATAATATCGACCGACTCGACAGGCAGCTTGACGTCCTCGACCTTGCCCTGAACGAACCTGATCATGTTTATGGTGGGCTCTGGTTAGATGGACACTCTCGAAATCGCACGACTCTGCCTCGATCTTTCCTCGTGCAGTGGCTGCTTCGGGGTTGGATGCAGCCATGCCGCCATCGTGCGCTGCCCAAGCTCTGCCCAAGCACTGTCGTACGTGATGATATGGTCCAACTCGTTTTCCGCAACGATTTTCCGAGCCTTCTTGATGATGGTCGAGTTGTCGACCGAGATGACTGCACGTAGGACGACAGCAGAGTGAGTATTCGGGAGTTATGAGGCCAGGGGCAGCGAATGATCCAGCGTGCAGTGCAGTGCAGTGCCGTCTCCCGGCAACAAACTACGACTGATCGTGTGCAGCTCTCAGTCACTACCAACACTACAACAGGACTGTGCCATCGCAGTGCTACCAGCACCTACCCTGCTTGGCACCCGATCGAGCAGCAAACATCGAAAGGATGCCCGTCCCACATCCGACGTCCAGGACAACCTTGTCCTTGAAGATGTTCTTGTTGTGATACATGAAATCGCGATAGCTCTCGGTCCGAACTCGATCCTGCGGGTTGGTGGGAGCGAGAAAGGGGACGAGGATCGAGTTCACTCGCGCGATCAGCCGCAGCACAGCAATCCAGGCATCAGGCATCGGGCATCAGCGGTCCGAACACGATGAGCTGCAACGCTTGGCCTGTCGGCTCCGTCTACGCCGATTGCAAACAATCGACTGTCAAGATGCGAGTGGTCCTCCTTTCCCCCAAGAGGCACAATCTACACGGACGACATACCTTCAGCATCTGCTGGTGGATCTCGGTTTCAGCGTACGAGCCAAAGTAGTAGTCCATCTGCCACTCCGCGTCCTCGTCGTCCTCCTTGGGCTTGATCGGGGCCGAAGTCAGCTGCGAGGGTTTGATGTGGCGCTCATCCAAGAAGGTCTTCTTGACAAGCTCCTTATACTGCCCAAAGGCAGTCGTCAGCTCGGACAGTCGGGCCTCGGCCAGAGCGGCTCGCTGTTCGGCGGCGGCCAGACGAGCACGCAGATCCTGCTCGACGGAAGTGACAGACTGGCCCTCGGCCGCGCCCGGTACATTCGATGACGACTTTTTGATGATCTTGGTCAAATCGTCGTCCTCTTCCTCGTCCTCGAAGGCTACATGGGCCACAGCGTTGGTTATAATGTCGACTACGTTCGGCTGTCCAGTCTACCGACGAGCTAGGCGCTCCATGTTCGCCTTGCTTCACGGCTGCCAACCCTCAGAATGTAGGCTCCAAGGGTCGAGTGGCAACTGCACTACCGCAACGACACCACCGAGTCTCCCTCCTGCCCAACATGCTATACACCACAGCACGAAACGTGCTCAGACCCATAGCCAAATCAAAAGGATTACCATAGAGCAGGCCGTCGTCGTCGATGACAGGCTTCAGATATTCGTCGCCTTTGAGCCACTCGGCCTTGCGTCCCTGCTGGACAATCTCGACCTGGGAGACGGGCGTGCCGGCCAGGGTCTGCGATCGCACATAGTTGATGAGGCGGATGCCGCCGTAAAAATCGAGCGCTGTTGCGAGCCAGAGGAGAGCAGGATGCGCGTGAGCCAATGCGAATCCAAGAGCCACATCGGTTGCGAGTCGAGGACAGCGCTACAGCTCCCGGCCTGGACCGATGGATGTGCGTTGAACCGTTTCACTCGACCACTTGACTCGACTCGGTCCCTCAACCGGGCCACTGTCTCGGTCCGTGAATCGCCCAGCAGCGTCCAATCACAGGGCTCGATTGTGGAATCACTGTCCATGCTTTGATTGCGATCGCCAGCTCTGCTTGACTGCACCAGGCTTACACAGGGCTCGTCGGATGGCCACGAAATCAAAGCTGTGGAACTCCTTGGAGTGCTGAAAGACAAACGACGGCTGGGCCTTGAAGTTGCAGAAGGGGCAGGAGGCGGCCTCTTCGTCCTCTTCCCAGTCATCCCAGCGCTCGTCGGCAGCATCAAACTCGGATTCGCAAAGCATGCCTGTGACGTGAGAACGGCCGCTCAGAACTCTGTCTCCCAGATATCGGCTGCGTCCAAGCGACCGAGGCGATACGTACGGCGCTCAGACTCTCCCATGGAGAACTGGCTGGAGGTTTCGTCGTCAAAGTGGCGAGCCATAGTGGATGGGGGAGGGATGCTCTGGCGGCGTAGGCGATGCAGTGCGCTGGGCTGGGCTGGACTGGACTGAGCGGGGCAGAGCAGGCGGCGGACCAGCAAGAGGCCTGCACGCTGCCGTTTTGATCGCCGCCGGGCTGGCCAGGTGTTTGTCGACCAAAAAAATTTTGCTTGTCCGACGAATCAGCGGCGGCGTCACCAGCCATGCGGCTCGAACCAGCCTCGCTGGCGCTGTGGCACTACGCAAAAGCTTGGGGTCTTGGCTGACGCTGCTCTGACTCGGTTCATCTGGAATCCATCTGCTCCTGGACCGTTCTCCCACGACATCGAAGCCTCGGCCGCCATGGTCGCTCCCGGGCCCTTGCGCCGCTTCGACCCGGCCCGGATGGGTCTTCCCGCCGGCTTTCAGTTCACCCAGTGGGCTGAAATGAAAGGGTGAGGCTGCAAGGTCCCGCAGGAGACTCTGCTGAAATGGCTTTCGAACTTCAACACCATCACCTCCACCACCCCTCAAGGCGCCCACCCGGGCATGGACTCGAGCATCACCCCAACTCGGTTCCCAGGGATATCGCTGGTCCAAACGACCGACTTTTTCTATCCGCTTGTCGACGATCCATATGTGCAGGTCGGGCACCTCGTCGATGCATCTTTGTTGCTTGTGGCGTCGGTTACTGCTTCCCATCAGCACGACACAGGCTCCAGGGTCAGCCGCTCGGGATACGACGCTCGGGATATGACGCTCTAACGCTCCGGGTGCGCCATCCTACAGGGCCGCATCACCTGTGCCAACGTCCTTTCAGACTTGTACGCCATGGGCGTAGCCGACTGCGACAACATGCTCATGCTGCTGGGCGTCGCCCGCAAAATGGAGCCCGAGGTCAAGGACGCCGTCACCACCCACTTCATGAGGGGCTTCCACGGTGCGTCAGTCGTCCTGGGTGTGCGCCGAGGCGGCCTGCATCGTCTCGGAGACTGATCCGCTATAGCTGCCGGCCGATCTGAATTACGACTGCAACCCTGCTCGATGTGTCCGGCTGCATGATCGCTCATTCGCTCACCCGCTCATTCTGGCTCGTCCATCCACTGCCTTCCAGATCTCGCCAGAGAAGCTGGCACAGCTGTTACCGGCGGCCAGACCGTACAAAGTCCCTGTATGTGCTGCTCTCTGCGATTGTGCTTGCCTGGCATTGCTGTACATCGGCAAGCGAGATGCCTGTCCAGCCGACCCTAACTGTGGTCCGTATGCTTCCATGCAGGGTACATGATGGGCGGCGTCGCCTCGGCCGTTGTGAGCTCAAGCGAGATCATCATGCCCACCCACGCCGTCGCTGGCGATGTCCTGGTCCTGACCAAGCCCCTGGGCACCCAGCTCGCTGTCAACGCCCATCAGTGGCTGTCGATGCAGGCCACCCACCCGGAAAAGTACGCCCGTGTTGCCGACTTCATCTCTCCCGACGAAGGTAACTTGTCGAGTCCGTCTGCTCCAGCCCGTAGAACCATGGAGCCGCTGATCTGTTGCATCGTCGCCCACCATGTTGGTTTGTGATGTGGCAAACTGGGCTCGATGGCGATGGCGAACTTGGCCTCGATCTTGCTAAACCCCACACTGACCTCCCGAATCGGCCAACTATGTCCATCCAGTCGAAGGCGCATACGAGACCGCTATTCTCTCGATGGCTCGCTTGAATCAGACCGGCGCTCGGCTGATGCACAAATATGGTATGTGTTCATGATGAGCGTCCGGCGCCCTGAGCCCTGCCGATATCGCTGGCCCGACTAACACTCCGAGCCGGATCTACAGACGCCCATGCAGCAACGGATGTGACGGGCTTTGGCATCCTGGGCCATGTGCGCAACCTGGCCTCCAATCAGGAGGCCGAGGTGTCGTTCATGATCCACACCCTGCCGGTCATCAAGAAAATGTGGCAGGTCGACGCCAAAGTTAGTTTCCGGCTGTCTCTGGGATTCTCAGCCGAAACGTCCGGTAGGCACTGTGTCCAGCGGCTGGCGTCCGGGGTGCTGGATATTGAACGATCTCCAACAGCCCGCTATGCGACTTCTGGGGGACGCCCATCGCCCATGCTCGTCCATCCAGTCTTCAGCTGGCCGAATGATTGCCCTGCTGCGCTACCGTTCATGTCGCTAACGCCTCGGAAACTGTCTGTCACGGGTAGGCGGCCTGCTCATTGCCATGCCCCGGGACAAAGCCAAACTGTTTGTTCAAGAAATCGAGGACACTGACGGCTGGCCAGCATGGATCGTGGGCGATGTCGTGGAAGGTATGGTTTGACCTGTTGCTCCGGAGCATGATGACGAACCTGCGCGCATGTGTTTTCCATGCATGTGTTGATTCGCATCCCCTGCTGTCGGGCTCCCAGGCAACCGGACCGCAAGCCTATCCGACGATCTCAAAGTTGTCGACGTCGACTATCGGCGACTCCTCGACCCCGAGTAGCATCTGTTCGCCTCGTGCCAACGACATCATCAACATCATCAACATCATCAACATCATCAACATCACACCATACCACCATCACACCATTCGAAAGCCATTTCAAACGAGTCAACTGTGGGACCGCAGCAGCGACAATCGCACCCCGGGCCGGATGACTTGTCAGCAGTCCTCTGGCCTGGTGTTTGCGGCCACTCCCTCCATCAGCTTTGCCCGCTTGCCCTTGAGATGATGCTCATTGCTGGAAACATGCTGAGATGCAACACTGCTCTCGCCTCCAATGAGCGGACATGATGAGCGCCTGCGCTTTGTTCGCTGCAAGAATATAGCCTGGCCAAGAAGGGCCTCTCCTGAACCGTGGCAAGTTAATCCGAACTCATCTGCTGTCTGTGTGCGCAGGAAGGGTTATTGTGTCCACTGTGTCGTGGCTGTATGTATTTCGGGGGCATCGACTGCCTCAACCGCCCCAGACATCGCAACAGCGACCAGGAGACCACCTAGTCTCCATACTGCGGTCTCACTCCATCCAAAACGATGGACGCAACATCCTGTCGCAATCAGCGACGAAGCTTGTGCCTGGAAGGCTTTCCTTTGGGCTGCGACTGGCCACCAGGACGCTGGCCAGCGATCGCTGAAGCCTTTGAGATCCGCGCATCCCGCTTTGGCGCGGCCTTGACTCGGCTCTGCTTTTGAGCAGCCCGCCAATGCTCATACTGAGCTCGTGCCACATCGACGGCCTTGCGCAGGCCCCGCTCGATGGAAACAAGCTCCTCGAGCTCCTCGCGCTCGACATCCTCTTCGAACTGCTCGAGATCGGTCTCGATGATCTCGACCTCGTCTTTGATCCTCAGACACTCCTCCAGGAACTCGGTTTGGTTCACGGCGCTCCAGCCTTCCGGACGCTGGGGGATGCCGTGCTCGAGCTTGCGGCTGATCTGCGCCAGCATCGACGAGGCGACCGTGACGACGGGTTTGAGACGGAAGTCTGCCGCCGGACGCGTCGGGAAAGGCTCGAACGCGGCAATGATGCCCAGCGGGGACATGGACAGATCAGGCGGGAGCAGCTTGATCGAGTGAGATGCATTGTCGGTGCCGATCGAGGTTGTCGTCAGATCGCCAATGTACTTGGAGAGCGTGCGGACGTGAGGATGGAAGTGATTCTAGCGACGGTATTTGGGCACATGGCGACGGTATTTGGGCACATGGTGAGCATGGACCATCGCCTCAACATGCAAGTACAGAGTCCCTTCAATCGCCAGGCTCGCTCAATAACGACACACGACATCAAGTTGACCTGCGGGATGGATTGGCGATCCACCCGGCCGATGCTCTCCAGACGCATGATCCGTACTGCACGACATGACTCACCCGCAACAGCGCCAGCTCCCACAGGTTTGTGACATATGGATTGCAGAGGTCTGGGTCGTCCAACATGGGGCGGTAAACACCCGTCCCGAGCCGCTCGGTGTCTAGAAGGTATTCGAGCTTGGGATATTTCTGGGCAAATATCAAGAATAGCGACGCAGAATGAATTTGGTAGTGAGATATCGTTGGATGCGCTGTGCCTGAGCTGCATGCTACGGGAGGACAGAGCATACACACCGCCGAGAGTTCGGCGAGGGTCTTACAATAACAAGTGCCCGGATCATGTGCAAACAGGCCAGGAGGGCATTGGAGGGCAGATGGATGGAGATTACGGCGAGGCGCTTGACAAAGGCAGATACACGGTCCATCGACAACTGGTCAAAACATGGCGTCGAACGCAAGAAAGTATGAGAAAATGAGCCCGGACACGGGGGAGGAATCGGACCCAAGAGAGCGCGCGCTCAACGTATAGCTCGTCGCCCAGTCAATGCTCGCAGCGGAGCTGCTTGTCTCAATCCGGTCTCGATCCAATCACAGTGTCCGAGTCGACCCAAGTTTGCCGGCAGTGCCACCAGATGTGTGCTGCAGGAGCAGGGTGGGGGAGCTCTACGGAGATTGCGCTTTCAGAACAGACCTGTTTGCGCTTGCAGAAAAGCAAGTCGAACGCGAGCAGAATCAGCTCGATCAGGCTGCGGGCTTTGCTCTCGGAAATGTGGTCGCTGCCGGTCCAAGCCACCGACGGATTCAGCGGTGCCCGCATCATCTGGCTGTACATGGTCGCGCAAAAGTCCTTCAGGTCGATATTGATGGCCTCGCCTTGACCGCTGAGCAACTGGAAGGCCGCAACGACGCAGTGGAGCGAGCTGCGTGGGTCCAGGTCGGCCTTGCCTTCCATGTACTGCCTGTACTGCTCGAGCGAGATTTTGCGCAGAACGTTGAGCAGGTCGGCGAAAAAGTCGACGCTAATCAGGTGCGCAAACTGCGAAAGGCCCTCCAGAACGGCTGGCAGGAGCGGCGAGGATGTGGCGTTCTTGAGGATGCGGAAGTATGTCACAAAGACAAACTTGAGGGTCTCTGTTTGCTAATGTCGATGCCGAGCCGAAAGACGCGATCAGAATGGAGCAGAGTGACGGCGCTACCAGGAACTGCGATACGCTGCTTTGAGTGGCAGAGCTACCTTCTTTTCTCTCTCCGCTTTGTCAAAGACAGCCTCGGCTTCTTTCATTTCGCCTTCGACCTCGTTATCCTTCTTTTCGATCTTGCGCATCTTCTTGGATACGTGCTCTTGCTCCTTCTTCCGCTTCTTGCTTGCTTTGTCATTCTGCTTCGAGTCGTTCTTTGGCACCAGTTCATCTTTGAGCCGCAGCGTGAGGAAAGTTTTGAGGACCTGCAAATGCCCAAGTCTGCGGTGTCAGCCAGGGCAGCCCTTGATACATACTTTGGGCTCCCTGGAACACGCCCACAGGTGTGCTAGATATTCAAGATACCAGGAGCCCTGGAACATGTCCACTTTTGGGCCGATGCCTAAACTTCGAGGAACAGGCCATACCAATGCAAAGCGACTCGGTCCACGATCTATCCGTGATGCCCAACACGTCGGGGCTGTATACTTACGTTATCACCAACGACATAGTTTCGAGCTTTGATCATCTTGGAGATCAGCTTGACCGCTTCCAGCGTGGGCTCGCCTTCCTCATCCTTGCTAAAGAGGGTCGAGATGGCATCGCAGCACAGCTGAGGGATCTCGGGCGGGCTTTTCACCACCATCCGCGAGACAACAGCGGTCATTATGTTGATGCGAAAGTTGAAGTGCGGCACGCTCGTCAGAAGCTCGGTCAGGCACTGAACTCCAACGACCGCCAGCGACGAATCCCGATGCGGTGAGTCCTCCTTCTTTGATGGCAGGTTGGCTAGGCGGCATCATAGTGTGAAATCAAGAAAAGACCGGGTCGTGAGCCTTCGGGCTATTGCCGTCACGTCAGGCATAAGTATGCCTCCAACCGCTGCAGTGCGCTGGCCGATAGTCGTCGTGAGCTCAGAGACGCCGATAGTGGCCAGTGCGCTGCCGTAGGCTCGTTCAGTCGGCTCCACGCCCGCGCTTACTGCTGACGATCTTGTCAAGGGACTGCAGGTAAGCCTGGTAGTTGCTCAGAAGCGTTTCTTCGTAGTTGCGCAGCTTCTTGACATCCTTTGAGACCTTGACGGCCAGCTCCTTGTCTGTGAGCTTGCGGATGCGGTATCCAGGGATGATATCGCGATAAACCATGAGCTGGGTGAGGATGCCGACTTTCTGGATGACTGGATCGCTGCTGTTCGATAGTTCGCGCAAGGCACGAAGCTCGCCGATCTGGTCACAGAAAAAGAAAGCATGGCTCAGAGGCGTTAGATCCTGATAGAAGCCAGCAGCTGATCGGTCGCCGTCAATCCAATGATGCGCTGTTCTCCCGCTGCTTGTACCGTGTGCCGAACATTGGCCCAAACGCGCTCGCACGTACATTCTCCTCTGGATTCTCGATAATACTCGAAGCAAGAGCAGCAAACTGCTCTTGAGCATCAACCCGACGAGACGTCCGGCTCTGCTTTGCGGGGGGCTGTACAGCTGCTGATGTCGCAGCCCTCTGTCGTGGCTGCATCTTTTTCTTTCCATGATCATCCTCGTCGTCATCGGCTTCATCGTCGTCATCGTCGTCATCGTCGTCATCGTCGTCATGATCGCCATCGTCGTCGCCATCCCCTTCGACGCCCTCTTCGTTATCGTCAGCGAGCCTATCCGATCCAGCTTGGCTACTCGGCTTTGCCGATACCGTAGCTTCATTCGCCTTTGAGTTCATCACGACGATCTGCGAGGGACGCAGCCGCCCGTCTTCGGTTTTAATGGGGAGACGGTTGGAGTTTTTCTCGGCTTGCTCCCACTCGACTCGAATCTCGCGCGGCTTCTGCTCAAAGGCTGTTTCGACATCAGAGTCGTCCTCTGATGCCTCCGAGTCCAAGTCGCTGAGGACATCGGCTTTCCGGGGAGCGGGCTTTGGCAGCACCTTCTTCTCGACCATCTGGCTCAGTGCGTCGGGATTGATGCCCGAGAGAAAGTTGGCAAAGTTGCCGTACTGCTCAAAGAACTCCATGTCCTCATCGTCGAGCTCGACATCGTCGTTGTAGAGCTCGTGCGCCCGCGGCTTGTCCGTGAAGCGCTATCGGCCGGTTCGTGACGGTATCGCGGCACGGTATGCGGGAGCGAGAATCATTGTCAGCGAACACAGCATCGAGCATGGCGACGATGCAAGGCGACAGTGCAAGGCGGCACGAAGCATGCTGCCTCTGCGAATCTTCGCGCCGACGCATCCGCAGTGCCGATGGCGGCGAGCTGAAGCCCACCTTGTTTCCGGCCTTTGACTTTTTGCGCATCTGCGGCGAGTCGTCTGTCGGGGAGCCTTGGAGATCGGTGCGCTGGTGCTGGACGCTGCAGATCCGCCGATGTGCTGGCTCGCTGGCGAGCTGCAAGGCCCGGCCAGAAAAAAGAAGCAAAGTGCGCAGCCAATTAATTCTGGCGCAGTGCACCGCCACCAGGATGCCCGCCTTGAATTCAGCGTCCATCCATCCGTCCTGCCCATCCGTCCTGCCCATCCGTCCTGCCCATCCGTCCTGCCGCCCATCTGCTCGTCCGTCCGCTCGCCGCCCAGCTGCAGACCGCATCCGTCCATCTGCCGTCGACCGTACTCGGTCCATCCGCTGCGCATTCTGCACTCACACCTCTCCCTCTGCCGCCGGTGAACGACCATGAGCAGCCTTGGCGGCCGTCGTAAGGTGCTGGTTCCCGCGGTGCCTGCAGCATCCGATACCCCTCAAATCATATCGACGCCTGCGTCCAGCGAGCTTGTGCCAGGGCCGAGCGACGCAGCGCCTCTTCTAGAGTCAGAGAGCTCTCACCCTGCAAGCTCTTCGCTCCTGGGACTCCCAGCCCAGAGCAAGCGCTTCACGGCCTCTCCCGTTCCATCCGAGGATGAGGGTGAAGGAGGAAACAACCCGGCTCGCGGAGCACCGAGCGCCTCTGCAATCCAGCCGGTCAAGCCATATCTCACCCAACCAACGACACTTTTGCCTCAGCTCCAAGGCATCGCAGCAGAAATGATAACGGAAACCAAAGCAGAGACCAAAGTGGAAATGGAAACGGAAACGGTCACCACGACCCCAGTCATTACCCTTGCCACGACGACAACGACCACGACGACAACGACCACGACGACCACAGCAGCGACAGCAACATCGGCCGTTGCTGGCCCGCCCAATGCCGACATGTCCGTGTCTCCTGCATATTCGCTCCCTGCAGCCGCTCCTGCTGTCGTGTCGGTGGTCGATGCTGGACCTGTTCCTCCCCTGCCACCGCCTGCAACTCGACCGCCCCCGCCGCTGCCGCCGCCTGCCACCCGCCCCATCCCATCGGCTCGAGACCCAGGGCCCGTTGCAGCCCCGAGCAACACAGCGCCTCAGTCGGCTGCTTCGTCTGCGTCCTCAAGCGCCAGTGCGAGTCCAAGGAGCGGTCTGTCCAAGCAGAAGAAGACCGTGACGTTCACCTCCGATCCGCCCGTCTTCATCCCGTCCCCGGTCGAGAACCTCAAGCCCACTCCCTTGCAGCCACCCGCGTCCAGGCTGGTGCGCAAATACAGCGCTCCCAAGAAACCCGACCCTGCGGAAGCCAAGAGCCAGGGCTCGCCCAATCCCGTGTCGCGCACATCGACGTGGCTGAGCTTCTTTGGCCAGTCCTCTGCAGTGGAAGGCGATGACGAGGCGCAGCCGGCCTCACCATCGCCGATTTCCTCGAGAAAGCCCACCAGTATCAGACCCGGCGAGCCGCTGGTGCGCTCTCAGACTGCGCCCCAGCCCGCGCAGCCGAGCTCATCGACGTCGTGGTTTGGGTATATCAGCCAAGTCACCGACTCATTGTTTGGCGATGGCGACGGATCCGAAGACGAGGAGTACTATGGAAACGACCGGCCTACTGCCCATGCAGATCATGTCCAGGCCCATGCTCCCGAGGCCGATCCAGAGCCCCCCCAGACGGAGGAGGAGCTCAAGTGGATTGCAGAGCTGAACCAGCGCAATCTGGAACTGCAGAGGAACCCCAAGACCGTTCTCGCTTCCCATGGGACCATCAAAACTGGCCACGATACGCTGCGCCAGCTGACCAAGGCATCTGCTGCGCCCGAGTCCAAGTCCGATGCCGAGATTTGGGAGTCGATCCTGCAAGACTATCACGAACAGGCGCGCAAATATCCGTACATGCTCAAGACCAAGATCCGCGCGGGCATTCCTTCGCATCTGCGGCGCCGGCTCTGGCGCGTGATGTGCGATGCCGACACTGACCACTGGGGCAGTGTCTACAACAACCTGTTGAAGCAGGAGATCGACCCAGAGCTGGAGCGCATCATCAAGGTCGATGTGCAGCGAACCTTCCGCAGCGCCGAGATCTTCCGCGAGGAGGAAGGCGTGGGCCAGACGAGGTTGACCAATGTCCTGAAGGCGTTCAGTGTCTATGACACAGAATGCGGATACTGCCAAGGCTTGAACTGCGTTGTGGCTCCTTTGATCATTGAAGGCGTAAGTCATCCGTGCCCTTGCGAGTGAATCGCGCGGTGGAGCAGGCAGCGGGACGATCGCGTCCGATCCATCTCTGTACTGCGGCTGTCTGTCCATCGTCTAGTTTATGTCCAGATACACACAACATGAATGTGCCTCGTTATTCTGACGCTTTGCTGGCACAGATGTCCGAGGTTGAGGCCTTTTCGGTTCTGATCCGGCTGATGGAGGACATCAAGATCTCCTCAGCCACGGGCAGGTCCAAGTTCCCGTTGCGGTCGCTCTTCATCGAGTCACTCGTGGGTCTGCACCAGATCCTCAGGTTCCACGACGAGCTCGTCAAGATTCGCCTGCCGGTGCTGTACGAGCACTTCGAGCGGCACGAGATCGATGCCACCAAGTATGCCCAGACATGGTTCCTGACGCTGTTTTCGTATCAAGTGCCGATCCCGTTTGTGCTCCGGATCATGGACATTATCCTGAGCGAAAACGCCTTTGAGACTCTGCTGCGGTTCTCGCTCGCACTCTTGCGCCGGAACCAGTCGCTGCTGTTTGAGCTCTCAGACATGGAGGCCATCGTGGGTGTCCTGAAGACCAGCGCTATCTTCAAGTCGTACGAGTCCAATCCGGAGGAATGGGTGGAGGATGCCATGGAGATGACGGAATATGTGATTCCGTATCTGGCGTCCCAGTCAAGCTAGCCCTATTTGGTCTTCCAGCCAAACTCGCTGCTTGTCCCTTCCTCGCCAATCCCACTCCCATCCCATAGCCGCAACCCTTGATGCCGTATGGGATCTTTGTTGTGCTCTTGCGCTCAACATGGGCGCTTCTCTCGGCTTGCGCGATGCATGCATTGCATTTTCTTGTCCCCTTCCCCCCCTTCGCTTTTGCGCCTAGCTTCTTCGCCCTTGCAATCGCTTTCTGGCACGGCTTCCAATGCCACTGTTTGCTCGAATGAACTTGATCACTTCCTCCAGCTGACTCGCATCGTCCGCTCAGCTAGGGGTGGGGTGGCCAGTCACTCGCAGTAGCGAAAATTGTCGTCGCGGAAGAGGTAGCGGCGGCGGTGGCAATAGCAAGCCATCGCCAAAGTAGTATTCACAAGTGGATTTGGACAGAAATAGCTGGGCAGTCACCCATCTCGCAATTGTCGCTAGGCAGAGAACAGAATGGGCGTAACACAACAGAACATAACATAACAGAGCGCAGCAGAGCTGAGTCGAATAGCGCGCGGTAGGGGAGGGGGAGACGTTGAGAATGATCCGATAAGGAGTGTGGGAAAGACCAGGTGGATACAGCAGCGAGAAAGGGCGGAAGGGAAAGAGGGAAGACAGATGCAATCGGCCGATAGAGGCGTTCGAAGAGTCAGATCAGATCATAGGAGAACCATAACAACTGCGGAAAAAACAATGCGAATGCGTGATAGACATGCCAAACAGAAAGATACGCTGGTGGCGGCTATTAGCCCAATGAGTGAGAGAAAAGAAAGAAAAAGAGGGCGAGGCACGGGCGGTCTGCATGGGCCGGTCTGCACACAGTGATTGGGCTCTATCGGACCTCGGCGTCTGCATCTCGAGTCGGCGTATTGCCAGTCTCTTCGCTCTCGTGGTCGCTGAGGGCCATATACTCAGCCGTCAGCGCCTCGATCTGAGGCGATACTAATGGGGAATCCAGAATATCCATAATGGTGGGCTCGTCAGGCAGCTCCGGCAGCGGGGCTTTGGGAGGAGACGCGTGGTGGCCAGGCGCTGGTGCAGCATGGGCAGCCGCAGGGGTCGAGACCGAAAAGGGGAGAGACGGACCCGACATGGCCGACACCGGTGTGTCACCCTTGAGCACCGGGGTCGAGCCGGCACTTGCGGGGGGCTTGAGGTTGATATCCGGGGGAGGCGGGGCAAGCTTCATCTGGCGCCGACTAGCATATCCATCCTGTCTCGGGCTGACAATGGACGGCGTGACTGAATTGGGCTCGCTGCTGGGACCATCTCGGGGAAGCGGCTGCCGCATGCGAGTTTGGATCAGCGGCAGCGGGGCAGCTGCCGACTGGGACAGGACAGGATTGTCTTCAAAGGAGGAGGGCAGCTCCGGCAGGGGACTTTGGGGCGGGCCTGACGGCGAGTAGGAGCGCTGCGGGATCATGTCAAGGCCATTGACTCGGCCTCGTCCGAATGGATCTGAGCGCGAGCGCGCAAGAGAGACCGGCGAGGCAGGGGCCCTCTGGGTCTCGGACCGACCATGGCTAGTCTTGGCACGATGGATTGACACCGGCGAGCTAATGGGAGAGGCTTGTTCCGCAATCGGGTAAAGGATGCTGCGATCCCTCGGGAGAGCATTCAGAGAGCTGAGGATCGGGCTACTGAGGACCGACGGCGGCTCTTGTAGGAGATATCGGTAGGGCGGCTTGCCCGAGTTCTGCAGCGCGGGATGGATCGCGGGCGATCGGAACGGAGGCGGCGCACCAGCGCGTGCCGTCATAGATTCGTACTGCATATTGAGCTCGTTGGGGGGAGGGAGATGACTGAAAGGCGGTGAGGCCGCAAGGGACATTCGACGGCTGCGTGGACGTCGTTCGACGTGCTGGGACGGGAAAAAGCCCAGTTGCTTGGTCGTATCTGCAGGGCCAAGAAGCAGTCAGCATGGTTGATTCATATGGCCCGCCACCGTGCGACTCGGGCGGGCGCAGACGGTCGATACCAGAGATTCAAAGTAGCAACGCCACACATGCTGAGCCTGGTCTGGTCCCGACACGACACTGGTAGCTTACGGTTGAAGCCAAAGACAGCCTCGCTTCCGAGGTTGCAAAAGATGACGACCCGATCGCCTTTCTTGAGCTCGATCTCGTTGAAGGCTCGAGGAGCATATCCGATCTTGACGCGCATCCCAATGACCAACGTATCTTTGGCGACAGACTGGATCAGGGCCTCGGTGGTAGCGCCCAGGTCTTTCAGCTGCTCGCGGAGATGCTGGTAGCACCCGGCATGCTTGGGATCGTCCGAGGGAGTGGTCATCAGCTCCGGCAGCAGCGACAGGATTCGCTCGAGACTCAGGGCAAAGTCAATCAGGGCTGGGTTGTGGTGCAGGTCGAGAGGAAGCTGGCTGATGGGCGGATGCGCACCGTAGCGCAGGAAGCTCTGGTTGAGCGAGCAAATGTTGTCAAGGGCCGAGTCGTTGAGGGAGAAGATGGGCGACTCGGAGGCAGAGGCAGCGCCCTCGATGGTGGAGACGATGACGGTTTCGGGAGAGGAGGCACCGGGCTTGGTGGTCAAGTCCATGAGGGTCTATGGAGAAAGAATAGCAAAGATGAGCTTGCTGTGGGCGTGGTATGGAAAGCGAGAAGCTGCCGGTGTGCTGCCGGTGTGCTGCTGGCGTGCTGCTGGCGTGCTGCTGGTCAGGTAGCCCATCTGCAGATCTCACATGCCAAGCATGCGAAACGCCAGCGCTCCAGCCACGGACTGGCCGACAGCACGAAATGCTGATTGCCCGACGTGGCGATTGTACACACTCGACCAGATTGCTGCCAGCCTTACCGCCATCCACTCGCCGGTGCTGTTCTTCCTGAATCGCCACGCAATCGTCGGAAAGCTGACAACGAACGAGTTCATGGTGATTTCTTCCGGAATCGGGAGCTGCTCGGCACGAACCGAGAGCGTCGGGGTGGGCGGCATCATCGACAGGGTTTCCTGCGAGGCTCGGCGGGTGGATATGACACGCGAGCGACGAGACATGGCTTCGATCGAGAGCTCTTCTGGCGGAAGCTTTGCGAGATCGGCATCCTTGAAGCCATCGAGATGGACGATCGTTGACTGGGGCTGCTCAACAGCGGAGGCTTTGGTGGTCTCGGCCGACTGAGCGGGCTTTTTGTTGTTTGAGACGCAGCCGCAGGTCAGCGACAACACCAACAGGACGCTGCCGGTGCCGAGGCCACCGAGAACAAGCACCGTGTGCGAATACGGAAGAGAGCCGACGAGAGGTGTTGGAGACGAGCCTGTAGTTGCGGGTGCTGGAGCAGACGGCTGGCTGGGCGGTACAGAAACGGATTGCTCAGCGCCCACGGGGGCTTGTGGGGCCGCCCAGGCCTGAAGGGCGGCGAGCAAGGCGATTGCCAGGACCAGCAGCAGACGGGGCATTGGGCTTTGGTCCCCGGTGGATGCGGAAGACGGAGGACAGGACCAGCCTTGGGGAGCGCTCGACAGACAGCGCGCTGGCGAGACGGGTGCTGGACAGGCGGATCGGAGGACTTGATGGCGAGATGGTGTCGAAGATGATGTCGAAGATGGTGTCGAGGCGACGGAAAGAAACGGCCGAGTCGCGCAGGAAAGGCGGGGGCGGCGTCGTGTGACATCGTGAGACACGGGCGCGTCTCGTGCACCGGCGCTGTGGCACCGTGGCGGTGCGTGGCGGGCAGCGGCAGCACTGTACAGCGGCCCCGTCGACCACGCACGGGGGTGACACAGCGTGCGACCCTTGCTGCCTGCACCGTCGCACACAGAGCACATGTCCCACAGCGCGCCTGGCAAAGGCGTCTGTGGCGGGGGACACGTGGCCCGTGCGAGCGCGCGCTGGACACAACGTCGCACGGATGTCGTGCAGATGCGCAGCAACAGCGTGATCACAAACAGCGGTGTGATCACACTGCAAACACCCTGGGCACACAGACACACAGACAACGGACACAGACAACGCACACAGACAACTGACACACAGACAACGCACACACACTCATGCTCCCGATCCGCGGCGTTCCAAAGAAGACCAAAGTCGCTCTTTGGGTTTGGTCTTCCTCAACAGCGTCGTCTTTCTCGGCCATCTCGGCTTCTCAACTCTCGTCTGTCTCGTCTGTCTCGTCTGTCTCAACTCTCTCGCCTTCCCTCGACTGCCTCGACTGCCTCGGCCACTCCGTTGGCTCTCGCTCGCACGCTCGCTCATTCGCTCTCGACTGAGGCACCGCCAGTCCAGACGCTATCGACAACCGCACCCCCTTTGGTCCTCCTTCCGTCTTCACCCCGCTGCCTGGCATGATTCCCAAGTTCCAGCTCGTCGTGGCCGTGCTCGAAAACATCCTCGTGGCCGCTGGCCTGCTGATCGTCCTGATCCTGCATTCGTCGTCGCTGTACTCGTCCTGTTCGCTGTTCACCTACCTGGTCATCTCGGCCACCCTGCACTGCATCTACATCCCGCGCATCTTCATGCAGTACATCTGCGACCATCTGCTGCTGCCCAAGTATTCGACCTACATCCAGGGACTCTGGTCCGTCGTCTTCGTCGTCAACGTCTTTACCTGGCTCGTCGGCCAGTGGGAGACCTACAACACCGCTCCAAACCCCAGCCCCGATCTCTCGCCAGGGGACTGCGCCTCGATCCTGTTCTACACAAGCGTTGCCCTTATTGTCGAAACCTATATCTCCTGGATAGCCTGGATCGTCTACGAATTGCTGGCGCTTCGATACGGCTGGTCCGCTGCTCCCCCGTCCCCAGAAGACTTTACATGGTGAGTCTTGTGCGTTCGGCCCGGCGATCCCCTGTCTCGCCTGTGGCAACTGCAGCCTATCGGTCTCCCTGGCGTTGTATGCTGCCGAACCAGCACCACTGCGACGATTCTCCTGCGGACCAGCACTACTTGGGCAGCCTTCAAGGCCTTCCCTCGCCCGCTGCCCGCTCTCGGACGTATGCAGCGGCTCCAGAGATCACTGCAATGATTTGGCTTCTCTCCCCAGCCCTGCTCCTTGTGTTGATACCCAACTTGCCCCCACCATCAACCCTGTCTCGCTGCATCCTGTCGTCGTATCGCCTCATCTCACCCATGTCGCTTGCTCCCTTGCCCGTGTCTTTTCGTCTGGTCTCCGCGTCCTGGTCTCTGGCCGGTCTCTGGCTGGGCTCGCCATACCAGGCACCTCCCGGCCCTTCCAAGTATCCCGCATGATGACACTCCGAACAAGGACTGGCACCAAGGCGACGTCCACGAGAATCTGCCATCGACCAAGGTCGCCGGAGGTAGGCTGCTCTATTGCCGCACCCATTGATAACCCCGCCTCGGCACCCATGTGTCCAAGTGGCCTCTCGGCTGCAATCACACTGCCCGTTGGGCACCTCCGTAGGTCTATCCAACATTTGCATGTGCTAACTCCACCCACGTGAACTCCCCGTCCCATGCAGTCTCGTCGTCGTCGTCCCTGACGGACGTCACTGCCATCGGCAAGCACAGCCGTTCAACGACCGAGCAGGGTGTCATGAAGAGCTTCCCCGCCTTCCAAACCGCCCCCTTCTCCGACGCCTACAAGAAGAGCATTGAGTTGCGGTCCGGTAGTGTCAGCCAGCTGCCCGGCGAATCCATCATCCTCTCTCCGATCGAGCCCATTCCTCGGACACTTCCAGGTGTCGCGGCAGCAGCCGTGGCGACGACTTCGGCCCAGGACCCAGTCCAGGACCCAGCCCAAGCCCAATCTTCCGAACCAGCGGTGCAATAGTCAGCTGCTTCTGCTCCAGCTCAGCGACCACCCAAACTCGACGAGAATCACCGTCGCGCCTTTGGCCTGCCTTACACAACGTTACCCCATTCCGCCTGATATTTTGTGCCCCTGCCGATATACGACTCTGGCAGGTGCAAAGTTTTGACAATCCCGATGCCGTCCGTTTCGTGTCCGCCCTCGCCCCGTTTCTCCCTGACCTGCGACCCCCAAGTCGCCTCCACCCACTCCCAGCGGTGTATCCCTTGTATATCTCCCCTCCACTCTGTTGTCCCCGGCCGTCTGAGCAATCGCACATGAACCAAGTGGTTATCCCCTCGTCATCGTAATATAGAACGTGCAGAACGATACAAAGCGCTTGTCGTTGGGCCAGCGTTACATACAATCTGTCCCCTCTCCCGCCAACCCCTGCGCAAGTGCAGCATCGACACGACACATCGGCCTCATGGCTGTTGATACAGTCAATCCAGAAAGAAACGGGACAGTCACTCTCTGGCAGCAGAAGCCCGAAGCCTACTGAACTTCCGTAGGCTCCAGTGAGCCAGCCATGCGATTGTTTTCCGTCCTGTCCCGTTTGCACTGGATTTGCTGTAAGCTCCAGCAGCCATGCATCGCCTCTCCCACAATCTTATACTGCCGGTTGCTGGACAACTGGTGTTCTCGGGCTGCACTATCTGCTGAACTTGGACTGGCTGTCGATTGTACAAATCCTCTGCCTGACGGTCCACTGTCGGATTCCTCAGACATCGTTGATTGGACACTCGTGCGGTTCTCGTATCTGCCGCCCGAACCCATCCACCCAGCCGACCCGTCCATGTCCCACTCCGAGTCCCTCGATCGGGTCCGGCATGCACGAAGACAATGCTCTCCCTCTCCACCAAGCAAACGCCGCTGGCCCAAAGTCCTCGCTCTGCGCATCAAGGCACTCAGTCCCTCGCGCCGTTGCTTCGGCTTGACAGAGTTCCTGACAGAGTTCCCACGGCCACGCCAACCCGTTTCTGCTGCACCAGCCCGAGGCCACATATCGGCTGCGAGGACCGGCAGACCAACCCGATCTCCAGCAGGCATGGGAAAGCCGACCAGCATCCCTTTGCCGTCCGTCCCGCTGGCATCAGCGCTTGGTGCGGCCCCCCCCCGGCTTGCTGGTCGTGCTGTCTGCTCACCTCTCGCCACCGCATCACTCGCAAAATTCCCGCGCCCACCAAACTCTATCGATCAACGGCTACTCCCCCACTCCATGTGCACCCCACCCTGGCATTCCTGGGGCTGCCATTCGCACCATCCAGCCCCAAGCAAGCCAGCCGCCTCCAACCCAAAACGTCCTCATTTTCGCATAAATATCGACCCTCTTGCCAGTTCGTCGCACTGCACCGAGCTCCTGCACCAAGCCTCCCCTCGGACCAGCGTCTTCGCTGCACACCTCGCCGCCTCGTTGCATCGAACCGCCGCCTGCGATATATCCATTGTGCCAGCATGCTCACTGCCCAAGCCACCACACCCGGTTCTGCTGCTATCCAACAGCGCGTCAATGCCTTTCTCACCGTGCCCTCGAACTTCCGAGCCAAGGCTGCCCAAGCCGGAAACCCCAAGGGCTTCTCGGTCTTTGACAAGAAGCAAGCTGACCAAGCCAGCGATGTCGCCGCCGATCTCATGAGAGTCGCCAACTCCACCCATGATCTTAATGTGGGTCTTTCTCCCATATTGTGTACACTGCAGATCGTGCCGCTTTCGTTTCCCGCCCCTGGATCTCGGCCGCCTTATGCTGACCAATGTCCAACGGTTCTTGTGCTCCGACAATACTGCCTGGATATCGCCGAATGCAGAAAGTCATGGATGAGGCCGAGAGTCTCGCCAGGACCATGGATCCCGAAGTTGTCCGCCAAGGATTGATGATCTTCTTGACACGTATGTGGTTGCACCCCACGCTGACAGGCCCATGCTCGAACCTCAAGCGGGGTTCCATGTGATTGACTCGATGGTCGCCATGGTCCATCTCCCGCGATCTGGGCACACGATTGCGAGGCGGCTATCGGGTTACCGAGACTCCCAGGCCCGGGACATCCCAGGCTGCATCCACGATGGCTGTAACATCTCCGGCTCTGCCTCCCCCCTCCAACAGATCACCCCCTGGCCCAGAGTGCCCACTTGGTTATTCCCTCGCTGGGCGCGCGTGCTGGTGCTGTCGTTACAGCCAAGGTGAGACCATCGGCATCTGCTGGTCCGATTTCCAGCGGGGTCGGTGGCATCACTTCGGCTCTGCGCAACACTCAGGTCTCGCCTCCAGCTCCAGCTCCAGCTCCTGCTTCGGCTCCTGCTCCTGCTCCTGCGCCTGCTCTTCAGGCCGCTGTTGCTTCGGCTCCTCAGGCTGCTGCTCGTTCGGGTGCTCAGATACCTCTGAACAACCGCCCTAACCTCACTCCCGAGGATGTGCTGGACTACTGGCGCGACGATGTCAACCTCAACGAGCATCACGAGCACTGGCATGTTGTCTACCCATCGTCTGGTGTCCCAAACCCCCGCAACCCCAATGGCCGGTATGTTCAGTGCTCGACGGCGTGCGGAAATACATCGAAGCAGACGCCAGTGCCGTGAACCGGAACTAACCACCACCACTGCCGCCACTACCACTGTTCTTGCTCTCCTCGCATTGCGCTGCAGCTCGGCCAAAGACCGTCAGGGTGAAATCTTTATCTATATGCACCAGCAAATGATTGCGCGATACAATGCCGAGCGCCTGGCCTCTTCGCTCCCGCCCGTCAAGGCCCTTACCAACTTCCTCACCGACGCCCTCGAGGGGGACATTCCCGAGGACGACCTCCGCATCAACGGAAAGGGCTTTACCCCGCGTCCCAATAACTTGAGGATGACCGATCTCGGCGTCTCTGGTCAAAAGGGTTATCTTCCGGTGTCGCAGCTGTGGACCTGGAAGTCCAACCTGGAGAAGGCCATCGACGCCGGTCGCTTCCAGAACGGCACGGTCATCACGCCGCACCTCCTGGGCTCGACTCTTGAGGCCAGCGTCGATGGAGTTGACTCGAACACATACGGCAACTTGCACAACATGGGCCATGTCATCATCGCTTACATCTCAAGCCCGCGCAACTACCAGGACCCCAATGTTGCACCCGGTGAGAAGCCCGCGCACCACCTCTGCTAAAGCGATCGCCGATGCAAGTTTGTTGAGACTCGGAGGTTTCTTTGCGCCGAAACAGTGCACCACCCTCCCCGTCCCTAACCTAATGGGCGAATCATACCCTGTATCCATGGCTCTCTGCTTATAGGTCTGATGTACGAAACCCGTACCGCCGTTCGCGACCCTGTTTTCTGGAGATGGCACTCCATGATCGACGATCTCTTCTTCCGCTGGCAGGAGCGCCAGGCCCCTATTGACTTTGGCGACGCCCCCAAGAGCATCTCCATCCGCAAGTCCATCAACGCCGGCGTCCACGCATCCCAGGACATTATCTTTGCCTTTACTGATGTACTGCAGCAGGCTGGCGTCAACGCCGCCAATGCCGACGCTGTCCAGCAGTGGGGCCAATCCAAGTTTGGCGGGGCCAACTTTGACCAGGCCGACATTGCCAAGCTTGCCAAGGAAGCAACCAGTGAGCTCCAGACCACCATGCTCCAGCGAGCCTACACCTATGTCGACGACGACGGCAAGACCGAGATGCTGGACTACATGCTTCCCAGAGACTTTTACTACTTTTTCAGGATCCAGAACGCTGCCGATAAGGTAAGCTTTGGAGGAATGGCCGAGCAGTAGTCCGCCCCAGTCGGATCGTCCGCCGTACTTTGCCTGCCCACACACTCGCCCGTCCACTCGATGTCCCGCTGACTTGTCCGCTTGCTTTCTTTGCTGAACGGCGCGCTCCAGAGTGTCGACGTTACTCTCAGAGTGTTCCTTGTGCCCGTCGCCCAGGCCAACAACCGCCGCGCCTACATTGAGATGGACAAGTTCAAGGTCACCGTCCCGGCAAAGTCCAAGTACGTCGTCTCACGTCGCTGTGACCAGTCGTCGGTCATTCGAAAACCGGCTCAGAAGACTCCTCAGGAGCTCAACAACGGCGTCACTGGCCGCCAAGACCGGACCGGGTAAGTCTCTGATCCACAGACACAGACTCGTCAGAGCATCGCTTTACAATCACAGAGATGCAACGCTGCAACGGATCTGAAGGGTCAGTGAGGCGGAACTTGGCGCTGGCGACTCTGCCTTCCACATTATCACAGCTGTTCGTACTGACGACTCTCCTCCCCCTCCATTTCACAACGCAGAGATGCCTACTGCGACTGCGGCTGGCCCTACAATCTGCTGCTTCCCCGAGGTACCAAGCAAGGCCAGGCTTATCGCCTAGTTGTCTTGGCCACAGACTGGAACATCGACATGGTACCTCAGAAGGAGGTGTGCGGCAGCATGTCCTTCTGCGGCGCCAAGGAAAAGTACCCCGATACTCGGCCCATGGGATATCCCTTCCATGCTCGCTGGAAGACGCCTTCCATCGAAGAAAGTATCAAGGCCACCAGCACCTTTGCATCCCGGGATATCGTCATTCGCTGGGTGGACCGATTCTGAGATTCACACAAATGGCGTTTGTCCCTCCCCCCCCCGCCATCAATGAGTGCATTCATCGATTATGAATACACCTGTCAATCTCTTCGGTAGAATACCAAATCGCTGCAATTTCATCTTGGCTGAAATACCCATTACTCTGGTGGCGGTGAAGCTGCTCGAAATACACGAGGGACTGCTCGAAATACATGAGGACCTGCTCGAGTCCATGATGCATCTCAAGCGACGGGAACTCGGCGCATATCCTTTGCACTGTGCTCACAGAGTTAGTGATGTGCACTCTATCCAAAGGAGCGGACAATCTGCATCAAGAGCGCGAGCAACTCTTCTAGAAGCTGGCGGCAGTCATGCTGCTTTTTGAATACACACGCGATAATCCGGTGGTTGCAGTGGTTCCTGTGCTTGCACCGTCCCCCGAAACAGCACTGTCATACAGTATGAAAGGGGTTATCGTGGGCGGGTCAATTATCGCCCATACAGAGCAGATGTGTCTATTCAAAACCACACTGGCACAGAGTTTGCCATCGAGGGCAGACCATCCAACAGTGGGAGCCTTTGGCGAACGCTACTCAACATTATGGCGATAGCCAGCCGGTCCTGGGTGCCTTGCGACTCTCGGGAGAGTAAGGTACATGATGTGGGAGAGACTATGACTGTGACTATGACTATATCGACTAAAGTGCGAGTAGAAATATCATATGTATATCAAAATACATGGTCTGATGCAGTTGCTGTAACCGAGGGCGGCTATTAATTCAAAGGGCCCTCCATAGCGCGTCGGTTCAGCTGTACGATTCCTGCAGTGACTTGGAGCGGAGAAGCACCTCGACGTCCAGCGAATAACAGAACTCGCCAAAGTCGGCCGTTTCCTTGAGGCATTTGTAGTACACGAGATCGATCACTTGCAGACAGTTAAACTGTTCCTGGGACCTGAAGCCAAAGACAAAGCACTTTTCTCGCTTCAGGGTCGGCTGGACGAGCTCGCACTGCTCCGGAGACTTTGCCACTTTGGAAGATCGGATCGTGGGTCCAGGTGGAATCGGGCAGAGTCGAAGCGCGGAGGAATCGTGGTGGAGTTGTGTCCCAGGTGGTCAGGCCGAGCGGTGTTGGTTTTGGAGTGAGGGGCATTGTTGAGATACCAAGCGATAGGCAACGTTGCGGCATTGGAAGACAACAGCGACGGTTTCGTCACGGCAACGAATACGGTCGTCGAACAGCGCAGCGTGACAATGGGAGACCAGCGATGGCGGATGGTTTTTGTCAACACGAAGCATGGAGTGTCAAAGTAAGGACACCGATGTCAGCCTTGATCAGTGAGCATACACTGATGCACATCGTTCAACTGAGAACTGAACTATCGGCGCAAATGCTGGTCCTGGACGGCTCGACGGGAGCAGACAGACAACGAGACCACAGTCATTTGATCTTACAGTAATGGCAGCCAATGTTGGGGCTGGCGGGAACACCCTGGACCAGGCCGAGCACCGCGAGCAGGCAGCTCAGGACGACAAGCCAATTTGAGTGCATTACGATGGTTTTGGCTTGCTTGCGTACTTGATATAGTGGCGGAGATGCGCTGTTATGTCGCAAAGATGGTGGGCCAAAATCGCTGCTTCAGCAGTCAGCGGAAGTAGCCGCGGCGTCAGATAGTGAGGCTCTTGGCGAAATCAAGGGCCGGCATCGACAAGCCGTCTCAGGGCAGTGAAGGCTGGCTCGCTGACGAGCGACCGGTGTGGGCGAACCACCAGGGCATTTATACTCCACTCGGACTATCGATGCAAGCGCAGCAAAGAAAGTGCGTGTTGAGGAAGCGGACGCAACTGTAATCCCGGCGTAGAGCCCAGATGCGGTTCGGAATCCCGACATGGTCCCTCAGAGTGTAAACACTGGAATTCGACCAACGTCGGAGCAGTCAGAGCACCGGCGCTGCTCTAGCGGAGGTCGGTGAACGTGGACAGCCAAGTGAGGATAGGTGCAATGACGGCGAAGCGGACGAGCGAGGTCTGTTCCAAGAAATCGCTGGCCGAAAGGTTCCACCGGGTCGATAGTTACTGTCGCCGCACCAACTCTATCACCACGCCGCCGTCAGCCCTGGAAGGCACCGTGGCTCGAGGACCATGTTGCGACGAGAGGGTTAGAGTTGCTTTGGAGAGAATTCGCGGAGGCTCTGACCCGAGTCTGACGCATGATCCAGTGGCGGATAGAGTTGTGATTCTGGAAGCATTGGCAGGATCTGGACGCACCGACGAGAATATCGATGCCGCGCATGCACGAATGGCATCGCAAGCCTGGCCTGCGATAGATGAATAACTCTCAGACATGCATGTGTGGCCGTGCTGAGGGAAACTCGCTGCCAGGAACGGGTCCGGTGTCGCCCACCATGAACCGGCCAGATGGAATACGAACAGGAGTGCTGTGCGGGGAGCTAGACCGATGCTCTGCTACGATGAGAACCACAGACTCGCCGCCACAGTTGCTGTCATTGACCATCCGTCTTGGCCGTAGTGCCCAATGGTGTCGCATTTCACAATTCCCATGGTTGATATACATGAACCATGGCCGACCCGCAAATCGCGACGTGTCCCTGGCTGCATTGAGATGGGATGATGGACGGTGTGTATTCCCATCCAAAATGTGGACCAGTCGACAAGATACAGCGAGGCTCGTCTGCAATGCATGGCCAGAACTCTGGCAAACGAGATGCCTCTCTTCCGTTTCCGAATACCGAAAGTAACTCATGCAAATGCGGCTTGATATGCATATTCGAGCGGCTGGTCCTTGCTCGTGTGTGTTCGCACATGTCTTGACGAAGGTGCTTGTCCAGACCGCAGGCCTTTGGAATCCGTACGATCCCCGTTCTCCTTCCCCAGCGCAGGCCAGATGCACTCCACTCCAGAACACAGACGGATTCCTAGCTCTGGGCCGTCGAGTTGCCGCTCACCATGCCGGTGACAAACGATAGCAGCTGACTGGTGACATTCTGCTGTGGAGAGCATTGATTGAGGTAACTGATGACTTGGTAGTGACGGTTCTTCTTGGCCAGCCTCAGAGCCTCGCCTTTCCGAGCGGCAATGTTTGCCCCGTGTTCGACAAGGACCCGGACGACTTCGATACTACCTCGTTCGCAGGCCCGCACCAATGCTTCGTCGTCTTTGACGTGGATGTTGGCACCATACTCGATCAGCGTCTGAAGAGTCTCCACCTGGTTGTGGTACGACGCCATGATGACGGCCCGGTTGTTGCGATCGAGGGTAAACCATGGCGAAGACAGCAGCAGCCTGAGAATCTCGGTGTGGCCAAATGTCGCTGCGATCGAAACGGGCCGATTACAGTCGAGTGCGGCAGAAGCCGGGTGGGGCGCCTCGGATGGCTCTCGATAGCCCTGGATGGCGGCAAAGCGGGGGCTCTGCAGCAGGATCTTGACGATGGGGACGCTGTTGTTGCTGCACGCCCAGCGCAGGGCATCCAAAAGCTCCTCAGGGGTTGGAGACGGCGTTGGCAGAGACGAATCGGGATTGAGATCGCTGTCGACCCAGGCCGTAAGGACCCGCAAGCATCCGTGCCTTGCAGCCAGAACATATGGCTGGACGGGTCGGCCGTCTTTCGTAGATACCTGCGACTGGAACCAAACCCAGATGCGCCAGTCGATGTATCGCCGATATGCGCTGCGGAAAGACTTGCATGTGCTTTCGAGGGCGACCAGGTGCCTGGGAGCCCCGATGCGGTCGATGATGGCCATCCAAACCTCGGGTGGCAGAGCAAAGCAGCCCGCCTCGGATGGCGCTGCTGTATGGCCGAGAGCGGCAGTATCGGGCAGTGTCGCGGGCTGAGGTTGAGACATGGGTGCGTCGAGATGGAGTGTGCGGAGGGGATCTGCGGCTGGGCTTTTCAGTTGATGACAGGAAGCAGCTGGATGGGCTTATAAGCTCGCGGCTTCCACGTCCCAGGGCCCTGGGGACAGCCCGAACCAATACCCAACACGTGGAGGCATAGGAAGGCGATCGGACCAACGGCCGTGCTCTTTTTTCTCTCGCTGTATTCTTCCATCCTGCGATGCCAAACTGCCAGCGCGGTCAGGTACCGATGGCCATTGCCTCGAAATCGAAAAAAAAAAGGGAGCCTCTCAGTGCTCTGGAATGCACTGACGTAGACTGTGAGTGGTCGTTCTGAATGATAGATGCCAACAGAAGCCATAAATGCAGGTGTCCCGTTTCACTTTGGCAAACGCCAAAAGCTCGCTAGAATATTCCATGCTTGCCAGTCGACTGCCCGGCCGTAGGAAGCGACGTGGGGCTGAGGCGGGCACTCCTGCGGGAATCAGGAGCATCCTGTTGGGCTGCGCCCGTGAACTCGGCCAGAGACACTGAGGCGGGGGGCCCAGGCGGAGAGACCCTGCGCCTGGAGGGCGTTCGGGCGGCCTTGGAGGGCGCAACGGTAGCCCCGTCATCGCCAAACACAATCGACGACGTCAGGTTGGGATGCGAGCGTCGCGGCGTCAAGACATTCGGAGGGGGTATAAATGAGATCTGGCGAATCAAGAGGGAGACAAGAGGATTTAATCCACTGAGGCTGGGCCAAATCACAGCAACCCCCGGAAAGAGAAACGCTTACAGCGCAAAGCTACTCACCGAGGAACTGTTTCTGTGGAGCCCATGAGATAGACGCTTGCCAGTTTTCAAAGGTGAGGCGTCGTCTCCGGCTGCAGCCTGTGCTTGTTTGATATCACCAAGGTTGCCCAGAGACAGTCGCTTCAGCCTCTGAGCACTCTCGCCGAGGGTTCGATCTGCGCGTCGCTGGGGGCTGTCGAGAATATCGAATGAGCTCTGAAACTCGTTTCGGGCCAAGCGAGTAGGGGGGGAAAGCGGAGGTGTGGCCAAGATAGCTTCCGAAGCCTCAAGAGCAACAGACTTGTAGAGTGGCGGTGCGTTTGAGTCATCGGCAATCGAAATCGAGCTTTTGAATCCTTGATTGATCTGATATGCACGGACCGGTCCTTTGAAGTTGGCCTTTGAGACAGCTGCCTCTTGAGCTTCGCGAGCAACACTGGAGTACCGAACAGGCGACTTGTGCGAATGGTCGTCAGCGATCACAATCGAGCCTCTGAAGTCATTTCCATGAACAAGAACGGGAGCTGTAATAGGCTCGGCAAGGGCGGCTTCCTGAGCTTCACGAGCAACACTGGAGTACCGAGCAGGCGACTTGTGTGAGTGGTCATCAGCGATCACAATCGAGCCTCTGAAGTCATTTCCATGAACAAGAACGGGAGCTGTAATGGGCTCGGCAAGGGCTGCTTCCTGGGCTTCACGAGCAACACTGGAGTACCGAGCAGGCGACTTGTGTGAGTGGTCATCAGCGATCACAATCGAGCCTCTGAAGTCATTTCCATGAACAAGAACGGGAGCTGTAATGGGCTCGGCAAGGGCGGCTTCCTGGGCTTCACGGGTGACACTCGACAACTTGACCGGTGATTTGTGCGAGTGGTCGTCGGCGATGACGATGGAGCTCTTGAAGCCGTTGCCTTGGACAAGAACAGGCTGAGACACCGGATTGGCGAGGGCGGCTTCCTGGGCTTCGCGAGTGACACTGGAGTACCGAGCAGGCGACTTGTGTGAGTGGTCATCAGCGATCACAATCGAGCCTCTGAAGTCATTTCCATGAACAAGAACGGGAGCTGTAATGGGCTCGGCAAGGGCGGCTTCCTGAGCTTCACGAGCGACACTGGAGTACCGAACAGGCGACTTGTGCGAATGGTCGTCAGCGATCACAATCGAGCCTCTGAAGTCATTGCCGTGAACAAGAACGGGAGCTGTAATGGGCTCGGCAAGGGCTGCTTCTTGGGCTTCACGGGTGACACTCGACAACTTGACCGGTGATTTGTGCGAGTGGTCGTCGGCGATGACGATGGAGCTCTTGAAGCCGTTGCCTTGGACAAGAACAGGCTGAGACACCGGATTGGCGAGGGCGGCTTCCTGGGCTTCGCGAGTGACACTGGAGTACCGAGCAGGCGACTTGTGTGAGTGGTCATCAGCGATCACAATCGAGCCTCTGAAGTCATTTCCATGAACAAGAACGGGAGCTGTAATAGGCTCGGCAAGGGCTGCTTCCTGGGCTTCACGGGTGACACTCGACAACTTGACCGGTGATTTGTGCGAGTGGTCGTCGGCGATGACGATGGAGCTCTTGAAGCCGTTGCCTTGGACAAGAACAGGCTGAGACACCGGATTGGCGAGGGCAGCTTCCTGGGCTTCGCGAGTGACACTGGAGTACCGAGCAGGCGACTTGTGCGAGTGGTCGTCAGCGATCACAATCGAGCTCTTGAATTCAGTACCAGTAGCTAACACAGTGGCCTTAATTTGCTCCGCTGCTGCGGTCTGAGCCTCTCTAGATGAGGTCGTGAAATATCGCTGTTCGGCGTGGGATGCGTCATCGCCCAGAACAATGGAACTCTTGAATCCCTGGGCTGTTTCGGCCTCGCTCATGTTTGTCTGGACAGACACCAAGGACGATGCAAGGTCAATCCCGGCGCTCAGCCGACTGTGCAGCCGCTGGGCTGCACTATGCTACTCTCGCGCTGCCTGCGCATCGGCCCGCCGACGAGGGGCTGCGTACATACCTGGTGCTGCTGTCTGGACACGATTTCTCTGCGGATGGTTTGCTGGATGGGAGGCAGTCCGGGGTCAAGCTGGCAGAGGAAGCGGGTCTGCGGGGAGGCAGGGCCTTGGGGTTGCTGGCCGGTCGCGGCGGCAGCCCTTATTGGTGCTTGCCCGTTTTGAACGCTGTGCGCGTGTGCGCGCGCCACCGACACTGAGTCGCGATGACCCTGTGGCTGGCAACAGCGTGGCTGCAGACCACGTGCGCTTCTCATCAGCATGAGCTACCGAAGCGGCCCGGCCAACCGAGGTCATGCATCGCACCTGGGTGGTCACCTGTCGCATCCTGTGGGTCGCTGTCGTATCCAGCTGGATCGGTACTGTGCTCTACTGCTATGGGCATACCAGTGCGTCGCCTGATATGCCAAACAAAGCCGATCAGAAACGGAGCCTGTGACGACATCCGCCAGTCTACATATGTTGGGAACACGCAATAATCCCCACAGCATCCGCACCAACTCGAGCCGGTGTGCTTTTTGAAATTGGCCGATGGAGCTGTGGACTGAAATTCAAATCTCCTACTCTTCTCGCGACGATGGAGCCGCCTCAGGAGACTCGCCTCGCTCTGGCGCCGCCCGCCGCTGTCGGCCCCGGAAACGAATCGTTTATCCAACGTAAAATCCTGAGTCATTGGAGCAAATTCAGTAGCGTGACTGCTTCGCTGTGGTTCGCAGCTGTTGCCGAGTTCCACCAGATCGTCGAAGAACACCGTCAGCGATGGCCGATCGACAACCCGGAGGAACTCGCCAATCTCTCCCAGGAAGCCTTCGGCATGCTCGTTCATATCGGGGCAATCATCTTTGTCCTCTGGCACGTCTACTTCTTTGAGGCCGGATATGTTTGCGACCGTCCCATCGACCTCTATTTGATGATCAAGGCTCTCCTGGATCTGATGATTATTGGGGGATTTATATGTGTGGTCGTCCAGTCCCGGCTATGTCCTGAGCTCTACCAAAGCTCAAACTTTTGGATTTCGCTCAGTGTTGGTGCCCTCATGGCTCACTCGTCACTCGATCTCCTCAACTTTTTCGCCGGCCAGTGGTGGATCGCCGGGTCGCAGCAGTGCCATACGTGGGTCAAGCTTTTGGCAATGTGGCTGATTTTCTCACGCTACGTCGAGATTATCGTCTTTTGTATCTTTCGGTTCTCTACCTCGACCACCTCCAACCATCAGCCGACCGCATCATCCATAATCCACGGGCTGACCAAGATGGAGCTGAGCAAGCTCAAAGTGGTGCTTTGGCCTGATTTGGCCTCTGCAAAACAGCAATGTATGACCAAAAACTGGCTGATGAGGGCGACTAGAACAACGCGACCGATGGCGGAGAATGGAGAACGCCAGTGGCCTTAGTCAGGAATAGAGTCATAGCCGTCGACTTGACAATATCAAGGACGGTCGTCGAGCATTGTATGCATGCCGTATCGTATCCTCCTTCACACGCCGGCCGTTAATGCCCTGGACTCTTCACTCCCCTGCCCTTCTACTAGGTCCGGGTATCGATGCCAGTCAGGCGCAAACAGCTCCTCTTATTGGCGACTCCGCCGCAGGATCTTTGGCAGATCCCGAAAGCCAGCCGATAGACGAAGAGTACTGCTCCATTTGCTTCGAGCCGTTTACTGCTGGAGACAGAGTCCGTCAGCTTCGCTGCCATCACATTTTCCATCAGTCATGTATCGATTTGTGGCTCCATCCGGGATCGGCCAACTCCACCTCCGATTCATCAAGGACAGTAATGAGCGCCTCAGGGAGCCATTCACTGATCGCCATTGCACCTTCCGACCGAGATGGCTGGGGCGGTACTGGACTGGACGCGGGACTGGGCAACAGCCTGGTTCCCTGCGACGGACATCGAACTTGTCCTCTGTGCAAGCAGCATGTGATCGGCCCCAAGGACCGCGATCCGACCATCGTCAAAATTATCGATCGTGTCGTCGAAGGATTGATAGAGGCCGAGGCCCAGGCCAACGCAAGAATGGTGCAGAGCTATCGCCGGCAGCTGGAATCACTGGCCCCAGAGCTGCTCGAGAACGCTCGTGAACCATGCATTTGACCGAGCTCGTAGCCCAACTGCTCGACTCGGGCATCCATACTGCGAGTCCCCCACGACAGAGCACCACAGCTTGAGCCACGACGATGGTCTCTGGCCCCTATCTATATCGCCGGCTTGACCCGAATACATTGCATCCGGCGACTGCATCCAGCCTGCCGCACCCCCATGTCCGCGCAGCCATCCGCACGCGAGCCCAACGTGACCGCCCTGCCCCGTTGCCCTCCGCCGCTGTTCCGACCCGCGCCGTCGCCGCCTTGGCCCGCACCCAGGCTGGCTCCATCAGATTCAGCAACCACCGCCCCGCCAAGCCGATCCAAGCTGCACCGGCTGTCCTTGTCCCTGCCTTTGATTTTGGTTCTGGTATCGGGGGATACGCTGTCCTTGCCCTCTCATCCAGCGATTCTCATCCAGCGATTCTAACTGCCCCTGCAGTATCCTCGATTGCTTCCTCGATTGCTTCCTCGATTGCTTCCTCGATTGCTTCGAAACCCGTCCCCGCCGCTATGCCTCCCAAGCCCACAGCCATCCCCAAGCCCACGACCGAGGGCGAGCAGTTCGATATTCCTCGGAAGAACACGCTCTCGTACCAGCCCACTCACCTCGGCCACAACAGTCCGCTTCCGTACATCCCTACCTCCTCGGCCAAGACCCATGATCCCTCTGGAACCCTCAAACTCGCGTTCATCATGGTCGGCCTGCCCGCTCGTGGAAAGACCTATGTGGCCCGAAAGATCACTCGGTATCTGACCTGGCTTGGCTACCCAGCCCGGATCTTCAACGTCGGCAACTACCGTCGCGACACTGTCGGTGCCGCCCAGCCCCACGATTTCTTTGATCCTAACAACCAAGAAAATGCCCAGAAACGCATGCAGGTTGCCATGACGGCACTCGACGATATGATTCGCTGGTTTGAACGCAGTGAGGACGAAGACGAGCTCTCGGATCAGGGCTCCTCGATCAAAGAGGATGAGCGTGAGGATCAGGACCCGGAGTACGACTTTGAGGTGCCTTCGGGGCCAGGCCACAGCGTGCCGATTCCGATGGCGTCCTCGGCGCTCGGCTCGGGTGTGCCAAAGCACATGAAGGAGGCCTCAAGTGTGAGCTCGCGCTCGCCGTCGTCGTATTCTCCGGCCTCCAAGTCGTGGGTGCCCAAGGTCGGCGGCGAGGCCAAGGTCGCCATCTACGACGCCACCAACAGCACCAAGATGCGCAGACGCATCCTGATGGATTGGTGTGCGGCGCGGAACATCAAATGCGTTTTTATCGAGATGGTGTGCGAAGACAGCGAGATGGTGACCCACAACGTGAAGGAGGTAGGCATCGCACATCGGGGCTTGAAGGAGGCTCGTTCAAATGCACGCAACACAGGGGACGCGGCCTTGCTTGGTGGATCAGCGTGAGGGCGGCTGGCTCATGTTGACGCCACTGTTCGGATCCCATTCCTCAACTCGTGGAACGACACAGGTCAAGATCTCGTCACCAGACTATGTCGGCGTGGATCCGGAGCTCGCTGTCAATGACTTTATGCTCCGCATCAAGCACTACGAAAAGTCGTACGAGACCGTTACCGAGGATGAGAACAACGGCAAGATCAGCTACATCAAACTCATCAACACCGGCGCCCAAGTCATCGTCAACAAGGTCCAGGGCTACCTCCAGTCCCGCGTCGTGTACTTCCTGATGAATCTCAACATTACTCCGATGGACCTGTACTTTTGCCGTCATGGCGAATCCGTGTACAACACCATCGGTCGGATCGGTGGGGATTCGGATTTGTCCTGGAGAGGCTATATGTTTTCCCAAAAGCTCCCGGAGCTGATGGAAAAGCAAATCGGTGCCAAGAAGCTCACCATCTGGACCTCGACGCTCAAGCGCACCATCCAGACAGCCTCGAACTTCAAGCACCCGACCGTCCAGTGGAAGATCCTCGACGAACTGGACTCGGGTCTGTGCGAGGGCTTGACATACGAGGAAATTGAGGAGCGCTATCCGGAAGACTACCAAGAGCGCGACAACGACAAGTTCAACTTCCGCTACCGTGGAGGCGAAGTATGCATCGATGTACTGGCAGGGCGGCAGAGTCTCTGGAGCGACGGGCGCGGCTGAGTCGTCCCTGAACACAGGTGGACTACTTGCTGACTTGTTCTCTTGTCTCGCCTCTCCTCAGTCTTACCGCGACCTTGTCCAAAGACTTGAGCCTGTCATTATGGAGCTGGAGCGGCACCACGAGCCGGACCACGCCATTCTGATCATTGGCCACCAAGCTGTGATTCGTGCCATCTACTCGTACTTTTTGAACTACTCGCACGACGAATTACCCTATGTCAAGATCCCACTGCATACCGTCATCAAGCTCACTCCCAAGGCATATGGCTGTCTGGAAGAGAGGTAAGCCGGCGCGACCAAGCCCCCCCCTCTATCCACAAACGTCGGTGACGGCGCTTGTCTGCATCGCTGTACGTCAGCTACGATGATACTGCCCAGAGCATAGCCCTGGTGGACTCGGTCACAGGACCAAGCATGGGCTAATACGCCGACCCAACTCATCTCGCTCTCATATGACAGATTCCCTGTGGATGTCCCGGCCGTGGACACGCATAGAAACAAAGGCCAGTCGGCCGCCTCGGTGACGAAGGCCGCCCGCGACTCGGCCGGCGACCTGACAAAGCTTGCTCTGGAGTAAAGGGCCGCGATCGAGGGCGGATGCGACCGTTCAGTTGGCCGCGATGGTTATCACGGATCTAGAGGGTGTTGGCCTGTACAAACAGAAACAAGGCTCTCTGCAATCTGATGTCGATCCATCCATGTCGGCACGGCCTGTCCCGGTGGGTCCGGGAGTGATTCGAGTGCGGGATCGGGCTGTCTTGCCAGATACACTGCCGGGCGAGACCGAGGGCTTGGGGGGGAAATTTCTCGCTGCCGCCCGGGCAACAGCAGCACCCAACAAACGCATTCCGTTGCTGGCTGCGTCCGTCTTTCCATCGGACTTGCCCGATCACCGGCGCAACCGGGGTCGACGGTGCTGCGCTGCCCGGACAAGCCCAACTCGCGACCCTGGCCAATCCCTTCGTTGCCCGCTCGCCCGCCCGCCACGCCAGCCCTCTTGCCCTCCATCTCAACTCCCCCCCCGCCAACGCCGCTTCCCTCCAAGCCCGGTGTCTCCGTTGCTTGCGTAAGTGGCTTTGGGCTACACCTGGCTTCCGTTGGCATCTGCTGGCATCTGCTGGCATCCCTGCTCTGTGACCGCCCCCGTGGCTCGAGAACTCTGCTGTGTGCTCTGCTCTCTGGCAACAATCTATCCGTCGGCTTGCGCTTGTATCTTGGCTGTGTTCGGCGGTGGGCTGTGTGTGTCGGCCGGTTGGCCGCTCATCGGCCCTCGTCATCGGGCCCAGCGTCTCCCATCCGCCGCAGCTCGTACTGAATCTCAGCCTCTCCCTCGTCTTTTGCCATGGTACAGCTGGGCTTGCATCGATCGCAACCTCATACCGTTGTCGTCGCCAAAAAAGCACAGCGCTATTTTATCAGAGCGCTTCTTGTCTATTCTATCGATTCGTCTGTGGTGCCGTCCTCATCCAATAGCTCTCCTTCCCCAAGTCCCGCACCGCTAGTTTTATCTTGAGCAGCTATGCCTGTCGCCACCCCTCGCTTCTACGTCGCTCTGGTCGTGTTTGCGGTCTTGAACTTGTGGATAGCAACCAGCGTCCTCCTGTCCGGAACCCTGGCCCTGGTGCTGCTGTTCCATTCCCACCGTGCCTACCGCGAGTTCATCCAAATCCTGGAAAAGGGCTTTGGCTCTCATGTTGTCATCCTGACTTACCTGCTGTCGCCTGCCGACTTGCTTTTGACTGGCGACCTGGATGCCCTGACCCCTCGCACCCGATCCATCATCATGGCCAACCACCAAATCTACCCCGATTGGCTGTATCTCTGGTCCCTGGCCTGGTGGGCCGGTATCCACGGCACCATCAAAATTATCCTGATGGAGCCGCTCAAGTACATCCCCATCGTCGGCATGGGTATGCAGCTGTTTGAGTTCATCTTCATGAAGCGCAAGTGGGCCTTGGACAGAGACAACATGAGCAAGATCCTGCGCACCGCCAAGGCCGATAATCTGCCGCTGTCGCTGCTCATATTCCCCGAAGGCACCTTGAACACACCAAACAACAAGGCCACCTCCGAAGCCTACGCCAAGAAGATGGACCTGTCCGAGAAACCCGAGTTTGTGCTGCTGCCAAAATCGACGGGCCTGCATTTCTCATGCGAAACCCTTCTGCCCGAGATCACAACCCTGGTTGATGTTACCGTGGGCTATTCCGGTCTGACCAAGGACCAGGTGGCCTACGATGAATACCTCGTCGAGAATGTCTTTTTCCACGGCAAGGGTCCCAAGCAGGTTCACATGCACATCCGCAAGTTTGATATTCGGACCCTCCCTGGCTTTGCCCCTGCTACCGATGGCATTTCCCAGTCCAAGGAGGGATCGGCTACCGATGGCGACCAAGATGAAGGTACCCGTCAGAAGGAAGAGTTCAACGTATGGCTGCGAAAGGAATTCATGTACAAGGACTCGTTGATGGGCCAGTTCTATTCGACGGGCAAGTTCGCCGACAACCCCAAACGCGTGTCCATCGTGCCAACCATCCAGGACTGGGTCTCGGTCGGCATCATGTTCCTTTCCGTCTTTTACACTTTCCCGCTACTGCTCTGGCTCGCCAGGATCCCTCTGTATCTGCTGTTTGGCATCTAGTGAGCAACCCGGCCTCTCGTCCTTGGCGCGCATTGGATCTGTCCGTGCACTGGCTATTTTCTCATGATGCTTGGCCTCCCTGCCGCTGCTATGCCTTTGCTCTGATCTGTGGCCGCCAATCTGCCTTCGATCGAGCGTGTGCCAGACAAGCCCACTAGCTCTTGGCCACGTCCTTTCCGTGGATTTGCTTCGCTTCCTCTCTAGACGCAAACAAGAAGTGGTTCTGGCCTGTGCTTCTCGTCGCCCATATCGCCTTTTTCTTTTGCCCTCCACTTTGTCAATACGGCTCTGCCTCCCTCACGACCTTGTCTTTGACCTCTCTTGTCCATTCAACAGTCTTTCCGTTTCTTGATCTTGAAATCCTGCAAGTCCGTCGAATACATTTCTTGTTTGCAAAGTAGCGACGCCGGGTGCTCGGGAGTAGCCGCTATGGCTGAGTGCGCTTCAGTAGCATCGCAGCATCAGCATCGCAGCATCAGCATCAGCATCGCAGCATCAGCATCGCAGCATCGCTGGCGCTATGCACAAACCGTCCACCATGACACGGATCGGCCGATTACCATCAGAAACTGGCAGCAATCGCGATGGCGATAATGAGTCAATGTGCTCTGGCATGGCGAGCACCATTCGATGTATTCAAGGCTGGTGGCGACCGCATCGTCGAGGTGAACTGGTGCCTAGTCCGTTTTACATTTGCGCGCAACAAGAATCATGTTACGGGGCGACTCTACCGAGTCAAACAGCGGGAAGAGCCGGACGACCAGCCGCTGGTGACCCTTGGTCGCGGCGATACCATTGCTCTCGTCTTGGACTTTATCATGGGCATTGCGCTCGCCAGCGCCGCTGCTGGTGTCGCCGCAGCTTCTTCCTTCCGTAACAACGCTGCTGCTGGCATGGTCGCCGCAAGAGTCGAACCATGGCGCACCCATTCTCGCGGATGGACTGTCGGTTGTGACAGGTGGCTGCTGTTCGGTCGGCATAACGTAATCATCTTGACCGCTTTCTTCGATAAGGTGGAGGAACCGGTCGACAAGCAGCATGCTCTCGATGGCGGGCGCCAGCAGAGCGCGGAGCGTCCAGACCACTGCAATCTCCTTCTCTCGGTCTTCAAAGTCCTTTTCATACTGCCCCAGCCTCTCGATTGGGACGTCGCTGATGCCGAGCCTCGAAAGTGCTGCTGCTGCATAGGCAGCAAAGCCTCGACCGAATGCACTGCGAGAAAGCCGTCCGACGTTGATGTCTTTGGATGCAACGCTGTTGGATATGAGACCAAGGTCCCGGATGACATATTGGAGCAGTGCCCGATGGTAGTGCTTGGTATAGCTCTCTCGCCCGTCATCCTGTCCTGCCCACCGGGTAGTTGCCTGGCAGGCCAGCATGCGGGCAGTGAATCCGAGCGACATCTTCTCGGATTGCAGAAACCGGCTCATCGGAAATCCAGGCTCGTCGGTCTTGGGCAGCGGCCGCTTCTGAGCACGATGGGCCTCCCAGTCAGGCACTTGTTCATGGCCGGGCGTGAACGATTCGGTGACATGGTTATAGCAGCATGAAACCGCAGCCAGGAGCGAAGCCTCACTCTTCAGAAAGTGCCGGATGATGTTGGGCGTCAAGTCACCGCAGCTGTGGAGTCCGCAGAGGAGCCACTTGGCATCGGGATCCACAGAAGCGTCAAGGCTTGCATCCGAGTCGGCAGCGATTGCATGCTGAACTAGGTCCGGGAGCGACTCGGTGGCATGGACCCGCCGATTGATATGGTAGAGCCTACCGCCGTTGTGGTCAGCAAAGACTCGCTCGATTGTCGATGACCGGCGCTGGGCGCCGCAGGTTTGGATCTCGTCGTCGTCGATTCCAATGACATTGTGACCATACTGGAAGGCCAGTACCATGTCGAGGTATCCTTGGCCGGCGCCAATATCGACCGCATAGGTCGCTCCGTCGATGGCCATCAACTCGTGAATCAAAGCGGCCATGATTCCAACCTGGTGATTTCATTGGAGCGCAACGGCGGTCAGTCGCTACTGCTCCAAAGGCCAGATGCTCTTTGCCGGCCATCAAACATCCGCGGCAGCAGCAGCAATCCCAGTCATGCGGCGACATCCACGACCATGGCGACCGGGACGACAGGCTTACTTCGTGGCGCTTCTTGGGAGACATGCCGTACACAATCTTCTTATCCAACGGACGCACTGCTCAACTCCGAGACCAGGCCTGGATTTAGAACTCGGAGCAGATCACAGGACTGTGCTGCTGACAGAATTGCGCTGCTGATAGGATTGGGTTGCTAACATCCGCGATGCATCGGGATCCTGGATTGGACAAGGCCGCACCTGTGGTCTTGAGTTTATGGACGACAGAGTCGTCGTCAGCCGAGCGGGGAAGCGGGATCGTCTTGGAGAGTGCGATATACTCCCTCAGATCTGTCGGCCAGTGTGCCTATCGACGTCGATTGGTTAGGGATGCCGGTCGGCAACAGCATGATATGTGAGAGCAGAGTTGGTGCTCGTGCCCAAAGCTTAGATCTATCTCCATGTGTAGCGAGTCGGCTGCAGCAAGACATACGAGCAAGCGCTGTCGGCGTAACTCGACATACCTGTGACTCTTGAAATGTCGCAAGCTCCAATAGATCCGGATAGGAGAGCTCATCCTTGAGGAATTTCCATGAGTCTGGGAAGCGAGATTGATTCCAGTAGTCGTTGACGAAAAAGTCGGTTGCATGATGAGTCCACAGCCAGTCGTAGGTCTGCAAGAAGTGTTTGAGGGCAAGGAGGTACGACTTTGCCGATCGATGAGGATCGGGGAGTCGGAGCCAATGGCGATCGAGCATGAGGAAGACTGGATAGCAGCCAGACCAAGGTGAGATCACAGCGAGACCAAGGTGAGATCGATGGGATGGGTGTGCGGCGCGAGATCTGGAAGAAAGTCAAAAGCCACGACAGAGCGATGGCAGACGCTTCATGACGGCGCACGCAAAACGAATCGGCATATTCCTCGCCGAAAACGGCTGCCCACAGCACTTGCAGCCTCCGCACCGCCAGTCTGCAACGCTGCTGTCTGATTCCATCCTCCATCAGGGCGAGATTGCTTCCGCTGGCCTCGGCAATGAGCCGCCATGAAAGGATCAGAGGGCAGCGGCGAGTTCCGTTGCAAAGAAGAAACAAAAATCCAAAAATACATAGGACTGCCGGGGTCTCGGCTTTCTCCTCTCAGTCTTGTTGGATCCATACGAAGACTGAGGTATATTGAGCGCATCCGCTGGACAAGTTTTCCGAGACACGGCAGCACCGATGCTCCGTCTGGCTCGCTCCATTACGCAGTGCGCATCCAAAAGACTGCCCTTCCTTCTGAATCAAGTATATTAAGACGAGCATCGGGAATCATCCGGAAAGCCATGGCAGCAGTGTAAGCCACGCAAAATGAATCCTCGGCGCGCTGCCAAGGGAAACACCACCCGTTCCCTTCAGACATCCAACTACTCGGCAGCCGTGAACAGCGCAGGGAGAGAATCCGGTGAAAGCACCTGTCTCGCTAGAAAGAGGAGGCATGCGCGTGCGGGCTCTAAACGACGGTGAATATAAAATCAAGTCCTAGGTAGTAAATTGATGGAATAGATAGAATCGATGTAGTAGGTGTGTTCAAGAAAGAAAGCAAGGTGATCGCAGAGCGATGGGAAGCAAGTTGAATGTGTGATGATGGATATGAAAATATGCGAAAAGAAACGGAAGATTGAACATGAGTGATTTCCTGGCAATTGGAATTCAGCGAAAACACCATTTGCCTTGACGGATGGGCTATGGTTTCCTCAAAGCTGCTCGAGGTAACGTCGGCTGCCCGATAAGATTCCATCGACGGTTCTGATGGAAGGGCACTACTTTTGGCAAGCTGCAGTGTAGAAGGACTGAGCGGCCTGGATGTTGCTCACAAGACTCGTGGTATTGAAGTTGCTTCCGTAGTCCGGAATCCAGGAAAGCCCCGAGTTCAGGCGATACGCGCACGAGTTGGTGGTGCACCAAGAGGCAACGCCAGAGTAGACCATGCGGTAAATGTTACCGAAGGGACCGAAGGCCTTCTTCAGCTTGGCTTCGCTGTAAATGTTGCTGAGATACCCGTCGATGCAAACTGGTCGACACCAGGGACGGCGGTAGAGAGTGCAGAGGGGGCAGGGGGCATTGGAAGGAGAGCAAATGAATACAGACGAGGACGACGTTGTGAGTGAAGCACGACAAGCGGCTGTCTCTCTATCAGACATGCCAAACGCGATTCTGCTGCTGGATCGGTCTCGCGTCGCCGTCGTAACGAGGATGCGTCGTTCATAGCCTATCTGTATCCGATAAATCGGGTGAGGGTTTGTGGACAATACTCACGGGTTCCGTCGGGATTGGATTGGCAGAGAACCTCCTGAGTCACTCGGTAGGTCCATGCAGGAGTGTTCAGGTCCGAGCTTGTGCGGCCAGGGCACAAGTAGAGTGCATCGGGAATGTTGAAAATAGGGCCTCCAGAAAGGCCGAGCTGGCAACTGTACTGGCTCGAGCAGTAGCTCCTGAGATTGTTCAGGTTCATGACATTGCCGGTGTAGTTGGAGTTGCTGATGGGACCACCAGGGACATGGGTGGCGTTGTTCAACGAGGTGGCAAAGTTTGGAATCTGCGATGAAACCCCGGTGCTCATGGCGCACGTAGAAACAGTCGATTGGATGCGCGAGAGAGCTGCAATCCAAGAGAAGGCAGAGAAGTTAGCACGGTCGCACGGGAATCTGTATGTTTCAGCGTGACTGGCATATCGGGGGGTGGGCTTGGAAAGTCTACTTTGACTTTTTCTAAGAGAGAGTCTCGCTGATGCTTTGAGTTTTGTGAGCGCACTAAAATCTCTCGACAGGGCCATCTTACCAGACAGACACAGGGGGGTGCGTGGTAGCTGGCCTTGGTTGAACGTGGCCAGTGTAGTGGCATTGATGGCCCGAGCGTTCGAATTGGCCCAGTTGACAATGAAGGTCTTGAGGTTACCGGGGGTTGGGTTGACAACTTCCGACACTGTCGTGTTGTAGGTCGCATTTTGGGACATGGCAATCAGAGTGTTGGTCCGATTGGCGCCGTCGAGCATGGTCAGAGGCAGGGCGCCACAGAGTGTGGTTGGATAGGCCAGGGTGCCAAGGCGTCGGAAGAATGTCTGAGACCAGCTCACGCCGGTTTGTACGCCCGTTCCACCCAGGGTGTTGAACAAATTGCTGGCGGCCGCCTGAACCGACGGATGGCAATAATTGAGTGGGAACAGGAACGATTGGGCTCTAGCCGTGGGAGACGCAAGGATCGCGTTCCATCCTGAGGGGTTGAGGGCCACCGTGGTGTTGTAGAAAACGTCGTATGCGTCTGTGATGGGCAGCCAATGCGGGTCAGCCAATACAGGGCAGCCAATGCAGGGCACCAGAGACGTGAGCTCTTTGGTCGGGACAAACGAGCATTGAACACGAGCATCGAACACGAGCGCCTCCGCTCAGCGACCGCAGCTATCGCAGCGCCATCCCCGGTATTCGCGCTCACTAGACCAGAACTTACATTGGTTTGTAGCCTGAGTCATGGTAGGGCAGACTGCCGGTTGAAACATGGGAACAAGATTTGCGGGTCGGAGCACATTCCCAAAGTATAAATGTGTTCGGTGTGGTTCAAAGATCGTAGCAGGACAGCGTATCGGTACAACGAAGCAGAGATGACCGAAGGTGCAATGCCGTCAAGTTCACAAACAAATACAGCAGATTCAGAATTGGTCAGCATCAAGCGTGGCATCCGCGATAGAGCAGCATGGATGGCAGAGCTCTTCAAAGACGCATTTACGAGCCGTGTCGTCGTTGCTCTCGGTGTGAATCGGCCCAGCAGGAATTTATAGACGCTTGGTACTTACAGACTCCTGACAGTAGCTGAATTGTGACAATTGATGACAGCGTGTCTGCTGCGTAAGCCTTCAGGGCCACACTGAGGGTGTCTTTGCCGATAGTATCCATGATCATCGAGGCATCGGCATAGAGCACCACGGCATTGTTGATGTTGGTCGACGTGATGTTTTTGATGATTGTGCAGGTTTGGTTGCGATTGAAGCTCGCGAGGTTCGCCGGAGACGGAAGAGTGAAATCTGAGGGAGTAAAGTATTGTCCCAGTGCACTGCGTCCCAGCAGACCGCCATTGTCGAGCGAGGAAATGAGATTCTTGATCGTCGAGCGGTAGGCAAGGAATCTGGTTTGATAGATATAGGGCAGCGGCGCAGTGGAGAGTGTGCCGTCGGTGATGGAGTATTGCTCATAGCCGCCGACACCGACAGAGATGACGGTGCAGACCTTGGGCTGGAGCGGGAGCCAAGTGATAAGCCCCAGATCGCTGTAGATGTCGTACTTGCCACCGGCGCCATTGTTGAGACTGAAAGAATCGGGAACGATTGTCGGGAGGGGGAATTCACCTGTCCAACTTGAAGATGGACCGGCGATCGCAACACAGTACGACAGACTTGTCGACCAAGTTGTGGTAATGACCGGGGTGGAAAGCTGCTGCTCCCAACTGATGGCGCAGTAAGGCGTGGTGGTGTTCCATGTGACGTAGGTTCCATTTGAGGCAATGGAGATGCTGCCTGAAGGAGAATTGTACCAAAAGTACTGGTTTGCAGGATCAAAGATGATTCCACTGTACGGGGTAGGGGTGGCGCTTGGGTTCAGGAAGATCATGGTATTGGGGTTCTCGGACAGGGCGCTGGGATCGTTCGTGATGGAGTTGAGATCGTTGATGGAATAGAAGATGGTGGTGTTGACGTTGGTAAAATCCATGTAGAGCGCAGCCGAAGAAATGTTCAAGGTGCAGGTGCCAGGGGTGGACGTCTTCCAGACAATGGCGTTTGAGCCGCTGCTCATGGGGGCAGGGATGTTCAGGAGGTTGGTAGCCTGGGCGAAGAAGCACGAGTTACCGTCTCGAGACTGCCATGTGATGTTGGTGCCGAGAGAGGTGGCAGATTGCTGGGAAGTAGTGTTGGCGGCTTGGTCCAGGAAAATGCCGTTGTTTTGGCTCCAGTAGTTCACGGTAAGATCCGGGGTGAAGGTGAGCTGGCTTGAGGGGACGGCCACCGGGTTGATGTGGTCGTTCCAGATCTGTAAGGTGGCTGGGTTGGGCGAAACCTGCTGGATCGGAGAGAAGGAGATGCCTCCGACCAATGTGTTGATTCCCGGGTTGAAGATGGAGGTCTCGATTGGGGTGGCTGCGAGGACAAGGGTTCCTTGGGAGGCCAGGAGACTGCATGTGCCATCGCTGGCTGGGAACTGCGCGGCCATAGAGTTCCACAACTGGCCCGTAGAATCAAGGCAGACAGGGGTAAAGAGAGAAACCATCTCGCAGAACTGCGTTCCCGAGGACCAAGAGACGGCCATGCTGGATGCGTTCCAGGAGACCGGTGTGAGCGAGTTCCAGGCAACAAAGGTGTTGGGATCGAAGCCGTTCAGTGCAGACGAGCCATTGAAGGTAAAGCCGGCAAAGCCGCCGATTTTCGTGTTCCAGACCATGCCGAGGGGAGCAACCACAGCAGTGACGGGAGGGACAGAGGACGGGGCCGAGTTGATGAAGCCTTGAAGAGCACCGCTTGAGTTCCGGAACTGGAAGCTGCACGCACCAGCGGTGCTGTTCCACAGGACCGAAGGCAAAGTGCAGGCAATCATAGGGGTCTGTGCCAGAGTTGAATACGAGCCCGAACCTCCACTGCCACTGCCGCCACCGCCGCTGCCACCATTTGCATAGCCAGGATCAGCCTGTTGGGCAGTGGTGTTGGTGGCAAAACTGATCAGGCAGTTGAAGCCATCGGCAGGGGTCCAGGAATACTGGTTGTTGCTGCCGACAGGGGTCTGAGAGATGGTACTGTTAGCGTAGATGGAGGTGGCAATACCGTTGACCCAATCGTACAAGATGTTTGGATTGAGGTTGTTGATGGTGCCTGCGACATTATTCTGAACCGTCGGGTCGTTTGAAACCGAGCCCCAAGTAGCCACCTTCAGGGTTGCTCCAGAGACCGTGATCCGGTTGGAGGAAACCGTCATGGAGCAAGTTCCGTTTGTTTGCCAACCGGCGATGGACCAACCGCCAACGTAGCTGCCATTACCATAGAGACAAGGGTTGTAAACCAAGCTTGCTCGTGAGCAGGAGCCCGTGGCAGTTTGCCAGCTGAGGGTAGATGAGGACCAGGACGACGCGTTGGCATTGACGACATCGAGCCAGCCAGAGTAGTCCGGCTGCTGCGAGGGTGGGGCTTGTACATTGTCAAAAACGCCGTTGCTGGGATCCCATAGGGCTGGTTGAAACTGTGTCAAGGCCAGGTTCTGATTGTAGCTGTTGGACTGTGGCATATTGCCCATGGGATCCGCGTTCGGGATGCCGTAGGTGCCAGAGTACTGGAGCGTGCATGTGCCGCTGGACGAGCTCCAGGTGAGCGAGGGCAAGGAGCAGGTAATGGAGTTGGTGGTCGCGTCACGTTTCTCGACCTTCGCGTAGATTTCGTAGTGGTTAGTGGTGGGGAGCTTGGGGCGAGCAAGGAGGTGCTTGGAGCGCGGAATGAGCTCGGGCGACTCCTGGAGAGGCATGCCGAACGCGTCCGTGGCGAACAGCCCCAAGAGAGCCAGCGCTTTCCACTGGGCGGGACGGCTTTGGTCTTGAACCATTTTCAACTGAAAGGAGCGGAGAGCAACTTTTTTTTTTCTGTTCTGCACTCCTCCGGTTGGTTTCGCTCTGTGAAGATGAGTAGAACAAAGGAAGAAGGGGGGGGGAGGAGATGTGTGGGAACGGCTCTGACACGCGGAGGCTCAAGGGCACGCCAGCAGGCAAAGCGCAGATCAAAAGGGGAGAAAGTGCTCGCCCAAGGGTATTTTCTCTCTTTTTTCTTTTTATAGCGTCGGCTTGTGGGGCGTTTTCTGAGATATTGGGCCGGGGGGGAGCAACATGGCGGCCGCGGACTACAGTCCGGTAGCTATACGAGCTCGGGATGCTTTGGCGTCTGTAGAGGCTCGTAGTGAGGCCCCTCAGGGACGGCCACAGCCATGTCCGTGATTGATGGACGCCACAACCGAATGACGTTCCTGCAAGGCCAGGCCCTGCGGGTTCCTTTTCCCCCAGTTACTGGAGGCACACGATTCTACGTGAGGGACGAGATGCTGTCTGCTGAATCTCGAGACCCAATCTCGCTCTGATAGGAGCGCCACCTCCGGATGGCGTGGGCTTTGAGTGAGCAATATGGACGCAGCACAGATTCAGCGCAGTGAATCGATGCCGACTACGCCGCATCGCTCGGCCGGTATAATTGCAATACGGCCTGCATCGTGCGTGAGCCACTGCGAGCGTGCATGGAGAAGTATACCGATAGTTGCAGTATATGTGCAGGTCGGGCGTGATTGGCGGCGAGAGCGAGGACGGGCGAGGACGGGCGAGGACGGGCGAGGACGGGCGAGGACGGGCGAGGACGGACGAGGACGGACGAGATCAAACGAGAGCCCTGGTGCACACACACACGCGAATCGCCCACACACACACACAGCTCGCCACACACACACGCACTTGGGCTTTTGCGCTTTTCCTGGCGTGCTGCTCATCGGGTGCTTCTCGGGCTTGCCGACCGACCCAAGTGCGATTCTGCCCTCAGCCCCGTCTCGCCCGCCAACACCATGTCCAGAGCCACCACCGCCCTTGTCAACTTTCTGATCTTCTCGCTGATCTGGAGCGCCGCCCTCTTCCACGACCGCCTGTCGCCCGGGCTGGCGGTCCCGTACTGGTTTGACCAAGTCGTTGCGGCAGTAAGTGTCCCTGGAGGCCCGTGGTCATCTGGAAAGGCAAACGCAGCCCCGGCCGTGCCTGCAGCTCGGCAGAGCTACCAGGATTGTCGGCAGGATTATTGGCCAGGGTCTTCGGCCGCAGTCTCGCTGCTTGTGTTTTTATATCGTGCGCGGCCATGGCTGATCGATCGAGGCGGTTTGTCTTTGCTGCCTCTCCTACCCGCTTGGTGCTGATGATTCTCCCCTCCCCTTGCCCATTGCGGGCTCCGGTCCCAACCGCAATGTCTCCCCTACATCTGCGCCCGGCCTCGAATCGCCCAGTTCCCCCTCTGGCTGCTGGTCACGTTTGGCAGCTACTCGCTCGCCAACATTGGATGGGCTCTCGTTACCTTCGGCGACTGTCCCGACGCCCACAAGAGTCTGCTCCAGGTAGGCGTCGTCGAGCATTTCTTGAGGAACAACAACGTTACCCCAGAGCCCCAGAGCCATCGGAGGACGATTGGAATGGCGACCCAATGGCACCGCATCATTTTGAAGCGCTTGGGGGCCGAGTTCCGTCCTCCCTCGACTGGCCGGCATTCGCTCCGGCGGCTCAATGAAATGACCACGATAAGCAATGCTGACCGACTTTGCCGCTTCCCCGGACATCATACTGCAATCTCTGTCGCTTGAATGTGGTCAACCCAGGAAATTCAAGCTGCCAAATCGGACCTGAGAGGCCGTGGCGTCAGCGTCGGCAACTGATCCGTGCATCATCCACTCGACAACCCGGTCGATCGCCATCCCAGAGCTGCCTTCTTGCGACCCACGACAACAGTCTGTAGCGGCACCGTTGAATACAGTCTCTGAAATTTACTTTCGGGCTTGGCTGCAACAAAGACGGTCTCCAGTCTTTCTGTCAACGCTTGGATTAGATATTGACCTGGACGAGATGGCACAGCCAGACGGCTGTTCTCTGCAGCGATGTTGGCCGTACTCCAGAGGCACCACGGTTATGGCAGATTCAATCACAGCTGACAGAGCTTGGCATCAAAGGTCCCGGATTCCTCGCTGGAGCCTGAGAAATGGCCACCTGCCCAGCTTTCATGCACCTTTGGTACCGTACATCGAGGATCGACAAGCACCGCCATACCGACTTTGCTTCTCCGCGGGTGACATGGGTCTGCAACCAAGTGCAAGCGTGCCTTCGACAGAGCCGCACCAGGGAGGCTGAACCATCGGAGGCGGCAATGGCATACGGTCATATCAGAGCATCCCTAATACCAAGCATCCGCGATACCTTCGTGTGGTTGCTGATGCTGATGCTGATGCTGATGATCACCATGCATATGCGGGATGGGGCAGGTCGTCAGAAGCACCCCCGTTGATACCCAAGGCAAATTTGAAGGGCACCCGAGCCACCGCATGACGCTATCGGCGCTGCTGGCTGCTGCCACGCCGCCCAGGGTATCTTGCGCATTCCCTGGCTCAGGGGCGGCCCACCAAAGAAACCACCGGGCTCGCCGGCCCAATTCATCCGCCTGGTCTTGTCCTGCTGGCGACGCCATTCTCGCCAGTCTCTCGGCCTCCACCCCCTCGCCATCGCCAGCACCGCTCCTGCACGCGCGCGCACATGTGATGCCCTGTGCGACGTGAGTCGTGCGCAGCCCGTATCTGCCCAGCCGTGTGTGTGTGCGCCGGTTTCGCCCATACAAATTTCTCCCTCTGGCGCTCTCGCTCTGCCTCGGCTCCAGCATCGACCCTCTGTCGCTCGGTATGGCGTCGTTCCCTGGCCTCGTCTTCACCACCCTGCCCCATCCCGTCTTCAACACCACCGGAGCCAACTCGGCTTGCCCGATCCCGTCCCAGCCCTTCGTCTACCCTGTCGTCGCCACCACGACCTCTGCCGCTGCATCCCAAAGTATGTCCTCGGAACTCGATCCCCAGCAAAAGTAAGTCGCCCTCCAAAGAACGCAGTGGAGGAGGGCCGTGAATCGCTCTGGTCTCGGCAGTGCTGGCCAGCAGGGCATTGCATCGAAAGGCTACCCTTCCTGCTTGCCGCATAGGCATCTTGGTCTCTGATTACAATCCACCGTGCCCCGCCAGGTTCGATCTCATCACCCGCAACCTCCAGGAGTACCTGGGCGGCGAGGAGATCAAGAAGATCCTGAATGAGCGCGATCTGAAAGTCTACTGGGGCACTGCCCCTACCGGCAAGCCCCATATCGGCTATTTTGTCCCTATGACCAAGATTGCCGATTTGCTCAAGGCCGGCTGCCACGTAAGAGCAAATCCGCGAGGCAGAGGCGGCCTGGTCTGGCTCTCTGGCGGCTATCTGTGCCCGATCGGGCGCAAGAGCCCTCGGTCCTCGTCTTCCACTCCACTCCACCCCCGTCTTGTGGTCCCTTGGAGTAGGATGGCAGCTCCGCATGGACTGCTGCAAAGCCCAGCACCGGATATCTGACCATCGCTATTCAATCGGATGTGCGTCTGTGTCCTGTAACAGGTCACCATCTTGTTTGCCGATCTCCATGCCTATCTCGACAACATGAAAGCCCCCTGGGATCTGCTGAAGCTCCGAACTCGCTACTACGAGTTTGTTATCAAGGCAATGCTCGAGTCGATTGGAGTTCCCATCGAGCGGCTCAGCTTCGTCATCGGAACCGACTACCAGCTCTCGAGGGAATACACGCTTGATGCCTACCGCCTGGCTGCTATCGTCACCGAGCATGATGCCAAGAAAGCCGGCGCCGAAGTCGTCAAGCAGGTCGAGTCGCCGCTACTCTCGGGTTTGATCTACCCCGGTCTTCAGGCGCTCGACGAAGAGTACCTTAAAGTCGATGCCCAGTTCGGTGGCGTCGACCAGCGCAAGATCTTTGTCTTTGCCGAAAAGTACCTCCCCCAGCTGGGCTACAAGAAACGTGCCCATCTGATGAACGTCATGGTCGGTGGCCTCAGCGGCTCCAAGATGAGCTCGTCCGACCCGGATTCCAAGGTCGATCTTTTGGACAACGCCAAGACCGTAGAGGCCAAGATCAAAAAGGCTTTCTGTGAGGAGGGAAACATTACCGACAATCCCATCCTGGCCTTTGCCAAGATTGTCATTTTCCCGGCCGCCTCTCTCAAGGCTGGTCTGGGCAGTGTGAGCTTTACTCTCCAGCGACCAGAAAAGTACGGTGGCGACATCACCTTCACCACCTACCAACAGCTCGAGGATGCCTTTGCGGCCAAGAACCTGCACCCTGGCGATCTGAAAAAGTGGGCAACCGAAGCTCTGAACGATCTTCTCGAGCCCATTCGCCAAAAGTTTGCCGCCAACCCCGAGATCCAAAAGCTCGCCCTGGAGGCCTACCCACCCGCCAAGGCCAATGCCGTTGAGGACATTTCCAAGATCGGTACGTGCTAGGAGTGCTCGTGGGACTCGTGCGCGCATGTGCGTCCGCCGGGATGTGTGCCTGGGCTGAACTGAACTCGAGCGCGAGATCTTGAGTCTCAGCCGCTGCACTTGCAAGTGGCTAGAAACCCGCTGGCTTCGTCGAGCGAGACCAGAGGCCTGGACAAACGCGAGCAGTTTATCGAGGCTCTATTGCCATGTGCTTTCTGGCTTGGACTAACTCGGTTCTGCTTAAATGGCCCAATGTGGGCTCCTTGCACTTGCTCGTTTAGATATCCGTGTTGGCCGCGTCCTCTCTGCTTCGCTGCACCCCGAGAACCCCGACCAGTACGTCGAGGAGATTGACCTGGGCGAGGCTTCCGGTCCGCGCACCATCGTCAGCGGCCTTGCCAAGTTTGTCCCCCTGGACAAGTTTATCGGCCGGGATGTCCTGGTCGTCACCAACTTGAAGCCTTCCAAGTTTAGAGGCGTGATGTCGGCCGGCATGGTTCTGGCTGCCAGCAATGCCGACAAGACCGTGGTCGAGCTGATCCAGCCGCCTCAAGACTCGCAGCCCGGCGACAAAGTCACCTTCAAGGGCATTGCCGATGCCACCAAGGCCGACGAGCAAATCAACTCCAAGGTCTTCGCCAAGGCCGCTGCCCACTTTAAGGTCGGCAATGAGCTCGTTGCCAAGTACAAGGATATTCCCTTTGCCACTGCTAACGGTTTCTGCACCGTTGAGTCTCTGAGCGGCGCCGTCATTGGCTGAGAAATGGCAGAGCCGAAGCGGTAGCCGTAGCCATTCGGTTGCTGAAGAGTTGAGCCAGGGGACTTGCCTTGATGACGGCAATACAACTTGATTCACAGCTTGATTCGCAGCTTGATCCACAGCTTGATTCGCAGCTTGATCCACGGCTTGATTCGCAGCTTGATTCACAACCCCCAGCACTGTGTGTGTCCGCTGGGTGGCGGTTGGCGAGCCTGTGCGACACATGATATGCACGTGCACGCCCGTGACTTGGCTGCTCAAGCAGCTCGCTTCTCAAAATCACCACCGAGCTCGTTGAAGCAAGATACACCACCACCACCGCCAGCAGCAGCAGCAGCAGCACACCGGCGGCACACCGGCACACGAGCATGCCTAGGGGACTGCTGAGCGCCTCGCTCTTTGCCGCCGGGTACGGCCCGTACTACGCCGCCCGCACCCTGATGAACCAGCCGCACTCGTTCCCCTCGTCGTGGTCGTTTGCAGAGGAAATCACCGTTGCGACCCTGAGGCATGTGTCCAAGGTTCGTAATCCAGCGGCTACCTTTGCGAACAACGAGCTCATCCCTCTACATCCCTGCACGGCTCGCAGTCGTATTCCTCTTTGAAATTTCACAGGCCGTTGGCTGCGTTACCATTTGCCCTCTATGCGGAGTTGCTGTTGGGCCCTGTCGCATCGGTGGCTCCAGTGTGCGGGCGGCCGTACCTACCTCTCCTCGGCGCTAAACCTGCTGTCTCCCGCATGTGCACCAGGACACCAATGCATCCACGGTCCGCTCGATCATCAAGCTCTCTCAGGACCGCTCCATCGCAGCCTACAACGGCTACGGCTTCAAATCCGTGAGCATCCCCGTTTATGACCCTGAGATGCCTCACATCCACTCGATCCAAGGGGCATGGATAGGCGATCCGGCAACGCTGCCGGACCAAAATGGACAATTTCCTCCCGATTCGCAGTGCTCATGGGATGATGTGATTGTGATGATGTGGGCACACGGTCAGTAGTCGGCGTCGTTGTCCCCCGGGGTGCCGACAGTCCAGGATCCCATATCCGCAGAGTGCCACCAGACAGTCTCGCCCTTGATCCCATCACCATCGATTTGCTGTTCTGTTCATGAACTTATCGAATCCACTCTCCCGTGCCTTAGGTGGCGGATATGGAGTTGGAAATGTCTCTTTATTTGCCCATGTCTTTGGCAAGTTCGCCAACGACTTCAACCATCTCTCGAAGCGGTCGAACCAAACACTCGTTCCGCGCCAACACCTGGGCCGCCAAGCCCGTCCGAAGAAGCTGGTGATATTTTCGATGGAGTATCCCCTGGCCCCTGAGTATCGCTATCCCACTCAGATCGATTTCGCCAGAGCCGTGTATCGATGGCTCACGGAGACGGTCGGAGCAAAGCATATCCTCGTTGGTAAGTCGCTTTGCCATGTTCAAAACGGGGCTATGTAGCCAAACAGCCAAACATACAAACAGCCAAGCAACCAAGCAACCGAGGCAGACCTGGGGCAACTGGAATCTGATTGCTTGCTTTGCTCCAACATTGCTGACAGGCGGAGAATCGGCCGGGGGCAACCTCACTCTGGCATTTCTTCAGAAGCTCTCGGCAATGGAACATGTATCCGTCCGTCCATTTGCAGCAGTGCTGTTCTCGCCGTGGGTCGATCTTTCGGGAAAATTCACACCCGAAGCCGTTCAGCACCGCCTTGCCGACACAAGCGACTACTTGAACCCGGCTATTGTTCACGAATGGGCTGACGAGTACACAGGAAACGCCGGAATCAAGCAGGAGATCGATCCTCTCTCCCCGCTTGTCTCGCCTCTATACATGGAGGACTACTCTGCCGTACTTGCTCCATTGAAGGGACTCTCGGTGTGCTATGGCACAGGAGAGCTCTTTGCCCCTCAAATCGAAGAGTTCTTGCGGCGATGCCATCGGAGCACCCCTCCTCTGCCGTACCCGGTCCACGAGATTGTGGGTGACGACATGCCTCATGACTTTCCATTTTTGTTTGCGACTCTGCCTGCCGGCCCTGGCAAGAAGAAGAGCAAGCGAGCATTTTCCTCGACTCTGGTTTGGCTTGTTGAGCAGTCGTTGTCACTTTGAGCCGGCCTGGCCATGTATCTGATTCCTCAACTTGAAACTCGACCCGATTACCGCTGAATCTTTGTAGACTTTTCTATAGCGTTCGCAAATGTGGCCCCATAATACACACCACATCATCCACAATGAGTACTCATATTTCGCATTTCGCAGAGGCACAAGGGCCTGTGCACTCCAACGACCCGTCGGGCGGATGGTCGATCAGGGCCAATACCAAGATCCGAGCGGGAGCCCTTTTTTCGTGCAACTGAAGTCCAAACTCAGATCCCGATCGCTCACCCGATCTCGCCGAAAGTGTCCCTCCGAAAGCAAAATGTCGGCCAAGAGCGCCTCGGGAGTCAGCGACACTGCTGAGCAAGAGATCATTGATGCGTTGGGATACGAAGTCGATTCCGAGGCCAAGTCGTGGTGCGAGACCCAAGTCCAGCTGGAAGCGGTAGGCTTTCAGGCGAGATGGCGATATGGCGAGATGGCGGCAATCGCATCGTATCGGGGCTTATCAACAAATACGAGGCGTCGATATCGCTCTTGGCCCCATCCTAATCGAAATCCTGCCTGGTCCACTTGAACCCGTCGCCACGATCGATGGCAAACACGATCATTGTTGCAGAGCCGCCTGAGAGAGCAAGGAATCAAGCCCTTGATCATATCGGTCAGATTCCCTCGGGTCGCAGCATCGTGAGCGCCGTGCGGTTTGCGCTGATGCTCGGTAACGATCTTTTCTGTCGACCACAGCCGTGCTCACCGTTTCTGCTGGACTGGGTTGGCGCAGGTCAAGAACTTTGGCATTGTTCCTCAAGATGAGCATAAGCACCAGATTCTGATCAATCGTATCGAGGTAAGGACGCAGGCCCGGCGCTTGATCATATTCGCGGGGCCGCTGGAAAGGAAGTCTGGAGAGCCAAGTGGGCGAGAAACTCTGGTACGATCCCGACTCACGATCTCTGGAAACACCCCTCCCATCGACCAGGCGTTGACAGCATTCGACTTTGAGAAACGCGTAAAGCAGGTAGAAAGGAGGAGGGCCGGGTATGCGATCGCATTTCATTCTTGGCCTGTCATCAACCCGGATAGCGCCAAAGCCATCACATCAACGCTATGAGCCCTTGCTTTTTAGATTCTGGTTTCCGAGGCGATTCCCTATCCCCACAAGGCGGATTTCTTCTATGTGAACGTACGTCGCCTGTCGTAAACTCCTCACAGAGAGCTTCGGCTGTACCAGAGCACATCGGGTTGCAGCTTGTCCTCGCCGAGCCATCCCACACCGCTCACCCTGCACTGGCACCGTGCTCCTCCTGTCAGGTGTTGCTTTGCACCGAGAACATGATGATGCCGCTCCTGCTTCCATATCTCTTCAGCAGCGATATCACTCGCCCTGAAGGCACCGGCCCTGCCCAGACAGCCGCGCAAGCACGAGGCAAGAAGAAGGACCAGCCCAAAAATGCAAAGATCCGTAACGAGCTCAAAGAGTGGCTGCTCATCAACTCCAAGGGCGATCGCGCCCGCCTCTCCATTCACGAGTACCACAATGTCTAGGAGTGACCACAATCCGGATGATGCTGCATGACGCTCGCCAAATGCGACAGTCCACAGAAATCATTTTTGATCCTGAATACAGCCGATTCGGTGGGTTCGAGGGCGCCGCTGGCCATCAACTTTCGCATCCAGCGGCTGTGCTGGATCTGGTGCAATTCGTTTTTTTTTTTTTGTTCCTCAGACATAGCTGTGGATGGACACGCACAGTGGAGATCTGGATGAAGTGACCGGAAACGTCCAAACCTAGTTGCCGGGTTGGGCTGCCGGCATATCATCTCCATGGCGATCGCACCGCTTGAACACGCCGTTTGGTCACGGTGGGTGGATGGGCATGTATTCAGGACCCAGAAAAAAAGTTACCATCCGCGCTCAGGAACGGGTGTCCCCTTTGGGTTGTGAGCACCCTAACTTTGCAACCTCCTCCAGCATTAAGGAGCTGCATGTTCGTTTGTTCGCACGCTTGTGTGATCATTCACTCATCTTCATCCCCGGGCATGGCGACTTGGTCCTCGCTGGTCTTCTTCTTCTTCTTCTTGTTCTTCTTCTTCTTGGCGCTCGTGGTCTCGCCATCGACAGACTCCGAAGCAGCGTCGACAGCAGCAGCAGCGGCGGTGGCGTTGCCAGTAGCGTTGCCAGTAGCGTTGCCAGTAGCCTTGCCCTTCTTTGTGCTTGGAACGGTCTGCCACTCGTCCTCGACGGGCGCGGGCTCTTCATAGATGTCGTCCTGGAACGAATGAGGCAATTTTGCAGCTGCAGACACAGCACCAGAAGCAGTGGGCAACACCGTCTCCGGGACAGCGGGCTCAAGGGCAAGCTCAGGGGACGACTCGACAGCAGGTGCCTCAATGGAGGCGTCAGCGGCCTCCTCCTCGGCCGCGGCAGTGGTGCCGTTGCTCTGAGCCTTCTTCTTCTTCTTCTTGTTCTTGGGCTGGGTGGTCTCACCACTAGCGCCAGGGACGGCGGGTGCGGGCGTAGCAACGGACTCCACGGCCTGGCTGGCCTCTTCTTCGGCAGTCTTCTTGGGCTTCTTGGTCTTGACATTCTGCCACTCGGAACCCTTGGAGGCAGAAACAGCCGCAGTGCGATAGAAGCTGTCGGGCTGCTGGCTCTCGAGGGCCGAATGAATCGAAGTGACTTGCTTCGAGTGCTTGGCAGCGCTAGCCTTGCTGTACCCGGGAACGACTCGGGCGCCACTAGGGGTGCCGGTTGATGAGGCCTCGTCGTTGACATCGTCGTCGATACGGGCCGGGCCGGCGCGGATCTGGGCCTTGGCCTCCTGCTCCGCTCTGCGCTTGGCATCCAAGGCCCTGTGCTGCGCCTGTTCACTGACGATCCTGTGGATTTCGGCAGCGGCCTTTTTGCTTGACTCGGCACTACCTCGGATCATCACAAAGTTGGGGCCCTGGGGATTGCGGATGACCTCGACCTGAGCACCGGTCTCAGTGCGGATGCGGGTGATGGTGGTTCCGGCCCGGCCAATGATATGAGGGAAGAGCTCGGGCTCAACGTCGATTCGCTCGCTGGCATCAGCCTTGGCCTGACGGAATCAATATGCAAATTAGACAAGCAGATGGTGCAGGGGTGATGCAGAGAGCAGCAATACACGGCACAGTGGCGAGCCAGAGGCAAAGAAAGCGCAAACGCAAGGAGGGATGGCCCTCCCTAATGCGTGACGGCAAATCGGACGCCGACCAAAACGCTCGAGGGGGTCCAGTTCACTTGAGCCAAGTCATCGCGTACGTACCAGCTTTGCAAGGGCTGCGGTAACGACAGCCACAGCCTTCTCGACAGCGGCATTGTCTCCGCGAATCAAGACAAAGCCACCAGCACTGCCCTTCAAGGCACCGCCGCCAACCTCGACAGCGCTACCAAAGACCTGCTCGCCACGGAGCTTCTTGACACATTCTTGAAGAGCTTGCGCCTCGGTGTCGTTTCCCTCCTTGATGGCATCCAGAATCTTGGAGGGAACGGGGACACGCTGCGAGACACGGATTTTGGCCCGAAGGAAGTCCGCTGCAGCATTGACGTTGGCCTCGTTTCCAGAGGCAATCTTCAGCTGCACGGTATGCTCTTCGCGGTTCTCATCGAGAACCCAGATCATAACATGGTATTTCTTCATGGCATCCTTGAGGCCCTCGTGGTTGCGACCAAGCACAGCGTTCGATTCAGACTTGGGAATGTCCACCACGGCCTCGGCCGAGTAGTCGTTGCTCTTGAGGGCTTCAACAATACCGCCGTTGGTCTGGCCCTCGCCGACGATAGCTTCCTGAGCGAGCTTCTGAATCTGCGCGACAACTTGGTCCACAATGGACACGTGGGCTGTCACCGAAATGGTGTTCTGGTCCGACGAGGTCTCTCCAGCCCGGGGGAAGCGCACTCGGACCTTGTCGGGGCCACCAAAGTCGTCGATCACCTTGCGAATCTTGGTGCCAGCCTGACCAATGATGCTCTTGTGCAGGTACTGGGGAATAGCCAGCTCGATGCTTTTGACATTGACCTGGTTCGTTTGTGCAGCAGACCGACTCACGTTAGTCGCCGATGCTCAGTAGCAAACCCCATAGAAGATTGCGAGCGGGGCGAGGTGGCACAATGACATTTACCATTTCGTCGACAACTCCCAGCATGCTGTCCTTGGCAGTCTGGCAGTTTTGGCGGGTGCCTTCGATCAGAATCTCGATGACGATCTCGCTCTCAGAGATTTCCTTGTCGGTAAATTCGATGTGGAGGCTGAGATCTTCCTTGAGCTTGTTCACGGTGGCGCCTTGGCGGCCGAGGATGCGAGGCAGGCATGCCTTGGGAACATCAAAGATGACCACATACGAGTTCAGGATCTGAGGGCGAGGCAGTTTGGCAGTTAGAGTCAGAGATTTAGTGGCGTGGACATGAAACAGGCACCGAGAGACATATGCGGCCAGTCTCTATGCCCAGAACGAGCAAAGCCCAACAATAGGCTGCGGGTGAGGCTGCAATGCTCGCTCGGTTGTGACCCAGGCTTGAGTTGTCGCTGGCGTCCCGGGCAGGAGCCTACCTCGTGCTCAACCAGATCAAGGATCTCTTTCTTGGCGCCGGCAACATCGGCTTTGTCGCCCTTGATCGAGACCTGTCCGGTGGGGGTCTGCGGCTCATCATCCTGGACAGCTTCTTCGGTGGCGACATCTTCGGCTTCCTCGGCATCCTCGACCTTCTTGGCACCCCTCTTTCTGCCGCCAGCAAAACGAATAATGACATTATACTGGTCGCTAATACGGCGCACGACCTTGCCCTCCTTGCCAATGACGCGGCGGAGAATCTTGCGCTTGAGCTCATCGCCAAACTCGGACAGGACAGATCTGGCGTCGCGGGAGATTTCCTCGAATAGATCAAAGTCCACCTGAATGGTATCGGCCACCTTGGTCGCCCGGGCCTTGATAGCATCCTTGGCGGCGCTCACGACATTCTTGGGGCCGAACACAGTGATAATGTCGTCACTGCCTGCCTCTTCGATCTCGATACGGACATTGAGCATGGTGGAGTTGAGGGTCTCCAACAGCTTGGTCTGCTCGCGGTCGGGATGGCCAACCTGGGCAACGGCCTCCTTGAGGGTGCGAACGACCCACGCAGATTGTGCGCCGCCCTGATGGCCGAGAACACGACGTGCGAGGCCCTTGGGGACCTTGACGACCTCCGAGAACGAGTTCATGACTTGGATATGCTTGAACTCGCTGACCAGCTTGTTGATCTTGTCGACGACTTCGGCCGCCTCCTTCTTGGGACCCTTGATCACAATGAGGGTGGGATCGACAGACTCGGCCTTGTCCTTCTTGCTGGGCTCGGTCTTGTCCTTGCCAGAGGGGGGCTGGGGGAACTTGACCGAAACAGCATTGTCGTAAGGGGCAAGGAGCTCTTTCAGAGCAGTGCCCTGCGATCCAATAAGGCGCCCATGAAACTTGGTATCGATGTGGATATTGAGGGTCACAAGATCGGCCAGAGTCGAGGCAACCGAGATCAAGTCGTTCTTGATTCGCTCGGCCAGCCCATAAGCCTCCACCTGGACAGCAGCCAGATCCTTGGGGCTCTGGCTGGCCGGTGCCTTGCGACGAACCACCAAGATGACGTCGTCGCTGTCATCAGCTTCGCTGGGCACCACAATGTCGACAAGGCGGCCATCGTATTCGCCCTTGGACTTGATTTTCTGAATGCCGGCCCCACCTTTTCCGATGATGAACTTGTGGAGCCCGCGAGGAATCTCAACAGAGCTGAGGAAGAGCTCAGCACCGGCAGTCTTCAGCCACTGGGTGAGCTCGCTGACGGCCTGGTCCGAGTCCAGCTTGTTGGTGGCCTGGACTTCGAGCACAGGGATGTGAGCACCGTCGCGCGCAAGCTGAATGATGGTGGCGTTGTGGGCAGACTCGATGTTTTTCAGGACCTGACGCTCCTTGGTGTACAGATAGCGCAGGAAAAAGGCGACGTTGGTATCCTTGGCAATGAGCTTGGCAACGTCGATTTCTTCAATGATCTTGGACTGCGCCTTCTCGAAAACGACGGCCAAGGCAACACTGACAGCGCTAGTAGATCCGCGGACAGTAACGTTCTCATTGTCTTCCGAGGAAGAAGGAACCTCGATGGAGCACCCGGTCTTTTCGAGAATCTCCTGAAGAACAGAGCCTTTAGGTCCGATGATGAAGCGGTGCTGGCGCTTGGGAATGGGAACGGAGATGGTGATGGTGTTCTTCTTGAGGTCCTCGTAAATGGCCAGGACTCGCTGCTCAGCGTCCTTGACACCAGCCTTCTCGCCCACGATCAGGATTTCGTTGGAGTTCTTTTCGGGCGAGGGGACCGGGGGCGGGATATGAACACGAACGCCCGTTTCGGACTCGATCTGCTTGACCTGGGAGTTGTTGGGGCCGGCAATCAAGGGAATGAAGGACCGTTCGACGTTCACACGGACAGCGAGCTTGCTGGTCTGAGACGCGCAGCGGTAAAAGATGCGATCGTGATAGTGGATGATGGGGACAGTGAAAGCAAAAAAGCAGGTCAGATGAAGTTTGTGAGGATGGCAGAGAGCAACAGGGATAAAAAATTAACCCGGCTAGAGCAGTGCATCAGCGCTTTGCATAAAAAAAGGAAGCACTGCGTGGCCCAGGGCCGTCGCTGCCGATACAGGGCATTCGCTCGTCAGTGCGAGTAACTCAGGGCAAGCGACAGCTGGATGCGTACCTTCTGGGCAACGAGCTCCTGAATCTCAACTTTAGCCTGCTGGACACCCCAGTAGTCGCCGGTGATGGTGACCAGCTGCTCGATGTCCTCTTCGGTGCCATATTGCTCCTCCGTCTTCTCGGCCTGGCGGGGAATGTTGATTCGGGTGCTGGTGCGACTGATCAGGGCCTTGAGGTTCGATCCACCCTTGCCAACAAGGTGGGGACGAACGCTGCCAGGAATCCACACCTGCTCATCGACCTGTTGGGAGCCACATGCGGCGGTGGTGCGGAGAGCGGTATGCCGTTTAGCCCAGCGAGGTCTCGCTGTTGTTCCAGTGACTCGTGTCCCGAGACGTTGTCAATCCACGGCAGGGCAGCAACGGCTCTGGCAAGACGAGAGGGCCTGTACTCGGACCAAAGGCCTCAAGGTACATACAGGCAGGGTCAGTTGGGCGCGGATATCCTTGATGGCGTTTTTGGTGTCCTCAGGCTTTCCAGTAACAGCGTAGGTCAAAGTACGATCCTTTCTTGTCAGGGTCTCGATCTTGACTTTGTGGCGGCTGATGATCTGCTTGAGAATATTGGCTGAGCCCTTCTCCGGCTGGCCCTGGTGGTTTCAGTCGGATGCATCGACAAACGACTTGATTAAAACATGCGGACGATCCAGAGCCGGGCCGCGTTGGTCGTGCACAAATAGAATCAAAGACGAGGGGCTGCGTACGCCACAGCTAAACTCGAAAGACCTGGGCTAGAGTGTTCGCCACCGAAAAACGCGGACCAGAGTCGCCCTGGCAAGACAGATACCCCAGACGCACTGAAAACCCATCAAACAACCTCCACGCAAACAGCCCATGAAATGAGGATAAACGCTTACCTGAATCTGAACGGGAACCTCCAGTCTCTCGGTAACGGTGTTGGACTTGAGCAAAGGCTTAGCCGTGACTTTGCTACCAGCAGCAGCGCCCCAGGCAACAAGAGGCTGGCGAGGAGCAGACGGAGCCGGAAGGGCGGGGAAGAGGTCGTCGTTTGCAAGATCGATTTGGCCAGTTCGGGAAGTAGCGGCGGGAGCAGGAGTCTCGACGACAGGATCGAGGGTCTCTTCGACAGCCACATTATTCTCAACGACAACAGCCTCCACCTCGGGATTACCGTAGATGGTATCCTGGTGATCGGGATGGAGTTGGTTCTGGAGCTGGGTCAGAAGCGAGGGTTCAGCCATGGTTCTGGGGGTTGAGCAGGATAGAGATTGTCCGGGAAGCAAGGGTAAATCGGCTGCGGGGAAGGTAGTGACTTGATGGTGAGCGCCGAGTCCGTTGGGGCACCCGGAGAGAGAGGAGGAAACACAGCGATTTACACAGAAGACCGAGGCTGAGAATTAGTACGTGGTCTCGTTGATCGTTTCGATCGTGTCGTGGTCAAGATGATGCCATGATGCTCCACAGCACAAGGGCTCGACCAGCCGGTCCAGCAGCGTCTGGCCCAAGGCGACTCAAACACGGCGAGCCGAACGGCGCTCTTCCCCTCCCTGCGCCCAGGCAAGTTGCAGCGGAAAGTTTGAGGACGGAGCTTGGCCGGAACGGCGCTGGTGTGGACGTGCAGCCCGGCGCCATGAGTCGGTACCTCGGCTTGTCGCAAACGAATCACTTGGTTCAATATCGGCTTAATACAAGGTGATTGATGATATGGGATCGACGAGAGATCGGCGGCGAGCGACGGATCGTCGAAGGAGAAAAAAAGGGGGGGAAGGGAAGGGGAAGGAAAATGAGGGCCGTTCTGCAAAGGTCGGTGGAGCGGAACAGCAGGAGAGAGGGAAATCCTGGCGAGATTCCGGGGGGATCTTGCATTTTCGGGGGGGTGCAGGCCCAGAAAGGCAACTGGCGCCGCTTACGTCAGCCGGGGCAAGGGCTCGCAGGGGGCGGGGCTCAGCCAGCGCGCCCTTTCACCGGCCAATCAGATGCGCCCACCCAATCGCCACAGCCACCACCCAGAGCCTGGCGCACAGATCCCATGGCGGTGTTGCGGACCCAAAAGCGATATTCCTGTGCGCAGGCGGCTTGCAGAAGGAGAGGAGGTCCATTCGGATTGTTCAAGCAATGATATCGGTGCGCTCAGATTACATCGGCGCCAATGACATGCACTCCCAGCAACACTGTCGCCCCTCGTCCACGCGTGCCGCAATATTCGCCACGTCCGCTCGCGCAAGGTGGCCTAGTATCCGGAACGGCGCTGTTTCTTGATTCTTTCCAGCCGTTCCATTTCGCGCTGTTCCTCAAGCTCATCTTCGCGCTTGGCAATTTTTGCGCTATTGCGGCCGGAGCAGCGAGTCACGCAGAACCAGAGTCGAAATGAGGCAGCAACAACAACAGCAGCAGCATCAAGAAGAAGAAAGTAGTCGCAGTTAGACTACGGTGGTCGTCGACACCATTTGATACATAGCATGCTGATGCTCAGCAGCGCCTCGGAGGAAGTGCAATCAAGGAGAGCGTCAATGTTTAAAGCATCCCACCTCCGGCGTTCCTCCTTGAAGATATCGGTGGCGCCAACTTCCATGTCATCGATGTCGTCGTCAGCATACCTATGAGTTGCGTCAGCGACAGGCGCGTGCGTTACAGCGTCAGTATGATCCATATAGTCCATATAGTCCATATAGTCCATATAGTCCATATAGTCCATATAGTCCATGCTGTCCATGCTGTCCAAAACCCGTGCCGTTTGCGACAGGTAAAGGCAGAAGCAAGACGGCAGCCGCAGCCAGCCACGCCATCTCCACCCGTCGTCCTCCAAGTATCATCGTGTACCTGTGCGGGTTATATCTAAACATATTGAAGATTATGCTGGAAGTGTTGCCTTCGATTTCATCCGGGTCCATTTCATCGATTGTTTTGTATCGCTTTTGGTTCCGATCCCGAGCACGAGCTCTGCCGTACCGATCATCGTCATCGTCGCTCAAGGAGCTTGATCGCTTTTTCTTTGCATAGGCCCGATCATCGTCGCTGTCGGTGTCTTTGTACCGGTCGCCCGGCCGTCCTTGTGAACCGGGCTTGTGTCGCATTCCGGTCTCGGACCTTCGCTTGGTGTCGAGTCCGTCATGGCCGTCGCGCGATCTTGAGCCGTGCTTTTCAGAGGGTCGCTCGTCGGCTCGGCCGCGTTCCTGGGAGTGCCGATCGGCTCGATGACTGGCTTTGGCTCGGTCGGGATCCTTGTCATAGTGCGACTTGACCCTGTCGGGACTCGCTGAATCGGCATCGGACTTTGACTCACCGTTGTCTCGGCTGATCTTTTCCTTGAGCAGGCGCTGTCGCTCCTCTATGCGTTCTCGCTTGAGTTTCTCGATTCTTTCGCGCTCGCGTTCCCGCTCCTGGCGCTGTCGTTCCCGCGCTGTCAACTGGTCTTCGCCAGTCTTGGCTTGCTTTCGTTTCAGCATCTCATCCTGGATTTCTTCCAGCGTCCGTGTGTCCCGCTTGTTCTGATTCAGGGGAATGAAATCTCCTACAGGCCCTTTCTTGAGTCCGCCCTTGAGAGCAATCGGGGTATGGGTCCTGGATCGCGCCGGCGGAGGTGGTCGAGCAGCCGCTGGCTTCGGAACCGAGCTCCCGCGGGCATCGCCGGCTCGCTGTGGCAATGACGAGGTGTTTCGGTCCGACCCTCGACGGGGGTCTATGGCCCTAGGATCGCGGGGTCTGTGGCTGTCGCTTCGACCAGAGGCATGCTGGCGCTCAGGTGAAAGCGGGCGATGGGTGCGGTCGCTTGCTTGCGGGTCGGGTTTCCGGACACCTTCAGAAGACCGGCTGCCAACACCGACCTCGTCCCTTTGGAAACGGCCTGGGCCAGCGGTTCGATTGGGGTGAGCCGCCCGTCCTATGAGTCGGTCTCGGTCTCGGTCTCGTTCCGAATGTCGGCCATCAGATCGAGCCTCGATCTTATTGCTAGTGTCGCCTCGTTCCTCTCTCCGATGATACTGGTCCCGAGGGCGGCCGCCTGGCTGCGATAGCTGGGCGCCCGAGCTGGAGCCACCCTTGGCAAAATCTGTCGGCTGTGGCCTCCTTGATGCGAGATCGTCTCGTCGAGGTGTTGGCTCCGACCTGGGCTTGCGGTCCGATGCCTGTTTCAGCGATGGCGAATTCGACCCTCTCGAAAGCGTAGCCGATTGCGTTGCGGACCCGGGGGATGGGGCCGATCGCACAGCTTGCAGCAAAGATCAGCCACACATGCAGAAGATAGGCATGTCGGGGATTAGCAACTGCTATTCATACCTCAGCATAAACACACTCTGTCTCCTCAGATTGAATGGCACCTCAGGACCGCCACGGAGCCGCGAGGGTCGGGCCGTCGAGACCTCCAGCAGCGTTCAGCGCTCGTGTCCGGGCACCAGGGTCATCAGCGATTAAAGGGTGAACCAAAAAAAAAAAACTAGCTGTCCTGTATGATGTGCAGGCATTGTGACGGTAGATACCTTCAATGGTACTTGGCAGCCTCAGTGCAGCCTTCTTTGCATCCTCGAGCGCAGCTTTCCGACGCTGTTCATCTTCCTCCTGTTTCCGCTTCCTCTCGGCGATTTCAGCCAGCAGCTGCTTGCACTTCCGCTCCTCTTCGAGGTTATTTCGCCGGGCCTCCCTCATCAACTCTTCAAAGCTCGACATGGCGGCAGATTTCGAATGCTCGTTTCTGGAACGGCAGCGGATGACGGTGGCCTGGGGAGCCTGGGAGACGTGAGAATGGGCGACACCAAGTCGGCCCGGCTTCCATGCTGGCTCGGTTTTTCTCATCGGCTCGCTGCTGCATCGCCATGGGCCTATTGTCCCAACAGCCGTGAGCTTGCGGCCGCACTCACCTTGGGCTCGGTCGTCCAGAGCGCAGACGAGTGTCCGGGTCGGCTGGGTGCTCAAGATTCGGAGAAAGCCTGCAGCAGCCGAGATCCTTGCTTTGGTCGGCGCGACCCAGTCCGGATCGAGTGCGGATCGAGCGTGGCCCGAGTGCGGATCGAGTGCGGATCGAGTGCGTCGCTCCTGGCTTTTTTCTCGTCTCATGCTCGGCCTCACTTGCGCTTCTTCTGTGGTCTGTTCGTCCACGCTCCCCGCTGCCGTCGTCGCTCAGAGGCCGGGCCCCATCCACGAGGCACCATCCCCCAGGCGGACTCACCCAGGCAGACCGTGGTCATATCGTTCGACACTTGGACCCGCATCGCAAGCAACCTCCACCCTCCCCACCGAGCTGGCCGGCCCGACGGTACTCGACAACTACCCTCCCACCTTGCCAGTTCGTCTCTGTCGACATCGATGCCTCGCTCCGCTGGATTGCCGTTCAAGATCCGGCTAGGCTCGAACGGAAGCCAGTATGTTCCCTACATCGTGACCGTGGCGCTGCTGTTTATTGGATTCTCAATGTACTGGGGCGCCAACCACTCCCATCGGTCCACCACGACGACGACGCTGCGGTTCAAGGACAAAGAGCGAATCACATCCTCGGCCAAGAGCAGCACCACACCTGGCTCCAAGCACGACCCGGAGGCAGCCCTCGAAAGGGATGCCCATACCACTTCCCTGAATGCCAAGACTCCTGACAGGGCTTCAGCAAATCTCAAGGCTGTCCAGGCTCTTGTTCAGCAGAGGCTTGGTATCCCTCCCGCGGTCCTCCACTCGTTCCTGCAAGCCCATCCAGCGCAGGCACCGGACCTACTGCTGACGCTCAACAGCATGCTCACGAATCTGGAACCAGACCTGAAGGAGATCCACGGCGACGAACTGGACATGTTCCAGCTCCCGACCTTCCAGCCCCAGCTCGACCATCTTGTGAGCCAGATGCGCCTCGCCCTGACCGACCCGTCCTGCCAAGGCTCGCCAGTTCTGCTTGAGGGGCCCAGTGGAGTCGGAAAGGGTCTGGCACTGGAATACCTTGTGGCTGACCTCAACAAGTCCCGTCAGGTGGCGGTCTACCTGAGCCTGAACCGCCGGCTGCCTTCGGCATCCACCTCGGATGAAGATACCCGCCCTTCACAGCGGCCGTCGCTGCATTCGGCGATCCTGTCAGCTCTTGGATATGGTAAGGATGCGACACGGGGCTATGACTTGGACCTAAATCAGAACGCTGTGCTGCTGCGACGTTGTACTGCTGTAACCCCGTGAGCACCACGATGCTTTTGGCGGCGGTATCAGCTCCTTCCTACCGACGCCTGCGAATGCGGTCATCTACCACCGTCGTGCTGACTTTGATCGCCCGCATGATTTTCCAGACCCAGAGCTCCAGTCCTCGCCCGCCGAATCCGTCGGTCTTTTGGAAAAGACGCTCAAGTTCCTGGCCGACAATAACCGGTGAGTCATTCTGGGTGGCGCAACACTCGACTTGCTCGTTGGGGCGGTCCTTTTATGTGATGCCTTCCATGCGATCACATCTCTATGATGCAGCGCTCAGGGTGTGGCGTTTGTCTTGGATGATCCGAGTCCATGCTGCAAGCCGATTGCTGATACCCGTTCGGCACCTGCCACCTTGTCATCAGGACGCCCCTGATCTGCGTCGACGATCTTCAAATCCTCTTTGCGGATGAGCAGCCTCTCCACGAGGACTATGCCCATATTGAAGTGGGGCTGCAGTGGCTCATGGAGTGCGTCACTGGAGGCTCAATCCAAGTTCTTTTGTGTTCCTCGAGCAAGACTGTTTTTCGGACAATCAAAGAGAAGAGTGAGTGCTCTCATGACTCCTCTCCCCCCCCCTCCATTTTTGGCTTTTTCAACGTGCATGCGATTTTGCCTCAAGAGTGAGGGATCTGCAGCGAGCTGTAGATGCTAATTGGCTCTGGATTCGATGGCTGGATCGCTCGGCTGCCGCAGTTCCTGGGTACGATTTTCGTTTGAAGCTGAGGACCTTGACATCAATCGACGACACCTACATGGCGGAGTACTTGGTTGACAGCGTCAACGCGATCATGCCGGAGCCTCATCTCGAATTCACCCCCGAGCTTGCTCAGCTCTTTGTCGATACTTTCGGAAGCAATCTCCTGGAGCTCAAGCGCTATATCAAGGCGGAAAGACCTCTGCATGGTACGACGGCAGGGGACTCGACTGCTGTATACCCTTCTTGATAAGCCAGTGCTCTACTTGTCTGATCGAGCTCGCGCTCTGCCTGCCTGTCTGAACTCGCTTGCATATGCGCACTGACAGGCACACAGGCGCACATACACGCTATACCCCGCTCTGCCACTCTGTTATCTGGCCATTCTGGCCATTCTGACCATTCTGTGATCTGACCCCACTTCCATCTTCATACTGCCAGAGTATATTTCCGGTCGCGAGCAAGACCTCTTGGCGATGGTTGAGCAAAGTGCCGCGGGGCTCTTCGCCGGACGAGCGGCGACTTATCACGATCCTGAAAGCGAGCTCCGCAATGTCATTCTTGACACGATGATGCGTGGGGGCACCCTCCCGGTCAAGACTCTCGACGGTGGGCGCCTGGCCATGGTCGAGGTCCTTGTCGAGCTCAACTGGCTCAAATGGCGGGTCAAAAAGTCCAAGCCCCTGGCGTCCCGATCGCCGTCCAGCCAGGTCCCGACCACGACTGGCCAGCCGAATAATGTCTCCGGCGAACAGCGGCGCAAGCTTCAAGGCGGTCGTCGCAAAGCCGAGAAGCGCACCCAGATGGAACAAAGCTGGATCAAGCTCCACAAGGAAGCCCTGGCCTGGGGGATGGACTCGGTCAGCGGGGCAAGTGCTTGGGAGGAAGTTATCAACAGCGAAGGGCGCGTCCAGCGGCCTGTGTACCAGGTCGTACTCGATGATCCTGCCCAAGAGTCAACCGAGCAGTCCGACGACAACGACAACGACAATGGCAACGACAACGACAACGACAACGACAGCGATTTCAACGATGCCACTGATATCGACCGCCATCCAAGGCATGGGGTGGATGGCCAGGCCATGAACCACGACCGCCATCACGAGTTCGATCGCCTTGAGGACCAAGATGACGATGACGATGACGATAGCGTTCCCCTGGACGACCCCATGTCCATGTTCAGCCGCGAGGGTGCTGAGCTTGTCTGGAGCAACCGGCTGATTCAAACAGCCTGTGAGCGGTGGTTCAATCAGGAGCGATGGCAGTAGACGCTGCAGATCCTGCCTCCATGCGATTGCACTGGAGACCTGCAGCATGGTTGCCGAGCGTGCGCTCGAATGGCTGAGACCCTGGCCTCCTCATGAATACACATGCCCATAGTCATTGTCCTTTGGCCAGGCTGCTACCGGAGGGCGTCGCCGCGAGAGGTGTCGCCGCGAGAGGTGTCGCCGCGAGAGGTATCGCTGGAGTTGGGCAGAACATTGACATGACATAACCAGAAACAGCCACGACAATCCGTGCACCCTCTGCTTGGGCATTGCACTCGACAACTTTGGACAACTTTGGGCATAATTAAGAACGAGTAAACTGCAGATGGCGATGGCCTTGTCATATAGCAAGTACAATAGAAAACGGGAAACCCAGGTGTTGGTCATTGGCCGAATAGTTTGTTATCCAATACCATCACAGAATGGACATGGCCATTCTGTGATGTGGTGCTACGCTCTCATTCATAGCCCGAGAAAAGTTGCTTCCATCTTCAGTGTGTCCACGAGCAGAATTCACTGCCTTTGGCGATGCGTCTTGGCGACAGGACAAGGGGAGGTCTTCTTCACTCGGAGGTTGCCAAAGTTGATCACTTTATTGCTTATGGCATCGTTAGACGCATACCACATGTTCATGGAAGCGGGTGTGGTGTCCCGTTTGTTCATGTGTCAAGCATACAGGTGTGATATGAACAGGACGGAAGAAGCAAAAGCAAAGTAACGACGGCGGAAACCGCTGACAGACATTGATAGACGACTGACTGGCATTGATAGACGGCTGGCTGACATTGATAGACGGCTGGTGACAGCGAGAAAAATAAAATAAACCACGGGAATCTTGCACAACAGACCGCTTGCTGCAAAGCGCCTCTACTGGGCCTTGACGCGGGCAACCCAGGCGCGAATGTTGCGGTCGAGGGCCATGAGAGGAACGCTTCCGCCCGTCAAGATGACACGGTGGAACTGGCGAACGTCAAACTGATCGCCCAGCTCAGCGGTGGCGTACTCGCGCAGCTCCTTGATCTTGAGCTCGCCCATCTTGTAGGCCAGGGCCTGACCGGGGATGACACAGTAGCGCTTGACTTCGGTGACGATCTCCTCGACGGGGAGAGAGAGGTGCTCCTGCATGAGGGCCACACACTTGTCAAACGACCAGCCCTTGGCGTGCAGTCCTGTGACAGAGGGAATGCATCGTCAGCATTGCGGTGAGACCCGTGTCGGAGAGCCCCCCTGGTCGCCACGGAGTCGTGCTCGCGGCAATCAAGCGGCAATCAAGCGGCAATCAAGCGGCAATCAAGCGGCAATCAAGCGACGGAAAACTCACCAGTATCGACAACCAGTCGCAGGGCGCGCTGCATCTCAACCTCCAAACGACCGTAGTACTGAAGCGGGTCGGTGTACATTCCCATCTCCTCGCCAAGGTACTCCGAGTACAAGCCCCAGCCCTCGGCAAAGGCGGTGCACATGAAGATCTTCTTCACAAGATGAGTCGACTCGTCCTCGAAGGCAAGCGAAATCTGGTGGTGGTGGCCCGGGGTGGCTTCGTGCAGGGTGAGAGCATTGGCGACAATGTTGGGCTTGGTCTTGTGCAGCGAAAGGTTGGCACAGAAGCGGCCAGGGCTGGAGAGCAGCGAGGCGGGTCAGAATCGAGCTCAGCGATGCCCCTCAATGTCAACTCGGCGGTGCTCCTCGGCATAAGCCCGGCGTTGCTCGTGGCTATCGCATCAGCCAGACACGGATTGCTATAACTTACGTGGTGGGAGTGCCAGGCATGTAGATGGCAAGAGGCATGCTGCCTTCCATGGTCTTAGGGATAGCCACGATGTTGCACTCAAACTTGGGCAGCTGGTCGAAGAGGGGCTCCATTCTGGAGTTGATATCTTTCAGGACGTTCTGGTAGTGGGGGATGACGGCGTCGAGGTTCTCGAAGAAGGCCTGGGGGAACTGTTCGCGGTCGTAGAGAGCCGCACGGAACTCGGCCAGGGTGCCGTCAAAGACCTTGGACTTGGCCTCCTCCATAAGCTTGGCGATTCGCTCGACTTCCTTCAGACCGATCTCGTGGATCTCCTCGCCGGTCAGATCCAGCGACGTATGCTGCTTGACATAAGCGTTGTAGGCCTGAGGAGAGTTGTTGGGTGGTCAGTATGAGGCACTCGCAACGGTCACATTGTAGCCAACAGCATTCTGTCCAAGTGGCGAATCAAACCGACTGTGACGGCCTGCCAAGGTCGCAGCTAGAAGAGGGGGGGGGCAGGCTTACCTTTTCATATCCAGGGAGGCCATAGAGGCCCGGGGTAGTGCGAGCATGGGGCAGATACTCGTTCTCGAAAAAGTCGAGGAGCTTCTTGTAGGCAGGGATGACGGACTCCTCGATGGCTCCGATGAAGAAATCCTTGTCGCCGTCGAGGAGGCTCTCGACTTTGGCAGCCACGTTAAAAGCAGAGTCGCGAGGGTCCTCGACAATCTGCATGCGGCAGCTCTTGATCAGGAGCTCGACCGACTCGACAGGAAGGGTGACCTTCTTGTCGATTCCGCTGCGGAAGCCGGAGATGGTGTCGTCAAAGCGAGCGTTGATCTTGCGGAGACGCTTCTCATAGTTGGCAAGATCCTCCTTGGTGTTCAGGGGCGAGTACCTACCAGCAAAATCAGACCAGCAACGGTAAGGGCGCAGGCTCTGTGGACCCAGGATGTTGGCCAGCAGACATGTCCAGCGGCTGGCTTGCGCCGATGCGGGGGCAATCCCAGAGGACGGTGGCGACTTACTGGGTGAGCACCATCTGCAGCATGGGAATGTTGCCGTGCATGTGGGAGGCCGGGAGTTCGTACAGGTACTGGTCAAAGATGACCTGCTCCTGCTTGATGGCCTCGACGATAAAGAGGTATTCGACCTTCTCGGTCTCGGAAAGAGCTTCCTGGTCAATCTTCTCGGCACGCTCGGAGGCCGCAATGAGGAAAGCCTGGCAGGAGAGACAATGTTGAGCGGCCCAGATGCGATATTTGTGCAGCTGGAAGCCTCCAGCGATCTGATGGGTGGGCCGTAGCGCATCGGCTGACCCACGCTGCCAGCGACCACGGGCCCTGCACGCACTGAAGGAGAGGCGCCGACGGATAACCAAGACGGTGTGCGAGTGAGATACCTTGTGGTTTTCGCTGTTCTCAACGCTGTCGTTGAAGATTTCGTCGGGATGGGGGTTCACGCCAAAGATACCGGCCTCCACGGGCAACAACCTGGCGGAAAGAGCGGCTTGGTGAGCATGCAGTTCACAACAACCATGAGACATGGGGATGCGCATGGGACGAGGGCGACGATGGCAGCAGAATTGTCAAGGCAAAAGGCTATAGTGGAAACCGGATTGCCAGGGCAGCAGGGTGGCGCTACTCGAGCATTCCCTCCCCCTCCTGCGTCGAGGATGTCTCCCGGCGACGGCGAGACCGGGTGGCAGCGGTCCGTTAAGCGACCTGCCAAGATGCCGGTTGGGACCACCTACTTCAAAGCATGGTTGGCGATGTCGTCCTGGAGTGCCCGGAGCTGGACAGAGGCAGAGTCGGTGGCGGAGAGCATGGTCAGTGAGCGGGAAAGTGGGCGGAGGCCGAGAGATGGAAGCCGAGAGATGGAAGCCGAGGCGATGGGTGCAGGTCGATCTGGAGGAGGACGAGGACTGGAATATATACTGCCCGAGGCCGGCCCGGCATTCCTTGGCGCGGGAGGCAGGGGGCATGTGTGAGGACAAACGCGCCCACCGCTCCTTGCGGTGCGCCTCCAAGAGGGGGCTGCGAGCTCTATAGCAAAGATGGTTAGGGTGGGGCATTGCTTGGGACGGGATGGCCGGCCGGTACATGAAGGCAGCAAAGGCGAGCGGATGCCGGATATGGAGCATTGGCTTGTGGGGCAGGCCGCGTGGGGCGGGCCAGGTGGGGCTGGCCAGGATGTAGCCACCCTGGCAGAGGCTGCTCTGGGGCCTCGCTCGGCACCATCATGGCGAGGGGGATCGTGGATGGCTGCTGATTGGTGAATGCCCAGGACAGTTCAAGACTTGGCCAACCAACACCGACGCCAAGTGTTGGACCAAGCAGCCCATGGAATCATCCCACAACCACCTTGGCATTCGATGGTGACCACCTTGGCAGTCGATGGTGACCACCTTGGCAGTCGATGGTGACCCGAACGAGACCGCCTTTGGTCTGTTTTAACAACTGCCTTGGCGCTGATGTATCTGTCGATCGTTCCGTTTTGACTGTGCTTGACGACGTCGAGAATGTTTGGGGCGTCGCCACAGTCAACCAAAATCACTTAAACTGCAACTGCAGTGCCCGAATATCACCGTCGTTGCTGAAGAGACAATCTCGAGCCGGACATCCCGAGAGCAGCCGTCCGCTTTGCCCGTCCGCTTTGCCCGTCCGCTTGCCCGCCGATCATGTCCAGCCCGTCCAGCCATATGATCTGCCATCGCTGGTTCATCGGGCACTGACTCGCTGGCTGGCTGGCTGGCCGGCTGGTCTTCGGCCGTCCTCGTCGGCCCTGGACCTCCTGGCGGCCGATGCTGTCCGGGTCGGTCTTGGACGCAGCCGCCCCAGCACAACAGGCGTCCGCGTCTCCAAACCCCTCCCTCTTTCCGTCCTCGGCTTCCTGCTTCTTTGCCCTCTCGCCTCTCCAGCCCATCCGCGATCAACCCGGCCAGCGCCTGCCAGACACCGGCCCGGCCTTCCTTGCTCGACCCTCTTCGTCTCTCGCCCGACCAAAGCGCATCGCTATCCTGGCTGGTGCTGAAGCCTCAAGTGTATCTTTGCTCCAGGCATCCCAGACCACACCCCCTGCAATACGGCCCCTGCTTCCCGGCACCCCCTGTCAAGCTTCTCATTCCAAGCCGGACCGATTGATCCATCATGTCGTTTTTGTTCCGAAACCGTACTCGAACGCCCAGTGAGCTTGTCCGCTCCACCAAGGAGGCCATCGCCAAGATGAATGCTGGAGATCGCGGCAAGGTAGAAATCAGCCGCCCTTGCTCCTGGTGCTGCCCGTGCTGGAAGCGGCTGGCATGGTCGATCCTGGCGCTGTTGCGGCCGGCGCCAGCAATATCGTGAAAGCCGTCCCTCTGGTGGCGCTTACTGTCGATCTGCCAGGTCCTGCTGTCGATCTCTACTCACTCCATGTTGATCTCCTTGCCGGTACGATTGCGGCCATCTTTGGCCCGTGCATCCAGTGGAACGAGGAAATCTCAAGGGGCCTCCTCAACATGAAGATCGTGCTCTACGGCGATGGAGGTACTGGATCGGTGCAACTTGGCCCCGTCTGTTTCTCGGTTGCGGGTCCCTGTTGCCCATCGTCGTCGGCAGATGCGGACGGGCTCGGCCCGAGACCTCTCGCCCGTATCGATCATCCAGCTAATCTGCCGTTCTCTTCGAACTCCTTCCTATCGGGTTAGAGAGCGAGCCGATTGCCGAGCAGGTGACGCAGCTCGCACAGGAGCTCCACAACAACGACATGCTCACATTGCTGATCCAAAACATTGCAAAGTTCGAGTTCGAGGTAGGAAAGCGCATTCGCCTCGCATCCGCCTCGCATCCGCCTCGCATGCCGCCGCCAGCCACGCAGCCCAACGCCCCTGGATAGGCCGTGGCTCCAGTTTGATCGCTGTCGCTGCTGATCCCCGTTGCCATCAACCACCAGGCCAAGAAGGACGTTGCCCAAATCTTCAACAACCTCCTGCGTCGCCAGATCAGCACCCGGCTGCCGACCGTTGATCATATTGCTGCAAAGCCCGTTATTCTGCGGACACTAGTCAGCGGGTAATGCCTCGAAGCCCTGGCTGTGCGATCAGGGCGTCGGATGGGGACCGTCCATTAGTATTCCCACTCTAGGACGAGAGCGGCACGTATCCCTGCCCAGGAGCTCATCATTTCTGCTCTGTGCTCAACCAGATACGAGAACCACGAGATAGCGCTCAACTGCGGCATCATTCTGAGAGAGTGCTTGCGCCATGAGACTCTGGCCGAGAAGGTCTTGCTCAGCGAACAGTTTTGGCTCTTTTTCACATATGTGGAGTTCCCGACCTTTGATGTGTCGTCGGACGCATTTGCATCCTTCAAGGTACACTCCTACCTCGCCGTATCGCCTCGTGATCGTTAGTGCTTGTGCACATGTCTATGCCCATGTGCCGCTCACCCAGCCTCTCGGTAGCCACCGAGCCGGTCCGATCCGCATAAGCAACTTGTTTGCTTTACTCGTTCACGCCGGCTGAATGGGTTTCCTTACGCTGCCTTGCTGCCGGCGCTGAAACAGGACCTTCTTACCAAGCACAAGACATTGGTTGCCAGATTCATAGAAGAAAATTATGACCGGGCAAGTACTTGACGAGGAGGGCCGTCCTTGACTGAACAACATGGTGTCGCCGTCCCATCTGCCCCGTTGCTGCCCTGCTGATGCATCAGCGCTGCGAGCGATGGAACTAACAACCAAAATCACTCTTGTTTTACCGGCCAACCCGAACAGTTTTTTAGCAGCTACACGCTCCTGCTCAACTCAAACAACTACGTCACCAAACGCCAGTCCCTGAAGGTTGGTTCTGTGCCCGGAGACCACAGGCCTCGATGAGATCCACTCCGGAAGAGTGGCGTTGTCTGGCCCATCGGCATTGTGATCCGGCCAGAGCCCTGACACGAACTGTGGCTCTCGCAGTTGCTCGGCGAGCTGCTACTAGATCGATCCAACTTCCAGATCATGACGCGGTACATATCCGATGGCGACAATCTCAAGCTTATGATGAACTTTCTGCGCGACCGCAGCCGCAACATCCAATTTGAGGCCTTCCATGTGTTCAAGGTATGCCGAGAAAGGAGCCTGGAATCCCATATGGAATCCCATCCGGACTCCCATCCGGACTCCTATCCGGACTCCCACCTGGAGGATCCGAGTGAATGCGCGTGCCGCCTCCGATACTCGCCACCTCGATGCGTAGACACTGACGAGTCTGTCGCTTCACGCTATGGCTCTCTAGGTGTTTGTGGCAAACCCCAGGAAGCCCAAGGCCATCCTCGACATCCTTGAACGGAACAAAGACAAGCTGGTTACATTCTTGAGCAACTTCCACAACGACCGCACAGGTAGGGCTGTCCGAGGATCGGGCAAAGCGATTGCGGCCATGAGCATGCAGCCGCAGAGCAGACGGCTGACATCTTGATTCCGGGCCTCCGCTTGCGGTGTCGGCCCGGACCGGAACAACTCTGTCGCCTTCGCAGACGACGAGCAATTCAACGACGAGAAGGCGTTCCTCATCCGTCAGATCTCAGAGTTATAAGAGGGTGCCCCATCTGCGGCCCTGATCACCCTGACTCCCCTCCTGGCCGTATGCGATTGACCAAAGCTATCCGGACACCCCGTTGCTTGCTTGCAATGTAGTCTCTCCCTTCCCTTTTGGATTTCCTCCGCAAACTCTGACGTTCTTGCAGTCTGTGTGCGCACCACCCGTCTAGAAAAATTACAGCTTTCGTGAGGCCAATATACGAGCACCGTGATCGCTTGGACATCAACTCTCGGGAAGAACGGCCATGCGGTGAGCTGCATCAACACCGTCCTCCGCATCACAGCCCCCAAGCCATGCCCTTGGACGCACGATAGAGCTGCCGCCCCGATTGCAAACCACGATCGGGGGTGGAGACAGACTTGGTGGCTGCTGGTGCCCGATTCGCCCAGAAAGGAAGGCGCGGTGCTGCGCGTCGGGGCAGGTTTCTCGCCGAGGGCCTCGGCAGTGGGCAACTGCTCTCGCTGCAGCGCCTATTCTGGCACGGAGCAGTCGATCAGAGCCGTCGCTGCATTGCAGAGTCAGAGCCAAGGTGGGCATCCAGTGACAGAGCCAGTTCTGGCGGGCAGCACCAGCTGTGGCGAGGGCCGGTGCTGCCGTTGCCCAGCCGAGGAGGGGTTGCGGGACAGCTTCTCGCCCGAGCCCAAGCCAAACCAAACCAAACACAATGGGCCAAGCAAGCCACTGCGTCTGGCTCGAGCCGGCTCCAGCCGCCGAGTCCGCGCTTCGTTTCGAGCCAGGGTCGCTCCCCGCGACAAAAGGCCTCGCGGAATCTCTCGTTTGTCTTTTTCCCCTCCATCGGCCCAGGCTTCCTGCAATCTCGCTCCTCGCGTCTGTCCAACCCGTCCTCCTCCGTCTCCTCCGCACCACTATCAACATGAGCTGGCAAACTTACGTCGACACCAACATGGTTGGCACCGGCAAGATCTCCCGCGGCGCCATCCATGGCCACGACGGCTCTGTCTGGGCCACCTCCCCCGGCTTCAGCGTAAGTTTGCCCCGGGCTGTCTCTGCTGCCCACGGACAGCGGAGAGAGAGAGAGGGAGCGAAAAGGAGAGGAATAGCCGCTCGCCTCAAATGGACTTGTTTTGTGCCAGACTTGCCTTCAATATGATGGCCTGCACACGTCCGGAGGCGATTGGGGACCGCGAGGTGGCTGACTCGGAAAGGCCGAGTCGTTGTATCGGCTTGCGGGGCTGACGAGGACGCACCTGGACTGGCGTATATCGAGTGTCGTTGATTTTGTGTGGTTGATACCGCATTTTTTCGTAGAGGGGGGGGGGAATGCTTGCCAGTTTGGTGCGAAGGAATTGCCCTATTTGCTTTCGCTGCTGCTTGGGGCTAAGGCGGCGGTTCCGTCCGACGCAGTCCTGGACCTTTCGTCCTTGGCCAGCAGCGCACGCCTTCCGACCTCGACGTGCGCTCGCTCGTCCGGAAGGGCTGCCAGAGTCATGCGCTGCTTCGTCCACCGCGCCTGTAGCCCACATGCCCTAATTCGATGTGCTTTCAAACAGGTCCACCTCAACGAGGTCAAGGCCATCCTCAAGGCCTACCAGGACCCCTCGGAGGTCCGTGCCAACGGTCTCCTCGTCAACGACGTCAAGTACATTGTCCTTCGCGTTGTCGATGACCGATCGCTCTACGCCAAGAAGGTAAACACCAACGACGCCGATGGCGCTCTGCCTGGATTGATGCGGGCGGGCGGGCAGGCGGGCCCCTGTCGTGGCTGTCTGTTGAAACGATCCTCTGCGCACCCGTTGCGCTGGCGGATCACACCATGTTGGCACCAATGTGTTGGTGGGGGGGATCTTGGACTGACTTGCTCCTCGTGCGACATTCCTCATCCAGGGCAACAGCGGCATTGTTGCCGTAAAAACCAAGCAGGCCATCCTCATCGGCGTCTACGATGAGCCCATCCAGCCCGGAGAGGCCAACAAGGTCGTCGAGTCTCTTGGTGACTATCTCATCAGCGTCAGCTACGTGAGTATCATCCTGTTGCCTGCGAGCGTCCTGTGGCTGTTGCGGCCGCGCTGTCGTTCCAGCATGCGAGCGCCCCAGTGCTTTATCATATGCAGGGTTTCGGACGAGTCGGTGTTTCCGCAAACGGCACATTCTTACACCTTCATGCCTTCCTCGCCCGTTGTTTCGCGATCTCCGTCCCGGTCCCGGCGACTCTCTTGTGCCATGCTTTGGCGCGGCCAGTAAATCACCCTGGCGGAACACCGAATCTCTTTCCTTTGCCTACTCTCCATGCCTGCTGTCTTTCCCCAAAGATGTGCCGACTCTGGTTCCCTCGGCACTGCCTGGGACAGAGCCAGCACGTAGTTCCGACAATGTTCCATACTCCCAATACAGTTTGCTAAACAAAAACGGAATAGCGTCCGCTCCAACTGAGTGCTGTAACGGGCATCAAGATGGTCTTTGAGCCGCACAATCTCAATCGTGCGATTGGGTTCCGTCCTGGCTGGAGAACATGCACTTGAATACCTGTCAATCACCGTGGGTGACGATCAACGGGTACACCAAAGTCGCCTTTCGCAAGACGTTTACATCGCGATGCGGGGGAGTATTTTGCAGAGCTTGGTGGTGGTGGTGGGCTGCGGTTCTCGAGCGGAAAGAGAGCAGACCATCCGTGGGAGTTTGTCGATTTCCCATGTCGATCCTGCTGTCGATCCTGCTGTCGATCCCACACGTCGGGCTCTTGCGCGAAGCACGAGCCACTGCCCCAAGTGAAGGTTTTGGCAACAGCGACGACGACAGCCATAGCAACGTTGGATATCAGCCGAGCCGCACCACTTGTTCGCTGGAGTGATTGCGGCAGCCAAGCGCGGGCTGGACGGAGCGACAGCAGACCCGGCGCATCGCCCATTGGACCAACAGATGCAGAGAGCGATATCCCGGGCTTTCCCGCCTGTCCCTGCGGGGGAACCGGGGCAGACGCTCGCGCGGGGGACGGGGGGGACGGAGGGTGAAGCGGGGGGGGGGTGCGTTCTTGCGGGACTCTTGCCTGGGAAGTCGCCTTGTCCCCAACAACAACAGATCCATCGCTGGCGCCGATCTGAAAGCTTTCTTGCGACCCCGCCCTGCGACTCGCCCTCCTCCATCCATAACCAAGATGATGTGTACTCCTGACACAACGCTGGCTACACTGCCCGACTGCATCCGCACTGATATTGCGCTTCTCCGTAAGACCACCGAGGCGGCGCTCCCAGATGCACCACGTCGCAGTGACCCATATTCCGTGCGATCGATCCCCATCCCCTCCCTCCCCCCCCCAACTCACCGCTTCGACGCTCCAGCAACAAGTGTTCGGGTTGCTGGTGCTGCCTGGCAAAGACAGACTGCCCCGGCCATCCAGGCTGGGCTGCAAAGTACATTCGCCACTGATACACAGTCTCGACTTGTGCTGTTTTGTGTCTGTTCTCGGTGGCTTTCTCGGCTCGTTTCGGCTCGGCTCGTTTCGGTTCGGCTCGGTTCCGCCAGTTTACTACTGCGATCCGTCCTCTCTGCTGCAGCTTCTCTTCCTCAGCAGGAGCTGGTATCACACCACAGCCCGGGTTCTCTTCAAGTGCGTGACGCTCAAGGTACTCCGGCTCTGTTGCAGAGCACTTGAGCCCAGACCAACGCCCGGGTTGGCAGCGCCAGAGTGACAGCCATGCTTGATGGACAGAGGATGCTCGTTCTTTCGTCGTTGCAGTGGCTCCTGGACGAGGGAAAGCAAATCAGCAGAATCCGCTTCATCGCCGCACCACTATCCCAGCCGTCTCCACTCCCACTTGCTCTGTCCTTGTACTGACCGGATCTGGATTCGATTCACAACCAGCTCAACGACGATCTCGGACGCTTTGGGAGCGACACTGATGACTCCGATGCCAGCGACGAGTTTGAAGACCGAACGCCCGTGCACCGCTCAAGCTCAAAGGCCTCAAATATCGCTCATGCGGCCACCAAAACCAACTCGGCGGCATCGGCCTTTGTGCGGGCTCTTGCCCTCTACGGGATTCCGAAGCCGCACACCCGGTCCTCACGATCGCCTCCTCGACATGTTCCATTTTGGCACTATATCCGGTCGTTCACTCTTCGGGTTGAAAGGTATGCCCGTCCGGGGTGGCTTTGGAACTCTGTCGTGGGGGGGGGCAAAGAGCGACGGCTGATGGAGCAGCCAACCCCTGTTCGCGAGTGATGGCAAGGCCCAGAGTGGCCCATTCCCCCCCCCAGATGGCCCACGGTAGTTTCAGGGCTGCGTGAGAGACGGCCGCCTGCGATCGGCTCTGCCTGTGGGATGTGCGCTCGAAACCGATGCGGCTGGAGTGCCCTGCCCGTGCTATGCGTAACCGGCCATTCCATCGCCTGATGCCACGGACAGAGCCGGGCTTCTGAAAAAGCACCTCGGATACCAGTGAATCCGCTCTCTCACCCAGCCTTTGACACAAGTCCGCTCCCTGAGCTTTGGGTCGACCATCCTCTCGCCAACCGACTTTGAAACAATCCGTAAGTGTCTCGGTGCCTTCAAAGGGAATCCTCAAGCTGTCTGAGACATGGGCATCTGCCCTACGATCGTCCACCGGACTGCCTGACTACTCCACTCGCTCATCCCCACTATCGTGTTCCCATGGACCGCCCTCATCTTGTGCCGATCAAAACCACAGGAACAAATTGTCCGAGCCTCGAAACTCTTCAACTGGAAGTCGTCCCGAGTGTCGAGCACTATGAGGCACTCCAGGCATTGTGTCTATCGGCTCCAGACCTGTCGAGGCTCGACATCGAGTCAAACCGCCCCCACTCGAACGAGGCAGTATTCAAGACCTTTGCTGCGTTTCTGCTTGCGACAGCGCCCAAGCTGCAGCGGCTCGTGATGAAAATCGAGATGGACGAGCTTGTTTTCATTTCGGGCTCGCCCTTCCTCCAGAACCTCGTTGACTGCGCCAGCCGAATGGACATCATGTACATCTCCAGCATCGTCTTTTGGTGAGTTTCTGTTGCTCCATTGCTCCGGCATGGCTCGAGTGCGCGCGTAGCCGCTGTGCAATCGCTCAGCATTGCAAAGACTATCAGGGTACTCTTTGTTGTGATTGCCGCTGTGATCGCCACTGCGGTTACAGTTGATGCACTGCCCGCACGATGGCATGGTCTGACGGTATTGCTTGTTGTCTGTAGCGATGGCAAGTCATTGGTTCAAAATCTGAGAGAGAAATGGAATACGGCCTTTCAAGCATGCCCAGCATGTCCTGGCATGGACCTTCGCACGGTGGAGCACTACCCGAGCCTCAAAATCTCAATCACAAAGCCGTCCTATTCAAGCATGTTCAGCAACATGGTTCTTGGCATGACCCAGAAGTCACGGATGGGTATCCTTATTGGGCCATACGACCCGCCGCCGCCACTTCAGGGCATCGTCTCACACGGTTGGATGAGCTCCGAGAGCCCCTCGGACCACGGAGATGATCCTTCTGACGGGGAGACTGACGGCGAAGCGGACTATGACGACGATCCTGCAGCACTGGAACACGACGACAACGATGACCAGGCGGCGGGTGATCAAAGCGATGCCGAAGACGGTGACGATTTCTCGAACCAAGACGCAGCATCAAGCGACAGCGCCGACTCTGCCCTGGCTCAAAACGAAGAGAGCTCGGTTGCTCTCTTCACTGCCGTTGACTCGAAAGCCGAGGTTGCGCTGGAACAAAACATGCAAATGCATGTGGGTCGACGGCAGACCTACGCAATCCCGCATATTGTTGATATCCTGCAGGACTCATACATTGTGTTTTGGTGACCGGGCTGCCGGATACCCGCTTGTGCATTGCCCATAATATGCAGTTGGCTAGTGGTGAGGGATGCTGCCGACCACATATCCTGTACTGCGGCGCTCTCGCCAGGAATGGGCCACTTTCACAGCAGGGTGTCCCGTTTCAAAACAGGAAAGCTGCAACCAGCACGCTCGAGTAGAGTCATGGCTGCCGTACTTTTCTGGTCCTGAATACAGACCTATCTGCTGCTGCGCTGTGATGCCGCAATCCCAGCAGATGGTCAACATGGAATTGCCGAAAGGCAACCGACACAGGCTATCGCAGACAACGCGATTGAAATGGGTGTGTCCTGGCCTTTCTTGAGTGTGCAGTGTGCTGATGCTGACCCCGAAGTGTGCTTTGCTGACCCCGAATACACCCACGCTCTGTTTCTCGGTGCTGCGATGGCATTCCGTCGCCTTCGATGCTGCGGCCGCTCGTCCTGGCGGCCAGCGGCGCGGACGTCCGCAACAGGGCCGAGATGGCCGACACATCCGCTCGCTTTCTTGGAATTGATCTCCTCATACACCCCGCCCCCACCCTGCATCCCAATCCCAATCCCGCCCCGGCCTCAGCTTTCCCGATGCGAATCTTCATCACCGCCATCGACCGCGAAGTTCAGACGCTCGATATCGACTCGAGCATGACCGTAAGCCAGCGTCTCGCCGTGACAGCGTCCGATCGCATCTGCCAACCCCGAGACTCGCGATGCACTCGGGCTTTGCTCACCCCTCGCACTCCCTCTGGCATGCCACAGCTGCGTGACCTTTCCCCTCTGATCGAAGCTGATCTCGGCATCCCAGTCGCGGAGCAAATCATCGTCGTCAACGGCGTTGCCCTGAGGGATATGGACCGGAGCCTCAGCGCCCTCGGCATTCTGCAAGACACCATCCTGCTCGTCTCGCGCAAGGCTTCCCATCAGCCGGCCACCCCTGGCTCCACAGCCTTTGCTCCCGGGTAAGCGAAGCTCTATAGATCCTCAGAACATGTGTGAATTGTCCGGCCAGATGGCATAGTACCGGCAAATGGCCCTGCGGACAACCGGCTGGCAATCCAGACCGCGGGCAGGAACTCCCGGACAGCCAGACGGAAGTCTGCTCGAGACAGCCTTTCCCCCTGGCGCTTTGGTTCAGAGAACAAGACGAGAGAGGACCGATATCGCCTGTCCAAGCCATGTGCAATGGCGCCTTTCTCGTTGCCTCTCTGGCTGGACACAGATGTTCATATCCGCGTGGTTTCTAATATCCTGACTGACGGATCCAGGAATGAGATCGAGGCCCTCCGACAACAGATCCTGTCGAGCCCGCAGCGCCTGGCACAGCTGCGTGCGGTGAGTCGATTGTCCGATCATGGATTTCAAAGTGCCCGCTGTCCCCGCTGTCCGTGCGCATACCCGGGGCTTCGCTGTGGCCCTCCTGACAAATCAGCCGCTTATCTGCTTGGCTCTTCAGCAAAACCCGCAACTAGCCCATGTCCTGGTCAACAACCCAGCTGAATTCGCACGGCAGCTCCGCCTCATCCAGGTATGTGCCGATCAAGCAGGTGGTGCTCTGTCGATTCTCTGGATGCGAGCGGTGGTGTTCGAGCCTTCGCCATACTTTGCTCGCTCGCTCAGGCTGCAGCAGCTAGCATGGCTTCATGAATTCATCTCCAACCACATGTATCCCCATCCGTATCAACAGCAGCAACAGCAACAGCAAGGCCCTGATATGTTACCTCCTGGTGTCGATCTTATGGATGCCTCTGTGCAGCGTCGCATCGAGGAGGAGATCCGTCAAAACAACATCAATCTGAACCGTGCGGTAAGAGTGGACACTGCCGGCTGACTCCGAAAGCTGCCAGGACTTGCAAGGAGGATGCCCTGGTGGTCGGGATCGTGACGCTGACGACATTGCCTGCGCCAATGCACTTTTTGCCCACCCTTTCGGCTGACAGACGGCGATGGAGTTCCATCCGGAAGTTTTCGCAAAGGTAATGAGGGGCCACTGTCCCATGGCAAATTGGCCGCCGAGCACAACAGGTAATCGGATGCCCGCCCGATGCATCTGCAGCTCTCGATTCACAATGCCTTCTGCACCAGGTCACCATGCTTTACATCAACTGCGAGGTCAATGGAGTCCCCGTCAAGGCCTTTGTCGACTCTGGAGCCCAGGCAACGATCATGAGCCCGGAGCTTGCTGAGCAGTGCCGCATTCGGCATTTGATCGACGAGCAGTTTGCAGGCACTGCTCATGGTGTCGGCACAGCCACGATTCTGGGCCGTGTCCATAGCGCGCCGCTCAAGATCGGAAACCAGTTCCTTCCGTGTTCGTTTACAGTTATGGAGGTGTGCATCACAGCCTGTTCGAAAGCCACGGCATTTGCCATCGACATTGATGTCGCATTGCTGCTCACGATACGGAGCCTCTGTGCGGTGTAGAAGCGCTTGCCGCGGTAACTTTGCTAACGCCTTGCTTTGGTGACATGACTTGCAGGCCAATGGCGTCGACATGCTCCTCGGACTCGACATGCTGAAGCGATACCAGGTGAGGCTCAATCCTTCAAACATCGTCGTCGCTGAGAAAACGCGAGGTATCCGCTCGGTGCATCGTGCTAACGCTCCGTCGTGACAGATCTGCATCGACCTCAAGAAAAACGTCCTCCGGATCGATGAAGAGGAGATACCGTTCCTCTCGGAGCACGAACTGCCCCTGAAGGCTCGGCTTGGACCCGAGGAGGCGCTTTCAGGTATGCTTTGTGCCCGAACGGGTCTCGTCCCAATGAGCGACGCATGTTGCTTGATCGCAGACAAGTGCCGGATGCAGATCGACAGCTACACCCAAGGCGGCCTGCTGTTGCCGACCAACCAAGCGACTGACCTGAGCACGCTTGCCACCCCGCAGGCACCCTCCCAGCGAGCGCACCGGCTCCAGCTCCAGCCCCAGCGCCCGCGTCGTTGGCAACGGGAAGTGCCCCTCCGAGTGCCGCACCACGCAGCGCCGCCGCGACCGCCTCGCGATACTCCGAGGATCACATCAGGACCCTGATTGATCTTGGGGTTGGAGGGCGGCAGCAGGCGATTGAGGCCCTGGACGCTGCCGGTGGAAACGTCGACGTTGCCGCAGCCCTCCTCTTCCAGTAATCGGCTGGCAGATGGACAGGCTTCCTGTGCTCCACTTGGTGAAGCCCACATGATGCCTCGGACCAATCGTCGTTTTCTTGAGACATGTCCTTTTTTGATGACAATACCAGGACCCTGATCCGCCGATGATTGCGTTCCAGTCCCTTATCTTTCGTGTGCGTGTTACCGGTTGCAGCTTGACCGATCGGTCGGTCGTCCCCTGCGGCGGATTGGGAGTGCCAGGCAGCAATAGCCTCGCAGACCGATATCCGGCTATCCAGAGTCCCCATTCCTGCATTGGCCGGGTTGCGGTGCTTTGATCAAAAGTATGGGTTTATTGCTACTGCCGGCTGACACAGAGCAGAATGTTGCAACGGGGATCGGAATCGAATGGGTGGATATTCACTGTCGGGTCGACACAGCTTAGTGGCCAGCGGCGATTCCTTCGGGGGACATCTTGTAGGCCTTGCGAGAGTAGTACTCGTGCTATATGCAGCCGTGCGGTTATAATGGCGGAGCGAATGGCGAGGTCAGTTGATATGCCGCATGATGAGGGAGTGGCACGCGTGGTCAGAGCCAAGTCCTGCAGGCGTCGGTGGCCAGGAAGAAGAGCGCCATATCCATGGTTCCTACCTTGGCATCAGCCCACAGAGCCAGGTTGTAGTAGAAGGCAACGGGAGGGCCGATGAACAGAGCCCATCGACCGCAGCGCTGGACAAACTTGAACAGGCCGGGGTTCAGGAAGCCAGCGAAGGGGCGGAGCTGGAAGGGAGAGGTGCCGTATTCGTAGAATCCGGACATCTTGTGTTGGGGAGTACCCCACCAGCTGCATAATCAATGGCCGAGGATTCCAGCAACCGCAGCGTCGGGGGCGTCGAGGAGACGGATCCAAGCCCATATCATCGATAGGGGCGCAGTCGGACACCGCCAACGACACATATCGCAGATCGATTCGATCCAAGAGCGACACAATTCGATTCGAGGGGATATCGGTTCGTGATGGGGCCGGCATTTGCATCCGCATCGGCGTGAATGATACAGGCATCACACGATGGAGTTGAAAGTGGGTCGTCAAATCGGTTGCCGATGCACAGATGCGTTCGAGAGCATGCAGGACCGTGTGTTGGGGCGTTTGTGCAAAGGCATTACGGTCAAGCGAACGCCGGAGCAGGATAAGATGCGACACATCAAAGTCAGTGTATTGCTGCAGCCATGCGCATCTTTGCAACCAAGGCCATGTGCATCTCGACCCGCTCGCTGATTTTCCACAGCAGCCACTGCAGCGAAGAAAGCAGCAGTACGCACGAATGAGCACCCATTTTGAATCGAGGAGCAGGCTCGGGAGGGAAGAGGCGTGACGAGGAGAGAGCCGGAACGCTGCAGCGGGCCTGTTGCGGCGCGCATTGGCAGCGGCGCCCGAAAACGCAAAAAAAGGAAGCCAGGCTCGAGTGCGGATGCAGCCGGCGTGCGGCCAAATGAAATTCATTTCGCGACCTATCCGTCCTGGCTGTGGCTGTCGCTGGCGGTGTGCTCGGCGACCTCGAGGATCACATTGGGATCTGCGGGCGGGTTGTCGCTCTCGGTGTGTTCATAGAACGGGTTGCGCTGTTTCAGACAGGTCTGCAACTGCAGGAACTGCGGGTGACTCGCCTCGAACACATTGTCCTGAAATGAAAGAGCGACAGGGCCGAGTGGCTGTCAGGACAGGATGCAGTTGGATGTAGTCGGATGCAGTTGGATGCAGTAAGATGCAGTCGGATGCAGTAAGATGCGGCAGCGGACCGCACCGTCCTGAGCGCAGAGTACAGGCTCTCTGCACAACAGTCCGTGAGACTTCCGCATGTGTTCGGATGCTCGCCATCCGACGTCTCTCGAGTTCGCGCAACGCAGCATACCTGCAGACTGACGCGGAACACCCCGATGATCCCCTCGGTCATGTTTTCCGCCGTCGACTCTTGCTCCACGACGGCATCGAGGATCGCCTTGAGCCCAGCAGCCGTGATGCTGTTGCGCGACAGGTTCAGGTTGTTGAGCGTGCGATTCCCGAGAATGAACCACTGTCCGTTCACCTCGAACATGGGCTCGATGTTACCCGAGTCTCCGGTCTGTCCGCATCCGTTCCCACGGGGCGAACAGCAACAATGAGCAGCATCAGTAATCCGGGCTGCATACGCCAGGAATGCGACGGAGACACTCTTCCTTCTCGCTCTCGCTCTCTCCCACTAGCGACATTGCCACACAGCCTCCAAATGCTTGCAGTGCATACTTCTTCGACGTCTTCCTTGATTTCCTCGGCCTTGCCCTTCTTGCCTCCTTTTGCGACCGGTGCGGCTGCCGCTGCCGCTGTTTTCTTTGCGTCTTTGCCCTTGGATTTTTCGTCTGCCGCCACTACCGCCGCTTTCTCGCCTCCCTTTCCGCCCTTTCCGGCCCCGGCGTTCCCGGCAACACTCTTGGGCTCTTCTTTCTTGCTGGTCTCGGCTCCCTTCTTGCCAGCTGCTTTCGCCGGGGCCGGAGCTGCTCCCTTTTTGGCATTCTTGTCTTGCGGGCCTCCTTTGGGAGGGGCTGGCTCGTCGGCTTTTTTGGTCCTGTATCGGCAGTACCGGTCAGGGTCCATATTCAAAAGTGCTTCGGCAACCAACTCCCCCGCCCTTTGATCGTCGACGGCTACCGCTTCCAAGCTCAAGCGTGATTTGATCGAACTCAATACCGAACACCCCTCGGCCAACCGGCTTTCGGCTTCCGATGCCGGCATGCTGCACAATGACCTGCGAGACGTACTGGTTTGCCGAGCTCACTCGGCCCGCGTGGCTCGTCGCCAGTCTGCCCTTTGTTTTTTTCGATGCTTGATCCTGCCGAGATGCGGAGTTACATGAGAATACGCTTTTCGGCATCAATGGCGCATCGCAAGTACATCACTGCGGACGAATCTGTGGCTTTGCGCGAAACCAAGTGCTTACTTCCTCCTGTTCCTTGCGCTGCTTGTCGATTTCAGCTAGCGCCTTCTTCCTTGACATGATCTCGTCATTGTGCAGCGGGTAGTTTGAGAGAACCTGGGTCCATGTGACGGTTCTGATGTGAATGTGATGTTGTGGACGGGACAGGGCAGTCTCGTTGTCCAGCCAGCCGTGCAGCCAACCAAGCGACACCGCTTGAACGCAGAGGTACCTTGGCGAACGCCGCCGCCCCTTCGTCCCCGATGTTATTGTGCCCCAGCGAGAGGGACATCAGCGTCGAGTTGAACTTGAGTACCTGGAAGCCGTCGTGATCTGGTCAGTATCTATGTCTCTGGTTGTGCCGACATCGTGCCATACGAGGCGGTCTTGCTTGATGCTGCATGTTGCCACACATGTCTGCTTGAACACTGGCGGAGATCACACGGATACCTCGGCCAGCTCTCCGGCGCCCTCCTTTCCAATTCGGTTGTCCCACAGATTCAACGCTTGTAGTGTTCTGTTTGACTTGAGCACCGACGCGAGCGACTTGGCTCCGGGGTCGCCGATTCGGTTGCCTCGCAAGCACAGCGTCTTGAGTGCCGAGTCGTCTATGACGAGAAATGCGTAGAGCTGCTCTGGAATCGCTGGATTCTGATCGATAACCAGGTGTCGGATGCTTCCTTGATGCACCGCGGCGACAATCGACGCGAAATGGGCTTCGTCGAGACCGTTGTTCCAAAGTCTGGTTGCCAGAGATAGAGTTAGTGCCCTTCATAATCAAAACCAGCCGCCAAGCTCCGCTGGCGGATCCCCACATCAGAGTCTCGCACGCTCAGCGCCGTGGTATCGTGCTGATCAACTGCCGCTCAGCAGACAAGACACATCCTGGCACTCACGTCAGATGCGTTATGGTCGTGCACGTATGCATGATGCAGGCTATGACGTCCACTTGCCGGACATCGAGCCTCCATCCACGAACCTCGAGCTTGTAGATCTCTTCCTCGTCCTCGTTGTCGCTGAGCTCGACATCAATCGTGGGCGTGAAGCGGTACCGAGAGTTGTACTTGACTGGCACTGGTCCAGTGGGCTTGGAGGGCAGCACCAAGTGGCTGCTGCCGATCTGTGCGGTGCTTTCGGTGAGGTCTTGCCGAAGGTTCGCCGTCGACGTCTCATGTCCGGGCGCGGTCTCATCAGCCAGATGCCCCTCGCTGGGGACTGTCGCGAGCGCATTCTCGTCCAGAGGCTGGGATGCGTTCATATCAATGCCGCTGGCGAGGATCTGGCTCGACTTTGCGACGTGAAGCGGGGCAACCGGAGTGGGCAGCGGCGGAAGCGGGTGGCCGATCTTTTGAATCTTCATTGGATTCAGCACGAGCTTCTTGCACGCCTCATTGTAGTCGGTGATGAAGTTGCCGGTGAGGTCCGGGAGTTCGAGCTGATATCCGCTCTGCATGCGATTCAGCACCATGGAGCCGCGTCCGATGGTTTGGGCCAGCTTCTGTAGCGTGAGCGAGCTATCATTTGTATCATTGTCGATGGCCATGATGGGTGCAGTAGCCTCGATGAAGTCTCGGTGCAGACGAGAGGAGTGGAAAGCGAGGCTTTGCTGGCCAGCGATGGGATGTGGTCGCCAATCGGGCGAATGAGGCTCTCCCGAATCACTGCTGAGGGCGGGCAGAATCAAGCAGGATCTCGGATAACACCAAGGTCCATGCAATTCGCGAGAGAGCCGGGTCGCTTGAGAAATCCGACCTGAGCAATCCCGACCTCTTGCCCTGATTCCATGAATGTGTGCTCCAACTAAAACATCAAAGCGTCGGCTATGACAACAGGTGCGCCATTTAGTCTTTTGTGCTGCAATCTGGGTGTTTTTGTTACTTGACGGAACTGAAAGATACACATACTGATCGAAGAAAATATATACCAACAAAGAGAGAAATAAGGAAAGAAAGGGATATGGATATGGGGACAGCCGAGTTGGGCGGGAATGCGAGCCTACTCCAGCTGCAGTGCCACATTATTCCTTTGATGCTTCAGTGGCCTGTGCCGAAGCACTTGTTCCGGCTTCGGCCTTGGGATCCCTCCATGGGGCCTTGGAGCTCGATCGCGACGATGTGCAGCCAAATGCAGCCTCGAGAAGAGGTTCTTCCTGCTCATCTTGGTTGATCTGCTGCAGCTCCGCAGTATATCGGCTGGTGAAGACTTCAAAGTAGTAGCCGGCGCCGTTGAAGACGGTGACCATCACAATACAGATGATCGCTGCAGTGTGCAGCCAAAAGTAGCGGTAATATAAAAAGGCCGGCGCCGTGGTCACCACTGCAAAGACGAGCTGTCCTGCCATGAACACGTAGACGTGGTTGTCGGGGCCGCAGAACCGCAGCAGGCGCATGACGGGCGAGTTGGGCGGGCTCTTCTTGACAATATCGCCGACAAGCCAGGTAAAGGAGGTGGCACGGTCGCCGCTGTAGACCTTGTCGCCATTCAGGATCATGATGAAGTAAAAGTAGAGCACCTGCCAGAGGAGATAGACGCTGATGGCGATGACCATGGACTCGGTGAACGACACGTCGATCGCGGCAGGATTCTCGCCGCCAAAGTACGCAACGAGCGGGTACGGGATAGGCGACTTGCCGGTGCGCGAGCGGTTCTCGGTGAACCAACGGATGGCGTAGAAGGTGAGCTGCGGCGAAAGATGGATCCAGACGCTGGTAACCTTGTCCAGGCTGTGCAGGACCAGCGAGGTTCTCCAGGCATAGTTGGCCCAGATGACCGGGCCGTGCGCCAGACAGAAGGCCGCGATGAAGATGAATTTGGAGCTCGGAAAGACGTGCAGATAGAGCATCGTCAGGAAGTTGACGTGATAGCAGAGATCGGCAATGAAATAGTGCCACTTGCGCGACTTGTACATGAACCACCGCAGGGTGATCAGAATGATGGAGATGGATGTGAAGTAGAGCGGCATCCACTCGGGGAACCGGCAGAGGACCATGGTCGTGAACCAAATGTTGGTTATGCCGCCGACAAACGATATCTTGTCCCGCAGCCGGATGACCTTTTGTTCGCGCAGCTTGCGCTTGAGTTTCTGCTTGTTCTCCTTCAACCTGGACCGTATCTTGGATGTGCGGCGATCAAAGACCTGCAGCAGCGTCGAGGCTCGGCCGACGAGGGCGTCAAATACAACCGATTCATAGTCCAGGCCGGGGCGGTCGTAGTTGGCATAGTAAAAGTCGTCGTCGTCGCTGTCGTCATCAAAGTGGTCGGAGTTGGAGCTGCTGGCGGAGGAGAGCGAGTCGAGTGAGTCGAGCGAGTCGGACGCCTTGCCGTCGTCGCTTGGCATGGTCGCTTCGGGCATAGACTGGACGAGCCGGCGCAGAGTGCGACGGGTGCAGGAGAGGCGGATCGGGTTTGCGGCGCCAGGGAAGGCAGAGGAGCAAGCCGAGGGCGACCAAGGACCGACCAGAACAACCGAACAAAACGGCCTTTCGGACGGGCGTTGGGGCAGAGCGCCAGGCCGGGGCACGTGTCAGCACCTGGGATCTGCGCGGTGGGCTTTGTGCGATTGGCCGGCACCGGCCCCTGTCCCTGAAGTTGGGGCCCCATGTTCTACCCCGGCAAAGCACGCTTGCTCGTCCGCCCGCTGTGCGCAAGCAATCCAGCAGCTCGGGGGAATCGGCCATCTGTATTTGAGGATCATCGCGGCTGTCTTTCGACTGCCCGAGCCCGCTACTCGACGCTGCTTTCTTCAACCAAGTATGTCGATGGGTTGTAGACGCTGAAGCCAAACATGGACGGGAACGATCCCGGATTGACCACCTGGCACCCGTCGTATGTCTCCGCATACTTGTCGAACGAGTCCGCCAGCACAACCTGGAGACGGGGGGTCGATACGTCAGATGCACAGTCGTCCCCATCAACCCGCGCCGCGGTATTATGTTCGCCGTGGATTCGACTCGCCTGTGTCTCACCACCACCCCAAGCATACCAGGTGCGGTGAGGGGTAAATACGCAAGGCATGGTCGAATGCCCACAGCGTCGGCTGGACGTTTCGCGGCAGAGGACACAGGTGGCTTTGATGGATGATTGACCGCACCACCTAAATGCCATGAAGTCAGTGTCTCTACACCGGTTGTCGCTGTCGGAGTGCGCCGACGCCGACACTAATTCGGATGCAGATGCCGGTGCCGGTGCCGGTGCTGGATATCGGATCTGTCATTCACGTGCCGTCGGGTGAATGTGTGCCGAGCAGGACAAACCTGGTTCTGGAGAGTCAACTCGGTCTCGTCGACGGACCGGGTGATACTGTTGCGCTTGAGCTTGTTGATCAAATCCTCCCGAAACACAACAATCTCCTGCGAGCAGTACTTGATCCTGCAGGGGTTGCTCATAAACACCGCCTTTGGAATTCTCGCGCGGACACGCTCGGTGAATGTGTCTGGAATCTTTGGCCGCGGAAGCACATCAGGCGACCAGGGATCGTGCGGGCCCGGGACGAATACAAAGTGGCAGGACCGCGCAACCTCGGGGAACTCGCATACAAGATCGCAGAAGGTGTTCCAGTTTTCTGCAGCAGGAGCAGCCGTGTCAGTATCGCAGCACAGCACAGCACAGCACAGCCGATAGCCGCACTGAGAGAGCGAGGCGCAGCCAGTACCTTTGTACTTTTGTGGATCCTTTCCGTTGAATAGATACGCCGTGGATGAAAAGTTTCCCAGCAAAATGAAGGCCAAAGGGAAAGTGGCTTCGGAATAGCCGTGGAGGATCTCCCGAAACTTGGCGGTGACCCGTGGCTGATCCAGGTGCAGGTCCGAGAGAATCACAAAGAACACGTCGTCCAAACTCCTCTCGATGTTGAGCAAGGATGCCTGTAAACATCCATACCGTCAGGCGTGAATAGTAGCGGAACGGGCTCGGCACTCGCTTTGTTTCCATCTAGGTGCATGTGCGGATGTCAGTGCAACCAGCCGTCTGCTGGCTGCAGATGGCCGAGGGGAGTGTCGGCCGTTGCTGAGCGACGCCCACCTTGTCTTCGGTGTCCGAACCATTCCCGAAAAAATCGACATTGTTGCCGTATGCAGAGCTGGCAGCCAAGGGCAAGAATGGGGTCAATGGCCAGCCCTTTATCTTGAATAGTGTCTCCTGGCACCACCAGGCGGCCGTGGATTCGCATGATGCCACTTACAGTGTTTTGTCTCGATCTTCACAAGGCGGAAGCTCGATTGAGGCTGCCCGGAACTTTTGGTTCGTCACCAGGGTGCCTTCCACGATGACAAACAACGTTTCGGTGAACAGCCCCGGCCCGTACCGGATCTAACGAGGTTGATGTCCCATTAGCCACCGTGGAGCGATCGACAGCCACCTCGGGGTGAGAGTTGCGATGACTCTCTTCCCGGGGCTTGGCCACCACATCAGCGTGGATGCGTCGTTCATTCCAGTTCCGATGCCGTGACGACCATGCCCACATACATTCTCATCGAGCTCGAGCTCGACATATCCGTCAGGGTCCTCCAGATGGTGCTTGCCCTCTTCCATCCGTGTCAGCATCCCCAGCAGCGTGAATCGTTCGCCACTCCGGCCAATAAGGTTCTTGATCGATGTGATCTGATGGACAAGAGACGATTTGCACACACGGTGTTGGCGGGCGAGCTCTCTAGCCAAATCGCCGACTTGATGGATCGCCATCGCACGTGGCGGTGCTTACCTTGGTTTTGTTCCTGTTGCCAAGCGAGAGCGACATTGGGCTGTACTTCTCACACCGGAGTGTTTTCTGCTTGATCAGGTCGAATCGGTCTCGAAACGACGTCGTCAAGGTTCGGGCGGGTCCGAATGCATGCAGATGCTCTTGAACCCTAAGTCACGACAGCATCAGAGGATGATCCAGGCAATACGCCGAGCGGACGTTAGACCTTGCAGAAGCCGCAGTCGGAACTGGAACTGGAGTTGGAGCTGGGGCCACAGCCTCGGCAGAGAGTCGTGCGAGCGAAGTGCTGCCGTACCTCACAAAGTGCTTCTGATCGGCCCGGTATTCCCACTTTGGGATCTCGAAAGCGTCCATCGTCTTGAAGTAAGCTCCGATATCGCCAGCCATGCCCCCGGCCACCCGCACCCCCGGGGCATCGAGGGACGCATGAACGGCATTCTTCCGCAGTAGCGAGTCAATGACCTCTTGCAGCAACCCATGTTCCAAAATGTGCGATCCGTCGCCTGGAACCCAGTGATGTGGTCTTTGGTCAGTTGCTGGTGTCGTCCACAACAATGCCGGATAGACTGCCTGTCCCAGCGGCAACGGGCAGGCTTGCTCGGCTCACCATGTGCCTGGAGATACGCCTGGACGATCCGGTCGAGGGCTTCGGGAATGTCATCAGGATTGGGCACAATCGATGGGTCCTCGAGAATGTCGACCAGCAGCACCACGGCGGCCTTCTGGGCGCCGAGGCCATACTTGTTGCTGAGGGTTCGAAGGATCACTCGTTCGTACATGGCGGCTGAGGGCAGAGCGCAGGTCGGCCATGGGCTGTATCGCTTGATGGTTGCCGGCCCGGGCAAACCTGGGCACGCCTGGATGAGCGAGCGATCAAGCCAGAGCGGCGTGCATTTGACCCGAAAAGGAAATATGACACTATGAAAAAATTCCTTGTTAATAAAATGAGCGAGAACGAAAAAACGCGCTCTCGGGGCCACCTCGGTCGGCGAGAAGAGCAGTCTCTGGCGAGAGACCCCCGAGGGAAGGCGAGAAGCCTCTCGCCGTCACACACACACACACACACTTTGCACACACACACACACACATTGCACACACACACTTTGCAAGGGAGTCAAACACCTCCCATCGACCATCCCAAGAGGGATGGCAACCCCGAAGTGGACTGCCCAGAATATGGGCGACCCGGCATCCACTGTCGAAATGCACAAGGAACAGTGCAAGATACTTACAGTCTATCCAGAAAGAAACGGAACAGATCCCATTTCGGGCTTCAGATATCTGAAGCCCGTTGACTGACTGTAGGCCCCAGCGAGCAAGCCGTGCGATTGTTTCCCGTCCTGGTTGGCAATCTCTTTGTTGGTTTCGGGAGCACAGTCTTGAATCGGAGTGGAGCTTCCAACAATGATACAATTGGTCATTCCTCCACACCAATCGCCCACCACCACCGTCAATCGGCTCAAGGCGATACCAAATGCCGTCAACCGACCATGGCCGGATTCCAACTTTTGCTGCGCCACAGACAACGTGGCTTTCAGGTGACCGAGATGAGCAGCCGCGAGGGGCCGGAAAAAATTAATAGTATGGGCAGCCCGAGAAGGCAGCCCTCCCGGTTCATGCGCTGGTCGACCTCGCTCGTTGTTCTGGTCTGCCGATCGCTGCCGCTTGATCCTCGCCCTGGCTCGCTTCGCTCGACCCATCCCCTCGAAGCATCGCTCAAGCCATGTCGCTCACGATCTCGCTACCAATCGACCAAGCTGTCGACCGACACAGGTACCGGCTGATCGAGCTTCCGCCCGAGGTTGCTGCCCTCTTTGAGGACTACAACCCCGATGCCAGTGCCGGCGCTGATGCCTCAATTGCGGCGACCCCACCCCGGTAGGCTGTATTCCGTCAAATCAAGGCGTCGTGGTCACTCGCTGTCTCGAAGCAGCTGCGATAGCCACATCGAATGGTCCATCTGAATCGACAGCACGCTGACTGTGTTTCTCGCGACATTGCTGTGCTCGCATCTGTGCAGGATTATCATCAAAGGAGGCGAAGACGACGAGGCAACACTCTGCACCGATACCCAAACCTTTGCTGTCAAGGAAGTCCAAACGTCCAATACGCTCCTGATGATTTGTCCGCTTGGCCGTTCGCCGGCATTGCTGCCAGAAACCGCCGCTCCCTCCACGCCGCCAATGTTGCCGTATGCCCTCAAAGAATCGGTGTTCTCGTACATCGAGTTGATACCGTGCCCGCCGAGACTCGAGCGGCTGCGGCGGATGCTGAGCGAATCGCCATACAATGGGCCGGACGCAATGGACACTGGCAGCCTGTATACGTTGGGAGAACTGCTGTCGCAGGTTCAGGCTAGTCCTGGAGAGCTGCAGCGGGGACTGAAGGAAAACGAAGCATTCGAACTGGAAGGTGGGTTGTTTTGGTCTTAGTACCGGATTATGGTAGAGGGCATGGGGGGAAAATCGCCCGCATCTACTCTGGCATTTCGTTGGGGTCACAGCAGATTGCCAAGTCGCCTGACGATGGCCTTGGCCTCTCCCTGAATCGTGGCTAGGACGCTGGCGAATCTTCGACCCAGAGTTCCAAGAGCAGTTGTTGAATGTGGTGCTGCTGGGCTGCATTGAGCACGACAAGCAAATCGACTCGCTGGCGTTGGCCGACGTCTCCGCAATGCTCAGGGATACGGACTATGGCCGCGTTTCTGTGGAAGTTATCGCCCATTGTCTTGAGTGCTTTTCGGTTCAAGGAGCACCATTGGAGAATCAAAGTGGTACGTGACCCTCTGAATGCACCCTGTTGGCTGGTTTTCAAGTTGACAGGAGAGCACGACACTCTACGGAGCATCGTTGGTCCGTCCGCAACCACGATAAGCTCGGCTGTGCTGAACCTCGATGCTACGATTGATTTGATTCCGCATCTAGACCTAGTCTACAGCTTGTCTCGGGAAAAGATCTCACGATTCTATGGCAAACAGATACTGTCGTCCTTGAAGGTGAGCCAAATGCCGTTCATATGACGAAGGAATGCACATCACTGACTCTCTCTATTGCATAACATGGCACGGCATCACATTCAACCGGCCCGTGCTAGGACGGCGAGTGCGAGTACGAGCACTTTTTGACAGAGTGGTCCAGAAAGCTCTCGGATTTCTTGGCCGATGGCGATGAGCCCTCGCTCAAGATCCTTGAGGTGCGATCTCTGATCTCTGCTTCATTTGCCGCCGATGCTGCCGATGCTGTCGCGAGCTAACTCGCCGTGTGCTTGGGCGATATCTTTGCCGGGGCGTCCGTAGGATCTTTGTTTGGTGGAAGTCATCAACGTCGGCAGACGAGTCATCAAGTTCTTTCCGAAGGACCGGTTATCACTTGAAGCCAAGCAGCGACTGGAGGAGCTTTTCACGATCAGAAAGAAGTGGTCCCGATCGGATCTGCTTCCATATGGTATGAGTTCGGCACCTCACGTCGCTCTGACACTTGCTGCGTAGACTCATATTCTGCTACACATCAATGTAGTCTCGGACCTGGCCCCTTCCGTCAAGAAGCTCGACGCCCTGCTGCTAAAGTACACACGCATGTCCAAGGTTGACACAGAGGTATTCTATACCTTCCGCTATGCGCTCTCGGAGTGACGCGGAGGCTATGGCATGGACAGCCATCACTCTGGCACTGTGCTGAGATCCTCGACGTGGGGCAATGGCTGGTAGCTGGCCGAGCCATTGGCATTGAAATGGAAGTGGTTGAAGCAATGATCACACCACATGAACGGGTTGCGATCAGCGTGTATGTCGTCATAGGATATCCACCTGGATGCGTCAATACAGAGTACCACCAGCAGTGAGCATGATATGGATCGGCGCCGTGATGGCAGTGGTGGTGACCAACAATGTGGGTGCGAAGATCGTACCGGGCCGGGCTTTTCTCGCAGCCGTAGCATCCTGGATGCCGTGGTCTTGTTGTAAAGACGACAACGGGGTAGTCTTGAGCATCGCGCGGCATATCCCCCGATACCACTCTGTTGAACAGTCACACTATGTTAGACCCGATGTCCGAGCGCTGTGACATTTATGTTGGAAAGCTGGGAACTGCCCTCGACCAACCTGACGCTGTCGAAAATGAGGACGTGTTCGCAATTGCCTTGGTGTGCGTACAGATACGGGCATCGGAGACGGATGGTGAGCTGATCGATCCGTACGCCGTCCATGCTTCTCGCCACGAGCGGTTGTCTGCCTTCTTGTTCGTGCATCCAATCGATAATGTTCCTACATGACGCAAGGTATCTCGTCAGGGTGCTCCTCTTTGCTCTCTGGAGTCGCAGCAGCAAGACCCAACACCGCCGCCATTGTGCCAGCGAGCACTACAGCCGCCGAGACCCCGGTTTCCAAGACGACAACGGCTGCTATGCCACACCGTACTTGCTGTAGTCCAGCGCCCCGGGGCAGCGCATGTCGTTGTAGAAGATGCCCTCGATGAAAAAGTACCCCGACTTGGCCAGGGCCTGGCCATGGCGGTCCGAAGAACACTGGATGGCGTCGCGCAGATCCGTGAGCGGCTGACGACCCAGCACCAAAAACCGGCTCATGGGCTCAGAGAGCGACGATGAAGGGTGGTAGACGGTGACTGAGAGCGCCAGCTCGCCGCCCACGTCTGTCGTAGGCGACCGACGAGTTGCTGCCCCCTATTGCCAGGCGGGAGGATGATTGCGACCGCGATGCAGCGATATATCAGCCTCGATGCAGTAACGATAGTCGTGCCGTGCGGTGTGTCAGTTCCATACCACGGCCATGAGCTTGTTGGCCCAGAAGCTCGTTCCAGAGTGGGCCAGCTGGATTCTGCCGACTGGGCCACGTCTCTGCGACGATGAAGATGGCGATGGTGACGATGGTGACGATGGCGATGGTGATGGCGACGAGGACGCACCGCTTTCCTGACTCCTCCATCTACAAATGCAGCCGGAGAGGGGCAAACAACAATGGTATTTAGCGTGTATGATGCAGCACTCGAGCCAGGCGGTTTGATCAAGCAGTGCGGCTTACTCCATCGTGGCCAGGCGATGGGGCGAATCCGCCTGGGCACCGCCGGGACAGTCTGGCTTTTGTCTCTTGGACTTGGGCTCGGGAGGAGGAGGAGGAAGTTTCAGCGACGAGACTTTTCGGTACAGGAAGGGGTTGACGTCAAGGGTCGGACCTCCGGATTTGGTGAACTCGGCCTTGGAATGCACACAACTGGCGAGGCGGGGATTGTCCCGGAACAGGGTCGAGAGGACGATGCGCTTGGAGGGTGTTGGTGCAGAGGAGCCGAGCTGCATGGTTGGTGTGCGTCTGCCAGAGCGATCGGAGACGATTGGATCGAGAGAGAAGAGCGATCGGATCTGGAGAGAGAAGAGCGATCGGATCTGGAGAGAGAAGGATGAGTCAAACGCAGATCTGCGGATACGATGCATATCCGCCCGGGCCTTCCGCGCACCAAAAACCCGCAGCGCCGATCGCATCCGCTGAGTGCATCTGCTGAGTGCATCTGCTGAGTGCATCGATATCGCGAACCCCCTAACGACGCTGTCCGTTCCCGGCATCTGTCGGCGGTGTCCGCCACGCCGGCACAGGCCGCTCGCTGTCTGGCGGCGTGGTGAATATACCATTCCATGGCAACAGCATTGGCGACATTGACAACATCAACAACATCGACAACAATATCAGCGGCCCGAACAACATCAACGACACGAACATCATCAGCGACCGATCCCACCGTCGCCACCATCGACATCAACAGCCAACAGCACCTCATCCTTCGCACGCTGACCGTATGCCTGGCCACCGTTACAGGCAATCCAATAAAAAACGGGACACCCGGGTTTTTGACCATTCATCGAATATTTTGTTACCCAATGTTATCGCGCGCTGGCCATGACCATTCGCCACACATCCGACTTTCGCACCGCCGCATTGCGATGCTACGCCCTCATCCATAGCCTGCGTAAGGTCGCCTCCATATTCAGTGTATCCGAGAGCACCATCCATCGATGGCACCGAGGATGCAAGCTGGATGACCCATCCCGGGTCCCAGCTCGCAGATCCACTTTCTTTGAGCAGGCATGTCCAGTCATTCGCACCCTGATTGAACAGGACCCGTTCCAGACTGGTCCTGTGTTGCGATGCAAGCTCGAGTCCATCCTCCAGAGGAAAGTATCACTCTCACTCTGCCACACTGCCATCCACCGAGCAGGTCTCTCACACAAGAGGGCAACACACCTCTACAAGTCCAAGCGACTGGATGAGCGAGTGGCACAGTTCAGGGACCAGGTCCGCTCCATCGACCCACGACGATTCGTTTTTGTCGATGAGACGGGGATCAGGAGATCCATTTTCTCTCTTTACGGATACTCACCGAGGGGTGCTCCGCTTCGCCAGCGCAATCACATGAAACACAAGTCTGTCTCGGCTGCATTTGCCATCAACCACTCTGGTGTGCTGCATCGCATGTACATCCCCACATCATTCAAGACACACTCGATGGTCGAGTTCTTTGAGCGAGCGAGCTTCCCAGACGACTCTGTGATTGTGATGGACAATGTCAGCATGCACAAGACAAGGGCTGTCCTGGACTGCATCGAGCGCCGAGGATGGTCAGTGATCTTCACCCCACCTGCTTCACCCGACTTCAATCCCATCGAGAACTTCTTTGGGATTGTGAAGCATCAGTACAGGAAGACAACAGCGCTGAATGCGTCTGAGGGGTTCAAGGTCGGGATGATGACCCTGTTCGAGTCTGCCGTTCGGAGGGTGCTTCCAGATGTCTTCCCACGGCTGATTGAGCGAGCGATGCGCTTCTGGGGTTGAGTTCCCTCCAATCAAGCCGCCGTTCTCACGTTCACATCCCTGGCTTGAACCTCTCGGCGATTTTTGAACAGGGTCACTTCCCAACCAGCCCGCAAAGACGGGCTCCTGCTCTCGGGTATAAATGCCACACCTTCGTCCTGCTGCTTTCTTCCCTCATCTCGCCTTGATCTGATCATCGCGCCATTGCACGATAAAAAAGTCTCTGCTCTGACCAGTACCACTGGCAGGCATCCAGCATCCTCTGTTCCCATGCCTCCGAAGCGCAAGGGTGCCGGTGATGGCCAGCCTCGGCCACCCAGGCCCAAGAAAGCCAAGTCACAGTCGAAGCCTGTCTCTGGTTCGTATTCTGACCCCACGCATGCTTGGTCGTCTGTTGCTCCGTCGCTCACCACCACTGCTTCTGCAGATCCAATGGATGTCGATCCCACCGAGCCTGGTCCATCTACTTCCTCGAGTACCAGCAAGCGATGTCGCCAGTGCGATGGCACCGATCACGAACGCTGCAACACTAGCAAGTGTCCAAAATATCACCCCCTCAAGAGTTCTGTCGTCCCACTCGTGGATGGAAGGTCATCCGCCCCTCAGTTCAGCTGCTTCAAGCAGACGATGGATGGCTGTTGTCTCAATCCCGCTTTCCGCGACAAGATCCAGGCCACCGTCGAGGCCATGACCCAGATCCAGTTCGAGGCATCCAGGCTGCTCAACCTGCACATCCTCCGGTGCATCGAGCAGGATCTTCCCGTCCCCGTCATCTCCAAGTCCACCCCTGCTTTCATCCGCCAATGCTTCACGATTGTCCAGGCCGGTGCCCTCTCGCCGACCAGGGACAATGAGAAATACAACGAGCATCTGGTCGCTTCCTTTCGCGACTACCAGACCACTCGGCACGCAGACCTGCCTCCGGCCCCTCGTCTGCCTGATGGTGCTCACAGTCAGCTTCTCACACTGGCTGTCAATGCCTATGCCACCAACTGCACCACCCACCTCGACCTGGCCTACTGGCGACTCCTTCGCCGCTTCTGCGCTGCCATCTTCCCAGCCAACAAGCACAAGCACGAAGCCATCGAGGCCTGTCTTAAGCTCTTCGAGAAACCAGGGCAGACTCCACCCAAGGCCTATCCCGAGTTTGGTCACATCCTGGACGAGTTTCGGTACAGCAACGACCAGGACCGCTTCCGGGCCCTCCATCGCCTCTCATACCATGTGAGAATCCTCGCCCGGGACAAGATGGTCGACGATGTCCACAAGTGGATCGACTGTGACATGCCCGCCCTCCGAGTCACCGAGCTGCAGCGCCAGGCCAAGCTGGACGAGCTCACTGCCAGAGGCATTCCCTCCGACGACAAGAGGTTCACCAAGGCCAAGTCGGAGCTCGGCACCACCAAGGCCAAGATCAACAAGCTGGCCGCCAGGATCAACTGGGCACTCAAGCAGCTCGCTCTGGACACTCCTCCGGCCGTGTGCACGATGGTCCCTCTGTGCACAGCCAAGGCCAAGTATGTCAAGATTGACACGGTCACTCTCTGGCAACTCCTTGACACCGAACATCGTCTTGGACTCACCAGGGACAAGCTCAAGGATGAAGGTGATGACGGCATCAACAACCAGGATCGTCTCTGGCGCAGTTGCTTCAAGCTGCGTAGTTCCCTCTTCCAAGAGCGGGTCAGGGACAAGAAGCTGTTCAACTACGAGATCAGCACCGATGGCATTGGATGCACCATCGGCCTCGTCAAGTTTCTGCCTCGAACCGATCACACCGAGACCATCGAGCCTCCTCCGACTGCCGAGCAGCGTATCCAGGCCCACATCGGCAACCCAGACCCCAACCGCACCACTTGGATTGGCATCGATCCTGGAGTCGGCTCCATCTTCACTGCGGTCATCCAAGCACCGGGCCACCAAGACGAGGTGGTCTCGTTCTCGAATGCTCACTATCAGCACATGTGTGGCCATACGTCCAACACCAAGTGGCACAACACCATGAAGTATCGACTCGATATTGAGACCTGGATGTCGACCACTCCCTCGCCCAAGGTGTCGTCCTCGGAGGCTTTCAAGGTCCATCTCACCCATGTCCTGCGACCGGAGCTGCGAGTGCAGCTCGACTTCCGCCTTGGCAAGAAGACTCGTCACCATCGCTTCATGGGCCACAAGAGGCGCCAAGTGGCCGTCGACAGGATGTGCAAGGCCGTCCTGAAGCACGCCCCGATACGGACCGATGTGGTGATCGCCTTTGGCAATGCATCATGGCGACAGGGCAAGGGCTATGCATCCAGCCCTCGGAGGCAGCGATTTGCTCGGTACTTTGAGCAATTCGAGCACCACCGCCGCCGTCCCAATCACCCTCATGGAAGTGTCAAGGTGGCCTCGACGAACGAGTTCAACACCTCGCAAGTGTGCTCCAAGTGCCTGGAGCCAGTTCGGTTGGAAGGACTCGATGCGCCCAGTGTTGCGAATTCCCACTTTGTCAGGAGCTGCAAGAATCCCAGCTGCCGGACAGTGTGGAATCGCGACGTCAATGCGGCGCGCAACATGATCACAGTGTGCAGGTCGATTGTGGAGATCGGAGAGCGACCGGCGGTCTTCACTCGGAGGCTGCCAAAGTGATCTGTTTTATTTCTTGTGGCTTTGCTTGACGCAAGCACAGCACATACTACATGTTCATGGAAACGGCTATATTGTCCCGTTTTTTTTCTGAATAAAGTGTACACCCCATCGCACCCCATCGTGGTCATGCATGCTCGCGGGCCAGAGCGGCCCCAAACGACGGTGCCACAGCGCCGTCCTTTCCTTTCCCTGCCTTCCGTTTCATTCGCTCCCCTCCTCCGCCTTCTGCTGCTCCCCAGGCCGCCATTTGCCCTCCATCGCCCTCCATCTTTGCGCCATCGCTTGCTCTGCCTCGAGCCGCTTCCGCCCGGCATCCGTCGCCTGATACCGTTGGGCTCCGGCCGCTGTGTCCCAGCGACCCTACTGTCTCCTTTGCATTGTCATTCGCTCCTGGCATTTGGCTATCGCAGCCAACTCTCGAGCGTTTGGTGGCCGCCACTCCATGAAGACCCACACCAGCCTCCCGCCTCGCCGCTGCTTCTGCAAGCTTGAGGAGCTTCGACAGGCCGGGTTCCCTCTCCGCCCTTCAACCCATCCCACTCCAGCCATGCCTGAGCCGTGCGTCTCCGTCGTCCCCGTCCCCGAGCCTCCAGCGGCAGCTCTCTGCGTCCCTTTGCTGAGTCCACAACCACGGCCAAGCATCATCGAGCAGCTGCCCTACGATATCCTGCTCACCATATCCGAGTCCTTCAAATCCGATATCGATCTGATCGTATTTGCGGCTGCCGTCCGTATTACCTCCAGCAACATTGCCAGGACCGCAGAGACTCTCGATGCTCGGCTTAAGCGGGCGATCAAGCAGTCCAACATCAACGACATCAGCCTATTGATCAACATTTCGAAGCAGACCGAGCTCACTATCTGGGGTAGGCCCATTCCTTTGCGCTCCTCGTCGTCGTCCTATCCGACCGACCGATTGCTGTGTTGCCGGGAGCGTTTTTCTCATGGTCAGCGTCTTTCTTTGGATGCAGAGAGGGTTGGCTCGTCGGGAACTATAAAGCTGTCCAAGTCGCTCGAACTCAACACCAGTCTCAGATCGCTCTCTCTAGAGGGTAAGCCTGGATGATATCATGCATCCACGTGGCCAGCATGGCATGAGATGCCTCGTATCCCCGGGCGCATCCAAGTTACTTCTGGAGACCGTCCGCTGCCGATGGCAAATCGACGGGATGGGGGCGGGTGGGGAGACGGGTTGGCATTGCTGTGCTATCGCATAGTGTTGTCGGTCGTATTTGGAACTAACCCGGGCTGTCCCGGATCGATCGCCGGCCCTGTTTCTCGCATTCAACGACGATCCTCTATCGGCCAGGCCTCAGCATACGCTCCGACGGGGTTGCATCGCTGGCTCGAGCCCTCATCAGGAACACGACCCTCGCCGACCTCAACATTCGTGGGAACCTAGTCGGAGATGACGGCGCTGCCCACCTGGGGGAAATGCTCACGCACAACACAGTCCTGACGAGTCTCCACTTGCAAGGTATCGTCCGTCCGGGGCATGCGGCAGCGTCTTCTGGACCTACGCTCTGCTGTTGGAGCCGCTGTGTGGCTGCAAGGGGGGAGGTTGGGAGCCCTTTACCATGGATCTTGATGGCGTTCATGAGCCTGAGGACGGCGCTGATTCGAGTGCGCTGGATCCCGATCATGGCCGCTGCGACATTTGGCGATGCTTGGCGGTCTCGCGCCCATTCCGTGCTGTTGCTTACTCTCGTTCCGTGCCGTCGCTTACTCTCATTCTGGACTCGGATCGGCCGTGTTTTCCGGCTGATCAAGGCTGCCAAATACAAGAAGAGGGTGCGAAAGCGTTGGCCAGCGCTCTCAAAGTCAACCACTCACTCAAGAATCTCAATCTGCATCGTAAGTCTGCTCACAGCAAGGCACAGTGCGTCAAGCGAACGCCGAAGGAGTCTACCCTCCCGCATTCGCCCTTGGCCATGTCCGTACGCTGACTTTTGGAACAACCGCAAATCGTCGTCGGCACCATCCTCAGTCAACACAATCGGCGCTTCTGGGGCAAAATACATCGGGGAGGCTCTGACCGCCAACAAGACACTAGAATGTCTAGATCTATCACGTACGTTACGACGCCTGGGGCTCCCGGCATTAGTCCACATGTTCCAATTGGATGCTGGCTGTAACTCGAAGCACTGAAGCGACCATGGGAATTGCTGCTCGCATGAGCACGGCCAAGAGAATCTTTTGGTAACTGCTGGATTCTTATTGCGGAATGCGGCTTCGTTGGGACTCTACAGACAACGGCATCAGCTCGGATGGTGCCCAAGCCATATCAACAGGGCTGGGCGATAACGCGGCGCTGCAGTCGCTCAATCTTAGCAGTAAGTCATGATCACTGCAACTTGTGAGTCCGAGTCGCAGCTGGCGTACCTATGCTGCATGCTGACGGAGCATGCAAATGAATCTGCCTCGTCTGCAGTCAATCACATCACAGATAGCGGAGCTCAGGCGATCGGACAAATGCTGACGAAGAATACGGAGCTGTTTCGTTTGGCGCTGCGGAGTAAGTGGGTTCTTGAACGACCACATGCGGCCCCGTACTTGTTGGCACGGGGCCTCGGCGGAATGTGCAAGGCGCACGGGAAGGCAGAACAGCCGCGGCATCCGACAGGACCCGACAAAGCATCGAGACAGCCCCAGCAACGAAATGTAACTCTCGACGTTTGATTCGCGGATACGCTGCCGACGACCCAGGCAACGGCATCTCCGACAAAGGCGTCCAGCATTTGTATCAAGGCTTGATTTGCAACCACTCGCTGCTAGACCTGGATTTGAAAGGTAAAGCCCCCCGACTTGTGCCTCCCACCATCGATTGTCTGTCGAATGCAGTACTGATGCTGGATCCTCTCATGGCTGGCAACACAGGCAACTTTATCGGGGACGCAGGACTCGAGTGGATCGTGGCCTGTCTCAAGCAAAACTCGGCGCTCGTTCGGGTGCATCTGCAGAGTAGGTTTCCCTCCGATCGCCTAGGTTGGCCAGATTGACCTGCGAGCGTCGACATCGGCGCCGCGGTGCATCTGCATCTAGGGTCACGATCGCGGCAGCTGCAAGTCCAGTCGTGTGCACCTGATTCTCATCCGTATCTGTATGCTCAGGCAACAATCTGAGCAAGTCGAGTACGGAGTTGATTGCATCGACCCTCATGGAGAGGCTGGAGGTTCTCCTGTGAGCCCAAATCATCCCAAACTGCTCTATGCGGGTTTCCACCAGTCGGGCTCTGGCCCGGCTTCATCGATATCTTCCCTCATACCTTCTGACTCTTGAGTGTCGTTGCTGCTCACCGTGAAGGGCGAATGCCCCCCGCTGCCGCCCCATCGCTTCCGCGTAGCTTGTCAGTTCTTCCAAGCGAGCCGAGGCGCACCGGGGCTATGGAGGGACGCGATTCGAATATGGCCAGACTTTTCAAACAGCATCATCCGTCATCTGAGTTCTGACACTTCATGTGTGCCTGCTTGGAGTATTCGAACAATACCAGCCTTTCTTGCATCGAAATGCCACATGGGAATAGCGTGTGTGTTCGGGGTCTATTCAAGGGAATGGAGGAACAGAGAGACCAATGTGGGTTCAACTATGGCGCCGAATGAATCGGCCAGAGCACGACGCCGCTCCGCAGCCTGGACGGCGTCAGCTCGGATGGACAAGTATGCTGACTCCAACGTCAGCATCGAGGCAGACATCGAACAGCCTGGCACTGCAAGAGTCGTGGGCACGACGGGGTATTCGTGTCATTCGGGAGAGGGGGAGAGATGCTCCCCCTCCCCTTGCGTTATATTTGGAGTCGGTGTCATTATCGAAAGGAAACGCTCGCGCCAAATGTCCGGCTCGAGGAAGAGAGGGGGATCATGAAGGACAGGTAGGCGAGGAGAGGATGTGTGAGCAGGCGACGGAAGTGAATCGATGATCATGGTGGACAGAGACAGAGGAGAAAGCGGGGCGGCCTTGGATCGAGCTTTGGATGGGAGGCGAAGGCGCTGGTGGTGGTAGGAAGGACACGGGCTGGAATGACGCTGAAAGATTGTGGTTGTCCTGTGATCCACTTTTTGGGGTTGTTGTTTTCGTTTTGCTTTGCTTTTTTCTTCTTCAGATTATGACTGCAGATATGAGGACGAGCGGAATAGGTCGAGAGGAACGACACGAACTTGGCGGCTGGATGGCCAGGGATGGCCCTTGTGGATCATGGCAGCGGGCCAAGGGGACAAGCACGCAGAGTATGCGTCTCGTCTCCTTGCTGATGGAACCCGAGGCGAAAGGAAATCGAGCCGCGACGGCGAAAGAGACGGTGGAGCCATCGGGCATCCAGATAACGGGGAGAGAAAGAAACAAGGAAGAGAGGGAAAAAGAGAGAAATCCAGGCATGGGTAAGCAAAGTCGAGAGGCGGCCAGGAGCGTTTCAAGCTCGGCCACCCCTCTTGATTTTGAGGTAGTCCTGGATTGAAATCGAGCCGTTCTCCAGACGGCGATCGAGTTCGTCCTCGGGGATGGCCAGGGATGAGGATGAAGACACAGACGACGAGGCACCGGTATGCACCGCAGGCATGTCAGGGACATGGCCAGACTGAAGGAGAACGTCGCCCTGATGGCGCTTCTTCATCGAGTTGGTCCGCTGCGGGGTGATACTGGAATATAGCCCCTGTGTGGACGACGGAACGGGTGACGGTCCGCGGTGCAGTGCGTGTCCGAGCGAGTGAATGTGACCGATAGAGGCCGACATGTTGGTCCGCTGATCTGTGGGGCCTGCACCAGGATGGGCAGGGATCATGGACTCTTTTCGGGGCGGATTCGCCTGGGAGCCGTTGAAATCGATCCGCCCCGAGGCGAACGGGTCCGGAGTTTCGGCGCGGCGGATGAGGATGTCGTTCTGAAGAGGCACCTGGCGCGCCGGGATGCTGGGATCGACATGCGACGGGGACGACAGGAATGCACCTTGCCGGCCAGGCGACGCTGGCGGCGTCGTCGAGCGCACGGCGCGATGGTCTTTGGAGGATGCCGAGCTGACTATGGAGCCCAGTTCTGAGGCAGCGGCACGCGAGCTGAGCACATCGGTTTGGATTGGGGTGACTCGCGGAGGATGATGGATACCCGCACCCGCGCCCAGATGATGGGATTGCTGCGCGATGGGGAAGCCTCCGTACGGGTTGGCTGCTGCGGTACCGGCTGTGCCAGGGGCAAAGAGACGCACGGCATTGAGTGGGAAGATGCCAGATCTTCCCGTGTTGAGGTTGGTACCTTCGCCCCAGCCATCAGTGAAGGTCATTCTGGACGGTGGAGAGCAGTGGATGCGTGAGTACTGGGCTACGGAGTATACGCAAAGGATACCACTCGCCCCAGGCGCTATCCAAGTCCGGTGGTTGGGGACGACGCTTACCTGATAACAACAGTGTCGCTCGAACGGAGCTCCAGTTCATCCGGGCGCATGGGGAAGAACGAGAAAATCACAAATGCGCGTTCCAGATTGGCCAGGTTCTCGGGTGAAACGTGGGCGGTGCCATGAGGCACGGGATGGCGCACCAGCGCGGGAATCATAGGTTGCATCTGCGGCTGGCCCGATTCCGAGGCTCCCACGGTTCGTTTGAGGGCATCGGGATTGCTGCCGCCTGACGCCGGGTCCATGAACTGGCGATGCGTCGAGAGCGCCCCGAAAGAGCGAATCAAGTGCGTGGGCACGGGTGGAACATGTGGAGACGAGTACATCTTCATGACTGGAACCGGCCCCGCAGAACCGGGCCCTGCTGAGGCCGAGGCCGAAGAAAGCGCTGACGACAGGGACGGGTCAGCAGGAGCCTTGGGATCCTTTCCAGCGCCCATAATTTGGGCGTGTCCAGAGCTAGCGACACCGCCAATGTTGTTCGAAATCGAAAGGGTGCGCTCGGGGAAGCTCTGTCCGAGGTGGGCAGCAGCAGAGTGGGGGAGGGGCGGCGGAATGTCGTCGCGATGCGCCTGCCGAGAATACGTCCGTTGGGGAAACTCGCTGTCGGCCGAGCTCTGCTCGGCGGATACCGGCGGGTCGCTTGGGCTCGCCGTAACGGCGGTGGCGCCCAGCAGACTGCCAGATGCTTCGGCGGATCTTGGGGCGGCCTGGGTGGCAGAAGCAGGCGCAGCAACGGTGGTAGCAGGGGCGGTAGCGGTGCCAGTGGCAGCAGCGGTGCTGGAGACCGGCTCAGACAGAGCAGGCTCGGCGAAATTGTCGGTCGAGGGATCTTGCGTGCACGACAGCGAGTGATGTTCGTCGCGAGGGTCCTGGGGGTCGGCTATCTGCTGAGCCAGAGCCGGGGTCTGGTTTTGCGACTCGGGCAGAGGCGGGGAGACGGGCTTGCTGTCCGCAGCCAGGATGGTCGAGAGCCTAAAGTTCTCGTCCAACAGATTGGAGGTGTCGATGTGCGGCAGCTCGACCTTGATGGCCTTGGCGCCGTCGGCAACAGGCTTGAGGTTGTCCTCGTCGAACTGCACGTCGACGTTGTTGGAAAAGTCGGGTATGGAGAGCCTGTGGTTGAGCGACGAGAGCTCGAGTCGAGGGGTCTTGAGGCTGGGCGAGGCCGTCGAGGCGTCGCGCAGGTATGGGCTGGTGAAAGACTGTCGCAGCGATGAGTTGATCGAGGTCATGGTGCGGCGATTGGTCAGGGAGCGGTTCGGGAAGGTATCGGCAAAGGCTGAGAGAGCCGAGTCGCGATCCGAGCCCTTGGACGAATCGCGGTCTGAGCGCCTGAGGGTGGCGGGCAGCGATGCAGCGCCATCTTCGTCCAGCCGGCTGCTGGAGCCAACGCCGTTCGGGCTGCGTGACGGTTCCTGGGCGACATTGGCGGCGGGATGCAGCTCGTAAGCGCAGCTGGTGTCGGGCTCCTGGATGAAGGTTGCGCTGAGCAGCTCCTCGAGCAGCGAGAGCGATGTATCTCTGTTGTTGAAGGAGAGGGTGTGTGGAGCAGCGTCGGGAATGACCTCGACGCCGTCAAGAAGACAGACTTGGCTGACCATTCCAAAGTCCTGCTCGGGACTCTTGGAGACGAGAGTGGGAGCCTCACGGAAGAGCCGCTTGATGAGGGCCGGCGTGGCACCGATGACCAATAGAGGTGCCTCGTAGAGGCTTCTATAGTTGTTGTTTTTGAGAATCAGTGTGACAGCTGGAGAGGCAGAGCAAGCGGTAGGTCAGTAATGGGTTCCCGGCCGATACGAGGCACTTTGTATGCAGTTCAGATGCTGCCCGTCCATGACACCGTTGGCGCACACGGGCGGTAGCATCAACGCAGCGACTGAACGCAGCGCGTCTGGGCTCACCAATGTTGTGGGTAACGTCGAGCAACTCGGAGGAGCCGGTCGGATTGATTCCGTTGGGATAGCGTTGCGGCCATTGAGGCGCGGGGACGTGGTCCTAAGCGAGATGCAGGGGCCATCACCAGCACAGCAGATCAGTGGGGGCCAAAAGGATAACGTCAGAATGGGCTCCACACGACTCGGGCGCCAGAGATACACCACAAGGAACGGAGTGGCCGAGCACACCAAGCACACACAGGCAGACGTACATTGACACCGAGCTCGGACATGCCCACTTGGGTCAGCGGAAGCAGCTTCGACATGACAACATCGGACCGCGAGCGAGAGGAGCCCTCGACCTCCATCTGGACATGCTCGATAATATCGACCTTGAGGTACTCGAGGGAGGACTTTGAGAAGGTCGGCGGGGTGCTGATGATGCAGTCGACGCTGAAATCACCGCCGGGGATGAGGAAGCTCGGGTGCGAGATGGAGACGAGGACGCCGTCCTTGGTGACAAGCTTCATGCGCTGCTTATCGCCGCGGGCGACCTGGGCAATCGCCGAGCGGTCAAAGAACGGGAAACGAAAGACAAAGGGCTTGATGGTCGGGTTCGGGCTCTGGTCGCGGATGGTGGCGGTGAGTTTGTAGCGCACGGCGGCAGAGACGCCCGAGGGTCGGTAGAACTCGGTCGAGGGCTTGAGCGAGGCGGCAACGTCGGCGTCGATCTTGAAGGAGAAGGGAAAGGACGAGACGGTCTGAGGCTTGAGCTCGAGGATGTCGTTGGAGGCAGGCGAGACCAGAATCTGGATGTCGGTTAGGAGCGGAATATGGTACTGGAAGTCCTGCGACAGCTTGCCCTCGTGGCCAAACTGAGCAAAGGTCCAGGCATCGAAGCGAATGTCGACGTGGTGGATGGAGACGATCTCGGAGGTGTTGTTCTGGATCTTCACAAAGCCCTCGATCTCGACCTTGGACAGGGCCGGGTAGCCGTTGACGAGCGATTCGGCATTGTGTAGCGGAACGATTTCGACTCCAAGCGGTGCGCGAGTGAAGGAATTGGACGATGACGATGACGACGAAGAGACGGTCGAGGCCGGGGCGGGTTTGTAGCTATAGGGTGCCTTCTTGGTGGAGCTCGAAGGCATGTGCGGGAGAGCCACGGCGCTCATGTGGGCGGGACTCTATAGCTGAGCAGAGCCGCAAGCTGAGATGTAGCAGAGGCAACTTGTGGAAGTTCCTGAACAAGACGACGAACACCGCCAAAAGCAGGAACGGTTAGCGATCAGGGGTCTGGGGTCGTATGGGGAGGAAAGCGCCGCGACAAGGTGCGAGCAGGCCGAGGGAAAGGATGGGAAAGACGACGATGTATGAGGTGCAGACGGATCGAGAGACAGGAGAGGGGATTGGGAATGAGGTGGGCAAGCGGCTTCGAAGCAGGTGAGCGGGCCGACAGCGAGACGAGATCGGGAAGGGAGGCCGATGAGTTGCTCGGCGCGGAGTGAGTCGGCAACGGGCAAGGCAGAGAGAGGAAGATGCTGCAGGAAGACCACAGGCAACAAAATACGGCTGGAGCAGACCTCTTGCAGGACCAGATAAGAGAGCAGTGCCCCGAAAAGACGCAGCCTCGAGGGTGAATGAGGACCGAGGCAGAAGGGAGAACGGAGGAGCGGCGTGGAGCCAAGGGAGGGAGGGAGGTTGACTGGAGATCCGAGGAAGGAAAGGGGGCAGGAGGAGATGGAGGACAGCTATACAAGCCCGGGCAGGAGACGGGAGGCTCAAGGGCACCTTTGGATCAAAATCACGCCGCGTGGGCTATTGGGGAGGCCGCGGCAGCAGGACGGGCTTGGGCAATCTCACAAGCAGCACCAGGCAGGCGAAGGAGGCCAGCAAGCAGAGATGAAAGACAAAGGACAGCGGAGGACCCGCGAGCCGAGCAACGAGCCAAAGGGCGCCTTGCGGACGCGATGGGGGTGGCGCTGCGCACACGCGCCACGGCGTCGCACAGAGCGGCGCGACGCGCGTGCGTGTCGCCTGTGTGCGTTGCGGCTGTGTGGCTCTGGTCAGCGGGACAGACACACACTACTGTGCGACACTGGGTGTGCTTGCTGTCCGACATTGCCGCGCACAATCACACAGCGCGGTCGCACAGAGACTCTGTTTGCGCACAATGCGCGGCCAGCAAGGATGTCCTGACACCGGCCCCGACATGTGCCGCGCTGACATCGCACAGCTGTACACACGCTGTTGAATGGCACTGCATTGCATGGAATCGCATGGCGTTGCATGGAATCGCATGGCGTTGCCTGGCATTGCATGGCGTTGCCTGGCATTGCATGGAGTCTCATGGAGTCGCATGGCATTGAATGCCATTGCATTCCACCTCATGGCATCGCTCGCATCGCACTGTATTGCCCTGCGTTGCGTCCATGTCTGTGTGGCCCCAGCGCCTCTGGTTGCACCGCACACACCGGCGTGCGTGGTCTTGCCGGTGTGCCACCTGGGCCATGGGCACCTGCACCACGGGTGAACTGGTCGACCGGCCCATCCCAGGCCCGGCGAACCGCTCGGCCTGCCCCGTCCGCCACCCGTTGCCACCACCACCACCGCAACGGCCGGCTCCCTTCGATATCGCTCGTGTGCGTCGGCCGAGCCGCCGTGTACCAAGGGGAGCCACCATGGCACACGCCGGCCCACCCCCCCCCAAGCACCGCTTCCGTCTTTTGCCTTTCTTCGACGCACGCAATGCGTGCCAGCGCTGGACGCCGCGTGCCTGAGTCTCTGGGGCTGTGAGACCAGCCTCCTCGACCACATCGCTGCCTCGTCAACCCCCCGAATGTCAGCAAGCCCGCACAGCATCGTGCCACAGACACAGGCGGAAAAATGAAATCAGTGCGTTTATTCACGTCGCGTCCTGGTGCCCCGCATGTCTTTTGCACCAAGCACCCTCCTGTCGTATCAGGAAGGTTTGGTCTGTGGAGCGTTCGCATTGGGCCGGCCGAGGGGACACACATCCCGGCCCTTCAGATGCGGTGACTCTGGGCCCATCCAGCAATGCCATCCTTCACAATCTCAAATTTGTGCAGGTTGTTGTGGCCGCCGTAGGTCACCTCGATGTACCAAACCAAAGACGATTGCTTCACGCCAGAGGACCGCTGGGTCTGGTCCGGCATCGACGACTCCTTCAGTGGCGTCTGCGTCTCGTTCAGCGTCCACAGGTAGGCTTCGCGGCCGCCAGAGATCGGGCGGATCTCATAGTCGCCCACAACCTGCGGCTCGGCCGGGTGGATGTTGAGAGGCTCCGGCTGGCTTTTCTGGTGGGCCAGCCGCCCATTCACGGCGTTCAAGAAGAGTGTGCGGCTATGGTCCGTGGGAATCTCAAAGTCACGGCCACCATGGACGATCAGCAGCGGGCAGTTGATGCTGCGGATGTTGACAGTCGAGTCCCACTTCTGGCTCACGTACTCCTTGAAGAGCTTGCCCACTTGCGGATAGCCTCGGAAAGGCCACAGGAACGGCACAATCGGATAGGTCAGCGCCGCATCCGGAATTGACTTGTAAGGCGCCAAGAGAATCAGTCCCCCGACAGCCTCGCCGCGGTCAGCAAGGGTCCGACAGAGCCAGGTCGCCACTCCTGTGCCGAGCGAGTGGCCGACGACGATAATGCGCGAGGGATCGACGCCGTGGTCCACAATCCACTTGTATGCTGCGTGGGCGTCTTGCTGCATGCCTGCTTCTGTTGGCGTCACCCGTTCAGAGTCACCGAATCCCCGATAGTCAATCGTGACGACGTGGGAGCCCTGGTGAACGGCCGTGAGTTGCTGCATAGAGAGGGCAAGGGAGTTGACGACCAGGGTCAGCGAGGAGATCGCAAATGCACATCTATGCCGTAGCCAAGGATGTGTGCCAGGCCACAACATACCTTGTAAAAGTCGGGTCGAGAAAACGTGGCCCGGTTGCCCGCATTGCCGTGGAAATACAAAAACACTCGAACGGCTCGCTTGAGCTGGTTGTCAAATCGCTCGCTCTTGTTCAGCTCGGGCTCCAGATAAGAGGCACCCCGGGCAATGTCCGACTCGGGCGAAACCATCAAGTTGAGCTCCGTGGGCAGGATGTGCCATCCGCCTGCGTGCATCCGTTGGGTACATCCGGGTCCACACCAGTCAGTCGCAATCGATCGCTGCATCCTGAGCTTTCAAAGCAGCCTACCCAATGCCTCCCAACTCCTCTCGATGCCACTGATCTGCTCCGTTCCACAACTCACCAATGATCTTCAAATCAGGGGTGGTGATACGTATGAGGCGGACCGAACCATCTGCATCAAAGCCATTCGACGGAGGTTGCGGGTGAGTCATCCAGCACGAGGGACAGGGCCAGCATGCAGACGCGGATCGAGACGAGGCCTAGATCAAGGGCAATGCCCACACCCGCCATCTTGGCTCCCAGCGGCAGGACGGGGTGTAACTGGCCACTTCGCAAGATCGCCAGGGCCGGGAGACGGCAGCCATGCCCATGGGTGTATTGTCTCGGCCGCTGCCGGTGGCGGTCACATCTTGGCTCAAGCACCTCGGCGCAGCGACGCAGACATACCTCGGAATCCAAAGGCGTCAGCATATCTCCAATCCTCGACGATGGGCCAGCGAACCCAGTGCAGGTAGATGAGGTAGGGCTGGAGCTCGGGGAAAGCGACAACCGCCGCCAAGAGGCCCTGTGTGCAGAAAATCAAGGTTTGCAGCGCCCGCCGTCAGTGGCTATGGATGACGTCCGTTGCTGAAAACCAACGCATCTTTCGCATGGCAGTCCAGGCACGAGATCGGCACCGGATAGCCCGACTTGCTGTTGGTATACCACTCTCTGTGTCGGAGGGGAGGTTGCGGCCCAGGTGTATGCGGACCACCCCGGCAACGCCTTTGCGAGGAGGTGCGGGCGATGACGCTCGACTATCCGACTTTTAATACCAACCACATAGAAAAGGATCAACAGGGCGAAAAGCAGGCTGATGAAGTACATGGCGACAGCGGCTGCGTTGCGCGGCTGCTCGGGATTTGGGATTCGGGATGGGCGAAGGGATGGACGAAGGAGGGACGAAAGAATGGGCGTGCAGATCAAAGGCAAAAGGCAAAAGGCAAAAGGCACGGGCAAGGCGGGCCCGCTGGTCGCCCTGTTCTCTCCTCCCTCCCTCTGCCCTGGCTCCCCCACTCGGGCAAGTGCTGGCTGCAGACTATCGTGCTGACGATGCCACGGGCATCAGGGTCCCTGCGGCTATGGTCTGCGGCTATGGTCTGTGGATGTGGCCAAACAGCCCTCTGGCCTGAATCGTGACGGGATGGATCAGAGCCGGGCAGGGTCAGTGGCTTGCGTCTTGCTGTTGCTGAGAAGCCTCGGCGACCGGACCCATACCTCATCCCCGACCCACTCCCTGCTCCACAGCGTCTGCAAGCATCCCCGCGGGTATCGTCCAATGCTGCGATCTTGCATTCGCGATCCAACGCTTCCCCCTTGGATGCGAGCCCAGGACCCGTCGGTCCAGGGGTACCTACGCGCTTGACGCCGGGGGTCGGCTGGATCTCCTCGTCCTCCTCGGCAATGATCTCCATCGGAGCGAGGGGCGCCTGGACGGGCAACTCGCCTGTATTGCCGGTACCGCCCAAGGGAACCTGTGAGGAGCGAGGCCATCGATGTAGCGTCAGCACATTGGCATGCATCGGCAATACAGCATCGATACAACGTCGGTGCATGCATCGTGCAGACGTACATGGACGGCATCTGTTGAGGCGGTTGTGTCGCCTCCGCTTGTGTTGGCTGGGGTCTTGAACGGAAACTGCAGGTCACCAAATGAAACCGGATCTGTGAGGAACCATGGCGGGAGCGAGTGAGCCGGGTGATGTGGCCAGCGAGTGCACTTGTTTGCGTGCAATCAGCGTCGTCTCCGAGGCGGACGGCAAACGCACCATCGTCGTTGGCAAGGTTCTGCGCCGCATTCCCGGCCCTGTCTTCGGGTCTGGCTTCTCGAGCAGACGAGGTTGGTCGCCCTTGGCCGCCCAGGTTCCCGAAAGCGCCAAAGAGCGTCCGCAGTCTTTGCTCGTTGGGCTTGGGAGACGGAGGCAGGATCTCGGTGGATTCGTTGGTGTCCATGTCGTCTGCGACTCCATTGAGCGCAAGCTGCTGCTGCTGTTGCTGCTGCTGGCTTTGGCGATCGGTACTTGGCAGGTCGTTCGTGGGACGGACCGAGGCTCCCTCTGCACTCGACTCTGCACGAACCCCGGTCGAGACAGGGTGTGTCGGATCGACGGACCTGTGCAAAACATCCACTGGTGCGTGAGAACGTGTTGCGCCCCCATGATTTGTTGCCCATACACTCCATTTTGCGTACCAACCTCGAGCTCTGAGAAGCCGATTGCAGCGGCGATTGACGGAGGCTGTGCCGGCTTCCTGTTGGCTGGGCGGCTGAGCGCGCGGACGGAGCCGGCTCCTCCTGCGAGGACACTTGCATCGACGCATGGACATCGATGCTCGAGCCTGGACGCATATGCGTGATCAGATCGGCCGGGGACCGGTTTGTGCTGAAGAGCGTGTGCGATGCAGACTCGTCCTGGTCCATGAAATCAGGCTGCAAGTCATCTGCCAGTGAGGCCGGCGGCATCGAGCTGCGCATGCTGGGCTCGTCGACAACCTGCATCGGCTGTGAGCTCGTATCGATCGGGAGGAGGCGTCGTTGTGGCAACACCAGGCTCGGCTGCGGTGAAGATAGGCTCAGGCTCAGGTTCCGGGACAGGTCGTTTTGGGTGTCGACTGCCATGTGGTCCACGGCCTCCAGAACGTGCTGGCTGGGTCGACCCCAGGGCGATCCAAAGGCAGCAGCCCCAGCGGCGTTCGCTGATGCTTGGCTGAAGGCCTGCGGTGGCATCATATCGCCTGCATCCGTGGCTGTCCGAGATGATGTTGTCGTACTGCCACCCCGAGCCGCCGGATGCTGCGGAGTGGAGCGATTCGAGTGATGAGGAGTGTGTACCGATGCTGCATTTTGAGAGTTTGCGATGTGCGCCGAGTCAGGGTGGTTTGCGGCGGCGGCCGTTGTTGGCGGCACAGTAGTCGCCATGGCTCCCATGGCTTCGGGGTCGACTGTCTCGACCTGGAGAGTCGCCAGGACAAAATCAACCGAATAGGTGTCCGGCACAGACACCGAGAATGTGATCGGGCTGCGTTGATATTGACGATAGGTCAGCACCACGGCGGCATCTCTTCCGTTCAGGAACACAGACTGAGTGCAAGTGGCCGATGACTCACCATCCGGTGCGCTCAAAGTAAGCGATCACGGGCTGGTTCATGGTGTCGGCAAACGACAGGATGGCCTGTAACGGACTGTTAGCCAGGGTGTCGCTCGGCGGATATCCTGGGTAGACTGCGCCGACATAACGGTCACGACAGCGCCGGTGATGGTCATGACAACGCCGGTAACTGTTCTCACTGACCTTGAGCTCCTTGAGATTGAATGTCAGGTCGGCCAGCTGGTTGACCTTGAAGTATCCAAAGTCGCCAGAGTTCATGGTAACCTCAGTCTGGAGGCTCTGACTGATGCGATCTGATGGACACCGCCCGCCAACCCACGCGAGAGAGCACAGCATCCGTGCAGGAATTAGTTCCTTTGTTTCATTGAGGAGCATGCTGGATGCTGCCGCACAATCGAGGCGAATGATGCCGATTGGGCCACAAGCTCACCTTGGGTGTTTGTGGAGGTGTCTGTGAAGCTCTTGAGCTTGATCCAGTCGGTGTCGCAGATCATCGTCACCTCCTCGAGCTTCTGGTTGAAGTGCACCAACCATTCATGGATGACCTTTGGCGATGCCAGCCACGAGCCCTGGCATGTTTCCTTCAAGTAAACGGCGCGAATGGGCTCGCAGCTCTCGTAGTGAAGCCTGTGTGTCTTCAGGACGCCTGAGGTATTGGCAAAGATGCCGTTCATTGTCAGCAGAGCTGTCGTTCGGATTGACGACAACCTGCAATCCAAGGCAACGGGGGGGGGCACATGGTTTCGTCTCTTCGTGCGCAAATAACCCGACCAGCAGAGCCAGCACCGAGAATGCCAACGAGCTCGTTACCATGCTTGCAGATGAGCTGGATCACAATTCGGTCCTGGTTCTCATCGGGCTCATCGCCGTTCTGCAGGATGATCTTGCAGCTCTCGACGTTTTCCAGATTGGCCTTGAACTTGAATATGTTTGTGATGAACTGGCGGCATCACGGGGGGTGGCTGGTCAGGGATCGACTCAACCGCAGACCAAACCGCCCTCGTCCTCCGGCCAGGGAATCTGCTATTGCGTATGAGCCAAGGATGCCACTTCAGGGCCGGCTGGAATAGGTGTGCTCACCTTCAAGAGGATCTTGCAGCTGATAAAGTTCTTCGAGTCCAGGTTCTCGGTTTCGTAGGACTCAAAGAACAGCGCCGGCAGCGTAAAGATGACAAACGCCGATCGTGACGAGTTGACGGTTGCGAGCAGCAGCTGCAGCGGACCAGCATGGAGAGCCACAGAGTCCTGTCAGCTGGACACACGCAAGAGTGAAATATCGCCGATCTGTGCTCAGCGGCGGCAAAGGAAGGCATCGTCGTTGCGGTGCCGGGAATCCCCAGGATATCTGTGTACCTGGTCTGCGCGTGCTTCCCAGTACAGATCGTCGCCAATCTTGGACAGGCACTGGAGGAATTTTGAAAAGCCTGTGCAGCACAGATCAAGCGATCGATACCAGAGTTGGTGGGTCGGGCCGATGCGACAGGCGATGCTGGGGACGATGAGGCAGTACGGGCAACACTGCCGTTGCCTCGCTGGGTGGCTTGTCCAAACGCACCTTTGAGGGCTATCGCGGAAATGACAAGCTCAGTCGACAGCCTCATTCTGGTTCGGTCGGAAGTGTTGATATTCCAGCGATGCAGCCGCGGCAGGGCGATGAAGTCGGAGCAGACACAGGCACGGGCGAGACGGAGGCCAAGCAGGGATCGCTGGTTTGCAAGCGAAGCACGGCGGCTCATGGAGCTTGGGGCTGCGCAGTCCGGTCTGGAACTGCCAATGCAACGTGCAATGGCCACCCGCACCAGCAACGACCCAAGCGGCGCTGTATCAGCAGCAGCAGGCCGTATATTTCCGTCGTTGGTTTTCCACAGCACCAGCCCGCAACAGCAGCAGCAGCAGCAGCCATCGCTCCAGCGAGCATGTCCCGTTTTTGATGCCGCGGATGGCGCTTTGCAGCCCAACGATCGAGACTGCAAGAGCCTGCTCCGCAAATGAGGAAAGAGAGAAATAGAGAGAAATGGATAGAAATAGAGATTGGAGAATAAGAAAGGAGGGGTGTGAGTTGAGAGGAAGAAGAAAGGTAGGCGAGAGTGAATACCGTGATAGAAGAGCGTGGTGTTCGGAGGAGAAAGAGAGGAGCCTGTATCTGCTGCCGAGACGCAAGGCTTGCTCGCAGCCCAAGCCGGGCCCATCGAGCTCATCCTTTGGGCTTTCTGCGGGTTGTGTCGTAGACCCGGATCAGGTTGGCCTGGCCGCTGTCGCTCTGCGAGAAGGCAAAGCCTCGCGTTCGTTTCATGCGTTGGACCATGCGGACCTTGTGAACAGCCTTCCTGAACCATTCCATGCGAGGGCGATAGTCTGGGATGTTGAACTTTTGGATCTCCTGGACAATATGGTACGACTTGCAGAGGTAGTTGCGCTTGAAGCTGTCGGAATAGGCGACGGAAGTCCGTGGCGTCAGCGACTGCGAGCGGCCTGATGGGAGATCATGAAGCGCTGGATGCGAGTGCCATCTGCACAAACCACCTGTCGCTTTCGTCGGGATGACGCAGCGCCTCCCACGCAATGAAACACGCATGCCAGCTACTTACAATTTCCAAGTAAAGTCGCGGAAGTTGGCGATCACAGGGATCAGGAGGATGCCAAACCAGAATCCCGCGCTCTCGAACATGGGCGGGTTGAGGCCGTACAGCTCCGTTGACAGTCCGATCGATGGGGCCACGGCGACATAGATCGGGAATAGGATGAACCAGAGCACCAGCGAGCCGTACACGGCCGCCCAAGTGAACTTGACCCAGGTATCGGCCACCATCGCCGCCTTGAGCGAGATCGTGATGACGTCGCTGGTGTAGACCATCTGCCCGAGGAGCCACTGGTTGCCAACGCGACCATCGGCCAGCATGGTTCCCTCGCCGTAAATCTGCGAGAAGCACCAGTACATCACGAGGGCGTGGAAGAAGGAGTTGGCAATCCACGACCAGAACGTCCTGTAGTTGTAGAACTCGGATCGCTGCCCAATCTTGTACATCTGAGGGTACATGTTGAGCATCCGCGAGTTGACGTACTGGTCAAAGATGCCGATGGCGACCGGCTGAAAGACTGCAAAGGCTACATTGTAGGCCGACTGGGTCCAAGACTCGAATAGAGTCTGCGAGCGAAGCAATGAGAGTGAGGAGGTGGATAGACGGGCGTCAAATCGACTGCTGCGACCCAGCCCGCTCCAGCCCACACTGCTTTAATCCTGCTGTATCCGATGCACGGGCGTACCTGTCCGGAGAAGCCGTTGTCAAAGGCGAACCAGAGCTGGATGAGATACAGCGTAATGTTCTTGTAAAAGCTGTACAGAATCAGCTTGCTCAGCCTCGAGTAAGCCCATCCGCCGTGCACGAGCAGCAGCTTGCGCAGGAACCGGAACTGGGCAATGGCAAAATCGGCAGCGCGTGCCGCCTGGAGTCCCTCCATGCCGCTGATGCCGATGCCGACATGGGCCGCCTGGATCATGCTCACGTCATTGGCGCCGTCGCCGATCGCGAGCGTGACGCTGCCCTGGACGTTTTTCTTGACGAGCTTGACGACCAGGGCCTTCTGGAGGGGGGAGACGCGGCAGCATACAACCGCCTTACACATTGTTGCGAGCTCCAGAAAGATGAACGAGATGTCTTTCTCGAGAGCAAACTCAAGAGTCCGTCCATCGATGACGAGTGCGAGTGGCTGAGCGGGCAAGGTGTGATGGCGGAATCAATCAGACCGAGGCACACAGCATCCTCGCTTGCAGTGGTACTGTCGCTGCCACAGGCGCCGTGCTTGCTCCAGAAGCCAGCCCTCAAACACCCCATACCTCAGCATCGGTGTCGGCGTCCTTGTCAATATGAAACTTTGGCTTGCCCCACCACGATTTCTTCTGAGTTTTCTTGATTGCTGCACCACTGAGCCCATCCTTGACGGTCTGCAGCTTCTCCTCGAGGAACTCCTTGGTCTCAAAGTGGGTCGTCTCGTTGCAGATGATGAGGCCCATTTCGTCCGTGATCAGTTTGCACGAGTATGCAATGTTGATGGCTGTTTCCTGACGATCGCCCGTCAGCACCCAGACCTTGATGCCGGCACTCATGAGCGTGTGGATAGTATCAGGCACGCCGTCCTGAAGCTTGTCCTCGATCGCAGTGGCGCCCAGCAGGATAAGGTCCTTCTCGATGAGCTCAGCCGCCCGGTCGAGCTGCTCGCCGCGATTGTTGATGGTCGTTGCCGCTTTGTTGTAGATCTCAGACCACTCGGTATACTCCTCCTCGGAGATGTCGCGGTAAGCGATACAGAGCGTTCGCAGGCCCTCGGTAGCATAGTCTTCGAGATGGGCACAAGTGATATTCACGTATGGATTGTTGTCTGGGGCGAGTCGCTCGAGAATCACGGTATCGGCGCCCTTGATGTACAGCTTGAGCTCGCCACTGGGAGCACGCACGATGGCCGACATGCGCTTGCGGGTGGAGTTGAACTCGCAAATGTTGAGCACCTCATATTCCAGGTCTTGTCCTTCGACGGCGATCGTCACGGACTTGGGGCGCCGAGTCTGGATTTTGTCGCAGCAGTCGGATGAAAAGCGTGGTCAACAGGGGAGTGGACGCAGGACGATTTCCAAAGCAGGCATGGACTCGACACATTGTCTGTGTTGGCTGCAGACCTCGCTCGAGGCCCATGCACATCTGGCGCCAGCTCCTTACCGTAAATTTGAATCCAAGCATCTGTGCTCCCTTGACCAGCGCACCCTCGTCCGGAGACGAGGCCTGGTAAATGATGGTGCTGGGGTCGTCTTCCGGAATCTCGGGAATGACGGTGTGACACACGGCAAGCAATGTCAGGAACTCGCGGATCACAGAGCCGGTTGGATGTCCGCCCTTGAGGTTGTACTGAAGCCTATGGAAGTCGTAATATCCCTGCCATGTCCACCGCAGAGTTAGGGCAAGATCCCGTGGTTCCACAATCATGACGGCAGTGGCGGTGATGATGACAATGCCGACGGCCATGGCAATGGCAATCGTGATGGAAATAACCACGACATCGGCAGCCGATCAATGGATGGCTTGGGGCACTGTGGAGATGGCTCTTACCACTTCTTTGCCACTTTCATCGATGCGCGCTTTCTTATCCTCTGGGACAATCTCGGCATAGGCGATGCCACCGATGGAGCACATGCGATACTCCATGACATTGCAGGTGAGGGTGCCGGTCTTGTCGGAGAATATGTAGTCAATCTGGCCAAGCTCTTCGACGAGCGAAGACGTTCGCGCCGTTGCTGCGGTATCGGTCTCCTCATGGTAGAGATCCATGTCCGAGTTGATCAATGTGCCCAAGGAGAACTTGACAAACTCCATGGTGACAATCAAGCTGAGGGGGATGAGGTTGTTAAACAGGATGATGAAAGTCAGGATGTTTGCGCCAAAGTTGGCCCAGATGGTTTGAGTGTCCGTTTGCTGGTAGAGGATGTAGCGGTTGAACCTTCCGTCGAGCTGAAGCCAAGGAGAGCGAGGAAGCAATGTCGGTTCAGTCCATGGAACACAAAATGTCGGACTAAGAAGGAGAGGTCGGGCATTGGCCTGCGATAGAGCACAGCTCGACTCACCGCGCGAACAAGGTTTCCAGCCGAGCAGACGATGGCCATCAGCAGCAGTATGATAAACAGGAAAATGATCTGGCGGTTGACGAAGCGCTCCACCTTGGTGCTCTTGATTGGGGTGGCGCTGGCGGAGGAGCGAGCGTTAGTTCAGACCTGAGCGTTGCGGCATAAATAGAAGCACTCATCGCGGACGGTTGGAGCGCTGGTGGATCAGTGAATCCAACATACGTGGCGTTGCGCATGAGCTTGGTCTCGTGGCCTGTGAAGATGACGACGGCATAGACCCAGCGGGTGTTGCGAAGCATAGCGCCGCGAAGAAGCAGCTGGATCGGCTCCAGAGGAACCTCCTTGTGCTCCAAACGCAGGGTGCCTTCATAAGTGTACAGGCTGCTGTTGGGGAGCTCCGACTTGATTACGCCGGTGAGCCGAGAGACCTCCTCGGGCGAGAGCAGCTCGGCTGTCTCGGGCAACCCCTGGCGGATCTTGAGGTTGGTTTCGCTGGGGACATATTGGGCAGCGATCACGACAGGAGTGGCCAAGTCAGCACACACCACTCGCACATAGCCCTGTGCTGTGCCGAGTCGTGCCGGAAGGTATGTGGTGCCCTGAGCCCACGTAAACTCGATATTCTCCGCAACCGCTGCGATACAGCCCACACCCAGCAGCCTCTCAGTGGAGGCTTTCTCCCCCGCAGTAGCGCTGCTTACCCATCCAGGTTGCTGGTCTCGATATAGCACAGCGCATCGGGCTCGGAGCTGCTGAGAAGGATGAGATCGGCCGGGAAGGACTGACCGTTCTCGATGCGTACAATGTCGCCGACGACGACGTCACGCCACATCTTCTCCTCAAAGGCATCGCCACGGAGCACCTTGACGAAGCGGGTATTGAGCTCGTTGTCCTGCTGATGGCGCTTGCGGTCCTCGACGATTTCCTTCAGGGCCGACACACACACGACAATGCTGAGAGGAATGACGGTGCCCCATCGGTTGGTTGGGGATAGGTCGCCAATTTGCTACGTGGAGCACCAGGCCAACGAGAGAATACAAAATACAAAATACAAATACAGTCAGCAACACGCAACCAAACGACAGTTCTGATGGCGGAGCACATTCAGGCATCAGCGCCGGCCATGCGAGCGTGGGAATCGCCCGTGCCTGCCAGGGACAAGTGCTTCAACGCGCCATAGAGCAATTGGCCGAACCCGACGGAAAGCACAGCGATACATCACATCAACGGGACAGTGCGACCTTACCTGAATGCACGCCGTGAACAAAAAGAACAGGTTGGCATACTTGGAGAACTGCTCATATAGGAAACGGGGCAGGAACGTAAAGTAGTTGTACTTTGCCGTGGTGACGCCGTTGTGGAGAAACTTGGAGAGCTGGTTCTTGACGGGATCGTTGATGTAGATCGTGCGATCCGTCGGGGCGTCAGCTTCATCCGAGAAAAACATGCCGGCGACGCTGTGCTCTCGTCGTCGTTGGTAGGGAGGGGTCGCGGCTGTCTATGGCTGAGGCGGGGTGCGATGCAGTGGGGTTTTTGCGCTCAAAGGACGAGGAAGTGGGCGGCGACCGAGGATGGCGGACGACAGAGCAAAAATACCCACGCAGTCTTACACACAGCGAGCATTGGGGAGTGGCTGCTGCACATCCGTGATCCGACGAAAAGGTGAAGGCGACGACGTCGCCGCCTGGGCTCAATGCCAGAGAGCCAGCCTTGATTGGAGACGCAGGCGGCTGCCCATAGTATCGATGGGTCGTCATCGCGGCCGGCTGTCGTCACTGCGAGCACAATCAAGGAGACTGCAGATGCCAGCAGGTGATGATGGACCCATCCCCGATGCGCTCGCTGCATCGTCTGCCAGGGCATACAACAGGGAGTAATGTCTCGGGGGCCGGACTCGGCTGTCCGGGCTGCTGTCCTGATACTGCCGCCTGCTCGCCACCGTCTCCATGGCCGTCTCCATGGCCGTTTCCATGGCCACACCCACCACAGCCGCCCTCTCCCCTCTCGTCCCCGCCGTTGTCGCCTCCTTTCGCAACCTTCGTTATCGTCGCCGCGTCTGCTGTCAGCCCTGGTCATGGTCTCTTCTGCCCACGGCCCGTCTTGCTTCTTGGCCGTTTTGGCCCTTTGTGTCGCCGCGTGTGACCAGACCGCCACAGCCACCGCGCTGCTGATTGGCCGCTGCCGCGCTGTGTGGGCGCATTTGGGCTGTGCCCCAGCGCGTTGTGTGTCGCCGCCGCCCCAGCCCCGACTTGCTCAAAAGGAGGCCACGTTCGCCAGGCCCGCTCCCACAACCCTGCTCCCGCTGGCATTTGCTTCCCATCGGCATCGCGGTCCATCTCAGCGTCTCTCCCTCTCTTTCACCACAACCATGCGTCTCTCGCACCCCGCTGTCGTCGTCCTGGCCGCCGTCGGCTCGGCCGGCGTTGCGCTCGCCGCAGCCAACTCCCCCGCCAACTGCGTCTCAGGCCGATACTACATGAACGACACCTCGGTCGTCTACACTAACAACAATAAAACGGCCTCGCCGCCCTTTGCCGACGCACCGCCTTCCAAGTACGCCTTCACCATCGACTACAACCCCGAAAATGCCCAGGTCAGTGCCGACGAACGGCCTCATCCGGCCCCATCCGGCCGATCCGGTCCATCCGGCATCAACTGTCGCGGAGTTGGCGATGCTGTCGAGACCGCCTGGGACAACGTTCTCCTCGGCCTTGCTCTCCTGACCCCAACATCCATGCTCATTTGGCTCTCCCCGTACAGATCGGCCCCAATGGTCTCACCATCACCCTCAACAAGCCCCCGCCTGGCGGAATCGCCACCGGATCGCGGCTGAGCACCTCCTTCCATGTCTTGTAAGCGTCTGTCGGTGTTTCGATTTGGGCGTGCGTCTCGCTCGGCACCACAATATTTGCAGTCCGTGAGGCACCAGGGCTCAACTAGTGGAGGCACTGGAGCTCAACTAATGGAGGCCACTGCACTCTTGATACTTACCGCGGCCCTCGCTACTCGTAGGCATGCACGAATCACAACCCACATGCGCTGTGCCGCCGAGCAGGGCCTGATCACGGTTAGTCGCGAGCAGAGAGGCCTGCGCTCTGGTGCTCATCTCCTCGCCCTCTCGCTCGCTTTACTGATCCATACGGATCTCTTGCCAGACCTTCATCACCATGTCCGACAGCAAAGACGAAATCGACTATGAAATCGTCGGCGCACAGGTCACCCAGGCTCAGTCGAATGTGTTCTACCAAGGCTATCCCGAATATGGCGTGTGGTCTGCCACCCACAACCTTCCTTCGGGCACAATCGATCAGTACCATGACTATACCATCGATTGGAACTCGGACCGCATCCTGTAGGTGTCCGCACTAGCGACATCTCAGTGCAGGTTGCTGCGACAAAGGCTTCAGGGACTGCTTAGGCGGGTTGCATGCGCTCCATGAAGTTCCATGAGTTCATAGGCTACATGGACTGCATGGACTGCTTGCCTCTCGTTCATACCTTGTGCTTACCTCTCTCATCTTCATCCGACCCTCGTCTCTCTGTAGCTGGCAGATCGATAACACCACCGTGCGAAACTTCACCAACACCCACTACTCCACCAATCCCGCTCTTGCCAACCAAACCTGGTTCCCAAACACGCCGTCGCTGATCCAGTTCTCGCTCTGGGACTCGGGTGACGACGTAACCAATGCCGGCCAGGTGGCCTGGTCTGGCGGCCCGCCGTCGTGGAGCCAGCCAAGCTACAACGCCAGCTGGGCATACGTTGATATCCAGTGCTACGACGACAACAACAGCCCCGTCAGCGCTTGGCCTGTTGGCTCAGTGCGTGCCCAATCCTCGCCTCTGCCCAGTCCGTCGTCGTCCTCAACCACAACCACGGTCCAGTCGGCAACATCCAGCCAGTTGCCGACTGCGTCGCCCAGCGCCACACCTAAGTCTGGCTCTTTGGCTCGGGCGGCGGGCTCGACGATGGCAGTCGTCTTGTCGGGATTGGTCTGGGGGCTGTTCGCTCTCTGATGTCCGCCACCACGCTTTGTGCTCCACCACCGCACTCCGTCAACAACGAACACAACCATCATCGCCATCATTATCACCACCATCACCATCATCCCCGCCGAGCTCCAGCGCCCGATACCGCTCCCAGGGGCCAACGACCCAACCCAATGACATATAGACAAAATTGCATGTACGGTGGTGTGTTGCCGTCGGCGCTGCGGGATGTGAATACATCATCTTTGGGATCTTACTTCTCCTTTGGCCTGGTGATTGGGCGCACAGGGGAGGGGAGAACTGCAACACCTGTGTAGGTCAACGGGTGGGCGAGTGTCCGGACACACGCCTCGCTTTATGTACAATGACTCTGGGTGCAGGCAAATGAGCTTTGAAAGAACAATGAACGGATGCAAATTGATGGAAACTAAAAGTTCTCCTTTCCGTAGTAGAAACGGGTGCCAAACTCGGCGTCGGTCCACTTGTCGCACATCTTGTGCAGCTGGTCCGAGAGCACGGGCGGGCCGCAGAAGAAGACGCCAATGTCGGTGGAGGGATGCTTGATCTTGAAGTTCTTGAAGAGCTGGTCGAGGTTGGGCCGACCATAGAAGGTCTTTGAACGCAGACCGGTGAGGCCGTCGGCGTCCTTGTTGGTATTGATCATCAGGTTGGTCATCTCCTCGGGCTTCAGGCTGGCCGTCAGATAGGTCTGAATCTCCAAGAACTCGAGATACTCCTCCTCGAGGGTGCTGAGAAGGTCTGTGAACCACTCAAATGCCTGGAACGACGGAACAGCATGGTATCAGCAAACGTGTTTGGTGCGGCGTGGATGGAGACAGCGTCGATGCCAGGGCAGCGGCGTGGCTCAAGAAGCAGCAAGACGGATCATCTTACATCTTTGTCGCGGCAGATCCAAATAAAGTGGACCTTTTTGAGCTTCTTGACGCTGGAGTGGTTGAGGCGGTACCAGATTGTCTTCAGGATCGATGCGAACGGCGTGACACCAATGCCAGCACCGACCAGCACCGACACATCGTAATTGAAGACATCCTCGGAGGCAGTTCCAAAGGGCCCGTCGATCATGACCACAGGCAGGGTGGTGGGCGCCGTGACGACGGTGCCAGACTTCTTGTCGAACTGGCATCCGAGACGCTGGGCAAATGCCGTGGTCCAGTCGCCGACCACGCGGATGTGCACCGAGACAAAGTCCTCGTGCGGAGAGGAGGTGAGGGTGAAGGGGTGCCACTCATAGTACGCGACCTCGGGGCAGTTCAAGAAGATATACTGGCCGGCACGAGTCTTGCAGGAGGGTTTCTTGATCTGCAGCTCCACAACCTTGGAGGGATGCTGGATGACCTTGCTGATCTGGGTCAGGCGTCGTCCGCGCCACTCGCGGATGATGCGTTCCAGCAGATACAGGGCCGCTGGGCCGATCCACCACTTCCAGAAGGTAGGGCCGCCACGGCAGGGATCACCAATGTCGCCCTTGATGAAGCAGAACGCGCCGTGGACCAGGGTTCCGCCAAAGAAGACGACAAAGAGATGGTGCGTGAACCAGAACAGCTCAAAGGCCTTTCGGCGGATGGTCTCCATGGCCGAGGTCACCATCAGAAACAACGCAACGGTGATGATCTGGCCGGTGAGACCAGGCCCGCTCAAGAGGGTGAGGGCCTCCGGAGTGGCATACTGCTGCAGGACCTTGTTGACATTGAGGTAGTTGAAGTAATGGCCGACGCAGTGGACATACGACCAAAGCACGATCGACCAGGCAATGTAGATGTGCGAGTCGATGTTGTGGTCAAAGGGCACAATCTTGCCCAGGAAGGTTGCTCGCAGACGGGTGATGGCATTGCGGCAGACGGTGAGCAGGATCAGGGCACAGTTGAAGTTGATGATGTTGGCTGCGCCACGGGCGATGGGGAGGCCGTGGCCAAGGATGCTTCGGAAGGTGGCGACGGTGGGCGAGGTCCACAACTGATAGTACGAGACGGCAAAGTATGCAATCTGGGCAAGGACCCAGGCGACGAGCCAGATCTGGGTGGGGCCTGGGAGGTGGATGGGTTGTTGGCAGGATTGAGACAGGGTGAGCAGTCAAGCTGGAAGGCGGGTCGGGGCTGGGAGACGGAAACCGGCGGAAGGGACAGCCAAGCAGCGCGGGTCCAGTGCGATGCCCAGAGAGAGTGCTATCCGGTTCGGCTCACCTGTGTTGACCAGCCAGTTCTCGATCTTGACCCGCAGCCTCGACTTCTTGACACGGCCGACGGGGATCTCGAAGGGCAGATCGACCTGGTGCTTGTGGTCCAGGTCGCTCCGCTGGTAGTAGACGGATTGGGTCTTGGAGCTCATGGCGGTGGCCACGGAGGCAGATTCGGGGACGAGAAGGCGTGTGCAGGCTGGAGGGAGAGGCGACCCGGGGAGCAGCAGCGGGGAAGGCACCGCAGGCGACGGCTTATATCGGAAGCATCGCCCAACAAGGCCCGGGCAAGGATCGCTGGGCAGGCGAAGGGCAGGCGACGGAGCCGGCAGACGCATGAAGCGCCCCTGGGCAGAGCCGCCGCCACGGAGCGCCAAAGCGCACAGGCCGACAAAGCCGGCCGTGCGCCAAACGCGAGCCGCGGTGCCGACGGCGCGGGCCTGGTTGGTGGTGATGGGCGGAGCGGCGTTGGGCTGCGGGAAGCACAGATATGTAATTCTGCAATTCAACTTCAATTCAACTTGAAATTCAACTTGAAATTCAACCTGCAATTCAACTTGGAGTGTGGTCCTCTGTGCGATATCTGCAAATGAGTCAGCCCTGGTCAAGCGTGCGTCTGGGTCGAGTCGAGTCGGGTCGGGTCGGTTTTGATTTGTTTGTTTGTTTGTTTGCCTTTGGGCGTTGGAAAGTGAGTGTTGTCGCCGCCCAAGCCAGCGGTAACGAACGAGCGAGCGAACCGCATATGCGGCCGGTCGTTGTCTGCGCCTGAAGGGCAATGGCCACGCCATGAAGCTGCGCCTGCTCTTCGGGTGCCGTTTCGTGGTGAGGGATGCAGACGGCGCCGTTACGGGTCCAGCTGCGTCCACCCGGAATCGAACAACCTGCATCCATCGAGCATGGTCCCTGAAGTGGCCGAGGCAGAGCAATCCTGAGGATCTGCGACTTGGACACTGGACACTTGGACATTTGGACATTTGGACATTTGGACACCCAGCATCGGATTATCAGCATCACAGCATCGCAGCATCGCAGCATCGCAGCATCGCAGCATCGCAGCGTCACGTATCCATGCTTCCCGCATCCAAGACCCGGCCCTGCTCTTTCTCGGCCTGCAGCCCTCGTCGGGCCTGATCGGTTGATCCATCGCGGCTCCAGCATCTCCACCCAGCTCAACGCGCTGGTCTCTCTTGGTCCCTCGCCCTTCCCTCGTCTCTCATTCATCCATCGCCGTCTCTCGTCCATCCCCTCATCGCCAAACACGCCGCATTCCCGTTTGGCTGCCAATCTTCGCTTGCCCGGCCTGCCCTCACCAATCTCATCCGCGAATGATCCGGTCTCTCAAGTCCTCGCTTGGGCGGCTGCAGCTTTCAGTGGCCCACATCGTCGACGGGCTTGACCGCCAGAGCCTCCCTACCAGCAACCCCGACCAGTCGTATGTCATTCACATTCATACCACCAACGTGCTGCAGTTCTTCGAGACCCGCGATCCGCATCCCTTCCAGCCCCGACAACTCTGCGCCGGGGCAGAGGCCCACATCACCCGCGAGATCGAAGAGGCCGATTCGCGCGGGCTTCTGTCCAGCAGCAGCAGCATCAGCCTCAGCGTCTCCTTCTCCGAGCCGCCCTCCGACCCAGCCTATCTGCAGCGCATCACCAACGGCGACCTCAAGGCCATCTCGCTCGAGCAGTGGCAGGATCCCGACTTTCGCTCCGAGCTCATCGAAAAGTGCCAGTCTGACCTCCAGGCGGCCATTGTTGCCCACTACGCCTTCATCCTGCGCGGCCTGGAGCTCGAGATCACCGGCAACACCCAGAGGAACTTTTTGTCGCTCGGATTCGGCTTCACCATCCTGCTGGTCTCGGTCGTCCTGTCCTCCTTCATTGAGCACTACCGGCAGCTCCACACGGCCGCGGCCTCTGCAGCCTCTACCCAGGACGGCCCAGAAGCACACAGCAACTGGACCGTCCTCGTCAACCACGGCGGCTGGGCCTCCATCTTGGAAATCATCGGCTGGGTTGCGCTATGGAGGCCGCTCGAGAACTTTTTCTTCTCGGCGAACCCGCTATGGGAGCGCAAGGCCTTGCTGACCAAGATGTCCCTGGCCAACGTGCGGGTCATCTACGATCCGTATGCAGGCCCCTACGCCAAGACGGTCTAGGGTCCGTCGTAGTGTGCATTCTGCCCTTCCCTGCCCTGCTCTGTTCTGCTCTGTTCTGCCACCTGTTCACATCTCGGGGCCATATCCCCCGAGTTGCCCCAACGCCTCATGTTGAAATCCGACTCCCACTGCCATGCCATGCCATGCCGTTTGCACCCTGCGCGAATGGGCCCATGCGCTCTGTGCTTTCCACCCAGTCCTCCAGTCGAATACCACTGTCTAATGTAGAGACCCTGCACTGGCATTGCCATTTCTTGTCATGGATGCCGCGCGTGAATGCACCACCACCACACTCTCGCTTGAACCAACCAACCAACCAGTGGGGTCAATCGACATTGCGGGAACTCAAATCGTTGTTTATTGGTGTGCTATAGGCCAACAGAGCCTCCGCGATCCCAGGCGTAATTACGATGGACGGGACTATCTTGTGTGGGTGTGGGGGGGGGAGAGAAGGAGGGAAAGAAGGAATGAAGTAGATGTGGCTGAAGGCTGCGGAAGCAAGGCTGAGACGGGCGGTTCGTCGTTCGAGTCATGCGCGCACGCTTGGGAACGAGCGATGGCATCGATAGAGTGCGATCCTATCTCTTGCTTTGTCCTTGGCCGAGCTTGCTCGATACTCACCCAGCCCTTTCCAGTCCCTTACACAAGCAGCAGAGGAGCGATTGGAAAGGAAAATGAGAGAGCACCAAGGGCGAAGGAAGGGGGGGGGAGCGACAAAGCCTGTCTAGCCCATCGACTTGAGCAGGTTCTTGTAGATAACGGCCAGGCGCTCGCGGCCCGACAGGCGCTTGGAGACATACTGGGCCAGGATATCGGCGCTCAGCAGTGGATTTTGAATAAAGTTGAACTTGATCCGGATGGGCTTGTCGTCGTCGCGGAAGATCTGGAAGCCCTCGAGCCGGTTCTCTTGCAAATGCATAGGGCTCGGAGCCGATCCTTTTGAGATCGCGGTGTAGTACTGGTTTCCGCCGCTCTTGGCCCGGACAATGCGGTTCTCCATGCGGCCGAGGGCACCGAGGGCGTTCATGTTCCGAAAGTCCAGGAAGGGCGACTTCACCAGGGGGTGTGCCAGCAGCTTTTCTCGGTCGGCTTCCCACAGCGTCACATTGACCCAGATGCCTGTTGTGGACGACCGGATGCCCGGCTCGCCGACGAGCTGCTTCTGGAAGACATGCTTGAGGTAGCTACTGATGGCCCAGTTGCGGGTGTTGGACGCCCAGTTGACGGTGTTGCGCAGACGAAGGGCGATGGTATGTGTTCGGCCCATGGTGGCTTGTAGTTGGGCTGAGTGTCGGGCGGGACGGACGTGGGAACGGCGCTGGCGATCGGGCCTGGCTCGGATCGAGCGTGCGGGTCTGGGCTTTGCGATGAAAGATCGGCGACGATCTGTTCTGATGCGTGAGCCCGGGTTTGACTTTTTTCTGGGCCAATTTTTTTGCGACTGGCAGTCATGGCGGATCGAGTGTGATCGAGTGTGGATCGAGTGTGATCGAGTGTGGATCGAGTGTGGGTCGAGCCCCATTCGTCCCACGAACACGTGCCCTGGCAATTCCCGCAACTGCCATGAAAGACACAGGGATTCCAAAATGAAATGGGACACCCCCGTTTTTAACCAGGAATGTGTGTTTCCTGGAACCTGAATACACTTCCACTCATCGCATTCATGGCCAAGCAAGTATGTCCAAGGAGACCGAAGTGGTGATTGCCTTTGGGAATGCATCCTGGAAACAGGGGAAGGGATATGCATCCAGTCCCAGGAGACTCAGGTTCGCCAAGTACTTTGAGCAGTTCATACACCACCAGAGACGCCAACCAGACCGATCCGTCTCCAAGATCCATGTGTACTCGGTGAACGAGTTCAACACATCCCAGGTGTGCTCACATTGTCGGGAAGCCAAGCGACTCGAGAAGGTCGAGCATCTTGATATCGAGAAACCATGAAGCTATGCAGAGTGAATGCACCACACAAACACATCGAGACATCAATGCCTCACGGAACATGATCTCGGTATGCCAGTCGATCATCGCCACAGGAGATCGGCCGGGTGTATTCAAGGCTGTGCTTCCCAAACCAACCAAAACCACTCGATTGCCAACGAAGACAGGAGTGCAATGCCATGGCCTACCCGCTGGGCCTACAAGTCAGTCAGCGGGGTTCAGACATCTGAAGCCAGAAAGGAACTGTCACGTTTCTTTCCGGATAGACTGTAATCAAAACTGTATTTGTTGCGTGCGCTGCCCTCTGCTGGCTGCAGCTCATACTACCCCTCCTGTCAACAAGCGAATGAACATCAGATCCTCCTCCTTCTCGTTTTCGTTCAGTCCATCGCAGAACGAGGGAGTGGCCACCTGCGCGGTGAGCAGCAATGGGTCGTCAGTGATCCGTAGCCATTCGTATGACGTTCACCGCCAGCAACCCAGCCGCTCTTTCGTCGCCTCAGTCTTGCTCGGCTTGGCGCGGACCCCACCAACCCCATCCAAGCATGTCCCAGGATACTGATACTCACGGGCTTGAGTCCCAGCTGCTTGCGCTTCCTCATCATTGCCCTTGCCCAATCTGGTATCGACTGCACTCCCTCCGGCAGGCCCGAGGAGGTGCGTCCGGCCGACTCTATCGCCGCCTTCTTCTTCTTGAACAACGTGAGGGGTCCATACACAAAGCCATGGCCTGAGCGGCGAAACATCGTGGAGTGGGAGGATGAGTTTAGAGACTGTCATGCGCCTGAGCTTCGTGCACAGCCCGACAGAATGCCGATTCCGGGGCTCTTTGGTGCGGCGCAAACGACAGCCGTAGTCCATCCCCGGCTCTGCACGCACCAGATGGCCTGGTATACGACGACATTTCGTATTCCGAGCGAAGCCCCCAGATTGTACTTGACGTTGATTCCATAATGTCTTTCCGGATCTTGCGGGCACCGTCCTGGAAAGCCGAATGGCCACACACGTCAGCATTCTACCGCTGCCGACAGCCACACCAGCTATGCGCTCGATCGGACATACGTTGTAAGTTTGATGTGCTAACCGAACCGCGGCATCGACCATGGTCTGGGCCTGCTCCTCCGCGAGACGAAGCCGTGATTCCGCCCGCTCGAGCTTTGAGTCCCGCTGTGACTGGATGCGCTCGCACTGTATCTTGAACTCTGTGTGTGTTTCTATCGACATGCAGCATTGGTATGAGCACGGTCAATCAGGGACTGCGTTCATATTTGAGTCGCTGGGATCACATCCAGGTATGAGAGCATCTGGAGGATCCTACATGCATCATGCACTGAGAGAGAGGGAGGTATGCGATAGTACCCACCATCTTCCAGCACCGATTGTTCCAAGAGGATATCTTGGTTTATCAGATCAAAGTAGCTGCATCGACAACAACATCCAAAGTAAGCAAGAGATTCCAGCTACGGGAGTGGTCTCGGATACCGCATGCACTGCCACTCAGCCGCAGACAGACCACTTGTGCAGCCCGGCACAGTGCAGCGCTATCTTCAACCTGTCTTGCTATATCATCGCCAGTGCTCGCTGAAAGAAACCCTTACAATTTCGACCATGCATCAATGTCAGCCGAGATCTTCTCCATTTCCGCTTTGGCTCGGTCCAGAGCATCTCCCTCGGCTGCAGAAAATTATGATTGAAGTAGAGGGTGGGGGAGCAGTTATAGCCAGGTGCGTTAGTCGCGGGTGCCACTCTGCGTTCGATCAGTCCACAGAACCGCAGCTCTCTGGCCCGAAATGGCATTTTCAATACCTGCTTGCACTTGCTGAAGGTTCAGTGATCCCAGCAGATCGTCTTCCAGATCAACAACGTCGCCTTCATCGTCATCGAGCTGAGGCGCGGCGGGAGATGCGGCATCACCGACCGCTACGGTTGGCGGCAGACCCTCGGCAGCGCTGGAGATATGTGCAGCAGTCACAGCAGAGCCAGCAGAGCCAGCAGAGCGGGTCTCTGGCCCATCGCTTCGTGGGGTCGGTTTGGTGTCTTTGGTGTCTTTGGCGACAGATGACTCATGCGCGTCCTGGTGGGCGGAGGAGTAGAGAGCGGGGCGATCGGTGGATTTTGATACGTCGGGCTCGGTCTTGATCGAGCCAAGCTGTTTGGCCTTCGATGAGGCTGTTGGTTCGGGGTCGGACTGTGCTGGTTCCGGGATAAAGGAGCGAGCGTCCAGGGCGGCCAATCTGGCAGTCGATCGGGTAATCTTTGTTCGTTTTTCTGGTCTCGATCCCGAGATCGCGGTCTCGGAGTTGGCCAGCGACGAATCTCCGTTAGCGACGCTCTCGGCATCGGCGGCTCCGTTGGTGCTGGCCTCGGGAGTGGTGCTGTCGACAGATCGAGTGCCTTCTGATGCTTCCTCGGCTCTTCTTCGTTTGAGCGGAAACATCTCAGCCTCGGTCTCTCTGTTGAGCGAACGGGCTCGGTCTGAGAGCGACGCTCCAGCCGCAGCAGCGGCCTGGCGGGTTCTGCGTGAAGGGTAGGGTCGGTCCTCGGGGCTGTCCTGGCTCGGCAGGAGGGACGAGGTGTTGGGATAAGCTTGGGCGCGAGTCATAGGTTTGTTGTCATCTTCATGCGACGACAGCGGTTTGGCGTGTTTCAGGGCGGGCGGATGTGGGCTGTTGCTCTCCTGCGGCGAGAATTTACGCGATTCGAGGGGGGGCAGGAAAGAGCGGGGCGAGTCTCCTGGAGAAGCCAAGAGGACAGCGTCAGGCGGGTGTCGGGGCTGGCTGGCGTCGGCGGTGGCAGCGGCAGCAACAGCGTTGAGATCGGCTGGCGCTGGCAGAGCAGCTGGGTCGGCTGGCTCAGACAAGAGATCGGCCTCGGTGGTTGCTGGGAGATGCGAGAGATCGGGCGGGGCGCCGCCGGTCGGGCTCGACTCGGTGGGATTGGACAGCGATGCTGCGGTGGGGGCCGACCGGCTGCCGAGCAACTTGTCAGATCTCGCTGATTTTGCAACCGACATTCTGGACATTGTGTGGGAGTGGGGGGGGGTGGTGCTGCGACCACACCCGCCGACATTACCGGGTCAATGCTTCCGCAGTAACATGCCCGTGGGCCTCGTCCCGGCACGCTGCTCACTGCTCGAGACCACATACCTCGCCGGGGGACTGCTCCGGCGCTCTGGGTTGGGTCGCTGGTGTGGTGTTTGCCGAGATTCCGTTTTGCGCGGCCGTCGGCAACTCTTCCTGGAGGTGTTGGTTGGCCTGGAGAGTCGCACAAAGAGTCGAGCGGGAGAGGCTGCCAGAGGAGTGGGGCAATGGGGGCAGATACGGCTGACAGTGAGCATAGGCGATAGGCATGGACGATGGGCATAGACGATGGGCATGGACAAGAGCAACGGGCGATGGGCACAGGAGGGCAGCCATCGGCCGATCGAAAGCAGGCCGCATGAGATACCCATACGGCTGACAGAGCACCCACCGCTGGGATCTTGATGCACCTGGGGCTGTGTCGATCGAGGCCCTTTGGCTATCAAGCAGACGGGGTCTCGCGTCCGGATGGCACGGGCAGCGCAGATATACTGTTACTTGTGGACAGACTTATTGGCAAATTGGTCTGTTTGAGCCGTGGGAGTTAGATGCGAGGCCACGGCAACAGCCCAGGGCATGTCTCCAGGGGTGCACCAGCACGCAGGCCAACAAGCAACATGCGGGCGGCGCTCGCGGCAGTATGCCCATCGACCCATCGACCCATCAACCCATCTGTCCCTGTATGCAGGTCGCCATCCGAGAGCGCAGGAACAGCAGCCACTCTGTCGGTGGGAGCAATAGTTCCGATTGCTTGCCCCATCGCGACCGAGAGTGCTTGTCCAGGGCGCTGGCTTATTGACGGGCGGCTGGCTGCGTGCATAACCAGACTGCCAAGGCGGCTCGTCGGCCAGACTCCGTGGATGTCATATACACCAGGTCGTATGTCGGTGGCTGCATCGCAGATCTGCGCCAGCGACCCGCACGACGGTAATCGGCTGCCGATCCATGGCCCGTCCGCTCCCTCTCGTCTCGCTTCGCCGTGGGATGGGCAAATCGCGACAGAGCCGCCGGTGCTGCCGAAGGCAGGACTGCGACTGCATTACCTTGCGCTAATGCGTCTTGGACGGCCTTTGTTGCTGCCCGTGGTGTGTCAATGAAGCGGCGTTCGGCTGCTGACCGAGCGGTGTGGCTGTTGCTTGGGCAACCACGGATCTCGGGAAGGTGTTGAGACCGAGGCCAAATGCGGCTTGAGCAAGGTCTGCGCGATGGCCGATGTGGAGCAGGACAACAAGAGCCGTGCATTAGTAAACACCGCCAGGTTGCTCGATCTGCAGACGGGCCATCGTCCGATCCGTGTCTTGGCCGGTTGAATAGAAAAGAGCCGCGACTCCATGTCGCATTGGGGCTCGCTCGTGCTGCCGATCGGCGGACGACCCGAAGGGCAGCACATGTGATGTAGCTCCAGGCCAACCCAGCGACACTGCCGATTCAGAACATCGTGGTGGCCATGGCCCAGCAGTCGTCGCGACCAATTCAAGCATCCTATTGACGGTCGACAGGAGGTGGATTCGACGGCGATGGAACCATACCCGAAATCCCAGACCGGGGGGGGGCAAATGAGCCGGTAGTTTGAGAAACAGCCAGACGGATCGGAGGATGCGACGGGCAGTGTGCTTGGAGATGCGGCTCCTGCAGAGATTGGAGGCAAGGTGCTGGCGTGCCGGCCGGGTTGGATGGAGGCACCTGGGTAGTCCAAGTGCAAGGCGGGGCAATCTCCCTGATGGATTTGGCTTCCGCGGCCCTGGGTTCTGGGCAACGCAGCAAATGGCCAGGAACAAGGCCGGCGCACAACACGCACGCATCCTGGCTCGATCCGGCCGTGTCACCTGCCGGCACCGCGGCCTTGTTGCGGCCGGCACACGTGGGCGGCGGTGCTTGGGGGCCGCACAAGCAAACAGCGCCGTTGAGGGCGGGGCGGACTCGGTTGACTCGGTTGACTTGCGAGGGACAGCAGACGGTCAGCCGTGGTCAGTGCATGTCAGCGCATGGTCAGTGGAGATGGTCAGCGCACGGATGGTCAGTGCATACGGCTCGTGCACGGATTCATGAGTGCATGTGTTCTTCGGGCAAGTCGAAGGGTAATCGGATGTACAACCCGCGCTGAACATTGCACATACATGCCATATGCAAGACCATTTACTCCACGACCAGACACCCATACGTTCAGTGAGCTGCTTGCCCGATATGCAGCACTGCTCGTGGCCACTGAGTCTCTCCATTACAGTGTCCGACGCCGGGTTGCTGCCCGACTGATTGATTGCTCTTGACTCTGATCAATGCCGAGCTACTTGTGGCCGTTGGCTTCCCACGGCCAACGAGTCCCTCAGTCCAATGCTGTCCAGGCGTCGTTCATCAGACCTGCTCGACAGTTCCAATATCAACTCGGATGCTACACTGGCTTTCGTGGCCACCGCTGCGACAACAGGTCAACATGGTCGCTGCAGTCGCAGCAAGCCGCATTGCGTCCAGCCCCCCCCCCACTCACCGCCGGCTCACAACAAACAAAGCACATCCTGTCCTAGAAAACAGCCGGCGTCCCCACTGCCGAGATCGACTACCGTAACATCCAAGCGACTTGTTCCCAGATACCTGCGACTGCCACGGACCGACCTTGCATCCGCAACCGATCCCACTTGTGCCTGTCTGTCATTCCACACCAGATCCCTATCGCGACGCCCGCTGCCTGCTTGCCATGGACTACACTGTAAGCGGAGACTGTGTCGTCCGTATACCCAGCGATGCTCCGAGTAGCAACTACTTCCGCCGTTGCTTCTTCGGGCTGCACTGACAGCTCCTTTTGGTTGGCCCAGCCCGAGCGGGTGATAGAGCCGCCTGTTTCGGTGGTTCGAGTTGCCACTCCCGATCGAATGGCCGCAGCCGATACGTGGCGACCTCCTTGGCTCAATGTGGCCGACTTCCAACCAACGATGGCCGGGTATCTCAACGAGGACCCAGACGACGGCCAGCCCATGGTTCTGACCTGGGATGATATGGTGCTGCTCCATATGATCCAGAGTGAGCGACCCGAGCTCGCCACCGTCATCCTTCCTGGGCCGACAGACTGGCTGAACGGCGACCCCAGTCCGGACGAGCACGAGCACGAGCATGAACATGAGCTCGACGACGGAGCCATCACCGAAAACGAGCTTGTGATTGTGCAAAACCTGAATGCCGCTCTTTATGACATGGAACAGCTCCATATGCATGCCCGCGGAGGGACCGACTCGGATGGCTTTGGTGAAGAAGGTATACCCCACGAAGGAGGCGATGTCGAAGGCTGGGAAGTCTACGAAGTACTCAACCAACTGGCAGCAGAGGGCCGCCGTCCGTTCGGGGTATCCTTGAGCGGATCCGATATCAACGGCCGACCGAGGTCGCCCTTGCCCTTGGCCACAGCCATTCGTCTGCATCAGCGCACTTTGACCGGAGACACTCACCACACAAACCATGCCAGCGACGCCGACAGCTTTGAACACATCCCCGAACTTGTACCCGATCACTCCGAAACACATTCCAACTCGAGCCGTCACGGGGATATGTATATTCATAGCCTCAGTCCTTCCTGGGTCGAAGAGCACAGCATTAACGACGACGACTATGATTCACGGACCAACGACGATATCCTGTCCGATTTGCTGAGCCGACTCAGGGCCCAGGATTTGCACCAGCATAATGCAAGCCAGCAGCACCCATATGATGAAGATTCGCTGTATCTGGACGACCCGAGGTGAGCTGCTCGCATCGATGGCTGCTTTGTACTCGCATGGCCCCAGATGCTCGCCTGTTGCATGTTGCTGGTACAGCTTTGTGTGCCGAGTGTGTGGACATGAGACTCTACGGGCGTTCTGCTGTGAGTAAGCAAGTAGGCAAGCACCTCACCAGATGTGCTTCCGAATGGGCCCATGTTGCTGTCCCGGATTGCGGACACAGTGCCCTCAGCACAGGCTCTCCCATCTTGGTCCACAGAGTCCCGATCATTGCCGTCACGACAAATGCCAGCGACTCAGGGACTTTGAATGACCCAGGCAGTGTTGCTGCCGCTTCCGAAGAAACTGGCGAGGTTCAGTCCTCCGGAGCCGTCGGGCACGGATCATCTCGTTCCCGGGGTGGTGAGTCGGTGCACGACAGCGTACCATCCTCAGCTCATCACAGCCGAGAGCCCTCGGTCGGTTATGGCTATCCATTTTACTTTGTTGGAAGACAAACTCAAGGCTCAGGCAATCACAACGAGAATATTCGTGGTGATAGTGACGATGATGACGATGATGACGATAACGACTACCCCGACGACAACGACGACAACGACGACTATGAGGTTTACTACCGATCCGGGCATCTCAACACCGATGAGGACCAAGGCATCGACCGCAACGAGCTTGAGTTTGAAGAGTGGCTGCTGAATACCTATGGAGGCATCTTTGGTCATACCAATGTCGATGCCAACGGCAACCGATGTCCACCGCACATGGCGGTAGTACCACCGCTGGACGAGTTTGGGCTCGACGAAAACGGGGTTCCGATCGACACCTGCGACGCCGAGACCGCCAAGATGTTTCTGCGCTGGTGCACCGATATCCGGCGGGAACTGATGCACGACTTTGACGGCGGCACAAAGCCAGCCCCAGACCGATAGAGTGATCGGCGATGTGTGCTGCTCGTACACTATGAAAAAATTTCTTGTTAATAAAATGAGCGAGAACGAAAAAGCGCGCTCTCGGAGCCACCTCGGTCGGCGAGAAGAGCAGTCTCTGGCGAGAGACCCCCGAGGGAAGGCGAGAAGCCTCTCGCCGTCACACACACACACACACTTTGCACACACACACACACTTTGCAAGGGAGTCAAACACCTCCCATCGACCATCCCAAGAGGGATGGCAACCCCGAAGTGGACTGCCCAGAATATGGGCGACCCGGCATCCACTGTCGAAATGCACAAGGAACAGTGCAAGATACTTACAGTCAATCCAGAAAGAAACGGGACAGATCCCATTTCGGGCTTCAGATATCTGAAGCCCGTTGACTGACTGTAGGCCCCAGCGGGTAGGCCGTGCGATTGTTTCCCGTCCTGGTTGGCAATCGCTTTGTTTTGGTTGGTTTGGGAAGCATGGTCTTGAATACACTCGCTCGATCTCCATGGGCGATGATCGACTGGCATACCGAGATCATGTTCCTGGCTGCATTGATGTCTCGATGTGTTTGTGTGATGCATTAACTCGACTCTCAGGACAACTCCATGGTGAATCGATATCAAGATGCTCGACCTTCTCGAGTCGCTTGGCTTCCCGACAATGTGAGCACACCTGGGATGTGTTGAACTCGTTCACCGAGCACACATGGATCTTGGAGACGGATCGGTCTGGTTGGCGTCTCTGGTGGTGGATGAACTGCTCAAAGTACTTGGCGAACCTGAGTCTCCTGGGACTGGATGCATATCCCTTCCCTTGCTTCCAGGATGCATTCCCAAAGGCAATCACCACCTCGGTCTCCTTTGGTACCTGGTCGATGACTTGCTTGCACATCTCGTGGACAGTGCGCTGTCGCTTGCTGTGGAGATCGAGTCGCTTGAATCGCCGTCGCCGGGTCAGGCTGAAGTACAGCTGCTTGGCCAGCATGTCTCCATCGAACACATGGCGAATATATAGCAGGAAGGGATACATCCCAGGGATCTTGGGGCTTGGTGTAGTGCTCATCCATTTCTGCAGACCAAGGGCCTTGTGGGTGCTCTGGATCCACCTGGTCGCTTGGGTGGTGCCAGTTCGATGCTGGTACTCCTTGTTGGAGAACGACACGATCTTCTCGTTGGCGCGCTGTGCCTTGGTCACCTTGACACCGTCTTGCTCCTGGATGGATGGTTGTCCGGGTGCTCGAATGACAGCGGTGAAGATCGATCCCACACCAGGGTCGATCCCGATCCATGTGGTTCGAGAGTCGTCAATGGGACCGACCCTGGTCTGGATCTTCTTCTCGGGAGTGAGCTTGGGTGTCTTGTCGTCCTTGTCCGTGGATTCTGGTTTTACATCGGGGTCCTTCTTCAGGATCTTGTATCTGAGTGTGGTGATCGAGCACCCGACCCCATCGGTGGTGATCTCGCAGCCAAAGAGCTGCTTGCCCTCCTCCCTTGCTCCAAAGAGTCTCGACTCCAGCTTGAAGTTGGTCTGCCAGAAGATCTCTTGTTTTGTGGTGTCGTTGACCTTGGTCTTCAGGTCATCCCACTTGAGCCCAGTGCCAGTCTGGTATCCAAGGATCTCCCACAGTGCTTTGGTGTCGAGCTTGATGTACTTGGCTCTGGCATCACAGAGGGGAACCAAGGTGCACTGTGCTCGAGGGGCATTGTGTCGCTTCTTGGTCTGGGCAAGTCGGTCGGTCAATCGCTTTATCCGTTTCATGTTGATGGTGATCTGCTTGTCCACCTCCTCGTGCTGGGTCTGGAGATCTTTGAGTCTGTCAGCCCCGATGTGGTGGATGGGTTGGCTCATCTCCTCGTTCAGTCGCCCACGCTCTCCTTTCAGAACATCGGTCACCCTCGCGAGCCTGGGAATGATCATCATCTGGATGGCCGCCACGAACAGCGTCTCCTTTCGGTGGGTCAGGCGAGAGACTTCACTGGCCAGAACTGGTACGACTTTGTATAGGTCCTGGTGGCTTTTGTAGCGAAACCGATATAGCTGGTCGGCATGGTGGGCGAAGGATTTTCTCAGATCACCGAGGAGTGTCTTGGAGAGGGGATTCTCCATCAGCTTGACACAGTTGTCGACGTGTGTATGACGTTTCACATCCTTGGGAGCAATCAGGGCCAGATTGCAGAATCGACGGAGGAGAGACCAATACCGATCGAGAACGTGGGTCTCACAGTTGACTGCATAGGTCTTGACAGCCAATGTGAGGACCTGTGAGGCAGTACCCTTTGGGAGGGACACAGGAGGCAGGATACACGATCCACTCCATGTACTTCGATACATGTCATAGGTCTCGAGGAGGTGCCTGTCATCTTCTGGGGTGTTTGTCCTGACACCCACTGTTCCTGTCTGCACCATATTGAAGCACTTTCGAACAAACGAAGGTGTAGTTGATGACACGGTGGGGAGGGTGATGCCCTCGTCCAAGCACCGCCTGAGATGCAGCTCCAGGAGACGAGATGCTTCGTACTGCACGTGTGTCATGGCCCGGACAGTCTCCTCGATCTTGTCGTGCAAGGCATCGTTCTTGATGATTGCATCGAGAGTGCACTTGACGGTCGAGTACTCGGCCTTGACTTGCTCGTTGGGGCCACAGTCAGGCAACGTGGAACTCCAGAGTGGGTTCTTCTTGGTACACAATGAACTGCTGCTTTTGGCATGACCCACTTGCTTGCACGTGGCACATACAGGGACCTTGGGTGCTTGGCTGACCATTTCAGCGACCGAGGCAGAGCCAGAGGCAGGGCTGCTGTCGACTCTGGCTGTGCACTTCTTGGTGAAGGGTCTGACGTGGTTGGTCAATCCACAGGAGGGGCATGATTTGATGACGGGCTTCTTGGCCACAGGAGAGTCATTGGGTGATCCTGGGTCGGGGTCGGGGGGGGGGTGTTTTTCGCTTGGGAGCCATCTGGCGAGAAAATAGCGACGATGGCTGGTTCTGCCCTCGGGGAAGAAAGAATCTCCTCAAAACCAGCGCATTTTGGGCTGGCAGAGATACTGTGCAGTGGCGTCCTTGATTCGGATCCAGAAACGCATCGCTCGCTCAATCAGTCGTGGGAAGACATCTTGTCAAGGTGAGTCTTGCCTGATAGCCAAACGATCATGTCATCTCGCTGACACACAGCCACGCTTGACTAGGTTTCCAACCAGAGAGATTCAGATGGTGGTGGTTCTTGTCCGCAATCGGAGTGGAGCTTCCAACAATGATACAATTGGTCATTCCTCCACACCAATTGCCCACCACCACCGTCAATCGGCTCAAGGTGATACCAAATGCCGTCAACCGACCATGGCTGGATTCCAACTTTTGCTGCATCTTGGTCTACAGCGTGTATTCATATTCGAGATGAGCAGCCGCGAGGGGCCGGAAATAATTGATAGTGGTATCCTGGTGCAGACGCATCCACACCTATTGCGGAATACATTCACAGTGACAGTAAGCGCTGCCCAGCAGCGGACATCTGGCGGGCTCTGGCTGATGATCAACAGGATCGTCATGTGCCTGACACAAGACCACCGCGATGAAACTTGCGCAACGTCTGACCAGAACATGCGCGACGGGAGCGGCTGCGATCCTCGTCAACGTGCGATCGCCATTCCGTTGCTGCGAATCGCCAACGACAAGCTCTCCCTGGGAAGCACGGGGTTGGCGCCGGTGATGATCGCTCCTGTGGATATGCTCCGGGCAGGATTGTGATCGCGATGCCCGATGGCAATGTTGGGTTGCGATGTATCCGCTGGTTGATCTGGATCGTGGGATCCTGTTCCCAGCCTCGGCATGAGGAGTGGCTGCAAGCCCGGCCTTCTCGGTTGCCCTCTGTCGCCATCGCCGAGCCGCACGGGCGAGACCGAGACGCATCGAGCGAGAAGGCTCTCGGACTTGTCGCTTCGAAGCCAGCCAGGGTCAGGGCAAGCGTCCGTCGCCACCATCGCCATCGTCATCGCCATCGTCGTCGCTCTCACAGCAGGGAAGCAAGCCAGCCAGCGCTCCGTTGCATCATGACGACTATTCGAAACCTCGCCAGTGACTTCAAGAACCTCGGCAACCTGCTCAGCCGAGAGAGCAACATCCCTCGCCTCATGAAGGACCAGCGCGACATTCTCAAGAGCCTCGAATCCATGTCCAAGGAGAACCTCGATGGTAAGCGATCCACCCCACCCCGGGCTTTTGCCCTCTCATCATGTCTGCTCCCCTCCAGGGCACCGGCTGCTTCAAAATGTCGGGATGACATCGCCTCGGCCGTCCCATGTTGGCTCTCCCTGTTTCCTGTGCTGCTGCGAATCGTGAATCATTGACCGGGCTGGTATCGTGTCACTGGGGGCATGGGCTCATATGCATTTTCTGTCAACACCACATCAGCCTGCACGACCCTGAGCGGATGGGGAAGCAACGAATTCGATGATCTGAAGGTGAGCGATCGATCCGTCCGAATCCCCGCCCTGCCCCAACGAGCCGTACCCGGGTTGACATCCGGCGTCTGACAATCGTCGTGCGAGCGGCGCTCTCCAGATTCGAGCTTTAGTTATTCATTTGTTCACATTCCAATAACTCGACAATGTCTTTCTCTCGTCCGCTCGCTAGAACATTACCGCTGTACTCGCCCACGTTCAGGGCACACTTTCCTCTGCTCTTGGGGAATGGGTTGGTGAGTGTGTCCAGGAGTGATTAAGAACGGCTGCCGCCATCCACAAGTCACCAGCGCAATCGGCTTTTGAACCTACTGATGGAGGGGAAGCCTGGCCCCGTGTACATCGATTGGCACTTTGCTTTCACGGCCCCGATCGGTATGCTCATGGCTCGATTCCTTCGGTGGTGCGTGTGTCCGTCTGTAGCGGGTACCAACGAATTCTACGCCAGATTGAGTCAGATCCGGGACAAGGAGAACGAACTTACTGAGCTCAAGAAGCGCTTGGACAGCGCCAGCAATGGCTTGGAGTTGGCCAGGAAGAAGAACCGCCCGACGGACGGTCTGGAGCGAACCGTCGAAGAGCTGACCAGAAACCGCAACATCGCCGAAGCAGAGCTCGTCGGGTTCAAGCGGCTTTGCCTCAAAGCTGGGCTGCTTGCTCAGTTCAGCGGAATCAAATCCTTTTGCGACCAGGTGAATGTTCCAGCAAGCTCTGCTTACTGCGTAGACGCAGCACAATGGGCGTCTCCGTAGGCGTTGGTCGACTGACTCTGTCGCCGTGATGCGAGCAAAGTTTTGGCTCGCCACATGCACATACATGCTGCCTAACCTTTGGCGATGGATCTCATTTGCATCGCGCGCTGTGGCGAACTGCTTAGGCCCTCTTGGTATCGACTTTTGGGACATACTTGGCTCAGCAAATCCCTCAGGGCAGTCCCGAGCCCGGCTTCAGGCTGCCAGAGTTCACAGGTACGCTTCGTGATCGTACTCGCCTGTCCGCGATCCCTGGCCTGACATCACAATCTCCTGCAAGAGATCAGCATTCGTTCGTCTGCTCGCTGCACACTCACCCATATGCATGTCGATCCACAGGCTACGCTACCACAGAGAGAATCAAAAGCGACTTTAATGCGTCGTTGGGTCTCCTCACAGGGCAATCCAAGCCAAGTTCGGTCAGCCATGATGTCGTGAGCGACAAGCCCCGACCCGCTTCGCCAGTAAGAACGGAGGCCTCGCGGGCAAATCCTCGGGCAAACGAATCGGCCGGAGCTAGCGTGGACACGAGCGGCACCAGCAACATCGAGGAAACTAGTGCAGGCGGGCACTATACCGCCTCCATTGTGGAGCCCGACCAGATATCCAACGCCACATTAGTGAATAGCCTCCCGCCCGTGGATAGTCCAAGCACAACGTTGACCCAGCCCGTTGCAGTTTCAAAGCGGCAAGAGACAGCCTCGAAAAAGCCCCTGGATCTCAGCCCGGGCTCCGAAAATGCGGCTCGGACGTCTTTCCTGGGCAAAGTGGGCATATTCGTTGCGTGGACTGCCTACAGTGCCGAACAAACCGACGAGCTGAGCCTCCTGATCGGAGATATCATATCGGTCGAGTAAGTGACACCATTTGCGATGGTATTGGGGCGGTTGGGCCTCGTCGGATGTGAAGGCCACTGGCTCTCGTCTACCGTCTGTGTAGCAGCCTCGATACAACCCGCATACCGTCGTTCGAGGACGTCGCCCTGGCGGCTAACACTCGTTTGCATTTTGCCTTCAGCGAGCTGTTTGAAGACGGCTGGGCCTATGGAATGAGCCACCGCGACATGAGCCGCGGCGTTGTGCCGCTGTCCGCACTCTTCCCTGTCTTGGATCTTGAAGGCGACCCCATCCCTGTGATCTCGGAGCAGTTTTCGCTCGAGAAGCTCTGCCAAGACAACTACATCTCTCCCGAGAACTGCGAATACGTCAACAAGGCGATAGCGAATATCAAGGCTCGATACCAGCGGCCCTCGACATTCTCGGGCTCGAGCTCGAGCCCCTCTCAATGAGACCAGCCCGCTGTGATGGCTTTGCGTGAGCACGGATGTGTTGGCTCCCATTATCTGTTTGTACCAGTGCGTTCCCAAAACGAAATGGGACATCCTGTTTGAGTCAGGGCTGCTGCTTGTTTCTGGTCCTGAATACACTCCCCCACCGATTGTCTGCCATGGGCTCGAGTCACCCGCGTATCTTCATATCGAGAAACCATGGAGTCGTCCAGATGGTTGAAGGTATGCACCACCCCCGCATCGAGAATCAACGCAGCCACGAACATGGTCTCGGTATGCCAGTTGATCGTCGCCACAGGAGATCAACTGGGTATATTCAAGACCATGCTTCCTATAGCACAAAAAAAGCAAAGACCCAGACACAGCCTCATGGTCTGACCATCGGGACCCGCTGGTCACTGTGAGGGGCACTGGGGAACACACTGCCCCGCTTCGTTCTGAACAAGCTGTATTTCGAATCTTCATCCAATCGCTTGGCATATCCGTCGGTGCATTTGCCGCCCCTTCTCACATTCCTCAGCGTTTACTCCTCTGATGATCCCACAACGAGGCGATTCCGCTACCGATTAATTGCCGATCCATTCATCTGACACCATGGCACAACTCTGAAGGGTTGTCTCTCTTGCCCGCTGGACTGGATCAAGACCATATATGCATGCTGCAATCCGTGTTCAGGCGAGACAGAGGACGGATGAACAAAGCCAAGGAAGGCGAATTGTACCGACTCATCAGCGGCAGCTGTATTTGAGAAGCTTGGGCACATCGCCTTCCTCAGAGTGTGGCGGACCCTCGACCAGGGAATGGTCGGGGAGGGGGCATCAAGGCGGGAATGAGTGCCAGCGCAACGAGACCAGCAAAGAGTGGGAAGGAAATCGTCGCCCGTAGTATTCAAATGTCGCCACGAATTTCTCCTCAGTCGTCGCGAACCGAATCAAAAAATGAGAGCTTCAGGATCTCCGAAGCCGACAGCCGCTGCTGATAGTCCTTCTCGAGCATCGCCAAGATGGCCTCGACGGCGTCGTCGGAAATGTCGTGACCGACGCCGTGGCGAGGGTATCGCAGCTTGTGCACCCGCCTGGCAATGTCCAGATCCACAATTTCTTGATCGGTCTTGAATGGGTCCATCTTGAAGAGCAGGACATAGAGCAGCGTTCCGAGAGCCCAAACTTCCTGTGCCTCGGGATAGTAGTACTCTCCGCTGATCGCTTCAGGAGCAGCAAACTTCTTGGTGCCGTAAAAGAGCGTGAACGTTTGGCCGGGCTCCATTGGTGTTGCGGAGCCAAAATCAATGAGCTTGATTGCCCGGGTCTTGGTGTTGATGATTATGTTTTCGTCTGGGGACAGGGGGCAGCGCATTAAATTCCCCGCATCAACGGCGGACATGGCACCAGATCTCGCAAAAGCCGCCTGTCTGGTAAGCCCCTTGACTGGCTGGATCGTGGGAGTGCAAGAACACCGGAGGTGTTCTCGCCACGTCATGCTGCGTGGCTGATGGAGACTCTGCAAAACTCGCTGCGTACAGACCTTTAATGTCATTGTGGCAGTATCCGATCAGGTGTAGGTGTTGGATCGTCTCGACGACCTGCTTGAAGATGTACTTTGTATGCTCCTCGTTGACAGGGCCGAACATCTCGACGTAATCGTACAAGTCAACCCAGTCCTCGCCCATGTACTCCATCACGATGATGTACTTTTTGTTGAGTTCAAAGTGCTCGATGTAGTTGATGATCTTGTCAAAGCCGTTTTCGTTGAGCCGCTGCATCAGATAAATCTCCAACGGTATCTTGTGCTTGGGGGTGTCCGGGTCGCAGTGCCAGTGCCACACGGACGAGTGACGGATAAACTTGCAAACCACGGTCCGGCCGGTGCGTCTATGCGTCGCCAATCGCACGATCGAGTGTCCGCCGGAACCGAGCTGCTGCAGAACCTACTTGGCGCGAATGGTTTGGCAGAGGAGAAGGAGAAGGAGAAGCGTGCAATCGTCAGAGACCGCCCAACCCAGCGCTCCAGCCCTGGGACTTGCACATCTCCATTCAAAGTCCATGTTCGAGCCCACTCCGCTGCTCAGCTGCCTCCCCCCCCCTACAGCGGCTATGAAATTGCACTCAGGCTATCAATTGCGCCGCGGGGCCCATCCGCAAAGTCCTGTCGCTCCCGTCGGACCTGATACTCGGCGCGGAATCGGCGTTTTACAGCGGCATAGGCATCGGAGCCGTCACTGTCAAATTCATCGGCCTGTTCGCCATCGGATGCCGTTTCCTCGAACGACGAGCCATCTTCGGCAGCTTGCGAGTCCTCCACAGCGAGGTACGCACTCGTGGGAGTTCCGGTGTCCTTGACGGCTTCGACGTCGGACCACTCAGAGTCACCAGTCCTGACACCAGGCTCGGGCGGCTCCAGGGTACCCTCGGCACTGACTGGCCGTTTCGAGAGAAGTTGCGTCGGCGAACTGAAGGCGCGACCAATCAACCTGGTGTTAAGGGTGGGTATAGGGCTTTCGAGCGGGGACCCTGGCCTCGAGCTGCTGCCAGAGTTGCTACCGCTCCATTTCTTTAGGATCGGCACCATCTTGGAGTTCCAGGTGTTCTTGATGGCCGAGACCATGTTCTTGCCCTTGACCTTGAGCATCTGGCGGTAGTCGTGCTTGGGATCATTTGGTGAGTCGCTTGGAACGAGCGATGACCCAGACGAGTCCACGTTGTCCCACTTGCGAAGGGCGCCCATAGCAGGGTCGAGATTCAGCTGCGAGTGCGAGACACTCTTGTGGCGCAAATGCTCCTCGAGAATGGGGCTGATGGGCGAGAGTGGGATGTCGCCGTCGATTGAGGCGATTCGGTCGCTGTCGATTGAGGCGATTCGGTCGACGACAATGATGGGTATCGTGGGCCGCGCGGCTTCCTTGGCGATGACAATGTCTTTGCCCTGCGAAGAAATGTCGAGCGGCTGTCCGGGCTGTGGCATCGAGCCATAGCCTTCGTCGACAGGGAGGGTCTTTTCGCTGGGTTTACTTTCGCCCAGCATCTTCTCTCCCGGCAACGACGCAAACGAGGCCACATCTTTGACTTTGTCCTTCGCGAGCTCGAAATCGGGGCTGACTCGCACTGTCGACGCCATCTTGACTATCTATGAATCTGCAAAGCAAGCAGACATGATTTGGTTGTTTTTTGTGAGGCTGCCTGCGCAAGACCGTTCTCTCGCATCCCGACAAAGCCAGCGATGCCGACTGGAAAACGTATATGTAAAATGCATCCCCGACACACTGCCTCACTCCCCGAAGCGTCAACAGGAACTCTGAGACCCAAAAACGCGAGTCTCGGATGGGGCGACGACATGACGGGTGCGAGACGGCAGTGCTGCGACATGATGGACGCAGAGTGGCTCTGCGGCATCTCCACAGAACCCGTCCCGAAAGACGACAGCAGAGCCAGAGTCTAGAACAGCTAGGGACCAGCGAACAACTTTGAGTCGCCCATCGCGCCGCAAAATGTGTCGCTTGGCCTCAAACCAGTCTCGCAAATGGGAATCGGCTATATCCCACGCGACGAAGAACAGGATAGTCGGGAAATCGACAGAAGCAATGACCCAGACCGACTCTCATCCTTTTGCATCTTGCATCGACTCAACCGGAGGATGAGGGACGAGGAGATGAGCGAATCCCAAAGGTGGACTCTATAAACAAGCCGCCCGACGTACCTCCACTGACTAGTGTTTGGAACTGTGTGCGTGTGAAGTCGATGACGATGTGTTGGCGAGTGATGGGATAAGCGGCGCAGTGCGGTAAGGTGTATACAGCCGCGGACGATCGGGAATGGAATGGAATAGAATGAAATGAAAGCGGGCAGTGGAATGGATGCAGTGGGATAGGGTGAAGCGGGATGGGACGGGATGGAGTGGGATGGGATGGGATGGGAGTAGAATTGCCAAAGCACAATACTCCAGGCACAGCAACGTCGAGCATTGGTCGGATGATGCGAGACACCACGAGCGTCAATCAGCCCTCCCACACCAAAGCCTCTGCTTGATTGTCGCCTGCGATCACAGACGATGTAAGCAGACAGCGTAAACAACCGGGGCGGTGCCCTGATTGGCAACTGCATCCGCTGGCCCAATCCCGGCCAGGGTCTGGAAAGCCGCCATCGGATGCAGGGCAGCAGCGTCAGCTGTGGTGGTGGGGACTGCAGCGTGAGTACTCGTCTCCTCGTGATCGACTTCAGGCTCGCCGCTGTCTGCACACGATCTTTCGAGGAAGCAAACACGATCGAAACTAAAGCCCGAGACGCAGACATGGAGCTTCCCCGACACAATCTGGATGCCGAGATCCCGCTGCCGACGCCGCGTCCTCGCAATGGGCGAGGTAGCCCCGTTTCGACAGCTTCGATATGGTCGGGATCGTCAGCCCGAGCGAGTCGCGCGAGGGAAATCAAGACAAGCTCGCTCAGCGCAGAGACCCAGGGCCTATTTAAATGTAATCGAGATGCTGTGCAAGAGTCATGCGAGAATCCCTGGAGATAGGTTTCGATGTGTCCTTGAGCTAATCTGCAGGGGCAGAGGATCCGAATTGCGTCAATGTGTTGGTAACCGGTTCGATCAATCATCCCCCCGCTGCCTTTGCATGAGTAGATATGATGAAGTCTTCGAGACTTTCGCATAGCCAGCAAAGATATCTGGACGAGCTCGTCAAAGGTCAGTATCGCAGATCAGCCGTTCACTCGATAGCGTGGCCTCAGTCTATCCATGGCCGCGCCCCCTGCATTCGTCCAGGATACGACAGCTGGTAGCCAAGGTCCTGCAGAGCCAGCACTCGCGGAAACTGATGTAGATGCTTGGTTCGATGCCATGAACAGACGGTTACTCGCTCCCACCGACACCATCGCAAGCAAGCATCACCCAGGTTCGCGGACCAATTCCACGGCCGATTTCATTGGGGATCTTTGAGCAGAAGCCAGCAGACACATTCGCCCGTCCAGGATTGCGCACGCGCGACCAGATCGTCATGACGGGCGCATATGAGCCCGACGAATGGCGGCCCAGTCCCCACAGTAAGTTACTCTGAGCGCAGCGCAGCTCAAGAACGAGCGACGGCGGAATGATTGCAGCAGAACCGCGATATGTCCATCTTGGATCTCACGATGACGTGGTGGAGTGCTGGGGATGGCTCATGTTCGTCGCCGTGGACGGACTGTTGCTGACTGGGCTGTTCCCACGCCCTGGAATGCGGCCGACAGAGGATTCATCCAAGGAGAAGGACCGCCTGCAGAACTTGATGGCCAATGGCTTCCAGTCGGCAAAGTCTGCTTCAGGCGACGATGATATCGGAATACCCGTTTCCAAGCTCGGGCGTCGTCGAGCCGGGGCCAAGGCAATCGAGCACACGGACCAAGCACCGGAGCTGGATGAGTTCGAGATGGGTGGGTCATGATTCCAACCGCGAACGCATGACTGCAGCGATGCAGATTACGTGAGAATCGCTGAGACCGACTGCCCAGCGACCAGCAAACTCACCCTGACGGGCGATTAATACCTCCGCGACCTGCCTGCAGTGGTCGAAGAGATAAACGAGAGGCGGAAGTGGCTTGACGACATGATCGCTCTGGGTCGCGGAGAGCCATTCAAGCGGCAAATTCAGAACGAGATTGCCTTGGTAAGCAGCTGCCTCGGCCCGGCTATGGCACAATATTGAAGCGGAGCGGCCGGCGGTTGTCGATGGTTGATGACCGGCATCTGAGCGAAGCAACTCTGTCTCCGATCCAGCGCATCAAGCGTCTGGAGCAAATCGACAGAGAACGGAGCAAGGCGGATGGCTTGAGCCCGGTGGCCCCGAGCCGCCATTATGACCAGGCCATGACCCCTCACCCAGTCGCATAGCTGGTGGCCAATGTTGGGGCTGCGATGGTGTGAGTGCGTCAAGCAAATGTTGGGCAGCTTCCTGCTCTTGATTCAACGAAGCTGTACTTCAAGACGAGCAGCGAGACGCATCAGCGGATCTGCTCCACAGTCAAGTCAAGCCTTGCTCTGACGTTTGCAACAGCCAAATGTTTTTTGCATGATACGCTATATTGGGTGAGGTGCACGATGGCTGTCGGTCGCAATCAAATGAAGCAAAGTGCGAGATGTGTGTGGGAGAGTGAAGCGAGAGCAGGCGGAGAGACTCTACAGGGAGGGGTGAACAGGCAGGCAGCCGAGTCGATATCAGTGTATACATGTACAAAAATCCACCAGGAAGCAAAGCTCTCCTGTCTCGGGGCAGCCACGAGCGCAAGTCTATAGGCTGTAGCAAGAGAATGAATTAAACAAGTAGATGAAAGAGAGTCAAAGAAAGAAACCAGAATAGGAAGGGGCGGAGGCGGGGCGCATAGCTTTACTCGAAGGTGGTCTTCTTGCCAGAGAAGGCACCGAAACCACCTCCGCGAGCTCCACCGCGAGGGCCACCGCGGTTACCGCCAAAACCACCACGGCCTCCACGACCACCACGGCCACCGAAGCCGCCGCGATCGCCGCCAAAGCCTCCACGACCACCGCGGCCGCCGAAGCCTCCACGGCCACCACGACCGCCAAAGCCGCCGCGGCCACCAAAGCCTCCGCGATCGCCACCGGCGTTCTCCTTCTTGGCGCCGGCAAAGTCGATACGGACGTTACGGCCGTCCAGATCAGCGCCGTTCATGGCCTCCAGAGCAGCAGTAGCCTGCTCGGTGGTGGAGAACTCGACGTAGCCGAAGCTGTAGAGATGGAAGCACGACTGTGAGTGGGCATGGCATGACATCGACCGGGATGCTGTTTCCCGCACGAGAGAATAGCATGGGGGGATATGATGTGACAGCCAGCGATAGCACGGTGCAGACAGCGGACACATACCCCTTCATCTTGCCAGTCTCGCGGTCGGTGGGCAGCGAGACGCGCGAAACCTCGCCGTAGGCGCTGAAGGCCTCCCAGAAGCTATCTTCGGTGGTCTTGAAGGACAGGTTGCCGACAAACAGGGTGGTGGAGGGCTCGCTGCGGCTCTGCTCAAACTTGGGCTTGTTGGCCTTGGCGTTGGAGAGATCAACGTTGATGGCACGGCCACCGAGCTCGGTGCCAGCCATGCTGAGGGCGTTCTGGGCAGACTCGGGGGAAGCAAAGTCGACGTAGCCAAAGCTAGAAAAGAAGGTACGCAGGATCAGCACATGGCAAGCGTGGTGGCGCGAAGGTACCTCAGAGCGAAAGCAGTTTCCACAGCGGCGCCATCAATGCCTACCCCTTTGATCGGCCACCGGCCTCGGTGATGATGCGGGCGCTGGCGACCTCGCCGCAGTCAGCAAAATGCTGGGCAAGATCGTCTTCGGTAAGGCTCCAGGAGAGGTTGCCGACAAAGACGGTCTTGCTGGCATTCTCCGAGTCGTCGGTCTTGGCCTTCTTGGCGGCAGGCTTCTCTTCCTCCTCCTCTTCGTCATCTTCCTCTTCGTCATCCTCCTCCTCTTCGTCCTCATCTTCGTCGTCGTCGTCATCAGCCTTACGCTTGGCCGACTTGGCGTCTTCCTCATCTTCATCGTCATCTTCGTCATCATCGTCTTCATCATCGTCGTCCTTCTTGGCGGCAGGCTTCTCGTCTTCGTCCTCCTCGTCGTCATCATCTTCGTCATCATCATCATCTTCGTCTTCATCATCATCGTCATCGTCCTTCTTGGACTTCTTGGCGGCAGGCTTCTCGTCTTCCTCATCATCATCGTCTTCATCGTCATCATCCTCTTCGTCATCATCCTCCTCCTCATCGTCTTCCTCCTCTTCGTCATCATCATCGTCGTTGTCCTCCTCAGACTCGACGGGCTTGGCCGCTGCAAACATGACAGCAGAGTCAGAATAACGGACACGATCGGGAGCGCCGGCGATTGCCACACGATCATAACAGCCAGAAACGTACCCTTCTTGGCGGGCTTGGCCACGACCTTCTCGGCCTTTTTGGCGGGAGCAGGGGCGGCAACGGCCTTCTTGTTGGACTTCTTAGCGACTTCCTTGCCCATGGTGGTAGCTGGCGATGTGATCTCGGTGGATGACCAGAAGACGGCGGAACAGATGGCTGTCGTGAGGGCGGCCTGGGGCGGCCCAAGCTGCCGCTTTTTAAACGCTGTTTGCGGGCCCTCAAAAAAAAAGTTGCTGCGCAGTGTGCCACACGCGCGAATGAATTTCATTTCCGCCACGCGCACGTGCCGGGTCCGCCATGTCGCACACCCAGCAGCCGGCCACGGAATCGCCGCCCTGCACAGAACAGCAGCCGGCGATCACGTCGGGGACATGTGTCACACACGTGATGCCTTGGATCAAAGGCCAAGGCCGCCCACACCCGCCTGCTCTCGAGACCGAGCTCCGCCTTTGCCCAATCTGGCTGTCCCTCTGCGGCACCGAGGTTGCAAGGATGGTGTACTTTTTCCGCAGCGACGGTGGGTCCTGGATGAGCGCATCAATCGGCAGCGACCCTTGACCCGTCGGACGTGTGTCCTGAGCGAGCACCTTGGCTGATGACATGTGCTTGCTGTTCATCCTTCTCAGTGACCGATCCCCCATGCATGATCTACATGGGCAAGGACAAATACGAAAGTAAGCGCCTGTCTCCTCTGCAGCCCAGTGTCGCAGACTGGGCTCCGCAGTCAATTACCGCAGAATGGGCCCCGCAGCCAGCCAAACGCTGTGCCAACGTTCTGTCCTTTGAGTGGAGATCGGGCCACCGAGCTTGAACTAACCCCTGCCCTGCTCTGCTCTGCCCTGTTCTGCCCTGCTCCTCTGCATAGACGAGGAGCTGATCAAGCATGCCTGGGAGGAAGATGTCTGGTAAGCAGTGGATCGGTTGAATCTGCGTCGGACTCCGGGTTGCGAACCAGCTTGGCGCTGCTCCCGTGCGATCGTCGGCCGCTGGAGTTTGCTGCCCGCATGTAAAGCCCAGACCGATGTGGCTTGCTCTGCGTCGCTGTCGCTCGGAACGTTGCAGGGGCATTGCAGGGGCATTGCAGGGGCGCTGCAGGGGCATTGCAGGGGCGATCGCCCAAGACACATCAGCGACAGGATTTCTCATCCGGGGCCGATTCGCAGGTTCCACGTTGACAAGCTCTCCAGTGCCCACGTCTACCTCCGGCTTCCCCTCGGCTGGTCATGGGCCGATATACCCCAGGAGGTGCTCGACGACTGTGCCCAGCTGACAAAAGCCAACAGCATCGAGGGTAAGGGAGCCGACGGCACGCTGAGTCGGCATAGAGCAATGCATGTTGCTATTGGATATCGATCGACGCACAGCTCTGCTTTGGTCAGGAATCTGCCGCCTTGCAGCGGTTCAGCCAGACGAGGGACGCTCGCACCGCCTGGCCCTCCGCTTTAGCATGCATATCGTATCGATTCGATCGGACTCACCGCTACCAATGTGTGGCATTCAGGAAACAAGAAGAACAACCTCACAATCATCTACACGCCGTCGTCCAACTTGAAGAAGACCCAGGGCATGGAGACCGGCCAGGTCACCTTCCACAAATCCAACGTGGTCAAGAAGGTCCATGTGAAGGAGCGCATCAACGAGATTGTCAACCGCCTCAACAAAACAAAGGAAGAGCGCTATCCTGATCTGCAGCAGGAGCTCATCGACCATGAGCGCGAGAGCCGCAAACAGGCTCGAGCCTTCGAGATGTCGAGAGTATGTGTTTGCAGGCCTGTTGCGCGCTGCAATGTCTCTGCGGTACTGAGATTCTCATCTTCTGTATGCCTGTGCCCGATTCTTATAGAAAGCCGAAGATCTCCGAGTCCAGGAGGAGCGACGACAGCAACAGAACCTCAAAAACTACAGCTCAGTCATGCAGGAGTCCCACATGGTCAGCAACAAGGAACTAGGCTTTGGCCGGGGCTTCAAAGATATCGAGGAGGACTTTATGTAGCAGGGCAGGCACTGCTCTGTGCAAGCACACAGCAACGGCGACATGAATACACAGGCCGCACTGGTCCGGCCATCCATGTCGACAGCGACACCAGAGCGTGCAGATGCGGGGCACTCGACAAACACACTCGACGAGGACATGGTGGCCGTGCCTCTGGCTGCGCTGATGCGGGCGATGCTTCGGATATACTCTGCGACGGCCTCTGCGATGATGGTCAGGGGGTGGTCGGAAACATCGCACCAACGGCCCTGCGCACGGGCGTGTCCGGCTGGTCGGGCTTGGCTCCCCCACCACCACTTGCCCTCCCCGCCCCGCCTCCATATCCTCTCGCTCACCGCCCTGTCTGCTGGCATCGCTCGTCCGCTTGGTCCATCCATCCATCCAGCTCAGTCCCCTTCCCCAGCACAACCCTCTACGCCGGTTCATGAGCACCTTGCAGACACTAGTCTACCCGCGCCTGCAAGTGCTTCTGGCCAAGCTCAGGGCAAGGGCAAGCCACCATGACCGCAAAGTCCTGGCATCCTTTGCCGAGCAGCTTCAGACCCTTGCCGACTCTCCCCAGCCCAACATCCATGCCCTCTATGGTTTGGCACTGGTACCAAAGCCCGACTCTGACGAGCTTGTTGACCTCCATGCCCGTTTATCGCTGACGTCCTTCCTCTGGGGCTCTGTCGATAAACCCGACCGAGCATCGGTCAAGATCATCTTGGACCAGACCGTCAACCACATGGAGTATCGCCGTCAGAATACAGCATCCGACGGCCTCTCCCTGCACGTCGACCACGACAGCATCATCTGGCATCTTCGGACCCTCAATGCGGCCATGGCCGTCGACAAATCGGCGATCGACTTTGCCGTCCTTTCCAAGCTCAAGGCATATACGGACGAAGGCTCCTCGCTGCTCTGGGGCGTCGATCAGGTCATCGAGTCGATCGAAGCCGCCCTTACATCTCCCTTCCGACGCATCCTGGAGAGTTGCATCCAAATGTACGTTTCACCTCGGCCCTTTGCGGCGGCGGTCGCACTCTGCTGGCCTGGCTTGTGGACAGACGATGGTCTGCTGCGGATTGCTATGATACCTCCAACCATGAGCACACGGTGGCATGGGCTAACAATGCGAATGACCCCTTCGTCTTGTCGGTGCCGTCGGGCCACCAATGACCCCCAGAATGGACAATATCCTTCCCGATGAAGATGCAGACACAACAGGTGACGGATTCGGATCGGCGCTCTCATCGCCACCGTCGTCTCCGCTGGACCTGCGCAGTGATAACTCGCAGAGCGCATCCACTTCGAGCCCCGAGTGGGCTCTTGTCAAGTCTGGAGGAGAGATCCCGCTGGATGCCGAGTCGGTCGGGCGCGACATCAACGACCAGCCCCTCTTCGCTGCCCGGGTCGATTACAAGAGCGGCAAGCACATTGGAAAGGCCGGGCGACACTTCCCGGGCATATACATCTCCTACGCCGGCTCCGAGATCCAGCTTGGCGGTCCGTTCGAGGTCCTGGTGCACCTGGGCAACACCCATTGGGAAGAGATCAAGAAGGGCTCCCATATCCCAAAGAACGCTGTCGTTGGCGGATTCGAAAGTGACGGCCAGCGCCTGTACATAGGCCGAGCAGTTGCCAGCTCAAGCAAAGGCTTCTTAATAAGCACACGGATCGAAAGCTTGGTGCCCGGCAAGGTCGGCAGCCACCTTGGTGGCATTAATCTGCCGTTTGATACCAAGGAGCTCGCGCTTGGCGACTATGAAATCCTCGTTACCAACGATGCTGCATAGCCTCGTTTGGTCTGGTTTGTCGGTGCTCTGCTGTCGGCGCTCTGCTGAATATATGTCTTCTCGCATGGCTCTTTGATGGAAGCGACGGGAGAGCACCCCGGGTTTTTGGCGAGGGGCTGTCGTTGCAGCGATGCTGGCATTCGCTGTATCGCTGGTCGTCGATAGTGAGCTCGGCTCCACCGCATACTGCGGACAGCATCCGCTGCCGTCCTCTCATCTCCGGGTCGTCCCGTGTGTCTGGGAACATCGACTGCTGCTGGCACTCGGCAGCCAGACCATCCGCTCCAGGTCCAGGTCGGTCGGCGGGGCACATTGATGCAGTCCGTTTCCTGTGCCACAGCCGAGACAATGGCCTCTCCGCCTCCCAGCAGCATTCTCTGCCCCGCATCTGCCCCGCATCTGCCTCCGTCCTCTGCTAACCCCCGCCGGACCAACGCATCCAGCACCCGCTCTTGCTCTCTGCTCTTTGCTGTTGGCTGTTGGCTGTCTCATCGCAGCGTCTGCTGAGGATCCGTCCAGTGAACTATCGCCTGCTTGCTCTGCCTCCTGCCGCCTCAGACTCCGCCATGAGGATCGCCCCGATATTCCTTGCGCTTCTGGGACTTGGGATTGCCGGCACAACGGCCACCGACCCACTTCTCGACCCGTATCCCTCGGTAAGTCTTGACAGCAACACAGCTGTCCATCGGCGTTTGTGGATACTGCTGCTTGATCGCATTGGCCTCCGAGGGTCATCCCGCATCCGGCCATAGCCACAGCATCGGCATTGATGGACAGAGTAGCCGGCAGCACCGCCAACCATTCCGGCGGGCTGCGAGCCTGCCGCACACCTGCCGCTGACTCACGGACCTCTTGTCTGCAGTACCAGCAGATCGTTGATGCCTTTGGCAAGTTTACCCACGACCATCCGAATTTGGTCCAGTACCGGTCGATTGGGTCCTCGGGCGACGGACTGTGCGTTATTTGTCATATGCTGTGCTGGCTGTCGCTGCTGCTCCTCTCCTCCTCTGGCCGCTGCTGGTATTCGGGCACACCATCTTCTGACAGAGCAGCATTCCGTCATGCGGCAATCGATCACACCGCTCTTTGCCATGCTGATGCATCGTTTTCTCAACACAGAGACATCCCGGCCTATCTGTTCTCGGATTCGTCTGCAGCGGCCGTCAAAGCCAAATCTTTGAACGACCGGCCCGCTGTGTTCTTCACGGCGCTGACCCACTCTCGAGAGCCGCTCACTGTTATAACCCTGCTTGAGGCCGCTCGGGAGCTCGTCGACCCCTCTGCTCCAGAGGATGTCGCCAGCATCTTGAAATCCACTCGGGTGTGGTTCGTCCCTATCGTCAACCGTAAGTTGGCTGGCTTCGCCTGAGCCTGCATTGGTTTGGGTTCACTTGGCGGCCTGTGCCTTCTGCCATCGCACGGCACTCGTTGCGCCGCGATCGATAGACTCCATGATTATGCATTTTGCGTCGGTCCACTTGCAAATGCACTTGCCAGGCGGATGGAGACCGTGTGGACACCCATCCAAAACGAGGCTCCAGTGCTCAACCCTCATCGCCTCGGACTTGCGCGGCACCTAACAGTGCGTTTCTTGCCTCTACCCTGATATTTTGTGCCCAGCGGACGGATGGTCCTATATCCACAAGCATTTTCCAACCGTCGGCAGCGACCTCCGCAAGAACCGAGCCAGCACCTGTCGGAACGACTCTCAGTCCGGCGTTAATCTAGGACACAACTGGGGATACATGTGGGACACCTACCTTGGACTGAACGAGACTGTCATGGCTGCCGACTACGAAGTCGCCTGCGCCCAGGGCTACCACGGCCCCGAGCCCTTCAGCGAGAAAGAGACAGCATCGCTGCGAGATTTCATCCTGCGCGAGAAGCCCAAGACAGGAATCTTCTTCCACCAGCGCGGCCACAGGGGTCCCTCACGCATCATCATCCCGTACACTTTCCACCCCGATCCGGACTCGATTACCCTGCCTCCCGATCGCGCAGTGCTCCAGAACCTGACGGGAGCCTTGAACCAGGCCGTGGGCGGCATCTTTGATGTCGGCTCGGCGTGGTCTCTGAACAGGAGAACCATCGCCGGCTCGGAGGTGGACTGGACCTTTGATCAGGGAAACGTCTTCTCGCTCATTGTGCAGATTGGCCTCATGGCAGACGGCTACTGGCCCAAATCCCCAGAGATAGCCACGCTCATTCGACCGGTGGGTGGCTTGATGGGCATCCGCAGTAGTATCCGTTTGCGTTTTATTCAGAGGCTGTTCCCCGACTAACAATCGATGCGCAACAATCCAACAGCATGTCCAGACGGTGCTTACGCTGGCTCGTCAGACCCTCTATCTCCCCAACAAGCGAGCCAAGCCCAACAAAACCATCATCCGCCACATCCAGAACGCAGCCCTGTATGCGCCGGTGATCATGGGGCTGATTTTGGCCATGCTTCTGGGGCTGGCCTACGTCGTGGCGCGGTTCCTGGGCTACGACAACATCTGGGGTCGGTTCTCGCTCATGATCAAACGACTGCGATGGGGCGACTTGCGCGGCGGCTACCGCGGGCTGGCAACGACTGGTGGCAAGTCTGGCGACGAAGATGAAGACGAAGATGGCGACTTTGAGTTCGAAATCTTTGAGGGCGGGAGCCATATCGAAGAGCTGGCCGCAGTCGACGAAGAAGACGCTGGGTTTTCTTATCGAAGATAGATCGAGCAACCATCGCACAGGGCTGCGGATGAGACAGCCGGTTCAGACAACCATGTTGCACGGCATTTGGCTTCAATACACGACATTTACAACCTCGGCTTCCAAATGGAGCGAATGAACCAACAAGCTACTGTGCAGTGGAGTACGGGGGAGGAGAGTCGGTGAGCCACCCGGGCGGCGGCCGCCACGGCAGAGGAGGAGGAGCACTGCCTTCTGCTCGCCGACCAACACACGCTTGCGACCATATCTCGGCTTGGTCAAGTTCGCGCTTCTTGTCGAGAGCAAGCTGCGCCAGAACGTTGTGTTGGCGCTCAAGAATCGATGCATCCTCAACGACTCTCAGCTTGCGGTCGATACGGGCAACCATGGATCGCCGCGCCGAGTAGTGGATGACATGGATGACACCACAGATCACAAGCAGCCCCAGAGACACCACAAGCCCAGGCAGCCACCATGGAAACAGTGCTGAGCCTGGGCATTGACCGGGCGTTGAGCCGAACGCCGTCGATCCAGAGCACGGTGGAAGGCATCTGCCAGAGTCGAGAGTGTACGGCTGGTTTGCACAGGAAAGACACTGTGCTGGAGATCCACTCCAGCAGTCGGCGCAATCGCTGGGGCAATCTGTGGGCAACCCAAGCGAGGTGGATGCGGCGTCAGATCTCATGGCGATACATTCCCCTCTCGCCTGCTTTGGCTCATGACTGGCTGCCTGTAGTTGTCCAGACTGCCGTCGGTGGACACTCGGATGCCTCTGGGGTGTTCCGAAGCGCCAGCCAACAATAACCGTCTGGACCACTGAGCGGACTTACGTGCACAGGTTTGGTTGGGAGTTGCGTACATGCCACGCGGGCAGGCCATGAGACACATGCCGTCGGGTCCTAGAACCTGCCAAGGCTGGGCACACTGTGTGCACTGGTTGTACTCGGGGCCACTGCATTCTTTGCAGTCGATAAAACACGCTGATGCGAAGTTAATGCGGCATTGTCAGGAATGTGTTTGGATCGATTAAGAGCCGAGCCGCAATGCCATCCAGCAAACTAGCATGTGTCTGAAGAATACTCACTCGAACAGCCGCCAGGAGTGAGAACGGTGCCTGCTTGACAGCTGGCAGGAGCGCAGATGCCTTGAACAGCGGTTTGGTTGGCGTAAGAGCATGACAGGCACTGATTGTATCCAGCGCCGGTGCAGGACGAGCACGATGGATGACATGCTGAGAGGCCAGTACGGCGACGGCGTTTGTGAAAATGGGCGGGATGCGCCAGTGGGTAAGAGTGCGTGAATGGAATGAGCAAAGGATACATATCGAGATGATTGAAATAATGAGAAAGGCAAGATGCAACTCGTCTGGTTGAATCCGAGAACACCATCGACACAAGAATGCCTTTCCTCAAGCTTGCTCGACGGCAACACTTACGGCTACAGTTCCCGTTACTGGCCCACTTTCCGGACGAGCACTCAGCAACACACCGGCCGCCGTCAAGCAGATACCCCGACTCGCAGCTGCTGCACTGCAGAAGCGACCGCTGCTCAAAGAAATCGCTTCGCTGGTTCCCCAAAGTATATCCGCAGCTGGCACAGAACCTTGGGCAGGCTTGAGAGAGCCGTCGTTTGGATAGGCGGCATTCGGGTGAGCACATGGATGTGTGAACATCGATGCCGATTCAATGAGATGGGAGCAGTAACGTTCAGCCATTGAGGACACCCGCTCGGCTATGGCGCGATAGATACCGATCTCACCTTCGCATGTTCCCTTGTCCAAGTCAACATACTGGCTCGGGGCATTGCATTCCCACATGTCGTCAATCACTCCAAGGCAGTCCTGAGCCCGAGGCCCGGCTGAGGGATACATTCGCAAGGAGTTTGGGAGGTTGACCATTCCGCTCGTGCTGCACTGCAGACACCGATCACCCTCATAGCAAGTATCGCACAGTCCACCGCAGGCTGAGTTGGGGCAGAGACGTTTTTTGTTCGGCAGAACAGCGCGGCAGAAGGATGCTCATCGAGTTAGACTGATGCCAAGTCATTAGTGCCTGTCGGATGCTGCTTCCCCACTCCCAGGCCGTTGTCCGCCCTTTGACGGCCGATACTTGCCTCGACAGTTGCTACCGTCGTAGTATTCGCCGCTTGGGCATTGTGTCCGTTGGGGATTCGGCACACAAGACTTTGCTCCAGGGTCGACAACCAGGGCTCCGGCGGCTCCAACACATTCAAGGCATTTGCCCGTCTGATCCTCACACTTTGAGCATCCCGGCCAACATGCTATTGAGACCGCCTGGAGTCAGTCTGAGATTGCGCCTTGTCCAACCCTTCCATGTCATGCGCATTGCCCGGCTTTGTGACTGCACCCACCAACGCAGTCGCCTTGGTACAGGAAGTGGCGGTCGGCGCAGGTCGAGCATGCCGAGGAGTTGGGTGCCGAGGTCGGCGTAGCCCATCCAACATGGCAGGTGCATGTTCCGTCCGAGTTGCAATATCCGTTGCCGCACTCGCACGCTGTGCCATAAATTCGTCAATGGTGTGTTGCAGAAGGTGGCTGAGATCCAGGCGGATGCATCGATATCGGCGAGCCTCTGCCGGGTACTTACCATGGCAATCGGATCCAACAAACCCTGGCAGACATTGTTCACACGATGGTCCGGTCCTCCCGACGGAGCACACACATTCGCCAGAGCCATGAAGGCCATCGCTGCAGGATCGATTTTGAGGGCAGGTCGGGCAGGAGAGACACCGACCGCTGTAGAACCCAGGGGCACATTGCTCGCACGACTGCCCGGCAAACCCCGGAGCACAGGCGCACTTGCCTCCATCGACGCACTGGCCTTGCGAAGTGCACTCCGGGCTGCAAAGAGCTATTTAACAACGACTCTGGTCAGTGCCTCAGCGGCTAATCGCCGATCGAGAAGCGCGTCCATGCAATGAAACCACTATGAACCACTATGAGCCACTCTGAACCACTATGAACTAACCTGATTCGACCGCGGCGCTTTGAAAATAAGTCTGGCCCAACGAACCCGTGCTGTTGAGATCGGACCACACGGCCACCGAACTTCCGGATTGATTTTGGAACTGCCAGAGGACGGCGCGGGCCTGATCATTGAGCTGGATACTTTGGAATTGCGTAGGCTGCTGTAGATTAAAACGACCAAGAAGAAGCACAGTGGAATTGCCGAGGAAGCGAGGCTGGGAATAGACAGCCGCATTCGGTGCTGCCTCGGATACCGAAAGACAAGCTGCGGATCGACGACGCAGCAAAAGTCAGAGCATGCCGCCATTGACACCCAGAGTCTCGCAGTCAGTCGTCTCTGATGAGGACCCAAACCCTACGACGGACATACCAACAAGCAGCAGGGCGCCGCCGTACACACAGCAGAGCAACAGCATTGGGATACCGACATGGGTTCGGGGAAAATGCTCGAACACCGGGTTAAATCAGCTTCCCCCGGTCAGGTATGCTTGGCGCTGCAGTCCGCCTCCGCTGCCCACCTGGACTCGGCTCCAGCACCCTTCATCCCTTTATCCCTTCATCCCTTCATCCCTTCGTCTCTCGAGCGTTTGACAACGGCTCAATCGGCGGCGATGGCGACACGCAAGTGCGCAGTCCGGCCAGCACCTTGTCCCCCTGATCCAGGGCAGGGCGCTGCAGATCAGATTCCGGTGCTCTTGCTCGGTCCAAACTCGTCCGATGTCGCTCCGAGGCCAGAGGCCACCGGCGTCCTCGGTCAGCTCCCAGAGCCAGGTGCCGAACCCCCAATTCGTCGTTCAGCCCATCGCACTCAGGAGGAGAGACGGCTTCGTCTACCCGTCCTGCACACAGTGTCTGCGCAAGCTTAGCCAGGAATGCCCTTCAACGTACAGCTGCAACCGATGTCGCAGCCACTTCCCAAAGGCCAATACCAAATGGACATACTATCTGACTTTCATCGGCCACTGGAAAGGGGCGATCCGCGAATGTAGGGCGCTGCTGCAGCGTGAGCGGAGCCAACAGATCGCTGGATCGATGTTGCAGGCAGCGGATCTGCCCAAACGGTCGCTGGTGCATTGCCATCACCTAATCTGTATGTGTTCGTTCAGTCAGCGTCTTTGGCAGTATCCTCGACCCTATCTTTGGCATGCCAGCCGGACAGCTTGTTCGGCAGATGGAGACTCGGGACTTGACCCAGCAATCCTATATTGACCGAGGCAAGATCATCGAGTCGATTTTCGATGCCGTCGAGAAATGGCTTGTCGACAGCAAGTGGGTCATCCAAGTGGCCGCCGCAGATGTGGTGAAAGTGCCTGCAGCTCCATTGGGCTCGCAGCCGACATCGAGCCTGGATGCCCCCGAGAGCCTGCATACCCGCGAGCACGGCACATCCGAGCAGGAAGCCGAAGAGCGCATCTGGCAAATCCTCGAGAGCGCCACCTCGACCGAGTCACTCGTTGTGCAGCTGAGTGCGATGAGCCTGCAGAGCCCTGTGGTTTCTGGTCCGACCTTTGGACTCAAAGACAAGAACATTGTTGTCAAGAAGTGGAGGGCGCTCAACGGCGGCCCGGCCGACTGCAGTGCCTTGTGGGCAAACATCCAAGTGATTCTGGGCCTCGGGGCTGCAGTCGGGATGGCACAGACCCCCAAAACGCATCCATCCGATGACAGAGGCCCGGACACAGCAGCGGCCACGGATTCGAACAAGACCGCAAGCTCGCTTGGGTATCCCTGCACTGACGGCGATGATAATCGCAGCAGCAGCAGTAGCGAACAGGCAGACGATCTGCACTTGCTTGCCTTCGACCCGGAGGAGCAAACCTTTGGCTACTTTTTGCGGGCTGCATCGGGTCGGTTGACGGAGAATCAGCCCGGACTGGATTGCAACGGCGATTTCGACGACGGTTTCGACGACAGCTTCGATGACGACCAGTTGATTGCAATGATGCAGAACTCGTCGCTATAGAGCCCGGGCTGGTCCTGGAGAGTCGATGCCACCCGGCGTCGTCTGCGGCATTCTGCGGCCTCCATCTTCTCGCATCGGTCTCCATCTTCTCGCATCGGCCTCCATCTTCTCGCATCGGCTTTCACGTCCGGCCTGTCCTGTGATCCCGTTTGGATCTTCCGGTCTCCCGGCAGCCCCACACAGCCCAGAGGCCAACCAGGCATTGGCCGCGTGGTCCCGCCAGGGCTCTCCCCACCCACGACCCTTCGCCTCGCGGTCCTCTTGGCCTTGATCAACCCCCCGGTCAAGTCCTGCCGGCCTGCTGCCTCATACGCCTGCTGTACCTCTCCTCTGCTCTGCTCTGCTCTTCTCTTTCGTCTCTGCCATCGTCGCCATCGTCGCCATGCTCGCTCAACTGGGTTACGGACTGGGCCTCGGAAGCGCCGGCCTCCACTTCCACTACCTGCTCAACCCCGGCTCCTCATACCGCTCCCACACCCTCTTCACCATCTCCAAGTGCGTCCCCATCCTCCTGCTGGCTCACCAGGTTCACCGCTCAAAGGACCAAAAGGCCCTCCGCCACAAGACCGCCGCCATTGCCACCGGTCTGACCCTCTCTGCCCTGGGCGACGCCTTCCTGGCCGTCGAGGATCTGCACCCCAGCCTCTTCACCGCCGGCCTGGCCTCGTTCCTGGCGGCCCACATCAGTTACATTGTCGGCTTCAAGAGCCCCCGCTCCAAGCACTGGGGCTGGACTCTGGCCACTGCCGTCGGCCTCTCTGGTAGCATTGCCGCCCTCATCGTGCCTTCGACTCCCTGGGATCTCAAGGCTCCTGTCGCTGTCTATATCGGCGTCCTTGGCTCGGTCATCTGGAACAGCTTGGATGCCGCCGTTGCCGATACCAGGCGCTCTGGCCTCAAGAGATGGTCCGGCGTCATCGGTGCGCTCTTGTTTGCTGCCTCGGATTCGATCCTGGCCTACGACAAGTTCAAGCACCCGTTCGCCACCAGCGCTCTCTACGTCATGGGTACTTACTACAGCAGCCAGTACTTTATTGCTCAGTACGCCGTCAACCGCAAGAGCGACGAGTAACGGGTGCGTGTCGATCTGGATGCCTGCGCCTGTGGGTATCTGCCAAGCACTCGTGAATAAACCCCCGGGCTCTTGGAGCGTCGGGCTTGTCGACAACTATCGAGTGGTTAAATTGCTCCCGGATGGCGACATGGACGATCCTCGGCATGAGTGCTGTTGCGGTGATCGTAGCAGATCCCCATGGTGTTCCAGAGCCGCCATGTACTCGTTGGACTGCCGGGCATCCCCATGATGCCATGCACTGTCGAGGCTGCGACAAACGAGCCCCGCTCCTCGAACGACTGCCTGCATCGCATCATATGCATTCGCAGGCCGTGCAGCCCATGTCCAGCGCACGGCATCGCCGTCCTTCTGTCGCTTCTGCCCTCGCTGCGATCCGGGGGTCGCTGCACCGCGCTCGTTGAACATCAAGGCCCGCTGGCTGGATCGAATCGGTTCTGCTCGCTCCTGGCCATCAAAACTGCTGTTGATCGCCCGCTGCCCTCAGCAACCGCACAGTGTGCTCTCTGCCTTGGCCGTCGCCGCCGCCTTCAGCTTCTGCTCCCCGACATCATCCAGAGAGGCCTGGGCAGAGCCATCGAGCCCCTTCCCGCCTGTCCTCTCCCCCGTCGTGGTGCCCCTCCCCTCCTCCTGCTGCATGCATCTTGCGGCACCTGTTCCCGCTTTGTCCACCCCATCCGAGCCTGCTGTAGTAGCGACGGCCTGCGTCTTCCCTTGGTCGTCTCGAAGCCCTCTTGAATATCCGCGGCCTTCCGCAGTGCTGCACTCGATCGCCCCACCCAATGGCTGCGCTAATTGACGAGTCCTCCCTGACAAATGTGTTCTTACTGGTAAGGTTCCTGTACCCTGCCAAGTCGGCCCTCTGCATGTGAACATGACCAGCCCCCAATGCCGGCCACACGATTCCGGTGTTTCGCCCGAGAGAGAGAGCATCATCCAGGGGCTCAAACGCACGTCGAATCCTTGGACCCGCCGATCGGCTCGCAGCTCCAGTCTAATCTCGTCGCCCGTGTGCGTATCGGCATCGCTCAGGCGAATGTGTCCAGGATCCGATGGAAACGCTTCTGCTGTCGGTCGACAGAGGCTCTGATTCGCAGACTGCTATCGCCCACGGCCACGGCTGGTTCTGGCGCACGGCCCTCCGACCCCCTCCTGGCAACGTATGCAACCCTCCTGTCCTCAGGCATCCCATGCGTCTGGCGGATGGCCGAGTATGCCTCACCGCCGCCCCCGGATACCCATGATCTTCGAGCCTTCAAGATGTACACCAGATCAGACATTGTGTTTCTGCCACACGAGCTGTTTTCGGCCCACGCAACGCATTTGAATCGAGGACGGTTAGCCCACGGAGTAGCGCTCGTGCCAAGCCTCAATAATGGCACGGCCAACCACAGTCCCTTCGGGAAAGTGCCCTCGAGCGTCAGCCCAACGGAAAGCATCCGCACCGCCCATGCAGGCGTGCACGATGAGCATGTCTACCGAGAGCTGTGGGTCTTTGACTACTCGGGCACCCAGGACAGCTTCGAGCCCCAAGTCGACGCCGGTAAGTGCCAAATCGATCCCCGGGAGACGCAATCGCTCCCGCTCGTATCTTGCTCCATCGAAACGGCTGGCACAGAGAAGGAGAGTCCAAAGACTCTGCCCATGCGCCTGGATGGACCCAAAGCCAAGCTGGCGCAGATCTACTCGGATCGAACGGCATTCCAACGCTTCTACTGCTCGTTGAATAGACCTGCTGCTTCTGGAGCAAGGCGACTTCGGTCCAGATGAAATCTATGGCGATTCCAGCTCCCCAAGACAAACCCAGACGACCGAGTACGGATTGTTCATCAACGCCCTCAATAATCTGGCCGAAAGGTACTCTCTCTAGCCGAATTGCTGGCCCTGGGCTGCTTTCGATGTCGTATTCAGCAAAAGCACCTTGCACGGCGCAGCATTCGTTCGGGTCTCGCTGCTGACAAGATGCATCTCGTATTCCAGATCGCTTCTCAAGAGCGGTATCGTGCGCATCGGTGAATCATATCTGCTAAGACCGGCGCAGAACCAGGGCAAAGACCTGGATCTTGACGAAAGGTGAGCAGGATCGGCCGATGGCGCCAACCACACCGAACTGCGGACAACCACTCGCGCCACTTGTCAGCTCAAGCGTCGAGCCAACGTAACTCACTCGCTCGACCAACCCTCTACTTTGGACCCGGCAGCACGCCGAGCGACACTCGCTTGGCGTTCCAGTGTGACTTTTTCCTGACGCTCAGCAACCTGATGGTGCACATCACCATGGACTATGTGAAAGTGCGGGCCATCACGGCCCTTGACTACGACAGCCTCCTTCAACAGCAGTGGACAGCGAAGCCCCAGCCCTTTCCAGGTGAGTGGACAGTCACGAAAGCCAAGATCCCATCATGGCGCAAGCCCGGCTCCACGGTGTCTGCAGCAAGCAGATCATCAATGTGTCTGGACGATTGCACCACTAATCTCAATGTACTCCGGTGCAACAGTCGTTTTGTGTCCGCATGGACTCCGGGCAACCTTGCTTCCAGCATCGCCTGCCTCGAACCTCAAAGCTAAGGCTGTGTTATCAGACTGGCAGACGTATTTTGGATTCTCGTCTTGCCAGCCCGGCGATCGGCTGCTCCCTGCCACTGTGCAGGTGCAACTGGATGATTCGGGGATCATCATGGACTACCCTTCGAGCCTGGTTTACTATGTAGCGGACGGTCGATCGCACGCTGCAGCCAGTCGGCCCGCCTGGATACCCACAGCAGGCTTTCCAGATCGCCTGGACGACCCCTGGATCTTCAAAAACATACCCAGCGGCAACCTGGAGTCGATTCTTGAGCAGCGCGGGCAAATCGACGGCAGCATCGATGCAACTCAAGAAGCGGCACAGTTGGAGTCTGCTCCGCGTGCTGTCTCAGGCATCCGCGTGGCCGAGGACAAGCTAAAGGAGTACATGTCCTTCTCGACGCTCACCGGAGCTGCTTCCTCCACGACACCAACAAAAGCAGAACCTCAGGCCAAAGCCAAATCGGACGCACGAGACCGGATGGACGAGTAAGGAGCTTTTGCATGGTCTAGTCATAGCCACTTTTGCCCACACTGCGGCAGTCGTCCTCATGGATCTGCAGCTCGATTTGTTTTTGGTTTTGCGTTGAAGACCTGGTTGCTCGATTGCTGCGCTCTTGTCCTCAGCCCAATGAATCGGTGGCTCCGAGACACAGCGGCGCTATGGCCTGGACTGTATGCTCCATCACTGACATCCCTCTCTCTGAACCCCGACTCCGCCATGCACGATGAATTCAGCCTCCTGGGTATGCCACCGGTGTCGAACAACCTGATTTCGCCAACGAACACGTTCTTCCAGTCGACACGAATCGAGCCGCAATCGGAGTGGTCGCTGGATGACAACTTTGATCTCGACGAGGCCGACATTGACGACTTTTTTGCATCGTCGTCCAAGAAAGAGACCAAGAGCGTGGCGACACCATTTGCTCAGCCACTCAGCGCTGCGTCCCCGGCGGCCCCGACGCCCACCCCTGGCCCTGCTACGGCATCGACAGCATATCAGCCCATGTCGCCGGCGTATGCCACGCCGCAATACCACGGCATCAGCACGCCCTTTGGCACGTCAACGCCAAAGTATGTCAACGGAACCCCGACCGGACTAAACTCGCCTCTCGACGATGCAGGCGACCATTTCATGGCCGACCCAACCATCCTCGAGGATCCGGCTGTCGACAAGAGCGAGAGGCTCGAGCACACCTCGCCCGAAGCCCTGACACACCTTGCCAAGCACGAGCCCTTCCGGATTCGCGTGCTGGATTCGTCGCCAGATGTCGGGACGGACAGCAATGTTCCAGAGCAGTGGCTCTCCATCAACATCGACCACCCCACTGTCTTTGGACACGATGGCAAGTACGGGCCAGGGGGCAAGTGGAGCTACCACCCAAGTCCGGCACTACCGGTGGAGCAAACGAGTGCGATGGCCGTGGATGGCGACGATTCCTCAGACACCAGCTCGAGCTCGGACAGCGACTCACTGTCCACCGATGAGTCCGAGGCCGGCGAGATTCACGAAGCCCCTGTCATCAGCTCAGCATCCTACCAGCGCAGCGTTGTGGCGATGATGTACCATCAGAACATCGAGTTTTGTGCGCGATTTGGCTCGACCATCGGATCAACTGCTGAAGGCAGGCCATTCGGCGGCTCGAGTGAGCCCCCGGCCGTGATCAAGGAGCTCATCTCCGATGGCTGGCATACAAGCCCCGAAGGCATCGCCGAGTTGTCCATGTTTTCAGAGTACATGGCTCTGGGCGTCGACTGGCAGCGTGAGCTTGAGAAAAGCTACGGAGCCCCCGCAACACTGAGCCTCGAGGAGAACGTCGTACCGCATGAGCTGCTACTGAGCGACATTGGGTCGGCGTTTTCGCTGCTCTCCGAAGCCATCGGCCGCGCCCCTGGCGAGTCTCGCGGCCCGCTGTCGATCGAACAATATCACGACATACACGGTAAGCATGCCTATGAGCAAGTGGGTGGGGCTGCTACGGCTCTCCGGCCCAAGCCCCATGCCTGTCTGTCTGGCCGCTCGTGCGGCTGGAGCTACGCCTGCTTCGTGATCACTGCCCCATCTTTCTGGGTACTGACGGACTGCCCATGGGCGATACTTGTTCTCAGAGGATACCGATCGCTACTCCAAGTACGGCAAGTTCGCGCTGAAGAAACGGAAGCGACAAAATGACCAGTCCGTACTCGAGGCGTTCCCGAGCCCGGATATCGTGGTGTCTCACAAGCAGTGCCCGTTCCTCCGTCTTAACGTGAGCGCAGTTCCATTCTGGGGCAAGCTTGGGCTCAAATCATACAGCGGCCCCAAGGACATCAAATGGCTGAGTGTCGTCCCACCGGCGCCCGAAATCCGGAAGAATCTGATGGCGTTTTGCGAGGACGTTGGGGCCATGTACGAGGCATATCAGTACGGCCACTACGCTCGCATGGGCAACTCGAACGTGACCATGAACTCGGGCATTCTTAAAATCGATGTCAAAGGTAAGTCTCGGCCGTGAAGGCGGGCGCCGGATGGGCAGTTGAGTACATACGCTGCTTGATATCAACACACACTTCCTCTGTCTAGGCGCCGGAACCCTCGAGTCGGACGTGGCCGCCTACATTCGAACGTACAAGGCGCAGATGAAGACCCTTGGTAGGCAGATGCTTATACTGCTGATAATAATCAGCGAGCGCGTCCTCCATATATGAGACGGGCTGCTCGCAATCTGACCAGGATCCCCTTGCCTCTCTTCGTTCCAGCCGACTACCTGGTCGCATCCAAGGGCATCGAGGATCTGGCTGGGCACGAACGTTCCTACATTGTTGTGTATATCGTCAATCCCTTCGAGCACCGCACCGAGATCCTGCTGAAGCTCCTCTCCGGATACGATCACTTGCTGCAACTGATTGCCGAAAAGACCCCAAGAGCCATGTCATATGCGGAACTGCGGTACCGGATCGTCCCTGCGATCCTGCCTCATTCCGTGCTGACGGAGCGGTATGCCCCTGGGTCATTCAGCAGCGTCCGCCTGGTTATGGACGGCATCTACCGGTCATGTCGGCGGGTGCTTTCGAAGAGCGGCGACCAGTCAGCCGTCAGCCCGCTGTTTGCCCCGCCGTTTGTCGCCGCACAAGCCTTGGTCCACCCGCAGTACTCGCTAGCAGGCAGAGTTCCATCAAGCCCGCACCTCGTGATGGAGCCGGACCGGCTGCTGCACGTATCTTACGCCATCGACAGTCGGTGGGTTTCGGTGCTGTGGTGCGACGCAATCGGCGAGCTCATGGAATGCGCCAGCTTCAACGTCGACAGCTGCGGTGGACGCCGAGGGGTCTTTCACGAGATCTGGGCTCGGACGCTGCGGATCACCAAGATGGGAGGATTCTTGTGGCGGATTATCCTCGCCCGGAACAAATCCATCGGCAACGCAGAGCTAGAAGGTAGGCTGGCGATGAGACAATTCGCTGCGATTTGGTCGTGCAGTGGACCTATGTGCGCTGCCGTCGTCGTTTCGGTGGACCTGACGCGATCGATTAACGTCTCTGCTGACTCGACTGTTCAACCGGCTGCGGTTTGGGCTTGCAAGACTGGAAGTGGGTGCTCTCGGACTTTGTCTGCAAGACGTCGCGGCAGCCGCCGACCGCCAACTCGAGTCCAGATCTGTCATGGGCCAGCGAGCTCGCTGCTCTGACCAACGACCAGTCCTCGTCGCCGATCAACCTTAGTATACCTGGAACGCCCATGGAGGTGCCGAGTCGAGCTGCAGCTTCTCCGCTCAGCCATCAGCCAGCCGGACAGCCGCGACAGCACCATCGCGCCGAAGCCAGGGACATTGACCCGTCGGGATCCTTGATGGTGTCGTCTGTGTCGATCGTCGCGCTTGCCCCCAGCTCCAAGCTCAGAGTGTTCGAGTCGCTCCGCACACAGGGGGCGCTGCCGGTCATGCTCGACAACGTCTCGACGCTATACTCGATGCCCCAGAAGGACGTTTCGATCGCACCGAGCTTCCGCAACTTTGGCTTCTGGCTGGGTCACCATCGGGTGCCCATGACCGACCTCGTGCCGCTCGTCACGGGCTACTTTCTCAACCTGCGCCGATCGCCGCTGCCGACGATGGCGGCGTTTTCAAGCACGCCCGCCCGGGTGTCCGAAGTCGGGCTGGTCTGGCATCACCAAAGCTGCTTTGCCGATCCAAAGTGCACTAATTTTTCGCTGTGGCACCCTGAGTCGGAGCACCATCAGCAACCTTCGCACCAACAGAATCCTCAAAGCGAGACCCCGACTCTTGTCAACCCGTCGCATGTTGCCATCCTGCGGGACGTGCTAAAGATGTACAACGGACTCTCGGCTCTGTCGGGAGATCAATCGGGACTCTGGATGTACGAGACGGTCGAGAGCATCGTGAATCGGCTGTCGAGTCTATGATGCTGAGCGGCTTGGCCGGGCGCCGTCCGGCCGAGACAACCGATTTTTCAATCGATCCGATGGGCATACCGTCGGTTTATCTGCCTCGTCGGTTATCTGCTTCGCCGGCAACTGGAACCGGCCCTGGGAACGACAAGCTGATCTGTGGCTGGAACAGGTCCTGGTCCCGGCCCTGGCCCTGGCACAGTCTTTCCAGGGAGACACGCATGGTTTGGAAGCAAGGATGTGCAAAGAGCAGAACACTGGACGACCATACACGGGTCGTCGTCCGATAATCGCCCAAGGTCGGTGCTGCTGAGCAAGAGCCTGAATGTACAGCATATTCAAGCGAATCGATGCGGCTCATCTACAGGAACTGTCCGCCACTCTGGCCTTGCGATTCGTCGGTGGCACACGTATGCCCTCAACAGCGTTGGTGGTGCTGCTCGATTGCCTCTGGATCATCCCATCAGCAAATCCTTTCTTGGGACGCATGGCCTTGAATACATCGGATTCTCCCTGGCGGTTGTAGAGACGGCAGGATGGACCATGCTCGTGAATGCACTGCCGTTATTGACAGGGCAAACTTGTCCTGAGCGCGGATATCGATACGAGTGTGGACCAGCCCGCGGTGTCGTGGTGCAGTATCGCGGAGATCTCGGGGGCGATCGATGGACATGTGAAGCGGTGTGGCTTCGTGGGGTGATGGAATCTGCGCATATCGGTATTGGTCCTTGGCCCTGGGAAACGCGGTTTGCCAGGGTCGTCTCGATCTCTGCGAGTTCCCTCGGTGCCAGCCAAAGGATCGGTCCGGTCTCTGCCAAAAGACAGCCATGAGCAGCCTATCGCGGGCCGAGTTTGAGGAGCAGACGGCCACATTTCTGCAGCGAGCCAGGCAGCACCAGGAAACCTGGATGTGGGTTTCGACGGCGCCGCTCCCGGCCGGCTCGGAGCGGACGATTGATGCTCGCACCGGATACCTGGCGAAGCAGACGATGGTGATCTCCCGGCTCGACGGCGTCCCGAAGCCTGCTGCCTGCAGCGATAGCGAACTGCCGGCGGATCTCGAGGTAGGGGCGCCTGTTGCCTGAGGAAGCAACACTCACACAATTGCTGCGACACCGACATGCCCGGCAGCGAGACAGACGACAGCAGCATGCTCCGGAGAGGCCAGCCGTATTCACCGCTGGCCGTCAACCAACAACCAGGACCTCAACGAGGGAGATCTCGACGAGGGCGACCCTGCCCAGCGGGATCCCGCCGATGCGCCCGGCGCGATATTGGCGACCGTCGATCTTCATGTTGTCTATCTGCCGTCGTGGGGCTGTCCGGTGCTGTTCTTCAACGCATACGATGCCTCGGGGCAGGTGCTGGACTGGGCCGCCCTCCGAACGCTGACGAGGAACCAAACACCGGCGACGATATCACAACAGGTGCAGTGGTTCAGCTATCGAATTGCCGGGGGCGGAAAGTCAGCGGCACAAATGGGGAGAGTCAATGCCTCGATACTGACTGGCTCGGCGGAACCCGTCCAAAGGAGCATCCGCTGCTGCACATTCCTTTCTACTACATCCATCCATGCAACACAGCCGAGTTCATGAGGGAGCGGCTGGAGAACGGCTGTCCGGTGGGCGATGCGTACATGCTGATATGGCTCGGCGCCATGACGTCGCTCGTTGTTCCGGGACTGGTGCCGCGAGCGATGTTTGAGACTGCGGCGGGGCCGCGGGCCATTGAGCATGATGCCGAAGTTTCAAAGCAGCCGTGATGCCGCCGCTGGATGTCGATGTTGGTGTTGGTGTTGGTGTCGGTGTCGGTGTCGGTGTCGGTGTCGGTGTCGGTGTCGGTGTCGGTGTCGGTGTCGGTGTCGTTTCGCCGATGATGCCATCCGTCGCACAAATGCCGTGATCGAAATACAAAATTTGAAATGCCGGTCTTGCTGACTCGCTCTCGATCGCACCCATCGCACCCATCGCACCCATCGCGCCGTCGTCTCAAAAGCCCGGCCGGTCGACGACGAGGGCCCTCCAGTGTCTTGCACAGCGAGCTCTTCCGACACCGACACTTGATCCGCCAGTCGCCCAGGCATCGAAACATCCTCCAGCGACCTTACCCAGCCCCAGATTACCCAGTTTTCGAGGCACCGGCGTTCCTTCAACAGACATCCATCTCTGGCTCCTCTCGCCTCAGCGCCCTCGTCTCCCACGATCTTGCATCATGTCTCTGCGCCAGCTGCTACAGTCCAGCCTCCCAAGAGCCACAGCAGGCCTCCACCGGCCCCTGAAGTCACAGGCTTTCGCTTTGCGCAACGTGGCCTGCTCTCTCTACCACTCGAGTTCGGCCCTCCGAGAAGCCGCCTCGAAGCCGCCATCGGCCGGAGGTGGGTACAGATTCAACTGCGCTGGGCTTGTCGGGCATTTGGATGGCGCTGGGAGACGGCCCACTGGGATGCGCTGAATCTGGTGGGAGAAAGCAGGACTCGACAGCACGGCATTCTTGGCGACGCTGCTGGCCACTTTACCAACCAAACTCGCCTTTCAGCGCCGGCCCCGCTACACACATCCATCCATTCGTACTCGCCGTTCGCCCAATACTCTCGCGAGGCCACCGAGAAGCAGTCGAGCGAGTCAGGCCCAGAGCCCAACTACGACAAGGTTGTCTCCGGCTACGAGGTCTACCACTACAAGCGAGAGTTCAAGCTGGAGCACGGTGGCGTTCTCCCAGAGTTCAAAATTGCATATGAAACCTGGGGGCGGCTGAATCCTCTCCGAGACAACGTCATCCTGCTGCATACCGGCCTGAGCGCCAGCAGCCATGCCAAGAGCCACCCCAAGAACCCTGCACCCGGTTGGTGGGAAAAGTTCATTGGTACGTGTCGATACGGCCCATCGCTTGCGACTCGGCGCTGCTCTGGCATCTGGCCGAGGCCAGAGTTTCTCCCCCTATTTGTTTCTCCTTTCTTTTTTTTCCTCTCCTTTCCTCCCCACCTCTCCGCTGCTGCGGACGAAGGCTGTGGGGCAGCATCGATGCGTGGCCAGGCGGACTGGCAGTTTGCCTGCGTCTCGGGTCCACGCCCGGCACTAATGCTTCCTCTGTCTCCGCCGATGCGTCGCTGCATCTGCCGACATATCCTTCCACCTGACTGCAGGTCCCCAAAGCGCAATCGACACGGACAAGTGGTTCGTGATCTGCACAAACGTTATCGGCGGATGCTACGGCTCGACCGGCCCATCCTCGATCGACCCGGCCTCGGGACAGCGATATGCCACCAACTTTCCACTGGTGACCATCAGCGATATGGTCAGGGCCCAGCTCGAGCTCCTCGACCACCTGGGCATCCAGCGGGTGCACGCCAGTGTGGGTGCGTCCATGGGTGGCATGCAAAGCCTGGCCATCGCTGCCGAGGCGCCTCACCGAATCGGACGAGTGATAACCATCAGCGCCGCCGCTCGCACACATCCATATGCGATTGCCATGCGGCATGTCCAGAGACAAGGTATGGACAGTATTCTGCGCGACCGAGGCTGCTGCGTTTGAGCGAGTCCACATCACCTCCGCCCGTAACAAATGCGAGCGAGCAGAGGTGGTGGCTGATTGGCAGCGGTGTTGTGCGCTTTCGGATACTCGCAGAGCTCGAAACAAGCGCCTCGGTCGCTGGGGCCTCCTCGCCAGCAGTCAAAGTCGAGCTGACAACGGACTTTGTTTTGATCCAGTGTTGATGGCCGACCCCAATTGGAAGCACGGGTTCTACTACGACAGCGTCCCGCCGCATGTTGGCATGAAGGTACGCCGTGCCGCTCAGCTCGGAAAGTACACATGTGCTCGTGGCCAGACCTGTAGCCGATCCCGCCATGAGCGCATGCGATCGATATCGTCGTCGAGCCGCTGCCTTTGGACTAACCCGTGTCGGATGTGCTTCCTCCTGTGTAGCTCGCTCGAGAAATCGGCACGATCACGTATCGGTCTGGCCCCGAATGGGAGCAGCGCTTCGGTCGCAAGCGAGCCAAGCCCGAGGAAATGCCTGTGCTGTGTCCCGACTTTTTGATTGAGTCGTATCTCGACCACCAGGTTGGTCCTCGCTCCTGGATGTGTGCAGCATGTCCACTCAGCCGAGACGACCTGGGGCTCGATGCAGAGAGCGGAGCGTAACACGCCCACTCGGCGATGCAACTCTGGCTCGCCATGGTCTTCAAATTCCACCAGGGCTCATGCCTGGACAGACAGACTTTCTGACATTTCATTCTCCCGGTCGACAGGGCGAAAAGTTTTGCCTCAACTACGACGCCAATTCGCTTCTCTACATATCCAAGGCCATGGACCTGTTCGACATGTCTGGGTACGCTCCAAAGAAGGAGGAGGAGGTCTCGGACCCGACGGAAGAGTCCAAGGAACCCCCCAAGGAGGTTGCCCCGGTCCACATCAGCCATCGCACCAATATCCGGGGTCGATTGAACACCAAGACCCACCGCTTCTCCACCGACGAGCCCGAGCTCGACGTCCTGATCGAGGGCCTCGCTAAGATCCAGGTGCCCACGCTTGTGCTTGGCGTGCAGAGCGACATTCTGTTCCCGGTCACGCAGCAGAAGGAGATTGCCGACTGCCTCCGCGCCGGCGGCAACAATAATGTGACCTACTACGAGCTGGATGCGCTGTACGGCCACGATACCTTCTTGATTGACCTGCCGAACGTCGGCGCCGCGGTGAAGGGCCATCTTGAGAGCAAGTTTGGCAGCGAGTGGGTTTATATCATCTGAGCATGTGCTTTGCACCAGGGCCAAGTGGCTCCCACAATATACGCACACATCCACATCCACATCCTCATCCTACAATATACGCACACATCCTGCCAATGGGTGGCTAGCCACACACACACACACGCCATCCGCCCTGGCTGTGTGTGCGCAGCGCGCAGCCACGGCGAAAGGAAACCGATCAAGTTTGATCTTGCCCCTCGGCCGAATCAGCCCGATCAACGTAGCCGATCTGGTCAACCCGGCTGCACGACGCCGTCTTGACAAACCAGCTGTCCTGACAAACCAGCCGTGCTGCCCACCTAACGGCATCCATCCCCTTGTACAGTCTCGCTCGCTTCGGACGCCTGCTCCCAAAACTCGGCCATGGCCCTCTGGCAATCAGGCGCCTCTGCCGGAATCCACTTTGGATGCATGTCCCGCTTGCTCAACGCCGATATGATGCTTCCGCTGACACACGAGTCTTGTCTTCGGGCCTGTGTACCTCTTCGTCGATGGCTGTCGGCACCGTCTGCGCATAACGTCGCATGGCCCGCAAGTCACACTGCATCCCGTTCACAGCCCTATCACACCATCAGACACTTCACGTCTGCTCAACCGGCCTCGCTGGATCCGGATCTCGGCAGGCAACTCAAATCGTCGTCAGGCACCCCTCTGTTTCAAAGACTGAGCTCCAGCTTCAAGGAGCAGCAGAAGCTCACACCCGATTGCTGCCTCGACATTCTCGCCGCCTGTGCCCAGGCCGGAGACGTCAAGACGGCCCTCACAACGATCGGGCTGATGGAGACCGAGCGATATCCGTTGACCGCCAAAGTCCACGAGCTCCTGCTCGTCACTCTGTCGAAGGAGCCGCATCGGCATCTGGCCCAAACTCGCCAGATCTTGGCCAATCTCGAGACCATGCATCCCGCGCCAGAGTGCTATCTGAATCTCCTGAGGGCCTACCGCGGCACTCGCAATCGTGAGCTCGAAGCGATTGCGTCGGCAATGCTCCAGAAGCTCTGCTCACTGTCAGAGGAGTTGACACCCAGAGACTGCGTTGCACTTGTGGAGGTATGCAGCTTGCAATCGAAGCACACATAGCTCGGCTGGTTGGATTGTGCTTGACGAATGGTCGCTCATTCAGCTCGGCGAGCGGCTGCTTGCTCAAACTGGCGCACTACTTATTGCTCGTGGTTCATCTCATTCGCTGCTTTCCTGGGAAATGGATTGGAATCGTGGTTCGCCTTGGCGCAATTTGGACTGCCTCCGATGGCATCAAAATGTCGTTGACCAGGTCTGCAGCGGTTACGGCCGGCACGATCTTCTCGAGCCAGTCCTCACACACTTTGCCTCAAAAACGCAAGCCGCTGCTGCCGATCGTCTGCAGATGCTGGATACACTCGCACGGGCACGATCGAGTCGGTCGGCGATCGCACCGAGCTTCCTCCGTCTATATCAAGAAGCCATCGAGGCAAAGCCGGATTCGCTCTGCAGCACCTCCGAGCGGATCCAATTGCTGCATTCGGCCCTGCAAGCGTATCTGGAGTTCTCGGTCGTGGACGAGCCTCTTGCGAGCGTCCGCATCCAGGTTGACCTGGTTCTCGCCCAGATCGATCCTGGACTCTCCAACACCATCGAGTACAAGAGGCTGGTCTTCATGACGCAGCTGCATTTGCTCCGCGCCGAGATCCGAGCTGCAAGGGCCACCCCCGATGAGTTTGATGTGCGTCCATGGCTCAAGATCAAGCAGTACCTCCTCTCCCAAACGGACTTTGTTGTCCCGGACGAGTGCTTCGTGCTGATATTGGAGGGCTACCTGCGGTCGCTCTCGATCGAGATCCACAAGCCATCGCGGAGCCCTGCAGCGTTCTCGCAAGACGGATTCTTTGCTCTCTGGACCGAGTGCATTTTGTATGGCTGGCGGGTCACGGATCAATCGATTGCGGCCCTGTTCCGAGTTCTGGCGCAGCCGGCAGTGCTTTCCAAGAGCCCGCAGCGGATACAGATCGTCGAGCGCATCTTCCAGCACATCCCCGAGACGGGTCTCAAGCCCACCGCCTCGATGTACGCACCTCTGTTTCCTGTCTTTACGGCCGACCACGAAGCCACACCAACCAATCCGATCCCACACATGGTGCTGCTCGACATCGAGAAGCAAATGCTCGGAAGCGGGATCGCACACAACTTTGACAGCGCCAGCGCTGCAGTGATGGCGTACTGGAAAGGATTCCAGCCCACCTACGCCATGCGCCGACTCTCGGACATGGAGCTCTCTGGCATCCGCCCCCGCCCCTCCGTGGGATTCTATGTCGAGCTGATTCGGCATGCTGCTCCGTATCGACACCTAGCCCTGTTCGTGCTGCAGGACCTCTATCCGTCCATGCTTCGGCAGCGAATCGCTCCCAACCACAAGCTGTACTCGGAGCTGTTGCGATGCTGCCTGGCATGCGGAAACCAGGCTCAAGGTCACCAGATTATGATCGAGATGCGCGACAAGCAGATTGCACTTTCGGCAGACGATGCGCTCGTACTGCTCGAGCTGATGCTGGCCACGGACGGGGTAGTGCTCTACCACGGCGCGCAAGCCGTCATCCGAAGAATGAAGCAGAGCGGCGTGACGCTTTCGCAGCAGCATTTGGATGTTATCCAGGATGCGCACGGGCGCAAGCGACTGTCGGGCGATGAGGTGCGGTATCTTGTAGAGTTGGCGGGCAAATAAAGTAGCTCGTGTGCGAGCGCAGTAGATGACGACGGTAGACAGATGATGTTTGGATGGAGGAGTAAGTGTATTCGGGAAAGTCACAGACAGACAATGGACATGGAGTGGCAGCCGCAAGTGCAGCAGCAAGTCGATGAGGCAGGACATGGCGCGATCGATAGCTGGAAGCTGCGGGGCGACTCATACAATCTTGCCCAGGACCATGTTGGAGAGCTTGTTGCCTTTGCTGAAGGTATAGGGAATGTCGTTCGTTTCCAGGAACTGGGTCCTGCCGTGAGCGAGAGCACGGCCCGCGGGTATGAACAAGAAAGCCGATGGTGCGGACACGGAGATCAAATCGGAGTGTGGAATATGTTGGATTTGTTAGATTTGTTGTGTGCAATCCGCCGGTATATCGGTGATATGCAGATATCCGAGGCTGCCCGGCCCAACTGAAAGCTGGATGACCGCTCTGTTTCCGCTTCGCACTGGTACTTGCTCGGCAGCACATTGACTGCAAGTCCCTCACTCAACTTACAGCTCGCCCTTTGCTGCTTCGGCGTCGCTGTGCTCCAGTTCGATTTCATATCCCTCGCCAAAGTCGTACTGGAAGGTGCATCCACAGGCGGCGGCGAGCGTCAACGGGAGATCGGCGATTCGACAAGGACCACTTGATCTCGCCAACGCCTCCTCCACAACCACAATCACGGCCGCAAGTTGCATACCTCCGTCCGATCCAGCTCCACAACGAAGCGCAGCCACGAAAAGACCAGCCGGGTGTTGACGAACTTGCCCAGGAGCCGGAATGGCGAGGGATTGGGAAAGCGCTTCGAGAGCTCCATTAGAATGGGATGCCTGTCGAAGAGCAGGGTCGGTGAGTTTGATGGGTGCTCAGGAAGCTTGGCGCGGGGACAGTGAGTCCTCGGGGAAAGATTGCAAACGGGATCCCGAGGGGGCTCGACCGGCTTACTCCTTTGACTTTAGGGCAAAGTTATCGGGGTTGTCGAGGATTTGATTGACAAGCGCATCATCGATGATGTCTTCGAGCTGCGAATCGGTTGTTGCAGACAAAGAAAGTGGCCCGAAGCATGATGGTGAGCATCGCAAGCGACCCCTTCTCGTCACTTGCAGGAGCCCAGTGTATAAACCAGCCTCATCGTCACCACCAAGCCAGCGACAGCGATATGCGATGCCTCGGGTACCTCCTGGACAGTCGAGATGCCATCGACGAGGATCGGCTTGGACTTGAGCGCTATGGTGGATACGACCGATCCCTTGCTGTCGCCACACGCCAGCTCTTCCGGTTTGAGGATCGCAGTCCGCCGCAGACGCAGGGCAAAGTCTGCCCGCTCTCTGGATGGAGTGGAAAGAGCCGTTTGGGCGGGATGGGATCGGATGTGGTCAAGGCCATTGCTGGAGAACGGGGACAGGCAAGTCCGAGAGCATCGGACTGGCCGCTGGGCCGGGAGAGAGGGTCTGTCGGAGGCAGCAGGATGGAAATGTCGGGGGTTGGGCTTACAGCTGCATCGAGGTGGTGTCGAAGTAGTAGTTTTCCTGGAGCTCTTTGGCCAGCAGCTCGGAGGAACGCTCAAAGGCACTGAGTGCTCTGTCGAAGGTCTGGCGATCTGGCAGACGAATCTTGACCTCGATCTCCATGGGCTGCGACTCTTTGGCTGGGCGAGCGTGAGATCGAGGCGATAACAGGCAGGACCGGGGTGCTGGCCGAGCCGAGATGTGTGAACAGGAAGAAGGCGAGGACTGGGCGATGGCCGATCAGGGCGTCGGATGGAACGCGGCTTCAAGCTGGCCAAAGGAGATACGGCGAGAGTCGCTGCTGCATCCCAACGCACCGACAGCACACGCTGAAATGCCGGCCCTGATGGCGACGATCGCACACCACGGAAGTGGTGCAGAAGTGATATGGCGGCCGCTGGCGGCGTGGAATTGCCGTCTCGTGCCTGGTCTGCGGTCTCTCCCAGCAAAAGTTACTCTGGCTGGATCACTCACGGAGCGACCGGGGCGACGCATTTGCCGACTGGGTAACTCATGGAGTACTTTGGGCTGGCGGGCAGAGGCACTTTGTCGGGCTGGGCCAGACCAGATTCAAGGGGGGGGATCCTTCGACAGGCAGGATCTTGCTTGCTCCAATCGACCAAATGGGCCTTTCCATGGCATATGGGGATGGGGCCACTGCAGGCCGCTGGCGGGAACCCTATCGAACGGCCGCAATGCCAGCCAGCGCGGGGACATCCAGGGCAGACGCCAGGGCAGATGCCAGGGCAGATGCCGGGCAACCACAATCAGCCGCGGGTCACATTGGCCCGGTCGACAGCGGGTGGGATCAGCGAGCCGAGGGCACGCTTGAAAATGTACAAAGGTGTCCAAGCGAGTGAAGGTGTGAACGGAGTGAGTGAACGAACTGAACGAACTGAACGAACTGAACGAACGTGTGAATCGGCGCTGCCCGGTACTTGTGTTTGCATTGGCACTGGTGCGGCCTTGCGGTCCTGGATCCACGCCCCCACGTTTTCGACTGCAAGGGAACTCGGGTGTTGCCCCGTTGGTGATCGGCGGACTGATCAGTTGATGGTTGATGGACTGGCCGGTTGGTGATTGATGGACTGCCCAGTGGTTACCCCGGTGGTTACCCCGGTGGTTACCCCGGTGATGACCCGGTGATGACCGCTGGACTGTCCGGCCGATCGATCGCCCATTCTGCGTCTCCCGCCGGGGCGATCTGGGCTGTCCTCCCGCCGGCAGGCTTGGATCCGTATTGTGCACCGCCAAATGCCGCCGCCATTTGCTCCTCGGTCAGACCCGCCGGCGCCGAGCATCGGCAATCTCCCTCAACACCCACCCACCACCCAAACACCGCTGTCGCCCTCGGCGGTGCGCCTCGATCTGCGTGGCTCCACGGGGACTGCCGCTCAAATTTGCCCTGCCTGGGGTCTGGTGCTGCACCGCTGGCAAGGACATTCCGCCTGTACGCCTCCCACCCGCCCGAGGTCTTGTCGCCAAGGCACCGCTGGGCCCGCGGCCCTTGCGAGCCGGATTGGCTGGCGCCGACGCAAGGAGCCAAGAGGCCCCACCCATCCCACGCAGCAGCCAAAGGGAGGGAGATGCACGGATGGGCCTTCGACGGGGGCAATCCCAGCGGCCGTGCGGTGGAGGCGGTGGAGGCAGGCGGGTGCGAGATATGGCCGTGGCGAAATATGGACGGGACCGGGATTGGGAGTGCAGCGGAAGCCGACTGCCTCGCCACGGGACCAATAGCAACTGCCCCGGCCGTCACCAAACGGCGCAAGATGGCACAGGTGGTTCGGAGATGTGGCTCTCTGGGCGAATGGGCAAGTCCCAGACCAAAAGAAAGCACCATAACAGCAGCAGGAGGCGGTCACGGGTGCAGAAGTCGTTAGCAAATCGCACGCCGCTGTTGCCGTTGCCGTTGCCGTTGCTGTTGCCGTTGCTGTTGCCGTTGCCGTTGTCGCCAAACACCAGCAGGCCGAGCAGCACGACGCCACCGCCTCAAAGCAAGGCATCATCAAGACAACGGCAGGACAACGGCAGGACAACGGCAAGGCATCATCAAAACAACAGCTGGGCATCAGCAAGGCGGTATTCGCTCGGCATTTGCCAGCAGACCACGAGCAACGTGCGCCACCGCCTGGCGGTCTGGGCTCTTTCGCTTTCTGTTTGTTTCGACGACGCAGACGACCCAGACCGAGGCACAGTCCCACCATTCCACAAGGCAACAACAGCAGCTGGTGCTCCTGCAGCAGCCGCATTAGCGCTAACAACCACAGTAATTGCATCATCTACAGCACCATCAGCATTAACGACCGCGGCATTAACAACCGCAACACCACCAGAACCACCACCAGCACCACCATCAGCTCCACCACCACCACCAGCACCACCAGCACTACAGCACCACCACATGTTCCTGCACACGCCCGCTTCCCGCGGGGGCGCACAGAGCGGCCGCAAGCACAACGACAACGAATCGCCCGTCGTGCGCAACGGCCGCCACGGCAAGCGGCGACCCGGGTGTCCATCTCCATACAATCACACTGGGCTCTGTGCTGCGGGCCAGCCCGCCCTGTGGCCCGTCCCCATGTCGTCGGCTCCTCACTTTCCCGCTGCCCTTGTTCCGCCCCTCCAGTCCAACCAGGTCGCGCACGTCGCCAATGGGTCCCACCAAGAAAACCGGGCCGTGTCGGCGCTGTCTGCGTTAACCAGAAATCTCACGCTCTTGCGTCCCCGTCTGCTGGTGCGCATCCTCGAGCCTCGTCGTCGTCTTCATCCTTTCTTTTTGTCGATCCTGGGTGCGCATGGCACCATGTCAATGGCGGCTGTAAAGACCGAAGCGCTTCCCGACTCCACGGGCGGCTCCCACGCCGAAAGGTTTCTCGTTCGTTCTTTCCGTCTGCTCGCCTTGCTCCCTTCCCCTCGCCTCTGTGCAATCCTCGCTGCTGTCTCGCCCGAGCCTGCCTCGTCGTCGATCGCACATGAAGCCCAGTGTGTCCGCTCGAGATGTTGCATCGAGACTCGGAGCACTGGCCACGAGTGCTCTCGGCCGAATTGATGGCTCCTGTCATGCCGCCCTCGGGGTCTGCCCATCGGCACTCCTTCCTCTTGGATATCTCGGCGGCATTTCTCTGCACCAACGGGGGCCCACGGCGATCGCGAGCAGCCGCGAAGGGCCGTGGATGCGTCGCCGCCGACAGAGGCATGATGCGGGCCTGGTCCTGTTGCTTGGTTGGAGTTCTGGCCATCGCTGACCCTCTTGGCAAGCCTCGCCGTTCGACATTTTCCACATTTACCCATTTGCTTGGTGCAAATCGTCTGGTTGTTGGCTATGGTACATTGACCAGAGCCGGCCGACTACTATACCATCCACTTGTCTACCCACTCGGTATGCCTTGTTCGATCCATCCCTCATCCCCCCCTCCCTCTCTTTCTTCCATCGTTGGCCGCGTTAGATTCCAACTCACTGTTGTTCAGCAACCGTCAACGATCCGATGCTGCGGGTTCGGCACCCGAACAAAGAAACGATCGATCGACCCGCCTCCTGTCGTTCAGCTGTCGCTCCTCCAACCCGATGGAGCCGTCGTTACCAAGTACGTGAGCGCATTCTGTCTCTTGCCGCCCTCGTTCGATTGGGTTCGGTTAAGTTGGGTTCGGTTGGGTTTGGTTGGTGGGCCGCAGACATTGTCGGGGGAGCGGACACTGTCCGCTGTGTGAATCCGTCGGCAGTCCTCAGGCCGGGAAGCGATCGTTCCCTTGTCCGTCGAGCTCCGGCGGCGACTGCTGCTGAGAGCACCAGAGAGCAGTACGCCCCTCTGCTCCGCCGGCACGGCCATAGTCACTCCAAAGCGCACCGATGAGCCCGACAAGGCCAGCCGGCCCAGCTGGCCCCGGGATCGGCTCACATTCGGCTGGACCCGACGAGAGGGAAAGGAAGCGCCGACGATCTGGCAAATGGATGGACGGATGTATATCGGATCGATGCATGGATAGATGATAGATGATGGATGATAGATGATAGATGATGGATGATAGATGATGGATGGATGTCTCGATGCACAGCAGACAGACAAACAGGCAGACAGATGCATGGATGGGTGGATATTCGGACTGATGCTCGAGTGTCGGGCTGTGCCTGGCTCGTCGTCCGTGCGAATCCTCGTCGTTGCTCAGCGCTTCTCAGCGCCCGGCGTTCGCCATGCTTACAGTGCCCGCTCTTGTTCGTCTCTCCCCACCAACCGCCCGCTGGGCCCGGTAACAGTAGCAGGGAGCTGGCTCGCTGGGCCTCCAACTTCACGGTGATCGTCGAACTGTGGTCCACGGACGAGCAGTCGTCTCTAACTCATGTCCTCCGAGGGACAACCACCCACTCCGGGTCAGCAGCCGGCCCTCGGCCCTCGCCAACACACTCCTTCGTCTCGGCCCCATCGTATCCGCCGTATCCTGGGCCGAGCGGACTGCCGAGCGGACTGCCGGGCCATGCGCCCAAGCAGTCGTCGCCGCCGACCGATCAGCCCGAGGTCATTCCCACCATCTTTGGGGGCCTGGTCGCCCACTCAGAGTTCCTGATATCGCCCGAGGGCGAGCATGTCGTGCTGTTTATCTTTCCCTCGATAGCCGTCCGGGTCCAGGGCACATATCGGTTGCGGTTTCAGCTTTTCAATCTCGCCGAGTAGGTGTTTATGCTGCCGTGTCGGTGCGAAGGATGCATGGCCGGATTGTCGCCCTCTCCGGCACTTCATGGTCCAGCACTCCATGGCCCCGTCGTCTGCACCTTCGTCTGCACCGTCGTCTGCACCGTCGTTCCGTCGCTCGTTTGTCTGCTGCTGCATCGATCCCTCGCCATGGCGCGAGTGCGTTCGCACGCACCCTTGGGTCATGGCCACTCGGTGCTGGTCTGCAGCGGCCACGCACTCTGTGGTGCGGTCTGTGATGCTGCGTGCGCTTTTGTCACTTCCCGATACCGTATCTGCTGCTGTGGGCTGGCCGTTCCCGGTTGGCTCTTGTGCCATTCCTGGATTGCGCTCCGTTCGTTCGTCTCATGGCCCCCCGCCGCTGTCGTCACGGCGCGAACGTGCTTCCTGTGCTCGTCCTCGCCGTTCGTGCCTTGTGGGCCGCTGTCCCTTCCCTTCCCTTCCCCGGCCAGACCCGCTTCGCTGTTGCTGACGACTGCCTTCCCCGTGCTGCAGTGCTGTCCGTGGCCTGAGGTCTGAAGCCCTGGCAAGCGTTTTCTCGGATACATTCATCTCCTATTCGTGGAAAAAGTACCCCGGCATCTCAGGTGGGTCGGCCGTGTCCGCTGCGGCCAGGCGGGTGGGCTCTCCCGACCCGGGCCCGTTACGGCCCGTTGTCCCTGGTCGCTGCCGTTGTCCCGTCGGATTGCCCTCTTTGAACCCGCCTTTCTTGCTCCCTCTGGGCGGTGTGCGGCCAATGGCCGCCTCGCCTTTGGCAGCCCCTCGGACATCTCCACACCTGTTGCCCCTGCTCTCCGTCCTTCTGCCCACCCTGGCGCCGCCGCCGCTGCTTGTTCTCACGCCATTTCTCGTGACCGGCCGGTCTGTCCTTCTCTGCCGTTCCCCACTCCTCACCACGACGCACAGGGCCCACGCCATTCACCGCACACTTGTCGCGCCAGGGCGCTCTGATCTCGACACGAACACCAACCTCGTCGACGGCCCATGTCGCAGCCTCGTCTGCTGATGCTGCCCCGGGGCCCGACCATGACAGCGACGAAGACGAGGAGGAGGACACCTGAGCGGCAGGCCCGGCGCATCTGGTATGTCTTCGGGGGGGGGTGCGTGCGTGGTTCCCGTCGCAACATGTGCAATCTCCTTTGGAACATGCGCCGTCTCCTTTGGAACATGCGCCGTCTCCTTTGGAACATGCGCCGTCTCCTTTGGAACATGCGCGATCGGTGTCTCGGACCTGCTCTGCTGGGCGATCGTTCCCCAACCAGCCGCACTGACCCTGCGCCACCAGAGGCCGCTGGCATCCCTCGCCGCGTTCCATGTCGCCACCAAGTCCAGCAAGGCGCCACCCGCCCCCCCCCTGCATCCAAAGTTCCGTTGATCCTCACAAGGCCAAGGGGCTTGAAGCCCGCATGACCCACCCACGTATGAAAAAAACGAAAAAATGCAACCCAAAATGCAACCCAAAAATCAAGTACCGCCAAACTCAGAAACCAGGGGCTCGCCGCTCAACTAGACACAGCGCCACCAACCTCCTTGCTCTCTCTCTCTCTTTCATTGCTTGCCACTTACTCCTGCTGGTTTGGGTAGGAGCTGCTATCTCCCTCGCGGCAACTTACCGGCGCGGCTCGGTTAATCTGTCCGTGGGTGAAGCAGCAGGAAGAGAAAGAAGGACAGCCACAACCACCACAACCACCACAACCACCACAACCACCACCACCTCCACCACCTCCACAACCACCACAACAACATCATCATCATTGACAGGATACGCTTTGATGCAAAAGCGCGTGATGAAGCAGCCCCTCCCGCTCCATCGGTCCTTGTATACTTACTCCACCAAAGGCGCCAATGTGTTGCTTCTGCATCCCACTGCTGCCGTTGTTGCCGCTCGTTGCTCCCCGCCCCCAGTACTGCTTGGCTCCACCCCCACCACCCAACCTGATCTTTCCGAACTCATACTTTTGCTTCTCTTTCTTGCGCTTCTTGATCCTCTCTGTTTACAGAAAAAAAACTGCACATACACACGCACGCATTGCATATCCAATCTGGCACTTTTTTCTTCTCAGCACGATCTCACTCCTATTTATTGGCAGTAACTCTTACTCTCACCGCCGTCCTCCTCCTTCTCCCTCCCTCTCTCGATTTTTCGGCTCCTCTTGTACCTGCTTGTATGGTGTTGCTCGACAGCTCTCTCGCTCTCTGGCAATGGTGGTGGGCTAGCCTACCAATCCATACATTGCTGTGTCTGCCTTCAGCATCTCCATTCGGTAGAGTGCTGGTTTTGCCTTGCAACTCTCCCCACCCCACCTCTCGCTGCCTACCGCCTCCTCGACCCGCTGTGCTCCGTCTGGCCCTCGTGGGGTCCGGGCATAGTGTGTGTCGCCAAGCTAGCTTGCATCCACTTTCTCGTTTGTAACCTCCGGCCCCTCCCTCTTCCCGTGTCCTGTGCTTCTTTGAGACTATCAATCGCATTTCTTTCTTTCGTTTTTCTTCTTCACTTCCATTTTGTTGCACGCCACTCCTTCCTCTTCTACTTTGTTTTTTTTCGGCCCAAATCCCCCAAATCCTCAAGAATCTATCCAAATGCATCCATTCATCCATGTTAGAGCGATCAAACACACAAAAACGACCCATGATATTCGTCGTTGAAAAGAAAAAGAAAAATCAAAAGAAATTAAACCAAACACCAACGGGAACCACTGTGTGAGCGGCTGATTGTGTGAATGAAGGACGGTTTCCTCGCGTGAAATCGCTGTAGTATCCACAGCCAATCAATCCCCACGGTCATGGTGGATGGTGTGTTTCGTTCCGTTTTTACAGGCAATCCAATAAAACGGGACACCCGGGATTTTGACCATTCATCGAATATTTTGTTACCCAATGTTATCGCGCGCTAGCCATGACCATTCGCCACACATCCCGGGTCCCAGCTCGCAGATCCACTTTCTTCGAGCAGGCATGTCCAGTCATTCGCACCCTGATTGAACAGGACCCGTTCCAGACTGGTCCTGTGTTGCGATGCAAGCTCGAGTCCATCCTCCAGAGGAAAGTATCACTCTCACTCTGCCACACTGCCATCCACCGAGCAGGTCTCTCTCACAAGAGAGCCACACACCTCTACAAGTCCAAGCGACTGGATGAGCGAGTGGCACAGTTCAGGGACGAGACCCGTTCCATCGACCCACGACGATTCGTTTTTGTCGATGAGACAGGGATCAGGAGATCCATTTTCCCTCTCTACGGATACTCACCGAAGGGTGCTCCGCTTCGCCAGCGCAATCACATGAAACACAAGTCTGTCTCGGCTGCATTTGCAATCAACCACTCTGGTGTGCTGCATCGCATGTACATCCCCACATCATTCAAGACACACTCGATGGTCGAGTTCTTTGAGCGAGCGAGCTTCCCAGACGACTCTGTGATTGTGATGGACGATGTCAGCATGCACAAGACAATGCCTGTCCTGTACTGCATCGATCGCCGAGGGTGGTCAGTGATCTTCACCCCACCTGCTTCACCCGACTACAATCCCATCGAGAACTTCTTTGGGGTTGAGTCCCCACCGATTTGGGGTTGAGTTCCTCCAATTTGGGGTTGAGTCCCTCCAATCACTCCGCCATTTTCGCGCTCAAATCCCTGGCTTGAACCTCTCGGCGATTTTTGAACAGGGTCACTTCCCCAACCAGCCCGCGCAGACGGGCTCCTGCTCTCGGGTATAAATGCCACACCTTCGTCCTGCTGCTTTCTTCCCTCATCTCGCCTTGATCTGATCATCGCGCTATTGTACGATAAAAAAAGTCTCTGCTCTGGCCAGTACCACTGGCAGACATCCAGCATCCTCTGCCCCCATGCCTCCGAAGCGTAAGGGTACCGGTGATGGCCAGCCTCGGCCACCCAGGCCCAAGAAAGCCAAGTCACAGTCGGAGCCTGTCTCTGGTTCGTATTCTGACCCCACACATGCTTGGTCGTCTGTTGCTCCGTCGCTCACCACCACTGCTTCTGCAGATCCAATGGATGTCGATCCCACCGAGCCTGGTCCATCTACTTCCTCGAGTACCGGCAAGCGATGTCGCCAGTGCGACGGTACCGATCACGAACGTTGCAACACCAGCAAATGTCCCAAATACCGGCCCCTCAAGAGTTCTGTCGTCCCACTCGTGGATGGAAGGTCATCCGCCCCTCAGTTCGGCTGCTTCAAGCAGACGATGGATGGCTGTTGTCTCAATCCCGCTCTCCGCGACAAGACCCAGGCCACCGTCGAGGCCATGACCCAGATCCAGTTCGAGGCATCCAGGCTGCTCAACCTGCATATCCTCCGGTGCATCGAGCAGGATCTTCCCATCCCCGTCATCTCCAAGTCCACCCCTGCTTTCGTTCGCCAATGCTTCACGATTGTCGAGGCCGGTGCCCTCTCGCCGACCGGGGACAATGAGAAATACAACGAGCATCTGGTCGCTTCCTTTCGCGACTATCAGACCACTCGGCACGCAGACCTGCCTCCGGCCCCTCGTCTGCCTGATGGTGCTCACAGTCAGCTTCTCACACTGGCTGTCAATGCCTATGCCACCAACTGCACCACCCACCTCGACCTGGCCTACTGGCGACTCCTTCGCCGCTTCTGCGCTGCCGTCTTCCCAGCCAACAAGCACAAGCATGAAGCCATCGAGGTCTGTCTCGAGCTCTTCGAGAAACCAGGGCAGACTCCACCCAAGGCCGATCTCGAGTTCCTCTACCCCGACTTTGGTCACATCCTGGACGAGTTTCGGTACAGCAACGACCAGGACCGCTTCCGGGCCCTCCACCGCCTCTCACACCATGTGGGAATCCTCGCCCGAGACAAGATGGTCGACAATGTCCACAAGTGGATCGACTGTGACATGCCCGCCCTCCGAGTCACCGAGCTGCAGCGCCAGGCCAAGCTGGACAAGCTCACTACCCAAGGCATTCCCTCCGACGACAAGAGGCTCACCACGGCCAAGTCTGAGCTCGGCACCACCAAGTCCAAGATCAACAAGCTGGCCGCCAGGATCAACTGGGCACTCAAGCAGCTCGCTCTGGACACTCCTCCGGCCGTGTGCACGATAGTTCCTCTATGCACTGCAAGGGCCAAGTATGTCAAGATTGACACGGCTACTCTTTGGAATCTCCTGGGTCCAAAGAAGCGCCTTGGACTCACCAGGGACAAGCTCAAGGAAGAAGGTGATGACGGCATCAACAACCAGGATCGTCTCTGGCGCAGTTGCTTCAAGCTGCGTAGTTCCCTCTTCCAAGAGCGGGACGTGAACAAGAAGCTGTTCAACTACGAGATCAGCACCGATGGCATTGGATGCACCATCGGTCTCGTCAAGTTTCTGCCTCGAACCGATCACACCGAGACCATCGAGCCTCCTCCGACTGCCGAGCAGCGCATCCAGGCCCACATCGGCGACCCAGACCCCGGTCGCACCACTTGGATTGGCATCGATCCTGGAGTCGGCTCCATCTTCACGGCGGTCATCCAAGCACCGGGCCACCAAGACGAGGTGGTCTCATTCTCCAATGGCCACTACCAGCAAATGTGTGGCCATACGTCCAACACCAAGTGGCACAACACCATGAAGTATCGACTCAGCATCGAGACCTGGATGTCGTCCACCCCCTCGCCCAAGGTGTCGTCCTCGGAGGCTTTCAAGGTCCATCTCACCCATGTCCTGCGACCGGAGCTGCGAGTGCAGCTCGACTTCCGCCTTGGCAAGAAGACTCGTCACCATCGCTTCATGGGCCACAAGAGGCGCCAAGTGGCCGTCGACAGGATGTGCAAGGCCGTCCTGAAGCACGCCCCGATACGGACCGATGTGGTGATCGCCTTTGGCAATGCGTCATGGCGGCAAGGCAAGGGCTATGCATCCAGCCCTCGGAGGCAGCGATTTGCTCGGTACTTTGAGCAATTCGAGCACCACCGCCGCCGTCCCAATCACCCTCATGGAAGTGTCAAGGTGGCCTCGACGAACGAGTTCAACACCTCGCAAGTGTGCTCCAAGTGCCTGGAGCCGGTTCGGTTGGAAGGACTCGATGCGCCCAGTGTTGCGAATTCCCACTTTGTCAGGAGCTGCAAGAATCCCAGCTGCCGGACAGTGTGGAATCGCGACGTCAATGCGGCGCGCAACATGATCACAGTGTGCAGGTCGATTGTGGAGATCGGAGAGCGACCGGCGGTTTTCACTCGGAGGCTGCCAAAGTGATCTGTTTTATTTCTTGTGGCTTTGCTTGACGCAAGCACAGCACATACTACATGTTCATGGAAACGGCTATATTGTCCCGTTTTTTTCTGAATAAAGTGTACCATACCAAAGCGGGAGAACACGTGTATTCATGGGCCTCGAATGCGCTCCTGATCATCCATATCAAGCTGTTCTGGCTCAGGAATCCGTATTCAAAACAAACCTCGACCGCGATACACTCGCCAAGGGTCTACAGCAAAGTCCATACGCCAACGTTCTCACAAGAACATCACTCGAGCAATCGGATAAGCGCCCAGAGCCCTCGTGCCCCAATCTCGCCGTCCTCTTCAATGTACCCTTTGGCGACGTCGTCGGCCGCGGACGCTGCATCGTTCTGCCGACTCGCAGGCTTGGGCGTGGGCTTGGACTCTGGAACTGCTCCAGTGGCCTGGAGAACAGGCTCCTCCCGTCCCGTGTCGAGATTGACGCCGAGCTTCTCCCGCACCGCCGTGCGAATCTCGCCAGCAAACACTTTCGAGAGGACTTCGGCGCGGATCAGGATCGACTCCAGGTCGATTTTGTTGGAGAGATCGTTGATGAACTGGTCGCGGGGCAAGTGTCGGCGCGGATGAAGTGGACCATGAGCATCCATGAACATCTCTTGCAGACCAGCGGTCCATGCGCAGGTGCACCAATTGTTGCCGGATACAACCCCCCGATTTGCAGGCGAGATCGTGCCCTCCTCGCTACTCCCAACGACGCCCTTACCTTCAGGATCTCGTCGAATGCCTTGCACCGCATCAGGTCGTGGCGGTACATGTTGAGGATCGCCAAAGCGATAAACAGATGGTAGTGCTTGGACTGCGTGGAGGACCACAGCGTCTGGAGGGCAAGCCGTCGAGCCAATTCAGAATCGACCGTGCCCAAAGCTTCATGCGTCAAGCAGGGCGGGCGGATCCCATGTCCGCTCCAAGCGACTCCTTGCCATTGCCGGCACTACGACACTACGACCGGGGACATGATGCTCACCTCCCAGAGCCTCATAATGTCACGGAACTTGAATTCGCGTTTAAATACCACCAGGAGCCACCGAAAGCAGCAGAACATGTTGGTCGAGTCGGTGGTTTCTGGAGATGAGCAGCAACAAGGCAAGCCCAGACAAGAAGACAAATAGAGCAAGATAGGAGTGAAGTCAGATTGAGATCCAAGACACCCCCCCCCTCCTGGCATTTGCGGCTCCTCTCTTCCATCCTTCGCTCCAAGCCGTCAAGGCCGCAGTACTTCTGAGGGCGCCCTGGCGACACCAACAACTCCAATATCGTACCGAGATGTGCATACAGCGGCGCATCCATGAACTTGATCAAGACCTCGAGGAGCAGGAGCTGCTCACGCATGCCGCTCTGGTCTCGATTGAAATTGGATTTCTGTTGGGCCAAAGTGATGATTCCGTGAGCCAATGTATCGAGTTCAGCCGCCATCGCGCAACAAGCCATATATCGGATGAACCGAGCCAGCCGAGCCAGCCGAGTCTGTGCCAAACACGTAGCGGCCAATTGCGTGGTGATTGCTGTCCACCCACGCAAGCGAACAGCGTGGCCGTGCAGATACTACCTTCTGCTCCATCAGACCAACAAAGCACCAGAATGCGTCGACTTCGTTGCGCATGACTGCCAAGATTGGTGCAAGCAGGTCGTTCATGCCCTGGACATAGCCTGCCATCCGGCACGGACGGTATCTCGCATCAGAAACGACGCATCATATCTCAGGCTGTCACAAGGGACCAGCCGCCGCATCCAGTCGCCGCCGCCACGCCTTGCATCACCCTGCGCAAGCGAGCCTCTCTGCACACCTACCCAGCTCATAGTTGTACATGGTGTAGGTGACGAGGACATCTCGCAGCATCTCCAGGTTCTTGGGCATTATCTTGGCCCCGTCGGCCGACGGCTGGTTCATAAACTCGCTGATCGGATTCGGACGGTCGCTCTTGAGCCGGATGAAGCTTTGTCGGCCCGGTGCGATTCCGGGCAGCTCTTCGGCAAAGAATGGCTCGGCGCGGTCGGTTCGCACCACATCCTTCTCTGTGTTGTGCGATCATCAGAGGACAGTGAGCCAACCGCTGGTGGGCAGCACCAATGAAGATCGGCACAGATCGCCAAGGCGAGAGCGAGAAACCCGTCTCGAGATGCGGAGCTGGGAGGGCAGCATCATATCGACCGCCTCGACGAAACACAAAAACGGTAAAGTGGCTCGAACACCTGCTCCCATGGATTTGTCCAGCCGCCCTTACCGATGCGATACTTGCGCTCCCTGATCTTGGAGACCACATCTCCGTCTTCCTGCTCGTCTCCGGCAACGGAGTTCGGGTCTTCGGAGTTGCTGGTTTGCTTGCCCGTCTGAGCGCCGGTCGGGTTGTTGGACTCTGCCTCGGCAAGAATCGTCTTCCACTGCTGCTTCATGGCGGCGTAGTCATTTCTGGATACGCGAGAGGGCACGGTTACGTCTCCGGCACGATGAGGACGGCTCTGGCTCGATTGACACGAGCCCAATCCAGAGATCCGACACGGCTGCCATCGCGATTCGCCCAGGACATCACCAAGATATGCTAAGATCTGTCGTCATTGGCCATCTATCGCGGACTCGAATGCAGTATCCGATGCCCGCACATCAGCAGCACTTACTTTTTCTGCTCACTGATCAGAATCCGCTCCTTCTCGGTCGAGTCCCACGGGTACATCCCGAGAAGGAACCGCCAAACGTCGCATCGAATATCGTTCTCGATGCCCTGGCGGCGAGTTGGAATTCCAATCCGCGGAATCAGCGATGGGGCCGCTCAATCCCTTCGCCCCAGAGTCACATGGACTCTGCTCTGCTGGGATGCTGTTATTGTTTGTGCGCAACACTTACCCCTTGAAAAATCGACTTTTGGATTTCTTTCGCCGATCCCATCAGCTGCCCCTTTTCGTTGTAGAGCGCAATCCAGTACTCTGCGGTCATCTCGACCCCCGAGCGCTCATGGACATAGTCGTGCTGGATGAGGGAGGAGCCGTCAAACAAATCACCAGAATGGGCGATTAGACTTGCATGAGCCACCGGCGTTGCGTCGAGTCCACGATAGTGCAATCGACTCGCTATATATGGCCTCTGAATCATTAGCACATGCGGCAACTGACGAAAGCCCAGACGATGGTAGAAGATGCGCTGGCAGTGCTTACCGACAGGGCTTCGAAGCTGCGGGTGGTGTCCAGTGGCGCATCGACGGGCAGTGCCTGACCACTCAAGGGTGGCTTCGCCGAGTGTCTGCGGGTGATCTTATCCTGCACTTCGTGGGCCCACCGGGCAAAGTAGTGGGCTGCCGAGTCGTACTCCTCGAGCAACATCTCGGCCTCGGCTGAGGAGAGAAAGTATGACCGGAGCTGGGGCGGGATCGACGTCAAGAATGGACGGGCCAGAGGGTGCTCCAGCACTTGGGCTGGCAGGATACAGACAAGTCACAGGACAGTGTCAGCCCAATGTCGGCAGGTCCACAGGTCCACAGGTCCATATCCGACAATCGAGACAGATTCGCCGCAATCGCCAGAGTGGTCAATGGCCCAGGCTTACCGCGCGTGTCTCTGTAGAGCTGCGTGACCTTGGAGAATCGCTCGAGGATGTCCCAGCCCACGTCCTCGATTTTCTGGCAAGGAATTCCATGGTCATGACGTCAGACACAGCGAGGCCAGGGTGCCCTATGCGCCACCAGCCTGAACCGCCCCTGTTGATGAGGAACAGAAGCTGCAGTCGAACGACCTGCCGCCACACGATGCTGCATGGCGTCCCAAGACACCGTTAGGCCCAACCGGCACTGCAAGCTCACATTGGCGATGGGCTCGCCGACGATTCCAGAGACGACCCCGAGCGACAGCGCCCCGAGTTTGTAGAGTGTCGAGTCTTGGGAGAGATTGAGAGGAACCCGCCCGTCTTTTGTGATGGGATATGGAATCAGCACAATCTTCTGGGACATGTTTGGGTTCTCGGACTCGACCCTGCCATAGCAAAGGGATATGTGTCATGACCCGGATACACCCAATTGCACCGCTGAGCCGCAATCGACAAACCGATGCTGCATTGGACGGAATGTCGCTCGATGCTCGCTCGGCGGAGTGACAGTGCGCTGGATACAAGTCCACGGTAGCGCTCTCAATCGACACAACATAGGCAGCGGCTGACTGTGCCCGGGGATCTGCATCGGGCACAGGGGGTTCTATAGGACTTGGTCTTACCTCGCGAGCTGGATGCCGGCAGGCAGGAACCAGGCCCGCAGCTCCTTCTCGACCTCCTCAAGAGGCATGATCTTGCCGGCCTCATCGGGGTCAATCCAGAGCTCCGGTAGCAGCGCCTCGATTGTGTTCTGGCTCTTGGCATCGACCGAGCCCGGGGGCGACTTGAGGTCCGATGTGGGCTTGGGGTTGGCGATCGAGAGGTGGATGCTGAGCTTGGGCAGGCATATACTGTCGCCATCGTCGGCAAGAGTCAAGCCGTTCTCCAGAATGATGGAATGGATGTCTGCCACCGGGGTGAAGATGGCTTCGGTCACCACAACACTGGTGACCTCCGAGGCTGGCTGGGTCGTGCTCTGCCCGGGCGAGAGGAACTTGAATGGGAAGCTGGTCGCGATGCCACCGGGTCCGGACTTTGAGCCGACGCCAAGATCTGACCCGGGGCTCGAGACGGACGAGAATGACGGCGACTTTTGCAGCAGAGTGCCCTCGAGTCGTGCTGCGGGATCGGTTGCGGCCGGATATGAGCAACGAGGAGGATGAGGATCGGTGGCCGACAAGAGCGCCAAATCCCCAGGATAACGAAGGCAGAATCGCTCAGTACTTGCTGGGTGACGATGCCGCAGATGCTCTTCAGCCACCAGTGTCGAACGGCCGAGAGTCTTGCCCTGTCTGTCCTGCCCTATCCTGCCCTGTCCTGCTCGCAATCCTCATACCCCAGGCGGACGCTCTGGCAAGACTCTACCTTTGCGGGTTCGGGACGCCACCTCGCGGTAGATTTGAATATCCTGCGTTGGGATGTTGCCTTTGGGGATCCAGAGGAAGATGGGTGTCGGCGAATCGGACTGGAGAAGAGCCACAGACGGCGTGCCCAGATCGCATTAGCGGCCACATCTAAGCCAAAGCCCAGAAGATGCCCCGAGGGAAAATGCGCACTCCTGATGATGGGCTGGAGGGCCCAGCAGGGGCGAAGATGCAGATCCAGGGCACAAAGCGCTGTCGCTAAAATGGTACGCTGGCTGCTGTCCAGCCCATGCTCTTGCTGCAACGAGAGGATGTTGGCCTCGGCTGGACATGGACGGATTCTACCTGCTGCTCGGCCAGGGACAGGAAGCCAAGCATCACATCGTCCTCGCCGGCTCGGATAGATACATTGCTCTTGACAAACTTCAAAATGGCCCGGACGTCTTCGGTCTTGGACATGGCGTGCGGTGGACGGCCGGATGGATGCAGATGTCGGTTGTCGGAGAGGGGGGGAGGAGCTGGGGGGGTGTCCAGCGTTGGTCGCAGAGCGCCTGGATCAGCACAGAGGCGAGCGGCAAGGGTGGGCCGGTCCAGGCCGGTCTTGGCTCCAGGGCTTGGCGCCTCCTTGGCATCCGCGCGAATGTGCTGGGGGGTTTCCCAGAGCATGCCAGCGGGATGCATCCTCGATGACGAGCACGCCCAGGTGAGATCGCCGCCCGGCCATCCAGGAGCACTCTGCCTTTCGAGAGTCGGGGAAGCGACGGGCAATCGAAGGACGTATATTCCATGTGTTCACGAAATGGAACGCCGCCGTTTCATTTGTGCACTTGCATATGGCTCCTGCCAGGAACTCCCATATGCTCCTGCCAGGGCCATTGTGCCCTATTCCTCGGGGTCTGGTGTCTCGTCGGTCGCAAGCAGATCGGCATGTGCCCGGCACTGCGATTCGAGCTCCTCGACGTTGACGAAGAGCGAGACCAGCCAAGCCAGGCCAAGAACTGCCGCCATCAAAAACAGCCACAGGTTCGGCATCCACGAGACTGTTTCCCTGTAGATAGGCTTGAAGACCACGTTGGAAACCAGGATGGCGAGCTGAATGAGAATCTCCATTTGCGCAAACAACGACCCTTGGCGGCTTTGCGAGTTGACCTGGGACAGGATCGAGCGCAAGATCGGGGCAGCGACGATGCCAAAGCCATCGAGGATGCTGACTGTGAACCATGTCACCCGAAGGGATCCGGCCACATGAGAAGAGAGAGAGGAGCATTCCACAGCGAAGCGATACGGTGGAAGTCGGTTGGGCGAATGAGGCACGAGTTGTCCGATAAGTGTTGGAGTAATGCAATTATGCGATGAAGTCGGTACCGCTGCATTAGTACCGGGTTGCAACATGGAAAGTCGGAGTCGTTGACGGAGTGCCATTCCATACCACGCCCGCCGGCTGAGACGACGCAGGCCTCCATGACATGTGTTCGACAGCCTCACCTGTATAAAACACCCAGCTTGTTTCAGCGAGCGCAAAGCCGATGAATCCGGCGCCGTAGATCAGGACTGCAATCCGAGCCAGGTTCAGTTCGACAGATAGTCGCTTCAGTCGATCCTGGGTCGTCAAACGTGCCTCGGACGATGTTCCCAAACGCAGACCGGCGCCGCCGAAGCGGAGAGCCAGCGGAAGCATCAAGCCAATGTAAAAGATCTTGCTGAAGCCGTTGATCATGTTGAACTTGCCGTTCTCGAAAGCGTCCCATCCAAACTTGAAGGCCGTGTACAGGTAGAACAGCGAGTACGGCGATGTCATGTAGACCAGAAAAAAGACCGAGGCGAGAATCCAACCTTCACGAGAGATATTCACGGACAGCGGCGTCCTTGGTTCGCTGGCCCTGCGTGGGCTGTCGTCGTGAGAGCCAGCAGCGGTCTCTGTGCCGGGATGCTGGCTGGGGTCGCTGCCGACGGAGGACCATCCCTTGGACTCTGGCAAGACCAGAAGTATATAGGAAAAGACAAGTACGTCGAGACAAGCTGCCGCATAGAACGGAAAGACGGCGTCGCTGGCCATCTGGCGCATGGCAGCGACGAGATAGGAGTTGGTCCAGAGCACGATATCGAGGCGAATCGCAGACCAGCGCTATTTGAGGGCTCTCTCGCTCGGCCCGGCCACCTACCCGAATAATCCATCCGCCAACTACAGGCGCAAAGGTGATTGCGGCCCACGTCGCGGCCTGGAAGTATCCAAAGGCCTCGGTCCGGGTCGATGATTTGTAGACATCGGTGAGATAGACCATCATGGTCATGCCCATGGCGCTCTTTCCTCCGAGCAGTCCCTCGGCGACATGGGCGATGGCAAGCGAGGACATGGGCAGGCCGAAATGGCCGACTGCAATGATCGTCAGCAGATTCAGCAGCGATCCCAGCATGCCAGAGATCATGATGGACTTGCGGCCCCAGCGGTCCGACAGAAACCCGATCAGCGGCAGCATGACCAGCGAGGGAATCGAGAGCGACAGGTCGAGCACGAGCATCCATGAGGACGTAAGCGCCTGCACAGAAAGTCAGGACCGATAACCGCATGGACAGAAGCAGCGTTAGCAAACTTGGCCACGCCAGCAATCCAGCCATAGAAGTGGAAGCGATTGATGCGGTTGGCTAAAACTGCGAGGTAGGGAGGGCATCGAACCTGCACGTTCGCATCCTCCCGACACCTGGCGAATTCGGGCAGGGTGCCCCCGGGCTCGGCGCCGAGCAGCAGCTTGCAGCTCAACAGAAGCACCAGCTGGTCATAAGGCGTTTTGGAAAGGTGGTTTGCAAAAGTGTGCAGGACGAGCGGCGGGGCCAGCACCCACAGCGACGGCGGTGGCCGGCGCCAGGACCGGGGCGATGGGGACGCTGGCCGCAGCAGCGGGGACGATTCGGAGGGACCGGGGGGCCGCATGGCAGCGGTGCGGGAGGACTCGGGCAGATCAGATTGCCTCTTGGGCAAGACGAGGCCGGGGGGAGAAGGCGATTTCGAATCTCACGGACTGTGCCGCGCGGCAGCCGAGACGAGCGAGCGAGCAACAACTCTGTGCGACCGACGCAAGGGCGAGCCGGGTTTCTGGAATTCGACGCAGATCGGTCCTTGGAGAGCATGTCTTGGGGAGAGTGACTTGGAGAGTCTTGGAGAGTGTCTTGGAGAGTGTCTTGGACTCTTTGAAACCGGGACAGGGACTCGGCCTGGCGGACATCGAGTTGGATCGCAAGTGCATCCGGCGCACCAGGCCCACGGCCTTGGCTGTCCTGCCCATGTATGGATCCAACAGCAGCCCCGAACGACCCCAACGACGGCGGTGCGGTGGGGGGAAAGTCGAACCACAGCCACCGCCGATGGGGAATCGGCTTGCACCCGCCCGGTCTCTGTCCGTCCTGTCCCCCATCTCGTCCGCCTCGGCCGCCCGTTCATCGACCTGTTCATCGACCTGTCCACCGACCTGTCCACCAACCCCGCCAGCCATGTCCAGCGAACTGCCCCGCCCCAAGGTCACCCGCGAGAACTCGATCCGGATCACGCTGTGCCAGGACATTTTCAACGAAATCGCCAACCTGTGAGCCATTGAGCTGCATCGAGCTGCATCGAGCTACATCGGGCTGCATCGAGCCTCGCCGAGCTGTCCTCGCCACCCTCCTCATCGTCCTCCTTGTTCGCCCGCTGCTCCTCTTCCTCACTGTGCCCGACAGGATCGGCCCCATCGCCCGGCGTCTGGCCCTTGACACCAAGATCGAAGAGCAGCATATCACAAAGGATGTGCCGCTGCTTGGCAAGGCAGCGTTCGCCACGGCTTCGAACGTCTCCATCGCGCAGTTTGATATCGAAAAGGTGCTGCTGCTGATTGAGGATGGCTTCCTCAGCGTCGTCATCGACGATGTCGATGCCCAAATCCACCTGGACCTCAACACCATCGGCGGCAACCTGGGCCGTGTCGAAGTGACCCTGGAGCTCTCCATCACCGCCAAGGTTCGGCTGAACGAGGTCGAGGGCAAGCTCAAGACCGATGTGTATGGTACGGACCCTCCTTCTGCAGGCACCGAATGCAGCCTCAGGGCGGATGCGGGTCGAGCTTAACACTGCCCTGCTGCCATGTCCAACTCTTTGGCACAACCAGACGTCAAGGTCAAGATCTCCAAGTTCGACAACAAGATCGGAACCGGATACTCGGGCAAGCTTCTGTCGTCCGTGCTGGAGCTGCTGGAGGTGATGCTCAAGGGCCTCGTGCAGTCGGCTCTGTCGCAGCCCATCGACGATGCCCTGACCGGCGGGCTCGACTCGGTCCTTGGCCGCGACTGGGATGTCACCGGCAACGTCTCGTCTATCTTTTACCGGCTCAACGTCGATTTTATGGGCAACCCGACGATCTCCAAGGCCAACGGCGTCGAGCTGCTCCTGGCCATTGACAGCTTCGTGAAGGACAAGAGTGCCCAAGAAGCAGCGGCCGGAGCCAAGGAGCAGTAGTGCCGCATCGCAAGCCCCATCCGTCCTCCATGCTGTCGTCATTCAGGAGTGGTCTGTGCGGTGAGTCGGGAGCTGCATGTCGACCAATGCGGTCTTTGGTCCGGCTCTGACCGCCATCGAATATACCGAACCCCTATCCGATAGCGAACGTGCGCCCGGGATCGGCGGCCGTCGTCAATGAGTTTGATGAGTGTCGATGAGTGTCGATGAGTGTCGATGAGTGCCGATGAGTGTGGATGTGCTTGGGCCGACCAGGCCAACCAGACCGTCGTTGCTGCCGTTGGGCGATTTCCAGCCATGTCTCGGCCTGCTTGTTTCGGCCTGCCAAGAAATGTGCTCGGCCTCAAATACCGCCGTCGTTCCCCTTTCTTGTTTCCTCGACAACCAACCAACTCCTCTCCCTCCTCCTCGCCGACCAACCCGCTTTGGCCACCCATCTTCAGCAATGGACCCGCAGCAGGTCGATCTCCTGGTCTCGCACTACCACTCCATCCAGCAGTCGGTCTTGATTCACACCGATCCCCCCATCGCCAACAGGGACAATGCCCAGCCGGCCGGGTCGTCCTCAGATCAACCCCTTGCGGCCCAGACCGGCCCGCATCCCGAGCACAGCACCATCCATCTGCCCAGCCTGATTTCGCTGCTCCACACCATCCAGTCCTCCCAGCCGGAGCTTGGCTCGGACATTGACCGCATCCTGCGAGAAATCGATGCGGGTAACTACACCGAGGTTCTATCGCTGCTCTCTCGTCTCCTGCACGGATCGTGCGGGGTCGCCATCGAAAAGTCAGTCGGCTCCATCGAACAGCACGAACCGGCCGGGCTGGCCGACCCGCCGGAAGGCCCAGTGCAGGAGGACTCCACCGATACCGGCAGCCGACGGCGGGTACGCTTCCTCAATTCGGCGGGATTCATGAACATTGAGATGAACAGCGCCTCACCGACACCGCCGCCAAGTGCATCCGAATCGCTCAGAAGTGTCGGCAGCAGTAGCACTGGCAGCTCGGCGACGCTCAGCAACAACAGGCCGCCATCTCTGCAAAGCGACGCTTGGTCCGGATCGTGTGCCACTGCCCATCCCAACGACCCCCCGCAGTACTCGGCCTCGGCCCAGTTCGACAAGAGCGCCTACATTGCCGGTCGAAAACAGCGCCGCAACCAGCGAACCGCAGAGAAGATCAAGGCAAGCCAGTCGTCCTCGCTCGTGTGGAAAATCGAGCGCGAAGGGTCGGACGACGAATCGGCAGGTGGGTCCATCGTTGCATGCATCGAGCCAGGGTCGGTGCAAGCCGAGGCGATAGATGAATGGTTGTATGGATGAATGGATGTGGGCGAAAGGGATGGTATGAATGCGAGCTGAGGCGATGGGCACAAGACGAGCCGAATGGGCCGAATGGAAATGCAGATGCATGTGTCCAATGGCCCCAGAAAGGCTTGCTCTTTCTCGGTGGCATCCGCGGCGGACCGCTTGTCCATGATGAATCGTCCATTCAGCTTGCCCATATTGAAATACCCTATTCGACTCTATCGATGCTGAATCGCCCATGCCCAGCCCCAAGCATTTCGCTCTCGTACCAGCCTCCCGAGTGGATGCGCCAGCAAACGCAACCGCCGCCGTACTCCCTTGAAGACGAAAAGCGAATGCAGCTCCCTGATTCATGTCTCAAGGCCTCGCTCCAGAGCGACTCGGATCCGATCGAGACCGAGACCGAGACCGAGACCGAGATTCAGCCCAGAGAATATCCCAACCGCAGGTCGTCCATGATGGTGCAGAATTTGCAGACGGCGCCGCTGCGCGACTCAAATGCCGATCTCACGGCCATTCTCGAGCGTAAGTATGGATGCTCTGGAGCTTGCCAGGAGCACGATGAGAGCGGGGCCATGCGCATCCAAGTTGAGTTACTTGCTCGAAATGGGCGCAGATGCGCTGGTTACTAACACTGCATATCCGAACGACACCCGTCCACGGGGTCGCATCGACACTCTACCGTGGCTCCATCTGTTTCATTTCCATGGGTATTTCCATGGGTATTTTCAAATCTCAACCATCCACTGACGCCCCATTCTGCATCCGGACACTCCACCTGATGGGGGGGGACTCGAACATTTATCCGACAAACGCCTGTGACCGATCCGGTGATATCGGCATATTTGTTCGCCTTGCAACTGGCGTCGGCGAAATTGCAGGCTCGGCGACGCAGGGTTTGACTCGAGAGGCGAGCTTGCTCTCGCATGCCAGTCTGCGGTCGCGCATGGTGGACTCGACAGCTTCGTCCGTGCCCAGCATGTCATGGTTTCCTTCGCCGCCTGCGTTTGTGGTTCCCGATGCGAACGAGTCCGGCCGGGAGCAGCCGTAGACCCAGAGCGTCACGGCGACATCAAATGTGAACAATATATTTTTGGCGCAGCCACAGTTCGGTACCTCCCACTGGACAGCATATCGGACCCAGCCAGCGATTAGGCCGATAGTTGCGATTCGATGGGAGGAAGGGAGAGCGGGGGGCCGATGGGCAGGGTAGAATAAAACACAAATTATCGGACAGAGCATACATCGCAGGGCGAGGGCACGGGAACCAGTAGCAACGAACCGGGGAAGCGAAAGGGCCAGATCAATTGTCGGGGCTAAATCATCGGAGCCACATGGTTCCCTTCCAAGGGATAACCATCATGACTCAGGACGACACGGTTCCGAATGCAAATCCAGCAAGATAGGTGCCGCCCATGGCAATGCCGCCGCCGATGGTGACTCGCAGGGCACCCTTCCAGAGCGGGGCACCGCCGAGGTAGGATCCGGCGGCACCAAAAACAAACAGGAAGATGAGATTGACAATGACAAGAAGCACAATCCGGAGCAGGAACGTCTTGGCAAAGATAACAACCAGCAGCGGCATCACTGCTCCGACAGAGAAGGTCAGGAGCGAGGTCACGGCGGCCTGGAAGGGATTGGTGAGGTCGTCGACGTCGATGCCGAGCTCGTCGCGGGCGTGGGTAGCAACGGGGTCGTTCTTGGAGAGCTCGATGGCGACGGTCTTGGCGAGCTCGCGATCGAGGCCGCGGCTCATGTAGATGCGGGTGAGTTCCTCGAGCTCCTTGCGCCGCTGCTCCGGGCCGCCTTCGTGAGCGAGGCGCTCGAGCCGCAGATCGGCCAGCTCCGAGTCCTTTTGGGAAGCGACCGAGACATACTCGCCGAGAGCCATCGACAGGGCGCCGGCGATGAGAGCAGAAAGACCCGCCAGAACGACAGGGTCGGGGCCGAGGAAGGTGGGTCTGTTGGAGGTGCCGGCAGCGACAACGCCGATGAGCAGGGCACCGACCGAGACGAGCCCGTCGTTCGCACCCAGGACAGCGGCACGCAGCCAGGGGCTTCGGTGCGAGTAGTGGTGGTGGTCGAGGCCAAGAGGGCCTTCGACAGACTTGATGGACTCGCTCTCGGCCTTGACGTCGGCGAGGTGGGTGCTGGTCGAGGCGTCGAGGTTGATGATGTGGGTGTCGGTCGAGGCATTGAGGTCGGCGAAGGCTGATGCTTCGGGATGGGACATGGCGGCAGAGAAGCGATTCGGAGAAGAAGAGACGGTTGAGAAGGAAGATGGGGAGCCAAGGCAGGAATTGCGCCAAGAGAGGGAGACGACGACGGACGGATCGAAGCCAGTCGGGACGGGTAAATACGAGAGGCACACGGCGACGGCATTGGCCGGACGCGGATGCGCAGCAGCGACATGTGGCGCTTGGGGCCGGGACCAATCACAGGGCGCGAGATGATCCACGTTCCGTTGGTGCCACTTCGGAGGGGGGTGTCTGGCCAATCGCATGAGCCCTGGTCCCACCCAGAACAGCCGCATTGGTCAGCCGCTGTTGGCGGCGCCTTGTCCGGCTGGTTGTGGTTCTGGAGTGGTTCGCTTGTGGCAGTGCGAATCGGGAGCCGCGTCGGGGAAACACGATGCGAATAGTGATGGCGGTGCAAGCCGTGATAGCGCGAATAGTGATAGCGCGAATGGTGGGAGTGTCAATCGTGATAATGGTGGGAGCGCGAATCGTGATGATGGCAGTGCGGCTGCAATCCCTGCTGGCCCTCGAGTATTGGGCCAGTGCGCTGTTTGTCGTCCGATTGTGGGGTTGAGCAACGCAGGTGGGTTTGGCGGGAAATTGCAGTTATGCCAAGAAGTGGCTCAGCTCCAAGCCCGCGCTTGCGGGTCTCCTGATCCTCCACTGCCCCATCCCCGCCAATGTCGTCGGATCCATGTGGGCTGTTGCGCTTCAGTGACCAGCAAAGTGCTGTTCTGACCCGTCATGTCGACCACTGAGGCGGTGGCTCGTGGGAAAGGAGGCAGTGGTGGGATGGCGAAGGGGGGCAATCCAAACACACGTCCGGGCGGGAAATGGCGCCGAGCAGAAATGGAGCGAAGCGATGGCCCGGGCAGTCAGAGGCAGTGCACCGCGACCCCATAAAAGCCCGATATGGCATTCGCAGGGAAGCAGTCGGTATCAGAGAAAGACCCCTTGCCTGTTCCATTTGGCCCAGCCCCACCTCCAAACTCCATTCGCTCGACCCCCCCTCCTACCGTTGCTTTCTCGACGTCATGAGACTCCCCGCTGTGCTCTCGCTCGTCGCCATAGTGACCACTCTGACTCTTGCAGCCCCCAGCAAGCACCAGCCCGCAAATATCCTCGAAATTGTGTGGGACGACGAGATCGTTCCGGCTTTGATTCCAATCTTTGGTATGGAATGCACCGACCAACTGACCCGTACGGTCTGGACAACCATCAAGGTGAGTTACGGGTATTCGTGGGCCGTGCTGTGGGAATCCGCCATCCGTCTCACAGCCATAACGTTGATATTGACCAGCAAAACGTCATTCCCCCCCCCTCCGCCTGTCGTGTCCATGGGTTGCATAGGATTGCAACGTCAGCCAGAAAGCCCTCGGCGATCTGGTGGTCGAGGCATCCACCACCATGGTGTATGACAAGCAAATCGTCAGCGATCTCGAGAGCAAGCTCAACATGATCGTTATCAACTTCAACGGCCAGCTCTGCAAGAATGCAACCTGCTACAACGGCATCAAGGATGAGTATATCATGCTCTACAAGAAGGTGGGTCTGCGCGAGCGGTGTGGATGCACCTTCCAGCCAACATTGCTTGATCGGTTCGACCTGGGCGAACAGACTCTGCCGAAGGCTCTATCAGAGTGCTGGCACTCTGTGACCATCCAACAAGGAGTCTGACGAGTCTGTGGCAACACTGATTTGTGCATTCCCATTTCACCCTGTCCATCACATCGATGTCCGCTGGCTGGCATTTCTCTGACGATACCGGTTCATCCACTGACGCTTGTTTATCCACTGACATTGACTCGCCCGCTGGCATCATGCTACTCCAGTGTCCCAAGCTCATCCACAGCTACATGTCCGAGTTTGCCGGCCTCGATCAGTCGGCCTATAACGCCACCATCACCCGTCTGCTCATGCCCGCCACCAACCCCTTGTGCATGCATGACCCAACCACCAACAACTACTGTGGCGTTCAGATCGTCGAGGACATCGAGAAGCTTTGGACGCCCATGATCTGGAACAGCTCCTATCATGTCGACCGACGAGATTTCATTTGCACTAGGCAAGTCACATTCGCGTTGCTGTCCTCCAATACATGTATCCTCAAGGGGCCCACGGCTTGCACACAGGAACGGCTCTCTGTCCGCTCGTCCGACTGACTCTTGCTGCCTCCATCCTGACAGCTGCTACAAAACAGCTGTTGTCAGTCTTGGCAACCAGACCATCACCAACAGCTACAACCAAAAGTGCCCCAACACCACGGCTGCCAACCACTAAGCGCTCCGGCCAGTTTCGGGTGTAGGCCGCAGCGCGAGCGTGCAATGCCTTGGCCAAATTATCATCATTTAGTGTGCAGCGGTTTGAGGACGGGAATGCCTCGGTATCTCGACTAGCCCGGCATCTCGATCAGCCGGTCGTTTCTGCCATTCATCTGCTGCTCTCGCCTCTTTGTACTTGAGATCTGAATATATTGTGCTCTACCGAATCTCACCATGTGGCCGGACACGTGCGGCAGTGTGCTGAGGCAGTGTGCCGAGGCTCCAAGGAGGATTGCGAGCTGCCCATCAGCAAACTCATGGAGAGAGGTGTCCAAAGACGCCATGGGTGCTGATCACTTCGGGGCTCGGTGCCAGACCCTTGGACACATTCAAGGGCTGCGACTCGGCACAACACAGCAGTGCGGAAATAATGATGCGGCGCAGTGTCGTTGTAGAGGATGGATAGGTGTGTATTCGCATCCAAAGAAATCTCTAACGACGGGACATCCCGCTTCTTCCGTTAAACAAGCGAAAAGTGCTTCCAGTAAGTGTCGAACACAAACTGGTATGGGCAGGTGCCGCCGTACTCGACCATCAGCTGCTCTGGGGCGATGTAGCGGGTGAGCGTTGTCGACGACTTGTCGTCTTTGACTTTTTCTTCCACAAAATGGATCTTGGCCTTGGTGACGGGGTCGATAAACGGACTGATCAACTGCGATGGCGATGGAAAGTCAGCAGCAAGCGAGGATTGTTGGTGAAAGCATGGTGCATGGTGCATGGTGCATGGTGCATGGTGCATGGTGCATGGTGCATGGTGCATGGTGCATGGTGCATGGTGCATGGTGCATGGTGCATGGTGCATGGTGCATGGTGCATGGTGCATGGTGCATGGTGTATAGTGAATGGGAGGGCAACAAACAACAAACGGCTATCCGAACGCAGAGTCTGTGGTGGAGCAACACGCGAATCGGGCCGGTCGACGTACGTTCCAAAAGACTGAGAGATACCAGCTGCAGCGAATCGAGAGAGCCGAGTAGAGGCGTTAAAAAGATAGCCCGCGAAGCATCACGATCGTCACCGCACTCATGCACGATTCACATCCTGGAAAGCAACACTGCACCTGGCTTGGACAAAGAAACCCAGACCCAGAGTCTTGATCGCAGGACCGCGACGCAATGGGATTGTGGAGCATTGTTGACCGACGGAGGGCAAGGACAGCGAGTTAGCGATTCACATGTGGCCGAGCCCGCTCGACGCTGAACAAGATTCATCGTGTTGGATGACAGTCTCAAGCAGCCACGAGCTTGCGGAGACGAAAAAGTGGCCGACTGAGGCGAATACTCGAGCGATGCGCAGATCCAGAGACCGGAAACAGCCCAGGGGCATACCTCGGGGTAGTGGTCGCCAAGGATCTGCAGGAACTGTCGCGAGACGCTGAGCGGAACCGAGTTGGACATGCTCATGTTGGCATAGTCGATGATGATGTCGACCTGGGAAACGCCGTGTTCAAACATGCGGGTGGCCTTCTCGAGATTGTAGATGACAAATTTGAGCTGCTCGTCGTAGTTCTTGGAGCCATCGCTGTTGCGGGGAACCAGGAACAGGAGTGGGCGGCCGTTGAGATCGAATCCTGTGGCGAAACAGAGAGCATGAGCAGCGAGCATGATTCGGGCTCATGAATCTGCGACACAGCCCGCATGTGATTGGAGGAAGAGTCCCACTGGCTGACTGGTTTCGCGGGGCCCTGAGTTGGTGCGCCGTTGGCTCCATGGGTGACCTACCGCAGAAGTAGGAGCGTCCACACGCAGCAGCGCCGGCAACATCGCTCGGATCCATGGACTCGGGCTTGCTTTCACGTCTCCACAGAAGGGTGGCTTCCAAGCGGGTCACTGGGCGAGTCACACGAATGCCAGGAGCATGTTAGGGAGAGGGTGGCCGAGGATAGCCGGGGATGGCGAGTGCACAGGCATGCGATACAGAGCACATTCCAGTCAATAAGCCGAGGGCGCATGAATCGCTGGCGATACGCAAGGGCGCGAGCCGGACGGGGATGGGCATGGTGCGGATACGCACGGGAGTAATCAAGGTTGTACTTGGTGGCCCGCATGTACTTGACGATGATCAGATCCGACATCCACTTGGACTCGAGCTCGTGGCGGTCGTTGGTTTCGGGAGAGCCGAGAAGGGCCCTGGCCTTTGCCTTGAAGGCGTCGAATTTGGGGAGTTGGTCGGCGTCGAGGAGCGAGAGCGGCCAGTTTTCAGGGACATCGTGCTTCTGGGTGTTGCGCAGAATGGGCACGGCTTGGTCGTCGGTCTGAGTCATTGCAGCAGGAGAGGTGGGAGAAGTGGCAGAGGGACAGAAGGGGCAGAGGGCAGAAGGGAAGAGAAGGAGAAAACGACGACCCGCCCCTTCGGCAAAAGGGTGAACACTTTGCCACCTCTGTGGGTTCTCTGTGCGCTCTCTGTGGGCTCTCGGTGCCGCACTCTCTCGGCGAGGCACGCTGTGCAACCCTGTCTGTGCAACGCGCTCCGTACATGTGACACCCGTCTCGCTGGCCGTCTCGCTGGCCGTCTCGCTGGCCGTCTCGCTGGCCGTCTCGCTGTCCGTCTCGCTGGCCGTCTCGCTGTCCGTCTCGCTGGCCGTCTCGCCATGCCCCGCCCCACAAACAAACACAAGGTTTCCAGACCTCCCCCGGCGCCCACAGCCGCTCCCAGCCCAAGGTTGCCTCCACGGCGCCAGGCACGAGACCGCCTTGGCGGTGTGTCCATCGCTCCCTTCCGGCAAGGCCTGGGACTTGTCCATCGCTGCTCTCTCTGCTCCTGATCCCTCCATCTCTCCATCGCTCCATCGCTCCATCCCACGTCTCCTCGGCTCCTGCAGACACAGCATCATGGCCGGTCTGCACCGACCCCTCGTCGCTCCCCTCGCCGTCTCGCTGGCTATCGGCACCGTGCTTGCGGCTGCGTCCTCCGACCATTCGGTCGTCACGGCCTTCTCCAGAGTCACTTCCGACAGAAAGGTCCCGCTCCTCGATCGCCTCAACTCGCAGGCGCTGTTCATGTCTGCTCGCTATGATCCAGCCTACTCCAGTGACAGCAGCGCATCCAACCAGTCCTCGTTTGTCCTTGCTGCCTCCGGCGTGAGTATCGCTTTCGTCGTCTCTGCCTTCTTGTGTCCGTCGCACTTCCTCGGAACCTCCCTTCCGCTCGCCGAATCGATTGGATATCATGCTGCCTTTTGCATATTTCACCATGATATATCCATCTCCCATGAGCGTCCCCTAACGCTCCTTTGGATTATTGTCCCAGCCTGTTGGCCAAACCCTGATCAACGCCGGTGATATGTCTGTGAGTATCATCCTATTTCTGGAAAGCCATCGCCTTTCTCAGGTCTCTGGTTTCTTGCACCAGAACACCGTCCGACATGCAATGCGGATTTGCACAAGATCCCTGCCGTCTGGAGAGCTTTTGTGGGGCTTGGAGAAGTCATGTTCCAGCACGGGCACCACTGCCCTTGGCCGTGTCTCCGGTTCTCAATCTCCCCTTCAGCACCAGTCCGCCTTGGGCGCACTTGCTGCTTTTCGCTCTTGCCATGTCCCGCCGCCTCCACCGCCGCTGTTTGCTTGCCCGTCGCCGAGATGACATGCTTGTGAGCCTTCTCGTCTTTGGTGGTCCTGGCAGCCTGCTGCCACACGCCCCCGACCTGGCACTCGCTGATCCGAATCCTCTGTGGCTCTGATGTTGTGCAGTACATGGCTCCCATCTCGATGGGAACTCCCGCCCAGCAGTTCACCGTCATTCTCGACACGGGATCCGCCAACCTCTGGCTCACCACGACACAGACCACGCCTCAAGTCGCTGCCGTGAAAAAGTTCAACTCTGCAGTATCCTCGACCTATGTCAAGACACCCAACGGCGACAGCGTCAAAATCCAGTACGGAAGCGGCGCCTTGGTCGGCTTTCTGGCCGAGGATACCTTCTCGGCGTCCGGATTTTCCGTGACCGGACAGGACTTTATGCTGGCCACCAGCCTCGACTCGACCCTTGCGGGCCAGATGGGCACGGGCACTTCGTGGGACGGCATCTGGGGCATGGCCTTTCCGGCTCTGGCTGCGGGCACAAGTATGTTGATGGAACTGATGCACGCCCGCCGATCCTGTCGTCTCAAGCTGTGCTGTGTTGTGCTGTGTTGTGCTGTGCTGGATGAGCCTGGGCAGCGCTATGTGCAGCAACATGAGCAGCATCGCGGATAGCATCCCTGAGGAGTACCCTTTGCAACTGGCGCGCTGACATGGATCCTTTATCCTCCCCACCGGTAATCAATCCAATCTTCTTGCTGGTTCGTCAGAATTGGCCAGCTTGCCCATTCCACCATTCATCAATCTCGGCAAGCAATTCTCCAGCTCCACGTTTGCCTTCTGGCTCGACACTACAGGGTCCACGGGAACCGGCGGCGGAGAGCTGGTGCTCGGCGGTTGCAACCCCAACCACTTCACAGGGTCGCTGCAGTGGTAAGCAGTGCGGTATGGGTAGTGTCTTCCCATATATGTGTGCTGCTGCATGCTCGAACAACCTTGTACATACTCTGGCAACCTTGTGCATCCTCCGGCAACCTTGCATGCGCCTCAGCAACCTTGTATATGCTTGGGTCGCTCGGTTCTCGGTCTGGCGGTTCTCAATCCGACGGTGGCTATTCCCAGGCTCCAGTGACTAACGCGCTATATGGCATTTGTGCATCCTTCCCTTCGATTCGATTTGATTCTCGCTGCCGCAGTATGTCGGTCGTGCCAGGCCCTGTGGGCCCAGATCAATGGCGAGTCAACATGCCCAACATCACGGTGGGCTCCGCGAGCGTGACGCTGCCTGTCTCGAACCGACATGCCATTCTCGATACCGGCACGTCATTTGTTGGGCTTCCGAGTGCGATCTACTCGGCCCTCATCCCAATGCTTCAGCTCAAAACACAAACAACGAGCGGCGGCCTGCTCGCGGTCGACTGCTCGGTCATTACCACCCTGCCCAACATCACTTTTATTCTCGGAACTTCGCCCTTCACCCTTGCCCGTGAGTAGCCGCGTGTTGGATTGCCGTGCCAGACCGGTGGTGGGTGACGTTGCCGGGCTTGGCAACAACGGAGAAGCGGAGGGGCCTTGATATCTCGCTGTGATGCTCGCTCGTTGCAACAAGCACGCCGGGCATTAATGCTCGATGTCTACGGGCTGTACACACTTTACTCACTCCTGTATCGATGATCCCTTGTGGACCTTCCAGCGGGGGACTACATTTACCAGGACTCATCCATGCTTCAGCCCTGTATTCTCGGATTTGTCAACGTCGGCACCTTTACCGACGTCATCTTGGGTGACACCTTCTTGCGCAAGTACTACAGCGTCTACGACACCACGAATCTCCAAGTTGGCCTGGCGGTGTCATCTGGCGGACAGGGCCTTGGCACAGGCGCTCAAGCGTCGTCGAACGCGTGCTCATGCGGAGCATCGGGAACTGGCCAGGCGGCTGATCCGGCTGGTGGATTGACCAACCTCATCATCGGTGGTGGAAGTCAGTATATTCGCATTGGGCCTTGGTACATCAACCTGTATCTGTTTATCGGAATCTGCGGCATCCTGGCAATCATCGTTCTGTCGATCGCAGCGTCGTGCCTCAAACGGTGCCGCGGCAGCCGTCGGATCAAGCCTGGATACAATTCGAGCGCGAGTCCAAGCCAGATGTACTCGTCGGGGTATGAAACGTCGCCGCAAGGCTACGCAACTTCGGGGCAGTATCAATACCAGCACGAGCCGCAGCCCTACCAGTACGATCAGTATCAACGCTACCAATACGAGCAGCAGTCGTACCGCAACGACCAGTCGCCGTCGTTCGTTCCGCAGTCATACTCGCCCCGCAACGGCGCAACGGATCGCGCGAACACCGGCGGCGGTCGTCGGGGCAACCCGGGCTATCCCGCGCAGTACCAGGCGAACAACGGCGAACGATACTACTAGCCTGGGGCCTGTGACACGCATGAATCGATCAAATGTCGCTCTCTCTTCTATTTATTGAAAAGCGATTGCGCCGATGGACGCGTCAGTCTCGCTTGGATTGGACTCGGTGGACGATCCTGTCGGCTCGACACCAAGCCGCTGCACGGTGGCCACAACGAGCCCGTTCGGAGGGCGCCCGGAACCCTCTCTGCATCCGGAATGGTGTCGCCTCGCTTTTTTTCCTTCCACACACGCACACCACCCTCATTTTTGACGTTCGAGAAGCCAATACAAAACGCAGTGGATCGACTGGGCCGGACACGTTCGCGCTCGATGAATCATCGAATGATACTGAATTCGCCACTGCAGCGGACACGTTCGCAGCATCGGCCTGGGGCGCCATTCCCAGAGCCACGGCCTCCAGTCGCAGAAACAGCGCATGCGCATCCGCAGCTGCTGCGCACAGACAAGCCCGGCAGCGAGTGGTTCTGTGCAGACGTTCTCGCGCAGCCGGCTGCACGCGTTGCGCTGTGCGCGTCTGCCGGGCGAGGGGCGCGCTTCCAGCAAGTCGCACAGCACCTGCGACAAGGGACAGGGTTGCGGCAGTGAGTCAGCCCGACACAGCACGGGGTGCCGGTGGGGGAACGTGTGCTGCCGAGCGACGCGTGCAGCTGAGCGCGACAGTCCCTGTGCGTGGCGCGAGACACTCTCTGTCGGCGGCTGTGCCGGAGCCACCTTGGTTGCAGCCCGCGGCTACACCTGTGCGACACTGTCCGGCCCCTGCTTGTGGTGCTGCTGGCAGTGCGCAGTCTCTGCTGTTGCTGTACAAACAGACTGTGCAGCGTCGCAGTTGCGCGGTCTCTCGGCGCGGCTGTGCCTTGTCTGTGCTGTCGGTCGGCGCACATGGGCCCGCTCGCTTGTCGCCGAGGGGCTTTCCCTTCCTTTTCGCTCCCGGTCTTTCCGCCCCCGCCCTCTGGTCTTCTTCGCTTCCTGGGCTCCTCTGCTCGATCCTCGCATGCGTCTGGGATCGTCTGTCGCCGGCCAATGTTCCTGAAGCATCCTAGAGACTCCTCTGGGGTCGCCGCTGTCCCCATCAAGCGAGCCAGCACCAGCGATGCGCCTCTTGCCGACCGTATTCATGCTCGGCACCAGCGGCTCCTAGCTCGGCTCGTTGCTCGGCAGAACCACAGCCCCGACCCGTCTCAGCCCGAGACCAACACCGACACCGACACCGACACCGAGACTCAGACCGAGTCCAAGCACAGCCCCGTCATATTTGCTGCGTCTGGCGTAAGTCGAGCTGCCGAGAACGGTCTGCTGGATCATGGCCGGTGTTGTCATGGCAGCGGCCGCCTCCGCCCTGCCCTGCCTTGCCTTGCCCGTGGTCCGGTCTGGGCCTCTGTGTCTGGGCCCTTATTATTGCTGCCGTTGATTTTGCTGTCGCCCGACCATGTTCGAAGCGATACTCCAATCCGGGCGGGAATTCGGGAGGGGTGCTCTGAACGCACCACCCAGTGCCCAGGACCCATAGAGGTTCAAATCGTGTGTGGTTGTGCCGGTGGCCGACTAACGCTTCTTGGCTTCCTCAACTTGCTTGCCCTTGCTCCGACTCAGCCGATCGGCCAAGGAATCAACTACGATGCTGATCTGGGGGTAGGTGCTCCCGCAGCCGCTTCAATGCCGTGTACTGTCCTCAGGGCCCGTGTGTCGATGCTGTCGCCGTAATCGATGTGTCCCTTGGCACAGGAGCTGGGGAAGTGCTTGACCCCTCCCCCCTGACTTGCTCGCTGACTTGCTCGCTGACTTGCTCGCTGACACTTCGGATTGCTGTTCCGGATTCTGTTCCGCCATAGTACCTCATCTCCGTCAGCCTCGGTACCCCGTCTCAGCAGTTCAACGTCATTCTGGACACGGGCTCGGCCAACTTTTGGGTCACCGGCACCGGCTGCAACCCAACCAGCCCCGCCGGCAACGTCTTTGACCCCACAAAGTCCTCCAGCTTTAACCAAGTCCCCAACGGCAACTCGATTACTGTTTCCTTTGGCTCCGGCACGCTATCTGGATACCTTGCCCAGGACACGTTCACGGGCGTCGGCGCCAGCGTCAGCCCCCAGAGCGTTGTCGTCGCCAACCAGCTCGATTCCAACCTCGTCAGCATGATGACGAGCGGGGCCACGAAATGGGATGGTGTCTGGGGACTGGCTTTCCCCGGACTCACGACCGCCACGAGTAAGCAGGATAGCTTGAAGGGAGCAGACAAGACGAGACGATAATGAGCGAGCATTGGCTCAAGCAGAGTGTGAGCCCCGTCTATCGCGGCCACTTCATCGTACTACTGCGCAGCAACCACTCATCAAATGGTTTTGGTCTCAACAGCTTCCGGTATCCGCCAAGTGCCCCCGTTCTGGAACATGAGATCATCCTTCGCCAATGCATCCTTTGCCATCTGGCTTGACGCGATCGGTACCAGCAGCAGCAGCGGCGGCGGCGGCGGTGGCGAGTTTGTCGTCGGTGGATGCAATCCAAACCACTTTATGGGAACGATGCAATGGTATGTCGGCCTTATACACCTCCGGATCTCCCCAAGGACACTCATTGCGTACCGAAGCAACACTTGGCTCTGGTTCTGGTCGTTGCCAAAATAGGTTGACCAAGTCTGGCCCACAGAGTCTAACTTGAATTGCGAGCCCATCTTGTGTTGCCAGCTGCAACACCTCATTGATTGCTGGCATGGCACTGCTCTGATCACGACTGCTTTCTCTCAGCCTCCAGGTCCTGCCGCCGACGCTTTCGGCTCAGCCTGACCACTGGCGTGTGCTCATGAGCGCTATCACGCTCGGCTCCAGCTCCATCACCATCCCCAGCGGAAGCAACTTTGCCATCCTTGACTCGGGCGCACCCGTGATTGGCCTGCCACAGGCCATCTACACCAGCGTGTGGTCTTCCCTCAGCTCGATCACCGGTGGCCAGAGCAGGATTGACTGTGGAATCGCATCAAGCTTGCCCGACCTGACTTTCAGCCTTGGCTCCCAGAACGCGACCTTCACGCTCAAAGGTACGAGGACTTGAGCTGCATTTCCGAAGCCTCCATTGGCTCCCGAGAGAGGCAGCCTGCTGTGAGGCCGTACCGCAGTTCTACCGGGCGTACATCCTGCTGACATGCCCGTAACTGGCCTGCGCCATTTGTGCCATCGAATCTGTATCTATCTGTGTCTCCAGGCAGCGACTATGTCTACCCCTCGGGAGGAAGCTGCGTGGTTGGGCTCCTCAACAACGGCAACTTTGCCACAGTCGTGCTTGGCGATACCTTCCTTCGCAAGTTCTATTCGGTTTACGATTCGACCAACTTGCAGATCGGCTTGGCTACGTCGGCCCAAGGCTCCGCTTTGGCCGCTGGCGCGACGGCCGCGGCTTGCTCCTGTGGCTCGGTTGGCACCGGCCAGGCTCCTTCCGCCAACACCCTGAGCTCCTCCGTCATAGGCGGAGGCACCAACGCCATCAAGCTCGGCAGCGTCTACATGAACCTATATCTCTTCATTGGCATAATCGTGGGCTCGGTTCTCCTACTGATTGGCATCATTGTGGGCGTTGTGCTGTATTCCCGCCGTGGAAAGCGACGGCGCCCCGTGGGTCCCAGGACGCCTATGCCCCTCCCACCCGGAAAAGGCCAACGCGGTGGCAACGGCAATGGAAACGGAAACGGAAACCTGGACCGCAGCAACAGCCGAGGAAACAACGCCAATCTCAGTCGCAATAACAGCCGAGGAAACAACACCAACCTAGATCGCAGCAACAGCAACAACAATGGCAACAACGGTCGACCCAAATACCCTCCCAACGGCTCGAGTGGCTCCAATGGTGCCAGCCGCCCTGGCGTCAACCGGCCCGTCGAATCTCGGTCCAGGGCATCACCATCGCCGCACCGTCAGGAGCGACCATCGGCCCGTTCGCCCAGCGCGGGCTCGCGCCAACCGCTCAACCGTTCCAACAGCGGCCGCTCGCAGAATGGTCCAGACCGATCCCAAGGCAGCAATAATGGTGGAAATCGAGGCCGCAACGACTACCCTCAGACACGCCGAGACAACGGCCAAGGTGGTCGAAGATGATGGCACTGTGTCGTGCTTGTCCTGCTCTGTCCTGCTAGATGCATTTGCAGCTCATGTCGTTGTCCTGGACGGACCTGTCCCCTTCCCAAAGCATCGCCCTCTGTTTCTCAGCCGCTTCCCAGTTGCTTCCCAGCTGCTATCTCTTGCTCTTTCTCACCTCCACCTGCCGGTGTATATTGTCCGTGTGCTTGTCTAAATGTATTTGTGTTTGGCGTGGGTACTGTGTCGCTTTGGTGTCGTCGTAATCTTTCTTTGAGACAACTTTGCTCGCTCTTTCTCCCTCTCTTTCGCCCTCCTTCTCTCACCAGCCTTCTCTCCCCCCAGGCTCGGGCTTGGGCTTGAACTCTGAGTTTTGACCCCCTCCCTTGGCGGGACCGCTGGCTCTTCTGAACCTCGTTTTGTTGCTGTGTCTGATGTGAATGGATGAAATGTCCGAAGCAGCGCCTGAAGGATTCGATCTGGGGCGCCGCAGGTGATCCGATCTGCCGTGGAGGGGAGGCGTGGTGGTGGGGTTGCTGCCTTGTTGGCCCTGCGCCTCGGAAGCCCTGAGGCAACGCGACGCGACACCGCCGAGACTGCACCGAGACTGCACCAAGGCCACACCAGCAATCGCCGAGATCTCGCCGAGACCGCACCGAGAACCTCCGCGCCGCTGACGCTCTTGCGTGTCGCACAGAGTCGCACAGCGTCGCGCCGCACGACACAGCAGCGACTGTCCACGCACAGCCGCGCAGGGTTTGCAAGGCCGCGTCGTTTGGGTTGGCTGCCATTTGGCCAAGAGTTGCGTTTGCATCTGTCCCGTCACCCGCAACACCGTCCAGCGACATCACCGTCGCCATCAGCATCATCATCATCATCTCTGGTCTGCACCAGACACTTGTCTATCCTCTGCAATCGACACCGCCAGTCTCCTCCCGTAAGTCCCCGTCCGCCCGCTGCCTCCGTTGGCTCGCCGCACCGTTGGGCAGGTCACCCTCCACCGCTCGGGCCCTGTCCATCCTCATCATCCCGTTGTCGTCTCCCCTTGGTGCCGTCGGTTGATGTTTGCCAGTTGCCTCGTCGACCGGCTGCAGCTTGCTCTCGCTGCTTCGGCCAACGACTCGCTGCCACCACCGGCCTCATCGAGGCATCGACCTTGCCCCGCAGGCTCTCCTGCTCAAACGACTGTTTCTCGCCCTGCACTCTGGCCGCTGGACTCACTTGCTCGGCTCTTCTCTCCCAGCGCCATCGCCATGTCTGAGGAGCCTGGAACCGCCATCATTACCCCGTTCACCCAGGGCTCCAGCAATGCCAGCTTCCAGGACCGCATGGCTGCTCGGCTGCAGCTCACCCTCTCAAGATACGGGCAGGACCCGAGCTCTCGGAGCTTTGTATCCCTCGGCGTGAGTAGCCTGCACTCGCCCGCTCGCTCGGCGACAGAGCGCTGAACCCCCGAGGCCGCCGGCAGCCAAAGCAGCATTATGGCCATGCCAAATACCAGCGACTGGCCGGTGGACGGCTCGCGTCCTGGGGCCTGCTTGCTCTGCCCCATCCAGCGTGTCGAAACAGGTCTGACGGCTATGCCTTCTGTCTCCCATGTGCAGCCCGTTGGACTATCCCTGATCAGCGGCGCCGACTTGTCTGTAAGTATAGCGGCATTGGTGCCTTGGGCTCGTCTCCCACGACCGATGGCCATCTACCGTGACCGATGACCGTACAAGTCTGTCAATTACCGCTCGCACCCGGTCGATTTCTGATCGATTTACATGGCTCCCTACCGCTCCAGTACATGGGTAATATCACCCTGGGCACCCCGCCGCAAGCCTTCCAGGTCATCTTGGACACTGGCTCGGCCAACCTGTGGGTCACAACGACCCAGACAACCCCCAAGGTCACGACCGTCAATCCCTTCTCGTCAACCAGCTCCTCGACTTATGTCCAGACGGCAAACGGCAACGGCGTCAGCATCCAGTACGGCACGGGCTCGCTCAGCGGCTATCTCGCCCAGGACACCTTTGGCGTCGCCGGCATCAGCGTCCAGAAACAGGACATTCTCTTGGCGACCCAGCTTGATGCCGCCATGGCGAGCCAGCTCAGCTCTGGAACCCGCTGGGATGGCATCTGGGGTCTGGCCTTCCCATCTCTTGCCTCGGGAACTGGTATGTATTGCGCGGGTCGGGTCTGCCTGCATGCTTCTGATGAGCAGCTATTGTATTCACAAGCATCCGCATCTATCGGGCGTCGCTCGTTTGCTCGTGTGGTGCGGCCCGCGGCTATTTACATGTACTCGACCGACACTGCGCTGTCGTCGACACCCGGCTATCGTGCTGTGCGGGTCGATCATCAACCCGTCGTTCTAACCTTCGACGACTCCACCAGCTTCCGTCCGCCCTACCCCGCCCTTCCAGAACCTCCAGCAAGTCTTCTCGTCGGCCACGTTTGCCTTCTGGATCGGTAGCGCCAGCTCAACAAGCGTTTCTGGAGGCGAGATGGTTTTGGGTGGCTGCAACCCCAACCATTTCACTGGCTCACTGCAATGGTACGATGACTGTTGAGAAGAGCGGCTCGCAGGGAGTGCCTTGACCTCGGATGAGCATTGGCCGACAAAATGCGGGGTCCAGAGGCCGGGAATGTGCATGGGCGCCTCGACACATCGCTAACCTGCTTGTATCCACACACAACGATCACAACTACACTCAACGATCATAACTACATCCAACGATCATCCCGTCATTCGTTACATGTCTGAATGTACTCCCGATCTCGATCCGGTGCACGGACCAAACAACTTGATGGGCCACGTCCCTCATCCCTCATCCCTCATCCCTCATCCCTCATCCCTCATCCCTCATCCCTCATCCCTCATCCCTCATCCCACATCCCTCATCCCTCATCCCACAGCTCTCCCGTTGTTCCAAGCACCAGTGGTAACTTTGACCACTGGCGTGTCAGCATGCCGTCGATTTTCATGGGCTCGCAGAACATCACTTTCCCGTTCAGCAACAAGCATGCTATTCTCGACACGGGCACCTCGTTCATTGGGTTCCCCTCGGCGGTGTATCAAACCGTCATGGCCAGCATCGGCACGTCAGTGACCACGCAGAAGGATGGCACGATTTCGGTCGACTGCTCGACACTCAGTCAGATGCCGACCATGAACCTGCAGCTGGGCTCTCCGGCCGCTGCCTATCCTCTCACTGGTAAGCACCTCTTCTGTGTGGAGCCCCATTTGTATTCTGCCTGTCTCGTTCGTTTTCATTCTCGTGTCTGGCTCAGCATAGACCCGAAGCCGTGGATATGCTCTCTCCCCCCCTTGATCCATGGCATCTCTTGCGATCCCAGGTTGAAGTGAGCGTCACCTCTTGCGACACTCTAGTTGCGCCCTGACTCGGTTCATTACGACGACTCCTCCACAGCCAGCGATTATGTGTACCGCGATCCTACCTCGTCCAACTCCCCTTGCATCCTCGGGTTCGCCAACATCGGAACGTTCCCCGACGTCATTCTTGGCGACACCTTCCTCCGGAAATACTACACAGTCTTTGACCCCAAGAACACCCAAGTTGGCTTGGCACCGTCCGCCCAGGGCGCTGCTCTCACCTCCGGAAACTCGACCGTCTCGTCTGCTTGCAGCTGCGGTAGCACTGGCAGTGGCCAGAGCAACCTCCCTGCCGGAGCGACCATCATCGGCGGCGGTAGCCAGTACATCCAGATCGGCCCTCTGTATTTCAACCTCTATCTGTTCATCGGTGTCTGTGCGGCTGTCGGCATCCTGCTGTTGTCGTCGATCATTGGCTCGATCTGCTGCTGTCGCCGCCGTCGCCGTCGCCATCGCGAACTTTCGGAAAAGTCTATGCCAGCGCCTGTGACGTCGCCCGCCAGCCGATACGGCTCGCCGAACCCATCGTCAGACACGCCCCGCTCTCGATCTGGATACCCGACCAGCCCTCAGCCCGTGTACGACAACGAACATCAGCAACGTGGCGACCGCTATGACCGCAACGACCGCAACGACCGCTATGACCGTGATAACCGTGATAACCGCAACGATCGCTATGACCGTGACAACCGCGATGAGCGCTATGAACGCGGCGACCGATATGGCCGAAGTGCCGGCACAGGCTCCTACGAGGACCAAGGCAGTGGTCGTGATCGATCTGGTCGAAGCGACACTCGTAGCGGGGCTCCCTCCTCGCGCTCCCAGAGCCGGTCGAACCGCCAGCGCGGCCAGGATCAATCCGAGTACGGCAGCCGCTCGGAGCGTTCTCAGGGAGCGCCGGCCAGCTCGCGCGGCCATGGCGGAAGCTATGAAGACAATGTCCGCAGCGGTCGCAACGAGCGCCTATCGCCCTATTCCAGCAGCAACAACGCCTCTTCCGAGGCTCGCAGCCCTCGCTCTGCGAACCCTAGCGCGCGGCGCTTCCAGCAAGACGAAGAGGACGACGACGGATTCAATCCGAACCAGTACCAAGCCAGACGATGAAGCATTTGCTGACCCCCCCCCTGACCGAGCAAATCCTTTGCCACCCACAACATACGATGGCCAACGAGGCCGCATTCTCGAGCCCCGCGCGACTCGCCACGACACACTCAGCAATAGATGAATAGAGGACGAAAGCCGAACAGTCCTGGGGCGACAGGAGGAGTGCCGCGCAAATGGTAGCCGTGTTTGCATCGCAAGGGAGCCGCAGCCCTTTCATTCATTTCCTTTCTTTCTATTCGTTCACATTGTTTGCATACGCTTTTGAGGAGTCTCGTGGAATGTCGGAATGTGCGAATGTTGGAGTGTCCTTTGGTATTCGAGCACACGCCTGGTCTCGGTGGTGCAGTTTCGTTGGCTGCAGCATTCGCAGTCCGAAGCATGGCACCGACCCAAGAACGACGATCGTCGCTCTGAATGCCCAATACATTCGCCCAACTGACCGACTCCATCACGACTCGCTGCGGCGCTGGAGCAAAGATGGATCGCAAGATCCATTTCTAACACCAGACCAGCTGGTGCCGAGGCGCTGGATCTGCTGGACGCGCGCTGGACCGCGTCTGTGGCCTGCCAATCGCCGACCCTGGTCCATTGCCCGATAGGGCGACACCGACGCGTCCGCGGACCCAAACAAACAGGCGCGTGGCCGGGGCTGTGTCCGCCAAGCGGTGCGCGTCCAGTGGACATGCAGCCGCATTATCCGGCCGTCACCCTGACTCAGCCCACGGCGGTTCCTTGGTCCTTGCCGCACAGCCGGGCGCGTGGCCCGCACGCCCAGGCGCGTTGTTTGCAGCGGCGCGTGCCTGCTGTCGGCCTACGGATCGCTGGCCGCGCGTATCGTTGCACACGTACGCGCAACCACGCGCTTCCTGTGCATGCTCAGCACCAGCCACTGTCCACGCACCTCGACCACAGACACTGCTGCTCAGTGACCCCGCAGTCACCCACCTCGCTCAGCGACCCACCCCACAGTGTCTGTGGAGCCCCGTCTGTGTCACAGGCAGTTCACAGCGCCACTCTTACAGCGTCTCTTACAGCGTCGCTTGCTCGGCACCAGCATCCGCTCGCCCCTCGTTCGTCTTTGGGTCCTGCAACCCTCCAGCAGGGTCGTTCTCCGTCCACCACAACTCGATGGCGTGCAGCTGAATATCGGGGCAGACCATCCTTCCCCCCGACACTCCACCGATTTGACCTCGTCCTCGAACGACCCTCGTCCGTATATTCCCATCCACCGTCAGCCCCGGCCCCAGCAGACGAGGACATTCCCGTCATGGTTGCAGCTGGCACCTCCCGCTCTATCACCATGTCTCTCTCCACCACCTTCAGCGAGGCGAACGACACCCTCGTGGTGTCCCACATCAGCCGAGCCGACTTTCCGTCGATGAACGCAGAGCAACGACTGCGGGCCTCGCTCGCCCTGATCCGCACCCGCTATGGAAACGGCTCACTTTCCGATGCCGAGCTGCTCACGGACTCGTCGGGCATTCGGATCCTGGCTGCCTCGGATGTACGCTAGTTTTGCTGTCTGTCCCGTCCCTTCAGCCGAGAGCGAAGGGACTATCGTTTTGCATTTGCCAGAGCGCTTGGCCAGGTCACTTTGGCCCGTTCGAGCAACTCAAGGACGGGCCCACAAGCAGCCGTGAGCGGCGGCCTGATCCGTGCTGTGCTTGCCACGTCTAACTGGTATGCTTACCGCTTCTGCCACAGCCCTCGGGCCAGACACTCGTTGGAGATGGATCATCTGTAAGTCACAAGTGTGCGGTTGCCCCACTCCCGGCTCTCACCTGGGACGGAGCCATCCCTTGGCGCGGGGCTGGGTTGGTGAAGCGGGTGTGTCGATCTGGCTGTCGCATCAGGCCCAGACCGCCTCAGCGACTCTGCTGACTGCTTCCTCTGCTTGCACTGTCCTCTTCCTCCTCTTCCTCCTCCTCCTCCTCCGCCTCCGCAATGGCATTGGGCACTTGGCATTTGGCGCGCCCCTGTATCGCCACGACCCTATGAAATCCCATCATCGCACAGTACACCACCCAAATCTCCCTCGGCACCCCTGGACAGGCCTTCACCGTCATCCTGGACACCGGCTCCGCCACGCTCTGGCTCACTTCCAAGCAGGCTCCCCAGACTCAGGCCCACAGCTTCGACTCCTCCCAGTCCTCCACGTTTGCGTCCGTCCCAAACGGCGATGGCCTGACGGTGGCCTACGGCACTGGTTCAGTCTCCGGCTCGCTTGGCCAAGACAACTTTGCTGTCGGCAACATTGTCGCCACCAAGCAAGCGTTTCTGCTCGCCTCGCAGTTCGACTCGGCCGGCGCCATGGCCAGCCTCCTCAATTCCGGCGCACGATGGGACGGCATCTGGGGCCTGGCCTTCCCGTCTCTGGCCACGGCATCATGTAGGCAGTCGCTCGCCTCCCCCGCAGCTCTTGTTATGTGGACATACGTTGGCGACCTATGGCTTGGAGATGTTTGCTAGCACCAAGACCATTTCCCGTTCATGAGACGCATGTAGTGCCGTCAATGCGCACGTCACGTCATGAATCATGGGCAGCGAGCCGCTAACGCGTCGGCATTATCTGTTGTCTTGATGCCAGCTGGCGGTGTCCGTCCAATCCCGCCGTATTTCAACATGATGCAGCAGAACCTCCTGAAGACCCCGGTCTTTGCCTTTTGGCTCGAAACCAACAGCCCCTCTGGCACCGGTGATGGAGAGTTTGTGCTCGGCGGCTGCAATCCAAATCACTTCTCTGGCAAGCTCAGTTGGTACGGGCAAGTTGTGGCTGTGTGGATGACTGGCTGTTGCAGCATGCCTCGTGTCTGCTTCGAACGAGCTCTTTCTGCTACCAACAAACAGCCCCCTGGGTGCTTGATCTCCATGGCTCACCACTCCTGTCCTCTTCCCACCCACCCCCACTTCACCAACTTCGCGCTGTCCAGTATGAGCGTTCTCCCATCTTCCTCCGGAACGAATGATCACTGGCGCGTCGCTATGAGCGGCATCAGCGTCGGATCCAGCTCCGTTTCCATCCCCAGCGGCAACAGCCTCGCCATTCTTGACACAGGCAGCTCCGTCATGGCTTTCCCGGATCCGATCTTCCAGTCGATGGTGCAGGCCCTCAATGTGCCGCTGCAGAACTCGGGCGGCATCTCGGTGGTCAGTTGCAGCGCGGTCGGATCGCTGCCGCCCATAACCTTCAATCTCGGTGGTGGCAGCTTCACCCTCCAAGGTACGTCTGTAGGCAGTTCAGTCCCCTGACTCTGGTTTTGCTTCAGCCGACGATCACGGCCCATCGCCGTGCTCTGCTTGTCCGTGGCGATGATCAAGTCATCGAAAGGTGTGCTTTGGCTGGCGGCTCTTGTGACTAATCCTGTTGCCTCGTAGGCTCGGACTATGTCATTCAAAGTGGAAGTACCTGCTACCTCGGATTCGTCAGCAGCGGCTCTATCGCGGCGCCAGAGGCTATCCTCGGCGACCCCTTCCTCCGTCGCTTCTACTCGGTCTACGATCCATCGAACCTCGTCGTCGGGCTGGCAGCCTCGTCTGGCGGTACAGGACTGGGATCCGGCAGCACACCTGCCCAGACCTCTTGCTTCTGTGGCGGAGGCGGCACCGGACCGCAGCCGAGTTCCCCCAGCTCCCAAAACGGCACCCTCACCAACAGCACCACCCCGGGTTCCCCAACAGACCGACCCTCCAACTCGTCCAGCGCCCCCATCGGCCCTGTCGTCATCAGCAACAACTCCGGCACCACCAAGGTCGTCGGTGGGGGATCAACCTACATCCTTGTCGGCAATGTGGCGATCAATCTCTATCTTGTCATCGGCGGAGCTGCTGCTGCCCTGATTGCCGTTGGTCTCGCCGCCTTCTTGATTGTCCGATCGCGCAAGAACAAGGCCAAGGCAGGTTCTGCTGGTACCCGCGATGAGAGCAAGCCATCCGAAACCAAGGGCTCGCCCAAAGCCCAGGCCAACGGTGACGAATGTCCTGGGCTTGAGGAGATTAGTGTCAAGTCCCCGCACATAACTCCCCGCGCAACCCCCCGCGCAACCCCGCGCACCGCACCAGGGACTTCGCCCAAGGCTGCCGCTTCCCACATTACCTCACCTGCTCAGTCTCCTCGCCAGCTGAACACCGCTGCCAGTGCGGCGTCGCCGTACACGAGCCCCAAAGCCGCTCCCGGCACCCCACGCATTCCAGAAGCCGCCTTTACGCATAATCATGAGGACCGATCAAACAGCCGCCTGGACCAACGTCGCTCGGGGCTCTACACAACCTACGAAGGTCATCAGGGAGATCGCCCCGATGCACCCCGCAAGTCTCTCGAGCAGGATCGTTTGTACCACCACACTATCGCCAGCGGCGATGGCCGTCCTGTCCATGAGCGCGATGACCCCCACCATGGAAGCCGCCCTGGGACGCCTCGCAGGTCTCTCGAGCAAGACCGCCTGTATCATCCACGACCGAGTGCCGAGGCCCTCCAGAGCACTCCTGCAGGAACACCCAAGCAGCATCCCCGCACTCCTGTGATCGCCAGTCGCGACAAGTCGCTGCACACCGAGTCCCATGAGGCGCTGGAGCACGGCCACGATGGCCATGCCCAAGCTCATCCGGGCAACCGCGCCCGCGAGCATGTCGAGATCACCGTGGACGATTACAGCCACGCCAACACTCCTCGGGCCGTTGCCTCTCCTGTCCTCCAATCCGGTCCGGCCATACCGCCCCGGGACCGCTCTCGCTCCCGCCACTCGCGTCAGATGAGTGGCGGTGGCCGATCCCATCAGCGCAACCCATCCCACACCGACCATCCCGAGAGCGACGGCAATGCTGCCCGCGATCACCCAGAAGACTCCCGTGGCCGATCGCCCTATGTCAGCTCGCGAGCTCTAGCCTGGGGCGAAGCTCGTCACGATGCGTCCGAGCCCACAAACATGCATCGACCCTCGGCGGCCGAACTTCGTCGCAACGATCATGGCCCCAATCCTAGCCACGGTACACCGGCTCAATCTCATTCAAGCCCATATCTTCACACCGGATCCTCTCCCCACGTTCGCCCCAATACCGCCAACAGTACGCCCGTCATCCCGCAACGAGATATCAACCACTCGCTGCACCAACATAATGGCTCGACAGACAGCGGCCGCGGCTACCACAGCCGAAATGCATCGGCTGATATCCCCCGTGTCCGTGTTGATGCAGCCCCATCGAACGAGAATCTGCTTGGTCATCAAATGCAGCAACAGCAGCACCGCAACCAGAGCCGCAGCCGCAGCCGCAGTCGCTCACCATTCCCTGGGGTTCGGTCGCCGCACATGTCCCCCGGCGTCAGACCTGACGCGCCATCTTCGAGCGACCAGCCCCATGTCGGCCACGAGCGGCATCACCGCCGCACTCCATCGGCCGGCAATGCTGATCGCCAGGTTGCTGAAGAAGTCTATGCCGAGCGCCTGCGCCGAGCAAACGAATCTACCGAGGACTTTTCCCAGAAACAGAACCGCAACAGAAGCCGCTCGCCGTATGCCGCAGCACGTCTGCGCGGTGGGCCATCAGCTGCATCTCTCAAGAATCACGAACACCAAGACTCCTTCGAATAGATTTGCATTTCCATGGCGATAGCGAAACGAAAGATCCATGCGCACCCTCAAGCTATGTCCTGAACTTTTTCTCACCTTCTTCTACAGCGGCGGCGATATGGTGACTCATCGTATCCAGCCGACCCAAACTGTCACGAATACTATGATATCTCTGTTCGTAACGAAACAGGGCAGTGATGTCCCTGAGTGCCCCTCCCAGCGATATGCGGGCCCAGCGGGCAGGCCACGGGATTGCACCGCTGTCTTGGTTGGCTGACTTACGAGAGCACAGTCTCGAGCACAGTCTCGAGCACATCTGGTCGGATGACTGGAGTGGGTTGGTCTCCAGACACTGTGAGCACGCTGTTTGGCCGTGATTGCGATCGTCAGGCAAGTGTATTCAGTATCCAGAACAAAAGCGACGGCTCTGAGTCAGAACAGCATGTTCCGTCCAAGGAAGAACGTTTAAGGATACCATTTCGTTTTTCTTGCTCGGGTGTCTGGTTCTACGACTGTTCATCCGACAGTGGGGAGGCCTTGCGACGGCCTCACGCCTCGGGGGGATATCGCCCGGTTGATGGACTGGCAACCACGATCAAAGGATCAACCTGGGCCGAATCATGCCACAGCCCACCAGAGTTGGTCAGGCTCAGGCTGTGTGTCTGGGCATCAAATCGCTTGCATCGAGTCGCTTTTGCCGGGTCGCATGCAGAACAGCCACAAAGACATATGAACCACAAAGACATATGAACCACGAAGACAGCATCCAGATATCTCCGCATCCCCCGGCAGCCAAGCAGCACCAAACAGGCCGCCCAGGAGTGCAGCCATGCGAGTTGATCTGCGGGGGTTCGCGTCGCGTCGACAGGAAACGAGGGGAAAGCGGCGTGTGCACGAAAATCAGCAGACAGGAGATATGCGCTACCGACTCGAACAGACTCAGCAGGCAAAGGACCCAGCAAAGGCAAGAGAAAGCCGCTGCACCCACATTGGAGAACCAAGGATCCACCCGGATAATGGCCGATAAAAGCAGCCCCGTCGCCCCTCGTTTCTCCCATCTGTCGATCGCCCTCCAAGATGGTCTTCAAGATGCTTTCGTGCTGCTTCGGGTCGTCCGACGACTCTCCCAGCGACAGGGGTATCCCTGGAACCACCGCCTCTCCAGTCTCGGCTCCAGCCATGACAACCTCGCTCCTGCCCGATGGTGAGCCTGCTGCCGCTGCTGCCGCTGCCGTCGAGGCTGGCGCCGGAGCTGATGTGGATGCTGCAGCCGAGTCAGCCACTTCTGCCCAGCAGCCCAAGCCAGCCATGGCTGCCTATGACCCCTGGATGCATCCTGTCGAAGCGATCATCAAGATGGCCCAGAACGAACCCCATGTCCTCGCCGCCCTCACACTCGAGAACGGCAAGGCTGAGCGCTATAGCTACCTCCAGCTCTGGGAGAAGGCTTACTCGATTGCCCAGGGGCTCAAGGCTCTCCCGGGCTGGAACGATGAGGGCCACGACGTCGTGGCGACCTTCTGCGAGCCCGAGGTGCACTGGATGTTCTATTCGGTTGCCCTGTGGATCCTCGGCAAGTGAGTGGCCGCGGCAATCGCTCGCCTCATGCTGTTGCCATGCTGCTGCCATGCTGTTGCCATGATGTTGCCATGATGTTGCCATGCCGGAGAACACTCACCCTGGCCCACTCCGACTTGCTGCTCCAGGAAAGTCATCAACTTTGCCCTCAACTGGCCCTCGTCCGTCCGTCCGCAAGGCCCTCTGCGACAGGTTTGTTCCTTGACAGCATGGCTCGTCCGTTGGCAACTCAGCGATATCCATGGCACGAGTGATACCAGCAACACCAGCAACATCAGGGACGCCCACACATCTGACAACCCATCCTCGACAGGCTCAAGATCCGATATGTACTCTACCACCACACCAAGCCCGGACGAGTCGAAGGACTCGAGCCTATCGATGCTGGCGCCTTCCCTCTCCTGGACAGCGTCCCGGCTCCCTCGCTCGAAGCCTGCCGGCCTCTTGATGATAACATTGCCTATCTCAGCACATCCGGCACAACTGGTCAGTATGTCCATGGTCTGCGCCATGGGATACACCAATATGGCTTCTTGGGTTCCAGCACGAGTGTCTGCTGCCATAGGACCAGCATGTCGCTTTGGCGAGCTTTGACTGACCACCGGCCTCTCGCTTCACAGGAATCCCCAAGACGTGAGTTGTGTGGTCTCCTGTTGCTGCCACCAGCATGCTTGCTCTAACGCCAGAATACTCGCCGAACCGGTATCCAGTGTCTCATCGGTTCATTGAGTCAAGTCGTCCAAAAGTGGGACATAAATACTGCAGCGGTGGCCTATTCCAGGTAAGAGCAAGCTTTTCATCATCTGCTGGTGAGAAGAGCTGAGGTTCTAAATCAATCATCAATGTATAGTCATTCAATGGTCATTCTCCGTTCAAAGTTGTTTCTGGGACTAATCAGCATGGAAACGACTTATCACTTTCTTCAACTTTCGCTCAGGCTCCTTCGTTTACGGCAGCCATGGGTGGATTAATATGGGCATTCAACACCCGGGGATCGCTTTGGTTTGCCAAGCCCACACCAAATGCCCAGGAAAAGGCACAGGGCGTTATTACATTGTTAAACGAGGGTCTGAATACATTGAATACGGTAAGCCACAAGCTTTGATTACTGGTGACACAGCTTTATCCCACGATCAAATCAAGCTAATCATAGCCCATCCCAAGACCCCATCATTTATGAAGCTAGTGCTCCGAGTGGCACTGTCAACGATGAGTGCGCCTCGATGGGAAGAGGTTGTAATCGTCGGACTTGGCTCGGAGCTTGTCACTGTTTCCCTTGTCAAACAAGCAAAACAGATCTATCCACGGGCGATTCTTCATTGCGGATACGGATCAAGCGAGGTGAGAGGCCTCGCAATTCAGCAGAACACTGATGCCGTCAGCGATGCGCACTGCTGTAGCTTTGTCATTGACTTTCGGTCAACAATTCAGGTCGGTGTTGTTGGAGCCATGTCCGCTTGCATCCTTCCCCCTTCAATCCCCTGTCCGTCCCAGTTGGTGTACAAACAGCCAAAGCCGAATGTGCGATGTCTCCTCTTTGACGAGGAGGGCAACACTGTTGACCAGAGCGTCTCCAAGAGCGGCATCCTCGTTCTGGCTGTCGACAAGGACGACCCTATCAAGGACCATCCCAACTTCACCACCGCCAATCCGAACGACAAGTTGGCTTCGTTTGGCTTCCTCAGCGACGGCTCGCCCCGTGTCTGCACCATGGACTGGGTCGAAATGACTGGCGAGAGCGAGTTCACTATCATTGGGAGGTAAGGTCAATGGCTGGGTGCGGTGTCTCTCATTGATGGCGAGTGCATATCTGGCATCCCGACGACACATCCCACTCCTGCATCCCGAGTACTCACGCCATTCATTCCCTCACTCCATACCATCACATCATATCATTGCCAACCACAGATTCGGCCAGAAGGTCAAGGTCAACGGCGTCTATGTCGACCTCAATGCCCTCGAGGAAATGGTCAACCAGGACCTCAGCGAGCACGTCGCCGACTGCATCTTCATCCAGACCTCCGAGCTCAAGATTGTGATGCTCTATGTCCCCCAGAAAGGCTCCACCTTCAACGCGGCGCCAGGAGAGATCGTCCAGATGACCGAAAACCTGTTTGCCCTCAAGAACGTTGCCAAGGTTCCCATTCGCAACTGCCTGGAGCTGGAGGCGTTCCCCTTCAACGACTCGGGCAAGCGCGATCTCAAGAAGCTCAGGCACATCGCCGAGAACATCGATAGCTATGGCAAGTCGGTCCAGTACCCATCTCTCATCATCGAGGACACTCCCCTGTCCCGCACTGCCGCCAAGATATCCACACTTGGTAGCCAGATCCTCGACAACCCTGCCCTCGACGGCCGCAACTACTACATCGGCGGTGTCGGCTTTGACTCGCTGAGTGTCGTCCGTCTGGCCCTCGCCATCAAGAACGAGTTTGATGCTGAGATCTCGCCGATGATCCTCCTGTCGAACGGAATGACGCCGACTGATGTCGCCCAGCTGGTTGTCGACATCCAAGCGAGCAGACCGGGGACTCTGCCGATTGTCGATCTGGCTCAGGAGGTTGCACGGCTCGACGATGCGAGTGTGACGGCTGAGGGTCTCCCTCCGTTTGTGTTTCCCGAGCCGTTCGAAGGGATTGTGCTGACTGGTGCCACTGGGTTCCTCGGCGCATTCCTGCTGTATGAGCTAGCCCACAAATTTCCCAGTGCCAAGATCTACTGCCTGGTCCGAGCCCCGACCGAGCAGGTGGCTGTCGAGCGCATCATCAGCACGGCTCAGAAGTTGGTCCTCGATCCGAGCCAGAGAGCCTTCCTTGACCACAACCTCAAGTCTCGACTCGTTGGACTGTGCGGCGATCTGTCGAAGAACAAGTGGGGACTCTCGGACGAGCGATGGAAGGAGATCAGCGAGGAGACCGACATGATTGTCCACTGCGGCGCCGAGGTCCACTGGCTGTTTGACTATCTCCAGCTCAAGGGACCCAACGTCCTCGGCACAGCGACGGCACTGAGACTGGCCACAACCCACCACCTGAAGCCGCTGCACTACATCTCGACCATCGGCACGATCCCGATGGCCAAGAAGGCAGACAAGCCGCTCGAGGAGACGATCTACTCGGCCTGGAACATCTCTGGCGGCTATTCGCAGACCAAGTGGGTCTCTGAGCAACTGATCAACAAGGCACGATCGAGGGGAGTGCCAGTGACGATCATTCGTCCAGCCGTCATTGCTGGCGACAGCCAGTACGGAGGTAAGCTGAGTGTGGTGTGGTGTGGTGTGGTGTGATGTGGTGTGGTGTGATGGAGATATCTCAATCGTCCCTATGGACTGGCCATGAATCGATGGTTTCGATTGCCGAGTGGTACTCATCACCAACTGACACCAACTGACACCTTCACGCTCTCCATCGCTCCAGTGTCCAACTCTGATGACTACATCTGGCGATATGTCAAGGGATGCATTCAGCTCGGCGTTGCTCCCTCGCACGCCACTCCTGTCACGATGACCATGGATCCCGTCGACCATGTCGCCAAGGTGGTTGCCGAGATTGCCGGCTCGGAGGAGTCCCTGTCCAAGTTTGTGTTCCACATCAGCGACTCGGAGCACAGGTGAGGAGTGTGATATGGTGTGCGATGTGTTGTGGTGTCGATGGTGGATCCCGACTATGATTACTCACTCACTCACTCACTCACTCACGCCGTGCGTACACCCCTCCCTCCCAAAGTGCCCTCACTGAGACCAAGCTGTTCGAGATTGTCAAGGCTTTTGGCTGGACTGTGCTGTTCGAGTCCCACGAGCAGTTCAAAGAGGCCTTCCACTCCCATCCCGCCGCCGAGAGCAACGCCCTGTTCCCGCTCATGCACATCATGATGGACATGTCTGTCAAGCTCGACAACGCCAACACCCGCTCGATCTACCCGACGCCCGGTGTCTCCGCCACGGTGCTCGCCAAGAAGTGCCTCAGCTACCTCTACCATGTCGGCTTCCTCCCCAAGCCCGAGAATCCGTCGAGCGAGCTCAAGGACGGAGTGTATCCAGAAATCGGCATCTTTGTCCGCACCGGCCGCAACTGATCAGCAGGACGAGATCGCTGGATATCCACCCATCGCTCCGATCGAAAGCCTTCGAGTGCATGTCCTCGAGCCGAATCGATGCCTGTGTCGGATCTCGAGATCGAACCTGATCAAGCCGTTCTCGCATGCTGGTGAAAGCGACTCGGTTCAGCTCCATTTTCTGCCCATTGTGCTGTTCTATCTCCTTGCGTTCTCGGTCTCCGTCTTTCTATGAATTGCAGTTCGTCTCGGCGTCTCCTATCCAGTGTCGCCGCTCAATTCTATACATCCGGTTGAGTCTGTGATAGCTGCCAACTGCCCTGCTCATATTCCCGTCCGCTGCTTGACGACAGACCGTTTGCCTCGAGCGTCCAGAGTGCGGCCAACTGCCCATATTCCACTGCAGTGGGTGCCTTCCACCATGCACGACTTGGAACCAGCACATGAACGCTATTGTGGATATGAATGTTATTGGGGGCTGCAGCCTGCAAGCTGCTGGGTGGCACCCGATCACAGGCTGGTCCGCATCCAGCCAAGCTGGGTTCAGGTTGATTCCTCTGCTTTGACAAGCTTTGGTAGGAACTAGGATCCAGCAGCGCTTTCATCAATCGCCGGCCGCTTCACATGAAGCTCCGCGTACTGATCCGCAAAGCGGCTCATCTCTGAAGCGATGGCGAACTAGATTCAAATCGCCCCGACCGGAGGCGAGTGTTAGTATCTGCCCCCCTGATATTGCAGCGAACGCTTTCATGCCCCCCCATCAGTGTCAAGCCTTGGTCCGAGAATAATCTAGACACCATATTCGAATCAGACAGCGGCTGAGCCTCGGCGACTCACCGGCTCATTCACACTCGAAAAGTAGCCGAAAATGTAGAGGTGCCGGACCAAGTTTCGGTATGCCTCATCGGCGACTTCCTCGAAGGCCAAGCGTTTCTCAGGATAGGCTAACGCTGATCTGGTTGTGGCAGTGGCACGAAAATATGGGATGCTTGGTTACCAATACTGCTTGGCGCAAGTCTGCCGGCACAAAAATGGATCCGCAGAAAGAGACATGGGCACTGACTTGTATATGAACGAGCTGCCTCGGAAATCGAGCTTCAAGAGCGCTCGGAACTGGTCTCCCTCGGTTCGGGAGTAGTACACAGGCTTCGGCGAATTGTACTCTGCCAACAACATTGCGAGGGCCTTCTGAGCCGCGTCTGATGGGATCATCGGTAGTGTCAAGTTATGGTCGGGGCAAAGAGCGCACATGTTTGCCACAGGTCGGCATGCCAGACGAGCATGATCCTGGTTGCATCGAGTTTCACGGCTGTCTTGCATAAATGTCACGAACCTGAAGCTCTGCCGAGATTCGACTCATGTTGATTGATAGTGAGCAAGACAAGTTCATGACCACTGATCGCCGGCAGGGGCGGAGGAGCGAAGTTGGTCTCGTTTGGAGGCGCGGATACGGCATCGCTGGCATGCTTCTGAGGCGGAGCACTGTCAACGGCTGCAACAGATCCTGATTTGGCAAGCTCCTGCTCGATGGATGCCCCAGCAGCGGAGGATGGCTCCGGTTTCTTGGAGTCCGATAGCCAGTCCTTCAAGCTAACTTTTACACGAGATCAGCAATAGGAATGGTGGAGGAACAGTGAGCATCCTCGCTGCTGTCGTGTCAGCATCTCTATAAACGAGACTGAACACAGAGGCAGCCCCCACATCACGGTCGCTTGCGACAACGAGTGACTGAGGTATCGGTCAATGACTGGCATCCATATTTGCTGGGAGGAGGGGGGGCGGAGTGACGCTGGCAAAACCGCCCTACCTGCAGATTTAGTTGTACGGATGCCAAAGTCGATGGATCTCGTTTCCGGATCGGTCTTGCCTTTGTCCCAAGAGACTTCCTTGAGCGCCTGTGCGGCAGCAGCTTGCTGGGCGAGTTTTTTCTTCCCCAGGGCCGTGGGGGACTGTGCTCGGCTTGACCGTATCCGATGGCGACCATGGATTTGCGGACGCATTCAACCAAATCCGAGGGTATCCACAGGCACATGATATGGAGACACGTCAGTCAAAGTAAAGATAATAACAATCTATCCGGGTCCGCACTGGAACGATCAGTGTGCAGACTGCGGACCATGTCGGTCTTGGCGATGTTCTTATCGATCCCAGTCACATGATGATACTCGTCAGGAAGGGCCGGGGCCAGCGGCCATCGTATCGTACCTGGTAGGTGGTGTCAAAGACATGAACGCTGCAAATATAAGGACCCTTCTGGCCGTCGGGTTCGTACGAGTATTCTGGCTTATGGACTTGGAGCCGCTGGACGGTCTCTTGCAAGACGCCTACGTAGTTGAACTCGACCTCCCCGAGCAGGTCCTGGGAATCGAGATAGTGGAAGGCCGCCATGGCCAGCCGCCGCCGCGCCAGCTCCAGCGTCTTGACTTGGATCGATGGATGCAGCTGGAATGTGACGCTGCCCAGGACAAGCGATATCGACGAGGTGTCGTAGCTCTTGCTCAGCTGGTTTGGAGGGGCATCACTGTCGACAAAGTTAAAGTCGCCATCGGTGGGGTTGGTGACGTATTCGGGCTTGGGGTAATGGTCGGGTTTGGCCCAGCGCTTGAGGAACTCTACGTGTTCGGAGGACATGGCGGCTGCTGCCACAGACGGAGCGACCAAGAGGCGAGGAGACGGAAGATGCAGCCGAAGCCGAAGTCGAAGCCGAAGCCGAAGCCGAAGCGGTGCAAGATCGGGATGGAGATGGCATGGGCGAGGAGGGCAGCTCAAGATGCTCGCGGTCATGTGGATATCACGCTGCAGCGGCGTGTGTGTGTGTGTGTGGCGGACTCAAAACGCAACTCGCTGGGCAACGCTCCTGGCTGCCAGGTCTTGCCCACCAGAACCAATATCAAGATGCCGCCGCCCCAGCGACCGCTGTCGAAGCTGGCCAAGGGCGCCGCCGCGTGCTCGCAGTCGGTGAGCGTCGCTGTGAAACGGCCCGAGGGATGGCGGGTCGGTGCGAGCACTCACAGAGTCGGCCGATCGGATACTGTTGGGGCAATGCAGCACCACCCGCATCGACACGATCAACCCCCAAGCATGCAATCGCCGAATTCACTCCTTATTCACCACTTCAATGGCTTTTTTTTGGGTGTGTATGTGAATGTTGCTCTTGGCAACGGGGGAATCCACCGTTGGTCGATGTGCAGGCGCTCAAGTACGGCAAGTGCATGGACAAGGTCTTTGGAGATGTCGTTCAGGGCTCGTGTGCCGCCGAGTTTGAGGAATTCAAGGCTTGTCTGCGCAAGGCGGTGAGTCCGATCGCTATCGGGTCGTGTAATTCCAGTAGTCTGAAGCAGCCGCTTCCAACTTGCATCGGCACGATCGTTTGATGCTGTTGGCCAGTGTCCTGACTTGGAGGAGAGTGGGATTCGAGGCGATCGGCTGACATCACGGCGCTCGCTCTCTTGCCCTTTGCCTCTGGATGTGAAAACCAACCAGCTGAGGAAACCGTAGGCCGACCACGGCCCGCCGCGATGCATCTTGCCCTCCTCGGTCATGTCAGAACATCAATACACGAATACCAACTGTGAGGAGCCGCTCCGGTGCATTCGCTGTGATCGAGCAATCATCACCAATGAAGGTCGAAAGCTGGCCAAGCCCCCGCCAAGTTATCCAGGCAGATTGAGGGATCATAGCGAGAGGGGGGGGGAAAACCGAGGGACGATCGGTGGCAGGATTATCAAGGATGCTCCAGCGATTTTATTGGGCCGAATGGGCTCTGCACAAGTGGACAGGCGGCGATTCGGTGGGTGACGGGGTGGGCTTGATGAGGCAGCATAGCCCGAAGCAAGGCTGGATTAAAGCGCGGTGTGGAATGAAGTGAAGTGTTTAGAGATCAAAGAGTTCAAAAATGGCCTGATCGTCCTTGAAGTTGTTGTCGACCAGGTTGACGAGGAACCAGGTGCTGGAGATCTCGCGGATCAGCTTGGCGCTGGCGGAAGAGGCCTCGTAGAGACCCTCCCACTTGTTCCACAGCTCGTAGGCCTCATCCTGAGGGGCAAGGGAATGGCGGATACGTTAGCAAGAATCTAGTTGGTCGGTGTGATTCGCCCTGTGTAGCAGCTCAAGAGACCAGGAACCAGACAGCCGGGTGCCATCCCATCTCTATGCGGCAGGAGTATCCCACCACATCGAGGATACGTTCCAACACCATCAGGCCCGCCAAGACCACCAGCCCCGAGGAATCAAACAGTACGTACCTTCCAGGCCAGGAAGCTGACGGCCTCAACAATGGTGGGCTGGATGATCTCTTGCCCAGGGAACACACCCCAGGTGACGGCGTTGGGGCTGTCGGACTGGTTGTTGGTGCGGAGATCGCCCTGGCGGTTTACGGCGTAGTAGGTGAGGAACGGGTGACCCTCGATCTTCTTAACGAGGGCATCGAGAGCCTCGGGAGCGACAAAGAACTCGAGGTACGACTTCTGGTACACAAAGCCGTTCTTGGGGCCCCAGCCATAGACAGGGTGAGTGGAGGGAGCGCCATCGACGGCAGGCTGGCTGTTGATCGTCAGGAAGCCCTTGCCGTTGACTGCAGCGAGCTTGGCTCGGATAATCTCGGACTCGGGGAAGAGAGGCGAATCGCTCCAGGGGAGAGCGACCAGAGTGCCATTGCAGTAGTCCGAGAACAGCTTGTAGAGGTCTTCCTTGGTGGCGGGGCTGTCCCAGAGCTTCAGGGCTTCGGCAGGCTGCGCAGAGCGAAAGCAGGATTAGCACGAGTATGGGGGATACGGCGCAGCCGACAACTGACATCAGCCGAGTGGAACACAGCATAGGCGTCGCAGCTGGATTGCTTACCGTGTGCTTCAGAGAGGCGCCGTAGCCATCGAGATCACCAAAGGCTGTACGATAGAAGGGAGTAAAGTGAGCTTCACTTCGACACAGACCAACCAAGTCGCCGAACGAGAGGGGCACTGCAAGAAAGATCACGGAGCAGCCGGCATGGGATACATCGCCAGTTCTTACCTGGGGATCTCGCGTCACCCCAGCGGCCGTTGGGGAAGTCGTCCCAAGCCTCGGTTCTCAGAATATAGCTTCGGGTACGGTTCTTCCAGAAGATAGGGCGCACGTTCTCCTTTTCTCTGTTTTTGGCAAGCGACTGTTGCATGGAAACAGAGGGAGACGTGCGCGTCCATCCATCAGTCATTGGAATCGACGTTGGGACAACAGTGCGCGAATTGGTAAATATGGACCACTGTGGATGTCGCCGCATGCCATAGTTGCGATGCAACCAAGGCCAGTGCCGAGTCGATGCCCGATGGCGACCGGCAATGAATGCCGCTGGGAGTGGAGCAGACGAAGCTGCAGCATCGCCAGGGCCGACACGCAATCACATCAACGACTCGATCTCACAATCGGAAAGGTGCAGCCAGGATGTAAGGCACTTACGGGGTTCCACGGCAGGGGCTTGGCAACTTCGATGGGGGCAACAAAGCCAAGACCCTCGAGGATCAGGCGGACAGATCGCTCCAGGTTCAAGGTATAAAAGTGGAAGCCGCGAACGCCTCCGGCTTTGAGGGCCTTGCACATGTCAACGGCGAGACGGATACCGTACTGCTTGATGGCATTGTCGTCGTCCTTGATGGGCTCGATGGCCTCGGTGATGTGGTCCGGCACATAGGTCTTGGCCAGGGTGGTCATTCTCTTGAAGCCACCGTAGTTTTGGATGGGCATGATGCCAGGCAGGATGGGGATGGTGATACCGAGTGCTCGGACCTCCTTGAGCCAGCTGAGGTACAGAGGCACATCGTAGAAGAGCTGGGTGACGATGTAGTCAGCACCGCACTCGACCTTGTATTTGAGGCGCTGCATGTCATCCTCCTTCGAGGAGTTGTCGATGTGGCCCTCGGGATAGGCTATTGAGAGAAAGCAGTGTTATCCACCAGACAAAAGCAACAGCATGAGTGGACAGCCCCATAAAACCAGAGGACGAAAGAGAATGGCTGGCGGAAATGCAAATAGGACTGGCGCTGAAAGGTAGTTCCACTTGCCTGCAACACCGATACAGAAGTAGTCGCCGTACTGGGCGCGGATGTATTTGACGAGATCCGAGGCGTAAGCGAAGCCGGTGTCGCAAGCCTCCCAGTTCTCAACACCACGAGGGGGGTCGCCACGGAGGGCCAGAATGTTCTGGATGCCGTTGTTCTTGGCTTCCTGTGGATGGCGGGTGGGCGGCAGCGTTGGTAAGCGGTAGCGGAGTCTGTCGTGCGGAAGAGTGGGGTCGATAGCATGGCGCCAAACAAGAATGCGGCACTGTGGGGACGAGGGACCAGCACCCTTTGCATGAGCGCGCAACTTACCCTCAGCGCATCGTCGATCTTTTGACGGGGCATGTTGGTGCAGGTCCTACAGAGATGAGATGAGAGGCCTGTGTGAGGCAATGGCAAAGAACACGACCATAGTGGCAGATCCCAGGCCAAAACAGCGCATACAGGGACGGTGGGCGGTTCCTGGAGCGAGTTGGGCTTACAGATGCATGCAGGTCTCGAGTCCATAAACAGCCTGGGCCGTGTTGCAAATCTGTAGTGAGGGGGAGATCATCAATTAGCACCAACGACACGAGCACGTCGATGCGCATCAATGACACGAGCACGCCGATAACGATCACAGTAGCGCCGACGCCATCCTCCGGCAGTCGCATCGCGGATGCAAATCAAATGGCGGCCGTGATGGTCCATGCAATGCATTTGTTTGGCACTCGGAGCGGTTGTTCAGGCACCGGCGCATCGATAGTGTCGGCTCGCCAATCTGCAGATCTGCAGAGGAAGAAAAGAGAGAGACGAGCCGGAACAAGAGCGACGGAGAATGGCCGATAATCACCTGCATGGTCAGGTCCGAGGAGGTGCCGCCGGCACCCCAGGTGACGTCGATGAATTCGGGACCGAGGGTGTACATGCGCTCCATACGATCGTAGAGGTTGGCGACACCGATCTCGGTCTTTGGCGGGAAGTACTCGAAGGACCAGTAGTCGCGGCCCTCGGCTTCGGCCCGCTCAATCTTCTGGGTAACTTTCATGGTGGACGGCGGCTTGGCGGCAGGGGAGGAGAACAGGCGGGATGGATGGAAGAACCGGGCAGTAAGAGCAGGACACTGGGTTTTATAGCGGGTCGTTGGCACTCCTCTTTTGGAACGGCAACCCCAAACTTTTTTTTTGATCGCGGAGAAGGGGCGAGGGGAGTGGGAGCGAGGGCATGAACCGGCCAAAGCGGGGCGCCTTTGGGGAACGAAGAGGAGCGCTGGAGCGTGCCCCATGTGGAACCGAGGCGGCCGACGGGCGCGAGAGAGCCGAGGGCGAGAGACGGGCAGCCGGTCGACATTCCCGCAGACCCATTCATTGCAGCAGCAGCAGCAGCAGCAGCCTCGGCGAGCCTGGCCCAGCAGCAGCAGCAGTAGCAGCAGAGCCAATCTGCCAGCATGCACCGCAGAGAGTAACTTGCACGCAGCAGAAGAGTTACTCGTGGACAGAGCCAGGCAGCCGAGAACAGACGAGAACAGCCAAGCGAGAACAGCGCGCCGGCCGAGAACGCCCGAGCGAGAACAAGATTGCCGCAGACAAGGAGCGAGATGCCCTCGCCGAGGATAGACAATCGGCCTTTGGCCGTCTCCCCCATCCTTCGATCCGTCTGTCTCTCTGTCTGTCGCCCGCCGCTGCCTTGGTCGTTGGCTCTGGCACTGCAAACGCGGCCTCGCCATCGACAGGGCAAGTCGCTTCGTCGCATCGGCTCCGTCGCTGCCCTCCCCGATGCCTGTCTTTGTGCCTGGCCCTGCCGATGGCCTCTTGGTCGTCTGCCGATCGCCTGCCAAGCCACATCGCCCTCTTATCAGAGCGCCGCATGTGATTCTCCCCAAAACCAAGCGCGTCACGTGGTCGTGCATCCTCGCCAGCCGCTGTCCATCGGCCGCGATTCGCCGAAACCCAGCCCCGGTCTTGTCTGCCGCCTGGCTTTTGGACCCAGCATCCGATCTGGTCGTCAGCGTGCTCCCCACCGGACGCTCCTGCCGTCCCATTCAATCGATACCCTCTCGACGCGAGTCTCCGATCTGCCATCCACCATCTCCGCATCTCGCGACGCCATGTCCAACGAATCGGTCTCGATCGGCCTTGAGCATCTGTCGGCAACCTCGGCCGAGGATCTGATGATGCTGGCCCGCCAAGTCGGCTATGGCTTTGTCGTCTGCGATCTATTGCATCCCTCAGTCCAGCGGATCAGCCCCAGCGCCCCTGAGGATTGCAGTGGCGGCCCGGTAGCGCACCCTGGCGATCCGTTTGCACCTGGCGATTTGATTATCGACAACACAGGTATTGGGGAGGGGAAGCAGAGCGAGTCGCCTGTCACATGTCAGCACCAGTCTTGATCCAGGGGCCAGCCGCCAGGCTGGATCCATCTTGCGCACTCATGGTCTTGGGGTGCTCCGACCACCACCACCACCACCACCACCACCACTGCCCGTCGTTGTCCACCAGCTCGAGCACTGAAGCTGAATATCGCGTCTGCTCCTCCCGCCAAAGAGTGGTCTTCGTACATCGTGGGCGCCCATTCGTCATGGGTTGATCTGGACTCGTCCGATCCCGTCGTTCGCAGCAACTCTGAGATTCTGCTCGCGCAAGAGGCTCAGTGGGCCACGCACATCGGGCTTGCCGCTGTCCAGCTGAGACTCCCCGTCGGCGATGCCATGGTCAATTTTGGCCGGACCGCAAGCCATATGCTCGAGCTCCTATCCTTCTCGACCTTATGGATCCGTGTGCCCATCGATTCACAAGCGAATCCGCCCGCAATCGACGATGCCAAATCAGATCTCGCAGACTCGTGGCGCAAATGGAACCTTGTACGAAGTCTTTGTGATAGCGATCCAAAACTGGGAGTCGGTAAGGAGGCGCAGATCCGAGTGACGAATAGCCGTTGGAAGCGCCGAGCTCCAGACCATCAGCTCAGTTCGATCCCCTGATCTGATAGTCGCTCGTCCGATCCTGCCTCCGACGGCGGTAGCGCTCGAGCTCCCTTCTGATCTTCCCGCTCAGGCGTCGCTGAATCGGTGGTTTTCGGAGCCAGTAAAGTGCATTGTTCTACCAACAAGCATCTTTCTCATCAACAAGAAGGGATATCCCGTTCTCCCAAAGAGCCACCAGATGTACATCAAGCAATGGATGAAGGTGGGTGCGGCTGCGATGCCGACAAACAGAACTCATCTGAACGACATCCTTGTCAAGAGGCAGTAACAAATGCATTGAACGTTATCTTTGCTCTTACTCGCCGCCCATCAGTATAATGTCCAATTTGTGATCAGCACGCCCTCCGACGTCGTCACAAGCGAAGGCGGTCTCGGGGCGTTCCAGCAATACCTGCATCATCTGGCAAGCACACTTCCGGAGCTGGATCATGTCGAAAAGCTCTCTGCGGGCTATCAAGAGTAAGCATCCCCAGTCGGACTGAGGTGAAGGTGCACCATCAAACAGACGCTGCAGCGAATTGACGTGATCAGCAGGCCAAGTCCTGGGAGAGCGATCTAGCCCGAAGCAATATCACGAACCATGTGATCTACATTCGGTGCGGGATGCTGGATGATACTAATCTATACTCTCTGGTACGACAGCTTCCTGCAAGCCCCGCTCCAGCCACTCATGAACAATCTGGAGTCGTCGACCTATGAAGTCTTTGAGAAAGATCCTGCAAAGTACAACGCCTACGAGAAGGTACGTTGGCCCTGATCTCGATGGCTCTCGATGACTCTCGACGACCCTCGGTGGCTCTTGCCTCGATCCTTGCCTGACCGCAACTTCCCGGTGTAGGCGATCCACCAAGCTCTGCTCGACAAGATCCCAGGAAATCCAAGAGAGTCTATGTATGTCACTCGGCGCCATGTTAAGAATCCGACGAAGCACTTTGCCCGCCCTTCGATCAGCAAGTCCGTCGACATTTAACCCACTGATGTGTCTTTGTTTTAGCGTCGTAATGGTCGTTGGAGCCGGTCGAGGGCCCCTGGTGGACTGTGCTCTCAGAGCAGCCGAGGCCGCTGGCCGAAAGATTCGCGTCTATGCCCTCGAAAAGAATCCGAATGCCATTGTCATGTGAGTTTCTGGGGGCTACGGGGGCGAGCCTCGTTACAGTCCGAGTGGATTGTGTCCCACGGGCCGAGTTTGGCAGATCAAAGATGATCTGATCGTATAATAAGCTGCTGACGATCCGTGCCCTCCTCTTCTCATCGCGTCTGGCATTTGCTATCGCAGTCTGAGACACAAGCAGCAGATGCAGTGGAGGAACAAAGTTGAGGTCGTGCACTCCGATATGCGGTATTGGAGTTTCCCCGAAAAGGCCGATATCCTCGTTAGCGAGTTACTTGGCTCCATCGGCGGTAAGGCAAACATGGCCCCGTTGGAACACATGCGGGGATAGCATGATCTGTCGTCCGTGTCTCCAGGCTGTAAAGTGTTTGATCTCGATGGCCTGGGCAACCGTCATGCAGGATCCTTGATATCAGCACAACATCAGCACCGAGGTATCGCGATTGTGAGGATACCGAGATCATGGATTGACACACAATTCCTGGCTCTTTATTGCCATCAACCCTACCATAGACAATGAGCTCTCGCCGGAGTGTCTGGATGGCGCCCAGCGTTTTTTGAAATGTGAGTCCTGTGCATCGATAACGTGCTGCCGGAAGAAAGGCATTTGAGGCACCGGGATGCAAGGGAATTCGGCTTGGACATGCCATGGAATGGAATACGCCGGAAGATCGCTGACTGGTTCTATTCCTGTCACTGCGGGAACAGCCGATGGCATTTCTATCCCCTCACAGTACATTTCGTATATTGCGCCCGTGGCCTCATCGACGCTCTACAACGACGTGAGACAGCTGAAAACGCAGACTCACCTGGAAACGCCCTATGTCGTCAAGTTCAAGGCCGTGACCGAGCTCGGTAGGTACAGAGTGCGCCGGACAGTCGGTGGACACCTTTGCTGCTTCACGATCGCAACTCCAGCTGCTCATTCTGATCCTTGAATCATGCAGCCCAGCCTGTAGCAGTCTGGCGGTTCGACCATCCCAACTGGAGCTTTGTGGACAAAACTGGTACACCGTACTTTAATCGACACAACCAGCGCTATGCACACTCTTCGTTCTATATCGAAGAGAACTCGATCATGGTATGGGCAAAGGGAGTAGGGGCACCGGTGTCCGCGAGGCAATTTTTTCCACACAGGTCATGATGCACGAGCAAACACCATCGAGCTGACACCAACTCGTTCTCTGATCCGTGGACTCTGACAGCATGGCATCGCTGGGTACTTTGAAGCGTATTTGTACAAGAAAGTAATGATCAGCATCCACCCCAAAACACACACGCCTGAGATGTTCAGCTGGTTCCCGTTGTTTTTCCCCCTCAAGGTAAGCACAAGATGGCACGCTGTGAATCTCTGGTGCCACTGGGCCCCCAGCACTGTCCCTCGCTTCGTTTCTGACGACAAAAACAACTCTCTTGAATTGCAAAAGACACCCGTCTATCTCCATGCCGACAGCACGGTGGACATTCACTTTTGGAGACACTGTGACAGCCGCAAGGTGTGGTATGAGTGGTCCGTCATTCCCTATCAATCCAACGGCCTGAAGAACGATCCGAAGCGACTCGGCAGTGCGACAGCAAGCGGCACATCGGCAATCCATAATTTTGGGGGTCGGTCGTCGTGGATTGGACTTTAGCGACCTCTGGGGGTTAGGTTCTCAGGACCCTGTGTGGCTCGCGCGGCCTCGGGATGCAGTCCGCCACGTTTGCTCCCCATGCAACAGCTCAAATGACGGACGAGCAGGCTCCTTTCGCTGCATGTTCCGACACAGCGCACCCAAAAACGAAACGGGACACGCTGTCCTGACTCAGAGCCGTCGCTTTTGTTCTGGATACTGAATACACCTGCCTGACGATCGCAACCACGGCCAAACAGCGTGCTCACAGTGTCTGGAGACCAACCCACTCCAGTCATCCGACCAGATGTACCCGAGACAGTGCTCGAGACTGTGCTCTCGTAAGTCAGCCAACCAAGACAGCGGTGCAATCCCGTGGCCTGCCCGCTGGGCCCGCATATCGCTGGGAGGGACAGGTCCCGTTTTTCTTCTGGAAAAGCTGTAGATGAGCATGACCGTGGTTCATCGCCAGGCCCACCTCCAAGATGTCAATCGGCCACGCCGCAGGCGACAGCGATCCAGGAGGACAATGGTTGGGTACACAAACAGGGAGCAAAACGAATTCGTCGCCTGCAGGATTCGAACCTGCGCGTCCAAAGGACAATGCCTTAGCAGGGCACCGCGTTAACCACTCCGCCAAAGCGACTCGTTGTAGAGGATTCCTTGTCGAAGGTATTCCAATTCTGTCTGCACCTCCATCCATTCCGAGTATCCATCCAATCGCCACCCCATTTCCCCAATTCCCCAATTCCCCAATTCCCCAATTCCCCAATTCCCCAATTCCCCAATTCCCCAATTCCCCAGCCGCCGGGCTTATTCCGTTGCCGCTTATTCCGTTGCCGCTCCCATCCCACCAGTCACCCGCCCGTCGCCATTCACACAAATCTAATGCCACCCCACATTTTCATCCATTCTTTCAGCCCGCTCGAGCGATTGGGTTCATAATTGCCTGTTGCCGTCGCGGGATCGGGTCCATGGCTTGCACATGTATGCTGCCGATCCGGCAGAAACTGAACAAACATATCAGAAAATGGTGCAAACTAACAAATCATCCCGCCCAAACTGATAGTCAGTTGCGGCCAGTACGGCCAAAGACGCTGCCTTCGGGATACCCTTGCTCCACACCCTCGAGCTGTGGAACTGGCTGGAGTGGCGGGGAGAGAAAACCTGCTCGAATCAAGTACTTCAAGCAACGTTTGATCTGCTTTCTTGCTGGAGGACTCGAATTCGAATAGATTGCACGGGTATTTCTGTTGTCGATTTGAAAAGACATGACCATCATGATGTGCATGAGTGTGAGCAGGATGTCGTTTTCGATCAATGGATGGGTACGGAGAAGAAACTTGAACTGCTCTCGAGTCTCGTGTACAACTCTCCAGCCAAAGGTATTGATGATCTCAAAGAGACTGTTTTCAGAAATGAGACTGCGTGATGTGGGTATGAATCGGACGTAAGAGCGAATGTGAGTAGATGTGCGTGGATGTGCGTGGATGTGCGTGGATGTGCGTGGATGTCCGTGGATGCAAATGAAGGCGAGCGGATGTGAGTGGATGGATGACTGGCTACCGATACCAAGTGAGGAAGCAGCCATTAATCTTACCTGTTCTCCGAGTCGCTGATGTGAAACACAAACTTGAAAATAGCCACCCTGGATCCTGCGATGGCCGCAATTGCTTGAGCGACATGATCGACGGGATCCATGGTCATCGTGACAGGAGTGGCGTGCGAGGGAGCAACGCCGAGCTGAATGCATCCCTTGACATATCGCCAGATGTAGTCATCAGAGTTGGACACTGGAGCGATGGAGAGCGTGAAGGTGTCAGTTGGTGTCAGTTGGTGATGAGTACCACTCGGCAATCGAAACCATCGATTCATGGCCAGTCCATAGGGACGATTGAGATATCTCCATCACACCACACCACATCACACCACACCACACCACACCACACTCAGCTTACCTCCGTACTGGCTGTCGCCAGCAATGACGGCTGGACGAATGATCGTCACTGGCACTCCCCTCGATCGTGCCTTGTTGATCAGTTGCTCAGAGACCCACTTGGTCTGCGAATAGCCGCCAGAGATGTTCCAGGCCGAGTAGATCGTCTCCTCGAGCGGCTTGTCTGCCTTCTTGGCCATCGGGATCGTGCCGATGGTCGAGATGTAGTGCAGCGGCTTCAGGTGGTGGGTTGTGGCCAGTCTCAGTGCCGTCGCTGTGCCGAGGACGTTGGGTCCCTTGAGCTGGAGATAGTCAAACAGCCAGTGGACCTCGGCGCCGCAGTGGACAATCATGTCGGTCTCCTCGCTGATCTCCTTCCATCGCTCGTCCGAGAGTCCCCACTTGTTCTTCGACAGATCGCCGCACAGTCCAACGAGTCGAGACTTGAGGTTGTGGTCAAGGAAGGCTCTCTGGCTCGGATCGAGGACCAACTTCTGAGCCGTGCTGATGATGCGCTCGACAGCCACCTGCTCGGTCGGGGCTCGGACCAGGCAGTAGATCTTGGCACTGGGAAATTTGTGGGCTAGCTCATACAGCAGGAATGCGCCGAGGAACCCAGTGGCACCAGTCAGCACAATCCCTTCGAACGGCTCGGGAAACACAAACGGAGGGAGACCCTCAGCCGTCACACTCGCATCGTCGAGCCGTGCAACCTCCTGAGCCAGATCGACAATCGGCAGAGTCCCCGGTCTGCTCGCTTGGATGTCGACAACCAGCTGGGCGACATCAGTCGGCGTCATTCCGTTCGACAGGAGGATCATCGGCGAGATCTCAGCATCAAACTCGTTCTTGATGGCGAGGGCCAGACGGACGACACTCAGCGAGTCAAAGCCGACACCGCCGATGTAGTAGTTGCGGCCGTCGAGGGCAGGGTTGTCGAGGATCTGGCTACCAAGTGTGGATATCTTGGCGGCAGTGCGGGACAGTGGAGTATTGATTGATTGAAGGCATGGATACACAATCGACTTTGTGCGCTGGTCGCCATTCTCGGCAATGAGCTTGAGTTGCTTGAGATCGCGCTTGCCCGAGTCGTTGAGGGGAAGCCGCTCCAGCTCCAGACAGTTGTGGATCGGGAACTGGGCAACGTTCACGAGGGCAAAGAGCTCCTCGCACATGATGAGGACATCGCCGGGACTCGTTTGCGGACGGGAGCCGATGGCAGGGACATAGAGCATCACAGTGCGCTGCTCGGAGGTCTGGACAAATGCACAGTTGGCGATGACATGACTCAAGTGCTGAGAAATGATTTCTTCGAGGGCGCTGAGGTCGATATAGACCCCATTGACCTTGACTTTCTGATCGGACCTGGTGGATGAGCAGTGTATGAGTGAATGAGTGGCGAAAAGGGGTAATGAATGACCCCATCTCATCTGGCATCGGCACACGATGTGTTTGCTTCACACCTACCTTCCAATCACGATGAACTCGGTATCGCTGACCATCTCGACCCAGTCCATGGTACAGACACGAGGCGAACCATCGCCGAGAAATCCAAAGGAAGCCAACTTGTCGTGTGGGTCGGCGCTGAGAAAGCTGGGGTGGTTTTTGACGGGATGGTCGGGATCGACAGCAAAGACCAGGATTCCGCTCTTGAAGAATCGTCGGTCAACAAAGTTCCCATGCTCGTCAAAGAGTAGGCACCGAATCTTGGGATTCATGATCTTGTAGACGGGCCGAATAGGTTCATCCATATGACCCGGTATAAGGCAAAAAATGGATACTGCCTCGATAACAGTGGTCTAGGGAGAATGGTACGTGTCATTTAAGATCACAGCCCGCCGCCACCGTTGCCCAACCGACATCCTACCTCTCTGGATCCATAGAACGACTGTATTTCGGCATTGGGAAAGAGCTTGCAAGCCTGGCGAATCACTGAGGCGGGAGCAACTTCGGATCCCATGGCTATTTTGCTCAACTTTGCCCACACTTTGTGTGGATTGGATGATAGAGCAACGCCAACGACCAACTTCATGAGCGACGGCGTCTGGTCGACGATCGATTCGGTAGGTGAGTGTAAGCGAGTCAAGATCCCTTACAACGAGACAGTGGGACTCTTACCATATACATGAAGGTGAGTCCATCGTCAAGCATTTTTGCGATGCTTTCGGCCTTTTCGACAGCGCGAGGTGTGAGGCGTGGCAGCCAAGTTGATCCCCTGAGGTTGAGCGCACAGAGCAGCGCATTTACAGACGCTAGGAAGGACGGCGGCTATTTGGAGGATCCGTGTTAGACCTATTCTGGCACACTCTCAGCTTGGTGCTTTGATGGATACATTACCTGGTTGATTGCGATGTTGCTATACTGAGCAAGTATTACTGCTCTTCCCGGGATGGCTCCAACATGCGAGTACTGAAACCTGAAAGACAGTTGGATGGATTCCAGGCGATCTAGTGTGAGTCGATGCAAGCTGAGCGAGTTGAGCGAGATCGGTTCGAAATCAGGGCACCTACGTCTTGGGAATGCCTGTAAAGATAAGATCGAGTCAGTCACAGCTTGCACATGACCCTCCAAATCATACGTCCCACCCATTCGCATGAACGTGCCGAGCCGGGGGCTTGTCGCGCTGTCCGTTGTAGTCCGTACCTATAGTTCCAGCAGCACAAGCGATGACAACGAACTCGTCCAGGAATTCACAGGCCTTGAGAGACGGAACTGGGATATCGTCCAAGGTCGGGAAGACCGAAGGGTCGACAGGGCTCGTGCCCAGGGTACGTCCGGGCTTGACGCAGTGGTGCAGGATATACTTGATCGAGTATCTGGATGGATGCAGCCCTGTCAGCTGCTGTTTATGAATCGACACCCTCTCTGCAGCCATCATCACTTCTGAGGCCAAACTATCCCACAGACAATAGACATGCCCACAAACGATCCAACCATGCCCACAGACAACACACCTGTCGCACAGAGCCTTTCGGGCAGCCGGAGGCAGGTTGAGACCAAAGTTGATTGTCTTCCTGGATGGTGGTCAAGGGACGAGCGAGGAGTCGGGAGGATCACAGAGCCAGGAGGGAAGATCGCAGAGTCAGGGCATCACAAGCCAGGACAGAGCGGACGATGGCACTGGATCGACAGTGCTGGTGGCGGATGTGTGGAGCAAGCAAGCAGCAGACGACTGATGCAGCGGGACTCGCCCTCGATCGCATCCAAGCAGCACTCACTTGCCGAGCATCCACACTGCAAGGGAATAGAACACCCAGTTGACCTCGGACTCGCAGAAGGTGCCGATGACCTCGTGGTCTTCATCGTCCCAGCCGGCGAGGGCCCTGAGCCCCTGGGCGATCGAGTATGCTCTCCTCCACACCTGGCGATAGGAGTGTCGCTCGGAGGCACCGCTCTCGTATGTGTTGATCAGGAGGGCATCGGGCTCGTCGCGGGCGCCGTTGATGAGACACTCGATGGGATGGAGCCAGGGACCAAGGGAGTCGGCTGGTTTGGAGGATGCCGTGTCTGACGGCTCGGGCTGGGTTTGCTGGACAGGGGCTTTCGAGGTTGTGTCATCCACATCCATATCGACATCCACATCGACATCCACATCCATCGACGACTTGGCCGGGAGACTGGAGCTCGAGGCCATTTGGTGGCGGATGCGACGGAGTAGGGGAGATCAGGGGAGGAAGAGGACGAGGAGAGGGAAAGGAACAGGCAAGACGAGATGCGGCGGGATGGAGTGGGATGGGATGTGGGATGTGGGATGTGGGATGGCATGCAGATTCACCCCCTCGCCGATCGGAATGGCCATGACTGGTTCGGGGTTCGCGTCTGTGGAACCTGGGGCGGGTGGCCCACCTGCCACTCTGGCATTGGCTGTCGCTGCTCGGCTGTCGCTGGTGGCATCTGTGGGTGTCTGTCTCTGCTCCGATAATGCAGGAGCACCACGGGATAATGCAGTAACACCACGGACTAATGCAGTAACACGGCTAATGCGGTGGATGTGGAGCAAAGCGGAAAGCGCCACCGCACCCCTCGATTGTCCCACTTCGTTTGCTCCGTCGCCCTCGATGACGATTGTTGCTGATTTCTCCTTCATTCACTCCCATCCAACTTGCCATATGGCTGTGGTGCCGGGAGGATACGGACATCGTGGCCAGCGCCCGTCCTTATCAACTGTGCTATATTGTTACATCTCGGATATCTAGTACATGGAGTACACATCTATAGCATAGGAAGATCGGCATTGGGGTAGGAGATTCCGACGAGATTTTCGGCCCCGACACTTTCCACAAAGAAAATCGGCCATCATAATTGTGCGTCCTCCTCCGCCAAGATAGGCTCCTGAGCCGAACACGATCACCCTATATAACTCTCGAGATTGAGCTCAGGCACAATGCGAAGGTAGTATTTGAGGGCATCCTCCCAAGTTGAGTCCGAGACCCGCATGATCGAGTCGCTCTGTCGATCGAAAGTACAACCGGTGAGGCTTTGGAGCGATGAGTGTGTGCCAGCGCCAAGCACTTTATGCATACGCTCGCGGGTGACCCACCTTGGGCATTTGGTCCCGGCAGTGGCATGTTTCGTAGGCGACGCCGTCCTCTGGAATGTCAACGGGGCAGTGGATGTATCCCTCGTGGCGATATCCTATATCACGCACAATGGATCAGGTGGTGGAGATCTGTCAACGAAGAGTCCCAAATCATATGGCAACAACAGTAGCCACTGCATCTCATCCAGTCGGCCACCCACCCACCCCCGCCTGCACGGGGCCAGCGCCATCAGCTTACCAATATCATGGAAATAGTGCACTTGGCTCGGATCAAGGAAGAGGGCGATGCCAAGCGTATGGACCGGAGCGTCCCCCCATCGCTCGAAAAAGAACCCGCCTTTATCATCCAGAAACTTGAAGTAGTCCAGGTACTCGTCGGACCGGAAAAAATCGAGATCGGCAATCTCAAAGTTGTTGAAGAAATATTTGTAGTTATATCTACTTTCAGATTCGGGCTCGTCCCCTGTTCGTTGGTCAAAGGCTCGCAGGTGGAGAGGAAAGCTCCGGTTGCGCGAGTGGAGATACTCCAGGGTTGAGCTCCAAAGGGTCGGCACTGTCCACAGAATCTCGACTCCAACAATGTTGAAACCGTATATCTTGTTCTGCTTTCGCATCAGCTCAAAAGGATCATAGTTGAGTGTGCAGTAATAGGAAACACTGGGCTCGAGCTGGAAGAGCATGCAGATTGGTCAGACAACCGGGATGAACTGAGATCGTTATCACGACAGGAACGGGATGGTGGTCGGCGATGAGACTCGACCTGGTGCTGATGCGAGCCAGGATATCGATAATGCCATCCGAGACCCTGCGTATACGCCGAATATCGAAAGCCGACGGAACAACAACAGACACCGACAACAGACACCGACAACAGACACCGACAGCAGGCAGCAGACAACAGAGAGCCATCGGCTGGCACCTACCCTCCAGTAGTACTTGAAGTCCCTCAGGGCTGGATGGGTGGCAAAGAACCCAGAGAAGTAGCGGCACATGTGGTGGTAGTTCTCAAGCTCAGCCTTGAGTCCGGGTCGCTCGCCCTGCTTCCTGAAGGACTCCAGCACAGCCGATCGGTTGAAGTTGGGCGGAATGGACCACTGATCTTGTGGGATCAGCTCGAAGCGGACCTTTGCCTCTGTCGCACTGGAGACTGCGTCCTTGAAGTCGTCATCGAAGGGCTCTTGATTGAAAAACACATACGGATACATATAGCGGGCATTGAAGGTGGACTCGAACGTGGCGAGGGTCTTGACAACGTTTTTCTTGTCCGAGTTGCGCGCCAGCATGATGATGCAGGCGTTTTCCCGACCAGGCACGTTTTGATACGACAGATGCTTGATCATCAACGTCTCGGGCTGGGTTTTGAATGGGACTGTACCCGTATCCGAGAACACCTGAACGACGATATCTGCAGACGAGGACCGAGTGTTGCGTATCCATAGTTCGATTGCGCAGATCAGCACCAGGACGCTGAAGAGTGCGAATGTCATGAGGCGCTTGACTCCTTTCATTGTTGTCGGATGCAGTGTCTGATGGTTGGATTGGATTGGATCGGATCTGAATCGGCGGATAAAATGATTAAGCGATGTCGACGCAAATCGATCGCCGAAGGCTGCGGCTTCTTGCGATCGATTGTGCTTGGCTGAAAGCTGACCACGGTCGACTGTGGTTGATCAAAACCGGACTATCTCAAGGCAGATCAGTCGGCACTGGGCAGATGATCCAAATATAGGATGTTCAATCTGATCCGATCCGCGGCAGGTCGAGAACGTTATGGCGGGGTGAATACCAAAGGAGTTGCTGGGCGGAAATTGGCGGGCTGGGACTGGAAGCAGCTTGGCGGGCTGGCGCTTCCGCTCCCCCCCCCCAACCATGAAACTCTGAGAAACCATTGACTCACCACCGTTGTTGCGGAGACCTCGGCGAGTAGATTACGCCGTGTTAAAGAAAAATGGGACCCATCGTCTCATTCGGACAAACACGGCGTAGTCGGATCATACCATGCACCCAGTCGAGTGGGTTAAATCATTTCCCTGTGTGAGGGAGATGCATGGAGTGAGTGGGCACGACGGGAACCTCGGCGAGCAGATTCCGACGTTTCCGAAATGAAATGGGACAGCCAGCTTCTAACCATGACAGTGTTTTTTCTGGAACCTGAATACACCCACCCACTCATCGCATTCATGGCCAAGCAAGTATGTCCAAGGAGACCGAAGTGGTGATTGCCTTTGGGAATGCATCCTGGAAACAGGGGAGGGGATATGCATCCAGCCCACGGAGACTCAGGTTCGCTCGGTATTTCGAGCAGTTCATACACCACCAGAGACGCCCACCAGACCGATCCGTCTCCAAGATCCATGTGTGCTCGGTGAACGAGTTCAACACATCCCAGGTGTGCTCACATTGTCGGGAATTCAAGCGACTTGAGTCACCCGAGCATCTTGATATCGAGAAACCACACTTTGTCCGGAGCTGTACAAGCTGCCATACACTGTGGGATCGAGACATCAATGCAGCCAGGAACATGATCTCGGTATGCCAGTCGATCATCGCCCATGGAGATCGAGCGAGTGTATTCAAGACTGTGCTTCCCGAAACCAACCAAAACCACTCGATTGCCAACCAAGACGGGAAACAATCGCATGGCTTGCTCACTGGGGCCTACAGTCAGTCAGCGGGCTTCAGATATCTGAAGCCAGGAAGGAACTGTCCCGTTTCTTTCTGGACCGACTGTATACACCAAGATCGTATGACCCACACAACCCACACAACCCACACAACCCACACAACCCACACAACCCATGCAAGCCATCCGTCCTTCTCTTGTGGCTTGGTCAAGAGAACGAAGCTAAGCTAGTCTCTCCATGTGACGAGGACACTCTTCCTGAACATATCGAGGGGGATCCTCGAGTCGCAACATGATATATGTATATTCGTCTTGGCAATGTTGCACTCGGCTACCTGGGACGTCCTCCTCTTCAAACAACACAAAAGGCTCGATAGGCGGTCGCGGAATCAGACTGGCCCAGGAACGCTACTGGGGCCCCGGCGGGAATGAAGAACACCGAGCCTTCCTCAGCAGCAACTTCGTGGCCCTCCTGAGTCAGCAAAAGTCCCCCAGATGTCACAATCAGGATGGACGGCCCGGCGATTCCCTCAAACGTCTCCGTCTGGCCCTGCTGCAGCTGAGTCTTGAGAATCGAAAATTCGGCGATTGGGGGGTCATACAGGCGAGTATACTGAGTGGCCTTGTAGGGGTCGCCGCGCAAAATCTGGGCATCGGCGGGGCCGTAGTTGTATGTAAGCATGCGAACCAGCGTCGGGACATCTTTAAACTTGGGCGTCAAGCCAGAGCGGACAACGTTATCGCTAGAAGCCATGCATTCGACGCAGTCTGCGACAATTGAATCGTATGTTTTGGTTAGTCAAATGGCTGTCTTGGTGATATGAGCCTGTCTTTCCAGCTTGGGGTTTGCGTGCTTGCACCAGCTTTGCTCAATCGCATGGCGGACCCATCTACTGTACCTCCCGATAGATAGGCGTGTGGCTCATTGGCCGCAAGGAATATGGCTTCACCAGGTTGCAGACAGACATAGTTCAGCACCAGGGCGCAGAAGCAGCCAATGTCGGACGGAAACTGGCTATCCAAGCGCAACACCAGCTCCTCAGTCGAGCCCACGCGGTACTGCGAGATGCTGCCCAGACGAGCAACAAGATTCCGAAGTTGCTGCTCGACACGAGCGCTATCAGCCTCCATGAGGCTTTTGAAGAGGCTCTTCAGACCCTGCTTGTTTGCAGACACCGCAGCGGGCACGGTCTTGTCTCCGGTCTGCTGAAACTGGTGCTCAAAGAAGGCCGCAGCGTCTTCGCCGACGACAGCGCGGAACTCAGGAAAGCGGGTCAGGTTCTGGGCAATCTCGGCGAGAGGCTTGAAGTTGATGAAAGCTTCGAACGGAGTCAGGGCGATGGCCTAGGACACGATGTCGGCGCGTTAGTCGCTTAGGGAGGGATGCAGTGACACCGGGGGCGGAGCGCTGATGAGCATGCCTGTGATTCAGAGATCGTATCGAAGGGTCTGGGGGGGGGAGATCGCTGTTGACCAGCGACGCATTGGCGGCATGCCACGGCTCCAGGGGCTCACCATCTCAGGCTTGTGGTTGGAATCCTTGTAGATCTTGGGAAAGTTCTGGAACAGCTCCTGAGCAAGCTGCTTGTCCGGGTGGGCCTGGATCGACAGGGCCTTGTTGATCGACAGGACCTTGAACAAGAACGGAAGATCTCCGCCATAGGCCGAGTGAACGGCTGTCGACAGGTTCTCGGCATTGAGGGCGTCCTTGAGAGGGGTCTTGGCATCGGCCGTCGTGGACGGGGCATTGGGATGTGTGCCCATCCATAGCTGATCGTCCAGGAGAACGCAATTGGGTAAGCAGAGGAAATGAAATCAGGACCCGGCAGGCGGGATGGAACAGGGGATCCCGACCATCTCGCCGTGCTCATTGGCAACAAGGTCTTGTCGCTGTGTTGGATCGAGGACCCAACGCGCATCTGCTCGACATATCGTCTGCGAGTGCAGCACGCCAGCGAGCGAAGACGCTTCACTGCGCCGGCTGTTGCTGGCAGTATCGGTGACCGATAATGATGCGGGCGTTGTTGTGGATGTTGTGGATGTTGTAGATGTTGTGGATGCCGTTGTGGACACCCATTCCCGCTCACCCCCATTCCCTCGCTCACCTCAGCATACGGGGTGCTGCCGTTGGCCTGGAAACCGTCAGCTGCATTGACAGCCAAGGTGGCAACCTTGGAGGAGCTTCCTAGCTTTCCCCAATCGTAGGACTGGGTCTTGCAGTAGATGCGCACGATCGACATGATGCTCGAGGACGGAGGCTGGGATCTGGATGATGGGGAGAGGGCGCCCTCGGCAGCGGGTGAGGTTTGCGCGGGCTGTGACGGAACGGCGGCTTGAGCGGGCTGAGCGGGTGGCTGTGTCCGCTGACCGTGGCGGTGGCTGGTTGGATTGCTGGCGAGCTGCGCATCACGTGGCGGATCGGAGGTTGGGCCGCGCCCTGGCCGATCAAGCCCCGGCGATCTGGGTGCGAACAGGGTGTGGTCGAGACGGAAAGCCGCTCACGGGAAGAGCGAGAAGCGAGCGGCGCAACGGGCACCGATGCACCCTATCCTCCGGAGGTGGATCAACAGGAATAATGTAATTTTACTCGGGAGCCGCCGCGAGCGAAGGTGTTGTTGGCAGGCACACACAGGGTGAAGAAGAGACAGACAGACAGATCCAGCGAGCCAACATACGCTTCATGCGGCCTGCCGTCTGCCAAACAAACGCAGACCGGGGCTGCGTGCGACAGACATCGAGCCGAGACGACGCCGTTGGTGACAGGGCAAGTTGGGCGCAGAGCAGCGCCCTTGAGAACAGGGATGTTGGCAGGATCGGAGGTATCGACGTGCCCTGGGACCAGCCTCATTTGCAACCAATGACTTCGTATCAGACGAGCCAGGAGGCTCGTGGGTGGCGTGCGGTTCGCTGGAAGGAAACCCGGTCGGTGGCTCAGACACAGCAGGCGCATTGTCGGGCGAGAGAACGTGCTATTGCTTCTTGCCCTTGCCCGACACACCGTTGGCGCCACCGGCCTTGACTGCTCGGATGACCTGGGGCTGCACCACCCCGATCGCTGTTGGTATGATCATACCGGGAGTGCCCTGGGCAGAAAAACGTCTTAGCATTTTCTGTGTCGATGGGTTCTGGCAAGGCATATCCGCCATCCGCTTTTGCGCTCAGCCAAGTCTTTCATCTGCAAATCCATTGCCGCCCGGGCCCAAGAGTATCGTTCTGCGACCCACAAAAACAGCCTGGATGCCCATATCCATATCCATACCCATACCCATGCGGATGCAGCAGCTCAATCGATTGGCACATGCCTAGTTCAGGGATATCGGAGGTCGATATCTTACCTTTCGAATACCGAGGAGGTCTTCTGCCATTTCGGCCTCTGTGAGCAAAAAGTTGATGCTGCACTTTTCTTGCAGCTTCTTCCTCTTGGTGGGCTTCTCCTCGGTTTTGGCCTGGTTTCGTTTCAGACGGGGATTCTGTTTTCCGCTTTCGATGGCAATGTCTGAAAACGCAGAGCATGAGACTGTGTGTTTATACACACTCAATTGGACCGAGGCTGAGCACATTCGTTTCCATCAGGGACATCGCCATGGCTCACAGACAAGCCAATGTAGAGGCGCCCAAGTGGCGAGGAGAACTCGCAAGTCTTACCATTCTGGAATTCAAAGCTTTCTCGATCCTCTTTCAACTTGCGTTTTCGCTCTTCAAGCGCCTGCAGCAAGCGATCCTTCAGGTTCTGTCTCTCCTCCTACAGGGACAAGGTATAGCCAATCAGCCAGGAGGACCGGGTACCGCTGAGGTCCTGGTAGCCTCTGTGTTGGCTTTGCGACAGTACTCTGAGGACCGCTACCTCATATTCTTTGTTTGTGGCTTCAATCTCTTGCTTGTATTGAGCATGGGCACAATCCAGCTGGTACTTGCGATAGATATCTGCTATCTGGATCGATTCATCGCGCCGCCGCTTCAGGTTCTCGATCTGCTCCTCAAACTCGGTGTGTCGCCCTTCTTGGGCCCATCGAAGCTCAGCCCTTAGGGCCTCGATCTTGTCGCGGTAGATGCTAAGGCGGAGCAAAGTCCATCAGAATCGGCGCAGTCTCTCGACGCTGCGGCCGATGAGCTTCACCCATCGGGCTGGACGGATGTGTGGCGAGCTGATTTCTTACGCTTACCTGTCCTTATTGTCCAAGAACTCGCGATTGTATCTCTCCAAGGCGTCAATGATCCACTTGTGACGCTTCTCGGCTTTGTTAAAAACCGGCTCGACTGGTTGATAGACGCACAGCGATGGTTAGATTGCGAGTATCTTTGGACCGACCTTCGGAGCCGAGTTTGTGTGCCACGCCAGACAGGAGTAACTCGGAGGAGCAACCCACTCAAAGAAAAAACAGGTCGGCACCATCCACAAGCGTTCTTTCGAGTAACCAGGGGGGCATCGCATGACTATTTTCAAACCATGACAGGCAGACGGCTTACCTCCGTTTTCGATTTCAATGTCGTGGTCAACATCAGGATCGTAGTCGCCGTCTCGCTGCGGCTCGTCGGGCGGCTGGAGTGGAGCATAGCCCGAGTGCAGGTCGCTGCCAATGTGTTCGTACTCCATGGCATTTTCGAACTCCCTTTCTCGCTTGCGTTGCCGTCGATCTTCCCGTCGCTTGGCTTCGGTGGCTTCACGGTAATGGTCCCGTATTTGGCGTTCACGCTCATCTCGGATCATGACCTTTTCGGCATCTTCAATTTCTCTTCCCCGCTCCCGTTCTCTTTCTCTTTCTCTTTCTCGCTCTCTTTCGCGCTCCCTTTCCCTCTCCCGCTCAAGATACTCCCGTTCTCGCTCACGCTCCCGTTCCCGCTCGCGCTCAATCCGCTCCCTCTCTCGTTCCCTTTCCCTCTCGCCTTCCCTTTCATGGTGTTCTCGCTCTCGTTCGTGGTGTCCGCGATCGTACTCTCGTTCGTCACGAGGGTCTCTTTCTAGCATACGTTGTCGTTCTCGCTCTCGTTCTCGTTCCAGATCGCGGGACCGGTGCAGATGGTCGCCTTCGTGGTCCCAGTCCCGCTCCATGATGCGGTCTCGGTCCTTGTCGAGGGGTTCGGTCCGGTAATCCCAAGGGCGCGGCAATTCTCGGCGACCGTGGTCCCAGTCTCGGTCGGGGAGGCGGTGGTGTGCTCCGGCTGAATAGGAGTGTTGGCTCGGAAGCGGCAGGGCATGGTGGGGTGAGCGATCATGGCGCAAACGGGATCCCCGCTCAAAGTTGTCAAGCTGGCTGCTTTGGGAATAGGCCACATAGTCGGGCTCGACATCGCGCGAGTGGATGATGGAATGACTCATCGTGGCCGGGTGCGAAGAGGGCGGTCCAGAGAGAGGGTCTGGCAGATGTCGACTCGAAATGGCGTGGTGCGCCGGCGGCTCTCTATGAGCGCTGCTTGAATAGGGCTCCAAGGATGGACGGCTATACGGGGCACGGTCATGGCCGTATGGGGCTCGATCATGCGGGTGCATCTGGGGCTGAGAGCTGGATGACAGGGCCCGGAAATGGTGGGGTGGCTGATCACGATGATGCGACTTTGAGGCGCTCGAGAGCGACTGCGACATGGGGCCGTAAGCCATGTAGCCCATGGTCGTCCCGTTTGGATGCGAAAGATGCGGCCCCGACATTGGAGGGAGGCCCGACGGGAGGGTGGGCGACTGCAAATGCGGCAGGGTGTTTGAGCGGGCCGAGCCAGAATAATAGGACGGGCTGTGCGAGACCATCGAGGGTGTTCCTGCCGTCGAAATGGAGGAGAGCGGCGGGGGGTTGGTGCTGGCTCTGTGGCTTTGGCTTGACGGGAGGTGGAGCGGCGGATGTTGGGACATGAAACCGTGTCAGAGAGGCTCAACGGACGAAGGCCAGCGGTCAGACGATTGGATGGAGGGCGGGATTGATCCGGCTTGGATTCCGATGCAGGACTGGGATCAAGACCAGATCCTTGGCGTGTGTCTTGCACGATGGCAGCAGGAAGAGGCCGGGCGTGGAGGCTGTCCGGGGGGGGGGAAGGCAGATGCAGGTTGGGAATGCAAGCGTCGACAGCAGCAGCGTCGGAGGGGCAACAGCGGCCGGTGGAATGAGTGCTGCGCACAGGTATTAATGAAATGGACTGGCACGCCAGAGCGCGACTGCTGGGAAGCGAGTCGACGGGACGGGATCGACGAGAGATCACGGTGCTGGAGAAGCACTTTCGACGCTGGGGCGGCACTCGGTAGTCGAGGCCGCTGCCCTGCTTGTCTGGAGATGCAGCAATAGCTCTGGCGTTCCGAGTGCTCGTGCGGTGGATGCGCCGCTCGGTGCCAGACGTGGCCGATGCCGATGTCGATGCCGATATCCGTCGATGGGGTTTCAGTGCTCTGCCGTGCCAGCATCGGCTCCCACTTCGTCTCTCTCTCGCTTGCTGCCGCGCCAACACCCCGCGATTCGGTCGTTGCCTCGACAGCCCCCCTGATGCGCCCCCTGTCGCCTGTTTGTTTGGCCAAGCCGGCGCATGGCGGGAAACCTGCCCATGTTGCCCGCCTCGCAGCCGTGTCCTGGCCGGGGCTCTGGCTTGACCTGCTCTTCCCTCCCCTCGTCCTGCATTTTGCGATCGTGCTGCTGCTTCTGCTCCTGCTGCTGCTGCTGCTGCTGGAGGAATATGACCGCTCGAATTGGAGTCGGGTAACGTTGCACCCGCGCGCGTCTGTCTTTTGTTTTCGGTGGCTGTGCGCGTTCGCTGGGCGTTGGTGTCGCTGCCGTTTCTGGCTTCGTGGCAGTCAAAGCCGACAATCCACGGCACTCGGCCTCGATAAAGGCGGCTGGTTCCAGGACCGTTGGCGATTCCGCGATCGTCTCGTTTCGTCTCGTCTCGTCTTGGACGGCTGCAGCCGCTGTCAGCGTTGCCCTGATCGTATCCAACGCTATTGCCCCCCTGTCTTTGCCTGCGTCCTGCACAGACCGACCATCATGGCAATCCTCGTCACCCACCTCAAGTGGATCTCGCTCCTGGTCCTGGTCGTCCAGAACTCGGCCCTGGTCCTGATCATGCGCTACTCAAGAACCATCCCCGGCCCTCCGTATCTCGCCTCGACCGCTGTCGTGCTCTCGGAGCTGACCAAGCTCGTTGTCTCGCTCATGATCCAAGTGAACGATGAGATCAAGCAGAACCCCGGTGGCACCTTCTCCTGGGGCAAGGTGTACTCGGACATCCTCGGCCCGACATCCGACTGGAAGAAGATCATGGTGCCGGCGGTGCTCTACATGATCCAGAACAACCTGCAGTACCTGGCCGTGACCTGTTTGGACGCCGCTACCTTCCAGGTCACCTATCAGATGAAGATCCTGACAACGGCCCTGTTCTCGGTCTGGCTGCTCAGCAAGCCTCTCTCAAAGATGAAGTGGATCTCGCTCCTGATCCTGACCATCGGCATCGCCCTTGTCCAGCTCCCGTCCACCAAAACCGATGCTAAGAAGAGCAGCGAGGGCGAGGCCGCTTCCAACGAGAATCTCGTCCGCTTCGTTGGCCTGGTGGCCGTCACGGTTGCGTGTATTCTCTCTGGTCTTGCCGGTGTCTGGTAGGCATGCACTGCAGTTTTTGCGAATCGATGTCGCTGGACTGGCCTGGGACTTGAGGCTCGCTCGCTGCTTTGGCCGACAACACCGCTTGCCCCTTGCTAATACTGGTCCAGGCTCGCCGAGACGCATTGAGCCTGCTTGTGCAATCTGCGCTCTGAGAATCCACCAGCATCTATTCGCCAGATATACCCCCTACCAATCTCACTCTGTTGTCCTGATCCTCCTTCCAGGTTCGAAAAGGTCCTGAAGGGCTCCAAGGCTAGTGTGTGGGTCCGCAACGTCCAGCTGAGTCTGTTTTCGATCATTCCCGGCTTTTTCATTGGCGGTAAGCCGGCCTTGACTCCTTGCTTGTGAGCCTGTCCTCAACAGACGGGCCAGGCCCAATTCGCCACAAACGAGTCTTCTATGCATCCTGGAGATTGGTGTCAAGCCAGATGCCTCTCGAAAGGAGGGATAGTGGTCCTTGAACCGAGGGCCACCTTCCGACGAGGTGGAGCTGAGGCGGCGAGCATGAGAGTGTCTGCTGCAGGGATCTGAGATAGTGCACATACAGGGATCTGGGATAATGCACATGCATTTTATCTGGTGTCGTCCCTCGTCTCCGTCTGCTGGCTGTGACGCACGCTCATTTCTGGTTTATGATTTCTGCCGCACAGTCTGCTACATGGACTACAAGGTTGTTGTGGAGCACGGCTTCTTTTACGGCTACAACATCTGGACCTTCGCTGCCATCGCTTGCCAGGCGCTCGGGGGACTGATTGTTGCTCTGGTTGTCAAGTAGGTTTCCCTTCTGGTGCATTCAACTGTGTTGATGGAGTCTATTGATCTGCCCCCGCTGGATCCAGCCGCTGAGACCACCATTGTTGGTGTCGTTTCCCCCCGATCTGATGGGTTGAGCCACCTGGAACATGCCGCCTGGAACATGCCGTCCTGACCGCTCATCCCTCGCTGTTTCAGATATGCCGACAACATTCTGAAGGGCTTCGCCACCTCCATCTCGATCATCCTGTCGTCGGTCATGTCGATATTTTTGTTCAGTTTTGTGGTCACGGGCAACTTCTTCATTGGTGCGTCGTTGGTGATCCTTAGTACCTACCTCTATTCGCTCAAGGACCCTGCTCCGACCCTCCTCCCTGTTTCGACGTCCAGCGTCAGTCACGAAAAGTGAGATGTGCTGGCCATACATTCTCCCGTCGTACCATTCCACTCCTATCCTCCCCCCCTTGGTTACGATGACCCTATTTCTCCAAGCTGCTTTGGCCACGACTTTGACTCCGCCGTCGATCTGAGGGCGCGCAGGGTAGTGCATTAGATGTTGGTTTACGAAGCTTCACAGCATTCACAGGATTCAACGGACAGCTTGTATTTATGGACACCGACAGTCTCTCCTAGCATCTGAATATACACGTCGATCCACCGCACCTGCAACGGCTGTCCGCTTCGCTGAAACAAGATGGATGTACTGAACCGACGGCCCAGCAGGCGGACGGGAGACTCGACAATGCAGCCCGCAGTGCGACTTGGAAGAGGATGTGCCTCTGGCAGGATTCACTTGTCGATTGCTTTGCTTTCTGACATCCTCCCGAGCGCCAGCCATGCCCCAGAGGCCTTTGGGCCTGCCGGGTGTTGGCTGCAGCCCCACGGCCAGGGTTGGTCGGCCCTCGAAATTTGCAAGTCCGACCCAAGACACCCGAGCGGAGCCTGGACCGCCCAGCGGCCTCTTTCCTGCATCTCTCCGTGCCGATCGCCTCTCGCACTCTGCTCGCCGACCATCCGTCCCGCCGACGCTGCAGAGCCGCATCCATCATTCGCTGCCAGTTTCCTTCTGCACTGGATGCCCCCCTTCTCCTCGCCCAACCCCTTTACAGCGTCGCCGATCCCCGCTTCTCAAATGGCTACTCGTCGGCCTGGCTCGAGTGTCCGCCCGAAGGAAAAGGTCGGCTGCCGGCTGAGCTGTCCGTGCTTCTGCACCTATGCACGCCAAACATCCTGCACTAGCGAGCCTGTAGCCTGTTGGATGAGCTTGCTATTGCTGTGTCGCTGCTGCTGCGGGTGCTGCTGCTGCTGCCGGTGCCGGTGCTGTCGTGGGCCATGCTATGGACTGCATCCGGGGCTTCGCTGCGAATAACCCAGAGCTGCCCGACCTTTTTTTCTTCAGAGATTGCCTGAATATCTGCTCTCGACGCCCCTGGCGTCGCGAACGCTCTTCCAGCCCGGCTTGAGATCAACGGAGACCGACCCTCAGCGCCGAGAGCCGCTCTTTATGCACATTCCTGCTTCTAGCCTCATGCCGAAGCCGCCCAAGGTCGGTTCGGACTCGCCCACGAGCCTTCACTCCTCCGAAGATGACGAGAAAGAGCCCTATGCGTCTAAAACTCAATCCGGCTTGAGAGCCCCCTCGCTTCCCTTCCCGACTGCCGCCCAGCGACAACGCCGGACCCACGTCGTTTCGACCAAGGCCGACCTGGCTCCGGACAACCTACGTCTGCCCACGAGCTGGAACACAAAGGACAAGGGAGCAGGTCTGAACATCGAAAACTCGAACATGCGGGCTATATACCGAGGTACTAGGACGCCGTTTCGACGGGCCGCTTTGGCCAGAATGCGCTCGAGGGTTTGTTGGCCTTGAGAGGCGGGCGGCACAGCCAGTCGGTGAGCCCTTGCGTGATGCCGCCCGCTCCCCACCTCGCAGAATCCCACGAGCTGCAATCTTACAGAGCTTCCTGGCTGGTTTCTACATCAGGCGCTGGGCGGGACGACAAAGACGCTGCTGCGGTCCGGTCCAACCGAGGGGTGCCGCCCCAGTGCGGTATCTTCTATTACGAGGTCGAGATCATTAGCCACGGGCGAGCCGGGTGAGTGTTTGATGCGTCCTGCACATCAGCACACGAGAGCTGGCCATTCCTCCCAGTCATGACGATATTGACGCAACCGGACTCGACTCCAGCATCATCAGCATCGGTGTCTCGTACAAGGACAACAGCCAGCTTACAAAGCCGGTGGGATACGAATCAAATGCATGGGGATATCACGGCGACGACGGAAAGCTGTTCAGCGGCCAGCATCCGCAAGGAAAGCCGTTCGGCCCGACATTTACCACGGGTGACGTCGTCGGCTGCATCGTAAACTTTTACACAAAGTCCTTGGCATTCACAAAGAACGGGGTCTTTCTTGGTATTGCTTACCGCGATATAGCCAAGTTCATGACCCATAAGCTCTATCCCACCGTTGCAATGGCGTCCGAAGGCGAAGTCATCGAGGCGAACTTTGGGAAGAGGCCCTTCAAATTTGACATCCAAGGGTACTTTGAGGCAGGTGCTCCGATGCGCGCGAGTGCAGCCATGGTCATGGCAACCGTCGGGCCTGTGTTTTGTCGTTTTAACGAGTTACTAACCCCTTTGCATCGTGCCCATGCCCATGTCCATGCCCATGCTCGATCGCGCCATCCAGAGTGAACGTCAGCACCTCTTCGAATCCATCAGGACTGTGCCCCTGCCCACTTGCACACCAAAGAGCAACCTCCCTGCTGCCAAAACCTATGCGAGCGTTGTGGCCAACACACCCGCTTCGAGCGAGCCGCCCTCGCCCCAGACTCTACGGACAAGCGCAACGCTGGATGTTGGACAGCTCGTTGCAGAATACCTTGCACACCATTGTTACTTTGATACCCTCAAGGCTCTTCCGCGCCCGGCGAGCACCCTGGATGTGACGCACCAGATTCGATTCGGTAGGCCAGAGATCTATCCGGCATTGCTGATGCCGGGGTAGCTGCGTACTGCAGAGCACAAGGCCGTTCGAACCGAGCCACCGAGCCTGATCATAGGATCCGCACCCTGACCGTCTCGCTTCATAGACATCCGCAGCGCCATTGTTGGTCACGAGCCAAGCAAGGCAATTGACCTCTGCCAGCACCACTTTTCAAAGCTTTTCGATACCGAGCCGCATCTGCTCTTCCAACTGCAGTGCCTCCACTACATTGAGCTGTTTCGAAGACTCTACCCGAACGACAGGACTGTGTGCTCATTTTTCAAATGCGAAGCCAAGGGTGGCGAAGAAGACAGCAGCATGCCCGATGCAAGTATCTGTGAGGACATGGAGATCGACGGGAGCGACGGCATCAGTGGCATCAGCGGCATGCACAGCCTGGAAAGCGACGGAAGTTTTGACGAGCACTCGGCAAGGTCGCGATCCAAGGGCAAGATGCGGATCGATGTGGATGAGGACCGTTCGTACGGTTGGATGGAGCTCCTCCAGTTCGGACAGCAGCTGCAGGTTCAATACGGCGACATCGAGCTTGCGTCTGGATCGACAGGAGAGCAGGTCCAGGACGCTTTGGATGAAATCCACGGTCTGCTGGCATACACGGCGCCCTATTCCAGTCCGGTGGGCTATCTCCTCGCAGACTCGGTGGCCGAGCGCACGGCCGATCTCGTTAACCGGGCCATACTTGGTGAGTTTCTCTCGAGCTGTGGCTGGCTTTGTTTCACGATACTGTGGACGACGGCGGCTTGGTATCGATCGTGAGTCGCGATTGCTGTTGCCAATCGCTGGGGGGGGGAGATGGTGAATGGTGCGAGCCTCTCCCCGGCAATACCTTATCACATCGTGGGCATTTGCACACATTTCGTATTTTGGTATCAAGTATCCGCCGGAGCGCTGCCGCAGTGCTTCTTGCGACTCCACCCACTGATATGGCCGATCAAATCCTTTCTTATCCTTGCTCCTTGCCCTCGGTTCTTGGCTATTGGCTCCTGGCTCCGGACTCCCGTTGCCGCATTTGCGTCCGACCAACAATTGCTTCGATTTACATTGCGGTTACAAATCCAGAATACCAAGGCAAGAGCAGCCAGTCGAGCCTCGAGCGTCTGCTGCGCCATACCAGCGTCATTGTGGACGACGCCCTTCCGAACGAGAACGAGGGCATTTCGGCCTTCTTGTACGGACAGTGGGATTAGCCGGTCCTCAAGCTGCCGGCGAAGATGCTCGACGTGACTGTAGAAAGCGGCCGATAGAGATTGGTCTGGACAAAGGATAGTGCAGTTTGCGAGCGGGCACGGGATGGGCTGTGGGGCTGGGTTGAGACTGAGACGACGAAGGCCAACTCTCTCTCTCTCTCCCTCTCTTTCTCCATCGCTTTGCCCTCTCTCTCGACTCGGTATTCTTCATTGTTCCAACTTGTTGTCACCGCACTTGATCCGGTCGGGAGACCATCTTGCGTCATTCGTATCCATCGCCGCCGTTTTCTCGCCTCTCCCTATAAACCTTTGTTTGCATTCCACCACTTCTTATCAAACCCACATCGAGTGTACGCGAGCTCTAAATCAGTCCTGTTCCTGGTTTCCCCTCGTCGATTCTACGGTTTGAAGACATGTGCATGCGTTAACCCGATGATTGTCTGTGGATTATGGGTGTATTTTGATCTCTCAACATGGAGCCCTCAGTTGTGCCTTGTGTATGTTGTCTCGACAAAACATCACACCCTTAGAGTTTGTCCCGAAGGAGGTCCCAGGATGCTTAGAATGGAGGCGTAAACGAATGGCGGAGGAGTAGAGAGCGATCAGACACACAGGGCGCTCGGTATGGTCAGGAGGAGCCACCGTTGGGCTGAGCAAATACACAGAAGAGGCGCAGAAGACCACAGCGACAGTTGGACCACATCTGCACTTGTCCTTGCGCTTTCGATGAAAATCTCAAGGCCGGTTTGAGACAACAGCAGGTGGGAGAGGAGCGAGCTTTCGGGTGCAACTCGAGGGCGTCCTTCTTGGTCCCGCAGAATTGAACCAGCACCTTCGGTTGGGTGGCTCCCAGACTCTGAGAGTACGAGAGTCACCCGGGCCTGGTCTCGATCGACTCTCCTTCGACGCTGGAGTTGATCGCCCCAGCTCCATCATGCGGATTGCTAGATCCACCGACTACTTGCTCATTGCCGTTCCCTTCTAAAGAGTATTGAGGCACACCGGGGAGATTGATGCTGTCGTCGCGTGGTGGCGCTTTCGCCAAACTCCTTGGATTAGCTTGCCACTGGAGACTTTGAAAGATGAGCTGCTATAGCTTTGGTCGATGCTGCACAAGCTGGTATCGGGGCGGCCGCTTCCTCCACCAACACAGGTCGCTTCTGAGGACGAGGAGTGGGGCCTCGTTGCTTGCTGAGGGCTTCGCCGTCGACACCCCCACGCCGAAGGCACCATCTTGCCTGCAAGGAATCCCCGGGACTTGGAAGGAAGGAAAGTGCGCAAATCTTCTGGTTGTCGACGATCTGATTGTGTGTGTATGCTTTTGACGGTGGGTGCAAATACCTGGGATTCGCTGATCGGTCAGCATATGACGCACAATGACCAATAATCAGGGCACGTTCCACCGCTACCCTTTCCCTCTGTTTCCTCTGGCTCCTCAATCACGGATGCATTGTCAGTCGAAGAGCTGGCCCACAAGCGACAAAACTGCATCGACCATTGCGACCTACATCTCAGCGAGGCCACACGGCCAGTATATGCCCCGGATAGCAAGCTTGAGGGAGAAAGGGGGGGGGAGATGAAGGATGGAGGAAGCAAGCACGTCCCAAGATCAGATGTCGGTTGTAGATCGGGTCCGATAGTAAGTAAAACCAGGGTGCTGAGTATATTTGATCACTCCAGGAAACGTGATAATTGGTACAGTTGAAGGTTTGCTGAGACAGATGAGCGAGCACGGCGACGTTTTTGGGTGCAACTGGCTTCGTGCTTGAAGCCATAGAGTGATGATTGTGAGTGGCGTGGTAAGTCTATATCGACGACAGCGGCGAGCAGCGAGGCGGGAGAGAGGAAGGCTGCTCAGAAGGCTCAGCGCTTCCCAGAGTCGCTACTGGGATGGTAGTCCCATCGTTTCTGTCGCTCCTCCTTCAGCGGCTGTGCTTTCCGGATGATCTTGACCACGCCTTGGGTGATGAGATGGCTCGTCAGCGCAGACACCTCTGCCAGAGCAGTGGCGGGGGATTGTGACGAGATGTTCATGAGTTCATTTGAAGTATCGACAACATTGGCGAAGGCAAGGAGCAAGAAGAGAAAGCGATATGCAGCCGAGAACATAAAGGATCCAGAATCAGTACCAGCAAGCAGCAGACAGAAACGGACGCGCGGACTCAGCCCAGCAATGCCCAGGCGGCTCTGGTGCAGATCGCGAGGGAGGAGGAGAGGAGTCTAACTGGCTTTCTGGTTGCCCGACAGCCCTGTCCCCAATCCCAGCTCCGTCCTCCGCGGCTTTCTGCACCCTGTGCTCGGCTCCTTCGACATATTCGGGACATTCGTTCACCGGGTCAGGGGCCAGAGCCGAGCCGGTCGGGGTCCGGATCAGCCTCAGAGCCACGGGCGTCGGTGATTGCACCAACGATAGACCCCAGACTGCGCCGCAGACGACTCTGGGATGAAGCCGTCTCCAAGCACCGATCCCCGTTGGCCTTTGTCCACCGGCCTGCCGATCAGAACCAGCAAGTCGCTGCCAAGCCACCGCCGCACCCGCAGTGCAGACCCATCGGCGTCTCGCCGCCAACCGAACACCGGGGGGGAGGGAGGCGCCGGAGTATCAGAGGGAAGCAGATGCGTACTGTTCATTCCGGGAAAGGTCCTCCAGGTGTGAGAAACAAAGGGCTTGGACACGACCGTGCACAGCGTCTTGGGGGCCGGCGGAAGGCTCGATCTAGATCCCAACGGACGGGGAAGAGATGGAGACAGGCGTGAGGATCACGTCAGGAGCCGATGCACCTGCGGGAGCAGCATCGACAGGCCATAGCTGCGGGCAATTGGACCACGGCATCCAAGTGCAGCTGCATCGCCGTTAGCTGACCAGACACCAGACCGGCAAAAGAGCAGGCCAGCACCGTCCTGGGGCCGAGGCAAGGTCGAGCCGATTGGGGCCTGGGCTGGATGGGCTTGCTGCTCGCCATATCCAGCCTTCGGCATACGGTGGCAGGCCGCTGCTCTTGCCAGTGTTGCCGTGCTTGCCTCGACCCGGACTCTGGCGCTGTGTGGCGGCTGTCGTCGGTCCGCGCAGAGCCGTTGCATCGGCTCAATGGGCCAGAAGCACCCATCTCGGAACGTCAGCGGGGGTCCACAACACGCGTTCCGACACCCGAGGTCCCCCCAGCACGGCGCTCCCAAGAGCCTGGTGCTTGGCCGATACCTACAACCGCATGTCCACGAGCACAAAGCCGAGCCGAAACGTGCCCTCGATCCGGGTGCAGAGGTTCCCGAAGAGGAAAAAGACGCTGAGTTGCTCGTCGAGGCCGCGGGCAAAGTAGCTGGGCGAGACGAGGGTTCCATAGAGCGGCAGTCCATAGGCGCCGTGCTCTTGCTGGATGCACGGGCCGACGGCGCTCGGCGGGAAGTTGCCGTACGAATTTATGATTGCCGCTACCATCGAGGCTGACAGGGCAGTCGGCGGCTCCTCGGTCTTCAGCGCTGATCCGTCCGGTAGCCTCTGCTCTGCTGGGGTTGTGCTCCGACACAGCGACGCCGACGACGGCGACGGTTGGGTATGGGTCCAGCTATCGGTTTCGCCCTGAAACGGATCTGGAGATGTGTCGGACAGGCCCGGCTTGGTTTTGTTTTGGAAGACAATCATGTCCGTTAGATCTTGGGCGCCGTCTCCTGAATAGAGGCGGACGTGGACCAGAAAATGGAGGGCCTCTGTCAGCAAATTTCCACTGGTTGTAGACGCAGCAGGGGGGCAAAGGTCGGTGGATGCAGATGTAGAGGGGCGTTGTGAGGACGTGCGAGCAGGAGAGAGAGTGAGAGAGAAGGAGAAAGGAGAGGAAGGCGGATGGACGTATGCGAGGGAGAAAGTGAAGGATTGTGTGGGATCGAGTGCAAGGGGGTTGAGCCCAAGGCGGAGGCAGAAGATTTGGAATCGGTTCGTTGAGGAGTGCGTCGGTCCGGCAGGATAGTGGATCCACAACAGCGGTGGTCGAGCAGCAGCCACGATCCCAAAGGATTGGCAACGGAAGAAATCAAAGCCAAGACGTTAGTATCAGCGCACAGATGCCATCTTCCTGCTCCCCCTCTCCTCCAGCGAGTCGCCGAACCAGCCCAGCAGCTCGAAGGCTTTGCCGCGCCGCGGGATCCGACACATCACAAGGTCGAAAGCGGCTGCTGGGGCTGGCGGAGACAATGCAAGCTATGGAACAGAGGAAGGGAAAGGATCCCAAAACGAAGCCCAAAGATCAACATACTCGGTGGTGGTGTTGCCATGTTCATCGATGTAGGTTAGTCGCAGAACCGGGACCGGGTCCATGGATCGCCCGGCAATAGGACTATTGAATCCTGAGGATCGAACTTGGCGGGGACCCTCAACGATTTCGAGCGAGTACTGGTCACAGTAGCGAGTCCAGAGTTAGAGCCAACACACTGGAGAGCAAGGAAGCGGGGAGGAGGAGGAAAACTCGGAGGAGTCTTGCCAGCGAGGGATAGTCGCCGCAGTTTGTCCGGGGCTCCTCGCCAACACAAGTTTCGCCGCTGGATCCACTCTCCAGCTCGAGAGTCGACGAGGCAGACGAGAAGCAGGAGGCCCTTATCCTTACCGTTCCCATTCTTCCGTTGGTACAGTGGTGCGGATGCTGGGCCGAGGCGGCTTTGGAGACTGTGTCCAGGAGAAGCCGATTTGAAGGGTTAAGTGCCGAGAGCGAGAAAACACGGGCAAGGCCGCGCAAAAAAGCGAGGCGAGTGACAGGCCCCACATCCCTCGATCCTCCCTCCCCTTCCGGCTCGCGGATGGTCCACCAGGGACCGGGTGTCGGCGCCCATGCGCTTTCGGGCGGTGGGAGGGCATCCGGCGAGAACGTCGCTGCTCGGGCAAGCAACACAGGCCCCGGCGATGTTGGCGATTTCCCAGAGCGAGCTCGATGTGCCGTGCAAGGCCACGGCGACATCCAGGGCCAAGTCCGCGCGAGGGCGATGGGGGCACACGCAAGGGCCGCAGAAGGGCCGCAGAAGGGCCGCAGAAGGGCCGCAGAAGGGCACCAACCAGACCAATGGGCAACTCGTCCATGACAGACAACAGCCAACTGCAGACGGGGAAGCAGCGCCCCACAGCTCAACCTACGAGGGCAGCGAATGCACATGGATCGAGCGACAGATGACGATCCGACCAAATTGCACCGTGCGACGGCGAATGTGGTAGGCCGGTGGATGATTCTGGTGGTGGTGGGCGGGACTGTCGATTGGGTTGGAAGCCGTGGTTCTGCGAACTGCTGATCAAGTTGGCACTCGGCTGGTTACGGCGCTTGGCTCGCTCGCTGGCAAGCTAAACGCCCAAGCGCCGTGCATTTAACATCTTTTGCAGGACGGCCTTGTCCGCCCACGTTTGAGCCCGATATTGGGGGTCGACAGCAGGCTCGCCCAACAGGCTCGCCCAACAAGGCGCTCGGCCAGCCAACCGGGTAATCGCTCGACTCACGGGTGACTTTGGATGAGTCAGTGCACAAGCGAGGAGCCTCTCGTGGCTCTCCCGCGCGGCTCTCGGCGGTTCTCTGGAGCGGTCGCTGGCGCCACAACGGCGCACGAGCGGTGGTGGGAGCCGGACCCAGAAGGGAGCGCAGGGCCATTCCACGGCCAATTCTCGGCGTTTCTGGACTTTGCGCTGTCAAATCCTAAGCGACAGTATCGGCGAAACAAAGGGAGGCGGTGGCCAGGCTGGATGCGAACGGCGCGACTCTCGATCCCCAAAGGCAAGGCGGTCGACGAGGCTGAAATTACCGATTGGGACCAGGCATTTGGAGGGAGGAAGCAGAGATTTGCCGCCATGCGGTCGGGAAGCAGAATGCCGGGGTGGCCAGGGAGACCAGCGCGGGCGGCAAAGGCGGTGGATGCGATCGGACCGCAAAGGCGGACAGCACAATTGAAACAAGGCACCGTATTCGAGGGATTCTTCCCGCCAAAATAGAGTTTTTGGAGAGACAGGGCGACATACTTTCAGCCGGCGCGGGCATTGCGAGTCCGAGAAGACACAGGGACATGGACATGGAGAGCAGCGAGCCAGTCAGCAGAAAGGCGGAATCCGATGCTTCTGCTGAAAGATGGCGGGCTGTCTCGGCCGGAAGTGGACAGGATGGCGTCTGATGCAGTCATCAATATGTGCTTGCGGTGCATTCCGGTATGCTCTTGCAGTGCACTCCAATGAGATTCGGCCCGGACTGCCCTCGTCCGCTCTCCAACGCCGACCCGCGAACCCATAAAAGACATTAATCAGGCTGATGTATTCCGGGCCGATATCCGCGGTTTTTGTGCCTCGTCCGTCGTCAGGTTGGTCTTTCGTAAGATCCTGACGACGCCTTGATCGACTAGATGCCGTGTCAACGGGGTGATTCCTGTGGTCGCGATGGCGGGCAGGGCAGCGCAGTTCGATCAGCTCCATTTTTCTCGTCTCCTTCCTGCAGCAACAGGGCGGAGAGGCCCTGGGCTGTGCCTCCGACACAACCGAGAGGCGGCGGCGGCGGAGGAAGTGCTCCCTCCCCGTGCCGCTCACCCGCATATGCACGAGCGGACCACAAGTGCCGACGAAAGTGCTTACTGGTCATCCCTGGGAACGTCCTCCAGCTATGCGACTCGAATACATCGGACATGACTGTTGCCATAACTGCCGGCTGCGGGTCGGGATCGAGCCTGTGGTTGATGCAGGAAGGGTGGGTCACAATCAGAGTCTGAACCAGGGCGAGGCGACAGAGGGCACCTCTGCATCAGCGACCGAGGAACCGGCCTCGCAACAGCGACAGCAAGGGGCGACCAAAGCGACCAAAGTGTGCCAGACGAGGCCAGCCGTCGGATCGGGCTCGCCAAATGCTGAACCAGGATCACCAACCACCAGCCGGGACCAAGGACCAGAGCCGATGCTTACAGCTTTAGATCAACGAGGACAAACTGCAGCCGAAACGTGCCCTCGGTGCGGATCGAGAGGTTCCCAAAGACGAAAAAGACTCCCATGACTTGATCCAGCCCACGCGCAAAGTGGCTCGGAGACACCAGGTTCCCAAAGAGCGGGAAGATCTCGCCGTTGCTTCCGCGCTGCACCACCTCCGGGCTCGGTCGATCCAAGCGATCGGACCTGGAGTCGAGGTCGAGTTGGGCAGATCGTTCGGAGGGGAGCAGTCCCGAATCCGGCGAGTCCTTTGCCTTGAAGAGCGGAAGGGGGGCGAGGGCAAGTCAGCTACATCATCACCCGGGCGGGATCGGATCAACACAGCCCTCCTCTCCTTCTGGGACCCATGCTCGCAGAGCACTACACAGACCTGGGGTATGGAGTGGGTTGTGTTTGAGCCCGGTAGAAAACCGATCTCGGTGAGGTCGCGGGTGCCGTCTCCGCTGAAGAGCCGAACATGGGTCACGAATCTGTTGGCGGCCAGCAGCTGCCGGGAATGTCCGCTGTAACAGTGTCAGTCTCGGAAAGGGGACGAGGTGCAGCAGCAGGGCATCGGGCCATGTCGAGCAGCTCCATGCAGCATGCCGCTGGGAATGTTTTGGATACCCGGCTGCTCTGGTCTGGCAGGGAGAGTATGGCGAGCACGTACTTTGTTATTACGCTTCCGTTTGCTTCTTGGTAGACGAGCTGGAGGATGGGAACGGGATCGATTGACCGACCGACAACGGACGGCACATAGCCTGAAGTCCTGACGTTCCGTGGCTGTTCGATTATGTTGAGTTTGTACTGAGCGAATGCAGCAAAGGCAGGAAAGAATAGTGGGGGCCGTGAGCAGACAGAAGCGGACGAACGCCCAACAACGACCACAGGGCCAGGGGGAGGAGCCGGATGCGGAGACGACGACGATCGGGTGCAGACCAAGGGAAATAGATCAACAATGGCATGAGGACATTTGGGAGGAATCCAGATGCGGGAGGGATGCAGGGACTCCCGTGACGAAAGGTCAATAGGATCCCAGACCCGTACAAACCACGGCTCTCACCGGAAGGGAGAGCAGAGAGGCCACCAACACCAATACAGCAACAGCAATACAGCAACAGCAACACTGCAACAGCAACGATGACAGCAACCACGCCGACAACAACGACAGCGCAAAATCGGCGCGAGCCCGTCGATAACCAGGGTCGTTCGACGGGCAGCTGGATCACGATGAAGCCGATCCGCGGCGTTGGAGGAGACGAGACGCACCATAGCAACAGAGATCCTGGGGATCCGCTTGGGGAGATTTGAAGAGGAGGGGAGGCACCGAACCGGACGACGAAGTACGATCGCACCCGAGGTGTGGTATACCCAGAGTCACAGAGTTTGATTTGATCTACAGCCACCCAGCCGAGGGCCCGATTGTGCACGCGGATGTTTGAAAGGAGCGAGCAGCGAACAGCGAGTGCCAGATACCGACTCGGGCGAGAGGGACTACAGCCAAAGATCAAGCCGATGGGGTTTGCTTGGTCAAGGCTCGGGGCTGGGACGAAGAGTGCCGTTTCTCTGGTCCGAGCGAGTTCAAAACAGATCCAAGCCGCCTCGTACGGGGAAGTGGGGGGCCAAAGATGGGAGCCGGAAAGAGGCAGAAGGCGGAATTGCCAATGTCCGGGACGATGCGACAAACCCTGTGCAAGTGCCGGGATTGTCGGCAATGGGGGGGGGATACTAGGCGGCAGGTTGCGGAGGCAGGGACAGGAGATAAGCTCCGACCGGCAGCATGAACCGGCAACAGATGGCCGCAGTGGATGTTGCAGAGACGGGCTCGGAAACAGAATGCCGGGCAAAGAGGGAGATCCTCTTGACAATCCGACGATCTCGGCGATCTCGAGGCGGCAGGGGGGGGAGAAATGGCGAGGGTTGCCTTGGATCGGATGAACGGCGACCAGGAGGCGGCAACGACAACGGGCCGCTTGTTGGCCACGGACAAGTGATCGGGAGTCGCCGCTGGCCGCACCTGTGTAATATCACCAGGCTGCTTGTCGGGGGCGCGATTGCGTTTCTGGCGGCCAAAAAGGCGAGTGGGGGGCAGTAGAACGGAGTGGCCCAAGACCAGGGCGGAAAATCGGCGCCCTTCTGAATGGCCAGCACCTGGGCCGACGACAGGCACGGCCGCTGCACACGCTGCGGCAAGGAGACAGCACAGCGAGTTGGGGGGTGGATACTGCTGAGAGGGACAGGTTTGGCAACCAGGTGTCTACATGGGCGGCGATCCAGATACGGGCGACAGCAAGATCAGCGTGGGTGGCGAAAATATCGACAACAACGACAACAACGACAACAACGACAGCAGCCCCGCCAGCGAGATCTGACCGACCCGCGCACCCAGCCGCCAGGAAAGAAAGAGCGCAAAGCCGCTTGGCGACTAAGCCTGCCGCGAGAACAGAGTGCGTTTCGCATGGCCCGTCCCCGGTCGTCCCCGGTCGTCCCCGGTCGTCCTCGAGGCGAGAGAATCGGCCTGTGGTGCCGAGAACCTGGCAGGCCGCCGAAGCACCAGAGCGACGGGATATCGGACTGCAAAGACATCGGATCGCCAGGACATCGGGCAACAGGAAGGTCGCAGATCCGCGCTCTTCGCACCATCGGGCAGAGGCGTTGGCGGCAGCAGCATCGTCCATGGCCGACAGCACCCCCCGTTGATGGTGGATGAACTGCGGTTCCGCCGACGGAGGAGAAACACTCCAGGAGCGCGTGCGTTCTGTGAGCCGCTCTTGGTGGCGTCTGTGGTCCGGCCCCTGTCGTACAGTGCAGCCGAGACAAGGGCGCGGCGACGGCCTCTGCCGCAAGGTGGCACAGAGTGCACGGCGATTGCACAGACTGAGGGCATCTTGGGTCGGCAGCGGACGGTACTGGCGCTTGCTGATGTGACATGCATCGGGGTGGCTGGCGACGCATGACGAACGAAACGCCTCTGGTGATGGAAAGGCTGCTCAACACACTTGGGCTCGATGGGTCGCGGTGGATGGGGAGATGTATATTCATGATCCAGACAACAGCGGCAAGCCCAGAGTCATGAAAGCGGGTCTCCTGGGTGCGCTTTGAAGTGAGTCACTTGCCTGGGAGTATCGGGACTGGCCTGGGCTGACGAAGGACCCGGTGGATTCATGCGACCGGTTGGAGAGCGGCGTGCTGATATGGCCGGTGTAACCACGATACACTCCTCGATTCAACACAGCGGCCCCATTCCTCGTTTGATATGCCATCCTTCCCCTGGTTCGTTCGTTCGTTCTCTCGCCTCACTCCTGCCAAGCCAAGCCAAGCCAAGCCAATCAGTCAAAATCAGCCAGCCAGCGACCGTCTGCTTGCCAGCCCGCCTGCCTGCTTGTCTTGCTTGGAGGCGCGTTCCCTCGATATTCGATCCAGCACAGAGCTTTGAGCCCGATGCCCCAGCTGCAAAGTCGCAGAGAAAGATCCGGAGCAACAGTGGCAGAGGCACGACACGAGGCAGTTAGACACACACGCACTCGCTTGCACACATCGCCCATGATAAACAGTGCGCGGCTGGGACAGGGTGCGAGAGAGACTGCAGCCAGAGCAGAGAGCAACGGACAAGAGCAGATAGACACGGGCAGACAGCAATAGGCACGGGCAAACAGAGACAGAGACAGAGACACAGCAGCGTCGTCAGACTCCCTCTGTAACTGATCCAGAGATCCGTTCATCCATCCATGTTGTTGGCTGTGAGGTGCCAAAGCCGACCGACCACGGAGCGGCCGCCGCCCGAGGCTGGCGAGGAATCGGGGAGGCCCATGGAAGTGAGCGTGCGTGTCTTGGAAGCTCGTCCAGTCTGCTCGTCTACGGTGCCGAATCCGAATGCAGTTTCCTAGGCGCAGAGGGGGATCGAGGAGGATGTGGGAGGAGACGGAGAGGGAAAGGAGAAAGGGAGCGGGTGTTCAAGCAGATCAATGCTATTCAGGAGAACGGATCGATATAACAGCGGGAGCAACATGACATGATACAATTAGACAAGCTACAGATCCAAAACTGTCTTGGACTGAAACGAAGCACTATTCATGATCTTCTGGCGTTTCTAGGGAGGAACCAATAGCGCGGTCGACCAAAAACCAGAAAAAAAAAGAAATCAAGAGCCTACAATCAGTACAATCATCCCAAGGAGGTGGGATGGGATGAGGAAAGGAGAGGATGCAGCGAGGCCCGCTACTGCTTGCTCGGACTTGTGCCGAGATCCAGTTGGTTCATGGACCGAGTCAGCAGAGAGGACAGATCCTGCTCAGCCTCGACACTCAGAGCCGCATCGAGCTCACGATCGAGGCACGAGTCGAGATCGTCATCCATCTCCTCGTACACCGAGACCGGCTGATAGTCATCGAGGACGATGGACTGGCGGTGCTCGGGCATCGAGTGCTGATCGGGGATGTCGAAATGCTTGAGGAGGCCCTCGTAGTCGTTGCGGCCCAGGTCGGGCGACTGGTCGTGCGCGGCCTTCCAGAGCTTGGGGTTGTAGCACTGGGTCAGCGGCGTTGGCGCAAAGGCCAGCGACTTTGCCGATTGCGACGCGGGCGAGCCCGAGTACGACGGGCTGTTGAGGTGGCGGAGGATGCTTGCAGCCAGGGCTTGGTAGCGTGCCGGGTTGATGCGGTGCGGGCGCTGGGTAGGCTCGGGGGCAGGGACAGCAAACTGCGGCGACGGCGGCGGCGGCGGCGGATGGAGAGCGACGTGGGCACGTGGAGGAGGGGGAGGAGCCAGCAGGGCGACGCCGGCGCCGGCCAGGGGATAGGGATAGGGAGTCACCGTGGCCAGGGAGGGCGACCGCCGACCACGAGGATGGCGGCGGTGGCTGTGCCTTGGCTTGCGGGCGGGCTGGGGAGCCAGGAGAAGGGCCTTGGGGCTGTCCCGCTCGAGAGAGAGGGAGTTAGCGTGGCTCCGAACGTGGGTCAGGCGGGGAGCGCCCAGGGCCAGCGATTTGAGCGACGCCATCGAGGCTGGGTGTGGCAGCGCCGGAGCGAAATCCTCGTAAACAGAGGCCTTGAGCGGGTAGTTCCTCGAGTATTTGCGCGAGTTGCGCGGCTTATGCTTCAGTGAAGAAGAGCAGGGCCAAGGGTCAGAACCCGCGATGCGATAGCGCCGAGGTTGAGACCGGTCGCCGCCAACAGGACGACGCCGACGCCGACGGCCCATGCTCAAGCCCGAGCTCGGGATTGAGCCCGGGATTGAGCTTGAGCTGAAGCGGGGAGAGGGATGGGGGAGAGGGACGCAGCCCCGGGGCGCCGTCACGGCGAAAAGCGGGTGATGGTGGTGGTCTCGGCGGGCCCGAGAGCACGCCAGAGAGCACGCAAAGCCATGGCGATTCTTACCGAAGGGTGACGAGGGCGAACCACGGAGCGGTTTTCTTGGAGCGGGAGAAGGATAGGAAAGTGCATCAAGATCGGGGCAGAACGAGGCTAGCAGCGGGGGAGGCGACGGAGAATATGGGGCTATCGATGGGGGAAGGCTGGCGTGAAAGGCAGAGGAAGAATCAAGCATAGTAGCCGAAAGACGCATCGATTCGCTTTTCGACGTCTGGGGAGGGAGCGAAGCCGGATGAGAGATGCAAGGCGGGGAGAGGGGAATCGCAGGAAGAGGGGACGGCAGGCAGGCAGGCAGGCAGGCAGGCGGGGCGGGGAACGAGAGAGAGCGAGAGCGAGAGAGAGAGAGAGAGAGAGAGAGAGAGAGAGAGAGAGAGAGAGAGAGAGAGAGAGACAGTGCACTCACACACAGCACACACACACAGTGCTCACACACAGCACACACACACAGTGCTCACACACAGTGCTCGCACAGTGCTCGCCCGGCCCGCCTGTGCTGTCCCCCAGCCCGCCACCCACGCCGCGTGCGCAGCCGCTGCGCCACGAGCCCGCCCCAGCCGCACCCGCCGCACCCGCCGCGCTGAAGGGCGCCTTGTCATCCGGCGTCGCACCAATGCGGCGCAGCCCCGTGTGCGCTCCCGCACGCCGCCGCGCTGCCCAAATGCAGCCACCGCTGCGCATACACCGCCCGAAGCCCTGTGCTGTCCGTCCGCGCTTGTGCGCCTGATCCGCGCGTGGCGCCAGCGCGCACCAAGGTTGCGTCACCCGTGACACGGCTGTCTGCGTGCCCGCCAATCACCTGCGCAGTCGGGGACGGGTCTGGCTCGAATGGCGCGTCACGTGTGTCCGCTACTGTCATCTGATTCACCACCCATGACCAATTCACCACCGATGCCCAATTCACCACCCATGACCAATTCACCACCACCACATGCCCCATGCCCTGCTCCTAAAGGATGATCTTGTATTTGTGTTCTCGCGGCACGGTGTTGACCACCACCCGTCCATCGCACGAGAGCGACGCAAACACCCACGGGTCCGCCTCGCTCCAGGCCACCGAGTACACGCTTTCTTCGTGCTGGTCGTAGGTCGCAACAAGTCCATCCGTTGGCCTGTTCGACTCGAGGTCCCTGGGTAGCCATAGCGGCCGGCACCAAAGGCAGTCAGCTTCAGATCGGAGACAGGCCATCGTCACCATGGTCGGCCATATCCCGGCCTGACTCACACCCGGTCTCCGATTCATCGCAAGCCCCGTGCTCTCCTTTTTGCCCAACTTACTCGTCCAAGCCATCTTCGTCCGAGTTGTCATCGGCATGTTCAGCTTCAGAGCCATTCGACTCTTGATCTTCATCCTCTTCTTCCAGCGGGCCGTGGTGGCGCACTCGGATGTGCGGGGTCTGCTGCAGCTTCTCAGCCGAAGCCTCTACTCCACCCGACGACGACGACGATGATGATGATGATGAGATCGAAATGATGCTCTCCAAATTCACCAACGAGTCTGAGCTTGATGATAGCAACAGCTGGTCGTGGAACTTGTTGAAGGCCACTGACCAGATCCTGCGCAAGCGGGCATAGGGTCCGTGAGAACGCGGCAGCTCAAACTTACTCCACATCGCTGTCGCCGCCTGCACATCGCCGGCACATCGCCAGCAGTCGTTCAGTGATTGATTCGATTCCCCCCCCCCACTCTGCGTTTGACTTCACCCATCATGTCCCCATCGCCGCTCTTACCAGTGTGTATGGTTGTTGAGCTGCTTCACAGGCACATCGGCCTTGCGCAAGTCCCAGAACCTGATGAAGCAGTCATCCCCGCACGTCGCGAGACTATGTGCTTTGTTGGGGTTGAAGGCTATATCCCGAATGGATGCGTCGTGTGCATTCTCGATCTTGAAGGCTTGGCTAAGCATCAGCAGTGTCAAAGTGCGTGAGCGATTGCCATCGGCACGATCTGCAATGTCTCGAGATTCTGGACACATTGGCCAAGCGGCCCAGCTTTCGGATCGCTTGCCAAGCAGCCCATGCCGCTATCTTTCGCCTCTCGCCGCAAACTTTGCTCCATCGACTTCCCAAACAGCCACCAGCTCGGACCAGCTCGGACCAGCTCGGCCCAGCCTGCATCCGTCGTAGTACATACGTGTTTGCTTTGATGTCCCAGCCATGCACCGTTCCTCCGGCTCCGAGGCAGATGCTGTTGGTGTTATGGGGATCCCATGAAGCCGCAAGGATTTCGTCGGCCGGGTCGTGGAGGGGAATCTTGACCGACTGCCGCGACTGCCAAGAAGCCAAACCTCCCGAGTCAGTACGATCGAGTCGGCTTGGATCGATATGCTTGTTTTCTGAAAGCGCATCGTTCAAACCAGCTTTGCCACTTTGCATTAGACTGCATTGGATTGCATACCGCTGCCTTGGACAGTCCTCGGTCGATCGACAGCAGCCCAAATGCATCCGTGCCGACCGCAACGATATTTTCGGTGCCGCCGGTGGGAGACCACAGGACCCTGCATCATCAATGTCCGTGGAGCGAGTCTGCTGTGAGTGGCACTGGCAGCGATGTTTTGGCGATGATGCTCCTCCCTCCCCAACATTACCATAGGTCCATTTCGCCACGATCCCTGTTTCCTCGCTCTCGCCCTCGCCCTCGTTGTCGTCGCTGCCCTTACCTATGTATATCTCCCAGCGTTCGATCCGGCTCCAGCGACAGGAGTGTTTCCAGCGTGCCGGTGTTGTTGCGCAGATTCCCTTCCTCGTCGGTATCGAGGGCGCCCATCATCAGAAGGGTTGCTTGACCACGGACAGCGCCGGACGCTTGGACTGCAGAGCGGCAATTGATCGACTGACTGTGAATGAATGCTCGACCGGTGCGGCACCTCCCTCCATGCGGCGTGGCATATGGCCGCTGTTGCGTATCTTCTTCACACAGCTCCCAAATCCCCCCCCATATCCCCACACACACTCCTCGCATTGCATCTCTCGACCGACCTTCGCGATGGCAGGTGATCAGCAGGTCGGGACGGGCCGGAGACGGCGCAATGTGCCAGATCTCGTTTGGGTGGCGAAAGGCATGGAATCGAATCTCAAACTCGTCCTCATCAAACTCCAGCAGATGAATCTACGGCGGTTGTTGTTGTTGTTGTTGTTGTTGTTGTTGTTGTTGTTGTTGTTGTTGTTGTTGTTGTTATTGTTGTTGTTGTTGTTGTTGTTGTTGTGGTTTTCCCGTTCGCATTAAAATGGCCGTAGATAGAATTTATGAGCCAGGCGCCGTATTAATCGGCATCAAAGTCCCAGGCCTGCTTCATACGCGATGGATTCTCGGCTTTGCAAGTCGGCTATATGCTGCTGGCTCGTGTCTGAGCGACTCGAAATCACTGCTGCCGAGCCAACCGACTCGGTCCATCAGACCACCCAGCCGACGAGTCCACCGAGCCGCCGAGCTGTCAGGCACCCGAACCTCATTGTCGCATCTGTATCCTTGCGTTCCGACGAGAAATCGGTTCTTCTCTTGTTCGCCTGGCTGCCCCGTCAGGCAGCGGGCGTGGTGCTTCAGCCCATAGACGCAGGAGCTTCCGTCGTGCATCATCTCTGCTGTGGCTTGCTCCAAGGGAGGCCTTCTGCAGCGATGGCGGCGGTGGGCTGGTAGGTGTCCAAGGGGGATGTCGGACCCGGTCGTCTCTTGGCTCGATGGATGATGGCAAGGCCCGGCAGCAGCCAGCGCCTGGAAAATTTCCGACAGCAGGCCGCGCGGCCCTGGCGGCGGATCTCGACATATGATTGACTTGGCTCCTGGCTGCTCCTGCGGCAAAGAAGCGGGAGGGACAGCATCGGCCGGGCATTGACCGGCGTCTTATACGCTCTTGCTCCTCCTCACTTCCATGTCGGCTATGCAGTCGTGAGCGATGCCGACCCTGCCCCTGACCGTGTCCAAGTACCAAGACCCTCGGTCCAATGCCGCCGTCACCATCGCCGCATCCATCGCCCAGGCCCAACGCAGCGACAGCGCCGTCTCTCTGCCGCTGAGCCTCAGGCCCGACGGCATCCGGGGCACGGTGCGCAGGGCCGCCGTTGGGGCATGGCCTCCATGGATAATACCTCGTCCCGATGGTCTGCGGCCGAAATCGGCCGTTCCGGCTCTGCTGGACGAGAACTGTCGCAACCCAGCCACCAGGAACAACAGCCGCCCAGGCGGCCTCCGCGCCAAGCCTGTGTGGGAAAACGGCGTCTCGATCGATGTCGGGCTGCACCCCGCCACAACGACATGCTCGGCGTCCACGATATCTTATCCGGCCCTAAAGCCGAGCCGGTGCAAGCCTCGGCAGGTTCGTCTGGACGATGGCTTGCTGCCAAGGCGCACTGGCCCCGGGAGGGACTCTCCCGATGATTTGCTGGGCCGCAGCAGTTCAGCGCTGCTCAGAGAACCAGGCAGCCTCCCCCCAGCGCAAGTCTCCCGTCCGGGTGCATCGCCAGTGGTGCCTCCAATTTCAACCGAGAGAGTTGCTGTAGCGGCCGCTGCTGAGGAGCAAACTGCAGGCTATGCAGCGGTGTATCCCGACGAGGAGGAGCACAGCCAAGCCCAATTCAACATGTGGCTTTCCAAGGCTTGGGAGCATTGCAGTCGAGGCCTAACCAACAGCATCAAGATAACAAGCGGTGTTGCTGAATGCAGCAGTGAGTCGTCCGCAGAAAACCAGTCGAGCGTCTCTGATGTTCTTCCTCTCCAAGTTGCATGTTTATCCGGCACCATCAAACACATCCACAAGTCGTCTGGTGAGCGCTCGGACTTGCTCCTGTAGCAATAATGGGCTCGCTATGCATATGCAGGCTCGTTGGAGCTCGTTGTTTGAACTCTTCCATCCAGGACTTGCTCACCGCTTGCGGCTGAGGCATTCCGATGTCGATCTCGTTTCCTGAGCCCGTCTATCCAGCGATGGGCAAAACAGCGCCATCAGCCACGTTCCCACGCCTTCCATTCACTCGAGCGCTGCGGCCTATCAACGGCCCTTGCCTCGCTCTTTGGCACGTCTCCGCTGGGTATTTCATGCACACCCGCTCACAAATGCGATATGCCTGCTTCCCTTGGCTTCAGCCCGGTTCCTAGAAGGCGCTCAGAACGAGATCGTGCTTCCGTCTATCCCAGGAGCACTTCTGAACGAAATCATGCGATATCTGCGGTTTGCCCACTGCCGGCACATCTTGGACAACAGCGGCACCACCGCCGGGTTTGCAGCCCCCAGAGTTCCTTATTGTCCGCCCTTCCCCGCCATCCTGGAACTTGCCGAGGCTGCCATCTATCTCGAGCTGCCCGGGCTTTTGGACATATGCATACGGGAGGCCGTGAAAGGGTTTGATTGTAAGTAAACGAGCGCCGACACGTCGCTGGAGCGCAGTTGCAAAAGTCAACAACTACCGGACGCATTGCGCCATGTACTGCTGGCGGATGTGCAGGCAGTGTCGATGCATATGACAGAGACCCTGGGCGCTTGCCCATGCCCACTTTATGCGGGTCGGTGTCTGAGGCAGCAGCTGCAGTACAAGCACCTGCGACATGTGAAATTGAACGTTTGTCATTTAGCGTGCGGGAAGTGGGTGAGGCTTCAGCGTTGCACCACGTACTAACCGCATGATTCCATGCTGTCGCCAGCGATCGATTCCTTCGGTGATACGTCCAAGGCCATTGTCCGCAGCATCCTGCGGCGAGTGTCGATCGGATCGCTGTGCTGGGCCGAACATTTCTTGATCCACCACCCAGCGCTCACGCCCAGCCACGACAGCGACCGCCCCGTTATCGACACCACATTCATCTGGATCCAGAATTACTTCAAGCTGCTAGAGCAGCCTCCCTTCCGAAGCCGAACGGCCGCGCTCACCCACGACCCGCGCCGGGGATGCATTTTGTTTTGGATTCAGGAGGGCCTTGAAATCCTTCAGGAGCCCGGCGACTGGGATCGACTAGATGAGATTGTCCGTCTCGAAGCCCCGTGGATCGACCGCATCAGGCTCGTACTTCAGCCGGGGCCACTGGCTCGCAGCCGGACCCTTGATGTCCTTCTTCTCCTCGCAGCCAGATCGCTGACGACCCTGGAGCTGTCGATCAACGGCATGGACGACGAACTCCTGCAGATGCTGGAGCGACTGGCCCTGTCGAAGCCCCACCTGACCCTCAGTCTCAACATCATGTACCGCGGAGCTGTTTGTGAAGCCTTGCGGATCCTGTTCAGCCGCTTGATTTCGGATCGAGTGCTCCGGCTGCGACCCCACGGCTCAACCATGGCATCTGCTCTGCGCCCAGGGCATCCCAAGATGTCCACTCCGGTCGTTATGGGCCTAGACAGCAATGTATGCTTGACTGGCGGCCGTCCAGCCAAGGGGCAGACACCCTGTCCAACCCAGAGAGATTCTGCCGAGCAAGATGGGCCTGCAGCGCCACCCGGAGAACTCGAATGCAGCCTTGGTGTTCGATTCTCGCCCACAACCGAGAGCCGCCAGTCGCTTGCCGACGTTCTCGACGTACTGTCGGCCACGCCACTCCTTGCCAACACCGTGGCTCTGGATCTGTCCAACGGCAGCATCAACTCGATACTGTGCGAGTACCTGTCCGAGACGCTCAAGCACAAGGGCTGCTCCCTCCAGACTCTGAAGCTCTCCAACTGCTCTCTGCCTGGAGCCCAAATCGCCTCGATTCTCACCTCTCTCGCCCAGGGCCGATCGCTCTCCTGTCTCGACATATCCCACAACATCAGGGATCACGATGCCGGCGGCGCCGAGGCCGGGCGAGCGCTAGCCATGTATCTAAGCTCTCCATCGTGCGCACTTGTGGAGCTCTATGCGGCTGGGAACGTGTTCTCGACCACGGGCCTGCTGGCCATCACGGACGCTGTCCCGATCGCAAAGAAGCTCCGCTTCCTGGACTTGTCTCGGGCCGAGATGGGTCTGACCCTCAAAAACCTCGCCGAAAAGCTCGCAAGGGTCCACCAACAAAGCCAGATTGTGCCGATCCGCCGGCTTGTTCTCTCCCGCAACCGCCTGCTGCCGCGGTCCTTGGGCGACTGCATCCACCAAATGTCCGCGATGAACTTCCTGACACATCTGGACCTGGCCGAGAACATGTGCAACGAGTCCGTTGGGCTGGCTCTTGGCAACTACATCCGCCGAGAAAGCTGTGTTCTTGCCCGTCTCGAGGTCCGTGGCAACAGGGAGCTGGAGGGCCACTTCCTCGAAGACGGCGGCTGCGCCTCGCTCCTGGAGGGCCTCAAACTCAACCGCTCGCTCACTTTCCTGGATCTGTCCTGTCAAAGACTTGGCGACCGCTCTTGCCGTGCGCTCGCCAGCGCAATCTCGGCCTGCAACCTGCAGGAGCTCCTCCTCCAAGAGAACGAAGTCACCGACAGCGGTGCCCAGTCCCTGCAGGCGTCCCTGATGCGCATCCGAGAGTGGCCGAGCTGCCGCAGCATCATCCTGGACTTGAGCGCCAACCGCCTCAGCGCCGCTGGTGTGGACCGGGTGCGGCGGGCAATGGAGCTCTCCAAAGTCTTTCTTGTGCATCTGCACGACCAGCGGCCAGCCGACGATGCCTTGAGCAAACCCATACCTGTGGTATGACGACTACCCCATTGGTTATCGGTGGATAGATGGCACCCTCGCTCCTTTGGTGTGCGATGGACACTCTCAGAAACGCTATACATATATTGGCTCAACAAGTGCGGCTGAGAGACAGGAATGAATTGGCCGACAGGTCAAGGTGTCGTCCGGCGAGAGCGGGCAGGGCGCCTCGGTGCCCCACCGTCAGTTGGGAATGTTCTCCGTGAATCGATGCCAGCGCATATCGACAATCGAGTGGAGCGCCCGCTGAATCGGCTGAAACTCGGGGTTGTCGAGCTCGTGGCGCAGCGCCTGGACCAGTGCAGAGTTGCAGGCTTGCTTGCGCGAGAACACTCCAAAGAATGCATGCCATCCCAACCTGGCATCACAGCCAACCAACCAATTAGCTGATATGCAACGCTATCCCGGCCATCGGATGCAGCAGTCGGCACATCGCTGCATATTCTTTCCGTTGCAACAGCACAAGATCCCTCATGGTCGCACGGCATGACCACATACAGACATGCGAGGACGCATGCACACGATGTGCTGTTGACGATGTGCTGTTGACGATGTGCCCCACAGGCGCTTACGTACCACGTCACCTGCGCATGGGTAACATCAAATACACATCCCGCCTTCAAGGCCGCAGGGGTTTGCGTGCGACTACGCATCAGCGCAAAGTAGAAATGGAGTGCCTCGCGGATGGCATCTGCTCGCAGGTCGGGTCAGGGCAGGTCAGGTCAGGTCAGGTCAGGTCGGGTGCGGCGCTGTGAGCGAGCTGCGACAGTGGCCTGCTTGTGATTGGTCTTGGTTGGCAAAGCGTACCCGTGAGAAAGAGGCTCGACTGAGGCCCATCGACCATGCCCATGTTGCTTCGCCGCAAGTGCTTGAGATACGAGTCCACCTTGAGGGCAGCCAAGAGGAAATTCTGGTAGATGTTGATGAGCACGGTTCGCTTTGAGTTGAGCGACGAGTCTAGGAAAATGGCGTGGCACTTGGGGCGCAGAATGCTATCCGAAACCACTTGGGTCAGACCGAGAGGTGATATCGTGGCGACATTCAAAATACACCGGCGCGTGCTCAAACCTGAACAAGCGATGCTTCATTTTGAGACCAAGCTTGCTTGAGAGATCCACTGTCAAAGAGTTGCTGATACCTGCAGCCAGGTCGAGCAGTGTGGGCAGTGGATTCGGAAAGCCAGTGTATCAGCATCTCGGAGGCAGCAACAGTTGTGACGACAAGAATGGGGCGGGAGGCATTCACAGCGGCTCAGACAGGAAATGTGCCCATACTTTTGCCCACCAAGCGCTTGTAGTCCACCTGTACATTGAGGTTGATCGTATTGATGAGCATTCCACACCATGGGAACTCTATTGCAGATCAAGCCATCTCGTCGTTAGTGGCGACTAGAGAACAGTGTCCTCTGAGCGAGTGCATGGATCGAGCAGCCACAATAAGCAGGCACGTTGAGCTCGGCGATTGTTTGATGGTAGAATCTAAATCGCGAGCTCCAAAACAGCGCAAACTTGATGCATCCGCAGCATGGGGCCCCAACCTGATCCGTCCGTGGCATCCCCCATGCTAAACGTGTTGGGTATTGCATGACCATCGATGGCGATTTCGAAGTTGGCGAGGGATTTTTCAATCTGCACATATGCTCCGTAACGTGGATTGCCTGTAGAGAGAAGGAGAGGCGCGAGAACGTGGTTGGCAATTCATGCTTAGCTCGAGCGGAGTGCTGAAAATCACTGTAGCCGTGTGGCACCATCTGATCCAAACCTCGGTACATCAGCTCCAGAAACTGAACAACACGATCCTTTGTTGGGCTGATGATCAAAAAGTCGTCGACAAAGCGCAGAAGGAGCGACTTGCTGTCCCGAAAGAGCTCACGACAGGAGCGCTCCATATGGGCATAATAAATACTATGCAGACGGACAAGTATGTAAGCGCAGCAGCCCATCACTGCCTCCCAATACGCGGAGGGACTGCCATGCTCCAGGCATCCCGACTCTCCGGAAAGAAGTCAAACTGCCCCACCTGCACAGGATCGTCGACATAATCGATCCTTGTGGTATCCCGACCACCTGCTTGTAGAAGCCATCGCCCATCTTTTTTTTTTTTGATAAATGCACGTCAGCGAAACGGTCAGAGAGGTTTTGAGGATGTAAATGCGATCGAGGACACCAATGTGGGCGTAGGTACGAATGGAAAATGGAGAGTAGATGCAGATGGAACAAAGACCCTGACCTTGATTAAATTGTTGCAAAGATGTGCTTCCAGACGCCCGATGATACGCTCGCGATCTTCGTATGAGTAGACCACCTGTGAGCAGTAACAGTTGTCGCCGAGATCAGCGCTGCGTCTGTCGAGGCCGTTGCTATCGATGCAGACGGAAGCCGCGCGAACCCTCACCTGATCAACAAATATGGCATTCTTCATCTCCTGGGCAAGCTTCTTAGCCAGCTCAGAAAACTGGGGGTATGTCGCTGTCCAAAGCAATTTTGTCAATCGGGCTGTTTCTGGCTGGGGGTTTCAAATGTCCTAGCACGCAGTCGTCTGCAACCCGAACGGCAGCAGCCTGCCTTTCAACTGAGCCTCACCGCTGGGCATGGCCCGCCTCTGGAAGCTGTGTCGGTACTTTCCAAAGCTCGGATAGCTGACCGTGTACTTGTGGACCAGATACTCGTCCTTGGATTCACAAATCGCAGTACGTCAAGTGCGGCATGTATGAGGGAGCAAAGATATGAGTGCGACCGGATAAAGTGCTCGAACGGCTGTTCTCGCTGCGACTCGACCCTGCTGCTGGCACAGCCAAGAGCGCACCTCGTTCAATAGATCCACAACAATATTGAGCAGTAGTCCTTGATCAATTGTGTTGAAGGCCGAGAGAATATCGACTTTGGCAAAGTAGAGCACGGGCAGCCTGCCATTGATCATCGTTAATAGTGCCATTCGCCCTGATCCTCAGCTGCCCACAAAAGATCGTACCTTCCGCGTCGCTTGCTTGTCCGTTTCATTCGGAGTGCATACTCCTTTAGCACGGGATATATGTCAGTCAGTCCAAGGACTGAGACACCCATTGCCTCTTTGTTCGAGCTCTGTGTGAGGCCGACGAGAGTTTGAGTGTGTGCCACTTCCGATACGAGTGACTCTAGATGCGGCCCCGCCGCGGATGGGATGTCGCTGCTGGTGAAGCCTCGCCGCGAATACTCGGATCGTGCAATGCAGTCTCGACTCGACGCGCACTTACGGTTTCATATCTCAGGATCTGGAAGGCGTTTTGCAGAATCGAGTTGATTGAGATCTTGAACATACCCTTTCCTCTTGAAGTCGCCGCAGTTGGCTTGCGTCCCAGAAGCTTCTGCAACTCTGCATGCAGCTCCTGCAGATACGAACAGAGATTGCTCAGACGGGCGGCGGCGCAGGCTCTGAATACTGCCCACAGCCCGTGATGCTTACATCTTTGTGAAATTTGCGTTTCATGTTCGTGATCGGTCTCACACCGTTCTCCTTTGGCAGAAAGCGGACATAAGAGAAACCAAGCCGCTCCTCCGGGTCCACGCGCTCGAGCTCTTGCTGTGAAAATAAGCAAGCAGAGATGTGAGGGACAAGGGTAGGCAACAATTATGGACAAAAGCACTGTCGTGCTTCGACCGTCCAGTGCCAATACCTGTTCTATCCGCCGGAATATCGATTGCCCCAAGTTGGCAATGTGTGGTGCAACCAGATCGCTCCAAACGTCGTGGCGGAAGTAGACCATCCGGTACTTTGAAAACCCAGTCTCTGTGACATAAAAGTTGAACTGGATCGGATGTGATGGGAGCAGCCCTGGGTCAGCGCGGATGCATCACGCCGTACATGGTCTTTGTGATCGCACTTGGACATTGGACGATCGTGTATGGCATTTGTACTGACCCGAATGAGAGAAATCACATAGTCATTGACCAGCCAGTACAAGAATTCACGTAGAATCTCCCAGCGCTTTTGGAGATCTTGTGGTGCGATGTGTCGCTTTTGGGGCGGCGCTGCGGATTGTCGCGGCGAGTCCAACCAACTGCATTTGGTGATCTGTTGGATGAGCGACCCGTGTCAGCAAACGGCAAGAGGGGGTGCCGTCCAAGCGCAGAACCCCATCGAGAACTAACCTTGAAGCCATGTAGAAAGTTTTGGAGAGACATGGTTTCAAATCTCCTCAGCGCAACAAGCTGCTCCAGTCGCTTGGAAAAGATGGCAAAGTTGTCTTCGTCGCCCCAGAACTCGCGTGGGATCACCCGTTTGATGCATGCGCGGAGGAAGAGGAACACCTGATTGTCGATTTGTGTCAGACCGATGGCGCAGGCTTCCAAGTCGCCGATATCCCAAACCAACCGCTCTTACGCTGGTACCTGGTGATGGCTTGCTTGTCTCGACATGTACGGTATCTCGGATGCATCATCTATGGTGGATGAGACCTGCTGGGAGAGTGCCATGCATCAGTGTTGCAAAGACAAATGCCATGACCTCATTCCGAGATCCACGGCATCGAGCCGGCCGGTAGCCATCGATCCACATCCCAATATGGCCGCGTACCTGCCGACAGTATAGATTCAACATCACTTTGTAATTGGTGCTCTTGTGGAGCCGAAGCATTCTCGCGGCCAGGACCTGGGCAGGCTTGAGCCGGAACGGAACATCATTCAATCCTTGGGTCTATTGAAAAGCATCGATCGGTTAGAACACAACGAGATGTGTTCAGAGCCTACACGATCAATCCCACCTTGATCTCGTGGACGTAGTCAATTGGCTTGGGCACTTCCCAGGGCTTTGGCGGCGCACAAGTGAACTCATTTTTGTATCCGGTCAATCTAGGGAAGATCGAGTAGAGCAGGCACTTTGACCCTGTCGGATCCTTGGCTGGCTGAATCGCCATGGCTTTGTTGAGCATGTCTATCTCACAGAGACGTTGAGTCAAAAGCCAAATCGCCGATGAGTGGGTTCGTTCGACCACCCGTGCCACTGCCATGAAGTGTTGCAGTCGACGGTAGGACCGTAGAGCCCTTACGCTGTGGTGGAAGTCCGACCCGGCGTCCGCATCCGTTCCGGTAATATATCCTTGATGTCTTGAAGATCATTTCGCTTGGTGTGCGACTGAAGCCCACATGCACGAATCAGCACTGTCATGGAGCCCCACATCACCTGTCATCTTTCAAGCGGCATGCAATGTACTGACCATTCTACCTCTGTGTTAGCCATGGTGCCAGAGTTTGCTCGCTTGAGCGACGGCGCTCCTCGATCATCAGTCGAGAGCTCTGACCGAGTACGCTTGAGTGAAACGGGATGCATGTCCTTCGGCAACGCCGACGTAGTTTTTGGCTCTGCATCGTTGATCTCTACTGCCGTTGAAGGGTGCCTCTCCAATGCCCTCGAGGGAGCCATTCGACCCGCTGGCTCAGGGATGTTGTCTGAGAAACTCAACAGGCTTGAGGTGCTGGATCGAAGCTCCAGCTCAAAGATGGGAGTTCCTACAAAAAAAAAAGTATTGGCACTGAGTTCAAAGCCAGCGGGATGGGTCGCCGAAACGCACAGGACTCACCGACGACTTGGAAGCAAGTGTTATTGGGGAGACAGACAAAGATGCTTGTCTCCGTGAGGAGGTAGATCATGGCTTCGCGGCCGATTCTGATGGGGCAACATGGGGCAGTAGGCTCAGTCAGTGCTGGGTGCAGCTGGTCGTGAGCGAGATCCGCTGGCCACCTCGGGGCTTCGTTGGGCGATGCTCAAGCTGGCACTCGTTCGTCAAGACAGACCTCGATAAGAGCACTGTCCATGGCTGCGATTGGACAAAGTTGGCCAGGGTGTTGGGAAAGTAGTTCTCGATCCCTCGCACATCAACGAGACCGCCGTTGGAATTGGCTGTTGTGATCTGGACACATCGTGGCGAGGTTATCGAGCAGCCTGCCTCCTTCCGCGATGTGTAAGAGCATCATCTATCTGCCTTGCTCAGCGAGCCCGAGAGACTCATCGACAGCGAGGATTGCACACCTTCCGATAGCCGAGCGAGAGCAGATTCTTCTGCCCCGAGTGGATCGATTTACATATAGCTTGCTGGACAATCTGCACCGGACATGCCATCAAGACAGGCCGGGTTGGAGACGGAGCTGTTCAGACGACGGCAAAGCGAGCGATGACCGATGCCGACTTTGTGTGGTGATGCCCACCTCGCTCTGGGTGTGTCGAGTCTCGGCGTGAAGAATTGGGAATCTGAAGCATTCACCGCGCGGCACAACCAGCGAGGTCTCCAGCAGCTGCAGATACGGCGGCCCGTCCCCATCCTGGATCAGCGACACCGACGGGGTTTGGTTTGGGGTCGATGCATCCGACTGGGGGGCGGCAGAGAGCAGATCGATGAGCCGAGTGCTGGAGCCAAAGAGGGCCGGAACCAGGGTGTTTTGGCATCCCCATGCATCGCCCGCCATGGCTTCTTGGCTTGGGTCGGTCTCCGACTGGGCGGTGTGCAGCAAGCGGTCCTAGCGATGCGCTTCGTCCAGGAGCAAGCGGGGACCGGTGTGGTCTGGTCTGTTGCGATGCAATCGGATGATCCACGGCAGAGTCGGCCTGGGCGACCGAGCAGCGATTTGGCCCAGGCCCGAAACCAGGTTGCCTGGCCATCCGGGCGCAGCCTTCCCCTGGCTTGTGGAGCTGGCGTTGCCAGACAGCCCGGCCCTCTCTCCAGCCCACATCCCGTCTGTCGATGAAACGGCCGTCTCTGCTCAAACGGCTTTGGCCTCGCCTGAGCTCCCGATCTCTGTCCCCCAGCACTCCCGCCGCCATGGCCAGCACCACAGCAAATCCCTACGACATCATCCCGCAGCCGGTCCTCAGCCAGTTTGTCGCCGACCAGCCCCCATTCCGGCTCGACCGCTCAAATGCCCGTCTCGCCTTTGCGGTGCCTGACGATTATCCGGACCTGGTCGGCCTAACACAGTTCCTCGCCTACTTTGCCAGCTTTATCGGTTTGGCCCAGACCGAAGCCGTCGCCATCTCGGAGCTCCCGTCCGTCGAAGGCAGCATTGTCGTCGAATTGCTCGGGCCCGACAGCGATGCCCACTCCCAGCCCAACGGAAACGAGGGCTACGACCTGTCTGTTGATGCCTCCCATATCCGTATCCGATCCCGACACATTGGTGGCGCTCGCCACGGACTCTACACCTTTGCCCAGATGACCGATGTCTCTTCGGATATCGCTGCCGGCGTCGTTGTGGACCAGCCCCGTTTTGCCTGGCGAGGCGTCTTGCTCGACTGCTGCCGCTCCTTTATGGACATCCCGTTCATCTTGAGCCTGCTCGACATCTTGGCCTATCACAAAGTCAACCGACTGCACTGGCACTTGACGGTGAGTGTGCACTTGCATCGGCTTTCTGGGCCCAGCGCTCGCTGGTAAAGGTTTGCATTCCTCCCTCATGCGGCCGGGGAGGACAAAGGATGCAAAACACCATTCTAACACCTCTTCATGGCATTGCTTCCGGCAGGAGGATCAAGGATGGCGAATCCAGATCGATCGCTTTCCCCGCCTGACCGAGGTTGGAGCCTGGAGATACGATCCCACTGTCGAAGGCGGCCAATACGGCGGATACTATACCAAGGTACATATCGCTGCATTTGTTGCACACTCTATCGTTCATCTGTTGATACCCGGGCCTACTTCCTCGAGTCTGTTGGGCTACTGTCCACAGCTTACCCTTTGATCTGTTTTTCATCGGCGAGGGCTCACCACATGGTTCGACTTGTCTTTGATCCATCGAAATGCCACCTTGCCATGGCATGGTATGGGTGTAGGATGATATCCGAGCTGTGGTCGACAAGGCTTCCCTTCTTGGCATCACCATCGTTCCTGAGATTGAACTCCCAGGTCTGTTCCTCCAATAACCACTGTGCTGGAGACCGCCGAGTTACTTGCGTACCGTCTGGCTGTGGTGGCTTGCTGGGGCTGACCGATCCCACCCACTCATTCGTTGCCTGGCTGTTTGGCAAACCAGGACACAGCCTGGCGGCACTCGCCTCATACCCGGAGCTGGGATGTATTGATCCAGAGACGATGCAGCACCGCAGCTACGCTACCGGCAACCTCCGTGGCATCTACGATGACTGCTACTGTGCCGGACAGGAAACGACCTTTGAGTTTCTCCAAGCCGTCATTGACGAGGTGATCCCCCTCTTCCCCGGCGACTACTTTCACTTTGGCGGCGACGAAGTAACCTTCCGCAGGTGGTATTCTTGCCCGCTTTGCACAAAGCGAATGGCAGATCACGGTTTCACAACCCCTCAACAACTGCAGAGCTGTAAGCAACGTCGACTCTGCAAAAAGCAGTGGACGAGCGATGGCGGCATCAAAGTGTGGTTACATAGATGCCCGGGGTGTCTGTCCCCCCATAACTCCTCCGCTCACCCGACTCAACTCTGTTATCTCTCGACAGGGTTTGTCTCCAGAATGGCGGGTTACATCTCCTCAAAGGGCAAGATCCCCATAGGTTGGGACGATATCGTCGCTCAAGGCGCAGACGATCTCCCAAGAAACGTCACGATCCAGAGCTGGCTGGGCCCCCACGGAGTGCGAACAGCAGTCAAATCGGGTCTGGATGTCGTTGTTTCGCCCTACACCGAAACCTACTTTGATCTGCCGGCGCTGCCGCAAAATGATCCCAAGGACGAGGGCACTGCCTACCACTGGAGTGTGCATGTGCCCTTTGATCGAGTTTACAACTTTGACCCTTGCCTGGCCGATCTAACCGACGACGAACAAAAGCACATCATTGGAGTCGAGTGCTGCCTTTGGACTGAGCGGGCGCGACAGGTCAGTTGGGGCTGGGGCATCCTGTGGAGAAGCGACCGGGCTTCTCGTGCTGGGTCACAATCACCATGCCCTGCCATATTCCGCCTGGGTCACAGCCGGGGTATCTACGGGAGGAGAAATCGGTTTCGATGAAAGCAATCAAGGCGCGGGCACGTTGATTGCGCAGACACTGGCGATGCTGACATGCCGTTCCCTTTCAGGCTGTCGCTTTGCGCAAACTCTTCCCGAGAATCCTGGCATTCGCCACCAAAGCGTGGTTTCCCAAGCCAAGCGACCCCGCTCGCATGGCTGGAAGTCAAGAAATGGATATCGATCAAAGCGAGTCGGCGGGTTTGCTGGCATTCGACCAGTTCATCGGAGTGGTGTCCAAGACGCATGTGCCAAAGCGACTGGTCGGCCGATTCGGCATCACCGACTTGCGCGATGGTCTCACGCAAGGGACCCGAGATCTGGACTGGCCTGGCTTGGAGTGCGTGGTCTGGACTTCGTGAGCTTGGAGCATGTAGTACGTTCGCTTGCGTGGCAAGATGTCTCGCGCACGCCCCATTGGCAACACCGAGCGCAATAGTTACGGCAGGATGCTTGTGCATGAATCGGCAGTGTATATTTCCGGTGGATCGAGTGCAAAGTCATGGCTTATGAAGGCCGTGAAGAGTCGCTATGAGGGACGAGAATGTGTATTCAGCAACCAGAAATAGAAAGCAGCCATCGGCTTCACACATTGGGCGACCCAGTGCGCTTTGCCAGGGCTGCCAGAGTGGGGATGGAGCTCCTTCCCTTGGGAACTTTCCCGGTCTCGCCCACTTCCTGGCTGGATGGCAGCGATGGCAAATCGGGCCTGGAGCTGATGGATTTTTTGCGCGAGCTCTCGCTCTTCCGAGCGGGCTTTGGCGAAGCTCGTTCAGATCGGACCGTGGCGTCAGTGTTGAGATCAAGCGGATGATCGTTGTCGAGGAGGTCAAAGTACGCCGGAGGAACCAGACTAGAGATGGACGAGGGACTGCTTGAGGTGTTGGAGGAAGCCTGTTTCGAGCCTGTCATGGCCGGTGGCGCAAGTGCCTGTAAGAGCTCGCTCGTGAGATTGGCTGGGATGGCTGTTTTGGCGACCTTGCCGTCGATGAGCTTGGCTTCTCCGGTGTCAGCTGGCTTGGAACTCTCTGTCTCGACTGGCTTGGCCGCCTTTGAGTCGAAGGACCTGGACGACTGGAGTGTCGAAGTGTGTTTTGGCACAGGGGAGGTGCTGTTGCTCCTCTTGACAGTGACCTTTGCTGGCGCAGCTGTGGCGGTCTTGGTTGATGAAGCAGCTGGCTGCGGGCCCCCGGCATCAACTAGTTTCGCCGTATTGCCATTTTCCGAACGGTTTCCTTCCGTCTTCGCCTTGTTGCTGGAGAGTTGGGTGGGTCGGGGAGGGAGTACCCCGCCCTTGGGGCTGGCTGGCGGGGCAGTATTCGCCGAGGTATTGTCGGGTATCTCCAGCACAGAGGTGCCCTCCGCTACTGCTCTGGAGAAAGAGGCGACTGCAGCCGCCACAGATCGTGTGGGGACGGTGACTGCTTCGCCAAAGCTGCTTGATCGCTGGAAGGGGCGCACACCACTTTCGGCCTTCACAGCGGTCTGTGCGGTGACTGTAGTCGTTCTCGACGTGCTCTGACCGGTCGATGCCGCAAAGATAGCGGAAGGACCAGTCGCGGCTTTGCTTGTCTTCGTCGTATCCCTCGAAGCCGAAGAATGAGGTCCAAGCACAGCCGATTTAGCCCCTGCAGCGGGGCTAGCGCTTGGCTTTGTCATTTGCGTACCAGTAAGTTTGGGTCGCGCTGGTACCGCCGAGGTGGGCTGTGGTGCTATCGTTGGCGCAGGCGATGGGATTGATGAGATTTCAGGTGCTTTTATGGATTGCCTTCTCAGGAGGGTAGGCTCGGGTTTGCTTGGAGCCGGCTGCTCTTTGCTTTCAATCGGTGCCGCGTAGTTTTCGGCGACTGTCGAGCTTTGCTCCGGCACCGCTATAGCCGACCATGCCTCAAATCGAGCGACGCTTGATGCCGCATCGTTTCCAGCGGTTGCTACGATTCGTGCTGGCGGAGCGCTGAGTGGGGTCTTGCTGTTTGCATTCCCAAAATCGGGAAAGGGTGAGAGTACCCGCGGAGTCGGTAGTTTGGGTGTCGACATCTCGAGCTCGATGATGTTCAACCCCACACTGTCCTCAATAGACTCGAGGGCGGTATTTCCACTGACATCAAACGACAACGGGGTTGGGTTGGTGGGCTCCTCCGGCACTTCGCGAGCCGGTCTCGGCGGTGACCGCAAGGGGCTCGGGGACGATCGTGTCTGCGATCCATGGGAGTCGGATGGATTGCGTGATGCTATCATTGGCGGCCTGGTTGGGACGCTGGCTCGGTATCGGTCTTTGAGATTCGAAGCGGCGGTGCTGTCGGACTCGGCAGTTGTTTGGCGGCTCTGGAATGACAGAGAGCGCCGAAAGTCGGTGGCCGTGGGTTTCATACCGTCTGATCCCGGACTAGGATTCGTCTTGCGTTCACGAGTCCCGACCGGCGGTTGAGCATCCGCGCCGGTAACACTCTTTCTAGACAAGGCCGATTTCAATGTCTCGAGACGGCACAGTTCAGGAAGCATCGAGGGCTTGGGCTCGACGACGGGGCGCTCGTGAGGAACCATGCGGCCTGCGAGCCTGACAAAGTCACCTCCGGTGGCCGTGAGCGGATCAAAACCGATACAAGACTTGATTCTGGATTTGAAGACGCTTAGCGGCAGCGGGATCTTGCAGTTCTTGCACTCAATCAGCCGCAGGTCCATGTCGGCAACCCGGAGCACCGTGAGCTGCGAAACAAGCGAGTTGAAGTCGGCCAAGTTCTTGGCACAGAGCTGATTCAGGAAGACGATCGAGATCGACTCGTCCTCGGGGGAGGCGTTGGCCAGGATGGACTCGGTGATCTGCTGCAGGATGGTGACGGGCTTGGCTTGGTCCCAGTTCCGGGCCCAGCGGGACAGGATCTCGAACTGGTCGCGGGCACACAGCCGCTGCCGGGTGCGCTCCAGCAACACAATAATGTGGTTCACCGAGACGATGGTGTGGTTGAACTCGGGTCTGGAGGCAACTGTCATCCAGATGGGTGGGAAGCTTTGTCGTCGAAGGAAAGAGAATATGATGTAATAGTGTTAAGCTTGCGCTGTCACCGCCCCCCTGGATTCACTCCCCCTGGATTCGCCCCCTGGATTCGTTCCCCCTGGATTCGCCCCCCTTGATGCAACGCTGCCAGCCACGTCCAAGACGATGCTCGCGCAGGCGTGCACCGACCTGGAGTAGCACGCTTCCATGAGCTTGTTCATGCGAAAGTACTCCGAGTTCCTCAGGGTGTCGACCCAGTGGTTAGAGCCAAGGATCACCTTGAAGTTGGGGAGCTCGGAGTAGATGTCGGCGATCGAGGGCCCGTTCATGTAGATCTGGCGCAAGATATCTGCAAATCCGAGGGGAGCCGGAGGGGAGAGCGATATTGTCTGGAAGGGCTCTTTGTACCGGCGAAAGTACGTCCGGAAGAAGGGGCTGCGTTCCAGATATGCACTGTGGGCCAGATAGACAGAGTCGTCTTGCAGCGTGATGACGACATTGGAGAATCGAGGATCGTTCAGGTGCTCGAGGGCGCTTTTGCCGGTGAGAGCCTTGAGCGGCGCCATAGGCTGGAGCGTTTGGATGACAGGCGTTTTGCCGATAAAGTAGCAGGTCTTGGAGTTTCTCTGGAGCTTCTCGCCGATACAACCAAGGAGGAAGGCCTCCTTTGGGTCGAGTTGCGGACAGTAGAATCGGAGCGGCGGGAGGTCCACAGGAACAGGGGCCTCAAAGCGAGCTTCCATCTCAGAGACGCTGCTGGTGCAGGCCAGCCGCTTGATCGAACGAGCAGGGAGCGACGCTGGGTCGATGCAAATGCAATGGTCTGGACCGGTCCAACCAGGCCTTGCGGGTATGCTCCCGCCGCCGATATATAGCCAGACGTCGCTACTGATCGGGGATAACATATTTGCTCGATCGACTGCTCAGCGTGGGTCTGTCGAGAAGGCATGATTGGGCAAAGGCCACAAGGGACAGTCTTGGGCATTGTTTCCGTCGTCGCTGCAGACAGGATGCAGCGCATTGTTGCTGGCCCTTCGGAAACGACATTCAGTGCCGACAATCGTCAGCTCCATCGACAGATCCACCGCCAGCTCCATCGACAGATCCACCGCCAGCTCCATCGCAAGATCCATCGCAAGATCCATCGCTTGCCCAGGGCTTGCCCGGCACCGATGCGGGCCTCCCTGTCGATGATGGTAGCTCGTTGTGCTGAGCACACCGAAATATCAATATATTCACAAGTGGCTGCTGCCCAAGTACGTTCATTGTCGGATCGAACTGTAACTGGATATACTCGCGGCGGCGCTGGGTCGGTCGGCCCCCATCAAGCTCGGCTTCGCTTCAGATCGCCCCCGCCGCGGTCTGTCCGAGACTCGAGCTTGCGCTTGCGTTCGCTCTCTTCCAGCATGATCTGCTCGACTGCGCTGAGCTTTTTCGGTTGTGCGTCGGATATCTGTGGTCGGGATGGAGCGGCCGATGCTGCTGACGGTGACTGAGTTGATGCCGCAGCCGACGAGGCGCCAGAGGACTTTGATGATGCAGTCCCCATCTTGAATACATTCGGCCTTTTGGCCTCGGGTTTTGCGAGCTTGGATGTCGACTTGAACGACATGGTCAGCTTGATCTTTTCTCCCTCGCTCTCTCGCTTGAGCTCAGTGAACGTCTGTGAGAGAGCCGTTGCATGGTATTAGATGTGTACGGCTCTGCCGAGTCTTGAAGACTGCCGCCACTGCATTGCCCCTCCACTCGATCGATCGTGAGGTGATGTTGTCGCTGCTGGGGAGGCGACCAATGATCCTGGCCGAGCGATCCCGACAATAGCACATCCGGCAGTAGAGCCTTGGACGTTGACGATTGTGCCTTACCTCCTCAGGCTGGGTCTCGACCGCCTCGCGCTGGGCCTTCTCAATCTGTTCCTGGAGCAGCCGCTGATCCCGCTCCTCCTCCGTTTTTGCCATGCGATCCTGTTTGAGGATCGCGGCCTGTTTGGCGAGGGCTTCGGGGCTGCGATCGATCCATGCGATGAACCATCCTTTCGGCGTCTCCTCCACATCGGCAAGGCCATTCTTGCCCAGGTACTTGCAAAAGTCGGTGAGGGTGTTCCATTCGGTGGAATTCATGTGCAGATGGTGTCGATCGCTAATGTACTCTTGGTAAACGAGGTTTGCATGCACTCGTCTGGTGCCGTAACTACCACGTCAGAGCAAGGAGCGGGTCAGGTTAGCGACTGTGGCCGAGAAGCTGAGCCCACCTCGGCCGGGAAGCGAGGGTCACACTCTTCTCTTCTTCAGCCAACGATCGACCAGGTGCGATAGCAATGCGTCCTGCGGGATCGATGGCCTACCGTCTCGAAAGCAGCCGAATAAAGTCATCCAGGAACTGCTTGGAGAAGTTTGACATATATGTCGATGCGCTTTCGGCGAACAGGAGCATCTGCCGCTGGTGGGCCTCAGAGGCACAGTGGCACTTGAACCCATTTTCGTCTCTGCATTGTTTCTGCCGAATGAGATTCGGAGGGATAGCCCCGTCAGGAGCCAGGATCGCTCATGCATCATGGCGAACCGAAAGGGACAGGTCGAGGACCTTACCTCACACATCTGGCAGTACCACCGCAGCTTCTGCAGGCCTTTGGCCTTGATGCGGTTGGCGATGGCCTTGGGGGTCAGGAAGTTATCGCCGCCCATTGCTCCGGGTTGATGAAGATGGGTTGATGGAAATGGATTGATCGAGATGGGTTGATCGAGATGGAAAGCCGGGCAACACGGCGCACACCTCAAAACCCGAGAATCGGCGCTCTCGGTCCGTGCTCTCGCGAGATGCTCCGCCAGGGCCGATGTCGATGTCGATGTCGATGCCCTTCCCACAGAGGCTGTCCTGCCACTGCGATGGATGCATCTGGGTCATAGGTCGCGGCGTCGAAACACCTCAATGATTACAACGTGCGGACTGGACTTGCTATGCGAGCGAGGGATCGCCCGCTCGGAGACGACATCCTCGCCTCCCATCAGGTATCCCGTTTGAGCGCTGATGATAGAGCCAGGCGGTCATGGCCAGCACACAATGTTTTGGTGGACAAATCATTTGGTCATTGATCTCGAACTATATTGAACTTCCGAGCACGAGGCGACCACAAGTCATGTCAGCGGCGGGAGCTGAGGAAACCTTGCATCTCATGATCGGGCTCAGGGTTCGGCTCCTGCGGGCTGCTTGCTCGGATAGTACTGCGTTGTGGAGAGGACATGGCCAGGCTCGACAGATGCCGACGGGCTCGCACTCGCTGCTGGCGGGGATTCAGTTCAGCACCAGCATCGCTCCCACTGTTGCGTATCAAGCCGTCCATGCTCGCCCGGCCAGGTGCAGAGTCGTCGAAGCGTAGATACGGGTGGAGATCTTCAAAGTAGCGCATCGAAGCAAGAATCTTGTCCCAGCCCTCGTCGTCGCCGTGGAGCGCCGTGAGCAGGTCCTTCTTAGTGATGATGCCCCGGAGTCTGCCGTTGCGCTTGACGAGGATGTATCGTGGACCAACCTTCTTGAACAGGTCCATGACCGTCTCGGCCGGAACCTCAGGCTGGACACTCAGCGGCGTCTTGGAGGAGCGATACGAGAGTCAGCATCACGTCCCCCTGATGTCGGTGCTGCCGTTGGGCCATGTCGACCCACCCGCAAAACACCAACCCACAACATGAGCACGAGCATGAGCATGGGCCTGTGGACGGCGAGTGGACGGCGAGTGGACATCCCCAATTCGGTGGCGACTGAAGGGGGGGGGAGCAACTTACCCGATCGACATACGTCGTCAAGTCCAGCGATTGTGCCGACTCGCCGCTGCTCATCCGGCTTGAAGATGCGCCTGTGGAGCGAACGCGGATGCCTCTGGGAAGAAACAAGTTGCCTATAACCTCGACATCGTCGAAGAAGACAGGGGCTTGACTCCCGATGCCAGCTCGGGTCTTTGCCTTCTCTGAAAGGCCCCCACCCACACAGAAGAAGAGCATCAGTGCCGTTGCATATGAGCCAAGGCACCTCCTATTTGAAAGTGTTACAACAAACCATAAAACGGACGACAGAGCCCATGTCCACAAGGATCTTTCGGCGGCTGTCCCCGCTCAGGCTGTTTCGGTAACATCCTCATTGAATGCCGGCTGACAAGCTTACCCAAGGCATATTTCAAATCGCTGCGGCTGATGTACCCTATCAGCGAGTCGTCCTCGGCGCTCTTTACGACCGGGAATCCTTTGTAATCCACCTCAGAGAGCACTTTCTCTGGAAATACGGTTGGAGTATGCACAGCGTTCAGTGTGGGGCAGAAAGACAACTCGCATCCTGCAGCCAGATGATATCCCTCGCGCCACTGCCCAGGTACCGATTCAGGAGATTCGCTTACCGATGCTCGAGATGCGCATGCCCGTGCTGGGAAAGCACACCAACTCATCAATGGGGGTCATCACCTCATCTGCGGCAACGCCAATGATCGAGTCCTCTTTGTGGTCCAGGAACGGAAACTTGTTGACACGGATCAGAATGTCGGCAATTCCACCTTCTTGGAAGGCATCTCCGACGAGCTTGGCGACCATCAGCGTGATCATACAAGGCAGGATGTAGTCGAGGGTACCCGTAAGCTCAAACATAACCACCGTCAGCGAAACTGGATGTCGCCATCGGCAGCGAGTAACGGAGGGCAAGAGACATGCGAATCGGTTAGTGAATCTCGGAGAAGGAATCAGATCACTGGCACACCGGCACACCGGCACACCAAAGCTCACTGCACACTCAGGTGGGATACGCCGAGCGGGACATGGTCTGTTGCCGCACCTGTCATCCGAGTGACTCCGCCCAATGTTGCGATGGCACCCAAGAGAGCGTACATGCCCGGGGTTACGCATGGCCGTTCGGGATGACACTCGGCAAATAGAGGAAGGTCTGGAGAGAGTCTAGAGAGGCAAGCTCAGCCCATCAGCTCAAGTCGTGCCAATAGACATCGCTTCCAGCGTAAGTATTTCACCTAGCTTACCGATGCCACGCCTGGACAAGAATACCTAGGATACGCCCAAACAGAGCTCCGATGACCATCGACGGGATACTGAGATACGCGAGAGGGTTAGAACTCCTCCATATCATATCGATCTGGGAATTCGCGCATTGAGATCCTGCTGCGCCATTCGGGACTTACAAAATACCGGCCGGGACCTAGATGAAGGGAGCTATAAAGTCAGTCGAGAGACGAGCATGCCCAACGCAATGCTATCGATGGATCGGAATGCCGTGCGTCCCCTTACTTTGACTCCAAATGTAACTGTTGTCAGTGCCATTCGCGTCACCAAGGCAATCCCCAGTAGCAAGAGCGTTCCGACCATTCGGTTGTCACTGCAATATCCCCCAACGATAGTGTGGAGTTATGTGTTAGTTTGTAAAGTATGGTAAATATTCCAAGCAGAGGGCACCGAACAAGAATCTCGAATCCCGCAGATCGAGCAGAGGACTGCTTACTCACTCGCATAGTCCGTGGAAATCGGATTCGGCACATTCCTTGAACAGATACTCCAATAGCTCGGACGAGTCGATCCGAGTGAACATGTTGAGGTAGAACACGAATCCCGTGGCGGCCGAAAGTACAGCCACTTCGGTGATCGGGAACTTTTGCAGCCACGAATGTTTCCGAAAGGCTTGCACTCGCAAATTGAGGTGAATCAAGAGAGCGCCACAGAGACCCTAGGAATGAGTAGCGTGTGAGATGCAAGCATATATGCAGGTACAGACATGACTCAAGCATCGCAGCTGGCTGCACTCCATCGGTGATGGGGGTTACGAAGAGAATATGAAGGCCAACTTACTCCAAACAGACCGATCAAGAGGAAAAACACAACCTCGAAAAAGTACCAATCGCGCGAGTAGGTGACTTGATACATGACTCGCTTGCCTCTATATGGGTCGATGATCTGGCGAATCCGAAGAAGCGGACCAGTGAGTTTTGTGGGGGTGAGGAAAGTACCGAACAAGCCAGTCCAGGCAAGTTGCGATAGCGTATCTGTACCTGAAGCGTTACGCAGGATACTAGGGCACAGAAAAAGCTTCGAACCATGGTCTTGGAGGGGAAGTACGAGCTCAGTTCCTGTGCAGCGGAGCCATCATGTTCACAAGAATGGTCCGTCACGACAGAGGAGAAGGTGACGAGTTAGCAACCAGGCTTGCTTTGTATTTGCATATCGCTGGCCAGGAATCACACTTGCCGCTTACCTCCAGCGAGAATAGCACACCGCCGATGGGTGCTGTGAAGGAAAGCAGTGCACTGTTAGGAATAGCCAACTGCGAGTGCCAACTGCGAGTGCTAACTGCGAGTGCTAACAAAGAAAGGACACGCTATATCCATGTGGTGTATGGCTTTCTAGAGGACAATTCGTCAGCTAAGCTCGGCATGGGGCTGATGGCACCCATTGACGGCGCCCCAAACTTACCACCAAAGGCGACGGCTACGCCCGCAGCAGAAGCAGCTAGTTGATAGCCGAGAGCGATCCAGGATTAGCCGGGCAGTCATTTTTCGGTGTCTGCGGGTTCTTGCGCGGTTGTCACTAACCGGAAAGGATCTCTCGCAACCTGCCCTCGTTATTGTGGTACTTGGGAAAGAATCGAGGAAAGATGTTTCCAACACAACAGGCGGCATGGATCATGGGCCCTTCCTTTCCCACAGCTAGTCCAGATGCCACGGTGAGAGGCTGTCGAAGGGAAGAAAGAACAGCATCGCAAGTCAGGCCGAGACGACCAGCCAGAACGCCATGTGATATCATCCAAGTTGGGAGAGGCGCTAATGGCGGTCAGCAGCATCGCCGCAACGTTGCTCGCACAACGCATCTTACCAAACCAATTGTCTTCACAATCAGGGTGCGCAGCCCAAAGAATCCCTTGATGATAAAGCCGCCTAGAATAGTCTTGATTTCAGGTGTGCCGGATCCGGTGGCGTACGGTGCAATCTTGACGACAAAGATCGAGCATAGGGTCGCAAATACAGTCTGGAAGAGAGTGTGTTAGTGCCCATCCGTTCGAACTGATGCAACGACTACTATCTGCCAGTGGCCTTCGCCACAGTGTCGTTTCAAATCCTTACCGACATGAGCACGTAAGCCAATAGATTGACAACGAAAAAGGATCCGCCAAAATAGGCTGTGCTCCAGTCGATCCAGTCCGAACAGTGTTCGTCTGACGTCCAAGTGCGAGCAGATGGTTGGCGAGCATCAGTGGTACTGGTCACGACATATCCGTCTAGTTCCAATGGCTTCGTTGGCTGCTGGCCATCTGCTACGACTGATTTCTGGCTTGCTCGTCAAGCCAGCATTGTGCGCACTCCCGGCATTACCGTGATGATCAAGACCGGCGCAGCACACGCTCTTGGTTAGATACCAGTCGGCCCGACAATATCCGATACGGGCGTCGGTGAGCCAAGCGGCCACGACCGCAATCCAGGATGCTATAACTCCAATGGTCACGCCTGGAGGGATACAGAGAGCGCTGTGTCAGGTTTCAATAAATGCGCCGCTTCCAACAGAATGTTCGACACGGAGCCACGGCAGCCTTGCTATCGAAACTCTGACGAGGACAGACCTACGATCGAGATCAGGATCCAGGACTGGGTTGCATCAAAGATTACTCGAATCTGGGCCTCCCAGCCCGTCCACTGGTTGTCCAGCTTGATCTTGTTTTGCCTGCGGTGGTCGCGCATGAAATCTCTCATCCAATCTGAAGGGACATGCGCCAGTCGCAACGGCCAAAAGTGGTTTTGTCGTTAGTGCCCGGCTGTGGATGCATCCCGGAGATGATACAGCATAAAAGCTTCATGAACCTTCGCGCATATTACTGAGCAGGATACGCACGAGGGATAGAACACGGCTGTCGCATCAAAAGGTCCTGATATCTGTCCGGTCCATGCAGGTCCGTGCAGCGCTAATGCGGCCGCTTGGAGCGGCGATGGCAGATCGCATTCTAAACTGACCTATTGTGGTGAAGTCTTCATAGATCTCCTTCCAAGTATCCTCGGGCTCGTCCAAATCGATCAAATTGACCGAGGCACGTTGCTCCGGGTCTTCGGCTGGCACTCTTGTTTCGGGAACCGACTTTGGACGGCTGGCATGGACGCATGAGACGGGATAGGCAGTGGCTCGGTCAATGGCGATGGGTGCAGCTTATAGCCCGATATCGCCAACGACCGCAACTCAAGACGGCAGGCGGCAGGCGACTTGCAACAGGGTGAGCCAATACACACGGTCGAGGCAAGGGCAACATCATCGACCGACATCTAGCCGAAATAGTCAGGTGCAGACAGGAATAAATCGGAGCGAGCCATTACTTGAGCGGCGACGAGCCAGGAGCCGGTAGTGATATCAGCGGCCGCCCCAGAGACGACGATTGTGTGGTATGGGCATCGGGGCCGTCATCGGGCGCCATCAGGAGACTGCCAGCGTTATCTTCGGACGGACGTGGAATAGGGCCGCCCGAGCTATGCGGGCGGGTCCGGAGCCGGGGTCGCTGGAAGCGTTCGGTGGGCTGGAAGGATGCAGTCACGGCCGACCATAGCTCAGAGAAGCGGGAGGCCATGTCTCGGTTTTGGGTGGTTGGGATGTCGAGGTAACGGGAATGGTCCTGCGGGAGCGCAGGCTATCGTAACTAACAGAGGACTATGCGGCCCTGGAGACGTCTTTCCCTGCCCTATATATGCAGACAATGGTGTAAGCGGCGGTCGGCAGCGTCATCAGTGCCTGCGCTGCCTTGCCCAGCCATGCAGGATGCCGATCGGTCCTTCCTCCTGGGCCGCATCTCCTTTCGATACCGCGAGGGAGCGATCTGCCGACGCTGCCAGCCCAAGAGCCGACACATTACCTTGGGTTGTTGGGCGTGCCCTGTGCGATTGTGGAATCGATCGTAGCCTCGGTCGATGCGCACCCAGAATGCGCAACAAATCTGCTCAGGCCACGAAGGCTGGCGCCGCAAATCGTCAGAGACGGGGACTTGGCCTTGCTCGCCTCGGCGCACGCCCCGTGACCACTCGTCCTGGTTGCGACTCGACAGCGTCTGTCCCGAGAGCGTCGTCACCGATAGACCGCATCCAAAGCGACTCTGGCCACCAAGAGGCCCTCCAGGCGAAAACGACACATCCGAGTCAGGTGTGTGCAATGTTGCGGATCCAAAATGGCGGTGCTCGCGAGACGCACTCAAGGATGCGCTGATTGTGCGAAGGAGACAAGGTGGTCCGATTCTTGCAGCGTTTCCAAAATGAAATGGCATCAAGGCAAGGGCTCTGCATCCAGTCCCAGGAGGCACCGGTTTGCTCATGTGCAAAGTGTACTATATTGCTGCGAGAAACGTAGATTGGAACACGCGCATCCAAATGTGCTAAGCCGACCTTGGCCGTCGATCGACTGGCATATCAAGATTGTGTGCATCAAGCTGTAGGATCGCAACGTAGCGACACCAAAGTCGGGAGTATGTTGGAAAGCAGTGCTCTTGGACACACCATGACTTGTGTCTTCGAGATCCAGGAGAATGGCGCCTCAAGATCGCAAAAGCTAGCGTTTCGCTCGACTATGTAAACCTTTGACTGTGCGAACGCTGTCGTGTCTTGCCGTCAATCAGGCATTTACACGTATTTGCTTCGGAGCATCTTGGCAATGGTCTGGAGCTGAATGTTGGACGTTCCCTGGAGATGGCCGCAGAGATGAGTATTGCCGGAATGCGGAGCAGCAAAGTGGCCCTGCCAATAGGCTGCGATCCACAAACACCGGATGATAGGCGCGGAGGAATTACATTCGCAGTGCAAAGCCAGCAGCTCTCTCTATCACTCACCTCGTAGATGGCGCCAATCTTGCAGTCGCGGAAGAACTTTTCAATCGGGAACTCTGTGTCGAAACGCAAGTCAGTCAGTTAGAGTGATTCCGAGACTCCGATCGCTTTCTCTCACGATTTCATTGATCCGGTGCTGTCAATGGACTGTGACACAGGACGATGTGCGCTGCACCTCAGCATCTCGCCCACGGCGAAGGCTGCGCGGGCTACCCACCTCGTGTAAATCCGACTCCGCCAACCCACTCGATTGCCTTGGATGCGGACTTTTCGGCGACCTGCGAAGCGTAAAGCTTGGCCATGGCGGCCTCCTTGACAAAGCTCTTGCCTTCCTCCTTCAACCGGGCGGCATTGTAAGTCAGGAGACGGGCGGCTTCAATCTCCACAGCAACTTGGGCGTACTGGTGCTGGACGCCCTGTTTGCCGTATTGGTCGCGACAGGAAAATCGAAAGTGTGAGTTCACCAAGGTCGTATGCGCTCGGTGTTTCTAAGGACACACGTGCCAGAGGACACCCACCTGGAAATCGCCGATGAGAGTGTTGAACTGCTTTCGCTGGAAGGCGTACGCAAGGGCCTCGTCAAAGACACCTTGGGCAAGACCAAGCATTTGGGCAGCAATGCCGATGCGGCCCTCGTTGAGGATCTCGATGGCATACTTGTATCCTTTGCCGACCTCCCCAAGGACATTTTCGGCAGGAACCTAGAGCCCGCGAAAGTCGACACCCAGCCATGGGCAGGATCAGACACATATTGCGGGGTCCGCGGAAGCATTTACTCGCCAAGCGAGGCCTCTGGTGGTCCGTAGCCACATATTATAACGAAGAAGCTCATGGCTTATCACACAGATGCGCTGGCATTGCAAATGTGTAGGGTCTCTGGGTCATAGCAGCCCGGCTCGGTGGGAAAGTGATTGGTGAGGAGCTTACCTTGATGTCGTCAAAGGAGAGAGCGCAGGTCGAGGAGGCGCGGATACCAAGCTAAGAGAGGACGAATGCCAGTGGACAGCGTTAGTGAAGACAGCACATGCCATTGCTGAACTGGATCCATTTTAAGCGGCACGGCAGCTCTCTATGCCGCTGTTCGTCGCGGCTATTGTTGACCCGTTGCGCCGCGACGGGTCATTACCTTAGTTTCCTTCTTGGCAATCTTGACGCCCATCTCCTTCTCAACGATAAAGCAGGTGATTCCCTTGTATCCCTTGGAGGGGTCGATGTTGGCAAAGACCAGGAAGATATCGGCCTCCTTGGAGTTGGTGATCCACATCTTGGAGCCGCTCAGGATATAGTGATCACCCTCCTTGGTGGCACGGGTTGTCAGAGAAAATGCATCACTGCCCGAGCCCGCCTCAGAGAGACAGAAGCAGCCAACCTGGCGGCGGTAGATTGGATCAGTACTGGGAAAGAGGGGCGACATCCTGACGGCGACCGCGGGCGGAGTCGGCCGTGGGAGTGGCACCCGCACACGCAGCTACTCACCGTGTCGGTTGCGAGACGAGTGAGGTACTTTTCTTGCTGCTCCTTAGTAGCGTACTTGCGGAATAGAGTGTTGACAAGGGTGTTTTGCACATCGCAAATAACACTGATCGAGGGGTCGATCTTGGCCAGTTCTAAGGGTCGCAGAGATGGAGGCGCATCAGGAACAGCCCGGCAGAAACGCACTCTCTGGCATAGGGCTGATCACCGCTGCCTGTCCCGGAAAGCTTCGCTACCTTCGATAACGATGATGGCCGAAGTGAAGGAGCAGTCGGCTCCGTTGTAATCGGAGCTGGTTTCGATGCCCATAAGCTGAGAGTTGGAGTTGAAGGGGACAACTGGACGGTGAGCGGCGCCGTCACAGTGCCATCCACAGGCAAGACGTGCCATGTCTGTTCCATTTATCGACCTTGGCATGGAGTTTAGATGCCATGTCTCGGCCAACAAATAAACGAGTCGGCCCTGACTATCCCGGCTCAGCAACCCGCCACTGACTTACGCCCTGCTCGAAGAGGCCCTTAAGAACCCCCTTGTCCAGCTCCTCAGACTCATCCATTTTGGCGACCAAGGGTTTGACCTGCTCGACAGCGAATTTGCGGACTGCGTTTGAAAGACGGTCAGATCATGGTATCCGATGGCGCTCCGATGGCGCTCCGATTTGGGTGCATCGTGGGAGCCAGGGCGGCCTGCTCACCTGTTTCGCGGAGCATGTTCTCCTCGGCAGTGAAGGAGTTGAGCGACGACTGCGAGGCAAACGTGCGCAGAGATCCTCGAGCCAGAGAAGGCTTGGGAGCACTGAGCGAGAGAGCGAGACATCGGGCGGTTCAGATCGAGGCGAGGCATCTGTAAGCCAGGAAGGCTGGACAGCAATCGACGCCCTCGATCATCCGCGGACACAGCGGTAGGACCTACCTGAGCGAGGTGCGCGCAAGCTGCAGCGATGAACGAGCCCAGCGGATCATGCTTGAAGAAAGAGACGACAGAGGAAGAGGGCGGGCGGTGGGCCGGAGCAGCAGACGCAAGACGATGAACGACAGAAAACTCGGACGGACCGAGGCAGACCCGAGGACGGAAATGCCAGGCCGATCCACAGGCCGGGAAGCGGCGCGTGAAGGACGCGGAGCGGTGTGTGTGTGTGGTCCGAGCCGCCGGAGAAACGGAGATTGGATTTGCACGTGGATGGCATGTGGGGATGGCTGGACTGGCTGGATTGGCTGGACTGGCTGGACTGGCTGGACTGGCTGGACTGGCTGGACTGGCTGGACTGGCTGGACTGGCTGGACTGGCTGGACTGGCTGGACTGGCTGGACTGGCTGGACTGGCTGGACTGGCTGGACTGGCTGGACTGGCTGGACTGGCTGGACTGGCTGGGTCAGCCAACACAAACCCGCCGAGATTCGAGATCCCTTGCTTATCCACACCACACCCACCACACCCATCACACCCATCACCCATCACCCACCGCAGGTCCAGCGATACCAGCATAATGTACAACGGCATAGGTAGGTGTATCAACACTCCGATGCTCCGATGCTCCGATTCCCGATGCCCAATGCCCAGACACCCGATACTTTGATCGGGTGCTGTCCTGGCCAGCGAGCGTTGCGTGACCGCCCAAGCTTCCTCGGCGCAAATCGGCCGACCTCCACCGCCGACTGGATTATGTCCACCAATTGCACACTCACATTGCAAACTGGCTCTGTCTGCAGGTCTGTCGACTGCCCGTGGATCCGGAACAAACGGATACGTCCAGCGCAATCTCTCGTCGCTGCGGCCTCGCGAGAAACAGGACTATCGCCGAGACGACCCCAGCCGTAGCAACCCAGCTCCGTTCAAAAAGCCCAACGAAGACATCCTGACGCACGACAAAAAGCGAGAGATCGAAATCAAGTGCTTGGAGCTCAGGGACACTCTGGAAGAATCGGGGGTTGACGAATCGGAGATCGAGGACAAGGTCGATGAGCTGCGAAAGGAGCTGCTCCAGAAACTGGGCAACTTCCAGAAGAGCCTGAAGGAGATCCAGAGCCACGAAGTGCACCACCTCGCGGCTGCAAAAGAAGAAAAGAATAGGAATCTTGCCCGTGCCTTTGGCATCCGAGAGGCGGAGCATGTTGAAGGCGCCGCCTTTGATCCCGAGATCCAGGTACGCCCGGCAAGCCGGAATCGAGCCTGATGCAGGCGGTCTTGCCCAGCAATGCATCGGCGTGCAAAGATGTATTCGACGGGTGGTGACCATGTTTGAAGCATGCATTGACGTGTGGCTCTCCCTGTGTCCGTAGAACGCCAAAAAGCAAGAGCGCATGCTTGAGCGAGCACGCCGCGAAGAGGAGCGACAGGCACGATTCGAGGAAGAGCAGCGCAGAAGAGAAAAGGAGCTGCGTCGCAGAGACGCAGACCGAGAGGCCATGCGACGTGGCGAACACCGGGACGAACACCGGGACGAACACCGGGACGATAGCCACGGGCGGCGCCGACGTCGCTCGCCCTCGCGATCGAACTCGGACCGATCTCCAGACCTACGATCGAAAGGCTCGGTGTCGCCACCCCAACAGCGTCCCCGCCGCCGCAGCGCTTCGCCCGACGTGGAGGCTCGCCGACCGCCGTCGTCAACTAATATCCCTGAGGACGCCCATCCCCGTGGCAGAGGCCGGGCCGCCTCACCGCCACGGCGGTCTCAGCAGCGATCGTCGAGCCGCAAGTCCCGCAGTCCGAGTCCGAGCGGTAGCGATGCCTCCGACCTGTCGTCTCGCAGAGATCGCCGACGATCCAGCCGTGCCCGAAGCGACAGCTACAGCCCAAGCCGCAGTCCCAGCCGCAGTCCGCGTCATAATCCACGTCGCAGGGCGAGCGCCAGCAGCCAGAGCGACCGGAGCTAGTGTCTGATCAATAGCCTTTCCATGGGCGAGACTCGGCCTTTCTGATAAATCGCAGCGGGCTTCCAGACGAACGCCAAGACAGGCCGTCTCCGATGAGTAATACATGCACTCCCCCCGATTCGAATCATCCATGGAGTGGCGTGCCAAGAGTGCTGCGTGTCGGGGTCGCTGGCCAGAGCCAGGAGGCACAGCCTTACCGAACACGTTGCCAGGGCCGCGCAGGCAGTGCCTCCACCGCGCCAAGCCAAAAGCCGAAAGCAAGATTTGCCGGTCATCCGCCGGCAGATCGGGCATCAATCTCGTCCGTTCTGCCAAGGCCCAACCCTGGCGCGGCCGATATAACGCCGTGCCGCTCGGCGTCAGTCCACAACACCTCACCTCAGATCCCCTCTCACAACGCGCCCTTCTTCCTCCCCTCTTCACTGCAATGTCGACGACCCTGACGACAGAACCTCTGATCCAGAGCGGCCTTGCCTTCGCTCGACAATACGGCACCCAGTTGGCGATTGCGGGCACTGTTCTACTTGCCTCCGGCGCCTATGCCATATTCGAGTCGGCCAGTAGTGGCAAGTCGATCCCTGGCCCCAAGAGCTGGCCATTTATCGGCGAGTTTCTGACCATTGGCAAGTAAGTATCCATTAGTGCTGCGACAGGATCGTGCCCGGCCCCGCTTCTCACGTTTCGGCGCTCCTATTCTCCCTCTAGATACATCGCCGACAGAAGAGTCCACATGTTCTTCCATGATATCCAAGAAAAGTATGGCCCGATCGGCACCGTCCATATCTTGGGCCGAACGAGTGTTTTGATCTCCGACGCCGATGAAATCAAGCGGGTCCTCAAGGGCGACGACAAGTGCGAGTTTATACGCTCCGAAGAGTTTCAACTGACACACAAGTAAGCAGCGGCGCACCGTGTTGGCGTACTGTCCACTCCGCCGGGTTGCTGAAATGCACACGTATTTTGGTGTCGGGCCCAATTCACGACCTGCTTTTGAGACACCCATGCGAACGCTAACGTTCCGATATTCCAACTGCACAGGGGAATCGCCCACTATGCTTTATTCTTGATTCCGACCGGCGACGTCTGGAAGCGCCATCGCAAGTTCCTCCAGCCCGGCTTTGGACCGGTTCAACTGCGAGCAGCTGCGGAAGCCTCCAACCAGTACATGGACCTCATGATCACCAAGCTCGGTGCCTCTTCCAAAATCAACATGCATCTCGTTGCCAACGCCGTCGTGCTTGACATCATGTGAGTAAAGATTGCATCATCACAGGATCAAAAAGCATTCTAGTATCGCCGAGCTAAACTTTGGGCTGCCCTGTCCCATGGCCTTCTGTTCTTCCGCCCTCTCTCGATCCGACTTTGTGTTGTCACAGCGGAGCGATTGCGTTCTCAAAGGACCTTGGCACTACCGCTCTCCTCGACCGCCCCGCTGAACTTGACGAGGCCTTCAGTCCCTTCAAGAACATTGCCCAAATCACCAGCAACCGATTCGGTCTCAACGAGTGGCTTTGGGACCGCTTTGGCGTGGGGATGAAGATTGGCATCGATGAGTCGCGCGCCATCAAAGAAATTACCCGTAAGACTCTCGCTGAACGCCGTGCCTTGTCGACGCCGCATCCAAATGAAGATCTCATGGACCGACTACTCTTTGTGGATACCAGCGGAGACGCAGTAAGTGCAAACTCGACCGCCAGTCGCAAAGGCAGAGCGCAATGGCCAAGGACTACTGTATCGGAGCTGTGGCGACTTGCATATAGCCGCAGCACTAGATGCAGTCTCGTCTTTCAAGCCAGGGTGACGCTGAATGGCTCGCTAATATAATCGGCCCGCGTTTTCCAGAAATTCACCGAAGAAGAGATCCTGGATGAAATCTACGGCTTCTTCCTGGCCGGACACGAGTATGTTCTCCTTTCGTGTGCTTTGGTCACGGTCGCTCGCTCGCTGCTATGGACTCCTTGCCTCTGCCAACTCTATTCTCATGCGGCTGCCCCTGCCTGTATCATACCTATCCAGGACCACCGCCAATTTGATTACCTTTGTCATGATCGAGCTCATGAAGCACCCGGATGTGTACGAGAAGGCTCAACAGGAAGTTGACAGCATTCTGGGCCGTGACGGACTGCCTGCCCACGAGCAACTCTCGCAGTTCAAGTAGGTCATTTGCATCACAGCGTCTGCTCTGTAGTTGTCATGATGCTGAGACACACTCCATCCAACGGATTGAGATAATTTCTGATCATAGCAATACCTTTGGGTGCAGGTACATCGATATGGTGATCAAGGAGACTCTTCGAATGTATCCACCTGTTCCGCTGTTGGCCCGCCGCACCACCAAGGACACTCAAATCCTGGGATACCACGTCAAGAGCGGGGTAAGTGTCAGAGCCACTCCTTGGTCAAACAAACGGGCTTGATTGACGATTCTGGCATCTATATCTGGCCTATGGCCATTCGTTCTATGTCTCACACGTTTTTACAATGAATATCTCGCCTCACAGATTGAGATCAACGTGGTCATCTCCCATCTCCATCGGAACCCCAAGTATTGGGAGAACCCTGAAGAGTTCAACCCTGATCGTTGGATCAAGCCGCACTACCCCGGCAGCTACTTGCCTTTTGGCGATGGCCCCATGAACTGCATCGGGCAGAAGATGGCAAACATTGAAACAAGAGTAAGCGTCTGATCGCGCAAATGCATGTTTGAAGACATGGGCTTGGGTTGTGTGTTCGGAAGTCGTGTTGGTCGCCACCAAACTAACATGGCCCTGCTCGCCCAGATCTTCGTCATCCGCGCGCTGCAAAGGTACAACTTCAAGCTGCTTGATCCGAGCCAGTTGCGCATCGTCTTCTCCATCACCCAGGGCTACAAAGATGGCGTCGACGTCCTTGTTGAGCAGCGAGCATAAACACCTTTCAAAGCCCTGTAGTATTCCCAAAGCCTCTTCTATTGCCCCTTCCAATATCTTCATATTTGTCGCCTCTTGTTTGTAAAAACAACTCAGTCCATACGACTCGAAATACAAAAGGTTGCCCTCGATATAATCGACGCTTTGAGGCCAATATACGCACACACGCAGTGGTGATGCATCCATTGCAGCTATTGGGGGCACGGGAAGGTGGGCCACAAGCGATGTTTCTGGACCAAGGATAGGATTGTGCTTGTTCAATACAAGCCGCCTCGTAGCGTCGCCATACAGCAATGTTCGCCATCGAAGGACGAGGCGTTGTGCCGATGGTCATTACCAAACGATAAATGAGCATGTGCATCCAGCATCGATAAATAGTGACCAGGGATTCGCACAGGGCATCTCGCTTCATTTCGCCCACGCCGCTGTATCCAAAGTGCACTGTGGGCTGTCTCGGGATTTCCGCTGTACCAGTACTGAGCGACGAGCCAGGGTACCCCGGGATCAGCAGTCGGAACAGTCGCACCCTGGAATTCAAACAAGCCATTGGTTCGCGGGCTTATGCGTCTTGATGCCAGATACCGGTGGAATCGGCCCTCTATTCCTTGTGCGATGCGGTCTCAATGACAATGTGGCGAACACCTTCATCGATCAAGTCGTTGATGCCTGAAAAGCCACTGGTGGCCGGCTTGTGCTTCTCCTTCTCAGTCCCCAAGGCAAGGAGGTAGTCCACGCCGATGAGCACGCTCAGAGTGAGCAGTAGATACCCTAGTACAGTCGCCATGTTGGTCAGCCTATCTCGCGCATCATAACTAATACTGGGGCTCGCTTTGATTCTTGAGCCACTGTCGACCCTGGCGAATACATTACCGCTCTTTACGCTGCGCTACACCCGCTCCGTCCAGCAGTACAGCCATCTTGGCTCCTCACTAACTTACAAACGATCATACGAGTCGTGTCGATCTTCATGGTTTCGATGTTTGTTTTGAGATCGCTGATACGTAGGACCAGCTTGTGGTTGATCTCTTGCATTCGCAGATTGAGATCCATGCCGTGTTCGCGGCTCTCGGACTTGTGAATGTTCATGTCGATTGCAACCTCGCTCTTGAGCGAGGCGATCTTGTCGGCGAACTTTTGGTTGAGCGCCTCGATGTCTCGCAAGATAGCCTCGCTATCGGTCTTGAGATTAGCCGTGTCGTTCTGGCGCAGCAGCTGAAGTTCGTTCCGAAGCTCTTGAAGATCCGCTTTGTACAGGTAAGACTCCTGTGGACATGTAGCGAGCGGATCAGTGCGTTACCAAAGTAGGTGGGCTCTCAGGAAGGCGGCGTTGTATGCCGGGGCCAGGAGAGTCGAGCGGCCATGAAGGACGGTCTGCCCACCCGACTAAGAGCCGTGCCTGCTCCCAAAATGCAAAGCGGCGACTGCATTTGTTGCATTGTTGCAGCGGATAGAAGCTGGTGGGACGAGTGGACGCACATTCTCGAGCTCGGTCTTGGAGAGAAGCTTCGAGCGGATGTCCATGGTGCTAGAGAGGTCAGTTTCAATCAAAGTCAGCGGCTTGAATGTTCCTTGTGATTTAACGATGGCATTCTGCACGCCCCTGTCGATCGCCTGCGTTGCTTCCAGCGGCTGGCACAGCCAGCCGCCGCTTCATGCTTGTTGGGGCGACTTCCTCAATCCGATTGTTCTGCCACAGCACTCATCGCCCACACAAGATCCCTTCCAACGACAGCCATCTGGCCAAGCTTCATCGGCAAGGATCGCACCTTTCCAAAAGTATCGCATTGATAATGCGCATTATGGCAACGGCCTGAGACCGCTTGAAGCCCTGTCGCTCGAGCTGCTTGACCAATTTGTATGTGTCGAATGAGAACCTAGTAACGATGATGCCCCGATTCGGGATGGAGTTTCGCAGGAAGGTGGCCACGACCGAGTCGATGGTTGGGCGGAGTGCGCTGGGCTGTAGGGGCGTCGCCGGGCTCGTTGGTATTTGGGACGACATCTGGCGTCGAGACGCAGGACGTCGGGTCTCTGGCAGTATCGACAGCGCAGGGGCCTGGATGGCCACGAGCTGTGGCCGGGGCAGGCGACCGGCCATTTGAGACGACCAAGAAACCGATCTGGCCAAGCGACTCATGGCAACACGATGCTAGCACGACTGGGACAAACAGCACAACCAACAGCGACGTCGTTTGGGCGACGGGAGATGGATGCTGGCTCCGTTCGGTGGATTTTGGATTGGTGCGTTTGAGCAAAATCCAACGAGAGCGCGACTCTTCTCGCCGAGAGCATTTGCCATCGGCGAAAACCCAATCCCAGCACACGGCAGCCCAGCAGGCGACTCATCGGCTTGCTGACGCCTCTGCCGAAGCCCAGGCTGATATGTCGAGGAGTCTCGCATCGAAGTATCCGGACGAATGGAACCCGCGCTAGTGCCCGAGAGCTGTCTGGAAGTCTTGAGCTGATCCTGGCGAGCGAGCAGGTTGGGAGAGACGGCTTCCACCTGACGAGCCGCAGCCTCACCCATCACTATCAATTTTTTCCGTCCCCCTCGCGGCTGCTCATCTCGAATATGAATACACGCTGTAGACCAAGATGCAGCAAAAGTTGGAATCCGGCCATGGTCGGTTGACGGCATTTGGTATCACCTTGAGCCGATTGACGGTGGTGGTGGGCGATTGGTGTGGAAGAATGACCAATTGTATCATTGTTGGAAGCTCCACTCCGATTGCGGACAAGAACCACCACCATCTGAATCTCTCTGGTTGGAAACCTAGTCAAGCGTGGCTGTGTGTCAGCGAGATGACATGATCGTTTGGCTATCAGGCAAGACTCACCTTGACAAGATGTCTTCCCACGACTGATTGAGCGAGCGATGCGTTTCTGGATCTGAATCAAGGACGCCACTGTGAACAACAACTCTGCCAGCCCAAAATGCGCTGGTTTTGAGGAGATTCTCTCTTCCCCAAGAACAGGACTAGCCATCGTCGCTATTTTCTCGCCAGATGGCTCCCCGCAAGAGAAAGACACCACCCAGGCGACCAAGTGGATCCAGAGCACCCACAAGATCCTTGGTCTGCAGGAATGGATGAGTGCCACACCGAGCCCCAAGATCCCTGGGTTGGCTTCCTTCTTGCGATATATTCGCCATGTGTTCGATGGAGACATGCTGGAGAAACAGCTGTACTTCAGCCTGACCCGGCGACGGCGATTCAAACGGCTTGATCTCCACAGCAAGCGACAGCGCACCGTCCACGAGATGTGCAAGCGAGTCATCGACCAAGCACCAAGGGAGACCGAAGTGGTGATTGCCTTTGGGAATGCATCCTGGAAACAGGGGAAGGGATACGCATCCAGTCCCAGGAGACTCAGGTTTGCCAAGTATTTCGAGCAGTTCCACCATCACCAGAGACGACCACCAGACCGATCCGTCTCCAAGATCCATGTGTGCTCGGTGAACGAGTTCAACACATCCCAGGTGTGCTCACATTGTCGGGAATTCAAGCGACTTGAGTCACCCGAGCATCTTGATATCGAGAAACCACACTTTGTCCGGAGCTGTGCAAGCTGCCATACGTTGTGGGATCGAGACATCAATGCAGCCAGGAACATGATCTCGGTATGCCAGTCGATCATCGCCACAGGAGATCGACCGGGTGTATTCAAGACTGTGCTTCCCAAACCAACCAAAACAAAGAGATTGCCAACGAAGACAGGAGTGCAATGCCATGGCTTGCTCACTGGGCCTACAAGTCAGTCAGCGGGCTTCAGACATCTGATGCCCGAAATGGGATCTGTCCCGTTTCTTTCTGGATTGACTGTAAGTATCTCGCACTGTTCCTTGTGCATTTCGACAGTGGATGCCGGGTCGCCCATATTCTGGGCAGTCCACTTCGGGGTTGCCATCCCTCTTGGGATGGTCGATGGGAGGTGTTTGACTCTCTTGTGCAAAGTGTGTGTGTGTGTGTGTGTGTGTGTGTGTGTGTGTGTGTGTGTGTGTGTGTGACGGCGAGAGGCTTCTCGCCTTCCCTCGGGGGTCTCTCGCCAGAGACTGCTCTTCTCGCCGACCGAGGTGGCTCCGAGAGCGCGTTTTGTCGTTCTCGCTCATTTTTTTAACAAGAAATTTTTTCATAGTGCATGCCCAATCCCGCTTGCTTGGATAGCGCCCAACCCCAGCGCAAAACCTCCTCGGATTGAGCTCCGTCTCGATCGTCTCTACACCAGCACTCTCCAAAGCACACGCATCACCATGTCATTCCAAAAGGACCGCACTCTGATCGCCGTCATCGGAGACGAGGTTGGCACCCGGGATTTCGACATGCTGTCTCGCTGCATCTGCTTGCTTTGGGGCTCGCATCGCGTCTGGTCGATACAGCAGCCGGCAGCCCAGCTCGTCGATATAAACAATACGCACGATTGCTGGGCGTTGGCACCGGCGCCGGGGCCGACAGCGTCATTTCCATCGGCAATGTCATCGGGACCATCGGCAATGTCATCGGGAGCATCGGCAATGTCACCGGGAGCATCGACAACGCCGAGTCTGATTTGTATATCTTGACTGCGATCGCACCCAGGACTCTGTAACCGGCCTGCTTTTGGCCGGCATCGGCCATATCGACTCGAAGCAAAAATCCAACTTTTTCATTGTCGACTCCAGTGAGTGCCGGACCGCATCTCTGGCACAGCCGGACCACAATCGATCTCTTGCTGCTGCCAGTGCTGCTGCAGCGTTATGCTGCCACGTTCGAGAGTCATTGCCTGATGCCGGGCGTTCCCTCTTCTCCAGAGACGCCGCTTCCCAAGATCGAAGAAACCTTCACCGAGTTCACGTCACGCAAGGACATTGCCATCATCCTGATCAACCAGCATGTAACTACCAGAGCATTCTGCATTCTGCCGCCATCGGCTCGCCGCCGGATTGCGCGTGCCTGTCTGGCGAGCGGGACGGTCGACAAATGTGTGAATTCACCACTCGAACTCGACTCGTACTGCAGGTGGCTGATGATATCCGCGAGCTCGTCGAGGCCCACGAAGCTGCCTTCCCGACGGTGCTGGAGATTCCGTCAAAGGACCATCCTTATGATCCCTCCAAAGGTGCGTCGCCTGCGCCGTGTCCGATCCCTGCGTTGATTCCCTGGCCTGTAGCCTCCTCGGTGCTGTACCGGCTCGCCGTTTCTTTCGTTGTCAATGAGAATCCTCCAGCTTACCAGCGCTGTGACCCTTGACGGCATGATGCAGACTCGGTGCTTAAGCGGGTGCAGAAACTGGTCGGCGAACAGTAATCACTCGCTCGTCCACAAGACCAAGACCCTGTTCAGCACAAAGGACGAGGTCATAACCAAACCAAACCAAACCAAACCAAACCATAACCAAGATCAAGCCCAAGAGAAATCCTTGGCTGGTGCCAGACACGATGTTACGGGATCGTCGAGAAACATGCCAGGCGGAGCGCTGGATCGGTTGAAGCTTCATCGGACGCGCATACTGCGACGAGCGGCATGTAGTCTCCTCGAAAGCGTTTATAGCTTGTCCAAATGAACATGATATTTGGATTCTCGATCGTGCTCGCACTCTTGAGTCTGCAGCACGACATGAGTTGCCCTGGAGCTCGATGCCGAGCGAGCACACCTCTGCATCACTCCCATGAGTCACTCTAATGCGACATTGCCGGACCTCGCATTCGTTGCAACCAGCTGCTGCTCGTGGGATGACTTTGCACCAAGCAGCGGAGCCTGAGGGCTAAGGCAGGGAGCTTTGCGGCAAGCTGGTCGCCCGGGTGGTGGTGGTGGTCGGCCCTCTTTCGCCAACGGTATTTCAACCGTCCCGCTCTTTCCACCAGCTCTGCCCGGCCAAAAATGGCGGCTTCCCAAACCAGCCTCGATACCGTGGCCTTCCTCGATGCCCAGATCGCCTCTCTCAATGTGCGGCCTCGTGAGGAGCCCTTTGCTCGACAGCCGGTCGTTCAGATCCCAATCGACACCGCTGCCTGCATTTGTCCAGATGTGGTCGGTCCAGGTGCTAACTCGCTTTGCTTTCGCAGGAAGAGATCGAGTCCCTGAGACGCAAGCGATCGGAGCTTGAGCAGCAACGGAGCAGCATTCTGAGCTCGTTGCAGTCGCTGCCTCCAGCCCCCAAAAGCGCCGCCAGCCAAGCCGTCGACTATGATCGCGAAGACTTTGCGTGGTCCAGGGGCGCCGGCGAGACTGCCAAGAAGATCTGGGGAATTGACGAGTTCCGACACAACCAGAGAGCCATCATCAACGCCGTTCTCTCGGGCCGAGACGTCTTTGTGGTGATGCCAACAGGCGGGGGCAAGTTTCCAGCATTGGCTGTACTTTTGCTGAACGGGGAGACATATGTTTCAATGAACCGGGGCTCACTGACATGGGATCTCGACAGGCAAGTCGTTATGCTTTCAGCTTCCGGCCGTCCTCCGAAGCGGACTGACGGTAGTGATCTCGCCGCTGATCTCCCTGATCCGCGACCAAGTGCTGGGACTGGAGGAAGTCGGGGTGTCTGCCAAAATGCTCCATTCAGGAACAAGCAAAGACGAGACCAAGTCAATTCTCGACGGCGTGGGTGGATCGGACTGTAGCTGGGATGCTCGCATTATCTATGTGACACCCGAGAGAATTGCCAAGAGCAAGCGATTTATGACGGCGCTGGAGAAGCGCTATGGTATGGGGAAGCTGGATCTCCTCGTCATCGACGAGGCACACTGCTGCAGGTCCGTAACGCCGATTTGATGCATGTTGGTGCATGTATGTTGGTGCATGTATGTTGGTGCATGTATGTTGGTGCATGTATGTTGGTGCATGTATGTTGGTGCATGTATGTTGGTGCATGTATGTTGGTGCATGTTGGTGCATGTGGCTGACGCTTTGCTCTGCACTAGTCAATACGGGCATGACTTTCGGTGAGTAGCTGCACAGCCACGGAGGCACAGTAGTTGTGTTATCCAAACCGGCCACGGCTATCGGATGCAAATTGGATTTCAACCATCATGGCGATCGCGGCCCTTCCTGTTCTCACAGTCGATGGCTCGCACTTTCCTTCGTCCAAGGCCGGACTACAAAAAACTTGGTATTCTCAAGGTGCGCACCCATGGTTCACATCTTGAATAACTCAATCCACAAACGGTGTCTACTTATTCGAGGGATCGGTCGACCAAACTGTGTCGTATGCTCCCACGACAATCTCGTTGAGTCTGGGGTGACACATTAATACTGACATTGATGTCCCGACCAGACCATGTTCCCACAGACGCCGCTGATCGCGTTGTCGGCCACATGTCCACTGTCGCTTATGGATTCAGTTCTTTCGATTTTGAACATGAAGCCAATCGACCCAGTGACCGGAACATTGCTCTTTTCGTCACCTTTGCACCGCAAGAACCTCAGTTACTCCATTCTGCCAAAGGCCGTCTCGTTCAAGGATCAGCTTGCCCAGATGGCCGAGTATATCCTGGTCAACCATAAGGACTCATGTGGGATTGTGTATTGCTTGTCCAAAAAGGACACCGAGCAGGTCGCCGAGGGGCTACGTGGCGCTTCCGGCGGCTCTCTCAAGGTCGGTGTCTATCACGCCGACCTCGACGATAGAAACCGCGATCGCATCCACTTTGAGTGGAAGCGTGGAGCCATCAAGGTTGTTGTTGCCACCATTGCCTTTGGGATGGGCATCAACCAAAAGAACGTCCGCTTCGTCATCCATCATACCATGTCCAAGTCGGTCGAAGGGTGAGCTACGCACCCACGATCTCGGCTCGAGCTCTGGATGGGTGGCTATGCCTGAGAGTCATCGTTGATGTCGCTGATACGCTGGTGTCCCCCCCCCTCCAATTTACTACTAGGTACTACCAAGAATCTGGCCGAGCTGGCCGTGACGGGATGCCGGCCGACTGCATTCTCTACTACCGAGGCCAGGACGGGCCCCGTCTGAGTTCGATGGTTCTTCTTGAATACGATGGACTCAAGGGTGTACACGCTATGCTCAAATACTGCGAAGACACCTCGACCTGCCGAAAGCTGCTGATGGATCGATACTTCAACTTGTCTCAAGATGCACTTGGTGCGTCGCTTCCTTCGCCACTAACTCATCGGTCCAAGGCGGAGCGACTGGACGAATGCGGCACTTGCGACCACTGCTCGATGAAGCAAAGGGGATTCCAAGTTGTGCGAACCGACGTCTCCTCTGAAGTTGCTGCAGTCCTCATGATTTTGACGGCTCTCCAGGGATCGGACGAGAAAGCAACGTTCTTGAGGCTTTTGGAACTCTGGCGTGGAGTAGGCAAAACATCCCCGGCCGTGGCTGCTTTGGCTCGCGATGGACAGCCCGGCTTCCCTCCTCCAAAGACGCTCTCAAAGGATGTAAGTCATCACAGCGCAAGTGTCGAAGGAAATGTCGATCCGAGGGCGTACACCGGCTCCAAAATGACGAGCAGACAGAGGCCCTTGCGCTCGTGTGAGTTGTACCGCTGATAGCCGAGATGGGCAAACACACTGATACGTTGCCGGTATCATCGATAGGACCAAGAACGGATTATTATCCAGATGCTGCTCCAGGGTCTCATCAAAGAAGACTTCCACTTCACGCCGTATTCAACGATTGTTTACTTTAGGATCTCAGAGAGGGGCAAGCTGCACATCATGTCGGCATCACAGGGACTGCCCCACGGCGTGTTTGAGATCGAGACCTTGGTTGATCCACGAGCCCCTGTCTCGGGGAAAGATGCTGGGGCGAAGCGCCGGAGATCGACCAAATCGGTACTCGAGGACAGTGCGAGCATTGTGGCTGTGCCTGTCGATATGGTCGCCGAATGTGCAGGGACTCAGCCCCGCTCCAAGAAGGCCAGGACTCGGCTCTCTGGTCGCGACGGGCTGACTGTCAGCACTACAAGCAGCCCAGAATGCATCACGATCATCTCGGACGAAGACCCCTAGAGATCCCACGCACCCATGACAAGCGGTTTGTCAGGCGACTATCGTGCAAAAGATGGCATTTATGTAACCTCTGGAATGTCGGCCGCTTGAGCTTGCGCCTAGCGAACATAGCGAGCCGATATAGCAATCCACAGGCGTAGCAATCTTGCATATGAGCGAAGCGAGCTTGAGAGTAGCAGTGAATAAAGCTGTCTGCCGTGAGTTTTTGAAGCGGATGCAGCTCTCGGAGATCATAAAGAGACACTCCAAGGCGATCGTTGCGGCCCACGGCTGAGGCTCTTCGTCTGCAACTCTACAGATCCGAAAGAGAGCGTGCTGTGGTGGTAATAGACGCTTACAGCATGGAGGTTTCAAGGAGCTTGTCCGCTTCTTGATCGTGGGGAACGTTCCGCAGGGAAGGGCCTTTCGTGGACAGGCGTAGGGTCAGCGATATTCTGTTGATCATACCAATGGGCTCGCTTGCATGGTCGGGTGCCGGTCCCAATAATACATCGAGAGACTCTCCGATTTCGATCAGCTGGTTGATATCATTCGCGCTCGGAACGCTGCTTAGATTATCGACAGAGACCACTGCGCCGGGGATAGCATCACACGATGCCAACAAGCCTCCGTCAGGCGAATGGGTATTCCCGATATTGAGTACCTCCTCAATATCGACCGAGCATAGGAGCACCAAATCGTCGGCCTCATCTCGAGGCCGCGGCACATCGCTTCGATCCACGGTGCTCAGGACAGGGAGTGAGCTGTATCGACTGCTGCTCTTCTTTCTGGACGAGATGCTGGGCTGCGACATACTCCGCTGTTTCCTCTTTGCAGTCAGTGGCCACGAAGGCGTGTCGACAGGAGTAAGAAGCGAGCAATGTGTATCTGACTGACAATAATCGACTGATATTGGCCTGGGTTCGAGCTTGAGGCTTGGTTCTGGCGCTGGCGTTGGCTCCGGCTCCAAGCTTCGATGGAGCTCTTGGTCGAGCGGAGCTTCGCCAGCTCTCATCAGTTGGTCAATGTCCATGGATCCAAAATCGCCAATGATGTGCCTTGGGGCTGCCAAGCCAGGTTCCTCCTCGAGTTCGGCAAGATTGCATATGTTAAGCGACACATTGGACATGAACACGTCGTTTGAATCCTCATCTTTGTTTTTGAGCTTTTGAAGGTCAAGGTCCAGGACGTTTGCGATATCAGGCTCCCACGAGGAGCCGAGCGCCGGGTACGCGACGGGACAACCAATGTCCAGGAGCTCCTCGATATCCTCGGCGCCACTGTCCTCGTTGATGTAGACATGAAGCGGAAACACATTGGACTCCTTGAAGTAGTACTCTCCATAGGCTCGAATGTCCGGAAGACTGGGTAGGCGGTTGCGGTTGCGGTTGCTGCCAGAGGTCGGCGATTCGCGACTGGGGGGAAACTCGGGATGGGAGGGAGAGGCAGCCAGGGCCAACACCGAATTGATGTCGAGCCGCTCGGGCTTGTAGCTTTGCATCGACTCAAAGGCCTCGTCGAGGCTCTGTTGTTGCCCGATCAGAAACACGGTGTCGATGTCGCTCTCCGGAATGCTTTCGGGGATGCTTTCGGGGCGACCGCCGTCGGGAATGGTGGGAAGCGGATGCTCTGGCTGTGGCGGTCGCGAAGCATCGGGCTGACACTGAGAGAGCTCAAGCAAAGCGTCAATGTCGGTGCTGAGATTTATGCATGACATTGAACTGGGAATCGAGGACGCCAACTTGGTCGCCCCATGCCTCAGCTGGTCGCCGTCGCTCTTGGATGACGAGCGGTTGCGTGTGCGGCTCGTGAGAAGCGAGAATGACCGAAAGCGCCTCTGCGGGGTGACGTTTCCAGAGTCAGCGAGCGAGTAGTCCGACTTGGACAAGACACCCTTTGTCGATGCTCCGTAAGACATGGATGTGTGAAGATGCTCGACAGATGCAGTAGCGCTGAACAAAGTTCCCAACCGAAACGCAGGAAGGCTTTGAAGCGAATTTGGACACTTCAACTCGCGGATGAGTTGTGTGGATTGAACGATGCTGATCGGCTGAATGACGCTGATCGGCGCTCATCCGAATATGGCCCGCTCTCCAAGCCAATCCAGCGATTTCGTTTTTTTGCCCCACGTCTTCCCCCCCCCACCTTAGATATATCCTTTTGCCCTGGCTTGCAGTGACGGCATCTGTAGCGACTCGCTGGTCACCGTCGTGCCCGCTTACCACATGCATCTCCCTGCTCACTCAGGGCACTTGGCCATGTATTATGATATGGGCCCTGTTCCGGCGTGCTTTGTCCGGATGAAATGATGTGCTCTATTCTCTATTCGACACGCTGCGACATCGACGCCAGATCGTTACGAGGCAGCGTCGCCGTTGCCACAACGATTGCGCTGGATCGACGGGTCAAGGATCAGAGCGCATTGCATGTCTTGGATTTGGACTTCTCGGATCCGTGAGGCTGGAGATCTGTACCAGTTTCGAAAATGCAATCAGCATGACAGTTAGCATCGCCCTGATGCGGCCCTGACATGCGATTCGATGCATTTTGGGAGTTGAACGTACTCCATGTTTTCTGGACAAACTCCTCGAGTCTCGCGTATGCTTCATCCACCGCGTCGTTGACGACAATGCAGTCGTAGACACCGGGCTCGGCGGCATAGTCCATTGCCGCTTTGGCGGTGGCCAAGCGAGTCTGCAGCGTCTCCTCACTTTCCGTCTTTCTATCCCGCAACCGCCTCTCGAGTGCCTCGATCGAGGGAGGCTGGATGAATCTGGGTCGGAGTGTCGACGCATGGACGCATTAGCGCTGCAGTTGGAGCAGCTGATTCTCAGGGCCTCGGTGACGGAGCTCGTCTCGAGGGTGCTGCCCTGTTCCTTACATGTAATGTGCTGGCTTGCTCAAGCGCTTGATGCTCTGGACGCCAGCTATCTCCAGATCCAGCACGCAGATCGTGCCGGCATGGCTGATCGCCTCGACAGCAGCGATCGACGTGCCGTACATGTTTCCAGAAAACTCAGCATACTCGATAAACTGATTCTGGCTCACCATCGCCTGAAAGTTTTCACGCGTTGTGAAGTGGTATGCCTTGCCGTCCTCTTCACCAGGTCGTGGTCCCCGGGTTGTGTCTTGGAAGCCGCGGATAATTGGCGATGGATGATCCATGGGCAGCGCCATTGTGGGGTCAACAATAAACTGCTGAGGCGGTATCTTCTCTCTGTGAGGAGTTCAGCAGACTACTTACGGGAAACGCTGAAGCCAAAGGTGCTTGGATAGTTCTTGAACAGCCTGGCAAAACGAGTCCGGATCAGCATGGATACGGCACCGGCCGCTGCTTGGGGGATATCGGAGCACGCCATCCAAGCGACATTGCATGTCTCATAGCGGCGAGCACCAATCCAGAGCACCGAACGGCTTACATATTCAGCAGGGTGCTTTTGCCACTGCCCGATGGCCCCGACACAACCATCAATGCTCTGACGCCTGCACGGCCATGCCAAACGTCCGTTATCCTCTGCGCATCTCGAGCTCGCTAATGCTGCGGTAGCACAAGGGTGGCATGATGATGGCATAGTGGCATAGTAGCATAGTAGCATAGTAGCATGGCGGCTGTCCCTCTGACCTGACATTGCTGCGAGATGTTGGAATGGGGGAATGGCGGAACGCTGGGACGGTGGTGCCCTGGCCGTCTGCATCCAACGGCAAGCCAAAACACGCCTCGATGCGGCTGCGCGGCTATCCACGTGACACAACTCCGATTGGCGTGGCACAATCACTTTTTTTTTTTGAGGCGGGCCGAACAGGAGAGCCCAGGCGAGGGGGCGACGGCACGCACATTCCGTTCACCACGGTCTCGACGGTTCCCCAAGCAGCATCCAGCTCGCTCGCTCGCCCCCCGATTGCCTGGCCGTCACCCGCCTGTGTCCAGTCAAGAGCAAAAGTCCAGCCATGGGCATCCACAAGAAAGAAAAGTCCCGCCAGCCGGCCGGCAAGGGTGCCAGCGCATCGCTCTCCAATGTCACCCACGTTAAGGGAGTCAACTTTTACCGCGATGCCAAGAAGGTCCGCCAGGTCAATATGCTTAAGGGCGGCAAGGCCGTCCGCAATGCCGATGGCGAGGTTGTCAAGGAAGCTATCTTTCAGAACAAGCTTCCCTCGGGAACGATGGCCCGGGTGCAGCCCAATCGACGATGGTTTGGTAAGTGCGAACGGGTGTGTCCACAGGGATATCAGTTTGGATGTCGAAGCGCTTGGTTTCCGGCGGACACTTGGGAATGGGAATTATAGGCATATTGACTGTGCGTCCAGCTCGTCATCCCGGCTGTGCAGATCTCCGCACTTACCTGTCCATGCATGTCCGGTTGGCTCCATTGGATCTCAGAGAACACCCGAGTTATCGGCCAGAAGCAGCTCGAGGCGTTCCGTGACGCCATGTCGACTCGGGCCAACGATCCTTATACCGTCCTCTTGCGCCAGAACAAGCTGCCGATGAGCTTGCTCGTGGATCCAAATGCGGTAGGAGCAGAGTTTCGTTGAACAGCTTGGGAACCGACGATCATCCGGTCTGAAAGCAAGCAGCGCTATGGCCATGCCATCACATCAGCTTCGTTGGGGGTGCTTGAATTCTAATATTATCGGGCAATCATCGCAGGCCTCGCGCATGCACATTCTCGAGACCGACAAATTCAGCAACACTTTTGGGCCCAAGGCGCAGCGGAAGAGACCAAAGCTGGCATCCAGCACCTTGGATGAGATGGTCGAGAATGTCAGCAGCTTGCAAGGTTAGAGACATACGGACGACGTATGGAGTGGGGTGCTGGCGTGTCAATCTCCCAAACGAGCAGTCGTGGTCGGGGCACCGGCGCAGCAAGTCGTTTGAAGGGTTCGCTGCCGGGAATCCCCGCTGGCGTCACGATTGTGAATGCGTACTGATGCGTCCGCTGCCGACTCTGGTATCCCAGAAAACTACTCAGAAGAGAAAGATGGCCGTCTCCTTGCCAATATGGTCGACGATGGCCAGTCGGAAGGACAGCGCAATCCAGCCCTCAGCAAGGGCCAGTCGAAGCGCATCTGGAATGAATTGTACAAGGCAAGCTGGCTCTGCATATCATCCTCTTCGGCACAAGATGAGGATCGCCTGCAGCTCTGTATGCGATGCTCGAGCCCCGACTTACTGGTCGGTAACGAACACTTGCCCAACAGGTCATCGATTCATCCGACGTTGTCGTCCATGTGCTCGACGCACGCGATCCCCTTGGCACTCGCTGCAAAAATGTCGAGATGTACATCAAGAAGGAGGCCAATCACAAACACATCATCTTTCTGCTGAACAAATGTGATCTCGTGCCAACTTGGGTGACGGTACGAGCCTTTCTTTGTGTCTACAGCGACATGGATTGCTACAGGCCTGCGTGGTCTGACACTATGTACTTACGGATTGTTTGCTGCTTCGCCAGGCTCGATGGGTCAAGATCCTCTCGCGAGAACGGCCCACGATTGCATTCCACGCCAGCATCAACCACTCCTTTGGCAAGGGCTCCTTGATTCAGCTGCTTCGCCAATTTACCGTCCTGCACTCGGATAAAAAGCAGATTTCGGTGGGCTTTGTTGGATACCCAAACACGGGCAAGAGCTCCATCATCAACACGATTCGAAGCAAGAAGGTGTGCAACGTAGCGCCAATCCCCGGAGAAACCAAGGTGCGTTTGTCAAAGACCGCTGCTGTTGGCATGCAGCACCAGCTCAGTAGCAATCGAGTGCGACGCAGCGAGATCCTCTCGTTGACTTTACTATCTACCCCGCAGGTCTGGCAATACATTACCCTGACAAAGAAGATATATCTGATCGACTGCCCTGGAATCGTCTATCCCGATCCCAATGACACCGAGGACGACATTGTGCTCAGGGGTGTTGTGCGTGTGGAAAACATTGAGCAACCCGAAGATCACATCCCCGCCTTGATGGCGCGTGTCAAGCCCGAGTACCTGAAGGCCACATACGGCGTCGCGTCTTGGGAGGACCATATTGATTTTCTGGGCCAGATCGCCAAAAAATCTGGTCGCTTGCTGAAAGGAGCAGAGCCCGATGTCGGAACGGTGTCGAAAATGATTCTCAACGACTGGTTGCGCGGCAAAATCCCGTACTACACTGCTCCGCCCCTGGATGAGGGCATGTCCGAGGAGAATCCAAAGAATCTGAAGGTAGGCCTGTTTTGCTCCAGCGCACACCTGAACCGGCGTCGCCGTTCGAATGATGAATGGACTGCGTTCGCAGCCGACGCATCCTTTGCTGGTGTTTTGCTCCTGCTGATATCAGCACGCTGTTTTTGTTCATCTGTCACGACTCCCAGTCCGCCGAGCCTACTGCAGCCGGAGTACAGCAGCTTTTCAGCAAGATTCCTGTTTCTGCGGCCTTCACCGTCGAAGACATGTCTGGCAACGGTGCCAAGGACGAGCTTGTTGCTGAAGAGCGCTTGATCATCCAGCGAAGCAAGGAAGAAGGTGTTGAGATCGAAGGCGCCGACGAACACAAAGATGATGGTGGTGAAGAGGACAAAGACGAAGATGAAGAGGACGAAGACGAAGACGAAGACGAAGATGAAGATGAAGATGGCGACCAAGAGGAAGAAATCAACTGGGATGACCTTGTTGATGAGCAGGATGTGCCCGCGCGCCCGAAGCAGTCTCGTCCGCAGCTGCAGGCGGAAGCCGCTCCGCCAACCAAGCCGGCCACAGCCACAGCCGTCAAAAAGAGACATGGCTTCGTCGTCGCGGACAAGCCCGAGACCGTTCCGACATCGTCGGCCTCGACACGCGGTGCCAAACGAAAGCCCGATGCTCACCACGTTGACGAGGACGGAAGCGACGGCGAGGATCTATCGGACGGAGACAGCGAAGGTGCAGTGGAACCTCAGCAAAAGGAAAAGAACCAGACATCCTACGGCGACTCGGATGACGAGTCCAAAAAGAAGACCAAGGAGCCTCGCATGACTACCAACAAGGGCCGAAGTCGCGGAACCAACTTTTATGAGCGCACCAATGTCAAGAACAAGAACCGCAGCAAGAGGGCCCAGGTCGAGGCTCCCGAGAGACTTATCAAGAAGATGAGAGCCCCCGGTCTCAAGCGGCTGGGCTGATCCAACCTCCACAGCCTGCGGCATGTGATCGAGCCAGTGCTAATCGAACCGAAACATGGATTCATGTGTCCGGAGCTCCTCAGGAACAACTGGACACGAAGACCCATGTGATGCCCACTGGGACGAAATACAGATATGGCTCGCATGCGTTCGTATATGAGGGTCCCATATCATTCTGGGAACGCTGTAGCAGTGCAGCGATGCAATTCAGCAGCACAAGTCGAGTGTGTGGTGAATGGTTTTGACTAGCACGCGCTGGCTTTGGGCAATAAAAAACGGGCCATTGACCAAAAAACAGAGGTGCCCCGTTTCGGAATGAGCTCGTTGCAAACGATTTGCCGCAAGCCCAGGCCGGCAGACACATCCCTGCACAGGCGCGTACTCGCATGCTCTGATGCTGAGCCGACCAAGGCCCGGACGGCCGCTCCAGTTGCCCGCGGTAGTCCGCACAGCGTTCATTCCAGAGTGTTTATTACGAAGCCATTGCAAAAAAGAAAGGTGGACCAAAGTTGGTCAGAGGAGCCCAACGAATACCGCCGCATTCGGCCTCAGGCCAAGTATATGTACATGGCGTTGTCGTCGGCATCGCGCTGAAGAAACTCGCGCTCGATCAAGCTTTCGATGCGCTTCTTCATGTCGGCGGGCTGTGGTGGCCGATTCAGGTTGGCATGTTAGTGCCAGTATGTGCGAGGCCATGGCTAGCTCGATTTCCCCAGAGGACCACAGTGCGAGGACAGTGGCCACCAGCCATACCGCAGTGCGCTTATCCACTACAAAATCAACTCACCTCGATCTGCAGCTTAAGTTGTTCGAACACAGCCGAGACAAGCAGCGTGTGGCTCAAGCGCTTCTTGGTCTTCATGATGCGAACGATGGCCGCGTCGACCTGGTACTGTCGATCGGCCGCCACACGCTCCTTGGTGGCCTCCTCCTCCTCTGGGGTATCCTTGAGCTGAAGGCTGTTGATCTTGACGCGCATCAAGGCGTTTTCATACAGATCGTTAACCTTATACCCCTCCCTGTCGTCAGCATCGCTCTTGGATTTGACCTTCAGTAGGATCCGCTGGGAAGAAGTCAGAAGGGTCTGGAGAACCTTGCTGAGCTCCTTCGCGTCCATGCCTACGCAATCCTGAATCTCCTGCAGGGTGAGGAAGCTGCGGTTGTTGAACAGTAGCAAAATGGCGGCCTGGGCCGTCGAAGCGATGAGCTCCTTATCGCCCTTGGCGAAGTGTGCCTTGAGTGATGCGTGACCAAGCGTGTGTTGCCAAGTCAGCTTGCGACCCTTGTTCCGAGATATGTAATACTCTTTGAAAACCTCCTGGCATCGCTCGAGCTGAGCAGAGAGGGCAGAGCGCCGAAAGAGAAGAGCCGTGGATGCATTACGAAACCGGTGGGTGCCCCAAGCTGCAGCCACTGCATCCGATACACGTTGTCGCACGAGCAGAACCAAAATCCCAGTGTCCCCTGTCCCCACGCACAGCACCCACTGCAGCTTGTGACACATACCTCAGGCGGAAGCGTCAGAGCAAGAGGAACGTAGGTCGGCCAGCAGCGCGCTGTCAAGACATTCACGTGGAGGTCTATAGCACCGAGACCGTCGGAATATTTGGTCTGGGGCAGTCATCCGCCGAAGTGGAGCGAGTGCACGAATTGAAGTTAGTTTTCGAGCACGCATCCACAAGTCCAACACGGAGGAGCGCTGCGAGTAGATATCCGATATGTCGACAGCCATGCATAGCAACGATCGCATCCAGTGGGATCCGCTTGCCCGACTCATACTCACAGATTTGAATGATGCCATGTTGTCTCGCGACACTTCAATGTCCTTGAACATGCCCTCGAGATTTGACGTGAACGTCGGACCACACTCTGTCGGTCAATCGGTACGTTAGTATCCATTCGGAGGAGTCATTTGCTCTCCAAGACTATACTCAAGTCGGCAAAATCAGCAATCAACTCACAGCCACTGACCTGCTCGCAGCTTCCCAAGCATGCTTTTCTCAGCGTCTACGCTTGCGCTCTTGCCTAGAAGCAGTCGCTTCGCCAAATGCGCTCTGTAGAACGCCTCAAAGATATCTTTGCCTGGACGAAGTGGTATCGAATGTACGGCTAAGTACCCGGGACGGAAGCACAAGAGCGAAGCAATGGGTCGACAATGTGCCGGGAAAGAGCGGGCCACTTGCCTTGAATGTATCGGAACAGAGTCAGGCACTTGTCGAGGGCGCTCTCGACTTCAGCATCGCTCTTGCCTTTGCGCGGCTTCATGAGCTCGTCGATGTATTTTGCGATCATTTCGGCGGGCTTGTTCTTGCGAGTGTTGATGAATTTTTCAAAGGCCTCTTTGATAAGGTGGAAGAACGCATCGTTGCTCTCGAAAGCATACGACAACACATCGTCGATCTCGGACTTGTATTTGATAAGGCTCTGCACCATCTCGGTATCCTTGGAGGGATCCGAGATGATTGCGGTCCCATAGCTCTGCAGCAGCGTGCATGAATGGTCAGCATCCATCCCATCCGCTCTTCATTTGGCGCTGTGTGCTGTAACTATGCTCGGGCACACATCATTGAAGCCTGGCGTGACCAATGTTGGCTTCTTGCGCGCCTGTGGTCACCGGCATTCTCGATGCAAGCCAAACGCACAGGCCCCTACCCGGATGTAGTTGCTGAAGTTCCGCTTGAGACACTCGAGACCATCGACCCGGACGAGCAGCTGATACATCAACTTGAGATCATCATGTCGTCGCTTTTCCATCAGCTGATCGAATCCTGTTGGTTGCATCCCAATAAAAAGCGACCGATCAATAAGACTCCCCTCCTGAAAAGGTCCAAGCCCGGTCTCCGTCAAGAATGACCAGATAATGAGTCATTACCTTTATCGACAATCAATTGAGCATATTTCTCGATAAGCTCCGACTCTGGAACGGCGATCAGGGTGCGCCTTGTTGCTTCGTCGAGATATCCGAGGTCATGGCTAGGTTGACAACGAAGCGCCTCCTCGTTCAGCCGCCGGTTGATGAGCGCCATGTATTTTGCTGTGTCCTCGCCAGAGGTGATGGCAAGGGCGTGCGCAGAGCCTTCGTTGACGTAGAACTCCCTTGTCCAAACGAGCAAAGCGGATTCAAAGTGACTTGTGTAGATACCCAGCTCCAGGTACATGCGAATAACAGTACGTAAGGTCGATCGCGCGATGTTGATGCCAGAGCTACATGGACGCGGGCATATCAGACAGTCAGTAAAATTGAGCCCAGAACATCGTGTGCACATCATGAGCCACGGGCCGAAAGCGTCAAGTTGATGACACCACAGTCGCTGATCAAGCAGCAGGCATTCAATGACGTTTCGTACCGCTCGTGGTCGATTTCTCTCAGAGCAGTCTCAACAATCTTGGACTGGAGATCTTTGTGATCCAAAAGCGCCGTGTGGAAGAGGTCCAGTCCCATGTCCCATATGGACTTGATACCTGGTGTTTGGATGACATAAGTTCGATCCAAATAGAGGAATATTCCGCGGATGGCGAGCTGTTCCAGGTTGGAGACGGGAGCATCGGCCACGCATGTTAGCGAGCTAGATCGCAACGTGTCGCCAGCAGAGCACGAATGCTTACGGCCTGATCTCGGAAGTGGAGCCACACGGCTTCGACGGTCTGAAGAAAGGCGCTGCCTTGGGTGCTTGATCTGGTGATTTGATAAACAGTGCGCATGAATGAGCAGTCCGCTGGTTGGCTGGCTGGCTGGCTGGCTGGCTGGGGTCGCTCTGTGCCTTTCAGTATGAGTTCAGGCAAGATATCGGCCTTCAAAGGCCACCAGAAGGAAGCACTCACGATTGGAGCTGCAGGAGCTGCTCAAGAACAAAACGGTTGAACTCCTCTTTCAGTCGGGAGTAAAGTGAGGCAGACATTTTCTGGTGACACATGTCTTCGCAAGCCTGCCATTGAGCGCGGATTGGTTGATGCACACAGTGAGTGGGCTGTGACCGATGGCCAATGACGATGACCGATGTCGATGGCCAATGACGATGCCAATGACCGATCGACCGAGAGCAGCACATGCAACTAGCGCTGATGCACAGGCTACGGGACGTTGTAGCCGATTGCTGAGCAAATATGGTGTGGCCCCAAGGGCATCCAGCGCATGAAGGCAGCAGCCTGGGTCGGACGACGACGCATCCAAAGGCTTACTCGATAGAGCTCTTCCTGGCTATCGGTGATCGTGCGGCGCTGCTGGATCTCGTCGATCGCGATCTTGAGCTTCTTCCATGTGGCCTCTTCGTAGTTCAAGGGAACGGTCGGGGCCACTGCGCAAAGGCAAAGGCAAAGGCAAGGGCGTCCGGGGCGAGAGAATGCAAACGATAGCCCAGCCACGTTAGCCATACGAACGAGTGTCGGCTGGCCATGCTCAAAACAACCATGTCTGCATCACACGGGATTGTGGATATCGGTAAACATGTACGCCCATCTGCGTTACCGGAAAATCCTTTGAAGATCATTTTCTTTTGGGAGGAGGGGTTGGCTGGCACAAGCGACGACGAGTGGAGCATGGCAGCGTCGGTCTTCTTGGCAAGGGAGATGCGATCAGTCGAGTCCGACGGTGACTGGGGGCCTGGCGTCGCTTTTCGCTTTTTCGACTCTCCGGCTGGACCATTCATAGGGGCGTCGCAACAACAGATCACAGATGTTGGTGGGCATCGCATCAGACTCGGCTGCTGTGGATGTGTGCGAGGGCCGCGATACTGGATAACGACTGCGACAAGGGAGGGCGAGAGCCGGCGGGTCTGGACGAACGATGCGGCAGGGCCACGGTGCTCGCTCACCGCCCGATCTACCTGGAGGATGGCTCATGAAATCGGTTGGTTGCGCCGCTGGCGATGTGAAGACCGAGAGAGATCCGCAAGGGACAACGGCCTGGCCTCTGGCGGTGCTTGGCCTGCACAAGTCAACAGCGGCCGAAGCGAGAGCAGGGTGCGCGCTCCCGCCGATCCTCGTCTGGTCTCGCCGGTCCTCGCCTGCTCTCATTCGCCTCCGCCCGTTCTCGGCACCGGCCACAAAGCTGCAACCAATCGCCGGGAGGACCGCGGCTGACGACAGAACACAACATATGGCCGAGCAGGCCCATCATGTCTCGTTTGCCCACGGCATCCTCTCGCCGCTGCAGCAGTCGCCCGCAATGATAATTGAGGTGGACAAGGTCACGACCGACTTTGCGTGCTCGGCAGTCCTTTCGTCGCTGTGCGTTCCCATCAGCGCTGTGCGGTACATCGGAAGCTGCGGTCTGGATGCAGATAGCCGAGTTTTTGGTACGTATTTGATGTGCCCTGCTATTGAAGGATGCTATGGCCGGATCCTTAGCGGCGAAATGCAATAGTCTGGGCATGGAGCAAATGTAATCGGCGGTAACTTGCCAAACACAGGCGCCAGAGTCTGGCAGGCTCGCTAACTCGGTGTCAGGCAATCCGCGGTTCGTTGTCATATCGGAAGATGTGGTGGTGATATCGACGCTGATCAGCCGGCTCGATGCGTTCCATATCATACAACTCGACCGCATCACCAATGTCAAACCTGTCAGTAATGGCTGCTGAGCATTCGATGCGACAAAGGTCCCTGGACGCAACAGCGAGACCCCGGCCGGACGAACGAACTGACTTTGCGCGTTAACGAATGGCGACACTGCGGCACTTCACAGGGATGCATCTCTCTGGAGGGTTTCAATCAGGTTCGCTGGAGTGCAACCGGTCTCTTGACGGGCAAGTGAGCACAGAACGGCCAAGGCTGGCTCAGCATCCGACTGACAAAGCTGCATTGGCTGCCAACCCGCCGCCTTCATGCACAGCACCGTCCCTCAGTGGAAATTACAAGCCAAGAAGATCTAACAAAGTCTGGGAACAGATCTCAAGCATGTGGGTCATCTCGGCTGGCGGCGCGCGGCATCGACAGTCAACACCTTCTGAAACGGAAACTTGTGATCTGTAGCTGAGACTCAGACAGTAACGGTTCGGCTCGCCGTCGACAACTGGAACTTTTTTCGGGTGCTTGAAAGGGCCATTGTTGCGGCAAGGATCGTAAGTCACCCTCTGAGCACCTGTGCATCTCGAGTGTATCATGGGCTCGGTTTTGATAGCATCCAATCTCGTCCCAAAGCGAGTCCTCCTCAAAGCTCCAACGGTCCATCGACCAAACGACTACGCCGAATACCTGAAGCTTGAGGAACAGCTTGCTGGTATTCATCTGGGCCGCAAAGGCACGTCGGACCGCAAGCGTCCGGGGCCAGAGCCGCTGCAGGAGATGTGTGAGCTGGTTACTTGTCTGACCCGACTGTGCGATGCAAGTGCAGAGGCAAAGCGAGCCTTTTGGCAGGTAGGTGGGCCTGAACGTGGGTGGGCGAGTTCACGATGTGCCGCACGGCCGTCTCTGCATTATCGCTCATCTCGCTACACAACCGAATGCCTCAAATTGTTTATGTCTGCGTGGGCACCGCTGCCATCGACTGTCGTTAGTCGGACCGAGGACTGCGATTCATCATGCGAATGATCGAGCGGTTTCTGTGCCAAATATACGACTTTGCCAAGGCACTGCGGAAGCATAGCCAAGACTGGGTCTTGGCAAGCGGCTGGTGTTTGGAATCCGAAGATTTTCAGAAAATCCATGGAACGATACGGTACGTGGCAAAGGCGCTGTGTGGCCTGTACTCTGCTGGGGAGAACAAATCGGCGGCGACTTTGACCCAAGCACATGTCTGCCACCGAACGACAGAGTCGTCCGCAAGATGGTACATCTTCTGGCAATCATCTTTCGAGATTCAGAGACAATAGAAGAAAGCCAGATATATCTCAAGCGCCTTGGGTTGGTTGACTGCGATCTGCACCCAGTGCCCAGTCATGTCTCTGTTGCTTGGATCCGGTGCTGGATGAGTACTCATTATGTCCACTTCGCGCACATTGCAGATCCAAGGGATCTGCTGATCTTCTCAATGGTACTACTGCAGTATCGAGCCGTCCGTCCGGATCATAGTCGCGCACTCCGTGATTTATCGACGGCCTTGATGGCTGGACCAGAATTCGACTTTGGCACATACACTCATGGCACTGGCACTTTGTTTGTGCTCACATAGCGTGGCTCTCGGCCTATGGTCTCCATATCCCGCTCACAAGCGACCGTGTTGCCAAGCACGCAACATCGTATACGACCGAGTTGCTCGGTCCCCGCCGTCAACAGCGCCTTACCGCGGAAAAACTCGATATATTTGATGTCTTCTGGAGCGTCCACAAGATGAAGATACGGATTGTAGGTCTAGTATTCAATTACTGGATGCTAGTTCGCTGTCATCCTAGCCATCTCGGCGAGTTCAATCGGACGCTCGCCAAGTACCACACCGTCGTCGAGGCCGGAGGTGAGCAAATCAAGAGTAACAGGAAACCAGCCACAACAGACACCGGGAGTCCCGCGCATGCCTTCCGACTTTGGATTTCTGACCGGTGGCTCCCGACTCTTGTGGTAGGATTGGTCGACGTTGCCATTTCGCTGGCATTTTCCCTAAGACAAATCCGCTCTGTCAAATCACTGGCGCTCGATCGCGTTGGCTCCATGGCCATATCCCCAGCGCGGTTCATATGCGCTGTTTACGAGGCCGCCCTGCTCCTGGAGCATGTCCTGGATCTGCTTCCAGAGTCCTGCACCCGAATCCGAGAGCTCTATGCCGATGACTGGATGGTCACGGGTTTCAAGCATGGCGGAGAGTGGTTGCCAGCAAGCGACGTCGTCAGCGACGCAGGCATCTGGACTGAGCTTTGCGGAAAGCTCAGATCCATCGGAATGTATTTCCGTCTGTAAAAGTCGGCCAGCAGCATCTCGGCGAGGGACCTCTCGATGCTGGACCGCTCTGCGACGACAGCGGCGAAACAGAACTCGAATATCTCAGCGTCCTTTGTCTGGATTTTATTGAGCATCACCTGGCACATAGTCTGCACCAGACCAATGAAACCACGAAAGCAAAGTGGGTCAAATACCAAACTTGTTGTGGATGTGGAAGCGAGCAGTTTGCATCAGTGCAATCGGGGCATGATCGCTTGAGATGCCCTCGGTTCCCATAGCCCACCGGATGGCTTTGACTTCGCGGTTGAAATCGGTGTTGGTACGATCGGTCCAGTCTTGCGGAAGCTCGGCCGTGGCTCGGCCAAAGCGATTGCGATTCAGGCTCTGGGTCAGGACGCGAGCAAGGACGGCAATGCGCATGCCAAAGCCACTGCCAAACTCGGACCGAGCACCACCCATGTATGCAGTGCATAGTTGGCTGGCAGCGGTGTAGTGGTGCTCAAGCACCGCGCCAGCAATGATCTGAAGGACCACGCCGCGATGGTCGTCCATTCCATCGCCATAGACACCAGAGCCTGACTCTTGCGAGCGCTCCGTGATTGAGGGGCCAAAATCCAGCGCCGTCCGGCAAAGGGCGCCCCAAAGCGGGGTACCGATGGCCCTGGGGGCGAATCCGCGAGCACAAAACAGGATGTGCAGCAGACGATCGTACATGACCGAGAAGTGGATCTCCTCCGAGGTAGTTTCTGGAGTGGATGCACTCTCGATGATGCGAGCAGCGGCTCTCTCCCGAACCGCGCGACGCGGAGACAAAAGGGCGTGCTGTAGATAAACGACATGATTGAAGTCCGATGGTTCCAGAAACTTGAAGAGGTCGATTTCAGTCTGCTTGCCGAGACAGCATCCGCGATGTTTCCGCCGCGACAATGGCATGAGATGGAGCCGGGTTACGGTGGGAATCCAGACACATTCGGCAAATGAGGCGCGGCCAAGTTAGTCCAAATCGCAATGCCTGCTGTCTGGCACATGTCGATCGATAGAGCGGGGCGGCGTAGATTCCACGGGAACGTCAAGGAGGCGCTCGCGAGTTCACGTTACCTTTTCCGAAATCAGATCAAACTTGTTGTTGCCAAGTCGCACATCTATGAGGCTGTCCCAATACTCCTTGTCGGCGACCCAAAGAACCAAGTCTCGCCAGCAATCGTCCAGGTAGTCCGGCAGTGCATGGAGAGCCGCTGGAGCTGCCGGGAGCGAAGGTGCCCAATCCGACAGAATCTCGACCAAGCCATCAAAGTGACGCAGGTCACTTGACTCGGCCAACAGGCTCTTAAACAGATCCCTTTGGCAGGTCTCGGTGCTGCGGTAGCCATCGGGGAGCTGCAGTGCGTTGCCGCTATGTTAGACCAACATTCCCTGGTGCAGAGCAAGGGCGTGGTCCCAAAGATGGGCGGCACCCCAGGAGCAGCCCAGGAGCAACTCTGCCCAAATCAGCCGTACCTGTCTGGACCATGTCATTTGGAGGGTATGCTCCAGCTTGGTTGTCTGCAAGATCTCATTGCTGGATGGGTCCACTCTGAAATGCTGGGCCGTGGTAATGATGGCGGGTGCATGTACAGTAGAGTTCATGTGTCAGTCATCTCGTTCATGATCAGCAGCAGCGGCAGAGAAATCGTGTCGCAAGCAGATCGGCATCGCAAGGACTACCGCTTCGCCCTACTTTCTCGATGATTTTGGAGATTCCCACGCGAAGCTCGCTGCTGAAGCTGCCTGTGTTCTGAATAACTTCGCTCAGAGTAACTCGCACAGCATCCTCCAGAACCTTGGCGCTCTGCTGCCCCGGGGACGATAATGATGCCGCTGATTCTTCAGAGTCGCCCCAGAGGTTCGATTCGTCGGCGAGACCTTGCACCTCAAACTCTGAAACGGCAGCAACGATGCGGTCGATAGCGGCAAGCGGCGAGTCGACGCCCTTCCGGAAGATGTTGCGATATGCAAGCAAGGATGGGTTGCCGACGACCGCAAGCAGCGATTCACGGTAGACGCGATCGACCGAGAGCTGGGCAGCATCGGCAACGTTGACGCATGTTTGCGCCATCAGCCCAGCAATCTCGGTCATAATTCGTGCAGATGTCCCTGCGATCGCCATCTTCATGCACAGCGCAACGACCTCGGGAACCTCGGCCCCAAAGAGCATGTCAAACTGTTGAATGCGCTCGATGGGGATACTTTCGTCACGGGTTGGATCAACAATATGGTAGAGCTGAATGACTGTGTCCAAGTGAGTGGAAATATGCTCGATCTCCAAAAGTGCTTCAGAGTCGCCCTGGGCACATCCGGTATATGTATCGGGGGTTAGTGGCTTGGCCCAAGGCAGTCAGAGGGCTCGTCCTGCAAGGGTTTGGCGGTCATGAACACTACCTCGGAGCCGCGTGCCCGTAAAGCTGAGATACAGCTCTTTGCAAAGTCTTGGCGGACCTGGATTGGAACAACGATAGCCTGTGTCCGACGACCGATCCCAATCGCTCGAATTAATCCAATTGCATCTTGTACATCTCCCCCGCGAACGAATACCGGCAGGTCGACAGAACAAGCGAGAAGATGCGATGTTGAGGCGACGTTGAGACGAATTCAATCAAACCAAGGCCGCAGGGCCAAAACCTCTGCTCAAGATACGGATGCAGATGCTATGGACCAGAGGCCTTCAGTGCCCTGCGTTTGGATATTGGACCGAATCATACAGACCTTCTCGCCGGTGCAGAAACTGGCTGCGATACGTGTGACGTCAATGGCAAGGAGCCGCGGCAGCAGCGAGCGGGTCTCGTCCATGACTTCGACAAGCCTATAGATGGACAGACCAGGAGAAGAGTTAGTGCACATCATTGCTAGCCAACAAATGGCAGGCGACAGCGCCACAGCATTCGCCTACCGATCAAGATCACTGTAGTCCCAATCCATCAGCTTGAGGAGGTTGTCAATATAGGTGATGGAAACCGTACTGGCCACGCCGAAGAGATCGCCCTCAGACAGGCGAATAGGGTCGGAGATGCCCGACTCGTCTTGGAAGGACTCGATAAAGCGCAAGGCAAGGCAGCTACCAGCAGGGCAACGGATTATGGGTCAGCGGTTGAGCTACGAGTGCAGTAACGTCACTGCCAGACAATCCCGTGCGCCATGGAAATACCTCGGCAGAATATCCAAGAAGCCCTCCAATGCCTCTCGGGACTGTGGAAGATCGGCCCAGAGCACTGTGTAAGCTTGCTTCCCCTCAATGTTGGCAGCAAGGAACGACCTCAGTCTCAGACCGCGAAGCGAGCTCTGGCCCAGGATTTTATCCAAGAGCCCAATACGCAGCCGGAGCTGTTCGCCAAGGAGAGTATCCTGGAGATGTGACATGTCATGGGGGTCAGCTAGCGGTCGCAAAAATCAAGCCACACAGCAAGACGTGTCACAGCTGTGCCTCAGATGCGCTGCATATGCGTCTCAGATGTGCTGCGGATGCACCGCTGGACCCTCGTAGCCCGGTTTGGATGGACGATATGTCCTATCCAATCGAGACATACGATTCCAGCTCTTACCTCCAAGCCAACGCGCTCCTGGCATTCCAGATGGAGCTGGTAAAATGTCGACAATGTGGACAGTTCGCTGTGTACAAGCTAACAGTGTATCCGGGATCATGTCAGAGGAAATATGCTCATGGATGTGAAGTTGAGGGGCTGCACGACAGTATCCAGCGCGAGTAGCCGTTCGGGACTTGGCCAGATTGCAGCACTTACGAGCGGATGAACGGATTGAAGGATCTTGAGGGTCGCCGCAGGGTATGTGTCGATGATCTCCTGGTAGACTGCTAGATGATGCTGAACTACGGTGACGTCCAGGCTTGGCTCGCTCAGAATCCAAAAAGTGTGGGCAAGAACGATTTCCTCGCGATTGATTTGATAATGCTCGGCAACGGAAATCACTGTCTCGACCGTCGAGAAGTTTGTCGTCCGCACAAGCTGTTTCAGAGACTCGAGGCGGTAGAATGCATCGGACTCGAAGCGGTCCTTGGAAATGGTACCGTCGAGGAAGATGGACTCGAGTAGTTGCTGTTGGCGCTTGTTCTTCAAGAGCCCCGAGTATCTGCTCGAGAGCTGGACAGCCTCTGCGAACCGGTCAGCTCCAGGCTGTCCCTGGAGGAGATCCAGAGGGATAGCACGTACGAGGGCCATGATCTCCCTGGGTGGATAGGAGACAAGCTTCAGGAGCAAGTGCGCACTCTGTTGGTTGGCGATGTGGTAGAGAGCTCGCAGAGAGAAGTAGTAGCACGCAAGTTGTTCGTGGATTTGGGAGGGATGCAAGGAATCGAAGAAGGGGCTTGCGCTGGAATCCTGTGGTCGGTGGATACGAGAACGTTCAGTATCGGGCCTTCGTCTGTGCCCACTGGCAAAGCAATGAGGGCTATATCACCACGACAACATATGAGCCCTACAGCCCCATCGACACAGTCACGCCGCACCAAAATGGCGAGAAGGTGCCGTTGGGATTAAAAGTTCTGATATGCAAGCCCGCAGTGGCGCTTGTCGACAAGTTCAAGACTGAAAGCAACAATGTACCTGCGAAAGATGAAGCAGGTACGCCAGTGCTAGCATGGCGTCACTCTCGTAGGATTGGACGGCGATATTGACAAGATCGCGATCAGCGACGGATGACTCTGACCAGACACCAAATCGCGACTGTCTGAGTCGGTCTAGGATCTGTAAGAGACGTAAGGGTCGCTTCGCGAAGGTATCTGAGTCGACAGCGCTCTCGTCCGGCACGAAGCGATAAGTCTCAGCAGGGCTGGCTACCACGGCGCTTGACGAATACAAGTCATGGACTTGAACGAAAGCTTGATCGATGCCGAGCTCGTTGCCTGTCAAATCGTATTGATCCAAAGCAGACTGGATCTCGGCCATGGCAAGCGATTGATCAAACTCGCCGTTCTTCAGAAGCTGGCTCAACCTCGGCATCAATGATTCGCCGGTTCGGCTGTCAGTGTCATCTTCCAGAAGGAGCGCCGAATGCGACAGACGCTCGGCTTCAAGGCTGCGCCAAATCTGGAGGAGCGCCGCGATCTCTCCAGGAGGACACACGGTGAGACCATATCCGATCACGGTCATCTTGACATTCAGATCGTCGAAGCGCCTTGTCTCGGACAGCCGCTTGCAGACTTGCGCAACCTCGACTTTGGCCGATCCTTTGACCGCAGCATCGCCGTGGATGATGGACTTGAGGTGATCGAATGCACCTTGATAGTCCTCGACATCGAGGGCCGCCAGTGCACAGAGCGCACGCACCCGGACCCTCGATGTCGCGTCGGCGTGACCGAGTTTGCGGGCGATTTCAAGGAGGGCGGCAGGCGACTTGTATGCGTTTCTAACGACGCCGTTGCTCAAGGCGGTGTGAATCAGAGCGAAAGGATCGCCCTGGATGCGGATTTGGATCGGTAAAATCTCGGCTTCGTTAAAGGAGACCCGGTAGACGGTGGCCAACGCATGGCAGGCTTCTATGTACTCAAGCTCGGTCTTGAGTCGCGGAGACTCTGGCAAGATTCGAAGACTACCGGTTGCGCGTCCACCACGGGCAGAGAACAGCGGCGAAAGCATGTTAGGCTCCGTCCGCACTACAGTCGAGCATGCCCAAGGTTGAATCGGATATGTGGCGGAGGGCCAAGGCTGGGCAGAGCTGCGACAAAGCAAGGCAGCCAACAGACTCACCAGTCGTACGCCAGCTTCAGGCTTCCTTCGTACATGTTGGCACTGTCGGCGTTGTCGAAGTACTCCCGAGATGCATCGAGAACAAGATCCTCGATCTCATCGGGCGGAATCGGCGGCATACGGTCACTCGGGAGCAGCACCGATCTCGCGAAAACAAAGTTCTGCGAAACGAGAGCAACGCCGGTGATTTCCTTGTAGAGCTCGACGACAGGAAGCCCCGCAAGCGCCCCCCAGTTGCGGAGATCGAGAGCGTCGGCCAAAAGCGTGTTCCACTGAGCTTCGCGGGAGACGCCTGGGCCCTTCAAAGTCCGAGCCAGCTTTGCCAAAACCAAGCGCTGCTCGTCTTGCTTCTTAGAGGAAGAGACAAACCAGGCAAGAGGCTTGCCCAGCCGGTACTTTGACAAAACCTTGGATGCCTTGATGTGTTTCTCGAGCTCTTGGATCCGAGTGCGATAGAGATTCGAGAGCGGCTCCACCATGTCGAGCTCCTCTACTCGAAGTTGGTCCTCCCATGAGTCACCCGAGTCTGCTTGCTGCTCGATGCCGGCAAGGCTAGTCAGGCAGGCCAGAAAGCGCTCCTTGAGCTCGACGGCATCTGGGTCGGGGCAGTCGTAGAGGACTTCAAAGGCAAAGTCGTAGATGCTCTCCAGGCTGCGGATAATGGGCTCGCCCCCAGTGCCAGACACGAGGGCCGAAGCAGACTGCTCGAAAATCAAACAGCACCAGTCCAGGTGGGTGTGCGATAGATTCAGGAGGTACTCGCGCAGCAGCGTGAGAGGGTTCTGAATCAGCTCCATATCTTGGTACGATGTCCTGCCATCTGGCTGGATGCTCCGGTCCCATCGCCGCGCTACCGAGGAGAGATAGGGGAGAATGCTCCGCTGAAAATCGTCGAGAAGGGTATCTCGGGTGATGCGGGCGACAAAGAGCTCGAAAACTTGTGAGCTCGACAGTGCTTGTAGCTTTGGGAGCGACATGTCCGCACAGAGCTCCGACGATGGGTCGTAAAACTCATAAACAAGCGAATAGAGGGTGCACAAGTCCTCGAACAGATCCTGGAGGCCATCCACGCGGCTTGCAATACCCAGATGCACGAATGCCCGAGCAAAGTTGACGAGCCCAGACCTTTCCTCGATTTCGTAGGCTCGACGAATGTACCAATCGGTGAGCTCGCTATGCGCCAACGGATACTCGCGGCGAGCAAGAAGGGTGGTCTCGGTGGCCGCAATCCTGGGCCGTGCTGTTGCGGGATCATCGGAGTCGGTCATGATCAAGAACTCGTCGACAATCTGCGACGCTTCAGACCAGTCCTTGACGCGCCATGGGATCGTGACCCAGAGTTCCTCAGTGTCAGTTCTAGCGTCGATACGCGGCAGCAAACGACTGTACGTCTCTGGATCGACGCTCTCTGGGATCAAATTCAATAGCGAGATGCGATAGTTAAGCAGCTCCGCCCCATGGCGAGTCAGCATGACCTCGAGGGCAGTGACATTGCCACAGACAGCAAACTCCTCAGCCAGCTTCAAGAGACCAGAGTCGCGAAAGTGGGCAAGGTGGAGGGGGAATGTGCTGTACTTGTGGGGGAACTGGGAGTAGTCAGCCGAGGCGTAGATCGCTTGGTGGGTCTCGAGCATGGCAAGGTAGTGCAGCGCTTTCCTTCGATAGAGAATCAAGATATCGGTGGACGGCAGGATGGCATCTTGCAGCGCATATTGTTGGAGAAATCGTGTCCGCTGCAGGTGTGCGGCGCTGGATTCAAAGTCGGTCGGGGCACCGGAGAGGACATCCTCGATTTCGGTATCGACATCGTGCTCTTTGACGATGCCTGTCTGGTCAAGGGCATAGAGAAGTAGCTGCCGCGCCAGTCGGGGGTGGTCGGGAATGCGACTCAGACAGACGTCAAGAACCCACGAGCGGTCCTTTATCTGCCCAAGACACGCCGGGACTGACTCTTCAGTGAGCGGCTCGTGTGTCCATTGGTGTTGGTAGATTCTGTCGGGGTTGATGCCAAATCGCTGGGCCAGCGCCAGGGCTTGGCTGTATTCGCGCAGCTCGAGCTTGCGCGAAATGGCGTCGTGGACCGTCATCTTGACCACCGTCCAGAGAGTATAGCTGCTCTCGACTACCGAGACTGGAGGCCGAGTCTCAGGTGCGGCCGGGCCAGCGACATCGCCAACAAAGACCTGGGTGATAAAGGCGAGTCTTTCGGACACAAGAGCCGCAATCCATTCGGCTAGAGTCAACTGGGCGGCAGCGGCGGTGCTTTGTGGGTGGGCCGCATCGGCTTCGGCATTGACGCGAACCATTCGCCAGGAGGGGCCATAGCGGACAAACTGGTATCGGAGAACCTGCCGATCGCACTCGAGGGCATACAACTTTTCATTGGGGATCGGAGCGATGACGGGACGAGGGTCATTGAATAGTTCGGGCTTGTCGCCGAGCAGATTGCTGAGAGATGGCAAGGCAGCCAGAACAAGACTGCCGTTGGAAAAGGTGAGCGCCACGCTGGTTGGAGACCACCACTCCACGGTCGAGACCACAGCAGGAGTTTCTGTCGGAGGCAGCGATTTGGAAAGTGCTGACGACGAGGATGGCAGGTAGGCTTCGGAAAGAGCTTTGCTACTCCATACGTGGAGCAGCTCCATCGGGTGCAGCCGCCAGATCTTGAGGAGGCCATTCGTATCCAGCGATGCAAGTAGCGAAGAGTCAGGGGAGAGCGCGAGATGGTGGACCAAGCCGGCGGTAGAGGCTGGGGAGGAGCTCCAAATGGAAAACATCTTGCTGACGCTGTACCAGAATCCATCGGCATCGGCCGAGATGGCGCATTCTTCCGCGGGCGACAGAGCCGAGGGTTCGGCCGCACGATAGTGGGGCGCGGAGTCGTGGATGGTCCATCGGGTAATGAAGTCCTCTGGCGAGGCCGATGCAGACGAGCTAGCTTTTTGTGGTGCTGGCTTGCCCGAGAGAATCAGGGCCTTGGATTGAGGATCGAGCAGGACAGCCGAGATATACGAGTGGGTTGACTGGAAGGAAGCAGCATGGTCAAAGACCAGGAGGTCGGGATGTTCCCGGGTGCATTTTGGGAGATGCAGCGGAAATTTGCGGTCTGCAGATGTGCGTGAAAACTCGGCCTCGTTCAGGATATAAGAGACCAACATGCCGCTGTAGTTGATGGACACAAGCCGGTGGGTGTAGGAGTGCCCATCGGCCTGGATCGGACCGAGGTCAGTGAATGCCAGAAAGCAGAACGGATCGACGATGCCGAGACGCTCCTTGCGTGGGTCGACTCCATATTTTTCCCAATCGATCCAGACCGACGATGGTACCGAGTGGGGTTTGGTGACGTGCGGACCAATGGTGCAGTAGCCAGCGCTTTCGATATGCACGACCCGAATCGAGCCGATGCTGGAGGCGATGGCCAGGAACTTGGAGTCGGGCGACCAGCACAGCTTGCGCCAGCCCGGAAAGTCGTCGCGCTCGAGGACCATGCCGACGGCGCTGTGTGACTCGGAATCACAGAAGCGTATCTGGAGCCTGTCTTCAAAGAGAATCGCCAAATACGCCCTGCAGGGAGAGAGTTGGATTGTGTGTGGGTGCTGGGTCTTTGGAAGAGATTTGAGTAGAGACGGTGGGATCGAGGGTGAAAGCACAGTTCCATCGAGTGCACCGGCGACTACTGAGGCGACGTTTGCCAGGATGCGTCCAGGAAGATCTGAATAGTTTGGATCGGTCTGCGGAGGGAGATATCTCTTGGTTTCCTATGGATGGTTGCCGCAGCACACATGAGTATTGGGCGTGCCGTCGCAAAAGATCGAAGCCATGCAAGGGGTGAGTGGCCGGACCAAAGCACACATACGCCTGCGGACTCTGATTTCGGCAGGGCGACAGCACGGCATCGGAGACATGTGTCGATGACACTTACAGGGGGCTGCGACGACCATGCTGCGACCTGGGACCGTTCGAAGAGGAAGACGTCCTCTTGAGCGCCCGGAGCCGCAGAATGATGTGGTGGCGGGGTGGCCATTGGGACCGGCCGATCGCGAAGATGGAGAGTGTCGAGAGAAATCGCAGTCGAGCAGGAAGCTCAGGGAGGCAAGCTCTGGGAAGCTCTGGGAAGCTCCGGGAAGCTCTGGGAAGCTCCGGGAGGCAGGCTCTGGGAAGCAGGCTCGGCGGTGAGCCAGGGACGAAAGTCAGCGATGAACACCAACAGCACCCGGCCCGATCGAATGCGGCTTGTCCAAACCAAGACAGGACACCGGCCACGTGGACGGCCGACGCGGCCCACAGCACCCAGGAAATGGAACGGCGGGTCTCTCATGAAAGCGTCGTCGTCAAGCCGGTGACGGCAAAGATCGCCCACGCAGCGATCCCGGCAGAGAGCTCGTTCGTCGGCATCGACCCACTTCGTCATGTTGCGCGGCACCTCCACGGGCCCGCACGTGTCTGTGAGGCCGTCCGTCTGGTCGCTTTCTCCGGGTGCAAGCTCGTCCACAAGACGCAACTCGCTGGGCTCCCCGCCCGCATTTCGTCTCTCATCAATCTCGCCGCCATGGCCGACGCCTCGACCGCCAACCAGCCCGAGACCTCTCCAGCCCAGCTTTCGGAGTGCTGCCTAAAGGGCCATCTGTGGGACGGGCAGCCCGCCGGAACCGCCCGTCCCCTGCAGACCAATCCCAACATCCAGGCGTACTTTGCCCAGCCACCCGGCTCGGCCAAAGCCGCCATTGTCATCTTCACCGACGTCTTTGGATACGAGCTTACCAATACCAGGCGAGTATATGCCTCACGAGTGTGCATGATTCCGGCGTGTAGACCAGCCGTTAATCGAAACTTGGGCTCTTGACAGACTCATTGCGGACTATTACGCCAAGGCTGGGTTTCTCTGCATTGTCCCCGATGTGAGTATTGGCCCAGGGACACTGCAGTCCAATGAGCCTGTGGAGCCGCCGTTGCTGCATCCTGCGGCTCCCTCACCACAAGGTGTGCCGAGGGCCTCTTGCGGTCAACATTGCCGATTCTAACACCACTCCAGCTCTTCTTTGGAGACCCAGCAACCCGCCGTCCCGAGGAATTTGAAGGTAGGTCGGACAAGCACATTCACTCATATGGATGCTGTTCGAGCCCGCGGCTGAGCCCTCCACTAACATTTGCACGACAGGACTCATGGACCCTGTTACGACTTGGGGCCAGCGCTGGAGCCAAGTCGGGCGAATGCTGCGATTGGGGCCGCATATGGCGTCCTGGATTATGCGACATACCCCAAAAGAAATCGTCCCTGTCATCGATGCCACTCTCGCCGAAGTGCGGGAGCATTTTGGCATCCACAAGATTGGCACCCAGGGCTTTTGTTTCGGCGGCAAGTATGCCGGGATGCTGGCCGGCTCGACGCAGATTCAGGCCTCGTCCATTGTCCATCCCAGCGGCGTCTCGGTGCCCACGGATATCAAGAACATCGCCGTGCCCGTCCAGTTCATGTAAGCATTTAGTTTCCTGGGCCGGGTAGCTTACCAGGTGCGGCGATGTGCTGCATGTGCCAGAGCCAACATGCCCACGCCAGACATGCCATCTGCAGGTAGATCACTCACAATCAGCACTGGTTCTGGTGGAAATGTCTTGGACGGCCCATAGCTTTGCCGAGCACGATCCTACGTTCACCCCCGCCAACCAGAAAGAAACGGAGCGAATCTTGCAGGGCAGACCCGAAATCGATTCGGAGATCAACTTCTATCCCGGCACTGTCCACGGATTCGCATGTCGCGGCGACGAGAAAGACCCCGTTGCCACCACTGCTCGCCGCGAAGCCCTGGCGAAGAGCAAGGCATTTTTCCAGAAGCACCTCCTCAAGGAGTGAAGTCGCCGGCGCACTGTGTTGGCCAAGCCCATGGCAACCCCGATACAACCCGTTCGGCTCGCTTGAGACACCGGGATATGTAGTTTGCGCGATGTGGCTGTCCCCTGACAAGCCAACACACCACACCCACCCATCCACCACCTCCAACCAAACTGTGCTTCGGCCCGAATCGCAGGTACCGAGCGACCGGGCGGGCGGACAGCAGCGCAACGTTCCTCTCAGGGTGAAGAAGATAGATCAACATAATTGTTATGACTGTTGAGCTTGATTGAAAAAGCATCATTGAGGAACGTCGTCGCCGCAGTCGCGCCGTGTGGTCGCCCAGGTAGAGCGGAAACTGGCACCGGGGGCGCAAACATCGAAGCCCGGCAGCACCCAGGGGAGAGAGCGGAGCGATTCGGCACCCGCCAAACACAGCCGGCCGCAGCAGCAAAGGCATAGTCCGCGGCCAGCAGAAAGGCAACAGAAACGCAGCCGAGGCGAGATGCAGATCGAAGATTCAGATGCGGCCTCGATACCGCTTTATACTCACCGATTGGCCAATCACGGCTGCAGCCCTTGCACCACCGTATCAATTTGCCGATTGGTCTCGACCTGCGCCACGCACGGGTTTTTTCTTCTCGCGCCACAAGCCACGCGCGACAGCGACACGAGCCTGGCCCACGCATCTGATTGGCGGGCTGGCGAGTGCCCAGCCCGGTTCGAACGGCTGCAGACAGCAAAACGGGCAATATCCGCGGCTCTCCGGCGAGCAATTCTTTTTCCTCCTTCTCTTCCATCGCTCCGATTCACGGATATAGCAACAATGGCTCACGACGCTGTCTGGAACTCGCACCCCAAGAAGTACGGCAAGGGCTCTCGCCAATGGTAAGGATCTGGCCAGATCGTCCTGCGTGTGGCCGCCCGCCCACCTGGCTGGCGAACTGGCTGGCGCTTTCCTCAGAGGCAGCCAGGGGCAAGAATACGGACGGGATTTCGAATCGATCGCATCCGGAGACTGAACAGCCACAGCCCAAGCCTCCAAAAGGCAGCGATCCGACCGCGGAGGCATCCGAAAACGAAGAAAGGAGGTCCAAGCCGGCCTGGTGATGGTCGTCGTAGTTGTCGTCGTCGTACTGCGACCTTGGATCGCACGTTTGCGAGGCCATATCCGACTCAACGGCTCGACGGCCATTCGAAACACTTGCCAGTGGTCTTCCTTCACAGGAAGCTTTTTCGGTCTCGATGCAATTCACCGCCTGACCCAAGCTATGTCACCAGCCAGCAGCCGCCAGCCAGCAGCGGGGCGAGATTCGTTTGATTGTTGACCACACGGTTGTTCGAGCTCCGGCACTAACTGCAGCCCTTACGTTGCGATTGCGTAGCCGCGTCTGCTCTCACCGCGCCGGTCTGATCCGCAAGTACGGCCTCGACATCTGCCGTCAGTGCTTCCGTGAGAAGGCCAGCGACATTGGCTTCATCAAGGTAAGGCGGCCTGGTCATGCAACGAACTGCATTATTGGCCTTGCGCCACTGGCAGCATATGCTTCTCCTCCCTTGCAGGGATGGCTGCTAACCCGGCTGCTCGCTCCTCTTCTTCCCGCAGTACCGCTAAATGTATTTGATCATGCGATGAGCGCGCAAGGATCAAGGAAAATATACATTTGCCGCATTTGGCCCCAAAGCCTTGGCTGCCTCTGTTTTGCCCAGAGCGGTTCGCATGCGTGATCTGTGTCTTTCTTGAACGGCCTGTGAATACAACGTATCCAAAACGAAGCGGAGCGGAACGAGACACCTTGTCTTGAACCAGGCCATCGTTTTCTTTCTGGGTCCTGGATGCGCTTCTGAGGGCAAGTCGGTTGTGGAGGCGATGGGCTGAGCGGCGTCCCATTCACTTGTCTGTCAAAGTGTGAGTTCAGATGGCCCATCCCATCGCTGCGATATGGCCCCGCCGCCTGCCTGTCGGCCATCAGCCATCAGCCATCAGCGACTCTCTTCGCAATATCATGCAACCATGGCGGCGCTGGTGAAGGGGCTGACTCTCCATTACGAGAAAAAAACCTGCGCCACGGAGTGTGTCGGATCGCGACAGGCTCTGATTCAACGCCGCCATCGCACGCCGCCTGGTCTGCGCTGCTGTCTCTCGCATCGCGACCAGCCAGCAAACCGGCCAGCAAACCAGGCAGATAGGCAAGCAGACAAGCATGAGTACCAGCAAGCGATTGAGCAGCTCGTCCGAACAGGAGTCCAAGAAGCACAAGGCCGGCGTCAACGCCCCCGAGACCGAGGCTCTTGTCATTTCGGATGTAGGCAATCCGAGCTCATCTCCCCACCAACACACCGCTCTCCCTGGGCCAGCCGCGGCCAAGCTACGTCCAAATCACTGGGCTCCTCGGGCATAATGGCACCACCTATTGGCATCTGGTAGAATCCAATGCTAATCGTCGCCTTCGTATCCCTGCACAGGAACCCGAGCACCCCGCCAACCTGATCCCCGAGCTGTGCCGGCTCTTCTACACCCTTGGCTGGGTCACCGGCACTGGGCAAGTACCTTTCCGGTGTTATGATGCATGAGCGCTATTGGTGACAACGCTGACGGGAGCTGGGCTCGGACTCCCCCTTGGATCAGCAGCCTGATCGCGGAGGGGTGTGAACTGGGAGGAATCGGCCAGCCAGCCCTCTCCTCTCCCACCCACAAACGTCGGTCTGCTGATATTAACATAACTTGGTCGATCGACAGCGGCGGCATCACCATCCGGCACAACGATTACATCTACATTGCCCCTTCGGGTGTCCAGAAGGAGCGCATCAAGGCCACGGACCTGTACGTCGTTGCTCCCAATCGCGACATTCTGCGCTCGCCGCCCCCCGAGAAGGGATGGAAGCCCTCGCAGTGTACCCCTCTCTTCTTCAACGCCTACGACCTGCGCAACGCCGGCGCCTGCATCCACACCCACTCCCAACATGCCGTCATGGTCACTCTGTTGTGGCCCGGAGAATACTTTGAAATCACACACCAAGAGATGATCAAGGGCATCCGCAAGGGCATGACCAAAACCAACTACAAGTACTATGAAACCCTGCGGATCCCTATTGTTGAGAACACGGCTGAGGAAGAAGACCTGAGGGATAGAATGCACGCCGCCATGGAAAAGTACCCCGATTCTTGCGCTGTCCTCGTGCGCCGCCACGGCGTCTACGTCTGGGGCGAGAACTGGCAGAAGGGTAAGCGAGCGAGCGAGCGAGGCACCATTGTGTAATACGCAACGCTCAATGACTCCCGTACTGACGCAAATGGATCCTATCACTGGGCAACCGCCCCTTCAATGGCACCCCGTTGCGAATTGTAGCCAAGTCCATGTCCGAGTGCTATGACTACTTGTTCGAGATCGCTGTCAAGATGAGATCTATCGGACTGGACCCTGCCAAGGTTCCTGAAGACTCGGAATACGCCGATGTGTGTGCCAACCACAAGTGCTGCTGAGGAATACCAAAGACTCCAGTCCAGCACCCTTCTTCCTGCTGACCGCAGCTCATGCGCGAATCATTCGGATATTCAATATACGCTTTGTTGTCGGAGCAACTACTGCAATGATCCCTCCGAAACATGGTCAGGTTGGAATCGCACATGCCTCTGCAGCTGACGCCATAGCTGCAGCTGCGTGAAGTTACATAAAAATCGACACCCCCCATCCTGTCTCGTTCAGCTTCGGTCCTGCTTCGGGAGGGACATTAAAGGCCGTCGAATAGTGGCCAGGAGGCAGGGGCTTGCCGTCGACCACACGGAGCTTGAACTCCTCGAATGTCTCTTCAACCTGCGGGGAAATGCACGCTCGTTTGTCTGGGTGTCTTGGCAGCGGAGCAACAGCAACAGCAAGCCAGCTGCATCCGACTCTGCCCCAAGAGTGGGCGCTCCAGCGCAGTTGCTATGACATACCTTCACAATCCGCACAAACACTTCCTCGAGGGCTCTCTTGACGGTACTGACGAGTACCGAGTACGCTTGCTGCAGCTCCCTCGCTTGCTTCTCGTATCCAAAGCGGATCAGCGATCGCGCCAAGCTGTCCAAGTCAGCTGCAGAGCATTGCATCGAGTGGAGGAGCATTGCATCGAGCGGAGGAGCATTGCATCGAGCAGAGGAGCGGAGGCACATGTTAGAGCACTCTTGTTCCTATATCCACAATGATAGTGCGATGCCTAGAGCGCCGTGCTCGATGCACGTTATCCTTGGAGACCGCAGTACCGCCGGATGGGATGGGATCAAATCCCTGGTCAGCACAACTGCCGCACAATCGACTCGGACCTACCTTGCCAATCGTTCACCTTGACGGTCATCTTTCGCCACTCGTTCAGAAGATACTCTTCCTCGAACAGTCCGCCCTCCTTGCCCTTCAACTTCTTTTTCTCCAGCCGGCGCTTCTGTCGGCTTGTCTTGGCGGTTTGGTGGGTACGCGAGGTCATGCGCGACGACCGGGCGGTGGAGTGTGTGATACGGGTCGTGGCCATCGATGTGGTGTCCGAAAGCATGTCGACATGATCCAAAGCGTCATCCTCGGGCAAGCCTTCGCCTTCGACTGGCAGAGATCAAGCCATTCCAATCGCATTCAGTGATAGATCAGGTGCAACACTGGGTCGCTCCGCAAATCCTCTTGAGTAACTCGATGAGCCCTGCCAAACTTACGCTCTTTCTCGAGCTTGCGTTGCTGGACATTCCGATAGCGAACTAGATACTTCTCGGAGGTTTGGGTTGTGTCTTTGATATCCTCGACAAAATGAGAGAACGCTACACGCCATCGTTGCACGATTCGTCAGTATAGAGCCAAGGCTGTGGCAGTGGTCGTGCATGCAGTAGCTCCATCTGGGGACAGGCAAAATAGAGTTCAGTCGAGCTATAGACTCACCATCGAGCAGCGCCGGCTTGGCGTGTGTTTCGACCAGATCAGCACGTCCGTGCTTGTGCGCCTGGATCGAAGTCAAATCACCAAAGGATTGTCGGGCAGTCGGTACATGTGGGCATTAGATCACGATAGCGAATACAACCACCGCCATCGCGATATAGCTTGCAGGCAAAAACCCTGGCAGTCGGCTGTGCTGCGTTCAAATGACAAAAGCACTCCCTGTACATGCGTAATTCGTCGCCATCGTGTCCCGTGCAAGGGTATGTAATGCGCGCCGACGACGGACTTACAATCCGGACTGCTTCGATCCACTGGAACCCCTTCAGCAGCACCAACACAGCCTCCTCGGGATCGCCGACATAGTCCAGGAAGACCTTGGCTGCGCTCTGGTACTGGCGCTTTTCGACAAGCAAATCTAACACATGAATCCATTGGGATAATCAGTGTCGAAAGAGGGCTCGAATCTCAAGAGCGGTGACCAACTTCACCAACATGACATACCTCCAAGCTCGCGACCAAGCTGAACGACTTCCTGGGTAGACATGCCCAGCTCCGCTGCGACAGAGAAAGCCTCCTGCCACAGCAACGCATCCTTGTAGGAGGCCAAAGCCGCCGCCTTGTTGCCAGAAAGATAGTGAACTGAGGCAAACAACCACGACCACGCACGATGCAGTGTCAGCACAAGAAACTCGCGCGATGCAGAGCGCAGCGCATCCGCAGACGTCTTCGGGCGCTGCAATGAGCGGCAGGGTCATTGTAACATACTCAAGCCAGCCTCGGCCGAGTCACCGTTGTTGTCCAGATGCTCGGCATAGAGACGCATGACCGCTTTGTACTTTTGATTGTCGGCCGAGAAATACTCGAGAGCATCCTTGAACAGCTTGTGGTGCTTGATGTACTCGACACACTCTTCAAACCGACCAGGCTCATCTGGATTCCAAGGCAGGAGCGCGTATCTCAGCAACTTGGCGCTATGGCCCCGGATGCATCACTGACAAGCAAAGGTACACGCCTCGCCCCTGCAGTTACCTGCGAGACTGAGGTTCTTGAGAGCTCGAGAGTATCGCTTCAGATGGTCGTCAATCTTGAAATGCTGGTAGCGCATCTCCAGTTTGGAGAGCTCCGACAGGAAGGGGAGATACTCGCGAGGATCCTTCTGCGAGTGCTGGGCGACCATCAGCACCAAGCTAAAGTCGTACATGCCCAAGGCCACGTCGTAGAGTTGGTCAGCGTCGGCAAGGAAGATGACGTATTTGAGTGCCTCCTCGGCGAGCGACACAGACTTGGCTGTTGAGTTGTTCAGCCGTGTGTGATACAAAGGGCAGAAGGGCAAGTCAATGATAGCCAAAGCCAAGTCCGAACGATACCGCAGCCCAGCTCCGGATTGATATCCAAGTGGCGAGCCCCGGGCAATCGCAACTGGCAGGGTCCATGGCGGACGGCTGGACAGCCGACACCCGCCGCGTGCTGCCCTCCTCAGCACCACAGCCACATAGCTCGTACCACGCAGAGATTTGATTCGACCCATCGCTGTTTCTAGATCGGCCGGAACTTTCTTCACGTCGGTGGTCAAGATACACTGGGTATATCGCTCGGCATCAATTGTTTCCAGTGCGCCGCGGACAGTGTCGCAGATGCGGTTCACCTTTCCAACATCCCGCTCCTGCTGCGGGGCCTTAGCTCTGGTGGAAGGCTGGTTGCGTAGGGCCCTGTTCACATACATGGTGACGGTCACGTCTTCATTGCGGAGACCACTCAGGAAGAGATTGAGATAGTCCTGCTCGTTGATTTGCCGAACAAAGTGTTCGACGTTCTCAATGAACTGCTCCGGTCGGTGGTCGTAGAGGATGTTCATGTCGATCCGGTGCTTACGGCAGAGCAGGAACGCATTCAAGTAATCCAGGTTGTCGAGGAAGCTGCGCAACTGCGAGAGAACCAAAGCTCGCGGATACATGGTCTCCAGGTTGCCACGGGGCATTTGAAGGACCAGGTTGACAGAGGCCGGGGTCGCGACCACAATCTGCGATCCACGCTCCACGCGGCGGTGGTCTTCGTCAAATGCTGAGGGTTTCGTAGCTTCCGGAACCACAAGGCCTGAGGCAGGACGTGTGTCAGAGGGATAGTCGTGTCATCCATGATCGACATGGCTGCGAGAGGAGCGACCTCAAGGCTCAGCCAGCACACGCCGAATCACGGAAGGTGGCACTGCTCGCGACAGCAGCAAATACAAAGACTCACCGGCCACACTGGTGTTGAGTTCGACAAACCGCGCGGTATGAGAGAGTGTGGTGAAGATCAGGAACTCTTCGTGCACAAAAAACGAAGTCGAGTCCGAGGCCAAAAGGCGGTCGTTCAAGTAGAGACGATTGTGCCGGTCCAGTCCGACGATGGCGAGCTTAGTGTCGAGCCAGTCCCAAAAAGAAGGTTGGATCAGAACCCTCGCAGAGTCAGAACAGGTGTAGCAATCCACGTGCCCAGGCCGATGTCATCTCGGTCGGCCACCGCTCAAAGGCAACACGTGCATATCTCCCATTCAAAAACAACAGAATATTGGCGCATAATCATCATGCTGCCAGCAGTTACCTCTTTGGAGTCGTCAGCACCCAGCGACACTGCCCCAATCCACGGGCATGGTGAAGGCAGGCGAGCAAAGAAGCCGAATCCCCAGTCGCCGCCATTTTGCTCAACTGGAGACAGCATGTGGAGAATAACTTGCTGTCAATGCCGATGCTTGCCGACGACGCATCCAAAAGTCTATCATACTTGAGAGAAGCCCTCAAACTCGAATCTATCGCTGTGCAAAGCGACACGGTACATGGCAGCCCACCTTCGTAGATGGCCCCATCAACAGTCTCCACAAAGACCTTGCCGAGATCGACAGCGCAAATCAGACGCAAGAATCGCCTAGCCATGGCTCCGTTGACGGACTCGATGGTAACGCTATCAACGATTCGGGCTGAACGATCCTCATCATCAACATCGCCGTATCCAATCGTGAACCCCGTCACAATGTCACGATGAAGGGCTTCGGAATAGCCAATGGCGATCAGAGTGGTCGGGTCGAGGAAAGCAATCTGGCGGTACGTGTGAACGCCGAGATGATGCTCACGCAGCTCATGCAAATCAACTGTGCCGACGGGCGTGTGGGCTTGGATGGGCATCCGAATGCTGTTGCTTGAGTAAAACGAAACCTTCCCATCGCTCAACAGCACGGCAAAGTCGTCTCCTTCATTAGATGCACCAAAGGCGACGTGTCTGGCCGGGCCAGGTAGGGTCAACTTGAATGCGGCCATTGGTGGTGGTACATTTCGATGCTTGAATGGGGTCACGTTTACGGTTGCTGTGCCATATACATGCGTCAGTCGAAAATGCGACCAAGACGATGCAAAAAGCTTGACCGCCAATGAATTTACCTCCGTCGATGACGACGACACTGGCCGGATTATTCTTGGCAAGAGATGTGCTCACAAAGCTGGCCGTAGAAAAGTCCAATCTCAAGTATCGACCAACTGTCCAAGATGATGGTAGACGTAGCAGTGGCAGAAGATTGGGTGGTGTCAGAGGACATGGCGGTGTGAGAGCGAAACCTATGCGATGAGCGTTCTCGCTTATGTCCGCGAGCTCGCCACGGTAAATATGCGGTCTACATACGATGGGTCGTCAAGTGGATCCTCAGCCCGATTTCGGGATCCCACTGTACTCCCGAAAAGGCATCGTGCGCTTCGGAGGTAGGGATCTCCTGCTTCAAATACCAATAGTAGTTGTTCATGGTCCAGAGTTGCACTGTCGCGGTCGCATACATGGAAGGCCAAAGCGCCCGTGCAAACGGACATGTTAAAATATGGTCGGCAAGCACGCTCAGTTTCCATACAAATTGCGAAACTCACCAGCAGATTGAGATACTTGACCCTCTGGGCCACATCGCTCCAGCCATACAGCCAACACAGTCGAGTCGGCGTTCCAAAGCACATCAACGACACGAGTTGCGCTGTCCTCTCGCAGAGCAAACTCGCCATGCCGGAGGCCGTTACGTTCGAAGAACACAACGTCGTGCCTATGTGGAAGCCGCTGTGTCGATGCAATCAGATTTCCTGTTGGCCTGGATGTGAATTGAAGTATCGGATAGGCAGCAAAAGTACAAGGAGACAGTGAGCACATTCGCCACCCTGGATGAACGATGTCTCTGTCGATCAAGACCGGCTCGGGGCATCCGTGCTCGCAGAGCAAAGCAACAGGGAACTCACCTCCATGAGAGGGGGTGCTCGAGTTGGTTTACAGCCTCGCTTGTGCTCTGCAGAACACACTCGCGATCGTAAACTCTCAATAAGCGTTTATCTACGCACATAAACGCAAGTCTTTAGTGCAAAAACGGCAATCGATCATGCCATCATCCACAAAGGCGGGTTGGACAATCGATACCGCAGCAATCGGTGAGGCCGCCAGAGTCGAATTCCGTGGACTCTGCAGCCACAGAGTAGTGCAGTCTAGCAGAAGACGATGCCAGCGCAAACCTACCTCCGCTCGGATCGACAGAGGAGCAGACAAAATATTGGCCGTCGCCTCTCCATGCAACTCGCGGGGCGTGGGTGTCGTCTGGCGACAAGGCAACAGCGCTGGGAGCCTTGCGCTGCGCCGCTGCTTTGCCCTCAGAGCCATGAAACTGTGTTTCTTTCTTGCCCCAACCGACGCTAACCGGGGCGGCGATTCCGTATTCATCCGTGTGGATTGGTACTTCGGTGATGGTGTCAAAGTCCTTGGTCATCTCAAGAACCGTCGCACCGCCTAATATGGTGCGAGAACAAAACGCTCAGCATCACTGGAGCCATGGCCGATAGATTGCGTTGAATCGCGCGAGGTCTTGACGGCTGGATGTGCATATGTATCCACCGCCCACGGATTCAGAGACCGCATCGAATCTGTCCCTATGCTCTTTCGTCCAGGCAAACGAAGGGTAGTGGACTCGCTGTACCTGTGACAACGATGACGACTTCATGGTCGGGACTCCACTCCATACTCAGAATGCCCGAGTCGACTGTTCCGACGATTTCGGGCTGATGATTAACGGCATTGTGGAGCATAGATGAGAACAGAGCAGTTCACAGCCCGCGGCGACGGACACGCACGGACTGAGCGGTACGTCGGCTCAATGGTGTGTCCTGATGTAATGGCAGGCATCATCGGCGCACCTCTTGTCCCTCTGTATATCCATCCAGATTGAGTAGCAGAATATCGCCGGATCGGAGTCCGATGCAGATTGACATGAGATCGGGGAGGTGCTGCAGAGATACCACGGCATCAAAGAAGGTGCACATTTGTTGGGCTGACAAGACTCCGTTCTGATCGATAAGAAAGGATATCCACAATCGATAGCATTTGACAGACAGGATTAGGTCGGCTTGTCTGGTGATATTGACGGAGCGGGCAATGAAGATGGCGCGGGAGAGCAGCTGGACCACACAACATCGACGGGACAGCATACCGCTTGAGTGATTCGCGTAAGCGAGTGGATGCCGTCGAGCGAAACCGCACAATAGACGGCATCGGTTTCGGGGTCGACCGAGATCAATGCCGAGCTTGCGAATGCCGACTGGGCAGGGTCCGATACTGGACCAAGATCGGCATGGACTTGAGCAAGGAGCTGGAGACTCCGCATGATGAGGGAGGAAGGCTCGAGAGGACTGGCGCTTTAAATCGAATTTCTCTGGGCGATCGATGCGAGATCTGCAGAGACAGCCCGGAGCTGGATGGCAGCAGCGGCTCCTGGAGCGACACGAAGGACAGCAAGCGCAGGTCGAAAGCGCCGCACCAGCCCGCTGGTTATCCGGTTTGGACAGAAAAATGCTAGGGTTAGGGCTGCGCACACATGGCACAGCGAGCGCCAGGGCCTCTGCCTGATGAGAATGGAGCGCTGGCCAGACGAGGGGACACGCCATATCCCATAGAGACAGCCAGGCGGTTCAAATCATCGCCCTGAGCGTCCGTCCCATAGAGTCAGTTGGTCCATGGAGTCTGTCCAAGACCCCAATGTCTCGGTGGTCGATATCCCATCGCAACAGTGCGAGCACAAGTCGATGTCATTCAGATAGGCAACTACAGCGATTCCACAATGAAATGGGACACCCCCGTTTTGAGCCATGACAGTGTCTTTTTCTGCGACCTGAATACACCCACCTACTCATCGCATTCATGGCCAAGAAAGTATGTCCAAGGAGACCGAAGTGGTATTCTCTTGCAGCGGAAGGATGGATCTTAATGAAAGAGTGTCCACAAGCCAATGCTAGAGTCCCTACACACAGCTACAAGCCCTTGATTGCGCATTGGTAGGAGTATTTGGTCGAGTTGTCCGTGAAGAACTTTGTTTTCAGATAGTGGTGCTTGATCGGATAGAGCGATCGATACACAGGACTGCCGTAGATGGACCCGTCAAAAGCCCATGGCAGGAGAACCAGGCGGTTGCGCATCGCCTCGGATGGTGCTGCCAATGTCCCTGGGGCTCGTGCCGCGAAGCTGAGACGGAAATCGGTATGCGCCGAGCAGAACGAGCACAGGATTTTGGAGGGCACACGGCCAGGAGCTTGCGGATGGGTCTCGGCGGACCGGTGATAAAACCGCTCGATCAGACTAACATCCAGGCAGAACGGGACAGTGTGGGTGCATACGTTGAGGCGCACATTGCCCGCGCGATCGAAGGGATCCTCAAGAAAAAACGAGTCGAATCGCACCCAAAAGTCTGGGGAGTTGTTGAGGGCACTCATGTTCTCAATCAGGAGAATCTCGGATCCACCCTCGACTGCAACATAGCCTTGACGCAGAATCCGGTCGGCTGCAGACTCGGGTGTGTCGTCTGCGAGGATCTTGAGTGTCACCCTCGGAGGCTGAGCCGGAGTGACTGCAAACTTTGGCCGGCGGCCCCTTTGCCGATAGAATGTTGGACTTTGGCGGAGCTGGAGATGTTCCTGGACAAGCTCGCGGAAGAGCCGGCACACCTCCTCGATGCGAAAGAGTTCCCTGGCGGAGAGGAAGCCGAGGATGCTGGTTCGGAGCTGGTACGAGCCCAGAAGGCCAAAGAGATGCAGAGACGGGTCCATGGCGCTGCAGTGGTTTGGAGGATCGATGGGTCAGAGCGAGCCAGCGGCATCCACCGAGAGCCGCTCGGCGATGGGCTGTGCTCGTCGATCTCCAGGGTTTTGGTGCTGGAACACGGCTGGGACCAACACAAACAGGACCGCGACCGGTGGCACTGCTGTTGTGCCTGCCAGCCACCGTATGGTCACATGCGGCCCAGTCGGCACTGCTAGTCACGTGTGGCGCTGCGCAGACCTTGCCCTCGGCGAGGGCCGGCGAGAGCGCGCGAGAAGAGACTGCCAGATCTCTGCGTCGGTCTTGGCCCAGAATCAGATCCTCACCGCCAGGTCGGCCCAGACCTCTCTCCGTCCGCAACCCAATCCAAGATATCATGTCAGACAGAGTACGTCTCCGATGCTGTGCCCGAGCTCGCACCAATACAGCACGTTCCCATGACGCACAGGCCAGCGCAGAGATATCGCAGCCGCATCGATCTCGTGCTAAATCCGAGGTGTTTCGCTGGCATTGTCCGATCCCGATCGATCCAGGGCCGTGGTGGGCGCAACGCCGGTGGAAATCGAGGCAAAGGACGCGGAGGATCAAGTCGAGGTGGAGGCAATGCCGGCGGATCTGGTAGCCAGGGCGAGCGAAAGAAGGAGTCCATCTTGGATCTGACAAAATACCTCGACAAGAAAATCCGGGTCAAGTACGCGGGCGGGCGTGAAGGTAAACTGCTCCATCGAGATCATCAGCGAGAGTGCCGTCGGGCGCAGGCTGAAGGCTGCAGAAACGCACCATGGCCCAGCAGCTCTACTGATACTGAATATTCGATATTGCTTTCTTCGATTGTTGACACCGGCTCCAGTGGTGGGTGTCCTGAAGGGCTTTGATCCCCTCCTGAACCTGGTCCTGGATGATACCGAGGAGTTCCTCCGGGATCCTGAGGACAGCAACAAACTGCTGGACGACACCCGCACCCTTGGGCTGGTTGTCTGTCGCGGACCGACAGTGATCTTGATCTCACCCTTTGACGGCTACGAAGAAATCGAAAACCCCTTCCTTGCTGCACAGCGAATGGCCATGGCATCGGCGCAGGAATAGCGTCGCAAGCGTATCGCAACCTGTGACTCCATCGAACTCGCCATCGAGGCGCAGCCGCATCCACCGGACTCTGGCCCATCTGCATGACAGTGTCCCGGTACGATCTCAGACTGCAAGAGCACCAGAGCATTTGGCGAGAATGCATCAAGATAGTGAAATATATGAATCATCGATCAATGTTGCTCTGCTTTTGTCGCCAACAATAGTCCTTTGCGCGTATGACTGGCATCAGTGGTTTTGCACACTCGTCACCGCCCCTCACTGGTTGCAATGTCGGTGGTGCTGATCAAGCGAGATACTCTACATTCAAGGCTAGCGCCGAGTCTCTGAACTGGATGCACACAAGCCTCCACCGCATCGATCCCACGAAGCGATTGTGCACATGAGCTGAATGTGGTCTGGGAAGCCAAGATCGTGCGGCCTGCAACGCAATCGCGCCTGGTTGAGTTACCAGGAGGACCCGCATGAAGCCACTGTCCCGCGACATCGACCATCGGAACGGCAGTCTCTGCGAGCTTATGTGGGTGTATTGAGTCGTCAAATCGGACGCCCCAATATCCGCGAAGGGGCGTCTGTCCTACTCAGTTCTTACGGACCCATTGGAGTGCATCCACTCGGCGACTTGGCCTCGGCCGGGTGAGTGCTTATCCTCAGCGATACCCAACTTTCGATAATGCCTGCCCTTTCGAGCCTCGTTCACATGCTGCTTGTCTTGGAGCATGGACGGCGTCCAAATCTAAAACTCAATCAGAGGTGCGGCATCCGCGGGAGGCTGAGGAGCCGATGTCAGTGTGGGTGTAGGCAGCGGCGCTGTGGGGGCATGTCCTTGGCCGTAATCGGCTGCAGGAGCCGGATGGCCACCATAGGGGCCTTGGGTGGCATAGCTTGGGTTCTGGGGCGGATAGGGTTGAGGCACTTGTCCGTATCCCTGTGGAGCATACCCGTTGGGAGGCACAAGCGCCGGGCTCGATCCGTAGACATATTGGGGCTGGCCATCGGCTGGAGTCGGATGAGCCGGCTGGACATATCCCGCGGGTTGGCTGTAACCCTGCTGATAAGACTCGGGGGGAGCCGGCAATGTGGTAGGCTGCTGCTGTTGTTGCTGCTGTTGTTGCTGCTGTTGCTGTTGCTGTTGCTGAGGAGCCTGAGGATAGGGTCCCTGTGGGTTACCGGCCGGAGCTTGAGCAGGATGAGCAGGATAAGATGAACCAGGAACAGCGCCAACGCCTTCAGGGGGGCTCTGGTAGTATTCCGAGGGTGGAGAAGGACCAGGATAACCCGCGCCCGAAGGTACACCCTGAGGCGGGAATTGGGCTGCATACGCTGGACCCGGATAGCCCGGAACAGCCGCTGGGGATGAGAAACCTTGAAGGGGAGCCTGGGCCGCGCCCGAAGGCAGGGGCAGCTGCGACTGCGACTGAGACGGAGACAGGTAAAAGCCCGAGGCTGGAAGCGGTCCAGAAAAGTTGCGGCTGTAGGTGGTGGCATAAGCAGCCGAGGCCACGGCCATTCGCTCGTTCAAGAAGTGATCATAGAGCTTGATGGCGGCCGAGAGCTTTTCGCTCAGCTCCAAGCAAGCCCGATATCGCTGAACCGCAGCTTCAAGCGACCGAGCAAGCTTTGGCTGGAGGGAGGCGATTTGTACATACAGAGCCTAAAAGAAAGGACACAGCCATCAATAAGGGGACAGAGTAGCGAAGCCAAGGTCACAGGATAAAGCCCGACTGTATGACACCTGCTGCAGCCTCAGCGTGCGAGGCACGCAGAACCGGGAGAGAATCTCAGCTCCGTGCCATCACGAGAGTGCCTGATTCACAGATAAAGGCCGGCGGACGCGAGCAATGTGCTGTCCAAAAGAGAGGCAGACAAACCTGGATCTGTGGGTTGCTCATGATATTGACGCCGCGTGCGCTTTCGGCTTCACTTTTCTCAATCAGCTCCGCAAACAAGCGGATGTTCTCCATCTCAGTCGAGGTGAGGTGGCTTGGATCGTCCTGGGCCACATGCTGCTCGGTGGCATATGTGGTGCTCGGAGGCGGCTGAGATTCATAGGCGGTGTAGCGAGTGGCCTCGGCTTTCTCCGCTGGAAACTGGGAGGCAGAGGGATAATACGAGGCCTGTTGAGTGGCGGGTTCTTGCTTGACCTTCAAATCTTGGAGCGAGGCAGCGATTGCAGCCTTCAAATCTTCGTCGTCGTCATCAGGAGACACAGAGGGCTCGGGCTTGGACTGGGCAAGAGTCTGGGGCTGGGACTTTGGTGTGTCGGCTGGCTTGAAAACGCGCGCCGAGCTCTCCTGCAGCGACAGGGCCAGAGCACGCTCCAGCTCCTCCTCTTCGCGGCGGGCCTGCTCGCTCCGGACGCTGCTGTTGCTCTGGATCGGCACGCGAATCTGCGATGGAGTTCCCGGAAGAGAGATGGGCTTGGTGCTCAACTTGACAAAGCAGCCGTCGCAAACGCGGACATCTTGGGTGATTCCAAAGTGGGGCAGAGCAATGCTCTTGGAGGAGCAGGCGTGGCAAAACGTCTGCCCGCAGTTGCGACAGTGGTGCTTGCGGTTGAAGGTTGTAAAAGGGGTGCGGCAGCGCATGCAAACGTCACTGTCGGTCCACTCGGGAGCCTGAGAGAGTTTACATATGGATTAGCGAGTGATGTGGGTTGGATCGGAGTGAAATCGGCAGGAACGGGCGCACTTGCCCAGATCCAAGTCAAGGCGGCGCAATAACAGTTGCCAGAGCCCTGGAAGAAACTAGTTGGCCGTGCAGCTGGACCCAGGCAACATAGGCACGGCCGATCACTGCGCCGTCAAGGCTCACCGTCTGAGTGTCGATCATGAAGCTGGCGGTGTCTGCAGAGTCGATGTTGGGGAAATCGTAGCCTTTGAAGAGACCGAAAAGGGCGGTGATGAGGCACTTGAAGATGATCCCACACCAAGCACTTCGGCACGAGTAGCAGTAGCCATAATATGTGCGAGATATCAAGCGCTTGAGCCAGGCCAAATAGATCATGTTGTTGGAACCCACCTTCGCGCTTCATGCGCTGATAGACCTCGCCGACATAAAACAAATCCGGCTTGGATTTAAAGGTGATACCCCAGTTTTGGATCAGCGCCAGGATCTTCCGGCGCACCTCGCTGTTGGTTGTCTGCAACGCAAGTTTCAAGGGTGAGCGGATTGGATATCAGCGGAGGGGACGACAAGCATTCGGTCAACGCCGCGGCGGCGGAAGGAGGGGAGCAGACAGAAGTAGATACCGTACAATGGCAGTGGTGAGCGACACCAGATTGTCGACAAACTCTCTCGAGGCAACCTCCAGCAAGAAATGGTGACCGCCGTTCTTGACACAAATGTCCGTCAGCTGTCGGAGGCGACGGATGAAAACGAAAAAGGATGAATCAGTCCAGCTGAACCCGGTCGCTGATGCTCCACTGAGGGAATGGCTTGGGGGTTGCGGCGCCGGACAGGGGGGGGGAGCAGGTCCAATGGCAAAGCCGCCAGGACCAAGAGCCAGGAGCAGACAAACCTTCAGGGCGAGAAGCTGAACATTTGGGTTCTTATGGTTGATTTTTTTCTTCAGAGCCTTGATGGCATCTTTGGCGGTGACTTCTTTGGCTTTGATCTTGTCGCAGATTTCCAAAAAGAGGCTGATATCTTCGCTCCCAGAGGGGATGGTTTCGGATGTGGCCCTTTCTGAACTCGCGGGAGACGGGAAGTGCATGAATGAGTCATTGTCCGCACGAAGATGCGATATAAATGTGGGTTGCCAAGACGGCCCAGAGACATTCGCAGCTCGACGGCTGAGAGAGCCGTGGCATGGGGCGACCCATGGGCCAAGAGGCAAAGCCAAATCAAATCAAATCCGACGGCGGACGCAGGTTTAGCGCTAAATGTCTGGGCGAAAGGACAGCATACCGACGAGGTCGTCGAAAGGGCTCAAGCCAAAGAGGAAGGACATGGACATGCGTGTGAGGGCAACAAGGCCAGGGATGGTCGGCGCAGACAGGATGAGGGCAGAGGATGGAGGATGGACGACGGAGGACGGAAGGTGGACGATGCGGACATATCAGGCGGCGGGCGATTGGAAACGTGTGTGTGTGTGTGTGCCAAGGAGCACGGGATTGCCAAGGGTGCCCCAGAGAAACAGCAAACTCGATATCAATTGGGACACATTCGCACGGATGACTGGCGTGGGTTGTGTGAATCAAACGGCCCCCGAACTCCATGAAATCCGCTCGCCGAAGTCCTGAAGCGATACTGCTCTTTGCCCTACGCCTTCTTCCCTCATCCCGATATGTCTTCTTGCTCTGACCCGCAGTGGCTGCATCTGCAGCGGCTCGCTAGTCCCTGTCGTGCCCACTCGCTCCATGCATCTCCATCACAGGGGAATGACTTGACCCTGAATTGACCCGCTTGACCGGGTGGTGTGTGATATGATCCGACTGCGCCGTGGTTTTGTCCGAACGAGACGATGGGTCACATTGTTTATTCAACACCTTGTGCTCAGGGAAAGGTGGAGCAGAGCACGGGCGAACGCAGATACACCCGATACCAGCTGGAGACAGGGCGGCGAGATGAGGAGAGTGACAATTTATTTGGTCTTTGTCGGACTAGGCAAACTATCATGGATGGCAGACAGAGCGACGGCCAGCGTTGTTAGCCACACAAGCGATCATCACCGCCCGCCCCGACACAATGATCAGCGCAACAGAATTGCATGACAATCGGTACTTACTTGTTGGAGGTACTAGCAGATACGATGGGAAGCAAGCGGTCAGATAGTTAGTGTTGACCGGTGCAGAGTGGGCATCCACACACCCCTCCCGGCCCCAAACCAATCCCTCAAGGAACTCACTGATTCGGCCACGACGCGAGCTCGTCCGTTCAAGTTCAGCTTCATGGAGCTGATTTCCTTGTCGACCTCCTCCATAAACTCCACAATAAAGTCCACAAGCTTGTGCTTGAACATTTGCTCGGTATGGAAGTTGGTGATCAAGAAGCTGATATCGTAGCCCTGTTTGCAGACAAATCTTCGTCAGCAGCGACATGGGTAGGATTCGACGCTGTATCGAACGACCGAGCTGCAGCGCCGAGAGAGAAAGGCCAACGAATGGATTGCGGAGCATACGGCCCTCTCCAGTCCTGCGCAAGCTTGGCCTGGGAACGCACCTGGACAGGCTTGCGGCGCAGGATCACAAAGCTCTCGGCACGCATCATCAAGAACCGGGTGAACTTGTGGCACAAAATTCTCTCGATTTCATCAGCTTGCTTGATTTTGATGGAGATTCGGACCGAGTTGATCGAGCCCTCGATCAGGACCTTCTCGTTCTCGTTTCGGCTGATCACAACTGGGGTCAACAGCACCTCGGGCGAGAGTCTTGGCCGAGACATGCGTGGCAGGGAGAGATCAAGGACGGCATTTCGGTGTGGACACGATGTGATCAATGTCAAAATAGGGATGCGGGCCCGAGTCGACGCACATGTGCTCGGCAAGCAGAAAACATAAAGCGGGTTGCCGATAGACTGCGATGTTACGGTGCGCCAGGGACAGATGATGGCAAATCGCGGCTTCTGAGCATCGCCTTGGCAGCCTCGCTGATTCCATGGCAACTCGGAACACGCACGCCGAGGGCGGCGATAATGGACAAGATTTGCTCGGCCGAAGCGATGCTAATAAGCTTACCCGGCCTCCACTTCGGGCTTGTTGTGTCGCTCCACGACCTGGGAAGAAAAGTTCTCCAAGCAGAGAGCCGCAGAGAGGGTGGCTCGGACGGCAGCGAGATAGGGACGCAAGGTATTTGACTTGATACCGGCCACAGGGTCGACCACAAGAAACGTGAACAAAATCAAGCGAGATGCGCGAATGAGTCTTGGTCGTCGCTGCCAGCATCTTCGCCGCTGCCGGCTACCGACGCCAGGCCGCAGACACCATCGTGCACACGGCCGGAAAGGCAGCAGCGGCAGCAAGGCGAGCGGAGGGCTGCTCCTCGGTCGGCATCCAGACGCTCCCGTCTGGGTGGGAGAGAGCATGCATCGCCTACCATCGCGACGGAAGGTTCAAGGACGGCGAGGCGGCGATCGGCCCAGAGTCAAGTCGCCAGATGCAGGTGCGAGTCCAGCGGAAACAGCCCTTGCCAACAGCCGGCTCCTGGTTCCAGACCAAGGGGCGAGCCACGTGTGGCTTGGAGTCGGCCTCTCGGGGCGCCTGTTGGCCGGGGCTGCCATCGCCCCTCTCTGCCAAGACGCAGACCCGCAAGCAACCGCAACTCGCCGGCCCTCCGCGCAGAGCACAGCGAGGACCAAGGCCGCACCATATCGTGCTCGTCCAGAGTGGCAGAAACAGGCAGCCATAGCCAGGAATCCGCCCTTCAGTTTTCGGCGCCGGCTCACAGGTCTGTCGCCACCAACCCAACGCGGCCGCTCGTCCCTGTGAACCAAAAGTTCGTCGGCATGTCTGCCGCGCAGCTATTGACAACGGAGGAGCTGCAAGCCGATCCCGAGTCGGTCTTTGCTCTCCTCGAAAAGCTCGGCGAAGGGTAAGAGCATCATCGTCTCGCGCCATCCAATTTCCAAGAGCCGACCTCGGACCACACATGCGACCCACGGGGAGCGGTGTCCCCTATATGCGGGATGGATGCCCTTGTGTTTCGGGGGGATTAGCAGGCTCATGTGGCTCTGGGCGTGGATGGATACCTGCGGGTCGGCGGCGATACTCGATTGCTCGTGCTAAAGCCTTCGACCTCGCCGTGGCGCAGATCCTACGGGTCTGTCCATCGAGCAATGCACCGACGAACGTCGACAATCGTGGCCATCAAGATAGTGCGAGTCGACAACGATGAGGCCCCAGAGTCGAATCAAACAGAGATTATGATCATGAACGGCAATCAATGCGAGCACCTTGTAGAGCTGTATGGCAGCTATCTGTTAGAAGACTCGTTATGGGTAGGTGAAGGCTGGTTGCAGGTGAAGTGGAACGACGAGAACGACCAGCGCCTGGCCGCTGATGTCGGAAAGCGAGCCCGCTCGAACACACGACTGATAAAAGTGCTCTGTGGGACGCGGATAATGCACGAACGCACAACCGGCAATGAACGGACAACTGGCGCTCAAGATCGTCATGGAGTACTGCAGCGGGGCATCTGCTCTGGACCTGATGCGCGTCTGCAAGCGGATGTTTAGCGAGGCGCAAATCTCAGTTATATGTCGACATGTTCTGGAGGGACTGGATTACCTGCACGGAAAGCGAAAGATACATCGAGATATAAAGGCTGGGTAAGGCTGGATCGGCATGAATGGAGTGTGCAAGGGCGATGCCTTGGCGCATTACCTAATCAATACTCGGCCGCTTTTACCAGGAACATCTTGTTGACCGGAGACGGTGTTGCCAAGCTCGCCGATTTTGGTGTTGCTGGACAGCTCTCGGACTCGGTCTCGAAGCGGATCACGGTGATCGGAACACCTTTCTGGATGGTAACGGCGCAATCATCATCACTACTGTGTCTGAATCGTGGATTTCTTGCTGCATAGCATATCCCGCCATCGATACCCCTGAACGATATGAGCGTCGACAGCGTGGCATCTCACGATTCAATCTGCTCGATCCGATACCAGGCTCCCGAAATCATTCAGGAAGTCGGATACGGCGTCAAGGCAGATGTTTGGTCACTGGGAATCACATGTATCGAAATGGCAGAAGGCCGACCGCCCTATCATAATATCCATCCTATGAGAGTAAGGAAGTCTCGATGCGCTCTGTGCATGTCGAAGAGATGCAATATTTCTCCACACCTATACACTGAATGGTGCAAATTCAAACGCTTCTTAATCTGCTTGGTACTGCCTAGGCGATATTCATGATTCCTATGAAACCACCGCCGACTCTCGAGGATGAGTCCAAGTTCAGCCCTGTGTTTCGAGCCTTTATTGCGAGGTGCCTGATTAAGAATCCGGCAGACCGGCCTTCCGCAAGGGAGCTCCTGGAGGTAAGCACCAATCAATGTCACATCGAACGAATATGTTGGGATGCATGGCTTTGATCGCAGAATAGGCTACGAAATCCAATTACTGAATATGGTGGCTCTTGATGAGCCATTCCAGGACCCGTTTATTCGTGATGGTCCTCAATCTGCCGACGTCCTTCAAGATATGATATCTGAATTTCGAGACTGGGTGGCCCAAGGAAACTCGATCTGTGATGACGATGAGGAGATCACGGGAACGACAAAGCTGTCGGTCAGCGAGACGCAGCCGTCGGCGCAAGCAAATATTGATACCCAAGACGAAGAAAATGGAGATGTCGAGTACAGCTCAACGATCAAGTATAGTTCGAACACGGCGATGTTTACAGGCACCATGCTTGTGAACGACCAATCTTTTGATTCAATGAAGATCACATCCGATAGTCCCGGTACGCTTTTAATATGATACGAGCTTGGAGCCACTGATAGCCCAACAATATTGTCAACCAACACTAATTCAAACTAAATCCAAGGTCCAGAATACGGAAACTGCTCCTTCTTGAAATTCTCGAAGGAGCTCTCGGTGAGCAAGATCGAGAGTGAACCTCAGGCTCAACCACAGCTTGTGGAGGAAGATGCAAACGAGGCTTGGTCTGAGGAGCAAGGAACACCCAAGGCTCGGGAGCCGATGTCAGCCGTTGGCCGAGATGCCTTAATATTGGGGGATGGCAACATGAGCACCATCGAACCGAGCAACAGTGAAGATAACAGGCAGAGTGACGGTAACTATGGAACAGTAAGGATAAAGCGAATTCAAATAGGAGACCTACACGACAACGCGGCACCGATGGGATCGGGTCTGGAAGATGGAGAGTATAGCGCCACGATAAAAGCAAAGCATCAGCCCAAATAAAGATCCTGATGAGTTCTGGCCCATGCCTCGAACACGGACTGACAACAAGGCCTCGCAATCACTATGATTCAAGATGATAACGAATCGAGCTAGCGAGCGCATGACTAATGGATGCGCAATGACTCTTCGCTCTGAGAGAGTGGCTGTTGCAACTTCCTCGCTCACAGCGTCGGACTCACCCATGAGTCCATCATGAATGGCGGTTCGCTGAAAGCCTGGCAAACCTGGGCAAAGTGTTTGACATGAACGCAAGAAGCAAGGGAAATCCCCCACGCACACCATCGAGCCCAGCCCAAGGGCAATTACTGATGAGAGAGAAGACCAGGGACACAGTGAACTGTTTCAATCAAACGAAGTTGCCAGACATATGAATTGAGCCCAAAAATCGAGGGCACTGTGCCTTGGTATGGTGGGCGCCTCTCAATTACAAAATATGATATGACAGGTCACGAGTAGCAGCGGTTGAGCTCATTTGAAAGTGCAGCGAGAGCAATATGCGATCAATCACATGTGAAGAGTGATATGTGGACAGTGACGAATGGAGCGGCGGGGCAGCAAAACACTGGCACCTCGCAACATCACAACTTGCAAAATACAATCATTCTCGTCGCCTGCAGGATTCGAACCTGCGCGTCCAAAGGACAATGCCTTAGCAGGGCACCGCGTTAACCACTCCGCCAAAGCGACTCTGTCTCTGTTGCTCCTTTTTGCCCGACCTGGACCCACCCACTTGCACCCACCTCCTGCACATCACACCGTCAATCAACCAGCTCCTCCACCACTGTTCCTGGCACTGACGTCTGGCCATGGCATCTCCGGTGCTGATTCCTCGATCTCCATGCTCCTATCCTGGTGCTCCTCAACCATCCACCACCGTCGATCGCTCCCACCATTCAATCGTATCGATCGGCCACAACACATCGCAACCAACCACCATCAACCACCATCAACCACCATCAACCACCATCAACCACCATCAACCACCATCAACCACCATCAACCACCATCAACCACCATCAACCACCATCAACCACCATCAACCACCATCAACCACCATCAACCACCATCAACCACCATCAACCACCATCAACCAACGGCGACACCACCTGTTTCATCTCCACTTTCATCCCGGTTGACATCCTGCCACTGCCGAGTCGCCAGCATTGTTGCCCATCCATGTCACCCACAGCCGCCTCTCAGCCAACCCATCCCATCCCACTCCGTCCCACTCCGTCCCACTCCATCCCGCTCGACTGCAGGACGAGATCAAGATCACAATGGCATATGAATATGATATATGGTGGAGGAACAGGGTGCTGAATGGACACCAATTGATTGGGCAGGGAGAGAGGGAGCTGAACGGACAAGGAGCTGAACGGGCAAGGAGCTGAACGGGCAAGGAGCTGAACGGACAAGGAGCTGAACGGGCAAGGAGCTGAACGGGCAAGGTGCTGAACGGGCAAGGTGCTGAACGGGCAAGGAGCTGAACGGGCAGGTCGGCCACAACACCAATGGCCGACCAAATGCCGCAGATCAATGTCGCAGACCAAAGCGACAGTCCATGCGGCAGAGCAGCACAGTGGATTTGCCATCGATCGGAACGACACGCATCACCATGTGCATGAATGTGAGTGGGATGTGGATGTGGGAGCTGGAGGCGGCCAGGAACAAACATCGTTGGTCAGTGCGGGTGTCGATGCGCTGTTGAGTGTGGGAACAACAGACACCTGTCATGTTACATCACCACCACACCACTACATCACCACATCACCACATCGCCACACCACCACATCACATCCCCACATCCCTGCCACCCGATTCGACGACTCCCACCTCCGTTTCGCTTGCCGTTTCGACGACTGCCCAGATCCACTTGGCGTGGCCAGAGCGCCAGAGTGCCCGAGCCACACGAGCCGCAAGAGTCGGACCCGCTTCCTGTCGAATGTTGTCTCGAGCAGCCGATCTGCCATCTTGGCTCTGCCACTGGCCACTGCCACTGGTGCGATGCCTCAACTTCACGCAGCACCTTGGGGTGGTGCCTCACGGCGAATCGCGGCGCCGTCGTCATGTTGGACCGCTGGCTCAACAGCCACGGCCGACTCGGTGGTTCAGCTGTTCCAACTCGGCGATGATGCCGTGATCCGCCACGACGCACCACCTCAAGGTGCTGCGGCTGCATCTCGGACATCGGGATAGTCGCAGTGGTCAGGAGCCCGGAAGTGCCTGGGAGTGCCTGGGAGTATCTGGAAGTGTCTGGAGGCACCGGCGCAAAGCAGCAATCAGTGGTGCTCTCAGAGGTCAAGCACAGACGACCGGCAACGCTGTGACTGACCAGCACCCTCTGCACCCACCTGATGGGATGGGATGGGATGGGATGGGAAAGTGGGGGAGAAAGTGGGCGGGACTGGGGAATAAATAGAGACGGGGGAATAAATAGAGACGGGGGGAACGGAGAGACACGGGGAGTAGATGGACACGGGGAATAGATAGACACGGGTAGAGATAGACGGGGATCCATGGGGAGGATGGGGGATCCATGGGAACGACGGGAGGGAGAAAGGGAAAAGACAGGGGGGCAGGCAGGACAGAACAAGTGTGATGGGATGGACGGCCGAGACAGGCGCACTGCTCTGCCCACTCGGATCGGTCATGGGCGACTCGCAGGGCGACTGTGGATCCCAGGTGATGTGGGCGGTGTATGGGTGACAAGCAAGCTGTGGTGTGGATATGGGTGCTCACGGGCTGGTGGGTCGACTGCTGAATGGTGTCCTTCATCAAATGGTGTCCGTGGAGATCCACGATCGAGAATCGAGGGCGATGGCCAAGGGAAAGTCAATGGAGAGTCAAGAGAAAGCACAAAGGCAAGAACCAAGGCAAGAACCAAAGGCAAGAGCCAAGGCAAGAAGCAAGGGCAAGAACCAAGTGCGGCAGCCACATTCAGATGGTCCCCGAGCAACAAGCGACGATGCCACAGCGTCGATGCAGATCCCAGTCGTTGCCACATGGCGATCAATCACATGTGAAGAGTGATATGTGGACAGTGACGAATGGAATGGCGGGGCAGCAAAACACCAGCACCTCGCAACTTGCAAAATACAATCATTCTCGTCGCCTGCAGGATTCGAACCTGCGCGTCCAAAGGACAATGCCTTAGCAGGGCACCGCGTTAACCACTCCGCCAAAGCGACTCTGTCTCTGTTGCTCCTTTTTGCTCCACCTGGACCCACCCACTTGCACCCACATCCTGCACATCACACCGTCAATCAACCAGTTCCTCCACACTGTTCCTGGCACTGGCGTTTGGCCATGGCGTCTCCGGTGCTGATTCCCCGATCTCCATGCTCCTATCCTGGTGCTCCTCAACCATCCGCCACCCTCCACCCATCGCTCCATCTCACTCTCGTTCGTGTCGCCCATCAGCCTGACCCACTGTCATTACCTTCCACGTCCCTTCCTCCTTACGTCCCAGATAGAACAGATCTCGTGGATCGCATCGGCATATCGGTCATGGCCAACTCGAACGCAGTCGTGTTTAGAGTCATCCATCATCTGCTATTTCCCACATATCAACGCGCCAGCATCACAGTACGGAGGCAAGTTGATGATGGCTGATGCAAATCGACTCGCTGGATTCACAGCCATGCAGGATCCGAGGATGCGGGATCCTTCGTCGTCCTGACTGAAACGAGCTCGCCGCCGATGTCTTGGGAAGGGCAAAGGAGCCGGCTTGGTGGTGTTGGAACGCGTCCCGTCTTGGCTGGCAGGACACGCACAAGAGAGCATCGAAGCAGATTATCGAGACAGCCCAAGAGCGGCCCCTCTTCCCTTCGCCGATGCCGCCTCCCCTCGCTCCATCCGTCGATATCGCCGTCTTGGTGTCGTCAGGCCACGGGCGACAAATCCAGCCCCGTCAGCGGAACCAGATACCACACCGTCATGGCAAACGACCAAGATGTCTCTGAGGATATCGAGCCTCTTGTTCCCCAACAAGCCCAAACCCCTGTCTCCTCACAGCCAGCGACCCCGTCTCAGCCCGATCCCTTGGGTCCCTGGCTCCATCCCGTCGAGTGCCTCATCAACACTGCCCGCGACGAGCCCGATGCCCTCCTGATTAACACCTACGAGAGCGGCATCTCGGAGCGCTTCAGCTATCTCTGTGTGTGGAAGCAAGCCTATTCGGTCGCCCAGGCTCTCAAGGCCCTCCCTGGCTGGAACAACGACGGCCACGAGGTCATCGGCACCTTCTGCGAGGCCGAGGCCAGCTGGGTGATCTACTCGTTTGCGGTGTGGATGCTGGGCAAGTAGGTATCTCTGATGTGTTGCGGTGGGATGCTGTGGTGTGTGGCGATCTGTTCTGGTTATGGCTGCTCTGTTTCGTCGATCGTGGAGCGCCCCTCCGGCAGAACAGGAGGCATTGTCAACGGGAACGAGCCTCACCCATATCGTCTTTCGCATCCAGGAAGACACTCAATCTCGCGCTGAACCTTCCCTCTGCTGCTCGCAAAGCCATGTGCGAGAGGTATGCTTTCAATCGCTGTCATGAGCAAAGGCGGGCCGTTTGCTGGAGTGAGAGTCGAGCCAGCTCTCTCCTGGGCTGTTCTACAGAGCCCCTGACACCTGCACCACAACCACAACCACACCTGACAGGCATGCGGTCAGGTACATCCTCTACCACCACACCAAGCCTAGCCGCACCATAGGAGTGGCTTTGGTCGATGCCACCACGTTCCCGGTGCTGGACAACATCCCACACCCGTCTCTCGAAGTCTGTGAACCCCTCGACGACTTTGTCGCCTATGCTTGCACCTCTGGATCAACGGGTATGTGTGTGTTTGAGAATGGTGACGCGCGAGCCAAGTACCAACTACAAAGGAAGAGTATGAACCTGGGCGAACATCAGGTAGCGACTGAGATAGCGGAACACGGACAACGAAACATCAGCAGGAAGTGTGTTTGACCTCTGTGCCTCGTTGGTGCTCCTCAAACCACGAAAACAGGCATTCCCAAGACGTAAGTGACCCGTGGCATTTCAACCGCTTTGATGACTCCAACTGAACGGAGTCTCTAACTCTCTGAGACTCCTTTGTGGTTCTTCAGATACAAGTTCCCTCATACTGGTGCAACAACTGGCAGAAGCATTCTGGGGCACATGTTTTTAAGCTCCGGACTGTGTCAGGTAAGCTATATGATCCTGTGCAACGGAGCGTCGAGCCATCCATGGATTGAGAACTAACTTGCATGGCAATCAGGCACCTTCGTTTAGTGCAACTCTCGGTTGGATGCTCTGTACCTTGAGCCTCAAAGGATCAGTTTGGTTCCCAGAGCCCACACCCAACACTGTCGAAAAAGTCAAGAGCATCATCAGAATGCTGGATGATGGTGTGTTGTATTTGTTTATGGTAAGGACCTGGCAGATATGATAAATGGATTCTTCATCGCAGTACTTACGAGTGACATTTCTATGGTGTATTTCCCTCTCAGACACCTTCACTCATGAAGATGATCATTAGTATTGCTCAGAGTCAGAATCCCGATGTCAAATGGACAGAAACGAGAAAGATCGGTTTAGGCTCGGAGCTCGTCCCGGCAGGAGTGGTGGCCCAGGTCAAGGCGGCATTCCCCAATGCCGATATCATATCGGCATATGTATCCACAGAGGTAAGTTTGATTCACTGTATTTCTTTAAATAAAAAGATATATATGATTCTAAAATACACATATTTTGTTTCAGACAAGTCTTATCGGTGCTATCACAATTTTCTTCCTCCCATCCAGTAGCGAAGTCGTCCCGGAGAAACTGATCTACAAGTTGATCAAACCTGGGGTGCGCTGCCTCCTCTTTGACGAGGAGGGCAATATCGTTGATCAAAATGTCTCCAACAGCGGGATCCTGGTCTTTGCCGTCGACCCCGACCATCCCGTCCGCAACCACCCCGACTTTGTCAACGCCGATCCCAACGACAGACTGGCCTCCTTTGGCTTCCTCAGCGACGGCTCGCCTCGTGTCTGCACCATGGACTGGGTCGAGATGGTCAGCGAGAACGAGTTTACGGTCGTTGGAAGGTGAGTGCGATATCCCTGTGTCCACCGAGTGGTCTGTGCCCTCCTTCCACTAGTCCTCCACCAATCCATCCCACACTCTTCATTCTCACACCTCACACCTCACACACCCAGATTCGACCAGAAGATCAAGGTCAACGGTGTCTATGTCGACCTGAACCATCTCGAGGCCCTGGTCGTCCAGCACCTGAGCCACACCATCGCCGACTGTGCGTTTGTCCAGACCTCCGAGAAGAAGATCGTGATGCTGTATGTTCTCCAGGCCCGCCCCACGACCCGCACCGAGCCCAGCGACATCATCCGGATGACCCAGGATCTGCTTGCACTCGTCAACGTCTCCAAGGTGCCGATCCACAACTGCTTCCAGCTCGACGAGATCCCCATGATCGAGAATGGCAAGCGCGACCTCAAGAAGATCAAGTGGATCGCCGAGAACAACGATCTGCACCAAGGATCCGTTGTGTATCCCCGTCTCGCCCCCAGCGATGCCCCGCTGTTTCGCATCGCGGCTGCAATCTCCAGCCTCGGCAGCCAGCTCCTCGGGATTCCCTCTCTCGACGGCCGCAACTACAGCATCAGCGGGGCTGGGTTTGACTCGCTGAGTGTTGGCCGCCTGGCCCTCGCAATCAAGGAAGAGTACGATGTCGAGATCTCGCCGATGATGCTGCTCTCGAACGGCCTGACGCCCCTCGATGTCGCCCAGCTGGTGATTGATCTCCAAGGCAACCACCCGCTGATGCCGCCGACAGTCGACCTCGACCAGGAGGCCGCCCGGCTCGACGATGCGAGTGTGACGGCCGAGGGTCTCCCTCCACTTGTCTTTCCCGAGTCGCCTCGCGGCATCGTCCTGACGGGGGCCACTGGCTTCCTCGGATCGTTCCTGCTGTACGAGCTGGCTGCCAAGTACCCTGCTGCCAGGATCTACTGTCTGGTCCGAGCCGCGAGCGACCAGGCTGCCATCGACCGCATCTTTGAGACAGCCAGGAAGCTGATCCTCAACCCGCAGCAGACGCACTACCTCGTGAACAATGTCAAGCCGCGACTCGTTGGTGTCTGCGGCGATCTGTCGCTCGACCAGTGGGGACTGACCAACAAGCGATGGAAGAAGATCAGCAAGGAGACCGACATGGTTGTGCACTGCGGCGCCGAGGTGCACTGGCTCGACGACTATGAGGCGCTCAAGGGGCCGAATGTCCTGGGCACGGCGACGGCCCTGCGGCTGGCCACGACCCACCACCTGAAGCCGCTGCACTTCATCTCGGCGGTCGGGGCGATTCCCATGGCACGGGGCGCAAGGACGCCGCTCGAGGAGAGGGTGTATTCCAACTGGAACGTCTCTGGCGGGTATGCACAGACCAAGTGGGTCTCTGAGCAGCTGATCAACAAGGCACGATCGAGGGGAGTGCCTGCGACGATCATCCGACCATCGCTGATTGCAAGCGACAGTGTCTATGGAGGTGAGTCACTGGGTGTAATATGGCAATGTGGTGTGGTGGTGTGGTGGTGTGGTGGTGTGGTGGTGTGGTGGTGTGGTGGTGTGGTGGTGTGGTGGTGTGGTGGTGTGGTGGTGTGGTGGTGTGGTGGTGTGGTGGTGTGGTGGTGTGGTGGTGGTGCAGCAGCTCATCTCAGCTCACTCTCACTCTCACTCTCACTCTCACTCTCACTCTCACTCTCACTCTCACTCTCACTCTCACTCTCACTCTCTCAGTGTGCCACTCGGACGACTACATCTGGCAGTATATCAAGGGATGCATCCGCATCGGAATCGCTCCCTCCAATGCCACTCCCGTGACCATCACCATGAATCCAGTCGACCATGTCGCCAAGGTGGTCGCTGCGATCGCAGCCTCCGAGGTGGCCCTGCCCAAGTTTGTGTTCCACATCAGCGACCCAGAGCGCAGGTGAGATGAGCGAGCCGAGTGGCAAGCAGACAGGGAGGGCAGCAGGATGAGTGCCATTCCTCGGCAGTCACTCATCCATCCACACCACCATCCCACACATCCTGTCCCTCGGCCCACCTCGCAGCGTCGTCACCGAGACCAAACTGTTCGAGATCGTCAATGCCTATGGCTGGCCCGTCATGTTCGAGACCCGCGAGCGATTCAAGGCCCTGCTTTACCGACCGTCGCTGCCCAACGGCTCGTCGATGCTGACGCTCATGCATCTGATCCTGAGCATGTCCTTCCTGGTCGACAACACCAACACCCGGTCGATCTATCCGGCCCTCGGTTCCCAGGCCGGGAGGATCGCCGGGCGAGGGCTGCTGTACTTGACACACATCGGGTATCTGCCACCTCCTCCGAACCCTCCGTCGCCGCTGAGACCCGAGGAGCACCCGCGGCCCAACATCTTCCGTCCCGACACCCACAACTAGCTCGGTGGTGGAGGTCACTGCATGTTTGGCAGTGCCATTCATGGTGCATCCCATGCACAGCCATGGTCCTTCACTTGCACGGTGCCTCACAACTCCCTGACACACACTCCTGATCTATCGCTTCGGAGTCTGTGCACGACATCCAGTGCTTGCCGATGTGTCCCACTCTCACCCCGTCCACATACCCCGATGTCGCCCCAGTCGCCCTGTCGGCAATTGACTGTCTGTCCTGGTCAATATCACAGCCATCTTGGATTCTCCATGCGACTCTTGCGTCTGGTGTCAGTGCTGGTTGCGAGCATTTGTGGACAGAGACAGGGCTGCTGATGCAACAGAGTGATTGGTTCGATGGCTTGTGCACTGCTATCAACCAATCTATCCATGCCACGATGCATGGCGTGCAGTTCTCGGACTGGCAGTAACAGATGCCCTCCGGCTTGTTGTACACCTCAGCATGTCTGCACATTGCACCACGTGCGATTCCCCCCCCCCTCGTCTGATTTCGGGCAGCGATGATGGAGCCAAAGTGCTCACGTCCCTAGCTTTCAATGTCGCCGCTCTACCCGCCAGTATTCCAGCAGCGCGATATCCAGGAGTGAAGGAAGCAGTCTCCATCATCGCGACAGTCGAGGGAAGCGTTGTTCCTCACTTAGTTCTTGGGCTGAGACCGGCTATTATTTGAAGCTGAGAGTTTCGATCAATGTCTGTTGCTCGTTCTGCACCTTGACAAGCGAATCGGCTTGTGCAGCAAGTCTGTGTTGCCCCCCCTCCCAGCGAAGCCGTGGTCACAGCGACAAAGCAGAGAGCCATGCAGTTAGTGGCCGATTCCCGGCCTGGTCTTGTACTTTGCAGCGAGGGAGGGGGAGGGATGCACGCTGTGACTGTGTCGGGTATGGCTTGTATCGGGCGAGCACCGACCGTCCACATTCGGGAGGCTCGGACTTTTTGTTGCTTCATGTGCCCCACTAACTCTCGACGCACCTATCGAGTTCTGCTTGCTTTTCTTTGATCAAGGTCTGTAGCTCGGTTTGCTTGCTCTTTCGTGCTTCGACCTCGCCTTCGACCTGGTTTCTCAGCCCAATAACCTGGTGACCATCGTCGTCGAAGCAAATGGGTCAGAATGAAGTAAAAATTGAACGAAAGTGGGAGGGGCTGAGCTTTGAAATTGCCTGTCGCTCGTCCCGTTTGCCTGGTGATTGCCTGTCGATTGCCTGTCGGTCGTCGCTGCCCCAGATTCTCATCCTATCCTGTCCTATCCCACTCGTCCAGACCGGCGTCGTGCATCCAGAAGTGTGGGCGACCGACTTGAATGCCACCACGGATATTCGAGTGGTAGACGCTGTCGAGCAGCGAAATCGTAGCGTCTCCACTATTACGTTTCCCATTCCCATGTCGATAAGCTATCGCGTGCTTCCTTCTATGGCCCCGTAATCTTCCCTCCCTTCCCTTCCCCTCCCCTGTGTTCCTCATGGATTCATGACGCGAGCATTGGCGACAAAGACCTTCAGCTTTTCGGCTTCGATTTGCCTGGCTTTCTGCTGCATCATGTCGAGGATGCCCCCGACAATCTCGTTGAAGTCGTTGATTTCTGGTGACGCGTCGAGAAGGAGCCAATGTTATGAAAGCCAGAGCCAGAAATTGGAACTAACGAACTCGCATGAAGCTGATGAAACCCCAGGCTACCAGATCCTTCTCGTCAACCTGACCAACAGCGCTGACCTTTAACCTGCCGCCGCCGTCGCCTCCCCTCACCGGGCTCGCTCTGCATCTCTTCCAGCCCGCCCGGCTGGCTTAACTGCTTGTAAAGTCACGGCATTCTTCCTTCAGCTTCTCAGAGGCCTCAAACTGAGAGGCTTCCAGAATCCGGATCTTGGAGAACTCGTCGATGCTGAGGATGGGGTTGGCGCCGTTCATAGTCTTGGTCGTGGTGGTTCAAAGCTCGGGATGGACAAACGAGGGAGGGAGGAACGGGCAGCTGAGGAGGTTTGGAGTTTCGAAGTTGTGAAAGTGGTGGTGGGTGCAAGCAATGTCGCAATTGCGATGGCGCGCAAACCACGGAAGTGATTCTGGCCAGCCCGAGACCAGCCGGCCCCCCTCCCTCCTTTCTGCCGATGGCAGTAGTTCAAGAGGATTTCACAGGCCAAAAGAATAACATTTCTGCGCGCTCTCCAACCAAATCTGGATCTGGATCTGGATCTCGACAACGGAGCACGGAAATCAGAGGATGCGATGGATGGTCATTTTGTGTATTCAGAAACCTCTACAGCGCTCTACAAAAACCAATCGAGGTTAAAGGCAATCAAAGGAAGGAAACACAGTCAAAATAAACAATCGATGGCCGAGAGTGAATCAAGAAGGTGATAAAAGGAGGGCTCGGCCGCTGCTGATACTGCTGCTCTGAAACACAGACGAAGGGGAAGGAGGAGAGGAAACGCACAGGAGAAGCATCGGTAGACTATCGCTCAAGAATCATCTGGTGCATTTGGACAAACATCAAAGACAGGATAGTTGTTCGGATAGAAGAATCAGAGGCACGGTCACCTCCCGAAGAGAGAGAGAGAGAAAAAAGAAGAAAAAACGTCAATGGCAGAGGACAAATTATAGCGATACCCTCGACACCGCCGACAAAAAAAGAAAGGCGGGCTTGGTCAACTACGCCAAAGCGAATTAGTCGTCGGAAACGAGGCTCGATGAAGCAGAGGAGCAGAAGGGGACCGGGCCCAAACATCCCCTGCATACATACGCGCACACCCAAATGACCATAAAACACTCGAAAGATACAAAAACTGCAGACAATGTTCAAGGATCGAGTCGACTTGAGGTGGGGGAGAAAGTGAGACGAGCTCGCTTCGAACGATAAATCGAATTGGCGCAAGCCACGAGTATGTCCCTCCACATCATCCACCGGAGGTGGGGGGGGATGGGGTGGGTCAAAACTCAAGGGGCTCAAAGGAATTGGGAGAAGGAAAATGGAAAAGAAAAAGTACGGGTTGGGTCTGTGGTTCTATGTGAATTGCAGATCCCCGAAGACTAGAATTCCCAAAAAAAGGAAACAAACGATAATCAAACGGAATCTGTTCCTTGTAGATTCAAGGGATGGCCAAAAACAGCAAGGAAGTAAGCGTATGGGTAATATCGAGAGGAGGGAGAGCAAGTCAACGGAGGGAGGAAAATAAGAATGGTACATGAAATCTAACCTTACCGCTTGGAGATGGAATGGCGTGGAATGGAAGGAGGGGGCATCGTGGACGAATAAATTAAGGCGGGGGAAGAGCGGCGGGGGAGGGAATCGGGGGGTGGGCGAGAGGAGGTCCCATCAAGCGAAGGACCGTGCTTCGCAAGATACACGTCCTTTAGAGGACATACACCTCGGCGGGGCTGCTCTTGGCGGGGTGGTGGCCGCCCTTGACGAGCTTGCGGATGGACCGCATCAGCGTGTTCATGGTGCGGCCAGACTTGTGGGCCTTGTCGTCCCGATCGCCGGGCTGTTCGAAGCGGTAGCCCTCGCGGTAGACCTGGGGCAGGTTGGCCGAGTGGTTTGTCGGGGTGGGGGTCATGTTGGCCGAGCGGGACCACAGCGAGTTGGCACTGTCGCGGCGAGACATGAACGTTCCCTTGGTGGCCATCGAGCCAAAGCTGGGCTTGGAGAAAAGCCCGCCGCGTCGGGGAAGGGAGCCGGTGGCGGAGTGCTGGGCGGGAGGCTGGTCGGCGGCTTCGTTGGAGGCGTTGCGGTAGCCGCGGTAGACCGGGCGGATCCACGAGGTGCCCGACTCGAAGCTGTCGGATGAGGATCTGCGCTTCAGATTGTCCATACTGCGGCGGAACCGGACAATGATAGGCTCGGCAGAGCCCGTCTTGTGCAGCGGGCGGCCCGTGTCCGAGATGTCCTTGCTGTCGAGCGATTCATTGGGGGTCGAGGAGGTAGCCATTGGGAGCTCGGGGACAACGACGACAGAGTCAGCGGGCCGTTCCTGCGAGTGGGGCCAGGCCTTGACCAGGTTCGACAGCTTGGAGACTCCAAAGGGTTTGGTAGTATTTTTGGGTGTGGTTGCTCCGGAGACGACGGGAGGGGTCGACAGGCGGCGCGAACTCCTGGAGCCCGGTCCCTTTGTGCCCTGCGAGCGGCGGCGGTTGAGCAGGGCGTCCAGGCGCTTGATGTTGAAGGGGCGGGAGAACTTGCCGCCGTCACGGTTGATGGGGATGTCCATGTCGACGTTGGGCAGGGGAGGTAGCGACTTGTCCAGGTTGAACTCCACAGGAACCTGCACGCCACCAGGCAGGGTCGAGGCTGTCGAGTGGGTGGCTGAGGCGCTGTGGTTATCCTTCTTCTGGACAACGATGGGCTTGGGCGACAGAGTGGCGGCCGAGACGGCCACGGGGTCGAACGGCTTGGGGGTTGCTGGGACGGCGGTGGCGGGAGCAGCGTTGACCTCGGACTTTGGCTGGGACTTTTCGACCTCGTAGCTGAAGCGGTGGTGATTGGTGTTGTTGATCTGGTTGATCTGGTTGATTTGGTTGATCTGGTTGATGCTGTTCAGGTGGCTATGGTGCTTCTGTTGCTTGTGGGCGGCTACCGCAGCCGACTCATCAATAGGCGAGTCGTCATTAAAGCGAATGGAATGGATAGGACGACTAGGGATGTCTGTAGAATCCTGATCGTCCTCATGGACGGCGCGCTTGGCGCGGTACGGGTACGTATCGACGGACTCGACGCTGTCCATGGGAGCGGAAGGAACGGCGTCATCCATTGGATAATCGTTCTGATCGGGGACGTATTGAATATCGGCATCGGAGACGGGAAAGGGCTCGACAAAGTAGTCCAGGTGGTTGATCATCTTCTGGAGCTCGCCAAGGCGGGCACGGGTGGCGGGGTTGGTATCGAATACTCGCCGCAGGACGTGGTCAAACTCGGGGGTCAGCTGAAACTGTTGGGTCAAGATGTGCGGGTTGTTGCCGACGTAGGCGCTGAAGATGGGGTCGGTGGGCGAGGCCTCGTGCCAGGGGTTCTTGCCGAAGAGGAGGTTGATGAGAATGACGCCGAGGCCCCAGACGTCATTGCTGGCGGGGTCGTAGCCGCGGGAGCCGTTGGTGCCGAGGCACTCGGGGGCCATGTACCGGACGGAGCCACAGCCTGGATGGACGAGGCGAAGGGAGCATGGGCAGCGATGAAAAGAAGAGTCGCAACAGGGTAAAGAGACCAGAGCGGGTCAGCTACACTGGGTTGGGTTGGGTTGCGTGTTGGTTCGCCCGGGCACATCCAGCCAGGCCGGTGGCGTCACGGACGGGGGGGCAATGCCAAAGGAAGCAAGCAAGCATACATGCACGCCACCCGCAAGCATGTGCAGCAATGAGACGGAGCGCAAACGTGCCTATTTCAGTGGACCAGGGCTCGAAGGTCGAGAGACCAAAGTCGGTTAGCTTGATGGAAAAGTCTCTCGAGATCAGGACGTTTTCGGGCTTGAGATCGCGGTGGTAGATGCCCTTGGAGTGGCAGTAGCCCAGGGCATCGACCAGCTGCAGGAAGACCTCCTTGACGACGTCCTCGGGAAAGCCGCCCTGGCGGGTGATGGCCTCGTAGAGGTCCATGTCGCAGCACTCGAGGAGGAGGTAGAGATACTCGGGGGTCTCGAAGATGTCGTAGATGGCCACAATGTTATCGTGGCTGTTGAGGATTTGCATGATGTTGGCTTCTCTTCGCTGGGTCTCAAGCTGGGCTTGGGTCATGCCGAGCTTGCGGAGACACTTGAGGGCGAAGCGTTCCCTGGTGTCGATGTGTTCGACGAGGTAGACGACGGCGAAGGAGCCGCAGCCGATGACATCGGTGATGCGAATGTACTGGTTGACGACCTCGCCAATGCGCTTGCGTGCTTCAGGAGGGATCTCCATGGTGGATTATAGCAGAGCTAGCGAGGGCTGGTGGTGGTAGTGGTGGAGCCAAAACGGTTGCAAACAATGGGAGGAGCGCAAGCGCAGGCAAGTGAGAGAGGGGAGGGAATCTAACTTGACCAGTCAAGACAGACGCAATTAAATAGCTTGTGGAGGAGCCTTTTTTTGGCGGAGACGGGGGTGGGACTCGAAACGGAGTCCAGAGGAGGAAGAGCGTCGACGGAGAGAGAGATGGTCGACGAGGCAGGCAGCTCTTGGAGGCAGACCCTGGTTTGCAGGAGGGAGGAGCCAGGAGCCGAAGGGGAGAGGAGAGTTAGTGCAGGGAGGGCAACCCAAAAAAAAAGAGGAAGCGAGCCAAGGAGGAAGACGGGGAGGCTTCTCGTGGCAGGAGACTAAAAGGACGGGGGAATCATAGAAAGCGAGGCGAGAGGCCGAGCGAGGGCAAGCGAGATGAGGCAGCGAGACAGGGCGGCTCGCTCCGAGAGAGGGAGCGAGGGCAGGCGAGAGGGCGGGGCGAGAGAGCGGCGAGACAGCGGGCGGACAACAGGCCCGCGAGCGAAGAGCCAAGCTTTTGAGAGGGCGGACGCGCTGCGAGAATAAGAGTGCGGGCTGTTTATTTCTGGACATGAGCGCACGGCCACGCGAGTGGGGGAAGCGCGCTGCGCGCGAGCGCCTGTGTGTCTGTGGGTGCTGTGTGCTGCGGGTGTCAGCCAGTGTCCGTGAGTGTCCGTTAGTGTCTGTGTGTCTGTATGTCGGGTCTGTGTCTCCGGTGTGGCTCTGTCGTGCTGCGCTCTTCTGTGCTCACACTCACGCACAGTCCGCGCCGCGCGCAGGGCAGCGTGACCCGCCTGACTCGCTCTCGCCAGGGAGGGCTCTCGCTCCCCGCCGGGGGGCCCCTCGCCCGCAGCTCTCGCCCCTCCCGACAAGCGGCAGCCAATCGGCGCGCTGTCCGGGACGACAAGGAAAAAAAGTGTCCTGGCCGGGGGCGCCTTGCCGGCGGCCTTGCTGTCCAGCGCAGCACCGACCCAGCGCGTGTCAGCGGACCCGCGTGCCGCTGCCGCTGGCTGCACAGCACAGTGGGGTGGCGGCGGCACGCCCGCTGTGTCTCCCTGCGATTGGCTGGCGTCCGGCCGCCTTGTGCGGCACGCGCACCGCCCATTGGTGCAGCGCAGCATGGCCCGGCACGCGGCCGTTGCCCATCGACCAGGGTGCCGCGCGGCTGTCCCTGGCTCCAGCGAAGCGATGGGCGAGTTCCTCGGTCGACGGGCGGATGGGCAACTTGGTGGATACGTTACTCGGCGGATAAGTTATTCGGTGGATGGATTGCTCGGCAGGTGGGTTGGTTAATCGCCCATTAACGTCCACGGCCGTTGACGTGCGCAGCCATCAGCCCATTGCGTCCCATACATCCATCCACCGTTACTCGCGAGGGTCATCCGCCATGGCCCCGTATCTCGCCCCTCGCTGCCGCCCAATGCACATTATTGCGACTCGGCCCGCGTCGCCACCGGCCTTGCGGCGTGCCTGCAAACTCCCATTCCAGCGCCTCCGTTGCGTCTCCACAACCGTCGTGCCAGCAGATGACCACCATCGCAGGCTGACTCGCCGTGAGTGCCTTTCTCCATCCTCCTCGTGTCTCCCCTTGCCTGTTGTGCCTGTCCCCTTTGTCTCGCCCTCAATGTGCATCGGCGTCTGGCCTGGCATTCCACATCCACCTCTGCGGCTCTCGTGCTCTCTCTCCTCCCTCTCTCGCATCCTTGGCAGCAGCGGCTCTCGTTCCGGCCGTTTCTTCCTGCCCGAACTTGTCCAGTTCGACCTGATCCCCCCCCGTTCGGTCGACTGGATATCAAGACGGGTGCCGCTGTCCGCTTCTTTCTGGCTCTCTCGGTTGTGCGAAATCCCTGCCGCTCCTGAGAATCGCCCCCCCCCCAGCACATCCCCACACAGATCCCAGATCTTGACCACAAGGCGCCAGCCATGGCTGTCTGGTGGACATCCAGGACAGCCGACAGCAGCGGCAGTCCGGATAGCCAGTTGTGTATTCGGCCCCGATCGATCGCTGTGCTATCGGATGTCGCTCCCATCCCAACGGATACCCTTGCCTGCTTGATCGATGCCCTTGGCCAGCCTTCCGGTCTCAGTTGGCTCCGACAATCGCAAGAACCACTCGCCGATAGTCGCCGCTGGTTTCGCCCTCGACGCGCCCGTACAGCGACTTGCCATAGCGTTGCGAGAAGGCGTGCTTGACGGCCTGCATCAGTCGCGGCTCGCGGTGGCGGACCAGCGTCCGGATCAGCTTTTCGTCGTTGGTGCCGAGCCCGTGCATGGCGTCCTCGAGCTCGGTCGCAATGTAGTCTGCACGGTTGCGAGCCGAGTGGACTGGTGTGGTGTAAATTTGGGTCTCTGGTCCTTGACCTCGGTCTCTGGCCGTTGCCTTGGCCTTTTGCCAGACCAACATGCGCATCACAAGTGCCGATCCCGCCGCACCAACCACAGCAGCCAGGCTCGCCATGTGCAGCGCACCCGCACCACCGACTGTGGATGAATCCAGCAGAACCGCAAGGGCCCGGCCCCGAATGCCGAGCCCCAGAGACGTCTTGCCAACCACAGGGGCTCTGATGGCGACATGTCCGTCGGGGCGATCCGGTCCTGCTTGGGCGGGATTGCCTCCCTGGGCGGGATTGCCTCCCTGGGCTTCCCAGGTTCGGGACTCTCGCAAATGCCGCTGCTGATCTCCCCCCCCCAGTCTGGCCGGCCCAAGCATTGCAAAGTAGCATCGGACCTACCGAGCGCAAGAATACCGTGCTTGAGGTGGCCCGAGAACTCCTTCTCGATCGCTTTCTCGAACGTGTGGTTGTGCTTGCGTTGATAGCCGTCAAAGATACTGACCAGCACCGGATACGAGCGCGTGCAAAGTATTCCAATGAATGCGCCTTCGTCCGTTCCCCATTTGCCCTCTCCGGCTCGATACTTACGAGAAAGCAAAGGTCCCACCCATTCGCGTCAATACGGTCAGTCTCGCAAGACGCAACATCGGCCAGCGATCGGTAACTGCAGGCGGCTCGAGGACACTGCGCCCGACAACGGGCGATTCCCTGCCATGCCGCATCACACTCCATCTCCTGGATCTCGCTTGCCAACAGTGCCTGCAGTAGACAGGGCAGCAATCTCAGCGAGAGCACTGCTCACCAGCGTATCAATGTCGGCATTGACATCCGAGATCTGGCCGCTTTCGTCGCGTCGTCCCTGCAATAGGGCAATCATGAAGCGCCGAAAGTCGCCGCTGAGCTCGGAATGCACGGCCTGCTCGAGCTCCTTATGGAAGATTGCTTGGTAGGCCTGTCGGATGACCTGCAGTTCGTAATTGGACCGGCCCGCCAGTATCTGAGAGACGATGATGGCAGGAGCCACTCGTGAGCCAAAGGAATCAGATCATCCTGCCCTCTGAGGGCATGATGATGATGCCCGGACTGGACAATCGCAAAGGGTCATCTCCCCTCCCTCCCTCGTTCTTCAGAGTCGCCCGCAGTTGGATGCTCACCTCGACCAGCAGCTTTTCATTCGTCCCCATTCCGCGCTGGAAATGAGAGCAGAGAGAGTCAGCCAACAAGATCCAGCTTCTAATATGCGGCGCTGTGGTGGTATTGCCTGCTGCCGTGCTCATGGCCCCCCATGTTTCGATCGCCTGTTGGACAGAGGACTGTACCATCGCCTTTTCCAGACACAGAGCTTCGTATTCTGGCAAGGGCGTTGCCAAAGCCTCGCAGGTAGCGCCGAACTTGAAGCTGGTTTCCTTGCGGATTTGCTCCGCGAGACTGACACCGAATGTGCCCTTATAGGCCTGTGAGATTTGAATCATCTGGGCCGGCGAATATCTGGTCAAGATCGCGATGAGGGCGTGCTCATCTGCAGGTCAAGCGTCGCGGAGAGAGGGGGAGTAGAAAGTCAGTACTCTTGGTCATGGGCGCGAGGCAGAAATGATGAGGCGAACTTGTCGCTCCTGCCCCAACCCTTGACCATCCGCTTCATCCGACCGTGCAATGAGCAAGCTAGTGCTACAAGCAAACCTACCGGTTCCCAGCCCACGCATAGCGCCTCGTAACTGATCAACGGCCATCGACATTTCTTGAGGCGAAAGCGACACTTGATGTCCAGATACAGGCAAAGGAGCGCCATAGGGCGGTTGGCTAATCGGGGGTGGTGCATACTGCTGCCCAGGAGGCGACGGCATAGGATACGGCTGCCCAGGAGGTGACGGCATAGGATATGGCTGCCCAGGAGGTGACGGCATAGGATATGGCTGCCCAGGAGGAGCAGAATAGGCCGGAGCATATTGTTGTCCAGGAGCAGATGGCCCTGGATAGGGTAACCCAGGTGGAGGAGCATAGTATTGCCCAGGTGGAGGAGCATACGGTTGCCCGGGTGGAGGGGCATACGATTGCCCAGGTGGAGGGGCATAGTACTGTCCAGGAGGTGCAGGATATGGCTGTCCAGGGGGTGGGGCACCATAACCATAGTTCGAGTTCCCAGGGTAGCCAGCCATCGCGGTGTCGGATGCTCTATCCACGAGTGAATGCGATGAGGTGAGCGGATAGTCCGAGGGGTGGGTTGAGCGAGGGCAAAGGTGACGGTGGAGGTGGTTATCGAGCCGGAGGAGAATCCGCAAGTGACGTCATCCCCCCCTTGCAAGGCTCTCGGACGACCGAGAAACAAAATGACGTGGCTCGCCACTGAAATGTCATTCAATCAGCGAGGAATCTGAGTCAAGGTGACGAGAACGGAGCAGAGAAGCATGGTCGTGAACATACTCGGTGTATATTTTGGCCCCTTCCCATCCATCAAATGGCCTTGACGACAGGAATATGCAAACAAAAACAAGCAAAAAAAAAAAAAAAAGAAAAGAGGGGGGGAGACCCGAGCCTCCAGAATACAAGGTTACAAAAATTACTGATAGCGAAGGGAGCTGCCGATGATGGCGATCCAAGTGGTGAGGAACCACACATGTGTGAGCGCAGCGGCAGTGAGGGGCAGCACCAAGAAAATGGCCATGCCCGTAAGGTTGCAGGAGTGCCTCAATGCTGTCCACGAGAAGTTCCAGCACTAGGCTGCGCTGGGCCCTGGACACTGCTCCGACCAGGCCGAGCAGCCCCATGTCCACCCCCAAGCCGACAACGGTCGCGCTCGATGACGATGGATCCGCGCAAGGGAGCGTTGCTCGAGGAAACTGCCGACTGCCACCGGCACATTCAGAAAAAGTGGAATCAGAGACGGAGTACGCACTGCAAGACGGTGAGCCCAGAGGCTACACCAATATCGCCAGTGCTGGTTCCTGGCCCGTTCTTGCCACAGCACATGTCGACATCAGGATTGTCAAAACGGTTCGCCGCGCATGTCGTAGGAGGTGCCGGTCATGTCCACAGACGTGCTCATGACTCGAGACCCCGTCCCCATATCGTACGATGTTCCCGTCATCATATCGACCGAGAACGACTCGCCACCGGTCGGAGAAAGCATCGACGACGCCGGGTTCTTGATGTTGAGGACTCCGCTAGACACGCCCTTGAACTGCGGGACGTTGAACAGCGTGTCGCTATGATCGGACGACAGCGAGTTGATAAACTCGTCGTTTGCCACCGAGTGGCTTTCTGAGCCGTGGTCTTCGTCCTCGTCGTCCTCGTTGACCCATTCCTGGTAGATTCCGTTGATGAAATGCCGTGATGCCTTGAGCATATAGGGATCGAACGGGAAGAAGACTTCGAGGGCCTCGGGCGCGGCCAGCTCTTGGGTGAGCGGCGTTGTGACCAATGTTGAAGGGCCGCCCACATCGCCATCTCCTGCCGGAGGGAGGCTCAAAGGATTCAGCGAGGAATCGCGATACAGCGGTTCCAGCAAAGGCGACTTTTGTTTCAGCGGCGACGCCGAGGTCGAGGTCGAGAGCGAGTTGCGGTGTGGGTTGGGACGGCCGCTCGGTCGGGACTCATTTCCAGGCTGACGCGGAATCGGCGGGGCGACGGGCGGCAGATTCTTTGGCGCCGGGCGCTCGATCAGATTGTAGCAATATAGCACATCCAGCCGGTGCGTGATCTTGGCAAACTCGCCCACGACGGCAAACGCGCAAATCTTGAGAGGATTGAACTTGGACATCACCACGCGCTGGAAGCCCATCATCTCGGCCGGTAGCTGGCCGTAAGGAATGTTGCGATCCATCGACATCAGCTCCTTCCACCGGAAGCAAAAGATGTAGACGATCGCCTGGACGACCGAGTAGAACACTGTGTAGCGGCTAACGTCGGCGTGCTTGACCTGCCACTCCATTTTGTCGACGTAGGTGTACGCCCAGCCATTCAGCATCTTGAGCATCGTCTGGACGGTGCTGGCCTCGAGGAAATTGGCGCGCGCAATGAAGCTGCCAATATAGGCCGCAGACGAAACCCGGATGATGGTGGCGCTTGAGGTATCCATCAGTCGCGAGAGCAGGTGTCCCAGGAATAGCTCTGGGAAGGCGGCATCCAGCGAGCACAGGTAGAACCAAAGGAACTGCGTGTGGCGCGACTTGTATGTTGGAAGGACCGTGCGCTCAAAGACCTCCATCATTACGTGGAAGAGATCCTGGACCACCAGTGGCTGTGACTTGTTCCGGCGGTAAAAGTCCAAAAAGTACTCAAACAGCAGCTTCAACATGCTGTCGAGCTTCTGGACCATGAGCTTGAAGTTGACGACAATCGTGGGGGCAGTGGCGTCCTCGTCATCGTCATCGTCATCGTAATTGTTCGGGCCATCTTCGTCGTCGTCATCCTCGTCGTCGTCGTCGACGTCAGGCTCGCCTGCGCCGGCTCGTCCGGCTGTGGTGGTCGGATGCAGCTCGGCAGCTTCATGATGGTCAAGTTCATCCATGGCAAAGACCATGCGCTGCACATTTTCCAGTTCCTCGTCCTCCAGATCGTCTACATCAGCTTGGATCTCGACCTAGATATGAAGCGACAGGCAGACCAAACGAGCGCTTAAGCAACGTGGCAACTTCTGCAGCCATTATTGACATTGAAGGCAGTTCGACAGATCGGCCCTCCCAGCGAGACTCGATATAAACTCCCGTGGTAGAGTTGCACTCCGCAATGTCGGCCATTCAAGTCAGCCAAAAGCAGCGGCATCTGCTACGACATGGAGTCGCAGCCATAAGCGAGCATCATGTGGGGCGGAAGCCTCCCGCCATAACCTGGGCTGCACTCACATCGATCTGAATGATCTTGTCGATCGAGATCGCCAAGATCTGGTTGCGGAGAACGGGTGCATAATCGACGATCCTGAGCAGGTTCTTCATGTACAGCTCGTGGACTTTGAGTGACTCGCTCTTGTAGGGAAAGTTCTCTTGCAGGATGGGCAGCAATTGCGAAGCGCCCGTCGGGACGAGCGCGAGAATGGATCGTATCATGTTGTGGGTGCGATCGGGAAGCGAGACGCTTGCTTCTTCAGACTCGGCGCCCTCTGCAAACGATTGGATTGCGGCGGGGTATGTGAGCGCATGGGTCTTGCTAGCTGCTCTCCTCTCCCTGTCCGCCGGATCCTGACCGGGTCCTGACCAGGTCCGCTCGATCCATCATCAACTGGAGCCCAAGGCCACCGTCGCACACTGGGACCAAGAAACTGAACTCCATACCGTAACGCAAGTGCCTGACAAGCATGCCAAGCACGGCTTTGACGATAGTGGCATCCGAGCTAACGAGGTTTTCCAGCAGCTTTCGGTAGGCAAGGACAAAGTTGTCGTTTTGGAAAGCCCAGTCCAACGAAAGGATGGCATCGACCAGGGTGTGGTTGTTCGAGTTGAGGTTGCTGATGATCTGAGAGAATGCCAGGAGAAAACGTAGGAGGATATTGGGCGGGAGCGGTGTCTGCGTCGGGGCGCGGCGGTTGATCAGATGGACCAGCTTGTTGTACTCGACAGGATCACCCTGTGGGCCAGATACGCAATCGAGGACCGAAAAGTAAAAAACCGCTGGGTAAGCAACAGTCTGGCGATGGACACAGTGCCCGAGCGCTCAGTAGCCCAAATCGCTAAATATGCAGGTGAGGGGTTGGGAGAGTCCCGGCAGTCGGCAAAGCAGCACCAGGGCCCAGACACGAAACGGTCCGATCAAGGTTAACGAAGAGTTTGGCCGAGCGGCAGAGGGATCCGATGGTCACCTTGGACTTTTTCGAGAAGATGGCGAGGAAATGGGCCGCCAGGGCATCCTCGGACTCGTTGATGTAGAACGGAAAGCTCTTGCTGTCGTTGGGCTCGGGCTTGCCAAGAGCAGAGTGCTTCTCGGGGCTGATACTCAGGTTTGCTTGGTACAGCTCCTGCAGGTTCTTGGGGCTCGAGACCAGGAGGGCCGGCGACGGGGATCGCGATGATCGAGGCATTTGGGCCGAGTTTGGAAGCATTGGCGGTGAGGTCTTGCCGCTGCGGCTGTCCAGCGATATGGAGGGCATGGAGTTGAAGCGGACCACCTTGGATCCATTGCTGGGGCCCCGGTTGGTTGCCGAAGAATCCCTCGGCTTGTTGGGTATGTTGGTGCTTTGCAGATATCGAGAAGACATGATGGAGGTGTAGTCGGAGGTGTTTGCCGAGACCATTCGTTGCCACTAAGATGGGCCGAGCTGGTGCAGCTGCGTCGAGAGATCAGGAATGGTAGTTGGCGAGGTACGCGAGAATGATTAGCTCTCGGTGGGGCAGCAACCGGTTGCAAGCAGCAAAGGCAAAGCGCAAAAAAAGCGAAGCGCCCCTCGCTGCATTATGCGGCGAGCTCGACAGCGGGCCGAGCGGGACAGCACTCGGCCGTCGCAGCAGGTTGGGTTGAATAGGGCGCCATTTATTACAAGCGGCGTTCTGGGTGCCTGCCCAATCGACGTCTCTGCCCAAGTGTATTGGTCTCCACAGCAAGCCCGTCTTGGATGATGCTCTGCTGCGCCGGCTGGCTCGTCCAAGCAGGACAGCGCGGGGCCGTATGCGCCTCAAGGTCGCAGCGGGCGACTGTGATCAAAGATGATCATAGCCGACAGAGGGAGATGCACGCCCTTCATTCTTGGGAACCGCCGAGCATGGCCCGGGCAGGGCTCGGCTGGGCTGGGCTGGGCTGGGCTGGGCTGGGCTGGGCTGGGTTGGGTTGGGCTGGGCAGGCTGAGCTGCGAGGTCTCTACAGGCCCGAAGGGCTCTGGTGGTCTCGACTGCTGTGTTTGCAGCTAGAACTCAGCTCCACCGCAGGCCACTTATAAGCACTCTGTACATGGGATGCGACCATCAAGCAGGAGCCTACCTATTTGTTTCAAGGATCCAGAAGCGAGCCCGGGAGAGGAAGACGGACGATGCGAACGCTTGCCGTCAGGAGATGCAGGGGCGCTGTTTGCGGAGACAGAGTGCAGCACACAGAGCCGGCCGTTGAGACGCAGGGCAGTCTGAGGGGGCCAGTGGTGGTGGTGGAAGGTGCCGTTCTCGTTTGCCTGGGCAGATTCGTAAGCCAGAAGGCGGCTGGGGCTGCGTTCCTCGGCAAAGCCAGCGGGAAAAAGGTCGGATCGAAAAAACAAAAACAAATCAAAAAAAAAAATCGCAAATGAAGGACAGGCGATCCAGCCGATGTGACACAAGTGTGGTTTGTGCCACAGGCGCAGCCATCCCGGATAGCTGCGTCGTGGGACCCGAGATCGCCAGGACGGGCTGGGCGGACATCATGCACTTGCCCGTCGCATGCGGCAGCGTTGCCCGGGGGCCACCAATCAAACGCCATTGTGTCGTCGATAATGGATCGACATCAACCCATTTGCTTTTTCTCCGGCATCGGCGATGGCATTCGCAAAAGCAGGGAGGGACTGGTCTTGCAGCTGGCCAACATCAGCCTTCCAAATCGCCATTACAGCAATACATCCAGCCTGTGGCTCGCTCTGGCGATAATCAAGGGCCGGCTGTGAATTCATCCGCTTTGTAACCCATCTCCTGCTCGCAAAACTGAGCGGGCACCTACCGCTCTCGGTCAAGCTTATCCTTGCGTCGCCCTTCTGATTTCTTGCTCACCCTCAGTGATGGCCGCCAAAGTCTGGATCACCGGCCGTCCGGCTCCTCCTGATCCCAAGGACGACCCGCTGTTCCCATGGAAGCCAAGGATGCCCTTCAAAAAAGGGCTGGCAACCGACATTGTCATGGGCGATGACCGCGAGTACCAGCCGCGCCAGAACAGCTCGACGTTCGCATCAGACTACAGCGCCTATCGCGGCGGCCGTCCTCTCAATATCGCTCATAAACGCGAAGCCGACCTGGTTGAGGCAGCCGGACAGCCTCTTGGCATCAACTGCACATCCAAGATGGAGCAGCACATCTCATTTGGCGATGAGCAGAAGCTGAATGCAGCCAAGTACAAGAGCGTCACATCCGACAGCTTCCAGGCCCCCGAAACCGTCGATGATCTTTCGCTCAAGCTCCTCGATATTCGTGACAAGGCCAATAGCCAGTCTGGAAGCGGTGTCGGCCCGTGGATCTCTCGTCCACAGACCTTGATGGCTGCAGCGCATGTCGGTACAAAAACCCGCGAAGACCTGCCCGTGGACAACCAGCACTTCAAGTCCTTCCTCACCACCAACCAGGAGTCGCAGCAAAATCTGCAGCTCCCCTTTATCCTTGAGCGAAACAACAACTATCATAGTTCGGAGCCCAAGGGCCGTGAGCAGTTTGGGCCCGATGTGACTCCAGCCGAAATCATATCAAGCCTGGCGGCCGAGAGCAACACCACCAAGCAAAAGCTCTGTGAGCGAAACCACAAGAGCTCCATCCCACAGGGCGACATTGAGCGCCAGGCAAACTATTCCACCGTTGCGTCGACATCGTTTAAACCACACGGACACCGACACTATCATGTCGAAAAGGCACCCCCACCAATTCCTGCAAAGTTCCTATCCGGTGATCAAGACAGCCCCAGAGATATGTATGTGACCACGAATGCCTCGCAGTATGCTAAGAAGCATGTCCGTCATCTGATGATGGATACGCGCGGCTGGAGAGGCAGAAGCAGTATCCCGTTTGGTGAGACCGAGCTGGATCGAAAGCGGACGCATCCAACCGTGACCCAGAGAGACTTTTACGAGCATCGAGATCCACCCAAGAGAGTGACATTTATGCGCGGGTGCTATGGCCGGATCATCAACGATGGCTCGGCGGAGCTCCAGCTGGAACGAGAGCGCAGACTGGGCATGGCAGGGGCCTTGAAGTCGTGCAAGACCGATGAGCCCTTCATCAGCTGCTCGCATTCACAGCTGACGAGCTGGTCCTCCGACGAGATCAAATCCACCAAAGACTCGGCAGTTGCTGGCAACGGCTCTGGCTCGGACACCATTCCAACGAGTGTCAAAGAGCACGTTGACTCGAACGAAGAGATACTCCACGGGCCCAATCAGATCAACGTGTCATCGGTTCCGACCGGTACACACCATCCCATGTCGGCCTCGTTTCAGACAACGACGCAAAACTGCTTCCAGCCCTATCCAGATGCCGAATTTCCAACATTCCCGATCCTGGGAGAGCGCATAACAAAGAGTAGCCTCGGTCTCGGTGAGCCTCTGCCGGAAGCTCTGGTGGACCTCTTGTCTCGAAATAACTTCAAAACCACCTCTGGGGATACGTACATCCACCACCGGGGTGCCCATCCTGCAACGCCGCCACCACCACGGGGAGCACTCGTGGTGGGTGAAGAGGGAGAGTACCCCATGGAAATGAACAGGACAACACAGATGGACCACTTTCAGCCCAAGCCTTATAGCTTTGAGAAGGCAAAGCCCCACCCGTCGGTGGCAAAGGGACTGATCTTTCCATTTTTCAAAAACAATACGGAGACCACCACTAATCATTACTTCCGAAAGAGGGATGGTATCGTCCAAGTTGAGCACCCAAGCCTCAAAACAGTCAAGAAAAATGCAAACAATAGCGGCATTGTGTTTGGCGATCCGAAAGTGGGGTTTTATGGTGATCCGTCCTACAGGCCGAAAAATGGAGCCAGGTAGCCGCGGCGACTGTGAGCCATTTGCTGAAGGCAAAACCCTCCCCCGAAAGCAAACATGGAAATGATTATGACGTGGAAAAGCGTTGAGTTATGGGAAGGGTTGGGCGTCGAACAGACAAGGAAGTACTGACAGTGGGTCAGGCTGATGGGCGACACGAACGAGAGTGAGATGGAGCGATGGGTGGAGGGTGGCGGATGGTTGAGGAGCACCAGGATAGGAGCATGGAGATCGGGGAATCAGCACCGGAGACGCCATGGCCAAACGCCAGTGCCAGGAACAGTGTGGAGGAACTGGTTGATTGACGGTGTGATGTGCAGGAGGTGGGTGCAAGTGGGTGGGTCCAGGTCGGGCAAAAAGGAGCAACAGAGACAGAGTCGCTTTGGCGGAGTGGTTAACGCGGTGCCCTGCTAAGGCATTGTCCTTTGGACGCGCAGGTTCGAATCCTGCAGGCGACGAGAATGATTGTATTTTGCAAGTTGTGATGTTGCGAGGTGCCAGTGTTTTGCTGCCCCGCCGCTCCATTCGTCACTGTCCACATATCACTCTTCACATGTGATTGATCGCATATTGCTCTCGCTGCACTTTCAAATGAGCTCAACCGCTGCTACTCGTGACCTGTCATATCATATTTTGTAATTGAGAGGCGCCCACCATACCAAGGCACAGTGCCCTCGATTTTTGGGCTCAATTCATATGTCTGGCAACTTCGTTTGATTGAAACAGTTCACTGTGTCCCTGGCCTTCTCTCTCATCAGTAATTGCCCTTAATTCCAGGAACTCAGACTTGTATCCATTTGATCGATCTCATTCGGTGACTATCAATCGGTATACCGTGGACATCTTCCGCGAAGCATTGATGTCGTCATGCGGGAACATGGCACATACACTCGACTCGTGGAACCGCTCCGAACAAACTGTGGTTACCTGGCGGCAAGAGAGTCGAATGAATTTAACCGATGAGATCATTCAAAGAAACGTGGATGAGATATAGTGTATGCACAAGTGACTCTCGGGGTGATTCTTTGCTGTCTCCCAGCACAACACCTCGCCCCGGCGACTCGGACAAGTCGGACACTGTCGAGTCCTCCACCTCCCTCATGGCGCTTCATCTCTTTGATGCCATTCATGGATTGGAGCGGATTGGAGTGGATTGGAGTGGATTCAGACAACTGTCCCAGACCTCACTCCCCATGTCCACCGGCTTGACTGCCCATCAATTCTCTGTTGTCATTGAATCCCATTCTTCTGTCGATTTGTGTTGCCCAGCACACATCTGTCGCTGCACAGGAATATTGTTCTGGCTGGGTGACACCTGCCCCGAAACAGCAGATTTGTGTGATGACGGTATCCTAAGCCACACCCCGTGGACGGTATCAGCGAGGAAGCAGCACATCGCCCCTCAAATACCCCGCTGTTGTCGTTCCTGCTCTTCATCATCATCTCGCTTCTTCCATCCGCCTCAGCCTGTCTCCTATCTGCAACCACCACTCACTCGCGGCCTGACTCCATCCCTCCTTTCCGCCATGCCGGCTTCAGCACAAACGATGGCAGAATCATCCCTGGTCCACGAAGTCCTCGTTCGTTTCGACTTGCTCACCATCCTGATCACAAATCAAACCTTCATTCGCGCTGTGAGCCCATCATTGCTTGGAAAGCTTCTGAGAGTCTCGAAGCAGACTCGGGCCATCCTCGATACCGAAGAGGTACGGGAACGGTTGCTATTCCCTAAATTGCAAATCACACCCGAATTCCTGTTCGAGGGTGTCGATCCCTCTATCGATCGGTTGAAAGTGGCCCAAGGGCTCCTTTGCTATGCGCTTCGCCAGAATCAGCATATGCCAACAAGCTCATCGATGCTGGAATGGGAAGACGAACTCTGGATCGAAGTCTATCGAGACAGACGGCTGTTCAAGCGAGTGCAGCGATACTGCCAGGTGACTGATCCAGAGTTCCACTTCCCCGAGAGTGCAAGACCAAACAGTTCCAAGCAGCCATCCGTCGAGGAGAAGATCACCATCGCTGAAAGTCAAGACTTTCGCTTCCAGTGGCCGATAGGGATCGAGCCATTGAGTATCACGATTCGACCCAACGAGAGGATAGACAGAAATACCTATGTTTCCAAACTTTTTCCATACATTCCTGAGAGCAACATAGCAACGGAATATAACCTAAGAATCGAGGATGTGTCATTTCTGGATGTGTCCGGATGGCCCAAGGTACTCTCCAATACTTCAAAACTGACGATCGTGCATAGAGACTGGAATCAAGTGGCCGATCCACTAATCAGCTTGGAAGGCATGCCGAAGGTCCTGCCCTTGCTTACAAGACTCGATATGAGTGAATGCACTGAACTCAGGTCGCTCAAGGGAATGCCTAAGATGCCCAAGCTGGAGACACTCCAGCTCCCAAAGTCCATCGAGTCCCTTGAAGGCATGCCGGAGGTGCTGCCTCTGCTTACGATACTTGACCTGCCTGGACAGAGTCGACTAACATCGCTCAAGGGAATGTCTCAGATGCCAAAGCTGAAGACCCTTCAGCTCTTCAAGTTCATCGAATCCCTTGAAGGCATGCCCAAGGAACTGCCTTCTCTTACGGCGCTCAACCTGAGTGAATGTATTGAACTCAAGTCGCTCAAGGGAATGCCTAAGATGCCCAAGCTGGAGACACTCCAGCTCCCCAAGTCCATCGAGTCCCTTGAAGGCATGCCGGAGGTGCTGCCTCTGCTTACGGCGCTCAACCTGAGTGAATGTATTGAACTCAAGTCGCTCAAGGGAATGCCTAAGATGCCCAAGCTGGAGACACTCCAGCTCCCCAAGTCCATCGAGTCCCTTGAAGGCATGCCGGAGGTGCTGCCTCTGCTTACGATACTTGACCTGCCTGGACAGAGTCGACTAACATCGCTCAAGGGAATGTCTCAGATGCCAAAGCTGCAGACCCTTCAGCTCTTCAAGTTCATCGAATCCCTTGAAGGCATGCCCAAGGAACTGCCTTCTCTTACGGCGCTCAACCTGAGTAAATGTATTGAACTCAAGTCGCTCAAGGGAATGCCTAAGATGCCCAAGCTGGAGACACTCCAGCTCCCCAAGTCCATCGAGTCCCTTGAAGGCATGCCGGAGGTGCTTCCCCACCTTTCGTGGTTCGGCCTGAGTAGATGCAGCCAACTATCCTCGCTCAAGGGAATGCCTGAGATGCCCAAGCTGGAGACTCTTCAGCTCCCCAAGTTCATTGAGTCCCTTGAAGGCATGCCGGAGGTGCTACCCCACCTTTCATGGTTGGGCCTGAGTAGATGCAGCCAACTGGCCTCGCTCAAGGGAATGTCGGAGATTTCAAAGTTGGAGACACTTCAGCTCCCGCCCTCTATCGAGTCCCTTGAAGACTTGCCAAAGAAGGTGCTCATACTTAAAACGCTCAACCTGAGTGGGTGCATTCGACTGAGATCGTTCGAGGAAATATCGATGATGCCGCAGTTGCAGACTCTCCAACTCCCCAATTCTACAGCGTCCCTTGAAGACATGCCGAAGCCGTTTCCTTTGCTTACACAGCTCGACCTGAGCGTATGCAGCCAACTAAAATCATTAAATGGAATGCCTGAGATGCCAAATTTGGAGACTCTTCAGCTCCCACCGTGTATCGAGTCCCTGGAGAGCATGCCGAAAGAGCTGCCTGTGCTTACAAAGCTCAGTCTGGGTGGATGCAGCGAACTGAAATCGCTCAAGGGAATGCCTGAGATGCCAAAGCTGCAGACTCTTCGACTCCCCAAGTCCATCAAATCCCTTGAAGGCATGCCCAAGGAATTGCCTTCTCTTACGGCGCTCAACCTGAGTGGGTGCATTCGACTGAAGTCGCTCAAGGGAACGCCCGAGATGCCCAAGTTAGTGGTATTTCGGCTCCCAAAGTCCATAGAGTCCCTTGAAGGCATGCCCAAGGAGTTACCTCTGCTTACGATGCTTGACCTGACTGAACAGAGTCTACTGACGTCGCTCAAGGGAATGTCTCAGATGCCAAAGCTGAAGACCACTCGACGGCTCAGGGTTATCGACTCCCTGGAAGGCTTGCCGAAGGAGCTTCCCTTGGTCATATGGGTCAACCTGAACTCATCCATTCGACTGACTTCGCTCCATGGACTGTCAACGGTGCCAATGCTGCTCGAACTTGACATTTCAGCCGACGTCGAGACCTTCGTAGATATCCCCGAGGAGTTTCCATCTCTCACCAAGCTCACGATCTCCTCGCACATGCCTCACAACCTCTTGACCCAACTCCCAAGGATGCCAAAGCTTGATCATCTCGTTCTCTCAAGTCAATTTGTGAGCCTGGCCGATCTGCGTGTGAATCAATGCTCCCTCACAATTCTTGACTTGTATGGTTGCTGCGAATTGAAGTCGCTGGATGACATTCCCCCGTATCCCAAGCTCGAGATTCTTTACGCCCCTCGATCGATTCACAGAATCAGCGGACTGGTCGACAAGCTTCCCTCTCTCAAGACACTGCACTTGGATTCAAGTATGAGGCCATCTAATCGTTCTTTATTGGATGGCATATTTGGCCGAGATGCTGGCTATTTCAGACTTCGAAAGATAATATCAGGACTACCGAAAGGCTGTCGTGTTGTGTTCAGCGATTCGTTCGAGTATACCTTTGGCTGATCTCTCAGCTAGCTCGGCATGGAGTTGTTCAACGTCATGTGTTTCTTTCTTTGGATTGTATCGTCAATCGCCGCCATTTTCTCGAGTCAAGACTACAGATCACAGCGAGGGACTGTCAGGGACACACTATCCCGCTTCGCCCCGAACTGGTTCAAGGTGGTCTCCGACGCCCCATCTGCGAAATGCGAAACTCGATGGCGAGCCATGGGATTGCTTCCGTCTTGGCTGGCAGTCCCGTGGTCTGGTTGACTCCATGAGCACAGCCTTGAATACATCCTGTGGCGACGATCGATTGGCACATCGTGGTCATGTTCCCGAGAGACCGCATGTATTTGACTCTTTGAATAGCTCCATACAGAGTGCAGCTCTCCAACATCAAGAGAGTTGCTCGACCTTCAGGCACTCTGGGCACATTGCTTGGCCATGGCAGCGGTGAGCTGGTGTATTCAGGGCCCGGAAATTAACAACGACTGAAATCAGGGTGACCGCTTCGTTATGGACGCGCGATATGCTTCCCAGGCACTGTCAGCTTCCCGCTTGCTCATTCGTGCCATGGATGAGCCCTGGAAGAACTCTGGAAGATTGAGACAGTGCGTCTTGAGGCTTAATGCGCTTATTGAGGGCCATGACGGGGTAGCCGCTGTGATGGGACATGCGTGTATTCACGAACCAGAAGAAAGGGTGGGGAGTGGGAGGGGAGAGAGAAGAGGAGCACCCATCCGCAAACACAAAAGAGTCATAAAGGAGTTTGGGGGATGGCCTGCTTCATTTGGGACAAGATCTAAAGGGAGAGACATGGGCAACGAGGACAGGAGGCGAGCACAGCACAGACGGCGATGCGTGCATTGGATGCGCGGGGAAAGGAGCGGCAAGGGGCTCCCGACAAAGCAAGACAGCCAAGTGTGACAGGGGTGTGCTTCGTTCATTCATCGTTGGCCAGGATCTTTTCGGCGACAATGTAGGTCGACGATCGGTTGGGGATGGCCCGCGATATCACCGAAACAGTAGCAGGAATGTTCATGAGGAACATGGCGGCGATCGGCATCGAAACGATTTCGGCAGCGAGATGCGACCAGGTGCGCTGTTGCTCTTTGCGCTCCTTCTTGAAGTGCTCTCGATCGACGGCGATGTGGAAGGGGTGGTAGTAGATCGCACAGGTGAGCAAGGGCAGTCCGGCCACGATGGTGAGCATCTTGGCGATCAGCATCACGTTTCCATAGAAAGGATCGTTGTCGAAGAGGTGGGGTCTCAGCAGATCAAAGAGCAGGGTGCCCAGAGGCATCACCCAGCCGGTCGTGCAGGGGAAGATGAAAGCTTCCATGATGAGGAGCGTCGCCAAGATGCGTTCGAGCCAGGTCGAGAACCGGACAGCGGGAGACGTCCGCGCAAGGTGGCGCAAGCAGTAAGCCACTTCGGCCGAGCCAGAGTAGTGACGCTTGGCCTGGACGTATCGCGCTTTGATGTTGGAGAGATATCCGGGGGTTGAGACATTGACTTGGTTGATGGGCACGTAGATGGGGACAGCCTTGGCATTGGCTTTGAAGAAGCACTTGAGCATCCTGCAGAGCACGCATCCATGAGTCAGTCACCGCAAATCCATGAGGGTGCGGTGGGCCGCCGTTGGCTGAGGCAGCAATCAAAGCGGGCTGGGCTCTGGGCTCTCGATAGCTGCCCCGGCTATCGAGATACAATCGGCTCCCTGACAGACAAATCAAGTAAGGGCGGTGGCGTCGCCGATCAAGGCACTCACATATGCATATCTTCACCAATCGAGGCTGCATCGGTGTCCCAGTAGTTCACTTTGTCGGCCAGGATCTGTTTGAAGAACGATCAGTTGCGTGCGGTGAGGATCGTATCTGGGCTTGTACCAGAATCGCGCAGCCGAGATGAGGCTCCAAGCAATGGCAACACCAGCGATCGCATCGGACTTACCATGCTAAGGGAGTAATTGGAGCAGGGAAAGAGGATGCCAAAGGGGTTCGAGAGCTGCTGCGAGTGCATGATGCTCCAAAAGTTGTCGACGATGCGGACAGGGACAGGGACGCTGAGAGAATTGCGGGAAAAGATGATGGAGGGGCAGTACAGGGTGCTGTATGGATCCGCAGCTTCGCTGAAGGCCTTCTCGACAGAGTGGATGTAGAGTTCGGGGATGACGGAATCCGCATCCTGGATCGTCAGCAAAAGCTGCTTGATTTGGTAGCCCTTGACCGAGAGGAGGGTGTTGGCCCGACGCACAGCAAAGTTGACTGGGGTTCGAACGACAGGGAAAGCAGCGTTAGCAGCGGGGTCTAGACCACAACAAATCACGACAGATGATCGATAGAGCCAAAGATATTCGATCCAAGGGGGTAGCGGGTGAGCGCCCTCCCAAAGGCCGAAAGCCAAAGGGCAGTCAGGGATGGGTGGGCAGAAGAAGGTGAGGAGTATCATATGCCCAGTGGCGGGGTTGAACGCAGGATCCGCAGGATTTACAAACAGGACCTCGATCTGTCTCCATAAAGCGATCAAAGCATATATCCCTCTTCCATTCAGGGGGCCAGAAGACGGCTCCGTATGCAGCGATAAAGGTGAAGAGGCTGGGCAAAGCAACTGTACCGTTGGAGGCCTTGCCGCGGGCTTCGCCAGGAATGCCGGCGGGATGCACCGAGACAATCATATCCAAAAAGTCCTTCTTGAACTCCTCGACGAGGCTCTGGCCCTTGGCCTCGGATCCGTTTTCAGAGGCTTCCATGGCAAGGACGATGATGTAATTGGTTTTGGCTTGGCGATGGCTGGCTAGTCGCCCGATGGTCTTTTGGAGCAGGGAGTAGGGCTCGGAGTAATTGGGGATGACAAAGACGTGGGTGTGTCCGCTGCCGGACTTTGCGGACAGGGAGCCCGAGAGCGTGGGCTCGGCAGCATCGACAGAAGAGTAGTAGGCATGGATGTTCTGGATCATACGCTGGGCGGTGAGTCTATACTTGACGACGTGGGTCATGCCGAGGGCCAGGAAGAGCGAGAGGTAGACCGCCAGGAAGATCAGATAGGCCTTGGGGAAATAGAGAGGGCCCAGAAACAGCGATAGGATCACAGAGACACACACACCCGGTGCAAACAGGTCGTATCCGTCGATCATGGCTGCGACTGGGGGAGGGGCTTGATAGTACGGTTGAGTGTGCGGACGGATGGGAGCGAGCAGGACTCAGCGGAGGCGGACAAGCCGGGCTGGAATCGATCGGGGGCAAGTGAAGTGGAGGATTGCGACCGGTTGTGGATCAAGGGCACAAATCCAGCCTGGGAGTTGGACAGACGATGGCCAAGAAGGACTGACAAAAAGCAGCAGGCGGCGAATCCAGAGGACCAGGGCGAGATGCAGAGATGGGCGGGCAGGTGGCTCGGCCGGCTGGCTGGCGAGGCGACAGGGCGCAGAGGGAAACAGGCGCTGGAGTGGGAGAGAGCAGAGCGAGCTGGTCACGGACGAGACAGCGATGACGGGAACGGAACCCCCTGGTGCTCGTGGAGTGTACTTGATCGGCACCAGAGTCGCAGACGATCAGGTCCAAGCAGGTCAGAGCGGGGCGAGGGGAGGGCGAGCAACGAACGGTTTGATATTTGGATGGCGACGCAGCCTTGATTCGCCGACACGGGCGCGCAGCCCAAGGCGACATGCACAGAAGGACCGCATTTTTTTTCTCGTCGTGGGGCCAAGAAGGGATCAGCGGCGATCCGAAACAGCCCGCCACGTCGCAGACGGCATGCATGCGAATGGTTGAATTGGGGGGGGGGTCGCTGGGCGCTGTGGGGATGCATCGAGTGTCTGGAATGAGCAAGACGGCTGGAATGGCCAGGACGTTGTAAAACCAAAGGCTTTAACACCAGAGCGGCCGAATGAGTGTCTCGGCGGGCATGAAACGTCATCCCGAAAGCTGCATTCCCGGGAATTGCCGGAGGGCTCGGCGGAAACGACGCAGCGCAGATGCAGCGCAGATGCAGCGCAGATGCAGCGCAGATGCATGCCTGGTAATCGTGCGCCTCCTACCGTCCAGGCCCAGCCCGTCCTCGGCGCCAAGGCCCGCGACGATGCCAACCAAATAGATCCCGTCTGTGATGGCATCTGAGCGCACTCGATAGAATCCGATGGCGTTTGAAAGTATCCGATGGCATCGGATGCACCATGCCATGCAGGACCCGGCGCTGGCGGCGCTCTTGCGGGACTGCAGCCCGCCATGTTCGGTCGACACACGGCCCCAACATGCAGCCCCCGCCGTGCTCGGTCCCGACACGCAACCCCGATCCCCCGCCTCGATCTCGACAAACCGGCTCGGCCCACCATCTCGACAGACGATCTCGACAACCATCTCGACGCGTTGATGTGCACAGCGGCACTCCGCGGCACAGGGACACACGCTCTCCAAACCAGGAGCACTCTGCACACGGCACTGCTGGCTGGACGCGCCCAAAGCCGGCGTTTCCAAATCCGGAGAGCGTGTTGCACAGAAGCGCATCCGTGTCGCGCGGCGCCTCGGCCGTCGCCGGTTTTGGAAAGCCGCGGGCAACAGCACCCGCCACAGCAACAACGGTCTCCCACAGCCACAGTGCGTGCCACAGCCACCCACCCGCCACAGCGACAGTGGCCCTTCGTCTGCTGCTGCTGCTGCTTTCTGCTTTCTGCTGTTCCTGTTCGCTGCCATTGGTGCGCGCCCAAGCCCTTGAGTCTCTGTGCCGCCCTCTCGCGCGCTTCTCGCCACCTTCTCGGCGGTGGCCTGGCTGGCTCTCGCTGGCCCTCGTCTCGCCGCCTGCTCTCGCTCTTCGCCTTTTCGCTGCCCGCCAAACTCGCCTGCTCGCCGAGGCCCGTTCTGGAGTTGTCTTCATCCGCTCCTGCCGCTCCTCTGACCAGCCGCAACGGGGAAACCGTCCATGTCATCGAAAGCCAACAACATGGTAGCTACACATCGCTTGCACTTTGGGTCCTGCCAACCCTGTCGTGGGCTTGGGCAAAGTGCCAGCAACCGACTGAGCAAGACAACCAGCCCGCCCCAGGCCAAACCTGCTGGGCTCGGCTCGGCTCGGTTCAGTTCAGCTCAGCGCCTGGCTGTGTGGCTTCGAGCCGCCCTTCGCATCGATGATCGTCATTGCCTCACCATACATTATTTGCTCGCCAGTCTCCCGCTATCCGTCGAAAGGCCGTCAAGAAGGGCTTGCAGTTCACCATCATGATCGTTGGTCTGTATGCCATGATGTCGAGTTGGATCAATCGTCCCCCCCCCCACTCTGCTTGAGCCCTTCTGAGACCGCCAGCTCCTCCAGCCCTTTCCCCCCCTCCTGTTGCAGGAGCGATGCTCCTGTCTCGTTCACGACTAACCGCACCACACCCGCACAAAACCTTCTGCCTCTGGCTGACCTGATGTTCAGGCTGCTCCGGTCTCGGAAAGTCCACCTTCATCAACACCCTCTGCGAATCGCCCGTCTTCCAGAAGAAGGACAACTCCTTCCCCGACAAAGCCGCCATCGAGAAGACCTTGAGCATCACCCCCGTCACCGTCGGTATGTAGTTCGACACTAACGACAAAGGCCCGACACTGCACCGTGCCTCGAGTGGAGCGTCGGTTGCCGCAACAGACACGGATCCTCCTGATCGCCCAATGACCTCGATGTGAATCCAAAATGAAACACAGATATGGAGGAGGATGGCCTGAAGCTCTCGCTGACTGTCGTTGACACTCCTGGCTTTGGTGACAACATTGACAACGAGACCAGGTAAGCTGCGGTCGTCAACCAGGCCGAAATCCAGGGCAGGTCGCCAGACCAGCCGTCTCGACTACGACTGCTGATGCATGTCCAAAGGTCCCAACCCCAAGCGATGGAGCGCCGGCGCGAGGACGAGATATGATCCGTCACACTAATACGCATCTGTCGCATGCAGCTTCGATGGTATCCTGAACTACATCGAGCAGCAGTACGATACCATCCTGGCTGAGGAGTCTCGTATTAAGCGTAACCCCAAGTTCCAAGGTAAGATGTCATTCAGGCCCAGCCGCTCTGTCCGTCTCTCTAGGGCGCCCGATGCACGCATGCTAATCGACTGTATTCGTCTGCTCGCGCCCACAGACAACCGTGTCCATGCCGTCCTCTACTTCATCACCCCCACTGGCCACGGGTAAAACCATCCTTGCAATCGGCCCGAGCGTGCGCAATCTGTCGTTTCCTGCAACAGGGTCCGGATTGATCCTCGGGGCTGACATTGACGCTCTATCTCCCGTGAAATCGTAGTCTGCGCCAACTCGACATTGAGTTCATGCGACGCCTTGCTCCCCGAGTCAACATCATCCCTGTTGTTGCAAAGTCCGACTCTCTGGCACCGACGGAGCTGGCCATCTTCAAGAAGCGGGTCATGGAGGACATTACTCACTACCAGATCCCCATCTACAACTTCCCTTATGACGAGGAGGAAGATGACGACGAGACCATCGAGGAGAACAACGAATTGCGAGAGCTGCTCCCTTTCGCCGTCATTGGCTCCGAAGATGAGATCCAAATCAACGGCCGACGCGTTCGCTGCCGTCAGTACCCCTGGGGTGTTGTCGAGGTCGACAACTCGAGACACTGCGATTTTTCGAAGTTGCGCTACATGCTCTTGAGGTGAGGGCAGCTTCAACTTCGAGCGGATATGCGGCAGTGACGGGCTGCCCAGTCCGATGAGGAGACGCAGACAATCAACTGCCGCCACAGTTCCCACGAGTTCACCAGAGGACCTTTCTTTGGTGACCACTCAGTTGATAGAGTTCGTGGCCGCATGTACTGACATCCCCGATCTACCACAGCTCCCATCTCCAGGACCTGAAGGAGATCACCGAGTCGATTCTTTACGAACAGTACCGTACCGAGAAGCTCTCCCGCGACGGCCAGTACGACGAGGAAGAGGAAGAGGCGGATGAGGAATAAACAAGCCGTCGAGGAGAATAAAAGTACACGATCTGTTATCTTTGCACTGGATACAGCAACCGAACACCGCTTTTGGAGCTCACCTCTGCCTTCTCAGCCACCTCGCTTCCTTCTTTTCATCCAACTCTTTTCTTTCCACTTCCAATCCCCGCCCTCCTTCTTCCGTATCCATCGTGCTATTTTTTTTTTATTTTTCATTCTATTTTTCTTCGTGATTTTTACATCTCTACTCTCAATGGCTTGGCATGCTTCTTGATCACAACGATTGTTGCTGGAAATCCAAGCCGAAGCCTAATCCGTTCTGTCAGTTTGACGCGCTCGGTTGTTTAGGACTGTACGACCCGTCCTGCAATTGTGTCTGTCTCTCCCCCCTCCCCTCCGTTCCTCCACCCTCCCAACAACCAACCACAACCACAACCACAACAGCCTCCGATTTCCTCCATGCGCTTTGTCCGTATGTGCCTTCGCTTTTTCTTCTTTTTTTTTTCTATTTCGTTTTGTTCTTTTTTAGAGCACGCGGGGGGCGGGCGGGTAACCCTGGGGTTTTTGAGGACATGAGCAACCTAAATTTCTTCATTCTTTCTATCTTGTTCTGGTACCTAAATATACATGACTTTTGCAACGGCCCTGGATGCATCTTGGCTCCCTCCTCCCCCTTCCGTTCAAGTTCAGCAGACAACACTGTGGGAGCAGCTTGGCTGAGATGCCGCTCGGTGACTGGATTGATGCGTGCTCACTGGGGAGTGTCACATGGCGTGCGACGAATGGCAAGTGCAGCGAGAGCGATATGTGATCAATGATATATCATTAATGATATGTGGAGAGCGACGAATGGAATGGCGGGGCAGCAAAACACTGGCACCTCGCAACATCACAACTTGCAAAATACAATCATTCTCGTCGCCTGCAGGATTCGAACCTGCGCGTCCAAAGGACAATGCCTTAGCAGGGCACCGCGTTAACCACTCCGCCAAAGCGACTCTGTTTCTGTTGCTCCTTTTTGCCTCAGCTGCACCCACCCACTTGAACCCACATCCTGCACATCACACCGTCAATCAACCAGTTCCTCCACGCCCACGGCGATTGGAACGGCGGTGAGTCCTTCACATCAACTACTGCCTGTTGTTTTTGGGGTGCACTGCAATTATCCGTCTGGTCAATTTCCTGTGGCGACGATCGACTGGAATTGATGTTGCGGTGCTGGAATGTGGTGAATGGATTGGGCCGCCTGGGCAGCTTCGCTCAAAGGGCGGTTTCTTGGCACCAAGAGGGTCGAGTTGAGAGAGTCCCTCTGTCTCTAGTCTCCTGGTTCACACCTTTTGATCATGACGGGCGATAGATGGAGTATATTCAGGATCCAGAAAGAACCGACAACTCTGACTCAGAACAGTGTGTCTCGTCGGTTTTACTTTGGGCTCGCCGTAAATGTTCGACCGATCCGCTTTCGGGCGATATCGTTGCAATGAGACATCGGCACAGCTCCAAATCGCTACGATGCGAATGTAATCAGTTGTATCTTGCATCGTATGGGTCTCGGGATTCGGCCCCATGTGGTCGGATCCGTTGGTTCGAGTAGGACTGAGCGACACTCTCGGCGTCGTTTCTGGAATCGAATCGAATCGAATCGAATCGAGTCGACATCAACATATCAGTCAGCTTTTGCGCATATGTTCTCGCTGCTTTAGCGGCCGCTTTCCGAATCAGCCGCTTCTGTCCCGTGTCCCTTGTTGACCGCATCGCTGCCGAGGTGGCGTTTGCTCACTGAGCTTGTACTTACATGATCATCAGCGCCGTTTCCTCAGGTGTCATGTATGGGTCGTATCTAAACCGAAGCGGCACTGTGCTTTTGGTGTTGAGACAAATGACGAAAACGGTCGGCGGGTAGTTTTCCGAGGGAAAGTTTTGATGGACTTTGACTGCGCTCACCAAAGTGCATTCGTTGGGGTGTGGTCGAGAGTGTCGCCGCCAGCCATTCAAACGTGAGCCGGTAGTTGTAAAGAAAAATGTGTCAGTTATGTGTTGCCGAACCAATGCTTCAACGCTGACGGTCAGCAGAGATCGCCTCACACACATCCTCACACGTAATTTCGTGCACAGCGACATACCATTCACAATAAAAAGGAAAGTCCTTCTTCGGATCCGATAGGATGACTCCGTCGTATATTCTGGGTCTTTTACAATTCGCAGCTTGTATGCCAGATAGGTAAAATTCTTTTCATCAAACTCCAAAATATGTCTGAGTTGTGTCCAGCGACAATCGGTAGAATTCATCAGTTCTCCGGCGGCGATGCATGCTCAGTGTCTTCTCTCCTCTCCTCTCCCTGCGCCTCATCCGACACACCATAGCTCGCTCCGGCCATCGCTCGGGAATCCGGCCGTGGACACTTACGCTGCCATGCGCTGGGAGATGGTCGTGATAAGGTTTCGTCTGGAAGTGAAGCGATCGGAAACTTCGCCGTTCTTTCGTGAAGCTCGCTTTTCGATGCTTTCGCAGTACAGCCCTATGCTCTCTGACGCTGCCCTGAACTCAGGAAGCTGTAGAGTCGGTGGGCAAAGTGCGATTAGAGTCAGATGAGATAGAGCGACGACACAAGGCTGGTTTGGTCAAAGAAATCACCTATCGACCGCAATGATGAAGTGGTGACAATGCCTCCGTACAAATACCGCCACTAAACAACAAAACTGACCCTGAATGGCTTTCCGGGGGCATCGCTCGGCTCGTTTGTCGATACATCGACGTGGATGGAATCCGTGCGAGTGTTCACCGAATAATCGACAGTGAGGTTGACTTGAGCAAACAAACACCAGCCGCAACGTGAGGGCATATGAGCTTATGAACACTCGACAGTAGCTTAGCAGATACTAGGCGCAGCCGTCCAACCTCTCAACCCGGCGCTGCTGCAACAAGACTGCACAATTGCTTACATAGCGGAGTCTTGATTCCATTCTCGATAGTGAAGAGAGGGACGATAAACTGGACCTTAACGAGAGGGGGTTGAGACGATTTCGATAATGAGCCCGATGGCCTTGACCGTAGCGAGGAAAATGCCGGGGGAGGGCACGGGCAGCCCTGTCGCAGCCATGTCGCAGCCATGTCGCAGTGAGATGCTGGCAGCAGCGGCTTCCCCTGCGCCGAAAGACCTACCACCACAAGAGGTTCCTCCCGGAGTTTGACAAAGGAATAGAATTGCTGTTGGGGTCGTGGGCACAGTATTAGTGTCCATGTCAAGATGTCTCCGTCAGTGCTGAACTTAGTCCCCATATCGTCGTGCCGGTGCTTCGTCCCGCTACCCAAAGCTGGCACGCAAAGTAGCCCTTCCAGCCCCGGTGTCGTTTGGTATGCGGGTTTGTGCTTCAGTCAAGCACACTTACTCTATTCGCCAGCATGTCGGCTTGAATTTGAATTCTTTGGATCCCCAGAAGTCTGACCTGATCGGCTTGCAGCGTCTGCGAGAGCGGATCCATTTTCCTGTCAGGCGATGCTGTTCGTATGGACCTTCCAGGCGACCGTCATCCTCATCTCCCTCGCGAGGCACTCACCAGGAACTTTTCGATCAGCTCGTTGACCAGGTCGCTCAGGGCGTTTTTGTCGGTGGCATTCCAGTTCACAAGCGAATGGATGTCCTCCAGCACAAGCGGCAGGTTGTCCGACAGGATGATGTCGGGCGGAAAGTTCAGCTCCAGAGGATCAAAGATGAATTGACCTGGGGAGTCAACCGAGCGATGGGTTGAGTCGGATAGGGCAAACAACGTTAGCGGTGGCCGCCATAGCCTCGATATCTGTTCTCTCAATCGATGCCGGTGGCTCCAGATAGGCACCAAATCCAACCCTTGGTGCCTCGGCGGATCAGATAGCATTCCCCTCACAGTGCGGTCCTCGTTTCTTCGGCCTCGACATTACATCTGAACGACAGATCCTGGGAGATCAGCACTTGGATGTCGAATCGGGACGCAGGTACGTCCTTGTTGTGGGGGTCCCAGTGGTTCGACATGATGTTTTCCACAACCAGCTCGGCGCTGGCGAGAGTTTTCTGATTGAAACACTGATGGAGGAGCTGTTGGACATGCTTCGACAGCATCGACACCGTGGCGAACCTGGAGGCGCTCATGCTGAAGGAGGGAGTGATGGTGATGGGGCTTTGAGAAAGGTGCGACTGATGCGGGCAGAGCGGGGGCGGGCCGGAGCAGCGACCAGGGGCGGCGTGGGCAGTTGATGGATCGACAGGACGATGCCGGACGAGGCCAAGGAGCAGACCAGAGGGGGCGAGCCAGCACGGTGGCGTCTTGTCCTCGGCGCCATTTCCTTCGCGGTCGCGGGAAATCAATATCGTCTGGGTCGGCCTTGACCGCCCCCGCTGTGCTGCTGCTACTGCCCGGATGCGCGGATCGCTCTGCTGTCTGGAGGATCGTCTCTCTGCCATCATCGCACACTGGGCGTCTTTGATCGCGCTGCCGCTGTTCCGTTCTCGCATCGTTGTCCTCGCCTGCACCGCAAAGCAGTTCGGCCAGTTGATACCTACCTGCTCGCTGCCATGAATCCGGGCTTCGAGACGTCCTCGTCCATGTCGATCTCCTCAGCCGGGCGCAAGAGAAAGCCAGTCAACTACGCTCTGAAATCCGAGGCCTCGTCTCTTTCCATCACCGCCAAGCCGCCGCCTGCAGGACCTTCTGGCAGTCCCATCCGGGTCGAGGCTGGTCCTGCGCTGCCGCTTCCCAGACGCGAGCTGCGATTGTGAGTGTGCACATGGAGGGTGCATGAATGCGCTCCATCGCCTTCCCGTCTGCCTCCCGACTCTCGCCTGGTCTCCGATTCGCTACATCTCCGTGCCGTCCTCTGGCTGACGAGGCTATCCTGCTCTCCGGCCACAGAAGCACTCCCGAGAGCCGAAAGCCTTCGGTCTCGCCGCAAACCCCAAACTCCCAGCCCAATGACTGCACCCCAACTCCGGATGCTCGTGGGCTGTTGTCAGCGGCTCACGAGACCCGTGTCCTACAAAGGTATCAATCGCTCGTCACGTCATGGTCGACCCTCTGTCCGCTCATCATCGCTGATACCAGCATCGCTACTGCCTTATAGCCGGAAATCACCCGTGACTGCGCTGTCTCAAGGACCGATGCAGCCTCCATCTCCATTTGCATCGGGTATGCTGGCAGGATTTCGCCAAAAGCCATCTCTCGCTCGACCAGCTTCCCTGGTACCATCCACTCTCGAGTCTATGTTCCGGCTTGATGCTGAATAAGACCATGTTCGCGGTGGATTTGATCTTGCGATCCAGTACCTGAGGACTATGAGAGCACAAAGAACTTGCTCCGTAAAGCCGAGGATGAGATATCGAAGCTACGTCGGACTGTCAAGGAACTGGAAGTTCAGAACGCCAAGCTTCTAGAGCAGCTCAGGGACCGGCCCTCTGGTGAGCGTGCCTCGCTCGGCAACGGCGTGGAGGCCGTGGGATCGATCCGAGACTTTCTACCCGTCTGCGGAGACCGAGACAGATGAAGATGCATCACCGCGCAAGCGGGAATGTATTGCACCCACTCAAAACACTCACGATTGAATTGTTGACAGATCCGAGTCTGGCCAATGTCGATGGCGTGGGGAAGACGGGCCGGTTTCAATACGACGACCAAGTGGCGCGCCTGCTGATGAAAGCGGACAGTAGCATCGGCAACATTGATGTAAGTGGAGCATCGCACTGGTGATTCTACAAGCCGCACCACAGGGTTCGCATAGGATCGTCAGCCTCTGACACTAACCCCGCATCGGTCTCTTCGCCTCCATGCAACTCTCTCAGTTCATTTCAAACGAGATATCTGCCAAAATCCGAGCTAAATGTGGCCGTCAAAACGGTTCAGCGCACAGCACCCTGCCAGAGTCGATGAGCAGCGGGCCAAAACATTCTTCCGAGCCGCTTTCGCACGACGACAAACTGCTGACTGTTGGCGGGTCAGTCCATGCACAGAATGGTCTTCCGCACGATGGTGATTGTCCATCAAAGCTATCAAAATGGGACTCGGGAATAGCTCTTCAGGATCCGGCTGGTCGTGAAAACGAACTCGCTAGTCCGCTTCAGACCCCAGCCCCTGCTTCCGATGCTGCTCCTGGTGTCGGGATGCCATCACCGAGTCCGCATCACATAAGCGTGCCGGACTCTTCGCCGCGACTGGCTCCAAGATTGGCACCCGAGCTCAGGCAGGGGCAAAACCAGGTTGCCAGCAACGAGATTCACATTGATTCCCAGCCGGCGTCTGCTTCAGGTACAAGTACAATCCACACCCACGCCACATATCAGAAACAGGATGACAGCGCGATACCACGGCATTCGCATCGATATCGGGTACATCCATCATTCTATCAGCGGACCCACTGATGCTCTTCATTTTTTGTCTTCAGATGAGCGGGAGTCAAGAAACAAACACGAGCCGCTGATGCTCAGCGACTCGCTCAGCCAGGACCTACTGGGCATCCTGGATAGCTTTGGTCTCTGACCAACAACAACCAGACGCATGCAAAGCGGTGATCGTGCACTTGGCCTGCTCATCCAGGGCCTAGGTGCAGTTGCTGAGAGGTCGAAGAATGGTGTATGGTTCGATTCATATTGGCGTTGAATACAACTTGATGGGTACAATCCACACTTTCACATTGCCCGGCAAGCGCTCTTGAGCAAGTCCTTGGCGATACCATGCTACGTTAGCGGGAGACATTGTGGAACCTCGATCCGGGCACATTGAGTGTGTATCATCTCCGAGGTAGATTGTTTATCGAGCACCAGGTTCTGAGGAAGATCAGTCACTCATTCCGAGTTCCTGGCTCTCCGTCAGCTCGGTGGCAGCTGTGCTGCGATAGGAAAACACCTTGGCGTCTGAGCGAAAGTGCCGAATGACATGGTGCTGCGACGTGTTGGACTCGTCAAAGTAGTTGAGGTTGAGATTCTCGGCGATCTTTTGACCCAGTGTTCTCATCGCCTAGGAAAGAGCGGCAAACAGGCTGCCTCAGTTGGATCGCGTTTGTCAGTCCAACACCACCCGACTGCCATCCAATTGCAAACGGCTGATCGGACTCACTTCCAGTTTCGTTGATATGCCGCTGATCTTTCGACTGTCGATCTGGAAGCCATTGAGTACTAGATAGTAATACTTTGTTCCTGGATTGCACCGATCAGCGACACAAGCGTCAAAGTCAATGTTTCGTCCTCGGTAGCATCCCGAACCCATCGAGCGTCTCCGAGCAACAGCTCAGGTTGCTTCCAGATCTCACTTTCGGCTCTGCCTACCCGACCGAACTTCTTTACGAAGCCGGATATATATGTTGTAGTAGTGCCCTCGGATGTGCACCTTCTTGTTGTGGGAGAACTGGTACTCAAGCTGCCGCGTGAAGAGTGTGTAGATGCGTATGTCCTTATCGTTGTAGATCGTCGCAAGACAGGCGACAAGAACGGCCACCGGCAACAGAAACAGGCTCTAGACACGAAGCGCGGGCGTCAGATACAGGAAAGACGCAAATGCATACACTCCGCATCGTATGTGCATCGAACGATGCTGCCTCCACCAGTTTCGGGCTCTGTATTAGAGACACCGACGTGAGACCTGAATACCCACGACCAGATAGCAGCTTTTGCCTGCTTGCTTCTGCGGCGACAATCATTTACATTTGTTGCTCCACCGAGCGGAATCCAGATGACGAGGGCGATAAGCGAGGCTGTGGCGAAGAATACGGCAATGTAGAGCGACCTGTATCGCACCTTGATCTCGAGCACTGCGATGGATCAAGGCGAAGTGTGTTAGGCAATGATGATACGCTATAGATACGCGGGATCGTCCATGCAGGATCGTCCATGCAGGATCGTCCATGCAGACCGTGCTGGCGCCGATACGCGATTTCTCACCAGACGGATCGTCAAAGTCGGGTGAAAACGGATAAAGCGGATTCTCCTCTATCGAGCTGCTCAGGAGCACCTCTGAGGGGACCATCAGCCGTCGATAAACGCTCTTGAGGCTGGGGAGGGGCTCCATTCTGATTCTGTTCTCTGTGGATCGACTGCTGGACGACAATCCAAGGCAACCCAATAATATCCAACGGGAAGCTTCGGTTCAAATATGTCAGCGATTGGAGCCAATCCAACCAAGCTGCCGGGGAGGGAGGAAGCCGACCCACTCTGGCGCACCCAGATGGGATTCAGTCACTCCACGGCATTTCACCCCGTAAAACGGAGCAGAATGCCGTGTTGTGAGTAGAGCAGCCATCACCCCGCAATGGCCATCGACTCTGTGGAGACGGGGCAATGGATATACCTCCAGCCCTGAATGCTTGAGCCTCCTCGAATGCTCTGCTCAGCTTCGCTGGTGGGCCACAACCAATCGATGCGATGCATCACAATCCAGCGTCGCAACATCAACGCAGCCAAGAGCATAGCCGCAGTGGGGTCGAGCGTAGCAAATACTTGGCCAGTCGGTGGAGAGCGAGGGCAAAAAGTGAACTGGTCGGGGCATCTGGGGTTTCGCCAGTACAGGCGTCAATCATGAACCCGTCGACGACAATGGATCGCCCGCACCGAACGCATATGTTCCCTGATCCTTGCGCGCCATCCTGCCAAACGCAACAGACTCTCTAGCCCCCCATCCAGGCCTCCGTCAACTCTGCAGATTCCAAGAGGCCGTTGCTGTCCTCAAAAGCTCATCGCATCTGTAGCACCGCTTACTCGTGCGCCGCAGAGTCTTGAGCTGGCTTGATCCCGAACGCCTCTCCTGCGATACTCAAGATTCTTGTCCACAAACCATCACAGAGCCGCCATGAATACCGTCCTTCCCTCAATCGACACGACGGCGAGCCAAACCTACCCGCCGTTCTCCCAGTCCATCGATGTTCCCGAGTTCCAGCTCAGTCCAGACACCGTGTCCATCATGCCGCTTCCGTCACTCGGCATGGGTGATGGCGCTGCGGCCGACATGGACAAGGAGGAACGGGAGCGCCAGCGCAAGTTGTCCTATAACCATCGCCTGCAGCTGACACCCTACACAGACGACTGGCTTTCCAGTAGCGCCGATGAAGACCTGTTGATGGAGTTTCCGCTTCTGAGCCTCGCCAGCGTTGCGGGGTTCTCGCTCGGGCCCGATCGAGTCGCCCTGGTTCTGCCCTATGCTCCACGGACCGCCCCATCGACGCTTTCCCACACCACCCCACACACAACCATCAGCCGCAACGGGCTGTTTTCGGCGTCTCTGGCCATCAGCACGCAGCGGCAAAACCTACGGCTCGCCAGTGTCATCGCAGCGCTGAATCGCATGTCGGACGGCAAAGACGAATCTCACCTCAGCGACTCGCTCAGTCTCCTCACTAACTCGGGCTCCCTCGGCCGGTCCGATGAATATGCCTATATGATCCGCGGCCCAGGCGGCTTTGAAAAGAACTATGCCGAAATACAGAAGCTGCTGGGTAAGGGCTCCTTGACGGCGACGACTCGGCAATCCGTGTCTCCGGGTTTGCAGTCGTGGTGGAATAGAGTCAGGTCGATTTGATCCTGGCCCGATTGTGTTGGTGTTGTTGCATCGATGAAGAAGCTGTGCGTCGTCCCATATGTACTGGAGAAGCACTGTCCTGATCTGCTCGGTTTCGAGCCATGAACTCTTCCTCTCTTTGCCGGAACGAATCGAGTTGCGCTTCTTCGGTCATTCTGACATCTTCGAATCCGCGACGGACTGCTAATGTGGCCTTGCTTCTGTTCATATCACTCTGCTGGTGCTTGATCGGGAACGACAGAGCGAGCACGCAATCCAGAAAGTGAAGAGGCCGAGAATGTGGCCCAACCAACCGCACCGCTGCCCATCGACACTGACAAATCTGCCAAGAAGAAGAGGCCAGCCGGCGACTTGGGCGTTGGCCCGTCGATATGCGCCGTGGTCGATAAACTTGCGATGCCCTTGGATGCTAACGGACAGCCGCTGGCCGGCCGAAAACCGATACGCGTCATCAAGGCAGAGCTGGAAAAACGAATAGAGCTCCTCAAAACAAATCAGGGAGAATGGGAGGCATTCCAGACCCGCATCAGTGAGTTGCATGTGCCGCTCATCGCACAGCATCCGCGGCTCGCTGATCAGTCGCCGTTACAGCCATTGATCGGAGCGCATTGTTCTTGCAGTGAAGTACAAGCGAGACGACCACAAATCGCTGCTACGAGGCACGCAGATCGATCTCATTCGCAAAAACAAGCAGCTCCTGAAAGAAATGTACCCTGACTTCCGACAACAGGCTTTACTCATGGTGGTATGTATCAGGGCTATTTTCGATGATCGCTGGTAGTTGCGTCAAGGGGCACCTCTGGATACCGCACCGTTGCATCTATCGACGTATTTATGGCTCTTTGATGCGCTTTCCTGCAGCGGATCAACAACGAAAACCACCGGGTGTTGGTTTTGGAGAGAAAGATCAAGATTGTGCACAAGAAGCAACGGGCCAAAATGGAGGCCATCCAGCGGAAAGAGGAGCTTATTGTGAGTCACTCGTCCAGGGAGAGAGGCTCAAGAACCAAGCCTGTGATGTACATGGAGGGGGGCATTCGTTCTGATTTCCGCTCTGTTTTCCAGGAGAGAGGCAAACTCCGCGAGAAGGATGAACTCGGCAAACCGCAAGCTCTTCAAAAGAAGTGGTTTATCATCGTTGCACTGGCCAGTCGGGTGCGGATGATACAGAAACTACTTGAGGTGAGTCGCGCAGCGATAGCTGAAGATGCTGATCATGGATGGTGCGGGTATCTCTGCTTGGCTTCTGTGTTTTGGTTCGATGCCACAACAACCCACAGACCCTCGTGTACCTCGCTCTTATACTCCATAACATGAAATGCGTTGGCTATGGTTCCGTCACATACAGCAAACACACAAGCGAACAGCAGCGAGCCAGCTCCAAAATCATGCTGCTCGGGTGATCCAACGGGCTTATCGCAAATACAAGCGTGCTGCTGCCGAGGAGCGACAGCGGGCTGCCCTGCAGACGATCCAGAGGTAGGGGCATGGACACTTGGAGACAGTCGGGTGCTCGACGCTCAATATGCTCAAATGGAGCACATGATCGATCACCGACTGCTCCGCTGATCCATCGACTTTGTCCGCAGGGTATTCCATTCGTATGTGCAGCGCAGACGGGAGGTCATCAAGAACAACGCCGCGAACCTCATCAGAACCTTCTTCAAGGAAGTGTATGACACATCCAAACTGATGAAAGTTGTCAAGAAATATCGGTTCTCTGTTATCAGGGCACAACGATACGCTCGTTCTTATATCACCATTCTGCGCGCCGAGCTTGAGCTCTGCGTGATGCAATGGGATCATTTCGAGGCCCAGTGGTGGACGCAAAGGAAGGGCTCGATGCACAAAACAGCCAGTGTCGCAAGCATCGACGAGAAAGCCGGCAAATCCAAGAAGAGGTAAGCAAGTGCTTTGTGTATGGTGTTTATGACCGCCCTAGCGGAACGGAGGCGGGCACTGCCAGCCGACATGCTCTTCTCTTCGCGTGGCATCAACCAATGCTCGTCCTCGGTATTGTCTGCCATAGGGGCAAAAAGGGAAAGAAGGATGATAGCGCCGACAAGGGTGGCAACGACAAAGTTTCGATGCTCCGGTGTCCAGAGTAAGTGTATTGAGAGCAGCAGCGATTGATGGAGAGGTTTATGGAGAGACGGGGGAATGGATATTCGACGAACACGTTTCGGTCGCTTGTGGCACTCAAATCTATCTGTATTGATATACTGTGGCAGCCCGATCAAGATTCGTCTGATACGAGAATCCTTGCTACAGCGGCGCAAGGAGCATCGTCAACAACTTGGTGAATACGAGGACCAGCTCGCAAAGTTCAATGCCGATCGCCGGGTATGGAGAGCGGTGCTGGGCTTGCTGGCTGGGCAGTCCAGCCAAAGGCTGGAAGACGAGCAGCCTGATGCCTTGGTCTTATGAAGACAGCTCGACACATGGGAGATGAAAATGTGGATTTGGCTACGATGCACTCATTGTGAACCACTTTGCTCTGCAGAAACGACTGAAGCCAATGTTCAGCAGGGCTCCAGGTACAGCGAGTGCCAAATGCAAACCCGGCAGCATGATGAGACTTTGCAGGAGATGAGCTTTCTCAGGAGATGAGATGGCGGTGAGAGCTTGCTTGCGGGGCTTGTGACGCTAAGTCGATATTGGGATGCTGATTTTCCAGGGAAGACCAATGTCCCCGACCCCGATATGCCCAAGCGACCGTTCTTCAAGGCAAGTGTCCTGGTCATGCGTTCAGTTGCGCTTGGCATCCTGGACGAGTGACGATCTAGAGCTGCCAATTCGTGGCTGGATCGTCTGGGCTGATACTGACGACACATCCCGATTCTCTGATTCAGGTTTTGCTCTCCCGAGACGATCTCTTTGCGCTCATGGAAAAGGGCTTTGTTGAGTCGACGACGTCAAAGCTATCAAGCATGCGTTAGTCGAACGGATATACGCTACATTCAGAAGAAACGAGCGTCGTCCGATTCTAAGTGCAATGAAACGTATCATCTGCGATGGCCTGCGTCCAAGACGACCATATACAGCCAACCCTGATCACTTTGGCAGCCTCCGAGTGACGGTCGCGGGCTGCTCTCTGGTCCCAGTCACTCTGGTCTCAGTCGCTCTCTGGTTTCCACAATCGCCCCGCGCGCAGTGATCGTGTTGCTCTTGGACACTCGGAAGCTGCTCATGGCCAGCGTGATGTTGAGGCAATCCCCGTGCGAAACATGCCCAGAATACATCACACGTGATCGGCTTGCTCCTGGCTGGTCGCACAGCAAGGAAAAAGGGCAAAGGAGCAAGGGGACAAAGGCGCAAGATGGGCTTTCGTGTTTGGCCTGCGCTGATTTGCTGGCCATTGTCGTTCTGCCCGGCGCGACCCAATCTCTTGCTTCTCCATCTCCCCAACTCGCCTATCCCCCAGCACCAGGGCGTCCTCGCAAACGAGCCTTGCCGTCCGCCCTTGCCCGGTTCGACCATCGACCCCTCGCTGCTGTTGCCGCAGCCTGCCTGCCCTTGCTTCCTCATCGAACCAGCCACCTCTATCGCTCCGACTGCCATCTGTTTGGGATCCGCAACTTTGCTGCCCAGTGCTCCCTTGGCCCGAACCCGTATCCTGCCCTTGAACCAACCGAAACCGCCAAAAACCGTCTCCGCAGCTTATCCACTTGGACCCAATGACGCTCACCACTCAGCAGGCCTTCTGGTACCCCCTCTTCTACATCACCGGCCTCTCGTCGCTGTTCATCTTCTTTGTCCGCTGGAATTCGACTCGGCAGAAGAAGGAGTCCAGGCGTAGGTCTCACTCCGGTTGGCTTGTATTGCAGAGCAGCCCCGGGCTCATACTTTGTTCATCAGAGCACACTGTCGACCAGATGGCCATGAGGCTGTCGTTGATACAGCTTCCAGGTTGCTCCTACTAATCTGCCCACACCGATCGCTTACAGAACAAAGTGCCAACTCGTACTTTGGCCCAAATGTCAACAAGATGATCTATGAGGAGCTCTGTGAGCAGTACTCGCTAGAGGAGCCCGAGGGCAAGAAACTGCTTACGATGGCTCTGATTCAGCGAGCCATGGCCGATATCAAGCGTGTGTTCCAGATTCGTAACGAGAAGCCTTCGCTGCAGCAGTTGGTGCGCCAGGGCGTCATCGGCGAAGAGCTGCTTGCTCGTATGGACAAGGCCGAGCAAGAAATCGAGAGAGAGCTACAGGAGGTAATCTAACGAGCGCGGTGATCTCTGGCTTCTTGCAGAGGCTTGCGACGGCCGTGCCAGGATCAGTCCCGCCACTTTGCATTCACCGAGCGGCCTGAGCATCCCGAGCGACCTACCATCGCCACAATCTCGACTGCCCTCGAACTCTAACGCCGGCGTATGGACCAATCTAAACGTTCTATCTGCCATGCTCTCCTGCCGTCACCCAGGTCCAAGAAGAGGCCGAGATGATCCGATCCGGATGGGGCCAGAGTATATTCCAGGAGGCTAGCCAAGTGATGCAGGCTCAGATGCAGCGCGAAGCCCAAATAACCACAGCCATGGCCCAGCATCAAATTGGCGGTGGCGGTGTTGCCGCGCAGGTCAAGCCCGCTCAGACCGAGACCGAGGAAGAGGACGACGACGGCGAGGGCGTCCAGCTGGAGCCAACCTCGGAGCTGACCGACGAGCAGCGACGTGAACGCCTTGCTGCCGAGCTCATCGAGGAAGAGGAGAAGGAAAAGAGCAAGAGTCGATCAAAGGGCAGCAAGGGAACCCCGGCCAAGCCCAAGAAGAAGTAAACGGCCATCACAGTGCCGCCACGGATTCGGCCTTGCCCTCCTGGTCGCCCTTTAGTTTGGCTTCCGTATCTGAGGTGGATGCGCGACCGCTATCGGTTCGGAGCTTGCTTGACTCTCGCTGCGTTGATGCGATAGCGATCTCTCTTCGATCTCTCTTCGATCTCTTCACCCCTCCTACCTCCGCTTCACTAGTCTCTGTTCTCCTAGTGCCTGTCGCTGCCATGGCCTCGTACCCGTTTGGCTCGGAAGACTTTCTCTTGTGCGCGGCAGTATATGCGGCAGTACATGTCAACGCAGCGCCAATCAAGTTGATAATTGCGTCGGTCTCGCCATTGATCTGCCACGCATCTGTTGAATAAACCACGAGCTATATTTTACAAGAGATGAGATAGTGCCATCCACAACGGAATGTGTGGTGCTTGAGAGCCTGCACGAGGTGTGGATCGGTGGGAGGGTTAGATCAATGTGTGTACAGTGTGTGTACAGTGTGTGTGCAGTGTCTCGAAACGACAGGCATATCGTTACTTCGGACACAGGCCCGCCGCAATCGAATCACATCGTACACCCAGCGACGGCGGGCGAAATCATTTCCTTGTGGGTCCGTCCCATCGAGTCTGTCCCGTTGAGTCCGTCCCATCGAGTCTGTCCAAGACTCCGATCTCTCATCGATCAAGTCCATCCCAGCAACGCGAGCGCCGATCGACGTCATCAAGCACACTACATTCTCAGTCATGGACTGCGAGCATCCAGACGAGCGCTCGCACCGCATTTCCTCCAATCCTACAGAGCCGCTGCTCAGCTCGGCGTCGGGAGCAAGTGCTGGGTCTGCCAAGCTCAAGTCTTCGCACCTGGGCTCGTCAGCCGCCAGTCGGTACGCTTTCTCGCGCAGATCAGCGAACACTGCCATCGTCGAAAGCGGTTGCCGATTGAATGGACTCATCGCGACTACTCAAACCATGTGCTTGCGTCAGAGGCAGCGTGCACCTTCCGCCATTGCATGGGAGTCTCTCTGACGGTGAGCCGCACTTTGAGCTTGACCGTGGACTCGGCATCAGTCAAACTAGGCACTGATATCGATCTGCTCAAAAGCCACGCTCAAAGACATAGCCCGGGCCCGGAAACGAATCCGTGGATCGACGCATGGTGAGCCAGCGTTGATTTTCTTGCCAGCTGCAAAGTAGCTCCTCCGAAAGACTCGCTGTGATGCTCATGCCCTGCTCTCCCTTTCGCGGCAGCAGGCGATTCAGAGTTGCTCTCGTCCATGTCGCGCTACACACTTTTGCTCGAGACTAAGGTTCGCCATTGGATTGAAGAGTCGGCCCGGAAGGTGAGCCACCTGCGAGATGACAAGAGTTTCTGCGATAGTTTGTTCTAAGCCGATAAACGCCTCCTAATTTGTTCAGGACATTGAAATATGCAAGCTCAAGGTAACACTCCATCAAGTGTGCCCGAATCCAGTCTAACTAGCGCCACCATGCGGCTCATCTCACCTGCTCTATCTCTGAGCAGAAGCAGCTTGGACTCGCCGAGTTTCATACCGAAAGCGGCAGCGAAGTAAGCACGGCTATCGCCACGAGGCGACGCATACACTCATCAAACATCGGGATCGTCGCAAGGCCCGGCCTGGCTGGGTCTTGTTTGTGCTAACTTGCTCCTCATCTGACTCTATTCAGGTGAATGCGTTGCGTCGCGAATGTATTCAGCTGCAAGAAAAGGTGTCTGAAATGGAAACCTTTCTGCTCAAGTACAACATGATATGGAACGCAGAGCTCCCATTCGGCAAACGGTGAGCCGAAAGCTCCTTTGGCGGCGTGGGTCGTATCTGAGGATATGGCGACCTTCGCTGCGAGCGGTTCACAATCCCGACTCCCATCTATACATTCACATCATGATGAAAGAGCCATGACATAACTGTTTTGACATCCTCGGATTCGAACTCAGTCTGGATAGGGTCTCCTCGAAGCACGCGGCCATTCCCAAGCCGTCACAGCTGACGGCCAAGTCCCCGTTCCCATACAACCTGGCCAACTTGATGACTCAGATTGAGCAGCTCAATCGGATTGCAGGTGAGAGCGGTCTGGCTGTAGGGTACATATACAGAGCCTTTATTCCATGCTGTATTTTGTGGACCGCAGCTTACCGCTGTTGCCCCAGCGGTTTCGCGCACCAAGATCAGGCTCGAAGCGCTGAGAACCAACCAGGGTCTGTTAATTTCGTAGGGCTTGATGTGGCTCAAGTGATCCGCGAGAAAAACACCAATCTACACCTACTCAAGGTTTGTTGTTCACAGCAGAGCGCAATCGGCGAGCCGCTTCGCCAGACCTCAGCGGCGGTGGCTGCACTCTAACGAGCCACTTTAGATACTCATTGCTGCCGTGCATCTCAGACCCCTGATCCCCTGAGTTTGACGCTCTATCAAAACGGGTTTGTTCTCGAGGGTGGGTCCTTCCGGCCGTACACCGACCAAGCCGCGGCCATGTTTATGTGCGATCTTATGGATGGATACTTCCCATACGAACTTAAGGACACCTACCCTGACGGTGGTAAGCTTTGAAATCGGGGTTGCAGTGACTATGGCTCTGTGTGCTGCCGCAATCGATTCCTGACCCATATTTTGCTGTACCCTTGTTGCGCGTGATCAAACGCAGTGCCCTTCAAGATCATCGACCGGCACACGATATGGCGGCCACTCCGGATCGATGAAGGCTTCCCTCCGGTCGGATTACCGGCCCAGAAGTCAACGCTTGCGGGAGCAACCCTGGACCCGGACGCGCTGGACAGACCTGCACTGCCAAGCGACACTGCATGGAGCCCAGATATTTCTCTTGGTATGCCAAAAGTTGTAAATTCCACAGCTTTGTCGATCGCGACTGGGAGCATTTCAAATGATATGGGCGCTTTGCACCGAGAAACACACGCTCGAATCCATTCGATAAGCTCAGCCGATATCTTCGGTAAGCAAAGTCGTGCGAGCAATCATGGAGCCGAGATATCCGCTAGTATCGAGATCGCAGCCAAGGGAACTAACGGTTTCTGTTGACAAACGCAATTGATGGCGCCATGCACCTGTTTCTGAAGAGCCAGCCTCTATAACAACCGAGCGGTTCCTCCAGAAGCTTCCAAAGTGCATCGTGCAAGGTGGCAGTATCATCAACATCAGAGGGGACGTCGAGGCTCTGTTGCGACCCAAGGTAAGTCACGGCATACTCTCCGGAGTCGCTCAATACTGTCTGTCCTGAATCTCTTTGTAGCATGGACTGAGGCAATTGGTGGGATAGCTGACGAGCACATTGATGTCTGGGATTGGCGAGACCCCAATCCCTGCCATCTGTATACCTACACCATACATGTCCAGGATGCCGAGTGTGGTCGGTACAGACAGCTGTGGTGAAAATGCAGCCAAAATAGCTACTCTACGGGTGCGCCACGCAGGCATATCGGGGCAGCAGGACTACATTGTTCAAACAAAATGCAATGCAACGCTTCAGAGCGTGTACGAGCTCCTCAAGCCATATATCGACCCAAAGGCAACGACAACCCAATCTGAATCTCAGACAGCATGGAACTTGAAGCCAGCACTACATCGCGGTCCAATGCCCAAGCCCACGGCTACTCTCGAGGTGGGATTTGCTGCATAAAGCACGGACGACTGCGAAACAGCGTCCTGTGCTGTCTGGAGATACATTCGGGTCTCCAGACAGAGTATGGCACTCATAAACTCTGTTGGTACACAGGAATGTGGCTGGGTTCCAAATGCATTTTTGCATCTGATTACAGGCTGATGAGCCACCTCCAGACGGTACGACATCTCGAGGAAATCAAATCAAAGCTTTCTCCTATTTGATTTGGTGCACCGTTATCCAGAGCCCATCTCTCAGGATAGCCGTGAATCTGTCAATTCAATAGATTGGGCGGATGTATGGCCATCCGTCATACAATTAGCTCTCGCGCGGCCGCTGTGCGATACTGTGCCCAAATGCAGAAGCTGTGGAGAGCTACCTCCATCATCAGTCTGTCCAAGAGCACGGACGTCGTCGATCAGGCACTCAAGGGGGTAGATAGTGACCGTCATGAGGGTGCTGCTTGGGGAGGGGAGCAGTGAGGGACATGCGTCTTGGTGTCGAGAAACAATAATCTGAATCGATGCTGCGGTACGGTTGGATGCACACCACTGCCCCATTTGTCTCTGCCCTATTTGTCTCTGCACCTGCAGCTGTATATTGATATGCCACGACATTCTTGTGGACACCCGAGGCACATTCGCTCGCTTGTCATGTCCCAGACTAGATCATCCTGAGGATCCTCTCCTTGATGCTTCTTAGACACTGCTCGGCCACAACTTGGTCACCCTGCCGGGCCAGATGTTCGCCCAGGCTCTTCACTAATTTCTCAATCCGAGTGATTGGATCCGTGGGTTTGTACGTTGACGAGAAATCAACGCGGCTGAAAGCAGTCAGTGACGTGGCAGCCGAATGCAGAAGATCGAGGTTTGGCACGGTTAGATCAGTCAAGGAAGTATAGCTTCTGGGCCAGCTTGAAGGCACCGACTGCCGAATGCATCTAATGCCGAATACCCGCGCAACGCTCCGCTGGAAACATACTGCGGATATGTCGAATACTCGTCCAATAGCGCTTCCATTCGCGACTGAAGTTCTGTCGTCAGCGACTCTGAAGGAACGATGGTTACGTCGCAGGCATAAGGCAAACCTGCATGGTTCAGAGGAGCGTGTATCAGCGCCGGTGCAACTCGTGAAGAAGCCAGCCCATCCAGCATGTTGTCGATTGCCAACCAGCATCGCTAATCAGAGCGGCCTCCAATGCTTTAGGGAATTGGAGTTGAGGCGCCCGCACAGTGTCCGCCATAGTGTTGCTCGGTGAGATCGGGCACACTTACGATACTCCTTCTGAGGCGAGCTCCATTCGTCGGATACCGTCAGATACTGAAACTTGGATTCGTACTGAGGAGATTCCCGATCGTACGGACTGATGATCACGCCAACAAAGGGCTCTGAGCCATCGTCGCGCTTGAATAGCGTCTGCACACCCGTTGGTCGGTCAGCCTGCTGCGTGCGATGGCACGCGCCGATGTGGATCAGATCGAAAGCTCGGGCATACCTGATACGACGCCTGCGTCTCGATGTCGCGAATGCTTGGATGGGGCTCAAAGGTCGGATGCGAATGGTACCAGCCCACGACTTGGATGCCCTTCTGCTCGAACTCCTCGCGTGCCGTCATCTCGCTTTCAGGATCCATCTCGCACTGAATGCTTGTGCTCGTGCTCCGGCATGGAAAGCATTCGGTTAAGCTCAAGACCTTGGCCTCTGCATCGTATCGACCGCCTATCAACCCGATGATTTCGGTGTGGGCCAGGTGGGAGTGGAGATCCATCAATAGCAGCGCATTCGATGAGACGTTGACATGGAAGGGAGGACAGATGTGATCATCCGAGGATCGGAGGGAGTGTGTGGTGTATTCCATCGGAGGTATCAGCCGGAAAGGATCGTATGCTGGCAGATCAAAGCCGTATGCGGCATGCTTCCGCTTCATTGCTCGGCTTGATGCTAAGCATTGGCCACGAAGAAGTTAGCTCGATACCCGTGACGCCTAAGCGTAGTGCTGTCTGCCTCGCCGTCATCGCCATCGATAGTTGTCAATCCAGCCCCAAGTCTCTTTACTGGCTGGTTCGCCGTGTCATCCACGCTTCTCAAGCAGGTTGCTGCTGCACTTGTCCCAGGTGGATGCGACGCAATGACGAGGGCGACTTACTCTGCTGCGTTGCTGTCGAGGCATCTTCATCATCTGTTTCGCCGTGAACGATCACCCGACCGCCGAGATCCCGCTCGTCGATCCTATGATATCGCAGACAAGGCCACTTAGAGTTGGAAATTCGCTGATCGGACACAGGCCAGCCATAGCCCACAAGATGCACGAGCTTCCGAATGCATTTGCCAAGCCCCGGACCATTCGCCATTCTCATCACGAACTCGTCGCTTGCGTTTCAATCCGATTTCCTCAGCCCTGCTGTCACGTTCGGACCGGAGCCAGCAGTCGGATGCAAGACATGCGTTAGTCAAGTGGCATTTCTAGATTGTTGGGTTCCGATTGCTGGCAACACCATCCGCAGAACACCTTGTCTAGAGGTCGATGGTGTCGGCCGGCACACCGCCCTACGCCTCGGCTATCAACGATACCGACAGGGCGTCGTCTAGGAGATCATTGCCTCCAGTGGATGGGTGCGAGTTGTGTCCTGTGTTCTTCTTTGCCTTTGGCTCGGCCGATACGGGCTTGGGGTTGGCCGTGCGCACGATCGGCCTTGCGTTTCCGCGATTGTTGCATCCGACGTTGATGGCCTGGATTTGTTCCAGGTACGAGTGGATACGGCTGATGGCGTTGACATCTCCTTCGTTATTGAGGCCCCTCCGAGCCCGGGTCTTGGTCAGGTACTCGGGCCGCACAGTATCCCATAGATCCAGAATGTGGTTGCGGATCTTGACGTATCGCTCTGGGGTCTTGAGCAGGGACCGTGGATGGGCTTTGTGTCCGGTGAGCGTTGATGTGATCGTCGGGAACCACTCCATGTTGTTTTGGATTTCTTCTGGATGGATTTCGTCTCGGCTGATGAAGAACGGAAGGTCGCTGGTCTCGGGGGAGCTGCTTGTGAGCGGCGGCGAGTCGGCAGGAGACCCGGATGTGGCTGTCTGGAACGCAGCCTCCGGAACCGGATCTGCGAGGGCCAGAGCGTCGCTACTGTTCTGCAGAGTGTCGCGGGCGTTCATGGGCGATGGGACACTGCCGGGATCTGGGGTTGCTGGTCGGCTTGGGCGAGATGCAGACAGAACCGCAACTCAAGCGGCTTTTGGCGGAATGCGCGCCATTCATGGTGCAGATGGCCTTGCCGGCCAGCACCAAGCAACGCACTCGGCCCGAGAATTGCAGTCGACGCTTTGGACTTGCCAGCGGCGCTGCCTCGGCTTTCCCCTCAAAAGTCCCAAAATCCTCTGAAGACCTCCCGACGCCATGCTCTCTGGCCAACCTGCCGATGCATCCTTCTCGGATGATGTGCTCATGGGCACAAGCATCGATCTCCCCTCGTTCTGGAAGCAGGAGCGGGTGGTGGCCCAGTCGTCCAGCCAAACCGATCCGATCACCTACAAGGAGCAAGATAGCCAGACCCTGATGCAGCGCGACGAAGAGGTATGGTGAGACCGAGAGAGCTTGGGTCCGATCGCTGGTAGTCAGCTAACAGAGCCGTCCCTGGCCTCTCGACCGGCGGATGTTATCGCGGCTCGGCTGGATATAGACGCAAACGGACAAGGCGACGGAGCAGGGTTTCCAGCTGCTCAAGAGCTACGACTACCAGGGGCTCGTTGGGTTCCTGACGAGGGCCGAGTCGCTGGTGTCGGCCCAGTTGCTGCAGAATATCCGCTCCTCAGCATTCGATGGTGAGTCGCGTCGTCCCAGCCAGATCGCTTTCGGATGATGGCCGAGCCAGCGGTCGCAGAATATGCTTTGCAACGTCGATGCATGAACATGTGTCATGGGCGATATGGCCCAATGGCCGATACGACTCGATGGCTGACCTCGCTCTGTTTCGGTCATTCACTTGCCGACAGGATACTCGGTCGAATGGGAAGAGCGCATCTCGGCCACATCGGTGGCTCACACGCTCACAAACCCGAGGAAGGATCCCGATGTTGTGTGCACCGAGTTGTCCTGGAACAAGACCGGATCCGTCGTGGCCGCCTCATACGGCCGCTATGACCACGAGTCCTGGTGCACTCATCGGGGCTCGGTGTCGGCCTGGAATATTGCGCGCCGCGAGCTGGATCCGAGCATGCCAAACTTCATGGCAGATACGTCGGTGAGTGAGGCCAGAGCATGCTTGCCCAGATGCCCAGATGCCCAGATGCCCAGATGCCACCAAATGCTCAGATGTCACCGAATGCCTCTCAGCCAAGGCTCTCGCCAGTGACAATCGCCAATGGCATTGATATTGATGTGGTCATTCTGCCTCTCCAGAGCTGCGTCATATGCCTCGCCTTCCATCCCACAATTCCATATATCCTCGCAGGCGGTACCTTTGCAGGCAAGTATGCCGGACGAGCAGAGCAAATCGAGTGAGCAGAGTAGATCGAGTGAGTAGAGTAGACATGGCCCAAACCACCTTTGCCTGCTGACCAGACAAGGATTGGGTGCTGCAGGCGAGGTCATAATCTGGCACACCAACAATGAAGAGGATCCTGTCTTCTCCGTCTCCAACTCGGACGAGCTCAGCCATCAAGAGCCAATCTCGAAGGTACAAAGCTGACCCATGGATGTAAAGCGAATGCCATATCCAGTTGAGATGCGACTCAGCACCAACTACTCTCTTTTGTTCCGCAGATTGTCTGGATCCCAACCGCCAAGCGAGACCACTATAATGTGAGTTGGATGCATCCAAACCGCAAGTCTGTCCGTGGCAGTCGCTGCGCCTGGTTGCCACTCACTTTAGGATCTGTTGTCTAGCTCGTAACGATTGCAAACGACGGAAAGATTCTGACGTGGGATCCCAGCAACAAGCTGCAGACCCCACTCTCTGGGTCGCAGCTGTTGATCGGGAACGTACCCGCTCAGTTTCGCCCAAAGGCCTCCAAGTCGGACATGGGTATAGGAGGTGAGGACGAAAGCAGATGAACACTTGGGTGGCACATACTCGACCGCCTGCTACAATCGGCTATTGTTTCGCAGGCACGACGATCGGGTTTCCTATCGAGAGCCGCACGAACTATCTCGCCGGAACCGAAGGGGGATATATCTTCAAGTGCACAACGACAAACGCCACCCAGCTGTCGATTATCAAACGGGATCGAGGTTGGTAGTCTGCCAGCGACCAGGCAACCAAGCGACCACGTAACCATGGCTCAATTCATCAGGGAGACGTATTTGCCACCAGTACATCGTGATGCTGATACTCGGTCTTTCCATCTCGTCCGTCTACCTCGGCACTGATCGCACTGTCCTTAGCCCAAGCGCCCCTGTCGCTCTCCAACCCCATCCAACTTGCCTACACGCCACATTTGGGTCCTATCCAGGCGCTGTCGTGCTCTCCATTCCATCGCAATCTGTTCCTGACGTGCGGGAGCGACTCAACGCTGAGGCTTTACAACGTGCTCGAGTCCAGGCCTCTGTTGACGATGGAGCCTTGCTCAAGCCAGCTCTACTGCGTGCAATGGTCGCCGTTCCGACCGACCGTGCTGGCATGCACCGGTGGCGACGGCATGCTATATATCTACGACCTGATGGTAAGTCTGAATGCATACAAGATTCTTTCGGACATGCATTGCTCTGGCTGTGCACTGGTCTCTCGAGCACCCTCGAACCCGCCATGTACTCGACGAGTTATCGCTCGGTATGTGCTGAACAAAGCACACAGCCCCTGATCCTGGACTGCACCCATTACCATCACAGCACTCCAAGTCCGTGCCTGTTCAGTCGTATTCGTGCACGAGCACATCGGCAGCCTCGGCGAGTTTGGTAACGGCGCTTGCATTCAACACCAAGGACAAGCAGCTTCTGGCGACAGGCGACTCGCTCGGCGCCATCCGAGTCTGGCGCCTGTGCAGCTCCCTTTACACATCCACTATTTCTGAAGAGCACTATATCCAACGCCTGGGTGGCCTTGGCGACGGCACAGATGGCGGTGGCATGGGATGGTAGCTTCGATTGAGCGACGGCCTGGAAAGAGCCCATATGCATGCCTGCACCTCAAAGCCAATAGCCAAGAGATTTGCCACTTTGAGGATATACAGCAAGTGCATAATACACAACGGAACTTTTGCATCAAAGTGCCCAGACTGTTTGGAGCACACGACGGTGCTGCCAACGCGATGTTCCGAGCTCAGCAGGCACGCCTAAGTCCTGAGAGTATCGACCCTGCTCGTGGGGTACATGAGCACAAACGGACTCATGCGGCTCTTCATCGATGCCTTGGGGGCATCGCGCTTTGGTCCCGCGTCGTAGGCATTGGGTCCAGGAACATTGTCACCTGTGAAAGCAGCCGACCAGAGTTGGATTACAAATTGTTGATCAAAATTCCTTCGTGTGCTCCCCTCACCAATGGCCACGGTGGTCAGCAGATCTACGAATGCATGATCGCTGGACAACGTACGCTTGATCGAGTTGATGCGCGCCGACAAAGAGTATGCAGGACCCGCACGCTTGGTAAAGTTCATGCTCTTGAGATTGTAGTCCGCTGGCCCTGGTGTGTCCTCGATAACCATTTTGATGCGTTCTGGGTCCACGGCAAGGGCAAACCGACGGACAGATACGGTAAGCAAATACAATGACCAACAGGAGCATAGGCCGTGCACACCAGTCGACACTCTTCCGGCATCACCCTTGGTCGAGCGATTGGGTACAAATTAGAATGCAGCGGTCCACAAAGCATACCTGGAACCGACTTGCGCGCTCCCATCCGCGCCAGCTGGGCATCAGACAGCGATCGCGGTGGCTTCCACGCTGCATCATAGTCAGCCGGACCAGGCGTGATTTCTGTGATAACTCGCACGGATCAGCGTCACAGCGATGCAGAACATATGCCCATTCGGCCGAGACAGAGGCTGGCTACTGCAGGCACGAGACACACAGCACGTACCGATCGTGGATCTCCATCGGCCCTTGAGGGTGGCACGCTGCGAATCATTTCCACGGACTTGACGATCGCGCGGCTGGTGAGCCCCCGGACCCGGATAGTCGATTGCTTTGTCTAATCATTATGGCGCCGATGCAAATGCTATCCACAGTTAGCAGTAAACAGCTCCGGCCCAAATCCGTCCACAATGGTGGCAGCGTACATACTCGAGAGTGATGGCCGTCGTGTGCCCATTGAGTAGATTGGGGGACAGTCTCTCGTCGGATCAGCGCTAGGGCTGTAGTCAGTAGGTCCGGGAGGCGGAACATAGGTTGGCTCCTCTGGGGGCGAAGTAAATGCCGGGCCGGGGCGGTTATGGACTGGTACGTGCCTATGACGAATTGTTGTACTCTCGATGGTACTCTCGGCTGGCAGACATACCTTCGTATGGAATGTTTCTGCCTGTCAGCGAGTGCTGGGGGCCCGAAAAAAGTGTGTTTGGCATGATGTAGTTGGCCGGACCTGGTGTCTTGAGTGCTGGATGGACGCATTCGCGTCGACGGTATCAGATCCAGCTGCGCGACTCACGTTGCCAAAGCTGCATCATTCGCTCACGGCCACGCCTTTTAAGTCGAGAGACAGGCATGGACATGACGTGGCCTTCGCTCTCGACTCTCCGTCGGTTTGGCGAGGCACCCATCGGATCCCAACACAAAGGCAGGGGCGTCATCGTCGCGAACCTTTGCTCTCCTTGTATGATCCCTTCAGAGAGGTGGCTTTGGCTGATGACGACATCTTGGGATAGTATTCGTTGCACCCAGGCCTGAATTCTATGCCAGCCAAGAGTTTAGCGATCACTCAAGGGCCCGACTCCTTGGCCTCGTGTGCATCCAAGTGCCAGATCAGAGGCGGCAGCGACCGAGGCCGATCGACATCAAACGCACCATCTTCCTTGTCAGTAAAGACCGGCTGCCCAACCCTTGGGCGCATACTGTATTTCGCTGCGTTGCTTTGACAGAGGTTGAACCGGCTCTTGTAGTCTTGGGGACCAGGCGTCGGGTCGTCTGCATTGTGTCGGGACAGAGTCAGGCCGAGAGCAAGGCATCGGACACATGCCAAGCACTCTGCCCAGGAACTGTACCCAACCCAACCCAACCCAACCCAACCCAATTTAACCGTTCGATACAGCCGAAATGGGATCGGGGCGGTGATGTGACGCAAGTGGTACTCACCCACTTGGCGAGCGACAAGCCCAAAAGAGTATTTGGGAGCATGCCCAAATTCGGACTTTGGAAAGTATCGGTCGGGCCCTGGTGTCTCTTCGGCTAATACAGAGCAACGATTGCGGGTGCGTCCCCAGCCCAGGACCGGTGTGAGTGTGGATGTGGATGTGGATGTGGATGTGCAGCAGCGTCAGATACACCCTGGGCGAAGCACAGCGGAGACCCGCCCGACGGACCTGACATGGGAAACCATCCGGAGATGGTGCATTTGAGGCTGTCCTTGCCAAAGGTTCCATGGTCGTCATTGTAGGCGAAGGGACTGGGGTTGTCCATCAAGGCTGGTAAGTAGTCAGAGGAGAATGTTAGCGGAAAGCAGCAGTGTTCGGCGAGGTGCTCCATCGATGCGGGCGTGTGCTCTCAATCTCTAAACATCATGACCAGCACGTACGCTTGGATCGGTCCTTCAGCTTGGCACGGAACGACCAGTGTGGGGCTTCGTCAAAGGTGATCTTGGTCGGATCGACATTGTATTTTGCAGGACCGGGGCCACAGTTCATGGCGGCAATCTTGGGGGGCGGATGCTTGCCCAGGATGGAGTATTGCAGCCCGGTGGGCAGCTTGGGGTCATAGTCGAGCGGACCGGGAGTGGGGTTTGCTGCAGCCCAGCGCATATGCCAGAAGCGATGCAATACAGTCAGTCGATGCCAAAATGCTGTGCAGGATCTTGGGTCTCTCCAACCGCAAGCAAGCACTGGCATCAGCTCAGCGACTGGACCGCATATAGCAATGCTCTTCCATACCGAGAGTCGAGCACGGCGTGTTCCCAGAAGAAGGGACGTACTCGCCCATTGCACCTCGCCGGGTCACGCCGAGCTCCTTGGGTCTGTTCTTGTATCCTGGCGATGGCGGCACATATCCAGCGATAGATTTCACAGTGGGTGCGGTTGTGACAGCAGCGGGAGTGACAGCAGCAGCTTGAGGTTGCGGATTGGAGGCACTCGCAGGACGCTCGGTCGGCGATGCTCGCTTGTTGGCTGCTTGCTGCTTGCGGCCGTTCTCAGGAGATCCAGTCATGTTCGCGAGATGGGGGCGATGCGTTGCGATAGGCTGTGATGCGATGCAGTGCGAGACGCAAAGAGGATATGGCCTCAGCCGGCGAAAGACACAACCTTCTTCGCCGCCTCCGAGGCCAAGGAGATTTTCTCGACGAATCGCCCAATGCGTTCGTGATTGGGAGGATGTCGAATGCAGCCCGCTGCAGGGGCAGTGGAGATGGCAAGCAATGGCATGTCTACCATGGCTGTTGGCGGACAGAGACAGTGCGAGCAACTACCAGCCGTGACTATATTCATGCTGCTGATCAAGCATACAAATGCATCGTTGATATTCTACACGCAAGCCAGCACAGCGGTATGCAATCAAATGGCTCCGCACAATCCAGGAGATCTGGTCATGTTCGAACAAATACTGAGCATCGGACCGTGAAACATGCACGACAGCCCAACGGATACCAAAGAGGGTCGAGTCCTACATGTTGCGGCACTGGTCCAGTCGGGTCGAGCTGGGGGCCGATTTGCCCGAGCCTTTCCCCTGCTGGTTCGGCAGCTTCATGAGAATATCCTGCACCTGCGCGATCATGTTGACAGAGTCCCGAATTTCCGGGTGTGTCGGATCACCGTAGACGCGCTGACGGATCGACAGGGCCATTTGGTAGTGCTCCAGAGCGTCTCGGTACCGAGTCTGGGCATAGGCCACGTTCCCGAGATTGTATATGGCCTGGGCAATGTCTGGATGGTCGTCCGTCCTGTACACCTGGCGGCGAATCGCAAGAGACTCTTCGTATATCGCGGCTGCCTTGTCATACTGGCCCCTGGAATACGCAAGACTGGCCACGTTGTTGAGCGTCGAGGCAACCTCGGGATGGTTGCGTGTGCCATAGATCCGGGTGGATATCTCGAGGGATTCGCTGTAGTGGCTCAGGGCGTCTTCGAACCGGCCCTGATCGACGGCGATGTTGCCCATGCCAATGAGCAGCGTGGCAATGGAAGGGTGCACCCGCGTCCCAAAGACCTTGGTGTAAATGTCGATCGACTTTTGATAGAACTCGTTGGCTTCCGGGAGCCGTTTCTGGTCACGGGCGATGAGCCCCAGATTGTTGAACGACGCCGCAATCGACGAATGATCGCGGGTTCCAAAGACCCTGAGCCGGATCTCAAGCGCCTCCTGGTAGCACCGCTGTGCGTCCTCGAGGCGACCCTGGCTGCGCTTGGCCGTGCCCATGTTGTTGAGGGTGAGGGCAACGAGATAGTGCTCGCGGGTGCCAAAAACTCGCACAAATATATCGATGGCTTCGTCATAGTGTCTGATGGACTCGTCGAACTTGCCCTGGCTGGCAAGCACGACGGCAATGTTGCTGATGGTGGAGGCAACGTGGGGGTGCTCGCGGCCGCCAAAGGTCTTGACATAGATGTCAAGGGCATCGTGATAGTGGCGAAGAGCCTGTTCGTACTTGCTCTGCTTTCCGGCCACGGATCCCATCGCGAGCAGGATCCTGGCGGCATCTGTGCCCTCGTTGATCTTGAGCACATCGATGAGAATCTCGCGCGACTGCCGGTAATACTGGAGAGCCTTCTCGAGCTGGCCACGGTCAAAGGCCGTGAGGCCCATGCGGTAGAGGGTCCGCACCGCCTCGATGCTGGTTGATGCCATGTTCAGGGTCTGCAGAATCGCAAACGATCTCTGGAGATGCTCTTCGGCCTCGTCCAATTGCGCTAGCTTGCGATGCGACTCTCCAATCCAGCTGAGAGCGCTCGAGCTCTGTTTGTTGACTTGGCTGTTCCAGAACGCAGTTGACTTGGCAAGGCAGCTCTGGAACATGGCAAGTGACTTGGAGATGAGCCCTCGCTCCTGGGCAAGCGTTGCAACCCGCATTTCGATGCTTGAGTGGATTTCGTTGGTGTATGGGCTGGGGACAGTTTTGTTCATAAAGGACTCGAGATGGCGGCCAAAGGCAAATGATTTTTGGTCGCAGGGAATCTTGACGAGCTCGAGGAGCGCTTCGCTGGCGGCGCTCTCGGCGGCCTTGGCGCCGAGCTGGTCGCGAGCCACGACAAACTCATGGGCAACCCTCTGCGTCAGCGAATGTGTGTTGTAGCTGTCGTTGGTACCGCTCTGAATGAGACCACTTTGGGACAAGACCTTGACAAGCCGGGCGACTGCACCGAGAAAGATTCAGCAGCAGCTCATTCGTGCCTTCAACGCACATACTCACTTGCCTGAATCGCCTGGTCTGCGACTTGCTCCTCGGATTCTCCCCCCCCCTCTCCAACATCGTGCAAGCAACTTACCGTCGGTTGAAAGCTGCATCTTCTGTCCGATCACTTTGATCAGTTCGTACGGAATGTCATCCGGGGCCAGCAGGCTGATCGCTCCAAAGAGCCGGCACGCATCTGTGCCCTCGTCGCCTTTCTTTAGCAGAGTATTCATGGACAGATCGACAATCACCTTGAGCGACGAGCGGGTTTCGTCGTCGCCATTGTCGTCCTGCCTCCCAAGTGCCTCAGCAAACTGCGCACCGATCTCGTCGATCGGAAGGTCGTTGTACTCGACAAACGCCGTGAAAGTCTGGATGACCAGCGGATATCCGTCGATACGGTCCACAATCTTCTTGAGTTTGTCGCGGGAGCCTTCCGAGGAGACCTTCCGGGATATCATGGGCGATGTCGTGACAATGTAGTCGAACGTCGTCTGGTTCTCCCACGACCCGAGACGCAGCGGGTCCTGCTGGAAACTGTGCAGTCTGGCTCGCAGCGAGGTTAGCAGAGGGCCCGCCGGCAGGGACGGCAACCGAGTCGTTACAACCACATCGCCACCAAAGCCGTGGGACTTTGAATACTCGAATGCAGCATCTGCGACCGCAATGTCATCGACATTGTCGAGAATCAGAAGGTAGTTTCGGCTTTCGGCGAGGAAGTGGGACGCATGGCGCTTGACCTCGTCAGGCTGGATGTTGGGGAAGATGTCGACGAAGCTGTCGAGGACTGACGACTCGGTCGAACAGTTGATCCAGTAGACGTGGCTATATTGGGGCTTGACGCCGATGGTCTCGAGCTTGAAGCTGCCGAGCTCGCTGTCGTTGCTGACGGTGAGGGTTCCCATCATGAACTGAAGGAACTGGCGGGCCAGGACAGACTTGCCCATACCGCCCATGCCGGAGATGACGGCACGACCAGTCAGGGTAACCTGTCTGAGGAGCGAGTCGAGGTGTTCAACATGGCCCATGTACCGCGGGTTGGAGGCAAGCTCCAGGCTGAGCTTTTGCACGGTAGCGGCGGCGACGTCGACTGGACTGATAAGACTCAGGATCCGGTAGAGGCGTTTGTGAGGCTGGTCGGGGCGGAAGCCGAACATCTGGATCTGGTTCATGCGGCCGATGGTCTGCTTGAGCGTGGCAAACTTGGGGTCGCTGGGAAAGGACACCGTGTACGGCTTGAAGTCGGTGTAGACACCCTGCAAGAGCGAGTGTGAGCGAGTGTGAGTGAGTGTGAGTAAGTGTGAGTGAGTGTGGGTGAGTGTGAGTTGATGCGCATCGGAACATCGGTCTGCCTTCGAGGGGAAGCCGCCGGCCGTCCCAGCACTCCCGGGAGACCAGATACCCACATCCCCCAAGGTTGCAATGCACAGCGGCAAGACGAAAAGGTCATTGCAGGCATCCTTGCGATCCAGGGCGGTCCTGATTTCGAGCTCGACGTTGTCTTCCTCGCCTTTGAGGGCCTTCTGCAGGGCAATGTCGATCGAGGCCTTGCTGACGAGCAGGATGGCCACCGACGTTTTCGGCAAGGCGTTCAAGAAGCCATCTCGCCAATCACGGCCGTCGACGAGAGAGTCGACATCAAAAAACACCGACAGGGTCTTGCGATTGCGCCGCAGGGCAATCGACACCAGGCGCTCCTTGAGGTCCCTGGCCGTTTGGCTCTCGGTGCTCACACGGTAGGATAGGAAATAGTCGTAGAGCTTTGCTTCGGACGCAGGCGGCTGGACGTCGGCACTATGTTCTCCGAGCATGGCCGTGCTTGTTTTGACGAGACAGGTCCGGGAGGATGTCAGAAAGGAAGATGCCAGAAAGGAAGGTGAGAAAGGACGATGCCAGAAAGGAGAGGGCTGCGTGTTCGCCAAGACGGGCGGTGGCACGGAAGCGGTGCGGGGTGTGGCTGGGTCCGGACTGGCTGCTGTGCCATACCGCCGGTTCTGGCCAGTCCATGAAATAAATGTATTGAGGCGACTTTTGTATTGGCGAGACCACCCTGTCGTCAGGGCAACTAGTCAGACACAGACCCTCTCTGGAGCGAGTGTGGGAGGGAGGAATGAAGAACGGCGCTTTAAATGGAGGTGCGGTGCTCGTATTGTCCAGCCAGGGTCTGGTCCAGGACGGGTCGGATCTTGGAGCAGGCATCGACGCAGAGCTCCATTCCCTATGAGAGAGAGAGGGATCGATGAGTCGAGATGCTGTGGGGCCGAAGAGCGACCCCAGGCTCGTACAAAGTCCAATGTCTCTGCCCGCCGTTGTATGTCGGCAGCTCCATCGGCACATTGGGGCATATTGACTTGGCGGGACATGCCATCGATGCCACGACAAAGAGATGCAGAGACCAAGAAAGTGTGAGAGATCGCTCACCTGAAACGCCGCCTCCGGCGCAACTTCGCCCGACTGGAGCACATGCGTGACTTCGTTCAGCGAGGGCATAAACGAGAGCGTCAGCGAGCCCGTCTGGAGCGACTCTTCCTTTGTCGAGCAATCCAGGACAATCTGTTCGCCAAAGAACCCCTGGGAAAGAGGCAGGGATGTTGTGGGCGGGAGAGAGTGGCGCCAGCATATAAGCGATACTTGGCAGATTCGTGAGACACATATTGCCCTTGCGCTTTGGAGATATCCAATGCCAGCAACGAACGGCGGCGGTCGACAAGCAATCGCACCCGCCGCAGACTCCATGGGGCTTACCGCTGACGACGCAACGACCAGATCTTTGATTTCGATACCGGCATCGGCAAGCGCCAGCGATGCGCAAGTGATTGCTGCCGCCAGACATGAGGCTGTTCCGTCACTCTCGATCACATAGACAAAGATGTCGACCGTCGACTTTGGAAAGGTCTCGAATCGAACGGCGGGCGACAGAGCCTGCTTGATGAGGATGCCAAACTCCTTCTCAACCGGGTCCTGGTGGTGCAGACGAGAAGGAGGGTTCGACAAAGGCAGGACAAACCACAAAAGGCAAGGCGGGCAAGGCGGGTAATGCGGGTAATGCGGGAACGGACAGGGAACTGGGTCGAGTCCAGAGCATTGGAATGGCTGATCCGCTCTCGTCAAAACGACACCTGCGGATCTATTCTCGCGTCAGTGTCGAAACTGTGCTTGTGCTGAACATTCGATTACCTTGGGGTATCCGCGGCGTCGTGAGCATGAGAACGGGGCAAATTTGAAATCGCAGTTCAGCTGGCCGCGATCGGCAGTCTTGGTCTTGCCCTGGCGAGGCCCATATCTGAGACATGAATGGTTAAAGCAACGAGCAGCCCAATGAGTAAAGGCAGGGCATTTTCCGCCAGAGCCAGTGTCAGTGTCCCTGTCGTCGGATGAGCCGCTGCCTTCCGACAATGGCTCCGAGTCGATCCGAAAGACGAGCAAGCACGACAGTCGCGGCACTCTGCAGCATCCTTCGTCCTTCCATTGCTGCCATCTCGGTTGTCCACTCAGGCGAGATCAAAGATCACACATAGCGATGATACGCACACGCTGCAAGTCACTTTGAGGTTCCCAAACTCGATGTAGGCCGATCCGTTGGCTTGCTTGATGGCACCGATCTTGGAGACTGGGTGCAGTTTCGTTCGTCGGAGACATTCCGATATCGACCCATGCCAGCGTCGGGTCAGTTCAGGCGTTGATACAGAGGACCGTGGCCAGCACGGGGGACATCCAACCATGAACGAGCCCAGTGCAGTCGGCCCGCACATTTGCCACAATTTGGCATGCCGACACGAACATATCCGTCCAGTCCATCCTTCCGCACACACACCCTCTCTCTCTCGCTCTCTTTCGCACCACCCTCCTACACACACAGCAGCGAGCGCGACGTTTGCACAGAGTGACCCTCGGTTCTCCTCTCGCTGATCGTACAGAATGGCCGGATCTGGTGGGCCGATCGTCCGTCCTGGCGCTTCTCGGGTGTGAAAGGCTGCTGTGTCAGCGATCCGGGCTCCAGCAGCGGTACGAAGGATTTGGCCGGGCCCTGTTCATCGCACATTTTCATCCGTGAATTGTCCAAGAATAAATGTGGGGGGGGGGAAAGATAGAATACGATTCCGTGATGAGAAAGCAATTGTTTGCCAGAATCAGCTTTCGTCGTGGGTGTGCATGGTCAGTTGTGCAGATTGTTCATTACAGGAATTCGCTTCTTGTCGAGGGCGAGTGCCATGATGGAGCAAGAGGAGGTTGGCTGTGTTCGGCTTGAACCAGGACAGAGCACACGAAAGCTGTCGAGGGAGCCCGAGTGCGACTGGAGGAGGGCCTGGAAGGACGAGGGCGGCGGGATGGAGATCGGATCTGGTTGCCAAAGGCCGATCAAAATGGGGCATGCCATCGCGGTCATGTGAGCGACACTTGCCTTGCGCCACAGCGTGTCCAGCCTGGCGAGATCGCTTCGTGTCGATCCGATTTGGCCTGCGCCAACTGCATGAATGCTGCTGGCAGCGGCGGGCATGGACAACAGCGAGCATGCACAGCGGCGAATATCCCGCACAGCACACAGATACAGCTAGTCGCCACTCCATGCGTAACTTGAGTGTATTTCCGTCACCGACGAATGCAAACAGAGAAACGCCGAAAAATACAATCGAACGAACGAGTGAACGAACGAATGAACGAACGAATGAAACGAATGAACGAATGAACGAACGAATGAACGAACGAATGAAACGAATGAACGAATGAACGAACGAATGAACGAACGAATGAAACGAATGAACGAATGAATGAATGAATGAATGAACGAGTGAACGAATGAATGAACGAACGAATGAAGTGTGAAAGGAGGGAGAATTGTCCAAGGGTCAAAGGATCCGGGGCGAAAACGGAGGAGAATGCTGGACAGAGTCGAGGAGGCTTTGCTGGTTGGATATCGCAAGTGCGGGCGAGGAGGGAGAAGTGCTGAGGATCAAGGATCGGGCAGCAACTGAGCTTGGCAAATGATGAGAGTAGTGTCGGGAGAAGGATGCTATTAATTTGCTTTTTTTTTTTGCTTAGTTTGGCTCCGAACGTGGAGGCAAGGAAGGAAGGGAGCAGGTAGGCCGCGGCGATGATGGGTAATGTACAGAAAAGCACAGCCGAGCAAGGTGTATATGGAGGAGGCGGGGGCGGGGGCGGTGTCGGATACGCTCAAGAGTGAGCAAAGTAATATCGAGCCGCATCTATCAAGCTCCATCGACCGCGGTTGCTGTTGGATGCGCTGGCGGACACCCGACGGTCGTTGGACATGGTGGAAGGAAGGGTAGCGGCAGCACCAGGGTCGGGCGAGGATGGGCCAGAGTGCGGAGGCGTGTGGGAACCCAGTTTTCTATCGCTCAGCGGAGAAGAATTCAGTGGTGCAGAAGTAAACTTGCGGTCGCCAGAGGTCGGTGCGGACACGATGGACGACACCATGGAAGCCAAGTTTGTGGTTGGAGAGAGAGACGTAGCCGGAGACATGGTAGTGGTCGTGTTGGTGGCTTGAGATGCAGCAGTGGAGGCGAGCGAGGCGGCGGCCGAGGTTGGTTTGGGCGGAGATACAGAGACTGGGACCGAGGCTGGGACCGAGGCTGGGACCGAGGTTGAAGCAGCAGCAGTTGCAGCAGAATTCAAAGTTGGGACCGGGATCGCAGACGACGCTGCAGGGCGATGCAAGGGCGATGGAGACGATGTCTCCGCCGGGGCATGAAAGTAGTCGCCAAAGTCCATGATCTTGGCAACGAGGATCTCCTTCTTCTTCTTCCAGTCCTGGAACGCAACATCGATGCTGGTGCCGTAGACATTGTCCATGATGCTGTACTCTTTCTGGATCGCCGTGTCGGAGAGAGACGTCCAGATCAAATCCTCGTGCTTGCGCGAGGCGGACCGGGCGCTCTTGCGATCAAAGCTGGCGACGGTGATGGGGAACTCGTAGAGGGTATCCTCGAGTTCTCCAGGAGTGGGGCTCGAGTAAGGCGGCGGGGGAGTGCGAGGAGGCGGAGTCTTGGGCGGCGAGGCAGAATAGGAGTGGGCAGAGCCAGTGCTGGTAGCGGTGTACAGTGGCAAGCCAAAGCTCAGGCCGGGGCTGAAGAAGGACTCTGCAAAGGTAGGTGCGGGCGAGGAGTTGCGCGGCAGGCTGCGGTAGTGGATCTTCAGGGAGACGGCATGGCGGACCTCGACCTTGATCCACCTGGGAGCCGACTTTTTGTCGGCGGCGATGGTGGCGAGGCTGTAGTTGTACGAGGAGCGTGGGAAGGTGGGGCAGCGTAGCGACACCTGGGTATCGTTGACAAAGTTGCCGTTCTGGGCGGCCGAGATCTGCACGGGGGTGCTGGCGTTTTCGAGGGCCTCGAGGCTGGCAGAGGTGATGTCGTCGCCGGTGCCGGTCTCGACGTAGACATATTCTTTGAGGTGGAAGGTGAGGGACTCGACACGGTCGCGATGTGAGCGAGATATGCAGCGGAAGGAGACGGTGATGTCGTCGCCGGCGGCAAAGTTGAGGGCGGGGAACTTGAACTCGGCGGCCACGAGGGTATCCATGAGCTTGAAGGTGTGCTTTGGCGAGCGCATGACTTTGCGGACCAGAGAGGCATCGTAACGGGGCAGGGTATTCTGCAGCAACGACGGATCGGAGGAAGACGATAGCCGAGGTCAGCCACGAACGGAGCACGATTGCATACGAAGAGCGGGATGGCATCGAGCGAGGCTGCCCTGGAGATTGCAGGCGATCCGATGCAGCCACCAGATGCGCACCATGGCGATTGGTGTGAAACTAATGCAGGTGCGTCCCACGGCAGCACCAAGGGCATCGTCGAGGCGGGTGTCGATCCCGAGGAATGGGCACAGCCGGGAGTACACCCGCCGAAAGCGAAAACTCCCTCCCCCGCGCAAGCCTGTATGCAGTGTCTGGCCTTGCCACGCCACGGACGGTGCACTTCACCCCACAGCCAGCGCGAAGAATGACTCACCAGTGCCATGGTCTCCTCATAAACGAGGGACGGCGGATCGCCGCCTTTGCGGTAGCGCACCAGCAGATGATAGCTCACAAAAGGAAGCGACGAAGGCCGGGTGACGGGGCGAGACTTGGCATCGGAGGCGGGCGGCAGGAGCGTGTTCTCGACCAGGAAGGTGAAGGGCCAGATGTCGGCGATGCCGGGGCCGAGGGCGGCGGGCTCGTCCTTGGCCTTGGGGTCGATAAAGGTGACGGTCTGGTTGAAGAAGACCTCCTCGGGCTTTGCAGTCTTTGGGGTCTTGATGGGCATGCGGGTGCCGTCCGGGACCATGACCATGGCGGGATAGGTCATTGTGCCCACGAGCGAGACGGAGAGGAGGGGAACGGTGTGACTGTCAAAGGATTTGTTCTTGATGTGGATGATGCCGGCGACGGTGAAGGGTTTGCCGATGCCATTGAAGCCTTGGACAAAGTCGGTCGCGGGATGCGACGGCGGCAGAATCGAGAGGATCAAATCGGGTCGAGAGACGGTGGTCGACATGGATGATGAAGCATGCAAGTAGAGCGGAAGCGGGGGGGAGCAGGCTGGGGCCGGGAGTTGTTGGCGGCTGGAGCGTGAAAGTAGTTGGCGGCAAGAGGCTGGAAGTTGTTGACGGAACGCAGTGCGGGGATGGCGAATGGGAGGCGAGTGGAAACAAGTTGAAAACAGCGCGAGGTTGGTTAGTGCAAAAAAAGAGAGACGGAGCCGCCCACACCGGGACGAGGAACTGGGAAGCGTTGGGAGCGCATCAGTGGATCTGTTTGGGACAGCCACCGCAGGACGACGATGGCGACGATGGTCACGATGGCGATGGAGCACGAAAGTACCTGCGACGGCAATGGCAGATGGTTGTCGGTTGGTGGTTGTTGGTCGGCAATCGCAGATGGCAGATGGTTGTTGGTCGGCAATGGCAGGTACAGCGAGGGTATTTGTTTGGTCGGGACTGGCGGCGGCGGCCTCAGGGGGGGGGCCACGCTGGGCAATATTTGTGCCGGCGAGGGCCGGGACGCCGGGGCGCGGTGGGACTGTGGCAGTGCGCAGAGCGTCGCGTGTCAGCGCCGTGTCAGCGGGCGCTGTGTCTGTGCTGTGTCTGCGCTGTGTCTGTGCGGCTGTACTGCCGCTGTGCCGCCGCTGTGCGCTGTGCGCTGTGTCTGCCGCCCTCCCGCGTGGTGCCACAAACGGGCGCATCGGCCGCGATCGGGCCACACACACACGGCCCGCCGGACACGGTGCCCGCAGCGGCGCTGCCATTGGCTGCTGTGTGCGCAGCACCGGGCCGGCCGGCGGACAGGCGCGCGCCGCTCCGGGCTGTCCGGGCTTGTCTGGTGGTGTTCATGAAGCATTGGATGTGTTTGATGTGTTTGATGCATTGGATGTGTTTGATGCATTGGATGTGGGAGTGAGTGCGGCTGGAGCAGATGATGCGAGACGACGATATCCAATACATCCAATACATCCAACACATCCAATGCATCTAATACAACCAACACATCTAACACATCCAACACAGCCAGCCCAACACTTTGTTCATTCGCATCGCCGTCTGCAGCATCCACATTCACGTCCTCGTCCATACCGCTCATGCTCGTGCTCGTCCCGTCCCGGCTGTCCCCGACGGCGCATGAAAAGCTCTTTCCGCCAATCGTCCCCGTCCAGATGACCCCCCGTGTGCCCTCGTGTCCTTTCCCGCATTTTTGTCCATCGCTTGCATCCGCATGATGCCTCCCCTGCAATCGCATCGGTACTTCCGGGCCCGTCTTTGTTACCGCCATCTCCCTCCTTTTGCCATCTGCAAAAGCATGCTCGCACAGCAGCGTCGTCGGCAGTGCCCTGCCCCGCCCTGATCTCCCCCTGCGTTGTCCTCCTGAATCGTCTGCGCCTGTTTCCGTCACATCACCTGCCGCCTCCGTCACATCACCTGCCGTCTCCCGCCCTCTCATCCCCAGGGCGACTCAATCATCGTCGGGAGGTGGAATGCATTGGCGTGGATTCCCTCCGGTCTGCACCGGGATCTGTGGCTCATGCTGACTTGAACCCCTCTCGTTCGCGCCGAGCCATTTTCCCGCTCGAACATGGCCTGTGGCGTTGGCGAGGCCGCTGATCCCCAACAAAAGCCAGCCGCCAGTGAACAAAAACATGCTCTGATGGGCTGGCGCCATGTGGGGTCAGAAGAATCGATTGCCGGGCTTTTTGCTGTTCTTGCCTGCGAACGAATGAGCGGATGAGTGGTTGGGAAACGGAAGGCACATCTGGGCTGGTCGATATCGCTCTCCGTCCGTCGCAACGTATCGTTGCAGGTGGACTCGATCTGATCCGATGATCTCTGGCATAGCCCTCGCAATGCACAGCGCTATGCCGTCAATGAGGCTGTGTCCGAGGCGCTGGTGCTGTCCTCCGGATGGTCATGCGCCGCCAGGTACCGAGCGGTATCGACCGCCACCCGATGCACCATGGCGAATCCTGGCTCATCGGGGTGAATTGGGAGCCGATCCTGGCGGCCACGGCTCCGGGACTGCACATCAGCACAAACCCCATCGACTGTCGATTGCTCGTTCGTCGTCATTTGCCTCGTCCAAAGATGCCACATTACCATCCGCCCTCCATCCTCCACAACTCCCTCCTTCTCCCACCCACATGTCCACGTCTCCCTGCTACGTACCCTTGACGCCGACTTGCTGTTGCTGTGCATACTGCACCAGGCTCGCAATCATCTTGTTGTGCATTTCGGCATCCATCACCAGCTGCTCCTTGGCGTCGAGCCAGTAGTTGGCCTGCTCCTGCATCTTTTGATGATACGCCGACAGTTGTGCCACCAGCTGATTGAGTTCCTCGTTGGTCTTGCGGCGCATGTCGTCTGGAACGAGCAACATGCACGAAGAAAGGAGGGTCAGGATCAAGCCATCGTTGTGGACATGCCGTAGACAAGACGATGAATCCCCCTCTCTACCCTCTCTACCCCATCTGCCCTCTTGCCTGTCTCACCTTCGGTAATGTCGCATAGTCGCTTGGCCTCCATCAGATCGCTCTCGCGCGAATCTCCCGAAAGCGGCCCGCTTGGCAGAATCGACGAGCTCAAAGCCGCGATCGAGGTCTTTTTGGAGACGTGCTGCGAGGAGCGAGGAGCCATCGGGTCGTTCAAGGACGACTGAGACTGCTCCAGCGGCAGTGTTGTTGTCGACATCGAGTTTTGCTGCATCGTTGGTCAGAGTGAGAGGCGATAATGATACAGGGGGGCACGGCCGTTGTTTCCAGGGTGAGAATCGGCGGACCCCGCTTTGCTCACTTGCAGTGTCCCCTGTCGTTGGACGACAGCGACCATCGCTTCTCGAGACCGGATGGACTTACGTTGGGCTCTTCGACGACCTTCACACCCAGGGCATTCAGGAACTCTTTCCGGACAGTGGACTTGCGCCATCGGAACTTGGATGCCATCGACTCGGAGTAAACCGTCTCGCTCGATAGCTGGCCCCACAGATCGTACCTGCCCATTCGTGATAGCCGCTGTGAGCGACCCAAAGATCGCCATGCTCCTCCCGTAAATTGAATACGGGGGGGGGCCAATGTGTGGTGGGTCATGGGGGGCGATGGATAGTGCGTAGAGGCCAAGTGTGGTGGTCAGTGTTGATCGTTTGGGCTTACCAGAGCTCCGATTCAAAGGCGGCGCTGGGCACGACTGACTTGCTCGGAGTATTCTGCTGGGTGGTGGACGTCCGTGGTGTTTGGCTCTCGATGACTTCGATAACGACAAGGGGCTCGGCGGTCTCCCGTCCGTAGTGTTGAATCGGTATCTCGATCGGAAAGCAGTTCTTGAGCTTCTCGAGCACGGTATAGTAGACCGGGAGGACGGCGTCAGTGTTGTCGGGCATCTGGAGTTGGGCGAGGAGAAGATCGTTGTTCCCCTGGCGTTAGCATCGAGGCATGTACATCATCGAGGAATGTGCGCGGCAGCGCTGGTTGTCCAGACTTTGCCATCGTATCGCATTGCCAGTCGGTCGCTGTGGTCCTCAGCTTGATCCTCCTGCATGATGTGCGTTCTTTCTTGATCCTTACCAATGCCCGTCGGATACGCTCCTCCTCCTCTGGATTGGCTTGGACAGGCACGGCGGCTATCGGGATGGGAGGAGCAGCAACGGTGGCCGAGTTTGCGGCCGGCTCGGGGGCCGATGTCGGTGCCGGTGCTGGCACTGGCTCATCGAAATCGCCAAAGTCGCCAAAGTCGCTGTCGCCTGCATTCGACTTGGATGCATCGATCTGGGCCGGAGCCGGAGCCGGAGCCGGGACGGACACACTTGCATCAAAGTCGCCAAAGTCTCCAAAATCATCGCCATCGCCATCGCCATCGTCGCCGTCATCATTTGCACCGTGAGTCGGTTCGGATGCTGGGGCGGCTGTCGATGCTGGGTGGGCTGTCTCGACTGGAATGGCTCCGGCTTGGGCGTCATCTTGTGGTGCGGGGGCGCTAAAGTCGCCAAAGTCGCCAAAGTCGCCAAAATCATCGCCCTGGCTGCTCATGGTGCCGGAGTCAGCGGGTCTGGGTGGGTTTCAAAGACTTTTGGTCGAAGGAAATGCTGGTTTGTTGGGCTGTTGGATGGGATGCCGGACGAGCCGCCTGACAGATGCAATGGCGCAGGATCAACTCGTTTCTGTCGAGATATGGGGGTCGAAACAAGCGCCGCAGAAGGGGCACTTGATGCAGACTATAGCCGCTGCCCTGCGCTGGAGTCGGTGGGTGGATGTGCGGGGTCGTCGAGGTTTGCCGGGCGAGACGATTGGGATCAAGAGCACCACGCGACGGCGATGGCGGGATGAATGGGTAGATGGACGAGCGCAGAGACAATGGAGGCGGCTTTGATCGCCATCGAGGACCAGCGAATGCCCCCCCCCCAAGCTCCAGTCCTCGATCGAGGCCATTCTTGCCCGATGCAGCACCATCGAGGCATCCATCGGCGGCGCTCGCTCCCTCCTCGTGGACCCGTGTATATTCCAGTCTGGCCGATTTGTTATTCGGGCGCCGAGCTGGTCTTGCAGGATCCAAGGAGCCCTCCCCACCACTCGTCCAATACCTCCTGCAGCTTGCCTATGCATCGCGCTCGGTGACGACCGCAGTGCCCTTCATCGCAAGGCCGCCCTGGGCATTGGTCGCCCACAGCTCATAGCGCATCTCGCCGGCGGTGGCGGGCTCGCGGTCGAGCACTCGTCCGTGCAAATGGAGGTCTTGGCCACAGTAGAGCGGACTGAGGGCCCGGTACTCGAACGAGCGCAGGAACGGACGGCGGTGCTGGATGCCCTGAGTCTCGGCCAGGCGCTTGTGGAGCAGATCCAGCAGGAGGGTGCAAGTCAGCGGGCCATGGACGAGCCGCTCTGCGGAATGCGGCAGTTTGAGGAACCAGAGGATGGTCAGAAGGCGACCGTGAGATGGACAGCAGCCAGCAGCCAGCAGCCAGCAGCCAGCAGCCAACTGCACCGGATGATTCCCGTCGATCGAGCTACAGCAGCCTCAGTGGTTGTTACCTGGGTATCCCTCCTCGGCTCGGCAGTAGTCCGGGTCGTAGTGGATCAAGTGGCTGTTGAAGGTCAGGGCCGAGTACCGGAAGAGAGTCAGGGCCGTCGGCTTGATCTGGCGACTAAAGTTGGGCCTTGTGCTGGAAGGGACTGAGGACGACGACGATTAGCTGCTCCATGCACGATTCTTGATAGTGGCAAATGCTCCCCCCCCCCCACGATGGTGCTGACAACATGCCGTGGGCCGACGATAGCTGGCGGGCGGCATCGACACTGACCTTTGAGCACCCGCCCGGGATCGCTGACCCGGCTGCGGGCATCCATGTATACCAGGCACCGCACCTCCTGCATGGACGGCCCGGCCTCGTTCGCAATGTCCTTCTTCATCCACACAAACACTCGCAGATCGCCTTGGGCGCCCGGCTTGACCTGGATCCTGTCGACCTTGGTCGTCTGCGACACCCTGTCGCCGATGCGGAGGGGGTTCTCGAGGTTCCACTCGAACGATCCGCCGGCCCACATGCGTTTGAGATATGGGGCTGGGGGCGTGAACGAGGTGTCGTAGCCGTCGCTGGCCAGTCGGCATTCGGGCTCGCGCGGAGGGAAGCACACCAAGTGGTATGCCGGAGGCAGCTCGCTGCCGACCGGGACTGAGTCCCACGCCGGGGCCGATGGGGCCGATGGATAGAGCGTCGTTGCGAGCAACTGGGCGGCCGATCGGGTGATCTCATCCTGCTCGACAACGGTGAGCCCCTGGATGTGGGCGATCCAGCGGTCGAGAGTCTCTCGGTCGCCGCTGGAGACGGGAGCATTGCTGCTGAAGCCGCGAGCGGTGGAGCCCAGCAACGACTTGACATTCGGAGCCAAGCAAAGTGCGGTTGACATGGCAGCGGGCACGGCAGCCGGAACGGTGGCTGGAACAGCAGCATACCAGCATCCGCGACGGCAGACCGTCTCGGGCACCCGCAGGAGGGCAGAGCGGGCGAGTATTGGATGCATTTGCGCTGGCCGGGCAAGGTTGGAAACGATGGCGCAGATGGCGCAGATGGTGTCAGGGCGAAGATGTGCGTCGCGAGAGAGTGGGCGGGCTGCTCATGGACTGCCAGGCGTGGATGGTCGATCGTGGATGGTCGATCGTGGATGGTCGATCGTGGATGGTTGATCGTGGATGGATGGTCGATCGTGGATGGATGGTCGGCGGTGTGCAATTCACATCGGCGGGCAGTTGGGCGAGAGATGTTGTCTGTCTGAATATCCGATCGTGGGAAGTATACCATCAGTCCACCAACCAAGTAACACCGCTCTAACAATTAACACCGCTCTAACAATTAACATCACATCACTCTAACAAGTAACATCACATCACTCTAACAAGTAATATCACCCTTACAACCACTCGTCTTCCCAAGCAGCGCATTTCAACAACGAGCACGAGCCAGGGTCGCGCGCCGATGCAAACCTTCTCCCCCGCAATCTTGGCTCCCCAGCGGCATTGTCTCCGACCCAACTCCCCCCCCCGGCCGTCCTTTTTTTGCTCTTCCCTCACTCTCGCTCTCTCGGCCATCCCGGCAGATCATCCTTCCCACCTCGGCATCATGGCCTTCTCTTGGAACCTGGTCGGGACCGTCCTGATCGGCGTGGCGTTCTCGGTCTTTGCCCTGACCCGGGACTCGGTCCGTTGGGGACTGATCCTGCCCTACTCGCCCTTCTGGCTCGTTCTGGCGACGGTGCTTTCGCAGCACATCTACTCGCACCTCGGCAGCGGCCACTATGCCAACTCGCAGTTTGCCTTCACCTGCGTCTATTTTTCCATCATCGCCGGCACGCTGTCGTCGCTGTGCATGGCCTCCATCGGTGGCTACATCGACGCCTTCCTGTGTCTCGCCCTGGTCGTCGTCCCGGCTGTCCGAGTCCTCCAGGTCGAAAACATTTCCAACGGGCCCGCTCGTTCTCTTCGGCAGCCCATTTCCGACGACCCCTCTGTCCCTCTTCTTCCGTCGGCGTCCCGCCACAGCGAGTCCCAGAAGCGCCTGGGCCTCTTCGTCGCCAACTTTGTCGCCACCGCGGCCTGCATCCTCATCCTGATGGGCATTCTGTCCAGCACCTCCCTGAACCTTCTCTTCCGCATCAATCGATACAACCCTGCCGAGATGCAGAGTGTCGTCCTGGACGGACAAACCCTGCAGGTCCACATGCACTGTCGAGGCGAGGGCCAGCCCACGATCATCCTGTCGTCGGGCATGGCGGTGCCCTCGGCTCTGTCCTGGAAGGACATGTTTGGCTCCCTGGCGAACACCACCAAGACATGCTGGGTCGACCGTCCTGGGTGAGTTGGCGATCCGAAAGCACACGGTGTGGCGATGGGTGGGCCCATGTGCATATGTCGCAATGGGGCCGGTGGACTGCAGTCTCATGCTTATGTGGCTGACTTGTGGCTCCACTTCCTCGGGCTTGACGAATGGCACATGGTCCCCATAGGTACGGCTTTTCGCAGTCGGCCCGGCTGCCCCAGACCAGCAGAAAATACGCCGATATTCTCGAGCAGCTCTTTGTCCGCAGTTCCCCGAACGAGTCGTTTGTGTTGGTAGCGCATTCATATGGCGGGTAGGTGATGTGAAGAACTGCAAGCGAAACATGCCCGGATCCACGACCGAAACCACAAACGGACTGACCGGAAGATTGCTCATACGGATGTCTCCCGCGCCGTGCATCCAACGACTTTGGCAGATACGACGTCCGGCTCCTGGCCGACCGGTACGAGTCGCGGGTCAAGGCAATGGTCCTGATCGAGGCCTCGACCGACGACTTTCCTTCCGCCATGGACAAGATTCAGCATGGAGCCGCCAGCCGTGAAATGGGCGAGATGAGGGATTTCTCGCGGGCTTTTGAGCTGCTCTCGCTTCTGGCCCCCGTTGGACTCGATCGCCTGTTCAAGGGTGTGTATGAGGACTCACACATCCGAACCAAGCTGGAAGATCGCTTTGTCGGCACCATTTTCAACAATCGGTTTCATCGGGTACGTTGATGCATGGATGGATGGACATGTTCTGACACAGCCGTATCGCTATCGGGCTTCTGATCAAATCCGTGTTCAATCCGGGTGAGTCCACCAGGCTTGTGCAAACGAGCTCAGTCATTTCCTGGGCCAGTCGCTGGAGCAAGTTCGGCGTAGCAGGCTCGGCCGCCCATACCATTTCCCGGTCCTCGTCGTCACCGGCGGCCTGGAGATCGCCAACGGCTGTCCCGAAAGCCACAAGCAGGCCTGCACGCAGGAGCAAGTGAGGGCCGCTGCCCACCGACTGACCCAAGCCAAGCTCGTGGACTTGGGCCAGCCCGACCACCCATTCACTCAGCAGATTGTCGTCAAGGACTCGAACCACTTTGTGATCTTCAACAGTCCCGGGCTGCTGGTCTCCAAAATCACGGAAATCGTGCAGTATCTGCGAAAGTAGTGCGAGGGTCTGGGCGAGCGCAAGGGTCGACAGGCAGCCAATGCTGAATACAGTCCTTGCAAGACGACGGCACCTGTTGGTTGCCAAGTGGATCGCAAGGGCAGTAGCGGCCCGGCGTGTGGATATGTCTTGCACAATGAATGACGCTTGACAGAACCCATCGATCCGTGGATGGTTATCACGGAGAATGGCCGGGCGACATGGAATCATGCGTGGCGACTTTGGGGTTCTGGAACCTGAACAGCGCTGCCCCATATTATTGTATTGCATTGTGGCTTCCCTCTGGCTTCGCTCCTCTCCATTCTCCCCTCATCGCCCCAGCCCCAGGTTCACACCTCCTCCCATCGCACACAATGACAGCCGGCGTCGGCCTCCATCCCTCCCCTCTCGATTCTACACAACCAGTGCTTCTGTATCCAGACTGTTGGAGTCTGTCCTGTCTTGTGGAGCACATCAGAGCATCTGCACCTCTCTCGAACTAGGCAGTCTCCATACGTTGCGAAGCAGCACTGTGAGCATCACAGTCTGCAATGTATATATGCCATGAAAAGAGCGAATGCCCAATGAGACAGCATGTAGCGCCGCGGTGCCCACAGAAGCAAAACCCTCTCAGGTGGCCACCACGCTCTTGATCGATCGGACTGGCGGGAGCGGGCACCGCGGATCGACGGGCTCGAGCACGATAGCCTTGGTGCGATGGCTTGTCAGCTCGGGTCGCTGCATCCTCGGCTTCATGCGCTTCTTTTCCTTTGGCTGGGCGTAGATGGGCTTTTGCTGCTTCCAGAAGGCGATCCGGCCCTCGAGGAAGGACAGCCCCTCGGTGACATAACTGACAACATCCTCGTCCCGGTTCTCGACCATGTCTGGGTCGCTCAGCAGCTCCTCCAGGTAGACCTTGTCATCGTACAGCTCGCCGAGCAGCTGGCGTGCCATCGCTTCCTCAATCTCGTGGTTGATGCGGCTGCTCTTGGAGGACGGAGTCCGAGACTTTCCCGGGCCCGGCTTGGTATTGGGGGACTTTGGGGACTTTGTCGGCACCGACCCTGGCTTCTTGGACGGCGTCGGAGCCTTGCCGCCGACCGTAGCAGGGCCCGAGGTTGGAGCCTGGGCGGCCAGGGCCGGCAGATTGCTCTTGAAGGGAATCTGGTGGTCCTTGTGTGCACCGATGGAGTTTTCGATGGCCTCCCGGGCCTTTTGGATGCCGATGCGGAACTCGTCGAGCTCGGGCCGGGACCGGTTCCCACGGTGATAGTACATCAGGGCCAGCTCAAAGTCGCCCTGTGCGTAGAGCGACTCGGCCTTCTGATAGACGCCTTTGTGGAAGGTCGGGTCGTCCTTGAGCGAGGCGTCGGCATCCTGGAGGGCCTGTAGCGGCTGGCCGATCTGGATGAAGCAGCGAGAGCGGGCAACCAGACAGTGCTTGTGGGTGGGCTGCAGCGCAAGGGCCTCGGTGTAGCACTCGATGGCCTCGTTGTAGCTGGCTTTTTGGGCAAGCAGATCGCCTTGGGCCGCCAGAGCCTGGAAGGTCGCCACGGGGTTGAAGTCGGGCGGATGCTCGTCCGAGTCGCCCATGGGGGCGCGAGCGCTGGGTGTCTTTGGGTCGTCTTTGCCGCCCATGGGGTTATGTGAACGAGGCTGTTGCAGAACGGATACCAAAGATGTGGTTTCAGGGATGCCGACTGACGGGCAAAGGTATCAGCTTGGAGGGGGTGCGATATCCTGCGCTGAGATGAGATGCAATGCAGGCCGACGTGGTGACCGGGATGAGAGGTGAGAGATGAGGGATGATAGGCAAGGGACGCAAGTGCGACTCTGGATCTGCCCTGAGTGCAGTTGGACAGTGCAACAAAAGGCCGGGCGCTTGAAACAACAAATAGCGCCCTGCGCAAGGGTTGCGTCGCTCGGTTGACATCAACACCGAATGGACATATGGTTTGCTGCGGGCGGATGCTGAAGCGACGGTGCTCGAAACTGTGCTCACCAGCCGCATGCGGTGTCGCTGTGACGCTGCTGCGAATGGACGCCAATCGGACATAGCAGCAATATGTCGCAGGTCTGGGGTTGGTGCTGGGGAACTGGGGCTCAGAGACAGGCAGAGCAGTCGATTGTGTCAGCCAGAGTGGATGGCGGCCTGCCGAGCGCTCAGTCGTCACCCTGCTTGATTGGCATTGCGGCGACGACCAATTTCATCGGGCATGGCCGCAGCGATGCTCTCCATAGCCAGCCCATGGACCTTGTGCGGGACTCTCAGGTCTGTTCGTGCTGATGTTGCCGTTCCCAGGTCGGTCCTTGCAGTTCCCACCGAGTTCTCGCCGAGATTGTTCTCGGCGAGAAGGACAGCCACCGATACCAAACTGCCCCAGCCCGTCTCTTCAATCGCAGGGCCATCATCACCGGCCTGCTCTTCATCGCCCTGACCTCGACAGACCTCGCGACCCTTCAAGCTCGCCACCGTCTCGGCCCCGGAGCAACGCTATAGCCATGGTGAACCCAAGCAAGAAATTCCACACCGCCTCGATCGGCCTGAAACCGGGGGCAAAGCGCCGCGACACCTGGGTCGACCACATCCTCCGGTTCTTCACCGACGGCCTGCTGGTGCCCTTCCTGAACGGCTTTGCGCTGGGCACCTTCAGCACGGTCTTCCGGGCACTCATGCCCGGGCGCAAGTCTGGCCAGGGGTCGATCGGCGACGAGATCGTCCGGGCTGCGGATGAAGTAGCTGTCCAAGACGTCGTCTCAAATATCGTGTAGGCAGCTATCGGAAACCGGCCCAATGCCGCTGCCTCTTCCTTCTCTCTGGTCGAGTCTCTGGTCGAGTCTCTGCCGATCCGGATCGATCGATGGTCAATATACGCCCAACGAGCGATCAACCCCAGCCGACATGGCCTGGGTTTCGCGACTGCAATCCTCAACCGGGCATCTCAAGCCATCCGTCTGACCCCCCTCCGCTGGATTCTGTTCGCCTCTGGCGATGGGATGATGCTTGCACGGACTTTTTATTATTGCGCCAAGGGTCGTGATCAGTGAGTGAACAGGAGTGAAAGAAGCTCACGGGGATCGAGATCCGATCGATGCCGAGGCTGGACCACAAGATGGGGCTGGATTGGGACGGTCGATTCGAGCAGCCTTGCAAACGAGGGCCGGGTCAAGGCATCAAGAGCTTCACCGGCCGAATGAACGGAGGGAGGGGGAGAGGAGGGCAAAGAAAGGCAGGGGAGAGGGTGTACGGGTTGTGCTCTGCGGCACACCCAGACATGCCTGGAGAAGACCCAAGACGAGATGCGGAGGAGCAGCGGGTATCGGAAGGGGGCGCCCTGGGCAGGAAAGCCATCCAACCGAAAGTCGTTCGTCTCTTTGCTCTCTCCTGCTTGCTCGGGCTCAAGGCAAAAACGGTGCTCGGGAGGATGGCGGCCTCAGGCGTTATGATCGGCACCACCTCCGCCGGCACCGCTGCCAGCAGCAGGGGGATTGCGGGCGGTGCAGGCAACGATCTTGACTCGCTTCACAGTCAGCGGCTCGTCGTCGATCTTCAAGTTCGAGTTCTCGACAATGAAGGTCCAGACGTCGTCGCAAAAACGATAGGTTTGAAGGTGACCCTGCAGCATTTTGGAAGCGGCGAAGCAAAACCCACCACAGCAATGAGGAGCGCATCCAAGATGGAGAGATAAACTACACGGGAGCCGACATACCTTGATCTGGGCTTTGACTCGAACCCGCTGATGGAGGGCTTCGGCAATGCTGATGTCAAACTGCAACAGGGACCGCAGAGAGGGAATGAACGCGGACACAGCCAAGTCGGGCCAGGATTAGTTTGCGGTTCGGCAGGCGACAGTCGACCAAGCGGCATCAATGCTGTCGCAGATGCAAGGAGGCAGGTCTGTCGTCGACAATCACGTCCGGAAATGCCCTCGTCGCCAGAGACGACATGACGAAATGACGAAAGTCGTTGCCGGCCATATGCAAAGAAGGAAGAGCCCCCGGCACGAGCCAACGCATGCTCAGAATGATGATGGCAGCGCCGGAGAAGCCGCAGGTCTCTCGCACAGGATCCGCGGCGATCGATGTATCCCGTCCATGTCGTGCAGTGTTATCGCAAATCAATTCTCCGGTCCCGGCTCGGCCGATGCAGCGCTGGCTGGTGTGGTTTGCAAGGACTTTGCTTCTCCGCTCACCCCCCTGGTCCAGAGCACCCAACACAGCCCATGCGACTTGGGCGGACGGCCCTCCTGCGTCGGTCGGCCCACGCTGTCCTCCTGTGCATCCACACTCGCACGCCTCTTCTCCAGCTGCGACATCCCCCCCCCTTCCTCCTGCGGTTTGCTCGACCTTCAGAGCTCGCTCCCTCCTCCCTTCCGCCACCCCAAGCCAAGCCAATCCAGGCATTACTTGTGTCAGGATCTTCATGGCCTCTTGCGGATCCAAGTGATCATTGCAGATCAGCTCGTCGAGCGTGTCCGTCAGGGCAATCCCGAGGGTGCTGCGACGGTAGAGCTCATACTGCGCCATGTTGTGGGTGGGTGGATGGACGGACCCGCCAGTCGGATCGATTGGAGGAAGAGGAGAGAATCGCCAAGAAAAACGTCGCTCACGGGCCCAAGTCATTCTGCTGCGCCACAGACTCCAACGTGACAAGCCGCCCCGGTTGGGAGCGGCGGTGTTGGTGTGCATCGGCAAACCCGATTCTGGCATCCCATCCCATCTCATCCCGCGACGACACACATCCGCAATGCGCACGGTGCAGCCAACAGAGATGTGGAAAGGCTAAAGTGTCATCAGCTATTGAGGGAAAGCGGTTATATCCTGCTGCAGAGTACAGGCGGAAGCGACAAGGAAAGAGAAGCGGGTTGGCTGGACAACGACAGAGCCATGCGGACGGATTCGACGACTTGCAGTCGAGGGCATATTGCAGCGCACCCTCAGCTCCACACGGGTGCAATGACAGGTCTCTGGTTAGGGAACAGGTCGAACCGGCGTGAAATAAACCAGGTACAGAAGTGCAGGGGAAGTAAACACCCACATCCAAACACCACATCCACATACAAGCACCCACATCCACACATCCATACGTACATAGGAACGAGCACAGGAGCAAGATACAGCGCACGCAGAGCACCACAAGAGCAGTCAAGGAGAGGGAAAGAGCCATTGGTGGCAGTGGTGTCACTCGAATCGTGTCTCCTTAGGCCGGCTCACCCAGACATAAAAAGTACTCGATCTGGTGTCGGTGTCCGTCGCCCGGGACAAAGCTGGTGACTCGCCGCTCAACCCGGCGGTTCCCTCGCCGCGAGCCGGCCCGAAAATCGAGACAGACAAGCGAACCGACCTCGCTTTCGCCATCGGCCTCTTCGTGCTCGGGCGACGCCGTGCTTCCAAAGGCCATGGTGTTGTCGCGGTTGAGCTCCATGAAATGCAGCTCGCTGAGGGCATAGGGTGGATGGTCGCCGCCGTCGGAATCGCACATCTTGAAGAGCTGCTGTCCCGTCCGCGAGTCCCAGACGAAAAACTCCTCAAAGAGGATGCCGTTCGTGAGGATCACATGGCTGTTCATGACCAGCGTCATGGGGCCGCGCAGATGGCTGCCGCCGCCAGTCAGCTCCAGATTCTTGTGTGCAACATCGATGCATAGATTGTAGGCTTTCAGCACCGTCAGGATGGACAGAATCCGCGACTTGGTTTCCTCGATCCAGGTAACGCACGGCTGTAAGACTGGCCGTGATGGCGTCGACAGCGGCTGCGGGCACTGTGCAATGTACTGGCCGAGATCCTCGATTCTAGACAGCCGCCAGTACAGGTAGCTGAACATGTGCTGGCCCGACAGGATGATCTTCTTTGTGTTCTCGATGTCGGCTTCGATGTCGTCAAAGTCGAGGCCCTCTTGCATGCACTCGAGGATCTTTTGGTCCAGGGCCGCGAGAGACACCTTGGTCTTGGTGAAGAGGTTTTCGGGGAGGCTCCGGATGGCTACAGCCAGGGCCGGCCAGCTGCGGCTCTCCCAGTACTCGAGCTGCTGGCTGCAGAATTGACATGTGCAGTCAGCCTCGAGAGCAGGCGCATCTGCAACAAGCGGCTGGGTTGGAGCCGTGCTCGCGAGGGCGCTGGCTTCGGGCTCTGCGCCGGTGTTCTCGGTCATGACTTGCTCGGTCATGACTTGCTCGGTCGTAACTTGGTCGGCCATGGGTTGTTCGGCGAGGGGATTTGGCTCAAAGACAGAGTCAAGCATCTGCTCCTCCGATATAGCCAGAGCATCGTCCTGGTCGGGGCTCTCGGCGGCGCCGTCGATGCTTGGCTGGTGGGCCAGGCTCGATCGTCCCGCGGATGCGCCCGAGGGCTGCAGCCGTTTGCGCGTGAGTTGGGTATACAGCGACTCGCACTGAGCGTCATCCAGACAAGGCACACGCAGCTCGGGAACGACCAGATCGCAGCGGAACGTGTGCAGGAGCTCGCCCGTCTTGATGTCGTGCAGGTAGTAAGTTTGGTCGTAGAGCCCGTACACAACCTTGTCCTCCCAGATGGCGACGTTCATGAACTGCGACTGCACGCCAAAGACCTGGTCGGCCAAGTACGATTCAGGGATGGTCAGCACGCGCTCGATCTGGCCCGAGTCGGCGTCGCGGACGGTCACTCGCCCGTGCCGGCCGCCGATCACGAGCTTGCGCTTGTAGACGTTCATGCTGCTGATGTCTTCTGTTGTGGCATCGATCAGCTGGAGGAGCTCCAAGCGATCCAGATCCCAGATGCTGATGTACGAGGCATCGTCAAACATGTACAAGAGCCCCTCGCCGTTGGTAAGGAGCAGGGCCACGGCTTGGGTGTGGCCGACAAACTCCATCAGGTTGCCACACGACCGGATCTCAAACATGAGCTGCTCCTGGCCGGATAGACTCGACACTTGGACGGACTTTGGAGGCCGCGGGCGGTTCGAGGGCGGAGGCGCCGAGTCCAGGTACTCCATGTACACGCGCTTGGTCGAGGAGTTGATCCAGCACAGGCGATTGTGATCGAGCGCGACCTGGTACGCATAGTACGGGTAAAGGGGCCATGCAAACAGGTAGGATCGCGAAGCCTGCGCCAGCTCTGGGGCGGGGGTCATGGGCGACGACTCGGCAAAGGCCGAATCGGGGCGAGAGGGTGGCGAGAGGTCCTGCGGGGGCGTCTGGAACGGGGTGGAGCTGGCGTCTTCGATTATGGAGCCGATCGACTCGTTGGACTCGCTTGATTGGTCGTCACCGCCAGAGAGCGGCAGGAATAGCTGCTCTGCGGCAGTCCCGTCGAGCGCAAACGACCGCTGCTTGACGTTATAGTACTGGCACTTTCCGGTCCGAAGGTTCTGTTGCGATATGTAGTAGTCCTTGACAGTGCTGTAGGGCTCGGGAGGCTGCGAAAGGGCAAAGTCGCGGCGGACAAAGTGCGGCCAAAAGGCATTTTCGAGTTGATGGGAAAGCAGATACCAGTGCCGGCAGACCTGCTGGCAACGGAGGAACGTGGGGACATCGAGGTTCTGGAAGATCAGGATGAGAACGTCCGGAGGGAAAGCCTGTGGTCGACCGGGAGTGCAAGAACGCATGGCTTGGGTCAGCAATAGATTCGGCTTGGGCTGTACCATAGTGCAGACGAGCAGCACATCGGGACGGTATGCCCTCATGACCAACAGTCGAGCGTGTGCAGAGCGAGTACCTGCTGGAAGCCCAGGATCTCCATGGACATGAGCGATGACGGGGTCGACGACGCAGGGCTCGGACCCCGGCCGTCGAAGGCAATATCCATGGGATCGCTACCGTCCGGGCTCGCCGACGGTACGAATGGCGGAGATGCAGGGTCCCTCTGGACAGTATTGTGTTGGAGCCGCACCCGTGCAATGAGCTTGAGCAGCGGGTTATGGATGGTGGAGTCATGGGTCCGAAAGAGCAGCGAGTTGTAGTTGAGGGACGGCGAGGATGGGCAGCACATGCTACCGGGGGAGCACGGGTAGCTGTGCCAGGGAGTATCGACCGGCTGAATGCCTGGAGTCTCTTCGCCCGAAGGCGGCGGAGGCTCCTGCGGATCCAAACCGTCAACGTCCATGGGAGTTGTCGCATTCGAGGCATGGATGAGGGAGGCTTCTCGGAGCAGGATATTGCGCAGCAGCGGCGACAGGGACGGATCCTGGACGAGCTGGTCCGACAGCCATGCCAGCAGATCAGGTGGAGGCGAAGAGGGCTCTTGAACCATGATGCTGGTCGATCAGTTACAGCAGAGCGGCAGAGCCACAACAGAGGTATGGCAACAGGCTGAGCGGGCCAAGGAAGTGGGGGCGTCGCAGAGGAAAGGAGGGCAGAATTCGTTCCCAGCAGTGGCCGGGGGAGCGAGAGACGGCGACAGAGATGGAGGCAGCAGGAGCCGAAAAGCCGCCGCAGAGCAGAGCGACGGCAGCAGCGGGACACTGGGCAGATGGAGGGATGGGATGGGAAGAGCGCCAGCCGAGGGAGGGCGGAGGAGTCGCCGACGAGGCATTCGGCGAGGCCATGAAGACCGCCGGGCATGTGGGTGCCACGTGGGCGCATGTGATGGGCTATTTCCGGCCTGGCCGCACACTGGCAGGGTCACGGGGCCGTGCAGCCAGCTGGTGGCCACCGCCACACCGGTCGCACCACCGCCACCGCCACTGCATCGCCGCGTGCGCAGCTGCCCGTCGCGCGAACTTTCCCGTCCCACGAAATCCGCCGTCGCCGTTTCGTCATTTCCGTTGGTCGACAAAGGCCGGCTCGATGCTCGCTGTCGCCGGGTCCTCCTGCTCGTGGGTCCCACGCCGCAGCCCCCTCCCAGCCCATTCCGTCTGCTCTTGACCTCATCGTCCGCTGTCCGTTCCGCCGAGCCTCCCGCTGGCCATCCTTGAATCTCACCTCTCTCCAGCCACAGCCTTGGCTCTTGCTGTCGCGGCCTGCCTTTGCCTGATTGCATCGATTCTCCCCCACTCCTCGACACATCCGCCCCATGCCCTCCGAAGCCGATCCGCTGCTGCCTCCCCAGCTGCCCGCTGACGACTGGGTCGAAGAAGGTGTCCCGGCCTCGCACCCTGCCTCTCGAAGTGGTGTCGGCCAGACAGTCACCGAGGCCCTCTACCACATTGTCTGCATCATCGCCGGATCAGGTGTCCTCCAGTTGCCGTTCAGTCTGAACCAGGCTGGCTGGGTTGGCCTGTTCTTCGTCGTTTTTGCGGGCATAGCGAACCATTACTCGGGTATTCTCCTTGTCAAGTCCCTCTACTACAATGGGTGAGTCTCATTCCATCGACGGTGTCCAAGCATCTCATCGTCATCGCTCGGTCCGCTCGCTTGGTCGGATAGCCAGCAACCACAAGAGGCTCCTGTGTTCCTCGTTCCCATGAATCGATGCTGGCATTGCGATTCTAACGACAGCCGTATCGGATCCAGCTCGGTGCGGCTGAAGAGCTACCCGCACGTTGGATATGCCGCCTTCGGATCGGTTGGCAAGCGACTTGTCGAGCTGCTCAACAGCGTCATGCTGCTTGGTAGGTCCGCCGCTTCTCGATATCTATCCCTATCGCTCTGCGGCTGTCATCTCGATGCTGCTGCGACGATGCTGTCTTCGGCATTCGGCATTCGGCATTCGTTGCATCGCATGCTCCATCGTGGCACTGGCTCAGCGATACTGGGCTGATGGCTCGTTCCTGATGCCACCATCCCGTGGACCCGACTTTATTCACAGGCGTCACTTGTGTATACCTCATCCTGGCCGGAATGAATCTTGAGCTGCTCCTCGGCATCTACAGTACCAAGACCTGGTGCGTTGGCATCCCTGCTACTGCTGCTACTGCTGCTGCTTTGTGGTTGCCCTGCCTTGATGTTTCTATTTCATCAGTCCCGGGCTCCACCTTTTGCTCGGACTGGAGTCGTTAGTGATAGTTGTGGCGTTGGTGAACAGCTCTCACACCTCCATATTGAACTGCTGTCGGCGCTGCTTTAGGATCATCTTGTGTGGGCTCATCGTCGGCATTCCCTTCCTGTATTTCCGGACGCTCAAGGAAATCGCCATTTTCAGGTACTGGTCTCGATGAATGGATGCGCTTGGGATGATTCCAATCACGATTAAGCAGTCCATGCTTACCCCGTTGCCATCCCCTGTGCCGTCCCTTTGGCCAGCGCCTTCGGCGTCTTTGCAACCATCCTGGTCATTGGCGTTGTGCTCTGGCACTCTGTCGGAGACTATCCCGTCTACGAGGGCCGAGTGACGCATAAGGTCTTTGATTTCTCAATGCTGCCGTCAGCGCTCGGATCCATCAGCTTCTCGTATTCGGGCAACTATGTGGTAAGCTTCGGGCGGTGGAATTGTCGCTGGGCTGGGCGATCCAGACCGCATCTCTTCCCTCCTACTCCAGCACGGTGGGTTGCACCCGGGAATCGGTTTGAGTTTCGGAGTCAACCAATGTCGCTAATCGACCTTTTCATGCAAATCCTTTTTTGCCGCCACCGCTCGCCAGTACCCCGAGGTCGAGGCTTCAATGAGAGAGCCAGAAAAGTTCCCGCGCGTGCTCACTCTGGCCATGAGCGTCATCACAGCCATGTACATCGTTACTGGTGCCGTTGGGTACTTGACATATGGAAACCTCACGGTGTCCCCAATCCTCAACAATCTGCCCAAAGGTCGGTCGATTGTCGGCACTGCCTGTTCCCAACCAACTCATCAGCAAGAGTCGATAAGCACCCATGCGCTTTCCAAACATGATACTCATTCCTCTGGGTGTCCTTGACAATCATACACAGGCTTCCTATCAACGTTTGCCATCGCCGTCATCAGCGCCCACGTTCTCCTGGCTTGCCCCGTGATGCTCACGACCTTTGCCCTCGAAGTATGTCTGTTTCGGCTGCTCAGGAAGCAATGCAATCTGGGACCCGATGGACCTTGGCACCTGGATGGGGTCGAGGCGATGTCTCCCACGGCCGCCTGCCGACCCTGTTCAGTGGACCAGGCGCTTCTCGACCTGTCGTTCTAACAGCCACTTTTGATCATCGACGCCAGACCGAGCGCCATCTCAAAGTCGATGAGCTCGAGCTCAGCAGCTCCCAAAAGTCGACTCGCATCGCCCTAATTCGCGGCGGCATCCTCGCCGGCGTCACGGTCGTCTCGATCATCATTCCGTTCTTCGCCGACTTTATGACGCTGCTTGGCGCCGTCGCCAACACCTTCCTGATCTTTGTCTTCCCGATCCTCTTTGACTTCCGCTTGTACGGCTTCTGGAACCGTTCTTGGGGCGAGATCATCTTTGGCATCTCAATCATCCTTCTGGGAGTCTTTGGAGGCACCGTCGGCGGCTTCGAAGCTGTGAAGGCCCTCTGGAACGACTTCATCAACAGTCGCTGAATGCAACGATGAATGGACAGTGTGCCGCGGACGAACGAACGACCGGGTGCTCGCCGAATGAGACGACCCGCTGCCGCCACCGATGCCTCTGGAGGCTGGTGCACTGGCGAGGACGATCTCGGACATGTTTGTGATGGGCAGCAGCCGTTGCTTGGCCAGTTCTGCAGCACCTTCAGTGCTTTTTGGACGATGTTAGCACTTGTATTTCCGACTGGTATTACCACAGTTCCTGCTCTATTGGCTGTTGTTTTTTACTTTCTCCCCTATATGTTGCCTATTGGCTTGCCATTCGAGAGTGGCACTACGCTTTACAAATGAGAAAATGTCGTATCAGATAGCCTGAGTCCATACAGTTGGTGGGTGTGTTCAGGTTCCATTGTCATGTCTCAAAACGAAGTGTCCCGTTTCATTACGGGAATGCTGTCAGTGGATCACTTTGGAGATCCTTCGCGAGGATCAAGAAACCGGCCCTTCCCGATTCGATGGTGCGAACAGCAGAACAGGATTGCCCGCATCGAATATTCGCCAGACGAGTTGTCGCCAGACGAGTTGTCGCCGGACCCATTCTGCTCCCTGCCAGCGGAGCAAACTGGCCCTCGTTTCGACAGCCGCCGCATTCGCAAGCGCCGACGAGCCGAGGCATTCCCGGCAGAACCGCCAGGGAGCCGAGCCAAAGCACATTTGTGTCTGTCGCTGGGACCCACGGCAGGGCGTCCCACTCGCCGGAACGGCTGCTTGCGTTTGCAGCCCAGCCCCGAGCCGGAACACCCCTCCGCTTTCTCTCCGTCTGAGTGCCCGACCATATCCCACCACCAGCAGCAGCACCAGCACCAGCAGCAACAGCAGCGGCACCAGCATCCCCGAGGCCGAGCCCCTTTCCCCTCCTTCCCTCTCCCCGACCCCCGCTCCATATCCAGCGACCGCCATGCCAAAGGATTCATATGCCCTGGTGCCTGTTAACGCACCGGACGATCTGGACGATCTGATCCAGCCCGAGGAGGATGGCGATGCCGGCCACATCCCTGCCGATACAGTCTCGTCGCCGCATCAGGGCCATGGCCAGTCGAACTTGGAGGCTCTCTATCACATCATGTAGGGCCCGAGACCTTTCTGTGCTCATCCCCGCCTGCGAGGGGGGCCAGACAGACGGACCCAGTCCTTCCTCGCTCACTCGTTTGCACATTCTGTACCCGAACCCCAGATGCATGATCGCCGGCTCAGGAGTGATATCCTTTCCATTGTGTTGCCGTTGGGTCGCAACGTGCTTGTCGAATGCAGGGCCTTCATGCCTTGCTTCGCTACTTGGTCTGCATGGCATGTTCCGCTTGCTGGACTTGACTTGTTTCACTGGCTTGACTTGGTTTGTTTCACTTGCTTGACTTCCTTGACTCTCGGCCATCTCCCCTCTCTCTGTGTGCTGCTCCTGCTCGGCTGGTTTGTTCTCGGTGTCTGTCGCATCCCTGGATGTCTTCCGACTGGGCTTCCTGTCACCACCTCCAGCTGCCATATGCGCTGAACCAAGTCGGTTGGAGCGGCCTTGTGGTGATCATGTTCACCGCCGCAGCCAACGATTACACAGGCAAGCTGCTGATCAAGTCACTCTATTACAAAGGGTAACGTTCGGCAGCCCTCTGTGCGATGATGGCTGTTGCAGAGCCGCCGAATGCTGACGGCCATTTCGCCCCAGGTCCTCGCGCATGGAGAGCTATCCGCTTGTCGGCCACGCAGCGTACGGCCTACTTGGCATGCGGCTAATTGAAATATTCAGCAGTGTCATGCTTCTGGGTACGGACCATCGAGCTCCACTCGACTTGCAGGGATGGCAGCTGGCGACGGAGGAGGGCGAGAGCGCCGTTGCTCATACAAGACGTTTGGAATCCGGAATGATGATGCGGACTCAAATGGGCTGATATGGTTGTTGGTGGTTGCGGTTTGCTTTCCCAGGGGCCACCTGTGTCTACTTGATCCTGGCGGGCATCAACTTTGAACTCCTCATTGGAGTCTTCTCTGCCCGAGTCTGGTAGGAGTCAGCGCTCTAGAAGCAGCCGTGGTATCGTTCATGGTCGACGAATGACTCGCGAGTCTGCACTCGCGCCGTATCTATGGATGCCCATGTGGCATCGATGATTGCGCAACTCACAAGCAATTCCATGCCCTATTATCCACTCCATGACCGTATGTTCCGATGGCTCGCTCTGTCAAATCCGCCAGGATCATCCTCAGTGCTGTCCTGATTGCGGTTCCGCTCCTGTGCTTCCGCACTCTCAAGGAGATTGCAATCTTCAGGTTCGTTGTCGGCTCACCCATGGCAATCACGGCAACCATGGCAATCATAGCAATCAACCTGTCGGACTCAGTCGTCCCACAGCGTGAGTCGAACGCAACTTCTCACCCGTCCGTCTCGGCTCGACTCGAACACTCAGTGCCTTCGGCGTGTTCGCTTCGATCCTGGTCATCTTTGTGGTGCTGTGGTGCGCCGTCGAGGACTACAGCAGCTACTCGACGCAAGTCACCCACAAAGTCTTTGATCTGGCGCTGCTGCCCTCGGCCCTGGGCTCCGTGAGCTTCTCGTACGGAGGAAACTATATTGTGAGTTACGACGAGTCAGCGATGCGGTCTTGCTACAATGCAGGCTGGCTGAAGCTAACCATACGCCGATTCCACTTTGCTGATCCAGTACCCCGAAGTCGAGGCGTCAATGAAAGACCCAAGCAAGTTCCCTGCTGTGCTCAACGTCTCCATGATCGTCATCACAGTGATGTACGTCTTCACGGCCACAACCGGATACCTTACCTACGGCGACAGGACTGTCTCGCCCATCCTAAACAACTTGCCCAAAGGTACCAGAGTCATCTCACTCAGAGTCATCTCACTCGGAGTCATCTCACTCAGAGTCGTCTCACTCTGCATCTGCATTCTGGCCGAGGATCTGGTTTGGCTGGGACGACATCGAGTGGCGACCGAATCAGCATCGATGGACCCTGCAACTCACCGCTGCGGTGCTGCTGTCCTTGAACTTTCTATCGCGCTCAGGGTTCCTTTCATCGTTTTCGAGTTGGATCATCACGGCGCATGTCTTGCTGGCGTGTCCACTGATGTTGACGACATTTTCGCTCGAGGTGAGTCCGAAGATGTGTCTGCTGTCATCCAGAACAGCTTGTGTGTTGGATTGATCGACCGACAGAGTGACTTCCCTCCATTTGCATGTGTGAATCGCCGCGATCGGGTCAATGCCGCTCGACTGCCAACACGGATGCCGCCGAAATCACTGAACACCTGTCATTCGTCTCTCTGTCCTGCACTCCTTTTGGGGCTCGAAAATGGAATCTCGTACCCTGCTCTAGCTCGAGCGGCGCTTCGGCTTCGATGCCAGCACCCGCACCACGCAACAGAAACGGGCTCCGATCCTTGTCATCCGCAGCAGCATCGTCGTAGTGCTCGCCCTGATCTCGATCGTGATCCCGTTCTTTGCCGATGTCATGACGCTGCTGGGAGCCGTCGCCAATACGCTGCTGGTCTTTGTGTTCCCAGTCCTCTTTGACTTTCGCCTCTTTGGCTTCCGCAATCGCTCGCCCTTTGAAAAGGGCATCGGGATCCTGATCTTGCTTGTTGGAACGCTCGGCGGGTGTGTTGGCGGCTTTGATGCCCTCCGCGCTCTCTGGAACGACATTACAACGGCGCCCTAGTGCCGAGGCAGCATGTCCAGGAGACGGCTTACCCTGTCAAGCAGCGATCGCACATCTATGGGACAACACGAGCAGGCGGTGTTTGCAGATGATAATGGCCGCGTTGATCGGGATTCCGGTTCTCGATGATGCATGCAGGACTTCGTATATCTGTTTCGACAAACACGTCTCGCTCTGCGGCCATTATGGCCACCGTCCCGTCCGTAGACAAGAGGGTTGGCTTGGGAAGCACGGTCTTGAGTACACTCGGTCGATCCCATCTGTGCGAGAAGGCGTCCTTGATGCAGATCCAGAGCCGCATCACTGAATGGCCATGGCCAGCGCGCGATGTTTTGAGTGACAACATCCACCAATGCTCAAAATCCGGAGTGTCCCGTTTTTTTTTTATTGGATTGGCTGTAGTTGATCACATCGAGCAGCTTGGAGCTGCTTACAACAGCTCGGCCTGGAGCTTAAAGCCAGGGCCGGTGGGGGGTGTGGTCAGAGTGGTCAGGCCACCGGCGGGCTCGCAGTTCTGGCGGTCCGACTGGGGTCCGGCCTTGGGCACCTTACCAGCCTTCAGCGAGTTCAGGATCGAGATGGTGGACTCCTTGGTCAGGTCCTCCTGGGGGGGATCGTCGGCGGAGCAGAGGCAGTAGCGTGTTAGCGACCAGGATTGCGGCGTCAAGAAGCCCGCTGAGCTCTGTTGCGCAATCTTACATAGTAGTCGTCGTTGACAGCGACAACGGGGGCGTTGACGCAAGCACCAGCGCACTCGACCTCGACGAGGGTGAAGAGCTTGTCGGGGGTAGTTTGGCCGACGTGGATGCCGAGTTCGTTCTCGATGGTCTTGACGATCTCCTCAGCGCCGCACAGCTGGCACGGGGTGGTTGTGCAGACCTGGAGGAAGTACTTTCCAACGGGCTCCCTGCAGGTCCAAGAAGACGTGACCGTGAGAGGTGCGTTAGTCGCCGCGCGATGGACTGGAACGAAGTCGGCAGATGCGATACGGTCGACGCAAATCCAGAGAACGTCGAATGCTTGAAATCCAGTAGTGGGGGTCGTCGTTGAACCGACCGGCCATGTCACAGGCGATCGCATCCAAGTCCAAGCAAATCATTGATCCGGGTGCGGGAGGCGGCGTTTGTCATCTCACACGCCATTCGCGAATGAGCGCAGGAGCCAAGGTGCCGTCGAGTTTATCCGCGTTGCCTCGGCCATATCCACTATGCCGCCATCTGGCTGATCATTGCTTCGGGCCGGCTGCTGTATCGGCGGCCGGACCGATCGATGCTCCCGACAATGCGGGTGCTCGGATGTTGCAGTTACGCAAATTCCAAACTACTTTTGAGCGGCTTGACCGACTTCTGGGTCTTGGATGACAGTTTGCCGTTGCTGATGCAATTTCTAGTACTGTGTCCGTATCTGGTGCTGTCCGCCGCCCAAGTCATCGATCGAGCCGCTCTCCTCGACAGCGCTCATTATCGTGGTTCGGGCGAGATGCGACCATCTGCGTCGAGAAATTCACCTGTTGAACATTGTGTAGAAAGTGGCGACTTCGTAGACACGCATGGGGGGAACCTCGACCAACTTAGCAACGTAGTTCATGACCGACAGCGAGGTCCATCCCAGCTGTCGCTGGCCCAGATCCAAGAGAGGGATGATGGCGGCCTTCTTGTACTGAGCAGGGTATTTCGCAATGATGGCCTTGGCGCGCTCCGTGTTCTCGGTGTTGAACTCGAAAGGAATGCTGGCATTGTTCTCGGGAGTGTCGCGGTGCTGAGAGTTGGCAGGTCGTCGAGTAGAGCCGTGTCAGAGGAGACAAGCGATCGTATTCAGCGCAATATGGCGTGAGCCATCATCGGATGCAAGTTGTGAGGATGTCGAGGAAGCGGTATGCAATGGCAGGCATATGGGTCAGCAGGACGCTCTTCCACGACGGGTGCCAAATCAGGCCCTGCCGGCACATTGAGAAGGGCCTCGCCCGCAGAGATGGCTGCAGCAGCATCGCGAATGGAGGGCGATGCGGCACAGCTCGATTCAAGGGCAGACAAGATCCATAGCGCCTGGCCGTATCCACATGCGGGGACACATACGACAAACAGCTTGTCGGAACGCAGCGACGATCCGGTGAAGAACGATCGGCTCGAGGGCCGGGCGAGGCTCTTGCTGATGAGGGAGCGGAACATGGCGCTGGCTCGATCGAGAGTGTTCTCCTGGATGCAGACGGACGGGCGAGGGAGGAGAGCAGAGGAGCAAGCCTGGAGATGGTCCAGCAGGCAGTGTCGCCGCGCGGATCGCAAAAACGCCGTTTGCCTTTGCGGGCACCAGGACAATTCCCGCATATTAAAAGTTCATATGCGCACACTGCATCCGGATCGAGCCGCGCAAAGCGGGGATCGCTCGGGCACTCCCGGTTTGGCTGCACGTGGTCGCGCCTGGGTTCTCAGACGGACATGCTCGCACCCAGGATCCACAGAAGCCAATCCCATCAAAAGCAGGACATCTCCGTCGTGAACACTGTGTATTCGCAGTCAAGACGACCCAGACACGATCGAGACATCCGCGCATGTCCCGCGTTAGTCCATGCGGCCCTTCAGGGTTCTCTTGATGACCTGGTCCTTCGTGAGGATATATACATCGGCTCCCCAACCGCTGATGGCATCGCGGTCGACAGCGTTCAGCAGTGCCTGCGAGATGACCTCGAACAGAGCCTCGGGTTCCTGAAACAAGGCGCGGGCCATTAGATCCACAGCAAGCAGATGAGCCGGCCACGACCAAAGCCGTCGATAGGACCGAGCGTCGCCAGCAGGCGCAGAGTCTTACCAGGTTGGGCTCCCAGAAGCTTTCACAGACACCATACAACTGCGGGCCTGCAGTTCCGATGACCACAAAATCCTTGGCAAAGTTGATGCATCCGATCAGGTCGGTTGAAGCAATGAACGGCGTTCCATCCGATTCCAGACCAGCAATCACCGGCTCGACAAAGTAAGGTCCAAAGCTGGCATAATCGCAGCAGTGGCCGAGAGTTAGCTTCGAGCAAGCCGCGCTGTCATCGCTGCGGGCCATGTAAATCCGTGCTGCCGGCTCCTGCCGCTCGGCATCCTTACCGCCGTTCGTAAAGGGTTGATGAAACCAGGTGCGCGAAAGTCTTTGGTGAGATATCGCGCTCTTCGCGAAGCTTGTATAGGTTGGTTCGGAATCGGAGCTTCTCATGCCTGCGTTGATCGCGCAAAAGTACTGGTGAGATACCGATCCACCACGATCAGGCGGATAGCAAACCCGCATGCTCTTGGGTCGTTCCGATGGCTGCTCCAAATCGCATGACTCCATGTTGTCACTGGTGCACCAGTCGCCCTCGGAGCAGACAATATCCCTGGCGGCATGCACAAGAGGAAATCCAGGGGATATGCCGCTGGTAGCCCATCTGCGTTCGGTTCGGTCGTTTGATGCTCTTCAACGGCTCGGTGCGCCGAGCGAAGGGACGCAAGCCAGCCATCGGATGAACGAGCATCCATTCCAAGCCTGCGCCGTTGCAGACTCGGAGTCGATTGCCCGAGACGTGCCGGGTCGCTTACATTGTCTGAACGTCGGTGGCCAGTCCGGCCAAGCCAAACATGACATGATCGTTGACGGTGAAGACTTTCGGGAAGTCCGTCGCCAGTGTCATGGCCTGGATACCAAATCGACGATCGGTTGCGATGGCGACACAGTCCTTTCCGACCATGGCGATCAGAGCGCCACCATTGTAGTGCATAGGATTCTGTCAGTTGGTTGTGTGCACAAGAGAGCGGAGCCATGGTGAGAACAATCTGACAACCAACGGGGGGGGAATGAGACAGCCGAGTTTCTCTGTTGTCGACATGGCAGAGCATCGTGATGCAGTCGTTTCTGGCAGGCCATCCGGGCCGCCGCCTCAGTGCACTGCGCCGATTTGAGTCCGCAGTCCTAGACCGGCCTCCGGCGCCGCCCAGCTGCTCGTCTCATACCATTTTGGCGTCTTTAGATCCAGCGGGCGATGCAGATGGCGATGTGTGGTGTGGCTCCGACGGGTTCCCTGCTGGTCAAAGGCCAGGCACGGATGGCCGAAATCGCACGGCGACCCTGGCTCGGTATCACATGACGCCACGTGGACAGCGGATGCCTGTCGTGGGAACCATGTTTGTGTGCTGCAATGACGACCCAGCTCAGTACCATTGCTGCAGTGACGAGCCAGGGCGCTCCTTCTGTATTACAGTCGATCCACTGCGTTCTCGCCTCAGACCCCACCCAACATCACGCCCGGTCTGCGGTTGCTTGCAGCGGACTGAACTCCTCCTTCATCATGCGATCGACAAAGTCGTCGGTGACCTTGGAGAGCTCCGCAGCGACATCCGAAAGCACAACATCCAAGAACTCGGCTGACATCCTGGAGTACCACCGCAGTCCCAACGACGCCGTGTTAGCTCGGGCGCATTTCGATCCAGCTGACATGACATGAGCGGTATGATGCCTGGATGCACAAACCTGTCGAGCGCCTTCCACGGCGTCATGGACCATTCGGTATCGTCGTCGTAGCCGACCGACGCAGGTCCCATACTGTTGTTCAGATAGCGCTGGTACTTGGAGCGGCCTTGCTCGATTCTTTGGACGAGCTCGGGTGGCAGCTCGATCTGGGCCCTCGCGTTGTATCGTCGCGCCAGCTTTGTAAAGTCGTCAGCGACCGGAATCCGGGGAGCAGGGTTGCGAGAGTGCTTCTCGATCACAATCTCGTCACTTGGCTCGCGGAAGTGAGGCTCCGGTGCCCTTGAGCCAGAGTCACAGCTCTTGATCGGATTTTCGGGATGCATGCTCGGTGAAGATTGTGTGTCGGCTGCACTAGCTGCTGGGGCAGAGGACGCTATCGGAAGCTGCGGAGGGCTGGAGGAGCAGCGTGCGTCATCGGATTTCGCGGCATGGCTAGGACTCTCACGCCCTGAATGAGCCACGGCGATGTGCTTGCGCAATTCTTTGCCTTCGTCTTCTATGGACTGCAGCTTGGTCAAGATATACTTGAGCACAAAGTTGTCCGAATCCACATTGTCGACGTCAGCCAGAAAGTCGTTGCCGGTCTTCAGTGGGAGATGGACGGCGGCTGGCTTTGAGGGCTTGGGCTTTGACGACTCCAATGTGGGCTCGTGATAGGTTTCGACTTTGATGACGGACTCGCCCAACAGCCGATCCAGCGAGTCTTTGGACTCGCCGCGCTCAAGGCCACCTTTGGAGCCATGTTGGCGATCCAGTCGATCCAGGGTCTCTTCCATACGGCGAGCTGCCTTTTGGAACTCGGACTGGGCCTTTTCCAGCACGGGGTGTAACTTTCTCATGATGATCGCGTCGGACATGTCCTCGAAGTTTGCTTGTACTGGTGCCGCGTCCCGATCTTGGGAATCGCCGCCTGCGTCTCTTGTCGGCCATGACTTGGTTGTCGCACCCAGATCCAGACGGCTCTCATGCGGAGCATCCCAGCCACCAGCTGCTCCGTCGCCGGTGTGATCACGCGGATTGAACTCCCAGAATATCGGTGTTCGGGACTCGGAGCGAGGCGGCGGCGGCGGCGGCGGGGTCGAGTGCCGAAGTGTTTGAAGCGACTCGTGGATCATTTCCTCGGTTCTGCGTCTGTTCTCGAGATCGCGGTGCCGCTGCTGCTCCTCGATAATTGATTGCTGCTCCCGACAGTTCTCGGCGATGCTCTGGCGAAGACGTGAAAGCTCGAGCTCCACCCATGCTTCCTTCAGCCGGCTTGAGCCGGGGCTTGCTGAGCGGCTTCGCTGCTCCGAGCGACCAGGTTCGACAGCAGGCTTTCGGTGCTCGATGCCAGGCTCGTGGGGCTGTGGCTCGGACGATCTGGATGCCTGTTGTGAGGCGGTGAGTGGATTCACAGTAGTATCGTTGGTAAGTAACTCGTGTGGGGCTATATAGGGTCACCTTTGCTGTTGAACCCCACTCCCGCTTTTCGCCCCTTTCTGTGCGGGTCATGACCAAATTATCATGGCCAGATCCAAGCAGGAGGATCATGCTACATCGCACTATTGCAGATACGTGCAGACCTTTGTTTTCGGTCGAGCCACAGGAGCAGATGTCCTTACGGGCGGAGGCCGTCTCCACGTCACTTTCTTCTTGGTCTTCTTTTGCTCTTCGAGTTGCGTTTCAGCCATGATCTTCTTGAACGACCGGGCCAGCCGGCGGTCGCTCTCCTCGAGGCGCCTCTCATTCTCTTCGTCCATGTTGCGCTTTGCAAAAAAGAGCCCTGTTCTCGTTTTCCTGGCCTCCGGCTTTGGCAGAGTGACGGCAAAGTCTGGTCGTCCAGGCAGAGATGGACGCGATAGTGTCTGTTGCTCCTGCGACGCTGGCTTTGGCCGCAATGGCGGGTTCGGCCGTGATGATGGTTGCTTTGAATGAGATCGAGGGTCTGGACGGAGCGACGGTTTCAATGGTCGATTTCGGGCTGTGGCTGCGACCTTCGCCTCGGCTTCCCTGGCTGTCGCTGGGTCCTCATGCCCATGGGGCGGAATAGCCGAGTCTGCAGACGACAGAAGATCCGCCTCTCTGCTCGGCACTTGCTGCAATTCGTCCAACAGCGGCTGATCGCTCGTCTGGATTGCTGCATGGCCCACCAAAGGCGGTGGGTTCGCAGCTTCAGTCGCAGCAGAGTGACCAACAGGCTTGGATGTTCCGGATCTGCCAGAGTCGGGCTTCTTGCGAGGTATCGCAGGTTGCTGTTCGCTCGCCACCCTTGCTGCAGCCATCAGCTTGGCTTCCAGCGACCAGGCCATGTTCTCGATTGCGGACTTGATCTCCTGGATGTCATCGTGCTGCTGTTTCTGGATCTCGAGGACTTGATTGAACTGCAGTGGAGCCACAGGTTCAAACCCCAGCAGTCCATCGCGACTATCGCCATGATACTCATGGCCATCATCGCCGTCGTCATCATCTGCATATCCATCGTCGAAGCCGTAATGGCCGTCGCCGTTGTGTCCTGGGTTGGCCCTCGCGTGAACATGCACTTGAGAGTGGCCTGATCGAGCCGACGGAGACAACAGTCGGCTGTCCAGGGGCTCGGTTCGGGTGCGTTCTTGCCGCTTGAGATTGAGTTTCTCCTCCACGAACCCCCTGACCTGCCTGGGATCGAGCTCGCCGTGCTGGTATCCATGGAAGGGAAGGTCGTCTGCCTTGCGGATGCCCAGCACACGAAACTCTTGCTTGATGAGCTTGGCGGCCTTCTGCACCCGCCGCTTCACCAACTCTTTCCGGTCTTGCAGCAGCGCCGCCTTGGATCGCTGAGGAGCATATGTCGAGTGATACGTCCCGACGCTGGGATAGATCGGCGAAGCGCTCCTTGGAGAGCCCCTGGTGCCGCCCGAGTTGGCTCGGCTCTGGGCTTTGGTCCGCGGCGAAGCATCGAGAGAAAAGGTCGGGGCCGGATTGACTCTCTCGATACGAATGGGTGATCTCTGGGGCGACTGCATGAACTATTCGGCTATCGGCAACGCTGCAGATGGAGCCTAGGATGCCCGCAGCTGATTTCGGCTCTGGAGGCGGCCCTGAGAAGGCGGACTGGGCTGGATACGGGTTCACTCCTTGCTTCCGCAAGTTGGCGGGAAGCGGATCGGGCTGGCGACGAGTGGCAGCACCTCGCTGTATTGAGACATGGGCCCCAAGACGGATCTAGTCGAGGAGGAGGCTGAATGAGGGGGCGGGGCACACAGCTCGGGCAGAACAACGACTCTGGCTCAGGCAGAACGGATTCCTGTCGATGGTCACGGCTGCGATCCAAGTCGCCGATCATCATCATTATCATCATCATCATCATCTTGGGTCTGTCTGCGATCGAATATTGCAGCACGCCGCCCCGAGACATATCTCTGTCGGCAGCAGCTCCTTCGCTCAGAGGCAGTAGCCGAACTGCTCAGGGTCGGCCGATGGTGCGCTCATTGACCGAAGCTTGTCCGTGATCCTCTGCCGTGTGTCGTCATCAAAGCCCACGAGCATCACCACAGCCTTCTTGAGGACGAACCCGGACGCCCGTACGTTGGCTTGCTCGATGAGGGATACCTTGAGCCCATATTCTTCGCAAATCTCCAGAAAGTCTTCCCCAAAGCAGCGGCCCGCATCGACCAACAGAGCCTTGCCATCGCTCTTGAGAAGATGCCGGACCTGCCGAGCCACCGGCCGTAGCAGCCGGTTCATATACATGATATCGGAGCCGAGCACCAAGTCGTACGTGGAAGCAAGCTCGGCTTCCAGAGGATCGTACCAGTTCAGCTTGCGGGTGCAGACACATTCGCCCGCGGGCTTGTCAGAAGCAGGGTCGCCGGGGTTGCTGGGGTACACCTGGATCGAGTTGGACTTGGCATTCAGCTCGGCCAGGGCCAGCGATTCGGCCGAGGCATCCGTCATGGTGACATGCGCTCCCAAACGGGCCGCCACCAACGACGGAAGGGCCCTGGGCAGAACAGCACGGGGTAGCTGGTGAGCTGGGTGGATTGAATTGGCGGTGGAGACATCGGCATCGCCAGCAAATTCGCTGTTGAGACCGATCGCCCTGAGAGAGGCGACGCAGGTTCATTCCAAATGCACGAATGGCAGGCACAGCGAGCTGATGAGCCCTTTCACTTACAGTCCGCTGCCGAGCTCGATGACCCTCTGGACTGAATCGCTGCTGCCGGGGTGGGATTGGGCCGACGGCACAACGAGGGGCACCAGGTCGGCCAGGATCAGGCCAGCTCCCCAGAGACGTGACCACAGCTGGCGCTCGCCGGAGGGCTGCGGGACACTGAGGCTGATGTTGTTCGACTCAATGACCAGGGTCTCGAACGCCATCGATGCTGAGGCTGCCGTGGGAGTAAGTGCAGGCAAGGCGGCCGTCGTTGTCGGCCCCGGCGAATGATCCGGGGTTTGGCTGCTGCAAAGAAACCGGGGGACGGCGCGTCGCACCAAGGAAGCAGATCATTCCTGGTGTGATCGAGCAGGCACTTGCGTCTGTATCTGCGTCTGCTTCATCTGCATCGGCATCTGCGCATAGTACAAGCACACTGCGGCCATGGGCGGATCATGCATCCACCTGGGACAGCCTCGTTCCCGTCTGTGTCTCTTCTGGCCCGAGGGCTGTATGCTCTGCTTTGTGCAGTACCTTGCCTCGGCCGGCTCTGCGACATCGCCTCTCGCCCACGGAGAACCGATGCCGCCTATCGACTGCCGCCCTCAAGAACATGCCTGGGAAGCACAGGCTTCAGACTGGTACATGCGGGGCGACGGCCCTGTCTCTGAAGACCGAGTTGTTTCGGCTGCAGCCGGATACATCGCGGAGTATCTGCTCTGCTCAACCCACCAGTCTCCTGCAGCCGACCTGCGCTCTCATTCACAAACCCGCGGGCCAGCATTCCAGTATTCGCTCTCGGCACTGAGGTAGGCAGAAACGGCATCAAATCCCACTAGCGCTGTTTTTCTGGTCCAGCTGATCGCCTCGATTCTACTGACGTCGTGCTCGTCCCGAATACAGGGTGGTTGCTCAAGCAGGCAAGAACTCGCTCAAGAGCCACAGAGCCTCGTCGTTCTCGTGGCAGAGACTCCTCGGAAAGCTCTCGGCCACCCTAAGCATGTTGCAGAGCCAGTCCGATGCATCCAAGCCGGAACTCAGGTTGGCCGGGACAGAAGGTATGTTGGTTCGCAGGGCTGACGCTCAATCGGGCAGAAAGCGCTTGCTTCTCTTACACAGATACGGTTCCTACTGCAGAGCTCCATCAGTTTGTCCTGACAACTTGTGATATCCGCGATACGCTCCTCTCGGACATGCTTGAAATGCGAGGGGACGGGTGGACAGCTCTAAAGTCCTTCGAAGCCGCCGTGACAGGCTACTTTGACACTGTTCTGCTGCCAAAGGTAGTACTGCGTGTCATCGTGTTCGCACTGTCGAGCTTGCGACTGCACGAAAGCCAAGGGTCGTCGAGTGTACGTCCTTGATGCAAGTGTTGCCACCTTGGCATCAGATCGGTAACAGTACCCATGACTTGATGATGCCGAGATGTTTCAGATGGGCGGCTCGACCGGCTCGGGTGAGCCCGACAAATCCGTGACGTTCTTGGTGCTGTTGGATCGTTTGCTTCACTTGCCAAACCCAGCCCTGTCCGCGCTGGACAGCCAGCCATGCCGCCGAGGCCTGTGCAGGAAGCTCGGTGAGTGGCATGAGAGACTGACTCCAGCGGGCTGCTTCGGTCGACCGGTGGTTCACCTCGAATCTGAATGTGGTCGCGTACTGACACTTCTGTTCATCGCCCAGTTGAGTGTGGCCTACTGGAAGTCTATCTCTCGGTAAAGAGAGATATCGAGCCAGACCACTCGCTGAGCAGAAGCGGTTCCGTTCCATTCACTGTCGGCGACAGAGTCATGATGCGGGTGCTGACCATCATGGCAGAAAGCAGCGCGGTGCTGTTGAGCCAGGATACACATGCGTTTCTGTTGGCTTGCATCAACGGTAGCGTGCCCGGAGCATCGATGAAGAAATGACGGTCCAGGGATCAACGGTGGTTGTGTCTGACATTCCCGTGTTTGCTCATGTCGTGCAGGCAAACATGCCAGCTACGAGTCACTTTTGAGTGCCATCGGGAGCCTCGAAGCTGCCCAGCGCATGACCGGCGAGATGAATAGCACATGTCCACTGGCCAGAGAGCTCCAGAAGCTTCTGGTGATCGTGTTTCATGTTGCTGATCAGTGTGCCGATCCGAGGTATGCTGAGGTACCTTCAACTTGAGCCAAAGGCGATTTGCACGGTGCACACACTCACGCTAGATGCCTCTGCTAGACTGGCGGAGCTCTCGACGGCATTGCATCAAAACATCAAGGATTTCATGACTCGCTTCAAAGATATCGAGACCCTGGAGTGGTCCGTCCTTCGCATGGCGCTGGCCGTATTTTGCGTAAGCCGATCCCTCGAGGAGCTGCGTGAAGACGAGCTTACTATGATGAGCCCAGCTGCTCGTTTGGTTGTCAATAGTTGTGGTGTCTGGCCGCACGGCTGAGCCGAGTCGACAGATGCAATGGCCAGAATGGTGTACTGACAAGAATTCTCGTGACCATAGAAGCGGGAGCTCGAACATGGAGATCTTGTCGGTAAGGCCGTGTTGGCGAATGGCGACGCAATGGATTTTTCCTTTGGTATTTGGCGCAGAGGCTCACACTGGCTCTTTCGGTGGACTCGAGACTGCCCGGAGCTTCTCGCTCGTCTTCACGAGATCTTCACGGCCCACCTGCCGCCCCGGGTGTCTCCAGGCTGGTTGGTGCAGTTGCCAGTGCGCTCGTTTGATCCAGCGATTCTGCTATGGCTGTGGCGGATTTCGGCAAAGTCCTGGTGCTTCGAGAACAGCGCCAAGCGGGCGGTAGGTCTCGAATTTGATCACGGCGATCAGGTCGCAGCGTATTGTTTGAGTGCAACCACTGACGAAATCACGCCGATCTGTGTCAAGACTTGGAGTCTGCTGCAGAGTTGCTGGAGCTCGTCCACGGCCTTGACGCCGACACATGAAGAGATTGTACATGTTCTGACACACAATGTCGATGGGATTCGCGTTACTATGGTGAGCACGATGGCGATGCGCTGCTACCATCAAGAGCATCTGTGCTGATGCCCATCCTATTGTAGAGCATCCTTGCTGGCATACGCCCAGTGGACGAGCATGATCGAGCGTTTAGGATTCTTGTCTGGTTCGTGCGGATCTATATCCGGACCAACGTGGATCCGCAAGCCAAGGTTGATATCCTGGCCACCGTGGCCGTGCAGCTGCACGAACTCCTGTCAAGCGAGCCTCCAATCCCATGTGGGTGCATGAATTGCAAGATAGAAAGTGCTGGAATGCCCAGGGACGTGGACCCAATATGTACGACGAGAGTCCACTCACTCGGTCTGCTTTGCTTTGGCATATACAGGGCTTTGCGACTTGACTTGTCTGATGGCGAAGGTGGCCAACTCGCTCTGCACAAACGGGCACACACTTTGGCGGCAAGCAAGCAATCGACTCCGACCAAGCGTCTTGTGTGAAGCTGCAACCAGGTTGGTATAGGCACCTTAGTAAACACCTTGGTGCTGCAGAAGTATGGATGACCAGATGAAGCCATTGGACCATCGACAAACATTCTTCGCCGATCCAGGCAGCTGAGCCTTATCCTCAGAATCGAAGGAACAAGTACACGCTCCGAGTCAAAGTGGACAATCCAGCCCGTTCAACCCAGTCCACTGAGGCTTCTCAGTATCTTGAACCACTTGACTGTCTTGGTCGGCCTTGACGACTCGGGAAACATTGGTGGGTCTGTCGTTTCGAGCTGGAGCCGTCCAACTGTGCGCAACCATCGCGACTTTCAGGAGATTGGCTGAACTCGAATGAAATGCCAGAATCAGTGAATCGGCGTTCCCGATCCAACCAATCTTTTGAGTGCGCTGTGTGGCCTCTGAATGCCTTTCGGTCTCTTGCAGGGGTTGCAGTTTGCAGGCATGCTGTTCTGCTCGAATACTTGCAAAAGACCTTCTTTGTGGATGATGCCGAGCAGACCTTGGGCATAGAAGTGGGCGACAGTTCGTCGGCACTCAGCGCAGGACGATACGCTCTTTCGACATTTCAAGCAGCCACAGCGGTGCTGTTTGCGGCTCTTATGAGCAGATCGCGCGAGGTACGGCATATGCGATCGAGATCCGAGTCGAATTTGCACTCGATACAACCTGGACCCGAACCCGTTGGACCATCCTGCCGCTCAACCCCTGAGCTGATCATGCAATGCTTCGACAGCCCATGGCGGTGCTGTTCCAGACAGCTTCCCTGAAGAAAGTCGTGGCGTGCTTGGTGCAAATGCTGGATTGCAGTATCGACTCTAGTGCCATTCCACTCTGTGCCGTGCTCAAGAATTACTTGCTGAACCGGCACAGTGATTCCCATACCATGTCCGGCCCCACTGATACCAACAGTGCTGAGCCGTTCTTGCTGGCGTGGTCCTCGCTGGGTGGATGGGCAGTCGCCCGAATGCGGATGGTAGGTTGCAGGCAAGGAACTGGGGATACTCGGTCCGAGTTGCTTGATACGTCCTGACTGACAGACTGAGCATGGCTCTGCTTTTGTGGCCCAGGAATCAACAAGGCGAGTCAGCCTTGGATTGGCCATGGCCATCGAAATCATCTCACTCCTGCACGAGTCGTTTGTGACCGACGGCTACGGTGCTCTTGGTATGCTTCGGCTATGGTTGAGTGGGTGTGGCCAGGTTGGGCTCGCCAAGAGTGTGCGCCGTCTGAATTGATTCGATGCATGCTCATTCCTCGGAAGCCCAACATCTCTCGTGCTCTCCAAGGACGCAGGCTTTGGCGAAGGAGGCACATCGGTGCTTGGCGAAGAATCGACCTGATATGTGCAAGGCATATGAGGGGCTGTATCTTGAGCAAAGGCTGGCGAGACTGTTCCAAGTTGCGACTGAGGCGAGCACGACGTGCTATGCCGCCGCCCTCCGAGCCAACAGCGGCCCGACTATCGCTCTTCAAAGCGGCGGTGATGCCAGGCCTGGGGCAAGTAGCTTTTCAGATTCATCCAGCGAACCCGAACACGGCGCGGCCACCCGGCGAATACTCGAGATCCGGTCAGTATCGCTGTATGCTGGTCGGCGGTGCTGCAGTAGTGATGCGATCGGTGGTCGCATGATGGCTTGGTTTGATGCGCTGGATCGGACCTGGCGCTGACTTGATGTCCTACCTCGACCGCAGGCCATTTCTCGGATCGCTGCCGATATTTGCGGTGGTGGATGGCCCTGTGTCCAGTATCGGCGACGAGGTGGAGGAGGCATAGGCCGTGGGATCTGCTTGGCGAGCAACAGACACGCCCGAGACTCAGCAATACAGCCATCCCAGCATAATGGGTAGTCCCTGCTTCTCTGGCATCAACGACTCAAAGCCTCCTTATCCGTAGCCCCCAGTGGGCAGGCCTTGAGATTGTTCGACTGGCATGCCGAGCTCATATTCCTGGCTGCGTCGATGACTCGATGTGGAAGTGTGGTGGGTACATTCGACCCTCTGAACACCTACCGTTCCTCGATATCAAGATTCGAACTTTTTGAGTCGCTTGTCCTCCAGGCACTGTGAGCGCACTGCTTGGTCATGGTAGCGATGGGCGGCGTGTATTCAGGACCAGATGTCAACGACAGCCCTGACTCAACCCAGGGTGTCCCGTTTTTTGGTGGATACGCTGTATTCGACAACATAATCGACAACAGACGCTGGCGATCGACGCTGGCGATCGACGCTGGACACTCCTGCCCGGTGCAGTGCGCATCCGCCTCGACGGCGATATGTTGCCGACGCCGATCCCAGCATATGTCGCTGGCTCTGACAGCGCCAATCAGGGCTCAATCGCCCCTCCGCAGGGTGACCGAACGCCTCCCGTCGCGGCTTTGTCGGGGTGTGCCCTTGCAGGCCCCTGCTGTCGTCCTTTCCGCTCTTGCATCCGCATCTGCCGTGCTCTCGCCTGGGTCTGCGCCGTCGCTGTCTGAATCCAGACAAGATATCCGTTGATTGAACACACCGGCGCTCTGCTCTGCCCTGCCGCCCCTTCCTTCCCTCCCCCTCCTTGCCTCTGGTCTTGAAAGTGACATCATCCCCGGCCGCTCTGCACCCGCCTTCCCCCCATTTATTGTAGCCCACCATATCCTCCTCGTCATTCTCCACCAACACCTCCCTCCGCAATCGGTCGCGCACTCCTCCCTGGAGTCAAGCCCAGCAAGACTTTGTCTCGGCCTCCAACGAACCCACCTATTTTGCCCCCAACGCCAACAACAACAACAAGCGTAAAAAGTCGCCTCCCCCCAACTACCGCGAGCCGCACTCCCAGCACCCGCCAGCCCAGGACCCGTCCAGCACCTACCACTTCAGCTCCTACAACATCATCACGAGAGACTATTCTTCGGTGAAAATGGGCAACCTGTTTCGCTCTGAGGAAATGTCCCTCGTCCAAGTAAGTCGCTACCAGCCTGGACGCGGGTGTCGTTTGCGCTTGCCTTCCACCGCCCCGATCTTGAGGCTTGCTCGTCGCCCTCTCTGGATACCTGGTCATCGCTGCCAATACCTCAAACGCCCTTCCCTGCAACAACAGCCCGAGCTGCGTCCACATACTCGTTGTCTCGTGGCATGCTTGCATCGGCCTATCCGTCATAGCGACAATAGCCTCGGCTGATCTGTCTGGCCCCTCTCAGCGAGCAGAGCGGTGCTGAACACCGAGGCGGCATCCGTTGCTCACTTTTGCCGGTATTCGTTTCAATCGACTCTTTACTCTAGCTCTACATTCCGTTGGAAATCGCACAGCCAACGGTCGCCGAGTTGGGCGAGCTCGGACTCATCCAGTTCCGCGATGTGAGTATTGCTGTTGGCAGGCGAGGCAGGCGAGGCAAGCGGCCAGGTTGATTCTACGCGACCGAGCCTTTCGGTGGTGTGGAGGTGCCCACATCCCTGGCCTCGACTATGCTCCTGATTCGGCTCTGACTGTCCCCTCCGCCTCTCACAACGGCAGCTGAACCCCCAAGTCAACGCTTTCCAGCGAGCCTTTGTCAACGAAATTCGTCGTCTGGATGAGATGGAGCGAAAGATCCGTGAGTATCCGTCTGGACAGATCTTGGCTTTGGCCAGCTCGGGTATTTTCCACCTGGGCGATCGGCTCGCATCATCCTGATGTGCCTGGCGAGCTGGATATGTGAATTCTCCCCCGCCGCACGCCTCCGGTTTGTCTGCGCGATCCTTCGATGCCTTGCTGAGCTGACACATTTCGACACGGCTCCATCGCGATCGACTTGTGCTGCTCCACGGCGCGCATGCCACCGCATATTCTGATTTGATCGGCACTCAGGATTCTTGGAGAGTCAGACCAAGAAGGCGCACATCCCTATTCGAGCGGCCAGCGATTCGTCCTATAATGCGCGCACTCGCACGCAGCAAGAGATCGATGAGCTCGAGCAGCGACTCGCCGAGCATGAGTCCCGTGTCCAGCAGATGAACTCGTCGCAGGAAACCCTGAACAGACAGTACCTCGAGTTGACCGAGCTCCGCCACGTCTTGCGCGAAACGGCCGTCTTCTTTGAGACGGCATCGACTCGCCGCTCCGAAGATGGCGCCGTGCAGCGCGAGGACACGCATCTGCTCGCAGGGTCGCCTGGTGGTGAAGAGGACCACGAAGCATTCGAGCGCGCTGAGGGCGGCGGTGTCAAGGCCATCACCCTGGGCTTTGTCGCCGGTGTGATCCCGCGCCAGCGCATGGGCATCTTTGAGCGCATCCTGTTCCGAGCGCTCCGCGGCAACCTTTTCCTGAACTCGGCCGAGATCGACGAGGACATCATCGATCCCGCCAGCGACGAGGTCGTTAAGAAGAACGTCTTTATCATCTTTGCGCACGGCAAGGAGATCCTGGCCAAGATCAAGAAGATCTGCGAGAGTCTGGGAGCCACGATCTATCCGGTCGATGATCAGGCTGACAAGCGCCGCGAAACCGCCTTGGATGTGGGCCACCGCCTGGATGACCTCAAGACCGTTCTCGATGGCACCAAGGCCGCCCGGCGCGGCGAGCTGAGCCGTGTTGCAGATATCATCGATATCTGGGCCACGATGATCAAGAAGGAGAAGGCCATCTACCACGTCATGAACCAGTTCAACTACGATATCAACCGCCGCGCACTTATCGCTGAGGGATGGATCCCCACTCTCTCCATCGGCAGTGCTCAGCATGCCCTCCGCACGGTGACGGTATGAATCCCGCCTCGCATCTGGAGCGGTTTGGGAGCATTACTGAGGCTGACGCCTGATTCATTCACATGGAACGACTTGCGACCCCCAGGAACGAACGGGCTCGACCATTCCCCCGATCTTGAACGAGCTACGCACCACCAAAGAGCCGCCGACGTACCAACGTACCAACAAGGTCACGATTGGGTTCCAGGAGATTGTCGATGCCTACGGCGTTGCCAACTATCGCGAAGTCAACCCGGGACTCTTCACCGTGATCACGTTCCCGTTCCTGTTTGCGGTCATGTTTGGCGACTTTGGCCACGGCATCCTCATGCTGCTTTCTTCCATCTGGCTGATTGTAAACGAGAAGTGGCTCGGCAAGATCAAGCTCGACGAGGTAAGCGCACTCGGGACGGACTGACGAGCGTGTGCGGACCGGAGGGGAGGGAGCTGCACAGCATGGGAGAGTATGTGGGAGGTGCGATGCTGCTGGACGATCCTGATTGAAATCGATCCGCGTTCTCGAAGCAAGCGCTGCTCGCTCATGGCTGTATCCCCATCCTTCCAAGGGCCGATGTGGGGTCTCTAACACATCCCGCTCCTCCCTTCCAGATCAGCAGCCAGTTCTACAGCGGACGCTACATGATCCTGCTGATGTCCATCTTCTCGATCTACGCTGGGTTTATTTACAACGATATGTTCTCGAAGAGCGTCGACTTTTTCGGCTCGGGCTATGAGTTTGTGGCACAGGGTCACAACAAAACCATTGGAGTGCAGAGCCACACTTACGCTTTCGGTGTGGATCCTGTAAGTTGAAGAATAGACGGCGCGAACGAGAGCTGGGTGCGATGCAAAGGTGGATGGCGTGTACAGCTCGATCGTAGCGCTTAGTATGTGTCGATGCGACTCGTTGTCGATCGACGGTGTGTTCGAATGGCGGTTTCTCACCTTTTTTTTTGCGGGCGAACAGGCTTGGCACTCGGCCGACAACTCTCTTGTGTTCAGCAACTCATACAAGATGAAGATGGCGATTGTGCTCGGCGTCATGCACGTAAGTGGGAAGGAGGGTGCCTGACAATCTGTGCATGTCTTGCCGCCTCCTCTCGAGAGTGCAGAGTCTTTCATACAGCCGACACGATATGACAAAGCGGCACGCATCGCAACAGCCTGCCCGACCGCCCTGGGCATCTTTATACTGACTACCCCTCGTCCGCTGCTGCAGATGCTCTTTGGAATCACTCTCAACGTCTTCAACCACATCCATTTCAAGAAATACATCAACATCTACTGCGAGTTCATCCCCCAGGTCATCTTCATGAGCAGCATCTTTGGCTACCTTGCCATTCTTATCATCTTCAAGTGGTCGAATGTGTGGGTTCCAAGCCAAGCCCCTGTGCTCCTGAACACCCTCATCTACATGTTCTTGAACCCCGGTGTCGTTTCCCCTGCCGATCAGCTTTTCCCAGGCCAGGTGAGAACCAAGATGTCCGCGACGCTCTTCCCACTGTTACTGTCCATGAGCACAATTGCTTGGTGTTCATTGGCTCTGCGATGTTGTCCGCAGATTGACACGATGTCGATATTGCCAGCTGGAGACAGCCGACGCTGAACTGACGCTATCTTCCATTCTCGATCGTCCACCGCCCATCCGTCGTCACTTTGAATGATAGGCAAACTTGCAGATGCTGCTGCTCCTGATTGCGTTTGCGTGCGTCCCTTGGATGCTGTTTTCCAAGCCGTATCTGCTGTGGAAGGAACACCAGAAGCATGTTGCCGCCGGCTATGGAAATCTCAGCCAAGTGGATGTCAACAACCCTTCGCCGCGCACGAGCGAGGATTCCAACTTTGGAGGACATGTCGAGATGCACCAGGAGGAGGTGAGTTGCCACCGAGAACAAGCTGCAGTTGTTGAGCTTGGACTGAGTTCGTCAGAGGGGAGGAGCTCGGCAAGGCGTCCAGATCCGGATCTGGGTCAAGATGGCGGTGGGGCACTTAGTTCAGCGAGGATTGGAAAGGGTGGTGCTCTAGACAAAGATGTTGCTCTATCGACTCACCTGTCTCTTCCCGCCATCTGTCCGCACAGCATTTTGAATTTTCGGAAATCATGATCCACCAATCCATCCACACGGTTGAATTCTGCCTGAACTGCATCTCCAACACGGCCTCGTATCTGCGCTTGTGGGCTTTGTCCCTGGCCCACGCCCGTAAGTTCCCGCATGGAATCCGGTGTAGACTGCTGTCGGGTCGCTGATGTGTGGGCAAATCGCCTTTGGAGGGCCGGAGACGCAGGCAAAGCCGCGTGGAAGGCCCAGTGCCACATGTTGATCAATCTGGCTGGACTGACCGACCGCTTTGTGCTTTTCATCCGCACCAGAACTGTCTGAGGTGTTGTGGGAGATGATCCTGGGCAGCTGCCTCGAACTCAGCCCATCGATCCTGCCGTTTGCGCTGGTTGTGGGTGTGGGATTCTGGTTTACTCTGACCTTCTTCATCCTGATTGTGATGGAGGGTCTGTCGGCCTTTCTGCACGCTCTTCGTCTGCACTGGTAAGTTCCTATGTATCAAGTGTCGATTGGTGGTCGTATGGCCGATTGCGTGGCGCTGACCCTTGTCGCCCATATCGTCCAATAGGGTTGAGTTCCAGGGCAAGTTTTACGGCGGAAACGGCCACAAGTTTGCTCCCTTCTCCTTTGCCGCCATTCTGGAGGAATCTGAGGAGGTCGAGTAGGCTTTGCCCTGCGGTTCGTGTGGGGTCATTCAGCCAGCCGACCAGGCAGAGAGGGGAAGGGGATTTGGAGGGCTTGGAGGGCTTGGAGGGCTTGGAAGGAGGAAAAGGAAGGCTGTCGATCTTTGATGGCTGCTCCGCAGTTCGAGTGTGCCACTTGAGACGATCCTCCCCCGTCTCCCTCCCCGCTCTCACTTTCGATTCCGTTTCTGCATTCGCCGCCTTTGCTTGGCCCTCGTGGAGTTTGGGACATGGATATGGGGCGCAATCTGAAGGGATAAGAAAGCTCGCTTTCGTACATCCTCTCGATACAGCCTTTGCTCCACCTTCACTTTTCGCTTTTTTCAACATTTCCTCTTTTCTTTCCTGCTCTCTTTCTTTCTCCATCATGATGTCGCTTTGCGGTCGTTAGTCAGGTCGGTCGAGCCCGCTTGGTCGGCGATGGCATCCGGGCATCGGAGACAATATACAGTCAATCCAGAACGAAACGGGACAGTTCCTTCCTGGCATCAGCGACACAAGCCTGCCGAACTTCCGTAGGCCCCAGTGAGCAAGCGATTGTTTCCCGTCGTGGTTGGCAATCTCTTTGTGTGGTACATTCACTCAACCCTCTGGACCACTCCATGGTGTATCAATATCGAGATACTCGACCTTCTCGAGTCGCTTGCGGGGAGCCGTCTGTGCGAGAAATAATCCTTGACGCAGATCCAGAAACGCATCACTGAATGGTCATGGCCAGCGCGCGAGTGATAACATTCACCATCGACCAAAACCTGCTCTGTATTGGATTGACAGTATTGCGAGCACCTCAGCCCAAACCAGGAGGGCTGGACTCTATTTTCAAACTCCGCCAGTCACGCTGTGTCATCGAACATCGATCAAGCACAGAAAAAAAAAGATTCATCGCCGACCGACACTTTGGCTTGCTTGGGATCGATAGCCATCGGCAAGTGCCCCTCCTCCACCACGAAAAGACGGCGGGCTTGATCATCTGCGTCCGTCTGTTTGGACCCATACACCTCGAAGCGATATTTCACTCTTGGACTCACCCACGAGCACCTCGCCATCGCCATCGCCATCGCCACAGCACATTTGCAAACTCGACCGCAGGATGGAGCGGAAACGACCCAGAGGACTCAAAAAGTCGGCCGAGTCCGGGACCGGCCAGAAGAAGCGCAAGCCGACTGAGGCTGTCGAAGATGTGCCCGCAGCGAGCGGGAGCCAGAATACCGAGGGCGCGCCGTCAAAGGACATGCGCACCATCGTCGTCGATGCATCCTCGGATGGAGACGATGTTGCGATCATCAAGAAGCTCTACGAGATGGCCATGGAGAAGATCGGTAGGCCACAGGGGCTGCAGGGTCGCGGGCTGGGTCTGGGACGCTTCCGAGGAGCCGCCCATCCATGTGAAAGGTTGGCAGCATTCCTCGGCCTGTTCCATCCAACCATGTTGGACGTATTCTGATCGCCATCGTCCCTGTTGTTGTCCTTGTATCCGCTCCTCAGACGACGAAGCCACTCTCGAGGAGGCCAAGGACTTTTTGAACGGCACTGTCCACGAGTGCGATCGGCTGCTGCGGCTGGCCCATGAGGACGAAGAGTCAAAGTCGTTCCCGGCCGAGTTCTTCCTGCACTACGGACTGGCCCTGAAGCGACTCGGAGAGGCGCAGGAGGACGAGTCCGACCGCCAGGCGTTCGAGGAAGCCTCGGAGGAGCGGCTGCTGCAGGCGCTTGATTCCGAGGAGCTCGATGCCGAGAGTGTCAAATGGAGGATCCTGCAAGCACTGGCCGAGCTGAACCTCCGCAAGGTGGGTGAATGCGGGGTGGGGAGGGCTGCGGTGCTTGGGTCAGTTGCATCCGATGGAGCACCGCAGCTCCATCGACAACAGATGGTGACTAAAGGCCGAGGAAAAGTCGGGGGCTTGATTGTTGGGATGATGATGCAACGATTGAACTCTCCTGTTTCGCTGATATTCTCCACTGACACTCTCGACTGGCGAGCCAGGCTATGGTTCTCTATCAGGACAACCCAAGCGACAAGGACGCATCGGCGCTGCTCGAGCTGGCGACCCAGCAGCTGAGCGAGTACTCTGGACTGCTGGTGGAGGAGAAGCAGGTTTCGGACGAAGATAAGGAGACGCTGCTCGTCAACATGGGTTTTGCAGTCCAGCGAGTTGCCGATATGTGCGACGACATCAAGGCCAAGGAAAAGGGCTGCCGCGGAGCCGAGCATGTCTTCCGCCTGGCGATCAAGGGTACGGACGGACGGATGAATGGATGGGGAGACGGACGGGCAGCCGTGGGTCGACGAAACTGCATCGAGATGTCCTGGCTGGCTCTGACTTGCTTCTCTCCACTGGGACAGTCAACAAGGGCTCGATCGAGGGACACATGGGGTTGGGAAGCTGCTCGCTGTCGCTGGCGAGTTACTTCCTCGACCAGGCTGACGAGGACCACGAGAGCGCCAAGAACAACAAGATTGCTGAGAAGAAGCTCAAGGCTGGTAAGCAGGAGCGAACCGTCTGACGTGATACCGCAGCGACTTGCAATGGTCAGGCGCGATCTGGCAGCATCAGCATCAGCATCAGCAGCAGCATCAGCACGATCTAACAGCTGTATCCCGCCCGACGATGTGGCTGCTGGCACAACGCTATAGCGCTGGCCGAATTCCGCCAGGGTCAGCAAGCCGCCAAGGATCAGTCCACCGAGAAACCCGCAGTGCTGTGCATGGTAAGGCCAGTCGGCTGGCTCGTTGCGGTGTGATTTCTCGATGATGGCGGAGAGTGCTGGCTCCACAACATGGATGCAAAGGCAAATGTCGGGATGGGGCGTGTTGTTGCTGGGGAGTAAAAGTCCTGGGCCGACGACGGCTGATTGTGGCTGGAATGCACCCATTTCTGCCGCAGCTGGGAGAAACCCTCATCAACCTTGGCAACCTCTACGACGACGACGACGAGGAGGCGGCCTCTGAGTTCTACAAGGAAGCCTTCCAGTGCTTCAAGCAAGTGCAGGAGATTGACGCCAATGCGCTTCCGGAGCAGTTCATTGAGTTTGTGGAGGAGTGGGAGAACGACATGGACTCGTAAGCGCGGGAGACGGCCTGAATTGTTCACTTGACGCAGAGTACAGCGTATTGAATAACGATGGGACACATCGTCTCATTAGGACAAACACGGAACATTTCCTGTGTGAGCGGGCACGACGGAGCTGCAGGTCAGAGCACAAAGACATATCTCAAATGGGAAGAGTAATGTCGCTGGAAGGCCCCAGCGAGCGGATTATATATCAAAGTCGCTCAGCCCGATCGATCAACATCAACCGATCCACAAGCCATCCGTGTGTGTACGCGCCAGCGCAGAGATGGGAGGTGAGTATTCAGGACCCAGAAGCAAGAGCGAAAAGTGTGGGGTGACGGTCACAAGCGCCGGATTGGAGCGGTCCAACGCTGCTTCGACCGAACAGCAGAGAAGCAAACACTGGAGAGGGCGCAGGCGCAGCGTCGCTCGCAATGGGTCTGGGCCTGTCTGGACCCTGGGGCGGCAGCAGAGGAAATAGTGCAGAGGCAAGCTCAGTTTGCACGGTAGATGGGGGACTTGCATTTGGTTGAGAGCCGCCGCAGCAGCTATTCGCCCAGAACCTTCCAGACCAGCTCAACTTACACACATCCACACCTAGTTCTCACAGCCAGACGACGCTCAAACTGTTTTTCACGTTTCTTTTTTTATATTAGCGTGTATCAAACAGGAAGATCAAAATTCAAAAATCTGCTTGTGTTGCTGACAGGGAAATGTACAGTTGGAGAAGCGACCGAGCCACCGCCGCTGTCGCAACCGACGACGACGCACGCACGCACCAGATCAGAGATGCGGCGCCGAGGCAAATGGGCGGCGGGATTGTGTTGGAATGCGAGGGTACATGCGAGGAGGAAGCTGCGTTTAACCGCCGAAGCCGTAGAGGGTGCGGCCTTGCCGCTTGAGGGCGTAGACGACATCGAGGGAGGTGACGGTCTTGCGCTTAGCGTGCTCGGTGTAGGTGACGGCGTCGCGGATGACGTTCTCGAGGAAGGACTTGAGGACGCTGCGGGTCTCCTCGTAGATGAGACCAGAGATACGCTTGACACCACCTCTGCGAGCGAGACGGCGGATAGCGGGCTTGGTGATGCCCTGTGAGACGGAGAAGGAAAGCAGCGAGAGCGAGCGTCAGTACCAGGCGGGATTGAGCGATCGTGCTCCGGGCGGAATGCTTGTGCTTTGCCCGTCGCTACGAGAGAGTCCCCGAGCAGTAGGACTGCAACGCACCTGGATGTTATCGCGAAGGATCTTGCGGTGGCGCTTGGCACCGCCCTTTCCGAGACCCTTTCCACCTTTGCCGCGGCCAGTCATGTTGAAGAGTTGATGCGAGTTGAGACGAGAGCTTTGGGATGCGGCGACAAGAGCACGGGCGGCGGCGGCCCTTTTATAGCCGCGGCCGCCCAGCGCTGGACGTGTGGCTTGTGCGGCCGTGACGCGAGCCGCGCGCTGATTGGCCCGCGCGCCAGCCTGTCAGCGGCCGCGCCGGCCGTGCCCAGCCAGTGCGTGGCCGGCCGCAGCGCGCAAAGCAGCGTCTGTGCCACCGCGCTGCCTCTGTGTCACCCGCCTGGCCGCCGTATAAAAGCCGCGCGCTTGCCCCGCAGCCCCGCATATAAAAGGTCAGGCGCCCCTCCGGCCACTTGCGATCGGCATCCAGCACACCCGCTTTCCCACACGCTTCGCCGTCGCCCACAAGCACATTCCCAGCATCATCCACAATGGCCCGCACCAAGCAAACCGCCCGCAAGTCCACCGGTGGCAAGGCTCCTCGCAAGCAGCTCGCCACCAAGGCCGCCCGCAAGTCTGCCCCTGCCACTGGCGGTGTCAAGAAGCCCCATCGCTACCGCCCCGGTACCGTCGCTCTCCGTGAGATCCGTCGCTACCAGAAGAGCACCGAGCTCCTGATCCGCAAGCTGCCCTTCCAGCGCCTCGTCCGTGAGATCGCCCAGGACTTCAAGACCGATCTCCGCTTCCAGTCGTCCGCCATTGGTGCCCTCCAGGAAGCCTCTGAGGCTTACCTCGTTGGTCTCTTTGAGGACACCAACCTTGCCGCTATCCATGCCAAGCGTGTCACCATCCAGCCCAAGGACATCCAGCTGGCCCGTCGCCTCCGTGGCGAGCGCTCTTAAGCGCTCCGGCTGTGATCTGCGTCTGTGTCTGGCCCTCGGGCGATTCCTGTCCACCAAGCAAGCACGTTTCCCACCCTCTCCCCACACTTGTCCCCTTCCTCCGGTTTCTAATCGCCATCACTTCAGTTTTGTGTGTGTGTCATCATCACCTGTTATAATCTGATATCATTCTTTTTGCGTCCTAGACCACCACTCCCCCCGCTCTCTCTGTACATATGAAAGCATGATGCAGTGCTTTGTTTTCGTAAAAATATACGCTGCAGCCTGCGATGGTAGTCCACAGCCCCCACTGATCGCGTTAGCTGGAGGAGAGCATATGTCTGTTGGAGTATGCGACCCCAGTGACGAAGCGGATACTGTATTCCGCAACATGCGGGGGGCAGTCCAGTCAAGAGTGATGCAGAGGGACAGTTCAGCGATCAGTCGCGCTGCAGCATGTGCAAATCGTACTGGCTGCGCGAGTCGGTCATCGACGCCTGGAGCGAGAACCCAGAGACCCGGGCCAGCCCGGCAACCTCGGCTGGGGCGTATTTGTACGAGTACTCGATGTGGATCAGCTCGCCCTCGTCGAGCTGCACCTTGCCGTTCTCCCGCAGATCGATCGTCTGGCTCTGGCGCGATCGGTAGTATGCTTCATGCCGACCCTCATTCTCGTTGTAGATCGACAGGTACTCGAAGCAGCCCGGGTCCATGCACGCAAACCCAAAGATGGCATTGACGTGGCTCAAGCCGTTCATGATAAAGTCGCGGGTCACGCCGTGTGAATCGTCGTAGGCCTTGGCAATGACTTGGGCGGCGTTGCGGCGGTCGATACCGCAGAAGAAGAGGTCGCCCGGGTTCATGGCTGTGCGGCACACCTTGCCCAGGAAGGCCCCGGCCTCGCGGCGGGTCATGTTGCCGATGGACGACCCGAGCCACAGAAACGAGCGGGGCACGTCTGCGGGCAAGTGGTCTCGGATCCAGCCCAACGAGTCCTCGTAGGTGCCAAGGAGGCCGACAAAGTTGATCGAGGGGTATTGGCTGGCGAGCAGCGTGAGACAGTCCTTGAGGGTTTGCTCCGACAGATCGAGGGCATAGTAAGTGGCCTGTCGATTGGACTTTACGATTGCGTCAAAGATGAACGTGGACTTTCGCATCGACCTGTGCCGCGAAGAATCAGGCGAATGGGCGGCGCTCAGCCGACTGGCGCAGCCACAGATGCTGTCACGACAGCGTAACCCCTCCAGATGCCTCGCTTACCCGACGCCGAGCTCGATCCAGATGGCCTCGGAGTGGCCACGGAAGCCACTTGCAACGATTTCATCGGCACGCCGGGTGAGAATGTCGATCTCGGCATTGGTTAGATAGTACTCGTCGAGATACGTGATTTTATCAAAGATGTCGAGTCCGCGATCGTCATAGAGCACCAGTGTGGGAATGCTGCGAAGGAGCTGCGAGCTTTGGGTGCCGGGATTGGCAAAGGAAACGCTCTTGGTGGCGAGCGACTCGGCGATGAGGCGGCGCAGGTTCGGGTGGGTGTTGGACTTGCGAGAGCTGCGGATATCGTGGATCGTAACTTTGGTCAGCTCGGGCAACTTTGGGCCGGTCGCAGTCGAGACGCTGTGATGGAACAGAGCCGAGGCCATGATCGGGAAGGTGGCAGATGAGTGGATTCAGTGCTATGAGTGCTGTGAGTAGCTTTAGGGTAGTGCGTAAAGCCTTGGGGTATACCGGAGGAGCACAGTTTGGGATAGCTGCGACGGTGCAGGGCCCTTTTATGGAGTGGGTTGGGGCATCTGCTGAACGGGGCGAGAGTGAGGCGAGGAGGGGCGCTGCTGGGCTTGGGTTTCGGCCGGCAAGGGAAGCTGGGTCCGATACCGCCAAAGCTCAGAGTTGGCCAGGAACGGCCGGGCGACTGCGGGACCGCTGATGGCCCGGTGCTCGGCGGTGGCTTTGGGCGTGCATCCGTGAGTTGGTGGTGGGTAAGCAGCGGATGGCAGCCGGCTGACGGATGCCTGCGGGAGGACAGCGTGCCTGGATGCCTGGATGCCTGCTGACGGATGCACGGAGCTGCGGGGAGGAGGATCCCAGCCCGAGGGCAGCTTAGTGGGTGATAGTGTTTGGACGGGATGGCCCCCCTGTATTTGGATGGGGTGACTCCTGAATGTGATTGTATTTGGACGGGGTGACTCCCAAGCGTCGATTCCCACGAGAGCTTCGCCACACAAACACAAACACAAACACAAACACAAACACAAACCCAGACACACATGATCGGCATGTGACTGGAACCAGCAAGCCAATCGAGCCGGCGACACAGCCGCACTCGATCCACGACACGTGGACCGCCACCCGACTCCGCCACCGCAGCCCTAGGGGATCGGGCCCTAGCCCTTGTTGCCAGGCGCACCAATCACATCCCCGCTCGCCTTGTGTGCGCCGCCTGCCTTCCCGATTTGGGCGCCTCTTGGCTGCGGCTGACTCGCCGAGCATCGCGCTGCGCAGTCGCCAACAACGCGCCAGCAAGGCGCCGCGGCACTGCCTCTCCACAGCGACAGCGGCGACGCGGACAGTGCCAGCTGCACCCGCCAGCGTCGCACCGCGCACGCGCGCCGTCCGCAAAAGGAAACCCTGCCCGCGTGTGGCGCCGGGGCAGCCGATCCGTGCGCAGCAGCCCGAGACCCGCCTCGGGGTGTATAAATACGACGCCGTCCTCGGCCACCATCTCCAGACCACATCAGACAGCAGCAGCGCGACCTTGCCATCCTGCCAACGACAACAACGACAGCGTTTTTGCCCTCCCGGCGACCTCCCGCATTTCATAGAAGAGCACCATTTATAGTCACCTATCCTTTTGCCGGACTCTCCTGCCTGCTGCGCTGGAGCGGTCACTAGTAAATGGAGCCTCTTCTATTGAATCCCTGTCCCCCGCTCTCCTGCCTCCCCCCGGCCTTCTCATCATGAGCGACTCTGGTATGAGGTCATTTCAAACTTTAGACTGCCCTTGGCTGCGACGCCTGGCACTCCAGAGTTTGAAACTGGCTCTCATTCCGCCCCCCTCTTTCATCTCCCAATCCCTCCACTTCCATCTGCCCGTCCTCTTGCTGTGTATGAGGTCATATTGAACTATAAACTGAATCTGCAGCGTCTGCGATTCACTTTCGTAGTTCATACTGGCTTCACCCACTGCCATTCGTTTGTTCTATCTTAGTGTTCTGTCTCGGTGCTCTCGAGGGATATTGGAGCTTTCTCTGCCCATCGGTTCGATCTCTACTCCGCTCGATTCCGCAGTATATATCGCATCTCTGTCGGTGCCATTGATCCCTTGCGCGCCAGTCCTCCCATCGCCTATGCCTGCTGCCGAAGAAACCGTCCAGCGTGCTCGCCTGGTCCTGCGCTCGGCCATATCGCGCCTGCTCGTCGATGCCGATCCCGACATGACCGCCATCCTGCTCTCGGGCGGCCTCGACACCTCCATCATCGCCGAGGCTCCCTTGATCGCCCCCGATGGCACCGACCTCGGCCCCGTCTCCATCAAGCACGCCATCACCGTCTCGTGTGGCGAGGACGTCGCCAACATCGGCCCACAGCACGATCTGCCCTATGCCGTCCGGATCTGCGAGGCCCGCGGATTCACCCACCACATCCTCTCGGTCCCCAACCCGCGCGAGCAGCTCATGGACCCGGCCAAGCCCAATGCGCCCATCGTCTATGCCATTCAGACCCTGCAGAGCTTTGATCCCATGGAGATGCGCGGCGGCGTCGCCGTCACCCATGCCCTCCAGTATGCCGCCTCCCTGGGCATCAAGACCGTCGTCACCGGCGACGGCGCCGACGAGCTGTTTGCAGGCTACTCCTTCCTGACCTCCCTCTCGGCCTCACGCCTGAAAAAGTGGCTCTTGCGCATCGTCGGCCACTTCAGCTTCAGCGCCGTCCCGCTCGCCGCCGGCCTTGGCATGCGCGTGATCCAGCCCTTCCTCGACCCGGCCGTCGTCGAGTTTGCCCTGTCCTGCACCAAGGACGATCTCGTTGGCCCCGACCCGGCCGACCCGTCGCTGCTCCACGGCAAGTTTGTCCTGCGCGAGGCCTTCCCAGAGGCCCACTCGCGCTGGCGACGCAAGGTCCCGCTCGAGACCGGCGCCGGCACCACCCCCGTGGGCAAGGAGTATGCCGCCCTGGGCACCAGCGAGGACCTGCAGCTGGCCCTCGACCGGGTCTATGCCGACGACGGCATCGTCCTGCGCGACCGCGAGCATCTGCACTACTTTTCCGTCTTTGAGGGCATCTTCCGCGCCGCCGATGCCGAGCCCTGTGCTGCATTCGAGCTCCAGGCCCCGCCTCCCGCAGACCCTGCCGATGCCACCGGCCCGCTTGCCAACCGCAAGTTTGCCCACACAGGCCGCCTGCGTTCGGTCTGGTCCTGCCGAGCACCGCGATTTGGCTCGGATCCCTGTGTGCAGTGTGGCTTCCAGCTCGATCGACTTGATCAGGTAAAACTGTCCATCCACCCCCCCCCAATACGCCTTGGCCTGCGAGTGCCTGACGCCGACTGTACCGACTGTCTTTGGTCATTGCTTGGACTCTGCGCTGACCCTTTCCCCGTCTGCGTCGGGCTTGCTTTCATCCGCCAGTACTTTTGCAAGACCTGCGGAGCATGGCCCGCTCGGCCGTCGGGTCCGCCCAAGGAGGAAGACGACTGAGCGACTTCATCCTATCCGATCCGCCACTCTCTGAATGAGAACTCCCTTGCGCTGAGTATCTGGCAATCATCACCGCAGTTGCCCTGTGGAATACAGATTTCTCTCCTGCCGTGGCACCCACCCATCCATCCATCTGGGGCTGAGACATTCGGAGTACTGGCTGTATTGGAGAGCGAGAAACAAGATCGCCGTGGCCCAGATGGTGTCCGCTTGGAGCTCGGCCAATCTCGTTGCCTGTCCCAGTCGCAAGCCCCGAGACCGCAAAAAGGGGGACCCTCATTTGCTTGTCTCCACAGTGTGTGGCTCTGTCGGTCGGTATCTGCAAGGATCGCTGTACCCCCATGGGTCGTAACCGCAGGCCGGAAGGGTTGTTGCTCCTGAGCACCGGCACTGTGGGGGCTGTTGGGAAGACTGCCTGCTTGACCAAGATTGCGCCTCGCATCGATCCAGCCAATTGCCCTGAGATGGAGCTGCCATGGTGTTCGCTGGTCTTTTGAGTGGCCTGTCGAGTCGAGCCGGAGATCGGATGCGACTATGGCTGCGGCTGCAGCGCTCGTACTTGGCACTCGTTGCATCAAGATAGGCCACTTGTCGCCATTGTCACATGTCCTTAATGCCTCGGATCGTTACTGCAGCAGTCTCAGGATGCCAAACACAATGTTGATCATCAATCCCGCGATGATTCCTGCATGCAAGCACGAGAAGAGACGGGATCGTTAAACTTGCACGCATCAGTATCGATAATTCGCTGCACCGGCGCAGCTGTGTGCATCCGTATTGCGTCGAGAGAGAGAGAGTCGCTGGGCCGACATCGAGATGAATCTTGCCCGTCGGACTCACCCATCTGGTGCCTCCGCGTGAAGAGCCCTTGTTCCTTGATCCAAAAGACGACAATGATGCCGATAAAGTACCCCACCATGAGCCCGCAGAGCAGGTCCACATGTGTTCCATCTCGGCTCACTTCTGCCGCTGTTCATTCCAAGACAGTCGCAATCGCAGTTGCAAGGTCGTCGCAGACAGTCGAGTCTCCAATTAGCTCTCTGTATATGTCCGCAGCTGTTCACGGCTGGTCACTGCTGACCGCACTTGCCTGCCTCTTCTCGATTCACTCGGTTGTCGATCCATTCCTCTTCGGCGTTCTGGGCTTCTGTTGGATTGTGCGAGTGTTAGAGCCAGGTCAAGCCACTCCGGCGCACCATCGCTGTTGAGGTCTTTGCACAGTTTGTGGTGGTGATGGTGGTGGTGGGGAGGCATGGATCGCGGTGGACAAACCTCCTTCATCGCCGCCTCGAATCGAATGGAACTGCGATCGCAGCGCCTCAATCTCCTCTCTTGAGAAACCTGTAAACCCGAAACGAGCCACGATGAGCACCGACAGCCACACCCACGTCCACACCACGATCCGAGCAAGTACCGATTCAACAGGGCTATGCCGGTCAGCTCGAAATAGCCGCAGAGAACGGCCACCTCGTCCCAGCATCGGCGATCCGCATCGAAACAGGAATGCGTCCGCACCTATTTCGATCAGCCTGTCGAATCCCACGGCAGGTCCTCGGAGCTGTGGAGCCTGTCACCGGCACAACGGTTGATTACGTTAGCTACCCACTCGCTGCTTGGGGTACGCATTCGCAATCTCGATATTGGTGGCATCGGATGCAATTGCAGAGACCAGGGCGGCACTCATCGGTGCATCATCCCATCGTCCCATCGCTTCTTCCGGGGACTGGTGGCTCGTGGCGTCTTTGATCCTTGTGAATCATCCCGAGTGACGATCACAACGGCAGTGGCTACTTCCACAACAACAGCCGCCAAAACGGCAGCTATGGCAGCAACAGTTGGCCGCACCTGCTGGTCCGAGACTGGGGCTTCTGATACGACGCAGTGGATGTATATGGGCTCTCTCCCGAGAAGAGGCTCGGAGCTCTGGCCGTCGCCGTTGTCGAGTGGGATGGTCGCCCGTTCCAGCGATTCGGCTTGGCTGGCATCCTTGAGAATGCGCCCGCGATGCAACAGCCGCAGGTGCTTGTCTTCCAACGACGGTCGACGCTCCCGGATCTGTCCACAGAAGCCATTAGCCGAAGCGACGTGACCATCAGGTGGAATGAGGTTTAAAGTGGGCAGATATGGCCGGCGACTCGGTGGCACTGCGAACGGCATGGGGCAGCGAGGGATGTGGCTCTGGAGCGGCATTGAGCTTTGCTTGACACAGAGACTCGATCGCCAGGGCTGAGTATCAAGCGCCAGCACTATTGTCTAGTCTGGGCGACTGGCGGCAGCAGCAGGAGCCCGACGTACCGTCTGCTTCAGCTCGTACATCGTTACTTCTCCAGACTCGAGGAGCAGCGGAAGGTCATCTTCGCCGTTGGCGAACCGGACGCATATTGAGAGCGGGCCTGTTTCCGACATGATGGCGTATCGACCGCCAGCCTGATGCGGTGTCGACGAGATCGATGCAGACGCAGCCGGACCATCCGCCCGCCCGCCCGCCGAAACCAGCCTGCGAAACCGGGGCGGCTGAGGATCCACGTGGCCGCGGCCTTCCGTTTCCCGTTCGCCATTTCGTTCTTCGTCCTGATCCCTCCTGCGGCCGTCCCATGTCCTCCGGCACTCCCCGACGCCGTCCCTCCCTCGGCTGCGATGCCCAACATGCTCTCGAACGGCCCAAACCCGCTTCGCTTCACTCACCAGAGCCCTAGTCCGGACCACGGCCTGCGTCGGCCGCTCTCGCCCTCGCCCTCGTCGCGGCATGCTCCCCTCTCCACAGTGCTGGAGGAAGAAACCCCCGATTCCAGCGACCTGTTCGATGCCAAGTTCTATCCTTCCGGCAGCAGCCCGGCGACGCAGCCTCACCCCGACACCCGATACCGCATACCGCTTGACCGGATCGACGGAACCGATCCCTCAGCATTGGGTGCCTTTGGCGCTCGCACACGCAGTATCGACGCCGATCTCTACCCGGACTCGGCCGACGCCAGCCTCCTCCCGCGGACCGATCTGCCATCGTCATCGGCCCTGATGGATGAGTCGGTCCCATGGCTCGCCAACGACATGAACGCAGCGACCGAGCCCAGCGTCGAAGTCGCCTGGAATGTGCGCCTTGGTCAGGACGACCTCGACCGCCTCGACGACCTGGACGACATGGCCTTCCAGCACAAGCAGGACTTTGATCGCTCGTTGCGCCAGTTCGAGGACGAGTTCGAGAACGACATTTCCAATCTCGACGGCCTGACCCAGCTCGAAATGAACGGCTTGGACATCCACGGCACAGACTCGGCGCTTGTGAGCCCACAGAGCCGCCGAGCCGAGTCGTTTCTGTCGCCCCAGTCGTATCCACATCGGAGCGGCTATCAGCAGCAGGGGCATCCTCGACCAGAATATCCGTACCAGGACTTTCGTCTGCCAGAACAGCAACAGCAGCAGCACTACCACTCAGATCAGCAGCAGCAACCGTTGTCCCCCGACGGCACGTCCGGCATGTCGTCCCCGTCGCTCCAGCGCACCAGCTCGGTTCATCGTCCCATCCGCTTTGACTTTGATGAGCACGCTGAGCCCTTGGTCGCCACGCTACCAGGTTCTCCCGCCATCGATTCACCATCAACAGCAGCAGCAGCAGCCGACCCGTTCCGCCGATCACTGCGAGCTCGCCCGCCGAGCGACTCGCTTGCAGGGGGATCATATCCGAATCCCCATCCTATATCGACGCCAACGCCCAACCGCATTCCACTCTCCTCTGGGAGCTCTGTGGCAGCGACGCCGCTATACCCCCGCAGTGGACTGGATCGCCCGCCATCCAGACTCAAGCCCTTTCCGAGTCCGGCGATCGACTACTCGTCGCATCCTGCATCCATCGTCCACGGCGATTCAAACGACCGAGCCGAAACAAGTATATCCGAATACTTGCCCAACGACGTTGCTGTTCTGCAGGAGATGCTTTCGGCAAGTCTCAAAAAGTGCCAGACGCTGGAGCAGACAAACCAGGACCTGTCGGAGCGCCTCGGTAAGCCGCAGCCAGGATCTTCCATGGTCGATCCGACATTGGGTCGAGAGGGGGGGTCGTAGTGCGGGCACGAGGGACTTGTGGGCCTGAAAAATTTGCTGGCGAGTCGGCAGCAGGGGAGAGCTGCGATTTACATCTCTCCCATGGTCGCTGCGAGCTTGATTATTTTGCTCAATCACCCATGTGCAAACGGCACTGGTGTGCGATTCGTTGTCCTGCTGGCGATATGCAAGGATGTGTTGTGTTCGTGGGTCTGCATCATGGCTGACCCGAGTGCATGTTGTCAGTCAGCATCACATATCCAAATTGCAAAAAGCTGTATCTGCGATGCCGCTCCCCAGATTGCTCGACTAATAATGCTCCCGTTGTGCAGACGAGGCCGTATACGAACGCGAAAAGGCTGTCGCGGACTGCCGTGATGAATGCGAGAAGCAACTCTTGGAGGACAAGGTCAGCGCCGCAAGGGGAATCCTGGATGCACTCTGGCTGCAGCCATACCTGCAAACAACAGGCATGGGCATGCGGCAGCAGCAACGAAAGCAGCAGAGGGGCGGCAATCGTGGCAGCACCCCTGTCTCTCGGCCCATGCCTGCGATTTGCTTGGATATCGGATCGGAGGATGGCTGACTGCGCTTTCCTGTCCCAACTTAACTCCCCGTTTACAGAAAATGGACGCACAGCGATACGCCACCCTTCAGTCTGAATACTCGGCTCTGCAGGATCAGCTGCGCGTGCTGCACAACACCCAAATCCACATGGCCTCGATTCGATCGAGCCTCGAGCGTGAGAAGGAGCTCGATGTCCTCAGCATCAAGAAGGAGCTCACGACTCAGAAGGAAAAGGACCTGCAGCTGCTGCGGAAGGAGCTCATTGCAAGCATGGCCACCGAAAAGGACGAGATGACCAAGCGGCTGCGGGCCCAGATCCAGCAACGTGATTCGGAAATCGAGCAAGAGCGCAATACCCACCAGACCGAGGTCGAGAACCTGGAGCGCGTTCTCCGGCAACAAGAATATGATCTTGCACAGCTGCGACGGCAGCTGACCACCCGGAGCGGTATCGAGGCGTCGACTCAGTGCGACAATACTGCCATGCTCGAGGATCTGCAAAGGCTCAGGGAGCAACACCAGGCGCTACTTGGCGAGCGGGAGCTGCAGCAGCAACAGATCCGGCAGATATTTTCCAAAGTGGCCGACTTTCCCACCCAGGCCAGCGACGACAGCCCGGCAATCACGCAGTACTGTCTTGACTTTGCCAACTATGTGGAGCAGATGCAGCTCACGCATCGACAAGAGCTCAGCGAGAAGGACGAGGCTCTCCGTAAAGCCCAGAGCGAGCATGTGTTTTCGTTCACCAAATCCGAGACGCAGCATCGCCAGGCGATCCGCGAACTAAGCGCACGCCACGCGCACGAGCTCGAGAGTCTCAAGGTCACGTACGACTCGACCATCTCCCAGCTCAAGTCCGAGATTGCCAAGGCACACATGGACAAGTTCCGGAGTTCGACCATGTCGACACGCTCCGACCACTCGCAGATGTCTCTCGGCGAGCTCAAGGCCAAGTTTGGTCCTCAGCTCTCGCAGCTCCGCGAGCAGATGGACGGCGAGTACCAGCGACGCATCGAGTTGCTGACGCGCCAGCACGAAGTCGCTGTCGAAAAGCTGATGGCCAGCATGGAGGTTGAAAAGACCGAGCTGATGCTGCAGCACCAGCGTGAGCTCGAGGCCACAACGAAAAAGTTTCATCAGTACGCTGCATCGTGCCAGACGCGAATAGCCAAGATGAAGGAAGACTTTCAAAAGCTCGAGGCCGAGCTGGTGGACAGGACAGAGCGCGAGAAGCAAGAGTACCTCGACAGCTTCCAGAAGGAACTACAGCGCCAAGCGACGGCGGCGTCGGATACGAGGGCCAGCGACCAGGCGCTAGCGGCCAAGGAATCGCAGATCCAGAGCCAGCAGGTAGGCGGGCACGAGAGGGGCGGTGGTGTAGGATCTGCGAGAAGTTGCTCCGATGGACTCTGCGCCAATGGGCAGCATACCGTGTCTGCGCAATGTCCGATGGTGGTGCGTTGCTTGCCCATGTTCGGTCCTTGAGACTGCCGTGCTCAACGACTGCACATGTCCCCACCAGTCCCGGATAGCCGAGCTTCAGGACCAGCTGGCACGAGACCGGCAAAGCCACGAACATGCAATGCAGCAATCACAGGCGACACACAGACTCACGCTCGAGAGCGTCAAGGCCAAGTACATCGAGACCCTCAAGACAATGCGCGACGACGTGGCCGCCAGCAAGCAGAAGAGCTGGGAGCGCTTTGAGAGCGAGTGGAGGCGGCGCAAGGAGATGTTTGAGCAGGAATGGCAGACGAGGTAGGCTACGCATGATGCGCTGGGCGAGATGGGTCTGCCGACTCGATCACCCTCGGTCTGGTGCTGACCTGCTCCAATTCGATGTCCTCCAGGCTGGCGGAGACCGAATCCTTTTATCAAACCGAGGTCGCCCGTCTGCGCCAGCAGCTCGAGAGCAAGCGGCTCCCCACAAGATCCGAGCCAGCAACAAGGCACCCGCCGGCACAGACGAATGGCGGTGCCCGAGAAGAGAAGGAGGTTCGCTTCCGAGGCGTGAGCAGCTCGACATCCGAGTACAGCTTCCCTCTGGATCCGGGGTCGCCTCTGGGCCGGGACGGCGCTGGGCGAGTGGCGCCCTTTGAGCCAGACTCTCTGCCCGTAAACGGTGAGGGTGGGGGAGGACCAGCGTCGACGGAGCGGAGGCCATCTTCAGCCAGACCCAAATCCCGGGTATGGCGGTGAGCGAGGGCCTTGGGCGTAGTCGTTGGCCATGACAAGGTTTCCCACGGCAGGGAGTACATTCCTGCTGCTGATCCTGGCGAATAAATTTAGCTGTCGCGTGCAGAGTGGAAAGCCTCGGGGTGATCGGTGGGATGGATTGGTGGGATGGATTGGTGGGATGGATTGGTGGGATGGAATGGTGGGGAGCATCGGCAATGTTCCGGATTGGGATGTGTTCCGTTCGATCCGCACGCGTTTTGGCGCCGAGGCACAGCCGCGCCAGACACGCCATGGCGTTTGGGCCGCCGCCGCGCACTGCCACAGCCAATCCACCAACACGGCCATGTGGCCCTTTATATCCCGGCGGATTCACCCCGCATCCCCGGGCATCGTCCAGAACGATCCCCCGTCGCCATCGCCATCGCCATCGACATCGACATCGCCATCGCCATCGCCATCGCCATCGCCATCGCCATCGCCATCGACATCGACATCGACATCGTCCAGCCCGTTCGCCCATCCAACTCGTCGCCAACCCGATCAAGCCATAAACCCCAATGTTTCGGCTGACTCTAAAGGCCTGCTTTCTGCTGGCGCTGTTCGCCATCCTGATCTCCTCGACGACCGTCCTGATTCTCTTCAAGGACCACCCTGCCGTCGTCGCCGCCTCCAACAGCGTCAAGTCCACCGCCGCCAATCTGTTTGTGTCCACAGGCTCCACAACACCATCGCAGCCCGGTGTGCCCACGCCTTCCAACCAAACCGAAGGTCAGAACCAGGGCCGTCCCCGAACCTTTGCCTACAAAGTTGCGGATGGAGCCTTCTGGTCTGTCCCGACGGATCCACCGGTACGTGGATTGCCCGTTGCACTTTCCTTGTAAAAATGCTGCGATTTCCCTTCATTCTCGTCTGGGCAAGCACCATGAGTCGCGGTTCGCAGAACTGTCTCGATGACTTGGTCTGTCTCTCACATCCGCCTTCGCCATTCCCCACCACCATCTCTTGGGCCCTGCTCTGCCAGATCTTCATCGCAACTCCAAACTACGAGACCTTCACACCCTCGAGCTTCGAGTCCTTTTACAGAACCGAAAATGCCGCGCTGGTTGTCCTCGCCCGAGCGATCGAGGATGCCCAGAAGCTCGGGGAGCCCGTCCAAGTTCTGGATGGCGGATGCGGGGCGACGTACGGTCTGTTCTCGCTGTTTGCGGCTGCAAAGGGTGCCCAGCACGTCCTCTGTCTTGAGGGCAACCCCGAGCGGGCTCCGGCTCTGCGTATCGCCGGACGGGTCAACCAGCTCGAACGGAGATTCAAGATCCTCAACATTGAAATTGGTGACGGCCAGAAAGCCCGCGAGCTTGTGGTCAAGAATCGCGAGCCCATCAAGAGTCATGCCCTCGTCACCCCGCACGAGCACCATCATCTGCGCCGCCGGCGCCAGGATCCGGCCGCCAACCACCAAACTCACCAACCCGACGGCGGCCGCGAGGTCGATAACGAAGAGTACAATCCCTTCCAAGACGATCAGTTCCTTGAAAACAGCAACAACGGCAACAACAACGGCAACAACAACGGCAACAACAACAGCAATGACGATAACAACAACAGCAATGACGGCAACAACAACAGCAATGACGGCAGCAGTCGGGACCAAAACGGTTCGTTTGCTGATTTGGAGGACGACTCTTCAAGCGGCACCGAGACCGAAATCGAAACGGATCCCACGACCGGCAACACTTACCGAGACGTGGAGCTCACCCCCTTGACCGCCGTGCCGCTGCCTGTTCCTGGAGCCATGATCACATTTCTGCGAATCGACACCACCGGCACGACCCGAGGACTGGAGCTCAAGGCACTCGAGGGCGCCAACCCGCTGTTCAAGGCGCGCAAGATTCGGCATGCTGTCGTCGACTTTTCAAACCCACAGCGCCTGAAGAGCGCAAGCAACTATGCCGAGGATGAGTTTGTCAAGATCAGCGAGCGTCTCTTTGATTATGGATACGACTTTATGATTATTCCCGACAACGACGATGGTCAGTATTCACTGCGGGCGCTGGTGCGGGTGCGGAAGGGCTGGAAGCGGGTTGGTTGAATGACTGCGATGATGCTGACTCGTCGGTTCGCACCAGACTACTCCCAGATCGCCTACGCCAGCTCGATCGGCTCTGAGTACGGCGTTGCTGGATTCGGCACACCGTTTGTGTGGATTCCGCGGAGCGACTTTCGCTTCATGTGGCAGGACCTGGGCCGGACAGATTCGCTCAAGCTGTGGCTCGCTTTGCGCGACGACCCGACAGTCAAAGAGCTCATGAAGACCCGCGGGCACTTCCACTGAGGACGGGTCAGACAATGGGCATGTGCCGGCTCACCCAGTCTGTGGAGCTGTCCGCGCGCGGGTCGCTGCAGGACGTATGTGTATACGGGTGGCCAATCGCTGCTCCAACCATCCATTCACAAATTTGGATGGAGACACCTTGCCTCGATGCTACTGGCATCATCCGCTCTGGACCCTAAATACACACTTGATCCATCGCACACGATGTCCCAAGCCGCGTGGATGCGAATGTGGACTATCGGATGCACTGCCTCGACTGCATGAGCTGCATGAGAAGGGGAGGGGGAGACGGAGACGGAGACGGAAACGGACGCTCTGGACCTTGAATAGGACGGTGTCGATGTCGGTGTCGATGTCGATGTCGGTGTCGGTGTCGGTGTCGGTGTCGGTGTCAAAGTCCAGTCGAGCAAACTCCGCTCATCACGTGCGTGGCTTGTGTGCAGATATAGCTGCGGCATACTGTCTGTGTGCTGCTGACGTCACGGGCATCTTTTTTTTTCAGGGAGCGAGAGCGCGGCGAGGCGAGGGCCCCGGCGAGGACGCGCTCGGCCGCCAGCGAGAAGCCCCGGCCCAGGCCGCTCCAAACCATTTGGTTGCTTCTTGGGGACGCTCTCTTTCCTCTGTCCCATAGCACATCGAATCTCCCCTCGCTGTCCTTCTCTGCACCCAGGTGAGCGTCCGCACCACTCAAGCGTTGATGATCGCCTCCCCCCCCTGTTTTCCGTGCCTCTTCTCTTCTCTGCTTTGCCGATGCCGATCTGCCCTGCGTTGTCGACAACGGGCGATCCTGTCCGGTCCTTGCCCGATCATCGTGGAGGCCACTTCGAGCTGGGATGCGTTTCTGCTGGACGACATGGCGATAGCAAGCTCTGGAAAGTTGCAAAAAAAGGGACCGACGGCCATCAATATATAACCGGACAAAGGACACATGCACCAAGCTTCCCTGGACCAAGGACAGTTGGCGTCCAGAGCCATGTCCAGCCGGACAACTGCCGGCCCACGATCCTGGCATGATCGATCGCGCCTGGACTGTGCCAGTAGTGCAACGCCGTCCATACGGTCTGGTTACAGGAGGCACACCCGAAACAAAGTGGCTCACGGGCCGGCGGACGATGGCATCCTATCGTGTTCATGAGGACGCCACGTGGATTCATGATCATCGGACAACCAGCGTCAGGAAGCAGCACATCGTTTCCATATCAACGAGCTCAATCAGCCAGGGAAGGAGAGCTGTGTCAAGCTCCGTGTTGGTCAAGAGGGTTGGACGACAGGTCATAGGCTTCGAGCACACCCGATCGGTCACCTCGGTGTGTCCCTTGACACAGTCTTCGCTGATCATCCGCGGGCATCCTGGAAGGCCACCGACCTTGCGAGACGATCCACAAGACATGGCTCGTACTGAGAGGCGCCGAATCTGGGCACGATCGTCTCGCCACTCTTTTATCTGTCGTCCAGAGAGCCTCCGCCGTGTATCGCCGGTCCATCTGCCGCCTTGCCTTCGGGATGCTCACCCCCATGATTCCCTGCCATCCTCCGTGCCACAGAATGAACCCCGAAAAGCTTGCCAAGCTCCAGGCTGCCGCCGCTGCCTCCCGCATCGGTGGAAAGGGTACCCCCCGCAGAAAGGTCAAGAAGGTCCACAAGAACCCCGTCGCCGATGACAAGAAGATCCAGGCCACTCTGAAGAAGCTCAACGTCCAGCCCCTCAACCACATCGAGGAGGTCAACTTCTTCAAGAACGACGGCAGCATCATGAACTTCCGCTGGCCCAAGGGTGCGTTCCAGGCCTACTTGCGCCTGCTTGCTCACAGATCTGGGGGGAGGGGGCTGATCGAGACGGACTACCGAGTGGGCACTGTCGGTTGCTGTGCACGTCTGTTCCCACAGCGTCGACAGCGATCGATCTATCCGATGCGTTTTCCGACTCGCCGGTGGCTGATGTCGTTTGCTGTCTCTAGTCCTGGCCTCTCCCGCTGCCAACACCTTCGTTGTCGAGGGTACCCACCAGATCAAGCAGATCCACGAGCTCCTCCCCGATATCATCAGCCAGCTCGGCCCCGAGTCCATCGAGAGCCTCCGCAAGCTTGCTGAGACCCTCCAGCTCGGCCAGGCCGCCAAGGCTG